CAAATAATAATTATTATTATTATAAGCTAATTTATAAATGATTTAGAAGAATGTATTTAAAAATATCCAAAATAAAGTCTGTCCTCAAATGAGGTCTTGTACTGCTTCTGAATTCAGCTACTGCAGATTAAATAAAATACTTCTTAATAACTTAATAAAGTTATTTGAATAATAAGATCCATCTTAAGAAAAGATTGATTTCAAACAAAACAAACATCGATAAGATTAAATTCTTATTGAAAATTGTAACAAAAAGAAATTAGTTTAACTGTTAATAAAAAAAATTATAATAACTCTTCAAAAATCATCAGAAGTAAGTGCAAATATCTAATTCCCTAATCAAGATTGTTTACATCTAAACCCTGGAGAAATTAATTTTAGAAAGAGAGTAAAAACATATAGGAAAATAAAGTACTTAAGCAGTTTTCATTTAAACAAAATGGTTTGTAAACATAATGAAATTTCTTAAAAGATTTTAGAACACAAATTGTATCATTAATGATGAATTAATTTTTCTTACATTTGAACAAAATTACAAAAGTGATAATTAATTAAAAGCATAGGAGAGATAGATAATCTCTATGTTTGAGAGGATGTTTTAATTGAATTGCTTTTTCTCTTTAAATTATAAACAAGCTTTGATAATTGATATACAGTAAAATTATAAAAGTTATAATTTAGGATTTACTATTCCAGAAATATATTTATTTATTTCAGTTTTTGAATTAGTCTATTTTCTTAAATAAACATATTTTACAAAATTTATATTGAGAGAATACCAATATTTTTGATAAAAAACTTTTTTTTTAATAAAGTAAAAAAAAAAAAATTCATCTATTTACTTATTAATAGGATTAAGAAGATAACTTCAAAAATTCTAAAAATATCTTCATAAATTTTAATTAATATGCTCACTCATAAATGTCTAAGACAAAATATTATTTATACTCAATTTTTTTATCTGTTTTATTTGCAAACAGCTACATTTTCATTCGTATAACTATAAAAAGTCAAAAACACTTAACGATTTATGAAAATAATTAGGCTTTCTCATTTTCACTTGTCCATTTTATAGGTTTTCTTTTGTGCAATTTTTAAATATTAATCATCAATGCAATATTTTATCACATGTATATTTTTAAAAAAGGAATAGATTTAAATTAAGCTAAAAATAGATTTCTAAATGCCAAAAGATAACAATTGCTAAAACCACCAGATACATAAAGTTTTAATGGAAATGTCTCAAAGATAATATAAATAAATCGAAGGACTAACTGCTTAACTTTAGAATCGAAAATTCCGATTGTAAAATATCGTGATACATAAATAATAACATAATTTTAAGACTTATAATTTTAGTTTTTCTTCTTCAAAACAATGTAAAATAAAATAGTTATGTCTAAACAACAAAATTTTATCTTAAGCTCAATTACTTGTGATTCAAATAATTGTTTTTATTAGCGAAGCGTTAGCGTTTACTGTGTTATCGAGTAAATAATGGCGAGAATCGAAAGATATTTATAGTAAATAAGTGAAAGAGTATCAAAAAAAGATAAAAAAAATATATGAATGAATGAATATGAAGTTTGAAAAAATTTATTAAAAATAAATGATAAATAAAAACAAAAAGAAAGAAAGAAAGAAAGAAAGAAAAGAGCAGAGATGCGTCACAAATTTTTTATTAAAAGTCTTAATTTTTTGAATTTACTGTAATATTATTATTACGCATGCAAATATTAAAAATCTATTAAGAAGTTAGAAATAATTACTAAATCTCAAAGTGACAAATCAATCATCATAATTGAAAAACTACATTTACACTTTATTAAATTTAACACAGAATTTATTTTTATTATTGACAAATTTTTGGCAACAATTTTTTATTTGTGCTTAATTTGCACAATCAAATAAATTTTGTTAACGAATATATTCGAATATTATATTATTTTTGTTGAAATAAATTGCTAATCTAATAACCAATCAACAATAACTCATTATTAAAAATCCAAATTCAAGTTACTAAGCGCATATTATATTGGTGAAATAGTTACATCAAAATGAAAATAAAAGATAAATGTTCATAAATACCTCCAAGAAGCCTTAGGTAGTACAATTATATATTAAAAGGGGGAAATTTTTTTAATTTGAAGAACATAAATGTTTAAAGATTATTTATATTGCTCTGCTTATACATTTCTGTTTAACATACAATTAGCATTATATTGATATTAAGAAAGTGATTTTGTATACTTCCAAATAATTCATCAGAAAATTGAGATTAGAGCTATTAATAAATATAAATTGATTTATTATCTATGGGCAATAAATTTTTTCATCTAATCTGGCTTCAATATTAAAAATGTTAACTTATAATGTAAGATGACATAGATCATTCATTCAATTATCTCTCCAGCAATTATAATTTAGTCTAAAATGTTTTTTTCAATTAAAAAATTTAATTCTTTTTACTTCTTAGTTCTAATTGAGATTTGGACCGCAATAATCTGCGATATATTTTCCACAAATTTAAAAAAGATTTGTATAAATTTTTGAAGTCGATTATTAATCTGATAAATTACTAATAAATTGCAAACAAACATTTCTAGTAATTAATAGCTAAGATGACGATAATTTTTTAAATATTCAAATCAAAACAATATTTTTCATCTGTAAGAAAACCAGATGCATCTGGAAATTTCAATAGAGGAGCAAATGACTTTTAACTCTCATTCATATTCTATTAAATGTAAAATGAATGAAAAAGCTAAAAAGCTGTCTCTATTATTGAATATAGACTAAAACTAATGCACTGAATATTATATAAAATTATTTTATAATAGATCCTTTATTTATTGAGGGAGAAGTGCTTTTAATATTTTACCTTTTTCATGCATGTTTTTTATTGTGTAGGATATTAAATTTGTTGAAATAAACAGATTGCGTTATATGCTAATTAAATATTTATCAGCATCCTCCAATGTTTTTTTATATTTTTTCTATATGTATTTTTTATCTCATGAAAAAGAAAGAAATAAAGAAAGAAAAAGTGTGAGATTGCTTTTAATTTTTTTATTTATTTACAATATTTTTTAATTAAATCGCTTAATGCTATTTCACACCACTTATTTAATTGAATGCTATAACCTTGAAAATATTTAAAAAAAGTTAAAATACATAGAGATTAGTGTTTATTAGCCTCTATTTACTTTTAGCATTTTCTAATGTAAGTTAAATTTTCACATTTGAACATTCACATAAATTTTCCTTTTTAAATAATAGTTCCATTGAAATTTCTTCTACTTTTCATAATAAATGTCAGCTTTTTCATAAAAAAAAAACGGAGTAATCCTCCGAATAGTCCTTAAATTATTTTAATTTAACTTTACTAATTAAGATTTAATACTTGAATTAATCCTTCTAGACAAATGCCGTTTACCTAACCCTATCCACTCATTTCCAAAAGTTGGGAAAGAGTACATGCTTTTTCTTTTCAAAACATAAAATTTAAAGTGTGATTACCTTTTATTAACCAAGATAGACAAAAAAAGTTTAGCTTCTAATTAGAATAAAAGAAGCTTTGAACAATTAAGAATAAGTGCTTTTATCAATTAAATTTTAAAAAATACTTTCTTCAATAAAGTTATTAGAATTTAACATTTTTTTAAAAAAAGTGTAAGAATTTTCCGTTTTCATTTTTATATTTTTTTTACTTTTGGCGCCAATTATAAGCTTTTGGACAAGCGGCAATCCTGATTTGAGGTTCATTTTAACTTTTATATCAAATGTTTTTATTATCTTTTTGAAAATTTCGTTTACAAGATAAACTTTTATTTGTGTGATAAGATAAGTGAGTTAAAATTTAAAAATGATATTAATGCTAAAGCATAAAATGAAATATTCGCTCGAATGTTTTGCGATATAAATTAGGAAATTAAAATTTATAATTTATATTTTGAAAATAATAAGTTCTGATGTGAGTTTTATATAACTTGAAGGACAAAATGAAATATTGATTTATTTATTTATTGGCTAAATGACTGGTCCTTTGTATTTTGGTTGATAAAAATGCATATAAATAAATATTTGTCTGGTTGTTAAGAAAGTCTTTGTTTGATTATTTATTTATTTATTAATAATAATAATTAATTTACATCTCTAAAAACTTCAAAAACTGATCAATATGAAAATAAGATTATTTCCAAACAATAAAGCATTACATTTTCTGATTAATAAAAATAAGCTTTCTAAATATACTAATTTACCAAATTAATAATTTGATTGATTGGCATTCTAAATCAATACAAAAAATTTTGATTTAATCCAATCAATGTCAAAAAATTTTCTTTTTTACTTGATGTGTAAATTTTGTTTGTAAAGAAGAAATTCTAAAAATATAAACAAACTAATAAACTTAAATTATCTTTTTGATAATTCATTTGCAAGCAAGCAAACAAGCAAATAAAGAAATAAACATCTATAAAGCTGTAAGATAGAAATCAAATTTATAAAATAAGAAATAAATATAGCTCATAAGGGAGATTGTTTTTTAGTTAAATTTAAGGAATGTATATTATATTGGATTGAAACTGTATGTAAGAAAGTGAATTTATAATACAAATAAACTTGATTAGAATAGAATTTATATTAAATGAATTAGTTGATTAAATAGGTGAAGAGTTTTTGAGTTGTCCATTCAAAGAAAGGTACTCTCATGAGTACTTTTTTAAATAGGTTGTTATTTATTTATATTGATATTTTTAATTAATTTGTTTGCTATGGAAATTGATTCTAATATTTATAAATAATTAGCGAGTGAGCAGTATTCATGTTAATAACTCTCTCAAGAAAGACAACATCAAAATTGTAAGATTCAGATGAGATGGAAAATTGATTATTGAAGTAGTTTTTATATATTTTGTTTGAAGTAGTATTTTAATTATAATCCAAATAATGGATTTTTTGAGTGATTATAGCGATCTCTTTATTTTAAAAAATTAAAATCAAGATATCTTAGTCAAATCATTTATTTATTTATTTATTTATTTATTAATTTTTGATTAAAGTAAGTGTTTTAATTAATTTTATATAGCAGTATTTTATTCGTTTAAGAAATCATTATCTATTTATTTAGATTTGCTTTTGCAAGTCTTTTCAAATAATGAGGACTTTGTTTTATTTTCTTCTGTTTAAGAGACTGCTGCCAAGAGAGAGTCTGTTGGAACCAGAAGAAGGTGAAAATGATCCACTGCGGGAAAAGGAGACTTCATTTAAGTCAAGTGATGAGTCAGAAGAAATAGAAGAAGAGGAATTTCTGAAAGAGACAACTGAGATTCTCTTTTTTTCGAAGAAATCTTATTATTTTTATTCAGGTTCTACCATGAAGATTTCGTTGGCATCAAGCCAATCGAAGATCTTCTTTTCGACTTCCTTGCAATTGTAGTCAATGATTGAGTTCATTTTAAGAATTGATATTGTTGAATTATGAGTTTTTGTTTGTAAATTTATTTGATTTAGTGTTTTAACTTTAATTATTTTTTTTTTTAATGAATTAATTATATGTTGATTATCGTCTCTTGGACTCGTATTTATTCTTTTCTACCTTCAACCTACTATTTTAATTTTTGATTTTTTTAAAGTCTATTTGTCATTCAGTATCTATCGATTAATTAAGGGGTGGGATTTTATTTGGTTATTCTTCAAACAAAATAATTTAAAATTGATTACTACCCTATCATTAATAAATTGAAGTGGGAAAGAAATTTATAATATATAAATTACTTTTTTCAAAAAACTGAGCCTTGTAAGCTAATACTTTAATAATCTTAAGTTCTTCAATTATTTTATTTCTCTTCTTTTAGCCATAAAAAGATAAATTTAATGTTGTTGGCGTAAAATTCGGGTGACATTTCATTTATGTCCGAAACCAAGTATTTGAAGCTTTTTATTAAATTTAAGCATCCATAATGTTAAAATAAATATAAACCACAATTCAAGTCTTTTTCTCGATAAAAAGGCATTAACTTTTCAATCTTAATTGACATTAGTTCTAACAAAAAGCAAAAAATTATTATTTATAAAAGCAAAAGCTTGGAGAAAGAAGCATTATGTTTTACAATATTAAAGTTAAACAAGTGATTCCTGTCTAATGATATGTTTTCTCTTTATTTTTTAGAACTAAAAGTTTATAAATGCTTATCACTAAAAAATTAAAAGCAATTAAATTATAATTATGATTCAGCTTCTCTTTACATTACATTAATTGTGTAGTATTCTTTCTGATAATTACTTTCTTCAAAGTAAATTAGCTGTGTGGACATAGGTGCTTTAAAATTTAATTAAATTAATTGTTGTCAATGAATTAAATAAATGCTACATATCCAAAATCATTTAAAAGTATTTGGACAAATTTTAATTTTTTCAGATCTCTTCAACAAATTTACAAAATTAGCAACAACTTAAATTTTCATTTTCTTATTTAATATAATTTAGAATTCTTCTTAAGTAAAATAGAGTAAATTAAAATTTTTTGTTATTCCTTATCTCTTTTATTTTATTCAAATCATAAAAATTTTTAGTGTTAAATAAAAGCATTCATTCTATGTGATTGCTCTCTATATCTCTTCAATTAAATTATAAATTGGAATCCATTAATATCTTAATAAAAATAAAGGAAATTGATTGCTAATCCTTTTTAAAAAAACTTTGTAAATCTAACATAGGAGATAGTTTTACTGTTTAGAAAACATTTTTTATGAAAGAGGGGAAGTTAAATGATACAAACAAATTACATAAATTATGAAAGGTAATATAGAATTTTATATGTAGAATGATTACCTTTTATTAAGAATGCGTCTTTACTTATCAAATAACATTAAAAATTAATCAACAATTAAAAATCTGAATACATACATTCTAATTTGCAAGCAAAAGTTCTGGGGAATTTAATTCTTTTAGAAGTATTTGATTATTTATCAAGTGTTAAAGTAGTAGTACCAAACAAAATAGTGCTTACTAAATCAAAATACTAAACAAAAACAAAATTTATTGGCTTAATAAATAATTGAGCTAGGTAGCTCTCAATACCATAAACATTAAACAAAATTGATCCATAGATTCATTAACCAAAATTTCAAAATATCCATACAAAATATTAAGTGGTTTTTATTTAATATCAATAAATAAATTGAAATCTTAATATAGAGATTTCTGAATTGTAAATTAATTTCAAATACCTTCTACCACTACTAATTATGAGATAGAAACAAACTTGATTGTTAAAAATGAATAGAAAAAATTTATAGTTCGTGAAACTAACAAAAATTAAATTAAGCAAAATCAGTAATATAATGTGTATCTGTTATATGGCTTTCTTGCCATTTACTAGTATTTATGTTCTATCTTCTAATATGCTTAAATGAGTGCTTGAACAAATTAATTGATCTATAATTTGGTCTCTAAAGTAAAATATATGTTTAGCTGGTGATACAAATTTAAATGAAAAATTTAAGACTTTATCAGCGAAATTATCTTTTATTAATTATCAATAAAACTATGTTTAATCTAAATTTGTCAATTATGAAAAAAAAATTTTTTTACATATCAAATTGATGAATTCTGCCTAAAAAATGTGTACAGAAGTAAATATTTCTTCTTTATAAAATAGTAAAAGTTTAAATTTGCAACTTTATTAATCTAAATCTCTTATTTGCTGATAACTTATTGAGTAAAATAAATAGTTTTTCAAATTTTAATCATCACCAACCTCTATGCAAATTTTTAATCAGTTTTAATTAATATTTTGATTAATTTGTAAATGAACTACAAAATATATTAATCACCTATCTCGAATATTTGAATATTTGTTTGTTTGCTTGTTCCTTTTCCTTGATTTTGGGGATTATAACTAACAAGAAAAAAATAATCGAAAGTACTGTTAGATATTTCTTTAGTAAAAGAATATCTTTAAAATAAATTGATATGGTTGATTTTTTTGTTGATTTAATCTCAACCCCACAAACAACATTAGTAATAGCTTCTACTTGAGATATTTATTTTTGTTGTCAGTCAAATGTATATTTTAGATTGTTCTATAAATTTAGCTAGAAAAATTCCATAAATTAATATCTTTTAATTAAATCAAAAACAACGATATACACAATTAATTTAAATCTATTCTTCACTATCAATAATTAATTACGCTTTGTACTATTTTCACAAAAATATATTTTTATTGAAAGATCAAAATTAAGATATCAGATAAATTTACTAACTAAAAACACATATTTTTAGTTTACTTTTAAATTTAATTTCAAAGTATGAACAAATTCTAACACCAAAAAATCTTAAGAAGTTATCTTTTTCAAAATATTACTAAAAACTAAAAATACAATTATAATTTTCAAATCATTCTATTGATTCGCATTATTTTTCAATTAGCTTCATATGATGTGTTTTTATTATTTTATGAAGAAATAGCTAAAAATTGTAATTATTATTATATGAATCCCTATTATTTAATTTAATTATTGCAAAATAAACAATATTCACATATAATTACCTTACTTTACATCTTTTGAATGTATTTACAGATTTATTTATACTCTTTCTCATTCATTTAATTAAGATTAAAGATTAATTTTATCCCCATAATTGATAGAAATACCAATTGATTTACTTATTTATTGAATGAATGAAAGAAAGAAAGAATGTTTGTTTATTCTTCAAAGTTTTCCTAATTTTTTTTGGGAGTATATTTGAAAGAGATGATTTATATTGATCATGAAATGCTTTTAAGTGCATTTTCTACCAGAATACTATTTGAAGATACGAACAAGCTTTTTTTTATTTGAGATTGTTACGAATTTTAAGTGTAATACAAATATCTTTGTTTTGTAATGATAAAAAATTATAGGGCATACTACAAAAATGAAATTAAAAAATTAATAATTACTGATTAATTTACAAAGCTATGTGATCGAAAATATTGGGAAAGTTTCCTTAGAAAAAGCTCTTTTTTAATTAGATGTAAACTAAATTATGATTGCTACAAAATAGTTATATTTTACCACTTTTAAAATACTAATAAAAGAAATTTTTAATTTTGTTGCATCCGATCTAGTACAAAATTTAATTAACTTTTTTTAATTTCTTGAACAACAAAATTAATTTTCATTAATTTGATTAAAAGTAATTTTAATCGATGTAAATTAAAATCAATGAAATCTTTCAAATGAAATGAAATGGTTTTACCTCATTTAATAAATGAATCTTTTCTTGTATACATCAAATAATTAAAATACTTTATTTATTATTCTAATTGATATTATTTTTCTTTCGAATTCTCTACTGTGGCACAGAAATATTAAACTACCTTAATGAAATTTTTAAAAAATTAAAATCCTATGATTAAAGACTTAATAGGAATAAGTAAAAAATAAATAAACAAAAAAAATTATTTGTCTATGTCGAAGACTAAATCAAAAACTAAACTGGTATTGATTAGGCTTTACAAATTACTTGGGAAAATGTAAAAAGTAAAATAAAAAAAATGTTAGTTAAGCCTTACTTTAATGACAAATCAAACTTAATTTTTTATTTTTAAAACACGCAATATATTTTTTGTATTTAGTGATTGCTTCTATTTTATTTGGTAGAAAAATTATTTGATTTCTGAGCAATTTTAGAATTTATTAACAATTATTTATTTTTAAGATTTTATTTATTTTTACAAAGTTTCCAATACATTTTTTTTCCAGTTAAAAAGAAAGAAATAATTTTTATTCTATTCCAAGAAAGTATTTTTTAAAAGGTTTTTAAATCATAATCATATCAGTATTACTAAACTATAACTAATTATTCTAAAATTATAGTTATTTTACTTTTATATAGTGATATTAACTATAATTAACTAACTAATTATTAAAAATTACCTAGAACAATAAAATTTTTACTATTTTGCTAAATAATTTTGTGAAATAAGCAATTTTAATCTAACTAAAACTGCTTAAAATAATAAAAATAGAAGACCAAATAGAGAGAAATTGAAATCCTATTCTAATTATTTTTGTATTTTTTTGGTTTTATTCCCACATAAATAGAAATTTTGCTTAAGGGAAAAAAAGTAACAAATTTATAACAAAATTAATTGCTAATAAGCTAATTATATCACTAAATAAAGTTATAGTGCTTGATAGACTGCATGAAATACTAGTAATTAATAATTACCTAGAACACTCACTTTTTACTTGAAAGATATACACTTGAGCAAAATTAAAAAAATTAGCCTATTTCTAACAACTTAAAGTAAAAAGCAAATAAAGTAAATTGAAATTGATATTCAAATCAATAACTATTTGTAATTTTTGTTTTTTACTCACACTTGGGAACCAAAATAAAAAACAACACATTAATTCAAAATGATCATAAATAGCCTAATAATATAACTAAATTCAATTAAAACCCTTCATAGACCTTTTTATTTGTCTATTTTACCAGAGATAATATTAGCAATATGTTAACCAAGAATAACTTATAAAAGCTATTTATAGAAAATCTATATAAAAATATGTAATTAACTTTCATCTACATGTAGTATGTCTGACGAAAATTAACGCTAATTCAAAAAAATAACAATAAATAAACTCCCTTTATTTTTTTACTAAGATAAATTATAATAGACTGAATTTAGAATTTTTTTAAACACAAACAAGTAATATAAATTTTTTAGCTAGAATTAATTAAATTATTCATTAATTCATTATAGAATAAAAAAATCAATAAGGTTTACAATTATTGTATTTAAATTCAAATAGCTAACTAACTAATAAACTAAATAGCTAACTAGCTACTAAGGTATATTTATGAAAATATTAATTAATTAATTGTATTTTAGAATAGACTGTTTTTAAATTTAATTATACCCAAATTAAATATTTTTCTTAAAGAGATTTTTATACTTGAATAAATCTATGATATAGATTTGTTAAAATATCATTATTATAAAATTTATTAGCTCAGAAAATAACATAGGAGAAATAGAAATTAAATATATGTATGTGCAATTTATTTATTTAATGAATGAATGAATTTTGATAGTTGTCTAATTGCTTTCAAAGTTTAATTGTTGTATAAACAAATCTTATTAATATCAAACAAAATCTATTTCTTTCTTCTATTAGTGTTTTATTTGGAATTTTTTTATCTATTTTTAATATTTCAAGCTTAGCAAATAATAAATAAAAAAATCAGTATCAATCAACCAGCCATTTTATAGCAATTAGTCAATTAGTAAAAATAAAAGAAAAGAGTTCAAATATTATTTATAGCAACTTAGAACATTTTTAAAAGAACTTATAATGCAAATACTACAAAAACTAAATGAGAATATCAGTTAGTATTCCCTGAAAGAAAATGTTTTCTACAGGTTTTAAGAAATGTTTGATGATGTAAGAAGCAGATACCCAAATATAGGAACATTTATTCTTGTTGTAGATTAGCAAAGTTTAAAACTGCTTTCTTCAGCACTTAAAATGGCAGATTTAATAAAAATGGGTGTTTCTTCAATTGAAAAGCTGGAGTTAAAAAGAAAAGAACATCCAAATACGCATGCCATTTACTTACTTTCACCTAGTAAAGAATCGATAAGTCTACTTATATCTGACTTTGAGGGACAGGTTTTGTAACTTAAAAACACTGATGAAAAGAAAAAGAAGAAAGCATAGAAGCAAAAGGAAAAGGAAAAGAAGAAGAAGAAGAAAAAAGGTAAACAGGACGATGATGATGAAGACGAATAAGAAGATGATGAAGATGATGATGAAGTTATTGAAGAAAATGAAGAAAGCAAAAAGAAGAGGAAACAAGATGAATTAGAACCTAAAAAACCAGAGAAAAAAAAGGATTTGCAACCACCAGAAATATAATATGCTAGAGTTCATATTTTCTTTATGAATAAGCTACCAAAATACTTGCTCGAAGAAATGGGAAAGTCTGAAAAGTTAGTCAAAAGAATTAGAACCATGAAAGAATTTAATCATTCTTTCTTTTTCTTCGAATAAAACGGATTTCATCTACATTTAGAGTAATCTTTACCAATTCTTTTTTCTAAGAAGGAAAGCTAAGAGGCAAGAATAATGTTTGAATGCATTTCTGATCAATTATCTACAGTTCTACCTGCTCTATTGAGGTTTGATAAGATAAATATATTATACAATAACTAAAATCAAAGCAGTCCAAGCTATTTGTTTGCCAACTATTTTGAAAAAAAATTGCAGGAAATGATTTTGAAATTGAAGGAAAGTGAGTCTCCATACATCGATCCAACATCAGGAGAGATTTACTTGATTATAGTTGACAGAGGTATAGATCCCGTCACACCTCTTTTGCATGATTATTCTTACTAGAGCATGATTTATGATTTATTAGAAGTCGATACAGAAAAAAATATAGTTGAGTATGAAAAAATAGAACTCAAAAAAGAAAACAAAGCAAGTGAATCTACAAAAGAAGTAAAAAAATATAAATAATAGCTAAGTGATCATAAGGATGAAGTTTTTGCAAAGTTTAGATATCAAAACATCACTGAAGCTTTGAAAGGAATCAGAGATGATTTTGAAAAACACACAGAAAATATGTAGAGAGCAAAGTCTTCTCAAAATTAAGTTAGGAGTATTGAAGATGTTAACAAAATTATTGGAGAGTTTCCAGAATACAATGAACTTTTATAAAAATATGCAGTGCATTTTGACTTGATTTTAAAATGTTTCAATACCTTTTAAAAATATAATTTGCAATTAAACTGTGAGCTTGAGTAATCTATGGTAACTGGAATTGATGATCTTGCAAAACCTATTAAAAGTGATACTATTATTCAAAGTATATAAGATATATTAAATAGAAAAGATATAAAAAGCACAGATAGACTTAGGATAGCAATGATTGCTTTTATAACATGTGATCTCCAATAAGACTAAAGACAAAAAATTTTAAATCTATTTGAATTAAGTGAATAAAAATAATTAAAAAACTTAGCATGGCTTGGTATCTAATTTAGTGATGATAAAAATTCTACTTTTAGTAGAGTTAATTAACAAATTATAGATTTATCTAAGGAGTAGTATAATGCTTATTTGAATAAATAAAAAAATTGCTAAGAATGTAAGAAAATACGTGCAGATGCAAAAAAATCAAAGAAAGGAGGAAATTCTGAAGAGGACTAAAAGCGAGATTGTGATGAATGTGGTTAGTTGTATTTCGTCTTTAGCGTTATGAGGCACACTCCTCTATCAGCTATAGCTATACATTCTGCAATCAAATAAATAATTAAATCATACGATGTTTCAAAGGATGCATTAAATAGTTTAGGGTTTGGGATAAAATAAGTTGGATAAGTTAATAGACCTATATCTCCACTTAAAGAATAGCCACTATTGAATGAAGAAAGTGAGATGTAATCTGAAAATAAATTGCAATCAACAAATTCAAGTAAACAAGTAAAATCATCTAAAAAGAAAGATAAAGACAAAAAAAAAGACAAAGAAGAATCTAAATCATAAAAAAAAGAAAAAGGTGATTTGCATTTACCCAATGAATATGAAGCATTTTTGTAATAATCAGAGAGTGAAGACTCAGATGCTCTCAAAAAAAGTAAAAAAATAATTGCTTTCTTTATTGGTGGAATCAGTTATGCAGAAATTAGAGCTATCAGAAAATTCTAGGATGAATATTAGAGTAATCCAGTAATAATAGGAGCAACTCACTTGCTTACCCATCGCAACTACATAGAAGAGATAGACCAAATGTCAACTTTTGCTTGACTGGTTTTTAATCAATAAATAAATTAGAATTTAATGATTTTATTATCTTGATCTCAATTTAATAGTTCAAAAATAAATAAATTCTAAAACTAAATATATCAAAAAATAAATAAATATTATCAGAAAATTATTTCATTTTATTAAAAAAAAAGAATTTAAGTTTTGGCTTTGACCTTTGTAAATTACATAATATATGATGAAAAAAAGTAATTTAAAAATTAAATGGAAATAAAATGTCTTTAAATTTTTAATTTTTAGTTTGTGAGATAGATAAATAAAATTATTCTTAGAGTTTTTAGGATTTTTAATAAATTATTCAAAATTTTTAGTTAAATAATTATCATATTCCGTTTTACCTTGGCACTCTGTTTATTTAAATTTGTATATTTAAATGATAAAACAAGAGAGTTATGCTAGATGAATCTTAAACTATATTAAAAATAGGAAAATAAATAAACTTCATCTAGTAAGAAAGCAAGCAAGTAATTTATTAATTAATAAATAAAAATAAAAGATAAACATGAAAAAAATAATGCAATATATTATAAAATATTTTGTTTTAATGTGTTTGAAAGACATCGCTAGCCATTTTAAATTTTAAATCTAATAAGATAGATAAGAGTTATTAATATTTATAGGAGTTTATTTTTTTAAATAGATTTCACTTTTTAAATCTAATTAACTACAAATAATCAAATTAAAAAATTGGTTCAATCAAATTTTTTTTGATTGATTTACTAATATATAAATTATTTGCATTCAATGAATAAAAATTCAAGTAAAAATTGGCATAAAAACAATAAAAATTAAATTAACTTTGGCGATTTCTAAAAAGATTTAAAAAATTTATTAAAATCCAAATTAAATAATCTTTATCAATTTAGAAATAATCAAAAGAAAGCTATGATTCAAGTAGGTTTTTAATTTCTTATAATTATTTTAATAATCTGTGTTTCTTAGTCGTTAGGATATGTGGTATTTAACATTTAGAAAATTAATATTAGCTCATAACCAACTAAATAAATATACAATGGGTTTTATAGTTAAGTAGCTATTGAGATAGTATTAGATTAGACATTTTAATCACAATAATACTTGAGTTTAGTTGTTTAGTGTCGCGGCAATGTTTTAGTTGATACATATAATACTAAGCTAAAAAGAACCAAGGCTTTTTTCCCGATTCCTGATGATTGTAATTAGCCTATGACTTAGTTCTAGATATATGCTTTAAGCTAAGATGAATCTGCATAATAATCTAGTGTTAGTGCTTATATTGCATGGAAAGGAGAATCAGAAACTGGATTAAAGATATGCCCTTTTGACTGCGATAATAGAGGTTCTTGCGATTTATCAACTGGTTTATGTTAATGTGATGAGTTTTTCTCAGGATACGATTGCAGCTATGTATAAACATAGCTCTCTCCTCAATCTAACGTAGAAGCTATTTTAGGAAGCTACTTTATATCTTAAAATAATCAAGTCTAGTTTTTTAAACTGTTTTCAAACCAAAAGTAGAATTACTAATTCTGTACTTTAACACCTTATGGAAGCTTAAAAATGTTTATAGCTCCTGTAAATACTAATGAAATAACAAATTACAACTCAACAATATTATAAATACACGAGAATTAATCCTACTTTGAAGATAATTTAATTGTATTATACACAGACTATCCTAATAGTTTCTTTAGAACTTATATTTAATGCTCATCAGAAAATCAATAAATAATAATAAATTAACGTAACTTTTTGATTATTGTTTGTACAGTTTTACCTTTTCTAATTATCCTCATAATGCTAGTATAAATATTATGTATATAAAAAAAGAAATAATAACCTAAATAGCAACAAACATCTCCTGTTGAATAAATAAAATAAATCCTTGAATATTAAGGCGAGGAAAAAAAGATGACTTTTGAAGAATTTACAAAAGGAGATTTTATTTTTAAAGAAATCAAGGAATGCAGTAAATGTTTTTAAGAGTTTAATCCAAATTAAAAAATAATTTTAACTAAATTCTATCAATTACGACATGATGAAAACGAATTTAAGTGTTGTGAAAATACAAATCATAATAAACGCTTTTCTAACTTGATTACAGGAACAAATTCAAATATAATTTTCCCAAATTACTTAACAGAAGATTAAAGGGATAAAAAAAATAGTAATCAAATGAAGGAGTTACCATATTAGTAGAGTAAAATTAATTTAATGGAGAAAGAACAATAATTATCACTAGTAAATAGAGTAAAAAAGTAAAGCTTAGAAATAGATTTGAAACCCTAAACAACTTAAATTGTATAAATCTAAATTAATTAAAATCAGAATTCAAATTAATTTTTATTATAAAATTCAATAGTAGGATAAGATTTAAACTAGAAAAGCCGTTTATAATGAATAAAAAATTTATTTATTTGTTTATTTATTTATTTATATACTTACTAATCGTTTAAATATTATATAAAAATTTGAATTTCATGATATTGATTTTTTATATGAAAATATAGATTTGATTTATTTTTTAAAAGTTATTGTTTTTATTAGTTCTTTTGTTACTTACTTACTTATTTATTTAATTAATATTTTTTAATTTAGTAAATATATATATTCAGGTTAAATTTTAAAAACTAAAATTCTAAAAAATAAATACCCAATTTATTTATTTTCAATTTACAACCTTTGCATATGTATCCGAATTATTTCACTGGCTATGGGTACTTATTTATAATATATGTGCAAATTCTTTATTTTAGCATAAAAATTAGTAGTAAATTATTTCTTAATGAATTAAAATGTATAAATAATATACAAATGGTTTTATTAATTTTAGGTTTAGAATTATTGCAAGAGGAGTAGGAAAAACTTTTAATAAACAGAATATAAAAGTAAGAATTGATTGATAATTATAAAATCTAGCAAAATTATTTAAAACGCTTTTAGAAGAAATAAATATTTAAGATGGCTGCAATAATAATTATCCTAATAAAATCTACAAAACTAAATTATTATATTGTGATCTTACATTTCTACAAATATTTTAAAAATATATTATTAACTAATTCATTGTTAAGATGGTGAATTTCAATGTAAAAATTGAAAACTGCTATTATGCATTTTTGTTTTACATTTAAATTTGAATTTACTTTATGATTCTCCTATATATTTGTCAAAATTTAATAGTAGGTTGGTTATCTTAGATAGAGCAATTTAAATAAAAAACATACCTTTAATATATGATGTCATTTTAACTTAATGAAATTTTAATTTGGAAAAAGATTAAAAAGCTGAATATAATTTAAATAATTTCTTTAATTAAAAACACAATCTTAAAAAAAAAGCAAAATAACTAACTAACTAACTAATTTTGAGATTTCATGATTACTTAAAGAAATTTAGTAGCTATTTTTGTCATTTTTACTAGTTTGATAGTTAAAATTAAACCTCAAACTGCCCCTTTATATTCTAAAGGTGTTTAGATTGACTTAACTAATTCAGCTCTATTAACATATTAAGTGTAATAAAGCATGGGTAATTTAACCATTTAAATCTAACCTATAAGCTCGCAACAATAATACAATTTAAATTTTTAAGTAATATGTAGTAATAATGACTTTATTTAATAATTTAATGACCCTTATAATAATTTACTGCTTATAAATAAGGCTTTTATTTAATTGCCTTAAGAATGCAGCTAAAAAGGTTCAACTATATCGATAAACTATATAGTTTTGTAGTTTGATTAACAACTTTCAAGCGAAACCTTTTAGGTAGATATTTATGGCAGCTTAGTATGTCCTTTTAACTGTTTGTAGTAAGGTAATTGTTAATATAATGGAATCTGTAACTGTAATAGACTTTATGGGGGAAGATATTGTAATCTGATGCAAAACTCAATAAATTCTCAGAATGGTTTAGCATATTAAGACTGGGTACTTTTATAAGCAGTAAATAATTATATTTATTCTTATCATCTAAAGCCTTTTGAATATAATAATTCTGGTTCTTGCTAGTTAAAAATTTACTCTTAAAATGATATTAGTTATTACTTTGCAGATACGTAATAAAATAATATTATTAGTGATAAAGGAATTAGAGGCTCATAATTTTAAATATAAATTAAAGGGGAGACTGTATTAATTTTTAAGGCTATAAAGATGACTCTCCTTTAAATTGATTATTCTTGCTCTGAATAGTATACTTTTGAATTCCTGCCAATTCTTTTGGCTTGTTTATTTAGTCCATTTCTTCTTTGGTTAATATATAATCTAGTTTACAAGCTTTCTTTAAAAATCATAAACAAGATTCAAAAAAAGTAAAAATATTTTTCAGTAAAGATTTAGTAATTGTTATCTCCCTAAGATATTTGTATAAAAGATCTTAATTTAAAAAGTTATGAAGAACTTTTTTGCAATATTTGTTCAAAATAAATTTAAGATGTTGCACATATTACATAGAATTATCAAATTTATCATTAAAGCTGCTATCAAAATAAATAACTAGTACCTAAAGAAGGAGAAATAGAAGAAAAAATAGAAGAAATGTAAGTAGATGAAGAATTCGAAGAATAAAATTAAAAAAGTTAACAAACTATAGATTAGCTAAATTAGCAATTAGATATTTAATAACAAAATGATAAGCAAGGTTAGTGTAAATAAAACTAAAACTTTAGTTTCTCCAAAAAAAAATAATAATAAGAAATGTAATAACCTGAAGATGAATTCAAAGAGGAATAAAACTCAGATTAAAGTTAAAATGATTATGATGAAGATGAAGATGTAGATAAAAATTAAATTGAATAGAATCCAAACAAAATAAAATCTATTGTTGTAAATAAAAGTTTATTTAATTGATAAATATATATTTAGAAATTCTGTACTTTAATTTATTACAAAATAATTAATTAGATTGTTTCAGTTTGTCAAAATTTTTACTAAATTTTATTGAAGATACAAATTGAATTTAATTTTAAGAAACTATATATAATTTAAAAATATTTACCATAAATAAAATCTTTGAAAAATAATTTTAAACATTAAATAAAACCTAATCTTAAATTTACAAAAATACACTCTAACAGTTTAACTATTTTATGATAGCTTAGATTTTAAAAATAAGAGAAACTCGGATTTGTGTAGAAAAATAATTTGAAAATAAATTTAACTCTGAAATAAATAATTACAAAAATATAATAAAGAATTAAAGAGAATTATATATTAAAAATAATAAATAGTAAATATAATATTTAATGTAAATGTATTGAATAGTTGATGAGTATGTATTTATTACTCATTTTGGAAAAATTCAATACAAATAAATTGTAATTTAAAGTAGTTTATTAATTAATTAACTCAATTTATATTTGCTAAACAAGAAATAATGTATCTTTTCTTTTTTGATTTTGAAAATATTTTAATGTTGTGGTTATTGTTATTATTTGCATTTGAATTATTCAAGTTGGTTGATTTATTTATTTCTAAGTTGTTTATTAAACTTTAGTTTATCAATGAAGAAGCTCTTTCAGAATTTTGGATTTAACTGATTGACTAAATAGAATTAATACTATTTCCTCCTCCTATTGGTTTTTTTATGCTATCTCTTATTTCAGATCTGTATTAGATCCTCTCATTTAAAAGGATATTTAATTAACTTGTATGAGAATCTTATTTATTATTTAAATTTTATTATAAGCTGCTCTACTGAGATTGATCTTGTTGAGTATCTTCTGAATTTTAAATTATACTTGGATTATTGCTCATATCAAAGTTTTAATTTTATATTTCACTATTTTAATGACTTATTTGAATAGACTTTGTTGTAGTTGGAGACATTATTGTATTAGGATTGTTGTTGTTATTATTATTATTATTAGTATTATCATCACTTTAAATAGAAAGAATGTTATCATTGTAATTTTTATTTGTAGATGAAGTTTAGTTGCTCGAATAGGAAGTAGATTAAGATGAGCTTATTACCAGTTATGGAACATTTTATATAGTACTCGGTTTACAACTATTTAGCTGAGAGATCATTTTTTAGATCTTAGTAGGACTTTTTGAGTATTTGGCTTCGTTTTCAATTTTAGTTTTGTCTTCAATACGTTTTTTAATCAAATTAATGGACATATTTTTTTCAGCTGAATTGTACAACAACTTTGCAGAGTGGTCTCTTTGAATTTAGCTATTATTTGTGTTTTAAATATTTTCGTTTCCTCTGTTTGTCAGTTGGGGGATAATGCTCCTTTCAGTTAATTCTGATTCATCTTTACCATACAAGGAATTTACATTGAAGTGGTGATTTTATATTTAATTAATGTTAGAGTTGATAAACTTATTTATTCTATTTTGTTCAGATTGCTAAAGTAGAGGTGAAACTAATTTTTTGACTTTCTAAGTATTTTTAGCTGCTTTTATCATGCTTTTATTTAGATTGATTGTATTACTGTTATTAGCTTGGATAAAGCTTGTATTTATATTACAAAAAGAGGTCAGTTGAGTAAAGGAATTAATAGTTCTTCCCAGTTAATAAACCTTTTCAGAAGAATGTACTTGTTCTAGCTATGGAATTATTTCAGATGATATTTCATTTTTGTTTTTTACCTAGAACGCATTGCTTCTTGAGAAGAGGTTTTTTTAGTTTGAATTTGAAGGGTTGTAAAATTGGAACTTATTCTAATTTGATGTAGATTATTATATAGGAGCTTAGCAAGATTTCAGCTATTTTGCTGCCCACCTAGCAAGATTAGAGGAATCGTCAAACCTTCTTTCAGGATTTCTACAGCACAAAACTGTGACAATTAATTCAATATTTACATTAATAGGATCTTTATAATATACGCAAAGACAAGGCCCGGCATTATCAGTGCAGCCTGTCTTAACTCCTTTAAAAGAATTAGTTTCATCCCATAATAATTTATTTGTATTTACCCACTCTGCTTTTCTAATATCTTTTTTAATTGTATGGTAGATAATGCATTGATAATTTTTAGTCGAACAAATTTATTAAAGATATGGAGTTTGGATAATATTTAGCGCCACTTTTGATAAATCTTCGCATGTTGAGCGATTGCTCTTTGAAGCAAGTCCGTGGCAATTTGAAAATTACGAATCTCTCATGCCCAGTTTTTACGCATATTTATTCATTTCTTTAACAAATCTTGAAATATATTACTGTGATTTCTTTTTTTAATCCAACTATTAAAATGAGCTTAAATTCTGCTATAAATCAGGATTTTCACTCGGTAATTTCGCATCTTCTTTCATAGATTTTTTAAATGGACTCATATCTCTTTCTGGAGAAGTTTATTTTTGAGGGCATTATTATGATTGCTATTAGATCTAAATTTAATTGATTAAAGAGTTATTTAATTATTAGCGAATTTTAATGGGCTGTAAGGGATTCTTAATTAACAACTATCCAAAATGGTGGGCAAGTGTTACAGCAGCATCGTTTCCAGATGGCAACATGAGCGCGTAATATAAATCTTGAAGGCAAAGTTTCTCATTTTCTCTTAAGAATGCACTTGTACCACATGTATATGCAGCTATCCTTGGAACAATAATTTCTTCTGATTCAGCATTAAGATTATATGTAGTTGATAGCTGATGGCAGACATATAATGTCATCATTTTAGTCAAAGAAGCCATTTCTCTTACTTCAGAACTCATCTTAGAGTAGATTAATTGACCGCTAACTGCATCTGTAACACTCCAACACAGCGCAGAGATAGGTAACAAAGAATTAGAGTTAATTCTTTGCTCTATTTATTAATTAAATTTAATGAGTTAAATGTATGAAGCATTTTCATATAAATTAAATGAATTTTTAATAGGTTACTCTTTAAAATATAGAGCAAACTATAAATAATATACTATTTTAATAATATTAACAAGATGAAAAAGATTTTTTAAGTAAACTTTCTAACTCTACTTTACTTATTCATTGCTAAAATAAAAAATTATATACTCCAGTGAAGAGTTCTTTTAATGCAAAAATAATTATCATTTTTTAATATAATTACCCTGAAATATAACAGGGAGAGCTGGTTTTTTTGCAGAAAGAGAACGCTGGTGAGGTAATTTGGCTACTTTCGCCTAATTGGCTGATCCTTTTGCGGGTGAAATGTTTTATTTCTTGCACTTCTTTGAATATAAATTGGCTGATGAAGTTCTCAGTCTTTTATGTAGCTTCTTTTCTTTTTTATCTTGATTGTTTGATTCTTCTTTTTTATCAAAATCATTTGCTGATTGAACTTAGTCTATCATTTATTTATAAAACTCTTTTTATTTCTCGTCTTCTTATTAGCTTTTTTAATATCTATAATTACAAAAAAAAATTATCAAAATTATTTATTTTAACAATTTAAGAAATGCATTAATTGATTGAGTTGTTAAAGTCTTCTAAGCGCAAAAATAATAGCAGAAATATTAATTATTTTCTTGATAATTAATTTATCTGACTGAATAAAGAATTTTATTTATGAATAACATAAGCTCATATTGTTTATATTATACCATTCATTTACTCTACAGTCTTATTCAGTAGAGGTAATCTCTTATTTATACTCAATTATCAAAAATAGATAGATATTTTTTCATGAATCTCCCTTAGTCTAATTTTACAAATTAGATTAAAGACTACTAAATACCTCTAAATATTATTCTGAGATTTTCTGGGAAGTATTTATCTGCTGATTCATAGACTCTCAGTAGATGTTTACCGACCACTGATTTCACATTTTTCAAAACAAAATAGTTTATTAAATACAACTTTGATATCAATTAATTGAATTTTTTATATTTAATTGTGATAACTCATTATATTAAAATTATAACTTTCCTTTAAAATTTGAACTTACTATTTAAAATTTATTTTACTATTAGAGAAGGGCTAGAATTCTAATTATTAGATTTAACTAAGCTTAAATTAATTACAATTAGATCTCAAAAAAGTCTTTGGAATTCAGATAAAAATTTTTACTAGCAATCATAATCTAATTATAGTGCGTATTTACTACGAAATATCAAAAATATTTGTTTAACAAACTCACAATCAATTTTAATTTAGAATTCACCACATTTATTTATTCTTTTGGAAAATAATCATTTTTAAGCTTTTTTTTTACGTGATAAATAAAACTAATTTATTGCGAATGGATTGCAATTTATTTTAATAAATTTAATAAAACAAATTAACAATTTTATAAATTTTTATTTTAATTGAAAAAAATCAACATATTTATTTTTTTAATTTCATACTTTTATGTCTACTTAAAGAAATTAATTATAATATTTTGTTAATGTTTGATATTCTTAGAAGATCTAAATATTATTTGTATTCAAATAGTGATTAAGATATATATAGTCAAATTAAATTTCAGTTTATACAAAAAAATTTAATTTATTATCGATAGTTGTAAAAAAAATGGGTAGATCAAGAGAGAGAGAAAGAGAGAAAGAAAAAAGTAAAAGATCAAGATCAAGATCTAAGAAAAAAGATAGCGATAAAAGGGATGCAGAGAGAAAAAGAAGTCGTGAAAGACGCTCAAGCAGAGATAGAAAATAAAGTAGGTCAAGATCTAAAGACAGAAAGAGATCAAAAGATAGAAAAAATAAAAACTCAAGCAAATCAGTTGAGAGAAAAAGAAATAACTCTCGAAGCAAGTCCAGAGATAGAAAGAAAGGAAAATCAAATAAATCAAGAAGTAGATCTAAAGACAGAAAGAGAAGATCTTCTAAATCATAGACTAGAAACAAAAGATCTAAAAGCAAATCTGAATAAAGATCTAAAAAAAATAGACGTGATTCCAAAAGCAGATCAAAGGAAAGAAGTTAAAAAAACGAAGGACAATCATCCTCTCAATAAAAAATAAATGATGAAAAGGATAATAAAAAAACAAATTCATCACAAGATGTGAATAAAGATAGCGAAAACGGAAAATCATAAAGTGAAAATAATTTGCAAGAATAAAATAGCCATTAAAATAAAGAGCATCAAGATTAATCAAAAAGAAAACAATAAAAAAAAGACAATAATAGTAGAAGTGGAAGCAGAAGTAGCAGTAGTAGCCAATCAAGAGATGATAATGATGATTCAAGAGGAGAGGAAATGGATGAAGAAGAAGAAGATGATGGTCAAGATGATCTATAATAATAAATGATATAAATGCTAGGTATAACTGGTTTTGCTTCTTCAAAAGGGAAAGACCATAATGGAACTGCAAAAGAATCAGTATTCCTTTGTAGAAAAGAAAAAAGAAAATATAGAAGATATATGAATAGAAAAGGTGGTTTTAATAGAGCCTTAGATAAAATGGATTGAGTCTTTTAATAAATTCACGTTTTTATATTTAAATGTATAATAAATATTAACTTACTTTAGTTTAATTCATATCTTAAATAAATTGCAAGCGTCTAACTTGATACAATAATTATGTATATAATCGTCAGTCATAAAATTTGCTTAAGTTTTAGAAAAATTATTTTAAATGAAAATGTAAATTAAGATTCATATAAAAAGGAGCTTATTTATCAATTTAAAAAAGTATAAGAAGCATTTCAAAATGTATTTTTTGTTTGAACCTACCAAAAAAAATGAATGTTTAATTCTTTGTTGAGTTATTTATTTACATGAATAAAATAGGAATTCTAAAGCTCTAAATTAATAATAAATATATAATTGCTCATACTTTTATAAGAATTAATAAATTTAGCAAATAAAAAATTGTAAAAGAATAATTTTTTCTAATCACTTTACTTTTGTGAGTAATTTTTGAATTCATATTTTGAAAACATTTTTATTATTAAATAATTTGAAATTTTATATGTTTATATCAATTTAAAACAACTTGTAAATACAATTCTAATATTTATTTTTTAAGATATTTTAAGTGGTCATCAAAGTTTATTTCAAAAACGCCTTGAATTTATACAGGTTGCTTTAGTTAATAAAAATATGAAATTTTTTTATAGTTTTATTTTTTGTGGGTATCAAAAATAAAGATTCAGTATTTATTTTAAATGTTAGGATAGTTAGAAAGATTATTGATTGATTGATTTTGTTTATTTTTCAAAAATACAATAAAACTTATAATTTTTGATTGTAGGATATTCATTCAAGCTTATTTTTAATTTCTGAAAATAAATAAATAAATAAAAAATAAATAGATGATTAAATAAAACAAAATAAAACATTAAAAGATTTTTATGAAACAAAGTGAGTTGTTAATTATTAAATAATTAATCAATCAATCAATTAAATCAGAAAAGAGAAACTTTAAATCTAAAAGATATATTAAAAATATCAAATATTTAATAATAATTTATTAATAAAAAATCTGAACAAGTTAAGAGTATAGCTCAAATAAATAAATAGATAGATAGATAAATAAATTAATAGACATCAAAAATGAATTTCTAACTTTCATCCAGTCAAGTAAATATTAGATAGATACTTTAAGAAATAAGATAGGATTTATTTATTAATGTTGCACCTATATTATAAAGGCAGCTAAGCACAAATGGTAAATACCTGATTAATAACAAGAAATATCTAATTCAATGAATGAATTGAGAAAGGGTATTCGCACAAACGTTACAGAAAAGGTTATAGGATACAATAAGTTTTTTGATAGTTCCAAGATGAATACCGAAGTTTCTAATTCCTCATATGTGAATTACTAGAATCAACCTCAAAAAGAGAGCTAGCTTTTGCAATAGTTCCATTAATAGCAATAACCATAAGCCCAGTAGTAGTTTTCTCCAGTGAATAAAAGATTATTTGAAAAAATTAACTACGATTCTTTAGGTTAGTAAAATTAACAATAACAATCACAACAACAATCTAGAGAATTACACAGCTTACATTAGCAATAATAGCAATACTCTCCTCTCAAGTTATCACATAAATTTTACTCTCCTAGAGCAGTTCCATCTTTTGATGGACTTTAGAGGAATTTAAAGGATCACTCAGCCAGCAAAGTTTAGCCACAAAGCTAAAATTTCTTTAAAAACGAAAAATCTTCTCTAGCCAGTAGTTTATGGGGAGATGCTCCTTAAAATTCTTAATAAAAGAGCTTCGTTCAAAACGAAAGAGCTTACAATTCTTAATCATCACAATAGGCCAATTCTCCTCCTCGCTTTTCTTAAGTCTAAAAATCGTAAATTTTATAATCTGCTTGAAATATTTATATATTATAAGATATATCCAAGCGGCTTTAAAGCTTTATTTTTATTTATCAAAAATATAAAGAATAGAAACTCTAGGCCAAAAGCAATAGTAATAATAGTAATAGAGTAATGGATTGAAAGGAATCTTTGATTTCTAGTAAAGAAAGTTATCTGTTTAACCTCAATCTCCCGCTTAGACTAAAACTGTAGGTTTGCTCTCTGAAATGGATTTCTTGTAAATTTTTGCTAAACAATTAAAAATTTTGAATAACGCCAAACATTAATAAATATAATATCTCTTAAATTCTTTATTTTTGAATTACTAACAACTACATCAAAGGAATATTTCCTCTCTTATTTCATATTCAAATAATTAAAATCACCAGCTCATAATCTTATCTATAAATATTTAATTTGAATTTTTACCTAAAATTATTAATCAAAACAAAATTAGAAAATCTTATTTTATTATTAAATTTTAAAGAGTATTTAGAATATAATTTTGCTTTATCTAAAATGATAATTTATTTTAACTAATATTAATAGCAAAAAGAGAGATAATTCAAAGTCAGCAGTATAGTCTTCAAGTAGTGCAATTCAAAATAAATTATCTACCTCACTTTTTGAGAGCAAGAAGAAAGACACTCTTTCTGAAAGTTTCTCCTTAAAATCTGGTGCATTAACTACTAAAAACGCTTAGGTCTCTCCAAGAAAGCTCAGTGCTGGCTCATTCTCAAATTTGAATTCTATCAAGAGATCATCATTGAATCCTTCCTAAAATCTTCTTTCTTAGATTTCAAATACTCCTCTAAGAAGATCTTAAGAGAGAAATGTATTTAGCTCCTCTTCAGGATTAGGCTTTTCTTCTCCTTAAGTAAAAAAATTAGTTGATAGAGTTCCCATTACAAAGGTAACTGAAATCAGATCTCATGTTGAAAACACTCTTCCTTAAGAGTTAGCCTCTTTGCCTTCTACGTAAAGATTTTTAAAACTTAGAATTTTTCTTAAATTAACAAATTCATTCTAATAGATATGTTGAAGAACTTACAAGATTAGCTGCTTCAATTACTAAAGCTCTTAAAAGCACAAAGTTTTATGAAAGAAGCTACTACTGAAATAAGTCAAGTATTTAAATTTAAAGTAATTAATAAAAAATAAGTTTGATCAAGGTAAAGTTTTAATGAAAATATTAAAGTAAAACCATCAAGCAAACAAATACTCATTTTATAAGATTATTAATCTCATAAAAAATTATTTTATATTTTGCATTTTTTTGTTTTCTGATTTTATTTTGAAAGTAATTAATATTCGTTTAAATAACACAAATTGCATAAAATAAAATATATCAATTATTTACTTTTTAAAATTAAAATAATTTTTAATTTATTTTTTCATTAATTATTTAAAACTTTATATCTTACAACCTTGTATTATTTTTATTTGCTATTAGTTGTATCTTATCTAAATTAGAAATATTTTATTTTAATTTTAATAATATTTATTATTTTTAAAAATATTTATCAAATCAATTTTTACAATTTTACAAATACTTTTTAAATTTATTTTTTATATGCGTTTTTACTAAATATGTTTTTATTTGTAATATAAATTTTATTTAGAATGAGAATAGGAATAAATGTAAAAATATTGAAAATAATAAACAGACAATTTTAACGAATATATTAAAAAATAAATTGATTGAATTTGAAGATTCAAAATTTTTAACAATTGAAATTAATAAGCTTGGAATACAATTAGTTCGTTTATGATTAAAATTTATTAATTAATAATGTAATTGAAAGAGAAGGTAAATTCCATCCAACAGAAAAATAAGTGGTTTTTAACATTTATTCAATTAATTGCATAGAAATAATTATGTATTATCATAAATATTGACATTAATAATATAAATTTTTTAATTTTGGTTGATAAACAAACAAATAAATAAATAAAAACAAACAAACATAAATACATTCTAATTATATACAAACAGATTATTAATATTTTTAGGAAAAGTAAAATAAAAAAATAGTTAAATAAAGTATTCTTTTCAATCATTGTATTTAGGATAGTTAATTTGGCTTGAATTTATAAATAAACAAAATCACAGAGTAGCTGTAAAGACTGCATATAAATTACTTCATAGATCAATTTTTTTGAAAAAAAACTCTTCAAAAGATAAAATTTAGCGAATATTTAATAAACAGATTGGAGATTACTTTATTCTGATTGATAATATTAAAAAAATAGTTAAAATATGCTCACTTTAGAGACTTAAAAACGAATTGCGAATCTATTTTAGAATATCGCAGAAAATGAAAGATTAGTTGAGGTAGTAAGATAAGTTCTTTCTGAATAGGAGGAATTCGATCCTCACTCCTTGTTTGTCAAAATTAGTGGAAATAAAAATTACATAATTCGCAAAGATATCACTGACTTCTTAGATAATTTTTCAGTGCGTTATTTGCCATAGGAAATGAACTAATTATTTTACAATTACAATGGCTCTAAAGAAAAAATGAACTATACAAAGTAATTTTTCATTTTGTTGAATATAATTTTATAAAATTGTTTAAAGCGTTTTTGATTAATTATTTCATAAAATCAAGATGATGTTTTAATTAAGTATTTTTATGATAAAAAAATTAGCTTTTTAAAAATGATTCTGCCTAACAGCAGTCACTTTTTAAGACAACTTAAGGTGGAACTCATTCCACATAGAAGAAAAGTAGTGGAAGTAACATATGAGCTTGAATGGGCTTTAATTAGGGTATTTGAAAAAGAGCTTTAGTTATACAGAGTAGTTGAAGTATAAAAGGAAGAAATTATGAGTAGGTGGGACTACAAGATATCTGCAGCTTTTAGATGTATTTCATAAAAATCTAATAAGATTCATATTGAGCATGGTGATTTATAGAATTTTATTGATTTGATGGGATATTCTTCAACAAGCGATGATATTCTTAATATTTTAAGGAGATGTGATCATGATAAAGATGGGAAAATTAGTTAGTTAGATTTAGAATTAAGCCTAACTCCATTTAAAAAATATAAAACTGCCCTCATTTAACAAGCTGCTTAAGCCCAGCAATAAGAAAAGAAATCTTCCTCTAGCAATTTAGCTAATTCTGCTGTTTATAACAATTCTTCTTCAAAGAAAAAAGTAAATAACACTAATCTTACAGGATCAGCTTAGAAAGAAAGCAGAAATCCTTCATATTCTTAAAATAGCAATGGATTTGAGTAGTAAAAATAAGCGAAGTCTCGCTCTTACTCATACTAAAATGGGACACATGGGAACGGATATTATAATTAGTAAAATGACTATTAAGGATATACAAATAGAAGTAGCTAAAGGTTTTCAGATGAATTAAATAATGATAACTCAAACATAAATAAGACTCCTAGAAGATAAAATTCAACAGATAAAATTAAATAAAGTTCTTCAATATAAAGAAATAGTGGCAAAAAATCATAGTTGCCACAATCTTCTTCAACAGAAATCAATTACCACAATAATAATAACAGTAATATCCACACAACACCAACTAAAATGAAAACCATCTCATATAGTAACAATTATAATAACAACAGCTACAATAATCCAAGTAGAGGTAATTCACTTAGTAATAATAGTACAGGTACTTCACAAGGATTTGTTGGAAGTTAGTCTAAATAAAATTCTTCTAATCATTATAAAAATTAATACAATAATTAAAATGTAGATCCTTATAGAGGATCATCAAGCAATCAAACAAGCAGTAAGAAGGTTAGTGGCCACTAAAACTCAGACTACAAAGGGGTTATGAGTTCAAGCAGTGGTATGAAATCTTATTAAAATAATAATAATAATAGCTTCTAGCCTTTAAGCAGTAATTCTTCAAAAGTTACCTCTAAGCTGAATCGTTCTTCTAATCCAAAAGAAAATATAAATAATTCATTTTTAAACTATAAAGAAGAGCTTAAAAATTAAATCAAAAATGAAATATTTGGATAGCAATTTTCTAATTAAAAACGCAACAACTAATAATAAAATAATGTATATTCATAACATGAAAGCAACACAAGTTATCCAGAATTATAGTAGCAACTTAATTCTTAATTTTCCTCTTCTGCTCAATAGCCTGCATAAAAAGTTTTATTGTTGAGTAATTACCATTAAAATAACTGTAACAGTAATCAAGCCAAGTATGAAAATTCCAGTAATAAAAGATATGGAGAGCTCAAGCAAAAGTTAGTGGATGAATTGAATAATAGTCTTGTTCTTTCTGAAAAAAACTCGCCAACAACTTAAATTTATAAAAAATTGAAGGAGAATTTATACTCTAACAGCAAAAACAATCACTCTACAATCAATTATGATTCTTAATATGACATGAAAAATGCAAACTAATATGGGAAAGAGTTTAAATAAAAACTCAGGGAAGAGTTGTCTCGATCAAGTTAAGAAAGAAGATAAGCAAATTATGAAGACCTCAGCTCTTCTAAATACAATGATTCTTACTCTAATTATCGCCATTCTCCCTCACCAGTAAGAATGATAAAAGTTGATGTAAAAGATATTGATCCTCTAAAGCAAACCAGCACTATTTAATCAGATAAATATAATTATAGCAACAATAATAGTAAATTAATATCTAGCTAGCCATAGACTGAAAAAAAATAAAGTATTCCTCAGCCTTTAAATAACACTTTAAAGGAAGGAGCTTTCTAGGGATATATAAATAACAATACTGATGAAGATATAAACGCTGTTTCAAGGTATTATCCTTCAACAGAGAAGAAAAAGCTTATGCAAACATAAATTTTGAATAGAGAATCTCTTGGTGGAAGCTCAGAAATTTATTAGCAAAAAGAAGAAAAATCTAAAAAATATGAAAAAGGTATTGTAAGTCCAGTAAGAACTAGCTATTAGGACAACATGAAAGAATATTATATAGAAAAAAATAAAAGATATGAAATACAAGATGAAATAGAAAAGAAGATGAGATAAAAGCATACAGATTAATAATAATTAAATAGTAGAACTTCTTCTTATTCTCCTTATAAGGCAGATGAAATTATACTTAGAAAGTAATCAATCAAAGAGTAATAAATTATTGACTAGATTGAAATCAAAAATGAGGCTAGAAATGCTGAAATCAAGAAAATTAAAGAAATCGAAGAAAAATAGCTAAGAGAGCTTGAAAATATAAAATAAAAGCAATTTTTAATGGAAGAAGAAAGACTTAATAGACTAAGAAAAGAAGAAGAGATTCGTAAATAGTAAATTGAAGAGGAGTTATTAAGAAGAGAGAAAATCAAATAGGAAGAGGAAGAGTTGGAAAGAATTTAACGCATTAAAAAAGAAAGAGATAGGATAAGAGAATAAGATGAAAAGATGCAATAAGCTATTAGGGAAAGGATGAGAATTGACGATGAAATCAGAATGAAATAACTAAAATCACAAAAGATTGAAAGAGATGTTTAATAATTAGAATAATAACTTTCTAGACAGGCTTCTCTTGAGCGTGTAAGATAGTATAATTAAATGGAAGATTTTAGAAGACAGTAAGAAATCGAAATTAAATAAAGAGAATTAGAAAAAACTAGACAAATTTATGAAATGCAAATGAGGGCATCTGCTGAAAATACATAACGTAGTCCCTTCAGATAAGATTTTGTAACAAAAAACTATGTTGATAGAAGCAGCAGTTTACATGCTTCTAATACAATTCCTGAAACTCCTTTTATTGAAAAGAATCAAATTATACAGCTTCAGCCAGTTTCACTCACAACTCCGAAACATTAAAACGATAAAGCTAGTTTATAATAACCATAATCAAACTTAAAACAAGTGCAATTTAAATAAGATAATGATTTGGCTGCAGAGTAGGAAACCAAATAGAGATTACAAAGAGAAATAGAACAAAAAAGAATATAATTAGAGTTAGAAAATCAAAAGGCAAAAGAGGTTAAACTTGCTTTAGAGAAATAGAAAAAAATTTAAGAAAGCATGGAAGAAACTATGCTGATGGAGAAAAGGAAGTAAGAACTCATTTTAGTAGAAGAAATGCAAAAAAAGAAACTTTAAGAATTAGAAATAGAAAGATTCAAAAATGAAAAATTGAGAGAAATCGAAGAAGCAGAAAACCAAAGAATTCTTGCTTTGGAAAAAGATCTAAGTTATATAAATGTCTAAAAAGTTAACCATTTTAGTAATTCTTTTAAGCCAGAAGAAAGCCCTACTAAGGCATATGAAGTAGTGAGCAAGTCAAATAGAAACGAGTTAAATATGTCTGGCACTCCTAACAAAATTAGCTCACTCAATAAATCATTAAACAATGGACACAATCAATCTCCACTTGAATCTCACATGATTAAAATCTTCAAATATATTATTGATTCCTCAAATGAAATTCAAAATATTAAAGAAAATTTGTCAATGAGAGCAGACTTCACTCTTTCTGATGCCTTTAGAATAATGGATATCGATCAGAAAGGATTGATTGAGCTTCCTTAATTTGAATCATTTTTGAAAAGTATTGACAACCACTCGTCAAGAGAATCTATTTATTTCCTATTTAACAAGTTATGTCCCAGAAATTAGAAATTTTTGAAGTAATAATTCTTTTAATTTTAAATTATAAAATGGAAAAAAAAATTTTTAATTATAGGAAAGAAGATGTAGATGACATATTCAAGCCTATATCCTCAGATCATTCTGCTATACTTAACAACAGGGTGTCACTTTACAATCCAAGACATCCAGACTTTGTAATTTCATTTAAAATTTACTTTTTAAATAAAAATCTTTTTAAAAATGAAAAAAATAGAGTAAATTCACTTTTGAGACCAAAGACATCATCTCTTAATTATTTAAGCAGCTGTTAAATTAAGAGTAAAAATTAGAATAAATGAAGTCAGAATTCTTACACTCTAAAGATTTTAAGTTAGATGATGCCTATTTTTTACTTGATAAGGAAAAAAATGGATATTTATCTCATGATGAGCTCAAAAAAGTTTTAGATTCCTATCATTTGTGCACAGTCGATAGAGATATTAAAAATATCTTTAGCCGCTTCGATCGCTACTAAAGAGGAAAAATAACTTTCGAAGATTTTAGATAAGAGATCTTGCCATAATCTAATTATCATTGATTTATATACCAAATTCATTAATTCATTCATTATGAAGAAAAACAAGCAATCAAGCAAGCAAATAAAAATACTTGTTAAATCCTAAATAACTTTTAAAAAGTTTATTAATTAATGTAAATAATATAAAAATTAATTAGTATCAATCTGTTAATATTCAAAATATATATAATATTTGTAATTATTTTTATCTAAGATAGTACAATCTTCTTTGTTTAAAAAATATACAAAATTTTTACTCTTTATATTTAAATGCAAAATATAATAAATAATGAGTAATCTTTTTATTTATCTAATGCAGTACATGTGACTCTCAAAACAAGAATAATTTTAAAAAGTTTATCAAATTTTTGTTATTAACAATTTTTAATTAATAAACTTACTAATATTAACATTATTTTGAATTATGTAAAGATGACTTATCATTCATTTTTTATAATTAAAAATTTTTAACTAAAAATTCATATTAGATTGAAGTAAAATAATAATTGAAATCTTAATAAAATTTTGATGAGATTTTATAGAAATTTCTTTTTTTAATTTAAAAATATTTTAATTTAATTTATTAATCAAACTTAATACTTCTTTTTTTCTTAAGAATATTTAAGAAGTAAAAAATTAAAATTTGCAATCATTTTTTCTAAAAGAATTTTCAAATTATTTGATTATTAAATAATTAATATTTTATTTTAAAATAATTAAGCATATAAAAAATTAAAATTTTTTATAAATTTAAAATTTAATTTTATAAAATTACTAAATTAAATAATCATAAAACAGAGATTTTATGATAAAAATGAAAATAAAATTATTTATCTAATTAATCTACTTTATAGTATTTTATTTGATTTTTTTAATGAGATAATAATTTAAACGAATAAAATAATTTTTAGGTTATAAAATAGAATAAATATAAAAAAGTTACAATTTTTTTGTTGTTAAAAAGTTTGAATAAAAAACAGAGTAATTTATTGATTTACATTAAATTTTACTTTAAGGAAATTAAAAGATTTAAATAGAAAGAAATATGCTTTTTTAAGGATTAATTAATATCAAAAGCATGTGATATTATTTAAACATTTTTAATGAAAAATAATATAGATCTAACTAGGAATATGAGTTTATATTAAATGTTTGTAAAATTTTTAAGTAATTTTTTTGATTAATTATAGGATATTAATGAGGAAGAAAACTCTGAAAAAGGTGATTCTGAAGAAGAGAAAAGAATTAAGATAATTAATAATATATTTCATTTTATTTAATTGCTTATTGTATTTTTAAATTTAAATTAAATAAATACCTTATTATTTTAAATTATATTTATGATTTTTTGTAATTTTTTTTATTTTAATTGAGTTATTAAATATTAAAATATATATAAGTTAAGAATAGTTTTGTAGTGTTACCAGCTTGTGAGAATAAATATTTTACTTAAATTTATAAATTTTAGATATTACACATTTACTGTTTTGATTTCTTTGTATTTTATATAATTTTAGATATTTTTTAATGCTTAAAACAATTACTAAAAATTATTTAAAATTAATCTTCTTTATATTTTTGGAATAATAAAAGTATTTTTTAAATTCTAAAATTGATCATATTCAATAATTTGTGTCCTTTAATAGTTTCAGAATTTATGATAAAATAAATTTATACCTTATTATTAAACTTAATAAATTTTATATTTATTTTTATGTAGTTATGTAAATGGTTAAAAATGTTTTAAAGTATTTAAAGATAATTTTATTGATTAATAAAATTTTTCTAACCTTATTAACAATTATGAGTTAAAATATTTAATATAAAGAAATAATTTAGATTGAAATTGAAATAAAAACCAATGTGTAAATAAGTAAGTAAATAAATAAATGGATATATAATCATCTTTACTAAACAAAATAGTTATGATGATCCTCTATTTATTTATATTGGGATTACCATAAAAAGAACCTTAATTTTAGAGTTTAATTAAAGAATAAACTAATTTTTGATTTTCATCAATTTATCTTTTTTATTAACAGAGTCAATATTTTAATAGATTAGAAATAGATTGAAAAATTTTTTAAAAAGTAGACTATTAAGAAACTAAAAGTTAATTGGATTAATTTCGATAAATTATAATTTAATAAAAAGTTTAATTATAAATAAATATTTGCTTCCTTAAAATAAGATGTAAGAAGCTAATTAAAACTAGTGTGTTCGATAGATAAATATAAATTAAGATGATGGAAACAAAGATGCTCACACTAATTAATATTCAGAATAAAACGAAGACTAAGTTTTGAATTAGATTAATTAAAATTCTAATTAAAATTAATAAAATAATATTTTAGATTAGTATGTTGATCATAAAATTTCTTTAGAAGAACTGAAAATAAAGTATAATACTGACTTTGCTTTAGGTTTAACAGATGAGTAAGCTAATATTTTGTTGAAAAAGCACGGCGAAAACAAAGTACTTCCTAAGAAAAAAAATATCATATTCTTGTTCTTCAGATAAATGAAAAATATTTATTCTCTATCTCTTTGGCTATGTGTGGTTCTATTTCTTGTTGCTCAAATTATACAACCAAACTCATCTAATATTTATCTCACTATTATACTTGCTATTGTAATTTTTATTAGTGCAGCTATTAACTTTTAATAGCACTCATCAAGAGAAGTGTTAAAAGATAGATTATATTCCCAATTTACTGCTTAAAAGGTTGATGTTATTCGAGGTGGTTAAAAAAAACAGGTAGATCCAAGTTAACTTGTTGTTGGTGATATAATATAAATAAAATATGGATAAAGAATTCCTGCAGATATTCGCATTTTATCATCTAATGGAATGATGGTAGATAACTATCAACTAACAGGCGAAAGTGAACCTTAATATCGAACTGTTGAATGCTCTCATCCAGAAAGTTTTTTAGAAACTTCAAATATTGCTTTTTATAGTACTTTTTGCTGTAGTGGTTCTGGAGAAGGTGTTGTAGTAAACACTGGAAGTAATAATATACTTTCTATATTTGAATAATTAGAATAAGAAGAATAATAAGCTAAAACTTCTTTAAGTATTGAAGTTAATCGCTTCACTATTTTTATATTTATAGTTGCAATTTTCTTATGTTTATTGTTTTTCTTATTAGCTTTCTTTTATAGTGAGTTTAACTTGTCTGAAAGCTTTGTATTTGGTATTAGTATTCTTGCTAGGAGCACTCCATTAGGTTTAATATGCTGCTTTTCAATCTCTCTCTCTATTGCTACAAATAGTTTGCATGATAAATAAGTTTATGTAAAAAATCCTTAAATTATAGAAACCCTAGGATCTGTTTCTTGCATTTGCACTAATACTACTGGTGTTCTAACTTAAAATATAATATCTGTTCATAATTTATACTATAAAGGAAGAGTTTATTAATCTAAAAATATGGTTCATCTTTAAGATGGAGAGACTCCTCAATATGATATATAAGACCCTGATTTTAAGATTCTTCATCAAGCAGCGGTACTTAGCTGTGAAGCTCAATTTGATACTTCTTAATTAGTAGATAAACAAGATATTGACTATTTGAATTGCCCAGCAGTAGGTAGTAATACTGATATTAGTATTATTAGATTTTATTAGTACATAGAAGATATCAATGAATTTCGCAATAGACATAAAATTGCAATAAATCCTAATGGTACACTTTGTAAAATACCATTTACTAATTAGATGAAATGTTCTTTAATCATAATTGAGGAATAGCAAGAAGATAGTTACTACACTGTTTACGTTAAGGGTTCTCCAGAAAGGATTTTGAGCTTTTGCTCAGAAATAATATTAAATGGTCAGTCATCTTAACTAAATAATAGGTGGAGAGAAAAAATAAATGCTGTTATTAGTGCTTTTTATCGAGATGGTTAAAGGACGCTTGGATTAGCTAGATTGCACTTATCAAATACTTAGTTCCCATAAGGATCTATGATTAACGTTTCATCCTTTTAAAATCTTCCTTTTAATCTTTAAAATTTTTAATTTTGTGGTTTAATTTCATTTAGAGATCCTCCTAAATAAGGAGTTTTATAGTAAGTTTAAAAATTAAGAAAAGCAGGAATTAAAGTTATCATGATTACAGCAGATCATCCACATGAATCAGCAAGCACAGCAAAATAGTTAAATTTCATTCCAAAAGATATCTTAACTAACTTAGATTTGATGGAAATAAATAATAATCTTTCTTGGTTTGAAGCAAGCCAGCAGTGCAAAGCTATTGTAGTCAGTGGTGTAGATATAGTATAATATATTGAATAATCCTAGGAAGAGAATGAGGATGAATATTATTATTTGCGTTAATGGATATCTAAACCTTACTGTGTTTTTTGTAGAGTATTTGAAAAATAAAGGAAATAAATTGTTGAAGTTTGCCAAAGAGAAGGTTATATTGTAGCAGGTATTGGAAATAATTATTATGATTTTAAAATGATTAAATAAGCAGAAGTGGGTATTTTTATCAATTTATCAGATTGGGAAAGAAATAAATATGCTGCTGATATTATTTTATTAGATAATGACTTTTCCTCAGTCGTCTCATGCATAGAAGAGGGTAGAAAAATATTTGATAACATGAAAAAAGCTATATTTTTCCTTTTTTCTTCGAATATGGCAGAAATAATCCCATTTTTATCATTCATAATTTTCTAAATTCCATTACCACTTTCAAATATTTATATGCTAATTTTAAGTTTATGCAATCAGTTTTTGCTTGCTATTTCTCTTGCATATGAAGAGGCTGAGACTGATTTGATGACAAGAAAACCTCGAAATAAAACAGAACATTTAATTTCTAATAAATTAATTACCGTATCCTGTTTATAAACTGGTTTAATAGCTAGCGCAGCTGGTCATCTAGGATATCTTATAGCATTTAATTATTTTGGATTCCCCGTTCTTTCTTTATTTGGCTTAGCTTCTATTACAGGATATAGATCACCTTAAAACGATTTTGGTAGTTATATTAATCCATTAATGAACAACTAAATTGATCCTTTCTATAATTAAGATTTATACAACATCACAAAATTTGATAACTGTAATAAGCCTCAATACTAAGAAGCTATTTCTAAGTTAAAATATTAAATAAATTGGTTTAAACTTACTGAAGGTAACTTTGATTTGAGAAAATCGTTGGTATATTGTGATCCAGAAAGTGGGGCATTCTAGCCTAATATTAATTGGAGTTATTGTGATATTAATAAATAATAAAATTGGTCTCCTTTAATATCCCAAACAGCATGCTACTCGACAGAAGCTCTAAACTATGCTTAAAGTGTTTATTTTGTAACAATTATTTTTGTATAGTCGTTTAATATTATTGCTTGTAAGACTAGATCTACAAGCTTTGTAAAAAGTTCTTATAATTCTTTAATGTTTTAAGGAATTGCATTTTAAACAGTTTTGGCTATAATACTATAATATATTCCTGGAATTTAAACAGTATTTGGGGGTAGACCAATTATTTTCTGGTTATGGACTAGTTGCTTATCAATAACTATTTTGTTGCTAATTTATGAGGAAATAAGAAAATATTGCTGTAGAAAGTATAAATGGTTTTATAAATATTGTTATTGGTGATAATTAAAATGTTTATTAATTTATAAAATGATAAAAGTGTTATAAAAATAATTCTTTAATTGTAAATTATCCAATATTCTAAACCCATTTAAATGTTTTACCCGTAAAATTTTTTTAAATTAAAAATAACTAAAAAATTTATTTAATAATAAATAGGTGGCATGCAAACCACGAAATTGTTGTATGACATCTTGCTATATTAGAATTTTAGTTAATATATTTTTTTATAATAATGAATTAGTTAATATTTAAATTTGATGTTTCACATAAAATTTTAAAAAATAAAAACATAAAAGTAATTTTGTAAATTTATTAAAAAGTATTGCTTAAACTTAATATTTGATAAAAATTAATTAAAAACTTTAAATTTATCAAGTATGTAATTAGAATTACATTAACAACTAATTTTAACTATTTTATTATTAGTTTTAATTTAATAATTAAGCTTCTAAAAGAGTAAAGGTTTTTGCTTTTAGATAGTAATAGCAATATAATAAATCTAATATTCCAATTAAACATAAAATAAGACTCAAAATCATAGGATCAATTTAAAAAATGTAAAAAATGTCTAAAATCTCTTCAGAAGCCCCAAACAAAGCCAATCCAATTCCTCTAATAGAACTTTTTTCTGATTGTAAGACAATTAATAATGAATTGCACAAGACACCTGATAAATTATAGGCTATTCCCTTAAATATAAGACTAATAAATACAACTGAGTAGAAGAAGTCAAAAGGTAAACGATCTTAGAAATATATGAGAACTGTCAAAATAACCTAAAAGGTAATCAAAGAAAGAAGAAAATATTTTAATACTTCATAGCTTAAAGCAATTATTTAGTTGGAAGAAATAATTATTAGTAATAGAAATACACCTAATATACATGATAAATAGTAGGTTATATTTAATATACCTTCAATATCATATTATTTGTTATTCTGTTAATTATTTATAAGAATATTAATCAAAAAGGAAATATTCTACAAGGAGCACATCGATTTAAGAGAAACAAGATTTAATATTAAATAAATGTTATTTTTGTTCCAATAAAAATTAAATATGCTTTTCAAAGTTATACCAACTCCTCTATATTACAAGAAAAGCTAATATCTTTATGATTTTTCTCTTATTTAAACTATCTTATTGTAAAATATCGAAACCAAAAGATATCCAATCAAGTTTATTATTAAGAATATCAAAATTAATCCAAGTAAGTAATAACTTTTTATACTTTCATCAACAGAAAACAATTTTAGAATTTCAACTATTATATATGGTATAAAGCTTCCTATTGCATAGAATAAGGATTGATAGATGAATTTTCTTTTTAGGTGAGAACACGAATTAAATATGACATAATTTCCGCATACGTAATTGCATTCAAAACAAAATTAGAAGAAATAGTTAGATAACATTACTAACTAATTATTTTCCAATTATATTGAAGCAAAGTAAGCTAAAATACCAAATAAAAAAATGGCTTAAGAAAATCGCCATGAAGCCTTTAAGGATAATAGATCTATAATAAATCCTACTAAAACTTAGCCAAACATAGATACAGTAAAATATGTAATAAACGAATAAACTTCATCATCAATTTGTCTATTTAGAGTAATGCTTGTATATTTTGAGCAAAAAACTATTCCAAATTTGCTTAGTATACATCCAATAAGTATTAAAAGGTGGCTTTTCTATTTTGCTTATTCTATTTCAAATTAAATATCTTCTTCTATGTCTGGAATTTCTAATAAATTTTTATCTTCCTCGCTAAGATGGTTCTTACCTATTTAACTAACCTATTAAACAAAATTATTATCCATTTATTCTAATTATTCTTCTTTTTATTCAATCATAAATTAATTAAAATTAATTAGTTTGTTTGAGAGAAGCTAGTTAGTTATTTATTTATTTATAAATACTATTTATTCTTTCAATAAGTCTAAAATTGTCAACTTTCTTTTTAAATGTTTTAATAAAATTTAAGGTTATAAAAATGTTTAATTTTTTATAAGATTTATGATAAATAAATTATTTTATTTTAACAAAAAGCATAAAATTATATCACCCAACAAAGAACTAAATAGTCCAATTATTATAAAAGTAATTGAACTAATAATATTAAAAATTTATTAAAAAATGACATATTATAATGCCTAATTATTTAACTATAAAAATTATGTGGATTTATTTTTAAAAATTAGCTATTATATAAATTTTAAAATTATAAAATTTTTTACACTTAGAGAGCAAATAACGTTAAAATTATGGTATCACTATATATACAGAAGGGTTTATTTTTGTTAAAAATATTTATTATCATTTAATTAAATGAATATTTTTCAAAAGTCTTATTCAGTTTATATAAATGGCTAATTTTAATTTTGTAGTTGATTAGTTTCATTTATTAATTAAGATTCCAAAAGAGAAAAGCTTTTATTCTTTAAATAGTAAAAGCAATAGATTAAATCAAGTATTCCAATTAGAGATAAAATACAATTCAAAATAAAAGGTTAAATATCTATAATAAATATAATATCTAAAGCATCCTAGAGTGCTCCAAATAAAGCTAATCCTATACATCTTATTGAGCTATTTTCTGATTGTAAGACAATAATTAATGTATTGCTAAGTATAGATGCTAAAATGTTAGCCAATCCTTTAAATATCAGGCTTACAAAGATGACTGCATAGAGAAAATAAAAATGTAAATCACTTTAGTATTATGTAATAAAAGTTAAGATGATCTAATATACTGTTAGTGAAAGTAGCAAATTTTTCAATATTTTATAACTTAAAGCTATCATATTTCTTTTAGAAGTCAATTTAAAGATAATATATACACCTAATATGTTTGTCAAATAATAAGTTAGAGTTAAGGTTTTTTTGATGTCATATTTTGCATTATTTTAGTTTCTTATAGCTAAATTTTCTATTAAAAAAGACATATTATCAACAGAACTCAATGACATGAGACAAATAATAAGTAATATTAAATAAATATTGTTTTGATTCCAATAAAAGTTAATTATACTTCTTAATGTTATACCTACACCTCTATATTAAATAAAGAGCTAATATTTTTAAGATTTCTCTCTTATTTCAACAATCTTATTGTAGAATTTCTAAACTAAAAAAGAGCCAACTAAATTTATACTAAAAACTATCAAGATTAAAAGGATTAAATATTAATCTTTTATTTATAATTATTCGGAAAACCAATTTAGAATCAAGATAATTGAAAATGGTAAAAAACTACCAAGAGTTATGAAAAATGACTAATAAATAAATTTATTCTTTAGAGAGTAAGATGAATCAAATATTATATAAGTCCCACAAGCATAATTGCATGCAAACGCAAAATAAAATAAGTAGTTTGCTAAAACTATATACTAATTGCTTGAACTGAATATTGATGCCAAATATGTTATAATACCTCCAATAAAAATAGCTTAAGTAAATATCCACGACATTTTCAAAGATACTAAATCAACTATAAATCCAATTAATACTTCAGTAAACAAAACTATAGTAAAATATGTAATATATCTATAAACTTCTTCATTTAAATCGCTATCAAAGCTCTAAATTGAATACTTATAGCAAAATGCCATCCCGAATTTGCTTAAAATACAACCTATTATTATGATGAAAGAGTATTTCTTTTTAGCTTGTTCTATTTCATATTTAATATCATCCTCAAAATCTGGAATTTCTAACAATTTTTTATCTTCTTTGCAGAGTTTATTCTTAAGGACGAATAAAATTTGTTAATTTTAATTGCTATCCATTTTTAATTTTATGAATATTTAGGTATTAATTAATATGAACAATTTACTCTTTTTCTTGTTAAATTTTGATGGACTTATTTAATAAATTTATTATTTCTCATAATTTTTATATTTAATTACTAAATGCTTATTAAAATTAAAAAAGAATAATTATTAAAAAATTTAATACAAACAATTTTAATTTACAAATACTTTCAGCTAAATTAATGGTTTTCATGATTGTTATTGCTAATAAACTACTTTGAAAAACAAGCAAAGCCACAAATACAAGATATATGATTCAATTCATTTATAATACCAATAAAAAAATTGTTTTCTAAAAGAATTAATTTAACAATGATACTTTGCACTTCAAAATTAAAAATGATAAAGGAAATTTAAAACCAAAAATGATTAATTAATTAATTTATTATAATATAAAATTTATAAAATAATAAATTATAAAAATATATTGCGAAATATTATTTTGCGAGCAGGAAACAAATATTTAGTTGCATAGCAAATGTTTTTAATTTGTCATAATATATTTCATTTTCAAATTTTGCTAGTTTTGCCTTAATCAATCAGGATTTTAGGTATATATTTCCTACTATCGAAATAATTATTCGAGTTTACCAATATACTATTTGAAAATATCATCTTTTATAATAGTATTATTTTTTTCTATAAATTTAATACTTAGTAGATTAATAAATACATAGATAGATACATTTATTTGCTTACTTTTCTAGGGTTTTGTATAAAATATTTTTGATATTATAATTAGGTATTTTTTAACTAAATTTTGAAGATATGTTTTAAATTTGTTTCATAATCTATTTTTGATTATTCTGTGAAGGACTATGCAAGAACCTATTTTATTATTAAGTTTTTTAAGCTAAAAATTAATATTCTAAAAATAAATATGAACCTGGTATTAAGCAAATTGGGAACAATATTACTCCTACAAATAAAAGAAGTATCGATATCCCTATTGCTTTCACAAATCTTTGCTTTTGTTTTTATTTTGGTATTGCATAGTTTTAGTTCACATTATTCCAATAAAAGTAGTTAGGAGTTATTATAGCTAAACCAACTAGAAAGAAAGGCATAATGGCTGTAAATGCAGCTAATATACAAATAAATACGATTAATCTAGGTATGAACATTACTATTCTTTAATATTGAGGATTTTCATCTGGGTTTGATCTTGAAAATTATTTACCTATTTTTTAAATAGCTAAATATTTTAATTAATTATGAACAAATTATACCAGGACAACCCAAAATATTTAAGTGACTGAAATGAGCATAGGATATATTTGGAGTTCGACATATCCAGCAAAAAGATTATGAGCAGATGGGACAGTAAATTCGATTACACCCTAATTATTTTTAAAGAAATAATTAAATTAGATCAAGATATTAAAATGGATATTACCAGAAGCCTTCTGTACTTTGCTTTTGCAAGTAGGACAAAATGAAATAACATATTTTTAAATCGCACCTTAAAACTCTTCTTGTATAACTTCATCGCAGGTTTTTCCTAATTAAAATTTAATTTATTTACAGAGACGAATACAATAAATATTATTTTAATTACCTTCATGCCAGTTATTTCCACATTAAAAGCACATTTAGTGACCACACTTGCATATTATCTTAGGATCATTTAGGTTTATTTTGCAATAAAAGGTGCAGCCTGTGCGATTACACCATTTAAGAGTAGGGTCTGAATTAATTATTTTAAGTTCTTTGAATTTTAAGTATTTTTAAAATGTTTTTGTATCAAGTATTTTTTAAAGTATCTGATCTGTAAATTCTACTTTACAATTTTCCTAATAATTTAAAAAATATTAATAATTAAAATGTCAATTTATTTTTAATTCATTTTTAATAAATATATGATTGAGTTACAAACCCTTTTAATGCTAATTCAGAAATATTTATAAGATTTAGTTAGTATTAGAAATAATTATAAAATTTGGTTAAGATCATAAAAGTTCTATTGATTAATTCATCAGATAGATTTTGTATTTTTCAAAACAAATAAATCAAATCAAATCAATAATATAATTTGATAAAAACCAAAATTTAATATTTTAAATAGTTAAAAATGTTTAAAATTATTACGTCAGGGCATTTTATTTTTAGCACTTATGAAGTATTTATACAATTTTCTAGATATTATATGATGCAGTTCTTGCAAAATAAATGATTGCAGGAGTCTAATGTGTAGAAGTATTCGCGTTAATACGATAAACAACAAATATTGCAAGTAACTCCTCCTTCTGCTTCAGATAAAAAATAATTTTTAGTTTAAGTCTTTACGGAGCATCTAAATTAAATATGCCTATTTATCATTCTTTGTTTCATATTCTGAGTATTTGTGCTATTATATAAAAAGCTATTTTGCAAAATTTGTTCATTTTTACTTTATCTTTCTTATACTAAACTATTTTCTATATCAGGGATTTTTTCATCTCCTTAATTCTTTTAAACTTGTCTCATATCCTGTTTAATTGTTAATACTTGTTTAAATTTTTCATGTTAAATGCCTTTGATGCTATCAATATTAATTGCATGTTCTTATTTCTTTAACTGGCTTTAAATAAAATTTTTATCTACCATGTATTGTAAAAAGTCTTCTTTATTCATTTAATGTTACTATTATAAAAGACAAAGAATATTTATCACATCTTAATATGTGTATTGAGATATATTCATCTCAAGTAGACGAGTAAAAACCCACTTCGCTTTTAAATCTTATGTTAATTAATCTGATTAATTTCTGCTTTTATTTGAAAGTATGCTGTTTGTTTCTATTTACATGTCATTATTTTAATTTTTACTACTATCATTAGAAGCTTAATCATTTTTATAAAAAATAGAAAATGCCTAATCTTACTCTTTGTTAGATAATAATATGCTTTTTTAAGAAAAATGCTAATTCTTCAAATTTTCCTCTTTTTAGGAATTTTACTATTGATAGATTGTGTTTTTAGTCCCACTAATAGACTCATATGTTGAGTTTGTTAAACCAGTTATCATAGTCTATGTTACTGTAGGATTCTTTTCATGGCAAATTTTACTGGCCTAGTATATTTTACTAGCTTATGTTATTTTACTTATATTAGGCAACTCTACTATATCTCTAGTTGACTATATTATGCATTCTTCTTGTGAATAAATCATCTATGTTTATATGCTTTTATTAAGTGCTATTTACTTTAATTTTGTTGAATTTGCAGAATAATTTATTTGATATAATAAATCAAATTTTGTTTCTAGTAGATGCCTGTTGAGATTTCAGCAATTCTTTCTTTTTTGATTTTTGCGAAGTTTAAATATTATAAAAATTAATTAACTTATATTCATTTTACAATTAATATAAAAAATATTCCGAATCTGTTGAATTATATATTTACTTTTTTATATAATTTCCTTTTCTCTGAATTTATATTTAAATGTACAGATAGATAGATAATCAACAATTTTTGAATAAACTTGATGATCTAACTTTAATCGAAGTAAAGATTTATTATTATGCATTTTAAAAAACTAATTTAGTCATTACTTTTACAAAATTTAAAATAAACTTTTTTTCTTTAAAAAACATAAATAAATAAATAACTAAAATTGTATAAATAGTTAATTTAAAAATTTATAGTAAATCTGCCAAACATTATTTTTATAGAAATGAATATCCTTTAAAATAAAAAATATTAAAATGTATTCATTAGAAAAAAAACTTATTCAAATTTATTTTATTAAAACAATGTTTATTTATTTTTTCATTATTAGCTAAACAAACTTTTTAAATAATCATCAAAAAATAAATAATTCATAAATGAATCTTTTTAATTCTTGACAAAACAGATTTATGGAAGAAACTGATTTTAATAGCAATTTAATGAAATGAATTTATTTAATTAGTAAGTCTCTTCAATAGTAAATGTATTATTAGATAAAATATTTTCTTCATTAAAATTTATTAAAAAATAATATATAGATTCAATCAATGTTTAAAACGAATAATTAAATTAAAAGATTAAGAAAAATATGATAGAAGTTGATTAATATAAAGGAAAATCAATATGAATGTGAATAATTTCAAAAGAATTAGGTTCAAGTGAAATGAAAATTTAATAAAGGTAAAAAAATATATAAATAATAATAATAAGTTTTAGAAAAATTAATCATTTTTTGTAGTATGTGTAGTGATTTCCATAGTTAGAAGATGATGTTGAATAATACTATTTATTTTTTATTAAAAATAATTTAATATTTTTATTTTTATTTTAATTTCTTACATTAAATCCTGTCTGAGCCCATGGAGAAGTTCCAAACTAATTTGTGTTATAAACATTTTATGCTCTATGGTTTTATGTTAATGGGTCTTGAGAGAGGTTTTGCCTTTGCCTATTAAATAATGTAATTATAATTTTTGAATAACAAAAAATAATTAAACTTTTTACTTAATAATTTGTTAATTAACGACATCAAGCTCTCTTTCAGTTTACTATATTTTTTACCTAAATATTTGTTTTAATTATTGAAACTAATAAATTAATTTTACTATATTTTATCAAGTTATCTATCTTATCCAGGGAAGGGAGGCTTTTTGATATTTTTGTCAGCTCCCCAATTATTCTCATACTTATCTAACTAGTAGTCTTTTTAATATTACTGCTATTGTTGGCTTTTTGTTGAATATTAGGAATTATTAATATTATTTAAGGTATTTTCTATATTCTACTGACTTAAGTTATCTTTTTTATAAATTTCTTCTTTTGATAGTATAGCTCTGCCTGCATTCAAGAATTCTTTCTATTTAAATTAAATAGTATTTTTATAAAAATTAATCATGTTTAATAAGTAGTGCTTGAAAATAAATATAAAATTGTTCATCTATTTTATAAATATTTTTTACGTTGTTTCTAGATGAAGAGTGTTGCATTAAATCGATATTATTTTCTTGTTTATAAGGATAAGATTTACTATTAGACTGTTATTGCTGCTGTTAAGGATAATTAGTAGGAATTTGCGAAGAATAATCACTGTAAGGCTAAGAATAAGAACGAGTATTTTAATTTTATTTGTTTTAACTAGAAGCATCACTTCTAAAGTACTAATCAAAAACAACAAAATTGTTATTTTGTGCTATGTATTTGACTAAATTATAATGCTTTTTAAGGAAGGCTATCAGCTTGGGAGAAGGACGATCATATGCTAATTTTTCTGGTGAGGTTTATTCGCATTAAATCATGTACTCAAAAAGTAGCTACATTCATATTAAAATTTAATTTAAATTAATGAATTTCTCTGCTTTTTGTATAAAATAAAAATAAAATACTTTTCCATATCCTTATCTCTGGCAAGATTCATGTACATAAAAGTCAAGCACACATAGTGGCTTAATTTCTTTAATATTTCCCATCATATCTCGATAAAAAAGATTCTTTTATCCAACTTTAAGAAATCCCTAGCAAGTTCTACCTTCTGCCACTATGTAAACTCTTTAGTCTGTTCCTTATACCTTATCGTAATTTGTTATTACTTGCTTTAATCCCTAGGCCTATTATTAATTGTAAAATTTCTATCTTTATTTGTCGTATTTGACTTAATACTTACTATCGCTGATCTTTCACCCATCGTATTTAAAACTTATCCTAACTACTATTCTTGCTAACTGCTAACTTTGCTTCTACTAGCCCTTGGTATATATACACCAAGGCCTTACTAGTCCAATTAAACTAACTTATTAATGATGAAATTAAACTCCATTGCTTTTTAATTTTTTTGTTTATTTATTTTTTAGTTTGTTAACTAACTAACTAAACCAATTGAATGTATGTGCTGATTTTAATTTTCTAAAATCGATTAGTGGGTTTTTTTCTTTTGTTAAAGATATTGTAATATTTAATCTATAGATTATGTTTTAAACAGTAATTGATTGATTGATTTTTGCAAAACCTTCAATTAATTACCTTGCCTGCCTTAAAATTTATATGATTGTTAGTTTTAAAATTCATTCATTGTTTCTTTAAATTTTTTAAAGTTTTCATTGATTAAAATAACACTTTCATTTATAACAATTAGAAATCTTCTATTTCTAAATTTTTTTATTCTTAATAGTTGATTTTAGTTATTTTTTTTTTTTTTGAAAAATTAAATTTTTGATATCAAAAAGCTATTCATTCTGAATGAAAATGGTCATCTTAAACAGAAACATTTTTAAATTGCTTTTATTTAGAAAAATAAATAAAATTAATTTCCTTTTTTTGTAAATATTAATAAAGAGAAAAATAAATAAATTTTATATTTGCTTAATAAATAAAAATGAATTTATTTCAATAAATGTAAAATAAATAAAAAATTATAAAATCTTTTTAAAAAATTATTTAAATAATTTTAAAAAAAACTTGGAAAAAATATTTTTTTATTGATAAAATATTCAAATTATCAAATGAAATAAATAATTTTATGCAAAATATTTAAAATATATGTTAAAAAAAGCAAAATTCTACTAATACTTAAACGATTATTAAATTTAATAATTTATAATTTAACTCTTCTTTTTATTGGATGAAAACTATATATATATTTATATCTTTCTTTTTAAATATTAATTTATTTAGCTATACTTAATACTATTCAAAGATTTAATGTCAGACCCTAATATCAGAAAAAGCAAAGACTCTTTAAAGCTTAACAAATTTAATACATTTTAGATTACAGAGTCTAAGTTTTTAGATTCTTAAGCTAAGGGAAAGAAGTTGATTTTTAAACATTTTAGAAATGCGTTTATATTAGGTGCCATAACTGAGTTCATTATTATAAATACAAGAATATGTAAAATAATTAGGAGAAAAAATAAATTAAATAATTTATATAAATATAAATGCATTTAGATGACAATATTATACAAAAAAGTACTACAAGAAGACTAGGTAAAGTTATCAAATTTTAAAATATTATTATTGCTATAAAGCATTTATTTTTTTATAAATTGTAAACATTTTGATTATATAAATTATAGAGGCTAAAAAGAAGGAAGACGACAATTTAGCAGAAAGAAAATAGCTTATGTTACAAAAAAATACTCAAAATAGTTAGTAGGTAGCTTAATGAAGAAATAGATCATTTTATATAAAATAATAAATTCTATTCTATTTTCAAATAGTTCCCTTATTTATATTATATTAAATAATAATGTAAGTAAACTCTTTTTTTTCATTTAGAATTTAATTGAATGAATCTTCCAGAAATGCTATTCTATCTTTATATCTAAATTAGATTATTTTTTATGGATATTTAATATGGTATTTTTAGATTATTGAAACAATCTAATTAATATCTAAAAAAAAACAATAATTGATAATTACTATCAAAAAAATATTTTATTCGAATAAAACTTTGAAAATTTCTAATTTTAAAAATAGTTTTTTTCAATTGAAAATTTATGAATAATTGCCAAAAATTCTAATTAAGAATAATTTAATTTAATAATCAAAAAAGAAGTGTTTTTATCAAATTTTTTTGTTTATTTGATATAATTTATTCAATTGCTTTTAAAAATTTGTTTCCAAATTATTTTAGTAAATTTAACGAATAGAATAGATAATTATATTATTTATTTTTTCATATATTGAAAGAAATTATTTTATTCAGTTTTATCTTTTGAATTCTAGAATTTCATCACTTAGTTTGTTTTATAATTATTTCTTTCTGAATATTTTAACTGTATATTGAAGTATTACCATAATTTCGTATTTATTTTATACAATAAAAATAACTGTAATAATAATTAGGTCTTTGAATATTATTTTGTATTTGTTAATTAAGTCGTTGCTAATTACCGAAAAAGACTTATTTTACTATTGCTAATTCAATTTATTGAGATATTTAACTTTAATATTAATAACTTAAACTATGGAGTAAGGATTGTAACTTTGGAAGCAATTATTTGGGAGAGTTAGAGAAGTTGATTATGAGGAATTTAATGATAAATTTCATGATTTTGTAAAATAATACGGAGACTGCGATTTAGATGAATATTAAATGAGGTATATTAGAGAGTTGATTGATCCAGATAGATAATTTAGAGTATCTATAAGCGATTTTTTGATATTTTTTACTAGCTATTGGAATGTTCCATCAAAGAGAAAGCTTGTGTTCAACTACGAGTTTAAAATTAATGAAGAAAATTAAAAAAAAAGCCATAATGATTTAGATTATATTGAGCTAACAATATAAAATAAGTATTAAAAATCTGAAATAGTTTACTTATAAACAGGTATTTTATATTGAAAAAAATATTTTTTATTAAAAACTATTTTTATTTAATATCAAATTATTACAAAATTGCATTTTTATTCTAACGAATTTGGTATTAATTTAAAATAATTATTTAATCAAGGTAGCACAATAGATATTTTTAGAGATAAAATTATTCTGAATAAAGCTGTTGAGTAGGATTTAAATAAACTTGATGTCTTGAAAATGGGCAGTAGCACAAAGAAAGGAGCTAATGATATTGTTTTTCCTGATACATACGATATTTATCCTACACATTGTAAGATAGGAATAGGTACTACTGGCTATTATGTAAAGGATTAGAGTAAGAAAATGAATAGGATGAGATTTATTATTGGAGAAAAGAAGCCCTTGGTTTTAGATTATAAGATGGTATTTGAAATAGGAAGTAGTGGCTGTCGTTTTGCAGTTCGTAAAATATACCCAGAACCCACTTTTGAAGAAATAAATATGAATTTTGTCAGCTATATATTTACTGGCTAGTATAGTTTAGAAGCAGAACTGCAAGATTTCTAAAATAAATCATAAACTAAGATGTTTCATAATGTTAAGGAATGGAGAGAAGAGCAAGTTTAAATTAAAAAAAATTAAAAAAATGTATCTCAAACAGGAACAACGGCTGATCCTATTGGAGAATACTGCATTGAAATAGATTGCATAGAGGGAGAACTTAAAGGACAAACTTATACTATTAAAGGAAACTCAAAAAGCTTGACTATAGGCAGAGATAAATTATCTGATGTTCAAGTTAAGCACATAAGCGCTGCTTAGAATCATGCAGTAATCTATTTTAATAAAACATATGGAATATGGATGCTAAAAGAATAATAAAAGACTCTTGGGACATTCGTTTACCTTGCCAATTATGATTAATATGTTAATAATACTCATAGTAACTTTCATCTCATACAAAGTGATCTCTCTTTTGAGTTACATAACTACATATTTCATCCGAGACTTGTGTATAAGAAACTTGAAGAGTTGTGAGGAGAATAAAAATCCAGCTAACCAACCAAATAAATAAATAAAAAAATTATTGTTAAGCTTACTTTAAAAAAACAAATAATATAAATGTGATTATGTTTTTAATTAATGAAAAAATAAAACAACGTACAGTAAATAAACTATCAATTTCCAAATTATTCAGAATTAATAATATAAAATTATATAGTTAACGCTTGTGCTGTCTTTAATTAAATAACGAGTTTTTGTTAAAGGATACGTTTAATAAATTCAACAGCTCATAATTTTAATAACACAAGAAACTATTTACTACTTTTATTTTTTAAAGAAAATAATTTAAGCGTTAAAAATGGCAAATTAATTTTTAGTTAGTAAATTACTGAATAATTTATATAAAGGAGAGTAAATTGATTTATAATTAATTGTTCAGATGTGCATCATTCACTCGTTACGTTTATAATTGTAGTGTTTGTATATCTAATTATGTCTTTAGTTAATGAATTTAAAAATCATATGATGACTATATTTTTTTTCAATTTAAATTTTTTTTAGAAAATACAGGATTTAATTTGCGTAATTGCATGACGAAAACAAATTTTAAATTTCACAAATATAATTGAGTGTTTCTCGATGATAAAAAATCTTAAAATAGTTAATTTAAAATCAAAATACTTAAAATAATAATTTGGTTAATGATAAATTATCTGATATAAACTTAAGTATAAATTGGCAAAAAGAAGAGAGTAATATCACAATAAATAATCAATTAAAATTAAAATATGATTTTTTGTATGTAAATAAGTATTAAATTTTATGTTCTTTTTTTTTAGATTATTTGAAGTTAAAGTGTTTTTTGTACGTAATTCGGTATATTTATCTTTTTTTTTGGTTTGTTATTTACTTCTAAAATTATTAGTAAATTAAATGACTAACTTTTAATATAAATCAGATCAGTAATAAATATCTTCAAATAATAAATTGTTAAATTAATTATAGAAACTCAATTCATATAATTTATATTCCTATATTTGCTTTTAATTTTAAACATGTCTTATTTTATTCATTAATTTTTAAATGCAATATCTATTAAATTCATGAATCTTTAAAGTCAGTCTTCAAAAAACTTATTTTTATTCTACAAATTTCCTTACAATATGTACAATTTTTACCTTCTCAAAATTTAAAAAAAATAAAATTAGGAGTTTTTATATATTTATTGTAATTTTTCATATGCTATGGCAACCCCTCATTCTTTACTTACTTATACACCATAAACATAGATATAATATTTTTCTAAATATCAATTTCTATCAATTTATTTTGACATATATTGTTTATGAGGGTGTATGTATAGTATAAGACAAATAGCCAATATTAAGCATTTCTATATAATTTTTTTATTTTATTAGTACTCATTACGTTATAAAAATTTTAATACACATAACTAGACTTCGATTAAAATACTTTATTTTGATTGAAAAGTTTATTTATTTATTCATAATTCTTGATTAATGTTATTTTATTAACCAATAGCATAATCGGTTGTTATTGTTGATGATGATGTAAGATTTTAGTTTATTAATTATTAAGTAAGACTTAAAACCATTTTTTCAAGATTAGCAATTTTTAAATCAAGCTTGTTTACATTGTTATTGAAAATGATAATGTCTAGAGCTATGAGTAAGATAATCATACCAATCAAGCCAATTAAAATAGTTATGCCCTAGTTTAGTCTCTTAAAATCTTCAGTACCAACAATTTTTCCTGAACTTTGAAGTTTAGAAACCTTTTTAGATTGGTTGTCTTTAGGGTTGTTTTTGTTTAAGTTGAGTTCATTTTTAGTTAGAACTTATTCAAATTGTTGCTTATTTGAGTTGTTGGGGTTTTCTTCAGGCTTTTTAGGCTACAAAATTTTCCTGATCCTGCCTATCCAGACTTCATAATCTTCTTTCAAACCTTGCTCATTTCTTTGTGTAATTGTTTTCTTCATCATTGTATTTTTATTAAAAGTAACCCAGCCTTTACACACTAATAAACACTTGTCTGAACTTCCTTCAACAGGAGATATTTCCCATTTCTCTTCAGTGGTAAAATACCCACTATAAGGCACGTCAAATACTTTACTAGTGCTTGAGATGATCAAATTTTCCCTATTATGGTAAAAGTAAATGAATTTTGAATTTCTATTATAATCATAATTATTTAATTAAAGCGAGTTTATATTTATTTTAGAATCAATCTTTAGTGTATATTATGAATATAAGATGATTGATAAATAAATATATTTTAGGTAGATTGTAAACTATTCATTTAATAAATCTTTATTACCCTTCTTTCTTATATGTTTAAATTTTTTGGAATCTACTTGTATCTCTTAGAGGCACTCCTGAAACTTTGATTACCAAATTGCACTCTCTTGTAAAGCATTTGAGTTCTTCGTTTTCAGCCCATTCTGAAATTTTTATATCAGTTGATCCATTTTTTTCCATATGCTAACCATAAGAAAAAATTGCATTGTCTCCAATAAACTTTTCAAAAAATGCATCAACAGAAACGGGGAGAATACACCTTAAAAGTTCTTTGTTTTCTTCAGATGTCTCTGGATTCAAAATTTCAACGTCTGATTATTCAACCACTAAGCTATCTCCAGCTGATTGGCTGCCTTATTCGCTTATATTATCATCTTTATCTGAGCCTATTACATAGTATACATAATCAAGTTAAATTAAAATAGCTATTTTAGAATATTTTACTGTTTTCTTTATCGATATCTTGGAGAGGTTCTCCTTTCCAAATACCATAGAGGAGTTTATAAGCTGATTCTCTATTCCAGAAAGAGCAGAAAAAGTGTGATTTTTAGTCTTTTGTCTTTATCTCAATTGCATTGTTTATAAAACCTAGGACTGCTTCTTTCTTAATATCTTAGATTTCATTTACATTGATGACTCTCTGTAAATATCAAAAATGGGTTATTGTTAATAAACTGAAATTTATTTATCTTTTACAAATTAAAGAGTGATTTATTAAAGTTATTTTTACTTTAGTTTTGAATCCTAAAACTGTTGCATAAAAGCAAATATAATTTTCTGCTATAAACATTCTTCCATGTTTTAATATTCCATCCTAACAAGCACAACTAAAATCTTCAAAAATGATTTCCTATTTTATACAAGTTGAATTGTATCATTTTGCAATTTTTATTTTAAAATTAGCAAGCTTATGAAAAAGGAATATGCTATAAATTATTATTACATCCTTTGGTAAACCAAAAAGTTAGAGAAGTCTCTTTTTTGATGACATTTTGAGTAATTGTAAAAATCAATAAAGATTGAGTAATATTAATTTTTAATAAGATTTGACAGAAAAAGGATAAAAATCAATAAAGGAGAATAGTTAAGCAAAGCACTGATTTTTAATTTTGATGAAAATAATATAAAAATATATCTTACAACTCACAATCTAATAAAAAATTTATGGCTAATAATCCAATTATATAATATGTTAATAATAATATTAATTAAATCAATACAAGAAAGAACTCTTTTTAATTTTTATGAATTACTCTAATTTTAAAGCACAATAAATACTCAAATTCAAAATGAAAAACTTGTTGTTTTTTAGAAATATTTTTTTTCTCTCTAAAAAATTAAGTAAAAAATAACAATAATAAGTAAAAAAAATGTAAACTTTTCACGTTGATTTTGAAAATTTTTATATTCAAATTTACCTTTTAGTTTTATGGAGTTTTTGTTACTCATTAAGGTGCATTTGTTCAAATAAATTTTATCTTATTTAAATATTTCCTTTCATTTTTTGTACAAGTTAAATTTATTTATTTATTTTTTTGAATCTTATTGAAGGAGTAAAATAAAATAATTTTTAATATTAAAAATTTTAACATTTAAATGTTATTATAATCGTCTACAAAACTTTTACTAGTTTGATAGTTCTTAAAAATATTGTTTAAAGAATTTAAAAAAGAGCAATAAAATTATGAATTACTGAATCTGTCTCAGACCTACTTTTTTTTTTGTTTTTTTGATGATCTGAGTTTATCTGGTTATTTTTAATCGCATATTTTATATTTTAAGTTTTTATTATACTAGCAAAATAGATCTAGCTTATTAATTATTGCAAACCCCTTTCTTAAAAAATATATATAAATTATTTATTTTCAATAAAAATCTGAAATATTGATTGTTTAGAGAGAGATTATAAGAAAGTGAATAAAAGAAACAAAAGTTTTTATTTTACTGTGCTAAATTTTTTATTTTTTAAAGAGTTTCAAGTAATATTATGAAAATTAAAACTAATGGTTGGCTATTCGCCTCACAAAAATCTTCAAATTAATAGTCAATATGGTTGAAAGAAAAAAAACCTCTCAAATAATCAGATTTAATGAATTTATAAGTTACACCTAGCTATTTTTAAAAGCGCACTAAAACATTCAAGAGACTCGTAAAGCGATACTACTATATTGCTAATAATACTCTATATTATTGCGAGGTAGAAATATATTTTACTATCATATTCAAAAAAAAATAATTTATACCTTTAAAAGAAAATGAATAAATCGACATATTATAATTCATTTTTAGTCACTAATAAAATTACGAAAATTGATTTATGACTACATTTTTAACTAATTCATTTTTAAAGATCTATTAAATCTTATAAGTATAAAAATAAAATCATATTTGGTTTCTAAATTATAATAAATATTGATATAGAAATAAAAAAGCACATCGATAAAAGGAATGTTAGATCTCAGCTTAGTTTATGCAGAATTTTATGAATCCAAAGTGAAAATCTTAAAAAATAACACGTATATTATTTGTTTGCGATAAGATTCCTCCTTTGTAGAACTATTAACAGAAAATAAACAAATATTTAATGAATGGTGTGTTGTTCTAAGAAGATGCTGTATTATGCTTGACTTTCATAACTAGTTTAATATACTTAAAATGATTGGTAAAGGTGGATTTTCAAGAGTAAAATATTATGTTTTATACAATTTTATTGTTCTATTATTTATAACACAAGATAATTCTAAAGCATTTAGTTGACTTTCTTTTAATCAATTAATTTTTAGTGATATTCAAAGAAAACTCTAATCATTAAATAAATCAATCAAAGGTGTTTAAAAAATCTAATACCAGATTTTATAAATATTAATTTATTGAGATAATTAAAAATACCATTAAATATTTTTCTTCTTTTTTCAAATTTCTTTAATTTATAACTGTAGGTATTTCTTGCTTAGGATAAGTTTTCACGTGAAAATTATGCAATAAAAGTTATAACTAAAGACAAGTTATTATAGTAAACAAAGGGAATTGTAAAATATTTTTTTTTAAAGTTTTAAAACTTAATAATTACTTAAAAAAGCAAAGAAAATTTATTAAATGATTTATTTGTTTGTAAAAAAAAAGAAATCTCTGCTTAACGAAATATAGATAATGAAAGAACTTGATAATGTAAATGGATGTCTTAAATTAATTGGTGTTTACGAAACAGACAGCTCTGTAAATCTGATCTTAGAATATATCAAAGGTGGTGAGCTAGTAAAAAAAATAAAATTAAAAGACAAATAAAACTTTACTATAGAAAATATGAGATAACTTATGTAAAATATACTGATTGCCCTTGCACATATACATCAAAGAAAGATTATCCACAGAGATTTAAAACCAGATAATATCCTAATTGAAGATGATATTAATTCTACTAAAATAAAAATAGCTGATTTTGGCCTAGCTACTTATGATAGTACTGTATTAAATGATTTTTTATTTAAAAAATGTGGTACTCCTGGTTTCTTAGCTCCAGAAGTTCTTTCAAACAAAGATACACATAAACTATATGACCATAAAGTGGATGTCTTTAGTGCTGGCGTTATTTTTTACATACTGTAAACAAATTTTGCTTTCTTGAATTTCCTTTAATTAATATAAAATTTAATGATAATAAACATAGATTATGTGGTCAATAACCTTTCAAAGGAAGCAATCACAGATAAGTAGTTGAGTAAAATAAAAAATGTGAAATTGATTTTTAAATACTGGATTCAAATTAAAAAATCCCTTAAGCAGGTAAAGAAATTTGATTAATCAATTAATAATAATATATCTGTGTTTAATCCAAATAAACACATATTTATTTGTTCCCTTTTTAATAAATAAATTTTAGAAAAAAATTAACAAAAACTATTCCAATCATAAATCTACCACAAAAAAGATAGAATTTTAGATAAATTAAATTAATATTTTTAATAATAATTAATTGTCTAAAAGAGAAATAAAAGTCTATTTCATAAATGATGTTATTTTACATCCTCTAATATTTAAAGAATTTAACTTTTTTACTGTTTGCAAATATAAAATGCATCAACTTTATTTAAGTTAAATATTTATTAAAAAACATCAATTTTATTTAAGTTAAATTCTTAGCATCAATTTTATTTATTTGAGTTTAATATTTATCAATAAGCATCAATTTTATTTATTTGAGTTTAATATTTATTAAAAAGCATAAATTTTATTTAAGTTAAATTCTTAGCATCAATTTTATTTATTTGAGTTTAATATTTATCAATAAGCATCAATTTTATTTATTTGAGTTTAATATTTATTAAAAAGCATAAATTTTATTTAACTTAAATATTAAAAAAAACTCAATTAAATTTATTTTTTTACACAATTCATCCCTCATATATTAATGCATTCATTTTATAGCTTAAAATTTTATTTTCTCTATTTTATTTATTTGAATTTAATATTTATAAAAAAGTATAAATTTAATTAAATTTTACATTTTCTAAAATTAAATTTTTTATTTTTCAAAACTTAACAGCTAAAATTTTGGTAAAGTAAATGTTAGCTAAAGACCCTATCAATAGACCTACATCGCAAGAGTGTCTTAACAGCCCATTCTTTAAAGAAAATATCATCAATAACTCTCTTCACTTCGATTTACATAACTACGAAAATTAAAAGTATGAAATAGTTTTATTCATTTAAAATAATTATCAATCAAATCTTTTCTATTTTAATCTTATTAAAAAAACTATTAATTAGAAATAATTTTATAAATAATAAAATATTTAATTATTTGGCTTACCTAAAATGATACATTTTAAAAAAATATTAGATTATAATCATTAGATGGACTTAATAGACTTAAAATAGATTCTTTAGATAAGAATTCTTAAAATGATTTGTATTGGGTTAATCCTGTGTGGAAAGGCTAGACAAATACTGTTTAAACAGTGACAAAGCTATCTTCAATATACTTGTAAATAAATGATGTTAGAAAAAGAAATAAAAGCAACTTTGCTCCTATAAATGTTCATGCTGAGGAAAGTAAAGATGATGATAGTGGAATAGCTAGCTCTGTTAGAGAAAAAAGAAGTGCCAGTGCTGATTGCGATTTCAGAAATAAATATTTGCAAAATCAGAGTCTTCATATAACAGTGTTAAAGAAGTAAAAATAAGGAGATGAATAAACAAACAATGATAACCCAGAAGCGTCTATTGATAATAATATTGATTGTATAGAAGAAAATTTTGATGTAAGCGGATATGACTTAAAAAATAGTTTGGACTAATAAGAATAAAATAAAAATGAAGACTAATTTAAATAATAAAATAGTGATTATAATAATAACTAATTAAATCTGAAGGCTTCATAATTTAAAAAGAGTCAATTTTTAGATTCAAACAGGGACGAATACAAACCTAGCATGAAATCTAGTGGATGGGAAAGCATCGAAAATGAACCATAAATTAACAAGCAAGGTTTAAATTAAAATAGATTAGAAAACAAATACTCTTTAAAGCCTTTCCAAAATATGGAGGCGATAAATGTTTAATACCCAACTTTTATGAGCTAAATTTCTTAAAAGGAGCGTTAAGATGTGAGGCTCAGCAATATCATTTCAGATGAAAAAGTGAATATGGATGAAGATTTCTATAATAAGCAATACTCTTCAAATAGAAGCATAGAGTATAATCTAAAAAAAAATGAAGCACTTGAAAATCATTGCTAAAAAGTAAACCACATCAAAATAAAACTTAGAGATTTTAATAGCTCAAGTATGTGGTACAACCCAATATAATAAATAGTTGCTGCTCCAAGTATTCTAAGCAAGGAAAATTAGAATTATAATTCAGAAGCTTTTGAAGACGAACAGCATCAATACTACTCAAGGCAAGGGATTAGAAACAGTACATACAATTAGAATAGTTGCCAAGAAGCCGATTTTAGAGTGAGCGAAGTAGAAGAAAATATAAGTTCAAGGCATTTTACTACAATAAATCGTAATCTCATTTTTAGATACAATCCCTTCGACTGCAATGTGTGTTTATGACCAAAAAAATAATTTATTTAAGATCTTAAAATAGTTTTCTACCAAATTACAAAATAAATATTTAAAGCTGAAATAAAAGACCAACCAGTTTGTCCTTATTAAAATATAAATAAATAAATAAATCATCTAAAATAGATTTAAGCTAGTTTTAAAATTCAATTTATCTAAAATATTATCAAAATGAATTTTTTGAATCTATCTTTTAAATTTATTATAACTTTAGACATGATTTATTAAAGAAAAAATCTCTATAAAATCCTTTGAAACTAACTAATATTGATTTAATCAGAACCAAAATATAAAAATTGTTTATAACCAAATAACTAAATATCTAACTAACTAACTAACTAACTTACTAGCGAAGTAAAATAATAATAATGATAATAATAAATAAGTAAATTAATCAATAAAATTAAATATAAAAATAAATAAATAAATAAATAAATAAATAAATGTATTACTAAATTTCAATATTAAATAAATTAAAAAATTTTAAATTACTTATCATATATATAGGATTTATATATAATTAACTAGATATATATTTATATTTACAAACAGTTAATTATTAATTACTAATGATCGTTTGCTATTTTTTTTATTCTTAAAAAATATTATTTTTGATTGCTCCTTCTCGCTTTTTGTGTCAAAAAATATTAATTTCTTTCATTAAAACAAGAAAGTTATATCTAGCTAGTTAGATATATAGTTTAAGAAATAACTTAATTTTCTCATTTTTTATTGTTTGAACTCCACGGTTTGTTTGTATAATTTCTTTATAAAACTTTTTACTTTTAGTTATTTGTTAAGCTATAAGTGTTTATGTTTTCTGTTTTATTCATTTTACTACTAAGTTTGTTTTTAATTATTTACTCCTTTATCTTTTTCTCTCTTTAAACCTATCTAATATAATCTTAAATAGTTACTGCTGCATAGTAATTTAAAATAGTGAAGTATTTCTTTGGCTAGTTAAATTCATCTTTCCTCTTGTTATACTTCTTTAGAGCTAATTAAGTAATTAATTGTTTATTTAAAATTAAATAAATGTAAATATAATTAAATTTCAAACTATTATTTTAAAGAAATCAAATAAACAAGTAATAATTAGTAAAGTAGATTTATTGGTTAATTACTTGGATATTCTGTTTCCCAATTCTTCATCAGTGTTTACACTAGACTGTCTTCAATTCTTTTATATAAAAAAGTATAATTTGTTTAATGAAATTGTAATTTAACTTACACTATCCTACTGTTAATCAGAAAAGGATCAGAGATATTATTATCCTTAGCTTTCTTCATAATTGCATTTCTTGATATTTTTACACAGAAATCCATGAAGTGCGTTTTGTCGTTTGAATATAATCTGACATTGAAATTTATAAGCTCCTAGAAAATCTTTCTTTTTGAGAAAAGTTACAATTTGCTCTTTCTATCTTTAATATCTCTTTTTTAACCTTTTTAATAAATATTTTATTAGCTATTTTTTTTATATTAATTTATTGATCTATTTATTTACTATAACCATGACCTGTAATCTGAGTTTATAAAAACTCATTTTTCAAACCTATAGGCTCTGGAATGTCCAATAATAATAAATACATCTCCTCAGGGTCAATGAACCCTGTACCATTTTAATCGTAGACTGACCATTTTTCAATAATACTTTCAAGTACTTCTGGAGAAATTACAGCTTCATTTTCTTTTAGAGTGTCAAAGAAACCCTCGATTACGAGAGCTAAAAAGAGATTTATGATTATATATCTTAAGAAAAAGACCACTACTAAGAAGAAAGGGTAACTAAGTGGATTAGAGCAACCTTTGATACCATCTTATTATTAGTCTGAATAGCTCTAACTATAGCAGCCTGATTAGTCAAATCCATATTATTATATGTACCAATCCCAGTTTTAATTTTGTATACACTATAAAATAACTAAAAACGAACCTGTAAAAGTTTAGAAATTATATGAGTATGGATAAGGAGCTCTTGAATCAAAGAATGGATATTATTAATCTCCATCTAAAAGCTAGACTTAAGAAAATAAATTCATTCCTAAAATTGCACAAATAAAAGCTATCAAAAATACAAGAAAAGCTATATTAATTAAAGAAGGTAACAAATAGTATATCGAATCTATCAAAACCTTTAAAGATTATGAAGCTCTAATCTAATTTTTTTAATTAAATATTTTAAAAATAAATTAATTTTATAGTAAGCAAATGTTTAAATTTGTTTTTAAGTCAAAATACTGTAAATAAAAATAATTTAAATAAACATTTAAATGTCAGCTTTCAAAACTTATTTTTTAAGCAATTATTTAAATTATTATTTTGCTTCCTTTCAAATTATTTAGTTTATTTAGCATTTTTTTACATTGTTTTGAAATGTATGTCTTCAGTTTTTATTAATAATATTTTATAATTATTTTTTTTAAGTATTTTATTTAACTCTTGTCATTAAATAAAAAACAGTTTCATTAAGGTAAATTTTTTTATTTTAATTTGCTTCTCGATTTATTTTTATTTTTAAATATTAAATCTAAATGACATAAATAAAATTAATGTGGGTAGTTGTGCAGGTTATTTTTTTTATTTTTAACAAAATTTAAAGCTTTTTACATATTTAACTATTCTTCCTAATCTAAGAGCTCTGAATATAATAGGCAAGTTTGAAACTGTCGACGTTGATACAAAAATAGAAGAAAAGAGAACAATATCTGTAATCAAAATAACACCAAAATCAAATCTATTATTGATATATTTATTATTTATTGTCAAATAAAAAACTTTGAATGAAAGAAATAAAAATACTTGTTCCAATCATCTTTGAAGTAAAAATAAACCCCAACTCCGACTATTTTTATAAGGGCCTCTACGTGATAAATACCTAAGCAAAAATTATTAATAACATTAATTGCATAAGCTCCCTAATCATCCATTCCTTTGTATTAACATCCCATGGTTACGAGATTTAAAATTATAAAGAAGATAATTATTTTTTCAAATTTAGAAGATTTTGCTAATATATAACAAAAGTGTCTGTAAGTATTCTCAGGAGTAGGAATAACTACCTTTAATTTTCTTTTCATCATATACTTTTACATTTCTACCCATTGTCTTTGAATGCTTGTTAAGTTTTTGTAGCCAGAAATTTCATCTTTTATTCTTTTGAAGTTATTTACTACTAAACCTGTAATTAGGTTGGTTGTAAAAATATTTCCCATAAACAATAGCAATAGATAGATAAGTGCATAACCTCTTTAATAATCTTTTATTGGTTATTTTTCTATTCCAGAAGCGTCTATAGATGACCACATCAATTGAGTCCAATTTTCACCTAAAATAATCTGATTTTTTCAAGCAAAAATTTATTTGATAAATATTTTAAAACAAACTAGTTATATATTTATTAATTTACTTTGAACAAAGATATTACAGATAAAAAAACAGTGTCAAAATTAAAATATTGATTGACCCACTAGCCACCTGATTAGTTGCAATCTTAAATTGTTACTATTTTCTTATATAAATCAGAATCTACCATATTATTAATATCGTCAAAAGAGCAATATTGTAATTCTCCTTTAAATGAACTCATAAGGAAGATAGCAAATATCCAAGTCATTATCAAAATAACAAAAGCCAAACTAGTTAAAACTGGAATTGTTTGAAACAGTGAATTAACCAGTAGCTTTAATGATTCGTTCTTTGTTATAATTTTTAATGGCCTTAGTGCTCTAAAAACTCTTAGTGATTTTAATGATTTAAGGCTTTAAGTAGATAAAAATCCAGATAAATCTACAATTGCACACTAATTTATTATTCATTTATTTATTGATAAATATATTTTTAAAATAATTTTATTAAAATAAAAAGATCTTACAATATTAACAAAAAAATCAAGGATATTCCAAGGACTCCTTAAGTAGGCTTAGTCTGGCTTAGTGAAATTATATAAGAACCCATATGCTATAATTTTAATAGCAGCTTCAACACAAAAAACAACAGTAAAGTAAAAGTTAAGTATCTATAAGACTTATTTAAAGATTGAATTTGGATCATATAGAGGATTGTCCAATGCAAGTTGAATTGAACTAAAAACTATGTGAACTTTATATTTATTAATAAATATTTTTAAATTTATTAAAATTCAAATAATTTAATTTGATAATATATTTTAAATAAAATAAAATCAATTTCTTTTATCAAAAATGTTCTGATAAAATAATAAGTACTTTGAAAAACAAATAAAAAAGTCTTAAAAATAAATAAAAAGGTCTTTGAAAAATAAAGAAAGAAAGAAAAATAAATAGATAAATATATTTTCCTTAATTTTAATATTAAATAAATAGAATTTAAAAGATGATTTAATTGAAATAACTTATTATTTATTGTATTAATTACCTAAGAAAAAATTATCCCAATAGTTAGTCTCTATAAGCCTGATACAATTTTTTCTTATAAAGGAATTTTTATGAAACATAAAGCAGCTTGAATATTTCAAATAGAATCCTATTTTACCTAGTTTCTGTTTTAAAAATTGTGTGAAATGTTTTTTATTTTGAATTAATTTTACTTTTTTTTCCTTCTCAAGATCAGCTTGACTTCTATGTTTATTGTATTACTTAAAGGAGCTCATGGATAACTAAAAGGGGGATTTTCTTTAATCAGGGGTTGAATCATTATTGTTCGATCCTTGTCTTTAAAAGGTTCTCTCCTCTCCTAATTGAGAAGTGACTTCATTGACTTTTTAAGGCTTTGGATAATTGGCATTTCGAGGTTTTTGTTCATCAATTTCATCATTTTTTAATGGCATAATTTTAAAATTGAGACCAGGAGATCTAAAATCTTTGAGTGTCTATTAGTCTTAATTATTAATTAGAGGACCTAATGTTTGCAGTTAATTATCTTCTGTTTACAATCTATTTTCATTATTATCTTATTATAGTACTTTTCTTTTTTTTTATTATGCTTTTAAGCTAAATTTATCGTCCTGTTTTTCACTGTCGACTACTGAGCTCTTAAAATTATCTTCTTTTGACTAACTATCATCATCCCCTTTAGACACAAACTTAGAATTTATATTCTTATAAGTATCATTTTTTATAAAATCTTTCTTTTACATTTCTTAAGGAAGTTCAGAATTTTTTCTCCTCAACTTCATACTCAAAATTTAATCAATTGCAGTTTTAGCACCTCTCATAGCTGCATCTGATTTCTTATTTGCATAATCAAAAGATGCAAGCATAATAGCAGTAAATGAATTTAAAAATATTGTTTTCCCAATAACCATTAATAGAATAAAATAAGGATGCGCTTTCAAACTTCCTTCACTTCTAACACAATCGAACCAAACCCTATTCCACTGATCTCCTTAAATAGTTGTGAAAACTAAAGTAAAAGCTGATAAAATATTATCAAAATTAAATCTAGGAGATTTCCTTTTATAAATAAAGTTATTGAATCTAATTTGAAATGATATTTATTTATTTATTTATTTACCCATTGACGAGGTCATATTCATCTGAGTCATTAAATTTGAGTTTTCCTCCAAATAGCCACATTCCAATTATCGTACCTAAGTACATAAAGGAAAATGCTATCAACATAATATTGATTACATAGGACATGCTATGGTTCATAGCATCTATTAATATTCTATAGTTAACCCATTTCTAAATATTTGTAAAAGCATACAAAATTCTAATCCCTTTCAGACAAGAAAAAGGAACCAAATCCTTTGTTTTGAAAACTATAACCTTATATTTATGAAAAAAATTTTTATGATAATAATTTTGTTTTATTGATTGATTGATTACAGTCGAAGTTACATCTATAATAATTTCACCGAGTAAGATATAATAATTCTACTTACTTGAGAGTAGTCTAAGCGCATCTTCAAAAAGAAACAGGAGAATAAATACCAAATTAAGTGTTTCTTTAAATTTGTATAATTAGATTTAAAATATTTTTATTTAAAAATTACTTAATATGCTGTAGAAGCTGTCACTAACTGCAGGGTATTAATTGAAGCTGAGTACAATAATATTACAGAAAATGCAAAGATTGATAAATACTAAGAATATTTTGTTTGAAAGAAAGATGTCAATTATTCCCCTATTGTAATCTAATTCATTTTCTTTCTACTAAGATTCTATTTTATTTTTTGAGCTTTTTATTTACAACAAATTCAAAATTGATTAGCCATACTTTATTATTTAAAAAATATTTTCTTAAAATGGATTTAATTTTCAAAATTTAAGTTACTATTGAAGGACTAAATGGAATTTTATTAAATGTTTTTCTTCTATTTGAATTGAAAGACGCATTAGTCCTATATGCTAATGAAAAATTGTTATGTTGTTACCCATTGTTTTTATTTTTATTAGTTTCTGCTCTTGAAATCGATTTATCTAAAAACTCACTAGCATATAATTATTTGAATTTCTTTAGCTCTTCTGCTACATTTCTATCCCTAAATTTTTTGATATTTAAGAATAAATTGTATAATTGTTTATAAATAGAATTTTACTTCATATAAAAAATATCTTTTTCTTCAGCTATAGATTTCAAAGATACCTTTTTAGAATACTCTAAATGTTTTTTTAAATCTTTTTTGTTATTGCTATTGTTGCTGTTGTTCAGTTAATCTATTTATTTATTTTGTTTTAATTCTATACTTTATCCATAATTCTTCTCTCTATTCAATTCTTCTAATTATTTTGCATTTCTTCTTTTGTATGGAGGATTTATTATTTATTATTTAGAATTTAAATTTAAGCCTATAAATGTATTTTAAATTTATTTTTCTGTGTTAAGAGTTATTTTTTCAGGGTAAATCCTATTTACATTTTTGTTAGAAGAATCAGCTGCTCCACCTTTAAGGTTATAAAAGCTATTTGTAGCTAGTGATTAATTATTAGTAATAGCATCATATTGCTAATGTTATTAAGATCCTTGAAATCTAACAGAATTTGATTTTCTTTTTTATGAAGCATTCTTTTTTTCTTCTTCAGATTCAATTTATTAGTACTTGATAAAAAAGATAGCTATAATCAAATTATTTAGAAAATATGTACACACTAAAAAATAGCAAGTAACAAAAATAATAGGAATGAATTAGTCATGAGAATCCTCCATCATATAAAGCACATTATAATATCCTTCCACCATATAAAATAAGAACAGAGTCAAATAAGTTTGATATAAATTATCAAAATTTGTGATTCCATAATTATAATATCTTGAACTAGTAGGTTTATCCATGTTAGCACTATCAATGTATGAAGTATCATTTTTTATATAGCTATAGTTACTTCCACAATAGGTATTATCAGGACATGAAAATCTACCACCACAAACTCTATAAACTCCTTATGCTTTTATTTAAAAATTTATTTGTTTTTTATATTTGAAAAAGTTAGGAAGAACTAAACTAATAAATAAATCTAAAATTTTTAAATTTTACTCAATCTTAACTTTTTTGTTTTTTAATATTTTTAGAATTATTTTTAATTTTTTCAAAAAAACGACATTTAAATTTATCTTTAATCAGCAAATTAAAAAGTTTTTTTTAGAGTTTATTTATAAAAAATATTTTTTTTACAAATTTCTCTTCAATTTGCCTTGCCATTGATTTAATTTTTTTAAAAACAACAAAAAAGTTTTTTATTTTGAAATTAAGAAATCCATTTTTGGTTGAATTAAAAAAGTTATTAGAACAAAAAATTATAAATTTATAACTTTTTTATCTTAAATTTAGTTTTACCTAGTTCCCAATCTCCTTAGCCAGGTACTGGAGTGGTTCTACATCTAATTTAATAAAATACATATGAAAAAAACATAAAAGTAAATATATATATACATACCTGTAGTCTAGAGATCCCGAAAATATGTTTGTGGATAAGATTCCAAATAGAGTAATAAAAAAGAATATAAGAAATAATAGTTTAAATAGAGTTTCACCAGAAATTTGATAAAGTTTTAAGATTATGTAAGATTTTCTCAATTACTTAATGTTACTTGTAAACTCAAAAACGTAAAAGATCCTAAAGATGAAGAGGAAAATGAATGAAGTATCATATATAACTATTATGCCAAAAACTATTAAGATGATTAAATTATTGATGTTTTTGAGATAGCTGTTATACGATTAGTAAAGCCCTCTAGCAATGATTTTCAAAACTATTTCAATGGCAAAATAACTTATGTAGAAATATTTAGTGTATGAAAAAATGCTCTAATATCCTCCTTATTTAATATTTTCCTCATCGCTTAAGTTGTAGTTATGCATTCCCATGAAGACTGCCATAGTTAAAATTGTAATAAAAGTAAAAAATTTATAGTAATTCCATTCTGTAATCCAGACAGATAATCTTCTAATCAAATGCTCTTTTTTAAATAATTAACAACTTTCTTTGCAATACGTGAATGTTTTTCCATGGTAGAAGAATTAAACCATCTTTTTACTATTATCTTCTTCTAAATCTTCATCCTTTTGAAAGAACAAGCTTTTCATTTGAAAAGAATTTAAACCCTAAAAGGTACTTTTATCAACCATTTTTCTTTCTTCCCCTACCGCGTAATGTCTCTCCTCATTAATTGATGTATATTCAAGTAAAGCTTTATTTTTTACATCCCATTTCGAACTTAATTCATTATTATCATATTCCCTTTATGTGAATTTTTCAGGAATCTTCTTAGGAATTAAACCTTTTTTTTTACGCGTCTGCAAAGAATATTGAGTCCTTAGTGTAGCACTTCCTTTTGTGGGATACTTAAACAAGCCGCCCCTTCTATAATTAACAGTGTCAGTATATTATTCAACGTATGTATTCATAATTTAATTTAATTCTTAGAATATATAAGTTAAGATATTATTAAATTTATCAGTTTTAAACTTAACAAAAATGCCTTATTTGCCTATATAATGACAAGTTATCTAATTTAAAATGTCCTTGCTATTTGCTTATGATAATACTATGGCAAATTGCCAAATTTAAACCTTTTGCAGTTAATTTGTAAAAATTAAAACCCTAAGAATAGTTTCTTCGATATATCAAATTAAGATTTAATTTTTTTAGATTGAATTACATATAATTTTTAATTGTTGCTAATTGATGATTTCTAAAATTGATGCATAAAATCTGATTGTTATTATGATTTCAAGTAAATTTATTTAAATGTTCAGTATTTGTGTAAACTTAAATTATCTTGTAACCCTTCAAACATAAATATTTTTACTAGTCTAGATCATTAATTCAAATTATTATTTTAAGCTCTTTATTTGTTTAAAATATTCTATATTTAGAAATGCAAAAAGTTCTATAAAACTATTAATTTTAATGAATTAGTATTTTAACTTAAGAAATAATATTACATTTTTAAGTGATGGTAATTGTTCCAAAAATATTACAATTATTTCATTAATTTAATACATTAAATATATAAATTTTAAAATAAAAAACATAAGTTAAACAAACAATTTTTTGGACTAGAATATTTTCAGTTAAAAATTTGATGATAAAAAACATAAATAAGTGAGCTTTCTAATTAAATAGCAACTTATTTTTAACAGAATTCTACCTATCTTATTTGAGGTTTAATTAACAATTTCAAAAAAATTCTTTTACTGTTTTTTATTTTTTTTAGAATTTTGCTGTTTTACAAATTAAGTTTTTTGATGGAATAATAAAAACTGACAAAGTTTTTTATGTTTCATTTGATAAATCAAACAAACAAATAAATAAATAAATAATAAATTATTTTATTAAAATAAATTTTATGCTAAGATTAAATTATTTAATTTAAAATAAGGAGAATGAAATAATACACTATTTATTTATTTTATTTTTATTAGCTTTAGTATTTAGTGAGTGTTTTATGTTTAATATTTTATATTTTCTTGATGATAAATCAATATTTATAGAACTTCTTTTAACAACCAAATATTTATTTATTTATTATTTAGTTTCTGATTGTAATATTAAAAAATTAATTAGATTTGATCTATCATCAATCAATCAATCAATCGAATTATTCTTCTTGCCTTTTTTAATTCATTTTTAATTACTATTTGTCTGATAGACGTTTCCGACAAGACCATCAAAGTCCTTCAGGTTTTAAGTTGTGCTGAATGAATCGATATTGTAAAAAATATTTTTAACTTTATTTCCATTTTGATCTTCATAAGTATATGTATTTTATTGAGGACTTGGGTTCTATACAGAAACAAATATTTTTTTATCTATGATCATTTTCATGAGACTCATAGTTGAAGACACTATTTCATTTATTAAATAAATCAATATTTTAACTTAAAATATAAAAAAATTATTATAATTACTAACACCACATAGTCCAATAAAAGCAGGATCTACAATTTTATAAGCTGGCAACTTTAATCCTTTGTAAAGCATAAAAAATCTACAAACATCAATTGTAACTTCCAACCATTCAAATCTTCTTTTTCTTCTCTTTTTAATTAGTTTATTACATAGCTCATATATTTTATCTTCTTTAGTTATTTATTTTTCTTCTGCCTCAGTTATTTGTTTATAAATATCAAGTTCTTTTCTAAGTATAAATTATATATTTTTATTTTTTTTTTATAGATTTTTAATTTACTTATATCTCATATATAAACTCCAGAGATGTCTTATGATACTGAAAACAATACGAAGTAGTGAAAAGGAATTTTTCTTATCCTTCCATTTGTGCTCTCTTTCTTTGGGAAATATTTTACTTTTTTTAAAGAAACAAATTTATTGAAAGTAAAAATAAATATCTTGAATACTTAATACGAATAATTAATCTTTATTTTGGATTTTAATGCAGTTTCTATTAAAAATTTAATTATTTTAAGCTGTGGATGAGTATTGTTTGAAGTAAACTTTCAAACAAATGTAAAATATTAATTTTTAGTAAAGTTGTAAATTACTATCAAATAAGCTCAATAACACTTTTGCATGTTAAATCTATACTGTTCAATTAAGAAACTCTACATGCTAATCCTTAATTTGAAATAAATTATATTAAATACCTTTATATAAGAAGAGTAATAATGAAAAGGATGTTGTCACTGATGTAATACATAAAAGAGAAGTAATTACATAAAACTCCCAACAATTTAAACAAAAATGGCTTTTTAGTCTATATAACTCTCTAAACAGCTTTAAAATCATCAAGAAACTTAAGTAATCTGAATGTCTTACGGGCTTAAGATAGATTCTCTTTCATAACAAACATAAATCTAATACTTGCGAGCATTCTCTTAGAGTAGAGTTCTTGTATTTATGCGATATTTGAATGCTTGGCTAAATCACACTAGAATTCACCCCAATACTAGAACACTGCTAATACCTTTTCTCTACCAGTGCTTGTATTTACCAATGCTGAGAAGTGCTTAGAGAGACTTGAAGCCTTTTGATTTAAATAAAATAACTCTGGTAAAACATTTTTTATTTAAAAATATTTGAATAATTCTAAGAAAGTAGCAATTAATATGCTTTTATCAGCATAGATAATTAGTAAAAATTAACAATATTGATGAAAATTATAAAAAAGGATAGAGCATTACTGAATACACGAGACTTTAACTAAATTCATGATAATGCTCAACATTTTTGCTTATTTTTTTTTATAAATCATTTGGAATAAGAGAAGAAAAGTCTAAGCGAGAAGATTTCCTATTCAATTATCTATTGAAAGTTGATGCAGATTATTTTTATGATGAATCACTATCTAAAGAAATATTGGTCTCACTCTGCATTTTCTGCCTGAGTGTCTTAGTTTCTTTATTTTAATTTTCCTCCTTTTGGTCGATCTGTTCCTCTATATTTGGCTCCATGTAAGCTATTTAACAGTAGATACTATGATAAAATTCTAATATATATTTCCTATTTCTGATAAATTAAAAGAATTTATAACTTTGATTAATTATTTATTGTTTGTTGCTTAATAGATTGATTCAATTCAATTCTATCTATCAATCTATTTTTCTTTTTTCAGAGTACTTACTTTTCTCAGGATTTTTGATATTGCAATGATATTAGGTCAATTATAATCTTTTGGTTGTAAATATAATATTCTTTTAGAGATATTACGACTGTATCGTAGCATTTGCATCAAACAAAATAAACTTTTTCTTTTAATGATGATTGAAATTCATATTATTTTTCGATTTAAAATCTAAGTCTTCTATTTTTTTTTAAATTAATGGGTATTTAGATTCTGTTTATGTTTTAAATCTACTTAACTTTATAAATTATCTTATAATACATCCTTTAAAATTAATAGTCAAATCATAAAATATTTTATAGATAAATATAAGGAAGATATTATCTTTGCCTATTTTAAATGTTTTAACTTAGGTAGTGGATATCTAGATAAGTTTATCATCAGTTCTTAGTTAAACTTAAAAACAATCTTCTTCTACTTCAAACATTTCCTCATCTTTGTGTTACCTAACTTCCTTACAATTTTGTTTTTTTTAATTTTTAAGTGATGTATTACTTTTTAAAGTTACATATACATTCATATTCACTAAAATTTAAATAAAAATCAAGTAAAAAACTCTTAATTCTCTTTGAATTTACCAATCCAATATCTAGCAAATTTTAAACGAAATTGCCAGTTAAAATCTAATTATGAGTTTTGAATTGTAAATATGACGACATTTTTTGGTTGTTACAGCAATCTATGATAAAAATCAAAATATATATCAATCTATTGGTAATTTATAATTTTTATATATATTCCCAAACAAAAATATATAAAGTTTTATCTAGTTATTGCAAATCTTTTATCCATAAATTCTATTATCAGATACTCTTTAGCTTAGTATTTGTTAATCAACTTATACGTCATATAAATCTATGCATCATTATTGCCATAGATTTATCATAATAAAATGTACTAATTAAAAATTATAAAAGAAAAACTGTGTCTAAATCTGCTTATAATACTTAAATAATCCATGTTATATTTAATACTTATTTATTTTATTCTTATTTTAATTAATTTAAGAGTTGAAATTTTTTTTGTATTTTTTCAAAATAAATGGATTCATTCAAATAGAATTTAACAAATTTACAGATAAAGATATAAACGATTCAAAACAAATCTAACGAATAGAAATCTTAAAATATTTTAAAAATAAAATATTAAATTTTATTTAATGCATGAAAGACACACAATCAAATATAGTAAATTATAAAATATAATATCACTGTTATCATAATTACTGGGTTCAAAAGTTATGATTGAGCATGACACTAAGAGCTGCTGCATTATACTAAATTGTTATATGGTACATTTTTATTTGTTTAAACACATTTTAAATAGCAATTCGGATCCCAAATTAATTTAGAATTTTAGTTGCAATTGCTATTAACTCTACATTAACTTTGAGCATTTAATATTGTACTACAAGTTTAATCAGCTGCACAAACTTTATACTGCTACACGCAGCTCACCTTAGTAATGCAGTTTATTATTTCACTTACAAAATAATCTTCACCATTTACTCTTCCTGGTATTGTTCCTACTAATATTAATAATGCTAAAAGCGTGCTAATCGATTTAATTTCTACTTTCATATGATTTTTTTATGGGTATACGCAATTTATTTGTTTTCGGTGCTTTCTTACCTTTTTACTATTAATTAATAAAAGCAAATATATATTTTTTAAAACTTAACAAAATAGTGACTAAAAATCTATCAATAATATGATTAAATTTAGAACATTCAATTTTTTATCTAATATCTCAATACTTTCTTACTGAACTCTTTATTTTTATTGTAATTTTACATAAATATTTCATTATTTATGTGATTAAACCAATAATATTTGCTTAAAAAATCCTATAATTTAAAATATTTTCTAATCAATTTAAGAAAAAAATTTAAAATAATCAAATTTAGAAGGAAATAAGCATCATAATTAAATTTTATGAAATAAATTATGATAAAATTTGTATTTAATTTTATAAAAATATTTAATCTATTTATTAAATTTGTAAAATTTTTTTTCTTTTTTATTAAAATTAATACCAATGTAGTAGAATTTTCATTTTAGCTTTAAAAATTAATATTTTCTTAATCCTTATATCACTACCCCTATATTTTAACAAATTTATTTTATTGTAGACAAACCCCGATATGTTAAGGTCATGTACAATTTTTTTATATTTTATGAAATATTAGTATGATTTTTTCAAAATTTCATATCTTGATCTTCTTTAAGGCTTAGTATAAATAAATGAGAAATTAAATTTTTCTTTAAATATTTCAACTTTCAAAATGATTTAAATAAGTTAGATGAATAATTGAAAATAAAATTAAAACAAAATTAATTAACAAAACTTAAAATTTGTTTACTTAGTTAATTTTATTTAAAATCTAAACTACTTAACCTTATTGATAAAAATAAGACAAATATTTTACAATTAAATTTAAAATTATATAGAAAATATAACTAATTCTTTTTATTTTATTGTTGAATTTTAGTTAATTTGCGCTTAAGAATTTTTTATTTTTGAGATATCTTTTTTAATTTGAAAAGATATCATTTTAATTGTAATTAATTCTTTTCCATAACATTATTTTTTATTTAAAAATGTTACCTTTTAATCCTTTAGTTGATATAGATTAAATTAATTTACTGTTTAATTCTAATCAAAAGATATTTAAGAATAGTTTTATTTTTAAACATTATTCTTCTGGTTTTTCATTCACTTTTAAATTTATTTTTATTTCTTTGTACCAAAAAGCACAACAATCTAAAAAAAAATAACAAAACAAAGAAATCAATAATGGATTCTTATTAAATTATTGTATTTTATTGTTTGTTTAGTAGACGAAATAATAATTATTTTATACCTTGTAAGTCATTTAATTTTTATACTTTGTTAAAATAGATTGAAAAATATTTAAACAATCACAAATAAGAAGAACAAATAAGATTTATAACATATAAAGTCAAACAATCTATAATTATTCTTATATTTTCTGATAAATAAATCTTATAACGTGCTATTGTAGAAAATTTATATAAATAATGCATGAATGCTTACTTTGAATTTTTTTAAAATACATTTTTATAGACATTTTTATTTGGAATCTTTAAACTGCTTTAAATTAGAAATAATTCTTAAAACCAGAAAATCTGATGGTAAAAAGAACAAATAAACAATTACAAAGTGTCTAGATTAAAAAAGATTATTTTATAAGCAAACATTAGAAATACTTATTATTAATATTTAAGCAATAAAAAATATAATCAAACAAATTAATATGGAAAAGATTGAATTAGATTTACAAACAATTAAAAACTTTCTTGTTCCTTTTAAGCATAAAATATCTGCTCAGAATATTTATGAAACTCAAGATTTTTTAAAACAAAGAGGTTATACTATTAAAACTATAGAGAGAGCTTCAGATTCTGGTGCTTTAATGATTGCTTACGACTTCAGAAGAGAATAAGATGTATTTATAAAGTTTATCAAGCATTACGACAAAGATGATTTCAATGAAGCGATGCTCTATGATGTGCAAACAATTACAATAAAATCTTAATATTTACTCTAAAATAGAGATTTAATTTGTGATTTAAAAAATAATTGTTACTTTTTAATTATTGAATATTCACCTTTGAAAAATTTAAGCTAATTTATAAAAGAAAATACTCTTACCTTTCAATAAACACTACAAATTGTTGTAAATTTGCTATTTGGTTTGAATGATATTCACAATTCTAGCTAAGTTTTAATGTAACTAAATCCTTCTAACATATTAGTTTCTCAAGATCTAAGTATTAAAATTCTTAATTTAGGCTCTCCTTTTAATACCTTGTAAATGATACAAAAAAATAATCCTTTTTTACCTAAAGAGTAAAACTTTCTAACACTTGTTACTTCTTAGAGCAATTATTATTCTCTTGGAGCTATCATTTGTCTTCTCTGTAAATTAGATGTCCAGGAAAATTTCATTTTGAGTAAAAATTGCAAAAAAGGATTTTTCCCTGTGCTAACTTATGAAAATGAATATAAACAAGTACTAGAAGTAGCATTTTAAATGATGAATTTTAATCCTATGTTTAGAATAAATTTTGTTCAAGCACTTCAAAAATTGTAGAATTTATTTTCTCCATAATTAAACTAAAAAGTTTTGAAATATTTAGAGTTAAATTAAGTAATTAATTACAAACAAAAGCTTAATTAAAGGACTGATCTTGAGATTTAGAGTAATGGATGTATTTACATAGGTGATTTTGATGGTAATAGAAGACATGGATAAGGAATATTTATAAATTTATTAGGAGAAAGATATGAGGGTGGATTTTCTAATGATAAATTTCATGGATAAGGAAGCTACTATGATAAAGATGGAAATGTTTATATAGGAGAGTGGTTTGAAGGATAGATGTAAGGAAAAGGAATCCTATACTATAATAATACTGATTTATACGATGGAAATTTCTTTGCTGGAAAACGAAATGGCTTTGGTACCTTATATTTTAACAAAGAAGAGAAATATGAAGGTGAATGGGTCTAAGACTAGAAAGAAGGATATGGAAAATTAAAATTACTTAACAATTAAAAATATGAAGGACAATTTAAGCAAGGTACCTTTAATGGTAAAGGTAAGTTTATATACCAAGATGGAAGCTCTTATGAAGGAGAATGGCTTAATAATTAAAGACATGGATATGGTGAGTATAAATTTTAAAACGGAGATAGATACCTCGGTAATTATTGGTATGATAAAAAACAAGGTAATGGAACTTATTACTATCATACTGGAAGCTCATACAAAGGTGAATGGAAGAATGATTTAAAAACTGGTCATGGTTTATACACAGCATCTAATAATGAAACATACGAAGGAAGTTTTAAAAATGGCAAGAGACATGGATATGGAATATACAAATACAATAATGGTCTAACATACCAAGGAGAATGGGAAAATGATTAAAAGAATGGACTAGGAATACTTCTTGAAAATAATGATATCGTTTTCCAAGGAAAGTGGATGAATGGACAAAAGCAATAATATTTAAACAAAGAAGAAAGTTGAAGTTTAAAAAAATATTTATTTATTAATTAATTAAAACTAAAAAAAACAAAAATGTACACTTAAAATTCTTTAATTTATTTATATATTTATTATATTTAATGTTTGAAAAGTAGTTGTTTATAATTATGCTATTTAATCATTTTAACAATAGCAAATATGTTAGTTTAGATGTTTTAATAATTATAAATATATATTTCCAATTAATTTTCAATTTTCTTACAAAGAAAATTTAATTGATAAATAAATTTTACTCTAAAATTTGAAAATAATAAATCTTGAAATGAAAGTTGACAAAAAAACCAGAAATTATCAAGCAAAAAATAAACTTTAGCATTATTAAATTATTTGCTTATTATTAAGAATTAAATTTTTTATGAATTTAAATTTATTTATTAAATTTTTTGTTTATAATATTTACTGTTAAAAAGTTATTTACCATCATAAAAAAATTTGTTAATTTTTAAAACTTTATAAATTACTTTTTTAAAAATATTTTTGAGAAATAAATGTTTATTTATTTATATTAGATAAAAGTAAAGTAAATATTATATTAAATAAATTAAAATTTACAATTTAAAACCATTTTATAGAATAAATAATAACTAACTAAATTGTTTAAAACGATTTTTACGTTTTTGAATGAAAAGAAAGACATTTAACATTTTGTATTTACTTCCAAGTAATTTGTATTAATAGATTTTTTATTTTTCATAAACAGTCTTTCATTCTAAGCTTGGATTTTTTATTTTATTTTCTATCTTTGAAATTACATTAATTTTTCAACTAAAGATTCTGCGTGAAATATATATAAATTTAGAAATTGAAAGATAAACAAACAAAAAATCAAATATTCTGAAATGATATCTAAATAAATAATTAAAGTAGCTTTCATACTTTATCTGCTCTCTATTTTAGGATGTTGCTTGGCAGAATAATTTGAGAGTGATCATGAAGCAACATTGTTCTCTTTTCTTTAAGATAAAGAAATGATAAGAGCTGATGAAGACTTAGATGTAGATTATCATAGAACACATCATCATGAAAATAAAATAAAATCTAGATAGGTAGTGTATTGGTTGGATAATGAATAAGACTTGAAGAAAAATAAAAAATTAGGTAAAAAAATATCTAAGTAAATAAAAACTAAGGTATCATTCTTGTTGTATGATGACTATGAAACTTTTTACAGCGATATTAAAGGTTTAGATAACATGTTTGTCAATTTGTACGTAATTTTGAATGTAGAATAAGCAAAATAAAAATTAATAGATGTACAAAACTTAGTCAAAAACTAATAGACTATCAACTTCTAAAAAATAATATGCTATTCAGAAGATTGGTAGAATGAATAAAATTAATTATCTAATGATGAGAAGTAAATTATCCAATCAAATTCCTAGCTAATTACTACTGAATAAGATCTTTAAGCTTATTTCTAAAACGAATCTCTTGTTTTCTAATTTATCAATATAATTCCCTTTTAATTTATTCCACTTTATTTGGATGATTATAAAGATTATTTGAAACTTCAAAGACACTATGTTAAGTAAGACTTTTCTAAGTATAGCTTAGAATCTATCTAAAAATCAATTCATGAAGGTATATAAGTGCTTTAAACATTGAAAGGGTTCAATTTATACACAAACTAAACATTTGATCAATTAGAGAGTTCTTACAAAGATTCGTTTTCAAATATAACTAAACTACCTGATGTATAAAGCAAAAGTAAGGCACTCCTTAAGATGTACACTGATTAAGGAAATTAGTTTTATGGTGTTCTTAACTCTGCTCTTAACTCTCTCAATGAAAATGTATTGAAGCCATTCAAACCTATGATAGGATACTTTGGTGTAGGATTCACTCATTTTGATGAAATGAAAGAGTTCAGAAATGGCCTTGGAGATTATGGAAATGAATTAAAAAATTACTTTGATTATAAAAATAAAAGTTTCTTGTTATATAGAGGCACTACTATTTCAAACTAAATGAGACATTTCTTGACAAATACCACAAATATTGGAAGATATATTGTTATGGCAGCTTTCACTTCTACTTCCTCAAATCAAACTTAAGCTGTCAGCTATTTACAAAGAAAACCTGCTGACTAGAGACTCTTACTAGAAATAACTCATTCTTATAAAAATGATGATGAATTCTAATATAGACCTAGATCTATCTCTATTATTTCAGAATATCCTGAAGAAAAAGAATACCTTTTCCCTCTATTTTCGGTATTTTAGGTATAAAAATACTATTTTGATAGCACAAGGCAAGTGAATGTGTTAGAATTAACTTACATCCATAGTTACGATAAGCTTAAAGAAGACACAAATAAGAAATCTTAATTCCTTATGAGAAAAAAAATAGCACATGTTATAAGGAATAATAATTCATGATATTTTGATATGAATTAATATATGTATAAATAAATAACTAAGAATAAAATGTTATGAATATTTATATTAAATATGAATAAATATATTGATTGTTGATTCTTACTATTAAATTAAATATTTCATTTAAAATAATATCAATTTATGCAATAAAATTAAAGAACTATTTTCAAAATCATAATTTTTATAAATCTGAAGAAATAATGAAATCATTCAAATACAACCTTAAATCTCAAAAATATTTTTACCTTTTTAGTTTAATTTCTTTGAAAGACAACTTTAAAAATGTTTGTACTTACTTTTAAAAATAATTTTTTTTATAATGAATTGACAAAGTAATTATGTTATATGTGTAATTATATAATAATTTATAAATATAAAGCAATAAATAATTAATTAAAAGTTATGTAGAATAAAAGAATCTATAATATTTTCAAATATAATTGTCATTTTTTGTAAAGGAGAAATATTCTCTACAAGTTTTGTTCAAGCAATGTAGAAAAAACATCAGTTATTTCTTCAAAAATCAATTTATAAGATATAAGTCCAAATATTGACACATATGAAAAACTTTTAGATTATTATTCCTTAATGATAAGCAATCAAAATATTTAGCAATCAAAAAAGTTTGAAATTGATTATTATAATGAATTATGTGCTAAATAACTGTAAAGTTTCTTGTAGAATGATGAAACTAAGTATTAGGTTTTTATCGCTTCAATTATTCAAAAGAAAGATATAAATCATAAATATTTGCATGATTTAGTAAAGTAATGTGGTCATAGTGAGTTATTTCCAAGCAACTAAAAATTAATGATGTAGAATATTCTTGAAAAAAAATAAGATGAGTTCGAAAGGTTGATTAGAAGAAGCTTGTCTTATCTAAATCTGTACTTAAAAATATTTGTAGTTGGTTATTTAATTTCTTTCGTTTATCGTGCTTATTATTACTTCGAATACGATATTTCAATATATCATCCTAGAGCTACAGCTTGGCATGTTTATAGATTTAGATGAATTTAGAAAAGAAATAAAAAGAATACTAAGAAAAATATAAGATATGTCTGTTTATTTATCCTTAATGCTTTAATAATCTAACAACTATAATTTAAAAATCAAAATATTTATAACTTTTTCTGACTTTCTCTTTGTTTTATTTTATATAAAAAATTAAATTTTTAAGCATAAATTAAATTAATTTTAGATTTATCATAAAAAGCATAAAATTTTATTGATATATTTTTTAAAGTAATTAAAATTATTTACAAACAAAATATTATTAAATTACATTTATTTATTATTTAACATTAGAATTTATTTTATTTATTTATTTGAAAAAAGGGAGTGGAGTGATTTGTGTTTGAATTAATTAATTAATAAATAAATAAATTATTTTTAAATAAATTGGTAAAAGAATATTTGATCAATTGTGATTTTAGGGATCTTTTTTTACATTTTTTGGTTACAAAAATAATTTCAGGAAATTTACAAATTTTGCTGTGTAATTGTGATCAGTAAGTAAATAGCAAATAAGCAAGGAAGGAAGGAAGCTAAAATTATAAATGTGCTTTTCTCTTGAAAGTTTATCTTGCAGAATTAAATTTCTAAATAATTAACTTACTTACTTACTCAATTTATTTGTATTTTTTCAAAAATTAGAATAATAAATAAATAAATAAAGTTAGGAATGAATTTATCTTGATTAATAAATTGAAATATCTAAAATTAGCTTTTTCAGTCTATAGTTAAATTTGTATGCTACTGTATTATGTTTGAAACAGAGTTATGATTGATAAGACTTCTTTACTAATTCTGAGAGATTTCTTGGGAGCTATTTAGTTCTTATTATTTTTCTTTTTGGTTTGATAGAGGTAAGGCATTCCCATCAATCAATCCCAGTGAAAAAGAAGGAGTGTATTTTTTCAGAATTTTTTAAAATTACTTATCTTAAAAATTTTTTAGCTAGAAAACTACATTTTAGTTCATTGAGCTACTCTCAATTTAATTTGTAGGTGAATTCAAAAAATTATTATTAGTTTTTATTTGATTCAAAGTTTCTTATTAAGGATTGTTAATAGGAATAAAATTCTCTAATATCTAAATAGTTCTACGATTTACTTATTTACTTACTATTTAATTAAAATTTAAATCTTTAGTTTTTAAGAAATTTTCTTCACTTTAGTTGATGTTGTAGCTTTTATGAAGATTTGATTCCATTCTATCTCTTGGTACTGTATTTTATGTGTTTCTTCTACCTGCGTTGTTAGATGTAAATTAATTATAATTTAGTGGAGTTAGGTTAATCGCATTATTTTTATTTTTTATGTTAGTTTTACTCACATTTTAACTTTTGATGAGTACTCCTAAATCTTAATAAACACAATATGTTATTTAAAATGTACAATCTGTAGGATCAAACTAAAGCTTAATGGCAGAATAAGGTCCTATTTCTTAAATAATTTTCTAGCAAGCTGGAATAGCACTTTTAGCAAAAACTTATTCAAATCCATTTTCGAATATGCTTATGTTCAAATCCTTAAATTTTGGCACTTTAGAAGTAATTGCATCTATTAATCTAGATTTTATTGTAAATTTTATGACTTAGTTCCTATCATTTTCTTATGTAGTATTCCGTTCGTGCTTTTCTTTTTCTTAGTTTTTGTTCAAATCTAAAACAATCTTATTATTATTATTTATAAAATCTTAATTTGATAAAGGAGTAATCAACTCCCCTTCAGACAAACAAGCATGTGAAGAAATGTGGAGTTATAATTCGTGTGTAGGTTAAGTATTTATCACCATCAAATGCAAACTATTGAATAGTATTTAAGTGAGTTTAGATTAATCTTGGTTTATGTTATTTGGTAAATTTTCATCATATGTTATTGAAATATTTGAGCCTTTATCACTTAGAGAGTATCTGAAAAGAGATGTAATATTTTAAACTACTTGCTTAAGTGATGATTTTTTATGACTCTTAACTTTCTCACCTTCAGCATGTTAATTATTTTATTTATTAACTTTAGTAGCTTTAAGCATTTGATTTAAAAGAACTATCTTCATCAAAATAGCTGTGTATATGGGCTTTGTGCTTTCAAATTAATACTCATTAGATAATTTAAAATAAGGAGAGTTAAGTTATTTTTAACTTTTAGGTGTAATACTAGCATCATTTAATAGTTCTATATTTTTATTGATCTAATTAGTCTAGTGAGAGGTAGCTTATAACTAATTCAAGTTATACACAAAATTACTGTTACTATTAAAGTTATCATCGTTACTCTTATTATTCGGAACAGGTGCATTCAAATCGCTAAATACTACAAAGTTACTTTTTATATTTTTCTAATTCTCGCTCGAAATTAATATTGATGATTTTTTGCGATTCTATTTAGTGAAAAGGTTAATATTGAAATTCTTAGGGCTACTGCCTTCAAAAATTTACTCATGCTGATTGCTGAAATTTTAATTTTAATCTGAGTAACTATTTTTAAAATTATTGCTATTTGCATGAAAGTAATCGCTACCAAAAGTTGGTGGTGGAGAATTAGAGTGTCTCTGCTTATAAAGATGTTTAATTTTTAAGGATTATTCATTTTATAAATTTTCCTCTTTTTAATCGCTACTTTTATGAGGCAAAGAATGATTTTGGTGGAAATTTTGTCTCTGTTTATTATTAGTAATAGGACTTCTATTCTCTAGATAGGAAGAGCATTCTTTAATAGGCTCATTAAAAGAATTTTAAGTTTCTGAGGCAGAGCTCCTATCACAAAAATAGTTGTTTAAATTAATCTCTTACTGTATTTGTCCTATGTTTTTATATCTTGCTTAACCTTTTTATTAAGCTCCGTTTGAACAAACAAATTTTTAATGCAAATCTCTAATATTTTTTATATTTAAGCGAGAGCAGTGTAGCAAATACTCATAATTCTGATTGACTTACTTACTAAGCTTTAAATACTAATTCTTTTACTGAATATATCTATCACGGAATGATTCATTTTCAATCGAAATGACTCCATACCATTCGTTTAAAAAATATGCACCTAGTCTCACTGAATATCTATCATGTTCATCGCTTATCTCAAAATTTTAGTGTCTATGTTCACCTAAAAAGTAGTCTATTTTTCCTAAGAATTACTTTTCTTACCTGCTTTAAATTAAAAGTAAATTCAGATAAAACTTTTAAAATATCCCTCAAAAATATTTAAAAAATAATAAATATTTTTGTCAAATTATAAGATTAAAGTGATAAAAGGTTACATGTTTAAAATTTAAATTAAATATAGAACATTTTATTTGGTAGAAAAGAGTGAAAATAATAAATAAAGGTGCTAATTAAATCTATCTCTGATTACAAACAACTATTAATTTACTAAATTAAAGTTTTTTCATTTAATCTAAGTTAAAAATATTTTGCAATTTATGTGGTTATTCCAAGAAAATTAATTAAGGAATATAAATAATTTATAATGAATGATAGAATTTGGCAAAGCTTATATAAAAACTTAATTAATTTTACTCAATAGGTATAAATTGAATATAGTCTTTATTTTTCTATTTGAATAATAGTTTATAAAATGTCATCACTTAATCATATTCGTTCTTCGTACTAAATTTGTATTTAGCAAAAAGATTTTTGCCTTGAAAGACTATTATTTATTAGCTTTTTATTTATTTACCTAGAATCTTGTTGATTGGAAATTAAAAAAATGATTTTATTTTGTTCACTTGAAAAGTTGTAATTTAGAAATGTGGAATTTATTTTTGGTTTAGATATTTTTTCTTATTTTTAGCAAAAATTAATTAGCTTAGCTAGCTTTTTGTTAAATATAAATGTAAGGGAAGAAAAGGGAAAGAGTAATTTTTAAAAGGTAAAATTCTATGTACTTAATATTAATAATTTTCTGTAATTATTTTAATCTAATAAAAGTCAAGCTCTATTTGATCTTGATAGATTACTTTTGAGAAAGTAAATTGTAGTGTAAAATAAAAAAATTTATATTCTGGAAGTTTACTTTTTTTTATATAAAAAAGAAAGAAATAGATTAAAATTAAATTAGCTTTAAAAGTATGATTGATTTTATAAATAATTTCATAACGAATTCATTGTTGGTTAAGATATTTTTATCTTATTCAATTTATTTTTTTTGAATTAAATTTTACTTACTTGAGATTATAGGTGTCTCCCATCATATTTATTTTGCTTTTAGGTGATAACGCTTTTCTGTTCGTTAGAGTCGCAGTGCTAACTGATTTTTTGTATGTATTATCTAAATTAATTGTTTAAGCAAATTTGCGAAAAAAATTATTCTCTGATAGATCCTTATCGCTTAGCAACTGAGGTTCTTCACAATTATCGAAAATACATTTTTCACGTTCTATTTTATTTTAAATTTAAAAAAGCAAAGTATCTTCCCATTTTATCTCGCTTTTTCTTAAGGACCTTTTTCTCTCAATTTTATCATTAATCTCTTCTAAGACAAATTTTCGAGAAAACTCATTGAAATCTTCAGTGTTTTATATTTTGAAGACTTTCTAAGCTTACTTATTTTGAGAATAAAATTCTATTCTGTTTGACTGTTTGTCCCATTTTACGACAATCAAGCTGGTTGGAAGAAGCTCATTTGTAAGGTGATCCCAGATATCGTCTTTTTTTTGGAGTAAAAATCTTCTCTTTTTACCCTTGTCTTCGTAATAACCCTAAATATTTAATTAAATATTATTTCATTTTTTTCTTTTTTAACAAAATCAGAGAAAAAAATAAGTGATTGAGGGTGTTATTGTTTGAGTAACTTAGCTGATCAGTTTAAATATTGATTATCAAAAATAAATAAAGAATAAATATGTAATCCTCTTTTTTACAATAACTGTAACATTAAACCTATTTAATTAATTTAAATTTAATTTCTTTTTTAAAATTAAACTACTGGAAGGTTAAAAGAAACTTAAGAAGTTAACCAGAAAATCAAACAATTAAACAACCACTATTTACTAATTGATTTGAGTAAACGTTTTTAATATTTTCTTTATTTGGGTTTTTAAATATTTAAAATTGTAACCTAAATTGAAAATTGCAACTTATTATTTATTGATAAGAATTTTTTTTCACTGCTTTACACTTCCTTTGTTTGTTTGTTATGGACTAAAATAATTAAATTTGGAATCAAAATATTAACTCTCAGCTCAATGAAACTAATGCCAAAAATATAATTCGAAAATTATCTTATTAAATATGGATAAAAATTCTTACCTTTTAGATCAGAGCAATTAGCATCGGAATAAGCTTTAAGGCGTCTACAAGTGGATTTTAGGAAGCAGCGCTAAGTAATAAAACGATTAAATATACGTACATCAAAGCTTAAAAAGGAAAATAGCTTGAGATATTCAAAATAAAAAACTGAGTGCAAAGAAAGATTCCTCTCACAAAAGGAGTTAAGCTTTTTTCGTTTTCTATTGATTATTTCAGTTCAGAGTCAACAAAGCTCCATAAAATCAGACTGGCAAAGAGGAGTACGTTAAGTGAATGAAATATTCGAAGAAAACGCAAAAAAAACTTAGAAACTAAATAAGTAGTAAGAATACCAACTAGATATAAAGAAAAATAAAGATAAATTTTATAATTGCTAGTCCCATGTATGATAAATATAATCATCTAAGCTACTACTGTTATAGTCAATACAATAGCAATGTTTCGAATGTGTATTTTCAATATTTACAAATCCTCTGCCTCATACTGTTATCGAATTTTTTTGTTTTTAAGCTAAAGAGTGTATTTATTCATTCAAATAAACCTCAATAAAATCTTTACTTACTTACTTTTATAATTTTTGATGTAATTTCAACCAGTTTAAATATTATATAAAAATTTTATAATTTTTTTCCACTTTCAAAGTAAATTAATTTTGCTAAAAATTAGAGTGAATGATTGATTAACTAAACAACTGAAAAAGGCTTCTATTATTTTTTTACTTTTTTTTCTCAGTTTTTGTTATAATTATAGAGTTTTGTATAGACCTTTGTTATACACCAAAAGATGGAGATAGAAAACAGAGAAAGATAGAGGTAATTAATGAGACAATAACTGATTGATTATTTTTTCAAAAATAACTTTAACTGATATTAGATTTGCAAAAGCTCAAGCAATCAAACAAAATTAAAGATTTCAATCAAAATTCGAAAGATTGGTTTGAGTCTATTTTTATTTGTATATTTAAAAATATTTAAGTATTTCTATGTATGAACACCAAAGGTAGTTATGCCAAGATTAGTTAGTGTCTCCTATTAAATTGCACTTAAGGTAGATTAATTTTAAAGAAAACTTAAGAATAGTGTCAATGTGTTTTATATCCTAAATTCACTTAATTTTATGTTTTTAATTTCCCTATTTTGTATTTTTAGTTTACTTTATTTGTTTTGTTAGATTTATTTATTGGAATCGATTAATTTCTTCAAAGTATTGTTTATATTTTTTAATAATTATAAATTTAATTAAAAACTTTTTCTTTTCTTCTTTATTGCTCTATTAATTAGATTGTTTTACTTTTTTTCGATCTGTCTATCTTTTGCGCTTTATTTATATCTTGTCCTGTTAATATAAATGCATCAATTCTAAATCTAAGATTCCAGTTTTTTGCGCCTTCTTCTATCCATATATTTCTCATGTAATTAAATCGGACTAATTAATTATTGATCCTATTTATGCTTTCTAATTATTGCTAAATTATATTACTACAATAACAATCTTAATAAATAATATCTAATTAATCATTCATTCATTAATTCCCTTTTTCTATTGTCCTACATAAATAAAATCATAAAATTTATGCATTATTTAAACCTTTTTAAATATAATCTAATAGCAATTTCATACTTGAAAAAGTTCTAGCACATTTTTTTCATATCATCAAAATATTTTTTCTTCTGCTTTAAATTTTTTTATCAACAGTATTATGAATAAGAACTCACTTAGCTCAATCTTTAAAGTTTAGGTAGATTCATTTTTAATTTTTTGCTCCGATATAAATTTTCTAGCAGAAAGAAAAAAAAAACAAATTCTTTTTATATAATAAGTCTATTTGAATTACTTTTATTTTTAATTTAATTCTTACTGAGTAATGAAATCATTTAATCAAAAACGCAATTTATTATTTTTCTTTACTTGAACAAATAATGGTTATCTAAAAATTTACTTTTTTTGAGATAAATATCCATTTAAAAATAATATATATCTTCAAATTTGTTAAGAATTTTAATAAACTGAAATACTTTCGGATTTTTATAGCATTTTTTTAAAGCAGTTAAAGAGAAATCAATACAAAAATATAAAATATTCCTCGTTGCAAAAATCTATTTATTTTTTATTACTAAATAAAAGTAATTGTTTAATATGTTATTCATCATCGGATTATTTAATTCTAATTGGGTATTCTCAAATAGAAAGAATGTAGAAAACAAAATTAAATTACAATTAAGGGAAGACTAAAATTATGTTTTATCTATACAGTCAAATATTAAAATAAACAAAAATACACTATTTCATTTTTATGTAATCAAGGTTAGTACTATGTAATAAATTCATACTTTCTAAAGTAAGAAAAAAATTATAATCACTTAAAATTAAATTCATTACTAGAGTTCTTTCCTTTTTATATTATTTAATGGATTGAAAAATAAAATAAAATTGTTAAGCCCTACATAAATTTAATACTTAAATAGGTTATCTAAAAAAATGTAAGGATTTCTATTTAATTTATCATAATTTTATTATTTAAATTAAACTATTTACTTTACATATGAATATGGTCCTTCAATATTTACAAAAGCTATTAATTTATTTTTACAAATACTACTTGTATGAAAAAGAAATATCTATTATTAAAAAACTAAGAAAAAATAAAAAATGAATCTAAAAAATAAATCAGTAATTGTAAAATAAAATAAAATTAAGGTAAATTATTTGCTTTAAAAATCAAAATTCAGTAATCAATTCTAAAAAAATAAGTTTTTGAGTTTATTTTAATGAAATTAATTTCTAAAAATAAAAAATTTGCTATTTATAAAAGATTTAAATTCAAACCGCATAATAATTAATTGGTTTTATAATTTTGTTAAATAGTTTATAATTTATTTTTGCACTTATTAATCTAGTAATGTTAAAACAAAGAGCTTTTTAATCATCTGTAACTGAATGCAATAAGAAAACTTTTTTATTTCTTATTTAATTGATTTAGCTTACATTCATACTGTTTCCTACTGATATTATCTAGGGTTTTTTCTTGCACTTTTTTAAGTATTCTTTAAGATTTTACAAATAAAAACCTTAAATAATAATAAAAATTAAATATTATTTTAAAAATTAATCTACTCTTTGCTAAAATTTTTCATCCTAAAAATGTTACTTAAAATATAAAGAAACTACTTTTAAAAGTATATTCCAAATAAATAGAAATCAATCTTGCTTAAAAAACAAATTACAGTTTTTAAGTTTAATTAATTTGAAAGTTTTTTAAATAAAATATTATAATTTTTTGGGTCTTTTTATGTTAAATACTGATTAAAATTATTTTGTTATTCTTTAAAAAATAGAAATCTTTTCCTTAGATTTTTAGGTTGAGAGAAATCTAATTATTAATATGTCTAATTCAGATTAAGAAGATAAATTTATCTTACAAATTAGTTTTTATTTTTAAGGTTGTGAATCTTAATCGGTTTTACCCATTATATTTCAAATTAATTTCAACTTTCAAAACTTGAAAACAAAATTAAATTGTAACAAAAGTCTTTTGTTACATAATTAAATTTTACCTTTTTTGTTTATGAAATATAAAATTTCTACTTCCAAAAAAATAAAAATATGTATGAATTAATCATTAATTGAAATCTATTAAAAATTTATTTTAATATCATCATTTATTTAATAATTGCTTAACTTTGATAGTATTTTCATCTTGAAAGTTATATATATTCTATTTAAATAAATATCTCTTTTTAGTATAACTTTTATTTTGTTTTAAATATAATTATCTTTTAATTTTGCTTACTATTTAAACAAAAATGAATTATGATTAAATTTCAATACAACTTAGATTTAATTTTTATCAAAAAAAAATACAAGGTTAAGAAATATTTTTGTTAAAGCTAAGAAGGAACTTCAGAAATTAAAATATTCACTTTAGCATGATTAAAATAGTTATTTTTTAAAACATTTTTAATGTTAATGTAATAAAATAAATTATAATTTTATGTTGGTAGTGTTTAGATTATTTAAGAAATATTCATATGAAAGTTGAGTTAAATAATTTGAAAAAATTTATTTTATTATAAAATAAAATGCTGTAATTTCTTATATATTAAGTAAGACCAACCACTTCCCTCATAAAACCTATAACTTTGCTGCATTGACCTTCTTCTAACTAGAAAAAAGCTAAAAAATAGACTTAAATATATAAGGAATTACAGTACCTTATTTACATTAACTTAAAGGAACTAAACTATATTATCAATTTAAAAGTATCTCTTAGAATTTTATAAAAAATCATAGTAAATTTTTCTAAAGTAAGAGTATGTTTTAATTAGAATGAATTTGGCAGATCAAAATAACATTTGTATTTTGATTAATAGATAAAAAGTTTGAGATATTTGAATGACGACGATTATTCAATAACTAAAGTTTTTAATAGTGATATAATTTACAAATAAATTTTTGTAATTAATAAAAAATTGAATTTTCTCTTAGTTCTTATTTTTTTTTAGTACTAGTGACTATAATTTCTAGACTAATTAATTATGAAAAATTTTGTATTTTTATTTATTTATTTCTATAATATATTTCTTTTATAGTTAATTTGTTATAAGATTATATCAAATAAAGAAAATATTTAAATTTCAAAAAAATAAAAATATTTTATCGATCTTTAACCTTTTAATTTGCAAGACAAAACTAATTGTCTAGAAATAAAATCTATGAAAGACAAGTAGTCAATTAAATGAGAGTAACAAACTATATTTAGAGTACTAATAACTATAATATAATCAAGAGTAATTAATAATTTAAGAAGATTGTAAGGTACTTTAAGTAAAATTTCTTCATAATAATAGTCGATTGATTTTTAATAATTAATAAGCAGTTTATATATTAATTTTATGACCAATAAGACTAAATGAATTTAAGTTTATCTCAAAACAATATAAATGATAACGTAGTTGAGTAGTAAATCTAATAAATCGATAGTCATTAAGCTAGCAATTAGAAGGTTTAGTAAATGCCTTGCAAAGAGAGGTAGAGAGGGGCAAAAAACTTAAGTCAAAGTCCATTATAATAACAATTAAAATTATTAGAAGATTTAATATTTCATGATAAAAAGTAGAAAATAATTTATAAAATGAGACCAAGCAAAGTAATTTAGCAAAAATGCTATAGGATAGTTGATTTAAGATAACAGAGAGTGAAAGTACTTTCAAATACAAATGAAAATGAGCAGTTTACAAATCTAAACATCGCCAAAAGCTAAAAATCTCATGATACATCACAAAAATAAAAGGCAGCAAAAAGCCCTATAAATATAAATCGTTGTTAAACCTAGCAAATTAATTATAAACCAGAAACTTCTAAATCATTTTAAAACACAAATACCTCAAATATGATGGTTGGTTAAATTTCTAACCAAAATATTTACACTGAATTTGATGGAAAATACTATCAACCAAGTATATTTTAGTTTAAAACAAATAACTTATACTTCAATGACTCTGGAGTTTAGTCCTCAAGAAACTAATTTGTTTTTAGCGAAAAATACTCAAAAAACCTCCATAACAAAAAATTTTTGTCTACAAGAGATAAAAATAAAACATAGGGAAGCTTTTCTCATAGTTAGAAAAGTTCTAATTAGTAATAGTAGTACGACTAATAAAGTTTGCTCAAATAAAACAGAGAGTAAAATACTAAATTAAAAGAATTTCAAACAAGTTATGGGATGCATCATGAAAATAGCATTTAAAACAGTTAGATAACTTTTGATTAGCAATCTAGTAGATTCAATGAAAAAGACAGTAAATATTCAAAAAATGATAATTTTTCATAAATGAACCTTACAAAAAGCACCTATTAAAATTTAAATGATGATTTACAATAATAGAGTACTTTTGCTGATTCTAACTAGCAATCCTAACTTTAATTTGTTGATTCTCAGCAAAGTAAGCAATTATCTACTTCATGCACAACCAGAAACGTAAAAAGCTAAGTTAACAATAGCAAGACATCCCAAGGGTTTTATTATAATTCTACATAAAAGGAATTGTCAAAAAATAACATTTAAAAATTAAATTCTTATCCTTACTAAAATGAAATAACAGAAAAATAGTAAAAATAACTTTCATTTAATTTTAATTTAAATAATTTTGACAATCAAAAGTCAATCATTTACAGACGCCCTTCTAATATGCTTAATACAGAATAGGAAAATGTACAGAGTAGCTTGGCTTAGGATTTTTTAGCTTCTACAATAAAGAAAAAACCTACTTAGGTAGCTTTTAGAAAGAATGAAATACAAAAAAATAATAGCATTATAAATTTAGAATAACAAGAACTATAGAAATAATCATATATTTATTAATTTAACGAATCAAACGATGTGAGTGGTTAATAATTTCAAAATAAAAGCTAGATAATGAGAGTTAGCACTTCAGAAGAAAGTAGAAAACATCGTAAAATAAGCAGCAACACAGTTCCTTTGGGCAAACAGCTGAAGTGCAATATAAATTCTTAAAAAAATATGGAAGACTACTAGAAGCAAAACAACATGGTAGTTTTTAATTTATCATCAAGGCCTTCAACAGCAAATAATTTACTTATTAAAAATAAAATTTTTAGAGATGAAACTCTAAACGCAAATTTGTAAAGAAAGTAAAATAAATAAAATCGTAATATATTTAATAGTAGTGTAGGAATTTACTTAGATTTTGAAGATTTTAACTCTTAAAACACAAATAAAAAAAATTAAAGCATGTCGAATTATAAAAGTATGATATTGAAAAATACACTTCAGCCATTTGATCAATCAAAGGAAATATCCAGTTCTTAATTGCATTTAAAAGAAGATAGTTAGCTAGAAACTATTAAATCCAATTCTGTAGTGATAAGATCGATAAAAAATAAATAAAATCCTTCTAATATTTTACCTTCAAACTCCGAACTATTTAATAGAAAAAATTCATAGCTAAATGAGTTTAAATAGTAAAGCGAAGAAGCCAAAAAAAAATAAATTGACTAGTTCATAGGAAAAATATTTAAAAAATCATTTTTTCCAGATAAAAATAATCTCTTAAACAAAATAACAACTATTTTTCCTAAAAAAAAATCACTAAATTGTTTAAACTCAACCTTGAAAAACTAAAATTTTTAGGAAAACACAAATAAATTAAGTAAAACTTAGAGATTAGATATAAATAGAAAAATTTTGTAAAATTATATTAAAAAACCAGTTTAGTAAACAGAAGAGAGTAGTTATGATTAGCTTGAAACATAATAAAGCTAAATATAAAATTATCTAGAGAGCTATGATTATATTTAATAATAAGAGTAATAAGAGGAATTAAATAATAACCAATTTTAACAGCCTTAATAAGTAGAAGATGAAAAAGATAAAGATATTGTCGAGCAAGAAAATCCAGATGATAAATATATGATTTTGAATTAATATTTCCATTAGAAGTACACTTAACCAATCAACTATGAAAATAAAAAACAATCTATTTTAAACTAATTATCTAAAACATAATATTGCAATAATGATAAATAAATATAAAATACTAACAGAAATTACAATTAAACTGATATTGAATTCTATGACAAGTTTGAACCATGGGAAAATGATGATTAAGCAATTAATAACAATATTGATGATATTAAAGTATGATCTTTATTTAATATATTTCAAATAATAATAATTTTTACAGTTTTTAACAAATTTATTTACTAAAAATTATATTTGTAGATTAAACTTTTTAATAATATTTAAATAGAAAACTTTCAAGAAATATCTTTCATATTCAAATAGTTTAGATATAAATTATTAATCTAAAATATATTAGTGTAGTGCAAATTTAAAAATTTTACTATTCGAATATTTTTTTTTTTTTACTTGTTTGAATAATATAAAAAATAATTGAATAATTAGCTAAAATTTAAACAAGTAGATATCAGATTAAAGCTAATATGAATTTAAGGTATAATTACCTTAAGTAAGTACATAAACAATGATATCATCAATTATTAATTTCAATCATTATAAAAAAAATGATTTTCAATAATAAAAATATAAATTGTTCAAGGGAAGCCTTAAAGTTCATGCTTATATTATAAAATATGAGCTTAAATTTAAATAAATCAACTAAATTCTTTCATTTTATAAATTTAAGTAACAAACTTAATTGTTAAATTAAATTATTTTTTGAATGTTTATCCTTTAAATTTTTGTAAATTATTTTTTTATGCTGAGACATTTATTTATATTTCTTTTTATTGAGCTGAAATATCTTTTTGTTATAAAAATAGCATATTTATTTTTATAAAAATTAAAATTGAATAATTTATATATAATTTGTATGAATAAAGAAGTTAGTTAACTACATACTAATATAAATAAATATAGTCTAAGCTAAACTTGTATAATTAAATCATTGATAAAACATTTTTTTAAATCACTTCTTTCTTTTTCTAATTTCTTCTTATAATTATTCTTCTAATTTCTCATCTGAAATTTCATCAGAAGAGTTATCATATTCGTTGACGTATTGGAAGGATAAAACTGCATCTTTATCACCTCTTAAAATTTTAGTTAGCAATTCTGCATTTTCCATATTAACAAGCTAGTCGTTGAAGAGTATTTTAAGATCTTTTAGGTAATTGCCTTATTTATCGGTGGTATCGAACATAGCCAAAAAAGAACTTTGCTTCAATTTTGAAAGCTCGCTATTTTAATCTTCCTTTAATGTTTGGTCATTTGATTTGGCATCAGATAAATCATTGATGCCTTAAAAATCCATTTCTTCAATTGCACATTCGTAAATGTCTCCGCTTAAGGCATATAGCTTGACAGATGCTTTATCTTCACTTAACTGCACTTTATTAATTAACTTCTTGGTGTAATTGCTTCCCATTTTGTAAGACATAATTGACCTAGACATAATAATTAAAGGAATAAATGCAGCTAAAGGATGCACATAATGGAATACTAGCACACCAGCGCCAAACCAGATTGAAGAAGATAACAATCTCAGTCTTATCTTAAGTCGAATTTCCTTTTAATCCATGTGATGCTCATAAATTACATAGCTTTGAAAATTCTTCTCTCTGCTGAATCTCATAGATCCAGTTCCTTAATTATCCTTATCTTTTAATTCATTCATAATGTAGCGGCTTTTTTCTTCCAACTCCTATTTCTTTCCATCTTATTAACTTGTGGAGAATTTATATTTGTTGAAGACACCTAAGCTAGCAAATGAATTTATGGGCTTTTGTTTTAACTAATAAAGTAAGCTGCGTTAGAAACTTCTAGCAATCATTTTATAAAAGTAGTTTTTAAGAATTAATACAAATTTTAATAAATTAAAATTAATATCTTTTTCTAAATTAGTCAAGTAATTAATAGCATGCATATAAATTTTACAAACAACCACAAAATCTGACAAACTTTCAAGTGATATTATAATAATGATTCCCATATTTTATTATAAAATTAATTACACTTTAATTAAAAAATTGATTAATATTTTATAATATTTATATTTAATCATTTTAATTTATTTAAAATAAAATGATATTTTATATTAAATAACTTCAACTCTAATTTTATTAATAACCATTAAAATAATTCTTATTGTATTTAAACAATTCTAAGGAAGGTTAGAAATAATTATTTATATAATAGTACTTTATAGTCATTTTTTTATTATCAAAATTAAGATTTCAAATGAGTACTAGGATGAAAGTAAAATTCAGTTGATGATTTCTGAGTGCAGTAAAAATATCATACCAAAAATAGAGCATGAAATACAAGTTATTTATACTGCACATTCATAATCTGTCATTACCTAAAGTAGAATAACTATAGACAATAATCAAAATTAAAATAAAGTTTTATGCTTTAAAAGACATTATTTTTACAATATTTTATTTTATTTTTTAAAAAATCTCTTAGCTTAGAGTAATTTTAAATAGAATGGCTCTTTGTGTTATAAGTGAAAGTTAATCAAGTGATAATTACTTTTATTAATCAATATCTACCTTCTTTGAGAGTAGAAGTATTATATTATTTAATTGAATTCTAAAAAAAAAAGAAATAATAATACTAATCTCTATCTACTTGAACTAATAAATTATATTAAAATGATGAAATTTAAGAGATTTGACGAAGAAGATAATGTTGACGATGATGGATCAAGCACTTAAGACTCTTAAAATGATTAAGAAATTAAACCAAAATAAAAAATTATTGACGTAGATAATGATTTTTACCCCTTTTGCATTGTATGGTCAGCAATTCCATTTATATCTTTTTTGATACCATGGATAGGTCACGCTGCTATTTGTTGGTATGAAATTTTTACAGTATTTAATTATTATTAATATAATTTTAACTGAATATTTAGCTCTAAAGGAGTAATTCATGATTTCAACAAGGACTTCCGAGTTTATGTAAGTGTTTTTTCTAAAGAATTTAAATGAAAATAATTTTTGTTTTAAATAAAAAGATTGATGTTGTGCCTTATGGTTCACCATTAAAGTAGAATTTTTGTTTCAGGTGAATCTCACATAAATTTTTAACTACTTATTTAGATATTATAAATTGGATACAACAAATATTTAGCAAGAAAGCTATGATGCTATGATTAAACAGTTGGATCAGTTATTTTAAAAGAAAAGAGTAAATTATTATCTTATTAAATAACAAATAATTAACTAGCTATCTATCAAACTAATTAAAGAAATAAATATTTCATTTGACTATTTTTCTTCTTTTGAAATTTAGAGTATTAATTAACTTATTTTTTAAAAAAGTTTGGTTTCTTTGGGTAATTAAATTCAAGGCTGATATAATTTGTAAGTTAATTGTTTTTATTTAAATATATTTTGATAGCAACAATTCGCACAAGTATGTGGCCGATGCTCTGAACATTTTACAGTATAAAGGTAAAATCAACTGGAATAAATTTGATGTTTTTGTTTTAGGAATCACTAAGGCAAAATATACAAGGTATTGTTTATTTATATTAAACATATTTTACTAATTAGATTTTGAATTTATAAATATGACATTTAAAATCTTTTGATGAAACATATACATAAATATATAAAATTGACATTAATTAAAATTTATGAAATAGTTTCCTGACTTTAATTAGAGCATATTAAGGTTTGATCTTTACAATCGTTTGTGCCTTATTCCTAAATGTTACTGTATTTAGGACTATTTGAGAATAATTAAAAAGCATAAATTCAAATTAAATTTCTATTTTAGATATTATTAAACAAGTTAAAGCAGTCATTTATTTTTTAGGATATTAAATTATACAACTTTAACCAAGTAGTTGTATATTTTTTGATGAAAATAAATAATATTTATTAAATTTATATATGTAATTAACTAACTAACTAAGATTTTCTAAATAATTATTTTTAAATTTTATGGTTCTGAAAAATTAAAAATAAAATCATCTTTTTAAATTTCAAATTTTTATTTGTAGAATTATATTCATTCATTTAACTTTTACTAATCTGAATATTTAAAATAATATTTTTAAATTTCAAATATTTATTTGTAAAATTAGATTTGCTCATTTATTTACTTCAAATAAATTATCCTTTTATTTTTAATTTATTTTAAAATATTGAAAAAAGATAAACATATTTAGAATCAAATAAAAATATTTATTTTTTATTTAGTTCTAATTGATATATCTTTTTATTATTAATTTATTTTAATATTTATTTAATATAAAAACATATTAAGCATCAAATAAAAATATTTATTTTATGTTAAATATGATTTCAATCAGTCAACAAATTTTTATATAAAATAAAAAAATTTTAATTTATTTTAGTAAAACCTGTCAAACTGGGCACTATAATAAATAAAAGGAGAACTGTTTATAAATGGCAAAAGATTTTATCCCAAATTTAACAATTTTGTTATAAAATCAATCCACAAAATGGGCACCTATTTTTTAGGGAAACCTTTTAGGTTCTATAGGTGATATGCTCAAACAATTTTCATTTTATTAAAAATAGATTTATCAAATGATTTATATTGCTTAGCATTTTAACAAATTCAATTTAACTTAAAAATTTATTGATTATAATATAAATTAAATATTTTATTAACAAATTTATGATAATTGTCCTTGTAAAGTTAGTTGTTTTGTCAATTACTTTACTAAATATTAGGTCTATCATACCAATATTAAATTGATATGAAAATAATTTGATAATTAAATTTCCTAATTTTAGTTACTGATATAAAATAACTTAACTGCTCAAGTAGATTTTGTTGTTTAATACTAATTCGCTCAATCACTTATTCAAAACCTATTCTTATGTATATCCAATTTTATTGAGCTAATATTTATATCTTGAAAATTATAATATTTCATTTAATTAATCATAATTTTTGAGCTACTGCACAAATAACTGTAAATCCAAAAGGCTTATTAGTTTCTTACATTTTTTCAAAGTATTTACATTTACTCAATTCAAAAACCTTTTACTTTAAATTTGGATCCCAGTTCTAATCTTAAGCAAAAACTTCAAAGCATTCGTTGAAATGATTAGCATCGTAGCATTATACAGGTACAAAGCTTTCCCATATAAGGATATTTTAGAAATTAGCTAATTGAAGATATTTCTGTATTTTAGCTCTAGATCCAATTTGATAGATTTCTAGATAAAAAGAATCCAATTCTTCATAGGTATAACTGCTTGCTTTTCTTGTTTTTTTCATCTATATTTCATCTTAATTGATACTATCTTCTTATTCTTGTAAAATCTAAAGGTAAGCATTATCAATAATTTTATAAACTTCATATTCTTTTTCGTCTTTTTCAGAAAAAACAGTAAATCCAGCTCGTCCTCCCTTTTTTAATACTCGATAAGCTTCAACAACTATACGTTAGGGTTCTTAGACCTCATCTAGTAAAAGGCCACCATAATAAGAGTCAAACATATTTGAAGGATAGTTCAATTAAGTTGCATCAGCAAGCTCAACAACTATATTTAGCTTTTTGCTTTCATACTTTTATTAGAACTCAACATCAGGTACTAATCTATGATCATATATATCTTAACATAAAGGATGATCTTCTAATAATTAAACTTTTTGCTTTATTTTTCTCAATTTTACTTCCTAAAAATCAGTCAAATACAAATTTGAAGATGGTTTCTTAACTCCACAAATATATGGCAGCGAGTATTCTTAACCACATCCACATTCTAAAATGTTATCAGCGTTTTATATATTTAATAAATTTACAATACTCATTGTAATTATTCCTGTCGAAGAATCAATCAAACGATAATCCCTTATTAAGCTTTACATTTTTCTCATAGTAAGCTTTGGAGATGTCTTACTTTTTATTGACAAATTTTCTACATCTTCATTCAATTCATTTAGTAGTGAATTCTTGTTAAAATCCATTGCTATTATTATATTTGATATTAAATAAATTATCTATATCTTATTTAAATATAGAAGTATATTTTTATTATAATCAGAAATATTCAGAAGCTCATTATTTTTATCAATTTTATTGAGAAGATGTTAATATTTAATTTTTTTTGTTATCAGAAAAAAAAATATTAACTTGACATATATTTTTTTGTGCTTATTTGGTCTCAAATATTTAGCTTTGTTTAAATAATAAATAAATAAATCAAATATAATTTAAAAATTGACTAAATTAACATAATATAATAAATTACAAAAATGAGAAGACTTAAAGAAATTGTCAATCATAAAAAATTGAATAAAACATTTGATTTAGTGTAATATAAACTAAATTTTAGAAGTAATAAATTATCTTAAACATTTATTATAAAGATATGAGAATATTAAACATGGACAAAATTATCAACTACTCATCTCAGCTATGGAATAAATTTAAGAATTGTAATCTTTTGATCTTATTTTGGGTAGTGATAGACCTTCACATGATTAAAATGAAATAAAAGAGCAAGGAGCTATAATAATAAGTGAATAGGTAGCTAAATCTTAAATACTTGAAAAAATTTATATAAAACTCAAGTAATTTTTTTATTTGCTTGAGAATATTTTAAATAAGGTTTTTAATTAATTTTAAAAAGCAAAAACAATATTGGAAATCAGGGTGTGTTTATTTTGTTTGAAGGAATATCAAAGTCTCAAAAGATAAAAACAATCAAAATTGATTTAACGTAATTTATTTAATCTAAATGCCAATAATTTTATACTGTTAAAAAAAATATTAAAATAATTAAATTTATGGAAAATAAAAGCCAATTATAATAATTATTTTTTTAATTAAAAATATATTAGAGAAAATGATATTGAGGACATTGGTTTATCATATTTAGGTCAAAGTATAAAAAATCTCCCTTAACTTTAATCTTTGAATCTAAATTTGTCGTAAAAATATATTTATTTTGATTTTAATATTTTTATTTAAATTGTTTAAAAGCAAAAATTAGATTAGTATAAAAGGAATTGAATAACTTTTTGAAGAGTTAATATAATGTAAAAGTCTGACATATTTGACTTTAAATATAATTGAGGATTGTAAAAAATAAGATCAATTTATTAAACTTGTTCAGATTTTAAATTTTTTAAAATAAATAGTGGAGAAAAAGAACATAATTCATGCAAAATAAATAGGAGAATACCTTTCAAAATGTAAAAATCTAAAATATTTTTCTCTTTTTTTAGAGTAATTTATATTTTATTTTAATAAAATATTAAACACATTTTTTATTAAAGGAAAGTTAGAAAGTCGTTCTAAAATTCATAATGTGACTGCAAAGACTTCTCTTCATAAATTAGAATGTGTGATTAGATCACATTTTTAGACATTCAAATAATTGGGTAAGATTTTATTATTATCATCATCTATTTATTGTATTATTACTATTAATAATAGGCATATTGGTTACTATTAAAATAATAAATCTTTCAAATTATTTAAAATTTTTAAATTAGCTAGATTAGTTTAATTCAAACATAAAATAGTATACTCACTGTGATTAAAAAATATAATATTTATTCATTTTATTTTAATTATATTTTCTTAATTGTAATTATTTTAATGTGAGTTATATATTGTTAGTAATTTGATATATTAAATAGTAATTATTAATCTTATTATATGTTAAGAAAACATAAATAATTAATTTTAAAAGATTTCATTTAAATGGCGAAAAATTAAAAATTTTATTTCCTTTGGGTTTATATTAAAAGAACAGAGGATTTCAAGGTGCTAAAATATTGAAATATTTATTATTACTGAGGAACAAAAAAATAGTTTAAAATTAATTTAATACAGAATTTATTATTTATTTATTAATTAATAAATAAGAGGAAAAACTAATTTATATAGGTAATTTAAGACATTTTGAATATTCCTTCAATTTTAATATGATTTAATATCTTATTTTTATTTAAAAATGTATGTAAAATTTTTATAGTAAAATTTTCAGATTAAAAAAACTTATTTCAAACCATATAGTATAAAATTCATAAAAATAGGGTTTTAAAGCTACTTAAAGAGAAATAAAAAATCTATGATAACACTCAAACATTAATTTTTAAAGTAATAGCGTATGGTATTTTGAAATGTATGATATAATAAAAAATTGAATTAAATTGTAGATTTATATATATAATATGAAGATTTAACATGATGTTTGAATAATAAATATTTTAATAATGTTTATTTTAAACTAAATTTAAAAAAATCTATTAATAAAATTTAATAGTGCAAATAAATACACAAAATAAGTAAATTTTAATAGTAGTTGCATGTGATGATGGCTAAATTCTTTAAATATCGCATGAAATATTCATTCTATTACATAATTTTAAATATCTAGTTAGTAATGTAGGAAAAATGAATCTACAAGCCATTATACATCAATAAAAGTAAGATTTGGATTTTATTCTTTCAATAAAGCCATTTTTTTAGCATATTATTGAGTAAAATCTTTATTTACTATGGCATATCTGAAATTTTTAAGTGTAATATTAGCTCCCATTGCGAGAGCTACATATCTAAATACGTCGTATAGCTCATCATATTCAATTAATGTTAGATTAAGATCTAATTAATTCATAATCATGAGCTTTTAAAATGTCAAATACTCTCTAACATCAGCATTCTAATCATTTTTAATTAATTTTTTATTATAAAATTAAATTGCTGTTGAAGTAAGATATCTTTATAAGCCCTTAAGGAATTAGTTGGAACACTCAAAATCTACGTCTTAAAAATAATCTTGGCGTGTTTTAGGAAATCTTAAAAATTATTTATTGTGGTTCATAAAGATTGTGCATTAATTATTCTTTTATAAAAATTCATTCAAAGGTTAGAATCTCTTGATAGGAACAACATTTGGGAAGGTTTCTTCAAGCCAAATTTCAAATATGTCATCAATAATTATAGAAGATTTTAGAGCTTTTTCAAGTGCAGAGGGCGAATCACATTCAATAATATTTTTAATATCTTTTTATGTTTTAATGTTAACTTATCCTTCATTCTTAAATATATTATTTCTGTTAAAAAGGTCCCTGCGAGGATCTATTTTGTCTAATAATTTAAGGACATAGTCTTTTCTGCCATGAGAGTATACTAAAATATTAAAATACTTTTTCATCTCTGTTACAAATTCCTTCAAATGAGGTCTTAATATAGTAATAAATTCTTTTTAAGCTCCTTCGTTATTTGAGTATTGTATTGTTATTACATTTTTATTCGAAGGCATTTTATATCTGTATATCTCTTCTAACTTACTTTAATTTTCATTAGTAACCCAAACAGTATTGACAAGTGTCTCATCGAGATCCAAAATTAAATTGAGCTTTTACGAAGGATTCTATTATAAAATATTCTAAATCTCTGAAACTAATTTATTTTATCGAGGATCTTTTGATGCACTGCCTAGCTCTTAGCAGAGAAAAGGATTAACTTTTTTAAATATTTTTTTATTTTATTTAAGGATGTCTTCCTCATCCTATTTTTCTAAATGTCCATTTGTATTATCCTCTTCATCCTCTATTTCGATTAATTCTTATGAATAAGTCTCATCATCATCTATTATTGTTATTAGCTTTTCCTTATTTTTATTGTATGGTTTTTTAATATTGCTGCTACTCTTCTTTTTATCATTAAGCTTATACTTCTTTTTTGTTAATTCTGCTTCAATTTACTTTGTTTGTTCTTCCTCTTCCTTTTTTTATTTGATCTCTTTCCTATCAAGTAGTACAAAATCAATTACTTTTTGCTAACTATGGTTTCCTATCACAATTTTGTCACCTCTTTCTATTTTTACACTTATTTTCCTACCTTTGGATTTATTTTATTGATAAGCAGACTTCTAAACATGAGTCAGTTTTCCTTTTTTCGGAGAAGCTTCTTTATCGTTGTCTTTCTAAATTTTCTTTTTTACTTTGTCTACTTAATGAGCCATTCTATTAATTCACTCAAGTCAATTATAATTTTTTCTTCTACCTTAATTTTATAATTTATATAAATCAATTTTGATAGAAATTTATTCAATAAATTATAAAGAATAATCAAAGAAATCCATTTTAAATTTATCTGATATTGCGGATATTTATTAACTAAAATTTACATGCTTTTCCATCCTAATTCAATTTTTTTTAATGATAACTGACTGTCCGAATTCTTTAGACTCTTAGCCATCCCTCTAATTAATTATTTTTTTATCCAAGCTAATTATTAGTATTAAAAGCAAGGCAATTATCAGTAGTAAACTAACTAAGTACATGCAAACAAAAATTTTTAAAAATATATTTATATATTTAATTCAAATTTAAATTTTATGTTAGAGATAGTTTCTAACAGATTTGAAGAGATAAGTTTTATGTTAGAGATAATTATTAACCATTTTAAGATAAGTATAGATTTATATATAAATACATTTATTATTTAAGATTAAGAAATTTAGAAATATTAAATTTTAGGAGTTTTATTGTTTTATATATAATGTCATATTTTAGAAAGGTTTTTTAGGAGGAATAATGTGGATTCATCAAGCGATTTCTCATAAGGTAAGAAGGTCATTGAGAATCTGAGATGATTTATCATACTTTGTTAATAAAATCCAACCAAAATTCCTGCAATGAGCAGCATAACTGCAACGAATGAAGAAACACCCAATAAATAAGATTGTATTATATAGATCAAATTTTAATATTAATTTGATAAGCTATTTTTAAAAAGCTTTAAAAATAATTAGAAAATTTCTGAAACTTTATCATAATCATCTATAAAATAGTGGAAATATATTTCTGATGACTATGATACTTAATGCTTGGTCTTTTGTAAATCTAGTGAAAGATCGTTTTGCATCAAGTAATAATCACGCTCAATAAATTATATTTAAAATTATATAAGACTTTATAATCCTTATTATAGATAATCGTCATTACTATCACAAGGGTAATCTGTATCAATCAACTATGTACACAAATCACTTGTGAAAATATTCTGTATGTGAGAACTATCGTTACCATCCATACTACTGCATTTATCCAAATTATTTAGAAAGTCTCTTATGTACTCCTAAAGAAATTCTTAACTACTATTTATAATGTTCAATTTTGAATTATTATCTGGTATTTGAGGGTAATTAGAATCAACAGATTATATTATTCTTTAAGAAATTAATTGTTCATAAAGAGTTTTTTAATTGAAAAACTCATTCTACATAAGCAATGAATCTCGATACAAACTGATTGAAGTACTCATTTTAGAATTATAAATAAAGACAATAGTCATAATTATTCCGAAAAATAAAATAATAGTAGAAAATGCAACTATAACAATTCTAGACTCTACTTTCTTGCCCAAGTTTTAATCTACAATCAAACTGCTTAGTTATTAATCCTTTTTTTAAGCTTTTACTTTAAAATTTTCTTAGCTATTTATTTTCAGTGCTATACCTACAAAATCTGCAAGCATCCACTTTTCATCAGAATCTTCCTAAAGAAGTGAAGTATACTATTATAGGATACTGATAAGTTTCTCACATTCCAACTATGTTATCCTTGTAGCTATAAGAAGTAGTTATTACTTATACTTATTATACCTGCCAATCGATGGACCAGATACTACAAACAAGGCAAACATTAAAGAAGACAAAATAATAATAAATAGTATTTAGATTCTCTTTAAATCATCTATTTTATCATTTAGTTGATTTTATAGTTCTTAAATTCTTGTGTTACTTAAGTTTTTATTTAAATCCATATTACTCAACAAATAAAAAAAAGAGTTTTTATTTATGCTATCTTGGCTGCACACAGAAAGAATATTGTATAAATTTCTGAATAAGAGAGTATAAGAGCTGCTATTTTCTTCATGTTAAAGAACTCTAATTTTATTTTAATATTTTATATAAATTTAAATAATATAAAAAAGGATGAAAGCATATTTTTAAAAAATTATTTTAAATTACAATGCAGAATAAACATATGTATATGTTTAATTTTGCTATAAGTAAATTCCCTTTTCATAATCATTGAAAAGCTGTAAAAGTTAAGAGCTGTAAAGTTTTGAAATTTAATCACATTCCTCTTATAATTATTGCCTAACAGTTTATTAATTATTTAAGTACGAAGAACCTGTGTCTATTTAGTAGATTAAAAGGGAAAACAATGTCTGACTAGAATATAAGCTGCTTAAGGAGGCTTCAGTTATACCTGAATTGAAATCTCTGATAATATCTTAAATTGGGTAGTATAAAGAAATATCAAGGATCACAGAAGATATGTAAAAAATACAAAGAAAGCAAGCTATGATTTAAAAAAAATTGAAATTATATTAAATAAATAATAATAAATAAATAAATAAATACCTAGACAAATAAAAAATTGATGAATTGAATAATGCATTTTCTTGTTATGGGCCAACTCAAACATATATTAGTTGTCTTTGCTTCTATTTTAGAATCCATTTTAGCTTTTTCCTTGAATTTACCCAAACAAATGTTATTCTAAAATTTACTCATTTTTTTCATTATTTTGTTATTCTTTCTTCAGAGTTTTATCTAATTTAGAATGATTGGCGTTTATGGGAGGCGAAGATATGCTATTTTAACTTGCTAGATTATTAATTATTTGAATGCTTGGTTGATTGCTTTTTGGTGAATGCTTGATGTTCTTCCAGCTAACTTACTTTTCAATTTTGACATTTAAATATTTTGTTAGAGGATTTAAATCAAGTGTTATGGACTTAACGTTATCAGAAGGGTTTTTATCTAAACTTTTAAAATTGCTTTATTTAGTTTTACTGGTTTCTTCTTCTTAACTATGCTAAGTATGACAATTGGAAGTCTGCTCCTAGATACTTCCTTAGCTCCCTATTTTTTTCAAAAAATTTTCGCTTGAAAATATAGGACCTTTACTTAAAGATTTTTTTCTTGGCGATTAAACTCTATGATCTTCAGTTAGTTTAAAATTTTATCTCTCAGAAGCTCTAGGCGATAAATATTCTACAGAGAATATCTCTTATTCTTTATGTGTCAACGAATTAAAATCACTTTCAAATTATATATCATGTTTGTGGTTTAGTTTTAAATCATTTAAAATCTATTCAGAATTAGTTTTGATTACTTAAGGAAATTAGCTGCTAATTTACTATTATTTAGTTGGACTCTAGATTGTAAATGAGCCAAAAGAATTAAGATTAAATGCATTATCTTCTTAACTAAACACTTTTTTGCTAGAAAAATTTAGTTAAGAGGGCCTTCTTGATTAAAATGATCTTTTAGGTGATTCATTATATCTTAAAGTATCACATTTATAATAAGAAGTTACATCTGAATCTGTTGAAGAGATCTCATTCCTTGACTGATTTTAAATGTTTTTAGGTGACATTTGATAATCTAAAGCAGAATAGATATTTGTTTTATCTGTTAAATCAGAACATTATGATATCTCAACGATTTCCATACAATAATAAAGTTTTTCTAATTTTTTGTTATTTTTCATGTAATGTAGCTTATCAAAGTATAAGTTAAATTTTATGTTCAGCACTTTCTTGCATGATTCAAATGTGTAATCCTAAGTAAATTAAAACAAACATAAATAAATAATTAAAAAAAAAAACAAACATTTAAAAATTTTAATTAAACATTAAATTTAATTTTACTCTTCTTTTTTCTTCAAGGAAGCTCTTTAACTTTTCGTAGAAAATATTTATACTTGGGGTTTCAGTTGCCATAGTTGCTTACTTGTTAAATGTGGAGCCTCTTGTTTTTTCAAGAGGATTAACAGAATAATTTAAAAATTAATTTATGATTTTTGTAAGGTTGCTTGGTATTTTTATCTTAGCCTTTTCTTTATAGCAAACCTGCTCTTGTTTCTTGGTCGTTTTAGCTTAAAGAAATAGCTCAGTTGAAAATCTCTGAAAATTTTGTTCGCTCCCTTAAATTGTATTTAACATATGGGAGGTAACAATTTCAGCTAGCTTGGGCATCAAAAAGAAAATCAATATTTTGTTCTTCAATGTCTCTAAATTAAAACTATATTTTTGTTATGTATTCTGGAAGAAAAAAAATAAATTAAGAATAACTTTTCAAATATTTCTAATTTACTTATTAATTAGCAAAATTCAAGTGAGCTGCTTAATCTTAACTTTGTTCTTCACAGTCAGAAATCTATCGAAATATATCTTGAGAGATCCCTTTGATTTTACCTTCTGGGTCAAATAAAATATACTGATTGGGTGTATCTATCTTTAGGACAGTAGCGTTGACACAAAAATCATCTTAAAAATGATAAGTGCTATCCAAATAGAGATTAATAGGAAATATAAAGCTTTTAAAATTTTGAGCAAATGTGTGATAGGATTATTCGAGAAGCTTAGAAGATCCCTTATTGATCATGTTAGACATTAACTCGTTATGAATTTCTTAAAAAAAGTTTGGCATAAAAATGTCAATATGAGTTATTTTTTTATCATCTGATAAAGGTCTTCCCAAAAATCTGCATAAAGACTTTTTGCATTAATTAGTATTAGTAAGAATCTTACCTTTATCTCTAGCTAAGCTTACTAAAAAATGTACAATATTCTGATTAATTATATTAACAGAGTGTATTTAATTTTGTGGTTTAGAAAGATCTTTCAATTTAAGGTCTTAAATTTATTGCTCTATCTAAAGAGAATTCACATACTCATTCAAAACGGTACACTTATAAATAGACTCTAACTAATTTTATATTGTTAATTTGTAATATAAAGTTGCATTTGAAAATACTGCTTTAAGTGTAAGCTCATAATTAATAAATTAAAAACAAATAATTTAAGGAAAGTAATTTATCTGAAAATAAATAAATAATAAATAATTAACTAACAGCATCATTTCTAAAAGAGTGTAAATTAGTTTCACACTTCCAATCATTATTTTAGTTAAAAATTTGCTACTGCTTGAAAACTCTTTCAAATTAATAATGGTAAAAGATTGTTGTAGAATTATTAAAATGAGTTAGTTAGTTATTAAATTTTTAAATTAGAATAAAACAATTACCTTTAACATTTGTACGCTCTGCATTATTTAAGATGAATATGAGCTCTTTTTGAAATATTAAGAAAACACTTTTTATATTTGCCAACCAAACTTGGTTAGTTTTGATATTTCAACTTGTAAATCATCTATTTTTTGATAGCCTTAGCGTAATTTTTCTAAATAAGAAGTTTTTTAAATAATATACTTTCTTAGAAGGGGAAGCAAAACCCCTTTAATTTTTTCTGATTTTTCAATCAGCTTTACTTGGTTTTTTTAAATCACAACCTAATCGTATCTTGAGTAAATTGACATTCTTTGATTTTAAAGATTAATTAAATTTTCTTCCATTTTCTATGAGAGAATTTTTGATAGTGTAGTAAAGTACAGGCTTACGTTTCTCTACTAGGACTATATTTTTTTAATTTCATAATAAGCTCTCATAGGATTATTCCTGTATTTAGACAAATAAGTTATATATTTCAAAGATACATGTTCAAATTAGTCTCTATCTTTCTTAATTTGTTAAGAGCTTAAAGTGTATATAAAAATACTATCAATTAATTTATAAACATCTTCTAAAATCAGCATGTTTTTCTCGTCCTTAAATGCGCTAGCTTTGCAATAGCATAGAGGCTGATTGCAGCTTGCTTGATGAAACAAAATTATTTCAAATAGTTTAATTTTAGAATATTCAGATTTTTAGTAATCTTAGGCCAGCCTAAATATTTCCTCCAAAAACATATCAATATGAAAATGTTCGCTATTATATAAACAAAACAAATTATAAAGTAAATTAAAATTAGTAGTATTTAATCTTTTTGATCTTTAATCAGAAGTAAAAAAAGACTTTAATTTTAATTTAGTAGGAAAAAGATACTAAATTAAAAATAAGAAACTTAATTATTTAATACTGTTATTGCGTCTTATCAATTATATTAAGATAATGTAAACTAATCCTAATAAAATAGATCAATCAAAACTCCCATAAATACTACCCAAATTATTAAAATTAACAACTAATTTAAAATTACCTATAGCCAATAAATGATGCAAATCTCATAATCTTTTCATATTTATAGTTCCATATTCCAAAAAATAGAGCTATGAAAATTGAGCTGAATATCATGCAATTATAGAGTAATTCGCTATCATGAAAGCTGCTATCATAAACCCATAAAGTAATAATAATGCACAGCACCTCATAGCATATGGAACTTACAGCATAAAATTTAGCAATAAATAAGTTTTTGTAAGGAATAATAAGGATTGAATCATAAATGTATGTAGCTCCTACCAAATGAAGACATACGTATAAGATATTTATGGGTATCGAAGGTATGTAGTAGAAGAAAATAACTATAAAATAGAGAGTAACTTAAATAAGCAAAATAGGATGAAATCTCCTCTTTAAAATATTAGAGTCGTTGAATTCATAGTTTCTATAAAAAAAGAGTAGAATCAATGTATTCAGAATAGTAATAACCAACCCTGAGTATCCTAAAATTAAGAAAATTTTAGGCTTTAGGTAACAAGTTGATGGATCAGTGTATGCTAACAAGTAGCTATACTATCCGCAATTGCAAAACCCAGAAAATACTTCAATGTATGGTAGGACTATGAGCCAAACATAAACCATAAAGTAGATATTTAAAATTTAATTTGGTCTTTTAAATAGTTTCCTATTTTCCTTAAACCACTTGCTAAAGAACAGCTTAAGAAATGCAATAAAGCAAATATATAAAACTTGAAACCACATTATAAACTGCATTAAATAAAAGCACTCTATTGTTTCTGTGTCATTGCCTTTTAACTATAAGAAGTAAGTTCCAGTTGAAATTTCTGATACATAAGCAAGTGTTTGTATTTTTTATTCTTTCATTAATGGAACAGAATCCGATTAAAATACATATCCACCTATCTGCAGCATATAAATTACTATCATACCAGCATAAATAGAGTATGGGATTTCATAATCTCTTTTATCTTCTATAATTTCTAATATTGTTTAAAATATTGTGCCTAATAGATGCTTTCCATTCAACAATGTGCCTTGATTCGTTTTATTAATACTCTTCTCTTTTTATTTTTCGGCTTTTTAAACAGGCTAAATATTTTTATTGCTAAGATTTTAGTGGCTGTTTGGCTTTAATGTGTTATTGGAAATGCCTGTTTGCTTTTAATTCATGTTTCCTTAGTTCTTAACTAATTAAATACTTTTTTTTTGTTTACCTATTTTTTAATTAGAATTGTTTTGGAAAATTTTAATTAAGCAATAAACACCTTATATTGATTTCAAAAATACATTATTAGAAAAGCCTATCTATTAACTCATCCATTTATTTTATTTTGTATATATCAACGATTATCTATTAATTATCTTAAATTCTATAGTATGCATAATAATTAGTAGGATTTCAAAATATTGCAGAATAATTTATTGAATTGATCAAAAATATCAGTTTAAATGTTAATGTTTACTTTATAATTATACTCTTTATACCTACTGTCTAAAAATTATTCTCATATGTATTTTTTCATGGTTAAATTATATATAAATGAGGAAAGATTAAAACTATTATAATGATTTTGCGTTAAATATTTCATAACTCATCTTGTTACAGATCAAGATTATAGTTTATATTTTTAGTAATTATCCACTTATCTCAATTGATTTATGAGTATTTTTAAATTAATTTCTATCAAAAATATAATAAAAATTTCTTTTTTTGATCTTTTATTTACATTAAGAGTATAAGATCACTGTTAAAAAGGAGTTGATTTTACTAGTAAAATAGACAAATAATTTTACCTAAAATTTATTTAATTAATTAATTAATTTCTTTTTCTATCTAAAATAACTTTTTCAGATTGATTCAATATTTATTTTGTGTTTCTTTTTTTTAGATTTTTTTTTATGTCTAGATTTAAATTTTTTAAGGATATACAAATCACAGACCAAGTAAATAAAGATTGTAACAACTAGATACATTTAGTCATAATCTAAAAATTGTATTTTTTAGGTAAACTTTGATAATTATTTTATATCTTTAATTTTTAAAACACAAGGTTTGCATTTAGTTAGTATTTATAGTATTTATTTTTTATTGAGATAATAACTTAAGATTTGGATTACAAATAATTTTTTTAATAATCAATAATAAATGTTACATTGTCAAAAAAATAAAGGTTGAAAACTATACCAAATTATTATCATAAAATTAATAAGAATTGCCAACCTAAATATTTATTTAATTTTACTCAAATAAAAATTAATAATATTTAGTGGTCTCAATGATTGCATTCTTAATCTTAATTAATTGTGTTCCAGACAATAAATATATTCCATAAATTAAATAAAATTCTGAGGTAAATTAAGTATTCTTTTCTTAATTTAATTCTTTTTCTAAGATTAAAATACAACATTTTTGAAAATAAACCTTTAAATTGGATAAAAATCTATAAAAATTAATATGAAAAAGCCTATTATTAGACTATTTAACTTATAATATATTTAAAAAAAAAAATATTTTATTAAACTAAAATTTAATTTTAATAAATAATTATTATACATGTTTATTTAATTATGACCTTTTATTTTCGCAAAAAAATACTGAGATATACTCTAAACTTACATAAAATGTAAATAAAATACTTTCAATTTTAATCTTTGTAATTCAAATACATGAATTAACCAATATTTATTTTTTTTACTCTTTAAATATTAAAATTTTATAGCAGATAGAATTTAATTTATACTAATTCTACTTAAATCTTATTCATAAAAATCAAAATATACTGAAAACTATATTACAATTTTTTTATTGATAGATAGATTTTATTTTATTCTAATCCTACTTAAGCCCTATTCATATAAATAAGAATATAATTTTGTAAATTATTTGATACTTTCTTTCATAAGTTATTTACTGTAGAATCTATAATTTATAGGTACCCCACTATTTAAGCCCCTTCCTAATTTAAGTAACATTTATCAAAGATTTTCAAAAAATGTAAAAAAAATATTTTTTATTTTCAAAATATAAGAAAAAGCATTAATTGCTATCTAAAATTTATTAAAATTTAATAAAACTAGATATAAAAAAATAAAAATATAGAATGAACAAAATTAGCTTAAAATATTTAAATTTAATGAAAATTTCATCTTCACCTAAACAGTTGGAGATATTTTAATTTCATGATGTGAAAAAAAAATTATTAATTTAATTTAAGATACTTATAAATGTTTCTTCCAGTTCCTCAATATTAGAAATCAATAAACTTTGACTATTTTTTTAAAATACTGTTTATAATTAGCTCAAAGATTTCATTTAAAATTTTTAACTTTTAGAAAGAGTGGTATGATACTTTCTATTCTCCAATAGATGACATATTTTATGATATTATAAATTTTAATTTTTAAAATAAGAAATTACAATAATTAAATAAATGGAAAATTAAAGCTACTTTTAAAGTGTATTTAGCTCAAAGTAGAAAATATATTTTCATTTTAATATGACATTTTTTTCTATTTAAAATAGTTAATTTTTTTACTAATATATTTCTATTCTAAAAAATATAAAAAATTTAATAAAAATTAAAGCATATGCATAATGAAGTTGTCAATAATTATTTTGTTTTGTGTAAATAATACGTTTAATTTAATGTAAGTAAATTTTAGAAAATGATATATCTTTCTATCTATCTATTTTTGTTAATTTATATATATTTAAATCAGAAATTTCTTTTGGACAAGGAATATTAAAATTAAAAGTTTTTGAAATTTATTAGATTAATAAAGGTAAATGTGTATAACATTTTTTTTTATAGATAGAACTCCAGATGCTAAGATCAAATTTGTTATGGTCCATAACAGAGAAGAAGATTTTGCAAGACCCACTTTATAGCTAGGATAATTTGAAGAAGACACCAATATTTTTGGCGGTAGAGATGAAAGAGAGAAAGGAACTTGGCTAGGATTTAATGCTAAAACACAAAATTTAGCATTTCTCACAAATAGATTCTCTTGGTCGATCTTCAAAGATAGAATGATTTCTAAAATAAATGTATTTAGTAAAGCAAGTGAATAGAAAACTATCTCTAGAGGAAAGTTAATTTAAGAATTTATTTCTACAGATTTTTTTGAAAGATATTCCTTATAAGATGATGAAAATAGCACATATAATTATGCCAAGACCATTTTCTAGAATAAAAATAGGTTCATGCCTTTTAATCTTTTAGTAGCAAATCTAAAACATATGGAGTTTGTATTTTAGGGTAATTATGATAAGTTTCCTCCTGTTAGCTTGAGAGATGGATATCATACATTTTGTAATTTTTCAAGTTTTGAAGCTCCAATTTAAAAGCAAGTTGTAGGCTTAAATCGCTTTAAAGAATTAGTTTAGCAAACTATTTCAAATTTAAAAGATAATAATGCAGAAAAAATATAAAAAGAAAATGAAAATGGACTAATCTAAAATATTCACGATATAATGGAGAATGAATAGTATTAATTTACTTTTAGCTTGCTGCCTATGTGGAATGAATCAAAAATATTCATAAAACCTTATTACTCATATTTTAGTAGGCATTATAGAGGAACAAGAACTTCAACAGTATTAATTTTAAATGATAAAAACAAATTAAGTATTTCTGAAAATACTTATTCTTAAGATACTAGTATATAAAAAGTTAACAAAAAATATGAAATTTAGCTATGATTATAGTATTTAGTATATTTAATTTAGCATTTTATTAACTATCAAAAGTAAATATCAATTAATTATTTATACTGTTAAATGTTCATTTATTGATAATACATAAAAATAATTTAGTTTTTTATTTATGAAATATAAAATAAATTTTATAATAAATAAGGTTTTAATTAAATAAATAAATAGAATAATAATTAATGAAGATTTATATTATTTAAAATTTAAAGCAGGATTAATAAATTTTCATAATCAAAAAACTGTTTCCAAATATTTAATAAAAAATTGATGTGCTACAGCTGTTTTTGGCATACTAATTTTAATAAGGTTTTTGCATTTATTTACTCATTGTAGATTTATGATAAAATGTTTTATAAATTATGATCCTATTAATCAATTAAAAGAAGCAGAAACATATCTTAACTACTTTAAGTAAAATAAAACTATCATACTTTTTATAGATTACTTAATTTTTAATTTTCAAAAGGCAATAGCTTTTATAATTAAAAATCATATTTTCCTTCTTAAGCAACTTAATTTAATAAATCTTTTGTTTATATCTAATTTTGTTGGCTTTTTGTTAATTAGTTAGACAAATTCTATATATCATTTAATTCATTTACTTCATCTGAAATTTAATATCTAGAAAGAATTAACTATTAAACAGTTTATTGTTATATTGGGGATTACTCTGATGACTGATAAGAACTAATTAAAGTTGACTTTTTAGTTTTTTAATAATTTTAAAATATTATCTTTTATTATGCAAAAGAGTTGTTTGGTGAGTTTGTCTTTACAGTATTTTAATTTTATAAAAGACAATAGTCAGAAAACAGTTCTTAATTATGTTTGCTTGAAATTTTTTCTTATTGTGCATCTTAGTAATTATTAAATTGTGCATTAAAAATTGCTACTAAATTTGGATCTAACGTTTCTAAAATCTTTTGATCAAGATAAGTATTATTTTATTTAGATAGTATTTACTAGTAAGCTTTAAAAGCTTCTCTAGTCTTTTAAAGTTCTGATCTATTATCTGAATAAAGTAAATCTATTTCTTAACTTTTGAGTGAATTCTGATTATTTTAACTTTTGAAAACTAAATCTGGATTAATAGTTGGTTTTGGTAAATAGTCAAACAATCGAATTTAATCTTAATCAAGCAATAGTCTTTTTAATTTTTCAACTTCAATCAGCCTTTTAAGTATTTACATAATATCAAGATTATAGTAAAGTTTTTCTATGCTGTAGTTAATTATTTACTTTTTATCTTTCAAATAACCACATGGGTAAATTAATGATTTAAAATATTCCCACAAATTCATTTTCATACTTTTTGTTTCCTTTTATATGAGCTCGTCAAATTGATTTTCTTTGAATATTTACTCTTTCTAATATTTTTTTTATTTTTCTTGAAATTTTGATTATCTGTTATGTTTCTTAGATCTATCATTAATGTTAGTACTTTTATCACCTTCCATTTGCTCTTATAAAAATTAGCTAAATTTTTATTATTAATAACTCATGTTTTTGCTTGTATTTAATGGAGTGCTTTATTCTGGTATCACATTTTGTAATTTAGTTTGTTCTTAGTCAATTTTTTATAAAAAACTTTATGGAATTTATACTTACTAATTATTTTATTCTTACAAACTATTTTTATTTTCTTACTTAGATTTCTACTTTGAAGAAGATAAATTTTATTCATTTTTTCTATCTTATAAATTCATGCTTTATCCAATGTTTTGTTGCTTCAATATTACCTGTTTTTATTATATATTCCTTTATTTTTATTAATCTGTTGTTCTTGTTTCATCGTAGTTGAATACTGAGTTTATAATTTATTGATTTAATTAAAGCTAAGAAAAATTATTGCAAATGATGAACCCAATTGCTAAAAGAGTTTAAGAAAAACCTCCTATTTAAGATATTACATCCGTAAACTTTGGATAGGATCTTTAAAAAACATTTTCTTTTTACTTTTCAAGTCTGATTGTGACACTCAAGTAATAATTTTGAAAATCTGCTGGATAGACCTGTTTTTTGAAATATCAATAAAATATTTTCTAATTTACTGAAATATATTGTTTTAGAAATAAAATAAAAAAATCACTTCAATTTATTTAGAAGTAACACACACTTTTTCAAAAATTATCAATTAATTTACAAAGTCTTCATAGAAGCTATATGAAGGGAAGACTTAATTTATTATATCAGAAGTAAACCAGCCAAAATCACTATATACATAATTGTTTCTAATATTTATGAAAACGTCTTTTGGCATTAGCTTACTAATCGGAAAATACATATCTCTAGAATACATTTTAAAAGGGTTATCTTTGATATTAGGGTCAACATAAGCATCTGAAAGTTGTAAACCTATCCCACTTTTCATAAGATAATAATTAAGCTCATTTGGAGACTTGCAATTTGTTAAACATTACTACAAAGTAAACTTAATTTACTACAAAATCGGAGAGGGAAAATCTCCTTAAATTGATATCTGTGCATCAGGAGGAAAGCAATACATATTAGTGTAATTTAACTTCAAGAAATAATTAGCATTTTCTTAATTTTAGAAATTTTCCTTGGTGCAGCGTTGAACAGGAATTTCAGTATTATTCCAAACAGTAACATATTACTAAGTATTCTAATTAAAAACTAAATACTTTTACATAAGTGTTGCTGTAGCAGTGTATATGCTTTCATCAACATAATAATTTTTAGTTACAGGATCTTGCATAGCAAAAGCAAATGGGAATGTCATACTATTAGCAATAAACTAAGCAGGGTTGTCAACTTGTCTTTCTTGATAAGTTAGAATAGGGTTTTTTCTTTAGTAGATAGATATTATTATTGAAATTAAACGAAAAGCAATAATTCCAAAAATGCAAAGAGTGACTGTTGATCCTAATTTTGATTTGTATGTTGATTCTCCTTTAAATCTAAGAGTTATTCTACTACCAAATATATCAATTTTACTTAAATATTTAAAGCACATTTAATTAGTTTTTTTGGTTTTTTTATTAACTTTTAGATTGTAATTTTAGAAGAAGTAATTATTATTAATTTTTCAACAATCTTTAAAAATTATTTATTAAGTTTAAGTAGAAGTTTTTAATAAGAAATTAGTTTTTTAATAAATACAATTTTATATGAACATATTAATTTAATTAATGAATAAGCAATTAATAATTCATTTTAATGACTATTCTTATTATTACATGTCAATAATAGGTTGAAATTTAAATGTACTCATTTTATTTACTTTTTCAAAAATAAAAAGACAAATTTATGTTTTATTTATTGTTTAAAATTTTAAAACATTAAAAAAATTCAGTTTTTTTTTATTTATTTTTGAAATGAATAAGAAAACTCATTTAGTATTTTTATTTCAACATTAAATTCAAAATATATTTTATTAAAATGGAATATTACAAATAAAAATTAATTCAATTAGAATGTAGTAATTAACTGAAATTAAAAAATAGGCCACTACTGTAAAAGAAATTAAATAAATATCGTTCAAATATTTTCGATTTAAAAATATAAAAAGCAAATAAAGGTTTTTCTTTTTAAATATTTCTATTATTTTCGAAATAGAAAAGCATAATATGTAAGCCACTTATCAAAAAATTTTAAATAATTTACGATTAATTTTTTTTATTAAATTAAATCTTAATCAATCAAAGTTTAAATTAATTAATTCATTTATTTTGTTTGCAAACATTTTTGAAAAAAAAAATTCTATTTTATAAATTTTAATTTTATTAGTGTTTATGAATATTCTTTATTTAATTTAATTTAAGTTAAAACAAAATAATTGAGATATGAACAAAAAAAATAATTTATGAAGATGTATTAAAATAATGTAAGCTTAAATGATAATTACAAATTTCTAGTTTTATAAATATTTTGTGAGATATATAGCTAAGTTATTTTTATTATTAATAAATTATTTGTAAAAATTATTAATTACACTTCTGAGATTCATAAAAACCAATTAAATTAATATTAATTTATATTATTAAATTCTTAATTTTTAATAGATAAGAATAATAAATAGATAATAGTAAATATGAGTTTTAACACAAAATTTTTAATAGAATAAGGGCGTAAAAAACTTAATATTCAGGAATCATCTTTACCTAAAATAAATCAGAAAATTTTAAACTTAGGTTAAGTAAATAACTAAATAAATGCAATTAATTTTAGCAAAAATGATTTATAATAAGTAATTGAAACATATAAAAAATAATCATTTGAGAGAAATAAAGATGAAATGTCGTTTTTATTACAAAAAATTTAAAAACTGCCCTTCTTAAAAAAGACTTTAAGGAAAAAAGGAGAAGCTTTTATGATTTAAGCTTTAAATCAGATGTAATTAGAGTATTTTAATTGTAATTAGGAGCTTTATAATATAAATTAGGGGAACAAATAAAATTTTTACATTTTGTTGAATGGATCTATATCGTTATATGTTTAAAATGAATAATTTTTCTTGGAAGAGATGCAAGAGGAGTAAAAACGGGCTTAGGCTCTAAAAGAGAATTTAGAATAGATTAATTAATAATCTGCTGCTATAAACAGCAACAAACTTTTTAATGTAGAAGTTAAACAAGTAGGATAAGCTATGCTAAAAAGGAAAGCTGATGGTTATGTAGATAAACAAAGGGAGAAAGAGAACACATAAATATAATAAAAATAATAATCAAATGATCTAAATTTTAAAAGTGGGTCTGGAGTTAATAATAATGATAAAAGTAAAGCTGATGACTATAAAACTAATTAGAAGGATTTAATGCATAAAGAAAAATTAAAAGAATTGAGTATTATTTAATAGAAATAAGCTAAAAAGTAAGCAAGAGAATTTAAAGAACTCAAAATGATTTCGGGTTTGGCTACAGTTGGAGAAAAAAAAACAGTTTAGGGAGATGGAAATTAAGATATTTAGAAAATAGTTGTAAAGAGTGCTTAAGCAATTGTTTTGATGTTAAAAGGAGAAACTTTTAAATAGCTTTTTAGTGATATGATAGAGAGTGAAGAAAAAATAAATAGCATATCTTTTTTTCTATCTATTCCACTTTTCAGCAATTTCAGAATGAGGGAAATCAATTAAATACTTTAAAAAACAAAAATTCAGGTTTATAAGAAATCTTAGATAGTATTTAACGAGAACGATATAGCTGAGAATCTTTATATTGTAAAGAAAGGAGAGTTTGCTGTTTAAAAGGAAATATAAATAAAAAGCCACTAAATGCCTGATTTATACAATAAAAAGATTATTAAACATATAGAAATTTGTTCTCTTACTGAGGGTCAATATTTCGGATTAGATGAGCTTCTAGAAAATCACTTGGCCAACAATCAAATTTCAAGTAATCCGAATTCAAATATCATAAAAAGAGTTAATTCTGTGAAATGCCTTTAAGCAGAAAGCGAACTATTCATTATACCTTATGATTAATTTAAAAAGTATATAAACTCTGAGACTGTGGTTATTGATAACGATAGCTTATAAAACTAAGCAAATATTAGAAACGAAATTCTTGCAAAGAAAAAATTAGAATAAGAAAAGCAAGAAATGAGAGTTTTGGCAATAAAGAAAAATATCAAGAAAGAATAGCAAAAATATCATCAAATATAAAACGACGAAATTAATATTTAATAGAAAGAAAAGAATTAAACATACTATAAGAAATTATTACATGATAGTTCATCCGAAATGTCAATACCTTTTCTCAATAATTAATCCATTTCTTTATAGACTGCTTTAATGAAAAAATAGACAAGTTTTTGCATTCATTAAAAAGATGAAAACAGCAATCATCCAAATTAACTATTTATTACCAGCGATGGATAAAATTAAAAGCACTCTCAATATATTTTAGACAAATAATAAAATTTAAATAATAAAGCTATTTAATTAGGATAAGTAGATTAAATAAAAAATAATTTTGAGCAATTTAATAAAAATATTTCTATTTATAATGATAATATGCAAAAATATATCAAAGCTGTTACAGACTTCAGTGACAGAGTAACCATTGAATAATCTGAGAAGAAAAATCATTTAATTATTAAAAATTAAAATGCAAATGTGCAGCATTCAAATTCCTTAACACCAAAAAGAGGATAATCCAAATTATTAATCCATTAATTAAACTATTAGTTGACTAATCCTTAACAGTCTCGTTATAAAAGAAGCTATACTTCGAATTCTAATCATAAAGATAGAGATCAAACACCTGAACATATTTCAGCAAATGTTCATGATGTAAACTCTATCCAATAAATATCTCCAAAAAATTAAATAATAAAACTTCAATAAGTAGAATCAATAAACGATGCAAAAAGTAATAGCCTAAATGGGGTCAAAAAAGTAAACAGATTATTTAATTACTTAAGCGAAATAGAGTGTAAATAAAACCAAAGGCAATAAACTAATTCTTAGATTATCTGTGAAACTAAGGAAAAACAAATGCAAAATATTGATAATCAATAAATAGGAAAATACAATTAACAATAAAAAAAGTTAAATAATAAAAGTAAATAATTACAAGCAATTAGCTCATACCAAAAGCTTAATAGTGAAGAAAACAATCAATTTATTGAAGACTTAGATGAAATAGAGTATGGTTTAAATAAAAAAGATAAAACAATTTAGATTCTTCACTAAACAAATAATAACTTAAATTAATAATACAGTAAAAATTATAATTTAAGATTAAGCTCTATAAATTTATAGTAACAATAAGAACAAAAATAAGTGAAGGAAGGCTTTTAAAATAATTATAGATTGTTAAATAAATCAGATGGAAGTATAAATTAGCATTTAACATTTAGAGATTTAGAAGAAAAATATCAAACTTAATAAGAAAAAAAAGTGATTTTATAAAACAATACTTTTGATAAAATTAATACTTCAATTTTTAGAGACAATAAACAAAAAGTAAAATAGCAAGGAGAATCTGCATCTATAGAATAACTGCTGGATGAAATTAACTAAAATTATAGCAAAGTCCCAGTAAAACCTTTTATTGTTTCTCCGTCATGTGCAGTAAAAAATACTAAGAGAATGATAAAAAAGAGTAGAAGAGGAATGTAGAATGTATTGGGGTATATAATAGAATACTAATTAGATAACTAAACTTCTAATTTTTATTTAGAATCAAAACAGTTGCCTCAATCCTCTTATAATTACAAGTTAAATCCTCCAATTAAAAAAATGCAAGATATTTGAAGTTTAATTATACATTTTATTACAACTTTAAATTAAAATTTTAAGAATGGTAACACATATTTCTTTTGATTAAATTACACATAATTAATTTTATGTTGATTCTTTTAACAATTGAAAAACTTTAAAATATATTTCAGTTAAATATTTAAGCTAAAAATTTAATTTAAAAAATGTATTTATTGTACTCATTATAAAATAATAATTATAGTATCAAAATAATCATTAGCATTATAATTAATATCAAATATGAATTTTTTATATTTTTATTATTATAAAATTCTAAATAGAACTTTTTATCTCTTAAATTTTATTATTTTATCAATTTAATAAATGAAATTAATTATTGAAATAAAGTAAATCAAGAAGCTCTTATAAAAATAATTAATAATATTAATAGTTTAAAGAATCTAAAGTATTTCTTAATAATGTATTATTAAAAAATCAAATTATTTATACAAGAATTGCATAGAAATTGTTTTAATAGTCTAGTTTAATATTTAATATATAAATATAATGATAGATAGATAGATATAGATGGATGGATGGAAAAATATTTACAAAATTGATTTTATAATATGTTTATGTGTAAATTATTTTAATAGATTATATATTTGGTTTAATATTTTTAATTTTTGGTAACATACAGAATTTATTGTTTGAAGATGACTTTTTGCTTATTAAAGTTTTAGTTTATAAATTGATTTGGTAATGTTTTTATTGAAGAGTTTATTATTAGGTTTTTTATTTATAAAATCATTTATTTTTTAAAAATTCAAAGAGATCATAAATAAATTTGCTAATTTCACCTGCTAATTTAGTTGATATTCCTCTAACGTCTACAAGGGCCTCTGAGAATATCTAAGTCCAAAATTAAAATATTTCTATTGTACATTTTTCTGACTTAAAGAAGTTAACTAAATCAGAATAATGAAATGTGGAGTAGAAATTAAAGAAAAGACTCAAGAATTGGGAAAAGTTTGAAATATCAGTTAGAGGTTAATATGTAGAAAGATTTTATTTTTGTTAATTTTGTTATTAATTGGATTATTAAAGTTAATAGAGTAACCTAAATTTATTATTTTTAGTTTTAGCAATTTGTTTACTGTCAAGATCAGTGATGCTATTGCTAGGTTTTGTGGGTGAAGGTACTGTTGGAGAGTCATTATTTACTTTTTAATTCAAGATTATAAAAAGCATTTGATCAGAAATTTCTTTACAATTTCCTACTACACTGACATAGTTGCTATTAGTTTTTTATATAAACCATTAGAATTTCTTAAATAAGAAATTGATGTTCATTTAAACTAAATTTTAAGTTATTCCTTATCTCCTTGTAGCAACCTTGACCATTTAATGAAGAGATTTTACTACTAATATATCTAATTAGGTGGAGAAGCTATCATAGTAAGCACTACTAATTTGATAGCAGTTATTACTAGAAAAAGTGTAATCAAAGACAGTTTAGATAAAAGATAATGAAGAATTTTTGAATGATTCTTTTAGCTTACTTAAAATAGGATCTTATTTCCAAATGAAATGCATTTCTTTTATTAAATCAGCTTATTTTTATTCTAATAATAATTAGTTAAAACCTTCTTCTTCTGTAACTTAGTAGCGCACACCTTCTAAAAGCTCAAAGAAAGCATTTTTAACTTCATCAGAATAATATGTATGAGAATTAAAATAGTTGTATAAAATTTGCTTCATAACATAAAACTCAGCCCCACTAAAGCTTGTTCCTGTGTATTTTTTAAATTCGTCAATCATTTTTTAAGTTTTAGACTAATCTGATTACAATGCTGCAAGTAAAAATTCTTCAATTTTATTTGCTCCTTCTTCTTCAGGGTGGATTAAAATATGGCTGGAAAGAGCGCTAGTTTGCAACATCTTGAAGATTTCTTAGCTTAGGACTCTAACTTTGCTATATCCACCTAGCGCTTCTAATAAAGTTGAAGGCATCACAATGTGAAGAGATTTACTTATTTATTCGTTTAATAAACATTTAAGTTATTCGCTATTTTCTGGTTGCTGAGATAAATAATTCAGCATAAAACTAGTTATTTTTGATAATATTTTTTTTGGAAATTTATTTGGAAAAGTCTTTTAAGTAAGTTAGCGCTACTCAGCTAAATGATCTAAATACTAGCTAAAGTGAAATGAGAATTCATTTATGTCTTACATCATGTAAAACGAAAAGACGCTAGTCTTTAGTTCATCATCTTTTTCTATTTCCTCTGTAACAAATTTCTTTAAATCAGGTAATAAGAAATACAACTATCTCATCAAGGCTGCTCTATCATAGTTTAAAGCGCTTTATGATTAGGAAGTGCTAAAAGTAGCATGCTGCTACTAGAATAAGTTCATAATTCTTTCAGTTTTTTGGCTTTATCTACTTGTTAGATTGTAAATGATTTCTTCTTTGTTAATTGGGCTTTATATTTTTTGTGTATTTTAATTCAATGGAGTGATAACCATATGGTTAGCTGTTTTTCTTCTGCGCAGAGTTTAGCTCCCTACTTGTGGTGAATATTAAGAGCTCTTATAATCTTAACTATCCATTTATTAAAGCTTATGGAGATTGTTAAAGTTTTTTATATTTGGTTGATTATTATTAATTTATGAAATCAAGGTTTAAGTAGATTCCTCTTCTGAAGAGAATGTTTGAGATGATTAAATATCACTAGCTTCCTTATTTTAATCTTTTGTTTGATGCTTACCTTTATTATTATTACTGATTATGTTTTATAATGTACCATTGCTGCCTTCGATTTCCTGTAAAGTTGATGCACCGCTTGAATTTTCTGCAATAGGATACTTAAAAATGATTGAAGCTTTTTTCATAGGAGTACCATTTTTGGTCTTCTAAGTAGAAAGAGAATCATATTCGTTTGTTTCTTTTGATGTTAAGCAAAGTTTATTCAAACAGCTGTTAGGATTAGGACCATAAGCCTTTTATGGAGTTAGTCTTTAATCACTCTTAATTGAATTTTGACTTTCCTAAAATATAGATGGGCGGCTTGTAGGAGCAAGTTTAGGCGACTTGTTAATTTGCAAAGTTAAACTGGTATATTCTTAAAGACTTTTCTTGTCAATATTTTTTTAAGCTTATTGCTGGTTTTAATTAAATTAATCTCTTTCTAATTATTGGTTTGTGTTAGATTTACTAGCAGTATCAGGAATAGCAGCAAATATTTTAACTTATTCACTTATTGTATTTATATTACTGCATAACGATTTCCTAGAGAGTTTATTAATTTCATTGAAGAAGCATTATTTGTCTTCAAGCTGAGAAAGTTTGTTTTTTATCTTTTAAACAGACTTAGTTGCTTGAAATTATTCAATTTGAGGTAGTTAAACTGTTTCTTCTTTCTTTGCTTTATTTTCTGAGTTAAATCCAAAGGATGGAAGATATTAAACACTTTTTGAGTTTTTATAGTTAAAAGCAATGTTAGTACTAATTGTCTACCTTCTAGTATTTTTTGTTTCCCCCTATTCAGTTAATATTGGACTCTCTTTAAAATTTTCAGTTTGCTTAAAAAATGAAGGAGGTGGAGTATTGCTGCCTCTATTTAATGTAGTTTATGAAATAATTCTATTTTTTAAAGAAGGCGAAAATCCACTCTCTGTATTAAATTTTGATATTTTTTAATTATTTGAGCCAATCTGAGGCGAGTGATATATTTATGGTGAAGCCTTCAGAGATCCGTTAGAGCTTGGTGATTACTAAAGTTAGTTTGCTTGAGATTGACTATAGAATGAATTTAGCATAAATTTTGTTTCTATATTTTTGTAGAGACTTTTATCATGTAAAGAGGATGAATTAGCAGCTTCTTCTAAAACTATTGGTGATTAGCTCATTCTTTGTAGTAAAATTTTATATGATTATATTCAATTTTGTTTTAGCTCCAAATAATTTTAAAAAAATTTCTATGTTAGTTTAAATTTTAAGAGCTATTCTTTGATTTTTTGTTTTATTTTTTCTCTTTTTACTTTTTTTTGTGAATTATTTATTATAATTAAAATAAATCAAATTATTAAAATTAGATGGTTGTGTGTTTCCTATTAATTTATTTATTTACTTATGCACGTAAGAGTCTTAGTAATCAGCTATTCTATTTATAAATTTTTCTACTATTATTCCGAATTATACTTTGTTCTTAATATTTAATTTTGCTTTTTTATTTTATTTTTTGATTTCAGCTATTTTTAAAAACAAATTTTTTTGACGATTTTACAGTATCTGGTAGCTATAATTTAAATTTTTGTGTTTACACTTAATCATGTTCTTGTCTGTCTATTTTTTTTTAAACTAATTAGGCTCGCACTTAATTTATTAATCTTGATAATTGCTTCGTTGTAAATAATATTTATATTTATTAGTTAGATACTTTACAATGTTTAGAATAATCAATTATTTGCCATTCATTTAATTTATGCTTATTTTAATTTTTGAAATCAAATAAGATTAAAAAAGAAATCCTTACAATAAATATCAAATTATTATAAAGATGAAAGCTAATTTTCCTTATTCTTCTTAATTCTATATAAATTTCCAATCATCTTCTCTTTAAAAATAAATTTCTAAGATTTAAATATAATAAAAATTACATTTCTTTTAATTCCTGGATTCAAAGAGTCATATAATTAAATGTGCTTACAATTTACAGCAAAATAGCTTATATTCAAGCAATACGAAATAAAAATCTTAGGTTTTTATAAATTCAATATAAAGCCAGCGTGATAAATTATTCATGATTAATATTTTTTCACAAAAATGTAAAATAAAAATTATATTTAATAATAGTGGCTATAAGAGCTTAAACAGGAGAGTGTAAAAAATAAGGAAAGAATCTCTCTTGAAAAATATTAATTCTGTCAGCATTTATACAGTAATTGTTAAAATCTGTCTTCAAAAACATATTTATAAGAATTTACTTTAATTTTCAATAACCAGGGAATATATTAATAGAAAAGGATTGAATCTACTGGGCCTGTTTTTGATTAAATAAATATTTTGAAAAATGACTATTTAAATAATAAATTCATAAAATTTGATGATTTTAAAGCAATATTTGCAAATTAGCCAAATACTTTTGAGTAACACTAAAAAGCTTGCTATCATTCTTATATTTACATTTTATTTTTTTTGAAGATTAATGATCTAAAAAGTAAAAATAAAATGTAATTGTTTCTTATTATCAATTAATTTAATATAAATTAGATTTTACTATGCGACTAGAAAATATAAAAAAGTACTATTCAAACAAATAGTGTGCTTTTTATTTTGAGGTAAATTTTTTTCTACTAAATTTAAAAAATAAATATTTTTCATAATATTTGAAGGTTTTTTTTAATTATACTAACAATCCTTTGTATCCTTAAATATAATACATAAACTTATTATATCTTATTCTAATTCTGCTTAACTAAGAAATAGAAAATCTTGTTTGTGTCAAACTGATTTTCAAAATTTTCAAGATCAACAAATATTTATTTATTCTATTAAAGAGTATAAAATTCAATTATTAATCAATCAGAACAGAGTATATAACATTCATTTCGAATACATAAATAAATTAATGATATAATAATAAAATTTCACTAAAAAATCAAATTTTTTATTTTTCTATTTGGCTAAAAAAAAAAACCTTCCATTTTTTTCAAAATAATTGATTTAAATTTTTTTATATAAAAAAAATAAAATTAACTTTTCAATTAATTAAAAATAAATTTCATATAATTGATAATCTAATCTATTTTTATTGATAATCAAGACATTTCAATATTCGCATTGTACTTATTTTTTGTCATAAAGCTAAATGATTGGTAAATAAATAAATCGATATTCAATAGCTGAATAAAATTTTGTTTATTTTTTATTGAAAGTCACCAAATATATGAATTAATTATTAATGAATGAAGGGATTTAATTTCTGTGTAGTTGCAGTTGTTTGCTATAAAGAGAAGAAACTTAGTTTGTTGCATCAAAGAAAATTTGCTAATAAATAAACTTTGTTTGAAAAAATAATCATGCTGAAATAAAAAGTTAATTAGGAAAGGAAATGAATAATCATAGTTTATTTAATAACAAAATATTATAAAGCACCTTATCAAACATAATAAAAATCAAAACAAGATTAATAAATTATTTAAAGAGTGAATTCGTTTGAAAAAGAAAAATATTAATTATTAGACAGGATTGATTATTGATTGAAAATGAGTGAAGAAATAGAACCTCATATTATGAGAAAATTTGAGATCATATAAAAAATAGGAAAGGGTGCATATGGTATAGTTTGGAAAGCTATTGATAGAAAATTGAGGTAAGTTGTGGCTGTCAAGAAAGTTTTTGACGCTTTCCATAATCCTACTGATGCTTAGCGTACTTTTAGAGAGGTAATTATTGCTATTTAGCTGAGTTAAATTTTTTATTAAAGTGGAATATCACTGAAGATAATAACATTTTTTTTAAAGATTATAAAATGATCGATTCTTAGATAGAGTTTATATCTAAATATTTTTCTACGTTTTCATAGCTTAATTCAAAACATGTTACACTCACAAAATCTCAAAAAAAATATTTGAAACAAACATACTTGACAAAATAATAATAATTCAGTTAATAGAAAAAATATGAAGGCAAATTTTAATAAATCTAAAATTATATTAATAAGGTTTCTACTTTATAAAATAAGCTTATTCTAACCCTATTTAAAAAACTACTCTTTGCAAGTATATTTGTAAACATGAAGCATATTTTCCGAAATTAGGATACTTTAGTAAAATTGATGATCGTTGCGTTTTAAAATAAATATCATTATGAAATAATAATAATAAATTTAAAAAATATTTACAATATCTTCATTAACTCTTTAATGTTAAAACAAATTTGATATGTAATTTAATTTAACTCTTTTCTTATGAATAGGTTATGTTTTTATAAGAGCTGAATGGGCATGAGAACATAGTAAAACTACTGAATATTATCAAAGCAGAAAATAATAAAGACTTATACTTAGTTTTTGATTTCATGGAGACAGATTTACACGCTGTCATTCGTGCAGATATATTAGAAGAAATTCACAAGAAATACGTTATGTATTAGATTTTAAAAGCACTTAAATATATGCATTCAGGCGATTTAATTCACCGTGACTTAAAACCATCCAATATTCTTTTAAATAGTGAATGCCACGTTAAACTTGCTGATTTCGGTTTAGCTCGTTCGGTAGCCTAAAAAGAAGATGATGCTCCACCTGTTTTAACTGAATACGTAGCTACTCGTTGGTATCGTGCTCCGGAAATTCTTTTAGGTAGCACTAAATATACTAAGGCTGTCGATATGTGGAGTGTCGGATGTATTTTAGGTGAACTTATTATAGGAAAATCTATTTTCCCTGGTGTAAGTACTCTTAATTAAATTGAGCGTGTCCTCGAATTAACAGGCAAACCTAAAAATGAAGATATTGAAGCTATTGAAAGTTCTTTAGCCTGGAATATTTTAAATTCTATTAACATTACTAAGCAAAAGAAGTTCGAGCAATTTTTCCAAGGCGCTTCTCCCGATGCTTTAGATTTATTGAAGAAACTTCTCGTGTTCAATCCTAAATTGCGTTTGGATGCAGAACAAGCTCTCTAGCATCGTTATGTAGCTGAATTCCACAATCCTGCTGAAGAGCATGTATGTTCCAAGCCTATCTAGATTCCTCTAAATGACCACGAAAAATTCTCCATAAGAAAATATCGTGAGTCTCTTTACGCTGACATAAATGAGCGTAAGAAAAAGCAAAGAATTGAGTGGAGAAATAAATATTTAAGATAATTAGGTTTATCAATAGGAGATGAAGGTTAGTAAGCTGCAGTGTAAAACGGTTAATAAATAGCAGAAGGTTAATAATAGCAACCCTAACAGCAAGTACAGTAGTAATAATAGTAAATATAATACTCTCAGTATTAGCAACAATCTTCTACAGTTAAAAATAACTCTGCTCAATAACCTGAAAAGCGTAATGCTCGTTAAGTCTCTTAAGAAAATATAGAACAAGTTTCTTAGTAATAGCAATAGTAGTAATAATCATCAAATTAATAGTAATACCAGCAATAATAAGTTAGATAACAAAACAATCGTGAACAAGCTCAACAAGGATCTGTGTAGTAAAGCTAATAATTACAATAATAAAACAGTAGTGTGTAATCCTCCACACAACAATAGCCAAGCAAATACTAGCCCTACTAGGCAAATTAATATGGAGCTAAGTATTAGCCACAAGCCAACTAATAAGTTCAATAGCCTCAACAGTAAAGCTTAACCTAATCACAAAACAATACACAAGCAAATGGTACAACCTAGTAGACATCTCAACTTAAATCATAAAATGCACCTATGTATTAGACTTAATCTCAGTTTTAAAATCAAAATAATGTTACTGCTGCAAATAATAATGGCACTGGACCTAACAAGGCCATGTACTAAACAAACTATAATAACTACATTCCAGCTAAGAATAACTACGGACAAGTACCAAACAGTTAAAATGTTGCTGCTAACGGAAATGCTGGTGCAGTTTCAAATAACAGCTCTGGTGTTTACAAATCTGATGCTTAAAACTAGCCTGTGTAATACGGCAGCTATGTTCCACAATAAAAGTAATATAAATATTAGCCAGGTAGCAATGCTACTGCTTCTTAAAGTCAACAAAACCAACCTTAAGGAGCAAGCGGTGCTACATATGCAAATTATGTTCAAAGATAATAGTAGTAATAATAGTAGGGAAGTAACCCATCTTAAACCTAGGCACAGTAGTACTATTAAATGAAAAACTAATAACAATAACAATAAATTTAGCAGCAACAACAGCCATCACAAGTTACTAAATAGATGCAATACGCATAGCAATACAAACAATAATGAGATCAATAAACTAATATTCAAACAAATTAATAATTATTATGTTGCATAAATCATCAAATATCAACTCACTCACTCACTTACTCAATGATTGACTGACTGACTGAATAATGAGAATTAAATATTACACAAAATATTTTACTTTACTTTACAACTATATTTAATAAATAAATAAACAAACAAATAAACAAATTTAAGTGTGTGTTATTCTCTCAATCTCTAAAATTTATTTTTAGTTAGCATTCTATTTGTTAGATTTTATAAATTTAAGTATTTTTCTTTGTGTTACTATAATCAAGTCAACAATCAATACTAAATCCATTAATCACTGACTCACTCACTTGCTCCTTTTTTATTTCTAATTCATTATTAAATGAATAACTGAATTAATTGCTGGGATTTTATTTTTTTAATTTGTTCATAATGAAATTTAAATAAAATTTATTAATTACATTAAATTTTTCATTATATGAATAATTTTGAATTATAAAAATTACTTTTTTTGTAAATACGTACCACTAAATAAATAAATAAATTATAGTGATGATGGATAAATTTGAAATAAAAATATAAATAAATTATCTATCCTTAATTATAATTATGAATTATTTATTATATTTATTACTTCTTTTTTTATGATAGTAATTGTTATCTCTTTTCTGAAAATGCTAATATAAACTTAATCATTTTTTATAAATTTATTAAATTATATTAGAATATTTTCATAAAATCAATTATAAATTAGATTTGAAAATTTAATTATTATGGTAATATTCTAAAACAAAAATATAGCAATATTCTAATAATTAAAGATAGTATTTTTAAAATAAATTGCTATTAATAATTTGAAAAATCATTAAAAAACCAATATAATTTATAATTATTTGAAAATAAATTGTCTTTTTTATAGCTTAAAAAGCTTTGTATTTTGATTTTATGGCAAAATTTATTCAATCCATAAAAAGCAAAAAAATCTTGTATAAATATCAGTTTTTTGGTTTTTTTTGCATTTGTAATATTTTAATATAAAATAATTAAAAAATATTAATTATTTTAAATTAATTAAAAAATAAAGATAAAAGCTCAGATATATAAAAACCTTTATAAGAATTAACATTAAATAAATTTTTTAGAATTAAATTTTTATTTTGTGAGTAAGATGTTTGTATTTTAAGCATGAAAATATTAATTTAATAAAAATGGACTGTCAATAATATAGACTTATTTACTTTTAACTTTTTAAATTATGTACTATTATCAAAGGAAAAAGCATATATAAAATGAAGTTTATCTACATATAATGAGAATTAAAAAAAAATTTATAATTTGATCATTTTTTTAAGTTAAAATTATAGTTATGATTGATTAAAATACAAAAATATTAGTTTCTCCTATAAAAATGTTGGAATTATTTGGTAAAATTGACAATTAATATTAATTTTATAATGAGATTTGCTATATAAATAAACAAAGACAGATATCAATTTTTTGTTTTTAATTATCAACTTTTTATATTATTTTTTAATACATTTACTCTATAGAGTCTTTTAATTTAGAAAATTATTATTATTATTTCTTCACTCATCTAGAGCTCAAGAGTCTTAAAATTTCCAAGAATAAACCAATTATATCAATATAAAGCATTAAAGCTCCGATGACGTAATCATCAATTTCTAATGCGTATCTCTTTTTTCCTACAATAAGCTGGGTGTCATAAATCAAGTAAAGGGAATAGAGCAAGCACCCAAGAGCGCAATAGACTATATAAGCTGTTCTTGAATATGCAAAGGCTAAAAATATTCCAAAAATAATAAGAACCATTACAAAGCAAAAGAGGAAGCCACCCAAAAGAGTGAAGTCTGTTTTGGTTTTAAAAGCGTAAATTGTCAAAGCAACTACTACGCCAAGAGTCATAACAGCTGCAATCAAAACTGTTTTCTATCCGTCATCACTTTATTGCTTCACAACAGAGCAGCAAGCACTTACAAGATATGACATGCAGAAAGTGAAAATAAATAGGCAAATATAGTTTGTTGGGACAGTTCTAGCAACATTTCTGAAGCAGAGGATAGCTATTTCGACAATAAACATTACTACAATGCATGTGTAAAGCAACCATAAGTTATTTTATTAAAATGTGGTGAATCCTGGAGAGTACATAGCTCCAACAGTCATCAAAACAGTAACTAGTAATTGTGCACCTAATATTAAGTAAACCTTACGAATAAATCCAAGACGAGTATTTCCCAACAATCCTTCATTCTGCTTTTCAAAAAATCCTTGGTTAATTTCTTCCTAATATTAATTCTAGCCATAAATGTTCTAATTATTGCTATACTAGTAATTATTATTATTATACTAGTTGTTATTATAGTTTTAGTTTTGTTCAATATCCATTTTATCAAACAACTTTTTTGTTATTTATTTCTTAAAATTAGTTTTTTTGTGTATTTAATAATCTTTTAACAATATAAAAAAATCTAAAAGCTATCTCTATATTTATATCTAACTAACTAACTAACTATTAGTATTCTATTAAATAAGCAAATCTAACAAAAAAAATGTTTATCTATTTTCATAATTGATAATTCATCTACTTCATAAATTTTAATATGTATTCAAACAAGATTGATTACATTACTATCAAATTTACATAAGGCAGAAAAAAGCGAATTTGAAAAAGTATCAAATTTTATTCTAATATGTAAGTAAGTTTTTTCTTTTATACTCTTTAGAATAATAAATAATACATAAATAAAAAAACATTTTCTTTTAATATTTTATTTCTCTAAAATATTTAAAGTAAATATGTTTTAAGTTTTTTACTTTTAAAAAAATATTTTAATAATTTATTTTAATTTTTATATTAATTAAAATGCCCAAAAGAAAATTAGAAAAAATAATTTAAAATTCTAACTTTATAATGATTTTTTATTTTCAATTTATTTTTATATTAAAAAATAAATATTTTTAAAGAATGAAAATATGGAAATTATTTATTAAAGAAACTTTTTATTCTATTGTTTATAATTTTTAACTAATTTGCTATTATTTATTTAATTATAGTTTATTACTAATTTATATATTTGTGTGTAGATTCGTTTGATTTAGAATATTATAATCATTTCACTCATTTTAAGCTCAAAACTCTAAAGATTCTTAAAATTTCAAAGAATATATAAATAATATTATTATAAAGCATTAAAGCTCCGATCACGTAATCATCAATATCTAGTGAATATTTTTTTTCCCCTATAATTAGTTGGGTATCATAAATCAGATAAAGGGAGTAGAGCAAGCATCCAAGAGCACTATACACAATGTAAGCTACTCTTGAATAAGTAAAAACTAAAAATATACCAAATATAATAAGAATTATCACAAAACAAAAGAGGAAGCCACCCAAAATAGTGAAGTCTGTTTTAGTTTTAAAAGCATAAATTGTTAAAGCAACTACTATCCCAAAGGTCATAACAGCAGCAACTAAAATCATTTTCTATCCATCTTCGCTTGATTTATTTAAAAGAGAGCAACAAGTGCTAACAAAATATGACATGCAGAATGTAAAAATAAATAGGCAAATGTAGTTTATAGGAACAGTTTTAGCTATATTTCTGAAGCAGAAGAGAGCTATTTCTACAATAAACATTATTACTATACATGTGTATAATAGCCATAAATTATTTTATTAAAATGTGGTGAACCCTGGAGAGTACATAGCTCCGACTGTCATCAAAACAGTAACTAGTAATTGGGTACCTAATATTAAGTAGACCTTACGAATAAATCCAAGGCGAGTATTTCCTAGCAACCCTTCATTCTACTTTTAAAATAATTATTAGTTAAATTCTTCTTAATATTAATTCTAGCCATCAATACTCTAATTATTATTATACTAGGAATTATTATTATAATAGTTGTTATTTTAGTTATAATTTTATTCAATATCCATTTTATTAGACAATTTTTTTCTACTTTACTTAAAGGTAATTTTTATTTATTTTAATATTTATTAGTAATATACAAAAATTTAATAGCTACATATTTATAGCAAAATAATTAATTTATTATTCAATTCAATAAACAAATCTAATTAAAAAATATTAATCTGTTTTTAAATTGGAAATACATCTAATTAATTTATACTTTTCTTGTGAGACCATATAGAATTAAAATATTATCAAATATACATAAGGTAGATATTAGGGAGATGAACAGTGCTTTAATATTTGTCTATTTTATTGAAATACTTATTTCATTTTTAAAAATACTAAACTGTTAAATTGCTTTAGAAAATATTTAACTTTAAAATTTTATTCATTTAAAGTAAATAACTTTCATATAATGTAAACATATTTAATGTTTTCATAATAGTTTAAATGATTTGAAATACCCAAAATTTTTATAATAATAATTACATATTTGTTTAAAATAAACATTTACTATTTTATTTTTCTTATTGAATTTATTTTTCTATATTTTGCATATTCTTATCTTAATGAAAGTATGAAAATATGTAAAGTATTGTCTGTAAATTCTCTTTGTAACTTTTCTAATAAAAAAATATTTTTATTCTTTTTATTCTAGCCATTTAATTTATGATTAATTATCAATTATTCATTTAAGTAAACTACATTTTTTGATTAAATAAAATATATTAAGCATTATCAAAGGTAAGATTTACCATGATAAATTTTAGAAGAAAAGGCTTTTCCTAAAATTTTCTCAAAACAAATTTATTTTATAAAAAATAAAATTTCTGATTTAATCATCAGATTTTGATACAAAATATAACACTTTCTTTTTTGGATTATGTTAAAGTGCTATTTAATCTAATATTTGTTTTTTATTGAAAAGCCAATCTAATATTTATTTAAGATATCTTTTTTTAGTTGAATAGTAAAAATATAAAATAAATGCAATAAAATATCTTGCTTGAGTCTTGCACTGAAAGCTATACACAAAGTTTAGAGGCTTAAAATAGAGGAGCTCATAGAATTGAGCTATGTGATAATTTAGCTTAGGGAGGAACTACTCCTTCTTATGGAACCATTAAAATTTGTAAAGAAAGATTGAATATCCCACAAAGTGTAATGATTAGACCAAGAGGTGGAGATTTCACTTACAGTAAAGATGAACTTGATATCATGAGAGAAGATATTAAAATTTGCAAGTAGCTTAATGTAGATGGTGTAGTTTTTGGATTTTTAACCAAAGATTAAAAATAGATCGACTTTGAATTGACTAAAGAGTTTGTAGAGCTATCAGCTCCACTCAAGGTAACATTTCACATGGCTTTTGATGAAGTAGATGACTAATTTTAAGCTTTAGAAAAATTGATAGAATTGAAGGTTACAAGAATACTAACAAAAGGTGGAAAATTTAAAAATGCTTTAGAAGGTTAGGAAGTTTTGAAAAAATTAATTGAGTAAGCAAATGGAAGAATTGAAGTGATGCCAGGAAAAGGAATAAATTCTTAAAATTATAAGCAATTAGCAGAATTTACTAAAGCTACTCAATTACATGGAACTCAAATAGTTTGAATATGAAATAAAATTTTATAGAGAAAATCTAAATAAAAATTAGGTTAACTTTAATTTTGACAATAAATAAAATCATTTACTTGTTGAATTAAAAGAATTTATGTAATTTTTTACTAAAAATGTTAAATTTTCATCAACAAAGTTGCTCAAAAAATATTTTATTTACTAAAATATTTTGTTTTATTCCAAGGAACAAAATATGTGTGTTTGTTAGTTTTTTTGCTTGTTTGATATTTGTTTATTTTTGGATTTTTGTTAAAAAATAATTATTACTCTATCAGTCTTGAAATTTTGTTTTTTCTATATTATTTTAAAATATTAGCAGTAATTTAATAAATTTTTAATCTAATATTTTCAATTTTTAATTTAATTTGAGTTATAATTGGTGATCACAAGCAAATAAATAAGTTTGTAATTCAATATTATTAATTTAAAGAATTTACACATTCTATTTTTAAAATTTACAAGTCAAAAATCATATTGTAAGATAGAGTTATATTTAAATTTATAAATATTCTTATGAAGAAAGGAAAACAGGCTGCAAGCTAGTAGCAAATATAAATATAAAATGTTCCTTAGCCTCTTTTATAAATACTGCCTAAATAAATGAAATTAGAAAATCCTAAAAAATCAGCAAAGCCTTTTCCTAACAATCAAAATTAATAATAAATTTAAAATATTCCTCCATAAAATCCAGAGAGTGGCTAAAAAATGAAAAAGCAAAGCACTCATTTAATTTTACCTTCGATATATAGGGGTAATAATTTTTAACAGATGCAAAAAAAAAGATAAGCAAGTGCAAGCAGAGAAAATAATAACTTACCTGCATTTATTGGTGATAAAAAAGATGATGAAGATGAAGATATTTTTAGTGAATCAGATAATAAGGCAATACGGTCTCAAAGAAAAATTCAAAGACCTCAAAGCTTTATTGTTAAGAAGAAAGAGAAAAAAGGAGACTCGATTTCATCAAATATAACTCCTTCTAATAAAATGTAAAAAATGCAATCAAATAAGCAAAATCAGCAATTCTCTAGCAATAATAGTCCTACTTTGAGTGAAAAGACATTTCTAAAATATGATGATATTCTATAAAATGTTTAAAGCACTAAAAACATAGAAAAAATTAAGTTTAACCCTTGGAAAAGGTAACATTTATATTTAAATGGTTTAATGCTTTTAAATTAGATTTATATTAAAATACTTGATAAATAGATTATTTATTTGTTAAATTAGCAAATGATTAATTAAGCTAATTCTTTAATTTTTGAAATAGGTTTGATGAAAAAAAGGAAGAAAACTATGAAAAGCTGCTAGTTTAACTTAATGACTTGAAAAAAAAGCATAAAGAATAGGTTGAACTCTATTAATAAAAATAATAAAATTAAGATTTTAACAATCCAAATTTTTTGGAGATGCAGTAAAAACATGAAAAACTACTGTTGGAAAATAAAAATGAAAATTAATAAACTCCTCATTCACTTCCAGTAGAATAAAAAGAAAATTTAGAATCATTCTAGTAAATTATTAAATAAAATTCACTTGGATTAGCTCTTGAGAGATAAGGAGAAAAATAAATTGAAAATTTTAGTAAAGTTTCAAGTTCTTCTTCTTAAAAGGCTGATTAGTCATCAATTGGACTTGTTTCAGCTCCATTGATGGCAGAATAAAGTTAAGATATGGATAGAAATATATGGAAAAGAAAAAAAATAAATGAGAGAAATTAAATAATGGAAGAATGCAGTAGCATAGAGAGAGAGCTATACTAAATAAATTTTTTGCATAACAAAAATCAAAAAGCTATAAATGAATATATCAATACACAAAATTCTCTATTAAAACTCAATCTTCAAGTAATTTATTTTTTTAATAAAATTTATTTGTTTATAAATTATTTGTTTTATTAAATTTTATTAGATGAAAAAGTAAGTCAACACTAATTAACCTACTTAGATCAAAGAAAAAAACTGATTAATTTAAGATCAATTTCGTTAATTAATGTTTAGTAATCAATTAATAAAATGCATTTGTATTATAAAAAAACTATTGACAACTAAAAATCATTGGATTTTTGGTATGTAGAAATGGGAAATGAATCGAAACAATAAAAAATAGAGAACTGAAAAAACGAACATTTTGATAAAATTTATCAAAATAAAAAAGTAAATTTTCTAAAAAACTGAAATAATTGCAATATCTTTTAAATATAATTTCTAAAATTAGCCTCAATATATAAATAATTATGCACAAACAAATTTTCTCTGTAAGTATTTTACTATTTACTTCTATTTATTTGTAAATTAACAAACAGACATTAACATCTCAAACAATTTTATGTGTAAATATTAAAATTAATAAAACCTGTCAAAAAATAAATAAATTTCAAAGCATAAATAACTTTAAAATAAAATTCATTTATTATAATTAATATATTCTTAAAATTCTTCTTTTATATTATATTTTTGTCACTAAAATTTAATTTAATGATTATTATTTAAAATAAATCAGTCACTTTATTTTAAATTGAAAATTTATTTCAAAAGCAAATTAATTTTTAAATATTACATTTATAACAAAATGGTTAAATAATAATTTAAAGAATTTATCTAATTTTTTTTTTAAATTAATAGTATTTTAATAATAATCAATTTTAATTTGTATATTTAGCTTTTGATGAAATAATAAAGTTATTTTGAATATTTATTTATTTACCTAGATTATTTATATTATCTTAATTTTCTGATTAGCATCTGTTATTTGCTTGTTGGTGTATTTAAAATTTATATAAAGGCATTTATTATATATTTTTTCTTTTTGAAGGAGATAAATTTGGACTTATTTTTGCAAAAGTGTTCATTTTTACAGACGAGTTATTTTAAATTTTACTTAAATTGTTAAGTGATTTACTTCTTACACCTTCCAAACAATCTGTAAATGATTATACAGAATACTAATTATTTATGTTAGACTAACTTTGGTTTTCAGACTAAGATAAATTAGTGATAGTTTATGTAGGTGCTTATTGTATTTTTATATGAGTAGAAATATGATAACTATTCTTTTGATACTCTTAAATTAAATTTTGTTTTGTTATAATTGAGCTTTAAGTTAATGGAAGCAATTATGATTACTTAATTCTTTTGATTAAGGGACTAACATCTCTCTAGTTTATTTTCAAATTCATATTATGTATAGGCGTTATTTGAGAGAATTAAGATAAACTAGATTATATGCTTCTTGTTGAAGTAGCTTTTGATCCTAATTTGTGAGGAGTAATATCTTACTTTTTTATTTTAAACTCCATTACTGTTGATATATTTATTTACTTCTAAGTATTAGACATATTTGAAATAGAGCTTTTTCTAGAATCTGCTTGCATTTTTTATAGTGAATCTTAATTTGAAATTTAATTCTAATTTGGTCTTTAATCTGAACAGGAATTTTACTTTGAGTTTTGTGTCATTTTAAATTTTAAAACTCTCTAATCATTTTAATTTCCTTGAGATTGTTGAGTTTTCTCCATATAATTATTTATAATTTTTCCAAGCATAATATTTTGAATTTAATTAACTGATTGATCTTTGTTTCTCTCAAAAAAGACAGACTTTGATCTTTTATTCTTTAGAAAAATTAAATTGATGCTATAAATTAAAAAAAAAATAATTTGATTACGTTGTTTGTAAATTCTTGCTCTTTATTATCAGAAGACTGAGGAGTATTTTCATTTTCTTTTTTTAATTTTTCATCAACTTTTTTTTGCATGTCTCTTAAATAGTTTTTAACTCCTGATTTACCTGAATATGGTATAATTATTTTATTGTTTTTCATTAAATCTATTCTGTATTTTGTCAAACTATTTTCATTGATGTTTTTTGGTGTCTCTTAAACTATTTATTGAGGAATATGATCTTATAATGACTTTAAACTTGTTTCTCTAAATTAGTTGAAGAATCTTATTTGTAGTTACTTTTTAAATCCTTCAGATAATGGATCTTTAGTTAACGATTCTCTCAACCTTTATTTTTTAGAAGAAACCATCTCCTGTTGTTGCTCTAAAGCTTTTTCAACACTTAGTTTTTGTTGCAACGAGCTTTAATAGTTTTCTTTAAGTTTAAATATATATTTATCTGTTGTAGCTTAATTTGTAGTTGGCTATAAATTCATAAATGATTAGCTTTATGATTTGTATAATCTCTGCTTGTTAATTGGAGAAACCTACTCCTATTAATTATTTATGTTGTCTTATTCTATTAAAAGATGTATTGAACCAGGTCTTTAGAGCTAATCTAAATTTATTGTTCTTTTTTTTTTCTTATCTCGGATAGGTGATGTAGGTATCATTGGGTTCTCTTCTTCGAAAGATTCGTTATATCCAAATTAATTAAATTATTATATTTCTTGTAGAAAATACTCATTTTTAGGTAAAGCTATCTCATTTTGATCCTCACTGACTTCATTTTTACTCTTATTTGGTGATGGAAATCTAATTGGAATATTCTCTTTCTTTTTATTAAATCATTTAAGTATATTTTTACAATTATAATTTAAACTCAAATTTATTTACCTGCTTATTTTCAGGGATCATAAAAGAATTAGATTAAGAATAAGTTATAAAAGTTGATCTTCTTTGATTATTATTAACTTAGCTGCTGAAACTTTCTCTTTCTTTACTCTTATTGCTTTTATCATCAATAACAAAATTTGAATATTGAGATAGCAAATTCTCTATATTCTAAACTCTGTTTGTAGTATTAGACGATTTATTTTCCATTCTTTGCATGATAAACTAGTTAGAATTACTGTCTATCATGATTTTATTAATAAAATCTTCCTTACTAATTGCTAGTAGACAGCCTTCACTGCTTTCACAAATAACTGAGTAGCTCCTATTTTACTGCTTTATTATATCTTCTTCACCAAACATTTCAGGATACGACAATACAGAAATCTTATTAATATATATAAAAACATTAAATAATAAATACATATTTCTTATTTTACTTTTAAGTCTTTTTTAGAAGAAAATTCATTTTTATAAATAGATTTCTAGTCTTCAACTAAAATATCATTTATTCCACTATATTATTCAAATTTCATTTTAGCCTATTAATAAAATGGAATATGAAGAAAACTTATTTATATTTTTAATAGAATTTACGACAAAATCTCCTTAAGCTATTATATATACATATTAACATATCTAACCTTCTTTAAATACAATACTGTTTTTCTTAAGTTTCATTTTAATAGTTGACTAATAAATATCTCTAATTTTGGTAAAATACCATCCTTAAAATATAGGCAGCTTTGCGAAAAACCCCATTTCCTTTAGTAGCTTTTCCTCTTCAAATTATCTAATTAAAGTTTAAAACTCTCTTTTGTTTAAAATAGCAAAGCTGCAATCTGAGAGACATTTAATTGTTTCTTCTCTGGGCTTATTTTAATGATAAATAAATAAAATTGCTCTTTTATTTTAATTTTACTTTATCACCCTCTAAATCTAATTCACCAAAAGATGAACCAGGACCTAATTCTTTAACAAATTATAACAATTTTTTGCTCTTTTTGTTATGCCTTTCACTAATTTTATAGTCCAATGAATCGTTAGAGTTATTTTATTCATTTTAATCTTTTATCTTCGTATATACTCCTACTTTACCATCGAGAACAACAAAAAATTTTTAGCTAAAGCTATCTATTATTTAAATTGTAAGTTTAAAATAGATTATTCTTTTAAAAAGTTGTAAATAAAGAAAGCAAGGAATTTATCATTAAAAATAAGCTAATTGATCATTTACCTATATGATAGACAATCTAATCTTTTGAAAACGACTCTAACTTCATTAGCTCGCAACATTTTTTATGAATCTAATCTAATTTCTACTCAATATAGCTTTAAAACAATGGAATTTAAGAAGTAAACTTAATCAGGGCATCTATTTCTATAGAATTCCTCAAGTGAGAAGCTTTTCTTAATGTCTAAATGATATTCTCCTTTGTTAAAATTTCATAGATTAAAAATATTAACTAAGTAATTAAGTATGATACATTTGTGCGATTTAAATGCATTGAAGCTATAAAATTACTTGAATTCTAAAAAGTCTTTATTTTAGATTTAATGAATTTATAAATTAATTATTTTGTGGTTGTAAAATTTTTTAGGATTTAATCAACTTAAAACAATATATTAATACACTTACACTTACTTATATATTAATAATAAATCAACCTACATAAAAATTAGTTTTTATTTTTTAATATAAACTAAAATTGGTTTGCATTTACTATTTTTGTATGAAACCAAAATAAAATATTTTAACTTTTTAAATATTATAATTTAATTTTCATATTAAATTTATATTTTTCAAAAAATTTAATTTAATTAATCTTAAACATATTTTATTTTGATATTCAAAAACAATAATAAAACTGTTATCATAAATATAAAATAAGTTTTAAAATAATTTGTGAAATAACATTTAGATTTTTATTAAAATTATAATTATAAATAATTCAAATAAAAAAACTATTTTATTTGATTGCATCTAAATATTTGCTTTATATTTATAACTATAAATATCACTTATTAAATTAATAATGTCATTTTTCTTTATCTAAATTCAATTTATTTATTAATATTTTTGATTAATATTTACATTTTATTCTAAAATTTGCATAGAACTTTGTCTAAAATATAATTTGTTTGGTATTAAATTAATTATAGGATTTAAAAAGAAATTTAATTAAAATTTTACGCCTATAATTTAATTTATAAGTGAAGATAATTTTAATAAAAAGCATAAAATTTCAGAATAACTTGTAAAAAATAGAATTAGGAAGTTAATAGACTAAAAATTAATATTATATTGAAAAGCATTTTGAAAATACATACAAAATAAAAAAGATTAAAAAATAAATTTTAAATTTGCTTATAGTAAAATGATAATAAATCAATTTGAAATTTTTAATCTCTAAGGAATATTTTAATAATGAATAAATTAATTTTATTTTGAAAAACTATTGATTAAAGTATATTTATTAATTATTAATTTATTTGATTTGATTTAAGTTAAATTGGTCAATTAACACTTAATAAAGGTTTTATTTTTGGTCTTTTATAGAATAGTTAGAGCAACATATTTAAATAAATAAGTTAAAACTACTTGAGAAAAAAATAAATGAAAAAAAATGGTTAATTTGCTAATAATAGATTTATTTATTAATAATTTATCCTAAAGATATTATTTTTATGTTAAATTTTTGAAATACTTTAAAAAAACAAATGTAGTATTTCTATTCCTAATAAAATAAAAATGAATAAAATTCATATTTAATAATTAACAACAAACAATGTTTTTTTGTTTGATATTAAGATTCAAAATAAACTTAAGATGTTAGCTATAAACTATAATATTCCTATTGAAAAAAATATTTGTTTATATCTGTTATTTATTAGCTATTTTTTATGAATTTTAAGGCAATTAATAAATATATAAAAAAAATTATTCAAGTTACTCTATATTTTTCATTTAATTACATTAAAATTATTCATATGCCTTATATAAAAAATTTATCATATCCTTTTAAATATGTTATTTATAGATACCTAAAGTGTAAACTTTAGTTTTATAAGCTAGATTTAAACTGTTAGTTAACATTTTATATATTATGATATTAATAAAATGTTTTTATTACTTTAATCTTAAATTTAACACAAACCTTTCATACTTCCTCTAAATTCGGCTCCTCAACACATGGACAGAATAGAGATTACATTACAAAAATTGGAAAAAGTTTATTATTTTTAACTAACCAAAAAGTGAATATAAAACAATATACAAAATAAATTTATTTACTATTAAAAAAACAATGAAATTTTTTTTATTTTATTTTAATATTATCAATATATTCATCTTAAAACAATTAAATTGTTTTCATATTTTAATTATCGTAATTTCATGTTTACCCTTTGAAATAAGTTTGCTTAATTTTACTCATATTTTAAAAAATTAAATCTTAAAAATTTGAGAGGTAGCTCCCAAAAAATCAAATTTCATTAACAAGGTATTTTGAGGTTTTGCGCTATCTGTTATATTATTATCTTGCAATAATATTTTAATTTTATAACAAACTATTTTTTACAAAATATTTGAATATTTTTCTGTAAAAAAACGAATATTAATATATCTTAGAAATTAAAGTAGATTCGAATTGAAATTCTAAGGCTGAATGAATTTTATTATAAAACTATAATTTTTTATGGAACTCGTAATTCGATTAGATAAAAATTTAAGTTTATTACTTAAAACCCAAACTTTCAAATTCGAAGATTAGATAAATTTATTTAAAATATTTGAATATCCTTCAAAATTTATTAAAAAATAGTTAAAATTTAATTAATATTTACAAAAAAATAAAAATTGTTATAAAATAAAAAAATGGGTTGCGGCTCTTCTAATGCTCATGATCCAAAGTTGAAAGACTAAGTAATAATTACTAAATGAACTAATCAATATTAAACTTAAATAATTTATTATAGGCAAATAAAGAGAAAGTGGATCTTAAGAAATCAGAAAAAAAAGATGAAAAATAAGACAAAAATAAAAAAGAGTAAGAAAAAAAAATGAAAGAAAAAGAGAAAGAAAAAAAGAAAAAGAAAAATGAAAGTGATGAAGAAGATAATCTATAAAAAGGACTTTAAGTAGCAGAAGATTTATATAATCATATATCAAAAATGAAAATATTAGAGTGAGTTGGATATATATTATTTATTAAAGATATAGATTATTTTATTGTTTGTTTTTCTTATATTATTAATGGATTTTATCTATTTTTCTTTGTGATTCAATGTTTTAATATTTTGTTTACAATCGAAATATCAAAAGACATATAGCTGTATATCAGCGAATTTGATCAATAAAATTTTTAATCTTAAGCAAAAAATTTAATAATGAGCTCAGATTAATCGGAAAAGATTAAAAAGTTAAAGATCTAAACTTTAATAATTTTTTGTAAAATAAGGGATAAGTAAAACAAAATTATTAATTTTTGCTGATTTTAGAGATAAAAAGTTAAATCTTTTATTTTTAAAATTTATTTAGCTAATTAATTTCTTTCTATTTTGGATAATTTAATAAATTGAATAACAAAATTTGTAATTTTCCATCGATTTATTACAGATATGTAAAACATATTAATTTTTTTTTGACCACTACTTTTATTTAATGGCTTAAAGATTTTACAGTTTTTAAAAAATGAGGTTTAATATTTCTCTAAGAATTTTCTTATTAAGATAGAATAATATTCAAATAAATATTATGGTTATTAGTTGTTAATTTAACTATTCAGTAATATCCACTCATTTTAATCATTCTTGTTATGTATTTTGAGATTCTCCTTTATTAATTATTAAAATATTAGTTTACACTTAAAAGAAAAGATATGAGCATTTAATATCAAATCAAAATCTAAACCCAACTATTCTAATAAAAATGGGAGAATTTAAATAATAAAAAAATTGAAAGTAAATAAAATTTATTTAAAGTATAAAAACTAATCAATGATTTTTAGAAATTATTTCATCAAACCTTGATAACTAAAAACATATTTAAAATATATTTTTTAAAAAGTGGCTAATATAATGTGATCAATTTATATATTTATCATTCTTTATTTATTTAAAAAATGATTCAACTTTTTTGGAGTCAACTATTTTTGTGAGTATAAATACTTAAATAATACATCAATAAATTTGAATTGAACCTTATTAAAACTAGCTTAGCAATTCAGAGATATTAAGTAAAATAATAGCTTTGTTTATTAATAAACATCGATGTTATTTTGATAATTATATTTTAGCTCAAGATATTATAGTACGCCTAATTATCAAAAAATGCAAGTTAACTGTTAATATTACAATGAATTTAATAGAGCGAATATAGAAAATTACAATGAAATTAGTATAATTCACAATTATTAATCAAGTTACTAATAAAAAGGCTATGTAAAAGTAGTATTTTTTTAGAAAAAATAAAAATTCTTCTTTCAAAAAAATGATTAGACTTTATTTATAAGTTAGGATAAGATGATATTAAAAACTTTTAGATATTAACAAAAATTAAGAAATCGCAAAATTAAATTTGTTATTTTTAATTGAATTTCGAAAACAAACAATAAGTAATTTGTAATATTATTTAAGTTTTGTCTTTATTTAGATTTATAATTTCTTTTTTATATTAAAAAATTGTAAATTTTTCAATTAGGAAATGAATAAGTTTACATACATTTCCTCCCCTTAAAAGATTTACTTTAATAATAAAGAAAAATATTTGAATTCTAGTTAAATGATAAATTTTTGGAATAAATGTTTATTAAATGTTGTTATTTAAAATGTTTTATTAAATTTAAATATAACAAACACTACTTGTAATAGAATTTTTTTTATATTATTTAATAAATAAACTTTATAGAGATAAGAAATACAAATTTATTGCCATTTAAAAAAGATTAGAGTTGATAAACGTAAGGAGACATAAATTTAAAACAAAACTTAAATTGAAAATATCTTACTATTTTTTATATTTTTTAAAATTTCAATTAATTTTAACAATTCTTTTGCAACATTTTTTAATTTTTGTTTGTAATTAAACATTTTCTATTTAATCTAATGCTAAAAATTTTATAAATAAAGTATTTAAGTTCTACATTTGCTATAAATATTTGTAAATTTCCAAAATATTTAAATGAGCTTGGATAATAAGTTCTAATTTGAAGATTTTTAATTTCTTTAGCTCAACACATAATTTTTTTGCAGAAATAATTTTTATTTAATTTTAAAGTACTACTAATTTTATATAGCGAATTTATTAGCAATTAGATAGTTAATCACCTATGATGCTTGTTTCATCATTATTTTCTATACCTATTCTATTAAATTCTAAGCTAATATTAGTAGCTAACTTACATTTTGATATCTAATTACATAATTCTTCAGCACCTTAAGCTAAAATATAATTACGCAAAAAGGACACTTCAATATTTTCTAATAATTAACATTAAGATATTGCCTCTCCTATCTAAAATGATAAGTTAGTATTAATATCATTCTTATAAAAAATTAATGCTATATGCTTTAAATATGCACATTTTACTATTGCTTAACATATTTCGCTGATTCCACAAAAGTGAAATGATATTTCTGATAAAAAAATTTGTAAATATGCTAAATTTTTGCATTATCTAACTATATTCGATTTAAGCCACTGTTTTGGAAATTCATTTTTAGAAAACTTTGAACAATCAAAATCTGATGAAATAATTTCTAAAAATCTTTAATTTGCTTTTTATATAATTCCCTATTATTAGTTTTCATCTTTTTCATTTATTAAATCCTCCCATTATAATTTGAATGTTTATGTTTAGTCTTTGATTTTATATTGAATGCTCATGCTTTTATCTTACTTTAAATGTAAATTAATATTTTAATAATTAATAAATGAAAAACTTAAAATAATTCCAAGAAGAATAAAATAAATGGATATTATTTATTCTTAAAAGGCAACGCAAAATAAAATTTTTGTTATATTTTATCTTATTTTATCAAACATATTCACAGTTTATAGCTAAATTGCTGAAGGAACACAAAATAAGTATCCATTAATTTAATCATAATATTATTTTAATAGGGTAAAAATTAATTACTCTCAATATTTAAAATTTTTTTTCTACTTTAATTCTTTTCAAATTATTATTATCTTTTTAATTTTCTAAATAAAAATAAAATAAATTCATTTAATATGGAATAATTTTCATTAAAGAAAAATTAAATGTTTTAAACTCAATCTACTAAATATTTAAAAATAATTAACAAAAAAAAAACACAAAAAATTAAGAATTAAAATATTATTGTATTTAATAGGAGGGGAGTTTTAAAAATATGTTATGCTATTATTATATATTTAGAAATTTTAACAAAATAGTTGGCTTGCTTTTATCTAAGTGAAATTCCAAGGAAAAGTTAGATACCTAGAAGGTTGAAGCTTATTTAGTGGTAGTACAAGCTATACTCTCATAGGTGCACAAGGAGATAGGTAATTAGAATAAATATTATGGACAATAAAATATCAATTATATATATTTTAATGTATATTTTTCAAGTTTCAAAACATAAATACATTTTTATGAAAAATTATAACAATTCAACATAAATTTTTATAAGAAGGTTGTTTCGAATTTAATAAAACCTCAATTTCGAGAAAATTTAATTTTATAAACTGTTTCAAATAGTATAAGTATTCCTCTTTATTTAATAAATAATAAATTTAATTAAGTTATACTAAAATCTTAAAAAGTTGTATTTTTAAAATAAAAAAATGGGTTGTGGCACATCTAATGAATCCTCTGCATCAAAGCCAAAAGAACATGTAATTTTACTGATTTAAATTAAATAATTTTTAATTTTATTAATCCGAAACAGGACAATCATGTCAAACCAGAACAAAAGAAAGAAAAAAAATCTGATAAATAAGATGAAAAATAAGATCACAATAAGAAAAACAAAGATAAGAAAGATAAAGATAATTTGAAAGAAGAGGACCACAACTCAGAAAAAGAACATAAAAAAGATAAAAAGAAAGAAAAAAACCATGACAAAGACCACGATAAAGACAGTGATAATGAAAAAAATAGTCACAAAAGCAAAGATAAAAAGAAAAAGAAAAAATAAGATGATCACAGCAGTGAAGAAGATGATAAATGACTACTTAGATTATTTTAATTATTAAATTTTTTAAATTTAATCTGAAATTATAATGATAATATATATTATTAGCTTCATGTTTTGTTTTAAGTATTTTTTTAAAGAATATAGTTTCTTAAAAATTTATTTTATTCCTATTTTATTACTTATGAGTAGCTTTTCATAAAATGAAGAAAAAAGCTTGGATAAATATTTGCTTGCAAAATCTATCTAATTTTCTTATTTAGTTGGAAAAATATTAAAAAATTATCAAAACAGCAAGAATAATATTAAAAATAAATGATCTCAGACTCTTTGAATAATACCTTAGATTAATAAATAAATTATTAAACAAATCTTTTGTTTTATTTATTATTGGTTTTCGAAATTTTTGATTTATCTCTTTTTAGTTATTATAACCACTATTTTTGTATGGATAATATTTGTGCATTTTATTAAATTAATTTAACCATAAAACAAAATTTAATAAATTTTATGGTTAAATAATTCTATATCATTAGCTACTTTCTTTTCTTACAAGTAGCCTTGCATAAAATGAACAAAGAAGTTATGATAAAATAATTACTTGCAGGATCTATCTAATTCAATTATAGAGCTGGAGAATAATTAAAAATAATCAAAACAGCAAGAATAATCTCAAATGAATGATCTCAGATTTTTTGAATTACCTTATAAAATTAACAAATAAATTATCAAACAAATCTTAAATATCGATTTTCGAAATTTTTAATTTGTCTCTTTCGAGTTAATATAATTATTATTTGTATGGACAATCTTTATTAAATTAATTCAGCCACAAAACAAACTTATAATAAATTTTATGGTTAAATTAATTCTATACCAGAAGTTACTTAGCTTGAATCATCACTTTTATTCAATCTCTTTAGCTATTTTAAAATGAAATGTATTAATAGTAAATAAGAATATTTAATATGATTTCTATTTATTACTTTAAACTCTTATATTTGTTTATAAATTAAAATAATAAATGTCACGCTATAAGAAATCTATTTTAAGTTAGGGTTCTAATAAATATAAATCAGAATTGTCTTCTGAAATACAGAATAAATTTTTAGAATAGGAATATAAATATTCGATGCTAATAAAATCATAATAATAAAACAATATCAATAAAATGATTTGTTAATTTCAAAGAGAAATTCTTTAACAGAAAAAACTTTCACAGTAAATTAAAAAATATAAAATCTTAATTTAGAACAGAAATTATTTGTTGAATTTATTATCTAAAATAAAAGCATTTCTCATATTTTTAAGAATAAAGAGATCATCATGCTTAAAATAATTTAAAAAATATATTGAATGATTCAACTTTATATAAAAAGAAAAAATAAAATTTAAAAAATTTTATATAAAAATACTCATTAAAAAAATACAAATTTATAGGACTAATTTATCATTGGGTTTATAAAGAAACTGAAATATTAAACATCTGTCCATCTTTATTTTTAATACATACTAGTATACCATCTGAAACTATTTAGTAATCACCATGCTGACAAGTTTCAACATTTAAATTGTTAACTGGTAAAATGTCTATTCCATTATACCCCATCTCTAACTAAAGTTTAACTTTCAAATTAGATACATCTTATTTATACTTAACTATATAGCCCTTAGATGTGTCTTAGAAATATAGTGGATTTAATTCAAAATAGCATGGAAGCATTGGCTTAGAGTTATCTTATTACTCAACAAATTAAAATTCTGTAATATCTTCTAAAACTGCTACAAAAGTTCCTTAATTGTTAAACATTTATCCACTTACTAGAGTTTGCTCACCGCTTAACTGATAACAATTGTAATCTTATGGATACTTATTCCAGTTTGAGGCTTTAGCGGTAATTATACCTATTTGCTTACTGCAAAAGTAGTGCTAAGCATTTTATGTGCAACTAAGTTAGGGTCTAACTAAATTAGCACTAAATACATTTTAAGTTTGACCTGTTAAGGACCCATCAGAATCAATTAATATGAAGCCTTAACTCTAGTTATTTTATTAGAAGAAGGATGAATTTTAACTGATATCAGAAACAACATTAAATGACTCTATAAGATTTATACCATTAACATAAGATTAGAATCCTACCAAACTGTCTTATGGAGTATTAGAAAATCCTTATAATTCAAATTATTGTAATTATGATTAGACAAAACCTTCATCTCTATATTGCATAGTAATAATGTTTGGAGTAAATTTAGTTGCATTTGATATTGAATTTGCAACTATAAAGAATTTTGTTTGCTTTTGGTTGTCAGATTCTAGAATTAGTTTGTATCCAGCAGGATTTCTAAAAGCATTATTTTAATTTTAGAAAACAGATTATGACAAATTCAATACAGTAAAGGCGAGACTTTGTGTTCTAATATTATGGGGAGAAAGCTAGGTCGAGAAATAGTTTGTAGAAAAGCAAACGTTCTATTCCATAGAAATAATCTATGTGGATTCAATCATAGTATCCAAACAAGAGTTTGAGGAAACTATAATGTTGTTTGAAAAATTTTAGCTTGATGGTACAGCTGGAGTGGTATAATAGAAATATCTAGTAATTGAAACACCAGCTTAGAGGAAGTTACCTTCAAACAATTTAAAATTAATACTGATTGTTTTAAGAGTGTTGGAATTATTAGGTCTTATGATATAACTATTTTAGAAAGTATCACCATTAAAAACGAGGTCATCATAAGCTTGAATAACACTTGATTAGATATTTTTGAATTCAACATATTAATTAGATGATTAAGAGCTTGGTGCACTGACATTAACGAATGAGTTCACTAAGTTATTGATAATTACTAGATATGGAATATTAACTCTAGTATCTTAGATATCATCAAGTATACCTATCCTTGGTTCAGATTCCCCTATTGAGATTTAAACATTTCTGCTGGTTTACAAAACTGGTACATTAATGCTTAGGTTTTACTTTTATCCATTCTTCTATGTTAAAGTTTCTTGTATGTTTGTGTGAAGATTTTAAACAGGGGTTGTCAGAAGGACACTATTACCACTGACACTATCTACTTAGAATACTTCATTCACATCATTTTGAGTTGTAGCCAAAACAACTATTTAAGCTCCTTTTTAGAGATAAACAGGGTTTTCGTTTAGAATGATTGATGTTGATAATGGAGAAACTTAACTTAGCAAACTGTAGTTATATTTTTATAACTTTTGACCATAAGACCTAACTTTTAGAATGTTAAGTTTATTTATTTGTACATCAAAATTAGAGTTGATTCTAATATCTTAAGATCCTAAACTGAAGATACCTTTTCCACTCAACAAGTTAATTGTTATACTTAAATCTTTGCTTGTTTAGAAAGATAGATATCCATCAACATTGATGGTGTCGAAATTTAACTAATCAGATTAAAATATTTTTCCTAAATCAAGATTTAATCCTAATCCTAAAGGAATACTTTAAAATTGGTTTCCATTAATTAAGTCATTTTAGACATATCTCATCTGTACTTTGTCACTATAATTGAATACATAATTGACATGAGTGAACATGAACGCAAACTCTTGTCCAAGGATAATTTTGGTTTGTTATATATGAGAGGGATCATAATATTAACTTTATCCTGAGATACATTTAATTTAAGTGTTAGTTAGACTTATAACTTAGCAATCAACTCCTAAGAATGATACTTTAGTGGTTTAAATTCCAGTGTTCTAGCTAGTTTAGAAGTTATTACCAGTTATTATAACTGTTTCACCTCCATAGGCTGATAAATTTTAAGGTTCTACACTTAAAACATAGCTGCTTTATTTGACTGGAGTAACAGCTTTTAAGAAAAGTTCAATAAAATAGCTATTAAAGATTTAATTTGATCCTATATCATTAAATGGATAATAATTTCCACCATTTATTTAATGTCCATCTTATTACTGCAAAAATTAACTTACAAAGGTGTTAGATTCTTAGTTAATCTAGTCAGCTTATTGAGATTTTTTCACGTTAAGAGGATTGGTAACTGCAATTATGATATCGCAAGTATGAGAAGTAGCTAAATTTCTTTAGAGTATTGTAGGGAATTAATATCCAAATATATCACCATCTTGGGTACTAGGTAAAATCTAATAAACATCCTTTCCTGATACACTGTAATCATCAAGGTTGGTATCAGTACTGTTATTCATGTTACCATTATGACAAAGTACATTCATTGAATAAAGTACATTTTAATTTGAAGGAGTTATCTAGAACTTTAAAATATCACCTGTTTAAACATTTTAATTGTAAGGCAACATAGTAACTGTTGGCTAAGGTAGGTAAAATTAATCAGAAGATGAAGGATAGAAACTAGCTTCACCAGCATCACTGCAAATATGGAAATAAATTCTATTCTTTTAGCTGTATTTATTGAATGAAAAAGTATTACCACTGATTTATTTCATGTTGTCAATTATTTGCCAGTTACTATCTAAAATTAGTATGTTGTAGATTTGCAAGTCAGGGAATTGTTAATTTGGTTTTAATGTCAAAGTAAAAGTGGAGGAGTCAGAAGATATATCAAAGTCAACATTTAAATAGTTAGAATTAGGATTTACATTGATTTTTATTGGTTAATTAAGAATGTTTTAACCATCAACAATCAATTAAGTTACCTAACTTGGCATTTAATTATAATCTAATGAAGTATAGACGGCGATCCCATTATTATTTTATTCAAATTCTATCATTCTGTTATTTCCTTAATCATATTAAATTTATATTTAAGAACTGGGAGCAAGGCCTTTAATTGAAGCAGCGAAAAACAAATTTCCATATTGTCTAATCATTAAATTACCACTTGGGTCTTAGCAGTAGAGCTTGTCGAGTTCTACTTTGACTTAAAATTGATAAGGTGCAGAACTTCCGTTTGAACCAACAAATACAATTAAACTATTAGAAGTGCTCGATAAATCTTAAGGAACAACGAATTGTAATCCAGTAGATGTCTATTAGTATTAGATATTTCTGTTACCGATAAAAAGTAGAGTTGATATTTTATCTGCTAAAAGATTTGATCCGATAATAGAATAAGTATAGCCTCTATAGAAATTACCATCCTAAGATTAAATTGCTGTAACGCTAGGTTGCTATTATATATTTACGAAGGTGTAAGTAGTTTAAGTAAGGTCAGCAGATTGAGAAAGAAGATTATTGCTAGTAACAACTACAATACCACTTTAGTTAACTAGGTTTTAAGCAGACCTAGTAACACACTAAATTTAAGTATCTGTAGAAGTAAGAATATCACAACCAACGCTTCCAATGAGGACCTGCATCTGTGTTGTGTCATAACTGAAGCCGAAACCATAAACAGTTAAAAGAACACCTCCATTTGAATTTCCTTATGAAGGTGAGATAGAATTAACTCTTACAGTAGAAGTAATTTGATTTGCTGCTTAAATAGTCTAACCATTTTTCAAGGTGATAATTCCTTAAAATACTCCGTTAAAACCTATTTAATTTTATGATAAAATCTAATAATTAAATGATAAATAAATACCTCCTTAAAATTGGCATAAAACTGAGTTTGGGTATATCTAAAGAATTTATAGTTCAATAGTTTATTGGTTGTTCGAGAGCTCAACTTTTTGAATATCTGAGGTACTGGAAATTCCTGAAAAAGTGATGTGAGATTAGCCTATGAAGGACACTTCCTGAGGAGATGCAGTCACTTCTGAAGTTTAAAGCTGTCTAACTTTCCTGTGCAGAAATTAGGCTATTTTTAGTCAATTAAAAAATATTTTTTAATTAAAAAAATAAAATCAAAATGAATGAATACCTTGTGCATTTATTAACAAGATTAAACTTATTAAAATAAGATAGTTCCTTTATAGAGCCATTTTATTCAATTTGAGTTACTTATTTTTTATTTTAATTAATTAATAAATTATAATTTTTAGCCACCGCAAAACTTTTTAAAAGTAAAAAATGTGTAAATTAAATTTTTAAAAGCCAAAATACTTTTTTGACATTTTCTGGTAGCAGATTAATCAGAAATTTGCTGATCATTTTTTATTAAATCTCAAAGTTACTTCTTTTATTTAAATATAGATTTTACCACTTCAACTCGAAAACCACAAAAAAATAATAAATAAATAAATATTGTGGATATAAAAAGTTGTTATATCATACAGTGCAAAAACCAAACAATAAGTACTTAACATATAAAATATTAATAATAAATAAATCCTTTTGAGAAAATAAGTATTTTTTAAAAACTAAATTTATGAAAATAAATTATTCTAAATTAAATTCGAATTTTGGTATGAATTTTTTAATAAAATTAGTACTAACCTTTGATTGAATGGATTTAAATAAGATTCTTTATGGACATAACATGGAACATATGTTAGTATAAATAAATATTGAAATATTCACATAAAAAATAAGTGAAAGTATTAAAAAGAAACCACAAATTAGTGAAATTTTGTGTATTATAAAGACTTAACTAGCAATCTGGAAATTAGATGTATCCTTAGTTTAAATATGGACTTTTACATTTTTTAATAAACTTATAATTCAAGCAAAAGTATCTTATTTGTGGATATAGATAATTTATTTAAATATTAAGCAAGACTTAACATCGTCAAAAATTAATAGCATACAAATAACATTAATCTTAAGAATTCCATTCAACTCATATTCAAGTGACTAATTTAACTTGCTATAAAATAAAATGCTTAACTTTATTTTGGCTTGCAATTAACAAGTAATAGGATATTCATTATTGTATTTTAAAAATTTAATAGTAATTTATCCCTCATAAAAATTCATGATAAGGATAAATAAATTTAAATAGCCATGGCTATTTTAAACTAAAAAAACAATTATAATAGCTTTTTCTATAAAAATTACTTTTAACTTATAGGATATTGATCCATATAGGCTTATAATTTTAATAACTAAATGTAAGAAAGGTTTTATAATTAGACACCTTTTAAGAAGATTATTTTACATGATAATTTACTAAATACTTAATAATTACAGAATAAATTTTTGGATTATTATTGTAGCCATCAAAATTTAAGAAATAAAATTAAATAAAGAATTAAAAAAATAATAATTTTTTAAAAAAAGAAGAAACAAGTAAAATAAAATAAAAAATCTTTTTAAGAAAAATCAAACATTTTCATCATTTTATTTTAAATTGTGGTGAAAATATTTTGACTTATGTTGATAGGTATTTTATTTTTTAAGTCTTTTATAACTATTTTCTTATCATTTTTGATAGATCTAATTGAAATTTGATGAAAGAGTAATTTATTCTTCTAAAATCTAAATATAAAATAAATTAAATGGTCAACTTGTATTATTTCTTTAAATTACAGATTTAATACAAATCATGAAATATTATTTAAGTACGAGGCAAACTGATTAAAATCTAAATACAATATCTTAATTTTTATACTTTTATTCTTAATACAAAAGATATTTTTTTTGTCGAATAATAAAATACTAAAAGACGAAATAATATAAATATGTATGTATGCTTATTATAACATAATACATTTTTCTTCTGAAAAGTTTTATTTTATTATTAAAATATAATTTAAATTAATATTTTATTTCTAACTAAAAAAATTACAGATTCAAATATCCACTTGCTTCATTTAATATTTAGTAGTTTTCTATTTTAAATATTAAAACAAATAAAATCACATTCATAAACTAATAACAAAATTAAAGTTTTAGTTCTCGTAATCATAGAACATTTTTTGTATTTTTTACAAATATTTTTAATCAATCAGAATAGAAAATATAAAAGATTTTTTTAGCATTAATCAATATTTTAAGAAAGTAAATATTGAAGGTAAATACAGTTTTGATACAAAAAAGAAATAAACTTTCATATATCACAGACATTAACTTATTAATTTCATTACAATAATTTAAAAAGAATGTGATTTTAACTAAATATTTAAGAAAGAGCTATAAATAAATTATTCATGTTTTTTATTTTTAAAATCAACTTTAGAAAGAGTGAAAGGAGACAAAAATTGAAAATAACAAATCTTTAAAAAATTATTGAAATCTCTTTTTATTTTAAAAAAGTATTTTTTACTTTAACTTTATATAAAATCTATTAGATATTGATCAATAATTAAATTAAGAGCATATTAATTTTTAAAATTTATTTAAATCCACCTTTAGTTAAATTGGCTTTTTAATGTAGATTTTTAAATGGTTAGAGAAGGATTAAACATTATTGTATTCTGATTTTTACTCATTCATTTTGTTTTGAATTTTATTATTAAACAAAATGGGATTAAATAAGATTTAATAATTTAGCATAAATATTTAATAATAATAATAATATTTTATTTAATTGATAACTAATTTATTTATTATGTAAAGAGATTGAATGGAATATATATCAATTTATTATATTATATTAGTTTTAGTAAAAGATTTATATTATATAATTTGAATGTAATTTTTTTATCAATTTTCTTCTTTTTTAATATCTTTTTACAAGCTAGATTTTTTTGCTAAATAATTTAAAAATTATTTAGTATAAGTATTTTGAATATTCATTTTATTTGCTAATTCAATTCCGTTATTACTCAAGTTTTCAATAAATTTGTCTTGTTAAATTAAATCAAGCATTTTTATGCCTAGTGGATACCTTTTTTTAAAAAATTGCTTAGAAATGATTTGTATTAAATAGTAAAGCTTACTTAACGAATTTGAAATATTCAGGTTGTTTGAAATATGATAAATACTTCAAATAATTTTAAAATCTTTCGTTTGAAAAATAATCATATTCTTAAAGTTCTATTTAAAAAAATCTAAATATTTTATTTGTCTAAAATGTAATATTTAATTATACATAAAATGTAATATGGATTGGCTAGCATATTGACAAATTCAAGATCTAACTAAAATCTTTAGTATTATTCAAAATCAGACCTAAAATTCATAAGATCTTGGTTGGCTTGTTAGCTTTAATCTTATTGATTTTAGCTTTGAATTTGCATGCTCATTTAATGCTACATCATTTTATATTAGAATACCCAAAATTTAGCTTGCTTTAAAGATATTTTTTTAGTAAGTAAATCTTTTTTTCTTATTTTGCAAAATATTAAACACTAATTAGACTATTTATAATTCGCAAATATAATTGATTTATTTATTTTAAATACATATTTTTTATATAACTAATTAAGCATCTACCTAACATTTTTATTCAATTACAAAAACACTATTAAAAAAATGAATTTAATAAAGAATTCTAAAATATTTCTTTAACTAATTTTATTATTTGTTTTATATTTGAAAATTCACCTTTGACAAAATATTTCAAAAAAATTTAATTAAGATAATGCCTTTCCATCAGCTTTATAATTTTTAAAAATAATTAGAGCTTATTTAATCAAATACACCATCCATAAAAAATTAGATATTTTAAGAAGATTACTCAAAAAAATATAGTTCAAACAAATAAGTAAATTTTTTAAATAATTAATTTACTAAAATTGATTATTTAGAAAAGCTAAATTTCAAAAATACATAGAAATTGAGAGTAAAAGAGAAATGAAGATTTAGAAAAAAAAAGCCCAATAAGAATAGTAAATATTAAATATTATTTAAATTTTAAACAAAAGCTTGCTAGTTAAAATTAAATAAATAAATAGAAGTAATTTTAAATTGATTTAATTAATTATAAATGTGTTTATTTTTTCAGTTCAATGAAAAGAATACATTCATTCATTCATATATTTGATTTTTAAATACAAAAAAAAATATATTTTTTTTATTAAATTTAATAATTTAATGATGGGATCAGCTTCATTGCTTTGCTAAGTAAAGAAAAAATATTGCAATTAATTTAAAGCATGTTAATTAATACTAAAAAATACAACAAAAGATAATCCTTTTTCTAAAAAAATTAATAGTTTGTCTTCAAGTAAAAAATAATAATTTAGAGAGAGAAACAAGGGTAAATTAAAATACAAAAAATTAATAAACAAATCAAAAGAAAGTGTTTTTCAACTTCATTAAGTAGGATTATAAAAAGACAATTCAAATTAGTAAGCGAGAAAACATACTTAAATTATAATAGGAGCATACGAAAGTATGAATATTTTCGCTAAGTTTAGAGTTTCAAGCTCTGTATAGAAAGCTTAAAAGTTATGGGCGGATTTTAAAAAAGTAAGCCATTTGTAGGATGATCCTGAAACTCTAAATAGATTGAAAAAATTCCTCGATCATGTGAAGGAGTCGTTGAAGACACTTTCAGAAAAAAGTGATAGTAAAAAGTAGATAGATGGTATATTAGGAGAAGCAAGTGACATTTTAAAGAGTTTGCTTAAGTTTTTAGAAGAATATGACAAGACTGCAGACGCTAACAGCCCAAATAATGCATTAGCAAATGAAATTGTTAATTAGGTTTTAGAAATAGTTGAATTTATATTGAGGGATGATAAATATAGAAAGTAAATTGAGAATTCTCAGACTATTCTTAACAATTTCTTAAGTGTCGCAGAGAAAGTAAAATCATAATTCTTCTTTTATTGCTATTATTTTAGATATTGAGAAAAATATCTGTCAATCGAATGAATATTCTTGTTATAAAAACTATTTTTTTACTCTGTCTTTTTTATTATTTTGAATCAAGAAATAATTTTTTGATCTTAAATATGATTGATTGGTAGATAGATAGTTTGTTTACATATACAAGAAATGCAAATTTTAGAGAAAAATTAATAGAAAATGTTGTTATGGTTTCATAGAATTAAATTTTATTTTTAAATTACAAAATAGTTGGATAAAAGTGAAAGCAAAGTTACTGTGGTCGAGCTCATTATCATGATTGCTGAAAATGTTGACTCAAAAGTTAGTTTTGTTTAAAAGGAAGGTTTTAGCAAGTTAATGAAGATGCTGATGGACAAAGATGAAAGAGTTTCCAGAGTCATAAGCAGAGCGTTACTTCATTTCTTATAAATTGATAACTCGGAGGAATCAAGGCTCCTCAATGAAATGTAGGGACATATTGAAGAAAAAGAAGAGTTCAACTCGATAAAAAAAAAAATAAAAAAAATTGCATTAGATTTTAGAAAATTTACATTCAACGAAATTCAAAGAATATTTTTGTAAAGTGACAATCAAAATACCACTAATTAAGTTCAGGAAGATGGAAATACCAACAATAGAGAAAGATAGTAAAGTGTAACCAAAAAGACTTCTCTCTACTATTAAAATAATAGAAAAGATTCGAATGGCAATATTCTTAGTAATGGAAAAGTGTAAGAATTTGTTGATCCTCCTACTTATGAAGATATTTTTGAAATGGACTTAAAGCTTTTGATTGCTTTAAAGATTAATTAGCAAAATAATATCAGCGAGTAAGCAAACATTTTATCAAACGATCATTTAGAAATTAGCGTTAGTTCTAATGAACGAGTTATACAATAAAATAATAATATGATGGCTAATTCTTAGTAAAATATCAAGCCTCAAAGCAACCATGGAAGCATTATAGAGGAAGAACTAGAAGAATAAAAAAATAACTAAGGCAGTATCAATTACTAAGGAGGTCAAGGAAGCTAGATTAAATCTATTGATCAACAATCTGATTAAAGTGATGAAATTTTTACCATTTTATAGGGAGGATTTAAAGCTATTTTGAAAACTCTTCACAACGGTAATAACAATGAAGAAGCTTAATTGAATTTAATGTAAACTATTTACAAATTGCTTAGTAGCGAAGATCAAAAGTATAAAGCAGAATTTAGAAAAGTGAAGGGATATGAAGTTCTTGCAGGTGTAATTAATAGAGTTCGCAATTATGGAGAGGAAAAGAATAAAAAATTTTTGGAAAACATGATGAAATTATATGTTGACATCATTATCAATGATAAAGAAATTATGCAAATAATGAATTTTGATGCATTTGAGACCTTTATTAAGTTAATTTCTGCAAGCTAGTAATATGAAGTAATATCCTTGTCTTTAGATAATTTGAAGAATCTTTTCTTGTCTAACTGGAAGAATCTCATCATTGCTAGAAGACTTAAATCAACCTATCACTTATTAGCTTTAATTATGAGATTGTTCGAGAGTGATTATGAAAGTAGTTCTAGTTCTATTTTCTAGCCATTAAACGGAGTTGAAACAAATGGAGTAACTAATTAAATTACTAAAAATACAGAGAATCACAATGAAATTAGCATCCTCGAAGGCTTAAAATATGTTTATTAGCTGAACAATCCTATTTTTTACTCTAGCGAAATTACACAATCTAATATGCCTATTGGAAAGCAATAAAGAGAAGAATTATTATAAAAAGTGAATGAAATTCTCAAAATATACTCATATGTAGAGGGAACTTTTTCTACAGAGTACGAGTACGCATTTACAGAAATTATATTGAAGAGCATTTAAAGAGATGATAATAAAAACTCAACAATATATTTCCTCGACACTCTTTTTGATTTTATGGAAAGAAAGTAATAGAGAAAATGTTGCTAAATTTCTACTTTCGACAACACTTTCCACGGATTAATGGAGTGTCTAAAAGAAATTGCAACTATCCTTCTATAAAAAATTACAACTCCAGATTAAATGTAAGCTCTTTTACTATTTTTATATTTATCTTTTCTAATTAATAATTTATTAGATCATGAAATAATTTAAAATTTAAAAATTAAACAAATGTAATTTATCAGAAAAATAAATAATTAATGATTTACTTAAATTTAAATTAGAAAATATCTTTTTTGCATTAAAAAAATTAGAAAATATCTTCGTTTTTAATAATATTAGAAAGCATCTTTTTTTTTCTTCTTTCAAAGCCAAAATATATTTTGAAATTTTTGTTGAGAAAAAAAACCAATTTATTTTGTTTTTAAGAATTTTTTTTCCAATAAAAATGTAATTGCTTACTTGCCTTAATTTATTTTTCTTTAAAGAGTTTATTACTTTAAGTAAATATTTTTTTATTTGAAATAGAAAAATTTGTTTAGATGATGATGAGACTGTTCATTATTTGGGGAAATTTTTGTTTTTCAGTGATTAGTATTTGAGCTGTGATCATTCAAGCTAATTACAGAAAGATGAAAGAATGAAAAAGTTAGAGAGAGAAAATACGCTTATTAAGAGCATTATTTGCAGAAATCAATGTGAAGAAACAAAGAAAATAATATCTGAGAAGTATGTAAACAAATTGCAAGAAAAAGAGGAGGTAAAAATGTTGATGAAGGTTATTAAATTTAATAAGTTAAAAAATGATAATAATTATACTGAATATGCCTACAGAGTCTTGGTTGTTTTGAAAGATATTCTGGTTAACAATCCTCAAAGAGCTTAGTAATTCATAGAGATGGATGGAATTTTTATCCTTTCTTACTTGGTTTCTAAAATTATTTAAGATTTCAATTACGTCGAGAGAGCTTGTATGCTTTTCATAGATATTTGCCTGAACGTAAATAATTCTAATGCTATTTTAAGTAATCCATTGCTTAAGTAAGATGATGAAAAAATTCCTTCAATAGAACCAAAGAGATCAATATGTTTGAATGCTTTGTTTTGTAGTTTATTCGATGCTAATTTAAAAGATTCACATCATGTATTTTTTGAATATTTGGGAAAAGTAATTTTAAAATCTAGCAATTTAAAGGTTTTTAAAAACGAAAGCTACATTCTAATCTTTTTATTAGAGTTATTGAACACAAGTAGAGTTTTATCCAAAGATAATAATTTATACACATAAATTCTTAGTATATTCGAAAGAATTATTCAAAAACCTAATTCTGATGAAATCAAATTAGTCCTTGATAGTTTGTTGAATTATAACAACTTAATGCAATTAAGTCATAATAAATAATCCACTTCATTCTTTACTGATGCTCTCTCAATTATGGCTATTCATATTTTATTAAATACCACACCTTAGCTACATACAAGACCAACAATACTTGAAAAAGTAAGTCCTCTTCTCGAAAAGATAATTAGCTAAAATTACATTTATAATCTATTTGGATGCCTCAATTGTCCTAACTTAGAAGTGACAGAAATGGTGCTTAAGGTAAATAATATTTATCCTAATTTTTAAAATTTTCAACAATTCATTTTGATAAAAAGTTTATACTTTCTTGCATGAGCATTTACTCAAAGACTAAAAAAACAGAAGTCTATGGAAAAAAAGAATATTTCTACCATTTAATTGGTGAAAAGCTTCAGAAAGGAAAAATTAATTAGAATATCTGTAAAATTCTCTACGACTTTACTTTCTGGGAGTACAATCCAAATATTTTATATCCAAGTAACTCCTCTGTAGTTTCAACATTGCTCAATAGAAGTGGATAAGCTAATAGTATTATGAACTTATCTAAGTCCCAAATGGAATAACAGAAAGGTGGAAAGACTATCACTAATATATATCTGCTTGAAATATTCTTTAAGGTGTTAAAAGAATATGAACCAGAAAATCAAAATGACGAAAATTCTATTTCTTTTAGAAATGAAATGCTAAACATTTTTGAAGCAGTCCTTGATGAACCAAACAACGTTAACTTAATTCTTGATCAAACTAGTTTCCTAAATTGGTTCTACTTACTGCTTCCAAATAAATGGTAAGATCTGTCTGATCCTCATGATAATTTTAAATCACAGTAACAGCAATCAAACAATTTAAGTCAAAGCAAGATTTCTAATAATTTAATCAACAATTCAATCAATTTAAAAAATTCAGGAAATCAAAATCTTCAAAACAACTAAAGTAATTTAAGCAATCACCTATTCAATAGCGCTGAAAAAAAATAAACTGATAACAGCGTATTAGCTCATGATTAAACAAATTAAAATATCAAAAGCGAATTAAATAATAACACTTCTAAAAATTAATTTGTAAATTAAACTCCTTAGATGAAAATGTCAATGGATAGCAACAGCAATAACAGCAGCTAGAGTTTAGGACAATCACAAAAATTCAAGCAAATCAGCAATTCTCAGTATATGGCATTTAAGTTGGAGAAAGAAAAAATATTTACTATAATTCAGAAAATCATGGTTCATTTCTTCCATAGAAAGCCAGCTGATTTCGATTTTATTGAGTATTTTAAACGCTTTTCTCACTCAGATGATGAATTTGTCAACATTATTATTAAGAACTTCTTCAATGAGCTGCTTTCAAGAAATAATTGTATATTTAAAGACGATTCAGCATAATATTTCTTGAAAAATTTCAAGGCTTTTATTGATGGCATAGACTCATATATTGGATTTGAAGCAGAAATACATAGACTCATTCTTTAATGCATTATTAAGATGAATGCTAAAAATGATTAAAAGATACGTGCATAGATGAAAAATTTGGGTTTATTTGAAAAGAGAGATAACCTAATTATAAGGATTATCACTTATGAATAAGATGGAAATAAATTTGTCAAAATATTTGAAGGTATCTCATTTGAAGCTTTAGCAAATCATCCCTAATTTGAAAAAAATCACTCTTTATCATCATTGATGAAGATATTTATTTAAAATTAAAACAACTTCCCTCTACAAATTCTTATTATGACTATCTTGAAGAACCCTTCTTTAAGTGAAAGCAACTAGAAGTATGTCGCCAATTTATTAGAAAATCCAAAGTTAGTGTAATTTTTGTTTCCTACTTTACTAAGACGTAAATAAAGCTCTATAGCCAAATGTCTGTAGTCTAACTTGAATAACTCAAATAATAAGAATAACAATTCAAATAATAACAACAATAACGATGATAACGATCAAGACTCAGACTCTCAAGATGAAGGAGAAGGTGAAGAAGCCCAAAAGCGCAAATAGTCTGCTTCTAAGAGCGTGCATAGAGGTGCCTCTTTTGAGGATGATTTCTTAAATGATTTTTACAGTTAAGAAAACGAAAATCTACGTAGAGACATAATAAATAGAATAGAAGCAAATTTAAGACCTATCTTAAGAGAAAAAGAGAAGGAAGAAAAGAGTATTAAAGATAAGAAGAAATAAGATAAATAAAAATAAAATGAAGTTCTAAAAAAAGAGGCAGAAAAAGCAAAAGAGAAAATTTCAAAGATAGAACAAGAAATTCAAATAAAATTCTAATAATCGTTTAATGATCACAAAATAAAACAAGATGAATTTAATAATTTCAGAGAAGATAAAATGAAAGAAGGAGAACGTAAATTCATAGAATATAGTAAGACTGTGTGATTTTTCGAAAAAGAATACTTAAACAAGAAGTCAAAATAGCATAAATAGTATAAACAAAATTAAATAATAGCTATAAAAATATTAAGTTTTTAATGCATCAAACAATCAATCAACCAATTATTTTCTTTTCTATTAATCTAAAAAATAAACAAACAAATAAATAAATAATCATTATTAGCAATTTAAATTAAAACAGTTTTAAATAATAAAATAATAATATGTTTTTGATTCCAAATAGTTAGTTAGTTGTAGACAACATTTTGAATAATATTAATAATAGCTAATTATAAATCAACCACATTCAATAATAAAAATAGTAAAATGATAAAAATATTAAATTATAAGGCAATTAATTATAAAATTATTATTAAGTAAGTAAGCTATCTTTCTTTCTATTATTTTAAGCTCTTTTTGTTAAGACAAGAATAAATTTGTAAAATATTATATAATTTATTTTTAAAAATAAAGTGAGTTCATGTATAAATATTTGTACATTAAATCCTCAAAAGAATCTTTTTTGCAAAAAAATGTATAAAAACAAATTTCTTTATATACATATATATTATCTAATTCATTTTTATTATATAAAGTTTATCTATTTTATTTCAAAACCCTTAAAATACAAAATTATGATATTTTATTCAACATTTTCCTTGAACTATAATAAATTATTTGCTTATTTAAACAAAATATTGAACACTTGATACAAATTTTATTTGACTTTTTTAGAATATTTTTAAAAAATTATTTTTCTAATTAAAAGCAAATTGAATTTTATATTTTTATATTTAATAAATTTATCATTTAATATGATTAAGATATTAGAAATTTAAAGTGATAAATTACAATATAACAAAATGGTCAAATATAAACAAAGTGAAAAATATCAACAAAAAAAAAAGAACATTCTAAAAATTTAACAACTTGGTTTTAATTAGCTTTCCTTTACTATTACTATTGTTAATTCTTAATAAAGATAAATAAAGCTACAAAATACAAATACATAATTTATATATTTAATTAATTAATTCTAGAGGAAGTTTAAGTATAAAATTAATTAATAAATACTTTCCATTGAATATAAGAGAATTTAAAAACATTTAGAAACAAAACAAAAATTAGTGAAATTTATAAAAAGAAATAAATAAATAAATAAATAAAAGATAAAAAAATTAATAAAAGATGGAGAATATTATTCAAACTAATCCATAAACTGAAACTAATACTGCTATTCAAAAGAATAAAACAGAGGAAAGAGCAGGTACTCTTGAAATCAATGGCTTGGAAATACTAGAATTCGATTTTGAGAAGATGAGTAAAATTTCAGATAGCGAGTTTGAATCACAAACTATCTCTGATATTTACAATTAAATGACAGAAGAGCTAAAAAAATTTGAATATGAAGAATTCAGATTTTTAAGTTCTGATACTTAAGGATGTTAAATATCTGCAAATAAAAAAGGCATTGAAAACAGACATATCATTAAAGGAATATTTTCTAAAAAGAATAAAGAAGATGCTAACGAACTAAAAAATTATATTGATAATTAAATCAAGATACTTAAGCAATGTAGTGGATCTCCTTACTCTATAGAACTTGTTAATGAGATAGAAGGTGAAGAAATGGTTTATTTGATCTTCAATGCTAATAAAGGAACCATTTAGAAACTTTTAGAGCAACAAGGTGGAAAATTATCAGAATTTTCTGTAATAAAGTATTCAAAAGATATTGCTGAAGGTATATGTCATGCCCACAAGAATGGTCACTTTTTTTATCATTTAAATTTAGATCAGATTTTTATAGATTTCAATAACAATGCAGTTGTAAGTGCATTTACTGCAAGAGATTTAAACCTTTCTCAGGAAAATTCTCTATTCATTGCTCCTGAAATAGAATAAAACTCATAGGAATAAGATGCCAGTGATAATACTAAAGCTTCTACATCACTTAGTAAATAAAGCGATGCTTTTTCATTTGGATGTCTTATGATTAGTATGTTACTTGGTGTAACTGAACTTAAGAGATATGAAAAAAAAAAAGAGCAAATATCTGAGTACTTTGCTAATTTAAGCGATTCTTCAAGTAAAAAGGAGTCTCTTTATAAAATTATCTCAAGATTAACTAAATTTGATTCAAACGAAAGAATGACAATCTTTGATTCACTCTCAGAGCTTTAAAAAATGATATCTGTTGATGTCATTGCTGAATAGGAAGTTTAAGATTCAGGAGATGAACATATTAAAAATATTATGATTTACATTGAAAAGGTTTAAAAAAAAATTGGAAAAATTGGAGAAAAAGTTTAAAATCTTAAACCAGATCATTCAGAATTACTTATTAAAATATAAAATTTTGAGAATTAGATTAAATTGAAAGACTAGAAAATTGATGATCTCACCAAATAACTTTTAGATGAACAAAAAACACATGAAAATGAAAAAAAAAAACTCAAAGAAGGTTCTCTTATAAAAGATGAGCAAATCTAAAAACTCAACTAAGAACTTGAAGGATTAAGAATTGAATTCAAGAAGAAGGAAAATGAAATTATTTTAAAAAATTAAAGTCTCATGAAGGAGCTTGAGGAAAGTTTGAGAAATTAACTCCGATTAAAGGTTAAATAGACCCATACTTATTAAGGACCAGGCTTTTATTGCAATGACTGTAATTACTATTTTGGATAAAAATGGGGATACCACTACGGAAATTAAGTTAGTTTCTACTGCTCAAGTTGTTAGTCACAATCAATACACACCCTTAAGAGATGAAATCCCTCTTAATGATAGAAAATTTTAAATATAGATAACCCATTGAAGCATAATATAAAAATGGTTAAATTAATTATATGAAAAATGATAAAAAGAAAGATATAATTAAGTTTTTAATTGATTTTATTTAATATATATTATGTGTGTGTTGCTATATAATTGAATGAATTTATGAGAATTTTAAGGTGTTTTAAAAGAATATCTGAAATAATTTAAAAACATATACATTATTTTAACTTGCTATAAGAGGATTTTATTAATTATTGTGCAAAATAATTATTTAATAAGTTTAATTTTAATTATAAAAATATTTTTAGAATACACATAAGTATGTAATACTAATTTATTCAATAAAATTAAATCTTTTGTCCAAACTTTTTCTTAAAGCGATCTATTGTTTTTTTCTCAAAATTATTGGCTGATATGCTAAGTGTAAAACCATCTAAAGCATTTGCTAAAAATTATTCTAAAATATCTTTGTCTTATTCTGAGTATTCATTTTGTATTAAATTCAAGTGTTAAAGCTATTCATTGTAAAAATAAGCAAATTTATCTTATCCTATATCTTTTACAACATCTAAAACTGGAACTTCTTCTTGATTCTTGCCTTTTTACTAGTAAAAAATGTAAAAAAATAAAAACAAATAAATAAATGAATTTACTTTTAAATTCCTCTAAATTATTGCATCTCTTTCTTATTCTTTTCTTCTATATTCTTAAAGTTCTTCTGAACTTAAAACCTTCTTACCAATCCTGTTTATCAAAGGAGTCAATTAGCTTAAATGATTAGCTCCTAGACCTAAATATTATATGTTTGTATATGAAGAGAGTAGAGTAAAAAGACTCTCAAGACCTGTTTATTTAAAACAATTTACAAATAAATACAAGTTCTGTATAAACAAACATGTCAAAAAAATACTTGCATTAGTGATTTAATTTTAGAAGAAATCTAAAACTTTTACTTTTAAGGTAGAATTATTTTCAAGAATAGTACTGCATATTTTTTTTAACATTTGATCATTTATATTCTAGTTCCTTAAAGTGACTAATTCCAAATCCACACATCTACTAAATAAAACTTCATAAAAGTATTCTTTGTTTTAACAATCTTCAATGTCATTCCAATCAAAAAAAAGCTTAACTATTTTATTGACTATTCAAGTAAGCTTAATATAAATGAAAATGCATAGATTTTAAATAAGTAATTACCTTAAATTAGCTTAATCAGCTCATTTAAAGTGTTCATATCAAATACATTATTATTTATCCTAGATTAATTTGATATTTAATATAAATTTTTAACATAATTATTGTATTTATGTATCAAGCAAGTTTTATAATCAATAAATTACTCTTAATTATTTACCTTAATACTTTTATCTTTGCGCCAAGTAATGCAATGTTTAGCATTTTAATTGTTACATAATCTAACTTTTAGCTGTTCAATATAAAAAACTTCAAGTTGTTATCAACTTCATTTGGTTCTGTTTTAATTATATCTAAAGAAACACTATTATCATTTACTTCCCTATCTATCTACTAAGAGTCTTCCTAAGCAAAAATAGGAGGAAGGAGAACTCCTAAATAATATAATAAATTAATATTTTCATAAAACTGAAACAAAAGCTTAAACCTATTTTTTTTGCTAATGCCTTCATATTTAATTTGACATTATCTCCCAAATCTTTAGATAAAAAATCATTATTTGAGGTAAAATACTAGTTAATCTTTTCAATTTCAGATTGAGAATACTTTTTGTAATGCCACCATGGATTCAATTCATTCTCATTAAACAGCGGCTGAATTACTAATACTGTATAAATTATAAAAATCGTATTAATAAAAACATGATTCATCATATTCATAAATAAAATCATAACATGTATCTTCTTTCTTAAATATTGATTGCTTTTTCATTGCTAAATTAACAGAGAATAACTCAATTTACTTTTGCTTTTCGCTTTAGAAGTATTCTACTTTTTTAGATATTTTAAATATATAACTTAATTTAATTAAACAATATTCTCTACCTAATAATTGTTAATATCATACATCAGATTCAACATCCAACTAATCCATAATTCATATAATGAAAAACATTAAATTAACTTTAAAATTGTTTTAAAATTATCAATAAAATAATAATAAATTTATTTTTCTTTTTGAATTATGTAAAATGAGGATAAAATTGATGGAATTAATATAAAATATTGACTTTGTTTTTTAAATTTTTTAAAATTTGTGTTGAAAGAATTTTAAATTGGATTATTTTAATAAAAATTTGATGTAATGTTTATATAAATTTATATAATTTTTTACTTTATTTAATATAAAAAGTTTTATTTTTTTATAAACTTATCAATAGGTCTTTTTTATAGCATTTGGATTATAGTTTTTAGAGAATGCATTTGAAAAGACGCAGTGTTGATCATTTATGAATTCCCAAATAAAGAATCCAGGAATGTTGTAGCCCAGCTTCTATTGAGCTTCAGTACATATTTTTCCTAATTCGGCAGGTTCAACATATCCAGTGTTATCTGCATCTTTTGGAGTAGCTGGCTTACCAAGCACCAATTTGCTAATAGGAATTTTATCTTTTTCAATGATTTCTTAATAAGAAGTATTAACAAATGGTGCTCCACTGTTTAAAAAGAGTTTTTCGTAGGAATCATAGCTATCTGACTCTTAATTGTAAAACTAAACATTGTACCATGAAATAAGATGTCCAACTTCTTATTCGATTGTGTAGTAGGCTCCGTTGTCGTAATAAGCACGAGAAAAGTAAGGAGCTTAGGGAGCATGAGTAAATATAATGTTTTTATTGTTTATCTTTTCAGCTAATGCTTTTTAGAAGGTAATTAACCAAGTTACTCCAGTTCCATTAACTATGGCATCATTATCTTCGTAATCTATGTCAACACCGTCAATGTATGGATTTCTATTAACAAAATCTGCGAGCTGTGATGCTATTTAAACAGGATCGGATCCAGTTGGATTATCAGTACCACCAAAAGCACTAATAAAGAGCTATTTTCCTTGAGCATGGAAGAGTTCTAAAATTTTTTTTTAAATTTCAGCATCAGTTTTCCCGTACTTCGTTGTGCTAATATATGTTGAGATGTTTTCCCATACGCTTAAAGCATCTGAAACCCAACCAGGCATCCAAAAAGTAAGGATAAAAACATTATAGCAAGGCGAGTTCAATCCCATAGCATCAAGTATTTTGGGTCCATCCCACTCGCTGAGTTAGTTAATGTAAGCAATCTTCTTAAACGAAGAAGAAGAGGCATTATTTTTGTGATGATGATTTGAGGTATTTTCCTTCTTTGAAAGAAAACTAGATCCTTTTTCTAAGCTTATATAAGAAACAACTGCAGTTGTTATCAAAATCAAGGTTATTAATGCGAAGGATACTTACTTTTGCATCTCAAATTTTGTGATTGATAATTTTATTAAATTATTAATATTTATAAACTTAGCTAACAATTTTACTTATTTTTATAGTGAAATATACAAAATAAGATAATTTAATTATACTTTAAGAAAATATTCGTTTAAACTAAGTGTAATAAAATTAAAATCGATGACTCATATTCATTTATTTTATTTAAATAACTAATTAGTGTTTTTCTTATCAGATTTCATCCTAACATCAATTCATTCAAATAGTTACTCCATACATCAGATTTATCTCCATTTCATTTCTTCTTAAGATAATTTTTTAAATACTAATAAACTCTTCTTCCCATTTTTCAATAAGTACTTCTGAGTATCAAAAATTTTAATTTTAGATATAACTTTACAAGGTTTTTAGATGTAAAAGATTTTTTTATGGAAAAAAAATAATTTAAATCTTTGAATAAGTTTTATGAATATTTGTTAAATCAAAATACTAAATATTAAACTTTTGAAGTTCCAAATAAAATAATATTTACAAAAAAATATTAATAATTTTTATTTAGTCATTTTGGAGAGAGTACTTTGGTTTTATTGAAGAAAAACAATTCTTTATATTAAATTAATCTTCAAATATGTAAATAATGTCGTAAAATAGCTATTGTTCAAAATATAAATGATAAGGAAAATATTACTCATCCATTAAATAATTTTTCTTTTATTTATATAGAATATAATTGATTTATTCTTCAAAATAATTTTATAACTAAATTAATTTGATATTTCATTTTAATAATAAATTATAAACAAAAAAGAGCTATAAAGAAATTTATATTTTAAACGAAATACACAAATAATATTTCTTTTTCACAACAATTAATATCTTGAAAATTTATTTCTTAATTAATATCAACTTTATTTACATACCAAAAATATTTATATTTAAAATTATCTTTAAAATTAATAATAAAATTTACATAAACTTTAAAAAAATTTTTATTTAAAAAAAAACAAAGATTTTAATTTTTAAATTTTATTTTATTTTGGTGGATGAAAAAGTAGAGCGCGGTGATAATGATAAATCCATGTATGCTGCTTAAAATTTACAATAAATTTAGATTTAATTTAGTTTTATTGAATACTTATTTTTTAAAAAGTTTTAAATAAAATTTTTATAATATTTTCTCTTTTTATTTAAAATAAATGTTTGTATTTTTTCAAAAAATTTAAAAAATAATAATAATAAAATTGAAATAAAAAATATTTAATAATTTAATAATCTAATAATAATTTTGATAAAAATTTAACAAATTGAATAATTTATTTGTTCTAAAATTTTCTAAAAGATACTCTCTATTTTTGATAAAGTTAAAAAAAGTAAAATTGAAATCAGTAATAAATTTTAAGATAAAAATGATCAAGTTATATTTCATATTTTTTACATTTTTGATAAATTTTAAATCATCACAAATATTATAAGGAAAATTTTGATCAATTAGGTGTACCTATTTTAGTTATTATAAAATCAAAAAACAATATATATGATACTTTAGTAAAAATTCCTTAAATTTAAATACAGTTTAATTTATTTTTTAAGTTTGTTAAAAATTGTAATTAAAAAAAATAGCTAATAAAAAGTTTTACATAAACTAAAGAAATCTGAAAAATCTTATAAAATGGATAGCAAATTATAATCACAGAGTTAAAGTAAAAAAAATAAAAATATTGGTTTGGTTTTAGGGTGTTAAAATTCTTTTTCTTCTTCATAAATTGAAGGAGAGTCATCTTAGGTTGAAAAATAATCTAGCACCTAGTTATCATTAGTTGCAATTAAAGTTCATAAATAAATTTTAAAAACTAGAAAAAATCCTTTAAAGGGCTTCGTTAAAAGATAATTAGAGGTCTCCCCTATTTTTACTAAACAGTTAAACTTTTCTCATAAATATATTCTTTTTGGTTATTAAGATGTTGAGACATATTATAGAGATTATTCTGATCCTTTTGATTTTGATTTAGTAGACTTAACCAAGCAAGGTATAGAGATATAATCAATAAAGAAATGTATGAAATATGATGAGTTACAAGTAAATGTTAATAACAAAACTTGCAGTGGAATTACTAACTTTTAATTTTTGATAGATCATTTTGCAAAATTTACAGATTAAAATTACAGAAAGCTTTATTTAGAACTTATTAAGTATTAGAGTTTAACTACATAGCTAATTGATCATATAAGCACTCTAAGAATGAAAATATAATCAAGGCTAATACAGCAAGAAGAAGTAAATAATGCTCGCTAATAATTTTAAAAATTTGTAGAAAACTAACTAAATTAATAAATCATATAAGGTAATTATTTTTACGTCTATCAGATTTATACTTTGGATGTAGATACAGTTGATATAAAGTTAGATAAATTAGGTTTTTCTTTAGCCTTTTTGAGCTTTATGGGTATAGATTTATCAGAATGTGAATAATTATTGCTCCATTCAGGATAATCATTTTAAGCTTCTTTTGGAGGAATAAGACTTAATGCAGTACTAGAGGATTTAGAGATGCTCAATAGTGGTCTCGTATTTAGATGTAAAGATACAACCATTTAAACAAAAGATTAAATTAAATTCTCTGTGAAAAAAGTAGAAGAATTGATTTTTTGGGATGAAAGACCTGAATGGGCATCAAAATACGATTTCTTAATGATACTTTAAAAAGTAGATTTAACTGCAGAAAATATTAAATATGTAATTGATGAAAGGCTAAAAAGAAATTCAATAGATAACTCTTATGATAACATAGAAAACCATGTGTTAGAATATGTAATTTAGAGTGAAGTATTTTTAGAAAAGTTCTATCCTGAATTTTACAAGCAGTTCAAAGAAAAAAAATCTGTAAAATTAGAAAATGAAAATCTACCTTGAAAAATATACTAAAATCTAAAATTAAATCGATTAACAAATTATTTATTTTTCTTGAATTGTTCATTTTCAAAAAAAAAAAAATTAACTTTTGTATTTTATAGTACCAACTTATAATAAATTAATCTTTTTGATATTTTTTAATATCTAAATTAGGGTTTGCTTTATTTATAATTTACTATTGACCTTATTTTTCTATCTTTACAATTATTTATTAATTACTAAAAAATTTATGTTTGCTACAATTTGATTTTCAGAAAAAACAAAATTTAATCAAATTGATACTCTACTATTATTTTTTGGAAGTAATTGATTATTAAAAGTAAGTTCATATAAAGGATTATCTGATCAGTTATCGCAAATTGAAAATATAAGCTATTCAATAAAATGGATATAGAATTTTAATGCACACATTATGATTAATAAAATAATAATGAAGTTTTGATGTTAACTTCAACTAATTCGCTTACTTCTGAAAAAGAAGAGTAATAAAACAAAAAAGATTCTAACAAATAATTGAAAATTGTGCCAATTAAGGTTCATAAGTAAATATTAAAAAGTAGGAAGAATCCTCTTAAAGGATTTGTTAAAAAGCTGTTTGAAGTAGTTCCAATAATGCCAAAGCAAATCAGCTAAAATCACAAGTATTTGCTTTTCGGATATTAAGAAGTTGAAACATATTATAGGGATTACACAAATCCATTTGATTTAGATTTGATTGATTAATCAAATAGTATTGTTGGATTTTAGTCTGTTGAGAGATGCAACAGAAAAAATGAACTGCAAATAAACCTTAATTGTAAAGGTAGCAGTGGAATTGTAGATTTTAACTTTTTAATAGATCATTTTAGCAAAAGCACATCACAAGATTATCGTAAATTATACACAGAGCTTATAAAATACTAATAAATAGCTTAATAACAATCAGAGCATATCAACTACCTTAAGATGAAACTAGATTCTAAGTTAATTACTGAAGAATAATTGTTGAAGGCTCGTGAGGATTTTTTATAATTTATTGAGAATTATATTAGTTAGCAATAGTAATTGGGATATTATTTTTATAGTTATTAGTTATATATTGTTGATGTGAATAAAGCAGATATCCAATACGATAGAAGATGTGTATCTCTATCTGTTTTAAGCTTATTAGGAATTGAACCTTCTGATTATGAATAAGTAGTACTTCATTAAGGAGATGGGTTTGAATGTAATTTGGGTAAAAAGAGAATGGACTAACTATTTGAAATGTTAGATATTTTTGTTAATGGTAATAGCAATAAATTCTTTGAAGCTCATTTAAGAACTTTTGATAGAATTAAAATTCCGATAAAAGAACTAGTTGAAGTAGTATACTGGGATGGTAGGCCTGAGTGGGCATCAAAATTTGACTACGTATTATTGTTTGCAAAATTTGATTTACCAGCAGAAAGAATTAAATAAGTGATTGAGATCAGATAAAACAAATCCAAATTAGAAATGGATCCAGACATTGTTGAGACTTACACTTTTGACTATTGTATTCAAACCGAAATATTTTTAGAAAAATTCTATCCTGATTTGTTTAAAGATTTAAAGCAAAAAAAATCAATAAAAATTAAAACTTTATAGTAAAATTAAAATTAAGAAGAACATAATTTAGAATGAAGTACTCTAAAGTAAAAACAAAAACTACAATTATGAATTGAATAGAATTATTATGATAAAAAATATTATTATAACACTACTACTATTTTACATATACAATACCAACTTAGTAAAAATTTATATATCAAATGAAAAATAAATTGTTATTTCATAACAAAACGATCTCATCAAATTGTTTTGCATATTTTATTTTCTTAATATTTTGTTAGAATTATTAATTAGCAAGATTTATTTTTTTTAAAGAGTAATTCTCAAATTAAATCATCTCAGTTCATTTTTTTCTCAGAATTTAAAATCAAAAACCCATATTTAGTATATTTTATTAGTTATAATTAGCTAATATTTAAAATTAATCTTATTATTTATGTTTATTTTAAAATACTGAGCTTTAATTATTGCTTTTTTTTTTATTTTTATGGAAATGTTTATATCTATTTATTTTAAAAACTAATTTTCAATCAAAGTATGATATTATAAAATGATGATATTAGGACTGCTTAATTGTACTACTAAAGTTTTATGGTAATATTTTTAATATGAAATTAAAAAATTAGCAAATTAATAATTGCCCTCACTTTTAATTAATTAATGTCTTTAGTTTTTTAATCGAAAATAGGGATAAGTAAGAAAAGTACTGTCCTTCTAAGGAAAATCATTACTTTTTTGTTGATGTTTTTTTAATAAGCCTATAATTCGTTTAAGCACTTTTATACTCATTTTAGTAAGATAAAAACAACAAAAAAGCCAAATTAAAAATATAAAATATAGAATCAGATAAAGTAGCAAATATTTTATAAATGGAAGAAGAAATTCAAATTTAAAGTAGACAATAAAGTTTCTAAATGTAAATATATGATAGTAATTTATCATCCACAGAAGAATTTTAGTCTTCTGAAAAAAATATTCCATTAGAATTGTAGATAATACCAATTAAGGTTCATAAGTCAATAGTAAAATCTAAAAGATATTAAAGGAAGGGCTTTGTTGTTAAAAAGCAATTTGAAGTTGTTCCAATTTTAACTAAATAAATTTAGTCAGCTGCTAAGTACCTTTTATTTGGGTTTTAAGAAATTGAGACATATTACAAAGATTACTCTGATCCTTATGATTTTGATTTAACATCATAATTAAATTGCATTCAACAAGTAGAGTTAGTTGAAAATAATAAGACAAAAAATGAGCTGCAAATTTTTCTTAACAACCAAGGCAGTAGTGGTATAACTGATTTTAATTTCCTAATAAATCACTTTAGCAGATTTACAACTTAAGACTATCATAAGCTCTGTACGCAATTAATTTAGTATTAAAATTTAACTAAATTACAAATAGAGCATATTTAAGATATTAAAACTTAACTAAATTACAAATAGAGCATATTTAAGATATTAAAACTTAACTAAATTAGAGGTTAGTATCGCTTGAAGATATATAATAATCTAGAGAAGATTTTTTATAATTTGTAGATAATTTTGTAAAATTATAAATTGATTAAGGTAACTATTTTTATGCTTATCAGTTATATATGATAGATATTGATAGGATGGATATTAATACAGATAGGAGATGTGTATCCTTATCTTTAATGAGTTTATTAGGCGTAGAACCTGAAGATTATAGATTATTATTATTTAATTAACTAAACTCCTTTTAAATAACTTTTGGTAAAGATAGGCTGAATAACATATTAGACAGTTTAGATATGATTGTAAACAATAAATTGAGCATAACAAATGACTATCAAATGTGCACTATAGATGATATAGTTATTCCAACTAAGGAGTCATTTGAAATTGTCCATTGGAAGGAAAGGCCTAAATGGGCATCTACATATGATTATACTATTATATTTCAAAAGTTCGATATTACTGCTGATTAAATATAACATGTCATTAATGAGAGATCTCAAAAAACAGAAATTTAGGTAGATGAAGAATTTAAAGAAAGTATTAAATTAGAATATGTTATTTAAAGTGAGATTTTCATAGAAAAATTTTATCCAGATCTATATAAATAGTTATTGAATAAAAAATCAGTTAAACTAATAATCCTAAATGAAGAAAATAATGTGGATGAAGGTGGTAATTAAATATTAATTGATTGAAAAAACAAAATATAAAATTAATTTATTTTAATTAATATTTTGATTTTAAAAATCCAAAAAAAATACAAATCGAATTTTATAATTTAAAAATATATTTCATAATTTAAAAAAAAAATATTTATTTTTATATTATTATTTTGTTCATGATTTTTTATCATATGTGACAAAAGATTTTCAATATCTTAGAGTCTCTCTCTCTTTATCCGATACTTTCATTTTAATTCAAATTTTAATATAAAGAAATACTAATCTCTTAATTTTTTTAGCTCTATTTGTTAATGATTATGTTTAACTTACTAGGTTGTTAAATCTTTTTTAAAAAAATATTCATTAAAAATAGAAAAGAATAAAATAAAATACATTGTTATTTTTCTTTTTTACTATATAAATATATTTTCATACTGATTATAAATTAAACTAGATACTATTTATTCAGATTTGATATTTGTTTGATACAACAGAAACATTTTTTTAAACTCATAAAACATGGGGTTTTATAATTATTAGATTAAAAAATTTTGTTTGAACTATGTAGAGTCACTGAATAAGATTTTAATATTAATAAAAAGTTTTGAATGCTTTAATTTCAAATTATTTACAACTTTAAAAAGAAATTGGATTTTATTTTTAATAATTGTATTGAAAGTTATTTCTTTAATATTAAAAGTAATTACCCTAATTAAATCGTTAATTTTGAAACTAACTTGCAATTTCTTAAGGAAGAAATTAAAGAAAATGCTCCTTAAACATTAATATTAGTGTTGCTTTAAATTAATTAAATAAATTTTAAAATAGCTAAAAAACTAATTTAAATTCAAAATATCTGATTTTATTGTTTTGTTTTAATTTTGTTATTATTTGTTTAATTTAAGATTAAAAGTATAGGCTATTACTGTAAATTTAGATTTAATACTTTAAGTTTTTAGGAGTTCGATAAAGCAACACCTAGGTTAAGAGCTCCTTAACTACCAATTTAGTTATCACTATTAATTCAAGTTAAAAAAATTGAAAACCTCTTTATTTTATTTTTTAATATTTTGAAGGAGAGATTTTAGAAAAGAATTTTTATAATGAGAAGAGAAAAAAAAATACTGTAAATCTAGTTCAAGAATTTCGAGGTTTTTCAACTCACTTAAAACGGAGGTAAATTTAGAAATATCATCAATTAAACAGTCTCTTTTGTGATATAAAATTAAAAATAAAGTAACAAATTCTTTTTTATGATTTTTTTTTTTAGATTTTGTTCAATTAAAATTAATTACCTTAAAAAAAGATACAAACTTTTTAGGTTAAGAAAATTTTTTAAAAATGATACTAAATAGTATGCTCCTTCATTTCCAATTTAACTTTGGCTATATTTTTATAAATTAGTTCAATTAAAAAATTAAATTTCTTATTTATCTTTTCTGAAGTTTTACTTTAAATTCAAATTCAGAACTTTTAAGAGATCATTTTTTGCAAATTTTCCAAAATCAATAATAGTCTAATAAGAAATTTAATTTTTACTATTTATTACCATAAATATACTCAATAAAGACTTGCTTATTTAGCATAGAAGTGATAAAATTGAAAAAAAAAATTTATAATTGATAACTCTAATTTTTATTGAAAAATAGTTATTGTACTTAAGATGTATTGTTAAAGAGGATAAACTTTGCATTTATGTCAAGATATATATAATACTTATTAAACCATACCCATCAATAGTGTTTTCTCTTATTTTAAAAATGAATTTTAATGAGTTTATTAAAATAGCTTAAAAATAAAAGCTAATTTTAGAATAAGAAATGGAATCTCATACCTTAAATATAAAGTCAAGGCTTATAAATTTTAGTTTTCAGCAAGCTTAGTAGTAAATTATACAATGCCACCATTTTTTATTTAGTTTTATCTTTAAATAATTAATTTGAATATTTAAAAATATTTATTTAATAAAATCTATTTTTAATTTCTTTTAATAATTTCAATTACTCTAAGTCCAATTTCAAGGTTTCTAGAGTTTTTAATTTTGCTAAATAAGATCCCATTTAATTGGCCCCTTATTCGTTAATCATATTTTAGCTTTTAAAAAATTGTTAAATTATATTAAATCTATCAAACATTTAGGAAATAAAACATTAAATTTTTGTAATAATTTTTAAAAATTTAATAATTAATTAAGCTGGTGTTTATTTATTATTGCATTATTAATAAAAGTTATTTTACTTAAACCAAAAAGTTAAATTTTTTAATGTTTTAGATTCAGATAAACCAGAAAGCAAACCTGATGCTCCACCTGAATGTAATTCATTTTTGCTGTTAGAATTAATAAACATTTTTTATTCTTGAAAATTAAATTTATTTTTTTTTATTTATAATTTCAGGTAAGTAATTTTAAATGTAATTAATGATTTTTACCTAGACCATAAGATTAGTATTTCTAATTTTTAACATTTTCCTAAGTTTTAACCTAAAATAATAGCACCATCTTATTTGATATAATTGCTACTATAATTTGAAATTTGAAACTAACTATATTTTTAATATCCAAAATAATAATGATTATTTTTTACTCTAAATTAAGAGTTAGCACTCTAAGATGAATAAACTTAGTTAAAGAAAAACTCAATGATTGAATCCCTTTTTTGCTAATTTCATTTAAGCTTTAAACATTTAAAATAAATATAAATTATTAGTACAAAAAAAACAATCAAATTTACTCCAAGTTAAGGAATAAAGTTTCTAAATTTAAACATTTTTCAAGAATTGTTCCAATTTGTGCAGCTCCTTCATTTCCTAAATTATTTTGACTTAAATAATAAATTACAATAAAAATAAGTAAGTAAAATTATTGATTTACTTTAAAAACAAACTTAAATTTCTCATATTTTTACACTTTACTAGAGATTGTACAATAGTAGGTACATAACTTATGTTTTTTTTGTTTAATCTTAAAAAAATAAATAGTATTTTTATTTAATCGAGTTTATTCAATTATTTCATTAAAAATTACCCTAAATTTAAAAACAGATTAGTAAGATTAGTGCATTTTTCTAAAGCAGAACTTAAAAGCATTAAATCTTTTTCAGTAAAACTTTTGCCACTTTTAATAAAAAAATCATAATTATTTTTTAATTTATTTGATAATTAAAGAAATTTTACTTTAATTGTAATTCTAGACTAACATGACTTTATAAATTAGATTTCTAAAACTTTATGTTAAAAAATATTTTTTTAGTGAGTCTTAAAAATAAGTAAATATTACATCACAACTATCTTTGTATATATTATGTTTTATCATGATGATTATTTTACAGATTCAAAAAAAATATTGCTTTTTATATCTTTAATTTATTTGATCAATCAATAACTTAAAAAAACAGTAATCAAATTTATATATATGTTAACCACATAATTGATATTAAAAAATTATAAACTATTTAATCACAATATTTTTTACAATAAGGTCAAACATTTTTTTAAAAAAAGTGATTTTTCTTTTGACTATAATTAATTAGGATTTAAAGTGATTAAAAAAGTTGAAGAAATATTTTAATTTAGCCTATTTTTTCTTTACATTAACAAAATACTTAATATTTAAAATTTGATTTTTATTAATCTTAATATTCAAAACTTTCACCATTCGATACATTAAGAAATTTGGTTATTTATTTTAGAATGACATAATATTATATTAAAGAAATTAAAATGTTTATTTATTAATATGTAATACCCAAATTTTGATGTTAAAGAAAAATAATATTTAAAATAATTTGAATGTGCAAAATAAAATAAAAAAATGCTATTTTTTTTATTGATTTAGAAAGATATTATAATTATAAAAAAGACGCATGAGCTTATTATTAAATTGAGATTAGAAAGATATCTCAGAAAATAGGTGATGCAAACAATATCTATAAATAAGATATTTATTTATTTAATTATTTCCGATTCTGCAATTTGTTCTTTAAATAGAAAAAAAAATCTTTCTAAAACGAAATAATGCAAATTAATTAAGATAATTAAAATATTCATATTTTCAAAAAAAATTAAATAGGTTATAGCAAATATAAATGAGCGTCATTGAGAAAGCTAGAAATTTAACAGGAGATTTCTTGAATTTTGTTAACAAGGGTTTGTCTCCTTACCACGTTGTTTAAGAATCTAAGGAAAGACTTGAAAAGGTAGGATTCACCCAACTTCATGAAGGTCAAAACTGGAAATTAGTTCCTGGTGGAAAATATTATTTGATCCGTTCAAATAGTACTTTACTTGCCTTCACTGTTGGTAAAAAGTTCGATGCCAACAATACTGGTTTTAAGATTATTGGTGCCCATACTGATTCTCCTTGCTTGAGACTTGCTCCTTTGAGCTAAGCCACCAACCAAAACTTCCGTTAAACTTGCGTTTGCACATATGGCGGTGGTTTATGGCACACTTGGTTCGACAGAGACCTTGTACTCGCAGGTAGAGTTGTATACAAAACTGCTGAAGGTGAATTCAAGACAACTTTATACAACAGCGAACGTCCTATTCTTAAAATTCCTAACCTAGCTATTCATTTAACCCCTCAAGATGAAAGAGGTAAGTTTGCTCCTAATACTGAAACTCATTTGAAGCCTGTTCTCTCTAGTGAAGTTTATGAAAAGCTTTCTAACACTGTTGTATCTTAGGATGCCGTTTAAAATGCTCCTTTGAAGAACAACCATTATGCAGGATTATTACTCGATATTTCTAAAAAAACTGGTATTCCCGTTGATAATATTATTGATTTAGATTTATGCTTTGCTGATTCTTAACCTGCTACTGTTGTTGGTATTAATGAAGAATTCATTTCATCTCCTCGTCTCGACAATCTTTTCTCTTCTTGGGCTGCATTAGTTGCTTTAACAAAACCCGAAGTCAATTAAGAAATTGAAAATTCATCATACATTAATGTAATTTGTCTCTTCGATCATGAAGAATGTGGTTCCGAATCATTCTAAGGAGCTGGAAGTACTCTTCTTTTATAAACTATCGACAGAGTGTTTAAGTTATTATCTGCTACTTAGGCTAATGTAGATGTCGATTCTCTCCATAAAACTTACATTAACTCTTTCTTTGTTTCTGCTGATATGGCCCACTCCATCCATCCCAACTACCCTGAAAAGCATAAGGAAAACCATCGCATTAAAATTAATGAAGGTATTGGTTTAAAGATCAACCACAACTAAAGATACACCACTGACTCTGTGAGTGCTTCCCTTATTAAATCAGTTGCTTCCAAGGCTCAAATTCCCATTTAAGAATTCGTCGTTAAAAACGATAGTCCTTGTGGATCCACTATCGGACCTATCGTTTCTCCTAACACTGGTATTAAAGCTTGTGATATTGGTGCTCCTCAATGGGGTATGCATTCCATCAGAGAAACTTGTGGTGTAGTAGATTCATACTACTATGTTGAATTAATGTCTGCCTTCTTCTTACATTATGAAACTATTGCCCCAACTCTTCTTTAATGCTGAAAATTTTAAGAGAATATCAACATAATTATTTGAAAAAAGTCATATTTTTATGTTCGGTGTTTAGTAATAATTATCATAATTTTTTTATTCGCTGAATATTCTAAGCATAAAATCACAAATTAATTTTTTTATTAGTCACGTAATTTTCATCTCAAAAATTTTGATAATAAAATTTCTGATTTTTGAAGCCGAGTTTTAAAAATTATCTTTGATAGATACACAATTTTTTAATTTTTTCTTTTATTTTTAATTAATTTTGATGTATCACTAAAGTAATTTATTGCTGAAAATCAAAATAAATTACAAAATTTAAATAAAATATTATTAAAAAGTTAATCTATCCATAAGTAAAAATAAAAGCTGTAATTGATTCATTCACTGATTAAATAAATAATGATCTAAATGTTTTATTTTTATTTTAAATATCAAAATTATTGCAATAATTTTTATAAATTTATAAAAGAAAATTGTACTTTGTATCTACATTTTATAAAATGAAAGAGAGAGATAGAGAGTAAATAGAAGAAATTTACTAATTCATTACTAAAAATAACTAAATAAATGCTCTATTATTTGGTTGTTACTGCTAACAAAATTAAAGAGATGACTTTCAATTCTTAAAAAAGCTTAGAAAAAAATAAATTAAAATAAATAATTAAACGAAGTCAAATTTTAAAAGAAATTAATAATTTTTCTAATAAAATGAATATTGATATTGATGCTGCTTCTAGAGAATGCGCTTAAGATATGATTAACTTCATTAACAAGGGTGTTTCTCCTTACCATGTTGTTGAAGAAGGTCGTTAGAGATTGCTTAAGTATGGCTTCACTCAACTTTACGAAGCTGATAATTGGAGCTTAGAAAAAGGTGGAAAGTACTTTTACATCAGATCAAACTCTACTCTCATTGCATTCGTTGTTGGTAAAAATTTCAACGCTTCTAATGCTGGCTTTAAGGTTATTGGTGCTCACACTGACTCACCTGCATTGAGACTTGCTCCAGTTAGCAAAATCGACAAACTTAACTTCCGTCAAACTTGTGTTCACATTTATGGTGGAGCTTTATGGCACACATGGTTCGATAGAGATTTGCAACTAGCTGGTAGAGTTGTATACAAAGATAGAGATTAATACAAGACTACTCTTTACTAAAGTGATGGTCCTATTTTGAAAGTTCCTAACCTTTGTATCCATCTTCAATCTGGTACAGAATTAACTAGTTTTTCACCTAATCTTGAAACAAATTTGAAGCCTATTTTATCTTCTATCGTTTACGAAACTCTTACTGGAAAAGCTAAGACAGAAGATGATGTTAAGAACGCTCCTTTGAAGAATAATCACTATGCTGGTTTATTATTAGATATCTAAGAAAAGACTGGTATTTCTGTTGACAATATTTATGATGTCGATTTGTGTTTCTCAGATGTCCAACCTTCAGCATTTTTAGGTTTGAATAAGGAATTTGTAAGCTCTCCTAGATTAGATAATCTCTTCTCTTCCTGGGCTTGTATTAGAGCTATTGGAGAACCTAAATATTTAGATCAATTTGTTAATAGCAGTAATATTTCTATGATTAATCTCTATGATCATGAAGAGTGTGGTTCAGTCAGTTTTTAAGGAGCAGCAAGCAATGTTCTTTTATCTGCAATGGAGAGAATTTGGGGAGTTTTATCTCAATCTTAATCTTCTCCTCTCTCTAAGGATGATTTATAAAAAATGTTCTTAAACTCTTTCTTACTCTCTTGTGATGTTGGTCACTCTGTTCATCCTAACTATGAAGATCGTCACAAAGAAAACCATAAAATTAAAATTAATGAAGGTATTGCATTGAAAATTAATCCCTAGTAGAGATACACTACTGACTCCGTCAGTGCTTCTTTGATTAAGGCCTGTGCCGATTTAGTAAATGTTCCTCTCCAAGCTTACATTGTTAAAAATGATAGTCCTTGTGGTTCTACTATCGGTCCTGCAATCTCCTCCAGATGTGGTATTAAGGCTGTTGATATTGGTGCACCTACTTGGGGTATGCACTCTATCAGAGAAACTTGCGGTATCATAGATACTTACTACCTTGTTGAATTAATGGGAAGTTTCTTTTCCAACTATGAAAAGTTTGCTCCTTCTCTATTAAGATGTTGAGTCTTTAATTAAAAATATGAATGCATGCTCAAATAATTTTAGAAATATTTCTAAAGAAGTTAAGCAAATCAACAAAAGCAACAAATAAATTAATTATATTTTTAAAATAAGAAAATCTACATAAAATAAATAAATTATTCATTTAATTGTTTTTTTATCTCTAAATTTTATGTTTAAAGATATAAAAATATTCTTTTATAACTGCAATTATTTTTTTATCTCTGATTTGTTTAAAAAATTGATATTTAAATAAAGAAAATTCTATTTTATAAAATAGTATTTATTTTATGAGAATAATTTTTAATTTTAAAAAAAAATGTTGAAAATTATTTAATGGAAGAAGAAAATAAATTTTTATTTTTTACAAATACAATTAATTAGTTATTTAAAAAATGTAAGTTTTGTTTGGTTTGGTGAATGTTGAGCTTTTATTGATTGTTAATCTAAGGAGTATGATATTAAATAAATATATTAGGTTTTAAATACATAATAAAAAATGTAAATCGAAAATGGCACAAACAAATCTAAATTTTAGAATTAAAAGATTGTTTTATTATTTAAAAGACATAAAAATCTTTAAAAATGTTTACACTAAACCAAAATTCATAACCTCCCAAAATAAATTCATGGAAATCAGACCAGAGCAAATATTGCGACAATTCTGAAAATAAGAGGTTGCAAGCATACTTAGTAAAAGAATTTCAAGATTTGATGAGTAAAATTTAGATTTCACAAAAAGTTTTATAAATAAAACAAAAGCAAGTAAAATTAAGCTTAAGATTTTGGAAAGAAAGAGTTGATAAACAAGAAAAGTTGATAAAAAATGTACCAACAAATAAATCCTCAAATTCAACCTCACTTTTATGGTCAATAACCTAATCATAACTATCCTTAATTGCAGACTCCTCAACATCCACAATAAGGATACTAATCTATTGAAATGTAGACGACTGCTCCTATTTAGCTTTAATAGCAGTTTGTCCCTCAAAATGCCTAATTGTTGCAATAGGGTTAATAAATAGTTTAAGGTGCTTAAAGTCCTGTTTATGTAGTTCACCCATAACCTATTTATTACTTCCCTATTTTAAAACAGTTAAATGAAGTAATTGGCAGTTTTAGTGTCTCTATGATGGTTAACATCAGCTGCTATTTAGCTGCTTTTGCCATCTTTATCACAGTAAATAATTCTTTAATTGATTGTTTGTTTTTTAATTAAAAATTCAATTTGTTTGGTGAATAATTATATCTTTGTCCTTTTAGATTTTATTATTAACAAAATTCCTTCACAAATTAATGTATTTTTTGATCAAATTGATAATCTAAATTAAATATAAATATATTCATACTTCTCAATTAATCTAATATAAATAAATTTATTACTTCTAAATACCTTTTTTAATTAGAATCTTAAACATTAATTTAATTTCAAAATTAAATCTAAAAGTTTGATTTATTTTAATTCTGAGATTATAAAAAATGTGATAATGAGTTTATTTTTTAATAAAAAAAGTATGTCGTAGCTTGCTCTTTAGGTCACCAACAGTGGTTCCCATGCATGATCACTTCTGCTGGTACAGATTATCCTGAAAATATATTCTTTAGAATCGGTTTGCTTACTAATATTTTCTACTGGTTAATAATGCTTGTTTTTTAATACTGGTGGTTGAGAGCTTAGTCTGAAGCCATGATGGGTGTTGTTAATGTGAGCAAAAAAATGAATTATTTTGCTTTTGTTGGATTCTTTTTCTATGGCCTCACAATTGCTACTATTGATGATGGACACATTCCTACTTAATTCCATGGTGCTTGTGCAGTCATATTCTTCATTTTCCTTTGTGTTTATACCCAATTAAACTTCAATACTTGCTAATAACTTAGAAAATTAAACCCTGCTTTCATGTCTAATAGCAGCTACAACAGAAAAAAATTTTTTGCTAAAGCTTGGTATGTCGTCTTCTTCTTTATCATTCTCTTAGCTTTAAAATAGAAATGGGCTCTTGCAGTTGCTGAATGGATTGGAACCTACTCTATTATTTTCTATCTTTAAACATTTGCTACTGATTTGAAGGATTTCACAGTTAGTGTTGATGACTAATAATTTAAAACATAAGATTTAAGAGTTGAACTTGCTAGAAACTTAGAAGAAAAGCAATTAAATGAATAAGAACCCTCTTCATAAAACGCTGTTTTACAAGCTACTAATCCTTAAATCTAGAATGTTGTTCCTCAATTAATTTAAGGAAATCAAACTCAACACATTCAATAATTCCCCATAGTTTAACTAAGCAACGGTTAATAATAAAATATCAATCAAGCACCCATGCAAAACTCAACTGAATCTTACTTGTAAAATCACCAAGTACACAGTTAAGTCTGTGCTTAAGCTCACTTCCACTCTGCAAGATTAAATCATGTGAATCTTTCTGAATCTATCTCTAAAGCTGACAACAGCTTCATGTCTATTAAGAAGCCTTTCATAAACATTAATGGATAAAATTGAAATAGACTATAAAAAATAAAATTTATATTTACATTTATATAAAATATAAAAAAAATTTGATTTTTAAAGTACCAAAATAAATTTTTATGTAAAATTTCATTTAATAAATTCAGAATTTACAAACAAAATATTTTTATTTCGTTTTTAAACTTAATCGAATTTTCTTTTATTGATTTATTATTGTGTATAAAAACTATAAATATTTTTATTAAAATACTAATAAAGTATGAACATTTTTTTTTTCAATTCAATTAATTCATTCTATTTAATATATAAGCAAGTAAAGTAAAGATTTTTTTAATTTAATTTGATATTAGTAAAATAAAATGATAAATGAGTTTTATAGATAGAAGATCATCTGAACAAGGAGATAAATTTATGGCTAAATAATAGGCTTTTAAATTCAATTTATTTATTTTATTTAATAAATAAGCAAGAAAATAAAGATATTTTTATATTTAATAATAAAAATAATAGTAAATGAGACTTATAAATGGCCTATTAGATATTTTTATAATTTAATAAAAGGGCTTTTTTCAGTTAAAAAGTCTTGAAATATAATTAAACAGTCAGATAAATACTTTAGAAAAAATGTAACCAAATCATCGATTTTATATAAATAAATGGATGTTAAAAAATATATGAAAGGAAAATTAATGGTAAAAAATAAACTATTTATTATTATTTTACATATAAAAAATACTAAAAGTAAATATGTTAAATAAATAATTAAATGTATTTGTGTGTTTGATATGAGAATTAGAAATTAATACTTTAACAGTAAATAAGCTTAATAATAAATATATTAATTTCAGTAAATATATTTATTAGCAATTAGATATAATCCAATTAAATTTTTAGGGCAAATTATAATTTAATTAAGAATAAGCTAGATTGATTATAAATATATATTAATACTTTTTTCGCTGATATTATTAAATAAATTATCGATATGAACGAAAGCTTTATTTCTAGGGATATACTATTTCTCGAGTAGAATAGAATCTAGTCGGAAATGAGTAAATATGTTGAATGGATTCATCAAATTAATGGTTATTACAAGTAACCAAATTATAATTAGAGAATCCATAAAAAAGAATATCAAAAAAGCTTAATATTATTACCTAATTTCTAGGTGTTAAGCAAGAAATTTGAAGATCATACAAAGCAAATAGAAGACAAAGTAATTAAGGAATGGATGGAAAAATTAGAATTCGAAGAAAAATTTAATCCTTCTAATACAGTATCGATGGATTATATTATGAAATTTTTGAAGAATATGGTTTCTGATTTCAACAATATGATATTACATCAATAAATGCCTGATGATAACCAAAAAGAAAATAAACCTAAATTGAGTTAATTCGAAAAAGATTTTATGATGAAATAAATTGATGATAACAAGATTAATATAATTTTATTTACGACATTGATTTAGCAAATAAGCAAAGTTTTGGATTATGAATAAATAGTTTCAGAAAAGAATAAAGAGTTTATTAAAAACCTTCTTGAAAAATACTTATAGATAATCTAAATCAGTAGCGAGGAAATAGTTTTTAAAAGTGAAAAGTTAATGTCAGAAGAATAGCATTAAGTCCTAAATAAAAATATCAAAAATTCTTTACTGCATAGATTGCTTGAGATAGAACAAAAATTCATCAACTTGGATAGCAAAAACTACATGGGAAATGCTTCTATGATAGAATATGATACAAAAATTAATTAAATTGAATACACATAATCAATAAATTATAAAGATGATGGCATAAAATCTTCTTCGAACACAATGTATACAGGACATAGCATAAATGCTTTTACCTAAAACAAAAGAGAACACAATATTGATATTTCAATTAGTAGCCATAAAGAAATAGAGTACTTGGATTTTTTGATGAAAGACTCAAGAGTGGAAGAAAATAGTTAAAAAGAAATTGAAAAAAAATTCAAACACTTAATGGAAAGACTGAGTAAATTAGGTGATTTAATAAAATTAGCTTAAACTGAAAAGATTCATGAAATGATTGAAATGATCAATGAGTTTAAAACTGTTTTATTCTTACATAATTTACTGATAAAAAACAGGATAGAGAATTTCCTTAAAGCAGAAGAAAATATGAACCTTTATGAAAAAAAGGAACTTAAGAAAAAGATAGAGCAATACAGAACAATTATTCAAAAATCCTTTTAATATTTAGATGAAAAAAAGAAAATTTCTTTAAAAGAAGAGAAACCAACATTTAAAAGGTATATGGGAGATCAAGGAATGATAACTCATAAGCATTTAATCCTCAACAAAGACAATCTTGTGCCAATATTTAAACACTTAGATCCATCTAGATTTCATGAAGATCATTTAGTGAAAAAGTTTGATATAAAACATAGATAAGAAGAACAAATGCAAAAACACATCTAAAGAATATAAAAAACAAATCAATCTTTCTCTATTTGCTCTTAACCTACGTATTTAATTTGAATATTTTGACTTAAAGAAAAAAATTAAATAAAAACATTTTAAAAATCAATTTTTTATTAAAATTAACTAAATTAATTAATTTCTTTTCTGAGAATGGAAATTTAAATGTTTTTTAATTTAAAATAAAAATATGGTTTTTAACAATTATATTTATGAAAAATAGATCCACAGTAAGGAGAAATGATACAGTTAGAAGCAATGATTTAAGCATTTTATCAAAAATATAGAGTAGATAGAATAGTCTTTGGAGTAAATATGACGATACATCAAATAGCAATCCAACTAACTTATAAAAATCGATGCACTCAAGTAAATTAATTGAAGATCCTCAAAAACTTATTTAAGAGAAATAAAGAAAAATTCTCTCTAAATTTAATAGCAACTACGGGAATAAATAATTTACAAAGGATAAAGATAAAACAAAAGAATTTACTTAAATATTAAAATAAAATTGCTAAAAAAGAAAAGGACTGCAAGAATATGAATAATAAAAAAATTCAAAGTAAGTGCAACAGCATATAAATTAATTGATAAACAACAGCTTTGACGAAGATAAAGTCAACGAGTAAATTTTAAACAGAGATTTAGAATCTTAGAAAATTATAAAATAGTAGAACAAATTTCCTTAAATACTACTCAATATGAGGAATACATTTAATTCAAATCAATTTAACATTTCAAAATCAGATGACAATTCTATGGCAGAATTAAGCTAAGAAAATCTTCCTACAAGTATGAATGACCTTTCTGTTGGGGAATTAAGCCCAAATTCTAATTTTTGTAAATAAAACGAAGAAATTCTTATTCGTGTAGGTGATAAATAAATAAGCCCAATAAAACCTAATTAGAGAATTAGAGGAGTAAACAGGAATAAAATCTAAAACTATAACCAAATAAATAACACTTTTCATTTTTAGAGTGTTAATTCCAGATGTTCTTCCTCAGAATTAGGAGGAAATTCTGTGGATTATTATTAAGTTGTTTAAAAAAATCCCAGAAGTAAGAAAAAATATTAAAATTTAAGTAAAAACGAGTCTTATGAAGAACACTAGGATGGAAGTACGCTGTTTACCAGTCAGCAGTCTCCTTTCAAAAGTTAAGAATAAAGTTTTGATTACAGCATCAGAAATGAAAAATCAATTAGTAATAAAAAACAAATTCAGAATAATAGCATGGATGATATTTAAGACATGGTTTCTAAAAGGTAAAGATAAAGATTACTTATAAATAGAATGCAACTTCCAAATACTCTACCTATTATGAATTCTTTGAATTCCTAAAGTGAATATTAATAGCAATAATAATAATAATAATTGTTGCAGAAAGAGCAAGCTTGCACAATGAGTGTATAAAAGTAGGTTTCTAAACAAAGTTAAAATATAAAGATACATGTTAAGGAGTTTTAGTTTGGAGAAAAGACATTAAACGATACATAGTAAACTATTAAAAAATAATAAACATAGGAGTCGATGAAGTAATCTATAAATTTCTATGACACTATGTACCAGTATAAATTAAAGGTGGAAAGATAAGAAATAGAGAATTAAGAAAGACTTAACAAAAGATAGAAAGTTATCGATAACATAAATTCTCACTTTATGCCGAAATACATTCATATAAATGGTGGGAAATTGGCTTAAAAAGCAAATCCACATCTGATTCGAAACCTTGTAAACAATTTTAGAAAAGAAGAACTAGAAAAGAATTAGTATGTGCTCTAAAATTATTAAAAACTAAAAAAGAAAGAAGAAACAGACTATTATGGAATTGAAGAACTGACTTGCCCACCAAAAGAACATAAATTCATTACCTCCACCATCCAAAACACTTATGAAGACATAAAGACTGACAATATATTATTTTAAAATAAATAAGAATGAATGATTGATTGATTAACAATTCCAATTTTAAGTTGAAAGAATTTGTTAAATTTGTAAATATTAAATTAATTTTCTTACAATATTTATATATGAAAAAATTAAAGAAATTATCTTTTAATATTTGAGTAATCAAATATTTAAATTATTGATTAAAACATTAATTTTGTATAAAATACATTAAAATTAATTAATATAATTATAAAAGAATTGCTTCAAAAAAAATTATGTTTCCAATCATACCACCCAATTTTTTAAATCTAAAAATGTCAAAATAATGCTCATAGTTTACATTGAATTTTATATAATAATTTAGAAATTTGTTATTTATCTTATCCTTACATTAACCACCAAATAAGAAAACAATAAATAAATTTTTATTTTTATATTAGTAAAAAATATTTCCTTTAAGTTATTATTTATTGTTGGTTACAATATTTTTTATGCACAGAAACAATAAGGAATTTTAAAAAATACTTAGTGAATTTTCTCAAATCAATTTTATTTATGTATGTTAATTTTTTTTGTTTATATTAATAAGTCATAGTTTCATTATACTTTTATTCCAAATGCGAATTAAGTACTTTTTATTTTTAAATTTGTATTATTTGCTTTATCTTACAATAATATTCCTTTAATTTTTTATTAAATTATTTATTATAGCTTGTTAGTCTTTTTGTATGTGTGAATAATCAAAACTTAAACTTTTTTTGAAGTATTTATTATGATTAATTTTTTTATTTGGTTTTTTTGAATTGGTATTTAATAATACACATTAGAGTTATTTATTATATTGTAATCTTTAAACAAGCATTTCTAATGCATAATCTTACAGTTTCAATAAATTCTTATTCTAAATAAATAAGTATTTTTGAATTAGTATATTTTTATCATTGAAATAATATTAAAAGAGAAGTACACTTCAGTTTAAGCTAATTTATAAATAAATAGGTAAATTAACTTAAAGAAAAATTTACTAATGAAAGTGAGGTTTTTAAATTAATAAATAAAAGTAAGTAAGAAAATCAAAAAATATTATTTATGTTTACATTCATATAAATATCCTTAGTTAAATTTTCATGAAAGTGAGTTATCAGAAAAATTCATCAAATTTATATAAATGCGTGGTTGATTGATGCTTATTCTTTTTGGAATAAAAAACAAATTCTGCAAAAAATAAATAAAGATATATGATGGACCTTATCAATTTTTTATTTTTTTCCTTTGTTCTTTTATTCAATTTTTTAGAAAAGTAAGAATTGGAGATGGGGAATGAATGCAATTATAATTATTAATAAAATAAAATATTCAATAAAAGCTATAATATTATAGGTATTAATTCCAAGCTAAAAACTAATATCAGACAGAAATTATAAATAAATAAAGAAATTCTTGAAAATATTTTTTAATAGCTAAACAATAAAAAAGAAAATAGCTTTACAGAATCATTTTAAGTAATAAACTATATTAACAAAGTATACATATGAGTGCATAATAGAAGCAGACTTTTGAAGCATTTTAGGTGAATAAAGAATTAGTGGCAATATTCACTGAATAAGCTGTAGGAGCTAAAAGATTGTAAATACTAAAATGGATTAAAGACTTGGTAGAGAAGCCAAAACATGCCCATAAAGAAGAGGAAAAATTAAAGGGTTTATTTGTAGAAGAAGCAGTAATCTAAGAAATTACTAAAGGAGATACTGAATTTCGCATTAATTATTTCAACAATATGCTCCAACAAATTTTAGAAGAATTCAATCAATCAAAAGTAAAGGAAGGTAACATATATATGCGCTCATTAACACTTAAGCGTTGGAAAGAAAAGAAAGTACGCTTAGACGAGATAAATAAATAATTTGTTGTACTTTCAAAAAAGAAGCAAAAGTAGCTTAATCTCAACACTTACTCAGTTAAATGGGTAGGGTAAAAGAAAGAATACTAAGCTTTCGCTCTCGATTCACTTTCTCCATAGAATAAATATAAATAGTTGCTTTTTGGATGGGTCAATTTTGATGGAGCTCGTTTATGGCACGATAGCATTTTGCGCCTATTAAGTAAGCAGCTCCTTGATAATAATTTAATTCCTGATAGGTTGGGAGTTTAATCAGTTTAAGTTAAATCTTCTTAAGACCTTTTTGGTGAGAGCTAAGTAAATATGCAAAAATAATAAGATTCCGAAGACACTTAAGGAAAGAGAAGAGCTAGTCTATAGCTGAATTTAAAAGAGGAATAGCTTGAGAAAGCAGAGAAGCCTACAGATTCTCTTTAACTTAGCATATAGCATAAAGCAACTAAAAAAGAAGAATTAAAGTCATCTTCTTAGTAGCAAGAAATTTCCTCCTCATCCAAAAATAACCTTTAAGTTGCAGGAGAAAAGTAAATCTAAAACGATGTTTCTTCATCTCCATCATCCAAATAGCAACAATAGATTGTAGTTTCCAGTTCTTCTTCTCCTATGCAAAAATAGGGTACAGAAAAACCTGAAAAAATGCAACAAATTTAGGTAAAAATAAAATTCAATAACAACCAGTTTTTTAATTTTTTTAATATAAATAGATAGATCAAAGCTAGGCCTAAAAAAGACAATAAGAATAACAGTAGTAATAATAACAGCAACAATCTTAATTGCTAAAGCCACAAATATAATAGCAATAACTAAATAATTAAAGAATTGAATCAAAATCACCTTCTAGAAATACAAACTCTCCTTCTCCTATCAATAAAGACAACAATACATAAAGATAAATACAAAAAACGGAAGAGTAAAAGTAAATTTTAAAACATAGAGTAGATTAAGCTCTTCAATAGTAAACTTTAGCACAGAGCATTGACGTAGATTAATACTTAGAGCATATTGATGAAATAAAAACACCTTAAGCAGTTTAATAATTTTTAAACTCTTACAAATTAGAAATGATGGCAGATGAGAGAGATTTCAAAAGCATAAGCTTTAATAATGGAATGAGTTTGTTGTAAAGCACTGAAGATCCTCGCAGATTTAAGATTTTCTTGGCTTTCTAAGGTGTTTCTGCTTTTGAAATTTTTAACTCAATTTGTAATGTTGACGACTACAGCAAGTGGAATGGCAATGTTGCTGAAACTAAAGTAGCTTTTTTTTTTAAGCAAAGAATTTTTAAACTAAAAATAGACTTAATTAATTAATTAATTAATTAATTAATTAGATAAATTTAAAGTAATTTAACAAGTAATCATTAATTATTTTGTTTGAAATTTAATCTAGGTTCTTAATATAATGAAAAATGAGCAAACATGCATAATTTATTAAAAGCATAAGGGTATTGGAATTATGTATCGTCCTCGTGATTTCGTTTACTTAAGACATGCCTTCGTCAAAGACTAATCTTATTATTTGATTGATAAATCTATAGAATATGATAGTATTCCTACTAGTATGTCTATTGTCCGCGGTGAAATCGAACATGTAGTATGGTGCTTTAAAACTCATAAGGATGACGAAAGCAGATCTTTAATGATTGGTGACTTTTATTATAACAATTCAGGTTACTCTAACAAGGAATAGGATGCTTCTATCACATTCGCATATATCAACAATTTCTGTAATCTGGGCTAGTTCATAACTCAAAAGAGCTTCTAGAAGAGCATAAAAATCAACATGTTTGACATAGGAGATTTAAGTAAGATGATTATTAAATTAATTGATAAGATTTATTTTAGATTATATTCTATTAAAAATACGAAGTAATTTGCTCTTAAGTAATTTAAATTATTTAGAATAGAAAAGAGAAATTAATTAATTAATTGATTATTCATTCATTTATTACTCAGTTTACATAGTAATGCTCTTTATCAATCAATATTTTCTGATTGTGTGTGAGAGTGGGAAGGGATATTTGAAGGAATGATAATATTATATAAGTAACAAAAAAATTAAAATAATCAAAAACTGTATATTTAAATTTTATTTAAAAGATAAAATTATCTTCAAGCAAAATAAATTTTTAAATAGAAACCAAATTTTTGTATTTCCTCATCAGGAACTCTTTTCTTTGCAACTATCTTAAAAAAACTCTGATCCGATAAAGTCTTTTTTATTATTCTATTTTAATTTGCTGAAATAGAATTATAATGAATAATGTATGTTAGACCTATTTTAGGTAAATTAAAGCATCCTTCACTGCACCCCTAATAAAACCTAAAATAGCGAAAATTAATTTTCAAAATTTTAACTATGTCAAAGATTTTTCTTCTAGTCTTAAAATATGAAATGACAGGCTAAATTTAATCAATTTTAATAGTAACTACTGACTTTAAGTGAAACATTTCAATTTTTTTAATTAAAAATATTTGTACGTGTTTTCCTAAGTCTAAGCTTAGGAGAGAAATTAGAACAAAAATGATAAGATAGGTTAACAATAACCAAACAAAATCATCTATAAAATCACTATTTGAAATTACAATCATTTTATCATCCGCAAGGGAAATTTTAAAAATAATTTTGTGTTTTATAAAAATAAACAGCCGTAAACAGGAAGACTTAAAATGAAAAGGGACGCAAGCATAATGTATTAGAATCTGTTTAGTAGTCTTAACTTTATAAATCAATCGATCCTAATAATGGTAAACAGGAAAAATTTTTACTTTTATTCATTAGTCTATCACACAAATCAAATTTTTTTAATTAATAAATTTTCATTTTGCATACATACATATCTTAATTGTAAAATTCTTTAATTTAAAAGATAGAACAAATTGATAAATATTATTAATTATTTAATTAATAAATTTCAAAATTATTTATTTGACAAATATCAACATTAAAAAAAAAAAGAAACAACTTAAAAATTAAATCTAATTTTTATAATTTAAAAAATTTAAAAAAGTGTTTTAAAGCATACAACTCGACTCTTAACAGTTGCCTTATTAGCAATAGTATTCTATAGTTATTAACTAAAATAAAATAATGACCAAAATTGAAGAAAACTAAGAGGAAAATATACCTACTTCTAGTTAAATTAGCAGCAAGACTGAGCTTGAATAAATTGAATAAGAAGAAAAAGAAATAGTTAAAAAGATTTATGAAGAAGAAGAAATTCAAAACGCAGAATTAAATGTAGAGATTAGCAAATTCTGTGAGGAAATTCATAAGGACGATAATAAAAAATCCAAAAATATTATTGAAGAATCTCAAGCACTCATTGAACAATAGTAAGAAATAAATAAGCCTGGAAATAAATTAGCTGGTATGACTATTCCTTAAATTATTGAATTTGTTAATTAGAATAAGCATTGGAAGATATGTCTTGACTAGAAGTTTAATATGGGCCGCATTGACACTAAACCATAATTTATTACATCAGATCCTGAAAAGGGTCACTATTAGTTTAAAAAAGATTGGGAACGTGATTTAAAAACTGGCAAGTTCATTTTTTTAAATTAAGAGAAAATTAACACTTAAAAAAAAGTTATATCTTTCATATTATCAAAAATTGGTTCCAATATTTTAAGCGGTAAATCTATAACCAGTATTTCACTGCCTATTGATATTTTCGAACCTCGTTCTAATTTAGAAAGATTCGCTTACAGTTGTGCATTTGCTCCAATTTACTTAAAGAAGGCAGCTGAGCTAACAGATCCAATTGAATAAATGAAAAATTGCGCTATTTATCTTGTTACAACAACTATTATGTACTTAGACTTAGAAAAGCCTTTTAACCCCATTTTAGGAGAAACTTATCAAGGTCGTTTAGATGGCTATCCCTTTTACGCTGAATAAATTTGCCATCATCCTCCAATTTGTGCTTATTCTTATTATACAGATTCATACAAACTAACAGGCAGTTTAGAAAGTATCGCCTAAATGCATGCAAATTCTGTTACTGGTCTTAACTAAGGTAATGTCTTTGTAAAATTCCATAAAACCGGAAATGAAATTGGTTTAATCTAGGCTCCAGGTAGTCTTAATGGCACAGCCTTTGGTACTAGATACATGTCAGTTGATGGTAAATACCTTGCTTATGACATTAAAAATAAACTAGTATTAGATATTAAAGTCAACCCTGATAAGAAAGGTTTCTTCAAAAGTGCTGGTTGCACAATGGACTATATGGCTGGTGGTATTTATAGAGTAAATGATAAGTTTATAGCTAAATTGAAAAGCTTGCATCCCCATTATTATAAATTCTAAGGCCTTAACATGAAAGAAGATGTGGTAGAATAAGTCTCTACAATTACAGGTATTTGGAATAAAGAAATTTTTATTGATGATGTTAAATGGTTTGATATTGAAAATCCATTCCCATTTAAGTTAGAGCATGAACTAAATCCTATTCCCAGTGACTGTAACTATCGTCAAGACATCTTATACCTTAAAGATCGCAACTTAAAAGATGGATAAACCTACAAAGAGCTGTTAGAAAATCATCAGCGTGCCGATCGTAAACTTAGAGAAAAAGCTCATGAATAAAGAAAGAAAAACATGAAGAAAAAGAAATGAAAAAAAAACTTCTGATATTTACTTATTATTGTTATACTTATTAGCACACTTCATTCATACATACATTCATTATTAGCCTACTTATCAAACAAAACTTAAAATTTATAAATATAAAATTAAATTAAACTAAATAATTCTGTTATAGAAACAATTTCCTAATTTTTTTTATAATTTTTTTATTTCTTTAAATGTAGTTTATTTCGTACAAAAGCTATTTTTAAAAATTAAAAAAAAACCCTCTAATAAAAAGAAACAAGTCTAAATATTTTTGGATAAAACAAAGCTTTTCTCTTATTTTAATGAAATATTATTTTATTTAAAATTTACCAAAAATAGATATCATAAATAATTTAAATAAAGCATATCAATCATTTTTTCCTTTTTAATTTAAAATATTGTCTTGTAGCTTTTCTAATTAATTTAAAAAAATGAAAATTTATAGTGCATAAAATGCTTTTTTTATGAAAATTTATCAAAAAAATTTATAATTTGTTAAATTTTTAATTCAAAATTATTTTAACAGATAAATTTTCTTTTTTTGGTTTTAATTAAATTTGAAAAATTTAATCAATAATAAGATTTGTGTTCTATAATGGAGTTTGATATATCAAGTAACTAGGGTCTTATTTAATTTTTGTGCAAAATTTAGTATTTTTTAAGATGAGAATTATCTTACGTTTAGTTCATTCATTAAAATTAATTGGGAAAATATATTTATTTTATATAAATGTAAATAAAATTAAATTGATCTATCTAATTATTTGTTAATTTATGATTGGAATAAATAATTATCAATAAATCTAAACATTTCATATCGCTTATTATTTATCAGTCATTCATTCATATACACACAAATATATTTATTAAAAGAAATCAAGCTTTTTAAACCATTCTGATGGCTTAAATATTACAATAATTAAATTATAGGAATTTAATAATTATTAATAATTAATTATTTATTATACTATAAGGAGTAAAGTAAAATAAATAAAATCGATATCTATCCATATTTTAGAAAACGCAAACTATTTAAAAGATTAATACCCATTATATCATAATTTCATTAGAATGAGCAGTTAGGTAGATTAAGATATCTAAGAGAATGGCATTCACAGCAATATTAAGTATGCAAAAGTTTAAAAAGTTTAATTGACTTACATTTTTTTAATTTATTATGAAGAGAAGATTCATTAATTGGATAAGAGTAGAATTAAAACCAGTAATAAAACATAGGATAAGGTAACTTATTGAATTCAAATTCATTTTTTAGTTAAATTAAAGTGTATAATCTAGCATCAGAATCGTAGTATAAGTAGAATTTTATTTAAGAAAAGCTTGATTTATACTCAGAAAAAGGAGAATCAAATCAAAATACAGTGACTCTAAATACTAGCACTTTAGAAAATCAAAATCAATTTATACCCTAATAAAATATCAACGAATTAGCAGATAATACTAATGAAGCATCCTCCTAATTGTAGGCATCATAGATGTAATAGTATATTAAGTAAATGGCCAGTTAAAATGTAGCTTAATGTAAATTTAGTTAGTTTTATCAATCATTTATCTACTTGATCACATAGAGCTTTATTAACTTATATCTTTAAAATATTTAGTAGGAAATCATAGTCAAGATAGTTAAAATTCTCCTCATAATGCAAATTAACAAGTATAGAAACTTTTTGAGTATTTATGTGTCTTTTAAGTTATTATAATTTAAAAAATAGAAAAGTTCTATTGATGCAGTAAGTCTAAGAAACAACACAGATAATAGTATTTAATGCAGACACGATGAAGTAGAACAGCAAAGTATTAATGGAGAAGATAAAATTCAGAATGTTTTAGAGATTGAAAAAGTGAAAGTTTATAGTTCACATGAAATTTAAAATAATGAATAATTTGTAGTCAACTAAGAAAAGCAAGTTGAAGAATAAAATAAATACAAATAGCAAGTAGCATTTTTAAGCGAAAAATAAAAACAATAATAGAAATAATAGCAATTTTAGCCACAACAATTACTTGAAGCATAGAATTAATAGTAATTAGCCCTTTAAAATAAGTAATTTGCAGGGCTAGTAACTCCATCTGCAAGAGCTAGTGGCAATTACATAGATGAAAAATCTCCTTCAAATACATAGAATGATAACTCAAGCCGTTCATAACCAAAGCAAGCAAATTATGAAACCTATTCTTAAAACAATAATTTTGAAGAAACAGCATAAAATTATGATTATTCAAACACTGACTGCTATTAAATAACACCAATTTAAATTACTAAAAAAGGAAGATAAAATTAAGATGCTTAGATAGCTGATTCATATATGCAAAATAAGAATAATTATGGAAGATATGAAGATAAGGATAACTCAAGTCAAGATTTTGGGAAAATTAAGTATATTCATTCTTTAGCATACTATGACCCATTAGTGAATTAGAAGAAAATAAAAAAGAGAGGTGGACAGGAAGAAGGAAACGATGTTTCATTGCAGGATTTATTAAATTAAAACTAATACTCTTTAGCAAGCAGTGTGAATTTCAATTATTCTATTTCAAATTATAGTTCATCTAAGAAACAATAACGTAAATTCAATGCTACCTCTTCGAATTATGAGTATTCTGAGAAACTCCAAGAAAGAGTAGAAGATCGTCTTCTAAAAATGGGACATAAAAAAGAAGAAAAGCTGCAAAAACTAAGAATAGAAAGAGACTAGTAATTCTTACAAATGACAAGAACGAAATCTCCTGATAAAAATTTATATAGACAAAAGTAGACTAATTATTAAGAATATCAGTCGATGACTCACTAAAGCTTAGATCAAAATCAAATGTTTTAACAAGTGGGAGCATCTTTGGATAGTTAATTTTTTCAAAGCTACATTTAGGGTCAATAATAAGATGCAATTCAAAACTAAAAATACTATCAGCAACAACTTAAGAGTTTATCACAGAGCTAGAATTTTAGAGAAACAGAAAACTCTAGCAATTATTTATAAAACTAAACGATGCCTCTCAAATTAGAATAAACTTATGATAAAGAATTTAATGAATAAATTATTCAGAATGAAGCATATTAAAGACTTTAAGGTAAAAAACAGTTGAAATATCAATTTAAGCCTAATATCTTCAGTGCTTCACAATCTTCACTGGTTGTTAACAAAAGAGATGAGATAAAATAAAATTATTTAAAATAAACAAAACAATTTTTTTCTGTAAATAATACTTCGTAGCTTTAACAAACTTAGGTAAATAAAAATAGTAATGGAAACTAAATTTCAAGCAAGTTAAACAGCAATAATGTATTAAGTAACTCTTCTTCCCCTAGAACAGTATTGTTCCAAAGATAAAATGTAGATGAAAATGGATAAAATAATTAGCCTACCAATTAAAATAAATAAATCTATTTTAACCAATAGTAATAAATGAGAGATGATAAAAGTAAAGTTATCAGTACTCTTTATGATAGTGCTTAAAGACAGAGATAGGAACAGTAGATAAAAGAATAGGAAGAATTAAATTTATAATAATAATAATATTACTAAAGTTACGTTAACCTTACACCACAGCAAGTTAAAAATAATAATGAACAAATAAATTTCTACTAAGCCAATCAAGTTTAACAATCAATCCCAAAAGAATTCTCATTCAATTAATCAGGATTATTATATAGCGCTTTCTAAGAAAAACCTTCTTCTGATAAAATGCTTTTTTACAGCGATAAAGTATAAGACTTAAAACTCCTTCAAAATTATTCCCCAAACTTCAAATCAAAATATGGAGCAAAATATATAACTCAAGCAGGTAATAATGAGTATAATGTGAGAGAATATATTAGAAAAATAGCTTAAGACTGTAAATAAAATACATAATTCAGCAATCAAAAAGATTACTATCAATAAAACTAATGATTAAATCACAAATTTGTGTTTATTTTCAAAAAGCAATTTCATTTTTTTAAGTTATTTTTGAAGTAAAAAGATAATAAAACTCTTAAATAAAAAAGAAAAAAATATTTTTTTAAAATTATAATTAAATCTTTTTGCATCAAACTTGATAGATAGATAGCTTGAAAATAAAAATAATAAATTATAACTTTTAAAATGAGTTTTTTGAGTTGATAAATTATAATTTTTTTTATTTTTTCATTTTTCCTTAATTTTATTTAATAATATTGTAGATAATTTTTGTATATTAAAATTGTGTGTGTGGTTTTTTTAATAAAACTTTTTAGTAACAATCATTTAAATTAAATTAATTTATTTATTTATTTAAAAATATGGATTACCCACTTTACAAATAGAAGTAAAAAATTAATTATATTAATCTCATATATATAAATTATCCCTTTATGCAGCTTTTTCATTTCAATTAAACTATTTTTTTCATTTATTAATTTTATTTGTATCTAAGTTAGGTCATATATAAAAACTATTTTTATAAATGAGAATTAAAGAAATTGGCTTTTACAGATCATATTTAGCTTTTAATTGATAATAAATATTTAAGCAAAATCTCTATAAATTAAAATTTTTTAGCTTGCAAAAAATATTTTTAAAAATATTTAGTTTTTGTTAGTTTTAAACAATCTTTTTTTAAATAGACAATTATAATTTGATGCAACTTTTTAAAGTAATAACAGTGAATAAATATGTTATCAGTAAAGATCAAATAATTCCTAAAAAACTCATATTGGAATTCAATATCTAGACATCCCTAAATTTTATTGAAATTTCGAAAAAGATGCTTCAAATTAATTTAATATATCATAAATTTGATGCGATAGATATGTTTATTAAAGAATTAAACATCTTGCATGAGGTACTTAAACTCATCTTAGTTAATTGTTTAATAAATATAATGAAAAAATCAATAATTAGTTATATTAATGAGTAAAGAAAATATTTCAGTTAATAAAATCTTATACAATAAATATTTTTTAAATTGTTTGTTTTATTTTTGTAAAAAGTATTAAAATAAATTTGATTTTAATTTAAGAATTATTGAACAAAGAATTAAAAGCTAAAATATAATATTTATAGATATTTTTATATTATAGATATATTATACTTAAATTTATTATAATACACTTACTAAAATAGAAGAAATTTTTTAATTATTGATGAAAATCTAATTTTTTATAATTTAAAAACTTAAAAAATCTATCATGATTATCATGATGATTAAATATTTATTTATAACTTAACTGATATTTTATACAAAAAGAATAAACAAAATCTCAATATACTTTTGTTTTATTTATTTAACTAAATTATTATTTTATTTTTTTAAAATATTTCTTCTTTTAAAATAAAGAAAAATTTAAGTTTAAATAATTATCAATACAATATTAAAAAATAAGAATAACTTATATTAAAATGCAATATATTTTTTATTATTAATTGAGTAAATATTTACTATATTACACATTTGCTAATTGTCTAATTAAATTATTAAAAATATAAATCAATTATTATAAAATTTTCATTTTTATTAAAAATTCATTTTACATTTTTCTTAAAGAAATTAAGGAATAATAGAAAATTTATGAATTATATAAAAATTTATAATTATTATAAGAAAAATTATATTTATTTACTAACGAAAGTAATTAATTTTTGTTTTAATTATTATTGATGAGTTTTTAATTTTATTTGCTGAATAAAGTAACTAATACGAGTGGTTAAAAATATTTTATAGAAAATAACGTATATAATTTAGTTAAGATTTACCCTTAGATTTATTACTCTGTTAATTTCGATATTTTTTATTGATTAATACTTGTAACTTAAAAATAAAGGTTTTAAGAGAAATAAAAACACTTAAATCACTAGGCAATTACTTTATAATACGACGTCACTTTTAAATAATTTCATTATATTGTGACTGATTATTTTAATTATAAGCAGGTTTAAAAGAAGGTGGAATATATATATATATATATTGCCAGAGAAAAATCAGGATAAAAGAGACAAAGAGCAAAAGTGGCAAATGGGTTTTAAAAAATGAGAGTAGTGTTAGAATATTAGATGTACTGGCTAGTAGTATGTAATTTAATTTATTAAATTGAGAGTATTTCATATTAATATTTATAAAGAAATTAAACTACATAAAATCAAATGCCCCCAAAATTTTAGGTTCTCGCTTTGTTTCTTTGTTTGTTTGATTGCTTTTTTTTATTTCTTTGCTTGTTTGATTGATTGATTGCCTGTTTTTTAGAAGCTATTTTCATTTCTATGTGTAAATAATATAAATTTGTTTGTTTGTTTGTTATTTGATTTTTATGTATTCATGAATGGGTGGATATTAAAGGGGAAAGCAAGTTAAAGTATTAAATCCATTAAATCAATATAAAGAGTAAGATGGGTAAAAGATCTAAAATTGAAAATAAAATAGTTGAAATGATTTGTGGGAGTTAATATAACAATCTTATATTTGTAATGGGTAATTTAAATTGATTTAAATTAAAATAATTAAATGAAATATGATAAAAATGTCTATTAAATAAAAATTTAAACTCAAAGAAACAGGCATAATTTGTATTTGCTTGATTCTTTGAAAGTAAAAGTGCCCTTTTATTTATAAAAAAGGAAAATGTAAATAGTAATAAAAGAAAAAAGGAGTATACCTAAAATCAGTAAATAAAATTTTTCCTTGCTTGTTTGAGCATGAGAGAAAAAAGATTAGAGAGTAAAAAGTACTAAAACAAAGAAAGCCAAATAACAAAAATCAATTAAAAATTTTAAATTTATCAATTCACACTTAAAGAGAATCATTCTTATTTGAATTAACAAAATTTAATAAGAAAAGGCTTTATTACAAAGAAAAGCTAAAGCTTTATTGAAGAATAAACTAAAAAGAAATAAATAATAATTCAATTAAAAATTCTGCTTTTACTTAGATCTACAAGTTGCAAGTTACTTAAATATTGCAAAAATTGAAACAAAAAAAATAAAAAATACATGATTATATTTGATAATTTTTATACTATGTTTTATGTTTGAAGTGCGAAAAATACAAATAGCGATGGAGAGACACATTTCTCAATAAAAATAAAATTTTTAATGTACTTTATTTAGGCATGATTAAATTAAATTAGAAAATTTATTAGAAGTCGCGCAATTATTGAAATATTTATTTGCCTATAAAAAATGTATGTATTTATTTGTGAAATCATTATAGATAAATAGCTTGCGAGTTTATTAGCTATCTCTCAATCAATCTTTGTATGTACTTATGCATATATCTATCAATCTATTAAATATTAAAGATGATATTGGGGAAAGAAAAAGTGGGGCGGGGAATTATAAATAAAAGAAAATTTTTTTTTATTGAAAGAAAGGGAAAAAATTAGCAACAAAAGAAAACAAGAAAAAAAAGAAAGAAAAAAACCAAAATAAAGAGGCTCATCAATTTGATCACAAAGATTGATTGATATTAATTTGGAAAACCACCTATCATTTATTTATTTATTCATTCATAGATTGATTCATTCATTCATTATTTATTGTTTGACTGATTGATTATCCTTCCGTAACTATCTAACAATCTATCTATCTATCAACTTAATAAATCAATCTATAAACATTCTTGATAACATATCTTCCCGCAGCAGCACCCAACTTCATAAATAAAATAAAATAGAAATTAAGCAGCTGGGATGAATACTTAAATTTAGTAAGATGATTATTTTAGTAAAATCGACATTGACTAGGATTACAAATAACTTCAGCAGCCAAGTTAATAACCAGAAATAAAATAAAAAAGACAATCTCGCAAAGGTATCCTTTATTTTTTTAAATATACTCTCCTTTCTTAATTTTTACAAGGCTAAATCCTCAATTATTCACCTCTCAAGTAGGTTCCAAAATTGAACTAAAAATTTTGCTTTTATCGAAAGCACCGCTTACTTACTTATACAGATTATCTATCATTTTGATTTTTTTATTATTATTTATTTAAGATTCTTAAATAAAAGTTAGCTTACTTTCATTTTTTTTACTGGCTGGCTAACTTGGATTGGGTTATTCTTTTATTTTATTTACTCAAACCAATCTATAGATCTATCTATATATCTATCTATTTTATTTTCACCACTTACATTATATCTAAAAAACCTCCCAATCATAATTTTTAAAATTTAATAACTCCTCATACACCGATTAATAAATAAATGATAGTCAGATTCAATAAAGAAAGATATTTCAATTTATTTTTTTCTTACATCCAATCAATAATCAATTGTTCAATAAATTAAATCTTTTGAAGGTTAATTAATATGTTTTAATCTCCCTCCGAGCCTTAATGAAATTCGCTAAATAGCAATAACTAGCTTATTTATTTATCAATGATAATTTATTAAATTTATTTTACAAGTATCATATAAATATTGCGTATTACTTTTTGCATCCAAGCAAATACTTATTTGGATTATTTTTTTGAGCTTATTACTAACAACAAAAGAGTTTAAATGAACAACTGTTTCTCTCGTTGTTTTGCTTACAGAGATAGTTTAAAATATAATATTTTTATTGCTTGGATGTATTTCTGATGGCCTTCAGCCAAAAATTGCTTTCATTTGGTTATTTTCCTCTCAAATTTATAAATTTCAATCCATTGAAGTTTACTTATATTTTTATCTTGAATTATCTTCTAGTAAGTTACTTAATACTACATCATGCTTAAAATGTTGCATCAACAACTATAATTTTAAATGGTAAAACTAAATATTTAACAAACCCCTATAGGTGAATAAACACATAATGTAACCAAATATTACCTTTATTATAGATATTTTCAATCATTTAGTTATTTATTATGCAAGTAAGTTGATTAAATATAAATTTTGAAAGAAAAAACAAATGAATTAGAATCATGCATTAATATTAAGCAAGTTTAGCCTTCTTCTCATACTTTTAAAGGCAAAATAAATTTTTTAGGCATATTAAAAAAAATTTTTTTGCTCAATTCTACTCTCAATTTAATAAATTTAAAATAAATTTCCCTATAATTTTCTAGTTTAGGAATAAAAATTGAATCTTACTAATCCCTTTATATTTAAATTTTGATAAGGATTTTATATCTTTGTATCTATTGATTAATACTTATTAAGATTTTCTTTCATTTAGAAAAAAGCTAAGAAGTTTGAACTCTAATACAATCAAATCACTCTCTCTTTCTTTTTTAAAATAGTGAAAAATATAATAAAAAGGCTCTTATTTTTAAACTACTGAGAGCTAATGCATCTACAGCAGCAGCTGTATAATCAACATCAACCACAACTCTTCATTTAAATTTTATGCTTATCACTCAAACAATTTTTACTTTTTATTTTGTATGTACTTAATGCTTTCTCTCTTCAAAAGATGCTTTTGAATTACATTTTTGTTTATATTATCACTTTATAAATTTTTCGTTTAGGCGCGAGAGAGAAGCGAATATTTTAAATAATTTTCTTCACTTATCAATTGTTCCATATTTCTTAGGACACTATTCTTAAATTGTTTAAAGCGTGAGGTTGGTTCATTTTCTTTATGAGGATTTTCTTTTAATTTTTACGCTAATTTTTCTTCTCTTAAAGAGCCTTTTTCTTTTTATCGCAAATTTCTTTCCATATTTTATCAAAAGCATAATATCAAGGCACATTTCTTAAATTTTTATTCTTTCTTAAATGTCAGAAAACACAAAACTTACAAATTTTTTTTATAAAGCAGGAAAGCAAAATAGTAAAATACTTAACAGTCATTAAATAGCAAAGGAAGAAATAAATTAAATAAATCTACCCATCTATGAGATGAATGAAGATGTGATTAATTATTATCAGCCCGCTTATGATGGCGATAAGATCTAGCTAGAAGGTGTTGAAAATGAAATAGTTTTTTCTAGCTAGGGAGACAACAGAATCGATTATCAGGACTATCATCAGCAATATTCTCATTAGGGAGTAATTGAACCTACCAAATAATATAACAATTTTAATTAACAAATTTACATGAACCATCCAACTGCTGCGAATACTCCCTACATAGATAACAATTAAATAGGTTTAATAAATAATTATGATACATAGAGAAATCCAATCTATCTGGATAATACTAACAACCAGTACTATCCGTATTAGCAAAATTAAGTAGAGATATCTGAAAACATTACAGCCTAAGAAAATATTTACCCTAACAATCAACTATTAGACACATTTGCTAGTCCAGCCCCACCTTAGCTCCAGACAGCAGCATCTGGCAAACAAAAAAAGCCCAGAAACTCAAATAGCAAGAGTAGCCAAAACACGCAAGAGAATCCAAAGGCAACAAGCAATACAAAAAAAGGGAAGAAAGGAAATAATGACAAAATCTAACAAGAAATAATATAAGAAAACATAGAATATAATGAAATAAATAAAATTTAGGAAAAAGAATAGGAATAGATAGATCAAGTAGGGAATATGAATATTTTGAATAAGCAAGACTTTTAAGTTGCTAATTAATACGACCAAATTGATAATAATATTAATCAGCATATACCCTAGAATCAAAAGAGGAAATCTTAATCAACTCAGCAGCCAAAGGAATAAAAAAGCATTTCAAATATAAATATTGAAACATCATAAAATCTTTTAACTATAAAGATGAATAAAAAAAGTCTTCCTTAGCCATAGCCATTAGAAAATTAGTAAAATGAATAACTCTATCTTCAAAATGATAAAAATAAATTTTAAATTTAAAATATAATGCACAATGATAGCAACTCAAGTCTTAATACAAATAATCAATAGATTCACAATAATATTCATCATCTACATTAAAATCAACAACAACAACAACAATAATAATAACAATAATAGCAACAACAACAACAACAAAATCTTATGTATAATTAATAACAAAATGAAAATGATATATGCAATTAAGAAATATAGTAAATAGATTAACAAAACTAAAAGTATTTAGTTTAACAACAATAATTTTTATATAGCAATTAAAATTAGCAATATATCTAGGGACATGGTATTGCTAATTAAGCCTACACATTTGTTTCAAATGAAGCTCTAGGATTTGAGAAGTATTTTTTAAATTCAATTATTTAAATATATTTATAAAAAGTTATCAAATTCCCCTCTATTATTCTAAAATTACTTTCAAACTAACAAAAAAACAAACAAATAAAGAAATTTTCACCTTTTAATTTTAAAATAGCAAAAATTGTTTATTTGTTATTGATTTATTAATTAAAATTATGTTCGCATATATGAAAAATGTGAAGATAATCAATTAATTTTTAATATTCAAATTTATTATTTATTTACTTATTTACTTACTTATGATTTGTGTTTATAAAAATTAAAGTAGAAATGTGGAACAAGAAAATTATCAAAAAGAGGAATAGTAATAATAAATTTATGAATATAACAATTAAGATTAGCTTGAAAATTAAGAGAATATTGCTGATTAAAATTATCCTGCTACCACTGATAATATGCAAATTTAAACTTCTTAGTAGAACACAGGTAAGAAAAAGTATTAGAAAAAAAATGCTAAAAATACAGAAAACCCAACAGAGGCTCCTCCTAAAAAGCAGAGGGAAAAGAAATAAAGTAATTCAGATAAATCGAATACCACAACTGCTTCTTCATCTACTACAACGGCCTCCATTTTAAATTAAAATTACGTTGAATAACAATCTAAGTACGATAATGATAAATAAGTTGTAAATGAAAATTTCAATCTACAAAATTTATAAATTGAATAAGAAAATAATAAGATTTAAATTTCTAGCAATTTGTAAGATGAACAAATATAACCAAGTTTAGAAGGTGAAATGTTAAAGCAAACTTCTAAGCAATAAAAAGAAACTAAAAAAAGGGCTCCTAGTAAAAAGAAAACCAAAGCTAACTAAAAAATAGTTGAAGAACAAGCATAAGAAGAAAAGTAAGAAGATTTTCCTAATTAGGAATAACAGGTTGATGAAATAATAAATTAACAAATATAAGCAGAGTAGCAACAACATATGGAGATTACTCACTAATAAAATATATTTTCTGAAAGCAACTTAATTGAAAATTTGTAAAAAAAGCTAACTAATGAGCAATATAAAATGGATGAAATGTGGAATAATAAAAATGTTTACATGTATTAATAGCCTTAAAATAATATGAATTAAATTTACTAACATGATCATTTAGGTTTGTAGCAGTTAGAATAAAATTAAATATAAAATTAAGGGTAGCATTTAGATGAACAAGTGAATATGAATAATATATAAAAGTTCCATAACGATTAGATTAATTAACAATAATTGTAGCATTTAGGCAATCCTTCTATTAAATTATCTCAAAAAGATACCTATTCCAAAGATTAAAGTAAATAAAATATGATGAAATAATTTTTAGATTAAGATGAAGACTAATTGAAGCAACCTCCTTTTGAATTAGAACTTGTTACAGTTTAAGCCAATAATTTTTCTCAATCATTCAAATAAATAGAAAATGAAGATGATATTTCCAATAAGCAACAATCCTTTGCTATGCCTGAAAAGTTAACAAAAAAAAAGAGTTCAAAGGAGTAAGCAAAGGATTCAAACAGGAAAAGAAAAGCAGCTAATTCTATTGCAGCTATGGTAACTAACAACAACAATAGTAATAGCGAACATGATAATTAGTAGTTTGATGACAACATGCAAAACAACATAAATCCTATTCCTCCTGCACCTGTAGCAATAACAAAAGAAAAAAGTGTTAATGAAAAAAAAAGAGGAATACGTGATTTAACTACCGAAGAAAAATGGGATGTATTTTAATAATATGACAAGCTTAAGAGTTACAGAGGAGTTGGTAGACAATTTAATATGGATCATTCTACTGTTAAACTTTTAGTTAATAGAATTTAAAATGAAAAACCTAACGAAGTTATCACTAAAGAAATTTTCTTGTAGAGTTAAATTGCATAGTAGAGTTCTGAAAATTCTGTTTCTAAAAAACTCAAAAAAGAGAAGTTGATGCAAGAAACTTAATAAAATGCTAATAGCTAGCCTTAATAGCAGAAGCTCTAAAGATCTTAATCAAAAACAGAGAAAAAAAAAGAAAGATAAATGTCTTAAGAAAGTAAACAATTATTTCTAAATTATTCATTTTTGCTAATCAAAATTTTAATAACTTTTTATAATTTAAAAATTTTTATGATGAAAATTGAATTTATTTTTGTAATGTTTTTTTTTAATAAAATAGATATTACTTAGGAATAGGAAAATATTAAATAAGAAGATTAGATTAATTTGTTTGACAATAGCTAGCAGTAAAAGGCAAATGAGATTCATAATAGTTTTTAGAATATGGAAAACGTTTAAAGTAGTAATATTCAAGATTCTCTGATAAAAGTTGAAGAGAAAATTGAAAATGTTTAAGAATAGTAAGAGCAAATGCCTGAGCCTGTTATTGTTAAATCAAAATCCAGGAAGGAATCTTCAAGAAAATCTACAAATTCTAAACGTAGAAACTCAGCAGCACCAGTAAAATCTCAATCAGAAATAATAAATAATGGAAACGAAGTCATTCCTTAATAAAATCAGATGATGTCTGAATAATTGGATTATTAGTACAACTAGCAAGGCAACATGATGCATAACATTCATAATGATTAAATGTAGTTAGAATAAGTTTAATAAAATATTTGCAGTGATAAATTGAATCAAGATATAAAATTTGAATAGGAGTAGTACGAAGGAGGAAACTCTCACAACTATGAAATGTATCAAATAAATAACACTGAAAATTTAATCAACTATTAAGATCAAAATATGCAAGATAAAAGCTACCTTCCAATCCATTAATAATAATATAACCATTAAAATATTCATCTTCAATAAAATATCTATAGAGATATAAATGATGAAAATAAAAATGGTAATCACTTAAACCTTCAAATGCAGTAATAAGATTTAGAGCCCGATTAAAATTAAATGCCACCTTCCATGCCTGAGTTAAATGTTAAAAGTAAAAGTAGCGTGAAAATGACAGCAGAAGAGAAAAAAGCAAAGAAAGATTTGAAAAAACAAATTTAAGAATAGTAAAAAGCATAAGCAAAATTGGAAAAACCCCCAAAAGCTAAGAAAGGTAAAGGAAAATGGTAGTAAGAATAGCAAGTACAAATTTAAGAATATAGACAAGAAGACTAAAACTACTAGCAAAATATTTACGATTAAAATATATAATTCAACGGTTATGAAAACTATAACATTTACCCGAGCTTTGATCCTAACATGAATTACATACCATAAAATTATCAGTTCCCTGATTACCAAAATTATCAACCTAAATACGAAGATGATTATGATCTTAATATGGAGAATCTTGAAATAAATAACCCAACTCACCAATAATAATAAAATAACCCATAGTCCTATGACAATGATGAAATCAAACTTGAACTTTTGTGAATAAATTGTTGAAAAAATAATAAACAACAGTTTATGTTTATAATTATTTTTTAATAAAAATTAGTTTAGTTTTATAAGACCTCAAATCAAAATAATAATAAAATTTCATATAAATAAATAAATATTTAAATAATTCTTTAAAAAATAAATATTCACTCAATAAAAAAATACAAAATAAATTTATTTATTTGGAGTAAAATGCTTTTCTTTCAATCATTTCTTCCAAATTGAAATGTTTATTTTAATCCCAAATTAGCTTAATAAAATCTTAATAGTCAATCAATCTTCAATTTTAGTTAAGTTAAATAAATATTCATCATAAACAAAATTTGGTGAGCAATTAAATATAGCTATATGAGCATTTTCAATCTTAAAATAAACAAAACTTATTTCTTACTTGCCAATTAAAAATCAGAGCTTATGAATATTTTAGTGAAATAAACTTAACTTATAACTAACTAAATAAATAAATAAATAAATAACTAACTAACTAACTCTCTGATGAAATATAAAAAGTAGTAAACACAGTCAATTACTAAAAAAGCTTTCAAACTATAAAATTAAAAAGTTAATAATACCTACTAACTAACTCTATTTATCGGATTAATTTTATTTATTATCATAACGATCAATTATTATATGTAATTAAATATATTTAGATATTAAAAATAAATTAAAAGTTTTCAAATAAAAGTTTGTTTGTTGCAATTTTATAAAATTTAAAACTCAGTTTTAACACTATTTCTTTATATATTTGTAAATAATTTTTATATTTACTTGTTGAATTATAATAGAATGACTTTATAAATCAATTTAAATTCTCATTCCATCAATATTTCAAATCTGCTCATTCAATTAACTCTAATAATTTTTATTAAATTTTTTAGAAGTTAAAAAAAAACTTGTTAAATTTACTATAAATCAATTTTAGTTTTTTAGTTTTTAATTATTTTTTTATTTTATATAATAAAATATATATGAGTTCCTGAATATGAACAGCTTAACTATTTAAACATGTTGATGTCTTTAAAGTTTTATTAAATCTTAACATTATTTTTTTACGAAACTAGTATATTTATTTACATTAATTTTTTTTCTCAAATCTTAAAGATACAGATATATTTTTATTTATTTTCCAGGTTTTCATTAAAAATTGATTTTCATTAATATTTCTAAATTATTGAAGACCATTTTTGATAAAATTTGATAAGAAAATATTTTAGATAAAAAAATTTTTGAGTTTTAGTTGATATTTTCTAAGAATATTCTTTTTTTTAAGTAATTAAATTTTGCTTTAAATAGAATTTAGATATGAAATAGAGTAAAATTCAACAAGCCTTGCACCCTTATAAGCTGAGAACTCGTTTAATAAAATTTAAATATGAGTTCCCGAATATGAACAGCTTAACTATTTAAACATCTTGATATCTTTAAAGTTTTAATAAATCTTAACATTATTTTTTTATGAAACTATTAACAAATAAGTAAATTAAACATTAATTTTTTTTCTCAAATAAATCTTAAAGATACAGATATATTTTTATTTATTTTCTAGGTTTTCATTAAAAATTGATTTTAAATGTATAAAACTATTTTCATTAATATTTCTAAATTATTGAAGACCCTTTTTGATAAAATTTGATAAGAATATATTTTAGATAAAAAATATTTGAATATCAAATAAAATTTTAGTAGATATTTTCTAAGAATATTCTTTTTTTTTAAGTAATTAAATTTTGCTTATTTAGATATGAAATAGAGTAAAATTCAACAAGCCTGGCACCTTTATAAGCCAAAATTTAACATTTTCATCATAAAATCCATATTTAAAAGTGGCACCTGTAAAATTTTTGATCCTTTTGGTGCCAATTTAATACAGTTTTCACTGTGTTTGTAATGTTCCTGAAATAAATTAAATGAAAAAAGAATAGATATAAATTATTAGAAAAAAAGATATGAGTATTCAATATAATAATAAATGACATCTGTACCTAATTGCTTCTGGAATAAAAAATAGAAATATCTTAATTAAAATTACACTTAACTCAAAGCATTTTTGATAAATGCTAATATAAACAAAGATATCGATCTATCTATCTATTATAGTATTCTTAATAAATTTCATATCTAAATAAAATATCTATCTGATAATAATTTAATTCAAAATTTTAAGTCAATTAAAAAATAAAAAGTCTAATTAGTACTAATCTCAAATAAATGGAATAACTATTTACAAAGGTTTTAAACCCCAAGTTGAATAAAATATTAGCCATAGGTAAAAACTATGTTAAACATGTTAAAGAAATGGGTGGTAGTGAAGTTCCTAAAGAGCCTGTTATATTTTAGAAGCCCCACTCTTCTGTTTTACCTAATATCTAAAAAGGATAAAAGGTTTAATTCTTCACTAAAAATGAAGTTCATCATGAAATTGAACTCGGTTTCATGATGAGCAAAGAAGCTTCTCATAAAAGCTTTTAAAAATCAGGAGAAAACTGGTAAGATTATGTTGGGGGTTATTTCTTAGCTCTTGATTTAACAGATAGAAATCTTCAAGCTGCTGCAAAAAAGGCTGGATTCCCTTGGGATTTATCAAAAGGTTAAGATAAATTCTTACCCATAAGCTCATTTATCCCTAAAGAAAAAGTTCAAGATCCATACAATTTGACCTTACATCTCAGAATAAATGGAAAGACTATTTAAAAAGACAATACTGGTATTATGCACTTTAAGATCAAAGATTAAATCGAATATGCAAGTAAATTTATGACCTTATACCCTGGTGATCTATTTTTAACAGGAACTCCAGATGGTGTTGGACCTATTAAGCACGGAGATCACGTTGTTGCCGAATTACTTGAAGGAGAAAATGTTTTAGCATAAATTGATTTCGTTGCTGAAATGGTTGCTCCTGCTCTTTGAAGATTTATATAAACAAATAAATAATTTTTGATTGTCATTTGCTTATATTTTTATTAGTAATATTTTTAAAATCAAAACTTAGTTAGTTGATTTTTTAAGTTGCTTTTGTGCAAAATTTCTGGAAAATTTCTTAATTATTTCTGGCATTACCAGAAAACTAATTAACTATGTAAATAAAAATAATTTTTGTTAAATATTTATTATCTATCTAGCTTAACACTTTATATTTGAATTATATTAAATGCATTAATAAATAAATAAAATAGAATTTTATAAATTAAAAATAAATAGATGCTAACTAAATAAACATATTAGTTATAAAGAACTGTACAACTTTAAATTGTTTTTAGTATGGCTATTATAGAAGATAAATTTTTTATCTTAATTTCATTATATTTTCTTCAAACTTTACAACCAAGATAGAGCTGATTAATAAATAAAATTTTTAGGAATTCTACCATCTAAAACGATAAATTCTTTCTCTCTTTCTAGCAATTACTTAATGCATTCAACTTTGTATTTCTTGTAATCTGCAATCACACAGTCTTTTAGATATTCCATAGTATCATTCCAAGGACCAACAAGTCTACGCTAAATAACATTTTCATCATCTAAATGCATGAAGATAACTGCATCAAAAATATTATAAAACTCAGGAACATAAAATAAAGTGAATCCATCAATCAAAAATAAGTATTTTCTGTTTGGATTAATCTGCTTTAAGGAAAGAGAAATGTGATTGATGAATTTCTCCCAATCAACAGCTTCTTTAACTTCCCAATTTCCTTTTAATACTGAATAAATATACTCATCTGGATGATAAAAAGTATCCTAATGAATAAGAATTAATGAGGTGTTTGCATCATTTTAGAAAAAGCTCTATAATTCTTTGCCTAGTGTTGTCTTACCACTAGTTGAGCATCCAGTGAGTGCTACCATAAATACATTTTCAGGTATTTCTGGAAATTGATATTATTCACTACTCATTATTACGAAATTGCTAAATTCGAAATTGCTAACAATAATAATTATATCAAGATATTATTCTTTGCAAAAAAGTGATTTTTGTTTTTTAAATACTCCAAAATTTGGTTCACCAAAAAAATAAATTGTTTCTTTAATTAAACTACAAATTAATATTCAAAAATTGTGGAGAAATATCATTATTTCAATAATTTACCATTACCTTTATTACACACTACATATATATTTATCTACGTAGGTAAATAAAATCATAGAAGACTTTATTTATAAATTTCATCAATTTATTAAAATTTGGCACTCTATGTTGAAACAAAATATTTTTTATTTGATAAAAAACATTAATTCTATATTCAATATACAATATACGAATAAATTCTTTTATAAAAAGATAAAAACCTATCAAATTTTGTATTAAAATTATTAAAAATTTTTTATATCATAAAAACATATCATGAAATAGAATCTTTTTATTTTATTTTAATATTTGGTACCTTAAAATACTTAATGAAGTTAGGGTATTAATATTAATTACCAAAAATTCAACTCTAATATTTAATATATATTTTACAAAATTTTTCTTATTTCATTATTTTTTAAAATATTATTTATTTCAATTATTCTATGTTGGGGAGATTCTTAATTAAAATACTAAAATGCTCAGGCATGCAATTACTCGTCATTATTTTGTTTATTGTGAACATTGTTTTGAGCTTTTTACATAAAAAGGTTTTTCAAATTAAAAAATTAACCTCATTATTGAATCTTTAAATTGTTAACTATTTTAAGTTGCATTGAAAAAATTTTAATGAAACTAACTAAAATGTTCATTAATTAAATTTTATTTAAACTTTCATAAAAAAAATTGGTCAAGTAATTGAATTAAATATTAATTTAAAACAATTAAATTTAGTCAACACAAACCAAACTCATAAAATAAAAATTAATATAAACACTGTAACAGCTTACAAAGTTTATTTGTATAATTTTTATTATATTTGCTGCATAATAGGAGGTGGATTAAACCATCTTGTAGAGTTGATAAATCCTGTTTTAGGAACCATAATGTCTGTTGCAATAGTTGATTACACAAAGTTAGGTTATTAAGATAATATGTTAAACATCTCTTAAGGTTACCATGAACTTTAGTTTAATTACGACATTTTTTATTCACAAGGTAGTCTTCTGTAATCACTTTAAGGATCTGGTATAGATCTGTCGTAATTTGTTTAACATATAAACCAAGTAGATTCACTTAATGTTGTTTGTAGACTATTACTTTCTCTATTTTTTTCAATCACATTACCTTAATTTCCAGAAACTCCAGCGATATTTAAATAGGCAGGCATTGCTACTTTAGTATTTAAAAGAGTATTTAGGGCATCTTAATATGTTGTATTTGTCTATAAAACTTAATATATTAAATAACAAGCAGGAATGTACTATTGTTTGAGGTAACTAAGTGATTATTAATCAACATCTCTCTGATTGATCGTTATAGAAAATCCGTTTGGAACTACTCCTGTAACAACTATAGCAGTTCCAATTACCATATCAGCAAAAAATACAGTTTTTCCATTTCTTTAAAACTCTATATTTGCAAGCAGTGGAGATATTTGTTAAAAAAAACCATAATCTAAATTTCTTCCATGCACTATACTTCCATCTGGATTTCTTGCTATGATACTTGTGCATGCTATTGAACCTAAAATTTCATACATTTAACTGAACAATTAAATGCTAGTAAATGATACTCCTGACAAGTCAGATATTGCTTGGAGTTCATTTAAAAAATTAGGATCTGAATATAGTGGAAAGAGTTATTCTATTTATTTGAATCCATCAGAAGATTACAGAAAGTTTGCAAACATTTAAATTGGGTTTTTGTAATTTGTGATAATTTCTCTCCACCTGTCTTTGTAAGAAAGGTCCAAGTTCACTTTGTATTTAGGTAAATTTACTCCTCCAAAATTTTACTAAAGACTATCATAGAAAGCACATTCTTTCGCTTTTTAATCTTGATAGATGCAATATGAACTTAACTATGCTTAGGTTAATAGTAAAGCAAAAGCAATAAAAAGAATTGCACTTAGAATATTTTTCATTTCTTTTATTTTATTAAATTTATATTTTATTTAATATTTCTATAAAAAATTAATTGCTATTAACTGATTCCAATTTAAAAAATAATTACAAATAAATAAATAAATTATTTCAATGAATAAGACAAATAAATTAAGTTAAAAACTCAAATGAAACTTAATTTCAAATTGTTCAGGCTGATTTTGTTTATAAAATTAGTAAATTAATTATAAAAATGTAAGAATTCAAAAGAATTAATTTTGTTTTATAGCATTGTTTCCACTAGATGTTAGATTTGCTCAGAATTTCAAGTTATTACAATTTTTTTAATGCATTGAATTTCATGCAAAAGAAAAAACTTTTAAATATTGAAAAATTGATGGATTTAAATTGATTATTAGCTCTTATTTATTACTAAAAATGAATAAAATACCAATAAAATAATTCTCAAAAAACTGCTCCCTCCCTTATTTAAGTTAATTGAATATAAAATATTTTAAAAGTTTATAGAAATAAATTTAAATATAAATTCATAATAAAATATACTTACAAAGTTTATTTTTATAAATGCTTTGTATTGAATTTGATGTTCAAAAAGATTTTGGTATTTTTAACTAAGAAATAATATCAAAAGACGCTGCATTCAATGAAAATAGAAATATTTTAATAATTACAAATAAATATAATTACCTAAAATGATTTGTGAAATAAAGTTATTAAGAAAGTTTTATATATATTTTTTTAAATATTTGAATTTTAAGGAATATAATTTATTCATTTGACTTAACAAGAAAATGATTCTAATATATAAATAAATATAAATACTATGGAATTCATTTTTTTTATTTAGACTATTTTTTATTTAAAACTTTCAAAATTTTTTTTTATTATTAAATTTTTTTATTTTAATCTATTTATTTTTAAATATAAATTATTAGATTTTAAGCCATGAATATTCTTAAATTTATTTATTATCAAAATAAATATTTTTAGAAATTTATATAAAGTAAATAAATATAAATAACATTGATTTCATTTTTTTTAATATGTTTTTTTATTCTTAAGTTTTATTATTTCAATCTATTTATTTTTAAATAAAAATTGCTAGATTTTAGGCTATGAATATTTAAAAATTAAAGTTAGTATTAAATACTTCATTATAGCATAAAAACTTATTTAATAATCATAGCTAACTAAAATTAGGTTTTTTAATATCCTATCTTTTATCATAGATTTTATTAATTAAGTAGATATCTAATTGTATTTATTATTTTACTCTTTTAACCATTCATCTAATTTTTTCAAAAAATAGAGCATTTTTCTAGTATATTTTGATTAGATTTTTTTTTAATTAAATAAGACTCTATAAATTCATCTCCTTATTTGGTGCATTCTTGCAAAAGTTTCAATGAGTAATAATTAACATTTTCATCGAATTTCTAGTCTATTTAAATATAAAATGTTTAGCTTTATTTTTGTTTAATAACAAACTTATACTTAATTGATTGTAATTTTCTATAAAGTGAACTGAACTACGAGGGATTTGAAGTTTATTTACTACCTACTGTATTTTTTAATCTATAACTTCGCTCATTTTCATTTGTTTTTCATTTTCACTCATTTATTAGTGTTTATCAAACACATTTTTCATCTTTTTTTCTACTAAATCAAGTCTGCTCATTACTATTTGAGGCTAAAAATAGTCTTTTTTATATTTTAAAAATTAAAACTAATCAGAATTATATATATACCTACTTTTTTTTCTAAGAGAGTCAAGCATCTATCTGTAAAATTAAGTTTCTTCTTCACCATTTGGTATTTCATCAAGACTTCCATCAAAGACTATTATAACACAGTGAGGTAAATTTTATAATGACTATTAATTTTCTTCTAATATATCATCTGGAAAGAGCTCTGAACTCTTTTTCCAAAACTCCCATAATAAATATGCATATCTAAAGCTTCTTTGTTAGACAACACTCATATTTTTAATTTTACCCTTTATTACAATACAAGTTTAAATCAAATTAATTAAATAAATGAAATTTATTTACTTCTATAATTATGTTAAACTGCTGCATTTCTTATTCACTCAGAAATATTTATCCTCTGGTATCTAAGCAATTTATAGAACTATTTTCTATAGTAAATGTGCTATTACCTGTTTCGATTAGTTAATGCTTACCCTTTTTTATTGGTATACTTGTTAACTTTTTGGTACCTTCATTATGATGCAGTGTTTAAATAACAAAATCTTTTTTTATTTCTGGAGGAAGATCTCCTTCTTCATTTAGAGCTTAATAAAATGTTCTTTTATTTTATATTTTCAATTACCATATTTATAGCATTTTTAAAATACTTTATCAGTGAGCTCTTTCCTGATCCTGTTGGGCCGAATAGAATAATATTTAACTGTTTTGGCAAATCTTCTCTGTCTTGTTTAAAGCCTTACAAAATTGTATATTCTTTCAAGCAATCTCTCATTTTTTAATTTTATTATTTTCTCACTTTTTTAATCACATTATTTTCTTCTAATTCATCTTCTTCTTTTAAGCCTTTGAATAATTCTTCATAAGAAAAGATCTTCAAAGCTTATTAATTTTGACAATCATCTAATTTATATTTTGTAAAATACAATAAAATGATTGAATGATTCATCACTTTTTATTTGAATTTACTTAATTCCTAATGAGAACTCTTCCTATATAAATTATTACTATTTTATTCAGTTGCTTTTTGATTGTTGATTTAAGAATTCTTTTTTCTGCGATCAGGAGGAGGCTTTGGAAATTACATAAATATCAAATTTAAAAGATATTGATTGTTCTAATTTCTATAAAATTTGACTAAATTTTAAAATATGTATTTAATTATTTCTGATACTTTTTTTTAGTATTAAAAACTAATTTACTGGCAAATGTAGTATTTATTATCCTGATAAATAGATAGATAGATGCATGCTATTAAACATATTTTTATTAATTTTTATATTTAAAATCATAGATTATTATTTTTATCTATTTATTTAAGTAAAGAGACATAAAGTATTATTTCACAATAATATTTTAATTTAATTAAATCTCTTTTATTCAACAAACACCCTTATAGTAATTTACTAATAGAAGATTTAAATTTCTTTAATTTATAAGAATGTGAATGAAATTGGGTATTTAGAAATTAAACAAAATAATCAATTTAAAATTAATAAATAGCAAATATCAATCAAGATAAATTTTAGATATTTCTATTGAATTAAATAAATTATTTATTTTATAAAAAAGGACTTTCAAATATTTTTTTTATAATTTATATATCTCATTTACCAAAAATCTCAAATTTGAAAATATTTATTTTAATTAATTTCTAACAAGGTTAAATTACTAAAAAAAATATAAGGGGTGTGGGCGTAAATTCATGAGAAGCACTATGTAAAAATAAAAAAAAGTATATTAAAAATATAAAAGGATATTTATCTAATAGGATTTAAATGCAACATAAATTAAACTATTATTTTAAGATAACTTTTATATGTAATAAATAGATGTTTAAATGATAAAAATATGTTTCATTATTATTTATTTTAAAATTTGTATTTAAATTAAGACATTCATAAAATATTAATTAATAAACAATCACTATTAGCGTTTTTTGGTTTACAATTCTTTGTAATATTTAATTGATTATTCACATATACTATATAGTTTTTGCTAGTTTTTAGAAGAAAGCTTATGGTTGATGCAAAATATGTTGATGGCTTTAGACAAATTATCTGTATCATTAAAGTTAAATTTAACTATTTTCCCATTTTCTAATTCTAAATTGACTCTAAAGTGATTAACTTTTGCTTAGGATTTTTATATACTTTAGAAAAGTACATTGTTGTCAAATCTATACTTTGATTTTAGCTCTTTAATAAAGCTAATTTACTCTCTGTTTTCTTAAAAGATTTCAGAGAATGTGTTTGCTTATTTATGTTAGGCTATAATTTATTAGATTTATTAAACTATTTAGTCTTTAAGGTCGAGGCTAAGATTATTTTACATTATGAATTCTTATGCTTAGATCTCTGGAAGAGCATTTTCTTCAATAAACATAGAAACATTCTACAACTTTCCATTCACTTCTCCTTAAACTTATATTTCTCCTATATATTTATTCATTTGTTGAGGGTTTTGCTAAAATTAAGGTATTTAAAAGTTATTCTTCATTCCAAGTGCGCTTGAAGTTCTGTTATTCACATCATTTTACATTTCATTGTTGTTTTAAATATTATATTTCGAGTAACTTCTATCTAACCCTTAGTTGTAATAATTTTGAGTTGCTTTTTTCTTTTATTATAATTCTTGGTAGTCATTTTCTATCAAATCTTAGAGTATTTATTTGTTTTATTTGCAAATGTGAGTGACTTAAGGTCTAGAGTGATTTTTAAAATATTTATCTACATTTTAAAGGTATTTTTTTAATTTTTATTCAATCACAAGTGAAATTTGTTTCACTTGTTTAAGCTAACCTGAGGAATTACATTTTTATAATAATTTATAGGTTAACGTGTGAGGTGTGTCGTGTTCTTCAACTTCTAATTATACTATTTTGTTTTGAATTTCTATATTCAACTTCATAATACAACTCTAAGAAGGAGTGTTTGAAGTAACAACTTGCTTTTGTATTTTTCTACTGCCTAATTTGTTTGGTGTTAGAGATCTCTCTAAATCCATGTTTGTATTACTCTACCTTATTCCTAGACTACTTTTATTCCTTCTTAGCTCATTTAAATTCTAGTCCTTTTAATTTTATTAATTAACCTTGTTTATTAACTTGGTTGGTGTTATTGATCTAGGTATTTCGCTATATTTATTTAATTTTATTTCAGATTGATGGTTTGATTTATTTAAATTTTAATTATTGATACTAACATCAAGATAATTCTACTACTTGTTGTATTATTTTAAGATATTCTTTTCTTTAATTTCTTTGGCTTGCTATGAAATATTAGGACTGCTGCTTCTTGAAATTTTTGTTGCTAACTTTTATATCAAAAAATCTTGATTATCACCTTGAATTAGACTCGTTTTAAAAACAGGTGGTTATTTTTCTCCAGATAGTTTAGGATATGAATAAGTTGTACATATTTCTTATTTGAATGGAGACATCTTAACTTTTATTTAATGATTGTACTCTTTTTCATCCTCACCTCGAAACCTTAATGTGCTTAGAGGAGAATCATTTTCAAATTTTTTAACACTGCTATTATAATACATAATGCTCTGACTTGTATCTCTTTTTCTACTTATTAAGGACTGTTCTGGTGATTCTTATATATTTGAAGTTGACATAATTTTAGAAGCAGATTTCATTCCTTATTATTGCTAATTTAATAAATCTAGTTAGCTTTTCTAAGCCTCATCTTACATTTTTTTTTCTTCTTAATGTTGTTTTAAAGCAAAAACTAATGAATTTTCGAATATAGATTTTCTAGATTTTTATGCAGCTGGAGGAGGAGATTGTGACACTTACTTTGGTTATAATAACATAGGAGGTGGTGAAAAAGATTGATGCCATGTTTTTTATTCCATAAGCGGTGGCGGCGATTGAGATACTTATCTTGTTTATTTATATAAGTCTAATTAATCTAAAACCTTTTTTATATTTTTAAAATGAATATTAAAAAAATAAATAAATAGAGAAAGTAATAATTTTTTACATTTCTTGAAGTCTTTTACTAGCTATATTGATCTAATTCATTATTAAGTATAGGACTCCATCCTAACTATTAGTCTTGCTTCTAGGAAAATTATATGATTTTCGGTTTGAGTAATTAGTTCAATGTAGTTGAATCATCGGAATTTACTTTACAATGAATAATTTAAGGATATTCTGTTAGAAGTTCTGAAATTTAATACTCAAAATCGCTATTTTCATGAATTTTAAAGCTGAAATTCTAAACAAAAAAGAAAAGTTGAGAATTTTTTTTATCATAATTATTCTCATCGCAAAAATGTAAATAATCTTCTATAAATTTAAACTACTCATTAACATTTTCTTAGTCTACATTGAGTAATAGTATGATAATATCAGACTTTGAAAGCTGTTATTTTTCATTTAAATTACTATCACTAAAAAAGCGAAACTATATTTATATTTAACCATCTTACAAAGATAATGTATTAGAGCTATCTAAATTGTCTTCTGATTAAAAATCTCCAATTTCCCAAAGAAGCATGAAAAAATCATAATTCGACATAGATTTTAGATTTACAATCGTTCCACTCAATCGAGCTGGTTCCTTTTAAGCAGGGGCTAAAAATTTAAATGGAGATTGCTTACTTTAATTAAACTAAGAGAACATATTTCAAAGTTGAAAATAGCAGTAAATATTTTAGTTATTGAGCTAATTAGTTAATTAATCAAGTAAGTATTTTTATTAAACAATAAACTGCAAAAACTTTCTTTCTACTTTAACGAATATTTTTTTTCAATTAAATTTTAATTATTTAGTCTTTATAATTAATATCAATATGCTTTATCTAAATTTATTTGCTGTCATAAGAGCCAATTAATATGAACCAATTATTTCAATTTAAGATTTATGATTTTATCAAATTCTTCATAGTATTGTAAACCATTTGATGGAATTTTAAATAAATTATTATTTTTAAATAAATATATTTTTAATGAAAATAAAAATTAATTTTAAAACAATTTTTTTATATTTTGAGAATAAATAAATAAATAAATTAATTATATTTTATAAACATTATGATGGAAAATTCCCTCAAAAAAAAACTATTATGAAAATAAAGTAGAAATATATTAATAAATAATCATTTTTCATAAAAGCAACTATAATTTTCTTTTTGCTCTTATTAATATTACAGAAATAAATAAATAATATTTTATTTAGATTTTTTTGAAGTAAAATATTAACCAAATTTATATTTTACATATTTCGCATTGATATTTAATTGAACTAACCTATTAATATTTTTACTTTTTTAATATTGATACAATTATTTTTTATAAAACTTGGCTTCTTTTTTATGATATTGTATTTGCTAATATTTATTTTTATTATTAAATCAGTAAATAGAAATATATTTATTGTGTTTATTTTTTGATTAGATTAGATTAATTAACATAATTTTTGTAAAAAAACTGAAAATTTAATACACCTTGTTTAAGTAAGTAGATATTTTTTTTGAAAGAAAGAAATTCATATTGATTCATATATTTATTTTATTAAGACTAAGATTGATTTGATTATTTTAAAAATTAACTTTACTTTAAAAATCATTAAATTATTTTTTTAAAAACATTTTAAATCAGCAAAATAATAAAAAATTACTAAATAAATACTTTCTTATAAAATATGACAATAATTTAAATTGTTTAAAAATGAAATAGAACATTTAAAGTCTTAGAAAAATTATAAGCGAGAAAATTTATGATTAATATTTGATGATTTTACAAAAACGACTAAATAAATAAATAAATAATATTTATTATAATTAGCTGAAAAATTATATTTATTAACAAGAAAGAATATATGAATACATTTCAGAGTTAAAGATAACCCTAAACTTAATAGCTAAGCAGTTTTGGCATGTATAACTACTAAAGCTAACTTTAGTAGGGTGTTTAAAGGATGGGTACAGGTTAATTTGAATAAAAGTAGTAGCCATATTAAAATTAAGATATGAATTTACTGAGGACAATGCCTCCTTCAAATCCATCAAGCTCATAATTTGTTAGCTATAATTCTTAATCGAGCATTTAGGGAAATAAGAATTTTTAAATGAATTTAAATTCAAGTCCTTTTCAAGGGAATGCAACTCCAAAAGCAAACATGTAACCTACTAATTTAAATTTATCAAATAATCCCTCATAAGGATACACAAATACTCCAAAGAATAATAATTTTGGTGCTATGCCCTAAGTTTTCAGCAACACTAGCATTTAAATGAATACACCATTAAATCGCTAGCCTATTCAACAATAATAAAGTCAATATGCTTAGAACGTAGCACCACCTTAGATGTATTAACCCTCTAATTTTTCGAGTTCACTTCAGAGAGATAATAACTTTAATTAAAATGTTGCAATTAATATTTAGAATTCTACACCATCTCATTTTTAGAGAAACATGATTTAAAATCAACCTTAAGCTACACCTTTTTCTACTTCTCTCTATCCTCAATAAAACTCTTAACTCAGCAAATTCAATAGTAATAGTATTAAAGATATTCCTCAAAACGGAATTTAACAAAAGAAGATACAACCTATAATCACTGTAAATAATAAATAGCAAAGAAGTCATTCTAGAGAAAATGATTCTGTAAGGTTTAGCGAAAACACTAAACATTAAGATTTAGATGATATTGAAGTAGTTAATAGCCCTTAATATTTCAATACCGGTTCCTTTTAAGCTGCTAATACGCAATTATCAATGTTCCGTAAAGCACAGTAACGCAATTTATCAGAAGGAGCTAATAACAATTTAAACTCTCCTGATGTTTCTATGCTTTCCAGTAAGCTGAGAAGACAAAAATCTTTTTACAAATATAACAAAGATATGTTACCCGACGCTATTGATTCTAAAACTCTAAACTATTAATTCATTAATAAAATAGGTGATAAAGATGAGCAAACTTAAACTATTTTTGGATAAAACAATGAAAAAAGATGGATTTCCAAAAGGCCAAAACCAAAATAGGTAAAAAAGCTTGAAAATCTTCTTTAGTTAATTGAAACGAAGTATGGAATATCATAAAAAGAAGGGTGTATAAATATTTTAACTCGATATACAAATCCAAGTGATTTGAAATACAATTTATCTGAAAGAATGAAAGCATAAATTAAGCTAATTAAAGAACTAGAATTAGCTGTAAACGAAACATCTCTGACATTCTCAAATTAGATGCTTGAAATGATCGAAAGCTAAAAAACTAAGAAAGAAAAAATAAGAAAACTAGCAATTGATGGAAGAATTGACTTAGATTTAGAAGGACAATTAAAAGAAATTCATTTAAATTAACTTGAAAATTTATGCAAGCTATAATTAATTGAATACAAATATGATTGCATTGAATTTAATGGAGCTAAATAGACAGAGGAAGAAGAATAGCTCAAAACTCAAGAATCCTAATTATCTTACTAAAAAAAGATTACAAGTGAATTGTTACTACGAAGACTAGCTGATGCGATGGATCTATGCGAAACAGCAAGATCTATTATATCTCAGGTATAAGACAAGGACATAGATAAAACCTTTATCAGATAAAGTACTATCTCTCAAGTATAAAAGAATTAACAAGATAATTTAAAATCACAGTTAGTTATAGATATACCTCTTGATTAGGTTTTGAAAGATGCAGTCCATCTTATGTCTTAATCTATACCAAATTTTAGGAAGGCATGGGATATCCTTTGTCTAGATGAGTAAGATACCTAAAACTTATTGATTGACATACAGACAGGACTATTTAACTTAAAGCAGTGCGTTATCTATAAATAAATTAAATACGAACCTCTTAAAAAAATAATGCTAAAATACTTGTGTGTAGTATTTTTAGACATAAGACTTCCAATGCGCAAGAACAACGAATATAATATTTAGGTTTTTGACAGCTTTATAAAAGTGTTGCAGGATATGTAAGAAGATATTACATTCTACTTAAATTTAATTGAAAGAACAACTAAAGGCGAATAGAATTATTATTACAGTTATACTGTCAATGAAGAATTGACAAAGTAGAGATAATTTTTAGAATTCCTTCAAAACTACAGTAAAAACAGCATAGAAAGTATGCAAGAGCTAAAAAAGTAGCTTTCTGAAACTGTTCATCCCATGGATATAATGAGCAAGCACAAGTCTACCATCGACTCAATGAATCATCCAAATATAAGTCAAAAAGAAATTGAGTACATTTTTGAACTATATAAGAGTTCAATAGATCTTCAATAACAAGTTGAGTAGAGCTTACTCTAAATTGGTAAATATATTTTTTGAATATAATGATATAGTTTAATTTAATTTAATAAATAATATATAGATTAAAATAAAATTAAGTAAATATGCTCAGAGCTAGATTTACCTTATGATCACTTTTTGACAGTATTAAGTGATCAAATTTAGAAAGAAATAAACTCTTCAAAGCAGAGTTTGAAATCAATCGAGTCTTATGTTTTGAAGTATAGGTATGTAGAGTCTGATGTAGATGAATCAATCAAAATGCTCTAAAACTAAGGTTATTTAAATTTAATTTATATTTTTAATTTATTATAAATTATACTCAACCAACAATTAACTTATTTATGTTATAGGATTGAATCTCTAAAAGTAATGGGAATATGTAGATGAAGGCAAGTCTAAACTCCAATTAGAAGATTTAGAAGCTTTCTACAAATAACTTAAGGAAACTCTAGAAAGTATAGGAGCACATATTTATGATTCTTAAGTAAGGTGTAATATGAGTTCTATGAACTTCAAAAAAGCTAAAAAGATTTACATTTCTTTAAAAGCAATCCATAAAAAAGTATTGAGAAACTTGTTTTTACAAAAAGAGATTCATTTGATTGACTTAAAGGCTTTTTAAAGTTTAGTCAGCAGCTTGGATTTAACTGATACTAAAAGCGAAGCAGAGTTCAAAAAATTTTGCAATATGATTTAAGGAATACAAACAATGGTTTCCATCGATTAGGATAGCCAAGATTTTAAATAAATTTTAGATGCTAATTAAGGATTCTTTTAGTTGGTTGATCTTTACATGAAAAAACACGAGACATTTAAGAATGCTTATGAAAAGGTATAAGACTTAGCAAAACTGGGATCAGAGTATGGCTTTGAGTCGTTTAATGAAACATTGCGTTCTATCTGTATGAGTGATAGAAATCTTCAAAAATCAATCAATATTATTACTTCTTTCTCTTAAGAATTTCATAAAAGATGTATTGAATAAATAAATAAGAAAGCTATTGAGCAAAATATAACACAAAAGAATTAGTTGATTGATCAATTAACTATATACAAAAACGACATATATGCTCGTATTGAAAAGTTCTATCTTTTTATCTTCGAAACAGAGCAAACATTTGAAATAGTTGGAGGCATTGAAAATGTGTATTAAACAAATAAAATAGATTTCTAAAAATTTTAAGATTAGATCAAGACACTTCAACGTAAGTTTAAGAATTAGCCACTACATTTCCAACTATTAGATGGTTATCATTTGGAAGCTTAGCAAAATATTCTTCTCACAAAATATTTTATTGGGCTTAATAATTTTTTGATAAATTAGTCAAATAATTTGATTAAAACTATAATGCCAAACATGAAATAATCTAAATATAACAACAGTGATGATTTTGTGTCTTAAATTTAATCTCTCTATACATATAACGCAGAAAGTAAAATAGAAATATATCTTAAAAAGAGAAAGAACATAAATATAGAGATATATCACCGCTTTGAGACTATAGCACGCAGCTTTTATTCATTTTTTGAGTATGCTCTCGAATGCAACCGCATCCGCTTAGCCTTTACGGAGTGCTTTGAAAACTGTAAGGGAATAATTGATCTAGGAGATTAAAATTTCATATAAAATGTTAACTAATGTTTGGATCTTTCTACTAATTTCGACAAACGTATGGAAACGTTTATAACTGAAATGAAAAATTCTAAATTAAATTCCTTCTACCTTTTCTCAAACAGAATAATTGAAAAACTTAAAAATCTAGTCACTATATCTCTGCAAAAAATTGATATAAAATTCTTAGCCAAATTACAAACAATAATTCAAGGTGATAAATACAAAGAATGTCACATGAATTACACAACAGCTTATCAAGAAGTAAAGTCTTATATACAAAAATAGCAGAGGAAAAAACAAATAAAAGAATTTTTGGATGATCTTCATTCTGTTTATTTGCCTAAAGTGCGCATGAGTCTCGCTAATTCCTTAATAAATAGAGAGAACTTCTACTAATTTTTACCTGAGCTAAAGAACACCGAAATGTTTAAAGAGATTAAATTTATTAATGACAATTTTTAGCTACATAAACATAAAAACTGCGAAGCTTTCTTTAACTCATTATATGACGTTGTCCATTTATATGTCTAATAAAAGTTAAATTTGAGAGAGCAAAAAGATTTAATTGGTAAGGTTAGTGATCTATTTTAAAAGCACAACTAAAATTTCTAGATGAATTTATAGCGTGAACTTTCTAATCTATTCCAAACTATAATTAGAGATGATTATGATTTATCCAGAAATTTTAAAAACTGATTTTTAAATTAAATAAAGGAAAAATTATTATTTTATGCAAAAATAAATTTCAAACAAATACTTTGTTTTATAAAATAGTATTTTTTTTAATAAAGTTTTATTTGTTTGTTTCACCACTTTTCTTTTAAATAAACAAAATTTACAATAATATTTTTAGAACAAGCATAATAAATATAAAATTTAAGTTAAAAAATTATAATTTAAAATTCGAGTGCCAATCTAATCTTTGGATATTAAAATAAATGGTATGGTTTTAAAAATATTATCCAAACGCAAAAATATACCATCATTTTACATATTAATTAATTTATTTATTTAAACATAGTTTTTTATTAATAATTTAAAAGAAAAAAATTGATATTTTTAATTAAGCTTGATACTCAATTTTTACTTTTAAACGCATTAATTAATAAGTATCATACCTAACTAACTAAATATATTAGAATTTCTGCAAGGGTTTGGACTAAAATGAATTCTGCTGACAATGAATAAAAAGATTTTAATATAATAAAAAATGATATTAATTCTATTGATAATAATACAATAAACACACCTATGAACAATATTGCAATATTTTAAAATTCTAATACATTTACATAAAAAAGCAAAAAAAGTGTTATATCTCTTTTGAAATAAGCTGAACCGCAAGAATAAGACTACATTCTTGATGAGATTTAAGATATTACTTTGTCTGTAGTTATAAATAGAAAGTTATACACTTATACAGGAAAACCTCACCCTGAGATCATGCAACTTTTTGAATTATTAAAAGAAAAATCTGTTTAATAGTCTGATTTTAGAATAATCAATTATTTAAGATAAAAATTAGAAGATTTAGAAGAATTTTTTGACACTAAATGTGTTTTCTTTGGTGGGAGAATGAAATTATCTCTATACGAATCTATAATGTATTTGTTTTTCATCATTATTTACATAGTTTATGCAGTAAACATGGCCGTAAATTCATTTAAATCATTAAAAATCAAAATTGCTAAATTTTTATTTAACACTTAAAATATACTTAGTCTGTAGGTGATGATATAAATGTTAGAAGCTCAGTATGGAAGTCTTAATTGTAGGGAAACTCCATCTGGTTTGGAGCTATTTTTACAATTTATGGAATAATGTAAATAAATAATTATTTTCTCATTTATAAAATAAGTTACTGAACTTTTTATTTCTAAAAATAGATACATAAATATTAAATCAGTCTTAATACTATTTTTACTTTTCTTAGCTCTTGTTGTAGTTTAAGTTCTCCTTCTTCTAAATGATTTTAATGTAATTTCATCAATTCGTTATTTTATTAAAATAATTTTTTTTTATGTTAATAGATTTTAACTAATGGAATAAGCAGCTTTTAAATGGTTTCATATTCAACATTATACTCTAGAATATATCCTATGATTTTGTATTTGCACTGGTTCATTTTTTCTTTGGTCTACAATTGGATTAAGTAAAATATAATATATTTCTTCATTAATAATTTTTATTTAAAATATTTCACATAAATTAAGTTAAAAATGATATCAAAATATTTTGTTTAATCTTTTAAGAATGAATTGGAGCATTTTAATTAATTTTACAGTACTAAAATATTAAGTTCTAGAATTTATTGAATATATATATTTATTTATAGGAACTCTTTTAAGAGAAGTAGTGCTATGTATTTAGGTATAGGTTGGTGTTTACTGATTCCTTATTATGTCTGCTTGCAAGTGATGTCATACCTTTTGCTTCAAAAGAACTATTAGGTTTTTGATGCCATCAATAGTATATTAAATATTTTAATAGCTCCTTTTATCATAATTGTTATTGTAAGTTGGATTATCCTACACTATAGACTATTTATGCTTCCAGTAAGTAACATCACAATAGCTATTGCAAGGATAAAGGAAGAAATCTAAAAGAATTTCAAATAGCCCATACCTATTGAGGATAATGATGAGGAGGATCCTCAAAACAAAAAGTTAAGATCAAATTGGAAGAGATTCAAAAAGTTTATTAGAATAAATTTTTATATGATATCATCAATCGTTATTGGCAGCATTTATTGCTTCTGTGAAATTTTTTTAATTTATTAAGTGATAAACGAGTTTTCTTCTAGCTCAATAAATTATGACAATCTAGCAATACTACTCTTTTAAATTATTATTATACCTGCATTTGTTGTTCTTGGAATTATTATTTCAGTTTCTAAACGCTAAACTTGGGCTACATTTACATTCTTTCCTTTATTTGTTGCTGCTTTCCCATTATTTGGAATCATTCCACTGACATGGCTTCTTGAGAATACATCATTTGGTGGTAACATTACATATGTAGCTATTATTGCTTTACCAACATGCATCATTTACTGGCTCATATTGGCAATGTTTGGAGTTTAGAGAAGATTCCAATTTCTCTTTTTTATAACTTATACATGCATTTTCTTTGCTTTTCCTATTGGTTTTTTATTACCTCTCTCATACATAAATATTTCTGGTCTCAATTCAAGCACTGTTTATTTTATTAGTGGAGTTATTGTAGCGTAAATTTAAAAATTATTTGACTTTGTTATTAATAACTTTTATTATTGAATAGAGCTGGATTAGGTTTAATATTCATATATTTAGTCGTCTTCATTATAAAATTCCTATATTAAAATGTTTACAAAAGATAATCCAAATCAATTATTAATTTAACTGCAATAAGTTATTTTAATTTAAAAAATATGGGTTTTTTAGTAAACAGTAGTGGATTTATCTTAGGCTATACACTATTATGTTATGTTTTTTATGCTAGACCTTCTACAGCATCAAACGATGACAGAGGATTTGTAGACGGGATGCTTATTAATCTTCCTTTGATATTCGTATTAATAAACTATTCTTTGCAAACAGAGTCACTAGAATACATTATCGAAGAAGACAATTTTAGTTTAGATTCTTCAGTTAATTAATCTTACTCAATGAATCAAAGTTCATTATAAAAATCTTAAATATCATCAAATGCCGAATATCAAGAAATATAACAAAAAACATCTTTTTAGAAAAGATTGATATATGTAGGTATAATAGTACCATTTGTAACATGCTTACCTTTGTATATTCTTTCAAGTCAGAGATAAACTACTACAAGTAAATTTATTTTTACTAAAAATATTTCAAATATGTTTACAAATAATTAGGAATTGCTGTGATTATGGTAGGAATGCCCTGCTGCTTTTTACTTTTATGGTTCTTGTTAGAAGTTAAAAACAAAAGTAAGAAGCTATAAAATTTTTTTACACCTTTTTTGGCAACTATTTGTTGGTGTTGTGTAATCCTGCCCTTGCTTGTAATAGCTCCAGTTATAGCAAATTATATTGAAACTGAGGGACCTTACTTTGCAGATTTTATGAGATCAATAATAGCAGCAGTAGCTTTTATATTGATATGCGGTGTCACTTCTTTTAGCATATTTATATTCGTCATTAAAAATGTAATTTAATTGAAAATTGTTGAAAATTAAAGATAATTATTTATACATTAATGCCTTTATTTATCTATTAGAGACTAGAAGAAGAAAAGAAGAAAAAATTTGTAGTAACTCAGATGCTAAAAATGTGCATAGATAACAGAGTTAAATCAAATGTTAATCCTTTGGCAATCTTATATGATTATTTTCATAAAATACATCAATTAGAAGATAGGATGAAGCTTTTATTGTAAGACCACTCGAAACCTCTGAAATATAATCACAATTAAAAACCAAAAGATAAAAATTTCGAAGAAGAAATCATAGTCTCAAAAAATAGCAACAAAAAAGTAGAAACTAAGAAAGAAAATAAAAGATCGAAACTTGATATTTGTCTTGATTATTTATTTTGTAGATTTGGAATTTAAGTTGATAATTTAAACAAAGACGATGAAAGCGAGATAGTAAAATATTAACTTAATTTATTAGATAAAACTAAAAATTTATAAAAATAATAGACCATGGATGATTTAGTTAAAGAAGTTGAGAGGGCAGAATAGATCATGGATGATTATTTACCAAAGCAAATTAAAATGGGTTATCTATATAATAAATAAAATAAAAATAGAGGATAGCTAGATGAAGAATAAGCTAATTTGATGGAACGTATAGAGTAGACTAAAGAATAAAATGCTATTCAACTCTTTGAAAATCCGAAACTCAAAGTTAAGTCTAAGCACGAATAAATAAGTTCAAAAACTTAAATGTTTAGATCATATAAAATAAAACGCATAAAAGCAGAAGATATAAATAAATTCAGATAGTAAATTTTTTAAATAAAAATTTTGTTGTTACTTATTTCAAATTATAAACTAATAGCACAGATTACTCATAGTTACTTTATAATTCTGAATTTGAAAGAGGATTGTTCTTTCATGATTTGTACAAGGATTTTTCAAATGAAGACGATAATTAACCATAATTGATGATTTACAACGACTTCTTAGAACTTTGTCGTCTTTCTGGTATCTTGCAAGTTGATGATGACTATGCATCTTCACTGAGATCTGAAGTTCCCTCTTTAAAGGAAAAGTAAGATAGTATACCAAGCGACTTATAAAGCTTTGATGAAATTTACCTATAGTAGCTTATATAGAAAGAACTTTCTTAAATATATGATTCACATTCATCATAAGTCTGGAAAGGAGGAATATTAGCTCTAAATCTATAAGATTTTTCTAAATGTATGATTGATATAGCAAACAAAGTATCAATTAACAAGGAATCTACAACTATTTCATTAAAATTGGTATATTTATCATTTTATTTATTTTAGCTTAATTACTTTTATTTTTATAATTAATTCTTAATCCAAACAAAATATTTCTTGATATATTAAGATAAAGCAAATCAATTTAAATTAAACATATTAATTATAAACACTATTCAAAACATTCTTTTACAAATTAAAAAAAATAATTAATCAAATAATAATAATTTTTACATTTAAATTTTTAAAAAATCAGCAATGAGTTTTTTTTTTTTATTAAATTAAATTTATTAAAATTTTTTTTTAATTTTCAAAATTTTGGTGTTAATTTATCTTAGTGTTAAATAGATTTAATGTATATTTATAGTTTAATCATTTAAAGAAAATATAAAAATATTTTTTGATAGATATTTTTAACTACTCCTATTTCATAAAAATTAATTAATGTATTTGTGTAATTTTATAGAGAGAACTACTATATGAAAGAATGTTTGGGTATTTAATGACAAATATTCCAAACTTTGCAAGCAATTATAGACCAGATATTAGAAAGTTTATAAAGAAAGAAGAAATTGAGAAGAGGATGGAAGGATCTCCTTTTATTTTTACCATTCCTTTAAAAACTTAACTTGAGGATGATGAAGATGTCATTTTTAATTACTAGAGAAAAAATAAATATCTTTTATCAATGCAAAAAGAAGAAAACTTAAACTATGAAAACATTTAAAGAATGAACATAAATGAAGTAAAAGGATCAAATAAAAACAAAGTTAAGGTTCAGGACTAAAATGCACCTTAAAAAATAAAAGAGAATGTTTCTTGCTTCATTATGATGTGTAGATGCTTAAGAACTTGCTGTTGTGTTTACCCAGGGAAAGCTTTCTCATATGTTGATAAAAAAATAAGTGTAATTTATTATTTATTTTTTCGAGTTAATGTTAATTAATTTACATTTTGAAAATGAAAAGTCTTTAATATAGAGATTAACTAAACCAAAAATTGCAAAGAATGTTATTTCCAGAAAACCTCAAGCTAAGAAAGCTCCTAGTTGGAATGATATGGCAGATAATTTAGTTACAACAATGGTTAATTCTATAAGAGCATACGAAGAAAATTAAAATTAGGCTATGAAAGTTTAGTTCAATTTAAATATAAATAATCTTATGACTATTGTTGGTAAACTAAGTGATTTTCTAACTCTTTACGGAGTAGCCTTTAATAATCAAGTAGAGTGGTTTCCTGGATATACTACAAAAGTTGATACAGCATAAGTGACTTCAGGATCAATAGTAAGCTCTATTTAATTTAAAATAAATAATGTAATTAAATTTAAAATTTATAAAGTTTAGTAGTTACTAAATAATATTTTGGTTGTGTGTTGGTTTAGGTATACTTTACTTTTTTATTGCTCTGATTGCTTAAGATTATGCTGAAGAAGTAAATTATTAAAAAATTAAATTTACAGATACTAATTAAATGAGCACTTAAACAACTATAATTAATTAATTAATAGGGTACTTTAGGAAAAGATGAAAATGGTGAAAATGCAAACTTTAGACACAAGCAATTCTATTTATCTAAAGGTGTCAACTTATTAGGAGCCACCTTTTTTATGTTTATTATGAGAACATTGATGGATGCATAGTATTTATTTTAATTCAATTAAAATGTTTAATTGTAAAATCTATATCATAACAAAAAGTATTTGTGATTGGGAAACAAGTTCACCCTGGAGTCTTTATAGAACTAGTTCTATTTAGTGTTTGAGCAATACTCATTTTTGGATGATGGCTAGCGGTTTTATAGTAAAAAATAAATTACATCTGCAAAACTTATAATTTAAAATATTTTAATAAAAAAAAGGCTTTGTTAGGTTACTATCCTCTATCTACTTTTATTTAGCCAAGTATTTAGTTTTTAGATAATACTCTTGATGTTAAGTATGATAAATCGTATATTGCAGTTTATATTCAAGCTAAATTAATTGTTTTAGGTAATTTAAATTCAACAAATACATCATTTTTATTTATTAATTTAAATTAAAAATAGGTGCCACAGCATTTTTTAACTCTTTTTAAAACAAAACTTTAATTAGCATCATCCAACTTAGTATCACATCTTTTGTAGGTTTTGGAATGAGTTTGCTTGCAATTAAAATAGAACCTTGTCTAATTGGATTTATTAATCCTATAGAAATAGGATGCCTTCTATGTATAGGAATTGTAATTATTTGTTTATTTAATTTCTTAAGAATAAAAAATATATAAGCTAATTAAACATTTATAATAAACAGATTAACGGTATTGGACTTCTAATTGTAATTACAAAAGAATCGTTGATACTATTTATTGTGAATATTGTTCTACATCTTATTGTCATAATAATTTTAGCTATCATCATTAAAAAAAAGTATTTTTCTGGTAAACATCAACAAAAAAAGCTTGTCCTAAATCATTTACCAGGTAAAAATTAATTTGAATAATAATCCATCAATAATTAAACTTTTCTATTTAAACAGTAATTTAAAAAACACAAGAGAAAAAGAAAGAATTAGAGTAACTTAAAGTTGGAGTAGAAACTCCTTAACAAACTCCTCAGCTTCAAGCTTCAAGAAGGGGAAATCATATTACATCAAAAGATGTTACAGATTCTTTTTAGACTTAATAACGTTTCAAAAACAAAGTTAATATCGAAGGTTTATCAGATGCCAATTCAAAGATATTAGAAATAGAATAATTATGAAGATATTTTTTATAGTTAGTTAGTTAATTTATATATATGTATTTTTAATAGTTTTTTTACTACAAAAAACGCAAATAATAAATTCTCACTCAATCACTATCATAATATTTTTTAATATAAATAAAATTAAACAAACAATAAAAAATTTATTATTCTAACTTTAACCATAAAATTAAACAAACAATAAAAAATTTATTATTTATAACCTTTGCAAAATTAATAAATAATTTAACGTTATTGTAAAAATATTTTCTGATAAATGAATAAAATAAAATGAAATAATAAAGAATGATATAAAAATAGATAGATTCAAAGATATACTTTGAAACTAAACAGCAGTATTTAAGTAATAATTAAATAGATTTTAAAGATAGATATACATTTTTTCATTTTTGATCATTTATACCAAAGATCTATAAAAAATTTTATATGGTTTTTAATTAACTCTTGTAAAGTAAGTAATCTTTATTTATGAATTATCTAATAGCATTTAAATCTAACTACTTCTTAATATGATTTTAAATATTTTAAAGGTGAATATATTTATAAAATATTTTATATGGTTTTTAATTAACTCTTGCAAAGTAATCTTTACTTATGAATTGTCGAATTTAAATCTAACTACTTCTTTAAATGATTTTAAATATTTTAAAGGTGAATTTTGACTTATATCTTTAATGGTTAAAAAGAAAAATCAAAAAAATAGTTTTTAATTAACTCTTATAAAGTAAGTAATCTTTATTTATGAATTATCTAATAGCATTTAAATCTAACTACTTGTTAATATGATTTTAAATATTTTAAAGGTAAATTTTGACTTATATCTTTAATGCTTAGAAAGAAGAATAAATATTTTTATTTCTTTAATTGTTTATTCAATTAATGTTGTTTAGATATTTTTGCTAATTATCAGACAAGTCATTATAACTTTCTAAAAATAATCTTACTCTTATTATTATATATTTTTTTAATTTTCAAAATTAATTAATTAAAGACTGTATTTTGAATTAATTATTAAATGTAATCATTTTCTAATAAAGATTAATATATATAAATTTATACTATTTAAGTAAAAAACTGCTTAAAGATATAATAGCTTTTTCCATTAAATAATACAAATCTAAAAATCTAATTATTAATTTATGATTAAAAATAGTAATAAGTAGTTTGAGCTACCTGTTGAAAACGATATATCTGTTTTTGACTAAAAAAAGACTTTAGATCAATTAGAATCATAAGAAATAGAATTTTAAGATGATGAGAAAAAGCAAATCTAAAATGAAATTTAATAAGATGAAAGTTAGTTTTATGAAATAAAAAAAGTAATTAGATATAATGGCAATATTTTATATTCATACAAAGGACCTGCCAATAAAGAAATAATTTCGATTTTGAGTATGATTGAAGATGGGATAGCTCAAAAATAATTTTATAGTAGAGTATATTAATGCTCTTAATCAATAAAGAAGTCAACTGATGTTTTGTTTAACAAATATTGCTCATTTTTTAATGGAACACTTAGTATAGGATTTGCTGAATTTATTTTTGGGATTGTTTTGATTGCTTTTACTTTCATGTTTAGTTTCATAATTTATGTAAATTTTATTTAGTTTTAAAAGGTTATTTTTTCAATTTATTAACTAAAATTCAAAGGAAGTAGAAATACCAAGTAAGTACAGTGGTAATAATTCTTGGTAGTCGTATGTGTAAGATAAGATTTTTTTATATTCATTTCTGTTCACTATTTTAGGACTGATCTTTCTAAAGGTGCATAAAAAAATCAAATACACCTTCTGTCTAGGAATCTTAACATATGTCTTTTTAGATATATTGCTTTCATAAAATGTATATAAATCTTTTAAAATTAATTAAATCAAAAATGAAATTATTAATTAATTAATTCTATTTCTTTTCATTAGAATATCCTTTAGTTTACAATTTAAGAAATTAACTGTTTTTTATATTTAGGCCTTATAGTTTTCAAATTCAAATGAGTAGGTTGAAGGTGCAAGAATATTTTTTTGGTTAATTTGTATAATCTTCCTAATTAATTGGAGTGTGATTTATCTAATTTGGAACTTCATAGAGTAATTTATTGTATTATATTTATTTTTAAAAAAAACAAATATTTTAAAAGATAAATTATTTTCAAAATGAATAATATAATAAAATTTCTAATTACCGTCAGTACTCAGTAATTGTTGATAAAAAACATAAAATTTTAATTTAAAAAAATAAATAATTTTTTAAATTACAAAAGCAGTATCTTAAAAAAAATTTTTAATATTAAACTTGAGTAGAGACAGTATTTAGATAGTTAATTAATAAATAAATAAATTAATAAAAAAATTAAAAAATTATTAGAAAAAGGTATTCTGATATAATTAGCTTAGTCTTCTGTTTATTCATAGAGTTGTATATAGTATATGGGTGTGGCCTATTTTTCCTTAAATAGGCACTTTGTGAAAATGGAGTAGAACTATGGAAGAGCATTATTGATGTTTTATTACCTTTGATAGCATTTATAGTTACTCTTGCTTACATTTTTTTCCATTACAATGTCTTCTTACCTAAAATAGATTAATTTAATAAAATTTTAGAAGAAATTGTAGATCAAATAAGAAAGAAATAAGATTAAGCTTTTTTAAGTTAAAACGAAGCAAATTAGTAATTAAATTAGGAAGTATTTTGGTTTTAAAAAATAAACAATTTCTTTAGTAATAAGTGCTTGGTGATTACTTAGTTATTAGTCTTTGTATCATATTTTATTTTTGAAGGGTTTTTTATTTATAAATTAAGGGAAGCAATAGTTTAAGTTTAAATTAATTAATTTAATCTACTTATATCAATCTTTCATATTGCTTTTCTTCCTATATTTTTGATACTTGGGGTTTGTGTTAGCAGCTCCAGTATGAGCATTAAAAATAAAATGTTACTTTATCCTATTATAAGTGGAGTTCTCTCTATTTCAATTATGATGCCTGCATATAACTATTTGAATAATATAGAAGATTTACATTATATAAGCTACTATCCTATTATAGGATTGCCTTTTATCTTCATCTTTTGGCTCACTCTCAGCCTATTTGGATACAGATAGAGGAAAAGATATCTCTATTCTCTTACTTATTTTTTAACATTTTTTATAATACCTATCTGGATATTAGCTATAGCTAAATCAAATACTGGATTCTTTGAATAAAATATTTAAGCAGTAGCAGTTTCTTTTACTCTCTTATCGTAATAAATTGAATATTTTTTTAATTTAATTAATTAAGAACATTAATGAAAATTTATAAATTAGGTTTAAAATTTATTTGAAAAAAAAATTTAAAAGAGGATATTTTAATTTTTTTTTTTTATAAAAAGGATAGGAGCTCTCATACTAGTAGTATATGGAATATTAAGTATAATTTATCTAATAAGCAAATCTCTCAAATTTGAAGATGTTTCAATTCATACTTTCTTGATTTAAATTAAATATTACAACTTTGAAAGTTTTTCCTATTTTATTAATGCTTTCTGCTTTATTATTGGGTATAGTCTGCTTTCTTATGGATTATATGAGAAACCTGATACTGTAACTCCAGATAAAAAAGGTTTTTTGTATTGTCTTCTAACGGTTTTTCCTCTAATTTTCATCATGCTTAATATATCAATAAGGATTCGTGCTTTTGAATAATAGAATTATTTAAAGTATTTAATAAATTTAAAAGAAAAATATATTAATTAAAAATATAAAAATTAGCAACGATTATTTAACAACTGAAGAATAAAATGAATAGCTAAATAAAATAAATCAAAATAATTTGATTAATAAATTAATGATTTTCTCAACGGTTTTGATATTGATTGTTACACTTCCTTTGCTATTCATAGTTAAAGATAGACAGTACTTTATATGTATTCAATTTTATTTATGAATTTATAATTAAATAAATTTATTTTTATAAATAAGACCTTATTAGCTTAATGTTTATTCTACCTTTCTTTATAGGAGTTTTTGCCATTCTAAAGCGTGTGAAAGATAGCAATCCTTCCTTTTAAAGGTTTTTGACTCCTTTTCTAATTATTATCAGTTGGCTATTTGCAATATTACCATTTATTGTTATTGTACCAGTTATTTCTCTCTTTATTGATAGCAAATCAGATTAATATGGGGTATTTTTAAAATATACCATAGCTTGTGGTGCTATTTTAATAATGTTAGGAGTTACTGGATTTACAATATTTTTTCATATAGTTCTTAATGTAAAAATTATTAAAATAAATGAAAACAAATTTAAAAAGTGTTTAATTAAAAGAAAATGGAGCTAGATAGGATTAGAAGATACATTGTGTACTAACTTTAGTTTATGTTATTTCATAATGCTGTGAAATCAACTTTAGAAATTTTACATCATTTATTGGATGTGTTTATGAAAGAAAGAAATGAGTCAATATTTAAGGAATAAATGCTTAGGGGAAAGCCAGTTTTTTGGTAAAAATTAACTTTTTTAAAATTATCAATTTGATGTAAATAAATTTATGAATTTATTTTATTAGGATACCTTTTACATCTAAAAATGACCTAAACTACAGTAACGAAATTGTTACTACTATTGAATACAAAAGATTAAATGAAAAAAATTAATCTAAGCGAAAAGAATAAAGCAAGAGAACTTGCATTTAGTATATTTGCTGCTTGCAAAGTAATATTCATGAAGTTAAAGAAGATGACTAAATAATAAAAAAAGAAGAAAGCTAAAAAGAAATATTAGAAAATTTAGATGATAAATTAGAAATTTTAGGTAAAAATAGCAGCGGCATTGAAGAAGAAGATGAAGAAGAAATTAAAAACATAGATTAGTTTTTGTTTCCTTATATGTTGAAAGTAAAACATTTTTAGGATAATATTGAGCCTAAATTGTTAGAGAAAATAGAGAAAAGAAATAAATAACATGATTTATCTCAGATAGATAAATCTAAAAAGAATGAATTTACATCTTCCAAATCAAAAAATCTATTTTAAATTTCTAATGAAAATGCTCTCGATGCTAATACACTATCATACAATGAACATTATTTAAATGTAAAAGAAAATGAGAATGCAAAACTTGAATTTTTTCATCATATATTTTATCAATTTTCAAATAATGATAATCACGAGTATGATGAAGAATTAGTTATCTATTATGATGCATTGTAGTTTGTTAGAATATCAAATATGAATATAAATGAATAATTCTTATCATGGGCTTTTGATTAAAGTGCACAGGTAAACTGGAATTATAAAACCTTTGCAATGGACATGAAAGGATTTGCTATTTTCTTATAAAAACTTACAGCTAATTTTTATATGGGAGAAGATTAAAAAACAATAGTAAGAATCAAATTAAAAAGATTTTTTGTTTTTAAATTAAATTATTTTTTAAATCAAAACATTGGCTTATGAATAAATTTTATTAAAAAGTACGACTTATGTGTAGAATAACTTTATTCTAATATTATGGGTAACTGTCCAGAGGTGGCAATTAATTTTAGAATGTAACATAGAACCTTTGATTAAGTATAAAAGAAATGGGAAATAATGCTTAAAGATTCCCCTTTTAGAATATCTAGCAATCCAGAGCTGTAAAAAAATCTAAATGCATCATTGATAAGCAATACATTTGAAAAAAGTTTATATGAAAGAAAAAATAGGCTTTTATTCAGTGGATATGATAATCAGGCTAATAACTAAAATAATCAAAAATAAGGAGAAGAACAAGAAAAAATATAAAATGATAAAGGTTCTTCGTTCTCATGCAAATAATGTATCAAATAACTTGGTACTCTGATAAAAAAATGTTTTTGCTATATTCCATATTTGATTAAAAGCTCTATCCAAAGCTCTAAATCTGAAGATTAAGATCATTTAGATTAGTTAGAGAAGCTTAAATTAAAAAATTTGGTTAAGAGAAGAATATCTCCCTCTTGGGAAACTATCGTAGACCTAACTGTAATCACAATATAAGATTCTGAAAATAAGTACAATAAACAAAAATAGAATACGGTCTATAAGGTCAATTTAAATTTAGGTAACATTTTAGTTATTATAGATCGTCTCTGTGATAGCTATGTCTTTTTAAGCGTAGCAATTAACAGTTCTATCAAGTGGTCTCTCCTCTCAGATTTTGAAGCTGATTTATCTTCTTATTCAATATTTGATGGGAAAAATGGAAATGTAATTTTATTTCATTCATTTTTTTTTCAACTTTTAATAACAAAATTTACATTATTTTTTTTAACTTTTAATTACAAAATTTACTTTAATGTTTTTTCAATCAAAAAATTTACTTTAATTTTTTTAAAATTAAATTTAGATTATGCTATATTATTAAATTTTTATGTGATAATTATTTGTAATTTAGATCTATTTTTTTTAATTTAATTATCAGTTTTATAATTTAATTTGAAATAAATAAAAAGAAAGAATAAAAATCATATTCTAAATAATCAATTAAAAATTAAAAATGAAACATATTTTATTCTTTATAATGATTAATTTTATTTAGGTTTTAGGCTATGATTTCTTTTTTTGGCTTTCACTGGGTTTTTCTTTGATATATGGATTACTTAGTATAAAATCTTTGTAAAATACTATTTTAATTATAACTTGAAAATAAAATAATATTTATAACTATAGGAAGTATTTAAAAAATGAAACTCTAGGACTAGATAGTAGTGGATAGATAGCTACCTTTCCTCATCCACAATTTTTTTTAGTTAAAATCATTTAAATTATTGGATCAAATCTTTTTTTTCTGATAATGAGAACTTTCATTGATAGCTTTGTGTGTAATTGGTCTTAAGTTTAACCTTGGTATTTAGTTAGAGATAGTAGTATTATGTGTTTTGATAATACTCATTACATTCATATGTTTTTTGCTCTATTTGGTTTACTGATCTACTATCCATTTACAACCTTTATATTTCCTAATATTCAATTCATTTAGAAAGCAACTGACTTAAAATATCAGCCTTCCTTTTTAGTTTTATTTTAATAAGGTTAGCTAATTGTATTAGGTAATATTCTTAGACAAATTTTATTCAATAATTTATTTTTAACAAATATAAATAGGGGCAACTAGCTTTCTAAGAAGTGAAGATAATAGTAGCTTTTACTTGATTTCTTGTCTCTCTATTGTAATTGTTATTTAAGTCATAAATATTGCCTTGATTTTAAAAGTTTGGCCTTGTACTGTAAACTGGTGGAACATAGTAGATATAGGTTTACAACTTACTATTGCTATTGTAAAAATACATAATAAATTCAGTTTTAAATTTTGATTGATTTTATATTTTTTTAAAAAGGTATGTAGCGGAGCTTTATTTATATTTATAACTAATTAATCTAAAATAGGAACTATTTTAACAATAGTTTTTCTATGCTTAACTATTTTAGCTACATACATTTTTAGTCGTAAAATGTATAAAATGCATGCCTCTCAGTCAATTAAATAATAAATAGTAGATTTGCCATGTAATTATTTTAGATATTAATTCTAATTTTAATCTTATTTTTTATAAATTAGAAATTTAACTTTCAAAAAATAGATTCAAATAAAAAATTGCTCCTCTCAATTAAAATCAATAAAAATGATAAAAAAATTAACTTAAATAAAATATATTAAATTTTCTAATATTTTAAATTATAAATAATACATTAAATTCTCTTAAACTTTATCATAAGATCTTCAAAAATCACGTTTGAGAAAAATTATTTCATTTAAAAAATTTTGATTTTTGAGGATTTATAAATAACAAATTAAAAAATAGTTATCTACTGATACAATTTTAAAATAGTAATTTATGATGATAAAATTAACATATAAATAATTCATATAAAATATTTGTTAGTTTGATTAAAGCTTTAATCTTTAAAATTTTGATAGATAATTATAATGCTTATAATTAATTTAGAATCAGTAAGCTCTATATTTTATTTAAATATTGATAAAACAAAATTTTTATGGAAGAGAAAGTAGAAATACTTTTAAAAAGGTGTAATTAAATAGAAATATTAATTCTAAACTATTTTTGAAACAAATTTATTACGAAAATAATAAGTAGGTAAAAATAGAATTTAATTTAAACACAGTTTTTTAAAACAATGTCTGTCTGTAATAGTTGAATTTTAAACGAATATAAGATTATAATAATATATTTAAAAAATAATTGATTTAATATTCTATTAAATTATAAATTAAAAGTGCTGATGTAATCATATATTACTATTAAAAAAATGAGTATTTTATGATATTAAGTTTGATAAGATTATAAACAAGAGTATTATTTATATCTTAAAACAATCAAAAATTATAAGCGGCCTATAAAAAATAGTTGTTAATTAATTAAATAATTTCTTTTTAAGTAATAATTAAAAACTTAGAAGTAGTTCAGAAATAATATAATCAATAATTCATATATTAGGTCATTAGTAAAAAGACTATAAAGAATAGAATTTAAGATAACATGGGAAATGACAATTGCTGTGCGATTAGGAAAAGAGAGTCAAATTTTGATAAAAGCTAGAAAAACTACATTAACATGCTATTCACTACTATCTCAGAAAACAATGAAAAGTATTAATTGAATCAAATATTAAAAAATCAATCAATGTATCATATAAAATGTAAAATATAAACTAGTACAAAAAAGAAGGGAATAATTGATCCTTAGGGTTTTGCAGATTATATGTATGAGACAGATTTAATACAAAAAATACTAACAGATGAGCTTTTTGGAAATGATTAATTTATTTCATATGAAAGGTTTTGCAACTTTTGTAATATTTAAAAAATTATTTGCATAAATTAATCATTCAATTTATGAAATCGAGCTAATTTATTGCTTTCTAAAATTTAAATAGGTGCTGATTTAATTTTTAGTGAGCCTGGCTACAAGATGTATTATTTAGAATCTCTCGTTGAGTGGAAAATTAAGCTTATTAATCCAAAAATAAGAGGAGATCAATGGAAATAAACACGAACAACTTTGACACAACTCCAGCAATTTATGAAGGTAAATATGGAATATTAATTTAAAATATTGAATTAAAAATAACTTTAAAATGGTTTTTAGAGTAGAATAAAGTGAAATAAGCTAAATAAATTATAATTTTAATTTAGGAAATATTTAAAATCATTGAAACTACAGATAGTGCGAAGTCAAGCTACAATATTCCTGATCCTAATTTAATTCTTACAGTAATGTTCAGTAAAACAGTTAATTAATAAGAAACTGTTAAAAAACTCTGATTTATTTTTTTATAAAGAAGAAGGATTAGAAGAAACGAAATCTTGGGATGAAATAATAAATTATTTTTACAAAAAATATCCCTTGATTGATGATATTTTGAGGAATTATTATGAATACAAATTTTTGAGAAAGCCTATGCAATATGGCTTCCCTGTATTGTAAATTAAACAAACTATGGCTTTTGATTACAACATAAGCTCAGCAATAGCTTTGACTAGCGACCATCTATTTAGGAAAATCACTATTTTAAATCGCATATTTTCATCTGGTGAATTGAGTTTTAACTATGAAACATTCTAGCAACAAATAGAAAGTAAGTTTATAAAAAAATAAGCTTTTTTTTTATTTTTTCTTGTATTTGATTTTAGGTTTTGAAGGAGGACTTTTAATTTTGTTAAAGTTTTTGGGAAAAGAAATTCCTGGTACCCATCATTAGCAATTAGTAGGCGTGTATGTACCTGATGGGTTTTCATCAGCAGTTAATTAAGGAGGAGTTTATGGATCTTAGGAAATAATATTATTTGAAATATCTCCTCATTTCTAGCCTATTTATTCTATTGAAAGTATTCTTAAGAGAAAGGAAAGAAGTAGACTTCAATAGTCTGATTAATAGAAACAGGAACCTTTAAAGCGTTATATTAGTTACACAGATAAAGGTTTAGGCTTTGGGTATGATTAAAAAACATAAAAACACCGTATATGGATAGATAGAAATATGTTTTAGAGCTCATACATTCTTTCGAAAGATGATTACTTTGAATCAGGATTTGATTATTTTTAAAATCACATTGTAAATTTTATTCATTTGAAAAATTATTTTATTTTAATATATATTTCTTAAAAAGCTTATTCATATAGAAGCATGGAGTGTAACCAAAGATTTCCCTAGGCATTCACAGAACATAATTGAATTAGCTGAAAACAATTATCGTTAATTTATAAAATATAAAAACTAGTAAAATTAACTTTAAACCAAAATACTTTTTAAATTATCTTTAAAAAAAGTTAATAGATATTTTCAACAGAAAATGATGCTTCTAGTGCTGCTCACTCTTATAAATTTTAGAATGACGTGCTTAGCTACTCTTAAATTAGGTAAATAAATAGCTTTTCTTGATGATATTTTAAAAAATATCAATTAATTTTTAAGGAAATAAAAATGTCTAATTTAAGCTCAAAAAAAATTTATTAATTATTAAATAATTAAACTTCATAGAATTATAAAAATTAATTTTTTAAAATTATTCTCATTTCAATGCTTGTAACGGCAATTTTAATTTTGAATAATTTAGCTAATTTTTACTTGAAATTTAAATATTTATTTGTCAAATTAATATGATAGAAATACAAATTATCTGGATTCTAATGGAGGATCATATATTAATCATGCCCCATAATAATAGCTTATGAGAGGTAGCATGTAATTGGATGAAGAAGAGAGAAAGAAAAGAACAAGGCAATTACTTGGAAGTGTGGTGCATAGAAATTAAAATGGTTAGAGGTAAACAATTAGCCACTAAAATAATTAAAACAGTTAAAACAAAGATAGACTAGATGAAATTTATAAGAAATATAAAGATTTATAAAACTAAATAGAGTTTAACTAGTCAGATTATGACAGAGTAATGGACAGACACTTATAAAAAATTAAATCAAGTAATGATCAACAAGTAATTTAATAGCCATAGCAATAATAGTAACCATAATAATCTACATATATTTACACTATATAACCTTCACAAGGATCATAGATATAAATTAGTTAGAGCTAATTTCATGCAAGATCAAATAGTAACGGAAGTAATTACTAAAATGGATTAAATAATAGTCCAAGTAGATAATTAAATTACTCATAAAATAATGTGGTTGTAAATGATGTAAATGAAAGTTTTTACAATAAACATTTGTTCTAATCTTGATGAAAAATAAATAAATTTATTAAATTTACTATTTAACAAATAAATAAATAATTTCTTATGTATCTTAATTAACTTTAAATATAAACAATCATCAAAACAGCAATTCACAATATTTATATCTCTTTTTATCTATTATATTCAATATATAATCCTACTCAATACTTCCTAATCCATTATTTCTGTTAAATTAATATATATATATGTGTATATAATACATGTCTTATTTTTTATGATAAAAAATAAAGAAATACCTTAAATTTATTGATAAAAATACCAAGTTTCTCATTTACTTTAAGCACTCTAAATAGCTATATAAATATTCCAGCTAGCACATATTATTTCTAAATTTAAAAAATTTATAATTATTTTTAAAAAACATTATTTTTCTTACGATAAGTTTAATTCAAGACTTTCAATTTAAACATAGCTTTAAAATAGAACTTCAGCCACAGATTGTATTCCTATATTTTTTATTCCACACGCACTTATTTTAATAGTTTTTATTTTTAATATTATATATACATTTTTGTGTTTAAAATACCTTAAATTTATGCTTAGTTGCTTAATAGAGTTTGTGTTTGACAATGGTTTTAAGACCGTCCCAATATATTTTTCATCAAAGCTGTTTAAACTTAAAAAAAATGCTTAATAAATTTAAACACTTTAAAAATTTTACGATAAATCTAAACTGAATTTTTGAAGAAAAGGAAAACTAGTTATTTTATTCAGAAACCCATATTTGTTGCTTTCGATTCTGTTTTTACTAAGTAAAATTCATTAGAAAAAATTTAATACTAATTTTGTATAAATTTACGATAGATTTATATTTAATTAAGCTAAATACTAAATGTTGCTAAAATTTTCAAAACTCTCGATACAATCTTAAGCAGTCAAATTATTTTTTCTATTTTATTATTACAAAATATTAAAAAATAATAACTTAAATAAAAAAATAACCTTAAATTGATATTCAATTATTTTAAACCAGCAATAACATCCATTCTTTTAAAAATTGTAGAACACGCTAAACTGCTAAGTTAATTATTACTACAAAAAATATTTTTTTATCAAATAAAAATAAAAATAATAAAAACCATAAGCTTATTGAGAGAAAAAGAAGTTTATTCATTTTTTAATAGAGTGCTGAAAAATTATATGCTATACTTTCGTCTATCTCATTCAACTAATTATCACTTAAATAAAATTTAAATTAATTATTGAATTAAATATATCAAATTTAAATTAAAAAGTATGAAATAAAATCCTTGATGTATTTAAATCAACTTTGAACAAAAAATTAAACCTATAAATATAGAAATTATGTTTAATCCTAAATTATTATTAGATTTAAAAATAAAATTGACATTCCTTTGAATTAAAATTAATCCAATATATTAAAAAAGAAGAGTATTAAAAAATAAAATAATTAATGAAAATTATCTTTTTTAGAAAATATTTGATTTTAAATTTTCTTGAAATATGGAATTAAAATTGATAGACTTTTTGAAAAGCTAAAATTTAATAGAAAATTAATTTCTGGTTACTTTCTAACAGCAAATTCAATAAATTCATTAAGAAATAATGTAAAAATGATTTTTTCTAAATATAACAGAAAAAGATTCTATTGATTGCTTATACAAAAATTTATATTTTTTTGCTAAAAAGAATGAAAAAAAATTAATTATGTCAAAAAAAATATTGAATTAAATAAATTTTGATTTTTTTAAAAAATTTTGAATTAAAATAATACTCAAAATTAACATCCAGCTCTTCTAATTATTTGCATTTAGATATATTTTAGAAAAAGTTATAATATCCTTCAAATGTGACTTAGTTTTCCCTTTTTATTTATAAAAATAATCAGCTTACTAACTATTAATCATATTTTTACCATAGAACTAATTTTATTTTTTTCAATCTTGTCACTTAAAAGAATTGTAAAGCCATATCAGCGACATCACTATCTCCAATAGAATTATTGCTTTTTTAGATTTATAAGCTTAATTTTGATTTATAATTTAAATTTACGATAAATCAATATCAATCTCTTGTAATAACTTGCATGAAACAATTCCTTCCATAAGTGATTTTTCATCAAGCTGCTAACTTTGAATTGAATTACCTCTTTAAATTAGTTAAATATAATAACTGATATAATTTTTCTTTGTCATTTTATTTACTCTAAATTGATTTTTAGCTATACAATATTTTTTAAATATTTCATTTCTTAGAAAAGGAGTAAAGCCCCATCAAATTACAATGAATTATTACTAAATTTTAAATAATTATTAAATAACCAATTTAGTTAAGAAATAATAAAACCAAACCTAAAATCAATATCTAAATACTCCACATTCAAACCTTTTTACCATCCTTCAAGAGCAATATCTAATCCATAAGCTCCTATATAATTATTACTTTATTAATTTATGTTATAAGAATTCCACAAGATAATAATAAATACTCTAAATTTATTGTTAGTTTTTTTAATTTTAGAAGTTAAGACAGGTCTTGAAGTATGTTTTTGATGCACTTTGAATTTAAATTGTTATTCCTAAATATTACAAAAGCTATCTGTAAACTATTTATTCTATAAACTAGCTAAATTTACCTAAAATTAAGCTCTATTATTTACAAGCTAACACACGAATTAGTCAATTCTTTAATCAGGCTTTCTAATTAGACTTTGGTAATTTGAGTAGATCTTTTTTTATTTATTTGCATTTATAAATAGATTTAATATAAAGCATAAAAATAAAACTTACTCGAAATTAAGATTAACTTCAGCTAAGCTTGCAAACAATTAAATGATGTTGTTGAAATCTTTGACAAATTTTTCATCTATTAGCTTATTTCTATATATTTTTTAACCTTCATTCTAAATAATTATATTTCTGATAAATATAAATAGGATTATACTATTATTAGATGATCATTTTGAATTCTGTAGCAGATTAAATAATTGCATTTCTAATTTCATCTATTTCATTTTATTATCTATAAATAAACATAATTTTAAGATTCCTTTAGCTATGAAATTTAAACTAAATACTTAAATCCAAAATTCAAACTTTTTAATCTTTCTTTAACTTCATCAATTGGTATTGGTTTAATTTACTCTTATAATCTTTTTATTAAATGAAATCGAAATCAGTTTAAAAAAATATTTCAACTCAACTAAATTCTACTCATTATTTTATTCCTAGTTCGATTATTGTACTTCTTTATTTTTGTCAAACTTAGCGTTCGATAGATTTTCATCTTTTAAATAAAATAAGTTAATTTAATCTTAGAGATTACTGTGAGTAAATATACTTATTTGTTTATTTTCTTAATTACTAGCTGCAGGAGTTTCTTTTTTTGAGTCTTAATTTTCCATTTACTTATACACAAACTTTTATTTAAAAAGATACAGATCTAACAATAAAAATTTGATATGCTTATTTTGTTTAAAAATTCGAATACCTTTTTAATTTTAAAAAATAACAATAACAATGAATAGAAAAAACAAACAGTATTCTTTAGATAAATTAATTAAACTAATGTTATACAAAAATGATTTTAAAGTGAAGTAAAATATATAAAGTTAAACTAATAATACATAAAAATATAAACTTTATTTTGGTTAAAATATACTTACGGCTTTCATGAATAGTTAAAAGTAGAGATAATTAATTATTCATTTATTCAAAATTTATTGATATTATTATATTTATAGTTTTATTTATATAAAACTTTTTAAATTGATGTTATAAAATTTAATACATATAAACTGTTATTAGATTTGAATATCTTAATTTATGAAGTTCTTTTTTTAATATTTATTTTAAAAATATATTATGAATTGATAAGAAATTATTTGATATTAATATATTTCATTTAAAATTTTTATATTAAATTGCAAGTAAATGAGTATGTAATATCTAAATTATCATTGTTCAACAAAATAAAAATAATAAATTTGCCATAATATATATTTTTGTAATAACTGAGAAATTTTTGGACTCTTACTCAATAGAAATAGTCAAAAAAATAAAATTTTTTGTTATATATTTCGATTATTAAAGAGAGGATATAGTAAATTCATTAAATCAAATTTTATTTATTGGCTATTTTTGATGAATAATATGAAAATTTTTTATTTTTTAAAATATTTACAAGAAATTTTTAAATAAGTAAAAACTTATAAAAAGTATGTCAACAAATTTATTTAAACTTAGACTTGATAGATGGTCTTTATTTTTTAAAAATATTTTATATAAATAATATATACTTACTAATAATGAATAAACAAAATAACAAATATACTTAAAAGAATTGCATTAAACTTCTTTAAAAATATATTGAAAACATTTTCAGATTTGAAAGTTTTGGATATTTTATCATAAATAAATTTTTAATATGTAATAATAAAGTTTTAAAATAAATTCAAATAATAAATAAATAATAAAAAAATATGAAAATCAATTTGAACAGATTTACGTTATCCTTAAAGTAAATGTTTGATTCAGGCAATTTTTTGATTGATTGATTGATTTATTATTTGTTAATATTATTAAGCTTTAGAGTAGAATGTAAATCTTCATACACTCAAATCAATATTATTTGCGGATTTTAATCAATTAATTTATTAAATGCTTAGAATTATAAACTATAATTCTTGCTTATTCAATTTAATTTATTATTGATATTCTTGAGAAGTAGACTATAAAAATGAGTTAGCTAAAAATAGAAGGAAATAAAAACAGACCTCCTTCAGAGATGGAAATCAAAACTCTTATCTTTGGAAAAAAGGGAGATGATTCATTTGAAGATGAGGATAAAAAATAAGTAGAGACACAAAAAGTTTTATAAATATTAGAATCCGATGAAGAAGATAATAGTGGAAGTGGAAGTGGTAAAGAAAGCGGCGAAGGATCTTAAAATAGTGATAAAGAGGAAAAATAAAATGAACAAGCACAAAATGTTGAAGAGTAACAAGAAACTCACTCTTAAAAAAGGGCTAGAAAAAAGCAGTAAAAAAAAGAAGAAAAAAGACAGAGACTAATGGAATTGTTGGAGTTAAATGATGAAGATGATTTTAATATTGGAAATATGGAGAATACTTAAAAGTCCAAAACAGAAACTAATAAAACAAATACAGTAACTGTGACAACAGTAAATGGCTAGCAGAAATTTACTAAATAAGATAAGCTATCTGCAATAGAAAAACTAGATTAAATTGATATGAATGATAAATACAATCAAAAGTTTATGCCAATCTAAGACTTTAAAGGAATCGTTGGTAAACAAACCTTTGATATTCAAGAGATGATCAATAAATAGGCAGATTCTCTCTTTAATTTATTAGTTAATATTTTAAATAACACAATTTTTTTAAAAAGAGGAAAGAGGTTGCACGAACATATTTTGTTTACTAGTTTGGATTATTTTAAACGGGGGTTTTTTTTTTTGTGCAGTAGTTAGTAAAAAATTTAATTAAATGTCTGATTTTAAACAAGTAATTTTCTTTTTAACTCATTAGGCTTCATGCAGGGATAGCCTAATAGACTTTCAAATGGTAATGATTTTAGAGGAGATATATGTGGTGTTGGAATTTTATCAGACAGATAATTCTAATATTTTGCAGCTGCTACTATAGATTTGAAAGTATCTATATGTGTATCTAAATGTCCCTAAACAACTGTAAAAAAAAAATTAATTTGTTTTTTTAAAACTATTTTATCATTTATTTATAATTAGATGAATTTAAAATATTTGAAATACTTTTTGATATTTTACTTGAAGATTTTTTCATAATTTATATGAAATTTTTTATGTTTTATTTGAAGACTTTTTCTAATTTTATTTGAAGCTTTTTAAATATTTTATTTGAAAATTTTTTGAAATAAATTTGCTGGATAGGGATAAAGCATATGTCTTTACAATTTGCAAGGAATTATTTATCCTGATGAATGGCAGACTTTCTGTTATTAGCAGCTTGCATGTGATAATTTAGGAAGATATTGCATGCCGAAAGAACCCTTAAATAGACAGGCAGTAGAAGTTTATCTATCTACAACAAGAAATACAGTCAAGAGACTTTCATCAGATTTAAATTTGGTATAATTTAAAATAAAAAAATATTAATTAAAAATAATAATTTATTAATTGATTAAATATTAATAGACTTTGGATCTAATTTGTATCGGAGCATTTTTGGGAGTTTTGTTAGCATTTGCATTTTAATATGTACTAAGGTATGAAGAAAAAGTACCATATTTGATTTGGGGTTGCATTTGGGGAAGTGTATTTTGCTTTTGCATAATTTCTTATTTGTTTTATGAAGAATATGTTAGAGTAAAATTAAATTCAAAGGCGAAATTTATATTTTTAATAACAATTATTAAAATAAAGCTAATTAAATTCAACTGTTTGCTCGGCATTGATAAACATTCATGTGGCGGTTCTCGTGCATATCTCTTTTATGTATTATTTAATTTTTTATTAAATTAGTTTTTAGAGTATTTTTTTTAAATTAAAGACACTATTTTGGGTAATGCTGATTGTTGCTGGAGTTTACCTGCTTATTGTTATTAATCTTTTTAACAGAATCAACTTAGCTATAGGATTCGTAAAGGCGTCTTCTAGAGTAATAAAAGTTTTAAATCAGCTTACAATAGTACCTTTCTTCTCAGTATTTTTCTAAGTAGCTGCAGGAGCATTAACCGTTATTTCTTGTATTTATGCGATGACTATTGGTTAAGTTGTTTAGGTTCCAACAGCAGCCTCAGGTAAAAAACATATTTTATATCATTTATATATATAATTCATATTTTGTTAAAAAGCAATTCAAAATAATGAGACAAAAGTTATTGAGTATAGCTCATACTCAGTATATTTAATATTGTTTTTGTTTTATATGTTCTTCAATTGGTAACTTTTTGCTCATAATGTTAACAACATGATTACTTCTTTCGCCCTATGTATCTGGTTTTTTGCAAAGAAGAAAGATACTGTTGAAGTAAGTAGTTAGTTAGTTATTAAATAAAGAGTTAAATTATACTTAAAATATTAAGATTCCTCTAAAAATTACACTGAAGAGAATTTTCAGATATCATATAGGAACTGTTTCTCTCTATGTCCTGATGAAACCTATATTTATCATTCCTAAAATGCTTTTAGACCTTGTTATTGCCATATTTAGATAACTACCTTAAGGAAGTTAATTTGTTAGATATATTGAAGGATGCTTTTGTTTTTGTATAAACATTTATAGATCCTTTTTAAGATATATTTCAGTGAATTGCTTTGTCCAAACATGTCTATTTGGAGATGGATATGGAACTGCATCCAAAAAAGCCTATTTCTTAATCAACAGGCATAAAGAAAAACTAAAAGATCTTGATTTCTTAATTAGTAAAATAATATTTTATTTTATTTTCATTGATTTATTTTTCAAGGGTTATTTATTTCTCAAGTTAAAATAAAATTCTGAATTTAAAATGATTAAAAAACATCAATTTTAGAAATATTTTTTGTTAGAAAAATGAAGAAAGATTGAATAAGAATTTTTTTTTACAACTTTAGAATAAAATTCTAATTAATTATCGTAAGTAAATAAGAATTTCTAATAATTAATTCAAAATTAAGGTTTTATGATTTACCAAATTAAACTATGTTGTGCTCTGATTATTGCTGTATTACTTTATATTATAATCAGGACTACATCATATACACCTATTCTCTAGAATGACCTTTCTGAAGTAGAAACACCAATTTTACCTGCTGGTGTTATTTTTATTATTTGCTATTAAATATCTGATGTAAATTAAAAAAAATAAATTTTTAAAGTAGCATTCTTAAATTATTATTATTAATTATGGTAAATAGATTTTCTAAGGTTCTTTTCACATGGCTTGTAAGACTATTATTTAATGTTACTTTATAGACAAAGAAATGTTTGTGGGTGAACAAAGATTCGTTGAAAAATTCATTAGAGATTTTATGGAATTTTATGCTAAAGAAGACTTAAATACATTTAAAATTAAGTCAGAGAAAGCAGCAGCAATTACACAGAAATTGAAAAATAAAGAAATTCTTGAGGCTATTAATAAAAATTACTTTAACGAATTCGAAGGAAAGACTAAACCATTCGGTAATTCATTAAAATATTGAAAATTTTTAAATGAAATTTATAAATTCAATAGAAAAAAAGAAAAAAGATGATGAGGACGAAGATAATAGTGATGATGAAGAGGATAACAGTAAAAATAAAAAATCTGATTCAGACTCTTATATTATTGAGGGAGATGACGATGATGATTCAGATGATTAAAAGGATGACTTTAATATTGGAGGAAATACAACCAAAGTTATTTAAACTTAACCTGTTAGAATTTAATAAAGAAAAAATACTGCAGGCTACAATACAAGTAATATGTACATAAACGATAATGCTTCTTCTGCTAATGGAGATACAGTTGCTTTAAAGAGAATGGATGAAACATCTATGAGAAGCAGTGGTGTTAGCTTCTTTGATGGTAAAACCAAGAATGAAACATAGCATCTAATTAATAATGGCTCAGCGTTTAGTATAAATAATGCTCCAACTCAATAAAGACTAGGAACTGGTAATAGCGAAACGAAGGTTATTGATCTTTCAAGAGGAGGAACAGCTAACAATGGAAGACTTAATTCAGGACCTAGATTGTTTATGGGCAATAAGCTTCCTAAAAATTAGTAGTGAAAGGAAAATAACATAATTCAATTTATTAATTTATTAAAGTTATTAGTTAAATAATATTAAAAATATCTTTTACGAAAATAAGTAAAAAATATATAAATAAATATTTTAAATTAAATTTATTTTACTTATTAAGTATTTTTATCATGAAATAAAGAAATCAAAATATTTATTTATCAATTTTGAAATGAAGACCACAATCTCTTAAAATAAAAAAAGATTTTTTAGAATTTTATTACACATTTTATGTTTATTTTCTAACTAATTTATTTTTTGAAATTTACATAAATTAATTACCAAATATTAATCCATCCAAAAATATTTACTAGATTTAAATATTTATTTTTAAAAAAATAAAGGTTAATCAAATTAAATTTATTCTAATTTGCAAAATTAAAAATATTTAGTTGTAATTTATTCTGAAAAAATTGTTTGTTAAATTAAAAATAATAACTAAAAAGATATTAAAAGATTTTATTGCTTTTGGTAAAAAATGAGGGCTATTTTAGAAAAATTAATTTATTTAACTAAATTTAATTTCTAAATTTTCTTATATTCAATAAGTTATTTATTTATTTACTAAAATTTGATATTGATAAATTTAAAAATGATAATAAATCTATCTTTTTTTCAGGTTAATTTATTTTATTACAAAATATTATAAAATTAAACATATTAAAATATATAATTCCAATATTTAATATTTGTACATCTTTTCACCACTTGCTTATCACTAGAATTTAATTTTAAAGATAACTAATTTTTTTGATTTAAGACACTTACTTTATACTTTCAATTCTTATTATTTTTGATTGATCTAGTTTTAACTTTTATTACAAATTAGAATAATTACTAAAATAATAAAACAGAATAAAATTTTTTAATTAAAAATTATATTTAAAATTAATAGATAAAAAAAATTAGTAAAGTAAATGAAAAAGAAAAATAAATTAAATAAAGAACAAGCAAATTAATTAAAAGAGTTTTATTTTTTTAAATTTATTTTTATATTCAAAAATATCACACACAATCCAAAACAAATAAATTGCTTTTACCGAAGATTAAGTGTCAAATTTGAGAGATTAATGTAATTTGCTAAAGCAGTACATAAGTCTTATGCACCAATTGTGCCAATTTAATTTCCACTATTAAAATTAATGAAAAAAATATTATTAATTAGCTAGTTGAAAATAAAATATTATTTAAATTAAGAAAGAGAGAATAAAAAAAACACAAGTAAAATAAAAAAGAAATAGAAAACTAAATTAAACAAAAAGCTAACAAACCAATTAAAAGAATATAATTAAATTATTTTAAATTCATTTTTATATTAAATGATATCACAATAAAAAACAGATAAACTGCTTTTACCGAAGATTAAGTGCCAATTTTGAGAGATTAGTGCAATTTGCTAAAGCAGAGCATAAGCCTTATGCACCGATTGCTCGAATTTCATTACCACTATTTGAATATTGAAGAAAAAATATGTATTTAATCAGTTAGTTAGAAGGAAAAAATGAAGAAAAAATATGAAATAATAAAGAAATAATTAATTAATTAATAATAAAAGTAAATGTTGAAAATAAAAAATGAGTTAAATTAAGAAAGAGAAAAAAAACACAAATAGTATAAAAAAGAAATAGAAAAATAAATCAAATAAAAAGCCAACAAACAAATTAAATGAATATATGATAGTGTTTTAACTTCATTTTTATATTTAAATATATCACAATCTAATACAAATGAACTATTACCAAAAATCAAGAGCCAAATTTGAGAGATTAGTGCAATTTGCTAAAGCAGAACCTAAGCACAATGCACCGTTTGCACCAATTTCATTGTAACTTATTAAAATATTGAAGAAAAAATATGAATTAATAAGTTAGTTAGAAAGAAAAAATGAAGAAAAAATATGAAATAATAAAAAATGAATTAACTAATAATAAAAGAAAGCAAGCAAAAGTTAAAAATTAAAAATAAATTAAATTAAATTAAGAAAAAAACAAGAAAAAAAAACACAAATAAAATAAAAAATAAATCAAATAAAAAGCCAACAAACAAATTCAAAGAACATAATTATATTGTTTTAAATTTATTTGTATATTAAAAAATATCACAATCCAAAACAAACAAAGTATTTTTACCTAAGATCAAGTGTCAAATTTGAAAGTTTAGTGCAATTTACTAAAAAAGAGCCTAAACCTGATGCACCATCATCAAGAATATCATTGCAACTATTTAAATATAGAAGAAAAAAAATCTACTTTATTAATTAGTTAGAAGAAAAAAATAAAGAAATAAAAATAAATTAATTAATTAATAATAAAAGCAAAAGTTTAAAATAAAAAATGAGTTAAATCATGAAAGATAGAATAAAAAAAAACACAAGTAAAATAAAAAAGAAATAGAAAAATAAATCATATAAAAAACTAACAAACAAATTAAAAGAATAAATAATATATTTTAAATTCATTTTAATATTAAAAAATATCTCAATCCAAAACAAATAAACTGTTTTTACCTAAGATCAATTGCCAAATTTGAGAGGTTAGTGCAATTTGCTAAAGCAGAACCTAAACCTGATGCACCAAGTGCACCAATTTAATTGCCACTATTTAAATATTGAAGTAAATATAAAATTAACTTGTGAGTAAATTAAGAAAGTAGAAGAAAAAAAAATTAAGTAAAATAAATAAGAAAAAGAAAAATGAATAAAATATAAAGCGAGCTAATAAACAATTAAAAGAATAAATTTATATTGCTTTAAATGCATTTTTATATTCAAAAATATCAATATTAAAAACAAATAAACTGTTTATACATAAGTATAAGTGTCAAATTAGAGAGATTAGAGCAATTTACTAAAGAGGAACCTAAACCAGATGTACCAATTGCACCAATTTAATTGCCACTTTTTAAATATTGAAAAAAATATATATTTAATTAATCAGTTAGTTAGAAGATAAAATAAAGAAATAATTTGAAGTAATAAGAAATGAATTAATTAGTAATAAAAACAAAAGTTGAAAATAAAGAATGAGTTGAATTATGAAAGATAGAATAAAAAAAGTACTATTAAAACAAAAAGAAATAGAAAAATCAATCAAACAAAAAGCTAACAAAAAAATTAAAAGAAAATATGTAAATTTATTTATATAGCACTTCTTATTTTAAAAAATATCACAATCCAAAACAAATAAACTGCTTTTACCTAAGGTTAAGTGTCAAATTTTAGAGATTAGTGCAATTTGCTAAAGCAGAATCTAAGTCCGATGCGCCAATTGCATCAATTGATTAGTTGCTTTTGAAAATTTGAAGAATAAATATATAATTAATTATTTAGTTGAGGGAAAAATGAAGAAAAAATATGAAATAATAAAAAAATAATAAATTAATATAAAGCAAAAAGTTTAAAATAAAAAATGAGTAAAATTAAGAAAAATAAAATAAAAAAAAACATAAATTCAATAAAAACGAAAAAGAAATGAAATAAAAAGCTATAAAATAAATTAAAAAAGTTTTATTGTTTTAAATTCATTTTTATAACTAAAAATATCAAAAATCCAAAACAAATATACTATTTATTTTTATCAATTTAAACCTTTAGAAAGAAAAAATATCAAATAATAAAAAGTGAATAATGAATATTAAAAAGTGAATGTTAAAATTAAGTTTAAAAAATCTAAAAAAAGAATTTTTATTAGAAAAAAAATATCATAAATAAATTAAAAGTTAAATATATAAAACATATTAAGAAATAATAATATTTATAAATTAAATATACTTCAGACTAATATGGAGAACCTAATGAGATTAGAGTTAAGAGTTTAAAAACTTTTTTATTTACAAAAATAAATTTAAAGTATATTTTTTAAAAAACAAATAATTACTTCTTCTAATTTGTAGTATTATTTAATCTATTACATCATTTATTTATTTTTATCATAAATATTGAATAGTAAGTAATTAATTGAAATTTAATTAATTATAAATTGAAAAAAAAAGAACAAATTATATGAATTTATAAATTAGCTTTTAGCTAGAGATATCACAAAAAAATTAGTGTAGCATTCATTATTAAATCTTAATATTTCTATCTAAAATATGTGGAAGTTGATAATGGAATTGAGTCTGGACCCTAGATTAGTTTTTTGTCATACATTGCAGCATACACTAAGTTAAAAATAAAGCAAGTATTATAATATCTTAAATATATAATAATATATACTATAAATCCTCAATAATTAAAACCAATCCCTCCTAAATTTTTTACTATTTTGATTATTATTACTAAAAATTTGTTAAAAATGTTTTTTAAAAAGTCTTAAAAAGTAGCCCTCCAAGGAAAATACTTGGAAGGCGAAAAAATAGTAGGCAGAGAGGTTTTTTCTGCCTACTGGTCTAAAAAAGCTCCGATCATTATTAATTCTCTAAAATAATTTTGCATATTTTTAAAATAATTATTTATTTTTATAAAAAGATATTAAATACAACTAATTTTTAATTTGAAAAATAAAAAAATTGAATTACTTTTAAAAATCAACTTCTTAAATTTAAAGTTTTATCGACTAAAAATACAAAACAGAATAAAAATTTGCAGTTTTTTATTAAGAAATTTGCAAAATAAATAAACTTATAAAAAATTTATTTATCATTTGTTCTAATTAAATAGACTGTTTTTGCAAATTTAAAGGTTTTTCAAATAAAATAAATTAATAATATCAAATAAACAATAATAAAATGCTGCAACACGCACAGATACATACAAATAATGAATGTAATGAAAAAAGAATAAAGAGATTATTTGTTAATCTATTTCATTCATAGAATTGAGATTTGAATAAGCAATAGTTTTTTAATACATAGAGATTTTAGTACTGTATTATGTAAATAAAATAAATCAATAAATAAACAAACAAATAACTAACTAAAAATTAATTGTGTATTTGTAAATATTATATTTACTTTGCATTCTTTAAATATTCATATTAAATAGATAGAGAAGAGAAATCAAATATTATAGGAAAATAAATTAAAAAAATCAAAATCCTTCTTTCAGTCAAATTCAAAGTTTCAATTAAATCAATAAATAAATACAAATAAGATAAACATAAGTAGTAAGTAAGTAATGAGCAAAAAAACAGTAGAAAACAAGACTGGTATTCCAGTTAGTACTTTAATTGATGATTTAAAGAGCGAGGATATTCGTAAAAGATAGCTCTCAGTTTAGAATTTAAATGTTATAGCAAGCGCATTAGGACCTGAACGTACCCGTTTGGAACTAATTCCATTCTTGAACGGTAGACATTAATTAATTAATAAATCAATCAATCAGTTTTATTCTAAAAGTGCTGTTAGAATTAACTATACAAAAAGATATATAGATGATAACTGCTTTTATTGATTTCAATTTTTAGGAAATTTTCAAAAAAATATTTTTTGTTGATTTCAAATGTAAAATGTGCTTAAAACATTTTGTTATTTTGTTTTAAGTTAATAGTGATAAAAAAACAGCATGTTAAAATTTCAATTTGAATAACTCATTGACTTTTAAATTAAAAAAAGAGCTGATGGATGATGAAGATGAAATTTTATCTGCCTTAGCTGAAAGCTTATCAAATTTTATTGACTTCGTAGGAGGAAACCAAAATGCTGTCGTTCTCTTTTCAGTGTTAGAATCATTATGCAAAGTTGATGAAAGTTCGGTCAGGAATAAGGTAATTTATTTGGCAATATAGATATTCTAAGCAAAAATTAAGTGCTTAACCTAAATATGTCATTTTTTAAAATATTACTAATATAAATTATAAGGCTGCCCAAACACTAATTTCATTGATCAAAGTTATAGATATTAAAAAGAACGAGGAGCTTCTCCAAAATCTCGTTAAGAGATTAAATGAAAGTGAAAACTATTTAGCTAAGGGTCCTTTGACAATGATTATTCCCTCTTTTTACGGTCAAGTATCATCAAGTTTCCAGTAGGAGTTGAATAAGTAAGTTTCGATTGATTGCATTAGCTTTTAAATCTGATAAATATTATTGATATTAGAATCTATCTCGCAGCTACTCGTGATCAAATTCCTTAAGTCAAGAAGCAAGCTTCTTTAAATTTAAAAGTAGGCAAATATCTTTTAAAATATAATAAATAAAACTTATAATAAAAAATAGGATTTTGTAGCTGTTGCTTGTCCAAAAAGCGATGATGTAGTTTTAAGCATTATAAATTAAAATATCGAAGAAGAATAAGATTTTGTTCGTCTTTATATGGTAGATGCATGTACTAGATATTTAAAAACTGAAGGCACTTAAGTAAAAATGATATAATTTAAATTACAGTCAGCCTAATAAAAAACTTTTAATTAAAATTTAAAATTAGAAAAATCATAGTATTATCCATCAACACCTTAAAAATCTTTCAGAAGACAAATCCTGGAGAATTAAATATTACTTATGTGAAAAGCTTCAAGAGGTAAATGAATAAATAAAGATAAACAGAAAAACAATTAATAGATATAATTTTGTTATTAAAATTCCTTAGGTTACCTAATCTCTTGGTAAGAGTGATTTTAAAAGACTAATTTTTGGAAATTACATTAAGTATCTTGAAGATTAAGAACCAGAAGTAATTAAATGATATTTGAAATAGACAAGGTTTAATATAAAATATAATAATAAATAGTTAAGATCAATCGCAGCTACAAAGCTCTCTGTTGTAGGAGCATAAATTGAGCCTGATGAGGTTGTCCAAAAACTTATTCCTATTGTTAAAACTCTTTCAACTGACACATAAAACTATGTCAGAAGTAAATAATTATAATAAGAGAAAGTTGAATTTATTTAAAACAAATGAATTTAGATTCGCTAGCATAAGGCTTTTTGGGATTGAGTTAGTTTATTGGAAAGAAAAATTCAGTTGATTTAATACTCCCTGTGCTACTTTAACTCTTAAAAGATGAAGATAGCGAAGTTAGAATCAGCTTATTTAAATCACTTAATTAAATTACGAACGTTTTAGGTATTGATACACTCCAACAATCTATCGTTCCTGCTCTTTCTGACCTTGCACAAGATAAAAACTGGAGAATAAGATCTTCTTCTATTGATATTATTTCTTTCTTTGCTAAGGAAATTGTAAGCTTTCTCCTACCATCAATGAGAAATCATAATTAAATATTTATATTTATATTCAAAGGGATCAGACTTTTTAAATGATAAAATTATTAAAATTTTAATGGACTGGCTTTCTGATCGTGTTTATGCAGTCAGGTAAAACTAAATAAAAAATTTGCTAAAAATGAATGAATTAATCAATAAACAAAATTTTTAAATAAATAAATAAAAAGAGAATCTGCAGTCCAATCAGTTAAAAATATTATCCAATCTTTAGGTTGGTAGTGGTCTGAAAAGAATATCATGCCTAAGATATTAGCATTAAAAGACTAAACAAACTATTTACACCGTGAGACTCTGCTCTTCATTTTAATAGTATTTATTAAATTAGTATGAAGGTCATTTATTAATTATTCTTTTTCAATTATAGCAATCTAATAAATAAATCAATTCTGATTACTTAAACAAAAATATTGTCCCTACCTTGATATCTCTTAGCAAAGACCCCGTAGCTAATATCAGATTTAATGTAGCAAAGTGCTTTAAAGCCCTCAGTACTTAAATTAAAGAAAAAGTAACAATATTCATTCATTTATAATTAGCTTAAGGAGGTATTAACTAAATTTAATTCAAAAATTAGGAATAAACTAAAAAAGTTTTAACAAGCTTATGCGAAGATTCAGATATAGATGTTAAATATTTTGCAAAATAAGCATTGGACTCAATGTGAAATACTTTTTGAGCTTAATAATATTTTAATACTCGTCATTTTTGTCTTATTTATTTACTTAAAGACTTACACAAACTCACACCTACACATTTTATATTTCAAGATGATTTCTTTTATCTTAACCCAAGGTAAATCCCTTTTAAAATTAATAATGAGACAAAGCATGAAGAAGAAAGCAATTTAATTATATATAATTTATATTTAGTTAATACTTGTAATAAATCTTTTTACTTATAAATAAATATCTTTATTACAAATAAAAAGTATTCCATTTATTTGCAAACAAAATTAACTCATTCTCAATCAAAAATAGAAAATATTTCAAATGAAAAACTTATTTGTTTTAAAAACAGCTTTATTTTTAAACAATCAATCAATCAATTTATATATTTTATTAATAAAAAAATTGTAAATTTTACTAAAAATATGTGTTTATTTTTAACTAATTCGTATGATTCTATTAGTAAACAGAAAAGCTAATAAAAGAAATCAGCTTTTTCTTTAAATTTTAAATACAGTAACCAATAAAATTCATGAATTTTAAAAATCTTAATTTAAATACAAATAAATAAAATTATAATTTTAAGTGCTTTCAAATTAAGAAAATAAAACTAATTGGCTATTGCGAGAAATAAAAAGTTAAAGAAGAAATACTTAAAATTTAAACCTAAAATTTTAGTTTTAATAAAATTATTTTTCATCTTTTTTTACTTTTTTCTTTATTCTCACTTCTTAATGCAAATAAATAATTTTTATTTTTGAATAAATTTAAAATATTATAGAAAATATAAATTTTAATCCACATTTTATATGATTTATTATGATATATTCCTATATTTACAATATTTGATTTTTCTATTCTCGAATATAAAAAATTATTTCAATTCATCCTTGTTACTTAAATTTTATTTAATCTTTTTTTTAAATATTTGCTTGCTTATTTTCCATTATTTTTTAAAAGGTTATTTATTTATAAAATATTTTTATAATTTTAATGTTGAAATAATTATGTAAAAACTTCAATTAAAATTTTAAAATATTTTTAATACTTTATTTATTTATTTTCTAGATTAATTTATTTGAATATTTTTAAGATTAGTTTATTTAAATATTTTTTTGATTAATTGACTTTACTATTAAAAAATTACTCTAAAATATTAAATTATTTAAGAGCGATTATGTATATGCATTTATTATTTTTACCATAAAAATTATTATTAAGATGTTTAAATAAATGTTCATAAATACTGAAGAGATAATACAACATTTTTGTTTTTAACATAACTATCCAAATATTTATAATAGGTTTTATGACTTAAACTCTTAATATTTTAAATAGAATACTCATTGAAATTTAAGTCAATAAAAATTTTAATTATGGTTGAAATTTTTGCTTTTAAACTGAATAAAAAAAATGTAATTTCTTTGAGTGATATTTAATCAAATATTTTTGAATGATAAAAATTATAGTTAATGACAGCCGCCTTTAAGTTTTTTTATCTAGTAAGCTGTTTATTGTTACAAAATTACATATTAACTTTACTGAAATTTGATTTACTTACAATTAAATATGCAATTCATATAAAATTAGAGAAAAATGTTTAAAATAGAAGGAAATTAATATTTACAAATTTATCAAAAGCTTTTAACTATTAGATATTATAAAGTTTTTAGGTGAAAACATATATAATCTTTTCTCACCTTCAAATATAAATCAAAGAAATAGAGCCTGCTTGTTACATAATTAAATTTTGTTAATATAAATTTTGTACTGTATTATTTTTGTCTAACTGTAATTAAAAGGGTATTTGTTATTAGGGAATAATATGTCCAAAATACTATTATTTATTTTGCTCATTAATGTTATATTAAGAATTTTAGTTGTGATATAGGTGTTGCATATTATATTCGTTTAGATAGCTATTTTACTAATTTTTACTAGAATAAATTTATTATTATTAATTTTATTACAAGTTGGTTTTGAGATTAGGGATATAAGGTTGGTTAAAATAATTATATTGATTTTATTATTAATTGTTAGATAACTAGTTTAAATAAAAGCTAGCTTACTAATTTTCTATTATTTGTTGGTTACTGAAGTTCTGTTTTTGATTAATACTATTTTGTTACATTTAATTAATATAGTTTTGTTAACTTTAATTCAAATTATTTTATAAATTTTATTATTTTTCAAGTAAATCCATATTTAATGGTTAATAGGCTAAAGAATTTATATTTTCTTAGGCATTTATAATTTAATAGCTGCTTTGAGCATTTTGATAGAGATCTTTCTTTTGTTGATGTATTTCGTCAAAGCAGCAGATAGAAGATTAACTTAGGTTTAACATAGGATTGAATGGTTTATCTTATTAAAATTTTGGCGATTCTTTTGATAATAATTTAGTTTGCAAGTCTTCAGTAGATAGTGATATTTTTAAAGGAGTTGAGTCTAGTTAGAGCATTTAAGTCTAAGGAGAAGCAAAAGATGTAATTTAAGTGGATTATAGGGAAATATTTTTTTCTGTTTTCATGTATTTGTTGTTAAGTATGAAGTCTTTTTCTTCGACCTCAAATAGAGACTCTGTGCTTCTCTTTTTCAATTGTGTCTTATTAGCGATTGCCTTTATTTTTTTTGTAAGTAATGGTTCAAATGGAGGGAAGTCTCTTAAATTAATGGTGGTTGTATATTTACAATAATTTTGATTTCCTTACTTTATAAATTCTTTATAAGAATATTCTACCTTAGACCTGTTTTCTTCCAATTAATTTAGGAATTCATCAATCTTGGTTATTTTTTTTAATGCTTTAGAGAACTTAATAATCTGAGTAGAGTTCATATTGAAGATTTTATTATGGTCTTCGATTAACTATGCAACATCTTGAGAAGGATTAACTTGTCTATAGGCTTATTAAAGATAAGAATTCTTTTCAAAAATGCATGAAAGGGCTTAAGTTTTAAATCTGAGGAGTTTTTACTGAATCTATTTATAAAGACATAAATGATTTAGAAGGAATAGACTAAAGAAACATGATAAATTTATCTATTAAAAAGCAATAAAGTAAGTAATTTCTATTGTAATAAATGATGTAAATTAGATTTTTAAAATTTAATTAGTTCTATTATTATTCCATTTAATTGATTGATGCAAATTTAATTCCATTACCGATACATTTTAATTAAAATTGTAATTGCAAAAAAAAATTATGTAACATTATTTTTGAATGTGTAAGTTAAAAATTATAAAAAAGTAAGAAATTTGCATATTTTACTTATTGAATCGTAGGAAGGAGCTAATCTTTAGATGACTTAGAAACTGATAATTAGATTATACAAACAGACTCATTTTAGAAATGTTCATTATTTTATAGAAAATAAGCTGAATAATTACGAAGTATTTACTAAGTTTGAACAACAGTCTCATTCTAATAAATTTATTAATTACATTACATTAATCATTATGATAAAAAGATAAGTTTATGTAAAATAACATTAAAATAATAAAGTTATTTACAAGCTATTCTTTGCACTAAGCGAATATCTTATTGTTGATGTATACTCTAATTATGTTTGGGAATAATTAAGATAATATGAAAGGTGATATTTTTTCATCTTGTTCACTGTTCAACGAATTTAAATATGAATTCAGTTAGTAGAGCTCTTTGATTTCAGATACAATATAATTGTTTTTTAAATCCTGTTTTTGGTTTTAGGAAGATTCATTCTTAGATAAAAGTGTGTCTAAATAACTCGAGGTAAATCTCTTTTTTTAAAATGATTAATTTTGAATAAAATGCATTCAAAAAATAATTTTAATGAATAGAAAACTAAATATTACTTCACTTCTTAATCTTTTACTCTTCTTTCTTGCTTCTACATAAATTGAATCACTAACATAGCTTGCCAATATTGTATTTTAATTTTGATTTTCATATGATTGAGCGTTTTAAAATACTAATACTAGGTAAAAGCTTACACTCTAATTTTATTTTAAATAAAGATTATTAATTGTAAAATGTATTATGTAATTCATGTGCTTTAAATTGATCAGAAATTTATTATTTAGTTTACTCTGTAATAATACTTGAAATTATTGTATTTAATAGTAAATCAACTTTATAGCCGTTCAAATTAAAATAAAGAAATCTAATCTTTATCTCTATCTATCTATTACATTTATTTACTTGAGTTATAAATTAGAAGCAAATATGATGATTGGTTATTTAGGTTTTAAAATAAAATACATTTTAAATTTGTAGGCACATTCAAAAACATTGTTTTAAAACCACTAACTTTCTTTGCTTTGATTAGATAGTAATTTCAAATTGGTTATTTTCATATTTATTTTACATATTAAAAATTTATTTTTGTAAATAAAATTTTACATTCCTTCGTGTTTAATCTTTAACATCAAATTTCAAAATTCAAGAATTCAGTGTTTGAATATAAAATTTTTTTCTCTCTTACTTTAAATTTTCAGGTGAATAATTGATTTTCGCTTATACAAAACTGAGTAATCATTATTCAAAAAATTAAATATTATTAACTTTTTTTATTTTTCTACTTGAGATACTTCAAATAGGTAAATTTTACATTTGTAAATCTATTTTTAACATTATTAACCAAATAGCTCTATTATTTTTTCTCATTAGTAAAACTAGTTGACATATTTATAATTAAAGTATAAGAAATTTCGAAATACTTTCATTCTTATAGAATAAACATTTTTAAAAGGTATTCAAAAAATTGAAATTTAAAATATATATTTTAGATAGATATTTATATAGATTAGTATTTTTAAGGTTTTATTAAAATTTGTAAAAAATGATTAGAAAAAAATTAATACTCTTGAGATAAAGGTAGTCTCTAAAAATTTTATGCCTGAGAAGAAAAGGGGTTTATCGTCTTTGACATCTTATTCCAATTCTCCTGTTAATTCTACTTCTTTAAAAGTATTGTTTTCTAATTATTTAAAGCACCTTATTTTAGCTGAGATCTTAGGTATTTTTGAGGAAATCTAACTGAAAGGAAAGCTTACTTTAATAGTAGGGATTACTAAATTCTTATACCAAAGCTACTATTCACGATTGGCGTCCCATATAAATTACTTTTCTTGGCTTATATTAATCATTGAGCAACCTAAAAACTAGCTCTCCTTTAACTGATACCATTATTTAAGGTTTTGGCATTTTTAAGTTCGTTGATCGACATCAAATTCATCATTTTACCTTAATAAAGTAAATTTTTTTAGAAAATTTAAAATGATATATAACTCTTACTTTTTCAATTCAGCTTTTGAGAGGGTTTTACTTTATTTTCCTTGCTAATTAACGAATGCAAATAAATCATGGCATATAGTCTCAATATTTAAATCAGAAAGAAGTAAGCTAGACATTAATTAGATGGCTGTTTAAGCAATTCTAAAAGATGGAGTTGTTTTATGAGAATTGAATATTGTTCTTAATCTAACTGTAAAGTTATACTTTTATTTTAAATATTTTTATTATTTTATTTGAGTATTTATTCAATTTATTGTTTGAAAAATAAATATAATTCATTTCATTTATTTCCCACTCTCACTAAGATTTTATATTGCTTTAAATTAATATTTTTGATGTCAATTGTAAATCATGTAAAAACAAATTAATTTAATCTGATAAAAAATAAGAAAATCATAAACAGAATTATTATTAGTTACTCAAGAATTTTAGTGATTGTTAGTTAATTAATTAGATTGAACATTATCTTTAATAAATCTTAAAATTTTCTATTTTTCTCTCTTTTAATAAATTGGATTTTCTTTACACTGATTTCTTATTTGATTTACAAATTGTTAATATTAAATGATTTACATAAATAGCACACAAAACTTACAACAAATTCTATACTATTTGGAATAATATTCATGCTGTTTTCCTAAATACTTTAAATTTAAAAAAATGTGAATAACAAAAAAAGTTTACTTTTAACTTAATTCTTTGCCTTGTTGAAGAAATAAATTTATTTTAATATTTTTGTTAATAGAGAATTTCTCTCATTTATTTATTTAATTATATTAAAAATAAAATTTTATTATGAGATAACAGAGTAAGGAGGATGTCGGGAAGAAATTTATGATTTAAAATATAGTCAATTTTTGTTATGGAATATTGTAAATTGAGGTGTATGATTACACAATTATTAACTTACTAAAAATTTGAATAATATATGTGTGGAATTAATTAATTTAAATGAAAACAATCAACGAGTTTAAAATACAATTAACTTATGATAATCTTTCTTTTTATTTGTTTAATTAAATTGCAAAGAAACTTGTTATTTTTCTTGTTTTTTAATTCATTTGCTCTCATTACTTTTATTTTTTTGCTTTTTTTACATTAATTAGTTTTTATGCTAACATCTTTGGTCGATTAATTCGATTTAATGATGAATTAATTTTTAAATTTTTATTACAATCAGATTGGTAGCGTAAATACTTGGTATCAAGATTACTCTACTCAAAAAGTAAAGCTCTTTTTAGTTTTCACAGTATTTGCTACTTTCATTTTATCAGGAAATTGAAATGCGAAAATTAGGAAGAAACTTACATTTGAGTGTTACTGATAAAATCATTTAAACATTTAATTATGTTATACATTACATAAAAGATGTAAATTACTGATGGATATCATTCAATATTTGATTGATAAAGAATGGATCTTAGATTATTTACGTCACTAATTTTTGAATTGTATAAAAAATGACATATATTTTAATTTCAGTTTAACTAGTATTAATTTTATGTAAATTATTCAAAATTATTAATTGTTCAATTTACTGTATATACTTTCATACAAACTCTATTTTAGGATCTCAACTTTTTGTCATTTGTTCGATCTAATCAGATCTATTAAACTTTAATTAAAAAAGGATCATTTTATTATATCTTACAAATTTTAAATTAAAAAATGAAAGGCTAAACAATAAACAAAATTTATCTTACTGTCAATATTTTATGTGAAAATGGTTATGCCTGCTCTGCATTCTATTCTAGATACATAATTTACTGCATTATCTAAAGATTAAGCATTAATGTAAGAATGTTTTTTATCCAAAAAACTGAAAATAGCAATAGCTATCACTATAGTTACTATAGCGTTAAATAATAATTAAACTCCATTCTTACAAAGATTGAAGTAATCTACAATCATACTACAAATTAAAAATACAGAAAATTGTATAATTGTCTGCCATGCTAACTCAGATATTATGTCTGTTGTTGAAATATTGAGTAGTTTTAGGCAGCGCTTAGTGCCACGCTTTACCATATATTAGATTATTTAAATAAACTGATTTTGGCTTACAACTATTTTTTCAGGGTGCATATAGCGATATATTACACCTTAAGAATTGTCATAATACGCTAGAGATTTTACATATGCTATCAATTTATCACGTCTGTAATATTTCTCATCTAAATCTTTAAACAAATATAGGTTATTTAATACTTAGATTTTATTAGTTGCTCAATTAATTAATTTATTATTTTAATAAAAGATGAATTTTACTTTTATCGCGCAAGAAATTTTCTATTAATTAAGGACTTAGTGAGATATTAAATGCGTATTATTGAGTAATATTGCACACCAGCAAGCGCTCCCAGCTATGAGCTAATTGCTCTTTGGTTTTTTTATGAGTGAATAAGAGATTTCTAGGTTTTATAAAGAAATTATATATATTTACAAATTCTATATTTTCTAACAACATTCCAATTACTAATTAAATTTCTTTAAAAAATATGGCATCCAAATTATTTAAATTAATGCATAAAATTTTATTCTAATATAAAAAATAATTGAAAAATAATAAAGTAATTTGAATATCGTCTTGTTTAATTTATAACTTTATTCTCGTTTTAAAGTGGAAAATTAATTTTAAAATTAATTCAATCATAAATCTTCATTAATAAGCGTCAATTTTTTAAAAAATTTTTACTATGAATTAAGGTATTATATTTGTAAATTCAAAAAATAATAAAAATTAAAATAGGTGTTTATTAAGGAAATTTTATGGTGATAGAAATAGTTGGTTTTAATAATAAAAAATCAGAAAAAGAAAAGCTATTATGATGAGTAAGATAAATTATTAATTTTTTGTTAATTTTTTATTTTATAATTTTTAGCTTGGTATTTTTGATATTTGAAATTTATTCAATAATTTATTCATCAAAAATTGTTATAGTAAGTGCTATAAAAAATTAGCGACTTTATAAGATTATTTGCCTGTTTTATTTTTAGCATAAGATCTTTTCGATTACTTATTAAACTTTTCTTTACAATAAATAAATATACTTATGCAGAGGTTTTTCTTAATTATAATTTATTCAATAAAACAGATTAATTTATGGTAAAGAATGCTCTATTTCAAGTAATTGATTAAGTATGAAAACATTTACAATATTTTAATAATATTAATAAATTCTTTATTCACGTGCTTTGTAAGCTAAATTTAATGTAATATTTGCAAATACACTATCCAAAAGATGTAAACTATCTATTTTTATTTTAAAAACCAAAAGCAACAATATTTTTTTTATTTACTTTACTTAAATCAAAAAATAAACATATATCAAAATTTAAATAGTCTATTTAATTATTATTAACTAATATCATTTAAAATAAAACCACTTAAAAAATTAAAAATCTTTTCCTCAAAAATTTTGCTAAACTGTGAAAGTTAATCAGAACTTTAAAGCAAAAAAAGAGATTAATTAAGTGATTGACTTATTTTACTCTAAAAAAAAATAATAATGACTTTAATTACTTTTATTTTATTTTATGCTTTCCACCTTTTGAAAAATTTAATAAAAATGTTGTATTTAAGAATGTTTTTTATTTTGTGTTCTTTTTTCTATAAATAAATAATGTAATAAATAGATAGGATGGCTAATGGGTGGAAAATTTTGATTTAAAATTATAAGTTAAATTATTTTAGATATTTTCAAGAATATTAATTAATTAATTACCTCTATCTTAAGAAGAGAACTCCTATCAGAGTGATCAAAAATATTGCAAATAGTAGTCCTTACTCTAAATAAACAAATGACGAAATAGTCAAGATAAAAAGAGTTAAGAAGAAAAAGAAGGTGTTAAATGCTATGAGTGACCACAGTAAAACTTTAAATGCCACTTAATATGATAATCTGAAGTAAAATCCAAAAGTTCTGTTAGAATAAGGAGCTTGTGATATTTTATGTTTATCAACTTCGTCTACTCCTGCATAGTTTTAATTCTAGTTTTTATATAAGCCATTTATTAGATTTTATTGACTCATATTTAGACCTGAGCTTGAGAATCTCTTATCCTCTGCTACAAAAAGAGAATTCTACTATATATTATCTTTATTACTTTGAATTAAGCTGAAATCAGGTAAAAATTCTTAAAAAGTTAGCTTGAAATAACTTAAATAATAGTTGTTTTTATCAAGTCGAGGTTTGATAAAGTAAACAAGAGCATCTGTAGCACATATAAATATGAATGTGAATGTGATAGCAAAAACTGTATAAGGCAAACCTGAAGAACAAAATATTGTGAAAAAGCTATGGAAGTTTTACTAATAATAAATGTTCTAGGAGTATTAGTATTAGAAATAAGCATTTGAATAGGCATACTGAGCAAATATGATGGGAGCACAAAGAAGTATAGGTAAATTCAGTAGGAAGAGTATGTACAAATACTAAATTATTTATTCGATGATTGTGAAAGCATTGACTTTGTTGAGTTTGTAGCTATGTTTAATCAGATAGTGCTTATACTTAATCAAATTTTCTGAAAAATTATTATCTAGGATTGCTTCATAACTAACTTTAGGGGCCATATTAATAACATAGAATAGATTTTCCATTAATCCAATATAAATTTTATATCTTCCAGTGGCAGAATATGCTCTTAAGTAATCTCCATCCAAAGCATACATATACTTTTATAAAATTGAATTCAATTCCTGATTAGGAGTGACAACTTCTTCTTTGCAGTAGAGAGCGTAGCAGTAAATTGCATAATACTCTTTGAATTTTTAAAATGTCAAGTCATCACAGTATTCAGCAGGGTTTATTCTTTTCTTAGAATCTAATTTGGGAATCTTTGCAAAAAGGAGCTCACAAAAGCATTCTATTGTGCTTTTCTTTGTTTATACTTAACGTTAAATAAAATTGACCCAATTAGCAAATGTAGGATAGTACTCGTACTTTTGGATGATGCTTAAAACTTTTGGATTTATATTTCTTGGATCCTAATCATAAATTTGAGCATTTATTTAATTAGCTTAACCAAAATTACTTGAGGATTAGAACAAATTTGATTGATAAAATTAATTTGATCCATATTTCTGAGTTTATCTTAAAGAAAATGCTTTCGCTTATTGTTACTGATATTTAGACGATTTTAAATAGACTATGTTTTGAATTAAAGTAGTGTCATACTGGTTGCTTATGTTAATAATCGACATATATTACCACAGCTCATATAATAAATTTACAAAATTTGAGGAGTACTAACTATATACAATACTATCAAATAGTATATTTATCATTTTAAAGTTTACAAGAAAACCTGAAATTACAAATTCAGATTTCAGTTTTTGGAGCTCTTTTGTTACCCTAGTATAAACGTTAAGAGTTTTCATATTTTCATGAATTGTTTCTAAATAAACAGACACTTTTTATTAGTCATTAATTTCAATTTAATCAAAAATTTGAGGGCAAATTTGCTTGCATTTAATATAGAACTAACTAAACTAGTCTAGCATTGCATCTAAGCTATTTGCCTCTAGAGTTAACTGCTCTTAGTCTTCTGAGTTTACTATTCTTCCTGCAAGTTTTCCTTTGTATCCTTATAAGTAGCATTTTAAGAAGCCCATGCTTTGATTAAGAAGCGCAAGTTTCAACTATCCATGATTATTCTCAATATTAATCTTCTACTCTGCAAAAATTTGAAATACTTTATGATTAAATGTAGGCTAAAATTCATTTATTAATTACTAAATCTTGTAGATAAATTCTATGATTTTATCATCGCTAGGTGTTTATTAGTTACTAATTAAGTACTCATTAACTATAGCGATTTATTTTATTAAATCTTGTATTACTTATTAGTCAACACACAAAATGCAATAATTAACAGTAAGTGGAATATATCTAGAAATATCATTATTAAACAAGACATTTATTGGCTGAGAAATTAAATTTATCAATAAAGGACCAATGTCATTTTGCTAATCTTCTTTTTTAATTTCATTATAATTCATTAATATAGAATTATTCATCACTCTTGTAATTAAGATAAAGGTTTAATCAAAGTAATACTAATAACTAATCAAAAGAGTATTGACTTCTGATTAATATAAATTTTAAGTATACTAATACTAACTGTTTAGTTAGTTATGTTAAGAATACTATAGTGATTGCTACTAAACCATCAAATTATTGTTATCTTACTAATTTAAATTCTGTAAAGGAGCATCTTAGGCTTTGTATTTGCCAAATAAATTCATTGTCATGTAAATCCACATCTCAAATGCATTCATTTTCAATTAATTTCTATGTTTTTCTATTAATCTGTAAAAATATATGTGCATAGCAACAGATCCTATGGCACTTAAAATTAAAATGGTCACTCCAAATGCTATCATTACTGATTTTAATTTAATAAAATACAATTAAATTTAATTTTATTAGCTATAATCAATTCATTTAATCATACATAAATTTTAATATATTAATTTTTAGAGCTACTTTCATAAAAAAATAGATTTAATTATATTATTTAATTTTATTATTAAATCTATTGAATAAGAATTAAAAATATATTTACCTGTATAAATTATATCTTCATTTTAATATGTTTTTCCTTCATAGCGAATAGAAATATCATCTATTCCATAAGAATAGAGCTGGTTGTAAACTAATTTATACACAGATTCATAGAATTATGTTTATTCATATGAGCTATTATGAAACAGACTGTAGCCGTAAGAGTAATTATTATAAGTATAATTTTCTTTTAAATAGGGATATTACCCTGTTGTAAAGTTTTTATATGTGTATTCTTGAATTTCTTTTGATAAGTAATAAGGGCATTTAGCAGGAGTAAATAGCAAATCATAATTTAAGACTTCATAATTCAAAGTGTTGAAAGTTAATGTTGATACCCACCATGGAGGAATAAATAGATATTCGAAATTGTAAGATGTCTTTTTTAATTTAAACATATTATAAAATAGTTAAAAGAATTATGAGTTTTATTAAATAATTAATTAATTAATTACACTGATTTTATTTGTTTCATTGAATAATCCTGTTCTTCCATCAAAATATAAGTTAATGATTAAATGAGATACATCCTTAGGTTTTTTATCTTTTAATTAAGAGTCTAAAAAACTTAATGAGCTCTCTGAGAGGTTCATGGTATTGTTTAGATACAAAGAATTCATAATAGGAGGAGCATAAATATTATATGAATCAATAACATTGATAAATATGTTTCCTTCTGAGCTGCTTATAGTAATATTCTATGCTTATTGTAGTTCTTAAATAGATTATTAGGAGATGCTATTCAATAATAAAACATTTCTTAATGCAGTGCAGCGCTTTAATTCGTTTTGATCTGGATATTCACCATCAAATTATTGTTAAGAAAACTATTTTGAGGATTTCTAATTATTTGAGTGCTGATGTTGAATCTATTTTTTTAAGTCGTTTGAAACTGTTTATTTAGAGTGCTAAAATAGTGCTTTTAATTATTAAAATAAAATTAATATTTTTAAAAGAATAATAGATCTTAAATACAGCCAATGCAATCAGTTTCATTCAGCTCAACAAATTATTTGTCTAGACTTAATATCTAATAATAATTTTATAAATCATCTGCTGAGACCATTAGAGGGGCAGTGGCACATATAAATTTATCTATAGTGTATGTGTTTAATAGAATATTTTGCCTTGTTTCTATTACAACATCTCCTCTGAAAGTATTAATATGTGATGAATTGTATGATTAAAGGTCTTAAACATAAAAAGAGCCTAAATGCGAATTGTATGCAAGTTCCTTTTACATAAAAATAATAAATAAATTAAGAATTATTTTTTAAATTCTTTCAAAATATTTTAATTAATGATTAATTCCTTACTCCAGTTATTATTTGATTTGCGCGAACTTATAGATTATAGCCATTAAGAATCAGTCTCTCAGATGTTAAATAATTTGATTATAAGTAAAAAACACACTTATCATGTCCAATACAGTTGACTTGGATTTAACTAAATGTTTAATTCCTAGTTAAGTAATTTTAATTTACATAGAGAGTGATTAAGCAATTAGAAAAAATATTATTTTATTCTAAATCTATTTATTCATTGCTAAAACATTCATATTCTATTCTAAAAGGATCTGAGTAATCATGAGAGAACTTCTCATCCAATATCTTAAGCTAAGACTCCTTCATGTTAATCGTTATATTTTTTTTATGGTCATTTTCACTGTTTGTGTATAAAAATGAGTTAGCTTAGAGCTGGTTTATTCTTTTATGAGCAATAATCTTTCCATCTTGATAATGTGGTTAATTGACTTCTAGACAAAATAAAACCATCATTGCTATCCAGAATGACCCTACTAAAATATATAAGAAACTATACTGTTAAAAAAATAAATTTCTTATCTTTTCTTGGATTGATTTTCTTTTAGGGACATTGCCTATTCCATGATCCTAGACTATTTAATAATTCTAACTATTTAATTGATTGTTTTCGTAAATCGATGTTTAGTTTTTTTGGATTACTCCAAATTCATCACGCTTGTGGAATTATGATAGCTACCCCAATTCACGAACTCGATCAACTGGATGTTCGTAAAATTTATCGTTCATATCCTATTACAAAGATGAATATATTTGTTAGCTAACTTATATTAGGTGATGATGTCAATCCTTAAAGTGTTTCAAACTTAAAAACTTTGCCCTTAAAATATTATCTATTTAAGTATATTGTATTTATTAATGTATATGGTTTTAGATTATTTTTAAATAATAAAACTTTCTTTCGCGTTTTTAATTAATTAATTATCTCAATACCAATAAATTTTATTTTTTTAATTACTTTGTATTTTAAGGGTATTTATTTAACTAAATTTAAAATATCTTTTGCAAAATAAAAATTATTTAAAAACGTTTACTTATTTAGTAGATCTTCATTTTATTTTTTCATTATTTTACTCTATTATTTAAACAAATTATTCTAAACTCTAACAAATAACATCTTACAATGATTGATAATAAATTGATTTTAGATATGGTTTTCTTTATTTTTGTTTTATAAAAATACACTTTAATTTTAAATATTAGAATATGTTACATATTTTTTAATAAACCATAAATTATCATATTAAAACCTATTCGTTTCTTAGATTTCCTAAAAAAAGCTAAAATCTTATTTAGGAAGTTCTTTTCCATTTTTAAATTAGATTATAATATTTATTTTAAGAAAAAATATTTAATTTAGTAAGAACTTTTGATTTATTTTAAAAATTAAAAAAATTATTTCATTTGTGTTCAAAAAATTTTGATTGTTAAAAAAAATATAAAAAATATTTTTGTAAAATAAGTAAAAATTAATTTGAACATTTTCACAATTTAAAAAAATTATAATTAAATTATTTATTTATTTATTTAAAAAAATTCTAAATTTATAATATAAAGATATTTTCTCATTTATATTTAATAAAATAAATGTTTTTTAGAATTAATAAAAAATTTAAGTGATATGAATTTTTAAACCATAATAATTTGGTCAAATATCTTTTAAAAGTAAAATGACAAATAAGTAAATAAATAAATAATTATTTAGTTTAAAATTAATCTGAATAACTAACTTATTAGTGCACATTTTAAGCAATAGTAGATGAATCTAAATTACAAACAATATAAGCAGGTTTTATTACATGATAGGCATAGATTGGCTATCATGATTAACTTATAAACTTACAATCAATATTAAATTAGTAAAGTAGATTGGAACTATATATTTTATAAAAAGTAAATTATTCTTAAATATCTTACTTTTGATAATAATAGTATTTAAAAATAGATTTACTGACTTAAATTATGAAGCCTCATTATAAAAAACAATAAAGAAAGTATCTGACTATTGATTGGTAAGGAATAATATCTTTTAAAGCTTTAATTAAATGTATTTATAGTCTAGAAAACTATCAAATACAAGATAAAATTTTAAATAAAGATAAATTATTTATTTCACTATAAAATGCAGTATTGCAATTAATAGGAAACTGGCTAAAATAATGTTTTATCAAGGTGTCATTTAAGATAATTGCAAATTTAAAGTTATTAATAATTTTTGTCTTTCAATCAACTTATTAAGACTATTATTATTTAAATTTTAATTTATTCAAGTAAAATAACGCTTTTTTTCTTGGTTAATTTTAAAAACCTTTTAATTTAAGTTGATTAAAAAAAATTCGATATATTTTGTGGTTTATAATTCAAAATAGAACATTTAATAAAATAAAAATATTTTGTTAAAATTGTTTTATGTTAAAATTCATTCATTAAATAAAATTTATTTACAATAATTCTTCGATTACTCGTTTATTAATGAGTTATGCTGTTTGAGCAAATAATGAGGAGTATGGGCAATAAGAAATCAAATACATTCAGCAAAAATTAAATTTTTTTTATCTTTTCAACTTTGATAAAATAATATTTTTTTAGATTTGATAAGCAAATGAAATACAGCTCTTCAGATTCAGATTTTAAATCTATCAGCTTTGTTTTTCTAAATTTAGAAACCAAATCGTTCTCTACAGGAACTCTAAATAATTTATAGTGAAAAAAATTTAGAATTTTCCTTTACCAAAAATTTAACATCTTTCAGTTTACAATATTTGTAGTTAATAATTAATAAATAATTACTTTTTGATTTTGGATTTATAAAATTTGAAATAGAAATATTTATAAATTAAAAGATGAAATAACAAATAAGAAACAAGAGAATATAAACAAATGATAAAAAAGAATATTTATTTTTTAAAATATAAATAATTTATTAAAATTTATTTAAAAGCCAAAATATTTTGAAAGAAAAAAATAATATTGTAATTCAAAAAAGATTTTTTTAAAATTATATTTTTATAATTAAGCTGATGTTTAGTTTTTTAGATTAAATTAAAAAAAGATTTTATTTATTTAATTACTAAATTATCAATAAAATAAATTATATTTTTCGGAAAAATATTTTTTAAATTAAATAAAAAAAATATTAATAAATTATAAAATGAAAACATTTGATTTGTTTTACAAAATTTAAGAAAAAGTTAACTGCAGCAAAAGCAGAAACGATTATATTAAATAGATTGATTACCTTCAAGAATAGAAAGCTGATAAAATATAAGCCTTCAGAAAAGAGTGTGAAAGTGAAAATATTGTTTTTGTTATTTATATTATATTTTGATCATTAATTAACAAATAGCTTATAAGATTTGATTATTTTTTATTTATTTTAAAAGGAGAATTCAATATTTTAAACAAAAAGAAAATTTTCATCAAAAATATTAAATTATTTTTAAGTATAGCAATCGAAAAAAAGTATTCAAGAATCCTAATTTTTAATAGCAAAGAAATCGATTATTCATAAATGGACTTCATCAATTAATTAATTGGCGGCCGCGGTGGCGGTGGTAATTATAATCAATAATACTACGCCTATAATAATAGAAAGCCTTAGTATTCAGATCATTTGGAAGTTTATCCAGCTTATATGCTAGAAAGACATGATTTAGAAAAGGGAAATAAGATTTTGTTGCCACCTTCTGTTTTAAATACTCTTTCAGCATCTAACTTACCCTATCCTATGATTTTTTGTGTATAAAATACCTATTTAAATAAGCAGACATATGTAGGTGTGTTGGAATTTATAGCTCCTGAAGGTACTTGCTACATTCCATTTTGGATGTTTTAGATGTTATAATGCTTTGATGGGTAATAAATTTAGGTAACTCTTGTCACTGATGTAAAAAAAGGAAAATTCGTAAAAATTTAGCCACACGAAACTGCCTTTATAGATTTACCTGATCCTAGAGCTATCCTTGAAAAAGAATTAAGAAACTATACAGTTTTGCATTAAGGAGATACAATTCACATAGAATTTATGAAATAGCATTTTTAGATTGATATTTTAGAAGTAAAACCTGCTAATGATTATAATGCAATTTGTGTCGTTGATGCAGAAATCGAAGTAGATTTCGCTAAGCCTTTGGTATTTATTTGAATTTCTTATTAAATAATGTGCTTTTAGATTTTTAAACAAATGCATAAAAGCAATAATAGAAAAAAAGAAAGTTAATTTTAAATAAATTTTTTTATTTTTAATAAAGGATTATGTAGAGCATCCCTTGCCAACTATGACCAAAAAGGAATCAAGTGTTGTCATGGGTGAAGAAAATTAGCCTAAATAGGAGAAAAATCCTTTCAGTGGAAAGGCTACTAGAATAGATGGTAAAGCTATTGATTAAAAGAAGTTAAAAATGAAAGAAGAAGTAAAGGAAGATTACGATCCTAGAAAGCATAGACTACCTAACGGTGTTAGAAGAAAAATACTTAATAACGAATTCGTTGGTAAATCAACTGTTATTGGAAAGTCTATGTCTACTATGAATAAAAAAAAATGATTATTAAAAAAAGATTTTAATTGTAGAAAGTACCTTAGATTAATCAAATAATAATATCGAATTAAACTTTAAATAAGCAAAATATATATAAATACTTTCGCTAATTTATCTATATAAATAACATGCATTATACTTAACTATAGTTGTTAACTAGGTTCCAATATGTCATTTTACAATATAAATCAAATAAATTTATTTTCTATGGCAATTCATCAAACTAAGTTTTAAAATATTTTTGTAACACAAAATAAATTAAGTTTTTAAATCAAAATATTTATTTTTAATATAAATTTGAATTTTAAAATAACTAAAATAATATCAAAAAGTAAGCTGTTTGATAGAATTCATTAAATATATATTAATATTTTTTATCTATAAAGATAAATTTATAATATGAGAATTGTTATAATTCATAAATATATGATTAAATTCGAAAAATTTTGATTTTTTTAATACTTTTAAAACATGTTTTCTTAAAAAAAATAAATTAAATTGATTTTTTATGCAATGAAACAATGAGAAAAATTTCTTTTTGCTACAATAAATTTGACACATTAAATAATAAATACTATTTGTTTACAAATCTGCAAAAATTTTTAATAAGCTTACTCGTAGCCTATTAAATTTTAATTTATGTATAAAAGCTAAATGCTCATTAGCTATCTAAAGAAAAGTCGTTTAATTCTTCTTATTTATGATATATTTATCTGACTTCACTAAATTATTAGTCGTGGTGGCTGGTGTTTGAGTTAGCATTACTACTGCTATTAGTTTCTCTACAATTTTAGAAATCTTCAATATATTAATCATTTACTTATAGACCATAAAAGAGCTCACTATCTATATTTATTTTTGTTTTTCTGTTTGCAGAAGAGTTAAATGCTTTTGAAAAAACTACTTTTTCAGGTTCTTCCTTTGTAGAAGCTTAAAGCATTGAGTCATTATTTATGTTATTATGTAATAATTTAACACGACATTATTCCTCTTCATCATCCTCGGCTTCTTCGTTTTACTCTTCTATTTGCTCTAAATAATCATCCTGTTCTTCTCTCCTTGCCTCATCCTCCATTATTTTTAATGTTAATGGATTTAATAGCTCTGGATCATGAAATTTTCCACTCCAAAGATCATAAACTTCTGCTCTTTTTTGAGCAAACAGAAGAACAAATAAATAAATTAACGGATATGTAAAGCAAGCAAATGGCCATGTATGAATATTCCAAATTGTAGCAAGCACCCATAAAATTGAACCTAAAAACAATCCAGAAAATCCTAAGATAGCATAAACTTAAGAATTTCTACTTTTGTCAAACCTATGTAAGTACTATAAAAAAAATCCAGGTAAAACTATGCTTGTTATTGCTATCCAGGCACACTTTTTATCTAAAATATGTTTAAATGACGGTATTTACAGCTCGAAAGGGTAGTTGGCTTTTGCCAATATCAGAGAATCATAACTTTGAGACTAGCTATAATGGATTAAAATAGCTGTAACTGTGTCATAAAGTAGTGTTATTCCCATAAAAATGGCTGCACTTTTCATAGATGTAATTTTAAAAAATTTAATAGTGCAACTCATAATTGCTACAGACAAAATATCATTCATAAACCAAGGCTTCTTTATAAAGTACCAAGAAGAAACACAAGCTAAACTAAAGATTGCTCCTATAAAATCAACTCCTCTGACTTTTGAGATAAATGGCTAAAAGAAAAATATTTAAACAGACTTTTTAGATCTGGTAGAATTTAATGTTCTACACCTAAATAAAATAAGACCAAAAACCTCACACATAAAAAAGTAACAGCAAAAAATGGAAATAGCACTGATTATAATGTCAAATAGAAGAACACTTGTAGAATCATAATATTTTACCAACAGCACAATGAGAGTTAAAATTATACTGTAAACTATTCCCCACCACCACTCAATTTTATAACCACAAAACGAAGTTTTAAAAGCGTAAATCTATCCAAATCTAGCGAAAAAATAAATCATAATACAAGCAAGTGAAATCAAAACAAGCAGAACCCAATCAAATTTTGTAGGTTTATAATTACTATCTAAAATAGCAGTATATATTACGTTTAGATGATAGCTTGGGCTGCTAAATACAAAATCTAAGCTAGCTTACACCCAATAGTTATTTTCATCAAATTTAGTAGGAAATTAAACTACCTAAAGTATTTTAACACTTTGATTAGGTTAGATAGTTATGCTTTAGTTAATTTATGCATTATACTATTAGTTTTATTTATTATCTGAAGGATTTATCCATTAAAGTGAAAAATAAACATCATTAGATTGGCTTTAATAAAAAGAAGCAGATTATAAATCTATTGGATCAGATCCTACATTCTTTATTAAAATATAATTTTGTTAGCTTGGGCTGTATTCAATTTATTTGTAAGAATCAGGCGAACACGAGCATGCTAATAAGCTATCCTATGAAAATTTTCTGCTCTAGCCTTTAGACTAGTTATAAATAACGCTCTCTTAATTTTAATTATTGGTTATTGATATTTCTACAGGTATACATCTAACCGTAACGAGCAAAAGATAAATTATAAATATAATAGAGAAATTGCGTATTTGTTCTTGATGCTTCATATTTAAAGTTATCACTTTTATTTCAATAAATGATTAAATATCTTTAACTTTCCAAAAAAAATTAAATTAATAATAATTGATATTACTCTTCAAGATATGAATAATTGTAATTAATCATTTATAAGATTTTAATTAAGTCTTAGAATTTAGCAAATAATTATTAGGCTAATCAAAAAAATTATCAAAAACTGATTAAATTAGGCATTCAAAAAAAGTTCGCTCTAATCTTTAAAAATTGGTTTTTACTTATTTTCGAATACAATTATTTTGATATAGAAAAAAAACTATGTTTGTTTGGATTCTCAAGTTGTTGTAAGAAAAGAAATTTATTTGATAACTTATGAAATGAAAATATTCTAAAATAAAATAATTAATTTTTACTGTAAAATGTAATTAAATCATTATTTTAAAATAGTTTAAGCATCAATTAAATTATTTTTACTTTTTAGTGAAGTAAGTAGTTTAATTTAAAGATATTTACTTTTAAAAATTAAAAAACAGCTAAAAATAATAATAAAAAAACTAGAAAAAATTTATTTCAAATCGAATTTTTTGAATTATTTCTTATTTTACACAATTTAAAAATTTTATTTTTTGAATTATTTCTTATTTTACACAATTTAAAAATTTTATTTTTTGAATTATTTATACAGCTAAATTTATTAATTTATTTATTTAAATTAATTTTTAGAAATGATAATTTTTAAATGCAATAAAGAAACAAAAATAATAAATAAATATTGTTTAAATAATCAGCCAAGCTAGAAGTGAGTGTGGAAAGGATCGTTAAAAGCTTTCTTTTTTCTACAACCGGTTATTGTGTCTGCTTTTACTTATTCGTTTGTATAGGTGGTTCTGTATAGATTGTCTTTTTTCTCAGGAAACTTTTTAGGTAAACCCTTATCTGGAATAATATCATATTCTTCTTACTTAAAATATAAAGATTGTTAAATAATTTTGATTTAGATAATATCTTTATTAAAAAATTAATTACACAATGTAATGCGTTCTCAACACTATGAGGTTATATCTTTTAGAAATAGTACTCTGTCAAATTACTCTTTTAAATTATAAATTATAATTCATATCTTCAAATAAGTTTGGCATAAATTTATTACATTGTTGTACATTTCAGGTGTTGTTTCTTGAAGTCTTACTTTATATGAATCTGGATTAGGTACTTTCTCTGGTTATCTTTCAACTTTACCATAAATACTTCCTGGTAAGTTAGTAATTTAGCTTTTTTGTTAGAGAGATGCAATACCTCTATTCTAAACATTTTAAGATGATTAATTTTAATTATGCTAAATAAATTAATTACTCTTTCTTCAACTGGACCAAGCAGTTTTTATTCATCTCCTTCTCTATACTTTCAAGTATATAAAATGGTTAAATAATTAATTTAAATTTTAAAAACATTTTACAGCTTATCCAGGAAGTGTTTTAATTTGTGAATAATAATTTAAATCAGATTAAGGATAATAACTTTTCCTTTTTTAAATTATTTTATGTTAATTGAGATATTTTAGGTAAAAAATTAAAATTTAATTTATCTTTAATAATAATCTCTCGTTTTTTTTATTAAGAATCTTTGAATATAACTTACTTTTAACACATTTTTACATAATCGTCATGACAGCTTTGTCTTTGTTAAATATTATGAATTTATCTCTAAGGCTAGTATTAATCTACATCTTAGCGAGTCAATTAATTTATGATACCTCCTGTATTATTTTGATTTGCTATTTATTCAGGAAACACCCTTTTTTAAAAATGCACTACTTCATTTTCTGTCTACATTCATTTAAAAAACAATAATGTTTAAATTTCATCTTCTTCACATAATATCTTTTAATTCTTTTGAAAAGCATCATAAATAATTTATATTAGAATATAATTACTCCTTATTCTGGAAAAATGTTCGATTAACCTCTTTTAAATTCGTCAATCATTCTTTATCTATATTATGTTTGCTTATTAGGATCTGAACATACTTAAAAATCCTATGTTTTTTAAATTAGCTTATCCCAGTTTCCCTCTGTATTTTGTTGCTAATCCAATCTTTTTACAGAACCTTTGATTTCCTATGGTATTTGTTTCCCTCTGCGTTGATGAGGGAAATCTCTGGGAATATTAGAAAAGTATTGAGACATAGAAATGCGAAGTGCGTGCTATTCCAAAGTATTTTCTATTTTATTTTATGTTTATTTTATTAATAAAAGTACACACTTAAAGATTTATATTACTAATAATACTTGAATGAAATAAATCATATTTCAATTATAAATTTTGAATTTTATAACAAAATCAGTAATACAACTAAATAAATACACAAAAAAACAAACAAATTAATATTTTAAAATTCATTATTAACAAATATTTTCTGTTTAAAAAATTAAAATGATTAAAAAAATAAATTTTTATCAAAAAATATTTTATTTAAAATTAACAAAAAGCCCAATAATCCAAATAAAATTTTTGGTCTTAAAACCATTTTCAAAATCTATAAAAATATAATAAATAGTGATAATAATCTCATAGAAATTAAAACAAATTATAAAATAAATCAATTTTAATGTTTTCAATTCTCAATATAAGAATGTGCATTTATACTTCTTTCTGATTAACTATGTTACTCATTTTCATAAAAATTAAAAGTAGGAAATCTGTCCTTGGTTTTTCCAGTATACAAATTATCCTTTTCGTTCATTATATACCCAACATTGCTCATTTGCTTTTAGTCTATTTCTCTTATCTGGTTCATAAACCCTTTTAAATCGAATCTCTCATGCATAACTTATTTTACATATCCTTCATTCTTTTGTGAATTTTGGAAAGCTAATTCCCTTTCAACTTCTTTAATACTAATTTTTTTTATTTAAATTAATTAAAATAATCACTAAAAAATCTTACTGGATTTTATTTAATTTGCTTTCAGGAGACCTAAAAGTAACATCTTAATTTTATTGAGTTCTTTAGCTAGATAAAAATTAATTTTGAGGTGACCTAAATCCAAACTAATTTGTTGCAGAAGACTTATTTGGTGAAATAAACGAGGATAAAGAAGGAGCTAAAGTTAATGAATTAGGAGGAGAATTTACCAATCCTTTAACAAAATTACTTCTTAGGTTTCTGAGAGTATCTTATAGTTATGTTACTTCTCTTTTTTCTGAAAGAACTTATTCTTACTTTCTTCTAATATTTTTCTCTTAATCCTACAATTCCTATTCCTTTTAAATTAATTTCATTCTTTCTAAATCGAAGTTTGCCTTAAACTCTCTTATTCCTTAGTTTTCTGCTTCTATTTTATCAGCCAATACCCTGAGACCTTACTTTTCGGAATCAAAATTTGCCTTTTCAGTTGCTACCTATCTGAAATATTAATTTGATTACTATTCTTATTATTTGAGCTCATACTCTCTTAACTCTAATAATTTAGTCTTTTAAAGAATTATCTATTCTTACTTTAGTAAGTCAATATGCTTCTGTTCAATCTCTTTAATTTGCTATTATTACTTATACTCCATTTTAGTTTAACTTCTTTATAGCTCCATTTTTGTTTATTCAAAAATATTCACTTTCAATTCAAATTCTTTATACATTCTCTCATACTCCTCTTTTAGCTTTATTCTTTATTAAAATTTAATTATTAGTTAATTATTAAAGATAAAATATAAAAAATAAAAAAAGTTTTATTTATTAATAAATTAATTTTTTACCTTTCTTCTTGTATTTCTAATCTTTCAGTTTCCATTTTATTTCTTTCATGAGCTATTTCCCTTTTCTTTTCAGCATCTATTTCTTTAATTTAATCTTGCAATTCATTCAATCTTGTGTATTCTGTCCTAATCATAGCTTTTTCTTTATCTAAGTAACCTCTTTAGCTCTCTTCAGTTTACTAAATATCTGATTTTAATTTGTCTAATCTTCTCTTTTCAGAATCTATAAATTCTTATTCTAATTTTAATCTAGATTCTAAATCCTTTAAATATTTTTGCTTTTCCTAAACTTCATTATTTAATTTTTACATGTCTATTTAATTTCTTTCTTAAGTAGTCTCAATCCTGTTAAATATAAATTAATATGTTACAAATTATATTTCTAGTATTTAAACTATTAGTTTAATGTAAATACTTATTTAATTTTAGTTTATTCAAAAAAATTATTTTATTTTATTGAATTTTATTAAATCCAAAAATTTTCAGATGTAATATGTTTGGATTTAATTTTGAAAATAAGAAATTAAGATATATTTAAAAGTTTCTAATTTTAATAAAACATATTTACTAATAAGATATTGAATTTAGCTTTTCTGAATTTTATTTAAGTTACTCTGCTAATCCAATAATTTCAGCTTACTACTGAAGTTATTTTTTGAGCGATTCACTTTAAATTTAGTGAGACATGATAATTTAAGCTTTTTCTTTTTCAAATGAGTTTTTAAGACTCTCAACTTCTATATCAAATAGCTATCTTTATCTTTCTCTATCTTTTATGATCAATTCTTTCATTTCATCTTGTAGTTGTTAATTGCGATCTTTTTCAAACTTTAAAAGCTACTCATAGTTTTCTTTAATTGATTTAATTTAATCCTCATAATTTACTTTTAACTTTTTCATATCTTCATCATGCTCTTTTGTTATTTAAATTCTCATATTCTTTCTTTCTTCTTCCATTTGCTTAAGTAACTTTAATGATATTTCTTCTTAATTTTATTTTTAAAATTATTTTGGATCTGCAGGTGTTTTTTCTGATCCATAGTTGCTATTAATTTAATTTTATTAAAAGTTAGTTTCACTCATTTTCAAATCTGGGATATCACTAAGAGGACCCTAATTTTATTATGAATTCTAAAAAAAAGCTGAATGAGGCTGTATCTATCCCGAGTTTTTATTATCAGCAGATTAAGGTGCAGCTCCGCCTCTCATATAACTGCTTCTTCTACTAAATTTATTTATATCTAAGTTATTATTTTCATCAAATTGCTAAGGTCCTTCTTTAGTTTCACTTCCTCCATATAAATCTTTATCACTTATATAAGAAGACTCATTCTTATTTCCTTAACTACGATTATACTTTTACTAAGTACCAACACTTTCGTTGAGTATATTATTGTTGTTACTATTTATATTACTTTGAAATGGGTCATCGGGAGATTTCATTAATCTTGGGTACACTTGAGATTTAGGAGCTTATGACTGAATTACAGAAGGATTAATATTGTTCATAGTATTATTCATTGAGCCAGGTTAACTTTGATTTTCTTTTTAACTAGTTCTAGGTCTCTTTGAAGCAGCTAATCTTGAAGCAGAAGAAGGGTTATAGTCACATCCTTCAAGGGCATCTTCTAAATCGTTTTATTAGGTTATTTTCTTAGAGTTTCCCTATCAAATATTAATTAAGTTTATATTAATTTTTATTATTACTTTCATAAAACATTTACTATTTGTGATCCTTTTTCAGAGCCTTGATCCTTTTTTAAATAAATAAATTATTATTTTATATAGTTAAGTAAATAAGCAAATAAGTTACCTAACTTTTTACTCTAGAATGAGTAGGATTAGCATCAAATATTCCTCCAGCGAAAGGGTATTACTACTTTTATTGGCTACCTACTCCAAACGACATACCTTTACCAAAAGGATTTTTGTTTTAATCTTCTTCCTCTTCTAAAACGGAGAGGATGTTGTCATCATCTTTACCTCTTGACCTAGTACTTGGGTACTTGATAGTTATAGTAAAATTTAAATTGTTTTTATTAAAAAAATATTTACTCCTTATTCTTAAATCTTCTTGTTGAAAGGTTGCATTGGATCTTTGCTACCAATTATTTAACTTGTTGTAACAAACATACTCCCTGAAGGAATAGGTGGCTTAAATGAAGAACCAATAATACTCATTCTTTAATTATCATCATCAATCATACTTTTAACTTGAGTCTCCGCTCTTCTAGGATTTCTCCTAGAAAAGGGCATATCCAAATCTAAATCATCATTTTTATTTTCAAAATTTAAATGATCTTAACTTCTTTTAAAGTCGTGTTATTGAGATTGTTATTAAGATCCCATCCTGAGGAAATTATCTTCGTTCTTAGAATAAGTTGTTTAAATAGTCATTCCTGTCATACCCATTTAAGATTTCTTTTAAAAGTCATCATCGATGTCATCATTTAGATCTTAAAAATAATTCACTTAAGATTAGTTGTATTATCCTTGCATATTCTTTTAGGAAATGCCTGAACTTGGTTTGAAGTTAGACTTATTGTCAAGATTACCAAGTAACTCATCAAATTCATTATTATCTTTCCTAGTCTTAGTAAAATCTACAGTTGTATTTGATCTAACATCCATTTTTCTATCAAATTTTTGCAATGTACTTGATTTTTGTCTTTATTCCCCTCCAAAAAAATCATTATTATCTTCAAAGAATTGAATATCATCATCTCCTCCTGCTGCTTATTAAAAACCCCTATCTCTTTGAGCTAAAGTACTTGTACTAGGTTTCTAACTTTATGGCCTTGCCTAATTTCTGTTAATTATAACTTATCTTCTTTTATCTATAAAATTGCTAATACCATCTCCAACTATTAATCAATTTAATCTTTAGAGAGGTTTAAAATGAACAACAAATAATTACGCCTTATTATCCAGTTTCAACATGTCTTCGAGATCTTTTGTATATTAATAATAGATAATCTATATAAATCTGATTCCAAACAATCTTCATTATTAAGAATAAATTACCTTCAAAGAAAACATTATCTAAATTTTTCATTTTACTGTAAACTATTTTTAAAATCTTCTTCCTATATTCGTATATGAATAACTAACTATCTTAAGTTTTAGAAAAATTTCAGTAAATTTTAATCAAATTAATGATATAAATATTTAAAACAAAACAACTTACAAACAAAATTTATTTATTTATAAATAAGATGAAAAAAAAGAATTAATATTGCAAAAAATAAAGATTCTTAGGGATTAATAATTAATTATATGAATATCTTTAAATAGCATTTAATTTTACTAATAAATTCAAAATTGTAGTATCTTTATTATTTTTGTTACTTTATTTTTATTAAATAAATCTTCAATTTAAAAAAATTTGTTAAAACATACTTAAAATTCGTTAATTTTTATTTTAATGGTATTATTTTTTTTTTAACATTTTATTAAAAAAATTTAAATGAGATATACATAAAGTTATATTTTATTTTTGATAAAAAAAATAATTTAGTTATTAAAGAAATATTTGATTTGATAAGTTCAAACAAAAATAAGGTTCATAAAAATCTTATACTTTATTCAAAATAGTCTTAATTATCAATGGATACAATTTTTAATAAATTAATTTTTTTTGATTAGTTTAAATGATACATGATAAAGTGTATAGATAATAAACTATTTTAAATTTTAAATAGATTTTACAGTTTTTTGCTTAGAATCCAATATAACTTTTTTATAATTAAAACTTAGTAATAAATCTGTATTATGACATTTCTTAATTTGATAACATTCAACTTATTTATAGAAATGAAAATTCTATTAAATCATTAAATATTTAATTTAATTTGAATAAATATTTTCAACTTTAAACAATCTCTTTCTCAATAATAGTTTAAATTTTATTAATGGCTTCTGTATTGAATTTAGTTGTAATAAAATATAAAATTATTTAAATAAGTTTAGCTTAATTTAATAATCTAAACTTTTGTTTATTATTTAAATCTATTTTAGAATGTATAAACAATCTAAAGTTTTTGTATCCTAAATATTTAGGTGATAAATAAATTGAAGTAGTAACATGTGATTATTTATATATGTGATTGATGCATGCATTTTGAGGATTTCAAAAAACTTATGGTGAAGAATAAATAAATAAATATCAGAAATAAAAATATTTATTTGATTTTGAATTTTTTTTATTATTCAAATAAATATAACGATGGAGAAGTCGATAATAATAATTTGAATTTTTAATCGCGCAAGGAGGTCCACTTATTTATTATTAATCTGAGATTAGCTTTTTTACTAATTTTTTAATTTTAATTTTTGGGTTTAACTAAAGAAAATCATCAATAATTTATTGTAGGGGTGGTTTGGAAAATCTTTATTATTATCCATAAAACAAAAAAGATAATATTTAATAGAAATTTAATTATTTTTGCTCATTTAATTTCAAAAATTAAAGGATAAGTAATTAAATTAGGAGAGAAATAAATAAAAGCATCTTTATCTATTAAGTTTACTTAGTATTTATTTCATAAAATATCAAACAAGCTTAGATCTCAAGTACGACTAGCTACTACTCAAACACAGAATAGAATTAAGTTTATAAGAAAAAAATAATAGCTATATTAAAACAATCAAAGAAAATTAGGTAAAAATGAATAATTCTTTTCGCAGAAGAGGTTCTTCTGTTTCTAGGAATACATCATAATAAAGTATGACATCATCCTAGCAATAAAGAATGAATTCTTAAAGAGATTTCAATGGTGAAGAATAAGACTAGTATTAGGATATGGATTAACAATAGTACTATAGCGAGAATCCTCAATAACAACAATATAATTAACATGACAATAACTAATACTATAGCAATGGAAATTCTAATAAGAATGATTATTCATAATAGCAGCAATAGTTTTAGTCTTAGTAAGCAAAGATGAGTTAAGCAAAGTAAATGCTTGTAAATAGATTATTTCAAAAGGTCTAAGTAGGAAATTTAAATTAAATTGTAAGGTATAGAGGTAATTCTTAAGATACTTCTATGACACCTAAAATTGTTATTGATAATTGGAAATAATAACAACTTGGTAATCCTAAACCAAAAGATATTCTTCCTCCTATAGTCAAAGCAGGTGCTTAAACTACAAAGGGAAATAACCAGGAAGATGGAAATAATCTTAGCATGACAATTAATGAATTAGTTAGACCAACATCAAAACAAATTTCAAAAAGTTTTCGTTTACAGGCTTTGGGTACAAAACGTGCAAACTCAATAGGATAAAAGAATAATTTAAACAATAGTAGCAATAATATTCCCGCATCAAATTTATAACCACCATTAAACAACAACGCTATTAATTTATATGATAATAGCTTTTCTTTAATGCTGCCACCATCTAGAAATATCATTTCAAGGGATAAAAATAAAAAGCGTATGATATAAGGATTGAACTAAACAATGATGGATCAAACATCTTTTAATTAAATTGAAGAAGTATAAGACAATTATCAATAAGATGGGTCTTTTTATGGTGGAGCACCTTTTAATGTTTCTTATAAAATAAAACCAGTGAAGATATTGATGGATGAGATGATTGGAACTAACAACACTTCATTAGAGTATTATCAAACTCAATAAATGAAAAAGGTATTTTAAAGCTAAGCTTCTAAATCTGTCCTTAGAGATGACGATACAATTGGTCCTGATCAATCTCAATACAATGCAGTAAATATTTTATTAATAATTTTTTAAACAATAGCATTTTTAAAATTTGGCATATTTTTGCATATTTATTAAACATAATTTTGAATTTTGCCCAAATAAATAAATAAATAAATAAGTATGAATGAAATTAACATTAAATGATGATAAATCAAATATAATTTTAAATAGATTATTTATAAATATATGTTCTCTTTGTTTAAAATATTTGAAATTTTATTATTTGTTGTATTTAGAAGTAAATAAATAAATTAATTAATTAATAGGATTCTTCTGGAAATCAGATCGAAAAGGGATTATATAAGTAAGCTAGTGATACAAATATTATTGAGAATAACGGAGAAACTTTCCTATCAAGAGATATAGATAGCTTCATATAAGCAGTAAGAGAAAGCAAGGTTCCTTTGAGTTAATTTATTTATCTAGTAAAAATCCAATAAAACTCAAATGATGCATATAATATGAAAGTAATTTTTAAAATGTTAATTTTTAACTATTAGCTAAATTTGTAATATTTAAAAAGGTTGTTAAGTATCATGAACTGAAAAAAAATAACATAAACGATTACTACACTTTGAGTTCTTAAGGTGTTACTAGATTTGAAAATAATAAGCCATCAGATTTTGTGCATTTAAGTGATTGGCTTAAAGAGAGAGACTAGTTCAACGAAATAAAGTCTTTGAAATTTTTTTAGAAATTTAGAAAATGGAAAACTTTAAAGAAATGGTGTAAAATAATTTATCAATAGCGTCACAAATAACTTGGAGATATTCTCAACGAAAAATTATTTATTTTAAAACCTATTTATTAAAAATTACTTCTAAATCACCGTGCTTTATGCTATGATATAGAAAAACTGAGATTTGTCGATGTGTAAGGAAGCGATACCTTAACATTACAAGAATTTTAAGATTTATAGTAAAATCAAAGAAGCGATGTAGCTTCTAAATTGGAGACTTTCTCTTAAAAGTTGCATGATAATTGTAGAAAAGGAATCAAAGAAGAAATAGATCAACTTCGTCTTAAAATTCTAAAAGCAAAATCTAACGAAGAAGAACAAATGAGAGAATAAGTAATTCATATTAATAAAAACAAATATTTTATTTAAGAAAATTACATTTTTTAATTTCACAATAAAATTTGAAAAATGATTTTTGAAAAGACTGTTTGTTTTAAATTTATTTTCAATTATCATTTTTTTGATTAATTTATTTTTCATTTTTTTCAATGAATTAATGTCAAATAAAAAAATTTTTAAAAAAGGCTCATGAAGTATCGATTAAGAATCAAGTTATGGATGAGAAGAAACAAATATGGGAAAGCTTAGGTTTTCCTTAGGATATGAATTACGGCTAAAGAAGTATGATGAGAAATGAATTTGTTAGATTCTTAAGATTAGCTTATTTGCTTGATTTTGTAGCAATTTAGAGTCTAGGAAATGTTTATATTAACTCAGCAACTGACTTTTTATCAAAAATCAAAGAAACAGCTGATTGCGCTACTTAAAATATGGTAATAAATAGAATTAAAGTTATTTAATATTAAAAAATTATTATTTTTATTTAGATTCTTGAAAGTGATCCTGATAAATTGTACTAAGAATTTGATCCTATGTTTAAGATTGATTTTAAATTAAAATATGACTTGAAGAATATCAATTAGAATTTAGTTGTTTAGACATAACAATATAGAGCTGCTAACTTGAAAAAAAATTTGGATGATTTTGATTTAGAGAAATTTTCTGAATTTACTAAAGAAATTACAAATGAAGAGGAGCAATAACAGTAGCAATAAGAAAATGTACAATTTAAATAAATCATATTTTTTATTTAAATATTTAATTTTTGATTAATTAAAATTTAGAAAACAACTTTACAAGTTGATGAAGAGTTAGACGATGATGACATTAAAGTGAAAAGAGAAGCTGTAAACATTCATACTTCATGGTTATAAGTTTTGCCAAGTAGGAAAGAGTTTTTAGATACTATTTAACACATATTCTCAGAAGGATTAGATTGCATTTAAGTAAACATTTAGCTTTTGAGGAAAATCATATTTATCCTAAAAAATAATAAATTAGAACATCGAAAGATGGAGCAAACATTAGTAGTTTTTGATTTATGTCAAAGGTCTAGAAGAATGGGACGAAATTATTGGTGAAAAATGGACCAAACCAGAAAGCTACTCTTTAAATCCTACAACCTGGATTAAAGAGAGTATGCAACAAAATTCTTTTATGGAAGACTGCTTCAAAGTTATTGAGTCTTCTTTTAAGCGTATCGAAAAATTCTAAGAAGAATTCAAGCCTTATTTCAATATGTTTTGGAGAGAAATTAATTGCAATATTAGTATTTTAGAAAATCCTAGATTACTAAGATAATAGGTAAATTTTACAAATATTATTTTTAATATTATATTTATATTTTCATATTATTCATAAAGAAAACATTCTCATTAGCTTTAAAATGCTATTAAGACAACACAGAAATTTTCAATATTAAATTCATTCAGTAAGCTAATCTCGGGCTATTTAAAGCTATTACAACCGATTTAGCTAAATAAATTATCCCTGATCATACAAAGAGAGTGCATGAATTGGAGACAGTTTTACTCAAAATATATAGAGAAAGATCGTAAAAAGTTAGACAGTGGCTAGAATAGGCCCAGGGCGCTTTAAGTGGAGGTGTTACTGAAATCGAGTAGTTTGTTGAAAGGAAAAATGCTTTAGATAGAATTTACAAAGAGCAATCAGGTAAAAAAGATGAATTGATGAATCTCGATTTACTTCTTGGATTGCTCAAATCGAAGTAAGTGCAAGAGTTACAAAAAGCAGATACAGACTTACTGCTAAAGCTTAATGACTTAGACTCAAAGCTAAACACAGCATTAAATAATGCAGAAACTTAAACTACCTAGGATATTGATAAATAAAAATTAAAGCTGCAAGATAAAATTAAAATGCTTAAAGAAAAAGCTGTTGAGCTGCTTGAAGAATCTTAGAATAAAAAATATTTGGAAATGACTGTCGATCAGAAATTAAGAGAAGCATATGTCAAAGAATTAATTGACATTGATTAGAGAATTAAAATGTAAGAAGATAATATGAATAAATACATCTAATATGAAGAAATTCTTGCAGTTTAAGAAACAGCAAATTACGAAACACTTCTAAGCGCTAGAGAATAACTCAATTTAAGATTGAGTATGTGGAAAGGTATTCTAGAATTTGATGCACTGTAAAAAGATTGGGAAAATCTTCCTTTTGCCTCAATTAATGCTAAATAGATTGCTTCTTAAACTGAGTAGTACATACGTATCGTTAATAGGTAAACAAATTTAAAAAAAATTTTTTCTTTATTATTATTATTTAAGGAGTAAATAAAAATTGATTTATTTGTATTTTTAAATATATTATAGATGTAAGAAGAACCTTCCTGAAAATAAAGTAATTGACCATTTAATGAACATGGTTTGGAAGTACAAAGATACTATGCCTGTTGTAACAGCCTTAAGAAGTGAATACTTAACCGAAGACCATTGGAGAGATATTAAAGCAATATTAAAAAGTGACTTTAGCATTGAAGATGCCGATTTTACTCTTAAGAAGTTACTTGCTCTATAGGTTGATAAGCACTAAGAAGATATAATGGACATATCAGTTCGTGCAGCTCAAGAAGAGAGTTTAAGATAGCAAATCGACTAAGTTGAAAAGAGATGGGAAGAAGTAGAATTACACTTAAAATAATACAAGGATTCTAATGATTTATGGGTTTTAGCAGATGTAGATGAACTAATTTAAGAATTTGATGAAGGTTTGGCAACAATTAATAACATTCTTGCTAGTAGATATGTCAGACCTCTAAGAGCTAGGGCAGAAAAAATGTAATAAAGTTTATTGTTGCTTTCAGATATTGTTGATAAATGGGTTGAATATCAAAGAAAATGGATGTATTTAGAAAATATTTTTAGTGCACCAGATATTAAAAAGAATTTGCCTTAAGAATCTCACTAATTCGATGTGTGTGACAAATTCTTAAGATAACTTATGAAAAAAACATCTATGAATCGTAAAATAATTAAACTTATCAAGTGGCCTGGTACTACTTTAAACGAAAATCTCGGTAAAAACTGTGAGGCTTTAGATGTTATTGAGAGATAGTTAGAAGATTATCTTGAATTGAAGAGATAGTCTTTCCCACGTTTCTACTTCTTATCAAATGATGAATTGCTAGAAATTTTGGCAAAGGTAAATAATTATTTCAAAAAATAATTTTATTTATATTTTTAAACATATTTATTTATATTTATAGGCTAGCAAGCTTGAAGAAGTTGAACCTCACTTGGGTAAGTGTTTTGAAGGATTAGTTAAGTTATATATGGGACCTGATAAAACTACTTCAAATAGTAATTTAATATATGGTATGATATCACCTGAAGGTGAAGTTGTAGAATTTTCCAAGTATGTTTAAGCCAAAAGTAATGTAGAAGTTTGGCTTGATTATCTGCAAAAAGAAATGTTTGAATGTATCAAAAAGAAAATGAGAGAAGGTTTACAAGAATATATGGATGGCAAGAAGAAACGTAATGAGTGGATTTTAACAAACAAAGGCTAAGTAGTGGCTACAATTAGTCAAATTTTATGGTGTTTAAATACCCAAGATTATTTAATTTTTGATCCTAACAATACTGAAAAAGGTAATTACACTTTTTTCTTCAAATGAGTTCAATTCATTTAATAAATCAACTAAACATTTTTTTTTCTTAAAATAAAATTTTATTGAAATAAAACAAAAATTATTTTTAAAATGTTTATTCTTTATTTAAAAAGGTAATATGTGGGAATGGTATGAAGTCTGTGTTGGATAGCTCTAACAATTAACTGCTTTAGTTAGAGGGGACTTATCAAGTTTACATAGAAAGATTATTGTTGCTCTTATTACAACTGATGTGCATAATAGAGATATTGTAGAAAGATTAGCTAATTTAAGCATAGAAAGTGTAACTGACTTTAATTGGTAATAATAATTAAGATATTATTGGGACGAAAGACAAGATGATTGTGTGATCAATCAAGTTACAGCCAAAATAACATACGGTTACGAATATTTAGGTGCTACATCACGTCTAGTTATTACTCCTCTTACAGATAGGTAAGCAATTTATTATTTATTTGTTAAAGATATTTATTTTTATATAATTGAAAATAGGTGCTGGATCACTATTACCTCTGCTCTAGAAAACAAATTAGGTGCTGCTCCTGCTGGACCTGCTGGTACAGGAAAAACTGAATCCACAAAAGATTTAGCTAAAAGTTTAGGTAGATTATGTATTGTCTTTAACTGTTCTGATTAAATCACAGCTGCTATGATGAATAAGCTTTATTCAGGATTAGTTTAATAAGGTATTTTTATTGAATAATATAATTATTTATTTTTAATGTTAATTTGTGTGTTTTAGGTGCTTGGGCATGTTTGGATGAATTCAATCGTATTGATATTGAAGTACTTTCAGTTATTGCTTAGTAGTTGCTTACAATTCGTATAGCTTTGTTAGCAGAAAAGGAGAAATTTGAATTTGAAGGTATCGAAATACCTTTAAAGAACACTTATGGTGTATTTATTACTATGAATCCTGGTTATGCTGGTAGAACTGAGTTACCTGATAATTTAAAATCACTTTTCCGTCCTGTAAGTATGATGATTCCAGATTATGCTATGATTGCAGAAATTATGCTTTTTGCTGAAGGTTTTGAAAATGCACAAACACTTTCAAAGAAAATGGTCTAGCTTTATAAGTTAAGTTCCGAATAGCTTTCACAGTAAGATCACTATGATTTTGGTATGAGAGCAGTCAAATCCCTACTAGTTATGGCAGGTTCTCTCAAGAGAGCAGAAAGCAAACTTAGTGAAGACATCGTTCTAATTAGAGCCATGAGAGACTCAAATGTTCCTAAATTCTTGAAGGATGATTTACCTCTTTTCTCTGCTCTTGTGTAGGATCTTTTCCCAGGTGCAGAAATTCCAGAAGTCCAATATGGTAAAATTTCTTATATTGCTATTAAATTTATTTAAACAAAAATAAAAAATATATAGGTAATCTTGAGTTTGTGATTCATTAATGCTTAAAATCAAGTGGACTTTAAGTGGTTGACACATTTGTGACTAAAATTATTCAGTTATTTGATACTATGAATGTACGTTTTGGTGTTATGCTTGTTGGCCCTACAGGTAGTGGTAAAACTGAGTGCTATAAGAATTTGGCAAAAACAATGAGCACTTTAAGAAAGTAAAATGATCCAGATTAAAGGTATTAATATGTAGATTATCATGTTTTAAATCCTAAGTGTATTACTATGGGTGAGCTATACGGTGAAGTAGATGTGTTCACATAGGAATGGATGGATGGCTTGGCTTCTTCCATAATCAGAAATGTAAATACTCCAGGTCTTGATGGAACTTGGGATCCTCGCCATAGAGATTGGATTGTTTTTGATGGTCCAGTTGATGCTCTTTGGATTGAAAATATGAATACTGTATTGGATGATAACATGACTCTTTGCTTAGCTAATTCAGAACGTATTAAATTGAGGTAAAAAAAATTTTTTTTATATTTAAAATTAACCTCAAATTGATATAAAAGATAAGAATTAAGAATGGTCTTTGAAGTTTAAGATTTGGCTGTAGCTTCACCTGCTACAGTCAGTAGATGTGGTATGGTCTATTTATGCCACGAAGATCTAGGCTGGATGCCTTATGTTAAGACTTGGACTTAAAACTACATTAACACAACCAGTAAAGAAGAAGCTGTTAATCATGGAAAGATTTATATGAGTAGGAATTGTCTTGACGGATTAATTAATATGTTTAATAACACTTTTGATTAAACTTCTAAATTTACAAGAAACTTTTATGAGCCTTTCCCTACAATTCAAATACAATAGGCTAATAATATGTGCAATATCCTACAAGTTCTGTTAAAAACTTTAATAACAAGTGATTCAGATGAGGAAATACTAAAAAGAATCAATTACATGTATGTCTTCTCATTGATTTGGGGTGTTTGTGGCTCAGTTAGTCAAAAGCATTACGATACCGTATGTTTGTTTTTTTTCAAATTTTTTTTTCATTTTATTTTTACTTTTTGAATATAAAATATTTGATTTAACTAAATATTAAATAAACAAATTAATTTAGTTGGACGTATATTTTAAGGATACATTCTAATAGCTAAGATTCCCTAAGTGTGAAACTATTTTCGACTTCACTGTTGAAACTAATTAATAGAAAAATTTCGTCCCTTGGGAAGTAAAGCCAGAAGATTTTGCTTATTCTAGAGACACTCCTTACTTTAATTTGCTAGTTCCTACTGTTGATACCAAAAAGATTACTCATATATTAGAAAAGCTGATATATATACAGAAACCTTGTCTTTTTACAGGTGATACTGGTGTTGGAAAGTCTGTTATTGTTCAAAATTTCTTATATAACGCTAAAAATAAAGATGTTAAATCAGAAAAAGCTACCATTAATGGTATTTTCTTAAACTTTTCAGCATAAACTAATCCAAAACAGACACAACTTGCTATTGAATCGAAGCTTAATAAAAAGGGTAAAACTCTATTTGGTGCACGTCCAAACGAAAGAATTGCAATCTTTATTGATGACGTTAACATGCCTGCATTAGAATCATATGGTGCATAACCTTGTATTGAATTGCTGAGATAACTCGCTGATAAAGGAGGCTTTTATGATAGATAGAAGCTTTTCTGGAAAAATATTGAAGATACCACCTTAATATGTGCAGGTGCTCCTCCAGGTATTAATCAATATTTTTATTGATTCAAAAATTTATTTTTAAATTTAATCCAAATTTAATGAATTTATCAATTAATTAATTAGGTGGTGGTCGTAACCCTCTTACTCCTAGATTTGTAAGGCATTTCAATGTATTCTGCTTGCCTTAGCCTTCAAATTCTACTATGGAATAAATTTTTGGCTCAATTATGAAAGGTTTCACGAGCAGCTATAATTTCTCTGAAGGTGTGAAAAAATCTCATGAGGCAGTGGTAAAATCAACAATAGATATCTACAACATCATTTGCAAAGATTTGTTGCCCATTCCTTCTAAATTCCACTATATATTTAACTTAAGAGATGTTTCTAAAGTATTCTAGGGAATACTATAAGTCAGACCTTAATCAGTTAATAGTTTAGAATCTCTTACTAAACTTTGGATTCATGAAACTTCCCGTGTTTTTGCTGACAGGCTTGTTAATGATGTAAAATAAACTTATTTACAATTTCTCGTTAGAGATAAATAAATAAATAAAAAATTAGGAGGACAGAGGTTGGTTCAAAAACTAAATCACTAGTATGGTTTCAAGATATTTTAATTTATCGTGGTCATAAGAAGAAATATTTACTGTACCTTTCTTATTTTCTGATATCTTAAAGTTAGATCTCGGATAAAATATATATGAAGAAATTACTGATAGACCAAAAGTTATCAAAAACCTTGAAGAAAAGTTAGAAGATTACAACCTTTCATCAAATGATAAAATGAATCTCGTTTTCTTTGATGATGCTATGGAACATATTGTAAGAATTTCTCGTATTCTCAGACAGCCAAGGTAACTTATTATTTCTATATTAGACTTTATAAAGCTTGATTCTTTTTATTTATTTATTTCAAAAAAACAATTAAAAATTTATTTTGTAATATAAAAAAATATAAAAGAGGTAATGCTATGCTTATTGGAGTTGGAGGAAGTGGCAAGTAAAGCTTATCAAAGTTATCTAGTTTTGTAATGAAATGTGAAGTATTTTAGATAGAACTTGTAAAAAACTACAACTCTTAATCATTTAGAGAAGATTTGATGAAAATCATGAACAGATCTGGTGTGGAAGGCATTCCTACCTCGTTTATCTTTACAGATGTTTAAATCTCAAGTGAGAGCTTTTTAGAAGATATAAATAATTTGCTTAATACAGGAGAAGTTCCTAATTTATATGCAAAGAAAGAAGATTTAGATAATGTAATTAACAATATTAGAACAGTTGCTGTTAAATTAAAAAGACCTGATTCTCCTGAGTCTTTATGGAGTTTCTTTGTTGAAAGAGTTAGAGAAAATTTACATATAATTTTATGCATGTCTCCAGTAGGTGAAGCTTTGAGAGTAAGATGCAGAAAATTCCCTTCATTAGTAAATTGCTGTACTCTTGATTGGTTCCCTCCTTGGCCTAAAGAAGCCCTACTATCAGTTGCCCAGCGTTTCTTAGGTCAAGTAGAATTACCAAGTCTTAACATTAGAGATTCTTTAACCGAAATGTGCATGAGAGTTGCAGTCGATGTTTCTCAATAATGTGATTTATTTTATAAAGTAATAATTAATTTTGATAAATCTTATTAAATTTAAAATTGATAAATTAAACTTAAATGCATTTTTAAATTAGGAACTAAGAAGAAGGATTTATACAACTCCTAAAAGTTATTTAGATTAAATTAAGTTATATTGTAAATTGTTAACCAAGAAGAGAGAAGAAATGTTATCAGTTAAAAAGAAATTGTCAGATGGTTTAGAAAAGCTCTAAACTACAAATGATATTGTTGCTCAACTTAAAGTTGAAATGGAAGCACTATAACCTTAACTTGAAGAGCAATAAATTAAAACTGATTAATTTATTTAATAACTTTCTATTGATTCTGCTGAAGCAGGAGAGAAAGAATTAGCAGTCTCAATAGAAGCTGAAAAAGTAAATGAGCAAGCTCAAGAAATCAAAGTTATTTCTGATGAAGCTCAGACTGAATTAAATAAGGCTCTTCCTGATCTTTAAAAAGCCGAGGAAGCACTGAAAAGTATTAACAAAGCAGATATAGATTAAGTCAGAACCTATAAAAAACCTCCTGAGATTGTATAAATGGTTTTAGAATGTGTTTTATGTTTGCTTGGTGAAAAGAATGACTGGGAAAGAGCACTAAAGGTATTGATTTATTTATTTATTTTTTATATCAAAAAATTATTAATTTTAGAATAACTTTTTCTTTTTTTAAAAATTTATTTTAATTTATTGATGAATATTTTATTTTTTTAAATTTCATTTCTTTCACTAGCTTTTTTGTAAAATTTATTTAAATGAAATAATTAATATTTAGGTTTTACAAGACAACTTTATTGAAAGATTATAGAAATATGATAAAGATAGTATAGTAGAGAAAAATTTGAATAAGGCTAGAGTTTATTTTAAAAAACCAGAATGGGATCCTGTAAATATTTAGAAGGCTTCTTCTGCTTGTAGCTCTATTGCAAAGTGGTGTAATGCTATGGATAATTATTCTAAGGTGGCTAAAAATGTCAATCCACTCAAAGAAAAGGTTAGAGATTTATAATCTAAATTAGATGTTAAAAATAATGAACTAAAACTCAAAATGAATGAACTACAAAAAGTGAAAGATAAAGTATAAAAATTACAAGAAGAATGTGACAAGACAGTATAGATCAAAAAGCAACTTGAAGAAGAATTAGAGAGAACTAAGAATCGTTTAATTGCTGCTGAAAAACTTTAAGATTTATTGGCTGATGAAGGAGTAAGATGGAAAAATTAAATTGCAACTATTGATGTTACTATTTAGTAGCTTATTGGTAGTGTTTTCTTGGCTTCTGCATCTATAAATTATTTGGGAGGATTTATCAGTAAATATCGTGATCCTATGACTAAATCCTGGGTCGAAGGTATGCAAGAATTAGGTGTACCAATGCCAGAAAATTATTCATTGGCAGATACTTTAGAAACGCCTATCACAATTCGTGATTGGAATTTGTAGGGACTTCCAAACGATGCTTTCAGTATTGATAATGGTGTAATTACTAAGTAATCAGAAAGATGGCCTTTGATGATAGATCCATAAGGAGAAGCTAACAAATGGATAAAGAATCATGAAAAAGATAACAATTTAAAAATCGTCAGATTCAGTGAATCTCACTTCTTAAGTGTAATTTAAGGAGCTATCAGCTCAGGTTATCCAGTACTTATTGAAAATGTAAGTGAAAGGCTCGAACCTTCTATAGACTCTGTGCTTCATTAACAGACTTTCGAAGTTGATGGAAGAAAATTAATCAGAGTAGGAGATAAAAAGATAGATTATGATAATAGGTTCAAAATGTATATCACAACAAAAATGGCTAACCCACACTATCTTCCTGAAATATTTATAAAGGTAACAGTAATAAACTTTAGTATCACTTTCTAAGGTCTTCAAGACTAGCTCTTAGGTGATGTCATGAAAAATGAAAAGCCTGAAATAGAAAAGCAAAGAGACGAAACCACAGTTTCAATTGCGAATGCCAAAAAAACTATCAAAGAAGCTCAAGATAAAATCTTAGAACTTTTAGCTAATTCAAAAGGTATGATTTTAGATGACATAGAACTTATTGAAACTCTAGAAAAATCAAAGAAGCAATCTGCAGTTATTGCAAAAGATCTAGTAGCCGCTTAATAAATTGAAGAATAAATTAACATCAGTAGATCTCAATATGTTCCTGTATCAATCAGAGGTACTGTACTCTATTTCGTTATAAGTGATTTATCTGGTATTGATCCTATGTATTAATATTCGTTAGCTTACTTCAAGAAATTGTTCAAAATAGCTTTGGTAAATTATTTTTAATAAAAAAACTATCAATTTAATATAATATTTATTTTATGAATAGGAAACATCTTAGCAAACTAATGTTTTAGAAGAAAGATTATTAAATTTATCTGAAAATATTACAAAAACATTATTCATGGATATTTGTAGAGGTCTATTTAATACCCATAAGAAGCTATTTTCATTTTTAATTTGCACAGCCATTAAAAGACAAAGAGAAGAAATTACTTAAAATTCATGGAATATTTTATTGCGTGGACCAGCTCTTACAATTAAAGATACTTCTAGAATTCCTGATAACCCAGCAAAGGGAACAATCTCAGACAAATAATGGATTACACTTTTCGAATGTTCCCTTTAAATCACACAATTCAAAGAAATTCCTAATCTAATCAAGAAAGACATGGCTTCATGGGCTAGCTTTATATAAAGTGAAGACATATACCACGAAAAGCTTCCTAAAGGCTGTGAAGAAATAGACAGATTCTTGAAACTTATTCTAATCAAAATTTTCAGACCTGAAAAAGTTATGCACTCCTTCTCTCATTATGTTAGTGATGAAATAGGTAAGATTAAACAAAATAAATCTATTTTAATTATAATTCTTTATTTTAACACAAAGGACTGACTGACTGATTGAGTTATTTAGTTAGTTAGTTAGTTAGTTATTCAAAAAATTAAAATTTTTATTTGATACAAAAATATAGAGTTTAAAAATTTAAGTAAATAAAACATAAAACAATAAAAGAATAAAATTAAATCTAAAATAAATTCAAAATTAACTTCTAAACTAAAACCATTTTATTAACAAATATTTGTTTTTAAATTATTTATTTTAATTAAAAAATAAAAAAAAATAGGTAAATTTTATGATGAAATAGTGACTAGTAATATGGAAAGTGTTTATAATGATAGTGATTGCTTTACACCAATTATTTTTATTCTTTCATCTGGTGCTGATCCTACTTCTCTTTTATTAAAACTCGCTAAGTAAAAAGAAATATAGATAAACTAAATATCACTTGGTCAAGGACAAGGTAAGAAGGCTGAAATATTAATAGAAAAAGCTAAAAACTAAGGAACTTGGGTTTTACTGTAGAATTGCCATTTAGCCAAGAGTTGGATGGGCAGCTTAGAAAAAATAGTAGAAGCTTTCCCATCTTCAAATTTCATTTAGAATGACTAATTTAGGCTTTTCTTGACATCTATGCCTGTTAATTATTTCCCTGTCTCTGTTTTATAAAATGGTCTAAAGCTTACTACTGAAGTAATTTAATTTTTTAATAATTTGATCTCAATTATTTTGTTTTAAAATTTACAGGCTCCTAGAGGATTAAAAGCAAATTTAAAAAGATCCTATTAAGAATTTAACTAAGAATTCTTGGATAGCTGCTCATACAAACCAGTATAATGGAATAGGTTGCTCTTTGGTTTAAGCTTTTTCCATGCAATAGTCTAAGAAAGAAGAAAATTCGGTCCTCTTGGTTTTAACAAAGCATACGAATTTAATGATAGTGATTTAGACATTAGTACTCTAACATTAAAAATGTTCTTAAATGAACCAACAGACGAAATACCTTGGGAGGCTATGCTCTACATGACTGGTCATATTAATTATGGTGGTAGAGTTACTGATGATTGGGATAGAATATGTCTTTTAAGTATCTTGAAAAAATATTATAATGAAGAAATCTTAAAAGATTAATGTAAGCTTTCTGGTAGCGGCATCTACTATGTTCCTTTATCTGATTAAGTTGAATAAATTAGAAATTATATTGAAAATCTTCCTAACTTTGATGATCCAGAAGTATTTGGCATGCATGAAAATGCTAATATTACTTTTAATAGCTAGGAATCTGTGAAAATGATAGAGACTGTAATCAGCATTTAGCCTAGAGTTAGTACAAGTGGAGGAACAGGTAAAACTTAAGATGAAATAGTTATGGATTTAGCTAAAGATCTAGAGTCTAGATTACCTCCTCTTTTAGATAAAAACACAGGTAATGCAGAGTTATTCAAAAAAACAGACGCTGGATCACTTCCTTCTCTCACCACAGTTCTCCTTTAAGAAGTAAATTATATCAACTTATTTTCTTTATTTATGATTTTAAAGAATTTAAATCCAGAAAGTATATGATTGTTTAAAATAATTTTAAATAGATTGAGAAATTTAATAGACTTTTAGGAGTTTGCAAAGACAGTTTGAGTAATTTGCAAAAAGCAATTAAAGGTTTTGTAGTCATGAGTTAGGAATTAGATGACATGTACCTATCATTTTTAAATAATTTCCTCCCACCAATATGGAAAAAAGTATCTTATTCTTCTCTTAAACCACTGAGCTCATGGTTTATTGATTTGATTGAGAGAGTGAATATGATGAAAAAGTGGCTTGAAGTTGGTAATCCTGTCTCATATTGGCTTAGTGGTTTCTATTTCCCTCAAGGTATATTTAGAATTGTTAATGAAATTTACTTATTGATTTTATTTATTTGATATATATAGGTTTCCTAACAGGTGTACTTCAGACACACTCTAGAAAATATAAAATCCCTATTGATAGTTTGAGCTTTAAATATAAAATAATGAGCATTGATTATGATAAAATACTTGCAGGTCCCAAAGTAATAAAATATAATTAAAAATCTTCTTATTTTATTCAAATTTAAATTTAATTAAAAGGATGGTGTTTACATTTATGGATTGTATCTTGATGGAGCTAGATGGGACACTCCAATGGATTCTTTAGTAGACTAACAAATAGGATAATTATATTCCACTATGCCCATGATCCACTTTAATCCCTAAGAAAATTATACTTAACCTGAGGATAATTACAGTTGTCCAGTTTATAAAACATCAGATAGAGTAGGTGTTTTATCAACGACAGGTCAATCAACCAACTTCATTATAGCAGTTGTAAGAAATATTTTCATTTAATTTGAAAAAATGAAATTAATATTCAATTTAAGAAACAAATTACTGATTAAAATTTATTTATTGTAAAATAGTCACTTAACACAAAGCATGAAGCACCTGAATTTTGGACATTAAGAGGTACAGCTTTGCTTTGCTAATTAAATGATTGAAATAATAGGAAAGTAAAATTAAAATGTTAAAAAAAGTAAAGTGAAAATTTAGAATAAATAAAAAATAAATAAAGTAAATAATTTAAATAAATAAAAAAATCAATTAAAATAAATAAAGTATTAATTAATCAATAAGACATTTTTGTGCCATTTCAGAAAAAATTTAATTTTTAAAAATAAAAATTAGATTTAATATATAACTATTTATTAAAGTGTAAATAAATATTTTAAATAGTTCATTATTTTAATTATTAAATTGTTTACTTTTTATAAAGCTGTTGATTAATTTATTTTACTATAAATATTTTAAATTAATCTATTTTTTTTATGAAATTAATATTTTTTAATATATTTATTTTTAAATTTATATAAACGACTTCAATGATATTTGCTAAGAAACGCAAGCAATAAAATTAATAATATTTAATAACATATCAAATATAATTAAATATAAATAAGAGATTTTTTAAAAAAATTAATATATTTATATAAATAACTTCAATGATATTTGCTAAGAAACGCAAGCAATAAAATTAATAATTTTTAATTACATATCAAATATAATTAAGTAAATAAGAGATTTTTAAACAAAATTAATATATTTATATAAATAACTTCAATGATATTTGCTAAGAAACGCAAGCAATAAAATTAATAATTTTTAATTACATATCAAATATAATTAAGTATAAACAAGAGATTTAAAAAAAAAAAAATTAATATTTTTTAATATATTTATTTTTAAATTTATATAAATAACTTCAATGATATTTGCTAAGAAACGCAAGCAATAAAATTAATAATATTTAATTACATATCAAATATAATTAAGTTTAAATCAGAGATTTTTAAACAAAATTAATATTTTTTATAAAATTTTTTATTTTTAGTAATGTTAATATTATTTATTAAGAGATGCTGAAGAATTAACAGTATTAAATTCCATTTCTAATATAATTTAGTTTAAATTAGAGGTTTTTATTAAGTATTTTATTTAGATTTTAATTTGAGTAATATGTTTATTTAATTAAGCTTCAGTTTTATTAGTTAAAAGATAAATCTTTTAAATTCTATCTACAAGAAGGACATGTATTGTGATTTTTTAGCCACTCTTTAGCACAGAAAAAATGATATTTATGCTAACATTTAGGAATGCAGACTATGCAATTATTATGATTTATATACTATTAGACTTATTCTTTTTCATTAGTATTTTAAAGTTTATTCTATTAAATATTTTCACTTGTAAATTTGGACTATTCTCCTAATTAAGATAAACAGATTGCACACTCATCTTTGCTACATTCATCACTTAAAGGTTTAATCAACTAAATTAACTACTAGCTTGTTATTCCTTTCTGTTCGAAATAGTCTTAGTTATAAACTTCTCTTGTTAGTAATAAATATTATAGAAGTGAAAATATTAGAAAACTTAGTGCCACTACAAAATAAATTGAATTACTAATTAGTATGATAAAAAATAAAAAAACAGAAACACGCTCAAATAGAGAAGTAGTATTTTCAATGCAACCCTAGCTCAAACGCTCATTCTAAATATGTATAATTATCATTAGGATTGTTATCTCAAAATCTAGAGACTTCTCTTATAAAAATAATCTAAATATAGAAACACATTTATTAACTCCTATAAAAAATATGATTGAAAGCACAACATTTATTCGCTAAACACATATAGGCTCCTAATCCCACATGAAAATAGTAACTGCAATATAAAGAGTAGTCAATCCCCACTTAATTAAGCTAGAGTAAACTTAACAGTAATCCATAATACCTAAATTAACTTATTATTTAAGAAAATATTTCTTCTAAATACTCTTTAAATCAGTAGATCAGAATAAAATTTTTATTTAACTTTTCAGATTCAAAATATCTTAATTGTTAATAATATTATTAAATTTCTACGAATCTTATTTATTCATTCATCCATTATTTGAAATCATTTATTTATACTTTTATTTTATTATCTCTAAAAAATATAATTGAAAAAAAACTCTTTTCAAATAAAATAATTTTTATTTGAAATTATTTTTAGAAACTAAGTTTATTTGTTATTTCAAATAAAATTTTTTAAATTAATATATTACTGTTTGTTTATATAGTGAAACGTGCTAAAATGGATGTTAAAAGACTAAATATTTTCCTAAAATATACAGAGTTTTTTTAAATTTCATAATCAAAAAAGTCAAATTTATGATTAAAAATTTTGTCCATTTTTAAAATTACTCTATTAATAAGGGTTTGCTCTGCTTGGCAGATTTTAGTTTATAAGTAAATCATAAAATAACTAATCAGCTTATAAAAAAATGTAAACTTTATCTAATTAAAGATTGAATAAAAATATTTGAAATAAAGGAATATTTTAAATTATGTAAATTTTTTTTCTATTTATATTGATAGAGTTTTAAATGTATGATTGATTCCTAAAATAAATTTGACATTTTTGTATAATTAAAAAGGTAGATGTAAATTTAAATAAAATAAATTAAATATCAAATAATAAAAAAAATATAATAAGTTAAAGGCTAAAATTACCTAAAATACTATTTTTTATTTTATTTTTTGAAGGGAAATAATGTAATTTAAATAGATTTAATTTTTACCTGATTTATTCTTAACTACTTTCAATAGTTCGTTCTTTTTAACTAATTTTTGATTAGCTTACAAATACTTAAAAAAATAACAAAATCAAATAAAGTAAATTAAAATTGGTGAGAACTATTAAAATTTCAAGAAAATTTTTATTATTGTAAACAAATTTTATTTTAAACTTGATAACAAACTCTCAAAAATTTTAATAAAATGAAAGTATCAAATACAATTTTAACATTAAAATAAAATAAAAAAGGTAAAAATAATGATTAGATTAAGAATCAAATGAGCAAATTTACTTAAAGAAGGCTATTTAATATATTGTTAACTCATATTCTGTTTAGATAAATTGATTATAAACTCAGAGTTTTAATAGATATTAGTTAAAATAACATTCAATATTTTTGGATAGTAAATAAGTACTTTTTACCAAAATATATGCAATATTTAAGCGAATTACAAAACTTGTATGCAAAAATATCATCAAAATTTGATTGGTAAATATTTAAAAATAATCTTGATAATAAAATTTTACTTCTATAAGTTAAATTATTTTTACTTTATTAAAGTATGATTTTTACTTCTTAAGAAAGGCATAAATTAAATTAAATGTTATTTTTTATATAGCTTTTTGTTAAGAGTTAATTTTTATTTTTGTTATATTTTATAATAAATTTTAAGATTATAGAATTGTTTATTTTTATTAAATAACCTAAATTAGTGAAGATTTCATCTATTTGTTTGAATATATACCAATAATAGATAATATCTATATATTAAGTGGCATTAAATATGCTTTTTCAGAACAATAAAACTTGGAGATTTGATATTAAATAATTTAAAGCATACTTAATAATGTAAACAAAACAAATTTTATGGACTAAAATATCAATCAAATAAAAACCATAAAATTATATGTTAATTTCACATAAAAATAATCAACTGTTCTTTGATTATTATCAGAAAGTAATTTAAATCTTAAATTAAAATTAGGTATTCACAAAAAATACATTTATTTTTGTTTGTTAACCAATAGAAATTATATCAAAAAACTCTTTCATTTTAAGCTGGATGAAATTTGCATTTTTTTTAAATTTAAATTGGTAAATTTAGGTTGATATGGAATTAATATAAAACTCAAAAAACTGAAATTAGAAAATATATATTTGAGAAGTTATGCATTATATAAAAGAGGTCAACAATAAATAAATTTACGTACTCTCTTTAAGTTAATTTTCAAAAAATTTTTATTTATTTTTTTTTTAATGCATTCAGAAGGGTTATTAATTTGTTTAATTATGGAATACCATTTGAACAAAAGGAAAATTATATGGCTGTAAATAAGGAATTTTGAATTTTAAAAGAGTAGAAATAATAAAGTTATGAGTTAGTATTAAATAAGTAAATAAACAAGTAAATAAAAAAATAAAAAAATGATAATTTTTTTGTTTATTTGTTTTTTGTATGTTTAAATAGACAAAACAGCTAATAAGCAAATAGTTATATAGGTAGGTAGGTAAGTAGGTAAATAGCTAATGATTAAATTTGATTGCTTGTTTTGTTTTTGATTTTTATTTTAATGAAAATTTTTGTTTCTTATTTGTTTTGTTTACTTTGAGTATAAATAGAATGAAGCAAGGAATGATGATAAATAATTAACACAATTTATTTTATTTGTAAACATTATAAAAAAGTAATATAAATTTATCAATACAGCGTTTATAAAGAGAAAGTATAAATAAAGTTGTTTTAATATGAAAGTTTAAGAAAAACCAGGCTAAATCAAGCCTAACAAGAAGGACGACATAGGAGATTACAATAATAACGAAGGAAAGAATTAAAATGATTCCTTTACTTCTTAAAAGTTTTTGGATTAAATGAATGATGTAGACGAAGACTCGAATACTAGTGGTTTTAATCTAATGATCCAAAATGTAAATCTTGTTAAAAACTACTAGTTTAAAAACTCGGCTGAGTTCTAATTTGCGAATGAATTGAATTAATGGATTAACGAGAATGTATTATTTTGGGAATATGGTAGTTAGCCTATTAAATTTTTTCTTCCAGAAAGCTAATTCGGAAACAATACCTAATAAACTAAAATAATACCTCAGCAGATTCTCTACAAGCAAAACAGTCTCTTTTAAATGAATAGTCTGCTTACAAACCAAGATAGATAAAGCAAGAGTAATAGCAGCAGAGGACCAGGAGATGAAGAAGATTTATTGAATAAAAGTAGCAAAAAATAGAAAGTTTAACTGCAGCAGCAAAAAGTATACGACGACCTGAATAAATAATAATTAAGCGATATTTGGGACACAGGCACATTCACAGTGTAATAAATAAGCTTGAGAAATCATTTTTTTATTCAATTAATTCTTTTTTTGAATCATTAAGTGATCAAATTGATGTAACCATCAAATAAATAGCCTCAATAAATAGCTGTTTACCTCAAATATATCATGTTACAGCGCTTTTAAAGTTAAGAGAACAAAGTTCCAATGATTTTTGAAGCATAATTTTTCTAATGAGTTGATGCAAAATTTGTGAAAACTTAATTTATTAATTATACGATAAAAATTATTTTTTGGTAGAAATTTTAAAATTAAAAAAAACATTTTTATTTATTTTAAGGTAATTAACAGCGGGAGAACCAGAAACTTGGATGGTCAAGCCTTGGGTTTTTTATAGCAAGGAGCGCTCATTTAGATTTTTGAAAGATGCATTTGAGTGCGCTAAATTCTAGTTCAAACAAATAAAAAGGAGGTAAAGAAAATTATTTAGTTAGTTCGTTATTAGTATTTTTAAAATAAAGAGTGATTGATTTATATAGATAAATCAAATATAGAAGTTAATTTTTTCTCAAGTTTTAAATATATTTATTTATAAAGAATTTAAAAATGTAAAATAAATTTGGGTGAATAGCCAAATTTGCATTCTTTGACAATAATTTCTACTATCAATATGCTTAAAAAGATCTACCTCTATTAATTTAAAACTATTTAAAAGGAAGGAAATTGACCATAAATATCATAAAATTTAAATACTTTATTTTCAAGAAGTTCATATTTTAGTTCGTTCTATCCAACTTACCAATTTAGAAAAAATAATAAAAGCTTTTAAAATAGACAATAAATAGTAATTCATAATTTTGAATACATGAATGATTGATATTTTCGAAGCGCTTCTAAATAGTAAATATTTATCAATATTACTGGTAAAATATTTACAATAATTTTTTTTAATAATGTAATTAAAATCATACAACATTATCAAAATAAGTGCGAACTATTAATTAATTTTTCAGCAAAGTATACGAAATTTAGCAATAATACAATTTTATTTTTGTAATCAAACTTCAATTCTAACATATTTTGTTGTAAAATACCTACTAATAATATATTAATTTAAAAGTAGCCTTCTTAAAATATCAATTAATAAAGTCTTCAGATTAGGTTTTATTTTTTAAACGTCGATTGAAATTTTTAATTATAGAAGTAACAAAATTTAAAAGCATAAATGAGAAACAGAGATAAAATGTTTAATTTGTCATTTTTTTGAATTTTAAAAATAATTTTAAAGACAGATATTAAAAATTAACTGTAAAAGAATTTTAAAAATTTTTATTCATTAAAATATTTAAATATTGCTTAATATTTATTTAGGTTTTATACTTGGGAAACAATTGAGTTGATCATTTATAATAGGAAAAACTTACAAGTAAATTCTGAGAATTGTTAGTGTGCTTGCTTAGACATCAACATGCTGGAAGGATTGAGAGTGCTTTTAGGTATTCCAATTCACTTACTAATTCTACTGATTGGAATTCCACTATACAATATTGATCCAATTAAGTTAAAGAATGAATCAAATAGGCAAATTTAAAAAAGAATAGAAGAGCAAATTAAGAAGAGCAATGGGGGAAAATATTTAGACACTTTATTTTTAAATTACTTAGCAGCAAATAAGTCTACATTTTTGAATAACGACTTTAACTTCTAAGAGGAATTAGAGCTAATTTCTTTAGCTAAACAAATTCAAGATGGCAGTTTATAAATAGGATAAACAGATGACGATAAGCAATATATAAAAATAGATTTGCAGGAGAAACTGTATGATAGCTTATTCAGTAGAATGGAGAAATATTATTCATCCAAACATGATTTAGATCCAGAAGTAATAAAAAGCTTGGAACATAATTTCAGAGCATATATAACCATGTAAAGACACAGAGCACTTTAGATGCATAACAGTCGTAATTATGGTAAGCCAGAAAGTGTTGTTAAAGATTTGAAAAGATAAAAATGTGATAGAATCGCAGAGCTTGCTCATTTAGTTGCAGAAGAAATTAAAAAAGGTGTTAGTCTTTTGGAAGAAATAAAAATAAAAGATAATATTAGAGAAGTTTCCAAAGTTAACAGATTGCAATTCTCATATTTCAAGCCAAGAGTTGTTAAGGAAGTTGATAATTAAGGGCGTATTAAATATTCTGCTGATTGGATAAGAGAATTGTCTGTACCTACCTCTTTTTACTTTTGGAAAATTTTCTATTTTTTTGCTGCATCTTATTTTATGATTCACAAATTTATCAACTTTTGTCTATAATTTGCTTTGTACTCTCCTTGCGGATTGAAAGCAGCTATTTATCCTAATTAATTCGCAACAAACTTTCTTGTTAATCCTCAAACTGGTAAAATCGAAGACGATCTTGATAGCATGGAGGATACTGTTTCAAGAATGTATAAAAACATTAAGACTACTGCCAAATAAAATATTGAAAACTTTGAAAATGAGCCTGATCATGGTTTATTAGGCAAGTCAATAACTCGTATTTGCAACCGTATCGAAAACTGGATTTTGCGTTACTTTTTTTTAGGCTTCATCTGCACAAACATTCTCTTGCGTATCCTTTTTTTGATTATTGGTATATTTGCTTTAATATTAGTTCCACTTTCTTTAGTACTTGCTCCTATTTATACTCTCTTATGCGTTATTATTTGCTTGCTTTGCATGGATTTTACTGTACCGAGTAATCATTAAAGCTGGGACTTACCCATTTTTGCTCCCTTACTTGACTTATTGATTTGGAGGCTGATGGTAAGAGGAGCTGGTTAAATTGCTATCAGTGTCATAATGATTGCTGCTCATATAGTTTTTGGAATACTCTTAATTGTGTTTGGAATATTAATTTACTTTCTTCGTAGAATTTTAGATATAATAGTTTTCATTTTTATAAGGACATGTGGACGTATTCCTGGAGGTGATTCTTATTTAGCATGGAAGATATCGAGATAAAGAAATCCAAATACTACTAATTATTATGAAAGTGGAGGTTTAAGACGTACCAACATGAACTAGAGTGAATAAGTAATCGATTAACTTACCTTGGATTAATTATAATAGCTCATAGATGCTGAATTTCATAAAGATATCCTTGAGCAATACCGCTAATAAATGATCACAAAAATTAATTAACCTGTACTCCAAAACGATGCTAAAATGAAGAAGATGTCTCAATTTTTGCCCTTTGATTTTTCTAAAAATAAGGTTACTTAAGTTTACTATTAAACTGCAGAAAAGCTAAAGCAAGAGCTGAATGATCAAATTAATTAACGCAAAAAACTATTACCTGTGCTTCTCCGTAAGAGCAACACGAATTTCAAGTATAAACATGAAGATATTCTTTCTATTTTCTACAATTTGTAAACTTATATTTAAGAGAAATATGGCTCAAAGCAGTATTTTTAAAAGTATATGTGGAAGAGCTACAAATGTGAAGAAAATAATTACACTAATTTAAGTCTACATTTCCTCAATCATATATTTTATGATAATAAATCATAATTAAATTAAGTGCTTGAGAGACTAACACTCAAAGAATAAAAAAATGGTGTTTAAGTCAAATAGCAACTTGATGAATTCATAGCTTAAAAATTTAAATAAAATGGAAAAAATATGTTAGAAGCTCCTACATTCGTTACACTTTCTTAATTTATTGAAAAGGCATTAAAAAGGCTCGATAACAGCTAGTCTCTGCTATCGATGCGTACTGATAACTTTATGCTTTGTGATGACTTTATGCTGTTAAACGTTAACAAATTAAACAATTGAAAAAAATTATTGTTTTGATTCAAAAAATAAGCAATCTTATTTAAGAAAACTATAATCAACATTACTGCTACTTTTATCCATCCATTCATCCTTCCATCAATTCATTCATTCATTCATAAATAAGTAGATATAGATTATTAAATCTTTTATATGCCATTAATTTAATGAATAAATAGTGATCGATTTAAATAAAAACTCTACCATCTTATAACTCTGATAATTTTAATTCTGAAAATAAAAAAAACTTATAAAATTAAAACTTTGCTTAAAAATAATTATCAAAAGAAAGAAAGAGTTGAAAAATAAAATAAATAAATAACAAAAGTTAAATTAGCTAGATATGTTGGATTATTTTATTCAAATTACTAGAATATTTTTAATAAATATTCAAATAATATTTTAATTTATAAACAAAGAATAATGTATTTGTATTCATTCATTTAATAAAATTTCTAATTTTATTTCATAAAATCTGCTTTAATAACATTTAATTAATATTATTGAAGCACTAACTTTTATTAATTTTCTTTTATTGAAAAATCAATTTAGTTTTTTTTCAAATAAATAAATTATCAATTAAAACTCATTATTTGTTTAGCTATTTTAGTAATTTATTATTGTTAAATAAAATTAAATTCTGCTTTTTATAAGAAAACCCTTTTCAATCAGTAGCAATATTTTTGTAAGAAAAATAAATTTAATTTATATTTTATCTCTGAATAATTTTAACTTTATAACAAAATTGATGAGTAAATTCCAAGTTATATATGGTTTATAGAGTATTTTTCATCAAAAAATTCAATTTGATTAATAAAATATCTATTAATTTGAGATTATTTTACAAGAAAGGATATATTATCTGATAATTAATATTTTTTAAAGATTACCATATAAATATTTCAAAAAAAGTAACTTTACAAAATTTGTATGGTTTATATAAGTTATTGAAAAAAAATAAAAATCAATTAGAAAGAAAATATAAAATGGTTACTTTATTTAGAATATTTGTAATTTTTATACTATCTAAAAATATTAATTTAGTTAAAAAAGTAATGAAAGTAACAAATTTTTTTGAGAAAGAATTTGTTTTTTTATATTATTTTATAAAATATTGATTGTATATAAATAAAATATGATTTATAAAAGAATTAAAGACAAAAAATATCTAAAAGGTATTTATGTATTAAAGACATACCTACTATTTATTACATTATTGTAGTTAATTAAAAGTTTAAAAAAATTTCTCTTTAATTTTAGTATTTATTATTTTTTTAATGCTTTGATTTTTAAAAATAATTTAAAAGAATATTCTAAAAGATTTAAATGAGCTTAAATATATCATTTTAGACGAGTGCTAAAAATACAAATATACAAAAATAATGTAGCTAATATCTTGTTTAATTAAGCAATTTAAAGCTTAATAGACCATTTTATTATCATAATAATTTTCAACTTGCAAAGAAAATTGAAAATCTTTGTTATAGTCTTTCTAATAACTTTTTATTTGTTGCCTATTTTTTTTTCTCCTTACTTACTTAATAATTTTAGATTATTACTTTATGTAGTAAAAAATTAATATTCGAAAGAATAAATTTTTCAAATTTATTTGAGCTTGTCTCTGATTTCTCACCTCAAATTAATTATTTTTAGAAGAAAAAGGTCGTCACATGTAAAATGGGATAACTTTTTTGTTGCAAGTTTTTTAAAGTATTTTTAGTAGAATCATAAAAATGAAGTGCTAAAAATAGATAAATTTCAACTTGATTGCTTAAACTTTTAATTATTACAGCAAAATTATGAAAATATTTAGCTTGTATAAAAATATAAATTTTTATTAATTTAGAAAGTAACATATCTAATACTACGACATAAATTGGATACAGTTTATAGTTCTTTTAGCACACTTTTTAATTAATATATAATAAAAAGTTAATTTATTTGGTTTGATGATGATAATTAAATTTTTAAAAAGTAATTTTTTTACACATACCCTTTTAGTCATTTAGTACTACTCTTTGAATTAATAAACTAAAATAGTGAAGGAAAAAATAATAAAAATGATGATGATGTGTAATTTACACAAAAACATCTATATTTTGCATCACTAACTTTATTTTTTTATCACATATACGGGTTAAAGTAAGTATATGGCATAGATAATTTGATTTTTGTATTATGTTAATTTTAAATGATTGTAAACGAATTAAATTATTTTGTTAGCTAGTTAGTTAGTTAATTGCTTGACTGAATCATATTTTAGAGTTGAATTTTAATTTACTTAAATTGATACAGAGATAGTAGTAAAGTTATAATACAATTTTTAATGAAAAAAAGAGAACATTAAGTTTTTGATTCTAACAAATAAAAAGAAGAATTAACAATTTCTAGATAATAAGAAGAAGAGTCCAAATCTGATTCCTCCAGTCCTGTAACCAACAATAAAAGTCAGCATTTTTTATATAAGCATCATTTTTTATAAACATATAAAAGAGTTCAAGTCAAAACAACTTATTTAAATAAATAGATTCACAAAGTCAAAAAATGAAAGATTAGTTAACTGAAAAAGAATAAAATTATAAATCTTTTGCCAAGGTGTTAGCAATGGTTTTAGTTGCATCAATTGGTTCTCTCTATTTTGGCTACTCACTTGGTGTGATGTCTTTAGCCTAAGACACTATCTTTGCTGTATTCGATGTAGATAGCGACAAAAAAGATATGTACTCGTCTCTAATTAATGCATCAATTCCTCTTGGTGCTATGATCGGTTCTATCTCTGCTGGTTTACTTCTTAATTATGTATCAAGAAAGAACGCTTTCATTATTACTGATATTATTGGTGTTATTGCTTGTTGCTTAACTTAAATTACAAATATTAATTTATTCCTCTTTTTAAGATTGATTTCAGGAATAGTTACAGGATTAAATAGCGCATTAGTCCCTTAATACATTCAAGAAGTCTCTCCCATCGCAATATCTGGTATTATGGGAACCATTTTCTCTATGTGTATTAATACTGGTATTATTATTGCTTCTCTAAATGGATAATTCTTTTAAGAAAATCCAACCTCTTCTGACACCTATTGGAGATATGTCTTGTTGTTCCCATTAGCATTGACTGTAACTCGTACTCTCTTTTTATTCCTTTTCTTCAATTATGAAACTCCTTTCTACTATATCCTTAAAAATGAGCCTGAAAAATGTAAGCAATTCCTTGAAAAAATCTACAAGCCTCAATTCGTTGATGAAGTTTAATCAGAAGTAGAACAATAAGTAGAAAAAGTTAAGCAATCTTCTGAAGGTTATTTAGATATGTTTAAGCCTTAATATCGTAAGCGTTTGATAATAGGTTGCACATTACAATTATTCCAATAGTTTTCAGGAATTAATGCAGTTATTATGTACAGTAGCAACATCTTCAAAGATAACAATTATGACTTCAGAACAACAAACCTTCTTTCATTGATTTCAAATATAGTTCTTTTATCTGCTGCTTTCTTAAGTGGTTTCTTTGTTAGTCGTTTTGGACGTCGTGCTATCCTAATCTATGGATCTGCCCTCTCTGGAGCTTTTTAACTAGGTTTAGCAATATTATCCAAAGTAAATAATAAGGATTTATCTATGCTTTCTGTAGCCTTTATTTTCCTTTACTTTGTAGCTTTTAACTTCTCTCTCGGACCTATCGTTTGGCTTTATTGCTCTGAAATTCTTCCTGAAAAGGGAATTGGTATTGCTACTATGTCTAACTGGATAGGAGCTACTATTATTGTTCTTGTTCTCCCTTATTTTAGTGCTTTGTGGCCACTCTTTATCTTTTATGCAGCTATGTGTTTTGCTTGTGTCGCTTTTACTATATTTTTGGTCAAAGAAACAAAAGATAAATCTAAAATAGAAATCACTAACATGTATTTACCAAAAGGCTCAGAATAATACAATAATCTTTCTACATACTCTACTGATAAAGAAAAGTATAACTCTTGATTTATTTAAAACATTATGATATAAAAAATACTTATCAAAGCAATCAATCTTCTATCTCTATTATTGTTATGCATTTTAACAAATCGTTTATTAAATTTAGTATTAATTAATTAACTAATCGTATTTTATTCATAAATTCTAGTAAAAATATAATTAAAATTTAAATTTTTTATGTCAAATTTGAAGAAGGAAATAAATAAAATTATTTTTTTTCCATCAGACAAAACAATTAATTATTTTTATCATTTTAAAAAAGCTCTAAATAAATATGTTGAGTTAAACAAAATCTAAGGAAAATAAATTAAAATAAATAATTTTTACTTTGTAATAATTATTAAACAATTTTTGAAGTAAATCCATAATTTAAAATAAATTACCTTGTAATTTTAAAAACATTATTCTATTTTTAATTAAAAATTATTTTTTGCTAGTTAGTATATTTAATTATGTATTGTTTTACCTATTATTTCATATTCTAATCTGGATAATTTATTGGTATTTTTATTTTTTTAAATTTAATATACTGTAAATCCTCATTTATTAAGGCCCACACAATCCCCACATTTTTACCATTCCCTGAGGTTTAAAAAGTTAATCCCCAACATACAGAAGTGCCCATTAAAAAGGGGTACCAAAACTTTGATACTTAATATTATATTAATTACAAAAAAAATAAGTTTCGCTAGCTTATGAAAAACAAATAAATTACAAATTTAATAATTAATATCATTGCTTATGAGTTTTCATAAATCAGTATGTCTTTAGGAAAAGTATTATTAATAATAATCTGCAAGCAAGCAATATCTGGATTTAGTTTTAATTATTTGAACATAAGTTGATATTTTTAAATTTCTAATGATAAATAATTAGTTTTATTTATAATTTCTATATGATAAAAAAAGATATTTAAATTAAATAAATTTAATAATTAAGTATAATTAGTTCTAAGATAAAATAAAACAAAATCAATATTTAAGAATAAAACAGAAATAAATTGATCACGCAAAACAATAAAAATGGAATAAAAAACATAGAATTAATAAAAATAAAACTCTTCTGTAATACGTGTATACTAATTGAACTAGCTTTTTTATTTTTTTAATAAAAATATCAATATAATTTAAATACTTATTTTATTTAATTACAAAAGAATATGGAAGAATAATATAATACAGTTAATGAAGAATAGGAATACAATTCTTTTAATTACATACTTGCTATTGTTTTAGTTGCCAATATGGGTGTTTTATATTTTGGATATCAACTAGGAGTTATGTCTCTTGCCTAAAATACTATTTTTATTGTTTTTGATGTAAAGCATAGCTAATAAAATTTTTATTCTTCAATGATTGACTCAGCTATACCTTTTGGCGCTGTTTTTGGTGCTTTATTATCAGGAAAGATCTAAGATTTTGTATCACGTAAAAATTCGTTAATACTAGCTGATATTTTTGGAATAATAACTGGATTGCTGTGCCTATTTAAAAATATAAATTTATTAGTTATTGCAAGACTTTTTGCTGGTTTTGTTACAGGCCTAAATACTTCTCTTGTGCCTAAATATATATAAGAAATTACTCCTCTTAGTTTAGTTGGAGTTATGGGTATTTTTTTTACTACTTCCTTGAATTTTGGAATTGTTTTAGCAAATTTAAATGGCTAATTTTTTAATGAGTTTCCAATCCCTGAAGATACTTATTGGTATTATGTATTTTTTTTTCCTTTATTAATAAATATAACACGTATGGTGCTATTATAGCTATTTTTTAATCATGAGACACCTTTTTACTATATTATAAATAATGAGAATGAAAAATGCAAGAATTTGCTTAAGAAAATTTATAAACCTTAATATGTTGATCAAAATTATTAGCAAGTAAGGTAGTTAGCAGAAAATACTAATAATATTTAAGAGAGTTATAGAGATATGTTTAATAGGTAAAATCGTTGGCGTCTTTTTATTGGCTGCACCTTATAATTTTTTTAGTAATTTTCTGGAATCAATGCGGTTACTATGTATTTAAGTTAGATTTATGAGAAAGAAAACTATTAATTTAAGACTGCAAACTTACTAACACTTCTTTCAAGTACAGCTTTCTTTTGTGCTGCTTTAGTCAACACTTAAATTGTATAAAAATATACTCGTCGTATAATTCTTATTGTTGGTTCTGCATTTACTGGGCTTTTCATATTATCTTTAGCGATTCTTAGTGAAATAGATGATAAGAATATCACATACTTGACAGTTATATGTATTGATTGTTATTATGTGGCATTTAATTTTTCGCTAGGCCCAATAATTTGGCTATATTGTTCAGAAATTCTTCCATAAAAAGGATTTAGTATTGCCACTACAGTCAACTAAATTTGTGGAACAATAATCGTAATGATGCTTCCCTATTTTGATAAATTATGGATTTTATTTATTTTCTACTCCACAGTTTGTTTCTTATGTTCTATATTTACTTATTTTTTAGTAGAAGAAACAAAAAATAAGTCTAAACTAGAAATATAAAAATTATATTAACCATAAGAATCCAATGAATAAAAATGTATTCCCCTCTATCAGCCAATTTGAAATTAATACAAATAGGTTAATTAAATTAAAAATTAAAATCTGTGTATTTTATAGAAATATTAATTAAAATAATATTAAGTTTTATGTAAATTTAAGTTTTATTTTATAAAATAAACTATGAATTATTTAAAATTCATTTTTTGCAAAAAAATAATTTTTATTGATTAATTTTATTGAATTTACTTTATTTTTAGTGTTTAACTAAATTAATTTATAAGATAAAATCTTAATGAACAAATTATTTATTAAATAAATTTATTTTTATTTATCAAATTTTATTTGATTTTTTTACAGTTAAATTTGAATAATCTTTTCCTATTTGATTAAAAATTGTTAAAGAAAATCTTTATGAATAAATCTAATTCGCTTTATAAAATATTTTTATTAATTTTATGAATTTACTGGTTTGATTAAAAAAAGTAAGAGAATAAATTAATTGAGCATTTATTTTAACTATTAATATTTTTATTTAATACATTAAAATTAATTTATTTAAACTTCTATGAAGTAAAATTTTATTATTTAAAAAATAGAATAGAAAAACAAGCAATAAATAAGCGAGAAAGAAGTAAAAAATACTAATTAAATAAAATTTAGATATATTAATGATTAATCATTTAAATAACATAATTAATTTTTGATAAAGTTTTTGTCAAAAATTTTTTTGATTAAATTTCTCAATATTTGTTTGATAAAATATAAAACTTGTTAGTAATAAGTTGGTTATTCATTCATAAATGTTATGATTATTAATTTAAAATAATAGAATAAAAATATTTTAAGAGTAAACTAAAAATAAAAGGTGGATGAATACATAAAATATTTATTTGCTTTTATTATAAACAGCTTTATGGTAAGAGTAGAAGTTTTTTTTGTAGATTTATAATTTTGTAATATAAAGTAAGTTTTCTTAGAAGTGTACCTATCAATCAACTAGCATAAAAATTTATTAATATGGTAGTGATTAATCAGTTTTTTAATATTTTGAAAAAACTAAAGCCATTTGAAAATAAAATCTATCAATTTTTTAACGTTTTTTCAAATATCTAAAACCTCAAAATCAGAAACTTATGTGTTTTCTGATCTTTCTGATCTTGTATCTAAGTCAGAATTGAGAGTGAAATTGTCAAAGCCTGATGTATTTAGTGATTGCTAACCTTCAATTAATGAGAATGACTAGTCTGTGTTTGATTCCATTTAGGATATCATTAGTGTGGTTCTGCTTTTTAAATCTTCAATTTCATCATCATTCAAGAAGACTATATCTGAATCATTAACGCTACTAATAGAATTAGCATCACTTCCACATTTAAATGGGAAAATGTGTCTGGTTTTTAAGTAAAAATCATCTGAAATCTCCTTAAGCTACCATAATTGTCTTGTTTCTTCTTTGTGATATTTCAAAATAATGTCACACTTGTCATCTTAGTAGTCTCTTAATCCTACTAGAACTATATCTCCTTCATTGACATAAATTTTGTATCTAAGTCTGCCTCTCAATACTCCTAATCTAACTTTACCATCAGAACAAGCAACAGCAAAATGAAGTTAGCCTAAATTTTTTTCTATTATAGCGTAATCTGTTTCAAATTCTTTAATTGGAAGTTCTCTGCTTGGACACATCTTCTGATAATAATTTTAGGATAATTTCTATTTTTAATTTCTTTTGGTTTGCCCCATTTTAATTTAAATTTTGATGTTTGATTTAGCTGAATTTTTTAATTATAATCAAATATTTGTAAATAATTTTTATAGGTTTGCTTTACTATCTATTTGATATTTAGTGACAGTTTCTATTACATCACATAGAAGTTCTAAAAATTGCTTATGGTGATTAAATTCAAATAGGAACTGGCTTAATGTACTTAAACAAATTTCAACTGATTTTATCTGATTGCAAGTATTAATTATATTGGTTTTTCAATATCAACTTACCAAGAAAGTTATAATAAATTCTTCTACATTCAGTTTCTAATTTTATAGATTTTATATTAAAGTTTCTACTTAATTTAAATTTCTAAAAATTTATTAATTCTTTAAAATAAATTGAAATCTGCTCATTAATAATATTTGAAAAATATTAGAGTAAATGTTGGAAATTTATCATCATTTAGACAAAAATTGTTTAATATTCAATACATTTTTAATTTTTATCTATCAAAATTATCAATATCATGCAAATAAATAAACAAATAAACATTTTTAGTTTTTAATATTTTATAATAAATTAAGGTAAGAAAAATATTATTTAATTTATGAAAATTTATTTAAATTGATCTTTTTAATATAATTCTGAAGATTATTATTATTCTCTTTTTACCTTTTAGATATAAAAGGTCATACACTCTTTTAAATTTTGATCAATTTTTACTCTACTTACTTAATTCTCAAATACTTGATCTATTAACTAAATAATTATAGAAGTTTTAAATATTTTGAATTCAAATTAAAGATAAAATTAAAAATTTTAGGTTAGAACTTTACAAAAGCTGATGAGAACTTTATTTTTAAATACAAGAATAAAGATTTATAAGAATAATACTTTTTATCATCTCTGTTTTTGAATTTTAATTAATGTTTTAATAACTACAAGCAAACCGTATAAGAAGAGTAGTTTATTCAACTTTGCCTCTGATATAAATAAGTAATAAATTATGTTTTTTGATAATATTGTAATCAATAAAAGTGGAGTAATTCTTGAAAAATTGGGTTTTAATAGAATTTATCTTTTTTTCAATATGGTTTACTATAATAATTATTAATCATTTTAAAGTAAATTTATCAAAATATTAGAGCCATGTCCATGAAATGTGATAAAATTTAATTATTTAACTAATAAGCAATTTTATAAAATACTTTCTTTCAATCTTGAAAATAATCATAAAAGTTTTCCAACCAATATTTTAATTTAAAATTTATTTAATGCCATAAATATTACTTAAGTATTATTTCATGATTAAAATTTTATGACTTACTTTAATGTTGTATTTTGGTAATTAGGTAAAATAAAAAAACATTTCTAGTTATTAATTAGAATAAAAAATTATTATCTTTAAATTATAAATAATGTTGAAAAAAATGAGATAATCAAATTATTAACAATAAAAGAGTTTATCTTTTAATTTTAATTATTACCTTTCATTAATATTAGTTTAGAAATATAGTAACTTAATATGATAATTTATTTTAAATTGACCATTTTTGAGACATTATCAGCTAATTTAACTAATAATATAATAGAATGGTTAGACATAACATTTTAAATCTTAACTTTATTCATATTATATTTTGTATTATTTTTTAAAGTATTTTATATTTTTTAAAATAAATATATTTTGAATTTGAAATTGATAAAAGTAGAGATTATTTAATAAATTATTATGCTACTTTACACTATTACAAATGGTAAGACTCTCAAATTTTAATTTATTTGATGGATCAATGAATGTAAAATATATTATTAACCACATATAATGTATGATAATTGAACATTTTTGGGAAATAATTATCTAATTTAAGTATTATAATATATGGCAAATAGTAGACTGGTTTTACAAAACATTTTAAATTTTAACTTTATAAATGTGAAATTTTGATATGAATTTTTTTTTAAAAGTATTTAATATTTTTTTTAAATTTGTATTTTTAAATAAAAATATTTTGAATTTGAAAGTGATAAAAGTAGAGATTATTTAATAAATTATTATGCTACTTTACATTATTAAAAATGGAAAAACTATCAAATTTTAATTATTTCATGAATCAACGAATGCAAAAACTAAGAGATTTTATATTATTAATCACATATAATTTATGAGAAGACAAAAGTAAAATATCTTTTGTGTTTTGAAAATAAATATAAATAAATTTCTTGATTGCTTGCTAATTTATATGATAGTAAATAATGTATTTCAATGTATAGTCTTTGTATATAATCGCAAATCTTTGAGTTGAATTAATTATAAAAAATAGTTGTGCGGGAAATAATTTATAATTTTTTTTTTTGCATTGACAAGTAGTGTTTTTAATTAATTGATTTTTTGATTTATAATATTGTTTGATAGTGGAATAATTAGGCAGACAATAATAATAAATTAATAATAAATACATTCCAATGATATTAATTAATATTTATAATTTTTTTGTCTTTCTAACTAAATTAATAATAATTAATTAATAATTATATACATTCTAAAGATATTTTTTAGTGATTCAGAAAAGAATTTATCTAATAAAAGTAGAAAGCGTATTTTATAAATTTAGCACCTACAAATATTAAGCATTTCATAGTAGTAAGCAATATTCTCTTATACAATTAATAAATTAGAATTAATAAAAGCCGATTTCTTGTATTAGGTTTTCATTTTTCCATTATTTAAAAATAATAGTAGTAAAATGAATAATTAGCAAGTGGATTAAGGAATGTAAGATGGTTAAAACGGTTAATCTGAAAAGAAAACTAGAAGAACCCGTAAAGATTAAAATGACAGAAACTATAATTGCGGTTGTGGTAAATCATATTTATCATACCCTGCTTTATATACTCATCTTAAACAGTAAATAGCAATTATTCAATTCTTTTAAGCTTTAGCTTTTTTAAAATAATGAAGCTTTAATTCTTTTACTTATTGTAATTAGCATTGTTTTAACAGATTTATATTATTTATAACAAGAAAACACGATGGTAAACCACCTGAGGGTACTAGTCTTCCAGGACCATAAGGCAAAGCAAATAGCAGAGGACGTCCTCCCAAAGTAAACAAACTTTTAGAGCGAAATAGAAATTTGAATTTAATTTATTAGAAAGAAGATGGTGATCAAAATAATAAAGAAGAAGAGAAGAGCGTTGGATCTAACGAAGCAGTTGATGTGCTTGAAGAAATATTGAACTTTTTAGATACTATTGATAAGAATTATAGAAGAGTAAAAAAATTTTATTTTGACTTAAAATTATTAAAAATTTAAAAATGTTTTTTGATCCATCATATAATCAAACAAATTAATTCTATCAGAATCCTTAATTGCATAATATTTTTTTTTCATTGTATCAAAATGAAAAGTTTTGAATATCAAAATATTAAAATTAAATCAAAAATAAATAAAAAAATAATTAAAAACTATCAAAAAGGATGACTGAAAATCTTTAAATTGTTTAGAAGAAAATTAATTTTTTATTGAATTTTTTAAAATATTTAAATTATAATAGAATAAAAATGACGAGTGGACTGAAGATAATAAGCTAAGCACTATATTCCCTATTGAATTCTTCCAAGGTAAGGAAGAAACTGAGTATAAAGCAATTTTAGATGGGATTAAGCAACTTGAAGATGATCCAGCAAACTATATTTATGAAGAAATAGATCCAAAAGAGGAAATCAAGAAGACTGAAATGAATAGAATATTTGTTTTATTCTTAAATTACATAGCTAAAGGTGTATAAAACGAAGCATTAAAAGAGATTATGATATTCCTCTGTTTTTATCGTAAAGCATTGAATTAATATGGCTGGGATGCTCTTGAATAAAAAATAAACAATGAATTGCAATAATAAAATATGCTTGTTAATGGCTAAAACGGAGATAATCCAGAATTAAATGGAAACTCTGAAGCAGCACCACCCTAATAGCAATATTAAATTGAATAATCTAGAAGACTATAAGAGTACTGCCAAATAAATAATGGTGACGATTCTTTCTTAATATGCAACGATTTAGTCATCGAAGTCTTACCTAATTATTTCAGAGAATATCCCAATTCAAATGATTTAGTTATTATAGGTCCATCTGATGAATAACTTAAAAATGCAGTCTATATAATTTAACATTTTGCTAACTGGCTTTTTGCAAACAGATATACAAATACAAAGTTGGTTATTAAAGCAGATGATGAATGAAAGAGCGTGCAGTCAGTTGTATAAGTAATTTACATTCTAACTGCATATATGTAAATTCTAAAAAAAATAATATTACATTGCATATAAAAAAATCTATTCTTTTAAGACACATATTATTCTCTAAAGCAGATATTAAAGTAATAGTTAATGATAGTTCTCAAAATTAGCAAACAGAATAAAAAACTTAAAGCATAAAAAATCAATTCAATACCACATTTTTACAAAATTTAATTTATTACACATATTCACTCCAATTTCAAGAATGAAGTAAATAATTATTGTTTTTTGCTATTTTTATCAGTGGGTTGATTAATTGATAATATAATAACCAGCTTACTTATCTAACTAAGCTTACTTTATTTGCTCATTTATTAACTAACCTAAATATCAATCATATTTTAAACTTTTATATTACATAAGTTATTTTTATATTTGTAAATCTTAAGATATTTAGTTAACAAATTCAAATAAACTAAATAAACTATTTCTAATTTCATTTTAATTCCATTAAATTCTTTTGAAATAAATTCCATTTTAAATGAACTCAATATCAAGATAAATCATTTCTTTTTATTATTTCTATTTCTACAATAAATAAATAAATGAATGAATGACTTACTTTTGAAACATGAGAAAATAAATATTTTGATGAATCGAAATCTAATAAGATCTTCTTTGCAAAATTGAAATATGCAAAATATCATTTGTCTTTGTTTGAGAGAAATTTTATTGATTGAAATTTGCCAAAAGTCTATAAATATGGATGTAACGAATTTTGTTAGCTCTTAAAAGTCTTTTGAGCACCTATCAGTCGCTATCTAACAAAAACAGTATCAGTTGATTAGATAATCTAATGAAGAGCGAATAATTTACGTGAAATAAAACCTCATAGAATTAACAAGGGCATGATGTATTTTTACAATCTCCACAAAAAAACTAAATAAAAATCTTATAATTATCAAACTACTTATAAACTTATATTAATTGTATATTTGAAATAAATTTCTAAGCTTCAAAATCTATCTAATCAAACACAACTTTAATCTTTATATAAACATAATTAAAGATATCCAAGTAGAAATTGCAAAAAATAGACACGCTATCTTCATTAAGCACTATTAAAAGTATTAATAAAATAGCTAAAACCATAAGTTTTAATGTAAATAGATAGTCGTCAGTGTTTAGCTGCTCTATTCGTCTTGATTAATTTTTCAATTATCAAAGACGTTGTTGCAGGTAATGCATATATTTATAAAAAAAAATAATTTTGAATATTTTAATCATTAAATTATCTTTTTGTTATTATTTAAGGCACAATTTTATAAGGGACCACTCCTATTTACAATACGATAGCAAATAATAACTAAAAAGCAGATTATACATTTTAAATTATACCTTAATCTTCGATTCCTGCTGGTGGTTAAGTTGTTATAACCTTCCCATATCAATATGCTCCTGGATTAGGGATACAAGCAGTAACAAGTACAACTTGCAACATGCGATGTGATGTTTATGATTAAAAAGTATTTTTCTACTTTGACACATAAGATATCCTTAGCAACATATGTAAAATATATATTTATTAATTTAAATTTTAAAACAGAATCTACATAAAATAAGTTTATGTTTAAAATTTTCAAACAAAACTAAATAACTAAATAAATATTCGTTTCTAATAAAACTTTCAATGATTGAGAATGGTTTTGATATCAGTCACAGTTAATATTTAAACTAGAATACTTTGAAAATTAAAAACAATAAACATATTTTATAACTTACAGATATGAAATATTTTGACATAGTTCGGCATATATACATTTTTATTTTATTAAAGAGCTTAATTTGACCATCTATCAAGTTTTAAATCCTTTGAATGCTGGAGGTACAGGTAATTTCTATGTTGAAACAATGAGGGGCTAAAACTATTATGACTCAAACTTAATGTTTGGATCACTTGGTGTTGCTGGTAGTATTGCATAGTTAGCTTCAACTACTATAGCAGTCGACTCTTCAGGAACTACTTCAGCAGGTCAACCTTCAAAATATAATTTTGCCTTTAAAACTGCAACGTTCATACCTTAAAATTCATACATAGAATTATGGATACCCAATTCAGGATTTTCTATTTCCAAAAACCCTTCATGCTCAACTTACCCTATTAATGGTGTTTAGATTTAAGGTTAAATATAATGTACGCTGGAACCTGGAACTACAATAATCTAAGTTTCAGGTAATTAATTTTATTTGATAAAAATTATAATATAAAAACAAATAATTTATTTGCAAAGTATTCTTAAATTTAAAGCAAATAATATATTAAAATTTTTAAATAATAAATGATTCTATTGCTTAAATTAATTATTTCTTTACAAACATCATTTGTCAATCAGAATAGCAAAAGAAAGAATACTTCTTTAAAAATAAGCTTTAAAATTTATTTTTCAAAAACAAACTTCACATTTAATTTAAAAAGAATATCAAAAATTGATTAATTACAGATATATATATATTAATAATGAGAAAAATATATTTATTAAACTTTTTAAAGTAATACAGCACTCACAGCAAATTTTACTTCTATACTTAATCATTAATTAGAATTAACATACACTAAAATTAATTAGGTTTTTCACAGGACATAAATATTGGAAGTGATGTAGGGCTAAGTGTAACAATGACAAATCCAACTATATCAATATTTACAGGAAATTTTAGAATTGTTGTTTATAGAGCAAACACTAAAGTAGTACTTGCTTGGAGTAATTATTTAAAAGGTCTACAAATTACGCCAGGTTAGATGCAATATATAAATTTTCAACCTGTTTAAAGTTTGGTTGTTTAAGCAGAACAAAAAATAATTGATTACACTCTGACATTCCTTCCTAAAAATCCATTACTAAGTGGTTCCATAATTTAGATAAGTTTGCCTTCTGATGGCTCTATTAAATTATTTGATAACAGTACATTTATTTTTAAAATATTTTTATTATATAATTCAAATTTTTCTTTGCAAAAAAGATTCTGATTTTACTTCGAGTTACTAGCTTTTATATGGCTTGAGTGATATCAGCTCAGATAATGAATTAGATGATACTGATGTAACAAATAACTATATAAGATTCAAGAATTTTGCACCTTAAACATCACCTTCAGAGATATCTATTTTTATGAGACTAATTTTGCCAGGACTTCCTGGTAATTCAAACTCAATCGTTGTTACAACTTACACAAGTAGTTAGATGACTACTATCATCGATTAAGACTCTACTTCTGCTTTCATCACTGTATAACCATACAATTCATACAATGGAGCTATATTAGTTCAAAACTAAGCTAACAATAAATATCAAGCAAATACTCTAGCGTCTGCTACCATTAACTTTACTCCTCCTTCCCCTATCCCAGCTGGAAGTGTTTATAGGCTTATTTTTCCCAGCTAATTTTCTCTTTCTTCTGTTTCAGGTTTTCAATTGAAATATTTTCTGCTTTATTTTAATTATTATTTATATATAAAAAGCTTCTAAATGTTAAGTAAATGCGATAAATTCAAATATTTGCAAACGTAAAGATCAAGTTGTCACAATGTATTCTTCTACTGCTCCTGGCTCATCAATTACAAATGGTGTTTAAGGAACTTTATCATTTACTGGCTTTATCACTACTCCGATATATTAAGGCGCATACTTAGTCGATTTAACTATCTATGATAGCACTCAAACTAACGTTTTATTCACTTTCAGCATTTTATTAATAATAACACCCTAGCCTTTAACTTCTGTTAATCAATACGTTTATATGAACTATCTTAATTATGCACCAGCTGCTGCTACTGACTATATAAGAAGAGGTATTTTAGAGGTTTCTCTAACAACAGTATCATTAACAATCCCTTAAGGAATGCCATCAAATCTTTCAACTGACCCATAAGGTAAAAAATAAATAATAAAATTAACCTTCTAAATCAAAGAAATTATTTGAAATATTAATTTTATTTGATATTATTTTAAGCAACATTTTTTAAAAAAATTCTAAATTATTTAACAAAAAAATATAAAATTTAATAGGATTTATTGATGTTTTATTCATTTCAAATTATGACTAAACTCTTGGCAGTAATGTTTAATTTGGCAAGGAATTTTATTGCAAGGCTCTGGATGGACTATTTAGCTTGCAGGAATACAATATTAAATGTTATTTAATAAAGACAACATATGCTGATCCCACTACTTCATCAGCTCCTGCGACGTATACTGCAATCAGAATGAAGTATTTTTAGTCTATTGCTCCGAATTCCTACATAAGATTCCATATTCCAAATATTCTTAATCCTCTATAATCTCCAGCATAAATAAAAGTACTGCTAAAATAACTATCTAACAGAAGAGAGTAAATTTTAAATACATCTGGAAATATCAATGTAAATTATGCTTCTTATCCTTAAGGTGCTGTGACTAACTTATAGAACGATAACTATATCCTTTTTAATCCTAAAACAATATTAGATACAACCTCATTTAATATATATTATCTTCAATAAAGTTTTGATATTAAAATTGCGTTAAGTGCCACAGTGCCTTCATATAATCTTGGAGATTTCATAATACTAATTCTTCCATCATTCGATACAGGTAAATTTAACTAAAAACACTTCATTTTTTATTTAAATCTGTTAATTTCTAATTAAAATTTTAAATAAACCATAAAAAATCATTTTTTCCCAAAATTTAAAATAAGTTGGTTAATAAACAATGATAAATACATTTTAGTTATATTTAAATTAGAGTGTTTGTCTTGTTTGAATTTCGAAAGTGAAATTTATGATATTTAATTGCCATTTTACTAAGTTAAATAAAAAGAAAAATAATCTGAAATATATTTTTTGAATAGGATTTATCCCTAATGATGATAGTATATCTATAGGCATATTAGAAGGAAGTACATATTATACTCAACAAACTATTTTATATCATTCAATAAATTGGATTTTAATTCAAATTACTAGTGTAAATCCTTCTACAAATTAACTATAATCTACGAACAACTTGTACATCTATATAAGAAACCTTGTTTATCCAAGATATGCACAAATATTTGGTACTATAATCTAAATTCCAGTTTATATGAATCCAGCAACCTAGTCAAATATCTAAGCTATATCAGTAATTTTACAATAAAGTATTAATAGCAAATTTTATTATTTATTTAATTCTAAAGCGTAATTCAAATTCACTGCCAGTTGTAAATGATTTCACAGATGTTTAAATACAAGTACCTTTTAAGGCTGCTTTTCAACCAGGTTCAAGATTTGAGTTTTACATAATTCCTTAAAATGATTTGCTTGATGGTTTTTCTGTTCAAATTACGTTTGATAGTTAATTTAATTTGTAAATGAGTTTCCCCAGTCCTTCATTTTCAGCTCCTCAGCTAAATCCTCTAACTTCTTAAGGTTTAATATACAAAGTGCAAAATAATGTTTTTACTATATCTAATATCTAATCTCATCCTGCTGGATCTCCTTTCAGAATAGTAGTGGATGGAGTTAAAAACCCAGCTTCAATTAGCTAAACAACTACAGGATGGTCTGTTATTGCATATTATTAAAACTAAAATAACTTTATTAATCAAAGTAACCATTATTGATTTTTTATTAATATTTAAAATTTTAAATTACCTTTAAAATAAATATTATTGAATAAAATAAAAAAGGAAATGCATTTAGCGGTTATGTAACAGGAACAGCTTTTCAGTCAGGATTTGTTATATTTTAAGGAATTAATGCTTTTCCAAGTAATTCATATTTATTTGCTACTTACACTATAGCCTTCACTCCTTCATCCTCTTTTAAAGCATATGCTACTATTTAAATTACCTTCCCAATAAGCAGTTTTTAGAATTTGCCAATAAACCCAATTTGCTAAGTTTCAGGCGGACTTTAGACTTTTAAAAGCTGCTCAATATCAGGCAACACATTCATTCTAGTTACAGAAACTGATTATAATTCAGATACCATAAATTTTACTGTAAATATTTATCAAATTTTAATTTTATTATCAAGGTAAGTAAATTAATAATTGATTTTAATTTTTACTTACAGGTTTAGAATATTTAAAACCCGTCTCCAGGTTAGACTGATGGATTTATTGTTTAAATTTATTATGATGGTGTGCTTTTATAAGATACAGATACAACCACACTTAATTTAAGAACTTTATAAATTACTAATCGTGCAACTCCTATTTAAGTTCAACAAATGTCCTTTTCTCCTATTAATGAAGCACAAAACGGATAGTATACTTTTATTTTAATTCCTACTAATAGTCTAACTTCAAACTCCTTAATATACATTAAATTCCCATAATAATATGATAATCTCCTAGGCTAAAATATAAGCTGCTAATCCTAAGGTGGGTTAACTTCTGAAATAGGCTGTTCAGTCAGCCTAGGCGTTATAACAATAAATGGAATAACATCATATACTCCTAGTTTTGATAATCCAATTGTTCTTGTTATTTCTGGGTAAATAATATTTATTAATTATATATAAATTAATTGTATTTAATTATGATTGTTAAAAAATAGAATAATGAACCCAAATGAGCTTTAAGACAGAAACGGTGGATCATTTTAAATTGGAATATACGCTTTGTTTACTAATTACTTTGTTGACTTTAATGGAAATGCTGGAAATTTAAGGACAACAGCAGCACCTTCATGGCTATAGCTATAAAATATGTACCCAAGCAACTATTACATTAGAAGATCCTCTACTTATTACATGCAATTTATCATAGACCCATCATATCCTCTACCCAGTGCTAACTCACTTGGTCAAATCCTAATTGAGTACCCTAGTTAATATGATGTACCGAATTGGCAAGTTTTAAGTTGCACATCCACAAATGTGATTATGAATAATATTAATTGCTCTGTCAATAACAATATAGTAACTGTTACAGGAAATTAAGTAAAGCTTAGTGGACTAACAGATCTATATATTAATAATTTCCTAAATCCAACCAACCCAGGATCAACAAACCCAATTATCATCAAAGCTTTTGATGGTTTTAACAATAATATCATTTCATAGACATTCTTTAACATAGATCCTTCTTTCTTCACTTTTAAAATTCCTGGACCTTATATAAGTGTAAATGCTAATTAGACAATAATAGTAGAAAGAGGTACATAAACCAAAGATCTTTAAGTCAGTCTTATTTATCCATGCGCTCTTAATTTAACTCTTATTCCCTAAGTTTCTTAATAAGGAATAACAGTTATACCTTCTCAATTACCCTTACTTTTAGGAAATTTAACATCTACTTTCAGAGTTTCAGTAGATCAGGGACTAAATGGAGGTAACTAAATTTTTTTTTTTGATTACAATCTTTATTATTTACAAATACAAGGTAATTATTACATCTACTGGTCTATTTAAGGAGAATAAAATCCTCCTCTCTATACTCCTATGTAAAAGACTTAAGTTCAAGTAAATTAAATTCTTTAAATCACAAATAAATATTTATTTTTTTTTATAATTTAAAAAGAATTTTTTGAAATAATTTAATTTTTATTTCATTCAAAAATAAATAATTTCCCCTAATTTATTTTTAAACATTTTAATAATAACTTCTTTAAAATAATTTAATAAAATTTGTTTAAATTTAAATCAAATTTTTATTTTTAAAAATTTATTTATTCCGAAAATAGAAAAATATTTTAATAATATAAATTAATTTAAATTGAGTAAAACAAGCTGCTTGCATTTAATTGTTCTTAATCTAATTTTTTTTTCTAATTTAAACAAAATAAAACCAAAATTTTAAACTAATTTTAAGTTACTAAAATTCAAATCTTATGAAATATTATTTTTTATAAATAAATAAATAATTAGGTAACAGCAAATAAAAATATTAGAATAAATGTAGGAACTTTGCAAGAAGTACCTTTAGGAGGTTGGTCTTTGCCAACTGTAATTTCTACCGACTATGCTCCTAATCTTTCTTTAGAAATTTTAATTCTATTCAAGCAAAACTACCAAGGTGTAACTATTTCTTAAAAGAGTTTACTGTTATCATAAGGAGTTAATTCTGTATCATTTTACTTGAATTGCACAACTGACACTACTGTCTAAAGTGGTACTTTATAACTTTCTTTGGACGGTATTAACTCAGATGTTTACACATTAAGTCAAACAAGTTTAAATTTTGTTATTATTGGATAAGACACAAGTCCGCCTCAAATAACAGACTTTTCCAATACAACTACAACATAGACTACTGCTACTATAACAATAGGTATTAATAATTTTTTTTTTAAATTATAAAATTGAATAATAATTTAAAACAGGTACTTCAGAAGTAACCTAAGCTTTTTTGATGATAGCTTTATAAGGAACAGATGCTCCTTCAATAAATGACCTTTTGATTTAGAAAAAGCCTAAATGGAAATCAACAAGAACTATGTATGGAAACGTTATTATAGGTAATACCAATTAGGCTACTTACACATTTACAGGCTTATAAGCACAAGTATATTATACCTGCTTTGCTTATGCTGTAGATAGAGGTGGTTAATGGAGTGGATTAAAATAATTTGATTTCTAAACTTCAAGCAGGTATGTTGCTGCAGACTTTGCCTTAACATTTAATTAAGCTTACTTAAATTCTGCAGAAAAGAGAAATATTATTAATGGAGTTGCTTTTGTACTTAGTTTGATGTAGGCATAGTAAATAAAAAATTTTCAACTATTAATATGTATTTTATAACATAATTTTATAATAAGAGTAATAGAAAGAAAATATGTTTTTACATCAAGTTAAAGCTCAACATAAACTTCCTCAAGAATTCTATAGGATTAAGATACGTTTATAAAAGGTAATAAACATTATCTTAATAAGAATTTATTCACTTTAGAATAAGTTCTAAATTTTTTAAATATTTATCAAATTAAATCATCAAATATATATAAAGACACACAAAAAATAATTAATTATTGCTCAATTACAAAAAAACCATTCAAAACACTTTTTATTTGTCTTTTTTCTTACTTAATTTTAATTAATTGAAAGGCAATAAATTAAATACATAAAATTTAATAGTAAATTAAATGATTTTATTTGTTAATTTGAATAGAGAGAATATTGCAGACTTAACAGACTTCGATTCACTTATAAATTATATCTAATCCTTTTACAGAAAATTTCCCTTCTCCCTACAGTCTTGTCGGATATTTGATTTAAAATTAATTAAATAATCTAGCGAATATCTTAACTAATCTCAATACTAGTGCAACAATTCCTTATTCTAATTTTTCAGTTTATGTTCCTACTTTTTTAATTACACCAACTGAAATAGACACAGCAACAAATAAGGTTACAATTTCTGTGGAGCTTGATAATTATGGCTTTGTTTATGCTATGGCTACTAAGACTTAAGAGGATAAAGGTAAACCAAATGGCTAATAAATTTAATGGGGTTATAACTCTACAAACGGAATTGTGCCAAGCTGGAAGATAGAAATATCATAACCATATACAAAATATAATATTACTATTCCTAGCATGATTCCGAACACTGAATATAATGTTTATATTATTGGAGGTAGTGTTTAACCTGGTTATCCTGATTTAATGGATAATTCTTAGATTTAACTGATATCAGCCCAGACTCTATTTATTCCAAGCTGTAAGGATTCATTTATTTTGAATATATATATCTATTTAGAATTTTAACATATCCACAATAAACCAGTCATATCCAATCATTTACTTTAATGTTATTTTTTAAAATAAAATTAGTACCCATCTTGGATTTATCACAAATGATACTCAAATTTGCTATTCCTTAATTCATATTCGTACTTCTATATGTTTTATGATGTTTCGATTCAATTAATTTAAAGTGATTATAAACAAATATATTTATTTATTTATTTTGTTATAATTTTATTTTATAAAAACAACTATTTATAATTTTTTTTACTTACTTTTTTTTATAAATAATTCAATAAATAATTTTTTAATTAATTTTATCTAAAAATATTAAATCTAAATTAAGTATTAACTTTGTTGTGTTAATGTAAATTCATATAATATTTTAAAGTCCAAACAACTCTTAATTATTATTTGTATATAATTATTTTAAGATGTGTTTTAAATCTATTTTCTAATAATGTTAATATTTTAAATTTAGATTTATACTAACAAATCTAATAAAGAATTCTTAACAAAATTTCACTAACTTTACTGGTAAAATTTGTATGAACCACCATAATATATTTTAAAGATAATAAAAAATTCTTAATTAAAATACCTTGAATATTTAAGTTTATATTTTCTGAAAATAAATTATAATTTTTAGAAGTAGATTATAAAATTTTAATTTAATAAATAATAAAATTTTTAATATTTAGCTGAGTTTTAGAAATTACGCTTATCGAATTTTATTATCAAAAGAAATACATTTTTTATTGTAACGCAAATTAAATTTTTCTATAACATAAATACGTTATCACTTGAAAAGTGAGATTTCTAAACTACTCCGTATTCATTCATTATTCAAAAAAATTCAAAATAAAATTATATAATAATATAAATACTACTACTTACAATTCGAAGGTAAATACTTCATTTAAAATTCATATCATATGTTATAATTGCAATAAGAAGAAGTATTTTAGAAAATATTTTCAGAACATAAAAAAAGATACTTACTAATTAATTAAAGCCTAATATAAAAAATTTCAAATCGATTTCAATAAATAAGTATCTTTTATTAATAATATTCAAATCATATAATTATGAATCTTTTTTTAATTACCATCAAAGTAAAAATAATTAATTAAATATCTAAAAAAGTGAATAATTGAAGATTATTTAGAGTAAATATTATGAAAGGAAACATAAATTTTAAAGCTAAAATAACTTCAAATTACTATGTCATACTCCTTTTATTTATTATGATAAGCTAAAGTTAATAAGTCCGCATTTAGAAAAATTAATATAATCGAAATAATTAGCTTACATTACAGGAATAATAGATAATATTTTTAGAAGATCTTAGATAAAAGACATATTGCGATGATTCAAAAAATAAGTGTAATAACGGAGGGTAGTGCGTTTCTAACCAATGCTACTGTCCTTCTCCATATATAGGACCTTATTGCTAATATTATTTAGATATAGGGACATATGTTTAGTATTGGGTAGGATCTATAATATGTGCTACCTGTTTAGTTTTGGGATTTGTAGGAACTTATTTTTATCTACAGTATTCACTCAAAAAGCAAAAAGAAGATAGAATGAAAAATGAGAATAGCAAAAAAAATGAAATTTGGGAAAAAGTAAACATCTAAAAAAGCTAATAAAATATAAGAAGCTTGCAACAAATAAGCACTCAATCTACAGTGAGTTGATTTTTTCTAAAAGCATGAATAAAAATGAAAAGAAAAAGAGTAATTTTTAAATAAAAATCTGTTATATTGTAATAATAAATTAAAAAGCATCTCTAAGTTATTAACTAAGTCTACTAACAAACTATTCAATCAAATATTTTCAACTTCAAGAAAGAAGAATATAGGCCAATATCAAATATTTATCACAAAAATAATGTCTAATTAAACAAAAATACATTTTATAAATTTAAATTATTTCTGTCAAACTTTATATTATAGATTTATTTATCTTCATATAAAAAATATCACCACTTATTTTACATTTTTCTAACTTAATCAAATCTATTTAATTTACTTAAATATCCTCCACAATAATTTTGATTAGTATAATTTATTTATTTATTTGGGCTAAAACTTTTTTATTAAATTTCCAAAAAATAGATATAACAAATTTGAAGTAATTCTAACTTTTTTGTGTTCTTTTATTTTAATAATCTGTGATATTCAAAGGTGTTTACTTTTAATATTTTTCTCACATTTAAATTAAAGTATTTGCATTTTTTCAAATAATAACCTTTTTTTACTTAATAAAAGCTAGTATTTTTGTATTTTTTAGTCAATTAATTGATGATATCATCATTTAATGAAAAATATTCAGCAAGTATTAAATTTAAAAAATTAAATTAATTTTTAACATATTTAATTAACTTTAAATTAATAAATTAAATAATTAATAAATAAATAAATTCTCGTTTGGTTTGTCTTTTAAATTTCTATTTTATAAAATGTTAAATAAATTAATTATTTACAATGGAAAATTAAAGTAGAATTTTTGTTTTGGTTCTTTAATGAAATAAATTTACAATTTTTAAAAGAGTTAATAAAACACTCAATTAATTAAATTAGCAAACAAGATATTGATAATAATAGCTTGATTGAATTATTTCTTAAGTTGACAATAAATTAAATAATTTTAAGAGATTAATAATTTTATTAAGCAAATGATTTTATATTTTGCTTTATAAAAAATAAATAAAAAATATTTCAGCAAAAAATATAATTATCAAAAAATTAAACAAAATATTATAATTATTATTAAAATTTTGAATTAATCGATATATTATGGATAACTTTTTTAGCAAAATTGTAGACAATATACCAAAGTTCGACATATTTTAGTTAGGAGGCGATGATTAACTTGAGTATCAGTTTTAGGAGTTTGGAGAAAATGAGGGATATGATTAGGAAAATTAGAATTTAGAGAGGGAGAAGAATTTTGATGAGGAAATTTACATTACTCATCTTAAATAGAAGTTGGTAGATGTTTTTAAATAAGTAAGAAATTTTTAAAAATTTGCTGAATTATTAAATATTTGAAGCGAAAATAATTAACAATGAGATTTATTGTATTTAAATAGGATGAAGGAAAGAAGCTTCTGCTTATGGATAAAAGGCTCCATTAAATATTTGATATGATAATAAGGGCGAAGCGTATTGGCGAGTCAAAATAGACAGGATTTAAAGATTTCTTGTCAGAAACAGGAATAGATAAAATTTCTTATTTAGTTTAAGATGTAATAATGTTGAATTTACTGTCTCATAATTTATTTTACTTATCTGAAGTTAAAAAATCTATCAGCTTAGATATTTTATACTTAGTTTTTTAGATAATAAATGCTTTCATTTGTAATAGAAAGAGAGTTTATTCAATTTTTAAACAATAGAGTGTAGGTGAAGGTCATGAAAGAATCTATTTCTTTATATATCCAGATTTAAATTTGATTCAAAAAATAAAGACAATTATCCTAGTCGACTAGTAAAAAGAGGTTAAAAGAAAGTATACATGTATTATGGTACCAAGGATAAGCACTATTTGCTAATAGAATCTTTATGGTGTAAATTAATTTACTATTTTCTATCAGTAAATAACATAAGAAATGTTATTTTTACTTAAAATTAAAATAATATTTTTTTTAATTTTGTTGTAAATTGAGTTGAAATCAATAAGATTAAATATTATTCTTTTTCATTTATTAAAGGTAGAAGCTAACATTACCCTTAAAAGTTTTAATTTTGACTTAATCCCTTTTGGCTAGGATCTTTTCTCTCTTGAAATTCAGAACCCTTTACAATAGATTTATTTTGAAAAAGAATAGAGCGTGTTTTAATTGATAGCTGATTCTTTGCTAAGGATATAATACTTATATGGCCAAACAAATAATATTTTTGGTATAGGAAATGCAGCAAAAGTAAATAAACTATTTAGTAAAGTGAAAATATCTAAATAAATCTTAATTAAAAGGCAGTAGAATAAGTTTTAAATTAAAAGAAGAAGCAACACATCATATAAGGAGATTTAGCAGACTATAAAACTCTAGAATCAATTATTATAATAGATAGAACTGCTGATTTGGCAACACCTTTGTATACTCCAATCACGTAAAATTTTGATATTTTCTTATTATTTCTAAAAGTTGCAAAATAAAATACTTATTTTGCTTGCATAAAAAAAATAATGTCTCAATAAATTATTTTCCCTTTTTTATGTTTTCAGATAAATTATTATGAAATTTTATTAATTTATTTGAATTAAAATTTATGCTAATTATTATCAAAAAATAAAACAGATATTAAGCATTGCTTGATGAACAGTTTGGAATAACTATGAATTCTATCAACATTAAATAGAGTTTGGTAGACGAAACAGTCAAAGATGATACTCAAAAAATATAAATTTTTTTAAATCCAAACTCTGATTAAATATTCGCCTCGATATCTAATTAGACTTTGAATGTAGCAAGAGAGCTTTTAGATGTAAAAAGAAAAGAGTTTAAAATAATTTTGAATGTAAGAAAAGAAGAAATTAATTTAGTTTTTTATTAATTTAATATTTTTATAAAATAGAAATATATAGAAAATAATGGTTTTAATGGATTAAGTTAAGACGAGTAAGATTAAGTCAAAAAGATTTTAAAAGATGAAGATATGAAAAAAATTGAACAACGTATTAATTACTAATTATTGTAAAGAAAGAATTAAATTGTTTTTTATTGATTAAAATAAATAAAGACACATACTTATTAACACACCTCATGCAAGCATAGTAGTATGATCGCCATTTTGAATTAGAGACATCAATACTTTTTCCTTTAGACCCAAATGATATTTCAGATGTAGTAGAAAGATTAGAATGCTTAATCCTCTTTGAATACCCCATAGAAGAAGTATTAAGACTATTCTGTCTAATGTGCTAAGTATAAAATGGATTAAAAGAAAAAGTATTTGATCAATTAAGGAAGTTGATTATTTAATAATACGGTATTGAGCATCTAGCTACTTTAAATAGGTTAGAATAGCTTGGGTTTTTAAAAAAATACTAAAACAAATAAGCTAAAGAAGATTGGAATAACTTGGTTGCAGTACTTTAATTTATATTTATTTTTAATTGGAAAAAGCAATGAATAATTTTTAATATTTTACTGATTTTTTTCTTTAATTTATAAAAATTAAAAAAATAAATAGAAATTATAGCTTATTAATGAGTAAGTTGATGAAACTGATCCTAATGACATATCTTATGTTTATATAGCATATGCTCCTATATCGTAAATTTTTAATCATAAATAAAAGCTTTTTTTATTCTTTTTTTAATTATTGCAGTGTTAGACTAGTCCAGCAAACATTTAAGAAAGGATAATGGAGAGAAATTGAAAGGGAATTAAAAACTTTAGGAAATTATTTTATGCCTAAAGATGTTAATCCTAAAGCAGGATTAAAGACAAACTAAAAAAAATTAGTGGTAGTTTATTTTATTGGAGGAGTTTCATACGGTGAAGTTGCTGCTTTAAGATTGCTAGGAAAACTGCATTGTAAATTAATATTTTTTTACTTTAATATTTTAATTTTATCTATTAAAATTAAGATAAAGAAATAGTTATTTGCACCACTAATATTATAAATAGTAAATCCATCTTCAAAGAAGCTATGTCTGGATTTGCTGATTTATGATTAATTCTTTTCTAATAAATTAAATCAGTAAGTAATTAATAAATGTCAAAATTATTCTTTATTTCTGCATCGATAATTCCTTTTAAAAATACTTCATATCACATTTCACATTTCACAATGAATCATATAAAGTTTACTGTTATTGTTTTCTGTTTTTAATAATAAATGTCATTCACTTTGACAATAGCTAACTTCTTATGAAAAGATCTTGAAATAGGATAAAAAACTTCAATAAAAAAATAAAATGCCTTACTTATTTATAAATTAAATTATTTAAATACATTAAATCTTTCATTTTTAATAAAACAAAAATAAATATAAAATTTTTTTGATGAAGATAAAAAATAAACAAAAAGAGATTATGTTTCTAATACATACTTATATAATGTTAAAGAATATTATAATATGCTAAAATATATTTAAGTTATTGTAAATTGTTTAATAAAAGATTTAATCATTAATAATAAATTTATTTTTAAAAGTTTTACCAAAAATTAATAAAAATAAAATATTTAAATCTTGTTTTTTATAAAAATAACAACTTTTTATTTATATTAATTATTATTTTTACATTTGATGATTTAAAATTAATAAAATAAAGATTTATTTTCAAAATATTCATTAAAAATAAAATTAATTAATTCTTATTCAACATTAAACAAATTAAGATTTTGTAAATTCATAAAAGTAAAATGTTAAGAGGATTATTTAGGAATAAAGCGTTATAGAAAGTTAAAATATATTCAAGAGAAGTCAGTTTAGAAAATAAAATAGAAATTGAATAGGATTTTGATGAAGAAAATTTAAAATAATATAAAAACATAAATTCTTAATATTATTTCTACTCATTACTTTTGTAAGAATAATCGAGAAAAGCAAATATTTAAGATTAGCACTTCTTAAAAGTAAAAGATTAGGCTTCTCAAATACTTACTAAGCAATTTAAAATACATGAGGATTATATTGCATTTCAGTTTATAGTAGATTTTGATTTATATCATGAAATAAATATGGTAGAATTGGCTAAAGATTTACAAAATAACAAAATTATAATTGATTATAAAAATTTTGTTCCTTTATCGTTACTGCTTCAAAAAATAATTCTAAGATCTGAATATCAGGAATAGTAGGACATAATATATGAAAAGATATTATAATTCATAATATAATAATTAAAAACGAGAGTTTATAGTATTAACAATGACGATTTTAGTAACATCTTGAAAGCAATATTAATTATTGTAGAGTCTAACAAAGAAGATATTAGTGTTTAATAACAAAAAATTGGTTTTAACTATCTTTAATAAAAATTGAAAGATTATGAAGAAATAGAAGAATTAAAATAATCAGAATTTTTACCTTCCATTCTCTACTTTGCATAAAAAATATCTCTGGCTACTAATTATAAATTTAAGATAAATTATTAGAATTATGATGCTTTTTTTTGCAATAAGTTTAAAAGCTTAGACAATAATTAGCTATATTTTCTTTCAAATTTTTTTATTTTGCATATGAAGGATGAGCCTTAACAAGTCTCTCGTTTTTTAGAGCTAGTCTACTTTAACTTGCTCTCTAAGACTAAATACTATAGAAGAGAATATCTCATCCGTAAATTAGGAATTTATGATTTCAATTAGCCACTATTCTAGTTAGCAAAAACTGCATTAACAAGGATATTTTTACTTAATGCTACTTAAAAAGAACCTAAATTTAGAAAAGAAATTAATTTAGTGCCAGCATAAAAGCTTGAGATGGCAATTTCAATGCTATAAAGTGTGTAATTCAAAAACTCTCCTTTGATAGAAATATTTTTATCTGAAATAATAAATGAGATTTCATAAATTTATATACACATCGTCAAGTTAGATTATTCATAAGAATACAATTAATTACACTCCCTGTATAAGCAACTTGTTTAACTAATATCATTGATTGATAAGAACGTTATATAAACAAATAAAGATGTTATTTTCCTAACTTAAGTTATTTTCAACTATTACACTCTTCACAATTAGAAATTCGATAGAATTATGAAGTGTAGCTTAATTTAAATTGTAGATAATGTTTTAAACAACAAAAAAATGTATGATTTAAATTAGGAATAAGAAAAAAAGGCTAAGAGCGAGGATAAGTTAAGTTAATTTTTAAGTAACAAATAATTCAAATTATTTTTAGAAATATTTAAATCTGATTTATTGAAAATGATAAATGGATCATTTTAAAACATTGAATTAGTAAATTAATAACAAGTAATAATTCCTTTACTTAAGATAATTTCTGAGCTATTTTCTGATCAGTTCAAGAATTGTGAGAACTTCTTAGCTCAAGTAACAGATAATATTCAAAGGATAAACCAATAGAATTAAAGTTACTTTATAAATTTCTTGCTTGATCATTCATAAATACATCCTGAATAAGTAATTGAAGTTGTAAAGAGAATCATAGATTAATATGGAGAAACTAAGGTATTTTAAGGATGCTTCATGCTAAAATCAAATTTTTTGATACTTTTTATGAAGTTTATAAATGAAATTGAAAACAAAGATAAAAATTTGAAATTATTGCAAATAAAACTTAATGATTTAATGAACTTTTAACTCAAAAACATAAATGAAGAAACTGTATTACTGACAATCAAACTGATAAAGTAATCATAAGAGGCTGATATTCACTTAAAAGAAATAGATTTTCTATAGGATGTATTTTTCAGAATAATATCTGACTCTCATAAAACATATTCTTAACAAAAATACTAAGAAATAGTTTCTTTATGCCTTAGTCTAAATAACTATAATAAAAACTTTGATGATGGGTCAGAGTGTTATACTCAAACACTCTTAGAAGAGCTACAAGAATATAATAATTAAAACTATAATAAGTTTAGTCCTGAATTCTAAAAAATTATTGAGCCTCATGTTTAGTTAGAATAGAGTAATTTAAGTAAATATTTTGATGAAATAAAAGAAAGAGTTTAGAATATGCAATAAAATTGATTTAGTTAATACGGTAGTGTCATTTTATTTATAATTAATAATTAATTCTCACAAATTAATATTCTATAAATATTTTTATTTCCTTCAAAAATGATGATAAATTGAATCTAATATATATTAAATAAAACATACAGCATATAACAAAAATAAAAAATTTTTAATAAAAATGATTAATTCTTTATTTTAGAAATTTTAGAAATTTTTTAATAAATTATTTAAAAAAAAATGAATTATTTTCTATTAAATATATTGAGAACATATTACCATAAATTGGTATTTTAAGAATAAAAATTGCTTAATTAACTTAATTAAATTTATGAATATTTTGTATTAGGTTTTATAAAGTATTGATAGATATATACATTCATAAATAAGTTGAATAACTAATTATATATTTTATTAATAAGATTGATTTTTATTTATATTAAAATGATGTATTGTTTTTTTTAAAATATTATTTTTAATTATTTTGTTTAGATTGGAAAATTTTTGAAGAATTTATTAAGCTTAATTTAAAAAATTAATTCTATTTAATTAGAAAGAATATTTCAGTTTTATTTTAGAGTAATGCCTCAGTTTTCAATTCGTTCTGTGGAGTATAAAAGAGAGTAAGACGATATATTCTATTCCTTTTTAAGAGAAATAATCCAATTCAAAACAGCTACCCATGTTTCTAGAACTGATTTATCTTAAGTACAAAACAAAAGCCTTTGTTCTGACTCATACCATTCATGACTTCTTCCTGACCAAGTTGTTAAATCTAAAATTTTAATAGAACATTATATATTCAATACAATTTTTAGTAATTTACCCTTAATTTTTTTATTTAGTCCTCCATTTCTATAAGAATCTAATTTGTCTTAAGGCATTAAATGGTTATATTGAATTTTCTAATTAAATAGTTAAAAAGTTAATTTTTTAAAACCATAGCTAAAATATTTATTTACGTTTCCAATTTAGCTGTCGTTTTCAGCCTTGTTTTCGTTGTTATCTAAAATTATTTCAAAATAATAAACTACCACATTTTTACTTAAATTATCTGGATAAAGTTTCTGTAAATTATTTTTTTATCTTTATTTTTCTTTTGGGAGGAGAGGAACTTAGAATTGCACTTTAGAAACAGACTAAATGCTAGCAATAGGTATTATTTACAAAGGTTTATCTTCATAGCACTTAGAATGCACTCTATCTTTATAATATTTTATGCTCTCTAAATTTAAAGTTATATATCTTGAAATAAAATTATAATTCAAGCCAGGTTTATATTTTTATAATTCGCCTTAGAATAATATTTTTTCTTTTTATAAAATTAAAAAAACGAATATAATTTTAGTTTTATTTATTATGTAAAATTTTTAATTTAATTAAGAATTTTTTTTTGAAATTTAAATTCATTTACTTTAATTTTAAAGAGAGAGTCTTATGACTTGACGCGATATGTACGTTGATAATTTTTACTCCTCAGCTTCTTTTGATATTTACAAATTAAATTGAAATAAAGTATTATAAACATTTATAAATTACTCTATAATGCTTCTTCGTTGCTTACAAATAACTCACCTTCACCTTCAGTTGATTGATTTTATTTATAACCTTCTATTACTTCTTCATCCTCCGAAGGCTGTGCTTTTAAACTTTCTTTTTAATTTTCTTCTTAGAATTAAGTGATAAGAGCTTTTTTGATTTAAGGATTATTTTCATTTGAAGTATTTTGAATTAGTTTGGGTTTTTTCTTTATAATTAATTCAGCATAATCTAAATTATCTTAAGTTATAAGGTCTTACGAGTTGTTAGCATCTACATAATTCATATTTTTAATTTCAATTTACTTATTTAAGTGTTCCTCTTTTTTTTTCAAAATATACTTTTATATCTACGATATTTCACTCCTGTTATCTTCTTCCTATTCTTACTGATCTTAAGATTGATTCAAGCTTTAACTTTTTTAATGAGAAATCTTTGAAATTGGAGACAAGTTTACTGATTACATATTTTAATCATTTCCATTTTATTTGCTTTAAATTGGATTTTGCATTCTTTATTCTGCACTTTCTTAACTAACAGAAGCATTATTTTTATGCTTCAAATAGGCAATATAATTTTTGAAGTAAGAATTTGCTTCATCTTTTTAAATAGGATAATTAGCCTATCCCTAAAATAAAGGAGTTTCTTTTTATATTTAAAGTGCATCGTTCTCATCAAAGCTTATTTCTGCAATTTAAACTTCATTTTGTCTATACCCATTTTACTAATTTGGGCTCTATATTTGTTAATTTTTACTTTCTGATTTTTAAGAAACCTAAACAGAGCTCAAATTATAATCTCTCTAGTAGTTATATTCATATTCTTCTTAATTATTATATCCCCTATCATTTTTGAGGCTATTAATATCGAAACGTGCATATTGATTATCCAAGGGTTTTGCAAATTATTATTCTTTATCTTCTTGTATACTTTAGTTTTTATGCATTTGAAATACTAATTTGTTTGTGTAAAATTGCAAATAAAAATAAGAAAAATAATAAATTAAATACTTAGATTTTAGATTTTTTATTTTTTGGTAACTAACTCTTAATCTTAAACACACACAAAAAACTTATTCTATTACTGAGTTTTAATTTTTGCAAGCTAAGAATTCATCTGGCTTGCTAATCTTTATTTCTACTGCAAAACTTTCATGAATTTAATACTTTTTCTATCTTAAAATTAGAGCTAAGTTTTTTAGATTTGCTTCTTTTTTTAATTTTTCTATCTTTTTATTTTGAAAAATCTAAGTTTATTTATTTATCAGTTAAAATAACAAATTCATTTATAAATTTAATTTTTTTATTTACTTTTGTTTAAAAATCAATACTTCCTATTAAACTAAGTAAGTTCATCATTTTAAAATATATTTTAATTATTTTATAAAATAAAAAAATAAATATTTTAATTTAAAATAAAGACCTCAATTTAAAATTATGGTTAAGATTTAAACAAAATAAAAAAAATTAAAATAAATACCATAAGACTACAATCTTAAAAAAGATAATTTCATTTAATCACTATCAAATAATTAATAATAAAAATTTAGATTTTGTAGTATACCTGATCCATATTTAAGCTTCTTATTCAAGGTTTTACATTATAAAAAATATTTAATAAAATAATAAAATTAGAAATACATATTCAAACAAAAAAAAACTAAAAAATAAGATTTTTATGACAAAAATTTAAATAAAATTATTTATTGATTTTATAATAAATCAAGGAATTGCTTTTCCTTACCAACAATATAATTTAAAGCTATGGTTTTATTATTTTAATTATATTTTAAGAGAAGAAGTAAATTAAACTTATTTAAATTAACATTTGTTTAAAAATTAAATTCACTATGAATTTCACTATTTTTAAAAATTACTTTTAAATACAAATAAAATCATTTTTGTCAATTATTAAATCTTCAACTGTTGAATTTTAACTAAGAATTTTTTAATTATTCTCATAATAATTTATTGGATCTTATTTAATTATATAGGAACCTAAAGCAAAAGATTTTAGCCTAATTTAATAATTTTTGATTAAAAACTAGATATTATAATTTAAAAGGAAATTTTGCAAAGAATTTATTTAGTAAAATGAACGTTTATCTACCTGGTTAAAGTTTAAGTAATAAATTAGTGATATAAGAATTTTATTTAAAGAGGCTATTAAATAAAAAATAGATTTACCTCAAGGGAATGTTAGATATTCAGCAGGATAAGGATGCTATGAATTGAATGGCAAAATATTTGCTTCTATTTGCGGAAAATGCTAAATTGATAAAGACAATATAGTAAGTATAGTTCCTTTAGGCAACAAAGTAGCAAATTTACAAGTTGGCTCAATAGTGACAGCTAAGGTAAATCTTTAAATTGAAAGTATTATGAAAATATAAGTTATTTTGCATACTTATTAGGTGTTAAGAATTAGAGACAATAAAGTTGAAGTCAAAATAATGATGGTAGAAGATGCTGTGATTAACTATAATTTATAAGGAATAATTAGAAAATAAGATGTTAGATAAACTAATTTAGATATTTTAAAAATGGAGGAATAATTTATTCCAGGAGATATCATTAAAGCTAGATTTGTAATTATTTAAATTAAATAATTTGAACCTCATTTTTCTAAATTAATTAAAGATATCATATGGCGATTCATAAAAATTATATTTGTCTGTGACCGAAGATGAATTAGGAGTAGTTTTTGCTAAGCATACTGAATCTAGTAATAAAAGAATTCAAATATTTTAATTAATTTTTATTTAAATTTAATAGAATAGCTAATGATTCCTTTCAGTTGGGAAGAAATGATTTGTGTATAAACTGGATAAAAAGAAAAAAGAAAAGTAGCTAAACCAAATATATCTTTATTCTCTGCTTAAATGTAATGAAAAGGCAAATATTTTAAAAACAAGTACATATGTTAATTAATGAATTAAAAAATGACTCTAATATATAATTCTATAAATATATACAGTTATTTATTTATTTTTTTGATTGGATATTTTTAAATACCCTATAAATGTCTTTCTTTTTTATAGTAAATGATAAAGTTAGTATGTTATTAATTTTTTTATTTATTTAAGTTTTGTTGGTTGAATAAACTAAATTATGTTAAAGTTTTTTATCAGCCAACAAATTGAAATTTTCAGAATTAAAGCTAGGGTGTTAACTCTTATATAAATACTTAAAATGGAATTCTCCCTTCTTAAAGATTGCAGAATCTGTCTGATAGGTATCCCAACTCTTTTTCACTAACAGAGAACCCTTGTAATTCTATAGATTTCCTCAGCTAAAAAATTATAGATTAACAAATTAAAAAGTATAATTTTATAAAATTTATATTTAATTACATCATTAAACAAGATGTATCCATCATCGTCGGAATCAATCAACTCAAAAAGTCTTAGCAATTCAAAGTTTTCATATGCTCCATGCAAATTTTAAAGCATCCTTTCAACTGTAAATCCATATTAAAGATGAGTATCTAGTAACTTTTCGAAATTCAATCTAGTTTCTTTTTAAAATACCTATTGTTTTTTTAAAAATATTTTTGTAAATTTAATCAAAATTTTTAAAAAAATTACTTTATGATATTCAAGTAAGTTTTATTTGTTTATTGGCTGTCTACAATTTATCATTTTAGCATACTCCTTTTGTTTTGGTAAAAAGGCATCGATGAAATCTGAGAACCTTTTTTTTAAATAAATTAGTTAGTTTTTTTAGCTTGATGATAATAAAAATTGTTTGTTACCTTAAACGACCATCGTGATCTTTATCGAATTTCCTGTAAAAGAGAAAAATATCTTCTATATTGTAGAAGATGTTCAAAGAAGATAAAGTTTCTTGAAATTCAGACTGAGTAACAAGTCCTTTATTTTAAGAATCGAAGACCCTGTACGCATCTTAAAGATTAAAATCAGGACATAATGCTAAATTTTATTTGCATAATTCTATTTCCTTTTCAAAGTTAATTATTTCTCTAAAAATTAAAATCAATTCCTTTAGTTGCTTAAAAATCTCAGAATTCATATATTTTGTTATTCCTTTCTTTTAGAAGAATTTATCTTATTTAAGTACAAGAGTAGGAGTTGTTAATTCTTCTTTATCAATATTCGAAAAGCTCCTGTTCTTCCTTACATTAAAGTCAACTTTTTTATTTTCTTATATAAAATTTCTAAAGCTTGTGTTTGTTTAATTATGTTTGTTCTAAAGTTTTTCAAGAATAAGATTTTTATTGAGAGTATGACTATTCATCAAATTATTGATCGTCCTTGAATAGGTTAAATCTAATTAAGAAGCATCTTTTCCTGCATAAAACTAGCTATTATTAATTGCATTTATAGATGCCTGTTGTATATTTGTACTCTTATTTAAAATACTTTTGTTAATTATGCTTCTATTTAAAGCTGAAGCTGTCTATTTTTTAAATAAAATTATTTTTTAATATTTTGTCAACTTTTTTTAACAAATAAATTAAAATATTATTTTAATTATGAAAAAATTATAAAAGACATCGAAAATAAAATAATTGTTTTGAATGTTCAATTTCAATTTAAAATAATTATTTTTATTAAATTGAACATTATCTTACAAAACAGTTTTAAAAGCAACAAAATCAAATTTTACTTTTATTTGTAAAAAAAATATTTTTTAAAATTCTTTTTATCCAAGTTAAATTTAATTTGTTTACACTTTGATTTAGTTGTTTCTCAAGAATACTTTAATCATTAGTTCTTCTATTAAGTCTTTCTAAGTTTATTTGTAAAGGTTAAATACCAAGGATAAATTCTGCAAGGTTTAGCCTTCCATCATCATCTCTGTCTAATCTCCTCAAAATATTAATGATTAAATCTTCTTAATTTTCTAGATCACACCCACAATCTGTCATATATTCTGATAAATTTGTGAAATTAATGTCTCCTTCGTTGCTTCTATCGATTCTACTAAATGCATCTTTAGCACTAAATCCACTGCATTTGTGGAGCAATATTTTATGATTCTCAATTTTTTTGTTTATGTAAATATCTCTTTATTAATAAAATATAAAATATCATAAATAATTCTATTAAATTTTATTTAATTGATAAAAAAAATGAATGTTTTAATTATTTTATGAAATCTCAAAGCAAAGAATATTTTTAGATTGTTCTTCCATGCTAAAGTCTTAGCTCAATTTTAACAAAATTTATCAATTTGACTTTCTATTTTTTATATTTAGATTGCTTTTTTTTCAAGTTATTTCATTTTATTTGATATTCTTAACTTCACTTCTAAATTAAATGAAAACAAAAGAAAACTCTTTTACTTTTCAATAAATTTGAGCAATGCATTTTCAACATCATATGGAAGTAAGTCGTCTGGTTCGATTTCGTAAGAAGGCCTCTAAGTAACTTCTTATCTTAACTCGGGATTATCAAACGGAAGTAATGATTTCAAAAACCTTTGATTGATATTTATAAAATTGAATTTCTGTTAAAAAAATGTAGGATTATATAAATTCAATTTACTCCATGTAAGATAACTTATTATCTAAATCTATATCATATTAATAAATATATGTTTAGCAATCTCTTAATTCGTAAAATGCTCCATTTGAAGACAAAAAATCCTAAATATCTGAAGCAAGTATGAATCCTTGTCTCTTTCTATCTATTCTTTTAAAGGCACTGAATGGTTCAAAATCTTACTCTTGGCATAAAACCTATCTGTAATCCTCTAAGTACTTTTCTTCCTAACCTAATAAAATTAGAAGCTCGCATAACCTATTTCTAGTTTCTCTTTTATACATTTATATATATTGCTTTTAATAATAAATGTTTGAGCTATAAAATATCTATTTGTTTATAAAAAATTCAGTATAAAATATAAGCCAAAAATTTCAATTTATTTTTTTAGGATAAGATTTAATATTCCATCAATAAATAAACTAATAACATAATCTTTACAAATAAATTGAATTGAAACTATTAAATTTTATATATATGTGTGTATGTGTATACTAGTAGCCCACAAAAAAAACAAATATATAAACTTTTAACGTATTTATATTTATAAAAATAAATTCAAATTTATTTAAAATATTATTAAATTTTGTTAGAATTATCTTTGTTTACAAAAATTTGTTGTTATCAACTTGAGCTCTATCAATCTCATATACTTATACTTAAATAAATTAATTTTTTTGTTTTCAAACTAATTTGACGTAGTTTCTTTTAGTTGTTGAATCTTTCTGATGTTTTGTCTTTACTTAAAATTTTTATTTTTTAATTCATAATAAATATTTTAATTATTTACTTGAAATATATGCATAAATAGTTCAATTAAGGAGATTTAGATATTTCATGACAAAGAATTTCAGCATCATCCTATGAAATTTTATTTATACTTTTGAATAAATAATTTGGATAATATAACTGAAAATATCAATTTAAAAAAATAAATACGCTAAATTTATAAATAAATAAGTTAAATTTTAGCATTTTGAAATGCTTTCTCCTAATATTTATCCAATGCTTTATTCCCCAAAATTATTTTCTCTATTTTCATATTAATTATCATATATAGCTAATTAAAAAGGAGTCTAAAATATTTTTTTAATTTACATCAGACTAATAGAAAGTAATTATAATTTAGGAAGTTAGACTATAGCTTCACTTATAAATTATATTGAATTGTCTGTTAGCTAACTTTTTTCTCTATGAATTTATTTAATAAATGATATTAATGAAGTAAAAAAGCACAAAATAAATCGATTTTACGGTAAAGTAAAACTGAATTTATAAAGTTACTTAGACTTCTATATTCCTTCACATAAATGTTTAATATATTCATCAGTTAGCTTAAAATGTCTTTATCAACAAATAATTTCAATAAAAAATTATAAAAAAGAATTAAAAATTTACAATTATAATTACAAAGTCTTTAGATTAACTAGATTTGATATTGACTGACTTACACTTTGAATACCATCAACAAATATCACTGATTTTCTATAAAAACATATTAAATTATTAAAAATAAAAGCAAAAATACCCTATTTGTAAATGTAAATTATTTATATTTGAACATTAATTGAGTGAACTTAATACCATTAATAATCCAGAATTGCTTATCCAAAAAAGACTTTTTAAAAAATAAGTTTTAAATTAAATTTTAATGAAATATTTAACCTGAATCTAATAGATTATATTTTATTAGAATTTGATGACAAAAGACCGCTTAATGATTTGACATTAGAATCATTACTAGAATTTTCTTTGTCATATCTCCTAAAAAATTTAATTATTTATCTTAAGAGAGTTGAGTTTGTTTTAATATAGAATTTAAACAAATTATAAATTACCAGAAGTCACAACAATAAAAGTTAATTTCCAAAAAATTAATATTTTAGCAATGATTTAATCCTTAATTTAATGCTTAAACGATTTCCTGTTAAATTGTGCTTTCATCACTTTTTTATTTTAATATCAGAATTATATAAATTAATGATTTGAATGAATTATTGAATTTACTCAAAAGCTATCTCAATTTATTACAAACTAGGGCAAGTAGCTACTTCCTTTAGTAGCTTAGTAATCTTTTACTAGCTATTAGTGCTCAAGTTTCTTTTGAATTTTTTTAAATAATTATTTATTTGTTTTAAAAAATATTTACCTAAAAGAAAGTCTAAGTACATTTAGTTTTTGAAGATGGCATATTTTTTGACAAAAACTTTAAAGCTATTTATCACTCAATTTTTAACTTGTAAATAATTTGAATAAAAAATATATTAAAATAAACTTCAAACATTTTAAGCTAAAGAGCATACTTGAATTCTAAATTAAGCTCTTTACAGTCTTAATCTCTTTTATTTCAAATTAAAAATAAGACATCATTTAGAATTTAAAGAATTTACATTATACTACTTTAAGAAAAAGTTATCAAATTTCCCATCAAACAAATAAGTGTTAATTTTTTGCTTTTATTTTAATTAATTTTAATAAATAAAATAAAAATTTTTATTCAAAAGTTTTAATTTTTCCTTTTAAAATAAAATTTTTTGTTTCTAAAAAAATATGTAAATAATTTTAAAAGAATATAAAAAATAGCTAATTAATAAATTTTATTTTTTTCTTTTTATTTTATATTTTAAATTTCTATTATTTCTGCTCATTTTAAAATTCTTATTTTTATAAAAATGCTCTTATATTATTAATCTTTTAATAATTTTAATGATAATTTTTATATTAATCCATTAAAAAGTTACAGTTAAAATAATTAAATAAAGTTTTCGAATCTGATTTGATTTAAAAAGTAAATATCTAATTATTTTTAATTTATTATAGCCTTTAAAATATAATTAATACTACATGCACATACTTATAGCTGGTATTTATAAAAGTTAAGTTATTAAATTATTTCTTTGGCATATTAGGAATAAACATTGCAAGTATGCTTAAAATAGAAAAGCTATTGATACATTTTAAATGAAAATATCTAATTTTTTTAATATTTTTATCTACTCTAAAATTTAATTAATATTGCTGGAATATACAAATAATTAATTTTATAAAATTTCAAATTAAAATATTTTTTTTTATTTAATTTACCTATAAAAATTATTATGCTTAAATGAGAGAAGATATTGAAATAATTTAAATCAAAAAATATTGCAATTTGAGTTTTCATTTTATACTCTTTTTTTTAAGAATTGCTAAATTTTAAACAAATTTTTCTATATCCCATTTCTAAATATTATTGATATCAACTGGATACAAGCATGATTTCTAACATCATATGCAATTTGCACCTCATTTTAGAGGTTTTGTAAAAGTACTTCCTATCTATTCTTTTAAAGGCACTTAATGTCTAAAATTATAACTCTTGGCATAAAACCTATTTGTAATACTCTAAAGTATTTTTCTTCCTAATCTAATAAATTAGAAACTCTCATAACCTATTTATAGTTTCTCTTTTATATATTTATATACATTGCTTTTATTAATAAATGTTTGAGCTATATAATATCTATTTGTTTATAAAAAAATTCAAAAAAAAATATAATCCAAAAATTTCAAATTTATTATTTTTTTAGGCTAAGATTTAATATTCCATCAATAAATAAATAATATGATATTTACAAATAAATTGAATTGAAACTACTAAATATTAATGCGCATACTAGAGCCTACAAAAAAGAAAAACAAATATATATAAAATTTTATTGTATTTATGGTAATAAAAGTAAATTCAAATTGATTTAAAATACTATTAAATTTTATTGGAATAATCCTTTTTTACAAACATTTATTGTTATCAACTTGAGCTCTATCAATCTCATATACTTATACTTAAATAAATTAATTTTTTTGTTTTAAAACTAATTTGACATAGTTTCTTTTTGTTATTGAATCTTTCTAATATTTTGTCTTTACTTAAAATTTTAATTTTTTAAAACATAATAAATACTTTAATTATTTACTTGAAAAATATGCTTAAATAATACAATTAAGGAGATTTAGATATTTGATTACAAAGAACTTCAGCATCATCTTATTTAATTTTATTTAAACTATTGAATAAAAAATTGGAGTAAAATAAATGAAAATTTCAATTTAAAAAAGTAGATACGATAAATTTATAAATAAATAAGTTAGGTTTTAGCTATTTGAAATACTTTCTCCTAATATTTGTCCAATTCTCTATTAACCAAAATTATTTTCTCTATTTTCATATTAACCAATAAAAATAACAAATTAAAAAATAATCAAAAATATTTTTTTAAATTTACATCAGATTAATATAAAGTGATTGTAAATTAGGAAGTTAGACTATAGCTTTACTTAAAAATTATATTGAATCGTCTGTTAGCTCACTTTTTTCTCTAAGGATTTATTTAATAAATGATATTAATAAAATAAAAAAACATAACGTAAATTTATTTTACAGTTAAGTATAACGGAATTCATAAAGTTATTTACATTTCGATATTCCTTCGCATAAATATTTAAATTATTGATCAACTAAGCTAACATATCTTTCTCAAAAATTGATTTCATTAAATATTGAAATAAAGTATTAAAAATTTACAAATCTAATTTTAAAGTCTTTAGATTTTCAAGATTTGATATTGACTGACTCAGACTTTGAATACCACCAACAAATATCTCTAATTTTCTATAAAAACAGTTTAAATTATTAAAAATTAAATAAAAAATACCTAATTTTTAAGCATAAATTATTGATATTTGAACACTAGGTGCGTGAACTTAATGGCATTAGTAGTCCAGAACTACTTATCCAAAAAATGCTTTTCAAAAAATAAGTTTTAAATTAAATTTTAATGAAATATTTAACCTAAATTTAATAGACTATATTTTATTAGAGTTTGATGATAAAAGATCGCTTAGTGATTTGACATTAATATCATTATCAGAATTTAAATAATAATATTTCCTAAAAAAATTAAAATATTTATATTAAGAGAATTAATTGAGTTTGTTTTCATTTAGAATTTAAAGAAATTAACATTTAATTTTATTGAAATATAATTTATTTTTAAAAAATTGAATAAATTATTAATTAATTACTTCATGTCACAAAAAAAGTTAATTTCCAAAAAATTAATATTTTGGCAGTTTTTTAATCCTTAATTCAATGCTTAAATAATTTCCTCATGAAAATAGCAATCATCACTTTTTTTATTTTTAATTCAAAATTATTTAAATTATTGATGATTTTTATTAATTAATTTACTTAAAAAATATCTCAATTTATTTCAAACTAAGGCGATTAGCTACTTCTTCTAATAGCCTATTAAATTTTTACAGACTAGGAGCGCTTTTAAAATTACTTTTGAATTCCTTAAATAATTATTTATTTGTTTTAAAAAATATTTACGTAAAGTGTAATCTAAGTAAATTTAGTTTTTGAATATGGCTTATTTTTTGACAAAAATTTTAGAACTATTTATCACTCAACTTTTAGCTAGTAAAAAATTTCAATAAAAAATATATTAAAATAAAATTCTAGCATTTAAAGCAAAAAAACATACTCTAATTCTAAATCAAGCTCATTACAGTCAGGATCTCTTTTATTTCAAATTAAAAATAAACCATCATTTAAAATTTAAAGAATTTACATTAAATTATTTTCAGAAAAAGTTAGTAAATTTCCCATATCAATTAATAAGTAGGATTTGTTTGCTTTTTTTTTTAATTAAATTTTTTATTTTTACTTTTATTTATAATTATAATTTTTTCTTGATAATAAATTTTGAATATTCAAAAGTTTTAATTTGATCTTTTAAAGAATAAATAAAACAAATTAATGAATTTAATTAATTTTTTTCTTTATTATTAATATCTTAAATTAATTTGAGAAAAAATAATAATTCTTTTATTTTTGCTTTTTTTTCAAATTCTTACTTTTATTAAAATGCTGAAAAATATAAATCGTTAAATAATTTTCTAGATAATTTTTATATTAACCCAATTTTTTATTTGATATTAAATAATTTTACGAAGTTACAGTTAAAATAATTAAATAAAATTTTCTAATCTGATATTTATTTAAAATAATATCTAAGTTTTTAAATGTTTTATGTCATTTTAAATATAATTAATAATTCATATACATTTTGCTCGTTTTTATAAAAATTAAATAATTAAAATAATAATTTACTTATAAAAATGTTGCATGTATGCTTAAAAGAGAAAAGATATTAAAATATTTTAAATGAAAATATCTAATTTTTTTAAATTTTAGAAGGCTTTAAAATTTAATTAACACTGCTGAAATATAAAAATAACTAGCTAATTTTATAAAAATCTAAATTAAAATATTTTTTTTGGTTTAATTAACTTTTAAAATGTTGCATGTATGCTTAAATGAGAGAAGATATTTATTGAAATATTTTAAATGAAAATATCTAATTTTTTTAACATTTTTGTAGATTTTAAAATTTAATTAACACTGCTGAAATATACAAATAACTAACTAGTTTTTATAAAATTACAAATTAAAATTTTTTTTTTGGTTTAATTTACTTATAAATATTACATGTATGCTTAAATGAGAGAAGATATTTATTGAAATATTTTAATTCAAAAAATATTGCAATTTGAGTTTTAACTTTTTACTCTTTTTTTAAGAATTGCTAAATTTTAAACAAATTTTTCATTGTCCCATTTCTAAATATTATTGCTATCAACTGTATATAAGCATGGTTTCTACCAATATATGCCTTTTGCACCTCCTTTTAGAGGCTTTGCTAATGTACTTGCTATTTGACTATAATTAGAAGGGTCAGTAAAGTGAATAACGCCATCAGATGATGAAGTTACAATAAGATTATATTTAGGGTAATAGTCTAGGAATGTTATGGGAGCATTATGCACTCTGTTTTCTCCTACTTGCTTTAAATCGTTTTCTTATCCTACCCACTCCCACAGTTTAACATAACCATCAGCTCCTGCAGTAAAGAAAGAGTTTTCTTTAATTTTTTTAAGGGCAACAATTGACATTAAATGTGCATTGCTTTTTGTGAAAATAGTTTTATTTGTCATAATTTCAGTTATAATAATGCTTTTATCTGTACTGACTGTTATCATGTGTTAATCATTATTATTTGTGATTATTCCTCTGATTTCGCCCTAATGTAGCTTCTGATATACTCTCTCTATTATCTTTTTTTCTAAGTTCCAAAGAGCAACTTAGCCATCTACTGAGCCAGTTAAAAGTTGCAGTTTTTTTTCGAACAAAGTCATATTAATTATTGCATTATTCTGTGAGTCTTTAAAAGGATGGTCTATCATTTTCATGTTTATGGGATCAAATAAAAATATTTTTCCATCATTTGTGCCACAAATTATACGTTTAGTTGAAGGCCAAAGCAATGTGCATCTTGGAGCTAAGTTTGCTATTGAAACTTCACTTTTTTCTTCATTTTATAGATTTATTTTAATTATTTTTCCATCACTTTGAGTTGTGAGAAGAATTCTTTTTTATTTTGTTTACTCTATAAAGATTAAGTCTTACAGTTAAGATGTGGTTATATAGTACTATTTAGTAGGATGGAGAGGAGTAAATTCAATTACTTCGTTTTAATGTGCAGATTTAAAAAATTTACTGCTTTAAGGACTTCCAGCCTCCTTACTAGCAGTATAAGGCTCATTTGAAGGCTTCGAGCCAGTAACTCCATTAAAGAAATTAGAAAATTTATTCGCTATGCTTTGTCCGGTATCTGAACTTCTATTGCGAACTGGCTGACCTGAAGCATTTAAATTGCTCGGAGTTTAAACATTTAAATAATTACTGCTTTTTGGATTACCATTCAATATACCATGATCATTAGGCTAAGAATGTGAAGCTATATTGCCTTTGACTTATATTACTTTGCTAGAAGACACTGAATTATATGGCTACTAAACAGGCTTTTCACTAGTTTGCAATATTAATTCAGAGAAAAATTAGTCAAATTACTGGCTAAGGCTTTTTGCGAAGGTGTAGGATAAATTCATTGTATTGAGATACATAGATTCAATTTTAGACATATTTTAAATGTCAGATTAGATTCTTTAAACTTTCTCACTAGCACAAGACAGATTCGATTCTAATTGCAATTACTGCTTTGCTATCATTTAAAGATAGAAATAATTTGTAGGAGAACTTTTGAACTTCTGTTAATTTTCTTACAGAATTCTCTCATCTGTTTTGATTTACAAATATGCAAGTTCTGCATCTCTTCCTGAACTCTGCAATTTACTTTCTATATCTTACTGCCATTTATTTACAGTTGATTCTAAGGCTTAATTGATTTGCTTTTTCATTTCCTAACATGCCTTTTGCATTTCTTCTCTAAAAGTGACTAAATATTTTCCTACTTTTCCTTTAACTTCATTATTCAATGTTACATTAAGCTTCATGTAGCTTTGACTTAGAATATTTTAATCTATGTATTTTGATACTGCTAAAGAATAAGCCATAATTTTGCTTTTATGACTAGGTGCATGAATAGCCCTGCATTCAGAACAGAGCCCCTCAAAGCAGTTTTCATATTCACAGAAAAACTCGATTTCTTTACAGTGTTTTGAGCAAGTGTTTTTAGGACTAGCTATATTTTATCCATATAGTCTGTAACCTCCCTGTGCATTAGCAACATTAACTTAAGGTGCATTGTTATTGTATCTATTTTAAGAATTATAAAAATAATTAACATTTCTATTTTCTTGTTAGGTAGTCATTTTTTAACGCTGCTATTATTAGCACTTAAATAAAATTATGTTAAATTTAAAATTTATGAATAAAATTTTATAAATAGTAAACACATTTTTAATAGCAAATAAATACAGACTTTTTTTTAATCTTAAAAAATACTTTCCCAATTGCAAATTTTTAAAAAGAGAAGAATAGAAAAATTACAAATTCTGGCTAGTTTTTAAATTAGATTTTCTCAGCTTTAATCAGGCTCATAAAATTTTAATAACAAAACGGTATTTTTTTGTTTGATCTCCTCATAAATTTAAAATGTTTTTTACCAAATTTAGTCATATTTTATTTAAACAAATAATTATTTTGATGTTTAATTTTTTTTTTTTCATTCTTGTGCTTGAAACGATATTAAATAAAACGAAGATATTTTGCTTGAATACTCAATTAATTTTTTTTCGGTAACGATTATCTTTTATATTCTAAAAATTCTCTGTTAATGGATATAATTGTGATTTAGTTAATACTAAACATCAATAAATTAATCAATGATTCATTCATTCATTAAAAAAAGTCATTGAATATCTTTTTTAATTTAATTAAAATTATTTATTTGTTTCTTCTTTTTTTGATGCTTCTAGCTCATCTGTAATCAAAGCAATTTAAAAAAATAAATGCTTTTCAAATTTAAATCGATACATAAATATCTCAAAATACTAGTCTATCTTATAAAATGTTTTTTACGCAAATATAGGAGGTTGTGGTAGCTTAGGTAGAATATTTGGAAGATATTGGTTTATAATCCCATTACTAAAGTCTATTTCTTTCATGCTAAAGAAATTTACGATTGTTGCATAATCAGCTCTTGTCTTTTCTTCAAAAGCTAACATAGCTGCTAATATTGTTCTTAGCTTCATAGAACGTATCCTATTCAATAAAGGTATAAGCTTTTTATCACCTTCTGGCTGATTTAATCCAGCCATCTCCTAATTTGAAAGTAGCAATGCAAGCTACAAAAAGACCAAACCTAAACTGAAAATATCAGATTTTTATAAATCGTGCTAAACATTAAATTCACTTCTCTTGATGTAACCTTCCCATAATTTAGGGCTCAAGAAAAGTGGTGTACCTGTTATAGTATTAGATTATAAAGTACGTATTTTTTCTGCTTAAATGCTTTTGCTGACACCAAAATCAGTAATTTTAATTTGGTTATTTTTCAATAGGATATTTTCTGTTTTAATATCTCTGTGATAAATACCATTCTTTAACATGATAAAATATAATCCATCTATGCATTATTTTAAGTAATTCATGATCTCGTCTTCTGTAAATATAGCATTTAACTTTCTTCTTTATTAATACTCATCATAAAGACCTTTATCTGCTAGTTCTTGAACAATTACAGCTGAAAATTTATGAGTAATGTCATTTGTCCAAGTGTAAATTCTCTTAATACCAATGATATTTGGGTGGCTATCCATTTATAAGAATATGTTCATTTCATGCTCTGCTGATCCCTTATATTCTTCTCTATCTACTACTTCTATAATTTTAATAGCCCATTCCTAATTGTCTTCACTTGAAACACATTTGTAAACACTACCAAACGAACCTTAGCCTATAACTTTTCCGCTTTGTAGATTATATTCCATATCGAATTCCATCTTGTCTCCTATTCTTTTAAGTCTTGTACTCTTATTGTTCATTTTATAAATAAAGTCTTTTAAATTTGTGTATTTGCTATTCCTATTTTTTTTTTTTTTTGATTTAAACTTGCTTCTAAAAGATTAGAATACTAAAATAAGTAAGTCTTATGATATTTTTTTTTCTAAAAAGAGTATTGATTGATCTATCTATCTATCTTCTAAATAATCTTATTTTAAATTATATTAATTTTTTGTAAAAATATTTATGTGATTTAGGGTAAATTACTTCACTTATATAATCTTGATTTACACATAGACTTAATTAGATATTACTAATGTTTAGTGCTAAGTGTTTATCTATATCTATCTTATGGCGATTAAATAATTAGTTTAATCCAGCCCTATAAATATTTTTAAAATATATTCTATTTTAAGAACAAAATCATCACAAATATGTTAAGAATGCTCTTTAATAGTGAGATTTATTGAAAATTAATAACTCAATCAATTTAAAATTTAAATTAATAAAAATTTAATTTTATCTTTTTAAAAGATTAATTTTCTTTTTCTAATCTAAAAATTTTTTAATATTAAATTAAAAACTAAAAAATTAAAATTTAAGTGAAAAAGAATTTTCTTATTTTAATCATCTTGTAAAAATAATAATGTTAAAGATTTGTATATTTAAAATAAAAAAATTAGTGATAGGAATAGAAAGTTTTGATATCATTAAAATGGACAGAAATCTAATATCAACAAATTTTTATTTTTCCTTTATTTTTTAAATTTCGAAAGTTTTGATTACCGCAACTATTAAAGTTTTGTTACACTATTGCTTGATTTTGAATTGAAATGAGTAAAAAAATAATATAGTTTGTAGATTTGTTAGAGATTATATTTTATGCATGATATTTTATTTTGTATTTTTTTATCAAATCTAAGATTTGCTTTGGCATGTTGATTTGCAAGAAAGAAATTTAATTTTTATATTTTAGATTTTTAAATTATAATTTAAAATAATTACTTTGACAAATAAATTTTTAATAGATTGTTTTTCCTCAAAACTGATGTACTTTCCAAGCTAATATATGTCATTGTTTATTGATTTTAAATAAATTAATATCATATTTTATATTCTACTCCATATTTTTAATAAATTATTTCATCGTATCTGATATTTCCTGATATCTTTTTAAGTGCTTAGATTTTTATTGATTTGTTTGTTGAGGTTTAACAATTTTTAAAAATATAAAAGTATTATTTCATATTTAAAAATATTTTATCAGTATAAATTTTATTCAATTTTATTTATTTTTTACACTGAATAAAAGTATTTTATTATGTTTATAGACTTGCTAAAAATTTTTTATAGATGTTTTTTATTTATGTTTGAATGTATGAATAGCTTCAAATATTAACTTTAAAAAAGATAATATATAATTAATTTTTGGTGATAATTTTTAGATAAAAAACTTTTGTTGTTAATATTTTACATATTAGTTAGTGTTAAAAAAATGGAAGATAATTAAGCAGATTAAGCTAATAAGACTTTAAAAAAGTAAGAGCGTTTGAAAAAAATGAAGGATAAGCTAGCGAAGAATGACTAATAATTTTACATGCCTATTGAAGAATATGTTCTTAAAAACCCCCCTTTTGATTCATCATAAAATATGAATGGTAAATGGCTATAGAGCCCTTATGAATTTGGTACATAATATTACAGGTTGGATGGCGCAAAAGTATTTATTTTTCCTGAATCTAAAATTTTTCAAGAACCATTGTATGAGTCCTGCAGTAATGATAGTTTTGATAGTGATTTTGAATCAACACCTCCTTCTCCCGCTAATTAATCCAAAGATTAATCTGCGATTAAACTAAAGGCAAATTAATGTGAATAAAATATAAATTAAGAAGCAGAAGAAGAAGTAATATGTGAAAATGAGATTGGATTTCTTTTTGATTAGGATGAAAATTACATAGATGTATAAAACTATGAAATATTATTAACAAAAGAATATGAATATTTCATTTTTAGACCAAAAGAATCATTATTGAATATTTTAAATGAATAAATAAATAACATATGAAATCAAATAAGTAAAATAAACTTAAAAAATTAAAAAGCCTATTGAATTTAGAATCAATAAAATATTAAGACGAAAAATTGTTTTGCTAAATTAATATATCATTAATAAATAAATACACATGAGTGACCAATAACAAAAATCTAAATTATTTTTTTTATTAATCTTGTGATAATAAATATAATTTTGTTTTTTATAATTTATAATGTTTTAATGTTGTTGTTTTTTTAATTTAATATAATATTTATTAGTAAGGTAGTTAGTTAGTTATTTGCAATAGATTCAAAATTTATTTACTTAAATTATTATTTTTTTGTTCGTTCATTCCATAATCTTTGGATTCATAAGAACAAATTTAATATAGTTAGTAACATAGATTTAATCAATTTTATTTGCTTTAGTTGAAAATATTTTTGGATAGTAGTCGCTTTCACAGAATTTAAAGAGATAGGTACGATTAAAAGAGTTAAGCTAGTTTATAGATTTTGTAGCTTATGTGAAGCAATCGAAAGTTATTTCTTCATTTTAATTTTTATTTTATTCAATAAAATCTTAAACTTGCAAAAAAGCTCTAATCTTAGGATCAAATTTGGCATCTTTCATCAACTGTTAACTTTCTTTGCATATTTTTTACAATTTCTCAAATTATTATTCAGATAATTCATCATATTTATTTATAAGAAAATAAACATCTGATTTCTTTATTTTATTTTTAAAAGGTTGAATAATTTATTTGTATTTCTTCTTGGTTTCTAAATCTAAATCTTTACTTTCATCAATTTTTTAACAAATATATGGGATAGCTTTAGTTAAAAATATTTTGAATTAATTGTGAAATGATGTTGATTATTCTGGTCTCTTTGGTTTTACAGGCATTTTTTCATTCTTTTTTGCCACCTTTTTCATTGTTATTTATTTACGAATTCTAATTTTATCTTTTAAATCATTTTTGGGCTTATCTTTCTTTTCTTTCTGAATTTTTTTTGTTTTTAGGCTCTAACTCAATTAATTTTATTATTAACTTTTTAATATATCTCCTTAAAACTATGTTTCTTGATGATATTGGTTAAATTGTTATTAACTTATGTATTACTCTTAATGTGTGTTCAAATTTAAGTTCTTTATATTTTGTTCAATTTAATGTACTTGGTTCTAATAAAAATAGTCTTATTAATATTCGTTTTAATTTTTTTAATTCTAGATATAATTTTTTTCATCAATATAGCATGGTTAATTTTAGATTAATTATTGTTGTTAATATTATTATTATTATTTTTATTCATATTAGACTTGGTAAAATTATAGTTCTAATTAAGTTTATTATTAGTATTATTATTATTAATAATATTACTCACTTTCGTATGATGGATATTATTACTAATATTATAAGTATTCTTATTATTATTATTATTCATATTATTATTATTATTATTATTATTATTATTATTATTATTATTATTATTATTATTATTATTATTATACATATTATTATTATTCATATTGTTAATGTTAGTTTTATTCTTGGTGATGATGCTATTGATTAAAATTCTATTATTAAAATTGTGCTTATTAATTATATTGTGTATTCTATTGACATTTATTAATAGATTAAAAAGGATTAGTATTACCTGATTCTGTTATATAGGGTTAATATTAATCAAGATTATTTTCTTCGAAGGTATCAATATACTATTATGGTTATACTTAAATTTAAAAATTTTCATGTTAAATGTCTTGGTATGTATAATCAGTTGAGTTTTATTAAGATGAATCATATTATTAAAGGTATGGATAGTATGTAGTAAGAACTTCTAAGACTTCAGGAACATCAGGTTTTTGTTGCGGGAAGAATTCTTATTGAAGTTGATTGCATTGCAGCGGTTAGGAATATGCCTCACAACCATAGCTAGTTGAATTTGTATGATCCTCTTTATAGTAAAAGGATTCTACAGAGGGGTCTTAGGTTGCTTCTGTCACACAACAACCATTAGAATCAATTGTTCTGATTTTTTAATCATAATAAAGATCTTATACTTGTGGTTATGAATACATTTTTTTATGTTTTTGTTTTAATCTATTATTTATTTAATTAATTAATTATAAGATTAGAGATTAATTTCCCGTATTTAAATTCAAGAGGCCTAATTAATTAATTTTTTTTTTATAATTTATAACTTTAATCTCTAATAATCTCTTATTTAGAGATATAAGTTTAATTTTTCTAAAATATGTACAAAAAAAAACTTTACTAATTTTAATAACTATTTCTTTATTTTAATTTAAATTCATAATAACTCAAAATTTCTGAGCAAGCAAAAGCATTAAGCGGGAACAAAATATATTCCAATATGAGCTGCTTATGCATTCTATAAAGTAAAATAAAATAATTTGTTTCAAAATTGTATTTATATTTGATAGTTAAAGTGACTAAAAGAAAAAATGGAAATTATTCTCCAATTTTTATAAAATTCTTGCTTGTTATTTGAGTCAGAATTACAAGTGACTAATTTGCATATTACGCTTATTATTATTATAATAGATGGGGAGAAAATAAAACAAACAAAAAATCTTTAAGTTTCTTAAATTAATTGTTAAAAAAGCGGTGATTTATTAAAGACAACTCTAATATCTTTAATTTTTTTACTAAACCTTAATATTTTGACTCCCGCAAACCTATTTTTACACTAAAATGAAGAAAGAAAAAATTCAAATTATAAATTGATCATAAAGTACACCATCACATACATAAACAAACATTATTATAAAAAATACATCAATTTTAATTTTTTAATATATGTAATCCTTAATCCGTCATGTCACCCGCTTAGATTACAATTATATTTGAATAATTAACTAATCTCCTTCATAATTTTCAAACATACTTCATCTTTCCATGTATTTGCTGATACTTGTAAACCAACAGGAATGCCAGTGCTTTGCTAAATACTCTAGCGAATAATTTGAGTATATTTATCTTAATATTAATCTTTGTATTTAACAGGATCAGCTTCTTCTGCAGTAACATTTCTGATTGGGATGACACCTGATGGTTAATCTAGAATGTTTGGAATTCCAGCTAATCCTAAGAATTGCAGTAAATCTCCTCCTGAATTGTGGGGTATTGCTGTAAATGGAGTTACAGGACTGATAATTATATCAATTTTATTGTCTCTTATATATTGTTGCATTTGTTTTTTGTATGCCTCTAATTTTATCTATTCGGTAGCATGAGTAATAAAGTCGTTTGTCTTTGCTAATTTAATAAACTGAGCCTCCCTATAAAGCCCTTTCAATTCTAACAATTTAATCTTCAAGTCGTTAATCATTTGTGGTGTAAATTTTATATTGAGGAATAGTTTATGAATATCTAATGGCTCATCACCTCTAAGCATCTTAAATATAATCAGCTATACACCAGGGGTAGCAAGAAGCTTTTGTATCTAAATAGACATTTCATCGATAGGAAGACCTTCCATTTCATGAATTTAACAGCCTAAAGATTTTAGTTTTTCAATAGTCTCATTTAGCGCGTTATCTATAGCTGCAACATTTGGGACGCTATTCAATCTTCTAATTACTCCAATTTTCACATTTTGCAAACTAGTTTCTTCAAAGAGCTTTTCATTCCAAAACAATGGAGGAGAATCATCATCAATTTTATTAAAATTGCCCAAAACTTTAAATCAATTAAAAAAAAACATCAACAAATTGAACAAACTATCAGCCATAAAAATAGAAAATAAAATACTTAATAAAAGAGTATTCTTAAACTGTTTTTTTTTTTCAAATAAGAGAAAGTTCGATTATTATAATAGGTAATAAAAGAGTTTTTATTAAATTATGTTTTTTTTAAAAAAGAGAAAGTTGAAAAAAAAAGATAGATAATATTTTCAATAAATTTTGAAAAAATTAGAAGATGAACTATTTTAAACATAATTTCTAAAATTCCCCCACCTATTTTTTCGATTTCGATTATATCTTCTACAAATTAAGACATTGGTCCAATACTAGTTTGTATATCTTTAAAGCCCCCTAATTCTGTTCCTGTCAAACCCAATCTTCCTTTTAAACTTATTCTTTTGCCTGTTCCTTTAAAAGAATGTACACCACAGAAAGCAGCAGGTATTCTTGCAGACCCAAGAGAATCGCTACCAATACCTATTTATTTTTATATATAATAAAGCAGATTAATATTTTCAGATCTATCATCAAGCTTTATCATTTTTATTTATTTATCTACCAAAAACTAATAATAGGACATTAATTTACTATCTGAAACAATGATTAAATATTTTCATTTATTATTAAGCTTATTTTTTAATCTTATTTTCATAGAAAATATTCCTTGTAAAATTTAACATAAAGATTTACATTTTTTATAAATCTATAGTAAAATTAATTAAATTACCAAAGGCTGAAATGCGAGTAGCTTAAGCTCCACCTTCTCCTCCTGATGAGCCCCCTACAGTCAGATTTTTATTAAAGGGGTTCAAAGAGTGTCCATAGAGATTGTTATTAGACTCAATAGCAAAAAGACCTTGAGGAACATTTGTATTGGCGAATGGGATAGCACCTTATTCTCTTAGCAGTTGGACAAAGGCGCAATCTACATTCTCAACAGGTCTTTATGCAAATTAAACATATCCACAAGAGGAAAGTAGGCCTTTTGTTTTTAAATGCTCCTTTACAGTGATTGGTACACCAAAGAACACAGGTAGAGATGATTTATCCTAAGTAGATCTAAAGATCTCATCTTTTTGTTAGGCCAAACTCAAGTTAGTTTCTACATCAATATCACAAATAAGATTATGTTCAACTCCGATGGTTGATGCTCTATAGGCATAAGTTATAAAAACTTCTTCGCATGTAAATTTGCCATCCTTTATATCTTTAGCAAGCTGAACTGCAGAAACAGATATTATTTGCTCTTACTTTTCTTGAGATACATTTTTAATCAATTTCTTGGCTAAATCAATTTATTTATCTCTCTTTTAATAGAATTATTGCTTGATGGCATTTAGTTATGATTTACTAAGATAATCTTTCCTTAATGCTAAATAGGGTGTTAAAGTCCTTTTGCCAATGAAGAGGGCTAGAGCAGCTAAGCCAACATAGATCTTGTTGCTATAAAGCTACTAATATAGAGAAGATTCTGTGAATTTTGTAATATAATCCATACTTTTAAGCTTGGTAAAGTTGTCAAAAATAAGTCTAAGATTGCTATTAATTAATTTAATTGATCTTTGGAAATCAAAAGCCGCATTTAAAGATCCGTCAAAACTTACTTGCTAATCCATGCGATAAATAAGTGTTATTATTGATTGTCATATCTATTAGATATAAATCTTATTTTGTAAGATTCTAGATTATTACAGCCTTCTTACAATTTATTTTATTAAATTCTGATAATAAAATTTAACTATTGCATCTGATATGTATAAAAAAATCAATATAATACCACCGAAAAAGGAATTTATAAATAAAATAAAAATACTATTCAATTATTTTTATATTTTTAAAGTAGATAATCTAATAAACAAGTATTTTTAGTTTTTCTTTTATCAAACTTTAAACCTTTTAATTACATTAACAAAATCCCTCAAAGAGAAATCTTTTACAGTTCTAAAATTAAATAAATAGAATTGTAATTTATATCAAGTAATATTTTTACATATATTTTAATATTTTTTCAAAAAATAATCAATTTAAATCTTAAAAACTAACTAAAATAATTCTTATTTTCACATTTTAAATGTTTATTTTGAGGTTAATCAATTAAATTAAATTAAGATTTTACTTCAAACAATTTATTCCAGGAAGTAACTAAATTTTTATAATAAATACTTTAAAAAGTTTTCTTAGCACATTACCAACCAGAAATTTTTAGGTTAAAAAAGTAATAATAAAAATTAACCAAAATAATTTCTTTTTAAATTTTAATTTATATAATTCTTATCTCTTATACAATAAATATTGATTTATTAAAATAAATATTTAACAAAAAATCATTTCAAATAATTTTTTTTATAGCACACTTTCAGTTTTTATATTATCAATTATAAATTTTCAATAATCCTAATTCAGAAAATAATTATATTTGAGTTTTAATAAGTCTAACATCTAGATAATAATTCAACCCTTTTATTTAATTATTTATTGATTATTCATTTCGTATTAATTTTTTAGCTAATAAAATAAATATATAATTAATTTATTACCTTTAGAGTTTCTTATGTCTTCCATTTTATTCTTTTCATTGTCTAGGATCCTTCTAAATGATTGAATCTTTTAAATTTTATTATTCTTAATTAGCAGATTTACTATCCTTTATAACTTTAGTTCCTTAATTTAAATTATTATAAGCAGTTTCAATTTTGTTTAATTTAGATTCTTTGCCTTGATCTTCTTGATTTACTTGCATTTATTCATTTTTTGGTTTTAATGACTAAACAAGAATTTTATTATCAGTATTTGATGAAGAACTTTAAATTTAAAGCTATGATGAATTTTATTAATTATCCTAACTATTTTTGTCTTTAAATTAAGCTATCTCTAACTCTTTAATAGAGGGCATTCTTTCATTAGATAGTTTAAGGCATCTCTCTCCAATTACAGGAGGAAGAGTGCTACTGATGTTAACCTTTCTTTAGATTAACTTTTTTTAGGCTTCAATATCCTTTAAAAGTAATTGCTATCCTTATTCTTGAGGAATTCTATCACTCAAAAATTTGAATAAATTTTCTTCATTTTTTGGAAATAAAATATTTTTTTGCTAAGATTACTAAATTATTTTCTCACTTGAGGATTTATTTGGAAAATTTGGACTTAAAGGTGCTATACTATTAGATTGTTGAGATTAATCTGATTATTATTTCTATTGAGAGAAGTTAAATAATAATTATTACTTTAAATTTTAGTTTATGTAATAACTGTTGTTCGAGAATTAAGCTGTAAGAGCCAAATCTTTTTAATTTATTTGACTTTACTAAAAGGTTTCATTCTAAAAAGATTTGCTTGAGTTATTCTTTTCAGGATCAAATTAATCAGTGTGTAACTAACCTTAAAATTTAGAAGGCTGATTATTCCTTTACTCAGAATTGTCCAGAACTTTTTTATTTTAATTAAAATTTTTCTGAATCGAATAATTTTAGTTATTGTTTTAATTAACAAATTTTTCTTTTTCTAATTAAAGGTTTTAGCTTATTTCTTTTTATTAATTATTTTAAGTTTCGGTATGCTATAATCCTTTATCTTGCTAAACATCAATTGATTAAACCAATTTAGAAACTATTTCATCTATTTAGTCATTATTTTCTTCTTATTTGGAAAATGAACTTATATTCTTCTGTATATTTAATATTAAATGTTAAGAGTATGTTAATTTATCATCTGAAAGATCATAATCATTTTGTTAAGTCTAGTTTTAATATACTTCATTCAGCATTTTCATTTATGTTGGCACAGTTAAATTTTTGTTTAAGCTTCTCTACTTTTATTTTTTTGAGCTGTTATTATTGCTTTCCTCTACTTAGAAATCGTAATAAAATTCTTGAATGTTTTATAAAGAAATTTGATTTTGTTATTATTTTTCTAATTCTGTGGGTTCATTTTCAGGTGCTCTAACTAGCAATGTGTACTACTTTTAGTTGTCACTTGATCTCAAATTAGTTTAATTATTCTTTATAATTTAATTTGATTACTCTCTTTAACATAAATAAGTATTTTGTTAATTTTCAAGTACTTTTTCTGTTTATTAGTTTAATTTAATTTCTTTTTGAATATTTTGGTTAAGTTCTTTCTTTTTTATTGCCTGTTTTTTACGGAAAAGTCTTTAAATTTTAAGAATTACACTTAAGTTTTTTAAGAAGTTAGTCAACTGATCTTCTTTATGCCCTAAATCAAAGGAATTTTTTTAATTTATTTAATCTTTACTTTTTTATGGTATTTTATTATCATTATTTTAATTTTATAGGATTGTTAATTTTTATTATATCGGTTATTATTATTAGTTATTTTAGTTATTTTTGGTTATATTTTGCAGTATCTTAGCTTATCTTTTTCTGAAAAGTCTTTATATCTTGATAATAATAGCTAAATCGCTAAAAAAATTAGTTTTATAGCCATCTTTTTTAACTTAATTATTATTTTTATTTTCTAATTACTAGTCATTTTGAGTTTACATAATCAATTCTTATTTTTTTCTTGATTATCTTTAACGGAAAAGTCTTTGAATCTTTATTATTATACTTAAATCTTTAAAAAAATTTATTTTTTAGCCTGTTTTATTAATTGAGTCAGTTATATTCTTGCTATTTTTATTTAATATAGGTTAATTTTATTATTCGTTATTTTAGTTATTTTGGTTTTTATTTTGCAATATCTTAGCTTATCTTTTTCTGAAAAGCCTTTATATTTTGATAATAAAAGCTAAATCGCTAAAAAAATTAGTTTTATAGCCATCTTTTTTAACCTAATTGTTCGTTTTATTCTCTAATTACTAGTCATTTTGATTTTACCTTATCAATTCTTATTTTTTTCTTGATTATCTTTAACGGAACAGTCTTTGAATCTTAATTATTATAGATAAATCATTAAAGAAATTTCTTTTTTAAGCTTACTCCTGACTTAAATTAGTATTTAAGATATTGTTCATATTTTTATTTAGATTTGCGAATTGTTATTCTTTGTTTTAATTTTTTTGGTTTTTCTCTTCCTGTTTTTTAGCTTATTTTTTTCTGAAAAGTCTTTGTATCTTAATAATTATTGCTAAATCGCTAAAAAAATTTGTTTTTTAGCCATCCATTTGAACCTATTTATTTTATATAGGAGTTTTTGGTTCTTTATTTTCCATATTTAGATTTAATACTTTCTGTTTTGTTAATTATTTTTTACGGAAAAGTCTTTATATCTTGATTATTATGCTTAAATCTTTAAAAAAATTTTATTTATAAACCTATCTCTGAGTTTAAAGAGTAGAATCTATTTAATTATTGGTATTTTTGCTTTGGATGATTTTGTTTAGCTCTTTCTATTTTCTTGATAACCTTTAGCGGAACAGTCTCTATATCTTAATGATTACACTCAAATCTTTAAAAAAATTTCTTTTTTAACTTTTTATTTGAACTTGTTCATTATTTATTGGCATTGTGGAAATATTATTCTATTTTTCTTGATTTAATTCTTTTTGTTTTCTAACTTATCGCTACCTAAAAAGTCTTTGAAGTTTAATGATTACATTTAAATTTTTAAAAAATTTTATCAAAGAATCTTCTTTCTGACTTAAATAATTAGATTTATTATTTTTATTATTTCTACTTTAATTAGGTAATGTTTGATTAATAGCTTCATTTGTTTAGTTTAATTTTATCTGTTTACTTGCCTATCTTTTTCTGAAAAGCCTTTATATTTTTATGATTAAACATAAATCTTTAAAAAAATCTATTTTTTAGTCACCTTTTTGAGATTTTTTATTAGTTATACCATTTGTTTACTTTTGCTGTTAAGTTTTATTTTTATCATTCATTTCAATTTTATGTTTTCTAGCTTATCTTTTTCTGAAAAGCCTTTATATTTTTATGATTAAACATAAATCTTTAAAAAAATCTATTTTTTAGTCACCTTTTTGAGATTTTTTATTATTTATACCATTTTTTTACTTTTGCTGTTAAGTTTTATTTTTATCATTCATTTCAATTTTAAGTTTTCTTGCCTATCTTTTTCTGAAATTTCTTTATATTTTTATGATTAAACATAAATCTTTAAAAAAATCTATTTTTTAGTCACCTTTTTGAGATTTTTTATTAGTTATACCATTTGTTTACTATTGCTCCTAAGTTTTATTTTTATCATTTATTTCTATTTTATGTTTTCTTGCCTATCTTTTTCTGAAAAGTCTTTATATTTTTATGATTAAACTTAATTCTTTAAAAAAATTTATTTTTTAGTCACCTTTTTGATCTTTTTTATTAGTTATACCATTTGTTTACTAATGCTCCTAAGTTTTATTTTTATCATTCATTTCAATTTTAAGTTTTCTTGCCTATCTTTTTCTGAAATGTCTTTATATTTTTATGATTAAACATAAATCTTTAAAAAAATCTATTTTTTAGTCACCTTTTTGAGATTTTTTATTAGTTATACCATTTGTTTACTATTGCTCCTAAGTTTTATTTTTATCATTCATTTCAATTTTATGTTTTCTAGCTTACCTTTTTCTGAAAAGTCTTTATATTTTAATGATTAAACTTAATTCTTTAAAAAAATCTATTTTTTAGTCACCTTTTTGAGCTTATTTATTGGCTCCTTAGCTTAAAGGTATTATTTGATCTTTATTTTTTTTTAGCTCTTGTTGTTTTTTTGCTTGTCTTTTGCGAAAAACTCTTTAAATTTTAATAATTACAGTTAAGTTTTTAAAAAAATCTGTCAACTTTCCCTCATTTTAGCCTAAATTATTATTGTTATTATTTAAAGACTTTATTTGTTAGTTGTTTGAATTTTTTAGACTTAAATCTTTCTGTTTTTTAGCTTAATTTTTTTTAAAAATTCTTTAAATTTTAATAATCGTTGCTAAATTTTTTAAAAAGTTATTCTATTGGTTATCTTTCTCATCCTTATTTCGTTAAGTGTTTTTCTAATTGTTTTTTACATTTATCTGGTTTTTGTAGCTAAGAGATTTTCTTAAGAGATATGCTTTAAATTATTATTGAATTTTAACAACTCTATCTTAATCAATTTTCAAATTTTTATTTGTTGTACTATTACAATCAAAATTCAAAATAGTAAATTTTTAATATATTTCATAATTATTATCTTACTGCGAGTTACCCATTTATTGTTAATCATAATTGATCTTTTATCTGTAGAACTTTTAAATTACTACTGCAGCTTCTTTGTGCTTATTTAAATTTTAAACTAGCTATTAGAAAAACTTTTTTTTGAAAAATTCTATTAAAAATCTACCCATTTTTTACTTTTGATTTGCCCAGTTTATAACTTTTTTGTACTTCATCTTCTCATACGCTTTCCAAATTTTCAAGCCTGCAATTTTTTCTTATCGAGTTAAAAATTAAGGAGGATTTTTAAAATTCTACTTGAATTGTTAATTTTCATTTTACATTTCTCCTTTGAAACCTTTTTATTGTTTATTAATTGGGCTCAATTCTTAATTTGCGCTTGTTTTAAAAAATTGACTCTCCAGAGTTCCCTTTTTAGTATATGAACTTCTACTTCTATAAAATCTTTAGCTTTTCTTTAAACTCTGTCCTTCATCGAATGTATTTTTATTTAAATCTTCATTGAATGCGTTTAATTATTCTGATAGTATTGAACTAAACTTATTTTAAGTATTTTTAGGAGATAAGTTGCTAATTGTGTTCGCATTATTTGAATTATCAGAAGAAGGTAAAATTTCTATTCTTTTGACATGATTTACTTTTTCATAAATACTTTTAATGTCCATTTCTATCTTTTTCTACTGCAATTTATTCTCATTTTTTTCTTAATTTTATTTTTGTTCGTTATTCATCTTACTATTTTACTTTGTATTTGTATCAAGCTAAATTTTTTTTGAAGAGGATTGTGCATTTGTGTTGTTTTTAAAGTATTTTTGTTAATTCTGAGCATTTTAAGTCTCCTTTTATGAAACAGGTATTTTTTGAGTTTGCAATTATCTTGGAGATAAATTTTGTGAGATATCTTATGAAAGAGTTATTTTATCTTTAATTTGCCCTTTTAAGTTTCTTTAACTGAAATTATTATCTGATTAATTTTATTTATCAGTTTTATGTTGTTGTTATTATTTACTTGGTACCTACTAAGACAAAGAACTAATTTCTTCAAAACTATTTTCAAGGTCAAAATCATCAACATAAATTTCCTCTCCTATATCATTCTCATTAGTTTTTTGTTAAGATTTAACAGTTATTTACTATTAAAGCGAATTAATTTAATTTACTTGATTTTAAATAGGATATATATTTTTTTATGAGTTTGTTTATTCGGTTGCTTAAACGTCCTATTATTGAGAATAATTACTCAAATCGCTCTTTTGCTAAAGGAATATAATACTGCTAAAGGGAGTTTTCGAAATCAAAATAATGTTTTAATCTTTGTAACTTATCAAAACTTAACATTAGTCACAATTTTGATTCTAATAAACTAAATAGTTTTTATGTTAATCAATAAATAAATTCTCAGAAATTTTATTGCATATTCTTATTAAGAGATTTTATAATTATGTAGGTTCTATTTTTAAAAATTGATTATCGCTAGCATCAATAGTATGCTGATATTGGTTTAAGTTCATTTAAAATAGAGCTTATATTATCATAGTGTTATAGTTAAGGTAAAACTTCAAATCACCCTAGTTATGATTTTATTGTTAGCTAAAATCTTTTAAAGTTGTGTTATTTAACTCTAAGAGCAATTTTATATCATAATTAGAAGAGTGGAGAGAATACAAATACTGAGAGTTATTTGTATCGCAGTTATTTAATACTTCTTGTATGTTTAATGGAGCATCCTAAATACCTTCAAAGTTGATAACAGTTTTTTAATTAATTCTTGAAGGTGTTGCATTTAGGCTTCTATTAATTCCAATATGCATAGATTGAGGTCTTAATCTTCTGTTTTTTAGAAACAAGTTTTAATCTTTATTAGCATTGTATGCTAAGTTAAAAGTTTTTTTTTATTATATATTCAGATTCTAAGGCTAGTTGTTTTACAAAATATGACATTTTAATTATTATTCGATTTTTTTCATCTTTAAAAAGGCATCTTAAAACTAAACTTTCAAAGTGTCAAGAACATTATCTTTCAAATCTAATTGATGATTTTGTAAGTAATTATTTTTTCTATTCTTTGATTATAATTTATATTAATTTGGGCTGATTTGCAACTTGCTGAAAAAATTTTTGCTACTCAAAGATTTAATTTCTTATAAATTTGTAAAGTATGGAGAATTTATTGTTTTAAATATGCTCTAAGCTTTACTTCTGTTACTTGGAGAATTTCTAGCAGTATGTGATAACTAATTCTTATTGCGATTAGTCTCAATTGAATTTTTAGTTGAACTTGGACGATTCTCAAGACTGAGTAACCTTGTTCTAGTTGATTAATTAATATTTAAAGAATCTTATTCTCTTTAGCTTCTGTAGCTTCTTGCAGAAGGAGAAGTTATTTAAGAATCAAAATCTTTATTTTCATGTTTTTTAGAGATTATTTAAGCTATTTATTAAAATATTTTTTTAGTCTAATTCAAATTTTGTACTCATTTAAAAATTAAAGAAAATTTATGTAAAATAATTTGAAATTAAATTAATAATGCATGATAAATTTATTACAGATTCCTAAATAGTCTAAAGCAAGTTCGCTTTTGTCGGAAGGAGCACTTACTTGTGTTTTACAAATACTTTTAGAGCTTCTCCTCATAAATGATTATTCAGGTCTTTATGCAGAACTAGTATTCTTATAAAACGAAACTGAATTTGGAGATGACTGAACATTAAATTTCGATGATTAGGTATACAATTTGCTAGAAGGACTAGTAATTGAACTTATTTATGTATTATTTTTTAAAAAGCTAGAGCTATTTTTCATGGAGATCTAATTATCCAATATTGAGTTCTTAGATAAACTATTTATTTATATTTAAATAGTAGTAGATTTATTAGGAGACAAATGTAATTTCTTTTCCAGCTAAAGTTTATTAGTATTTAATTTAGGTCTTGCTATATTCTGACTTGAATAGGCAGCAAGATTTCTCACTTTGAATGGAGAAGAAGGGAATTTCTACTTTGTTTACTATTATTTTTTTGTTTAAAAGACTTATATCTTTGAATATCTCTAAGAAAACTGTGAAAACTCTTGTATACAAGAAAGTGTTAATTAATTTTAAGAACCTAAATTCTACTAAGCAACATCCACAGCTTTTTCATAATTATGCAATGCTTCTTCAAAATTTTAAAAGTGCTCTTCTTCATTAGCTAAAGTTTTATAGCATAGAATAAGATTAATGACCTTCGACTCACGCTAGCTTTGTTGTTCAGTTATCTACTCAGTTTCTATTAGATAATCATCATACTTACTGTTTTCATATTTACTTTACAATTCATTATTTTGAATCGGTTTTATGATACCAATCAATTCAAATTAAGATTCAGCTAGGGCTTTTCTAGCGAATTCAATAGATTTTATATGAGCTCCTATCTGAGAGTGTATTATTGCTAAGTTCAGGTAAACATTGCTTAAGTAGGATTTTACATCATGTTCAAACATAATTTTAAGAGCCTCATTAAACATGTCTAAGCTCTTTGATAATTTGCCTTTTTTCCTATAGCATACTCCTATATTACTGAGGGTAATAATTCTCATAAGAGGATCTGAACCTTCATGATTCGTCCATGTTAAGCATTTTTCCAGTATTAGCATAGAATTTTAAACTTCTCCATTATTCATATATTTTAATGCTTAATTATTCAATAAAGTAACTGCCTAAACAAATATGGAGTTCAGATTTGCTTTGCTTTTTTATGCTTAAATATTTTGTATTACCCATCCTAATTTCTATATTCCACTTTAAAGCAAGCCCAATTTAAAATCAACGTCGCTATTTTTGATATAATCGCGATATTATGATAGAATTTAATCATTTGGATCATAAGTGATCTCTTAAATATCATGCTATATAGGCAAAACCAAATCATTTTTTTAATAATAGTCCATTTCTATTTGATTTTGAATTGGATTAGAGCATTAAATATTCCTAATCATCTACCTTATAACTATAAATACCTCTTACTTCTACCTTTTACCTGGATATTCTAAATCTCTGTGGTTATTTTCAAAATTTAATGTTTGTTGTTTTTTTGCGTTAAGTAAATTTATTTATTTAATTAATTAGTTCCTTGCTGTTTACTTTAATTAAAAAATATTCAGTATATATTTATTAATAACAAACTTTCTAAATAATTAACATATATTCGATTTTGTTTATTATTTATTCAGTCTTAGAGATATTTATAATGCTAGCTATTTTATTTTATTTTTAATTACTAATTGATGCTTAATCTAAATCCTCAATTCTTCACATTTTTATAACTTATTTAAAAAATAAGTCTGTTTGTTTGTTTATTTGTCTGCCTCCCTTTTGCAAAATAATTAATTTAAAATAAAATAATTCGATTTTAAATGACCGTATTTCTATTAATAAAATATATATAAGAAATTAAAAGCAATTTTTTAAATAAAAATTTATAAATCTTATATTTTATTAATTTGCTTTAAAAATATTCATTTAAAAAAACTTTTTTGTTTTGTCTAAATTCGATAGCAATGAATGATAAGAATTTTTAAGCTCCAGTCTATTTTGAATAAAATAATATTTTTTTATTTGATAATTTTCTCAAATTTTTTTCTAAACTAATAAATAAATAATCTTCTCAAACTAAATATTTCAAAATGACAATTTTCATTATACTTTTTTTTATAAGTTGACATTTTTTCATAATATTTGGAAAAGTCATATTTTGAAAAAAATGAAATATTTCAAAATTTTGTTAAAGTATAAGATTGAAAAATTAAAATGAGTTCGTTGTCTTACTATAAAATAAATATATCTTAGAAAATTTAAATGTGAATCAATTTAATGAATTTTTAAAATAAAATTTTAATCTTAAATTAGAAACATGAAAATAAAGATTGTCTTATAAACTTTCAATCAATTTTATAATAAATTATATAACAAAATTAATATTAAATTCTTAAGATTCAAATATTCTTTTGTTCTTCTTTATCACACTAGCCATTTTTATTAGAATTAAATGAAGAATCCAAAAATGATGGTACCTGATAATAAGATATAAAATTTAAATTTTTTTGAGATGAAGTTACTAAATTCTCGCCAAAATCTTCAAATTTTTTACTTGAGTCTGATAGTTTTATTTTTTCTTAGTCATACAAATTAATTATTTTAGATTTATCTGAAAATTGTTCTGTGTCTAATCGTTTTTTAGTTGAATTTTATTTAGGAGTTTATATTTTTTGTGTTGGTTGTTCGGATTCAATATTTTAAGGCGATTCATTCTTTTTATCCTTGTTTTATTTTGCATTTTCAGAAGAAAGTAATTCAGTTTATTAAATGCGTTGCTAAATTTATATAGGATTCTATTTAATTTTAGGTGGAAAATTTTATTTGTTTATTTAGGTATTCAGCTGATCATAATTAATTGGAGATTATACTTTTGATCCTTCATAGTTAAAGCAATCTTCTATTATTTATTTTTTTTAATTTTGGTTGTGTTAATTTTTAGGATATATTTTAGTAAAGAATGAGCAAACTACCTATTTATTTGCTTAGTTTTCATAAATGCTATTTGTTTTAGTTTTATTACTGATTTCTAATTAATTATTATTTTGGTGGTTTCTATTTATAGCTACTGATGCGCTTCTGTGCTTATTCACTTTGAAGCTACTAAATTCTTTAGCTTATTCCTAATTTATAATTATGCTATTTTAAGAATCTTTGCAAATTAAGAAAAATTATAAATCATCTTAAGGTATTTCTAGAATTTTAAATAGGTTTTTAATATTATTATTTTAGTTTAAATTATTAAAAATAAGTTAATTACTATTTGCTTCAATCAATAAAAAGCAAACAATTTTTTCGCATATTTATTGTAAAATAAATCCCTTATTTGTTGTGATAACTTAGTTTAAAGAAAACAAGTTATCAATTTGCAAGAAGTAGCAATTAATTTTTCTTGAATCATAATTATTTTTATTTTATTATAAATTTTATTTTTCCTGCTCATTTTAAAAGGCCATTTAATCATTCAAAAGACATTATACTGTTATTATCTTAGAGACTTTATTCAAATAAAATTTCAGCTATCCCTCTACTTCTTCACAATTATTTATTTCAGCTGAATCTTTAGCTTAAATTTATTTTATTTTAATTTAATTTGTTTCAAAAATAAGCTCCTATGCGTTTTTATCCTGCAAACTATGAGGAGAATCTTAATAGATTTCAAGGTTTTTAACTCTGGAGGTATTGATTGAATAAGATTTTTTTCTTTAAAGTTCATTTGCTTTATCCTAATTAGGAAAATACTATATTGAATTTGAGTGGTTTGAAGTAGTTATTGTTGTAGAGCAGTGGTCATTAACATTATTCTAGTTACTAGTCTAATCTTCAGTTTTAAGCTTAGTTTATAGCTGCTAGTAGAGCAACTCTTTTTAATCATAGTTTATTTTTTTCTAGCGTATTTAGTTCTTAGAAAAAATATTTTGATTTGGTAGAATTATTAAATTCTTTTTAATTTAACTAGATTAAATTTCATTTGAATCTTCAATGTTATTTTAAAAATATCCCTATACGAACATAGCTGGAACTGCACTATCACAGTATAAAGGAGATTTTTTATTACTAAAATTTTCCACATTAAATATTTTCTATTAATTTATTTGCTATTCCCTCGAAGGAGTTTGATTTTTCCTGAGAAAGTTAATTTACTAACATTACTAGTTAACTGTAGTCCAGTTTGTTTTAATTTAATCTACAAATGTTTGTAAGTATGATTTGGTTAAATAATTCTTTCGTGGCGATACAATATTATTCTTTAAAAAAGATCCTAACTGGTTGCTTCTTGCAGTTTATATTTCTATTTAAGGCTAAGCTGTTTATTAGGTTTACAAAGCAATTTTACTCTCAATCATATTTTTAATTTTTTCTGATTTGATTATATCAATGCTTGGACTTTTTTATCTTGTTGTTAAACTAAGACTTTTACCTGATCTCAAACGAGGTGGTGGATAGTTAGAGAATCCTTCATTAAAAAGACTTGTGCTACTACCTTATTATTTTATTGTTTATTCATTTTATTGTTAAGATTCCTCTATTGTTTAACATTCTTTGTATTTTCTTTTTTCATTAGATGGAGATAACAATAAATTTCTTAATTACTCACAGTCACCTTCGAATATAGAAATATTATTTTCTTACAACTTTCTGCTTATAAATGAAGACATAAAAGGATGTTTTTTGCTTTAGAAATTTTAATTTTTTGTTGTAGCAGCAGTTGTTGAACTTGTAAGCATCGAAGATTATGTTGGTAAAGTGTAATTTGTTTGAGTAACTTTTAAATTATAAGGAAGACTTTCTAAATTAAGCTTTTTCTAGCGCACTACTACAACATTTTTTCTTTTTGCAGTCTCTTCGCTTCTATTCCTAAAATTTATGCTTGTCCTAGATGTCACAGATTGGCAAGGAATAATCCTCTCATTGTAAGGTGACTTTGAGAGAATGTTAATTGGTGAGTTTCTTCTTGGAGAAAATAAATTTTCATGCTAGCTTACTTTTTATTATGCGAACTATTAGCTAAGTTATTAGCCATATTTTTATCTTTTTTCTTTGAGATCCTTTTATAAAATCGGTTTTATATTTAAATGCTTAAATTAATTAATTAAATTCTATTTCTTTTTTAACTAAAACTCTACTTATCTTTTTTGGAAATTAATAAATTTTTAAAGCTGCTTTTCAGAAGCTGGGTGATCTATTCCTAATTTTTCTTAAGCAATAGATACTGCTTTCTAATGTAATTTGAAAGATTCATCGAAATTCTCAAAGTGTTCTTCTTCTTATGCTTAAATTTCATAGCAACGAATTAAATTTATTAATTTTATTTCATTCCAAAAATAAAATGATTCTTCGCTTAAATAAAGATTTTCTTCATTTTTGAAATTATTTTAATTTTTAATTTCTAAACCTTGCTCTTTAACTTATTCCTTTTTCTCTAGTTATCCTTTATAAATTGATAAATTATTAGCGCTTTGTATGTTATTGTTCTGATTTTGAAGACCTTATTATAATTAAATTAATAGTCTACCTTTTTGTATGCTAACTGCTACTTCTTCAGAATTCATTTCCTTTTTACAATATTCAAGAGCTTTCTTTGAAAATTCAAAAGCTTTTACATGCTATCCTACCTAGCTATTCAACTAGGCTAAATAAAAGTAAACTTCACCACACTTTTCAATTAAATTTTTGCTCATAATCAAGCTTAGCGCATCAATTAAAGTCTCCATACTTAAAAAGATTTTTTATTGCAATCTATAAAATTTACCTAGATTTATCAAAGTTTTAATCTTCATAAGAGACTCATATTCATAAATTTGAGTCCAAATTTAGCACTTGCTAATAAGGATTTAAGCTAATTACAAATATAAAGACTAATCACTGACATTATCTTGTTTAAATACAGATAATCTAAGATATTGATCTATTTATTTATTGCAATTACTTAATACTTCTACATATAATTATTTTTAATTTTCATATAAAATATTATCTTTGCTACTAATAAGAATATAATCAAGCTGACTTATAGAAATTTAAAGTTAATTCTAGTCAAAGTTAAATTTAATGTCTGAAACTTGGTTTTTTAATGATTAATAAGAGATTAAATTAGGAATAAGTCCTTTTTAATCACCTTTGTTCTTTTTTAAATCACTTTTAAAACCACTTAAGATGTCTTAGTTATGATTTTAATTTTATTATTTATTGGTTTATTCCGTATTTTTATTAATGTAGATAATGTTTTTGACATTTTATTGAGATATTTTAAGACTATAGAACTTCTTCATAGCTGCTAGCTAAAGAGATTACTATTCTTTCTCTACGTTATTATTCATATAGTTAATGGTTTTTTTAATATAATATTAATTGATTTGAATTGAATTGATTATAATTTAACAAAAAAGTTTCTATTATAATCAACAATATATTATCTTCTAAATAATCAATTAGTTGTAGATTAAATTAAATAGACCTTATAAATTGTATGTCCTTCTTTTTATTAATTATAATTTGTAGTGAACAAATATCACTAAAAGGAAATTAAGCTAATAAAATTCTATTCATATAACTAAAGACAATTAAAATTTGTTTGTTCATCCTGAATTAATAATACATTACTATGTTTTAAGCAATTATAAAAATTTTTAGTAACATAAATATTAAATAAATAAACTAATAGATTATATAAATAGAGTATTTATTACTTTGTTTAATCTAAATAACATTCTCTATTAAAATATTTGAATTTATTTTAGCTACTATTAAAGATTTTTTAATTTTATAAATTGCCTCAAACACACAAAATTAAATTTTTGAAGCTGTCTATTATTAGTTTTGATATTTTATAAAATATATTGAGATATTTTAAGTAAAATAAAATATTTATATTCTTCACTTTCAAATAAATTATGATTTATTCTATATTTAATAAACCTACTTCTTAGCAATTTAATATGAAAGCTACTAAATTTATAATATTCATACAAAATATTTTTTCATATATTAACTTACAATTTTTTTGTTTAATTCCTCAATAGATTATTCGACTTCCATATCTCAAGCTTTTTCTTATTTGCATTTCTTAAAATTAAACTCTTTTATTTTAAATTTTCATAAAAATATTTTTTGAGCGAAAATAAAATAATTATGTCAAAAAAAAACTTTAAACTCTACTTTTTTAATCATTATTATAAATAAAGAGTAAAACAATCTTTATATGATTTAATTCACATAAATAGAATTTTATGTAGAATTAAATTACTGCTATCCAATAAAATCATAATTTTTTTATTTTACTAACAATTTTTAAAAGTTAATTACTTAAAATGAAACAAACAAATAAAAAGAAATTTGTTAAATTACTTTTCTTTTTTATAAAAGATGTTTTAGATATTTTTTAAAAAAATGAAACTAAAATTATTAAATGAAATTAATGTAAAAGATTAAACCACTTTTAACCAATTGTTATTGAAAGAAAATAATATATTTTTTTATTTTTTTGAGAGGCTATCTATTTGAATTTTGAATTTTTATTTTAAATAAATTTAGTTGTAATCTTTTATATTTATTTACAAAGTATTTTGAATGGCTAAAATATTAATAACTGATTTATAGACATTTGAACAAATATTTTACTTTATTAATTAATTTTAAAACAATTCACAGTCAACTTCAACTTCAACTAGTGTGATTACCAGCTAATCTTGTTTTTTTCTTTTTATTTCTGTGGAAATTAATTTGAGTTGTTCTCATCTTTTTAATTTCTAATGCTTGATTATCCATAATTGTAACAAACCTTTTTCTGGCCTAATCTTTTTCTGCATGATCTCTTACATAATCTTCATATTTCTTTTTATCTAAAATAGCTTGATCTGATTTTATTTCCTTAATAACCTTTTTAGTGTGGTTTTTAAGTTTCTTTTTAACTCTGGATTTTTCTAAATGGTCATTTAAGGCCTTGCCCTTCTCAATAATACGAGGATCTAATTGCTTGATTTTTATTATAGGCTTTTCTATAAGAATATCTAAGGAGCTCTTGTAGGAGAAATCGTTTATCCACTCTCCAATTTTATCTTAACACTACTTTAAATACTCCTTCAAGTTTTTTCCAATTTATCTTCCATTTTCATATATGTCTTAGAGCTAGTAGAAGATAGGCTAATAAAGGAAATCAAAATTAGACTCCATGTTTGTAATTTTAAAGGTGTTATTCAAAAATGCAATACAAATTCTCAAAAAAGCTTGCAAAGCGCTATGACTTAAGCTTTTTTCATTATTAATGATAACACTCTCAAATAAATTATCAAAAGTAATCAATCTTTATTTATCATCATCTTTATCATTATTCTATTGCAAAGTAGCATTTGTATTTTTTCCATCAATGTTGCTAGTAACAAGCTATTTTTAAAGGAAGATAAATAAATATCTCATTCCAGAGTAAAGTTCGGGCACATGATCACGACACTTACGCCAGCAATTGAATCCAACAGTAAAATAGCTTAAAATTAGCAAGCAATTTTTGAATTGCTCACTTTCACTCATGCATAATGACTATATTTTTTCTGCTATATAAGTTTTGATGATTTAACCTAAAGCATTTTTTTTAGAGAGTATATCCAATCCATCTCCTAATTTTATAATTGTTTGAATGGCTATGATAGCTGTCAAGTGATGCACATGCTTCTATTAGTGAGAAAGCTCTTATGCTTCAATAGTTTCGTGCATATTTTCAAATGCTGCTATCAAATCATTTTTATTTTCTTTAAGTAAAAGTTTTTCTACTTTTTCAAGAAAAGCGAGGTAAACTCTATTAACATCTTTATAGGCTTTAATATTTAAAAGAGTCTCTTATACTTCAAGTAAGAGTGTACTAATATTCTTTAGTATCTTATCCATCCTAATAAAATATATTTTTGTTTTCTACTTTACCTAAAAAATAATAACAATATATATATCTATATTAGTATTTTCTTTATTTGGCAAGATATTATTTATTTAATTGCTTATACTAATAAATCAATACTTAATAAATTGATGTATGTAAAATATTAAACCAAATAATATATAATCTAAATTGGTTTACATATAATCATCATTATTATTGATAACAAACAAACTAGTTAATAGAAAAACAAAAAAAATATTTGCAAAATAAATTATCCTACTTTAGTAGTAGTTATAACAAAAACAAACTCAATTATTTATTTTTGTTATCTTTAATTACTTTTTTCATAATAAATTTCACCCCTAATGATTTATTTTTGTATTTTACTCAAAATTCTCTATGCAAATGCTATTTGCTCTTTATTAATTAATTATGCATCATAATTTTTATTTAAAAATAAACTTATTAGCTAAATTATTTTATTTGTAGATTTTTTAAATAATTTAAAAATTAATAATTAATTATTTAGTATTGATTTTAATTTAATTTAATCATTTTAATAATTTGATATTATAAATAATAGCTAATATAGATAGAATAATAAAATTTAATTAATTTATCTGAAATATCTTAGAATATAATTTATTATTTTAAAATAGCTTTACTCATAAATAATTTTAATATGTAAAAAGTAAAAGATTAAATTTGTTAAATTTCTGCAATATCGATTTATAGATAGATATTTTTTATGAATAATAATTAAATTTTTTTATAAGTTGAGGATGGATGTTCATCACTCTTATGAATTTTCTTATCTTTAGTCATTTATTGTTCTGAATTGTGATCTATTGCCGATAAAGCTTAGTTATTAATGATTTTAAAGAATGTTGTAGCCGTCTTCGTCAATGTCTTCTATGAGACCAATTTTCTTGAATATGGAGGGTAAAACACCAAATAAGAAGAAGTATAAAAAGAAGTAGTGGAAGGCACTTAAAAAGAATTCGTTAATGCCAATTTATTTAACCCAATTTGTTTCTACTATATCTCCTTAGAATACCGTTAAAACAATTGATGGCCCCATACATAAAATTAAAATCAATGATCTATAAATTCTATTTTTGAGTGCTCCTCTGTACCAATTATAATTTTTTGCAGTATTTCTATAGGTATAAGCTACACCAAATACAGCACCTATTAAAGCAAACAAGCAGGAAGTTTAAACAAAAGTAAACCAAGGTCCTAATATTTCATCGTATGGTAAGTCTCCATTTAGAGTTCCATTTGCATATGAACACTGTATGAAATTTGTAATCCAATCAGTTGGTGCATAATAATCTTAGGAGCTGTATAAGATAGTTGCGAATGTTTCTGAGAGAACCAAATATAAAAACCAGTAGAAAACATATTTCTTTGCTGATCTTTCTTGAATGGTAGATTTTTGTATCAAGCTATCAATGTAGCTGTCCATAAACTTCAGCGAGTAGTAATAAATCAAGAAATACATTATTGCAAGTAAAATGTTAATGATAAAGTCGCTTCCCATAATGTACTTTACAAATACCAAAAGCAAAACGAAAATACTCAAAGCAATCTCAAATATTTTGAACTTAATTGAAATTTTAGATTAATCATCCATATCTCTATTAATAACTCTTCTTCTAAAGCAAAAAACTGTGTAAAATATTAAGAAATATAGTATGAAAGCGCTTCTAGAAGGATGACTGTAAGTGTTTAAGCAGACAGGTGAGCCAATAGTATCACTCTACCAAAAAGGGCGAGGACCGCCATAAACCATTTCTAAGCAAGAAATCAAATAGTTTGAGTAGATTCCCATATAACCAACTTTGACAGCAATTAATGAGTCAATAGAAACAAACATAGTTCCAATAAAAGCAGTAAGAATCAAGAAATTATACTTAAAGAGATCTAAATATCCAAACATGTCCCAGAACCAGTGGGCTTTAAACTTCCAAAAAGTAATTTCTGCTTCGTTCTATATTCGTTTTAATTTAAAATAAATTGTTTCAATGAATATTTTAAAAAAGAAAGCATGCACGCATAATAAATTAATGAATAAATTTTTTAAATGATGCTTTAAATAAAAGAAAATTTATTATTTAACAAAATAGATTTTATAATTTTTTATTTAATTAATTTTTTCTAATTGAGGAATGTAAAAAAACTATTTTTGCTTGAAAAAAATGAAATATTTTAAGCTAAAAGGTAGAATTAATTATAAATTGAAAAAGAGATTATTTCAGTTGTTGATGTGTTAATATTTTTATACTTTTATTTGTAGATTTTTTAAATTGTAAGCAAATTAATTTATGTTTGTAAAAATAATAAAAAAGCTAAATGGTTTCGTACGAATCGAATAAACTCAATAGCTATAAGTTGATAATTTATTGCTTTAAATGTTATTAGTTTTTTTATATGGATTGTATTTGTAAAAATGCAATAAATACCTCTTATTTAACTGTGATTTCTTCAATCAATCCTAGTCCATTTTGTATGTTATGCAATAATGTTACTTCATTATCTAAAAACACCTCATAGAAAATTCTTTCTATAATGATCAACAGTATTACAACTGAAATTCCAATAACAGTTCGAAGAAGTTTCTTTTTGTAAAGGTTAACTTAGGTATCGTTTGATTGATAAAATGAACCTTAATGCATTGATATATTTGATTAATCATCAGAAGGCCTTTTTGGGCGATTGACATCAGGTATTTCCATCTTTTATAATTGCAAAGATTACTCTATTGGTTATTTTTAACTTAACTTATCTGCTCGCTAATGCTTTTAAACTTATTTTATTTGTAATGTTTTTCAGAAATTAATATAGAAACCTAACTATCCCTATTTTATGATTTTAACTTTTGATACGATTTATTTGCTTTTCTTTACTTTAATTTCTTAACTATTTTTGTATGTTAAAATTTTTGAGTAAAAAATCGTATCAGCTGCTTAAAAAAAATAAATTAATTAATTGATAACTAAATGCAAAATGACTACAATAATTTTCTGTATTAGGCCAATTAATAACAATAATTTAGTTTACTTTGTATCTTATCTTTCAATATCATTCATCTAAATAATAGATAAATGGCCTTGAAAATTAGATATCAATCATTCTTACTTACTATTATTATTAATTATATCAAGATTTCTTGTTTGTTATTGTTCTACTTTATAGACAAAATTTTTAAAAGGTTTTGGTCTTAATTTTTGATATAAAATTATAAATGCATATTTTGGTTGAAAAGTGTTTGGTATTTTAATTAAAAAAGATACAATTATTAATTCCTACTATAGTTAAAATACTACTTTTAGCATATCAAGATAACAAAAAATGAGTTAAGAATTAAACAAATAATTGGAATAGTTAGAAATCAAAGAAGCTAAATAGGCTTAATAGGAAGAAACTAAGAATAACTCTTAATAATAAGACTAGCAGCCATAAGAGGAAGTCAAAAAGAAAAAAGTGGTCAAAAGCGTTAGATTCAATTTGGAAATTAAAAAAGCAACATAGGCTGAGAAAATAGCTAAAGAAAATTAGGAATAACAACCTTAAAATGAATCTAAAGGATTATTCCCTGCAACTCTTCCTGAATAAAGCTAAGAAGAAAATTAAACTGATTTAAAGCCATCTCTAGAAAGCTAATATACAGAAGAAGAAATAAATGAAATGGAATAAATCAAAACATGGTTATTCACAAATATTAAAAGAGATATAGATAATGCTAATGCAAAGGGAGCTAACTGTGTACAACTCAAAGTGAAAAACTTTGTTTTACTCAGAAAGGAAGACAATTAGCTTTATAACAGAGTTGAGTTTGATACAACCTTTGATTTTACAACTATTGAATAAATATTACTTTCACCAGAAGAAGCTCATCCCGCCTAAAGTACTCTTAAATACTGTATGGTGGTACTCTTTGGAAAAAACAAAAATGTTCCTTTGGTATTCCCATATTGCTATTAAAAACTCGACGAAATAGAAGAGATGTAAAAAGAAACTGAACAAACCAAAAATAAAAAAGAAAAGAAGAAACTCCAAAAGAAACTAAAAAAGAAAATGGGAAATTACACTCCAAATGAGTTAGATAATTGGATCTTTGTAAATTCTAATTTAAAGGAGGCTTTCCATAAAATTAATTCTTTCCAAAATATTTGATTCTATCTTAAAATTGTAAATACTAAATATAAAAATAAGCTATGGTGTATAGTTTGTTTCTTTAATTGATTGATTGATGTTGTTTCAATAAATAATTATTTTTAAAATATTTTTTTCATTATTTTTTACACTTAATATTTTATTGATTCATAAAAGCTAATCAAATTGACACAAAGGAAATATGATATTTTCTACTTTTATATTTTTGCTTAAATTAACTAAAATATATTTTTAATTATTTAATAAGAGTTTTAATTGGTATAAAACTTCTTTAGGAGTGCTTTTAAATAAATAAATATATAAATTGATTTTAATGATGAAGCTTACATTTAAATTTTTAGAAAAAATTCTATTCAATAAAAATTACATTTTTTTGCTAACAATAAAATTGATGATAAATGGCAAAATTATTTTTAATTAGACTTTTGTATTTAATTTTGAAAATGAATTAACTTTTTGGCATATTTGATCAAACAAACAAAAAAAGAATAGAAATATAAAATTTGAATTTTATTTGATTAGTTTTATAACTTATTCAATAAAAAATTGCATTTAACAAAAAAATTATATGATAAATGATAAATCATTTTAAATAACACTTTTTTATTTAATGTTGAAAATGGATTAACTTGTTTAATCAAACAAGCAAGAGCATATTTTGAATTTTATTTGATTAGCTTTATATTCTATTCAATAAAAAATTGCATTTAACAAAAAAATTATATGATAAATGACAAATTATTTTAAATAAAACTTTTGAATTTAGTTTTAAAAATGAATTAACTTATTTAATCAAACAAGCAAGAGCATATTTTGAATTTTATTTGATTAGTTTTATATTCTATTCAATAAAAAATTGCATTTAACAAAAAAATTTAAAATATCATTTTAAAATAAGACTTTTGTGTTTAATTTTTAAAATGGATTAACTTATTAACTTGTTTGATCAAACCAACAAAATTATATTTTGAATTTTATATAATTAATTTTATTTTCTATTCAATAAAAAATTTCATTTAACAAAAAAATAATATGATAAATGACAAAACCATTTTAAATAAGACTTTTGTGTTTAATTTTGTAAATGAATTAACTTGTTGGCATGTTTGATCAAACAAGCAAAAATCGAAATATAAATTTGAATTTTATTTGCTAGCGTTTTGTTTTGTGAATAATCTATAAAAAATAAACAATATTTGATAGATAGATTGATAGATATAGCAGAATGAATGAGACACAAACTAATATAAAATAATAATAGCTTATAAACATACTATCAAAATGTAAAACTAATAAAGTTTGATTGATATTATAAGTAGTTTTTATTGTTGTTGTTGAGTGGTTATTAGAATTATTTAGCGAACTAACGAATGAAAGAATGAAAAATTATAGTTTTTACAGGTCAATCACTTTGCATTACTCTTTTTTTTGTTTTTATTATCTTTATTGGAAGCTTGCTCATAAGCAACAATCTTCAAATACTGTGGTTTTATATCAATTTTTGAGCTATTATTACTATATTTGACATCAATTTTTGCATCTTTAACTACGAGTCTGCAAACTTACTTATTATTATTCGAGTTTTCAAGGGGAATACGCTAGAAAGTTTCAAGCTTTCCCTAATATTTAATCATAAAAGTTATTAATGCTTTGCTATATGATTAAAACTCATTTTTATTTTTACATGATCAGCTCAAAACTTATAAAATAATGAATTGGCCGAGTCAAAACAGGAAGAAAAATAAATTAATTCAATGTACGTTGATTGTAGCGTCAGGAGTATTCTAGAGTTTAGACATTTCTTCATCAAGAACAGTATCATAAATCTTCCATATCTTTTCAATTATTTCTTTTGATTAGGGATCTTCGTGAATTACTTCTTGTATTGTTTCTGTTAGAGTTTTTCCTAAACTGCAAATTCTGTAAATATCCTTTGAAATATCCATCTAATTTGATTATTATTATATTTTTTTTATTACACAATATTTAAAATCCCTTTTTCCCCTATTTAAAAGGCCCATTTAAATAAAACCATCAGGTTAGTCTTTGTTTCAATGAATTTCTTATCTTGTTTTAATTCATTTTTTACTAATTATCAAACAATTCACACTAATCCATTCATTAATTCATTACCTTACATAATTTATTTATTTTTAGATAATAAATAAATATTTAATCTATTTTCATAGCACCTATCTATACTAAACAAACAAATACATATACCTATTATCTCATTATTTTTATGAAATTATTTTAAAATATAACTTTGTTTTTATGATAAAATTTATAGGTAAATTTAAAACTATTTTGAAAATATTAGTTAAAAAATTGGTAATATTTTTTTTTATTCCATTTTTTAATTCCTCTAAAGCAAGTTAATTAACATAAAACAATAAATAATATTATTAATTACCATATTTTAAAAAATAAATTTAAAAAAAATAGGATATTCACAATAGTATTTTGTATCTATTACCTTTTCAATAAAAGAGTTTGTTTTTATTAATTATTACATTTAAATTTAACTATAAAAATAATTAAATTATTCTTTTCAGTAATATTTAAAATGTTTTGATTATTTAAAATCTTGCATTTTAAAGAAAGGTTCATTTAAACAAAAATCGAAAATATTTAAAAAATTACTCATTTACAAAATATTACAAAAAAAAAATGATTATTTTGCAAGCAGAAAATTAATTAGAATAGCAATTAAAAATTTTTAAAGTCTAATGAGTTATACGAGTTTGTTTTAGAAAGGCTAGTTATTTTGATATTAAAAACAACTATTTACTTTTAAAAATATATTTAAAATATCTTTTGATATAAAAACTATTTATTAATTTTAAGGGTTTAAATAATTAAAAGATTTTAATTGACTAAAATTCATTATTTTTATAATAAAAACAATTATTAGCATTAAAAAGACATTTTTAAATATTAATATAAATATCAATTTTTAATTAAAATAATTATCAAAATATCAACAATTAATTTAATTATTAATCTAATTATTTTAATTATTTAAAAAATTAAATTGATTGCTAAGTGAGGAGAAATTAATCATTTAAAATAATTGAAACGACCATATTTACTAGTAATTCAATTTTAATCGTATTTCATTAATTCATTTTTTTAAGAATTAACTTAGTAAAACTAAAATATCTAAAATTAATGTTATTATTTTATTTATTTAATATAGAAATGATTTATTTTAATTTAATGAATAAAAATATCAAGATGATAGAAAGATAGATTGCATAAGGCATTAATTTTGTAATATTTGCAAAATTAAAAATCTTTAATCTAAAGTTTGTAACTTGATAGTGTAATTTGTGACATAAATTAATTTGATTTTTTGAGAAGTTATAATTTTTTTATTTTGAACCAATTTATTGATATTTTAATGAATTTCGAATTCATGTCAAAGTTTATGTAAATTTTTTATTTTAAACCAAAAAAATTATTTTATTGCACAGAGATTGTTGTTATTTCTTGAAAAAAATAATATAAAAATATAGAATTTAATTGAAATTATTTTAAAATTTTAAACAAAAAACAACAAATTAAACTTAAAAAAATAAAAACTTTATATAGTGTTTTTGGTAAAAAAAATTCAAATTTTATTTATCTTATAATTAATTATTCATTCAGAATTGTTATTGTTGTTGTTAGGTATTCTTTTCTGCTATTAAAATTTGTTTAGTAGAAAAGTCTACTCCTAGATAGTAAGTTTCTAAGACTCTGTTACTAAGAGACATAGCTCCTTTGTAAGTTGCAAGTTAAATTAAAACTTAATAAATTCCTTCAGCCAATTTGAATGTATATTAAGAAGGTAATACGGTGATAATGAATGGCTTAGAGTCTTCTGTCACAACTTAGATTTCAAGATTTTTCAGTTTGTCAGTGGAGGAGACTGAAATGAAGTGATTTTTGTTTGGCTAATAATCATATTTTATGCCTTATGCAGTGAAAGCCTTTAATAAGTCTTATATTTAGAAAAGTGAAAACAAAAAGAAAGGTTAGTTGATATTAAGAAAAACAATTCTTGGGCTAAATAAGCTGAATTAGCCGTATTGTACATTTTAGCTGGAATAGGCACTGTAATAACCTGCTTCTCCAGAACTTTTTAAAGAGAAAGGATAAACATTATCTTTAGTTTTTGATAAATCAGCATCACCTATGTCAATAGTACCCTTGTTTTATTTAGAACCAGCCTAAGGTAAACTCAAAAAGATCTATTACTTAGGAACTTTGTGATCAAGGTAAGTAAAGGCATTTACTTGACCGTCATACTTAAACCCAAAGCAGAATTAATTTGATCCATAAAAGACAGATCCCCTATTTGGAATAGTAAACTCAAAGTTAATTTTCTTTTCTCCAATAAAGAAGTCACCTGAGTAGTCATTTCCATCAGCAAAATAATTTGAACCAACTTCTGTATTTCCACATTAAACAGCTTATGCAGGAGTTTCAGTAATCGCATTAGAACAGTAATCTATCACTGGAGTAACATAGAATTAACATTATTTGCCATCTTGAGTTTTCTATTAAATAGGAAAGACTATAGTACTATCATCCTTAAGAATAAGTTCAGTAGTAAGACCTTCAAAAGAACAAACTGAGCTAATTAAAATTATAGCTAAGATAATTTACTTTTTGCACATCCGATTTAATGTTAATTTTATTTTTTTAATTATTTATTTTTTTTATCAGGTTCAATACCCAACAATTTATAGTCTTTTGTCTAATTTACTTAAAATTTTCTTTTATTAAATAAAAAGTAATTGCAACTAATGGTAATTTTATAGTTTGGTTGTGTGATTAATTATTTCTGCATAAACCCTAGTAAGTTTTGCTTTCAAATACATATAGAAAAGTTATTCGAACAGATTTTGATCAAATTTAATTTTATTAAGCACATAAACGTAAACTATTTTTGTATTGTAATTAGATCATTTTATAGAACTATTTATAATTTGAATTTTAATTCATTTTGTTTATAATGTAAATGTAGCTAAAGAATCAATTATCAAATAAAAATAAAGTTTTTATTCATAAATAGCTGAATATAAAATTATTTTAGTTAATCATTAAATCTCAGATTGTAGCTAATTCTAATGATCTTGTGTATTATTTGATCTTTTGAATGTAATCTAATTAAAATATTACATTTTAAATTAATTTTTTAATTTGCCAAATAGCCAAATATAGAAAATACAGAAAGTAAGTAACCTAAACTAATAATTACATTATTTAATTGATATATCCTTAATTTTAAACTTTTTACTCTTTAAATATCAATAAATTAAAATTATAATATACATACAGATTGATGTTTAATTTAGACTTTATTTTTATCGCAAAAAATACTTTAATGTCACACATTTATTATATTTATATATTATATATGAGGAAAATAGCAAACATTTTTCAACCAACTTTTATTTATACATAAGATAGATCATTTATTAAGTCAAATAAATTATTTAAAAAAGGCTAAATGAGATGTCTAAGATATATTTTTTCCAAAAAATATTAATGCTCATATTTTAGAATAGTAATATAAAATCAAAATAAAGTATTCACAAATAATAATCACACAACTCTTATGAAGTATCTATAAATAATTAAAAACTATTCAATTTAATTAGAATTTTCACTTTCTTCATTAATAAATTTTTAACGAATTTTTTATTAAAAGAATAGTTTTTTTGCTAAAATATAACTCTATATTATAATTCAATAAAATAGATTTAGCAATATAAGGTAACTTTTATTTCATAGAAACTTACTTTTATTATATTTAAGCTTAAAATAATAAATAGTTAAATAATATCAAAACCCTAAAGTAAAAAAAGTTTTTGTTTATGTTTACAATGAATCATAAAAACAAAAAATCAATTATTTTTTAAAATAAATTTTATTCTCTAAAAAATTTACAAAAATATTTTTAAAATGCCTTAATTAAGATGTTTGTTAAATATTATCTTTTCAATTTTATTAATAAATTTTATGAATTTTAAATGATTATTTGATTTCGTCAAATTTTTTTCTAATCTGATAAAAAAAATAATAAATTTTGAATAATTAAATTTTTTAACTTTAATAATATAATTTTCTTTAAAATATATTTATTTATTTATTATAATATTTACTAATTATTCCAATTAATTTTGTCTATTTTTTATATACTAGTATTATTGAAATTTAAATATTTAATAGAAATTTCAAAATACGAAATTAAAATTTAATAGAATTAATTATTAAATAATTATTTATTTATAAAAATCAAACGAATTTAAATGAATATCAAACACTTTTCATTAAATTATAATAGAAATAACTTTTAAATTAATTAATTATACAAAATATTAAAAAGAGAATTAATTTTTAAATAAAAATAATCATTCATTTATAATAATTAACTTAATTTAAATGAATTTCTAACACTTTTCATTAAATTATAATAGAAATATTTTTAAAATAAATAGTAAAAAGAAACTATTAAAATTTTTATTATTTTAATTCTAAGCAATTAAGAAATTAAAAATATCTAAAATCTAATTATTTAAAAAAAGCTCAATTAAAATAGATGATATTTTCTAAATAACAAAGATTCATCTATCACCAATATTTTAAGGCAAAATAATATTAAAAGGCAAGAAATTATTGATAGAGAGAATTACATCAATAGAAATTTTTGTTAAGAAATAATTTAGTCAGATATGGATTATTAAATAGCAGGAAACATGCATATTTACATACAATTAGTCAATTAATCTAATAAACAAAGAATTAGGTTTTTGATAATCAGCCAAATTATGCATTTTCAATAAATATAAATTTTTATTGGTAAAGTCATAGAGAACCAAGCATGTATGCAATCAAGCAATCAATCAATCAATAAATCAAATAAGATAAATAATTATTGCTGATTACTGTCTTATAAGGAAGGAACTAAATAAGATACAAAAATCTTTAATATCATACACACTAAAAAAATTAAATAAATAAAAAAGCAAAAGGGAAAAAGATTCCTAATCAATATTAGAAATTATTTTATAGCAGTGAATCGAAATGTAGGAGTTGCCAGCAGTTGATAAAATATTTAAGGAAGAAGGAGTAGTTTGCCATACATTTTCTCCTGATGGAACATTGTGTGCAGTTTCATTAAAGAAATCTCATGTAATTGAAATATATAGCTTAAAAAAAGATTCCTTCAGATAAATTAATACTTGGCAATACAAAACCTAACTCAAGGAGCACACACAAACTATTTCTGGTTTAAGCTTTTCCATAAATAACTAGCTTTTGAGTGCATCTCATGATAAATCTATTTTGGTTTGGACATAGGATAAGAATGGCAATTGGACTAAATAATCAGTTATTTGCGAAAATAAATTAGGCTGTATTAAATGTGTATGGAGTCCAAATGGTAAGAAATTTGCTGTTGGGTGTGGTGATCACAAGGCATACGTTGGTTACTATGATACAAAGAATAATTGGTGGAGCACTATGGCAATTAAGGGTCCCAAAGGATCTATTTCTGCACTTGCATTCCATCCTTCCTCTAAGGCCATTGCTATTGGATCAATGGATTTCACTGTTCGTTTGATAACTTTGAATCTTGAAAAAAATTATTAAAGCCATATAGAAGACATGGTTTAACAAAAGAATAGTTAAGCAGACATTGAGCAATACAAATAATTGTACATTGATCAATTGAATTAAGAGGATCCATAATATAAAGGAAAGTTTACATTATTTGATACTTATTATGAATCTAGTATTGAAATTTCACAAAATCTCACTGGTGGATGGATTGATTCATTAGCTTTCTCACCTAATGGCTAGCTTTTGACTTTCTCAGTTCACAATTCAAGTATATTTAACATAGCTATAACACCTGAAGGAAAGCCTACTTTTAACGAAACACCCCTTCACCTCAAAGGCCTACCTGTTTCTTGTATGCTTTATAAAGACGATAATACCTTAATAGCTGGTACTTATGACGGTTCTGTCCTTTAAATAGAGTCTAGTGCAAGTGGCATCAAGTTAATCAAAACCATAGAAGCAAGCAGTGATCAAACTGCATTTAAAGTAGCTTAAAATAGAGTAGGTTTGGCTGCACAAAACATGTTTAGAAATTCTTAACAACCTGTAGCAACTTCTAAATTTGGTCATTCTAATCCAATTATTTGCCTTTAGCACTATCCTGCTGAGAAGAATGTTATATCTTCAAACGATATTAATGGACAAATCTTCTTTTGGAATGTTTGATAAATCAAATAAATAAATTGAATTCTTTATCATAAATTTAATTTCATATTGTTTTTTTTCTGTTTTATAATAATAAAAACATTAATATTAAAACTATTTTTAATTCCTTTTACACATATAAAAATAATAATAATAAAATTTAATGATTCAGATAGCTAGAACTAATTAGACGACTAAAAGCATAAAAAATTTTAAAATATTATCAAAAGTAACTTAAAAAGATTCTTAAATAAAAGTTATTGTTAAATAAATAAATAACTAACTAATAATAGGTTTATTATTAGAGTTTACGGCATAATTAATAAGTTAATTTTTTAGAAAATACCAAAAAGAAACTTGTCTTTTAAATAAAGATCCAAACTTCTTCAGTTAATTAAATTTTAATCTTTGAAAAATTCAAAATTTTTGTATTTCTAAAAGTTAAATAATAATTTTATAAATTTTAGTGTTATTTAAAAAATATCATGTTAGAATATTTTAATCAGCTTTAAGATACATTAATCAATTTTTTACAATTATTTCATAAAAGAATCAAAGCTAGAAAGTAATAAATAATAAGTTTGGTGTCAAATCAAATATTTTTTGGTATAAAAATAAAAATATTCAATCCAATTTTACTTTTAAATTTAACTGAATAATAAATATTTTAAAAACTCATTTTAAAATAAAAAATTTCACTTTTCTTTTATTTTTAAAAAATAAGTTTTTTATTTTTTTATTTAAAATTATAATAAAAATTTTTGAGTATTTCAAAGAATAAAATTAAGTTCTTGTTTAATATAAAAAACCATATTAGAATAAAAGAGGTTTAGGATGGCGGATTTAATTTTGGGAAAAGAAAGTTTATTTACAAAATAAATTTGAAGATATTATAATTATTAGATTTTAATTTTATTTATTTGATTTTAAAAATTAAATGTGGAAGTTGGAGATTTTTATTTTTTAGTTAAAGTTAAAATAATAAATTAAAAGTTAATATTTATTTTAAATTCAAAAAATATTGAAATAATTTGAGTTGAAGTAAACTTTTATTAATTTTTGATGGAAGCTGATTGCCTTTAAATTTGACTTTTATTCTTAAAATTTTTTGGAGAATTGATGTGAAATATTCTGTTTATTTCCAAAACTAAATCAAAAATAGATAGAAACAACTTTAGATTTTAAATAAGATAAGAAACTCATAATAATAACAATTTTTATTATTTCAATTAATTTAATTATTAAAAATAAAATATTTTCTTCTCAAAAACTCAAAAGTTAAATATAATATGTGAGTAGATCTAACAATAGTAAGAATGGAGATAATCAACTAATCAGAATTGGTGGAGACATATAAATTTAAAATGTCTATTACTTTTAAGCTAAAAGCTACGAATGAAAATATTAAAAATAAATTTGAAAATTAATATGTTAATTTTTTTTTTTGCAATTGTTTTGTTTATTTGTTATTCAACTTATTTACTTTAAAAAAACTTTTGAAATAAAATTTTGAAGATTGAAACAGTGAGCGAGTTGTTCGAATGCACCAAAGTTAATAATGGTGTTTTTTTTCTGTGTGCAGAAATAATTAACATATATAATGAGGATTTAGTGAGATTGTTTTTGATATTTTAAAATAAAGAGATTAAAGCAAGCTATTCATTCATTTATTTATTAATTTTATATGATTTCAATAAAAGTTATCAATTAATTGAAAGTAAATGAAGAGGTTATTATGATCTGATAAATCGTAATTTTTGAAAGTGCTTTAAAAAGAAAATAAAAGCAGGACTTTAAATAAAAACTCAAATAAATTTTGCTCGATTTTATTAGTTAACTTCAAAAAAAAGAAAAAAAAAAAGAATCTTTGTGAGAAAAACAAATAAATAGCTATTATAAAAGTAAAGGAGAAAAAATATCAGAAATGGATTATTATAGAGTACTGAGTAATTTAATTGAAAATGCCACAAGCGAAAGATTGGAACGCCCTGATGTGAATGCAATGCGCGAAGTGTCTGAAGTTGTTCGCTCTCGTCCTGACATGTAAAACGCCTTTTATATCATAGTTATATTTCATATAATCTTAAATTTGGTTCAATTTAAAGCTCTTTAGCGTTTTAAATAAATGTATTCCTTTAAAATTGTATTTAGATGCTTAAAAATAAGCAGATAATACACATTTTTTTACTCTCAGTCTTACTCCAGACATTAAATATTAATATTTGCAGAGCTTTTATTTTAAACTTAACACTTGATTTTATTTAACTTATCAAAATAGGCCTAAAGAAGCCATTAAGCAGATTCATAATAGACTCATGAAAAGAGACAAAACAGTTGTTATGTTGTGCTTGGAGTTGTTAGAATATCTTTCTTACAGTTGCGATATTACTCTTTATAATTAAATTGCAACCAAGGAATTCATGTAACGTATGGGTACACTTCTTAAATCTCATGATTTAGATGACTTAGTAAAAATATTATTAATTATATAAAAAAATAAATACACCTCTGCCTCCCCCAAAACTTATTTCTTCCTAAACTGTTTGACGAATATTAGTTGTTCTACCTTTCTTTAATGTTTTTTAAATGCTCTATAAAGCATTTAATTTTTAATAGTAGCGTTTAAAAAGAAAATAGATGATTTTATTATAAAATTGATAAATATTAACTATAATATAAATAAATTAATAATAATAGGTAAAAAAGAGATTATGTTGTTTGATTAAATGTTGGAGAGAAATCTTCCATAAGGATTTATAAGTCTTATTCTTTTAATTCTATGAAGGCTGTATACAAAAAGGTTTTGAAATTCCTGGCAATTATGTTTCTCCTTATTAGAATTTAAAGGGAAGCAGTGGCGGTAGTAGCAGTGTTAGCACTTTCTAAAACAAACCTCCTAGCAGCTAAAACAATCCAATTGGTTCTACATCAAGCAATGCTACTTAAAACAGAGTAAAAAAAATATTTTTTTTTTTTAAATTAAATATGCCTTTTTAAATTATATTTAATTAAAATTATTTTAAAAAGACTAACTCAAACTAAAATTATTCTGGCCCAAAACTTAAGTTGAAAAACGATCTTGAGACCATAAAGCAAAACATCACTTTGGTTAATGTAATTAATTTAATATGGATAAATGAGTAATAAAATAATTATAACTAAACTTAATATAGGAAATGATTGACAATTAAGATCCTAAAGGAAATGTTGATCAAAATGGAGCTCTTAACGATTTAATTACAGTTTTAAAAACTTCTGAAAAGAATATGTAGGGTCTTATAGAATAGTTAGCAACAGAAAATGATGAATAATTGTTAGAATTATCTCTCTAACTCAATGATGATATATAATCAGTAACCAAATACTTTCAATTAATTAATTAATTTATGCAAATTATTTTATACTTAAGACTCTTGAGAGACATCAAGCTTTAAAAAGACATCAAAAGCCCAAACCATTTAGAGGTAAAGCAGTAGAAGAAGAAGTGATGAATCAAATTTAATAGCTTGAAATTACTAGTAAGTAATAAGCTCCCTCTGCTAGCATTTTTGCAGATACCGCTCAAGCCTTAAGCACATCACTTGCTAAAGCTTAAAATAGAATCCCTCCTCCTTAAAACTTCTAACCTCCTCAAAATTTCTAACCTCCTGCTTAACAAGTTCCTGTTCAACCACCTGTCTAGTAACCTCCTAAAACTAACATGATTAATTTATTAGACGATGATGATGATCAACCTCCTATTTCTATCCCTCCAAAGGTCGTTTAACCTCCTAACTAAAATACTGGAAAGTAAGTTACTTATTTCAATCATATTCAGTATCAATTATAAATATTTTTTTAAATAAAATAGTTTAGTTGATATTTTTGATGGATCTTCAAATAACAATAATTTCTAACCTCCTGTAAACAACGGATTCTAGCCTCCAGTTAATAACAACTTCTAGCCTCCCGTTAATAACAATTTCTAGCCTCCTGTTAATAACAATTTCTAACCTCCTGTTAATAACAACTTCTAGCCTCCAGTAAATAATAATAATAACTTTTAGCCTCCTGTTAACAATTTCAATAATCCTCCTGTCAACAATGTAGGTACTACCTCAATCGTAATTTATTATTTATTTATTTTATGTTTTAAATAATAATAAAAACTTATTAATATTAAATAGAGTGATTTATACAATAAATAGTCAAATAATGCTCAAGTAAACCCTGCAAATAAATATTCAGCATTCAATACTGTAGGATAAAATATGGGTGGTGCAATGGGTTACAATAACATGAACTAATATAACACAAATCCCAATCCTTACGGTGCTATGGGAGCAAATAATTAATTTGCAACCAATATAAATAATAATCCTATGGGAATGGGAGGTATGGCTCCTACAGGCGGAATGAATATGGGAATGAATAATGGAATGGGTATGAACACTGGCATGGGTATGAATACTGGTGCAGGTCTCTATAATAATAATCCTCTAGGTGGTGCTGGAGGATTTAACACAAATCCAAATATGGGGGGATATGGTGGTGCAGGTATGAGTACTGGACCAAGTACTGGATTTGGAATGAATAATAATATGAATATGGGTGGCGGTTTCGGAGGTGCACCCAACAACAATTTTAATCCTAATTCAGGTGGATTCGGAAATTAAAACGTTGCTAAGAAAGATGCTTTTGATGATCTAGATGACATGCTTGGCATCTAAAGTAATAAATTTTTTTTTCAAAATAATAGTTTTTAAATAATATTTATTTATATCTAAAGGTAATAATAACGCTAACAATAAGCCAGTTTAGTAAAATAATATTGCTAAATAGCCTGACTTTGATTTGTTCTGAAGATAAATAAGAATTAAATAATAATTAATTTAAATCTCTTTTCTTATAAATTTAAAATTAAAACTTAAAATAAGTAAATACTTTCTCTTTTAAATACAAGTTTATATTGTTTGTCAATTCACTTTGAAATCACTTTAAAGCAAACTCTTTCTTTGAAATTATTTATAAATTTTAATTTATTTTTCATGTTTATATTCATTTTTCAATAAAAAATTCGTAGAAAATCTAATTAAAAATGTATTTTAAAAAAATAAAAAAGAAAAACCTAAAAAAGTTGATAGAGAAATTTGAATGAAAAAATTTAAGTAAAATTTGAAAATAGAAAAGATAGAAAAAATTATAAAAAATTAATGGAAAATTTAACAAAAAATTTATAGAAAAACTCACAAAAAATATTGATTAATTTTATTTTGTTCTTGCTTTGTTCAAAATATTGAGAAAATATAAATTATCCAAAATAAATCAATAAAATAATTAGAATTTCACTCTAGATTTTTATTTTTTTTTAATTTAAAATCAAAATACGTGAAATTAAATTAAAAAAATAAAATTAGCTGAATGCCAAATCAAAATTTATTTGGTTTGCTAAATTTATTTTACCTAAAAGATGTTTTGGGAATATAATTACGTATGGAATGACTATTAATAGTAAGGAAATTAATATTTCACAAATCATTTACAATTGATTGTTTAGACTAATTTATTGACGTATTTGTAATTTATCAAAATATCAATTTTCTTTTAGAAATTAGAAATTAAGATTTTAGAGTTACACATAAAAAGGTGAGCGATGTCGTAGGTGATGTCTTAATAATATTTTTTATTTGAATTAACAAATTCTGAAATTCAAATGCCTATTTTTTGCCTGTCTATAATATTTTAGAAAATTTCAGTACTACAAAAATTAGATAAAATTATGTTTGTTCAATTAAGTAGCATTAGTGCCTTAAAAATATTTAACTTTTTTTCACAAGTTAAGTTTCTTTAGTTATATTTTGTAACCATTTTAAAGAAAATATGAATATAAAAATATTTAGCGCTTGAGTATCTTTGACTCTTTTGTAGTATAAATAAGAGATGTAGTTATGTTTGCTTGCGCTTGCTTTATTTAGTAAGAAATTTTTATAATTAATTAAGATAAATTAATTTAAACGAGTTATAAGATTAATCCTGATTAAAAATTTGATTTTTGCTAGAAATCTTTTAACATCCCATCACCAAAATGATATAAAAAAATAATTGATTACAAATTTTAAGAAAAATAAAAAGTAGAGAAATAAATATTGATTGATTTATTGATTAATTAATTAATTCTCATGTGGTTGATAATTATAGCAGCTCTTTGGACGGCATATGCCATCTTTATCGTAAGGTATATAAATAAAAAAATTAATAAGGATTACAATTATCTCTCAGTCCCTATGCCATAATTCAAGGAAGAGTACAAGCCTTTTGAAAGAACTGAAAGAAAGCAATGGAACTTATTGGAAATTTACATTTGTGCCATATTCTTGGCTCCTTTTAGATTGCTATCTCTTGTGTTTATTATTTCTACTCTTGCAATGACTTGCAAATTATTAGGTATTAAGCATATGAGCCAAGCACAAGATGAACTTCCCCGCTGGAAGCGTTTCTTGATAGCCAAGAACTTAAATTTTGTCGGTTGGGGAATCAACTTTGCATGTGGTTTTATGAGAGTTAAAACTATCTAAAAAAGAATTAAAGATTATGAACCCGAATACCCTGCTGAAAAGTATGCAGTCGAGAAAAAGGGTCAATCCGCACCTATTCTTACTTGCAATCACGTCTCTTGGATTGATATTATGGCCATGTCAGCTGTCAAAGAAGCTCCCAGTTTCCTCTCTAAAGAAGAAATAGCTAATTTCCCTTTATTCGGACCTGCTGCTATTGGTATTTAATCAATATTTGTTCAAAGAGATGACAGATCCTAAAAAAATGCCGTAAGAGATGCTATCCTTGAGCGTGGCAAAAAAATCTCTGAAGGATAAAATCTTCCTCCCATTTTAATCTTCCCTGAAGGCACTACCACTAACAGTCACTACCTTCTTTCATTCAAGAAAGGTGCTTTTGAATCTTTCCTCCCAATTAAATTATATGCTATCAATTATAAGTACACTAAATTTAACCCAACTTAGGATAGTATGAATTTAGTTGATCATGCCTTAATCATGTGCTCTTAATTATACAATACTATGGAAGTGTATGAGTTCGACACTTATTTCCCTGATCACCTTAACTTGAAAAATGAAGAAGATTGGGAAATCTATGCCAAGCACATTCGTGATATCTATCTTAAAGTACTTCCCGTTAAACCAAGTGAATCCGGATGGCGTCACATGAAAGAATACTATGACCAAATTAAATTATTTAAAAAATAGTTAAGAGAAGAAAGCAGATAAAAATCTGAAAAAGTGAATGCAACAAAAACAAAAAAAGATAATTGAAAATATTTCAATAATTTGTTTGAAATCACTCAATGAAATACAGGATATAGGATATGTTAATATATCTATTTATTTATGTATCCTTCTTTCATATGCTAAATCTGATAAAATAAATACATAAAAATACCATTTTATATTTATGTTTAAATCCTTAAATGTTGAATAAAATTTTATTTTTATTTTTAATTATAAATTTATTTCTAGTTAAATATCAAAAAATAATTAATTGAATTTTTAGTAAATATGATTTTATAATAAGTGTTAAAATTAGATTCTTATATTTATTGCATTTGCTTGATTAAATGTTTAAAGGTAGAACTAATTAACTAACTAATTCGTTGTCATTGATTGATCATTTATTTATCACAAACTTATTTTTTAAATTGCTTGAATTTTTAAATTATTTTTAAATTTACATTTTAAATCATTCAAATGATTTTTCTAATCTCAAACCTTTCATTTTTTATTATAATTTTCTAAATTTATAAATTGGGCAAATCAAGTTGAAACAACTAAAAAACAAAAGCAAATATTTCCATTTACTTACTATTTAACTATTTATTAATTTTTATTTAAATTTATAATATTTATAAAACAAAAAGTCTATAAAAAGCTTACTATTAATGTAGAAAAATATTAAAATTTGAATTTAGGTAAAAAAATATAATTTTTTAATTTGTTTCGATAAATAAATAATTGGCTGAAGTACACTTTATAATTATCTATTATCGGATGTCTTGCTTTTAATAACTTTAAGTTATTATTTAATTACTTAATAATTTCTTTCTTTTCAGATTGAAAAATTATTATTTGTTTTATCAAACAAATTTACTTAACTTATTTATACTTAATTTTTATTCACAACTTTAAAATTTGAACTTTACTATGACCAATAATAAATCATTCAAAATAAAAAAATAGGTTTAGAATAGAATATAAAATACTATTTAGTGATTGGAAAAGATAAAATAAATAAATTAAAAATTCAAAGCAAGAAATAATAAAAAAAGTAGCGATCATATTAATTCGTTATACTATGAGAGCACTACAAAAGAATTCAAAAAAATTTATAAATATACTGTACTCTTTCTTGAAATATATCATACTTAAAATGGTGCAAGATCTGTTTAAATCTAAATTTTATGATTTCAAAAATTAAAAATCTTAAAAAAGATAATAAAAATCTAATTTTATAAGAAGTAATTATTCTATTTTTATACACTGAGATTATCTCGAAAATAATTTAAAGTTATAAATTTTGATAAGCTCTAAGGAGAGAAAAAACAAAAAAATTAATAGCAAAAGCATAGTACTATGTATAATTATCATATCTGAGTTTTTTTTATATTTCTGTATTTACAAAATAAGATGAAAAAGGCTGAATGGTAAATAAAAGAAAGATATTAAAAAGAAAATTTTTATGGTGTACAATTTTTGAATATAGAGAAAGAAAGGAAGAAGGCGAGAACAAAAAGCAAGCTAGATATGTAATTGATTTAAGTAAGAAAAATATATTCAAAAACTTGGCAGCAAAAATAAAAATAAAAATAATATAAAAATGAATGATAAATAAATAATTAAATAATATAAATCAGAGAAAAAAATGTGTTTGTTTTTAACAAATCAGCTAAATGATAATTAATCATTACCTCAAATTTATTGTTAGCTGAGTAAAAATTTAAATTAGTAGTAATAATTATACAGAAATTATGTGTTTCCATTAGAATGATTTATTTATTTTTAATAAGAGTTATCAAAATAGAAAAAAAATTATAAAGAAAAATTAATCAGAAAATAGTTAATTTATTTTTTAAAAAGAGAGAAAGTAGAGAGACAATTTGATATCAAAAAAAATAAAATAAAGAATTAATTAAATAAAAAAAACTTTAAAATGTTTGGAGGAGATGACGATTTTGGCGACAAGCCATCCAATAATTCAAAGTAGTAATATGGAAGAAACTAGCAGTATGGAAGAGGTAACTAGAACTCAACTATTAACAACTCTTCAAATGTCTAGGCCAGCAATAAATAGCCAGGAATACTCAAATTTAATGATGATAGCGATAGCGATGATGACAATAATAATTTAATATTAGGTAACAAGCCAAACTTAAATAATAACAGTAGCTCTAATTAGACTGGGTTTAGCACAAAGACAACTTTTTCGAATGCTGGTTATAGCAACGCTGAAGACCGCCCTTAGACCTCAAGCAAGCAGTCTGTTATTGATAGATAGCGTGATATTCTCTTAAATAAGCAATAAGCAGCTTTCACTGGAACTTCTTCAATGACTTTTAACAAAAAGCCAGGTGCCGGCTTTACTTACGGATAAAATACAGACGGAATTGATTTTGACAAGCTCTAAACAATTGTTAATAATAGTTCAGTAAATAATAACTAATATGTGCCAGGTGAATTTAATGCTAAGGGTTCTGGCTTAGCTCCTGTTTCCAAGATGAATAATATTGTAAAATTCAATGAGAAAGATAATGAAATCAAGAATAACAACATTATCAATATTGATGATTCTGATGAGGATGAAAGAGAGAATATTATTGATAAGCTAAATAAAAAGGGAGAAAGTTAACCTCTTTAACAAAACACAGAACAATCAAGTAATGTTTAAAACAGTAGTACAAAACCTGCAGAATCTTAAAAGGAAGAAGGTGCAGGAAATAACGCAGCTCGTGCTCAAGCAGATTAGCTTCTTAAAAATTTATATGGAGATTCCAGTGAAGATTCAGAAAAGGAGGATGAAGAAGCTGCCCATAAGAAAAAGCTTGAAGAATAAAAGAACAATAAAAGCGAAGTTATTGGCGATGAAGATGATGAAGCAAATTAAGCCTAATAAGCAGTAGGTATTGTGAATCATCCAGTTACTTAATAGCAAAACGAGCAAATTTAGTAAAATATTGCATAAAATAAAAGTCCCACCTCAGTTTACATAGCAGAAAATATAGAAATATTTGATATGAAGCAATTCTTAACAAGGCCAATTCCTAAAGGTATGATTATTTAAACTTAGATTCGAAGAGATAAGAGTGGTTTTGCCCGTTTCTATCCTAAATATCACGTCCATCTATCAAGCGGAATGCGTTATCTCCTAACAGGAAAGAAGCGTTCCAACAACAAGACATCCAATTATCTTATGTCGATGAGTAAAACAGAGCTCTCTAGAAAGTCACCTCATTTCTTAGGTAAAGTTCGTTCAAACTTCCTTGGAACTGAATTTCACATTTATGATACTGGTGAGAACCCAAAGAAATGCAAAAATTTAGAAAACGCACGTAAAGAACTAGCAGGTGTTATTTACGAATCTAATTTATTAGGTGCTAGAGGTCCTCGTAAAATGAAAGTCTTAATCCCAGATTTGTAACCTAATGGCGATCCAATAACTATACGTCCTACATCAAACAAGGAAGGTATATTCCCAATGTTTAAAACAGGTAGACGTGATGGACTTTTATTATTCCAGAATAAGCCCCCAAAATGGAACGATAGTGTCCAAGCTTTCGTCTTAAACTTTAATGGTAGAGTAGATAGACCATCAGTAAAAAACTTCTAATTAATTGACGATTAAAATGATGAAATGATTTTATTATAATTTGGTCGTGTTGGTGACGATGCTTTTAATATGGACGTAATGCATCCATTGTCTTTGGTTCAGGCATTCGGTATCTGTCTCTCCTCATTTGATTATAAAATAGCATGTGAATGAGCGATTCTAATTTCAAGTTAAAATTCATTCATTCAATTCTATGTTGTTTTTTTGATAGATTCAACCAAATAAATATAATAAAATTTAAATTAAACTATAAAAATTATTAATATTCATAATTATTATCTAAACCTTCCAAATTAATTTCATCTTTACCTTAGCTTCTTAAATACAAATATACTTAATTGCTTTCTTATCATTCGTCAAAACTAGGTATTGATTGAGACAAAAATATTGTTCGTTCCTTACAATAAAAATATTGAATAAATTTATTTTAATAAATAAAAATAATCATTTTAATTCTTGCTTATTATTAAAATTTATGCATTTTTATCTATTACATTCTAAAGTAATAAACATCAATATAAATTTATATTTTTTCAAAATCACCTACTTTGTTTATTTTACTTTAAGCTTTAATTTTTGTAATAAAATCGATGAATAATAGATAGTAAACAAATAAACTTAAATTGTAAAAATATTCTAAGAAAAAGAAATTTATTTTTAAAAACATTTAATCAAAAAAATAATTGTTTGTTTTTGATATTTCAAAGTGATTTCGATTATCAAATAATTGAATAAGATTTTGTTTTTTACATTTCATTAATTTCAGTGTCAATACACAAATCTAATAAAAATATTCATTAATAAATCAAAAATTACTGGTTTTAAAAAATAATTTTAACTAATAATAAAGTTTGAAAATGTTTAATTTGTATTATTTTTATTTAAATTTACTGTCTTCCTTGCATAAAATTAAAGAGTCAATTTTATTTGGTTTTCATGGATTCAGTTTGTAAATTATAAGCTCAATTATTTTATTGTGTTTTAATAAAATAAAATAATTAAAGGATATTTTAGACTTTAGTTTATTTATGGTACTAAATTTAAATAGATTTAACTAATATTTAAGGTTTTTTGTCATGTAAATAAATATATTTGATTTAGAAATACATTTTTTAGAAGTTTTTACTTTTTTATGTATGAATCAAGCAAGATATTTCAAAAATAGGATTTTCTAGAAAATTTATTTAAAAATTATTAGAAGATATTTAAAGTATTATATAATAAAAAAATAAGTAAGTTTTGTATTACAACCTTACAATTTTTGACAAAATATGAGTGAATAATATTAAAAAATGAAATTTATTATAATTTATTTTTAAGTTTTAGATTAATTTCTACTCTTAATCATGAATATTTTAATTTGAACTACTAATCGAAGTATTTTTAAAGAATGTTTTAACCAAATAGTATAGAAATTAGAATTTAAGAGATAGATTAAAATCCAAGATTAAAAGTTTTTTTGTAGTGCTTTAATAAATAAAATAGAAAATACTAAATTGAATATTTTATTGGTTCGCTTATGAATTTTCTGATAATATTATTTATTCGTTGATTATATTAAAAATTGATTAAAGTATTATTTGTTCCGAATTAAGATTTATTTTATAAAATATTCATAGATAAATTGATACATATCACAAAATCATTAAGTATTTAGAAGAAAATGTACTCAAATTTTGAGGTAGAAGAATAAAAAGAAAAGCAAAACAGTAGCAATAATTTACCTGATAAATAATTATAGTCATATTATCAAGACTATTTGGATCCAGAATATAGAGGGAATCGACTTCCTTATCATATTAAATTATGGAGAAATAGATGTATTATAGCGCTAATTTTATAAACAGTTGCTTCATCAAGTGGCTTTGTAATGTACACAATTAGAAAAGTAGATAAATTAAATTAAACTTTTAAAGTTTATCAATTTATTATATAAATTTGATTTATAGATGAGAGTGGGATAGGCAGTAAATGTAATGTGTTTATTGTTGATAATATTTTTTGGACGTGGAGGAGTTCTAACTCTGAATAAAATGCATATTGCAGTTCATGGAGTCGTAATTTATTGAAATAATTGATAAATATTTATAAATTATACAATTTTATTATTAGATAACTAGTTCAGTATTTTCTGTAGTCTTCCTTTACTCCATTTTAGAAATCCTCTTTTTGAGGGTAACATACATTTACATAATATTTATTATTAAGCAATTTTAGTTAATTATCTTTATTGAATAAATCTTTTTTTCTTAAAGGTTTTGGTACATTTAAAGCCTTTCAAAACCAAACTATATTAAAAAATACTCAAAAGGCTTATTAATTATTCTAATCGTCAACAAAATTTGTGTTAACAGCTATTTTTAAAGCATATTTTAATAATAAAATGACAAAAGAATGAAGATGAATAATCCTCTGAGAAGCTTATGCTTTTTATATTTTGTATACCATATATTGCTGATCTTATTTGTGGTGTTTGCTGCTTATATCTTTCAGTAATTTTGTATGAAGCTCAGAAGCAGGAAGTAAAGAATTATTTTCTAAATTAAAAATGATTATTTCTTTAATTTTAAAATAAAGGTAAAACTGGATATTCCTTAATTAAATGATAGTCAATTATGTGCAATATGTAGTTCAAAATAAATTAATACAGTATTTTATCCATGTGGGCATAAGGCTTCGTGCTATGAATGTTCCTTATAAATTAAATAGAGTTATAAAATGGAATGTCCTTTTTGTAGATAACCCATTAAAGATTTAATAGTAGTCTATGATCTATGACAATAACTATTAATTTATTATCAGACAAAACTTATTACTCTAAAAATTTTCCAAAAAAATAATATTAATAAATAAAGTATTTTCAGATTTATAAATTTCACACCCAATTAATGTGTCATATCTTTACTTGTTAATATGCTTTAAATTTATAAATTAGAAAACTTTATTCATGTTTAGTTTTGTTTTATGAGTTTAGTAAGCTAAAAATAAGATATTAAAAAAACGAACCGACATAAAATTTAAATCCAATTTAAATGCAAATTTTAATTTTTAAAATAATTTTTGTAATCTTATTCTTCTAAAACAATTTGTTTTTGTTTTAATATATTAATATTTCATTATATATAGAATAAATTTTATATCAAAAACTTATTAATTAGAAATATAAAGTATTCATTCATTCTCATTGGTTCCTTTTGAAACAACGTAAATTGACATACGTGTCATAAGAACACACAAGACCTGGACAACAATCATTGGTATTTGTACAGTATGCACCTATACCATTACAATTAGGTTCTGATAAATGAAGGAGATCATCACTTTCTAATTCTACTTAGTTTATTTTGTAGATGTAGTATACAGATGAGAGGAGAATAAGAGTTCCTACAGTCAAAACAATAGCAAGTTTTTGAGTATTCATTATAGCTGACAATATTTTTTTTTTAATTTAATTTTATTATTTTAAATTAAATTATTATTTTTCTCATTAATGACCTTGATTATTTAAAATACAAAAAAAACTTATATTTCTTCTATGTTTATAAAGATTATTTATTATTTATTCTTACTTAATGTTTCATTTGTAAGATAATGAAAAGTGAGTTAGTTTGTAACAATTATTATAGGCATTAATAAAATTTATTGCACCTTTCAAAATAATTTATTTGTTGCTTTCAAAATATTTTAGTATTAAGCAATTTTAAAAGTTAGTTCATTTATTTATATCTTTTAAAATTCAAATTTGGAATAGGATTATTCATTTAAAATTTATAAGAGTAAATAAAGAGAATGAAATTCTTCTATAATCAAAAGCTATTTATAACATAAAAAACACAACAAAATATACTTTTATTCTATTTTAATTGCTTATAATTTATTATTTTATTTCATAAATATTATTAAGCATAAATGTCTTCTTATGTTTTTGCATTTAAGAAATAGAAAGAACAACATTTATATGTGAAAAGTGCATAAATTTAAATAAGATAATATAAAATGATTTAAATATAAGATAAATATTTAAAAAAAGTAGGCATAAAATGTTCCACTCACTTTTGAAAATTAGATATTAATTTATTTTTTGTTTTTTAAACAATACTCGTATATTTATATTTCAATCTTACAAATTTTGATGTGTTAATAATAAATATATAGAATACTATTGATATAAATTTAATAATTATTAATTCTATTTTACCATTTTTAAACTCAAATATCGTATTGGAACTTTAAGTAGTAAAGGAGATAGATATTTTTACAAAATAATTTTATTTTTAATCTTTAATTTTAGTTTTATTTTGATTATTTGGTTGCATTAAATTTATAACTGAGTACATTAGTTATTTCACAAGCATAAATAGAAATAATTTCCGCATATAATTTACCAATTAAGATAATTTGTAAGCAAATTTAAATGATCTTGATTTTATAACCTTTATTGATACTGCCTAAAATTTATATTTTATAATAGTAAAATATAGTAAATTAAGCTTTATTATATAAAATTCTATTAATATCTGAATCAATAATAGTAAAAGTTTTTTTTTAAATATTTTCTTTTTTGATTTTTATATTTTATGTGTGTTAATATAAAAAAGAAAAACAACATCACAATAATAATTATTTTAATTTTTAATCATAAATTATAAAACAATATAGCTGATTTATTAATTATTCATTCTAATTTATATGAAATGTAAAACCATATTTTTAAGCTTGTTTTCAAAAAATGTTTAAAATAAATTTGTTTAAAATAAAAACAAATTTATTTACTAATTCTATATTCATTGAATCTATATTTTAGATTTTCTTATAAAATAAATTCACAACCATTACTTAATTCAAAATCATTTACAAATTATTGAACGGTTTCAATATTCGATGTCCCAAACCACTAATCTTCATTCTAAAAATATCCAGCATATGTAAAGTTTGTTGAACCAAAACAAACTATTTTATTATCTATGATCATTACTTTTTGTCCATGATTTTATATTGATTTTAGCAAACAAGAATTTCAATTTCTTTTGGATATTATTTGTTTAAATTTTTTAAAATTTCAAAACATTTTAATTAAAATCTCTTTTAATAGTGTTCACTATCAGCTCCATTCTTGCAATAATCATTTTACATTTGTTTAATTTGTAAAGGTGCATTCATTATTATTTTTATTTTAACTTTTTCTTTTTTAAAAAAATTTGCTTTCAAAATAGATTTACTAAATGCAAAAGGGAAATTTCATACATTTAAATACACACAGATGATTCAGCTTTTAAAAGTAACGCCACAGTAAATTCAAAAGAGTTCATTAATTATGTGTCAAGAGAGTTTTAAAGACAAGGCTTTGATACAAAATTACCCTTTTTATTCAATTAAATTAAAATTTTTCAAAATGTATTCCAACAATTATAAAATTTCACCGTTTCTTCATATTTTTTCGTTGTGATAATACAATCTTAAATACACATATTTTAAAGAAACTATTTGCTCAAATTTGTTTATCTAGTAACAACATAGACCTGATACTATTTTTTTGTTGAATCACAGTTGCTTACTAAGAGGATATTTTAACCCTACAATTAAACTAATTGTTATAATGATTGGAATATATAGATAGCATTTTATTCAAAGCAGATAATATAAAAATATAGATATATTCATATTATAAGTCCATCTTTTAAACTTTTTCTTATTTAGATATTAGTGAGGAAAATTAAATATTATATAATTATAAAATAAACAAAGATTTCTAAAGATCATAGAATAAGAAAATAAAAAATTCATTCATCGCCTCATCATTTAAACGGTGAGGAAAATTAAATATTATATTATTATAAAATAAACAAAGATTATTAAAGATCAGAGAATAAGAAAATAAAAAATTGCATTAATTACTGCAATAAGGTGAAATGTTGTCATATGAAATGTTGTAACATGAAATGTTGTAATATGGAATATTGTAATATGAAATGTCGGAAGATGAAAAAAGGGAAAATTAAAATATTTTAGAAAAAAATTTACAATGTTAGAAATTTAAAGACTAAATTAATAAGGAACTAAATGAACTACGTAAAATCCTTTAATTCCCATTTAATGAGGATAATATTGAAACTAATATTGAAGAAATTATTTAAAGAATTCTTAATTCCATGATAGAGTTTATGCTAGCTGTATAATACACAGAATCCTTATTTGAAGATGAAAACAGGAATATAGAATCGAAATTATTATATTTTCATAATTTCGAAGATTATTTTGAAAAATATCATTAGTCTTTTATTACCATTTTCAGTTAAGTTCTTTACAAATACCAAAAACTAAAAAAAGAAAAAGGTATTTCAAAAAATAACTTTCAGAATTTACTTATATTTTTTAAGATTATAATTCTACAAAATTAAGATGAAATGGCATAACGTGAAGATTATCACCACAATTATAAAGAACTAACAGAAAATGTAAGAAAAATTAAAAATGAATTTTTTTAAAATGATGAAGAGATTTCATAAAAGATTGATGAATTGATTGATTTACAATAAATCATTGAAAATGAAGATAAATAAGAAGAAATAATAATAAAATAGAATAAAATTAATAGAGCATAGCATAAATTCATATCTTTGGCAAAAATTTTAAACGATAATTTTAAAGGTGATGAATTATAATTGAGGCAAGTTTTAAATTAATTAGAAGAAATATTTTAAATAAAATTTGTATATCAAGATGACAAAGAAGGCTAAGATCACTAATTTAAAATAGATTTGAGAAGTAAAAAAATGGAAGGTATCATAATTTCCCACAAAAGTGATATTGAATAAAATAATGAAAAGATAGAAAATGAAAAGAAAATTGATGAAATTGATAAAATATTGATTGATTAATAATGAAGAATAATATTATTGATTGGCAAAAAAGTGAGCTCTATTTCAAGGAAAGAAGAATTTAAAGTAATTAAGAAAATTATTTCACAGTACTTATATATAATTTTAAAATTAAAGCATAATATTAAGGTTTTTTTATATTTCATGTTTTGCAAGAGATCCATTAACACTTATTTTAAATAATTTAATCTTCTTTATTCTTTCTATTCCCAATTTTATTTCAAATAAGCAAATTATTTAACTATTCATAAGTAAATAAAATTGATTTTTAAATATAATAAACAGTCATAATATAAAAATTAGGATGATAGTTTATAGAAATAAATAATATTTAAAAAAAAAAAAATCAAATATTCCAAGTCCAACTTTAAATTTAAATTGTATGATTTATGAAATACAACAACATAATATATAAAATATAAAATAAAAATTTTTTTAGCATATTTATTTTTTTTAAACTAAAAGCAAAAATAAATTTTGGTAAATTATCTTTTATTGCTTATCGTTTAATTGATTTTGCATTTTAATAAATAAAACAAAAAAGTAATAAATGTCTATAAAAATCATTATAAACAAAATAATTAATCTCAATTCTTATTTAAATGCTTGATTATGTTTAATGGTTATGATTTATTTATTATTTAATTGTCAAATACTGTTTATGATTTAATTTTACATACTGTTTAAGATTTAATTCAATACTTCTTTTTACTTATGGTTAGAAATTATTAAAATTTATAAAGTTAGTTATGCAGACTATTATTTGTGATGCTGTTTTGTGTAAAAAGAAGATTTATCTATACTAATTAATAACTATATGATTTATCAATAATAATTTAATCAATTAGTAAATATATTTTGACACTAATCAAGCATTATTTGGAGAGATTTTTATCTTTTTTGCATTTATTAGTATTATTGCCATGTGTATTTGCATAAATCGGATTATCTAATGTCATTAAATATTGTTAAAATTTTTAAATCTAATAATATTGTAACTGTTGGACACCATTAATCATTAAGAATATCACTGTTAATATATTAATCTTAAATCAATTGAAGTTTGATAAAATTTTGATATATGGAGGTTTAAGAGGATAATCTTTATTTAAATACAATATAAACTCAATAATAAAATTTCATTTGTCATGAAAATTAACTAAAATAAACTCTATTTAGTTATCATTAAGGTTTGTAACAACAACAACTTTACTAATATATTTAAATTACATAATTTATAATTAAACTTAAAGTTTTTCCTAAAATGATTTTAAATTTAATATACTGTTTGCAATTTGAAATTATATTTATTTACAATTATTTTAAAAAATTTATTGCTTTATCATTATTGATTACAAAAAAGAAGATATTAAATTTAATTAACAATAACAATAAGGTAAATATCTTTATTAATCTTTTATTTCCTATTCTAATTTTCAAATTATTTTTATGTGCATCCTCTCTTTTCCTGAAAGAATTGATATTATTTAATATATCCTTTATTATTAATAATCTTATTTTTTAAATTTTTATTTACAAGTAATACATTTATTTTAGTTAAAAGTATGTTAATTTTAATAATCTTAACAGTTTTAAATATTTAAACATTATATATTTCCACTTTAACACATCGTATCGAATTTAATCAAATGTTTCATGTATTAATATTTTAAGGTTTATTTATTTTATTGTTTATATCAATTATTTTATAGCCAACCTAATTAAAATCTAATGGTTTGAGTATTAATGAGTTTAAAATTAAATAAAAATATATTTGAAATTGTTAGTTCTAAGCCATTTTTTTTTTAATTCATTTTATTTATGATAAATTTTGGTGATAAAAATTTATAAAATAAAAAAATTCTATTTCTTTTAAAAATTAAATCTTAAAAAAAATAAAATAAAAATTTTGTTTTTTAATTCAAAATATAATAAACAATAAAAATAAATTATGAATAAAATTAAGTTATATATGGTTTCTTAATAAATAAATTAATCGATAAATAATTAAGTAAAGTAAGTAAAATAAAGAAGCAATAAAATTATTATTTTTAAATTAGTAAATAATTTTTTTATTTTAAAAAATAAAAATAAAAATCATAAATTTATTTAAATTAAAAAGTAAATATGAACACAATTCGATTAAAATAATAAAAAAATTATTAATATAATTATTTTTTATATTAATATTACAGTTTACAATCTAAAGAAAATATACAGCAAATAACTATAATATATAATAAAACCCTAATAAGAAATAATTAAAGATTTTAAAATTTTATTAATTGAGTTATACTTGGTTAATTAAATTTAATAAAAAATTTAAACTTAGAAAATTTAAATTTAGAACAATTTTTTGTATTAATTTTAATATTAAAATATTTTTTTTAAAATTAATTTAAAAATAAATAAAATTTGTTAACAAATAATGAAAGGAAAGAATCCAGTAATTTATAGAAATGAATGTATGTATGTATTTATTTATTTACTTTTAAATTTTTGTAAAAATTTATTTTTATCACATAAAATTTAATTAAATGGAAAAGTTGGAAGATCTTTTTTAAATAATAAAAATTTATTAAATAATTTAAATAAAAGGAGCTACAAATCAAAATATTAAATAGACTCTTGTTAAATTACTAACAAATCCATTAATTTTTTTATTTATTTTTAATTGGTTATTTATTTACAAGCAATTTTTGAAAATTAGAATGGAAAGACTATGAAACAGTAAAAAGAGAAAGAAAAATAAATTGCATTCATTGTTTTAGAAATTAATTTAATTAGTATGTTATTTATTAATTTATTTATAGTTGCTTAATAAAATTATATATGAAACAAATAAAGATATATATTAAAATGCTGAACTAATCAACATTTATTTATTCATAAATTATTTATTATTCTTTTTTTATTTATTTATTTAATCAAAAGTAATAATTTATATTATTTTACTTTACAAAAGCTTTTTCTCTAAAGAAAGGTATCGTTTGTTTTCGCATTCCAAAGTATAAGTGCTCGGTATTTAAAAACATAGGGGATATCCTTTATTTGATAACAAACAAAAGATAGATCAAACCATAAGTTTTACCATATTGAATAAGCTAGCTGTGATTAGAAGAGTTATAGTGTAAAGAAGAAAAAAAGACTAAAAAATAAATGCAACCATCTTCACAATAGCATGAACAAATAGAAGAGTAAGCTTATTTGATGAATAATCAAGTAGCAAACTCTTAAGGAGCTTAAGCAAATTCCCCTCACAATATTTTTATAAGCAACCCTAACATTTAATCAACAGATCCTTCTTAAGTGAAGGCTCAGTAGTCGCCAATATACTCATAAGACTCTCCCCAACTCCTGCATCATTAAAAAATCAAGAAAGTTGAAAATTTGTAAAATTACTTGACTAATTCTTACGAGCAAAAAATGAATAATCTAAGATCCTCATCCTCATAGTAAGTTTAGCGCAATCATAATCTATAGTTAGTATCCACTGAGCTTTAAAAGATTTTATCTCCTCGCGAAATTCGTGAATTAGCCTACAGTTTAACTACAAAGAGTGTTACTAATCTTAACAATTAGCAATCTGCACATAATCGCAGCACAAACAGTATGTATAACAGCTAAAATCGCTCTTTTTCTCAGCAAAATTAACTCTAAAATTTTAGAAGCAGTCGCAGTAGCAATTATGATTATATTTATCAAGGATAAAGACAACAATCTTTAAACGCTAGTTACACAGAATATTTAAGATAATCATAAAACAGATCAGGTCTAAATTCATCCTAACAGCACTATCAAAGCAGATCTCTATCAGCCAATCGAGCTTAACTTCGTTTGTATCACTACAGTGAAGTCAAAAAAGAAAAAACAGTGTTACTTGATAAGCTAATTTCAAAATAGGCAAAAGAATCTGCTAATTCTCGAAAAATTTCAAAAAAATCAAACCAACTTTTGACTTACAAAATGGAAAATACTTTGAATAATGCATTATAGCAAGTAGACCTTATGAGAAAGAACAATTTGAATTTCGAACAAATAGGTAGAGTGCTCTATCAATTGAAAGTATTTTAGTGTTTGCAGTACGATGAAAATTGTCATATACTTCCTTTTTAAAACAATCCTAGTTCAACTAAGCAAATGGAAGTAAAAAGGAGATTTGCAGAAATGTAAATTTTTTAAATATTTAAAAATATTAACAGTTAGTTAGTTGAATAAATAAATAAATTGAATAAATAAGTTGATTTTTTTGTTTGTTTTTATAAAAACATTTTTCAATTTTTATTCAAAATATGAAAAAATTATATTATTTTATTTTATTTTAAGGTATTTTCATGAAGAATTTTGGAATGTTTGTTCTATTAACAATGAATAGGTTGAAGTAATATCTACTGAAATAGTTTATTGCTTAATTAGAATACTTCTTGATCCTGTTAAGCTTACCACAATAGCGACAGTAAATTTAATTAGAGAGTACTTACTGAAGTATAATTAGAATTAAGAAGAGTATATTATGAGTGATTCTTCTTTCGAAGAATAGTTGATCAAACTAGTAGAAGCTTGGAAGGAACTTGAAATCGATCAATTCGCTTATAAAAAAATAGGTTTCTTGAAGCCAAAATAATTTGAAGAATTCTGCTACAGAAGAGGAGAGATGCTTACTTTCCATCCTAAAATAGAAAAAACATCAGAACACTTAGAGTTGCATAATACTTATAAGTTTTTATAGGAGAATCCAATTGAAGGCTTAACACCAGATGTTTATGAGTAAAAATAGAGGGAATATGAAGAAGAGTGTGGAATGAACAACGGTTATGAAAATAGAAATGGTAATTTAAAAATACAAATTAAAAAAATAATGTTAAATTAATCGATTATATTTTAAGAAAGTTTTATATAATATATTGATGTAATTATTAAATTATAAATAGGATCATTGCAAGGTTCTGACTAGATTTCTCCATCAAGGTTTTAACTAGAAAGATATAAGATTTTATATAAAAAGTAGGAAAAAATAAATGAAAAGATATTTAATTTAAGATAAGAAAAAGATTAAAAAGAAAAGGAGTAGTGCACTTTTAAGCCAGATTTGTCAATTAATAGCAAAATTAATGAGCATTCTATACTTTTAAAATACAATGGACATGTAAATATATTTGATCGCCTGTATTAAGTCGAACCTTTGGAGGAGAGAGTAAAAAAGGAAGAATAAATTTATTATGAAAAACAATAAGAAGAATTAAATTAATGTACCTTTAAGCCTAATGTAAATAGGTCAAGGATTTCTGGAATTAATGAAAAAATCGATGCAAAAGACCTTGTGCGTGATTTCGAAAAATCTGTAGGAAGAGTTAAAACAGGATTCTAAAGATCTTAAATTTTAAAATAAAAGCTTGAAAAAGTAAGTAAAGGAGAGCGTTATGATTCATTAAAAAAGCTTAAACCAGCTCCCCCCACTCTCCTTTCTAGATAAGTCTAAAAAGAAAAGCCTTTCTCTCAATTTAAAGTCAGTTTAAGCAAAAATAAAGTCGTTACAATCTCACTTAGGGAAAGTGATGATCCCCACACCTTCGCTCGTAACTTTGCTAAAATTCACTAAATTAGTCCTTCAGTAGAAAAAGAATTAGAAGGTATTATTAGAAATTTAAAGGAAGATTATTTAAAGAACTAGAAAAATGGTTCTATACAAAATTAAAATTGACCCAAAGACCAATCAATTTATCACATAAATCTATCTATTTTTAATTTAAAAAACTATTTCTGTAAACTGGTTTTCTTTTTATATAGAAAAATGTAATTATTTTTCATCTTTGTAAAACTGCTTACTAACTTTTTGTACACTTAAACAATTTGCTATGAAATCAAATTATAAAAAAATGTCTTTAATTTTCTCAATATAAATTATTTTATATCAATTTTAATCATTTTGGTTTGAAAAATTTAAAAATATTTTAAAAAAATATTTTTTCAAATTTATTCTTCTTTAAATTGAAATTTAAAATGATAATTAAAATAACTTTTTTAAAATTTTTAATATTTATATCATTGTCTTTATTCTAGAAAATCAAAATTATTTTAGAAAAAACAAATAAATTTTACTCAATTTAAATTTATTTCAGAAAAATAATATTAAAAAAGTTAAAATCTTTTGTTTTTTAAAATTAAAATCAAATTTTTTAATTTAAATTCATTTTTAAAAACAAATATTTTAAAAATATTAAATAAAAAAATTGTCCTACTTTAAGAATTTTTTTATTAGACTAAGTTGAAAAAATGATACTATTATTTAGGGAAATAATATCATTTCTATTTTAAGAGGAATTAAAATTATAATTAAATGTTAATTTTTTTCTAAGATAAATAAAATGAAAATTTTTAATATTTTATAATTAAATTTATTGAATACATTATTATTGAGATAGAATGAAGAAAGCTATGAGCTTTTGTGGAAAATCTGATAGATAATTTATTTATGGTGAATGTTAATCTTATTTTTAATAAATAAAATTTAAAATTAGAAAGGAATATTTTATTAATATTTCAATCTTTACTTATTATTTATCAATATATTTATTTTATTTCTATTTTAAATTTATTTGCAGTAATTGTAAATCTCCATTTATATACATGTTTATTATTATTAATATATTTAAAAAATTAGTTTAACAGATAGAATACTTGAACTAATATCAGAAAATTTCCAATATCTTTATAAAAATTCCATTTCTTTGATTGGTGAAAACCTACCTCTCTGTTTATTTAATTTGATGAAAGTTTTAATAAATAAGCTTTTTTAAAAATCTATTTGAAGTGGAAATAAAAGTTGCTAATTAAAGAAATTAGAAGAATTTATGAATATTTTGAAAAGAGATAAGATGAAATATTGAATATATACACAAATATATAGTTATTTGAAATAGATAGTGATTTAGTAGAAAGCACTAATAAATAAAATATTAATAGAGATAAAAATCTTCTTTATGATAGAAGAAAGGGTTAGCTGATTTCTGCTGTTTATTTTTTTTATTGAAATATGTAAGTTATAATTAATTTAAATGAATTTTTGGCAAACAGAGAAAGAACAGTTTTACTAAAGATTTTCCTTCAGAAGTGTGATTGTTTAAAGTCAAATATGAATTGAATTAATACCTTTTTATTTTTTCATTATGATCAATATTAATTAATTTTTTTGATTATTCTGGGGTAAAAGACATCCAATTTGCAGTAGAAATTTAGAGTTTTTAATTATAAATAATAATCAAAAATAAATTAAGTAAGTAAGTATTTGTTTATTTATTAATTGATTAATTAATTAGTTAGCAGTATTAATTTATTCCAATTGATATTTTGAATAGTCTTTTTAATTAGTTTATTTGTTTTTAGTTTGTTAGTTAAAGACTAGTAAGCACCTACCTTCTCGCAAGCTATCTCATACAAATTTTTATTTTATTCAGTTGCTTTTCTACGTAAAATCAATTATCGATTGTGAACACAAAATCAATTAGATTTCATTTCCTCAGTTATTTTTTTACAGTTTTCTTCAATAATCTGGCAACCTTTTTAGAATGTGTTATTAAATTTCTTTGCGTATTTCTTTATAAATCCTTCTTCTGTTCCTTGTATAGTTTTTTCGTAAACAGTTTTGAAATCTTCTAAAGCTTTATATGATATCAGTTCAACAGCTTAACCAGTAGGAGGGAACATAGAAGATGTTTTTATTATTTTAGATTTCATTTCCATTGCACGTTTATCAAAGTATATTTTAATATCTTCGATTGTATAGCACCATAAATATTTGTACATTTTGGAATACATTAATCTCTTTACGTGTAATGTCTACTCGTCAATTATATCGTAGCTCAAAACGAAATTATCTTTCACAAAACTCAAATCAGGATGAGGGTATTTATGCCAGAAACCTTTGAGTACGGTTTCGAAGGGATAATCAAAAACATACTATTCTTTGCTCATATTAAAACTTGATTTTTTAAAGATTTTTATAAATTAACTAAGATATTTTTCTTATAACTCTATTGCTTATTTGTTTATTTGTTTTTTCTTAATTATTTAATTATTATTTTATGCGAAGATTTATTTGCATGCATTTATAATGATTTGCCTTTATCCCTTTCTCATAGCTTTGATAGAGCTAATCTCCTGAGCATAGAAAACTCAATGTAAAAAATATACTTAAATTTTTAAGTAATGGCAATTTTTTGATTTTTGAGATTGCATCATCAGAATGACATATTATTTTTTACTGTCACTTATGTTAGATTTAGCTTTGAATAGACAAATTTATAATACTAAACACTCTTATTCTGTAATGAATTCTTTATTTCTATTTATATATATTTTAAATAGTCTAGAAAATGATATATTTTTTATCAAATCACTTATATATTTATCTCCTTAAATACTATCTAGATAAAAATGATTGTTTTCTTCTTTGCGTTTACCTTGAGATTAATTTTAAATAAGAAATCAATCAAATACATTTGATATAATTTTTGAATTTATTGAAAAAGAATTTAATCTATAAATAAATTTTGCTTGTTAGAACAATACTAATCAAACTTTATTCAAAATAATAAATTTTTAAAGCAAAGTATTTATTCCTGATATATTAAAAGTAATTAATTACCATAATTTTGAGAATAATAAATTATCAGTCAATTTAATATATTATCAAATTATGAATGTTATTACTATCATCATATTACAAAATCTTGTTAAACCAAACCTATTTATTTAATTAATTGTTTTTAAATTATAATAGATCAAATTTTTGATAACTTTTTATTCCAAATTTGTCAGACTAAAATTTAAAACTCAGAAATTTCCAGAATAGAGCTGCATTTTTGGATTATTCCATAAAAATCAAATAGAAATATCAATTTATTTTACTCACCAAATCTATAACTATATATATATATAAATTCAAGTAGTTAAGAAAATTTGTTATGACTTAAAATAAATTATTTTTAAGTAAAAGTTAAAATATATTTGTATTCTTACTTAAGTCAGATAATTAACAATATTTTTCATATTAAATAAATATTCAATAATGATATGCAATAATATTTCGACTAATCGTTTTTTTGATAATTAATAACATTTTTTTTCTAATTAATATAATTATCATTCAAAAAAGTTTATATAAAATATTTTTAATAGCTTAATTTCTTAGAAATATTTTAAATAAATTAAATAATATTTTTATACATTTTCATTTAAGATTAAATAAAATCAAATATTTTTATTGATAAAATAGATACGAAATAGGGTTAAGATTATGTTGATTTTAATAATTTTATTTTATATTCTATCTATCTTTCTTTAAATTTATAATTTTTTTATCAAGCAATTCTTAGTTATCAACCTTAAAATAAAGTAAATATTAAGTAATGCTAAAAGAAAAAAATAAAATTGATAAATTATTTAAATATCTGTATATTTTTTAATTAAGATTACAAATAATTAGTTATTCAAGTAGTTATGAATGAATGAAGGACTAATCTAAAAATACTTATTACTGATATTAAAATACTTATTTAATATAAAAATTAAATAAAATTACCTATTATTTTAATTGTAAAAATTATTGATTTTATTGTAATTTATTATTATTCAGTTATTTGCATGATTAATTTTCATGTATTTGTCTTTTTTCTTTAATATAGATTCCTATTTTAATTTATTAACTATAACTCCAACTTCACTATTTGTTGGGTCTAATTTGTAACATTATATATAATCTTCAATAGCCTCTTGCATTTACTTCATTTCTACATAGCATTTAGCCCTATTTTAATAATATTGTGCAACTTAATCACTTTATTTAATTGCTTCATTAAATTCCTTTAATGCTTTATCATATCTCTTCTAATTAAATAATACTATTCCTCTGCTGTTTCTCATCATCGAAACTCTTAAATTCAGCTCACTTTTGTCTCCAATAATTTTATGTGCTTTCAAATAGTCTTTAAGGGCATCATCAATCCTATTTTGCATTCTTTTTATATAACATGAATAAATGAATAAAAACAAACTTCCACTTGCAAATTTGAATTTAAAATTTCTTTTCATTTTAAAGTAATTTAATATTTATTTCAAATAAAATTTACCTGTAACAATCTCCCCTGTTAGTGATTACTCCCCAGTCATTTGGTTTAAATTAAAGAGATTCATTAAAAAGGGCAATAGCTTCTTCATATTTATTTCTATTAAAGCAGACTGTACCCATTTCATTATAAGTTAAAGCAATCTAATTTTTAACTTCGAATTCCAATGATTTATCTCTCAAAGTATGAAAAGCAAGCAGTAAAAAGTTGAGAGAATTTTCGTATTGCCCTTGCTTACGTAATATAAAGGCTTTTATTAATAAAAATTGAGTGTTGTTTGGGAATAATTCTAATCCTTTTTTAACGTTAACAAGACATCTATCTAATTAATTTTAAACTAACAAATAACGTGTTTCTTTTAATAGCTCATCTGCTTTTGGCACAATTATTTTCAAGAAATCTCTTACTTCAGGATGCTCATTAAAAATATTTTCAGCTTTCCAAAATATTTCATTTCCTTCAGCATATTTATTTAAACTCCACAAGAGTTTTCCTTTAAGAAGAAAAGCATGAATATATTTATTGTCCTTTTATATAGCTAAATCTAATTCTTCTAAGGCATAAGATTTATGATATGTTAGAACATAACAATATGCTCTTAAAAAATGCTAAAATGCTCTTTTTCTTTTCTCATCATTTTATTCAGCTTTATTTTCATTGTTGCTTTCATTTAAACCTGCTAAAATTTGTTATTCTTAGCTTCCTTCTGGTGCTTCTTATTATGCTGGAACTTCAGAAGAGGCATTAGTTATTTAAATTTGTTAAGGAGGTGCTTTAAAATTGTATATTTTTTGCATGATAGATTAAACATCATATCTTAAATAACGAGCAAATTATTCATATTAAGATCCCTCCAAAATGTCACTATATTCGCCTTGCATTAAGAGCATAAGACCTTTACGAAAGAGCAGATCTTTCATTTTATCTTCTGTAATTAAACTGTAAGATAATTGATTAGCCTTTTTATAAAGCATAATAGCCATGCTGATATCATTTATCTGACTATACGCATCTCCAAGCTCTTTATATGTCTCAGCTTGGTTTGGTTTCAAAAAAATAACTTTAGTGAATCCATTAATTGCTGAGTAATAATCTTTTTTCTAAATAGCACTTCTTGCATCATTTAACCTATTTTGTATTCTTTCATTTATGATTTGCTAATAGGGCTTATTTTGCTCTTTATTTGCTTCATTTTAAAGAGTTGACTACTGCTACAAACTAACAGTATTTTCTTTATGGTAGGAGGTATTTTTCGATCTTGATTTAGAAGTATCACTCATTTAAATTTCAAAAAAAACCTTAAAATTCTATTAATATAAATATTTACTGTTTTAAAAAACAAATTTAATACAAATCGCTTTTGAAATTCACCAATATTTACTTGCTATCTATCTATCACGTTAATTAATTAATCAATCTTTGAAACTCACTTTATAACAAATAGATGTAAAAGCATTATTTATTTATCATAATATTTTTTTAAACAAAAAGAGTATTCATTTTATTTATAAGGAATTCTAGTTTATTAATAGATTTAAAATGAGGCAATAAAATGATTTTAATTAGATCTAATCTTTTAAGTAATAAAAGCCTCTTAAATAATTACATTTTATTAACAATTTTATTTTTTTTCAGTTTAAAAATTTTTAAACACATTAAAACCATCTAACGGATATGATTAAAGAAATTATTTTTAGCAAAACATAAAAGGATAATTAAATATTTGAATCAATAAATAAATAATTATTAGTTAAAAAATAAATAAAAATAAATAGATAAATAAATATAAAATAATATTTACATAAATAATTCATCTAGACAGACTACAGATTATAAATTAATTTTAAAGTGAAGCATTAAAGTAATTTGATTAGCTTCAAATCTCAAAGTAATAAAGAGGTTAGTTTAATTTATGATATTTTATATTTAATTTTTACTATTTAAATAATTTTTAAGGCTTGCAAAATATCATTTAGCAGGAAGATTATATAAATAATTTTTGCTATATTTGTAAAGATGTTTTCATAAATCATTAATTTCACTTACAAACTTTTAATAAAATTTAATTCAAATAAGTTCTTTTTCATAATATTCTTTTTTGTTAACTTAATTTTTTAATTCTTTGAAATTTAGAAAGATTTTATTTATTTTTTCACAAAGAATTCATTAAATCTTTAGGTTTTTCAAACATTTTTTCTTTGTATCTTTCATCCCATGTTTTTAAATCATTTTATATTTTTTATACTTTTTACTAAGCTATTTTTAATTTGTATGCAAACTCCTAAGGGTATTTATAAAATTCTTAGTTCATTTAATCTAATAACTTTCCTTCATCTATATATGTGGATTGATAATCTACTTTTAAATTTCCTAGATATAAATTATATTAGGTTAACAAAATATTTTTTAAGATTATTTTATTTTACTTATTTTTAAATATGGTAAAGTTGTATCTTCTTCTTCTAACTAATTCCTTGAGTTTTTTAAAGAAGAAAAATATTATTATGGCTTAGATAGCTTCTATTTTCTCTATTCTTATCCCTGCATAAATACCTCTAGACTATCTTTAGGCTATTTTTTTAAACTTTATAAATTACTTTTACAGATAATCGTATTCGGACTTTTTCGAAATATAAGATTATCAGATTTTGTTATTTCATATTGGCCAATACTAGGTAAGCTCACCTTTTATTTCTATTATGAATAAATAGTAGATTTTACTTTAATTTATATTATAAATAAAGCATACTTAAATTTAATATCTCTTTTTTTTTTCAGTATACATTTTTGCTATATTTTTCATTAACTAATCTGCTTCAGGAGTTATGTTTTCTTGTTTTTAATATAATATACAAAACTCTTTTAGTTATTAGAAAAGACTATAATCCTTGATCATAGAATAATTTATTGACTTCTAAATTTTAGATGTTTTATCATTAACAGTTTCATCTAATGGTATCTTACTGTGCGTATTATCTCCTGTATTATCTTTCATGGAAATTTAGGATATATTTTCGTTTTCTTCAGTGTTTATTTTTAGCAATCCGGTTTAATCTTCAATTAATTCATCAAATTTCTGATAATTTTAAAAGACCTTCTTTTGCTAATCATTTGTTTGCTAGTAGAACTCGTTGAGATGCATAATAGCTACTGTATTAAGTTGAAGCGAGCCCTTAAATTATTAAATTAAATAAATTAATGCACAATTATATTAAAAAGCTAAGAAAAATAATCAAAACTCTACTCTATTTTAAAGCTTTTTAGAATTATTTGTATTGGTATCTCTACTTATGTTTTGAAACTAAGTATCACTTATATTTGCTGTTTTTAAACTCTTTGACAAGCCAAGGGTCGATTCATTATTTTAAGTAGATGTATTTACATTCTTAGGCCTTTAAAGCAGTCTCCCAAGTCTATCTCTCTCATTAAAAAAAGGCTTGAACTCTTTGTCTTATTTATTTTCTATTTTCCTTTATTAAAAATGTTTCTGATTAAACTGAATTCATCACTTTTATTTAATTCATGCATGCATAATTTGCATTACTTACTTTGGCATAATACTACTCAAATCATAGTTTAAAGGCTTTTGCTGCAAATTCTAAATTATAGAATCCTCTGCTAAGAAATTTTTAACTTCAGGTAGCACAGGTTTTGGCTTTTAGTATCTTGAAATAATTGAGCTATCTGATTAATTTTAGAGAAGTCTCATAAATATTTTTTAAAGAAGTTAATATCAAAAATTATAAGCAGAAAACAAATAATTTTTAATAATTCTCCAAAGATTTTGCTCTTAAGTAATAATTAAATACACTGAAAAGCAAAAAATAAATAATTTGCAGTCTTTTAATATTATGAAGTATTTTTATGTAATTAATTAAAAATGCGAATAAATATTTTATAATTATAGCCTTTAAAATCAAACTGAGAACAAATAAATAAATAAATAAATAAATAAAGAGTTTTAAAAAAGAAATAATTAATTAATTAATAATAGTATTATCAACTTTAATTTAGTAAAATAAAAATTTAATTTAGGTAAGCTAAATTTTTATAATTATTAAATTAAATACTAAATTTGCTTCTACCTTAATTCTTACATTAATTATAATTGATTTTTAGTTAAGCAAAATAGAATCAAAAAATTACTAACAGAAGTAAGTAAGTGTTTATTTTGTTATTTACTTTAATTTCAATTAAGAAATTACTATTAATTAATGTTGATCAAATCAAATAGAAAGAAAATCTTTCAATAATTTTAGATAGTAAAAAGATAAATTTATAATTCCTAAATTGTATTTTTACTGTGAACTAAATTTTTTAACACCATAAATAAAAAAAGGTTTTGACCACAGGTAGAATATTTATGAGAAATTTATTAACAAGCAAATAATATATTAACAAATATAATAATTTTTTTAATTTATTATTTTAAATTTAAGCTTAAAACAGAAATAAATATATTTTATTAAAGATACAAACATATTTTATGATATTTGATAAATGATAAAAATGTTGAATAAAAACAAATTTTAATGAAAAAATTATTAATAAACAATAAAAAATTAAGATTTTAAATAAATTTTTTTTTGTTTACATTTTAATTTAATTTCATCTTAAAAAAGTAATCCATTCTAGTTAGCCATACAAATTGTTTTTTTGAAATTTCAATGAGATACAAACAATTTTGAATTAGGATAAAAATTAATGAGAATACATAAAAATGTGTTTTAATTAAGTAAAAAAACAAATCAATATTTTAACTGATACAAATTTTTTAGGCCTTTTAATTTAGCTTAAAATTTAAGAAAGAAATGTAGGCAGAAAGATATTCTAGACAAAGATTTAAATAGTTTGTAATGTATTCAAATAACTTATTATTAAGATAATATATTCAAATAATTTTATTATGAAGGCAGAGTTAGTAATTCAAAAGATTACACTCATTAAATTTAATTTCTTTTGTTGGCTTATCAGTAAAAGTATTAAAATAACATCACTAATAGTCTCTGATTGCATATTAAGGATTCATAAAAGTGAGGTTCTAGATTTTTAACAAAATCTTAATCCTTTGCCAATATTATTATTAAAAGTGTACTTTTAAAACAAATATACTTTTAAATCACTAAAAGAATTTAATAAAAGTGAAAAGAAAAGTAAACAATATATGAATTCTTCAAATAAAGATTAAGTAAGCAAAATAAATCACTCTGATATAAGCGGAGTTGATGATTTAAACACACCTTTGAAATAGTCTCTCAATTAACCATAAAATCCTCGTAGATCATAAGTAGTGTCTTAAAAAATTACATTTGAAGAAGCTCTTGATTTAGTTGGAAGCGCTAATTGGTATTAGTTAAGAGCCTTTATATGGTTTGGCCTCTAATGGTTCTGGTGTGCTTGGATTCTACTTTAAAGCAACTTTATTTTTATGGATCCAGAATATGATTGCCCAAGCAATATATCTGCTTCAGATTGTAATGCTAGTTGGGTTTGTGATTAAAAAAATTACATGGATTACATTGTTAGAAATGATGATTCTTTAATATTTTACTATGACCCTCCTCTCGTATGTGATAGAGGATTTATTTATAGTATTATGTCTGCTCTTACTTATTTAGGTAGTCTTATTGGATTCTTCTTTTTTTCATGGTACGCCGATAATAAAGGAAGAAAGTCTGCTCTCTTCTGGAGTTGGCTTATTGCTACTATTGGTACTTTCATGGTAGGCTTTTCTCAAAAAGATATTGTTACTTGCAGTATTGGACTGTTTTTATAGGGATTAGGAGCAAACCCTGCTATCACTATTCACTTTTCCTTTTTAAATGAGCACTCATGTAATTATTAATCATATTTCTTAATTATGCTTCTTGATGATATTTCAAAAAAAGAATTCCCTCATATTATATTTAAAGGATTTTCAATTATCAAATACCTACTAAATAACTTACATTATGTAGACTAACTACCAGGTAAGTCGTTAGTAAAGTTAGTGGGGGGAAGGTGGGCTTAATAATATATGGGAAACCGAGTGGAATTTTTATGTTTGTAGATATGAAGAAAAAACTACAATTACTATTCATATTTTTTATAATAAAATTTGTATTTATAATAAAAAGAAGGACCATTCAGAGAGTATACATCAATTGGAGTCCAAATATTCTTTGCTGCAGGTGAATGCTTTTTAATTTTAGCTGCTTACTTAATCCCTTATTGGAGATGGTTGGTTTTATTTGCTTTTGGTATTCCAGTTACTATCCTTAACTTTGGTATTTTCCTCATATAAGAATCCCCCAAGTAAATCAATTTATTTTAATGAAAATTTCATTTAAACTTAAAAATAGATTTCTACATGAATAGAGCACAGAAAAAGCTATAATAGTTTTAAATGAAATAGCTAAAGTTAATAAAAAAGAGCCACTTAAATTGGATGTACTAAAATCAGTTTTGAAAACAAGTGACAAAGATAATTCATATTCAATAGTCGATTTATTCAAGTTTAAATCTTTGAGAGTAAAAAATATATGTTGTGCAGTTGTTTTCTTAGCAATCTAAATGGTTTATTACGGAATCACTTTTGCAATCAGTTAAGTCGGATTTAATATTTATATTAATTCCCTTGTAATTGGTCTTTGCGAATTATTTGCATATTGTGTTACAGGTAATTTTCATTTTAAATGTAACAACTTTGTTATTAAAATTTTAAATTAATTAATTAATTAGATCACTTCATTCCAAAAATAAAGAGAAAAATTACAACAATTATTGGAGTTGGTATAGTCACTGTCTTGTCCTTCTCCTTCATATTTTTAACCATACCTGACTCCTGTTCTGGAAGCACATTCTGTTACTAAAAAGTTATTCAAATTATACTTGCTGGGGTAATTTATTCTAAAATCATAACTAACTGCATATAATTTTATTAAAAAATTTAAAGTCTATGAGATTTGTCATTTGTTTCGTTTGGACAGTCGTTTATATTTGGATTGCTGAGCTGTTCCCTACAACTGTAAGAAATCTTGCTTTAGGATTTAGTTCTGCATTAGGTACAGTTGGTAATAAAATTAATTAATTATGTTTTTGAATAAATAACATAAATTAATTAATTATTGAAATAAATTTATTTTAGGAAGTACTGCAGCTCCTTTCATGAAAACACTTTGCTAAAATCTTTCCATATCACCTATGATTCCTTTAGGAATTATTGGTATTGCAGGTGTAGCTTGCTCATTCCCCCTTTCAGAAACAAGAGGTTAAAAGCTTTAGGACTAAATTGAGGAACTAAGAGATCCTGAATTTGAAGAACACATATCTATTTAAAGAGAAGTTGAAGTTTAAGATGAAGAATTTGACGACAATAAAAATAAATGAGTGTTTCAAAAATTTTAATTTTCAAAAATAATATTATTCTTTAATTATTAAATTTCTTTATTATTATATAATGCCTATCTATAATAATTAAATTAACTGACTTTATCTCTTTAATTTTATACTTTTTAAATAAATATTTTATTATTTTATTATTAATGGTTTGCTTGATTCAACAGATTATTTAATTGATATTTTTTATTAGTTTGTTTGTTAAATAAATTGGTTTTTAAATGAAAAAATAACATTTTTTAATAAGCCTATCATATGATAGCTTAGTTTTTGGCTATTAAATTAAACTAAAATATCAAAGATATTTATTCTTAATTGCTTGCGTGGCTGTTTATGAGAGAGCAAATTATTAAAAGAATTATTATTAGATTCAATTAAAACAAAATTTATTTGATTGTCAGGAAAGAAAATAAATACAAGTAATTTAATAAGAAAATAGATAGCTAAAAGGTAAATAAAATGGACGAGATTTTAGAACTTTAAAGATTGTTGGCTGAGGTATAGGAATAAACCTGCACAAATAAGTTTTCAGATAGAGTCATTGTAGAATTAGTAAATAAAATTATCAATGATTATGGATTACATCTAATTTACAGTCAAGATGGTTAGGAATATATGACTCCTGAACATTTAGATGAATAGTTAGCATAGTTAATAAGTGAAAGAGGAAGAATTCAAGTTTTAGAAATTCCTCCTATTTTAAATGTTACTGAAGATGTTGTTGAAAACAGAGTCCCCAAAATAATAAAGAAGAACAAAAAGGACTTTATTAGAGTAGGCAATGAAGTTATAACAAGCAATTATTTAAATCAAATATGTGAGGAAATTAATGAAGATTTACAATAATAATCTCAAATATTCCTTTTTGAATTAACTAGCAAGTATTCATTGACATTGTAATTTTTGAAAGAGCAACTTTAATACAGAATTGACAATAATATTATTGATGGAAACATTATAGGAGATAAGCTCTGTACACTTACTTACTAAGAATTAACTAAATCTAAATTCAGAGGTCTATTTAGAGGTGCAACAAAGCCTATTTTGTTGTCCAGCTTGGCAAAAGATTATTAAATAGAATAAAGATAATTGCAAGAAATAATAGAAGATCTCATTAGCAGTGAAGCCATTGAAGGAAAAATTATTAGCGGCTAATTTGTTCCTACAAGATTCTAAAGGAATTAAGAAAACACTATTCGTGATTTCTTGAAATAAAATAAATACATTGAATACAGTATGTTATAAAAGCTATTCATCTAAAAGCCAGAAGAAACTCTGAAGCAGATGTTCAGAGATTAAATCATTCTTTTAGATGACTGCGCTTTTTACAAAGACTCACTTGAAGAATTAAAAGAACAAATTGTCAACTTGCTCTTAGAAGAAGGTATTGTCATTTTTAATACTTTTTCATTCATTTATTCTATCAATCATTTCATTTCGCGCTCTCTAAATAGGCTTAACTTAATTAAAATAATAGAATATCAAATATAAGATTTAATATTTGATAATTATAAATTAAATAAGTGAGGGACTTTTATTATAAAATCAACAAAATAAGCGAGTTAATCTGTTTAAATAATTAAAAATAAGTTCTATTTTAATTATCAAAATTTAAATATAATTTGTTGAAATCTGAAAAAGAAAATAAATTATTAAATAAATTTTAAAATAAGAATAAATTTTTTTTGAAGTTTCTCAGATAATTGCTAAAAAAAATACAGCTATGGTTTATTAAAATGGTTATAATTTTAATTTAATAGGTTACACAGACTTGTCGTTTATGTTCCCTACTTGTTTAACTGAAGCAGATATTGAGACAATTGTGAATAAGCATTTGAAGCTTACTGAAGTGGAATTAGATGAGACTATGATATTTAGTCATCATTATATTGAGAAATGCGTTACAGGCCTTAAATAAAATATTATCACTTAGCTATAAGAAAATCCATAAAAGGCTATCTAGAAAGATAAGACTCTGGATGATAGTGATGATGACAGTGAGGATGGAGGTAAGAAAAAGAAAGGAGGAAAAGGAAAGAAATAACCTCCTGCTGCTAGTGCTAGCGTTTCAACTAGAGCTTTTGAAAACAAAAAAGATAAGAAAGGAGGAGCATAAAAACCAACTAAAAAGTAAACTGAAGAGTAAAGAGATAAAGGAAATAATCTCTTCAATCAAGACGAATTCATTTCCATTCTCCTAGAAGCTAAAATAATAAATTAAAATGATAAGGGTGATGATTTCGAAAATAAATTGTATCGCATAGCATAGCCTAGCTTGTAGAAATACATTGAGTAGTTAAGAAAGGAAATGATGGACAAAAAGAAGTCAGGATCTTAAGAAGTGATTATGCAACTTAACTAATTAATTGAAGATGCTATGCTTATGATCTAAATTTCTTAAAATTCTATTACTTACATTGAAAATAACCACTCCGATATCAATATGACTCTCTTTTCAAATAATATACACTACACTCTCCGTCTTGTTATTGAAAACACTATTGTCTTAATATGCAAAAAATTAGCTATTTCTTTACCACAGGGCTTGTTCATAAAAAAAGATGAAGAAGATCCCTCCAAAAATATCTAAATTGCTACTCTCGTTTTGAAAAAAGTCTTTAAAAGCAAGGAAATGCTCTAGCAAGCCATAAGCTTACTTCCTAAAGAATATAATTTATTCCTTATTAAAGCTTTCGAGTTATACTTAAAAAAGCAACCAAAACCCTTGATTGAATACTTGATGAACAACACTCAATTAATGGGAGTTAGAGCTATTTTGGATAAGAAAATTGAAAAAAATCTCATCTTAACTACTAAGTACTATATAAAAGACCTCATCAAAAAAGATAAAGCAGATAATAAGCTTAATTTCTTAAGAACAGTCTAATACATATTATTAGATAAATTTGGTTAATTCTATATAGGAAATCTAGACAGCAAATTTATATCAAGCATTTTAATTATTCTTTCAGATTTATCAAAAGAGATGGAAGACATTAGCCCTCTTTACTCACAAACATTAGCCCTTTATAAATAAATAACTAAAGAAAAGAAAGATGAAATACCAGACAGTAAAATCTCTGATGAATAGGCTTCCGTATAATTTGAGTCATCTTTGCATTCGCTCATAAAAGCTACTAAAATGTGATTATGAAAGAATAAATTCAAAGAAATATATTTTCATATATAAAAATTCAACTTCATTAAAATTGTATTTTTGTAAAATATTAAATTTTAAATTTAATAAATATGATTGATTTTTATTATTCTCACTAATTAAAATAATCACATTTTATTTATTGGTAGGTAGGTAGGTACCATTTGAAAGTCAATTAATCTTTAAAATTTAAAAATTTAAATGAATTCCAAAAATATAATATACAATAACATTAATAGTACAAACATATTAATTTATAGTTCTATATTTTAAATTAAATGTTATTCTTATTCTATCAACTAAAATAAATATCTTAATCAAAGATATTCAATCATTTTTGTTGAATTAAAATGAATTAGATACCATAAATGCTCATTTATTCACTTAAACTCTACTCACAAACTACAAAAGAGTTTAGTAGTGATTTTTTTATAGGAAATATGGAGAGTGAGTATTAATTTCAGTGTGAAATAGTGAGCATTTATGGTACTTAATTAAGAGTTGTTGTTATTCTATAAACTAAAAATTATATTTTTAATTCAAACAATTGAATATTAAATTAAATTATGTTATTTTTGTTTTATCAAAAACATATCCTTAATAAAAAATTCAATACTAAAGGAAATTTAACTTAAAAAGAATAAGATATTTAATGAAGATAAGGAGGATTATAAAAAATCATACTCCTAAATAATACTTTTTATATTTTTTGATTATTTCAATTTATTTTTTATTATTTTCATTTCTTCTGATATACAACAATCTGAAAAGAATAGAGCATCTAAATTCGTCATTTTATACCTAAAGATTTTTAATTATTTTCTTCAATAATTTATTTTTTAATTTTAAATTTATTTACCATAGCTTACTCAAAATTACTGAGAAGGTCATTTACTGATTCATCGAGATAGCTAGCAATTTACATTAATATTGAAATATTTTCTGCCAAACCTAGTTGGATGTTAACTCCCTAATAATTCAAAATAAATATTCATATTTATTAACATATTTTTGGATTGAAATCTATTTATTTACCATTGGCATTTTGGAAGAGAGATATGTTTTAATGTAGTTTGTTTCGTATTTAAAATATTAGCTAAATCTACTACTGTCAATATCAAAAACATATTTATTAACGTCCATCACAGCAAATATATATTCTAATTTTATTTATTTATTTTTGATTTTGATTTTTTCAAATTTTAATAATTTATTTTTTACCTTTTGTGAATTGGCTTGCAAATGCTACTGCCAGAATTTCTTGGTGCTACTTTGGAACTCTCTTAGAAAATAATTAGAAAAAGTCATCAACTTCGTCTAAAAGGTTCTTTATGGATCCCTTATCTATAAATAATTTATGATTATTTCAAATAATAATAAACTTAAATAATTTACATTATTTCGAGAACTCTTCAACTGATAGCATGCTGAATTAATTAGCATCAAAGTTCATAAGAATTTGATTGAAAACAGGCTTTCTCATATAATTTCTAACAAGCTTCATAGCGGCCAATTTACTAATTTTCTTTATTTATTTATTAATTAATTAATACATTTTAATTTTGAAGTAAATGCTTACTTAGATATTTTAATCGAATTCTTTTTTCAATCCATTGAGGATATCAGAGGAGAATTGCAATAAATCTTAGGCAACTGTATCAATTTATTCATGTAAGAACTACATGTTACCAAATCTATAGCAAATAGCTTTAAATTCTTTTACTTTATTTTGTAAATTAAACTAAAATCAATAAAATTTATGCAGGGTAAATAAATTATTTACAGTTTGATATAATCTCATTCTCTGTATTGTTAGGGTACATTTATGGATTTAACTTAGAAGTAGAAAGCTTCTTAAATTAAGTTTCTTCAATAGAATTTATATAGTTCAAGCTATTTAAAACTTCTTTAGAGTAGTCATTTAAAGCTTCATATACAAGTATCTCAAATTTTTTAACTATTTATTTCCTAAATCTGTTAGTTTCAGGAGCATTTACTAGTTGATTCATCACTTCTATACTCTTAAACATGAGAGAACAATAATCCACAACACTCCTTGTGTACAATTTCTAACCTTCTCCAGTTTACCTATTTAAAAATTATTATCTGATAAATTATTTAACTTAAACTTCCAATTTTACCAATTTTCTTATTTTAAGCAGTTCTAGAGCATGTTTTTACATTAAAATTCTCTTTTTAAAATATAAATTTAATATTTTTATGTTAATAAAAAATTTTACAAGTTGTTGAACCAATAATCAATGAAAGGAGTTAGGAGCTAGTAATATTATGTGGCTCTTTCTGGATTATATTTATTCAAAATATCATCTAACTTCGAAATTTCAAAAGCAATAGTGAAAGCAAAAGAACTATTGTCATTGTTTAGCATATTGTGTTCTACGACAAGTTCTAAAATTTTAATTATCTCAGAGAGTAAATTTTCAATATAATTGTTAACAAACTCTATTTTCAACTCATTTTATCTGTAATCAATAAATCTATGCATGTGCTTTGCAAACAATGGAATGTAGCTACTGATCACGATTAATCCCTCTCTGTTGTTGTTTGCCAAAACATCTTAGATTTTTGGTACTTTTAATAAACAAATAAATCCATTAAATTCATTTAAAAAATGAAATTTATTAATTACAAGTCTCTTTATCGATTGGATCCTAAGGATTAAATTTAATCTTTTTGTAGAAGTTAGTACAATACTTTAAACCTGCAGAGCTAAAAATATAGATGAATAGTTCTTCCAAATCAGAGTATATTGTATAATCTTTTTAACTGACTGCAAGAATGTAAAGTAAATGACAAGCAGCCTTAATTTAGTTTTCTTAAGGATAGAAATAATTCCAAAAGTTTTTAATGATATCAAGAAAATCTAGGAAGGGTTTGTATGACAATGTGAATTTAATTGATTGATTTAGGTAGCTTAATAGTTTTTAATTAGCACTTTCATTTTTAGGAGTTAAATTTTATTCTTTTAATAGAATTTCTTATGTTTGTTCTAAAACTCTTTCTAAGTTTAACAAATATTTAAGAGATTCTTTTTCTTTCCTTACCAAGCTACTGTGCAAGATATTCTCATAGTAATATTTAATAAAAGTCAATTATATATTCTAAGCATTCATATTTAATCCCTCCTAACCAAATTTAATTATCCAATTTAGATTCTCTTCCCAGTATTCCTACAGCAACTATGATTTAAATGTTAAAAGTTAAAAATAATACTCAATTCAAATCAAATATATTTAGTTAAATAAGTAAAAAGTTCAATAGTAGTTTTAACTAAAATACAATTAAAAAATAAATTTAGTGCCTTTGTATTATTATCAAAAATTAATAATTTAAATGTCAAATCAAATATTTGAATTTTAAATTATTTAATTTCAAATATTTAGAAAATTTAAACATGAATATTTTTTTATTTTATCTAATTTGCCTTTATTTATTTTATAAAAGAAATCTTATGTAAAAGTAATTTATTCTAGATGAGAATATTAACAAAAGTATTAAATTTTATAAAGTCAAGCTTATCTAAATTGGACAATTACGAGACCAAAAATTTTGCCCAAAATATTTAGGTGTAAGCATAGATTTTATAATGAAAAAGTTAAATTTGTGATTAAAATTTTGAGCGATTTTAATTAACAGTGCTCAGTTTATAATTGAGCCAAGTTTAATAGGCTTACTTTAATTGAATAAAATCGTTAAACAGTAAATGAGAAATTATTTACTTAGTTTTCAACAAGTGTTTGAATCATCATTTAAGTAAGAGATTAATTTAAGGGGAAAGTTATCTAAGGCTCCAAGAATATGTTTAGAGAAGAATACTTAATTAAATCCTCTCTACTTGGATTTTACTGTGAGAAGATTGCATGAATGCTTTCTAAGTTATTCTTATATGTCAATTCTAATTTTGGGTTAGGTTGCTAATAATAAGCCCTAGGAATTAAAATATTATTCCAGTATTAATTAATTCCTATAAAAGCGTACAAGTGCTATGTAAATAACACTAGGAATCTCACTTCATCATCTAATAAATTATTATTTTTAATTAAATCTGTACATTCCTTTAACAAACAAGATAAATAATTATTCTATTCTTATAAATTTTATTGCCTTTTTCCAAAAAACTTAGTGATCATTTTGTAGTCCTTCAAACTAATTTTGAATTTATTCTTAATATAAGAAATAAAAACTTCGATTTCTTCAGCTTATTCCTAATCTTTGGCACTCTCATTTTGCAAAAATATTCTTGCAAGGGAGCATATCAAAATACCAAACTAAGAAAGCTAGAAGCGCTTACAGAATTCCCTTTTTTATCGTAAAAACTTTAAATTAATATAAAAAGGTAAAAATTAAAAATTAATTTACTCATTTTCTGGAATGTTATTATGAAAAATTCCTAGCTGTTCTTTAATAATTAATGGAATCGATTAAGATTAAACTGTATCATATTTAATTTTATTTTTTCTGATTCTGCTTTATTTTAGTTCTGAATCAATTTATTCCTTTTTTAATTACAACTAATTTTATGGTTAAGTGGATTGAACTTATTTATTGATTTCATTTCTATTCTCTTGTTCAATATTAATTTTGCTATTCTTATTTACTAAACCATCGCTTGTGGTTATTCCTGCTGCAATTTTAAGAGAAGATGACATTTAATTGAAATCACTTAGATCTGGCTCTAATGTCATCTTTTCATAGCTCTCAGCTATTTTTTTGCTTAATATTGAAGCACTTTCATACTATCTAGAATTTTCATTTATAATAATTAATTTAAGACTACAAATAAATAATTTTGTGATACTTGTGAGTAATATTTCCAAATAATTAAATGCAAGTTTTAAGTTAAATATTTCTTTTTGTCTCCCTTTCAGTACTTTAATCAACAAATTTGAGCATCTCTTTTATAAAATAAGAAACATAAAAAATCAAAGGTTTTCTAATTTAAAATGAATGATTACATTTTGCTGATTCAGTTCCAAAACTGCTTATTTCTTTGAGAATCTATTCATTTTCTTTTTATAGCTCCAATAATCTGCTTGGGTTCTCTAATTTCTTTTGAGAAGATGTAATGCTAGATTGTAGCTTCTTCATTTTATCATTGTAAGTGTTGAAAGGCTTTTTGATTTCATTTTGAATTACTTTCATTATATCATGCTTCATTTATTTGCAATTCAAATAAATATCATTTATTTCAGGAATAAGTTTCTAAGTTATTTGTTATGCTACTTGGCTATTGATATCTGACATCCCTAGCAAAAAACCTAGTTAATTGTCAATAAGTGCGCGAATTGTCCTGCATAATATTTTATATTTAAAATAAGATCAACTAATTTTGGTTTAAATTCTTACGGATTTTCAATTTCTTTACACTCTGCTAATGACTTTTTCATACCAAAATGTTTTCCGGCTGTTGAATATTTTATAAATTAAATTAAACTGCTATTTAGCATTGAGAATATATAGATTACTTGTTTTAGTCAACTTTAATAATTAATCTGCATAATTTTGTTAAATACTAGCTAATTCTTTATAAAATGCTAAGAAAGCCTTGCAGGTTGTTTTCATCACTGAAAACTTATCGCTAATAAGTTTATTAGCATCCTAATTAAATAAATTAACATTTAACTTAGTTATTATTTCTCTTTAAACTTTTTTTTACTTCAACTTTGGTGACAATTTCTTTTTGCATCTTTTAATTTTTTAATAAGCTTACTATATCAGAAATAAACTTGATGTATCTATTTTTCAAACTATTAAATCAATTTAAATAAATCTTTTCTACCAATCATATAATAACTAAAATTTTTGAAAATCTAAATAATATTTAATTTATAATGAGCAAATTTTAAATTAAAAATATCACAAACATAGTAATTAATTAGCTAACTAAAATTTCTAAATATGAAAATTATCAATAACATGCTTTACATAACATAAATATTTCTAAAATATTGCATTTATTTTTTTTAAATTCTAAAAAATACTAAGACTAGACACTATCAATATTTATTTTAAATATCCTCTTTAAAAATAATTGCTAATCCTGAAATTAAAATATTACCAACTGTGAAAATTTTCATTTAATTTTTATGAATTTAAGCTAATTGTTCTTTCTATATATTTTAATTGTTTTATCATTCTGTTTTTATTAAATTTTAACAAATTTTTAATAGTATTTAATGCCTTTTCTCAAATTTTGAATGTAAAAAATTTTTTTAATATTTTAAACAAAAATAGAATTTTCATCTGTATATTTTGTGCAAAATTTTTGGTCTTGTTGATACCAATTTAGAGAGTTTATATTGTATTAATGTAATTATATAAATTTTTTTATTAAACATTTACTATATATGATTTGTATTTATTAAATATAGTAATGAAATTAATATTTCTATCAGAAAATTTTAAAATTAGATGATAATATATAAATGATTTTGAGTATAAAAAAACCAGTAAAATTTATTTTCATAAACTCGCGACAATTTTCGTTGAATTCTTAGTAGAAAATTTGACCAATAATAAATTATAAATATTTCACTGCTGCTTGAAGTTTTATTTAAATATTTTGCTATTTTGCATAGCTTTTATGCTGTTTATTGTATTGAATTTAAATTAAGTATTTGGGTTATATTTAGCTTTGCTTTCTTCTAGGTAAAGCTCTTTGAAATTTTAAGTTGAGATTTCTAAATCTACTTCTTAGTTTAAAATTGAGTTTGATTAGCTATTATTGAATTTGTTTAATGTCTCATCTTCTAAATTAGATCTAATTTAAGGAACTTCTTCCTCTTAATTAATTTTAGATGACATTTAATTATAAATAAATATGTTTGAGTTAATTTAATTATTTGTATTTGACTACTCTGGTTTGTTTTGATTACTGTTAGTGGATGTTTTCTAAAAAAGAGATATTTTTATCTGGCTTATGTCACTAAGACTTTTAGGTGACTAAAAATTTGCTATTTATGTTGAAGAGTTAATAGGTATATTTGCAGGAATGGGTTTGGTTTCAAGCAAATTTTATTATTTTTAAGATATCTAAATGTCTCCAAAATTAACACAATCAATCATATCAAATAATCTGTAATCTAGTTAAGTTAAATGCTATTTTTTTACTATATTTTAAAGAGCTTACAATACAATTTAATTTTATTGATTTTCTTAATTTTATTGGCTTTTATTATAGCTGAATGATTTTTCTTTTCCTGACTTATCATAAATTTCTTTATTTGAATCAGACTTACATTCTTGTAAATTATGAAATTTGACTGGATTTTGACTCTGTGAAGCAATTAAAGTAATTTGTTTTGGAATAGAATCGAATAATTTTATCTAATCTTTATCCAACAAAACAGATTTGAGTTTGTCTATTTCCTGCAACTTATTTATTAAATAAATTACATCTAACTGCTTTTTAACTTGGTTTATTCCATTCTAAACTAATTAAGATTTTTAATCATTCAACGTCTTTTTAAAGCAAAATATACTTTTGAAATAATCGAAAAAGCTGTAAGAAATCGATTAATATGAATTAATCTTTGAAGATTGTTCTGTTTTTTACTCTTCATTTTGCTAAATTACTTTTATTTTTTTTTGTTTATTATCTTGGATAAGATTTTTGTCTGTTGATTGCTAAACAAGTTGTTTCTTCTCCGTTATTTTTTTGTTACTGCTTTTTCCATTTTGATTAATGAGATAGATAGAATTTTATTATTATTATTATTATTAGTATAATTAATTTGAATTAGATTCGTTGATTTTTTTAGAACTATTTTGCATCAGTTAATTTTATAAATTTAAATTCATTTAGCTAAAATCATTCAAATTCACTTTATTGTTTTAATGAATTTGTATTTTATTTTATGGCTATTAATTATAGTCAGTAGTTTTGTATAAAAAAATATTATCCCCGATTGCTTTATACATGATAAGAGATGAAAATGGGAAAACAATAAACGAGCCAACTAAAAATAAAATTTTCAATAATCCTCCCATTTACGCAATTACATCTTATATTTTTTAGTATCTTCTCTACATTAAATTCTCTTTTGTCTTTTATATTCTTATTAAAATACGAGCAAGGACATTATAATCCCCAAAATAAGTAGTTTCCTGCTTACCTGTAAATAGAAATTTGTGTTTTTCTTCCTTTTATGTGTAGAGCAAACCAACGTCATCTTAAATGTAATAATTTGTGTAGTAAAGTTGGAGTTCTTTTGGGAACACTGAAGATGCTGAAGAATATTAATTCATCCCTCTAAATGAGAAAGGATTACTATAATTCAAAGGATCTATAATAGTATTTGAAAGAAACATATCAATATTTATGAGCTAAAGCTTTTAATTAATAACATCTATTGGCTAACATACTACTTCACTAGTGTTATTCTAACATTTTTCAATATAGACATACAACTATGCAAATTATTGAGCATCGAAGTCTCCTTACATGTAGAGATCTTGACCTTTTTCAAAACAAAATAGTTTATTTAAGCTAAGTTTACTAAAGTAATTATAGACTTCTGGAATTCCAATATCACTTTAATCACAAATTTTAATAGTTTTATTTACAGATATAAGTTTTCTTTCATATTAACCATTTTAGGTATTATTATTTAATTGTAAAATTTATTATACTGCCCTTAATTAAAATATGGTGGGATCTACCCACAACTGAGATTGCTTATCAGAAACTCCAAACATTATAATTAAATTATCGCTCGTTATATTTATCCTTTAGGCTTATTCCACATATCTTTCTGAAAAGATAACAGAAGGATTTCGTCTGTTAATGAGCTAATCGCCAAAAAACCAACAACCCACAATAAAAAATATTCCAATAATGAACGTAATAGCACCGCCATAAATTGTTTTATAAACTTACTTATTTTAAAAGTTGATATCTATCCTCTACCCATAAATATCAATACTTCTAAAGAGATCCTGAATTTTAGACATCTTTTTTTTTAGTAATTAAAAGTTTTTGTATTTTTTGTATTTATTTTTTAATTATCAAATTTAATTTCCAGAAAATCCAAATTTTACTAAATATAGCATCTAATATTAGTCTTTTATGTAACAAATATAATAAATACTTCTATGATAAATTAAATAAAAAAATATTTACCTTTCTTTAAATCAAGAGAAGTATTTCAAATATTAATTGTAAAAAAATTAAATAAATGGATGCAGAAATTTTATTTTTTGTTAAAAAATTATCTTTCTATAAGCTTGCTTTTTCCAAATATACTGAACTTAAAATAACCTTGCATAAATCTTATTTATAAGCAAATATTTCTTTAAAATTAACTAAAAAATGTTAGCTTTATAACAATATATTAACTAATTACATTGCACAAACATTTTCTTAAATTTGTCAGTAATAAAATTAATATACTTAATTTCTCCTTAAAATACCTCCCTAAAAAAATTTTTAATTTTATGGGTACTAGTTATTTTAAAAATAAAAAAACTTTTTATTACAAAATTATTGATAAATAGTTTGTTTTTGAATATACTCAGTAATAAATATAAAAACATAAATAAATTAATATATTTTTACAATAATAATAATTATAGTTTAAATCTAAATTTTTCTTTTAATATTCTTTTAATTATTCACTTACTTTTTGATTATAATTTGATTTGAATTTTAGTTAATCTCCTTGTTAGTTATTCATCCCTTTTAATTTTTTACACAATATATATTATATATATAAATAATGCTTTTTGAAATTTAATAGATGATAAAATTTTAAAATAACATAACAATATTAAATTTTCTATATAAATTAAGTAATTACTTCGTTAGATTAAAGTCTATTTATTTTCATGTTAACATAAATATTATTTTATAGTCTTGCTCTTAAATTTGTTTTTGAAATCTTACAAAAATTACTAAAAAATTTAATTAATAAATAAATATCAAATAATTCTTATTTTTTATCTAATAACAGTGATTGTATCTATGCTTTCTACCTACAAATTATATTTATAAAACATTATTATTTTTATTTCATTTATTGAAAAATCTAAAATATATTTTAAAATGAGTTATGCTTAAATGGATAATTTATTATGATTAAAAATGAAATCTGTTAATTTTATTTTAAATATTATTTTTTGATTGAGGATTTATTGAAAAGATAATTAATGTTGAATTTGATCGAAAACTTTATAAAATAAATATTTGTTAGGATGTAATCAGACTTAATCAATCAATAATATAGTTAAGTATTTATTTAATTAGAAAGTTAAATCTTCACTCAAAGATTACTGAGTCTAGCGGAAATTTATTCATCAATTTTAATTATAAAAGAAATTAATTTTTGATCATCAGAAATACTTGGTAAATTTTTTAAATTTTCAATATTTAATTGATTTTTAATGAAAACCATGTGATTTGTTAATTTAGGTTGTATTTTTTGAAAAGAAAAGGTGCAAATGATATCTATCTAAAAAGCAAAAATAACTTTTTTTTCAAAAAGAGCTTATTTTAAAATATTTTAATGGGAAAAGACAAAACTACAAAATAAGCTCAAGGAACAAATAAAATCTCAAATAGATCACGATTAATCAGTATTGCCTTTAATAATATTTAGTAATTTTATGCAGAAGCATGCCCAGATTGAGCCAAGAAATGAAGCAAAAGAATTGTTGTTACTTATAAAGAGTACACTAAAAAATGCCTAAAAATAATGAGCTTGTTTGATTTGAACCAATTAATTTTTTTTTACTATTTTTGAATTAATAAAAATGAATGAATTACTAAATAAAAATATTTAAGATTAGTTAGAGAAGTAAACATAATACCTGAGATTCTATTTTGAGAAATAGTATATTACGTAATAGTATAAGGTAATACACAATTATAATATTTCTGTTCTATATGAATAATATTATAATTATCAAAACTAAGTCATGGATCTAAATAAATCACTTATAATGCGAAATTCAATATGATTGAATACATAGTATCAGCTAAGTACTTTCCTTGCTTGCTTGGATGTCAATATTAAATAAATAAATAAATTTCAGAGAAGAAAGAAAGCTTATTTTTTACCTTTACAAGAATAATATTATTACAACCTATTAGCATCTTTATTAAATTTCAGATTAAGCGGACTTATAAAAACTAATTAATTAAAATAAACACAAACAAAACAAAGTAAAAAAGATAATGACTGATTTTAAATTAGTTTTGGTAGTTACTGCACTCGCATTAGTCACAATATGTGGTGTTTACTAAGTATAAAACGCTAAAACTACTTCCTATCCTTTAGACGATTAAGGTAGAAAAATTAGATTGGGTGGTATTCCTTGGAACTTTACAAACTGTGGTTCTGAAAACGATGCTTTGATTATTACTTCTATTGTATTTTCAGCTCAACCAGAACGTGCTGCTCCTCCTAATGATGCAACTCTTGTAATTTGACAACTCTTGATAAATGATTTCTTGATTGAGAAATCAAGCATTTATAAATCCATTATTTATTCATTATTTTTAATAATAAATTAGACTGGTACTTACATGGTTCACACAGACATAAAAGCTTTGAACGTTGTTGTCAAACTCTCAGGAGTACAAGTCTTTAACAATAACTTAGCAGCTACAGGTACTTACGATCCTGGTGATATGTTCACTTTCCCTTACACCTTCCAAATTCCTGGTATAGCTCCTGGTGTAAATAAAGATTTTATTTAGTGTTCACATATTAATTTTCATTTTTATATAGGGCGCATATACTCTCGACTTGAAGTTTTTAAATAAGGCAGGTAATCAAATATCTTGTACTCAAATTTCTATGGATTTATGAGAAATCTATCTAATTTAAAAAAGCGAGCACAAGAATTCAATAAATATATTTACTCTATATTATTAATTCTCATATAATAAAAATAGTTTTAACATATTTTATATTCTAAACAATGTAACAAAACGATTGAAAGAAAGAAACAATGATTCATATCATATAATATCATAATTTATAAAATCTATCCAACAAATTAAAATTTAAATGTAATTGTAAACGTTTGCCTATATTTTTGACTAATTAAATCAAAGTGAGAAAGCAATATTTGAAAATATTAAAAGAAGAAAAAATTAATATTTGTTATTGACGTAATAATACTAGATTGTTTAAATGCAAATAACTTATAATTTTGCAAATTCTTTAGTATAAATATGGAAATCATAGTACAAGAAATATAAAAAATTTTATTGTGAAGATTTTCAGAGTAACTAAGATTACAATTTGCTTATTTTTTTACTTTTTTAGAACTGGAAAAAAAACATTAATGTTAATAGTTGACTGACTGACGACTTTGCTTGGCTTGACGATTTTAATTGATTAAATTTTTCTATTTAAAATTTCTTATTTTAGTTTTTGATTTTTAGCTTGGATAAATATAAAAGAATACAATTAATTTAATTTTTATAAATTTAGTTATACCGCAATTAATTTTAATATCACTCAAAAGAAAGGAAATCATACTTGCAATTTTTATTTCAATGGTAACTAAATTTTTCTTTTCATTTTAAAATGATTTAGAAAACACTTACAACTTTTATTTTTATTCTTTAATTATTTCTGGATCGATACAAAAACTTTACATTTTAATAAATAAGAAATAAGCTTAATTTTCTCCAATAAAGTTTTCAATATCTATTTTTACAAAAGTAATTAAATTTATTTATGATGTATTTATTTCTCAATCCTCTTTTTATATTTTTTATGGGAATAAAATAATCAAAATTTTTTTTCCTACAAAATCTGATACCTCTATATAAATATTTTTGGAGCTTAACCAGCTTTTAAAATTACTCTAAAAATAAAGAAAAATACTAATTTTTAATATTTAGTTGTAAAAAATATTTTTTAAAATTTCATTAAAAACAAAATGAAGAAATAAATAAATTTATACTTTTTCAAATAATTGACTAAGATATTAATAAGCTAAAAAAAGAAAGAAATATATCTATCATTTGTAATAAGGTAATTTACTATTTTAATAAACAATAAAATATTTTGCAAAATGCAATATTTTAAATTAATAGTTATATTTCTAAGGTAATTTACCATTTAATAAACAAATAAAATATTTAGCAAAATGCAATATTTTAGGTAAAGCAAATAATAAATTAATAATAAAATTATTTTTAATTACTTCTTTAAAAAATAAAAATAAAAAGATTTTATTATTAATTTCAAAGAAAATAAAATTATTTCGCACTTTTAATTTTCAAATGAATAAAGAAGTAAAATTTAAATAAATTTAATTTGATACAATCAATAAAATTTATCATTTTTAGAACTTTTTTTTATTTTTTAAATTATTTTCAAAAAGGCTCAATTTATTTTTAAAAATAAAATGTGGCTAGTTTAAAATTATTAAAGCACTTATTTAATTGCTTCTACATTTAAATATTTGTCTAAATATTATATTTTACCACTATCATACTATTGATCATAGAATAGTATCATATGAATGATACATTTTTGTTAAGTTATTTGATTATCTGTTTAGATACTTCAATTTTCAAATATAAATTAAAAGTTGTAAAAATATTTCATTTATTAAAATATTTATGTTCAATTAAGAAACTATAAGGATATAATTCACTTATCCTTTAAATATTTCTAAATTCTTATTATTTATTATGTAAATTATTTGAACTTTTGATTGTATCTGCTTATTCAGATCCTGTGTTTTTATTTTAGGTATCGTTATTATTTGAATATTTTTCTGTAAGGCAGATTGGATTATCTCTGTTATTATTATAAATAATTTTATTTTTATCTTCGAATTTTAAATAATTTTACAAGACAACAAGTTTAAAGTCTTAAACTCTGAGATGCTTTAGAAATTTTTTACTAAAATAATCAATACTTAAAAGTGATTCAATTTTATTTGATCTAATAAAAATTTTTTAGTATGAAATTTTAATAAAAAAATGCAACTTACTCTAAATTTAAATGGAATATTGCCAATTATCTAGAAAACCTTTTTATCATATTAGAGAAGCAGACCAACCCGAAATCATCGATTTAATTGCAGCTATACAAAATGAATTAAAATTTCTTAATTATTATCAACAATTTTAAATTATTACTTAAAATCGACTTTTAGCTCCTCTAATTATGAGAGAAACTCCAACGATTCAGCTAATTTGTAAAAGCCATCTGACTAGATAAAATTTTAGCCAAAGTTTAGGATAAGTATTTTCATCTAAGGTAGGTAGTCAAAGGAGTAGCATATTTATATGAGTCCTTCTGAAATGGTATTATTGTTCCTAAAAGTTGAAAAATACAAATAATTATTAAATTAATTTCTACAAATAACTATTTTATTACTCAAATGATAAGCAAATTCTAGTTAATTTTGTTAATTTTATTAAAGATTCACACAAAGTTTAGAATGAAGACTGCTTTTTTCTACTTTATGTTACTATAATTAAATTAAATAATGTAAAACTCTACAATAAATTTATTAATTTACATCTTTGTAAAGAATAGTTTAATTTTTGATTTTGATTAAACGTTACATCCAAATTAAAGCTGTTTTAAATTTAACTTTATATAGTATTTTATTTATTTTTTAATTGAAGACTCTGCATGCTTGATTATTTTTTCTTAAAAAGTTATTTAGAATTACAATTCTTTGGTTCATTATTTTAGATGTATTTTATTTTATTTTCTAAATCAAAACAGTTTTCATTATTTAAAATAATTGAGTTTTGTTTACTGTACTTAATAAATTATTTTGACTAATTTTAAATTAAAAAAAATTATTTAATTATTTTAAATGAAAAAGTTTACTAAATTTTTGTTGATTTTTTCTGTTTCAAACTATTAGCTTGCTTTTTTCAATTAAGAATTTTATTTATTTGAGGTTAATTATTCAATCTGTTTATAAGAAGATTCGTTTTAGTAATCTTCTAAATAATTATTTATGAAGTTTAAGGTATTTTATTTGCTTTTGTTATCTACTTTATCTATGTTTTTAATTATGCTGAGGCTAACATTTTCTGTTAATTAATTAGCTTCTCTAATTATTTTTAATCTTTAATTTCTTTCAGTTTATTTTATTTTTAAAATTTCCTCTCTTTTTATATCACTAAGTTTTACCTTTTAAGCAATTTATTGAGAAGACTTTTTGGTTTTTATTCTATAAAAGTGTTAAAATTAGATAATTCAAATTAAAATTACTTACTTGTTGCAAATTAAAGTTAAATTATTTATTAAGGTTAAACATTTTAAACTGAGATACAGTGATACTAAGCCTTCTTTTTTAATTTTATTTTCACTATTTTTAAGCAAAATTTATTTTTCATTTTTTATAATTATATAAATAAATGTAATATAAGTAAATAAATACCTAACACTAAAGATTAGCTCCAGTAAATTAAATTATTGCATAATACCTTAACTTATAAGCTATAATCCTTAACTCCTCAATTCAACATTACTTTATTAGATTTATTTATGTAAATATAAAATTTGTGTATTGATGAATTACTCTAGATTAAGATTTAAAGTCGTCAAATTTTAATTAGAAAGAAAACTTCCTAAATATCTAGAACTTTGCAACTTTGAATTTTAATCAATTGCAACACACCATTAAAATTCACTGAAAACTTACTTATCAATCTGATTATTTCTTTTTTTAACATATATATAGATATAATTTATATTTATTTTAAATCAATTGAAAGTAAACAAAGAAATTTGTAGTCAATTTGTTTTTTTAGAGCTTTTTTTAAGATTAGTAAAAATTTAAACACAAAAAATTACTTCAAGTTCAAATTTAAGTGATTTAAATTCTTGATATCTTTTAAACTGGTGAAAAAAGGAATTGCTTCGTATTGAGAAATATGACAATCCCTTTATATAATTTTATTCTAATTCTCGTGATTGTTTGTAATTATTTACTTAAATTCTAGGCTCAGTGATTTCAATAAAAATAATTTTGAAATGCTTTAAGAAAAAGTTTTCAGAAAATCTTTTTAGCTCAAATTGTTATTGCTGCGTTTTTTTTTTAAAAGTAATTTTAAATTTATTTTTTTCTTTTTAATTTATACCTGAACTAGAAATCAAACTCTTCTAATGATACACAATCTTTAAGCGAGTCAGATAATACCTTTAACGAGCTACTCCTCTAATTATTTTAACTTTAAAAATGATATTTCATAAAACATCTATTAATAAAGATTTCTTGTTTACCTCAAATTCAGTTTTATTTTTTTTCTGTATTTATTTTTTAAAATTAACTTCATGATAGACTCAAAATTCTTACTAGACATCCCTAAATTTCTTTATTTAAATATTAAAATTAATCTCAATTGATATAAGTTTTCAATTTATTTACTCTAAATTAATCTAAATATTTTATACTTGATTTAATTTTTCTATGTTTTTAATAAATATTCCTAACAAACTTGAGTTTATTTTCATATGATTTAAAGATAATTCAAATCTATTAATCAATTTATCAAAATCTATAACATCTTAATCTATAAAAGCAATGCAATCCTTTCTAATTTAAATAAAATAAAATATCATTTTTTGTAAATTTCACTTAAAAAAATTAGCTCTGTTTAAATTAAAATAAATATTTAAAAAACTTATTTCATTTATTGAATATGCATGTCTTGATTTAACTAAAAAAAGAAAAAAACATAATAAATATTAAAAAATTAAAACAAAATTTATATTTTCTATAATTTTTCTTTTTTAAATTAAACCAAAATATGTATTTAAAAATTAAATTTGGCAAGTAGAAATTATTTTTTTAAATTAAATGCAAGCTGAAATTTTTTTGTATTTTTGTGTTTAATTTTTGCTAAAATTTACTCATTATTGAGAAGCAAAAAAAAGTTGTACTATTTAAACTTTTTTAAGGTATCTAAGAAACTAAAATATGCTTATTTGTTTTGTGTGTTTAAATTTAGTTTTCCATTCTTTATAGGCCTAGTTTCTAAAATTGCTGTCATTTAAATTTGTTCTTATTCTGATAAGTGATTCTTTTTAAGTTTTATATCCAAGAAATCAATCGGAATTTCTTATGTGAAGTAGTTAATTTCATTTAAGTACTTTAGAGACTTAGTTAAATGTTCATTAAAAAGGATGTCTGGGTTTAAATCATCTAAAATTCGTTCATATTAATCTTTGTTTAAATCAAGGTATTAGAAATAATTCTTAAATGCTATCATTATTGATTCAAGAGATTATTAAGTTTTAGAAAATCTAAATAACTCAATTTATTAATCAGATAGTTACAAATCCCTTTATAGTAATTTTTGAAAAGCTTTTAATTAAAATTGAACACAATTCAAACATATTTTACTCAATAATAAGTGTACATTCTTTTAAATTTAAAAAACTGTTCAAAATGGTAGATGCAACATCTATCACTGACGAATAATCTTATTTATCTAATTTTTAACTTTTAAATTAAAATGTTAAAAAAATTTTATTAAATTTAATTGATACCTACAAATGAGCTATAATTTTATTAAATTATTTAATTTGTCGCCTAAAATAAACATTTTGGTATCAAAATCATCAAAATTAAGTATTTTTTCTTTTTCATTAAATATAATTTATAAATCTGTGACTCTTTCATATTATTTAGCATTTTTTAATTTAGTAAATTTGTAAAAAATATCTGAATTTAATAAGCAAACTTATGATGGTAGGTCTAATGCATTAAGCTAGTTCTTAATTAAAAATCCCTTTTAATTGATTTCAAGCAATTTTTAAATTATTTAGTTTATTTTTAATATTAATTATTTATCAAAGCTATCATAAATCCACTAAATAACAACAAAAATGTTTAACCAAAATGTTTAAAGATGCAAAAATTAATTTTCTACAATTATTAAAATTGCAATAAATGGTATCGATCTGAATATTACATTGATTTTTAGCTATATTTACAAACTCAGCTTAAATATTTAATTTGTAAAAATATCTTTCAAACTGAATTCCTGGCTTTAATGGAAGATAATATCCTCAGTTAATTTATTTTAGGTTTACTAAATATCTATTTTTTGTAGTTTTTACTTATTAAAATATATAAAATCTCTATTAATAGAACTAGTCCCATCTTGCTTAGCTATTAGGATAGAATTTTTTTATTACTTTCCTTATTTATTTCTAGCATTCGCATTTTAAGACTATAAATTTTAATTAAATATCATTTTTCTGCTCTGTACACTTTCTAATTTTTGATCTTACTGAGTTGGTAAAAACTGGTTTTCAGTCTCACATATCTCTAATTATATAATATCTGTATCTATGTTCTACTAATTAGTATTATTAACATATAAATCTTATTTATGTTCCCAAAGGTTATTATCCAATAAATATTTTTCTAAATCCCTTTTTTTTAAAATTATTATAAAATTATTTATTTTATTTGTAAAAATTGTATATTTTCTACCTGTTTATTGTTATACTATGTTTGCTATAGATTGCAAATTAAGATATAAGCTCAACCAATCTCAATTCAATTAGCAAAGCATTTATAATAGCCCAAATAATATTTGATAGAATGCATTTAACAAGTAGTAAAGCTTATTTTATTGTGATGCTTCTGCAATTTTAAAAGGAAGCAAAGTCCTTTTTTAAAGTGATAATTAAATTTAAGCAGAACATAATTAAAGAATAAAATGTATTTATTATTGGCACACACATGTACACGAAGAACAAACCTCCTTTAGAAAAATCCCTATTCTCTAAGCAAGCAATGTAATAAATTAATGATATGTTATTACTGACACTTAGGAGTATTATCCATACATTCTTTAAACCATCAGAAAATAATACTTAGCTAATTTAATAAAATAAAGATTTCAACATTTTCTTTTTAATTGATTAATTAATTAAGTCTACTTATTTTATCTAATTTTTAAATCTACAAACAATTTTTCTATGTTTTTCAAATATAAGAAGGAAATAGATTAGCTAACAAAGACCATTCGAAGCTATTTAAAAATATAATTCAAATTATAAATTTATAATAAAACTATAACTCTATTTTAAAATTTTGATTTTTATATAAATTATCAATCTATTTATTTACACTCTCACATGAAATATACCAGATAATTATTAAATTGAAATAGATTTCAATATCTTTTATGGTTTTCTTCTAAATAAATATATATAAGACCTCATAAGTTTTTTTTTTAAGATAGTAAAACAATAACCAACTAAATTTTTTTTTAAAATAAAAATTACATTATAACTTTAATTAATATCTAATGCTTATAAATTACTTTGATTTTATTGTAACTTTATTATAGCACAAGAAGTTCGTGTATCTAGGTTATTTTTTCTGATCAAGACTATTTTCTTATTTATTTAGCTTGATATTTTTAAAAAAAAAATAAAGTAATTATTTGATCATTTAAAAAAAAAATTGTTTAAAAATACGAATGAATTTTCATTGTTTAATACCAAAAAACCAAATAAAATATGTAAATTTGTGTTTCTTACTTATTTAGATATGAAACATGTATTTTGCATTACTTGTGTCTTACATTAAAAATAATATGAAATTTCTTCAATAAACACTTATTTAGTTACTATATTTCTTAGTTTATTGATTAAGATTATTTAAGTTAATTCTAATAAGCAAATATTTTTTTTTCCCCAAATTTATAATTAAAAAAAAGCGCTCGATGTAGGGATCGAACCTACGACCTTGCGGTTAACAGCCGCATGCTCTAACCAGCTGAGCTAATCGAGCTACTAATTACATTTATAAACATCGTAAAAATTAAGTCATTCATTTTCAACTCATAATAATAAGGATTAGTTAAAGGCTTATATTTTTTGCATTTTTGTAATAATTAAGATATCAATATTTTAAAATAATAAAATTACTTATTAAAATTAGATATATATATAACTTCTAAAAAATATTCTGATTAATATCGATACATATAATGTAATTTTTTATAAATTAATGATAGCTGAAAGGTTTATAGTTATGAGTGGTATTATATTAAAAAATATAATGAGAATTTTAGAGCTTTTGAGATTAGAGCGAGATATTATGATGTATAATAAAGTAGATTTAAAAATTTTCTTTATTTCAAGTTAAACCTTATTTAAGAAATAAGAAATTAAAAAAAGCTTTTTTTTGAAGTAGAAATGTAGATTGAAAAATAAATTTGATGATGTAATTAATTTGTTTAAAGAAAAAATTATGATAATTAATTTATAAATAAAATTTGAATAAAGTTAAATGTTTGAAATTTTTATTTACACTTATTTAATTCGATCTGTATGAATTTAGATATATTCTTAATTTGAAAATTTATCTACTTTCTAATCACTAACTTCATTGTGATTATTAAGTTTTTTTTTTATTTGTAATTATAAATTAGGTTGTTAATTAACTTTTATTTATTATTATAGTAATGTTTAAAAAACGCAAATTATTACTAACTTAGTTATTTGAATATTAATGATTGAAATATTTAACATTCTACAAATTATAACAAGAAAAAAAACGTTTTTTACTAATCAAAAACATAAATTTTATTGAATTTAAGGTTTATTTTTTAAAAAAATCTATTTCTTTATTTATTTTTCCATTTACAATAAATAGTTAAGTTAATTTGTAGATCACTTATTAGTGTTATCTGGCTTTCTTTTTATTTTAAAAATTATTTGAGAATATAAACAGAAAAATAAAATTTACTTAATCTTCTTAGTGCGTTTGGATTTTTGGGCTATAGATTCAAGAGTTGTTGCCTATATTTGAAGATATGGGTTATATTAGCTTGCATTTACATTTAAGTGTCTTCTCTCGGAAGATTCTATGTCTAAGCAATTAATTTATTCATCAATCCTAGATTCACAGTTTAATTTAATACTTTAATCATCACTGAAAACAGAGGATTGCTTTATTGAATCTTAAATAAATTAAGATGGCTGTATGATTTTAGAATCTTATTAAATAGATATATTTTTAGCTTATTATGACACTGGGGAAAAACGGCTTAAACTCTCACTTAGGTATTTTTTAATCTTTAATTGCTCATTGGCCATTTAGTTAGAGTTATTTAGCTTTTGCAAAACATGATTATGAGACTCAAAAACGGAATCATCTTAATACCTGGAGCTATTTTCTAATCTATTTTGATCTTACGCCACATTATATTTATCAGGCTAATAATTCTAAAGTAGTTTTGGATCAATTATTTATAAAAGTTTCTTATCAATTTTTGTCAGTTGCTGGCTATTCAGTATATTTTAGAGCCCATAAATGGCATCTTGTATTTTTTATTCTTCACTTTTTGCTTTTTAAATGTTGTAGTAGACCATATTATCTTTACCATGCGGCATCTGTGTAGACTACACACTATCTTATCTTTCTCTATTTTAATTTTTTGGGGGAGAAATATTTAATTGATCACTGAATAAGTAATCATCAGAAATTATAGGCTTAGGAATACAATCAAATATTTTTAACTAATCTCTATTGAAAATAACTGTCTTGAGCTTATCTATTTCGTTTAGCTTATTTATAACATAGACAATATCAAGCTGCTATTCTATTATCTACATACCCTTTTGGACTAGCTTTGCTCTGAAGTCATTTGTTTGCAACACTTTTGCAAACAACTACTTAAAGTAATCAATAAAATTGTATTAAATGCTATTTTAAATTACCTTGAAAAATTTCTGAGATTAAATTATTGTCAGTTAAAATTTTGATTTTTCTAATTGATTTTTTGGCGAATTAGATAATTCAAACGAAGCAGTTTTTTCAAATTTACTTTTCTTTTGCTCTAAATTGTAAATTTTAGAAGTAAAACCATCTAGTTACTACTGACCTTCTTAATTATTATTTTTTTAATTATTAGTTTCTTATGACTTATTACTAGTAGGACTTTTGATTTTATCTACATTTTCCTAAGAAGAATTCACTTTATATTTAATATCACTGTTTTTCTTCTTTTTAGATTTTGAAGTGTTATTTTTTTCCATTTTAGTTTTCTAAATGTTAGCATCATCATAGATTAATATCTCATCACCTATAGCTTTAAATAAGTATAGCTATGTAAAGCGATAAGTAATTATTGAGCCAATTGTAGTCAGCAATTTCATGAGACCTCCAATCTAAGCAACAACATCCTAAAATTTCTAGTATCTCCTTTACATAAGATTTTCTTTTTGCTTTTGTAGTCTCATCAAAACACGAACAAGCACATTGTAATTACTAAAAAAAGTAGTTTCTTGCTATATTGTATATACAAAGCTGTGTTTTTCTTCTACTTAGCTAAACATAAAGCCAACATCATCTTAAATATATTAATTTGTGAAGTAAAGTTGAACTTCTTTTGGAAAATTTGAAGACGTTTGTGTATATAGATTCATGCCTTTAGAAGAAAAAGGTTCCTCAAAATTCAAAGGATCAACTATAGTATTAGACAAGTACATCTATATTTTGCTAAGCTGCAATTTCTAGTTAATAACATCTATAGGCTTACATACAACATTCGGTACAGTCCCATTTGAGCATTTCTCTACATACACAAACACTTAGGCAAATCTTTAAGCATCGAAATCTCCTTCCATGAAGATATCTTAGCCTTACTCAAAGCAGTATAAATTAGTTAAGTTTAGTTCATTAAAATATGGCTTGACTTCAGATATTCCTATATCTGTTTCATCACACGTTTTCATAGTTTTGTTGTAAGAAATTAATTATCTAAGTTACAAACCTGAATCTGTGCTGTTTGTTATCTGCATAATTTGTTAGACAGCATACACTCTAAATATAGTTGGATCTGACCAGATCTAGGATGCACCATTAGAAACACCAAACATTGCAACGATATTAGATTCAGTGATATTTATTCTAGCAGCAGACGTAACAGATCTTTCTGAAGTAATGACTGAAGGATTAAGCCTATTAAAAAGTATGCATCCAAAAAAGTAACAACCTGCTATAAAACAACCGCCTATAATCAAGGTAATTAAACCTCCATATACTGTTTTATATATTGGCTACTTTGAAAAGTTCATTTGAACTCTCTATCCATAAATATCAGCAAATTTAATAAAATTAGTAAGAGAATTCATTTCTTCTACTTTATTATTTCTTAAATTTTTTACAATTTCTAATGAATTTGCTTATAAATTATTTTTTTTAATTTAATTTGAATGTAGATAACCTATTATTTTAAGGGTTAATTAATCATCTCAATAAATTACTATTATTGAAATTTTTAGCACTAGCTTTATGATTTTAATTAATCTAATTTCTTTTTATAATTGAATTCTCTTAATAAAGTTTATTTATTTTCCAACAGATTGATACACCAAAATTTATTGTTTTGTTGTAAATAAATAGCAATGATTAATAATTAATCTTGTATTTTATATAGTTTACCCCATATCAAATGAGTTGATTCTTAATATTAATTTTATTTTTTTTATTCTAGAAGAAACACTATCTCAAAGTAGATAAACCGGATCATTTATTTTATTTTAAAGTTATTCTCGTTTTAGAAAATTAAAAGATAAAAGCACCATAATAAATTTTAGCTACTTCACTCACTAAAAATATAAAAGACAATTACTGTTTATATTTTCATCATAATTAAGCCAATAAAAAATAAACATATTTGCTTGCATTATTTATTTAATAATACAAATAAAAATAATTATTTTTTCAATAGAATAAAAATAAATTAATTCATTTAATAGAATAAAAAATAAAATCAAAATAAATTTTTGTTTAAAAAAGCTTTAATATTTTTCTTCAAATTTATAAATAACAAATATTATTAAAATTTTATGTTTGTTTTTTGTGTCCTTTAGCATTAATTATCAATTCCACACTTATAAAAAATAAAATTCATACTAAATTTAGATTTATTAATATAAAAACCATTTGATTTCTCTTTTTATGTTTAAATTTTGTTCAAACATTTTATCTTACTAATAAACAAATCAAAATAAATTATATAATAACTAATATTTAAATCTATTTTATTAATTAATTATTACAATAATAAGGTTGAAATTGATTTCATAATTACAAAAAAAAAAACAATTTATAAAAGTAGCAAATAACATACATAATAATTAAATTTGGATTTCATAAAGATATACTTGAAAAAGCATAAAACACTCATTTATCATTATTTTTGTCTATTTATATTTAATTAAAAAAAAATATCAAAATAAACAAAGAAATTACATTTTGAATTATTTATTGATAAAAAATGTAATTTTATTATAAAATAGTTTAATTTTAAACTTTGGATATAAATTACCCTGTTTTAATAATTTAATTTCTAATTTTCAACAAATTTAATAATTATAAAGTAGTATAAAACTTTAGATTAACTTAATGAATGTTGATAATTCTAACTTCTTAGGTTTCTCATTTAGAAATTAAATGCAAACGAGCTAAAAAAATATCATTTAAAATTGACTTATTTATATCTATATTCATTTTTTTATTGAATTAGGTCGTAGAATGAGAACCACATAATAAAGCTTTTAAAATTTAGAAATTAAAAAGCAATTAGTAAAAGATTTCAAATTTTAATTAATTAATAAATTTATAATAAATTCAAAAGAATCTGCCAAAATATTTTTATAATTCAAAAAATAATTAATTAATATATATAAATAAAGGTAGCTAGCTAGATCATATATAGGAGATATAAAAACTATAATGAGAAATAGAACGCATCTTCATTATGGTAGTTTGGTTAGTTTGAAAATATTCTAGTAAGAGAACAGCTATTTATCTGCAGATGGTTTTATTTAGAAATGTGTTGTAGCATAAGATTATAGATTTAATAGTGATGGATTAAGAAATGTTGATTTTTTAGATTCTGTATTTTAGGTGTTGCCTTTATATCAGTATGAAAAGCAGTAAGAAATTCAAAAGCAGCTCGATCAATTCTACAGAGATGAGACATAAAAATTTGAATAAGATATCAATTCAGTCGAGGATGATAAATACGATTACAGGCTTCAGCTTGAAAAGAAGCTGAAAGATAAATAGAAATTTGAAGAGAATATTGGAAAGCAAGAGAAGTATTTATAAAATTTGTCTCATGAGTTAAATAAGGAATTAGCATAAAATGACTTAAAATTTAATAAAAATAAAAATTTGAACATAGCTTATGGAGAAAAGTTTTAGTTACAGCATTACAGGTCAAAAAAGTACTTGTGTCTTTCGAATCTCTCTTTCGATGACAACTATTAAAACTCTTTTTCACTTTAACTAGAGAATAATCCAAGTGAAATGACTTTCTTCAAGTTTGTTTCTGCTTATAAGCATCAACTCGACCTATCCAAAGATGTGCAATTTGATGATCACGTCTATCTTGCGATTGATATCGAAAAGGAAGGATATATTTACTTTTTAAATTAAGAGAATTAGAAAATGGATAATTAAGAAATGTAGAAGATATATCAAGATTCAAGTCACAATGACTTTGATAAATCTAAAGATAATTAAAAAAGCTTAGAAATATTTTTAAAAGAAAAGAAGAGCGATTTTTTCTTTAAGTTCATGAAGCAAACTATCTTTGAGTAAGCAAAAATTAATCATTCATTATAGCATAATAATTTAATTACATTTATCAAATAATAAAAGACTTTCTTTCATTTGAATTTTGAATTTCAAATAGAAAAATAGAAATTTTATATTTAAAAAACTTAATTTACTTTATTAAATAATTGATTGAATGAATTTTGCAATAGGTTAAATTAAGTTTATCAGGTATTTTTTGATATAAAAAACAATAAAACCATTTTATATGCAATATTTTTGCAGATGTTAAGTTAATTATGGAAATTACTTAGTGTTTATCGAATTCAAATCTAATTTTTAGAAGATTTAACTTCAGAATAAAATTAAGTAGAAATGTTTATTTGCAAAAAAAATAAAATAATTGAGAATAAAATTAACTTTTCATGGTTTGTTTTAAACTGTATTAGGTTAATGATTTTATTTATTTTTAATTTAAATTAATTAGATTGAAATTGTATTGTGAGTGTATTGAAGATGACAAAAGGACTGTAACTTAGGAAGATATCTCTACTTTGATTTATGGTGATATTGTTTGGATTACAGAGAATTAGAGTGAGAGTTACTTGGAGTGTGTGGACAATGTAGAAGATGAAACTATGAAAGGTACTCAAGTTTCTTAGAGATATTAGAGCTTAAGCTAGTATTAAGTAGCAAGTAATAAAGATGAATACGAAATAAAATAAAAGCAGCTAAATAAAATATAGTAAAGGACAACAATTTAATTGAGTTTATTGTTCAAAAAAATGCAGAGTTCATAAATGAAGAATACACGTGGTCTATGGAAAATAGAAGCTCCATAAATGGAGAGCGGAGGTCCTATTTCTACTAAATCTAAGATTAGATTAAAAAATATAAGAAATGGTATGTACTTAGCGATTGTACAAGAAAATGCAAACGAAGAAGAGTAAAATAGAAATTATTTGTACGAACGCAGCTACATGCCTTACTATGATAACAACAAATAAAAAAAATAGAGAGTAGGTATTGTGGAAATGCATTAAAATGACATTAAAGATTAATCTGCTACTTTGTTTTCGCTTATCAGAAAGGATGATAATAATGTTGTTACTGCAAATAATGAATATCTTTACGAATTTTTATATGACATTTAGCATGAGTAAACCAAGCAATTTCTAGGTTAAATGTATGTAAAGGATTTTTCTAATTAGAAAGATAGATTTTTTTTAAATGATATAAAGCCTAATCTTTAATCTTCTAATGTGCTACATCCAAACAACTCGTTGTAGAATATTTCTAAGAATGATAGCAATTTTATGAGTACTTCTGTTTTGGAAGATAATGCTGTAAAAATTAATTCAGATGATGAGACAGACAATGTAGATGAATATTAAAAAAGATTAGCAGCAGTTATTACTACCGTTGAGTCTAATAGTAAAGAATTTATCAAATTATATAAAGCTCCTCATGAAGATGTTTGGGAAATTCTCTTCTTGCTAAGTTGTATACCTTAGCTTCAAAAAGGAATAAACTTACTCAAGTATGTATAGGAGAATATAGTCTACCGTATAGAATCTATGGATAATCTTATTGAAGATTTCGATATAAATTCACCTTTATGTAAAAAAATCAAGGTAATTTATTTGATTTTCCTGTTTAGAATTTGATCTATTTTTATCTTAATATTAATTTTTGGAAAAAATTATTAAATTTTCAAAAAGATTCAAGGTGATAGCTTAGAAAAGTAGTTTCTGCAGTTTAACAAATTAATTTAGTCAATAATCTAATTTTGTTACGAAAGATCTTCTTTGCAAACAAATCAAGCTAAAGAAGGTAAGTTTAGATGCAATATAAAGAGATAAAGATTGCTTAGAGAGCAAGGTGTTTTGAGATATGTAACTTTGGTAGTTAAGTATCTCTTCTAAGAAAATAAGACTTTTAAATGGGCATTATTGAACTAAAAATAATATTTGATGTTTGAAAAGACTAGAGACAATAAAGATCAGATATCTTATAATATCAATGATGATTAGAATACAAAAATAGAAAAGCAAGAAATACAAACAAAGATAGTCAAAATATTTAAAGGCTTATAGAAAATAACTCGTGCATGCTATCATCTAATTTACCAAATTTGCTTACAAAATTTTGATAATTAAGTGCAAGCTTTTAAGTATATCAAAATTTATAAAAACCATATAGGTGAATGATTAATTAATTATATACAATTTTATTTAAGTTTTTCAATTAAATTTTATTTAAAACATTAGGCTTTAACCTGGGAGCTGAAAATTGCATTATTGCAATATTTCAAGATAACGAAGACTTGCTTCTTGCTTAAAATTTCGCTGATATCTTAAAAATGCCAGACGACTTAGAAGTGGAATAAAACATAATTCAGTACAATTTAATTTAATTTAATAAATTTAAATTGATTGTAATTAATTTACAGGAAAAATGAAATGCTGTTAAAATACAGTCTGGATGAGGGAATAATGTTCGGAAAGAAATAAGTTGGTAAATAAAAGGAAGTTTAAGTGCCCAACGAAAATAAATTAATCAATATAATTCTTTAGTAATATAAATTAGTTTGTGAAAAAGAAAAAAATTAAAAAGGTTAGCAATTCTAAATTTTAGATTTACTTATCTGTCTTTGCAAGAATGGCTAAGAAAGTTTAACAATCAATTAAAGCTCAATATGTGATCTTATTTTTACTAGAAATAAGTATAATAAACATCTATATGACAGTTAATTTATGAAAATTATGCCATTAGTAAATATTTTAATTTTTTTAAATTATTTAAAAACTTTGAACAGGGAAATCTAAATTTTTAAAAGCGACCAACAACCAAAATAAATAATTTTTAATTCTTATCAATAAGAATTTTAGAATTAGAATTATTCTTTACTTCCCTGGTTTTTAATTTAAAAAAAAATATATTTGTAAAAAATATTTATTTAAAATAAAAAATATTTAATTTTAATAAAAAAGGATAAAAAAATAGAAATAGAAAATCTAATAATACTAACCGACACTGATCGTAAAACTTTAGAACTGTTAGAGTTTTACAAAAAATCAAATGATAATATAATAATAAATAAAAAAAAGTTTGTTCAAAAGTTATTTCTGCTTTATGCTAGTCTTTGCTCTGGTAGAAATTACAACGTAATAAATAAATAAATGAATTTATTTAATTTTAATTTAGAAGTTATTTATGATAAATTTTTTTATTAATTAATTATTTTTTACTAAAAGTGTATCGAGAAGGTGAAAGCTATTTTACCTTTTATGAGTATTCAAAGTTACTTGTGGAGTGCAGATGACTCTGAGATTTTATCATCAATTATCTCTATATTAGACTGTGTTTATATAGATAGAAAACCTTAATATCATTAATGCATTCCAGATCTAGTGCATTCAGTATAGTTAGTACCTTCAAATTAGCAAAAACAGAAAGTTATCTATGGAATATAAGAAGATGATGATATAATTGAAAGAAATGAAAAAATGGGATATTCTCAGTAAAATATAGAAATGGAATAATTTGAAAATTATTATGAATACAATTAACAGGCTAATGAAAGTAGAGAAGATGAAGAAATTAAAAAATATTTAAGGATGAAGGTGTTTAACACTATAATATAATACTTAGAGAAATGCAAGGCTTCAAGTGAAATTCGTAATAAATCTCTGACATTAAATACAATTGAGCTGATTCGTAAATTTATTGTTTTTGATTTATTTAGTATAACTGAGAAAAGACAATAGTAACAAATTTATTAAGAGTTACTAACTAACCTTAGGCTTGGGCCTGATGAAAAAACAAAGATAAAAGATGTGCATAAGTAAGAATTTCAAGAAACTTCTGCAGTTAGTAAATTTAAATAATTTCTTACTGGCAAACCTAAGGATATAGAAAAGACATAAGCTAACAAAAAAGTTCATTTTGGAACAGATATTAAAGAAAAATCAACTTTTAAAAATAGATTTTCTAAGTAAAGAATTCCAAGAAAGTCTGTTAAAGACACGCTTTAAAGAGAGGCTTTTTCAAATTTGTATCGTAAATAAATATAGAGTCCTAACGAAGATCCTGGACAAACATAAATAAATGAAAAGTCTTCTAGACAAACAAATATCGATATCAAGAAAAAAATAGCTGAGATCTTTTTAATTTACATAGATTTAAAGATTAACAACCAGATTGATAAAATAATTCAACATATTCGTAATTGCATTTATAAATAAAAATTGTAATCTGAAGATGTCATCTATCAGCATATGCAGAAACCTGAAACAATCTAAGACATTTTCCCTAAAATAGAACTACCATTAGCTACACTATTGAAAAACTATAATTAAGATTCTAATGATCCTTTTAAAGATTATGAGAAGAAAAAAAAGAGAGAAGAGGATGAAGAGTTTCCTGCATTAAATTTTTATCTGAAAGACTAAACATCTCTCAATGAGGTTTATGATTCAAAAATTACTGAAAAATCAGAATAATTATTGATAAGTCTCCTAGATATCTTCTTACTCAATAGTGATTATTAGCTTAACTGTCTAATCCTTAATATTATTTTTAAAAATTTTTCTCTTGGAAAGCACACAATTAAAGTCTCTAAAAACCTCATTATCATATCAGATGAAGAAGAAGTCAAAATAGATTCAACTATTGAAACTACAATAAAAGAGTTTTCCTTCATGTGTGAAACTTCTGAAACTTGGTTTGTACATGCGTCAAGATTAAAGCTTCTTGATGATCCAGAGTGGGTTTCGTAATTTTACATAATAATTTTAATGAAATTATATTTAAAATAAGAAAATTTATTCATTAGTGGGAATAAAATTATCTTTTTTTACATTATACTAACTAAATAAATATATGTTATTGATATTTATTTTCTAAGAAACAATTAAATAAACGTATATTAATATTTAACACTTAACAAAAAGGAAACATCAAGATGAGCATAAAATTCTTTTAAAGTAAAAGGAAGAGGTTTGTAAGTGTATAGAATAAATAAAGGATCTAAATAAGTTAATGTATGTTTAATCAGTGCAAGAAAAAAAGATTTTTGATGTCGGTAAAAATGCAAGTTAGATCAAAATGATAAGATAATTTATGATGAAAAATGCAAATTCATAAAAGGTATATTAAATATTTTACAATTTAACTGAAAAAAAGTATTCATTGTTTTTTTTTTAAAGCTTATAATGGATATGTTGAAAGATAATATTCATATTTTAGAGGAAATTAACAAATATGATTCAAGCTGCTAAATTACATAGGTGTTTACTGGATGTTTTACATTTTTAAAGAACTTTTGTCTGAAAGATAACAAAATTAATAAAAAAGAGCTCTATAAAGATGTAAAGTTTTTTATCCGCTTTATGAAATACGTAGATGTTGGGCAAACAGATCTTATAAATGAAATATATCAAGATAATTACAAGGTAAATAAATACACTTATATTTAAGATCTTTTTTTGAATTTACTTAAATTTGTAATAATAAATAAATAGGCTTCAACTGAAGTTGATGATGATATTATTCGTTTATACTTAGAAAAAATTTGCCATCCTAACAGCTAGAATGGATATGGTGGAAGACATATAAGATATATTCAGTTCATTTAAAATATTATGTAAAATAATAGCTTTTTAATTCAAATAAAAAGAAGTGAGATATTTTAAATAAATTTTTTTATTATTTAACAAGGTTCTTTAAGAAACTCAAAATGCCAATAACAAATAATATTTGGAAAGTCATTTAGAATATTTAAATTACTATGAGTACAGAAAAGATGCTAGTCTTTTTATACATGAAGAGAAATGACTTCTATGACAAAAATAAAAGCTACTGCGATTGCGATAAAAAATATTATGGATAATACATATTCGACCTAGAAATGCCTCAAAATGTTGTTTAACAAGTTTAGAAACCTTGCTACAGTTATATTTTTGAAGAGGAATTTTAGTTTAATTAGCCTTTTTTATATCACTAAAAATTGCTAAACTCAATTTTAGATATCATTAGGGAAACAGAAGGAAAATCCTCTTTCTTTAAAAATATTCTATTAAAATATCTTCCTTGCGATTATTTGCTATTTTTTTTATAGAAGGAAGATTATTTTATTCAAGATTGTAACAAAAATAGACTTGTTCTCCTTCTTAAAAAGCCTTTGTGCTAGATTTTTTTGATCCTTTATGCTGATTAGTAAAATTTACAAAACTACCAAAAGCAGATACTTGAAAGTAGTCACACATAGCGATTCTTAGACAATGAAATTAAAAAAATGAGTATGCAGTTGCAGAAATTAAGTGATTAAATGATAAATACTAATAAATCCGTCTTGAATTATTGTAAATAATAAAAGATATATTTTTTTTATTTTAAAGCCTATATTCATTCTAAATTAAATAAAAAGAGTTCAACCAGTACCAAAACTATTAGCATGAAATTCCATTAAGCAATTAGATAAATAGCAGTGATAAAAATAGTTGTAAATTGTTCAAAATAAATTTACTTTCATTTATAATTAATTTTTAATTAGACAAAGCAAGAAATGAAGGATTAGAGGAGATTAAAAAAGACTAAAGCTATTACGAAGAGTTTGTTTACGAGAATAGACTATACTAAACTCTGTGCTCAAAAATAGAAAAAAGCGAATTAGATTATATACAATGGTTAACTGAGTACTCTCTCCCAATGATAAACTTTATTTTTAAAATAAGTTCTAAGTTTGAAAAAAAGAGAGTAATACTTGAAGATCTTTTAAAAAAATACAAAATAGAAGATTAAATAAACAAAAATTAGATGTTTTAATCATCCAATATAATTTAGAAAACTCTGTTAGAGACAAAAAAATATATATTTTAATAAGACCAAGGTATATCTGTTAGAACTCAGTCAAGTAGATTTAACTAGAAAAATAGTTAGTTATATTATTAAATATCTAACAATTAATTTGATGGCGACTTAGAACAATACGTATCTCTACCCCTGCAAAATATATTGAGTAGTAAAGGAAGCAGTTTAGTTCAAGATAAATATACTAAAATATTCTTACTAAACATGCTTATTATGGATGAAATGAAATAAATTATTAATTTAGAAAAGAGGAGCTTTATTTAAGCAATATAGAAAATAGACAAAGTCCTTAATGATGAAAAGAGCTAAAAGATTAGTACCATTTTCCCTAGATTTACTTCATTCTTAAGAATAAGTTTTAATTAGTATTCTATTAGCAAGGTAGATATATATATATTCATTTATTAAATAGATATTACAAATAAAAATTGAGTTTGTTTTAATTGATTATTTAAAGATTAAATTTATATTTATTCATAAAATAATATACTATCAGGGATGGAATGAATACAGAGTTATAGTTGATATTATGAGGACTATGATCTTATTGCTTGATAATCCTTTGGACAGAGATGAAATAAAAAAAGCGTAAAAAACTACTATTGAATATTAAAAATTTATAAAAAAAAATAAATTAATAAATAAATAGAAATGAAGCTAAATAAGTTGGGAGCAAAAGTGAGAGGTAAGCAATTCTAGAAAATATGATTTAAAAGAAGAGAGAGTCCTATTAAGATCTATTTGCAAATTATAATCTCCCTAAATATCTCTTAGAGATGCTTTGTAATAAAGATATTGATTACAAATTGCATCATTAGTCAATAAAGTTGAGGAGGACAATATTCAGTCTTTTGAATGCTTTGCTTCAAGGAGGAAATTTAAAAATTTAAAACTAAATATATCAATTCTTTGTTTAGAATGCTAATTCTTAATTATTTTTCGATATGGTATCTGATATGATTGACGAAGAGATAAAGAAGACTCTGAATGTAAAAATTTATAAATGATTTTATTCATATTTATATAAACAAATAAATAAATAGGTTTCTATATATGATGAAATTGAATAAGATTTGGAAACGATTGAATTTGTCTACAGATCAAAAGATAAATTTTTAGGTATATCGGAAGTTTTAAAGACAATTTAGCTTCTTTGCCTTGGCTAATTTAAAAAAAATCAAAATTATATCAGATAACAAACTAATTCTAGAAATAGCATTAATTTAATTGAAAAAATATCAGATCTTTTTGATATTGTAATTAGAAATCACAATATTCCTGATTAGCTCAAAATTGACTTATCTTCTCTGTAAAAGGCCAATCAGATTCTTGATACTCTTATTGAATCTATCTAAGGACCAGTTTATGAAAACTAGCTTGAATTGATTTAGTCAAAAATATTGAAATCTATTTGCGATATCTTAACATGTAATGCTTTTATTATTAAAATTTCTTTTTTTAATAAATTTAAATTGAATTTTAATAAATTAAAAATATCATTTTGAAGTTCAAAAAAAAAATTAATTTCAAAAATTCTGATATTAAAATTGTAAAATTTTTGATTTTAGTAAACTAAATTTAATATTTTAATTTTAGAGGAAGAGAATATCGAATACATCAAATTCAAAAATAAATAAAATCCTAAGGGAAAATCTAAATTATCAGTAAGCTTTTATTAGTAAAAAATGATATAATAATTTCATTTTAAATTATTAGAGCGAACAGCAGAAAAAGAATAACAAACTTAATGGTAGTAAATAAGAAATATAAGTCAGACTTATAGATAATTTGAAGAATTTAAGCAAAAAATTCTCTGAGAAAGTAGCAAACAAATTTTTTAAAACTAATGAAAACTGGATGGTATCGAAATTAAAGAACAAATGCATTCAGTTTTTAGAAAGTTTACTAGAAGGAAATCAAGATTCATTTATATTAAATAAAATAATGAATGATATTCCTCAATAAACACTTTCAGAAAATTTAGGAATTGTTTTTGGAAAATTGAAACAATATAAATAATAATCAGATATTAAGTTATCTGAAAAACTCTTTAGACTTTCTTTTGTAAAAATCGAAGAAATACTTTAAATTCCTTCAGAATAAAGAGAAAAATATGGAATTATTGTCGATACTGGTTTTAGAGTCTATCATTTACTTGTACTATATTACTAGGAAAATAAGAACAATAACTTGAAGAGTCTAAACTTCAACCAAGATATAGATAACTAAGAAGAATTTCAATACCAAAATTACATACTTGAAGTAACTATTCAACTTTAAAAACCTATTTTTCATTAAATTACTTACTTATTTATTTATTTTTTATTTGCTCATTCATTATTTCATAAATAAATAAAATAATAAAACTAACTCGAAATATTTTAACTCATTGTGATATTAATTATTATTAATCAATTCAATGAATTTCATAAATTTATTTAATAAATAATAACTTAATGAATAATAAATAAAAATTTAATTATAGGGCTACGAGTATTTTAAAAAGTATTCATTACACATAGAAGTGAATATTGATAATAAATTTTATTAAATATATTTTCCCAAACTGCCTGCTTGCTGCATAGATTTTAGTTAGATAATTAAAAAATATGAAGAAAAATATGATAGATTAAGTACAAAGACAAAGACAAAGGATTTACTAAAATATAGCTAAGAAATAATTATAAAATTCGAGCATGAATATAAAATAAATTATACTGATCAAGAAAAATTGGCTGACGAAGATGATGAATAAGTAGAAGATGATAATGTTTTATTACAAGCTTATAGTAAAATATATCTTTTATGGTAAAAATTAAAAAAAATTATATCTGATAAGATTGTCAAATAAAGCTATACTTTTTAAACATTTTCCTTCAGACTTGTAATAATTTTTTATTAATTAATTCATTCATTCACTCATTTTTAACTATTTGGTTATTTTAATGTTAAAAATTTGTTTACTTAAAAAATAAAATTAGGCTATGTTTTAAAACATAATTATTTTGTTTAGCTTTAAATCTTTTCATCAGTTTGTTACATTTAAGTGGGGTTTGGCAAAAGAATCAACCACTGACGATTATTACGATGATTAAAACTCAACTCCTTTCTAGGACCTATCTTTTATTGGAATTAACTTAAATCCAGTTGGCTTTTTTGTGAACTTTTTAGTTGTGATTCAAATTATCTAAGTTATTCTGAATTCTTTTGTTTTTATTTCTTTGATATTGAGAGACTATTCTTTTTACGATAATAAAATTGATAATAAATATGCCCATCAAGAACTGAAAATACACAAATATATAAATTACTTAAATTTAATTCTTAGGAATAAGCTTGATAAGTACATTAAATTTATCTAACTTTAAGTCGAGAAATTACTTGTAATTTAATAAATATTTTATTAATATATTATTTAATTCTACTTTTAACATATATTAGGAGTTTGTATTTGAAAAATGGGTTGATATTGGGTTGATTGCTTGTGCTTTTTTAGCGTTATTTAACCCTGTTGTTACTGCAATTCTCCTTTTTGATATTTTTAGAAGAATTCCATCTCTTAAAAATATCTTATAATCATTAATTATAGCTAGATACTAGCTTTTCTTAACTTTTATCTTATTCCTAGTTTTAACATACATTTTTGCTATCCTTGTTTACTACTTTTTTTGGGATTACTTATCCAATCAATGTTTTACGCTCTGGACTTGCTTCCTTTTCATTTTTGATATGACTTTTAAAAATAATGCAGGTTATACATCTAGCTATCCTCCAGATTATACAGATAATTGGAGAATAGGTACACTGAGTCTCCAACAGCTAACATACACTTTTATTATTGTAATTATCCTAACAGAAATTATTTCTGGTAAAATTTTGATTTGATTTGATTTACATTTTGTTAATTTTTTCGAAATAATTGAATTCAGGTATTATCATTGACACTCTTGCAAAGCTAAGAGAATAAGATGCTGCAAAAAATCAAGATATGTAAACAATTTGCTTTATATGTGGCTAAAAAAGAGATTACCTAGATAGAAAACCAGGGGGTTGGGATTAGCATGTAAATGAAGACCATAATAGAATGAACTATATTTTCTTTATAATGTACCTTAAATTTAAGTCGAAAAATGATCTTTCTGGTTTTGAAAACTTGATCAAATAGTAAATTGATAGGTAACAGATAAATTGGTTTCCTATTCTAGATTTTATTGCTGAATAAGATGGATTAGAAGAAAAAGTCTAAATAGAAAAGAAGAAGCAAGATCTTAGGTTCCAAGAAGACCAAATATATGTTGATGTAATATTTTTTTATTTATTAATTTTTCGATTAAATATAATTATTTTTTTTTAATAGTATAAAGAATTTAATGAAAAAAATATTAAAGAAAATGTAGCCATTTAACTAGATTCTATAACCCAAAAAATGGAGGTTATTAGAAAAGGTTTAGATGAAATAGTTATTCCTAACTCTGATAGTGATTGATATAAATAAATAAGCTAATAAAATAAATATTTTTAAATTTTTCTATAAAAAATTTTAATTTCAATTTAAAAAAATATATTAAAAAAAATCAAATTTTATCATTTTATTTTTATATTAATAAATTTGTAATAATTATCTGATTATATATACATACATAATAAATATTTTTAAATAAAAATCAAATAAACTATTTGTATTTTTGTAAATAAATAAATAAATATTTCTTCTGAAAATAAATTTTATGAATTATTAAAAAAATTAATTAGCTTATTAGATTTAATAAAATAAATTTCAATATCTATCTATCTATTTTTATTTTAAGAAATTTAATTTATTTTAGGTTTGTCTGTTTATGTTTATTTTTCTTAAATTACATTTAAATAATAATAAATTGAAAAATTGTTAAAACAAACATAAAAAAAATAGTTAATTTTAATAAAAAAAACATATTTTAACTTACAAAAATATATTTAATTTAATAGATACTGTATTTAAGTTCTCCTTAATTACTATTAATTCATTTGTATACCAAAATATTTTAAGAGAGCAATTTGATAAATTTCACAATAAATTTTCTTAAATTCAAAATTGAAATTTAAACTAAAAATAAGGTAACTAATTATTTATTATTTATATAATATATTACAATTTATTTGAGGAAATATGAATTATTATACTTCATTTTTTCATTTGTTTTTTTGATAAGTCCATGAAATAATCTTATTCAAATCCAAAAATATAAAATTTTTTAATATAAATGCTCTGATAAATAAATGAGAATATTAAATTCAAACCTAATTTATTTGTAATAAATTTTTCTAGAAAATCATTTAAAAGTCTATTTTAATTCCATATATTTAATAGGAGAAAATAATTTAATATTTAAAATAGATAAATTAATTAACCATTGATGCTAAAAATACATAAATTATTTCTGAGCTTAAAAAATTTTGTAATTGAGATTCTACCAAAAAGATTTAAATTATTAAGAATAGACAAAACCTAAAGATTTAAATTACAATTTTATGTTTTATTAATGAATTAAATCAATAAATTATCTTTTATTTTAAAATAATTTAAAATTATTTTTTTATTTTAACATAAAAGCTTTTTAAAAATACTTTTAATTTATGTTTGATTTAGAGAGAAATATTTTATATATATTCATTATCTAACAATCAGCCACTTATTTACGAAGATTGAATTAAAAATTTTTATTTTAATAAATATCAATTTCAAACACTTTTTCAAATAAAACTTGGTAAATTTATCATTAAATAATTTACTTTTTAAAAGGCCTGTTTTTATTGTATTTTATGCTTTGTTTAAGAGTATTTATAAAAGAAAATAATTTCTTTCTTCACACTCATACATGACTAAAACAGATAGTAAGTAATATTTGTTTATTTAAATGTTAAGTATAATTATTAACACCCCTTTCCTCTCCTATGAATTAAATTTCTCTTTAATTTATTAATGCTTAAGAAAACAGCTTTTAAAAAATATTTAAATTAAAATTCTAAATATTTTTTGAAAAAATAGAGAATCAAATTTATAAGATTTGTTAAATTCTCGGAGAAAATAAAGAAAATTTAGGTGTTTAAAGAACAGCACATTTAGGTTGATCAATAGATAGATAGATATTATTATTCCTGACATGAGATATTTTACAAGTTTTCTAAAATGAGAAGTCTATCTTATATTTAAGTATTAAGAGCACACACACTTTTTTTAATTTTAATTCTGCATTTTTTCAAAATAACAAAGAAATCTAATATCATATAAATTTTTTTTGGCATAAATAATTAATTGTTAATAATTAAAGTTGCGTAAAGAATTATTATTATAAATAGAATAAAAGCAGAAAGGAAATTATTTAGATTGGATTAAAATAGATAGAATGGCTGATACTGGTTAGTTATTATTTAAGATTATCATGTTAGGTATTAATAGTTTCCAAATTAAATAAATTTTAGTGTTTAGCATTGAAATGCACAATTTATTATAGATGATATTTTAAAAATTAACTATGGTTTTATAATTTATACTAATTATTATTTACATGATTAATAGGAGAAACTGGTGTAGGTAAATCATAAATGCTTTAAAGGTACACCAAAAATAAATTTACAGAAGATTATGTTACAACTATTGGCGCTGAATTTGCTACAACAAGTGTTAAATTGAATAATGGGTAAGTCGTACAAGTATAAATTTGGGATACAGCTGGATAAGAAAAGTTTAGATCTATTACTAGAGCATTTTATCGTGGTGCAGTTGGAGCTGTTTTAGTTTATGATATTTCAGATTAACAAACTTTCAAAAAATGTGATAAATGGCTTGACGAAATTAAATAATATAATTAAGATAACTAAATTGCTATTTTATTAGTTGGAAACAAGAAAGATTTAATTGATAAATAGCAAGTAAATAATCAAGAAGCTTTAAATTTTGCTCAATCTAAAAACCTAGCTCTTGCATTCTGCTCTGCTAAAACAGGAGACAATGTTAAAGAAGCCTTCACTTCTCTCATAGAAGGTAGACTGACCATTTGAATTATTTCAATTTACTGATAGTTAATTATTTAAGCGAAAAAAAAGAAGTTAAAGTTTTTATTAATTTTAAGTGTGAAGCAATCGATTATTGTAAATTTGAAAAATCTTTTATAAGATATGACACTTAAAAATAGTAGTGTAAGTAGAATTTTCAACTCATAAATTCTATCCAAAAATTATTTTACACAAACAATTTGAAATTATACAAAATAAATACAGGGATCAATGAATAAAATAAATAAAGCTAAATTTACATCGAAAAAAATACTTCCAATGTGTTTGTTTTTAAAATTCATTAATTCTTTTATTACATTTAATCATCACTGACTTACTGATTTTGTTAATTTTATTTTATTAATTTTATTAAAAGAAATCTATTAGCAACATGAAAAAGTCAATTCTCTAGCAAATAAGCAAGAATCACAAAATGAAAATACCTAACCTAAGTAACAAGTAGACTAATAAGTTAATAGCAGAAGTGAATTTAAGAAAAATGAATAAGGCTAATCTCTATTACACCCAAGTAAAACTGAACCCAAAAAGAAACCTTCTGGCTCTTGTTGTTGATTTTATTATTATTTTCTGAAATAACAAGATATTATGTAAAAAATAAATGATTTAATAAACTAATTTATATTATACTAAAGAATTATTCAATAAATATTTTTTATGTCAAAATTTATATTTTTATTGTTTGTTATCTTTCCAGATCAATACCATCAATCAATCTAATTTACTTCAATAATTTTATTTTTAAGCCATCTTTTCAAAAGAGTTAGTTATCCTAATATTTAAAAACCAAAAAATGTGGTAATTTTCAAAATTTTATATTCAAAATTTAATCCTCAGAAATTATAAACTATTTGAAATATCAAAAACATTTTATCTTTAAAAATATAACAAATTTATCTTTTTGAAAATTAATAACGATGGTAAAAAAATTTTTATTACATTTTTAAAATTATTGGCTTCAAATCAATTATTATTATACCAAAATACTCCTAGCGAGCTAAAAATTAGGGAATTACATAAAAATTTTGTTTTTGATGAAAGTGAAGTGTAACAGCTGGGTATTAGTTTAAATCCATATGATTAGTTCGCTAGCGATGATGGGAATGTTATTTTTATAAGACATGCTTACTCTTTTTACAACTATTTCGTAGACAAATACATAAATTCATAAACTATTAATAGCAAGAAATTAAAATAATTAATTAAAGATAAAATGTTTAGCAACTCTTAAGACTTTGTAGATACACCTTTATATCCTTATGGAATAATATAGTGTAAAAATAAAGCTCTTATCTTCATAAATTGAGAATATAAGCTGTACATTATTCGCCGATGCAAAGGACTTTATAAACTTGCGTAGAATTATTTAGGAATCACCCAAACAATAGAAAAATACAATTTATTGTTTAGCCATAAATTTCAGAATAGCTAACAAAAGTCTCTGATATATTTGACTCAAATAAGTTCATTGATTTCATTAAAACTAGTTATTAGAAAGATGGAATATCCTTTAATTGCAGGTATTTCTACTAGCATAATTGGCAGGCAAACATTATTGATGAATAATTTTTAAAGATGCCTACATCATCTTCATCAGATAGTGAATAAGAAATTAATGGCGAAGTAGAAGTATAATAATAATTCAATAAAATATAGAGACATATGGCTGATACAACCACTATTATGAATTTAATGGAGTATCACAAAAACTAGCCTTTAGAAAATCATTTTAACTTCTTAATAAGAGTTTAGCATACAAATAAATGCACAAAGAGGTATTCATTAAAATTAAAAGAATTAAGTCTGCAAAAATAAAAACAATTAATGGTTTGTGTTATTTCTCATGGATAATTTATAGATACACTTATTCGAAAATGTTTTAAGGAAAAACACAAAGCTATTAATAATTGCTCCTTTATTTACAAGTCATAAGATCAAGAAATCTTAAAATTAAGGCAATTGAGTCACTAGATAAAGATTTTAATTTCTTCATAGTTTCCATTTTGAAATTTACTAATTTAAATGATTAAAGTTTTTTGGCTTAAAAAGATAAAAAAATTTAAGAAAAGAAGTTAATTAGTATAGCAAGTTAATTTAATTTATTAAGTCAATTTAAATAAATACCTTCATACTATTATTTAATTTAAAAATTATTATTCTTATTAATATTATATTATTTATTATATGTAACCTTATCTAACATCAACTAGTTAAATGTTTAATAAATAAGTGTTCAAATTTATTTTAGATTTTTTTTTTAAATATTGCTAATCAAGGTATTAAAATATGATGAAATGGATAACATTATATTTTGATACCTTTATTAGGTTTAATTTAAATGAAAAAAATATTTATGAATAAGTAAGTAAAGGAAATAACTAATTAAAAAAATTCATAAATTGAATACATTATGTAAATATAAATTATAAAAAGTGTTCTATTTAATATTTTTTTTTTAATTTTTGGAGAATTTTATTAAGGGTGCGGAATAAGTTGATAGGATAACACTTTTTTTTTTATATCATGTACTTACTGTATCGTTTTCTTTTGTATATTTTTATTCAATTAAATTTAATTACTTTTTGAACTTTCTGATTTCTACTTAGTGTATCTAAAAAAGATACCACAAGAATTTTGTTAATTTTAGTGTATCTTTTAAATTTTGATTAATAATATTTATTGAAAAAATTTTTTCAAAAATATTTAGCTTTAAAATTAATCAATCACTATCAAAAGTAAATAATAAATAATTTATAATCAAAAATAAAAATTATCAGTAACAAATAAAAATCCTTATTTTAAATTTTCTCGGATTATTTTTGCTCATGGATGGATATGGATGGATGGTCAATTGATAAACAACCTTAGTACATTCTCTGAATAACTAAATGATGGAAATTAAGGCTAATAGGGTGGTTAGTCTGATACAGCTTAAGTCCAATATGTAACTTTAATAATGAGGTTTACTAACTTAATACAATTAATCAGTAAAATTTTACTCATAATTAATTTGATATATAAAAATAATAATATTAACAATATTTTTTCCAAAAATGCAAAATAAACAAGAACATCAAATGTATTAAAAAAATATTATAAAAAAGAACCATAAAGCTGAAATTGAAAGAACATTAAAGATTGTTGAAGAATACTGCAAGCTTCTTGCTGAAAAAAATCAAATTGTTCTTCAATAAGAAGGTATTATTGCTAAAACAAATCAAATTATTGTTCAAAAAGACAAGTATTTTGAAGAGATTATTGCTGAAAAAAATAAAATTATTGATCAAAAAGACAAGCTTTGTGATCAAAAAGACAAGCTTTGTGATCAAAAAGATGAAATGATTGCTTTTTACAAAAAGGAAGTTGCTGATAATAAATGGAAATTTGAACAGATTACTGCTGAAAAAAACAAGATGTAAGAAGAACTCCAATAACTGCTTAATTTGATTGCTTAGTAAAATTCCTAAAGCCAATCTTATGGTGCTTAAAATGATTAGGGCAACTTAATTGCTAATTTTTCTGAAAATTAAGCATCATTATCTTAAAAATGAAGATAGGGGTATCAAAGCTCGATTTAGGACTAATGAAAATATTGTAACTATTGACATTCAAAAAACTAAGCTTGATTTATTGATTGCTTTTAAAATCAAAACTCTTATGCTTATGTATGCATATGTTTTTATATGTACGTATTTTTATTGATCTTATTTCAAACAAACATTAGTTTTATTTGTCTAAATTAAAAAAATTTTTTTCAAGTTTTCTAAAAAATCCCATGTAATTATTAATTTGGAAAAATTGTATTTCAATTAAAACATCATTTATTTATATTTATTTTTGATTAAGTTAATAATACAACATCTTGAATATCATTAAAAGAAAATGGTTTTCTTATTTTAGAAAGAAATGATAAAGTGGATTACTTTAAAGCTGAAAACAAAAGACTATTAAAGATTTTTAACTGATAAAGTAAGCTTCTTATTGAAAAAAAACATATTATTGCACAAAAAGACTAGTTTATTGAACAGATTCTTGCTGAAAATAAACAGATTTTTGGTCATAAAGACTAGTATATTTATACATTGTTGCTGAAAAACAAGAGATATAAGAACAACTCCAATAACTGAATAATTTTATTACTTAATAAAATTTCTAAAACCAATCTTATAGTACTTAAAATAATGATTAAAACAACTAAATAGTTAATTTTTCTGAAAATTAAGCATCAAAATCTAAAATAGAAGATAAGGGTAATCAAAACTTGATTTAGAACTAATGAAAAAATTGTAATAAATGAGATTCAAAAAAAGGAATCATTTATTGATTATTTACGATTAACACACACTCTTTCTCTCATGAATTTGTTTTTGTTAATATATTTTTAGTGATCTTATTCCAACAAAACATTAGTTATATTTTATAAATTTTAAACATTTTTTTAAAGTTTTATAATATATACTTTAATAAAAACATTTTCTATTTACATTTATTTTTGATGCTAAATATTCTTTTGAAAGGCTTATATTTTTTAATAGAATAATTTAATTACTATTACAAAACATTTAATTTAATTATTTAAAATAACTTTGAAAGAATTCTAGTATTAATTTAATTTTTATTGCTTTATTTTTTACTTATCCTAATCATAATTTTCCTTTTCTATTTGCTTTCAAACTATTTTTCAAAATTTATTTTTTAAAAATTAAGTACTTTATTTGTATTTTGAATGGATTGATGTTTTTTCTTTAGAAAACTAAGAGTAAATATTAGATTTCTTATTCAAAATAAAAAATAAGATAATAAATAAATTAACTTTTAATTATCTAAAGTTAAAAAATAAGCAGCTTTTAGTAAAAACATATATTTTAATATTAAAATTATCAAATTTTAAAAGCAATCCATTACAGAAAAAATATATAATAAAATTAAAATATGAGTAATTGTTTTTTTAATATTTTGAAAAAAAAATTTTTGAGATAAAAAATTTTTATTCTTAGATCTCAATAATGAATGAATTTCCTGACAGTTTTATTAAATTACCAAATTTTACTTTTTCATAAACAATATAAAAGTAAATTAAACTGTAAATATATTTTTGTTTTTTATAGATTTAACAAATTCAGTTAATCAGTATTAATTTTATTTATTTTTTATTATTATTAGATTATTAATTAGATCACTATTCATAAATGAAAAATAAAACATTTATAAGCAAGCAATATACTCAGTTAGTTAACTCAGGAAAATATTGAAAAAGGAAACAAAAGTTATTTTTTAATTTTTTGAATAAAATCTATTTATCAACAATTTTAAAAATGTAATTTTATTGAGAGATTATTTATTTATTTATTTGTTTATTTGCCTTTCTTTACAAAAGATATTATTTTATAAAATAATCAAGCTTTTCTTTAAAATAGTTATTTTTTTTTAAATTAAAAAACGAATATAAAAATTAATTTAAATTCCACAAATATATTTATTTATTTATTTTAATTTCATACAAATCCTTAAAACTTTCCAAATTTCCAATATCCTTTTTTTGTTATTTTTTTATCATCAGTGTAATATCCTACTCCATGCTGTAAACCAAACCTCCATTAGCCCTAATATGACTCTCCTTTTGGCCATTTAAAATATCCTGATCCATCTCTTTTACCATCAATATATGGTCCTGTATATTATCTTCCGTCTGGCCATGTATAAACACCTTCTCCATGCATTTTATTATCTTTCCATAACCCTTCATATTCTCTACCATCAGGCCATATATATTTCCCTTTTCCATTGAACATATTATTTTCAAAATTTCCATGATAAACACTTCCATCTCTAAAATAAAATTTTCCTTCACCTTATTTCTTGCCCATAACAAAAGTACCTACAAACTTAGATCCATCATACCAGCTTTCTTTACCGTACCCATGAGGTTTGTTATTAGAAAATTATCCCTCATATTTACTTTTATCTTTAGTAATATAAATTCCTTAACCTTAAGCTTAATCTTTAAAATAGTCTCCTTAGTACCTTTTTATTTATTTTGTAATAAAAATAAATATATTCTAATTATTTGTTTAATTATAAAAATGCCTATACATGTCTCCATTTATAAAAATAGTTCTTCCATAACCACTTGCGTAGTTTTCTTCCCAATATCCCTCATAAATCTAATTTTCTGTGACAAATGTACCATATCCATGTCGAAGTCCTTTCTTCCATTCTCCAGTATAAATACCTTTAGAATTCGAAAATACATATGGAATATTAAGTTTAACTTTATCAAGGTCACATATAATCTTTTTCACTCTTTGATTCTTTTTGATTTCAGGATTATAAGGATTAAATCTTCCATAGGTATCAACTAATTTTTGTAAAATTGAATTCAAAACAACTTTCTACTGCTAGTAAGGCTATGCAGATTTTGAATTTGGCGAATAAGCTTTTTCTTTTTCTGTTAGATACACTTTTTTATTTTCTTTTATTTCTTTTGCTTCTTATCTTGATCTGTGGCTTCTATAAAGAGCTTAGATTTTTGTAATCTCGTATTCTTTATTTAAATTTGCGTAGTATTCTACAATCCTATTTTTTTCTTCATTTTCCTTCCTTTTTCTTTGCTCTTCAATTACTTTAGGATCTGTTTCAACATAAGTTGGTTTGAAAGTGGACTTTCTTTTGATAGCTGATGAGTCAGAAGGTGCAGCAGCTGCTGAAGTATAACTTAAATTCTATATCATATTAGAGGAAACATCTACTACATCTTCATTTTTACTTAAATTATTAGCTTCTAATTGTTAAAAAACAATAGGATTTTATTATAATTATTCTATATTTGTATTATCAGCAAAGCCTTATTCTTAAATCATTTAAATGTTATTCTACATTAAAATTTTATCTTCTTCATTTTATTCTTCAACATCTTAATAATCTTCTTTGACTTCCTCTCCTTCCTCTAGTGCAGGAGCCATTGCTAAATACTAATTGTCTTTGAATATTAAATTTGAAGGAACTTCTCCATTATTGATCTATTATTAACCGCAACAATTTCCCATAATAACTCTCTTTCCTTTGTTTCTCTACTACCATTCAATTTTTAATTAAATTTAAGGAGAAATTAAAAATTAATTCTTTCTAAAAAGATTTTTTTATTTCTTGAACAGTAAATAAATAAATAATTAAAGTAAAACGGAGTAGTTAAAAATATTATCAACATCAATCAGTATTTTTTTATTTATAGTGAAATTTTTAAGCAATTATTTTAAAATAGTAAATAAAATATAATCTTAATGAAATAGATTTCACAAAATTTAACATATAAAACAAACAAATAAAGAAAGAAGGTGAGTTAGTTATTAATTAAGCTGATTATTTATAATTTACTCTGCTAAAAAGTAAATTTGAAATTTAAAAAAGTATCATTTATTTTAATTATATTAATAGAGTTTCAAAATTGATTGCTATTTTATAAATACTGGTTAACGTTTATCTCAATTCAAAAGAGATGATTCAATCTTTTAACAAGTATCTTCTAATAACTTAAGCAACATTTCTTCTGACTTTTCTCTAATGTGTTTTTCTTACTATTTATTTATTGAAATTCATTAATTTTAGCAAAAAATACAAAATATTTTTTCTTACAGTAACTTCTGAAGTTAAAGAATCATTCAAGTCTTCTAAAACTTTAAGCATATTGTTGTGTTATTCTTCTCTGATTTTCTTTTCTTATCTAAGAAGATCCTAAAATTTTAAAATCTCTTCTCCAAAAGTTTTAATAAGATTTTCTGATACTTCATCTCTTTTTTTTATATAAAACCATAGTACAGATTAATATATGAATTGCATTTCATAATTTCATCAACTTATGTTGATGAATTTAAATAATGAATGAGTTGCATTTAATCTATTTGCAATTAATAAATTTTATTTTGGTTTTATTTATTTATTTAATAAATACAATCAATACTAATAATTAATTAATTAATTAATGCTTTAACAGCTTTTTACCTAATTTTTTTTTCTTATTCAAATTGTTCTCTAAGATCGTTAACTCTATTTTCTATTTCGCTGGTCTTATAAACTTCGTAATCTTCTCTTTTCTTTCTGTCACGGAAAAGCTCAATCTTCATTTCTTATATCTTTTCATCAATTTATCTCAACATTTTAGTTTCATTTTCTTTTTTTTCTTAATGCTCTTTGCTAATGTTGATTGAAAAATTTTTGTCCAGCAACTTAATTTCCTTTAATCTTTTTTCAGAATGAATCTAATTTATAATATAAATAATTTAAAATACATTTACAGCTTCTTACAAAGAATTATTCAATTTTATAAGCCTATTTCAAAGTATTTAGTCAACTAAATACTTTATTTATTTTTTTATTCTCAAAATTCTTTAAATAATTTTTATTACTTCTTTAGCCAATGTTTCTTAGTTAGCTTCTTCTTATATCTTATTCAACTATTCAGCAAGCAACTAAATTAATTTTCAAAATTAATTAGATAAAGAGTATTCTAAATAAAATTATTTACTCTAAACTTTTAATCATTTTATTATTCAACTTTATTTATTCTATCATCTACATATCTCATCTTGTTTTAAAATACTTCTCTTTTGGCCTATTTTATAGAATCCATTTTAATTGTGATAAATTGTGCAATGGCTGCTAAAATATAAATAAATAGGCAGCTTATCAATAAATATCTAAATGAAATACAGCTCTAGATTCCTCAAAATTGGTTTGGATAGTTTTAACTCTTTCATTTAATTAAGCTATTTTAGATAGATTAGGCGATGCTTTTAAGATAATCATAATAAAAATAATCAAATTAAAGTTATTTTTAAAATAATATATTTGCTAGAATTAAATATAAATATTACTGTAGATATCTCTAGCGGGGCTTTCGAAATTTCTTCTAAAAGGAGTTGTTTGAGAGAACATTACTTTTATAATTTGTCTTTTAATTAAAATATATTTTGTTTGGACAATAATGAAAAAAGATACTTATTTTATTAAATAATTATTTATTTATTTATTATTATTTTTTGTTTGTTTTTTATGCTTTTTAAATTTCAAATAATCTTTATACATATAATCATATCTACAAATTAATTGTTAGATCTTAGAATGAAATGATATAAATCCTTTTTAAATTAGTTATAATTTAAATAATCTTTGCAAAATTTCATTGGATTCAGTCAACTAAAAAAATATTTTTAAAAAAATTTTTTGTTGAAAGAAATTTAAGAATAAATAAAAAAATAAAACATTTTTAAATGTTAAAATGTGAAAAAATGAAAATATTTGCATTAAATTTTGAAATTACTTTATTTTAAATATAAAAAACGATTTTTAAATCGACTATAGAAAAAAAAATTTTTATTTTTTCATTCAAGCAGTAAAAAATACTATCTCAAAATAAATAAAATGTTTATTTGTTTTCCAAATATAAGTATTTTAACTCAAATTTAAAAGGTAAACTTTAAAAAGCATCTTTTTGTTCCTAAATTTTTATAATTATGAAAGAACAACTTCTGTTTTATTATAATTTGAAATTCATTTATAAATAGTTGATTTGTTAATTTTATATGGAAGGAAAGTAAAATTAAAATCTTATTGATGAAAATAAAAAAATTACAAATAAACTTAGAAATATTTTAAATCTAAAAAAGAATAAAAAATCAGTTTATGATTAAATATTTTTTCCAAAAATAGTTTCTTAAGTGTTTTATTTGATTTTTTGAGATCTGAAAGATTTAAGAAAAAAATCTGGTTAGATGAATCAATCTAATTAATTTATTTATTGGTTTTTACTAATTTTAAATAGCATTATTCTATTTAGCAAATTAAAAATAAATTATTAAACTTATTATTTGTATAAGCATTTATTTGTCTTCAGCATACTATTTTAACATTAATACCGCTTAAACATATTATAAATGAACTATTTATCGCTAAAATGTTAATTGTATAAAGAGAACTAAATTATTTGCAAATAATATCAACAAAAATTAGTTTTTTTCATATAAAAGTTTCATTTTTTATATTTTTTTTGAAAAGCTTAATAATTAGTTCATCATAACTAATCCTTTTAAATAGTTAAAAGTTTAGCAAATATTTTTATGATTAAAAAATACAAATTTAAACTTACTGTTTGAGATTGTTTTAAGGTAATTATTTATTTATTTTTTGATATATAATTTTAAAATGATATTTTTAAAAATAAATGATTTGAGAGGATAATTAATTAAGTGACTTGAATAACCTTTAAAGAAGTTGTTTGGTTGTTTGAAGTAGAATGGATAACAAATAAAGAAAGAATCAATCAAACAAAAAAAATAATGACTTAAGACTAGCAAATTTGAAGATTGTAAAAATGCTAACAAAATTTAATAGAGAACTTTAAATATAAATATAGTTGAAATGGAATCAAATATAAATAGCAAAGACTAAACAAGCATGCAAAAGAGAAGCTAGGTAGCAAGCAATATACAAATCAGTTGGAATAGTAAATTCTCAAATAAATAGAAAATCTCATAATAAATTACTTTAAAGTATAAACAAATCAGCTCATATGCAAAATTTAGATAAAATAAGGAATAATTTAAATAGCAAGCTATAAATTTAAACAGAATTAAATGCTATATTAATAGGTGGAAACAGCTTAAGCAATTTAGGTTTGATATGCAATTAAGGAGCCACAGGAAACATCTTTTCAAATAACGTTGGCTCTACTACACATGGCAACACGCCAATCAATAATTGTTAGAATAGCTCATTTTAAAATTCAAATCAAACATTTAAAAAGGTTCTTTCTATAACACCTTAATATTCTAGCAGTAATAAAATTAACTTATTCTAAAGCTAGAATAAATAAATTCAAGATCTTTCTTAAAATCAGAAGAAGGACTCTGCCTGTTCTTATTCTGCTTCATAGATTTCAGCACAGTCGTCTTAAAAATTGATATAGTAATAAATGCAAAATGGAAAAAAACTTTAAAATAAAATTGATATAGAAAATGAAAATAACTTTTTAAAGAACAAAAACGAAGAAGTAGAGGAATAGCTTCATGAAGATACTGATCATTAAGATGGTAATGCAGACTCGAATTTTATACAACACCAAGTAATCAATTCAGGTGTACAACGAAATAATTCTGCACTAGAAGGATATTCTAAAAATAGTTAGCATCATAAATAATCTGATTTAGATAATTTAAATTTAGCAGCAACTCTTATTTTTGAAAAACTTAAAAAAAGAGATAAAAATTCTAACTCAGCGAAAGGGCATCCAAGAAATGTACACTAATCAGGTTTAACTTCTAATGCTTCTTATTCGAAATCTTCTCTTCCATCAAATAATTCCACAACTGTTAATCACTACTAAGGGAATAATAGCAGCAGTAATAATAATAATAATAATTACAATTTCAACTAGCAAATTTTAGGATCCAACAAAAACAGCATTTAACCTTCTCAAGCATCTTAGCCATAATAGCGCACAGCTTTTCTCAGCAACAGCATAAATAATTTTAACAGTAAAAATATGTTTGGGTTACAATAAACGAATTTGAACAATAATTCAAATTAAGTCCAATCAAATTCTGCAAATCAACTTTCAAAAACATTGAGTTTCACTATATAACAATATCACTAATTGATGAATCATGATACACATCAACCTTACTAGTAATAATAGCCTCAACATTCTTAGAACTAATTTATTAAGCAAATTCACTAGCTTGTAAACAACTAGTAGAATGAAATTCATAACTCCAATAGTGTTAATTAAAGTAATATTACAGGAAGTTAGTAGTAAGGGTAAAGCTAACCAAATTTTTTTAATAACACCAATTTATCTGGAATTAAATCACCTACCTAATAGTTAAGCAATACATAAAAACATAGGAAAGTAGCGTCTATGAGCTCAAGCTCACCAAAATACAGCAAAGAAAATATGTATATTGATTGCTCCAAAGGATCTTATAATATAGTTGATGTCAAAAAGCTATTTAAAGGAATTAGTCCTTAAACAACATCTAATTTCCATCTTCTTTCAACAAATTAAATTAATTCAAATGGTGCAAAGTAACTGAAATAGTTAAACTCTGGTGAAAAGGGAGAAGCAAATTTCTGCACTCCTCATAATCATTAGAATTAATCCGTTTAAAATGCAGATAATTAAAACTATTTATAAATCAAGGTTAGCAAAACACCAGGAAATTTGAGTTTTAATTAAAAAATCACTAATAATTGTTAAAATAATGAAGTAAGTAGAGATATTGAGAAATCTTCTCATAGGAGTTCAGAAAAAAGTAAAAACTTTTTGTCTAAAATAACAAATTAAGGCAAGAATAATAACACAAAGCCTGCTGTTCAATAGCAGTAATTGTAAGCTAAAAAGACTTAACAAAAGAAATCTCATAAAAGCTAAAGTTGCATATCAGTTTCTACTGCAAACCCAAATCATTAGAAAATTGCTTAAAATAGTTTGAACTAAAATAAAAATTAAGAAGAGCCTAAAAAAATTCCTTAACTTTCAATTCAAAGCGGAGTAGGTGGAGGAGGAACTGATCTCTTAATTAAATAAAATAAATAAATTTATTAAAGCTAAGTAAATTTTTAACTGTTGAAATAGCAGTTAATAGAGTAGCATAGTTCAGCCAAAAATTAAAATGATAAGCAGAGTTAGCATTAATAAAATCATGTCAGTTGTGATGATACAACTGCCGTAAATAGTTATACAAAGGATAAAATTTCAGAAAAAGATTAGCAACACTCAAAGAGCTCTGAGCAGAACTTAAATTTAGAAAATGCAAAAATTTCATCGAAATTCGATTAGATTTTAAAACAAAGAATTGATTAAAACAGCTATTCAGAAATTATGGAAGTCTTTTCTTAGCTGAGCTCGTCAGATATCTATTTCTAATCAAGCCTTTAGAAGTTAAAGATTTGTTTAGATTCACTTATGCATGACATGAATTCTAAAATAAAGAATTTAAAAATATTTGCAGCAAAAACTTAGCAGCTAAAAAAGAATGTAGAAACTATTAACAATGAAAAAAAGTAATTAATAAATAAAGTTAACATTCTTTAAAATGAGAATTAGCAGTTGCTTAGCAATTCTACAAACGTGACAAACTCTAATCAATCAAAAACAAATAATAACATCAATATTCCTTCTGACAACTACAATAATAATATTAATTTTAATCAAAATCAAAAGTTACTTAGCAGTGGATAGTCTCCTACAAATTAGGTCGAGTTTATTGCAAAAACCAATTAAGAAGAAACTTAATAGTATAAGGTATAATCATTAAAGCAGTTTAATAGCCCAAATGAAAAATAAATAGAAATTAGCCGCTTTTAAGAAAAACAAACTCAGACAATATTAAAAGAAAATGATTCAACAGAAAAATAAAAATAAAACTAATAAAATAATTTCCAAGTAACAAAAGAAGAAATTGAAGAAGTCTACAATGAAAACTAAATACTGAGAGAGTATGTAGTTGAACAAGAAAAAAAATTAACTGCATACAAAGACAAGGAATCAAGCATGATCAAACTTCTTCTTGCAATAAAAAAAAATGGAGTTGACATTGATGAAATATATGAAAGAGACGTTGTTAATTAAATACACTCACACAAATAGCAAAATTTGAATAATAACAATGATGATGATGAAGAAGATGATGAATAGGAAGAAAATGATTAGGGCTAAGTAAACAATCTTGTAAGATCAAGGTATATTGAAAATTTAAAAAATGGAATCATCGACTAAAGAAACAATTCATAGTTCTTTGGATATGCAGACGAGTCAAGTAAATATTTTTTTAATTTTGTTATATTTAAGAATAAAAAGAATGATTTTCAAATCTTTTAATTTAACATTTTGCTAACGTAAATTATATAAAATAGTTATAAATGATTCTGATGAAAGTAGTTTTAATTATTATGGAAAACCTTAAAGCTTAGAAAATTCCCTTCTTAATCAAATTGATTAACTTAAGTATTAGTCTAATGCAAACAGTGGGAGATCTAAAATAGAGGATGGTATTCAAAAGAAATTAAAGTTAAATTTAAATGAAATTAAGAAAATCCCAACTTAAACTAACGAAGAAGCTGTGCAAAATAATAAAAATGGAAACTAGGTTGAAGAAATTTACTAAAAATAATAACTTCAACAGTAATAAATAAATTAACTACCATGCTACGAAAATGCACATCAAAAAGTGGAATAAAACCTTCTCAAAAATGAGTTTATTAACAATAACTCTAAAGGATTTATAAACGAAAACATATTCATTGAGCAGGAATATTAGGAATGTAATTTTGATTAAAGTTAAAATAAATAATTATGCAATATTTTAGAAGATATTAATAATATTAACATATTAGACAGTTCGTACTCTTGATAGTATATTCTTATTTATCTATATTAACTAAGTATAATGTAATTAATTAAAAAATAAATAAATAAATTAACTTTCACTAATTTTAAAAAGTATTTATTTGCATCAAATAAATATTTTACTTGTTTTATTTACTTTATCTTTTTATATTGTCTACTTATTTTATAAATAAAGTTCAACATTAACCTATTAAAAACGAACAAAATTTAATTTAATTTTTTTAATTTATCTCATCACTTTTTAAAAATTTGATATTAATTTTTACTCTTAATTATAAAAATTGGCAATAATAGTTAAATAAAAAGATATAATACTTAAAATAAATTATAAAATATTAGCAAAACAAAATTAATAATAGAATGCTAAAATGCGTTTAAATAATGCAACAACAAAAAATTAATTGAACTTTTTATGATATAATTTTATTTTATATTAATCAATTTTAATCTCTCAAATTTAATTATGAAAAATAATAAATAATTGACAAAACTTATTAATTTAAAAATTATACTTATCAATAATTTTTTGATTGAAAAAAATAGAAATTTTATTATTACCATTAAATTAAATAAAAAAGAAAATTTATCTTAAAAAATACCTATTCTTTAAAATGTACCTGGAATTTATTTCTTTCTTTATTGATATTGTCTAAATTATAATCTTGTTATTAAAATATTTATAATACCTTTTAAATAAAAAATATCATTTTTATCTTTCTAAAATCTAAAAAATAATTTGATAATATGAAAAATATTTAATAAGAATTAAAATAAGTGTTTTTTAAAAAGGATAAGTAAAAATTACATAATTATTTTTTTTATTAACAATTTTTACAAAAATTAAAATGATATTTTTCAAAAAAAAAAAAATGAAAGCAATTTTTTATACAAATAATCCTTTGCCTTAATGTAAAACTAATTATAAATATTTATTATACAAAACTTAATTTATATTAGGTTAATTTGGAAATAAACTGGTGATAAATATCATAAATAAATGTGAAATAACAGATAAATTAATTATAAAATTTTCATAAGAAGGAAAAAATTTTACACTTTTGATTTATATTTGGTTAGTAGAAAAACAAACAATTTAATAATTAACATCAACAGAGAGTAATAGAAATCAATCATATATGAAATATAAGTATCCTAAAAACCAAAACGAAGAATTTGGTTAAGGTCTAAACTTTATAAGCAAATTTTTGTAGAATCATAAAACACAATTAGTTATATTAGTAATTACTCTCTTTCCAACTCTTATATTAGTAGTCTCTACTTATTTAATATTAATTTACTTTTAAAATGTCTGCTTCTAAATAGTTAAAGACTTCTCAAGTAATTTATTCTAAGATTAGATCACAAGTTCCAAGCTTCTAAATTCTGCAATAGTATATCAGCTAAGCTCTTAAACTCAAAAAATTGATTGGCAGATGAACTTAGTAAATGTATTTTTCGGGAATGTTATACAGGGCAAAGTAATAAAAAATAGTAAGTACATACCAGCTATTCACAATTTAGATAGGACTTACTATTAAAATGAAAACCCGATTGTGTTATAAATGTTTAAAAAAAACTCTATTTTGACTTCTACTTGGTAAAATTATTTTTTTTAAATAATGCTTTCCTCTAATTTTTACTATTTTCTTTACTTATCAGTTGTTTTTTATCAGTTTATTTAATTTAAAAAAGGCATTTAGTTAGTTAATCTTTCTTAACAGAATTAGATTAAATATAGTTAAAAAAGTTAGATGAAGCAATACTCATTGAATCAATATGGAAATCTATTTAGCTAGTTAATAAAAACGAAAATGGAAGATGGATAAAATTCAAAGACTTTTTTTAAGGATTTGATTACGACGGATTACTCTACACTGTGAGTGTTAATGTAACTTACAAAGGGTATGTTCCCCCTAAAGGTTGTCCTTACATTGGATAGTATCTCATGGAAGTTAGATGCAGATATTATTACAACCCAACTATGGAAAATTATTCAACGATGGTTTTTAACCCTTCTGTATTTTTTACAGATGTGACTCCTCTTATATTACAACCTTTTTGTAAAAGAAGACTAAAATATGAGTCAGATGATCCTAATTCATAATATACTAAATATTCTGTTCTTTGTTTGACATTAGATCTCACTTTAATTCCAAAATATTTCGAAAATTTTGGTAAAAATTCAAAGCTACAATTTGTTTTGAATCCTTCTTACCTCACTGTGGTTTATAATTCTGAATAAAATTTAAAAAGAACTCAAATTGTGACTATAAAAGACATAGAAACATAATACTTATAAGATTAAAATTAAGCAGAATACTTTCTAAACAATATTACATAAAATAATGACTTTATCATAAAAAATGCAAGCTTTGCAGATTTATTTGGATTTACTTTTTCAAATCAATATCTATTCGAATACAACAGAAATGGGTCTGAGTGTTTGGTGATTAAAAATATAGTCACATTTATTGATAAATTGCCAAAATATGAGTATTAAAGAAAAGTTAATCCAGCTCCGAAGTTTTAGGTTAAAAATGCTTTTCTATTTTTAGACATTCTTTCAAAAGAAAAAATGGAATAATATTCAAATAGCATTTAGCAATAAATATTATATTACAATATATTATTTTCTTATATCAGTTTAGGAATAGCTATGCTAGTTTTAATAATACATGGAAAATACTCTTTGTAGTTTGGGACTTCATTTTTAAATCCTGTTATTCATTTAACAAAGATTTTAAATTAAATGATTTCTCAAGACAATGATTAAAAAAAGTAAGTTAAAGATAATTTGGTTTAGTATTTACCGACCATAGAAGACATAAACAAAGATATGTGGATTTACGAAGATTTGAATAACTATGATTCACAGTTGTAGGAATAAAGTTAAAAGGATCAATGTTTTTCAAGTGATACCTAGCAATTATTTAACAGTTTTCAAAATCTTTTTAAGGTGCTGGCTTTTACTACATAAAACCTGTACAAAGATAATGAAAGCATGTCTCTTATCAACTTGAATATTCAAATTTAACACTTTGATAAATTTAGAAATAACCGTGCGCTAGGAGTTTGCTATAATAACATAGGTGTTATTCACTATAAATGTGGTAGATATTAAGAATCAATAGAAAATTTCTAGAAATCAGTTGTGTTTGCAAAATATGAGTTAGGATTTTATGATCATGATATAAATGGAGTTCAGATAGTAAAAAACATCAAAGATTTTGCAAATATATATAAACAGAATGGTGATCAAGAATAAGCTCTATACCAGTATAAGTTTGAAAGGCACCTAAATTATTAAGAATAAAAAGATAATAATTATCAATATTTAGAAAAAAATGACCATTTTTGGAATTTGTACAATAGAAAACTCAATTAAATAAAAGCACTTAATTCACTTGCTGTACAAAGCAAAGAGAGATATTATTAAGAAGTATTAATTGAACAAGTTCATGAATTAATAAGTATAAGCAAGTTATATTTACCAGATTCAAATAAGAGATTCATGTATGAGTGTTATTTATAACTTCTAACAAATAAGTTGAATAACTCTCTGTCAGATTCTATTCAAATCTTAGATTAATTTGTCAACTTTTACCTGATAAAATTTAAAAAGAATGAGCTAAAAAATGAAGATGATAAATCTAAAGAGCAGAAGGATAATAATTTTTAGAAATATTTTTGTACATATGAGTATTAAAATAACATTTTTAGTTTTTTAGAATCCCCAATTTAGAATAATGATAAAAATAGATAGTAACTTCAAAAATATTTACCTGACAGTTATAAAAATTATAAAAATACACATTTAAAATATGCCATAAAGGACTTATTTAATAAGCTAACATAATCGAATCAATAGCAATTATCTGCTTCGAGTTGCATTGATCATTCCAAAGCTAAAACTGTAAGTCAAAGTAAGCAATCAATTAAGAAACAAAACTATAAAATTAAACAAAGAAAAAGCACTCGAATTGAAAGTTTATCAAATCAAAAATGCTACTTTTAAGTAAAAAAAGTAATTGATTAATACAAGCTATGCCGCTATGAATTCAGCTCAGATATTTTCTTTTAGTACTATGCTCTTGAATAAGCTTAACATCAAATTACTTTAAAAAATTACAAAAATGCAGGGACTATTTTAACAAATATGCTAGAAAAATGTGTACTTTACTCACCTCATCTTAAAAGACAGGCATTTAATATGCTATGTAAACTATTCAAATAATAAAATATTAATAATCCAGAGCTTTAAGAAATAGCTAATAAATATCAAATTTTCACTGATAGTTATTTTAAAGTATGCACTATTTAAGCTTGCTTTAGCAATTATTCTCTATTTAGATCTTATACTGTTTAAAGTGATTTAATCAAAGATATTTTATTTAAAGAAAGAGATCAAATCGGTTTGCTAAACTATTGTTTTGAAGATCATAACTACTAGCAGCTAGTGCAATTTATTAATTTAAAAACTTTAAATTCTAATTTAGAAATATTTGAAAATATTTTCATCAAAATATTCTTCGAAAAGTTACTTAATAAAGACTTTAAAAGTTTAGAGAAATATGGAATATATAAATAAAATTAGAATGAAATTCAATAACTTTAACAAAGTTAAAATGCTTTCTTATAAAACTGTAAGAAAATATAAAAATAAGAATAAAATCGATCTTCATTTAGTAGACCAATTTAAAATGAATAAAAAAATTTAAAAGATTCCTTTAACAATTAATTTGAAGAAATAAAATTAAGTGATAATATAGCCTAATAAAATAAAAAACCTTAATTTGCACAAAAGCTTCAGCTAAGACTTAAAGCTAATATATAACATATTACAAATAATTAAAATCAATAATTAAACTTATAGTTAACTTAGTTTAATCAAGATGATTCACTCCTGAATCCACACTCTTTAATAAGGAAATACACTTTTAGTCCATAAAGAAATAATTTAAAAAATCACAATACTGAAAATTAGGAAGAATTTATTAAAGTAGGAAGTTTGGAAGAAATAATTTCTCATAATTTCGTCTCAGAAAATAAATTTGTAGATTCAAGCCCAAAATTTAGCTAACTAAATTCAAATAATAAAAATGAATTTAATAATTTTGATTCAAGTGATAATATTGTTAACAAAAACAAATTTAAGTCATAATAGAATTACATGTTAGACAGCCAAAATTTTCAAGTTTCTAAGTTTGCAAAACCAAATAATTTAGGAGAAAGTTTTTCTGGATTAAATTCATAATACATTGATAATATTAGTTAAGGGAATAGTATGCTAAAGAGTTATGAAAACAATAATATTATTGAAGTTATGGATAGTATTTAGTCTCCTACAATTTTAAAGAAAAGATTTACCAAAAATAAACTTCTGAATGAAGAAAATTATTGTTAAACCTTAAATAATAATAATAATAATTAGGAGTAAGTCAATAAATTTATTTAAAGTAACCAATAGACCTATTGTTAAGTTGTATCCAATAAAAATTAATAGAAAGAATATCAAAAAACAGATTAATTGTCTTAAATAAATTAATTAAATTAATAATAAAACAATGCAATTAATCAAAATCCTTAGAAATAAGATAATCAAAATTATGAATAAAAGTAAAAAATGATGTAATCATAAGTTAATACTTCTATCATTTATGAATAAAGTCCTCTATTATAAAGTCAATCAAATTAAATATAAATCAGTTAAAATCCATGTCTTATTTCTGGTGAGTTTTTATTTCATTAAGGTATTTAAGCAGCCATAAAGTAGTTTATACTTAATACTGATGAAAAAATATCTTATTATATTTCTGAAAAGAAATATAATGAAAAAAATGATTAATAATAATAATAAAGAGTTAAAGAATTTTACACATATCTTATTTTTATTACTGACTAGTAACTTTAAATCAAAAATTAATAATTATTTGACGAACTTTGTGCTATTTTAATCAACTTACAAGTAGAACTATTGATTTTAATTTTAAATTAGGATTTATCATAGTAAGAGCATACTGATTTTAGAAATATTTTCTACAACTAAAAGCCAGTAATTACATTTTTTAGTACAGAAGAAAAACTACTCTAATATATTTACAACTCTAGAGAGCATGTTAAAAATTATCTGTATCCTATGATTTATGAACATTTCTGAAGAAATTAAATACTATTAGCCCTTTATTAGTTTAATAATTTATAAGCTAATCTTAATTTTTAAAGCTATTTTGTATTTTATTTATTGCTGTTTATATATTAAATACTATTATTTTACAAACTCTTTTAGAAAAAATACAACTTATGTAAAATTAGTTTAGTTATATTTAACTAAAGTTTTATTTTTTGAAATTTAAATTGTTTTTAAGTTAATTTAAAAACTATTGTATTTTTTCATTGTTTCTTCATATTTCATATTTTTAAGTATTTTAATTAATTTTATAATAAAAAGAAATAAGAAATATATAAAAATATAAAAAGAAGTAAGAAATATAAAAAGAAATAATATATATATATATAAATGTAAAAATAATTAATTATTTTATAAAATAGCAAATACGAATAAAATTATACTCATTATTTTGTGTAGAATATTTTTTTTTCTACCTACTGATCCATAAACGCCCCGATTGTAAATTCTCTTGCTATCAAAATATTTATAATAAATTTTAAATAAAAAATATCTTTTTTATCTTTCTAAAATAATTTGATAATATGAAAAATATTTAATAAGAATTAAAATAATTGTTTTTTAAAAAGGATAAGTAAAAATTACATAATTATTTTTTTTATTAACAATTTTTACAAAAATTAAAATGAGATTTTCTCAAAAAAAAATGAAAGCAATTTTTTATACAATTAATCCTTTGTCTTAATATAATACGACATATAAATATTTATTATACAAAATTTAATTTATATTATGTTAATTTGAAAATAAACTGGTGGTAAATTTCATAAATAAATGTGAAATAACAGATAAATTAATTATAAAATTTTCATAAGAAGGAAAATTTTACTCTTTCGATTTATATTTGGTTAGTAGAAAAACAAACAGTTTGAAAATCAATACGCACATAAAGGAATAGAAATCTATCATATATGAAATACAATTATTCTAAAAACAAAAACAAAGAATCTGGCTAAGGTCTAAACTTTATAAGCAGATTTTTGTAGAATCATAAAACTCAGTCAGTTATATTAGTAATCACTCTCTTTCCAACTCTTGTGTTAGTAATCTCTACTTATTTAATATTAATTTACTTTTAAGATGTCTGCTTCTAAATAGTTAAAGACTTCTCAAATAATTTATTCTAAGATTAGATCACAAGTTCCAAACTCCTAAATTCTGCAATAGTATATTAGCTAAGCTCGTAAACTTAAAAAATTGATTGGTAGATGAACTTAGTCAATGAATTTTTCGGGAATGTTATACAGGGCAAAGTAATAAAAAATAGTAAGTACATACCAGCTATTCTTAATTTAGATAGGATTTACAATTAAAAAGAAAACCAGATTGTGTTATAAATGTTTAAAAAAAACTCTATTTTGACTTCTGCTTGGTAAAATTATTTTTTTAAATAATGCTTTCCTCTAATTTTTACTATTTTCTTTACTTATTAGTTGTTTTTTTTATCAGTTTATTTAATTTAAAAAAGGCATTTAGTTAGTTAATCTTTCTTAACAGAATTAGATCAAACATAGTTATAAAGGTTACATGAAGCAATACTCATTGAATCTATAAAGAAATCTATTTAGCTAGTTAATAAAAACGAAAATGGAAGATGGATGAAATTCAAAGACTTTTATTATGGATTTGATTATGATGGATTAATCTACGCTGTGAGTGCTAATGTTACTTACAAAGGGTACGTTCCTCCTAAAGGTTGCCCTTATATTGGATAGTATCTCATGGATGTTAGATGCAGATATTATTACAACCCAACTATGGAAAATTATTCAACGATGATTTTTAACCCTTCCGTATTTTTTACAGATGTAACTCCTCTTTTATTACAACCTTTTTGTAAAAGGAGACTAAAATATGAGTCAAATGACCCTAATTCAGAATATACTAAATATTCTGTTTTTTGTTTGACATTAGATCTCACTTTAATTCCAAAATATTTTGAACATTTTGGTAATAATTCAAAGCTTTAATTTGTTTTGAATCCTTCTTACCTCACTGTGGTTTACAATTCTGAATAAAATTTGTAAAGGACTTAAGTTGTAACTATAAAAGACATAGAAACATAATACTTATAAGATTAAAACTAAGCAATATACTTTTTAAACAATATCACATAAAATAATGACTTTATCATAAAAAATACAAGCTTTGCAGATTTATTTGGATTTACTTTATCAAATTAATATCTGTTTGAATACAACAGAAACGGGACTGAGTGTTTAGTGATTAAAAATATTGTAACATTTATTGATAAATTGCCAAAATATGAGTATTAAAGAAAAGTTAATCCAGCTCCGAAGTTTTAGGTTAAAAATGCTTTTCTATTTTTAGACATTCTTTCAAAAGAAAAAATGGAATAATATTCAAATAGCATTTAGCAATAAATATTATATTACAATGTACTATTTTCTTATATCAGTTTAGGAATTACTATACTCGTTTTAATAATACATGGAAAATACTCTTTGTAGTTTGGGACTTCGTTTTTAAATCCTGTTATTCATTTAACAAAGATTTTAAACTAAATGATTTCTCAAGAAAATGATTAAAAAAAGTAAGTTAAAGATAATTTGGTTTAGTATTTACCGACCATAGAAGACATAAACAAAGATATGTGGATTTTCGAAGATTTGAATAACTATGATTCACAGTAGTAGGAACAAAGTTAAAAGGAGCAATGTTTTTCAAGTGATACCTAGGAATTATTTAACAGTTTTCAAAATCTTTTTAAGATGCTGGCTTTTACTACGTAAAACCTGTACAAAGATAATGAAAGCATGTCTCTTATCAACTTGAATATTCAAATTTAACACTTTGATAAATTTAGAAATAACCGAGCGCTAGGAGTTTGCTATAATAACATAGGTGTTATTCACTATAAATGTGGTAGATATTAAGAATCAATAGAAAATTTCTAGAAATCAGTTGTGTTTGCAAAATACGAGTTAGGATTTTATGACCATGAGATAAATGGAGTTCAGATAGTAAAAAACATCAAAGATTTTGCAAATATATATAAGGAGAATGGTGATCAATAATAAGCTCTATACCAATTTAAGTTTGAAAGGCACCTAAATAATAAAGAATAAAAAGATAATAATTATCAATATTTAGAAAAAAATGACCATTTTTGGAATTTGTACAATAGAAAACTCAATTTAATAAAAGCACTTTATTCACTTGCTGTATAAAGCAAAGAGACATATCATTAAGAAGTATTAATTGAACAAGTTCATGAATTAATAAGTATAAGCAAGTTATATTTGCCAGATTCTAATAAGAGATTTATGTATGAGTGTTATTTATAACTTCTAACAAATAAGTTGAATAACTCTCTGTCAGATTCTATTCAAATCTTAGATTAATTTGTCAATTTTTACCTGATAAAATTTAAAAAGAACGAACTAAAAAATGAAACAGATAAATCTAAAGAGCAGAAGGATAACAAATTTTAGAAACATTTTTGTACATATGGGTATTAAAATAACATTTTTAGTTTTTTAGAATCCCCAATTTAGAATAATAATAAAAATAGATAGCAACTTCAAAAATATTTACCTGACAGTTATAGAAATTATAAAAATGCACATTTAAAATATGCCATAAAGGACTTATTTGATAAGCTAACATAATCGAATCAATAACAATTATCTGCTTCGAGTTGGATTGATCGTTCTAGAGCTAAAACTGCAAGTCAAAGTAAGCAATCAATTAAGAAACAAAACTATAAAATTAAACAAAGAAAAAGCACTCGAATTGAAAATTTTTCAAATCAAAAATGCTACTTTTAAGTAAAAAAAGTAATTGATTAATTCAAGCTATGTCGCTATGAATTCAGCTCAGATATTTTCTTTTAGTACTACGCCATTGAATAAGCTTAACATCAAATTACTTTAAAAAATTACAAAAATGCAGGGATTATTTTAACAAATATGCTAGAAAAATGTGTACTTTACTCACCTCATCTTAAAAGACAGGCATTTAATATGCTATGTAAACTATTCAAATAATAAAATATTAATAATCCAGAGCTATAAGAAATAGCTAATAAATATCAAATTTTCACTGATAGTTATTTTAAAGTATGCACTATTTAAGCTTGCTTTAGCAAATATTCTCTATTTAGATCTTATACTGTTTAAAATGATTTAATCAAAGATATTTTATTTAAAGAAAGAGATCAAATCGGTTTGCTAAACTATTGTTTTGAAGATCATAACTACTAGCAGCTAGCGCAATTTATTAATTTAAAAACTTTAAATTCTAAATTAGAAATATTTGAAAATATTTTCATCAAAATATTCTTCGAAAAGTTACTTAATAAAGACTTTAAAAGTTTAGAGAAATATGGAATATTTAAATAAAATTAGAATGAAATTCAATAACTTTAACAAAGTTAAAAAGCTTTCTTATAAAACTGTAAGAAAATATAAAAATAAGAATAAAATCGATCTTCATTTAGTAGACCAATTTAAAATGAATAAAAAAATTTAAAAGATTCCTTTAACAATTAATTTGAAGAAATAAAATTAAGTGATAATGTAGCCTAATAAAATAAAAAACCTACATTTGCACAAAAGCTTCAGCTAAGACTTAAAGCTAATATATAACATATTACAAATAATTAAAATCAATAATTAAACTTATAGTTAACTTAGTTTAATCAAGATGATTCACTCCTGAATCCAAACTCTTTAATAAGAAAATACACTTTTAGTACATAAAGAAATAATTTAAAAAATCACAATACTGAAAATTAGGAAGAATTCATTAAAGTAGGAAGTTCTGAATAAATAATTTCTCATAATTTCGTCTCAGAAAATAAATTTGTAGATTCAAGCCCAAAATTAAGCTAACTAAATTCAAACAATAAAAATGAATTTAATAATTTTGATTCAAGTGATAATATTGTTAACAAAAACAAATTTAAGTCATAATAGAATTACATGTTAGACAGCCAAAATTTTCAAGTTTCTAAGTTTGCAAAACCAAATAATTTAGGAGAAAGTTTTTCTGGATTAAATTCATAATACATTGATAATATTAGTTAAGGGAATAGTATGCTAAAGAGTTATGAAAACAATAATATTATTGAAGTTATGGATAGTATTTAGTCTCCTACAATTTTAAAGAAAAGATTTACCAAAAATAAACTTCTGAATGAAGAAAATTATTGTTAAACCTTAAATAATAATAATAATAATTAGGAGTAAGTCAATAAATTTATTTAAAGTAACCAATAGACCTATTGTTAAGTTGTATCCAATAAAAATTAATAGAAAGAATATCAAAAAACAGATTAATTGTCTTAAATAAATTAATTAAATTAATAATAAAACAATGCAATTAATCAAAATCCTTAGAAATAAGATAATCAAAATTATGAATAAAAGTAAAAAATGATGTAATCATAAGTTAATACTTCTATCATTTATGAATAAAGTCCTCTATTATAAAGTCAATCAAATTAAATATAAATCAGTTAAAATCCATGTCTTATTTCTGGTGAGTTTTTATTTCATTAAGGTATTTAAGCAGCCATAAAGTAGTTTATACTTAATACTGATGAAAAAATATCTTATTATATTTCTGAAAAGAAATATAATGAAAAAAATGATTAATAATAATAATAAAGAGTTAAAGAATTTTACACATATCTTATTTTTATTACTGACTAGTAACTTTAAATCAAAAATTAATAATTATTTGATGAGCTTTGTACTATTTTAACCAACTTATAAGTAGAACTATTGATTTTAATTTTAAATTAGGATTTATCGTAGTAAGAGCATACTGATTTTAGAAATATTTTCTACAACTAAAAGCCAGTAATTACATTTTTTAGTACAGAAGAAAAACTACTCTAATATATTTACAACTCTAGAGAGCATGTTAAAAATTATCTGTTACCTATGATTTATGAACATTTCTGAAGAAATTAAATACTATTAGCACTTTATTAGTTTAATAATTTATAAGCTAATCTTAATTTTTAAAGCTATTTTGTATTTTATTTATTGCTCTTTATTTTTTAAATACTATTATTATACAAACTCTTTTAGAAAAAATACAACTTATGTAAAATTAGTTTAGTTATATTTAACTAAAGTTTTATTTTTTGAAATGTAAATTGTTTTTAAGTTAATTTAAAAACTATTGTATTTTTTCATTGTTTCTTCATATTTCATATTTTTAAGTATTTTAATTAATTTTATAGTAATAAATATTTTTTATACTTAAATATAAAAATTGACAATAATAGTTAAAAAAAAAGATACAGTACTTAATAAAATAAATTATAAAATATTAGCAAAATGTGTAAAAGAATGCTAAAATGCGTTTAAATCATGCAAAAAATAAATAAATTTAAATTTTTATGATGATAAATTTTATTTTATATCAACCATTATTAATCTTCTATCAAATTTAAATGTGAAAAATAAAAATTATAATAAATTGACAAAGTTTATTAATTTAAAAAATATACTTATCAAAAAATTTTTGATTAAAAAAACAAAAAATATTATAATAAATAACTATTAAATTAAATAATAATAAAAAATTTATCTTAAAAAATACTTATTGTTTAAATATAATGTAAATAAAATTCTAGAAGTTACTTCTTATTATGTAGATATTATTAAAATTTTAATCTTGTTATTAAAATATTAATAGTGCTTTTTAAATATAAAAATATCTTTTTATGTTTTGAAAATAATTTGATAAAATGAAAAATATTTAAAAAGGAAAATAATAAAGTTCTTTCTAAAATAAATAAGTATTTTTTAAAAAGAAAAGTAAAAATTTCATATTTGTTTTTATTAATAATAATTTTTATTGAATAAAAGTAATTTTAAACTCTAATTAAAAAGTAAATTTAAATAAAATAATTTTTGAACTCTTTAATTTATCTTTTTTTTATTTAATTTATATTTTAGGAATTCATAATAATTCAATTAATATTGATCCGCTAAAAGATAATTCGTATATCTGATAATTTTCTATTTATTATAAAAGGAAAATAAAGTTTTATAATTTATCAAAATCCATCAAAAATACACATTTTATTAAAAATTCATCTGAATAAAGATTGTTTTTTAAAAATAAAAACTGATTTTCAATTTTTACTAAAACTAAACAGAAATTTTCGCAAAAAAAAAAATGAATGCAATTTTTTTACAAATAATCTTTATTCTTAATGTAAAACTAATTATCGCAATTTAAAATATAAAATATAATTTATGTTAATTAGAAATGACCAATATGGAAATAAACTCATGGTAAATATCAAAATTAAACTAATTTTTAGTTTTACGATAATAAATGCTAAATAATAGATAAATTAATTATTATGTTAAGAAGGAAAACTCTTAATTACTCTTTTGATTTATATTTGGTTAGTAGAAAAACAATTTGATAATCAAAATCAACAAAAAGTAATATCAAGAAATCAACCATAAATGAAATACAATTTTTCTAAAAACCAAAACAAAGAATCTGGCTAAGGTCTAAACTTTATAGGCAAATTTTTGTAGAATCATAAAACGCAATCAGTTATATTAGTAATCACTCTCTTTCCAACTCTTATATTAGTAGTCTCTACTTATTTAATACTAATTTACTTTTAAGATGTCTGCTTCTAAATAGTTAAAGACTTCTCAAATAATTTATTCTAAGATTAGATCACAAGTTCCAAACTCCTAAATTCTGCAATAGTATATCAGCTAAGCTCGCAAACTCAAAAAATTGATTGGTAGATGAACTTAGTAAATGAATTTTTTGGGAATGTTATACAGGGCAAAATAATAAAAAATAGTAAGTACATACCAGCTATTCACAATATAGATAGGACTTATAATTAAACTGAAAACCCTATTGTATTAAATATGTTTAAAAAAAACTCAGTCATGACTTCTACTTGGTAAAATTATTGCTTAATAATCATTCTTTCCTCTGATTTTTACTTATTTATTATTGGTTTTTCTTGATGAATTTATTTAATTTAAAAAAGGCATTAAGTTAGTTAATCTTTCTTAACAGAATTAGATTAAAAATAGTTAAAAGAGTTAGATGAAACAATACGCATTGAATCAATATGGAAATCTATTTAGCTAGATAATAAAAACGAAAATGGAAGATGGATGAAATTCAAAGACTTTTATTATGGATTTGATTATGATGGATTAATCTACACTGTTAGTGTTAATGTTACTTACAAAGGGTATGTTCCTCCTAAAGGTTGCCCTTATATTGGATAGTATCTAATGGATGTTAGATGCAGATATTATTACAGCCCAACTATGGGAAATTATTCAACAATGGTTTTTAACCCTTCCATATTATATACAGATGTAACTCCTCTTATATTACAACCTTTTTGTAAAAGAAGACTAAAATATGAGTCAGATGACCCTAATTCAGAATATACTAAATATTCTATTCTTTGTTTGACATTAGATCTCACTTTAATTCCAAAATATTTCGAAAATTTTGGTAATAATTCAAAGCTACAATTTGTTTTGAATCCTTCTTACCTCACTGTGGTTTATGATTCTGAATAAAATTTGAAAAGAACTTAGGTTGTAACTATAAAAGACATAGAAACATAATACTTATAAGATTAAAACTAAGCAAAATACTTTTTAAACAATATCACATAAAATAATGACTTTATCATAAAAAACACAAGCTTTGCAGATTTATTTGGATTTACTTTTTCTGATTAATATCTGTTCGAATACAACAGAAACGGGACTGAGTGTTTAGTGATTAAAAATATAGTCACCTTCATTGATAAAGTACCAAAATATGAATATTAAAGAAAAGTTAATCCCGCTCCGAAGTTTTAGGTTAAAAATGCTTTTCTATTTTTAGACATTCTTTCAAAAGAAAAAATGGAATAATATTCAAATAGCATTTAGCAATAAATATTATATTACAATGTACTATTTTCTTATATCAGTTTAGGAATAACTATTCTAGTTTTAATAATACATGGAAAATACTCATTGTAGTTTGGGACTTCATTTTTAAATCCTGTTATTCATTTAACAAAGATTTTAAATTAAATGATTTCTCAAGACAATGATTAAAAAAAGTAAGTTAAAGATAATTTGGTTTAGTATTTACCAACCATAGAAGATATAAACAAAGATATGTGGATTTTCGAAGATTTGAATAACTATGATTCACAGTAGTAGGAATAAAGTTAAAAGGAGCAATGCTTTTCAAGTGATACTTAGCAATTGTTTGACAGTTTTCAAAATCTTTTTAAGGTGCTGGCTTTTACTACATAAAACTTGTACAAAGATAATGAAAGCACTTCTCTTATCAACTTGAATATTCAAATTTAACACTTTGATAAATTTAGAAATAACCGAGCGCTAGGAGTTTGCTATAATAACATAGGTGTGATTCACTATAAATGTGGTAGATATTAAGAATCAATAGAAAATTTCTAGAAATCAGTTGTGTTTGCAAAATATGAGTTAGGACTTTACGACCATGAGATAAATGGAGTTCAGATAGTAAAAAACATCAAAGATTTTGTAAATATATATAAGCAGAATGGTGATCAAGAATAAGCACTATACCAATTTAAGTTTGAAAGGCACCTAAATAATAAAGAATCAAAAGATAATAATTATCAATATTTAGAAAAAAATGACCATTTTTGGAATTTGTACAATAGAAAACTCAATTTAATAAAAGCACTTAATTCATTTGCTGTATAAAGCAAAGAGACATATCATTAAGAAGTATTAATTGAACAAGTTCATGAATTAATAAGTATAAGCAAGTTATATTTGCCAGATTCTAATAAGAGATTCATGTATGAGTGTTATTTATAACTTCTAACAAATAAGTTGAATAACTCTCTGTCAGATTCTATTCAAATCTTAGATTAATTTGTCAATTTTTACCTGATAAAATTTAAAAAGAATGATCTAAAAAGTGAAGATGATAAATCTAAAGAGCAGAAGGATAATAATTTTTAGAAACATTTTTGTATATATGAGTATTAAAATAACATTTTTAGTTTTTTAGAATCCCCAATTTAGAATAATGATAAAAATAGATAGTAACTTCAAAAATATTTACCTGACAGTTATAGAAATTATAAAAATGCACATTTAAAATATGCCTTAAAGGACTTATTTGATAAGCTAACATAATCGAATCAATAACAATTATCTGCTTCGAGTTGCATTGATCGTTCCAGAACTAAAACTGTAAGTCAAAGTAAGCAATCAATTAAGAAACAAAACTATAAAATTAAACAAAGAAAAAGCACTCGAATTGAAAATTTTTCAAATTAAAAATGCTACTTTTAAGTAAAAAAAGTAATTGATTAATTCAAGCTATGTCGCTATGAATTCAGTTCCGATATTTTCTTTTAGTACTATGCTCTTGAATAAGCTCAACATTAAATTACTCTAAAAAATTACAAAAATGCTGGGACTATTTTAACGAATATGCTAGAAAAATGTGTACTTTATTTACCTCATCTTAAAAGACAGGCATTTAATATGCTATGTAAACTATTCAAATAATAAAATATTAATAATCCAGAACTATAAGAAATAGCTAATAAATATTAAATTTTCCCTGATAGTTATTTTAAAGTATGCACTATTTAAGCTTGCTTTAGCAAATATTCTCTATTTAGATCTTATACTGTTTAAAGTGATTTAATCAAAGATATTTTATTTAAAGAAAGAGATCAAATCGGTTTGCTAAACTATTGTTTTGAAGATCATAACTATTAGCAGCTAGTGCAATTTATCAATTTAAAAACTTTAAATTCAAATTTAGAAATATTTGAAAATATTTTCATCAAAATATTCTTCGAAAAGTTACTTAATAAAGACTTTAAAAGTTTAGAGAAATATGGAATATTTAAATACAATTAGAATGAAGTTCAATAACTTTAACAAAGTTAAAATGTTTTCTTTTAAAACCGTATTTAACTAACTAAGAGTATTTTTTAAGATACTCTTTAAAAAAAAATCTAAAAATCAGAATAAAATCGATCTTCATTTAGTAGACCAATTTAAAATGAATAAAAAAACTTAAAAGATTCCTTTAACATATAATTTGAAGAAATAAAATTCAGTGATAATAAAACTTAATAAAATAAAAAACCTTCATTTGCACAAAAGCTTTAGCAAAGACTTAAAACTAGAGCATAACATATTACAAATAATTAAAATCAATAATTAAACTTCTTATTATCTTAGTTTAATCAAGATGATTCATTACTGAATCCAGACTCTCTAATAAGGAAATACACTTTTAGTCCATAAAGAAATAATTTAAAAAATCACAAGACCGAAAATTAGGAAGAATTCTTTAAAATAGGCAGTTATGAATAAATAATTTCTCATAATTTCGTCTCAGAAAATAAATTTGTAGATTCAAGCCCACAACTTAGCTAACTAAATTCAAATAATAAAAATGAGTTTAATAATTTTGATTCAAGTGATAATATTGTTAACAAAAATAAATTTAAATCATAATAGAATTGTATGTTAGACAGCCAAAATTTTCAAGTTTCCAAGTTTGCAAAACCAAATAATTTAGGAGAAAGTTTTTCTGGATTAAATTCAGAATGTATCGATAATATTAACTAAGGGAATAGTATGCTAAAGAGCTATGAAAACAATAATATTATTGAAGTTATGGATAGTATTTAGTCTCCTACAATTTTAAAGAAAAGCTTTACTCAAAATAAACTGCTGAATGAAGAAAATATTTGTAAAACCTTAAATAATAGTAATAATAATAATTAAGAGTAAGTCAATAAATTTATTTAAAATAACCAATAGACCTATTTTTAAATTGTATCCAATAAAAATTAATAGAAAGAATATCAAAAAACAGATTAATTGTCTTAAATAAATTAATCAAAATAATAATAAAACAATGCAATTAACCAAAATCCTTAGAAATAAGATAATCAAAATTATGAATAAAAGTAAAAAATGATGTAATCATAAGTTAATACTTCTATCATTTATGAATAAAGTCCTCTTTTAGAAAGTCAATCAAATTAAATATAAATCAGTTAAAATCCATGTCTTATTTCTGGTGAGTTTTTATTTCATTAAGGTATTTAAGCAGCCATAAAGTAGTTTATACTTAATACTGATGAAAAAATATCTTATTATATTTCTGAAAAGAAATATAATGAAAAAAATGATTAATAATAATAATAAAGAGTTAAAGAATTTTACACATATCTTATTTTTATCACTGACTAGTAACTTTAAATCAAAAATTAATAATTATTTGACGAGCTTTGTGCTATTTTAATCAACTTACAAGTAGAACTATTGATTTTAATTTTAAATTAGGATTTATCATAGTAAGAACATACAGATTTTAGAAATATTTTCTACAACTAAAAGCCAGTAGTTACATTTTTTAGTACAGAAGAAAAACTACTCTAATATATTTACAACTCTAGAGAGCATGTTAAAAATTATCTGTATCCTATGATTTATGAACACTTCTGAAGTATAATAACTATTAGCACTTTATTAGTTTTATAATTTAAAAGCCAATCTTAAATTTTAAAGCTAATCTTAAATTTTAAAGCTATTTTGTATTTTATTTATTGCTGTTAATATATTAAATACTATTATTATACAAACTCTTTTAGAAAAAATACAACTTATGTAAAATTAGTTTAGTTATATTTAACTAAAGTTTTATTTTTTGAAATGTAAATTGTTTTTGAGTTAATTTAGAAACTATTAATTATTTTAAATTAGAATGTGAAGGATATTCTTTTATAATATGATTTATTATAAATTTTTTATTATTTGGCATTTTACAATTTTTAAAATAAAAATGAAAATAATATAAGATTTCATACTCTCTTAAATCATATATAAATAAACAATAATTATTAAAAAAATTGAATGTTACCGCATGAAGTTAAATGGCTCATAAAAAGATGGAAAGCTTAGAGACTATTGAAGAAACAATTTTAGAAATAAAAGTGGAATAGTAGTTATAAAAATTTAATTTATAAGAATGGAATAAACCTCAAGGAAACTGGGAAACTAAATCACAAGGAAGAACTTTAAAACAGAAATTAAATCTGTCTTAAATGTCATAGAAAATTACTGCATTACTTTAATTTTTAATTTAATTAAAAGAAAATATAAAAAAATAATTAATTATTAAATTATTTATCTAATATTTTTAAAAGTAAAAGATTTTGGTTGATAAATCAGATTTTATATAAATGAAAAAATATGTTTACTTTTTATATTTAGAATGAATCAATCAATAGAATTTTTATATTTCTTATTTATAAAATAAAAATATAAATGTACTTGATAATTATTATATCAAAAATTATTTTTTAACAAAAATATCTCTAAAATTATCTCAATCAAATTTAGGGAAATTTATTTTTAATTTTTTGATATTGCGAAATATTTATAAAAATAATATAAATATGGAATAAATATTAAAATTAGTCACAAAACATTTTATTTTCATAACTTTCTCCACTTTATTTTTTAATATTTTTAAATTTAAAACAAATTTGTAAATTTCTGAAAGATTCATTTTAATATATTGTTAATTTTTTTCTAGGCTAATTATAAAATGATCCTTCGTATTTGCTGAAAAAATTACATAAATTGAAGATGTTTTTTCTAATACTAATTAATAGTTAGTTTTGTGGAAAATAAGTAAACAAATAAAAAATTTACAGTTTAATTTAAAGTAGCAAAAATAATCTGGAGATATTTAAACTTTTTAATGATTTAAAAAGACAAAGATTACATAATTTGTTTATTATTTTTTTAAATTATTAAAATTATATCTTCATAATACTCAGTTTAAGAAAAAAGAAAATGGAAAATTTTAGATAATACTTTATTAAGCAATTGCTATTCGATTATAAAATCTCCAAGTTCAATTCAACATTTGCAGGAATATTAGTCATTTTATATAAAATATAAGCATTATACATTTTATTTAACTATGAAATGAGATGCAAACTTTTTTCGTTGGATTCTGCTTAATTTCATTCCAAATAAAAGACTGACTCTTTTACAATTTAAAATTAAACAAATGAGTATATTTTATGGCTTGTTTTAACAATCAACTGTTTGATAGTAGTGCTATTCTTGTTCAGATTGGTTTCATATGCTATTAATGTATAAAATGACTAATTAGTTTTGGTTAAACTGCTTAGCTGTATTTTGAGATCCTACAAATATATTTTCTTTGCTCCATCTTTATTTGTAAGTTTATCTCTATAATCGAATTTAGCTCCTGCTATTTTAAATATGATACTAGTACTAATCATATGTAAATTTTAAAATTATTTAATCATTTTTTATTGTTTTAGATTTTATCCATTTAAATAATTCATCTCATTTAACACTTTGTTATATCTACTACTTTTATTTTCAAATTTAGGATTTTTTTATCTTTGAGATTATCATTAAAACTCCAGTTTTTTTTATTGTTTTTTTTGGTTATCATCAAATCAATTTTTTATATTTTTTAAAAAATAGAATCAGGAGCTTTCTTATTAAATTTCGATTTTTAGCTGATGGAAAGCGAAGATGACTCTCTTTTGAAGTTTCCAACAAAGTATTTTGAAGAACTTAGTCAGATAACAATGATTTTCTTGATCATTAACAATACTAAAAGCATATTTGCTTATCAAGATATATTTTTTTTCTTTTTTTCTGTTTATAATTTAATGGTGGTGTTTTAAGGAAATGCGTTCATCAAGAGAAATATAAGATTAATAGATTTGATTGGGTATTCTATTCTTTTAGGATTTTCTCTTACTTTGATTTTTGTAAGAATTGTTAATAATGATATTTCTTTAATTTTTTTGTCTGTTGTAGTTTTTCCCTTGATACTAAAAATAGTATATTTCTATGAGTTTTCAAGCTTTAGCCTAATTAAGAGATATTCGCATTATTAACAAAAAAGAACTAAAAATAGCATCTATTTTTTAATTTACTCCTTGATTTAAAATTTGAAGAAAATTAATTACATAGATTATGCTCAAAATTAATCTTCATAAGTAATCGATGATATCATATTAAATCACAATCAAATTTGTTTAAATTATCCAGACTGCTTTTGTTATATTTAAGTAAATTTAAACTTCGAATTCTTAATTTTTCATAAAAAATTTTATTTTAATACTAAAGACTGAAACTGCTTAAGATGTTTGGGATAACGTTATCAGCGATGATAAACGTAAAATATTTGTTTTGAACTATATCAACTAGTTACTCATTTAATAATGTGCAGAGGCTTAAAATGAAAAGATTAATGATTCAAAATTTTCAGATTAATTGCTAGAACTTAAATTTGTTTACATTAATTTTTTGATGAATGTAAGCTTATCAAAGACTAATTGTCTCTACTAAGTCCATTTGCTATAACAAATGTAGAAATCATTAAGTTTAAAAAGCAAGATGTATTTAGAGTTTTTGAACTAAAATATCTTAAAAAAAAAATAGGAGTTTTAATTAAATAAGCAAACAAACTAATCATTCAGCTTTTTACTTGTAGAAGATAAAATAGATCGTTTAAAGAAATACTATGAGAAATTCTTAATAGACAAATTAGAAGTATTAAATTTAATAGACAAAGATTACATTTAATTGGATTAATTTTAATTTTTGGCTCTTTAACTTTTAAAAAGTAAGCAACAGCTGTAAATTTATAAATAAGAGATATAAAAAAAATGGAGATGTAATCATTTATTAGCAGAAATAATTCCTTTGCTATAGAAAAGCATTGGCTTTGACTTAAAATTTGATCATGACAATCAAATGAATCATATTTAATCCTCTTCAAACTATAAATTTTAATAATATTTAAATTAAGCTACAGCTTTAATATCTTTAGAAAAAGATGATATAAATATGATAGTCAAAGCATCATAGCAGTTTTCTGATTTGTTTGAGATAAAATCACCACAAGGAACAGATATTTATGATTTTATTCCACATGAATTCTAAAAAGAGCATTAAGCATTAATCAGTTAATACTTGGTATAATTTTCTTCAGACCAAGCCTACTAATAAAGAGAATAAATAACAAATAAGCAAAGACTTAATTTTGTTATTGCGTAAACAAGCTAAGGTTTTTGCATTCCTATGAAAATATAATTTAGTATAGAATATATTTAGTAATTACAGTAAATAGTTGTATTTGCATAATTTACTCCATTAAATAACTCCAGCTATTTTATTATTAATGATAACAAGACTTAGAAAATTAGATTTGTGTCAAAAAATTTCTATAATCAATATTTAAATAACTTAATAAACTAAGAACAGCTCTAATAAATGGAGACTCCTTCATTTTTACCAATACTCAGTAGCCTTGATTTCAAAAAAAAGCCTGTTCAACCAAATGATAATAAAGAAATCTAAAGCTATGCAATCCTACCAACCCAAGAATATTTTTAAAAAAATAGAATTTATAGCTATAAAAATTTAACTGAATCTTTCAGTAAATCGTAATTTTATCTTAACCAATTTTAGGTATTTAAGATAAACATTAAGATGCACAGCTTGAAATAAATTAAAAGCTCTGACTTAACAATAATAGAAATTGTTTCAATATATAATGTTTCCTCTGACTAAGAAATTTTCACAGCATTTGATTATTTAAGCTAGTTACTCAAAACAAATTAATTTATCTCTCAGGATTGTTTTAAAGATAATCAAGCAAAAGCCAGCAAGTAGAACTCTTAATATTCTCCTGACAACGAAGTATCCTCAATCAACAGTAAACACTTTTTAAAAATTATTTTATTTTGAATTCTTTGAATTTCATTTAATTTTTTAGAAAAACTAAGAGTTTTATCTAGAAAATGTATTTAAAAATATCAATTATTAAAGCTTTTCTTAAAATAATATTTTTTATACTTTGGAATATAAAATAAAGTTATTATTTTGATTAAATAAGCTAAAAGTAAATAATAATTAAATCTAATCTATTATTTAATGAAAATAAATAAAATTAGAAATCATTAAAAATTTAATTTTAATTATTTAAGCTAAATAAATATATTTACTACAAACAAATAACTTTTTATTGAAATATTTTAATATTAAAAATAAAATATTTATTTTAATTTATTTTATTAAAGTTATAGATTTAATGATCACTCCTAGATAAAGGTAAATGCATCATCATACATTTAATTAGATAATGCATCCAACAACAAATGAAACTGAAGAAAATAACCAAATAACTAGCCACTCAAAAAACAACTAGAAAACAATTACAGAAATAGCTGATTCAAACTATTTAAAAATCAACTCTTAAAGGTCTTCCCTGCTGACTCCTAAAATGAATAAAAATAGTTTAACTACTGCACATACTTTCTAAGATTATCTTTAAGTTTAATAATAATAATTTAATAAGAGTTATTTAGATTCTATTTTAAATTAACTATATGCTAATTCTGTATATAGAGAACATGATGAATTAAATATACAATCGAGTTTATCTAAACCAATAGAAAGCTTCATTGAAATAGAGTAGTCTTTTGATTAAATGAAGCATTATCAGAATCAGTATTAAAATAATTCAATTTAAGAAATCCAAGACAACAACACTAAAAATATTCAAAAATAATTTAATCGTGGTTATTCAATTTAATCATAATTGATAGTAAACAAGTCTTAGAATAATGAAAGTAGTTCATTGTTTTATATTCATAATAATGACATTAATAAAGTAAATAAAGCTGATATAAATAGGAATAAAGAGGAGAATGAAAAGAGTTCTTAAAATTCTGGTAAAACTGGCCATCAGATCTAAATTAAAACAGTTTACAATAAATTAGCAAATAAAAAGCTAAATAAATCTCTCTTTTTTCTAAGTCTTTTTGGATTATTTACTCTCGTTCTTATTATAGGACTTAGTTTCTTTTAGTTTGTCGAGATGGTAGATGGACTTATAAGTATTCAGTTTGATTTACATTTTGTTTCTTGGCCAGCATCAATTTCATCTACATGCAACCAAATTTGGATGTATATCAATCTTTTACTCATACAAAACTCAAAGATTTTACCTTAGCTAAGCGCTTCTTGGATAAACTATTAACCAGAAATCTAACAAAAAATGCTTCAGTTATAACACTACGGTTAATACATCTACCACGATTAAATAATAAGTGATTATACTATAGGATGGTATTTTTTGGATATTACATACAGAAGAAATTCTTATTACATTCCTAAATAAGATCTTCCTAGCACTTCTGTTGTTGAGTTATTTCGCTAAGGAGATTCAGAACTAGTTTTTATGCAAAACTATATGGCTAACATGTATTATTATTTTTTAAATGTATACCATTCATTAGAAGAATAATTAATGATCACTGAAAATTATGAACTCATGTAAAATAATTTATAGTTTTTAGAATAATAAATCTCTAACAGTTCTATCTCAGTGGATGTATATACTGTCATGATAGTCATTATAGCTTTAACTTTCATATAAGTTCTGTTTACTCTGCCAATTTATATACTCATTCAAAAAGAACGTGAAGTTATTCTAAAGCTATTCTCTACTCTACAAAAATAAAGTATCGATAAAATGAAGAGCTCTTGTAAAGAAAGTTTATAGCTATTAAATTCAAATAATCCAAATTAGCAATTTGTTTAATCTAAAAATTAAAAATATAAACAATTTTATTTAAATAATTAAATTAAAAAAAATTGTATCTCTGCTGAAATAGAAAATATTGACACCAAAAAAGCATTAGTTTTCCAAGCACTAGATTTTAATTCTAAGAAAAAATTGATATCTTAAACATCTAGCATAAATAAAATGAATCTTCTTCTCCCACTTTATGGTTTTGCTGTATTTGCAATAATAAGCATTCAACCTATCCTTAATTCAATTCTAGTTCAATCTTTCAAACAAGAGTGTATTACTATCTTTTTGGGGTTAGGTAATAATTTATTTAACATTTTTAAAATTTTTCTTTATTAAATAAATTTATGCTATCATTTTCATTTTTATTTTTTCTAAATATTTTTTTACAAATTCAAAACCGATAAAATTTATGATAATTTTAAGTTTTTATTAAAGCTTTTTAAATTATTTACATAAAAGATTAATAATCTAAAAAAATTTTAATTATCTTTTTTACAATTATTTTTTTATGAATACTCATATTTAACTGCAAGTATGACATTTTAATAAAATGTGTTTTAAATTATTAAATAAATAAATATTTAATTTTTTAATTAAAATTAGATGCTTTATTTGCTATGAAAGATTCACTAACAAAAACTGTAGCATTCAGTTACGGAAACACTTATTCTAAGCTTGTAGAGAGTCAAAATTCATACCTTTATAATCCTTAATTTTTCGAGTAAAATCTCGTAAAAATCTTTTAAGAAAGCTAAAACAATTTTATAAAATTGTAGAAAATTGCAAATACAATTTAATCACAATCCAACAATAGTAATAAGTCATATTTATCAATAATAACTGAAATATATTAAAATAATCTTTGCGAAGTAATAAATTAATATCCTAATCTGTTTTCCCTACAAAACTAAATAACTTTTAACTACCAATAATGTTAAGAAATTAGAGGTGGAATATTAACTAAAGGCTTCTAGGTGGCTAGCTAATACTTTTTAAATTAAATGAATGATTTATATTAAATTTCTAGTATAAATGATACAATTATGAGAAAAATCCAATTTATTGAGTGGGAGCATAATTTTGATGTGAAAGAATTTGAAACCTTCTATGATTACATGTGCTTCATAGTTGATTTTACATAATAGATATTTTTAAATAACGGGTATGATAAAATAAATGATATGTGGACTACTTAATACATTCTTGTTTCCACATAGATTTTCCTTGTTTTAATAATCTACGTATTTGGATGGAGGAACTTTTTCAAAATAGTGAGTGACTAACTTTATAAAAATAAAAAGATTATCACTTTATTCGAGCCTGATATTATTATTGATAATCCATACTTTATGAATTATATTAGTAAATTAAAATGAAAATTATTATTCAATATATATTATAACATCAATAATCTTTATTTAATCATATTTTACATTGTTTATATAATATTAGTAAAGGATTTACAATAATTAAAAATATTATTATAATTCATTATCCCATTTTTTAATTTAATTTTACAAATATTTTGTGTATGTTTTACTTTTTTATATTACAGTAATGCTTAAATTAAAAATAAAAGATTCCATTTTACACATTTAAGAATGTCTAAAATAATTTTTAAGACTTTCTTTTGTTTTTAATTTTCTTTATTTCTTTTAGACTTTAATTATTTTTAAAGTAAAAATAAAATTCAATTTAAGTTATAATTAATTTCTTAAATTAAAATATTTATCTTTGATTATTTTAAAAAAATAATTTATGAAATTAGAATTTATTTGATAGGAATAGTAGTTAAAATATCTGATTATATTAATGAAAGTAGATTTTAAAAATTAAAATAAATAGAATTTTTCTGCTGCAAAATATACTCATCGCCAATTTTAAATTAGTAATATGAATTATTTTTGATTGAGCTTTTTAAATAATACTAATAATTTTAAATAAATTATATTGCAATATTAATATATTATAAAAGTAAATAAATAATTGAATTATAGTAATAAGTATTTTTTTTTTAATTTATTTAAGTTTGATAGGATGAGAAGATTAGATATTTTTTATCTAGTTCATTAGTGTCAAAAATAATTCATTTTTGATGATTTTAAAAGATTATCTTTAAAGGAATACTTTTAATGAAAATACAAATTAAAAATTTTATATTGACAAATAATATTAAAGTTTTCAATTTTTCTTTTTATCCATTTCTTCTTTGATTTCTTTTTCAAGTCTTTTTTGGTTTTTTTCTTGCATATTATTATAAACCATAGCAACTACAATCAGAAGAGATAAAATACCACATAAAACTGAAATTAAGAGAGTATCAGTTAATCTAATTTGTTAGCTACTTTACTATATTTAAATAAAAAAAATAGTCATATATAGAATTTAGTTTCTTAAACTATAATTATTACAGTGAAGGGGAAGAGCCATGAAAGATCTCCTAAATTTTTATAAACCCATGACTATCTACTAGTTACCATTAACCAGATATTTTTATAGAAATTTGCGATTAAATTTCCTAAAACAAGATAAACTGGGCATAAAATAAACATAACCCAAATTATAACTAAGTTGCCTGCAAGAGCTTCGAAGATTCCTTTTAACATTGTTGCTATTTACGAATTACTTTTTTTAAAGTTTAAATGTTTTTGAAAAATTTTATAAATTATTTTGTTTGTATTTATTAATTTAAAAATTAATTGAAAAGATATCAACTATCAAGATTTCTAATCATAAAATTTATAATCAAATCCTGTCTTTAATTATTCTTAGACGATTCTGTAAAAATAATTAGCAAATTGAAAAATCCATTTCTTCAATAGTAATTAAAAGGTTGATTAGAAATATTTTTTTTCTTGATTTATTATTCTATTTTATGATCATATCATTGTAAATATTAAATTTAATTTTTTATGTACAAGTAAATTGTTAAATAACTCAAAAAATATTTTTTTTAAAAAAAACAAATTTGATTAAAAAAATAAATTGAATTAATTGTTAAAAAAAAATACAAAAAAATTAGACTTAAAATTGTATTTTTTGTATTTAAAAAAATATAAAATTAAAATTAATAACAAAGAAAGATTTATTAAAATTTTACTTTTTTTCTATTTTTTGTTTTAATAATTTATTTTAGCGAATAAAGTTTCTTATTTATTTTTGATGGAGAGTTTTTAATTTAAAAGTTAATGTTTTATTAATTTTTATCAGTTAAAGTAAAAAAATTAAAATTAATTGGCTCTAAAAAATAATGAGAAGACTGAAAACATAGAATAAATATATATTTGTCAAAAGATACACTCAGCAATTAATTAATTAGATAGATTTGTAAATAAAAATTATTAAGAATTAAAAACGAAAAAAAAGATATGAATTATCTTTAAATTTAAAAAGAGATACCATGCATTATATTTTAGTAATATAAAAAGAAACTATGAGTTAAAATTGTTAAAATAAGAATAAATAAACAATATAGAAAACTTTTTTGGTAATATACAAATTAGGACCATTACATCTAAAATATTTTTGAATAAATGTATCAATTATTGTTAAATTTTACTATTTTATTTCATGTTGCTTCACCTACAAATTTATTAATTGATTTATTGATTGTTTCTTAGTTTGTTTGTTTAAATTTGGACTTAATTAATCCCTAATATATAAAAAAATAAGTTGTTAGTTTATTAGTTTTTGGGGATAAGAAGAGCAAAACTAATTTACCAACAAAAACAATCACTTTTATTAATATTTGGGAATATTTAGGTTAAAATTCTATAATCATTTCAATAAAAGAAAATAAATATTTGGTTGATTGATTTGGGTTAATTCAGATTTTTTTAATGTAGAGTTTTATTTGTTTTCAAATTTATTTGATTTGATTTGATTTGACTTATTTTTTTCTTATTTATTTATAAGACTCATCATATTGATTAGTTTTCTATATAAAAAGTAATAAATGGTATTTTATGAATTTACTTATGTATATTTTATATTATATTATAAAAAAATATTTTAAATTATTCTTTTCGCACTTCCGCTTTAAAATTTTTATAATTAGCATGTAACCAACTGCGTTTTTGTCTGTTTTTACTTTACTAAAGTAAACAAATTTTTAATATTTTTGTTTCACTATTGCTTGGAGTATTAAGATAGAGTAAGATATTAAGATCATTAAAGCGTTAGGTGTTAAAGCTTGTGAGTATTTTAGTTATAGAGCTTGTGTTTAGTTGCTCGTTGGAATGATTATTAGTAATGGATTTTGATATATTGGCAATTTTTGTAGGAATAAATAAAATAGTGCTATTAGCTTTTCAAATAAACAATTCAATCAATCATCGTCATCTTGTTCAGCTTCAGTGCCGACGATGTTCAAAAACATTTAAAAGAAAACTTTGTCTTCAATCTTCTTTTCCTTTTGTACAATAGATTTCAACTTTTGTAATTTTTCGTTATTTTCAGTGTCTGTGGCAAAGTTTCTGTTGATTTTTATAGGAGCACGTTTTTGTCTTTTTTCTTTTGGGATAGTGGATTTTTAATGAACAGAGTTTATTTCAGAGATTTGTTCATTTGGGTTCACCTTATCAAATCTCTCTTCTTCATCATCTTCACCTTAGCTGTGTCTATGGCTATTGAAGAAATCATACTCGCTGCTGTTAATGTATGCGTGGTTACTACCTTAATGAGCTTAGTGTTGTTGGAGCTTCTTTTAAAATTCATCTGAGTCATTCTCATCACCTGAACCTGAATCGTTTTCCAAGGTTTTTTTGTTAATCTTTTTTTAAAATCTCAAGTTGTTATTGAGCGATTGGGGAGTCTTCTCCTCAGTTTTCTCTGTTTGGAATTGATGATTTAATTGCAAATTATTTTAATTATTGTTGTTTTCTGTTTAATCATTTTTTTTTTCTTCTTCTTCCTCTACTTGTTTTGCTCCTTAATCATTTTTCTTTTCAGTAGCCTTTGTGTCTTTTTTAAGCTTTTATTCAAGCATCTTGCGCTCCCTTTAAAGTTGCTTTTTCCTTTCTTACCTGCTCATCAAAATAAATGCTATTCCTACTGAACCTGTGATGATAAATGGCATGTTACGAGTAACATCATCCCATTTAGGTAACCTATCTATACATTTTTGAACTAAATTCATTGTAAATGTGTTTCCTTTATCAATCAAAATATTATTCATAAAAATCTAATTAAATTTTGATCTCCCAGTGTATTTTATTTGTTTTTCTCACTGAAATAGTCTAAAAAATTTATTCTTAGCTACTTTCTCACTATTTATTGTTATGTTTTTTTTTTTTTCAGATTTATTTTGCTATATTTTTAATACTCTAGCTTGCGTGTTCAATTAAAACAGTTAAAGGCTATCAATTATGAAGTAGTAAAGCAGACCAACTAACTACTTTAATAGATAAATATTTTGTATTATTACAGGTTACCCTTAATTAAAAAAGTAGCTAAAAAGATGTATTTTTTTTAGAATTACGAATATTAAATAGTTATATTTTGTAGGAATCAATAAATTATATCAATTATTAAGGTTTTTTATTCTATTATTTATTCAAATTGCAGCAATTATATTTTTTGGGCAATATTGATTTATTTAGTATTATTTATTATTTTGTTTGTAAATATAAATTATTATTAGAATCGATAAAAGCAATATTTTAACAGATAGAATAAATTGCTGGTTAAATATTTCGTTTAGAAACTTCTTGAATCTCGAATCTTAAAATTAGAATTAATCATAAAATAATTGGACTTATTATTATTGAAATATTTATTCTCAAAACATTTGCCTATATAATCAACTTTATTTTCTTTTATAAAAATTACAGACTAATATGGAAGTTTTATAAAAACATCATTCGAGTATATTTTGGTAGAAAAATAGTATAGAATAAAAGTATTTTACACTGAATATTCTATATTTAATCTTATTTCAAACTTTTTTATAATGCATCTTCTTATTCAAAATGTCTTAAATATAAAATTTACATAAATTTTTCTAAAACAATTTGAAAAGAAATCAGTCTAATTTAAATTCCCTTGCTCAATAATTATTTAATTAATCAATTTTTTAGTTTATCTTTTGAAGTATTCAGATTTCAATATATAATTTATGCCAAATCTGATAAAATTTAACATAATGAATTAATGCATCTATTTGATTTGATATATTTGTTAGCAAGATGATATTTGAATTGAAAAATTAAAAAAGATTGATTGTCTATAGCATTTTAATATAAAATAATTATTTATTAGAATATTAAATAGTTAAAAAATCAATTAATAATTATAAAGAAATTTCTTAAAATTGTCATATATGATTCTTCTTTAATTAAATAAAATGAATAGTTAGATAGATAAATTTAGCAAATATCTATTTGATTTCAAATCATATATATTTCAGATATAAAATAGTTTTATTTTACTTTTATTTAAACAAACTAAATCAAAGAAAGAAAATTTTTAAATTATCGATAAAATTTAATTTGGAATTGAAATGTATCTATTGATTCTATGATTTATTAGCTTATTGATAATTAATTAGACATTTTATATTTTGGTTGATATTTTGAATAATTATATTCTTTTTCCTCTTTATTTGTCTATATCAAAAATTGATAAAAAAGCTGGTAAAACAAGTTTTCTATAAATATCAAACAAAAAAATAGTTTTAAATAAAATAATTAAGTATTTTATTTTTATGCAAACGGAGAAAGAATTAGCTTTATAAATCATAAATATTATAAATGAATTTGAATTTGGATATAATGTATCTTCTTATTTATTATATTTCCTTGATTGAGCTACTTCAATAAGAGGAAGTAGCGACTATTTCTTAGTTCTATTATTTCTATGATTGTATTTAAAGAAATTTAGAAATCTATAAGAAATTTTTGATTTTTAATTAAGTATTATTCAAATAATTATATATCAATTTTTATGAGTCGTATTTGAAGGGAAGCTAGCTGCTACCCAAATTTTATTTGATTTTTTCCTTCCTTAGAAAGATTGATTTTTTATTTGATTAATCAATTAATTATGTATCATGATTTTTTGTAATAGAAACAACATCTTATTTGAAATCAATGTATTAACATATGGAATATTTATTAGCGCGTAAAATAAAGGAGAATGGTTTTTCAAATTTTTTTGAATTTTTGACAATATGAGAGCACCCCCTTTTAAAAAAAGAAAAGCAAATTAAAATACAGTTAAAATGTTGAATATATGCTCTGAAAGAGGAGTTAAATGTATAAAGGTAAGGGATGACATATTTTATGTAGCGATTAAGAATTTTAATTGAATGTTATCCCCACTTTTATTTAAGAGATCAAATTTTATTACAATTTCTTATATTATTTGTTAAGAAAGGTTCTAAAGCACTGATAATAGGGAAGAAAACTGTAATAAAAAATGTCTTATTGAAGGCATTTAAAACATCAGGAGCACTAAAAGGGTACCGATTCAGTCCAAAATGTGATTATAAAATAGAATTTTTGTATAAAATTTTAAAAAATATAAAAAAAGAGAGAGATTTCAAGGTTTTGGGGTTTGAAGCTTAAATATTGGGGAGTCAAAAAATTATAATAAATTAAAAATTACAAAAGAAGAAAAACTGAGAGTGTGAAAAGAATAGAGAGGAATTGATGAATTCAGCTAATTAGCAAAATAAATCTGACGACACTCCAAAAATCCAAAACGTAGTCGCAACCATCAAGATGATTCGTCAAGATGGCAACAGCAGCAAGCAAAAATAGACTTTTGATCTTTAGGAGATTGCGCAAAAGTGTCGTAATACTTAGTACAATCCAAAAAGATTTCCTGCTGTATTCATGCGTATTAAAGATCCCAAAGCAACTGGTTTAATTTATTCTTCTGGAAATATGACAATCGTTGGAACAAGAAGTACAAATGAAAGTCAAACTGCCGCAGAGAGAATTTTCGGTATCATCAAAAAACAGCTCAATGTGGACTGTAGATTTGAGAATAAAGAAGTCCAAGTTAGAAATATAGTCGCCTCATGTAAACTAGGATACCCTGTGTGTCTAGATAAAATACATGATGATAAAGATCATAAGCAATTCTCAACTTATGATGATACATTCCCCGGTTTAATTTATCGCTATATGCTTAATCCTGGTGAGTAAAAGAAAAAAAATAACATTATTGCGTTAGTTTTCGCATCTGGTAAAATGGTTTTCACAGGTGCAAAAAGCTAAGAAGATATTTAGTAAGCATACGATAAAATCAAACCAGAATTTGTTGCCTTTATGAAGAAAGAACCACCATCCAGCAACGCCCAAAATGGTGGTTAATTAGGACAAAATATGGTGCAAAATTGAATTAATTAAGCTTAATGAAACAGCCAACCAATAAATTAACATAACAATCAATCAATCAGCAGACATCATTAAATAAATATATATAATAACCATGATGCGCTATATAAATATAAAAAAATAGATACTCTTATCAATAAAAACATTAATAATTTAATTCATTCTAAATCCATTTATTATCTTTCTCATTCTATCAGCTAGTCCTCTTCTCATTTCTTAGCCAACCATAAATACATCATTATATTTATTTATAAATCCTATTAGTAAATTAATAATTAATCTACAATATCATAGAACGAACAAACAAACAATCATAATAATAAAAATTAATCACTTACTCTAAGCTTTGCAAAGAACCATTTTTCTATTTCTAGCTTTTAATTCGCATTAAATTAATCATAAATTGAGAAAGTTGTTTTGAATCTAGACACAACCATTTTTACATACATACCTAAATATAAACTTACTTACAAACAAACAAATAAACATACATCCAGTAAATCAGCCAACCATCCAACAATGCAAAAATAGCTGAGTACTTTTGAAATAAATATTTATAAACCAATTAAAATAGCATGAAACTCATTATATTTTTTCGCCTCCCTTCAACAATACTAAAACATTATTAAAACAATAATATTTATTTTATTAAAATTAATTAACTTGATTCTGAAACAAAAATAGAAGCACATAATCATATATTTACAAAAAAACTAATAATTACCCAACACTTAAGTACTGTAGTAATTAATTAATAAATAAATAAATTAATATTATTTAACTATCATCTTTGAAGCATTCAGATAAATTATATTATAATATATTTATCTATGCTCAAGACTCCTTTTTTTCTTAAAAATAAATTGCTTCTAATTTCTGGAACAGAACTAATTAATTATTAAGAGAGCATCAAACCAACTATCAAGTTATTAGCAAGAAAATATGTAATAGTGTTCAAATAATTGCAGCTGAATTTGATGTATGTTTCCAAATTTAAATTAACCCATAAGCCTTTTAAACATGTGGAGAGAACTTTTAGCCATACTTAATGGAGCAAATCATTACTCGAATAAATAAATAACGAAAGTCAAATGAAAAATCTTAATTTCTAATTAATTAATTACCATAATTAATAACCTTTTCAATCAATCAATCAAACAAACAAACATACAGACAATAATAAATTATTATTAAATTATTGGCAAGATAAATAAAATATCCAACCATTTTTAAAAAAAAGATAAAACAATAAAAAATCAAATAAACAAACAAAAACTTACTAGCCAGCCAACGTACATATAAGCCCCTTTATTTGTAAAATCCTAAATTTCTTTGTGTATGTAAAAAAGAGACTATTGAAATAATAATTCAATAGTTTCAGAATGTCATTAAATTTATATTCTTTGAAATTACATTAAAATCTATCTTAAACTTATTTATTTATTTATTAACTTAACTTATTTATTTATTTGTTTTCTATTTCTATCTACAAATTTTGAATACCATTTTTTTATTGAAAAGTAAGTTTTTAAATAAAGATGATTTATCTATCTATGATAAAATATAATTAGATATTATGACAGAGATTATAGCTATTTATTTCAGCAAATTAAAATTTAACAGATAATTAATTAGATTCATTAATTTGACATGGATCTTCTATGTTTATGTATGTATGTATGTATCTTATTTTAGAATAGTAAAGGATATGCTATTTTAAAAAGAATTTTCTAAATGCAAATTTTTGATTAAAAATTACCAATATTTTAGAGATCAATATTTATTCTTTAATTAGTACATTCGTAGTGTATTAAAAATTATAATTTTAAATTAGGTTTTACTGATAACAAATGTCTTCAAACGATCAACCAAAGACAATTAGAGACGCCATTAAACTTGGTGTAGAAAATGATATCGCCAAAGCAAAGTACTTCTAAGATAAATCTGAGGAAAGACAACTCGAGAAAATAGAAATTAAGTATTAAAAAGAGATGATATAAAAGCAATTTTTTACTGATGAGAGAAAACCTGAATATGGTGAAGAAATGAGAGTTGCAAAATACGTTGATACTGCTCTTGGTGACATTAAAGCTTTTTTTAAGGGCATCATTGGTGATGACTATGAACCTAAAAATAATTTTTCTTTTTCATAAAAGTAAAAAATATTGAATTATTTGTACTTCAGAAACAAAGCTGATATGGAAAGCCCTCTCAAATATAAATCAGCATATGGTGGTATTGAAGAGTAGGACATGTATATATACACTCTCGAAAACAGAATTTAAGGTATAAATAAGCTAAAATTCGATAATAGAGTTTTGTACATTAACTAAGTCGCTTAATGTCAAAATCGTATCAGATTTAATGGATTCTTTTGGGGAATCTTCGCTTCTAGTATTTGTTGGGGTACTTTTATGAGAAAATAATCAATTATAAGAAAGGTCTGTCTGACTTTAACCTTCACGCATATAGGAGGTAACTATTAAAAAAAAATAATTTTTTTGTTTAGCATACAAGATTTATATTTAAAGTATTTTATAGTTAATTATTATAATTAAGCAAGCTTACTATTAAAATAAGAGAAGATTAAAGTTTAAACTATAAAATAATGATAATATAATTTATTTTTTAATTTTATAATAGGTTAAATAGCATCATATAGAAGCATCGATAGAGTATTTGATTCATTGTATCCAATATTCTTGAAAGACTATGATCAATTCTTCATTGATGAAGAAAATAGAAAGAAAGAACATGCAGAGGCTGGTGGTATTAAAACTGATGAAATATAAATTATGATAGAAGAAAATATGAAACAAATAAGGAAGGGCAAGAAATTAGCTTAATAAAAAGATGAAGAGTATTTTGAATGAAATCATATAGATTTTATTTATAAAAAGGGATAAATAGGTTGACATTCTATTTCTCTAATTGATTAAATAACAATAAATAGTATCAAACTTCTTTAACTGTTTAAATTTATTAGATAATTAATTATATATTTCTTTAACTAATTTATACTAATTGTAAATATGTATGTGCATCTAAACACTTTATATATATATATATTCATTGCAGTTTTTATTCATCCATTTTCAATTTAATTCAAAAGGAGAATCCTTTCATAAACTCTTTTTTAAGGATTTTCTTAAATATTTAATGAGAAACTTACAAGACTGTTAATTGATTTTGCTTTATCAAACTGCTTAATCTTAAAATAATTGGCATATTTCCTGTATGTCTTGTTAAAAGGACGGATGCACATTAAATTACTTGATATATTAAAAATTTTAAAAAGTATTTAAGAATAATATGTTGAATTTAATCAAATTACTTGATGCAGATAGCAAATTCATATCTGGGAAGTTCTTTATGTACAAAAAATCTTCGTAGAGGGCCTCAATTAGCTATATAGATATCTTAATGAACACTTCTAAGGTATTTGAGGCTACAAGAGGGTCAAGTAGTTTTAGAAAAATCATGACTTTGTCAACTAATAGCTCATCTCTTAGTGTGATTTAGAAATTAAATGAAGTTAAAACTGTTTATTGAAATTAATTTTAAACTTACTTAAAAGTTGATTAAATTAAATTTTTATTTATTTACTTTTGTTTTCTGTTTTTAGGATATCTAGTGGTATTTATCATTTTAAAGTAAAATATTATAGCTATAAGATAATTAAATTCAATTTGTTTACCTTGTTTGGTGTATGAATAATTAGATATGTAAATGATATTATCTGCACATATCTAACATTTCTCATATAACTTTCAATTTTAATAAGAAGTCTTATTATAAATATAATGTTTACTTATAAAGTTACCTTCGATGAAAGCATCAGACAAACGAGACACACTAGCTACAAGTCACTCTTCAATTCACTATAATTTAAAGTGTTTCATTAAAAAAGATTAAGAAAATGAATAAATACTGTGGATTCCTCTCTAAGTAAAAGTGAAATAAGTGGATAGAATGGAAATGGACAATCGTCTCTACTTCAAGCAGTTCTGAACATTAAAAAATGTAAGCAATCAAATCTGCTGGAATATTAATATTTGACTTTTTTACATATTCCTCATGACGCTTTTCATTCAAATTGTGCTTCAAAAACTCTATATTTAATTTGAAGTATTTGTAAAAAAATATAATATCTTTGAAAATTGGAGTTTAATATAGGTAAGATACCTGTAACTTTAATCCCAAAGAGGGATGGAACAGACCATACAAGTTAAGAACAAAATTAAAATTATTCAAAATTTTAATGATGGTTCATTTTCATAAAACAGCAAGCACTATTTTAAATATTTATCAAATAAACACAAACGAAAAATATAGTTTTTGGTTAAAAAATTAATTATTACTTTATAATAATTAATTTTTCTCCTCTTAATTTTGAAAAAGCAGCCATTAAATCTTACTAAATTTAAGTTGAAAAATAGTTAATTAAAATTTATATGATTATTTATTTTACAATAATCCTAAATATTTGTGAGAAAACAAACACATAAATTATACATAAAATTTAAACAAAAAAATTTATTAAAAGACGTTATTTAAGAAATAAAAGTTCGGCTATTTTTTATTTATTTGTGTTGCGTATAAAATCATCTAAAAATTAGATTTTTTAAAAAGTTAAATTTGATTATTTGTCATTATATCAAAAATAATTAATTAATTTTTAAAATCACCTATTTTTTTTAATGCTAGAATTTAGATCAAACTAAATAATAAATAGTAATGATTATCTACTTGAGGTATTTATTAATTTATTCTCTCTTTATCCTTGAATTTAATAAATCAGTTAAATATATTAAAAATTCATTAGAGTATTTCTATCAATTTTTTAAAGGAAGGTAATTTACTCTAGAGTAGAATTTAGTTGATACTATTTTGTTATATTTTCTACTTAATTGACAATATAAATTATAAAAATACAGTAAATTTATTACCCCAAACAATATGATCAGTATTTGTCGCAAATATAAAAATTCACCAATTTATTTAGCTTTTTAAAGAAAAAAAAATTTAAAAAAAAGTCAAGCTAATTTGGATAGGAAATTTGTTAATATGATTAATTAATTTGTGATAAACAGTAAAAAAATATATTTGAAAATGTTAAATGCTGCTTAGCGAGCGAAAATGAAAATATAGAAAAGAAAGTGATTATAAATGTTAAAAATAATTAAAAATAAAATGTTGTTATTAGTATTTATTAAAATATTGTTAAAAAAGGCTACACAGTTGCCATTCGATCAATAAAATGAACAAATAGAATGAAATATTTATTTCGAATGATCGATTTAAGAGTAAACACCTTAATAACTATATGGTAATTAAGAATATTTGCAGTATCAACGAAAAAAAATATTTATATTAATGAAATGAATCAATTGGTTTTTAATTTTGATTTCAATTTTTTTTGATATTTTCATAATAATAATAGTATGTTTGTAATTTAATTTATAGTAATATATATTATTATAATTTGCTTTAGCTTGGATTGATTTCTCTATATTATTAACTTTACCAATGACTGCAAGCAGCCGATAATTAGATAAATACATTCACTTAAGATTCATAAAAAAAATACAAAAAATTATGTTATTACAAAGTAAAAAATTCCGTTTAATAAAGAACATACAGGTTTTAATTGATAATAAGCATAGAATATCATATAAAAGGCAAAAATTAAAGGTTAATTCTAGGCTCAATAGCTAAACAAATCCAACATAAGATAAAAAAGATGAGTAGCTATTAAAACATATGCCACTAAAATCCGTCGCATTATACTTATCAGCTAGTAAATTAATAGTAAGCAAACTATAAAACTTCTCCTATTAAAAATGACAAATGCTCGCCCTGTACCTACTTTGATGATTCTGTTGAGCAAGAAAATTTTTAAGCATAAGATGACTACAATATGGATAAAATACAATTTTAAAATTAGGATTGCAACAATTATCTTCATAATATCAGCAATCTGAATTTAGAAAATGAATCTACTGTTCTAAAAGATGACAATTATATTGATTAAAATGTAGACTAAGAAAATCTATCATTAAGTAAGCTACTCTCTACTAAATTCATAAACTTTTTTATTATTATGGCAAGTTTTCATATTAAAATATATTAATACTTTTTCAATATAAAACAGTGATGGAATCAATTCCTGTCATAAGAGAGCTTATGGTGCTAGCTGAAGCTGATTCAAACGGAAAGATTTAGTTTAACAATTTTTTTAAACTCCTAAAAAAATTGAAAATATGCTCAAGTCAAGTAATTATTAGATCAATTTATTAATTTACATACAAAAACTTAATTGAATGAAACAATAGCTCAAATACATGCATGCAAATAAGAAACATAGAAAAAATCAAAAAATTAAATATCCAATCAATAAATAGATAGATAACAAAATAGGATGATAAGTATTTTCAAAAAGCTACTAACGAATATAAAATGAGTTAGAAATAAGTTTTCCATCAATTTTTTTTGTTAATAAATAAAATAATATTAGCAATTAAATTAAAAATGGGATCTAATAAACAATCTAACAAAATATATAATTAATGAGTAACAGAATGATTAACTGATTAAATAACTAAAATATAATTTAAATTTAAAAAAAAATACAGATTGCTGAATACTTAACATATACATAAATTAATGTTTTACTTTAATTTTTAACATTAAATACTTTTTTAATCCATATTAACATGTATCACTATAAAAATTAAAACAGGTTGAAGCTCAAAAAGTCTTTATACGTATTAGTGGTCAGAGTTATGACTTTTGCTCTCATGAATGTAAATTATTTTTAACTTTAATCTTAATTTAAAGAACTCAGGATGTATTTTTAACCACCAATTTATCAGAGTTTTGTCATTCATGAACAAAATTTATATTTAATATTTGATAGGATTTTTATAAAGTTAGTTTAATTATCGAATTTATTTATTTATTAATTAATATATTTTTTTTATAAAAAATTAGAGTTTTTCTTGTTTTTTAGTAAGGAATTAAAATCTTTAAATTTAACTGAAATAGCAACCACAGAATTACTGCTAAGACTTGGTATTTATTATTCATTTTAGAAATTAATATAAAAAATAATTTTTAATTTTAATTTTACATTTATTAATTGCTAACTGATTGATTGATTATTTAGATGATTTTATAGTCTTCTATAAAATTCCTACTAAAACTAAATGTTAATTTAAATAAAATTAAAAAAAAAAGTTTTGGAGTTTTTCAGAGTATTAGGAAAGGAGAAAGTTTAATTAGATTTAAGAGATTTAATGATCTACAGCAAAGCACATTTAGATCTTGATTTAGACTTTGTAAAATATTATTTATGATTTTACTAATTATTTGATTTAAAGTATTTTTTGTATTATTTTGATATTTTGACTGAAGGAAGAACTCACACAGTCTTTATTATTTAATAGTTTTACTGGAAATATATTATTTATTTTTAATTAATTAACAAAAATATGAAAGATTAAATAATTTGTAACCTAAATAAAATGTCTTATATTTATTTTCATAATTATATAGATATAACTTCTTGAAATTTTTGAATTCTATGATAATATTTATACAGGAGTCATTAAAAAAAAATAGTCTATAGTATAATTCTTTTAAAACTGTGCTCCAAAGATTACTAAAGTTATAAGTGATCGCTTTGTTTATCAATTAGAAGATTTTTTATAAAACCAAAGACCAAAGCTAGACACTTCTACTACTCTTAAACTAAAAGTTTATGACGATAAAGAAGTAAAGAGTGGTTAAAAAAGGGCATTAAACACATTTGACATTAAACAGGAAAGAGAAAGTATTTAGGGATTGCTTAAGAAAAATTTCAATCTTAACTTTGAAGTTGCTGTTGAGGAAAATAATGATAAAGAAAATCAAGTAGAAAATGAAATAGAAGATTATTTTTAAGAGAATCGCCCTAAAAATAAAGGTTGGCTACAAAGAAAAAGCAAGAAACATCAAAATAAATGGTCAAATTTATTCTTTTACATCTACCACGATAACTCACACTTAGTTTCTATCAAACCCACTTCTCTTAAAGTAAAATTATATCATTTTAAAGCTGATAATACATTTATTTTAGATTAATCTTACATTTTTTATATTCTTAATTTAATTAATAGAGAGAAATAAGCTGCCTCAATATAGAATTATTTAAATGCAATTTCATAGAATTGCTAGATTATTAGGAAACTAGGAAGGCAAATATGGAAAGAAGAAAGCTTAGAAACAAAAATTTTATGTCAATGACAGAAGGAGATAAATTAAATACTTACAACAACTCTAACGATGCATCAAAAATGTCTAATTCTAATCTTCATACATAATCAATTGCAAGAAAAAATGAATTATAAAATTTCTTTTTATTCGATAAATCCTCTAACAAAAGTTATTTAATAAGATCAGAGGAAAGTATTACTATAATGAGCATTATTTCCTTCCACAACAAAACAGTAGTCCTTAATGAAAAGAATGATAAAGATTTAAATACTAAGCTATAAAACTTTCCTGAGTACTATAGATAATACTCTGGTATAATTGAAATTGCAATGTGCGATAAAAAATCAATTAATATATCTTACACGAATCTCAACCAATTTTCTTTCAAAAAATAATATCTTGTCATAGATTAAGGTAAATTAATAGCTTTCTATGGTTTATTATATAATATATTATTTGATATGAATTAATAGGTAAATGTAAAATATATAACATCAAACAGAAAGATAAAATAAATCTTATGGAATACGAAATTAAATTAGATCCAAAATTACCTCATACTCCATCATGTCAATATTCTTTTATGCTTGAAAAAACTGTCAAGCCAGATTAAAATAACAATGAAGATGAAGCTAAGAAGAAAGAAGAATAAATACAATCCTAGCATTCTTCAGTAGTTGTTTTCAACCCTTCAAATAATACGATAAATAATGAAAATAATAAAATGTAAAATAAATTAAGTATAAATCTAGGAGAAAAAAGCTTAAAAAATGAAATTACTACTAATATATTAAGTCCTAAAGTGTTATAATATAATTGCTAATAATAACAAACTCCAAATGGTCAGTAGCAGAGTAGCAAATAAGGATTCTTTTCAAAAATTCTGTAAAAAATCTATAAAAAAACTCCAGATCGTTTAATAATTGCTGCTGATAGCGAGTATAAGCGCAAATAATGGATTTTCACCATTAATTTCCATAAAACCATGTTAGTTAGAATGAAAAAGAAGAATAAAGCTAGCTTTTGTTACTACCAAAGTTTCAACACAAATTAATTCTTTAGTAATCTAAATACTCAAGAAAACGAATTAAATTAAAATTTGCACACTTTAAGTATTCACAATAACTTGAATATTAATTCATAAACATTAAATGGATCATAATTAAATAATATAACTCACTAGCAACAACTTGCTTTAATTAAAAATAAAAGATAAAATAACCGCTCTTAATTTGGTAGTGGAGATTATAAATAAAATGGTCAAGCTTAAAACAAAAACAATTTAAAGCTAAGTGAAGTGGAAGGTGATAATGATTACTATGATATTTTTGCTTAAAAAGATGTTGTAGAGGAAGTAAAAGAGGAAGATGATGAACACAATGATGATTCCCCAAAATAAGCATTCAAATATAATCCCAACGATTATTAAAACAAAATTCATTCAACTTAAGCAGCTGCACATACTTAAATGCCTTAAAATATTTATCACACTCGTTAAGGTTCACAAAATTAAGTCTTGAATACAATTAATTCTATGAACAATCCTTAATACACCTCGAATATCCAAAAACAGTCAATTCTTAAAAGTAAACTTTTTAATATTATCAAATTACAATAATTTTTAAAGCTAAATTCAAGATTTTTATTTAAATAAGCTAAATAAAATTTACTTTAAACTAATTGAAAAAAATTATTTTTGATGAAATAACAAAAAAATTTTAGATTTTACTTTAAAAATTTATCAACTTTTGATGAAATAAAATTGAAATTGGATTTAAATAAATAGTTTTTATTTTATTGAATATACTTTAAAAATAAAAAATTATTTAATTAAATAAAGCAACTGAAGAAAATATGTACACAATGAGCTTTCCTTAAAATAACCCTCTATTTAAAAAATCGATTGTTATGTTTGATAACAATAAACTAATAATGAATTCAAAAGAAATAAAAACTTTTACTGATGAAGAAGTGTGGTAAAAGTTTATAAAGCATTTTTTGGCATTTAATCATTAATACAGTGAAATAGATTTATCTACTTAAGGTACTTAAGTGGGTGCAGATAATATTCATGCAACAGTGAATAATTGTTCTTACCTAAAATCGACTAATCACACATAACCTTTGTCAAAAAGTACACCTTTAAATAAGTTTTTGAATCATAATCAGTTTATTTTTAATGGAGTTGAAAATCATTATGAATAAACAATAGAATAAAATAACCAAAGTTTAGAAATTTAAAATAAAGTAAATATAGACTTATAATAAGAGAATTAATTTAATGAACTGCAAAGTTAGAGGTATTTACAAAAGTAAAATATGACAGGAACTCGTTTCTAAGAAAGTTCTGTTTTCGAAGAATTCGAATAAGAGCATATTGAACCTTGTGCTTAGAAAATAAATTTTAGATAAATAGTTATTCAAAAGTAATTTTGAGAACAATATTTAAACAATCAATCTTTACAAATGTATTATTTTTTTAAATAAACAATATTAAAATAAATATAAAAATTAGATTTCTATTTATTAAAAAAAATCTACGATAACTTGATAACTTGATTTCTTTCAAAATTAAAGAAATACAAAATAATAATGTACATAATAAAAACAAAATAAATACTAAATAATTTTTCCTAAACAAATAATTTAAATGTTTACTTTATATAAAATGTTAAATGTGTAATAAATGTAATATCTATTTTATTATATACATGTTTTGTCTAGCTTTTTGATGTTTACTCTTATTATAATATTACTTTTACTTTCATATTTCTTTGAATTTGATATATTTTTAAACTTTTTTATATTTGTTGATATTCTTCAATTTTTTAATATTTAAAATTAAAAGTAAAATTTATGAGTTATTTAATTAAAATAAATAATATTCTTAATAATTTATTAATTTTAGTTGTTCATAAAAATCAACTCACTATTTTAAAAATAACAGTAAAATTAACTCAAAAGTATCATTTTAATAAATAATTTAAATACTTTTAACAATTAAAATCAAATTAATTAAACACACTCAAATTTTGCTCAATTATAAAAGTTAACACCATAACTTTGATATAAAATAATTATAAAAATATCCAATATGATTCATCTATTTATATTTCTATTTTAAACATAAAATAAAACGAAAATATTTATCTTTCATTCAAAAATTAAAAAAATAATAAAAATTATAAAATTTTCTAGATTTTAAAGAAGGCTTGTTAGACGATGATCCAGAAAAAAATAATATAAACTTGCAAAATATTAAAACTAATTTGTTTAATTTCTTTAGAAATATTTAGAAATAATATTTTATTTTTTTTGAAAAACTAAAATCTTAAATTTAAGAATTCTTTGCTTTTTTTTATTTAAAACTTAATTATTAAGTAATAAACACAATTTTTAGATTTATTTAAATAAAATATAAATTATTTACTACTTTTTAGAATTCGAATAAAAAAATTTTAGAAGGTAATGATAAATAAATCAATTTAAAAAATATTATTTTTTAATTTTTAACAAAATCTTCAAAAATCAATTAATTTTATCTTATATTTTATTTTGAGGCATTAGATAATTTTATTACGATGGATTTTTACAAATTAGATACAGAATATTCTTGATTTAATGATTGAATTGGCTGATAAAAATTTGATAGGATATAAAAGAGATGACTAATTAATTAATTACAAAAACCAGAAATTATTAAAAAATTTTAATAAATTAATAAATTATTTAATTATTAAGAAAAAGTACTCAAATTAAAACTTATTTTCATATAAAGTAAAATTAAAAATGTCAGATTTGAAAGATAAAGCAGCTTAATTACTCTTTTCAAAAATATCGGACATAGACACTATTTGTTATGATAAATGTGTTAGCACTCCCTAAAAAAAGTTAAATAATAATGAAGAATATTGCTTAAGTAATTTGAAATTACATTTTTACAATTTATTAAACAGATTAGAAATATGAATTAATTAATTAGTTGCTTGATTGCTTGCTTTTTAAAAGTTATGAATTCCAATTAAATAATTTTATGATTTTATTATTAATAAACAGAGTCATGCACTATAAAATTGATCAATGCTTTAAATTTCATGCATACTTTAAATGAAAATGGTGGAGTTGATAGAATTCAACCTTCTAAGTCCAATTACTGATTGAAAGTAGAAGAAGATAAAAAAAACAAAAACTCTATTCGCATATTCAATTTAAATTCATATATCTATAAATTAAATTTATATTAAATGTACATAGTAAGACATGAAATGGTTGCCTAGCTTAGATACATCTAAAATCTTCCTTTTTTAAATTTACTATAACTTTGTGAAAGTAATTTATAAAAATAAGCATTCATACAAATTTATGTTAGTATTTCTATTGCTGAGTAGATATTTCGATTACTGCCAATTAAAATTTATTTTTTTCTCAATGAAAATTATTTGCCTGTTGTAATCAGTATTCGAAAAATTTAATATTCTAGAATTAAAGGAATAAATTAGAATAAAAACTTAAAAATATTTATTTTCTCTCTTGATTTATTTTTTCAAATCTATCTTCAAAGTATAATCAAACAAACAAGATAAATCAATAGCAGAAATTAATTAATTAATTAATTTTTTATCAAAATCTTTCTTTTTGTTTCTCGAATATTAAAAATAAAAATATTAGCAAGTAATCAAACACAAATCATGATATGTATCAACAAAGTTATAAAATTATGTCAAGAAATTTAAAACAGATTTAAAGCAGTTAATTTGTATTAAAAAAAATAAATCTTAGATTGTTAAATATGAAAATCGTTTAAATTTTAATTTTAAAAAATTATCCTTTTTATTTGGAATAGTCTTTGAATGCATAAATAGTTTGTTTATTTATTTATTTTAATTTGTACAAATATTAATTTATCTTTGTAATTAAATATTAATACACTAGAAATAATTGTATTTAGGAGTTTAATTACTTTTTGAATCAAACTTATTACTAGTTTAATGGCTAAAGAGGAATGTTTTAATAGTTTTAGTTATTATATTAAGCTGGTGGCTATTGATAGTATTGCTGAGGAGGCTATTATTAGTAATATTACTAAGGAGGTTAATAGCTTTACTAAGGCTAATATTATTAATAGTTGCCTTGATAGTTTTGTTATTAGTTATTGGAATTGTTTTTAATGTAATTTTAATAAATGTAATTTGCTAAAAAGGCTCCAATACCAATTACTAATAGCATTATAACTAATTTACCAAAGCCACTAAATGTACCACTTTTTATTTGATGACCTTCTTCGTCTTCTGGCTACAAATTAACAATACCAATAGCTTGTCTATCATAGTCAAATATGTTATATGTCTATCTCATAAAAACATCTCCTAATATCCACATATTGTTAATGCCCATATCAGGAAATTCAGCTACCAAGTATACACAAAAACCATCTTAATACATGATGTAATATTCTGGTAAAATATTAATTATTTGGTCATTATTATCAACATCTGTAAAAGTTAAACTAATTGTTGGGAAATTAGGTATTTGTTTCTAATTACACACACATATAAGCAATCCAAACTCGAAGCATCCTTTATTGCTTGATTTTTCTAATACCGTCCTATTAAATGCTTAATAATCAGCTGTAGGCATATGAATCAAACTAGTACCAGTGTCGATCAAAGCTAATCTTAATTCATTTTTGCCATTAAAAATGTCTTACTTATTATATCTTGCTGAACGCATTTTAATAGCCCAATAACTTTTGCTTACAACCTAGAAATAATTTATACTGTCTTCACTTATTAACTAATCATCATATCCACCTAATATTAATTATGAATTCTTATCTGTTGCCATGTTTTGTTGGTCTTTTGAATACTAACTTAAATCAATTGAAGAAAGCTTAAAAGAAAATTAATTTTTTTCTATTTTTTTCTCCATATACAATTTATTAACTAGACTGTCCTTTTTAGATACACCCATTCCCATTATTCCATCACTCTAAATTTAATTTTAAAACAAATATTTTATATTAATATATTAGCATATTAATAATATTTTACCTAGAATCCATCTAAATCTTAAGCTTAAAAGACAGAAAGAAAAGGGTAAAAAGTAGACTTATTACCTACAGTGATTAAATCTTTCGAATTATATCCTTTCACTTTGCCTTAACCGTATGCAATATCTTAAGTTGTATTAGAACAAGTATTTGTTTGACATGTATATCTACTATTTGCAAAAGTGCATTACTAGCATTAATCCTAAGGTAACCAAAGCTGATTCGAGCCTGTATCAAAAAGTACTGTAAATTACTAATTTGATGATCCAACTTTGATTTAACCAATATATTAAAAGTTAATAAAATTTGTGAGAGTCACGATTTCTTTGAATGTAGAATAGCTTCTATGAATATTTTCTTCTATTTCTTGAGGTGTTGATGCTAAATTTAACTTATTTATCTATGCTTTATTTTATTTTTCGAACTTTTAAATTATTTGCTAAATCTTTTGATTCCTAATTTTTTAAAATTCTCCAGATGTTACACTCTTTATATCAAATTTTTATCTTAAGGTATGTACAAGATCAATTTCTACCTTTTCTGAGCATGCTACTTAGTTAAAAAAGATGGATGCTAAGGCAATTAGTATAAATAGTAACTTTTAATTCATCTTTTTTGTAGAAAAACAATTAATTAATTTTTAATTTATAATATTAATTGTAATACTAAAAATTAAGAATTTTAATATCTACAAAAAGTATCCATTGATTATTAAAGGTAATATAGACAATTTAAAATATAAAAATAAACACTTTATTAGAAGATATAAAATAGATAGGTAGTACTAGCGCACATTTGAACCTTTAAACTTGTAATTATTGTTAAATCTTAAATAGGTTTGTTTATTTCTTTGCATTCCAAAATAATAAAACCCAGACATTATTTTCATGTATTTAATAATATTAAATGAAACTAATCTCATTAATTTTTCTTTAAATTTTGGTTTTCATCTTTGTTCAAACCCTAAAAAATAATACTTTAAATCCAAAAACCTACAAATTTAACCAAAAAAAATAAAATAAGTAGCAAGTTAAATTGACTATTTTTTCAATTTAATAAATAAAATAAAATAAAAATAGCTTTTGAAAATGGAAAATTTAAAATTAAATTTTATTTTTTAATATTGATTAAAGATGTTAACATTGAGATAAACTGTTGGATAATTTAATTATTCTTAAATATTTCTACTTATTAAAAAATACATCATAATATTTTTTTTAAATAACTAATAAAAATAGTAATTAGATTTTTACACTTAAAAATTATTTTTATTTTTCTAATTACAAAAAAAAATATTTGGATTTAAAGTATTTAAAAGTTAAAAGGTACCATTAATTAATTAATTACTGATCGTTATTATCTCAATTAATTAAAATAGATTTTTACAAAAATTTAAAATAGTATTTAATTGAAATTAAATTACATAATCAATCAATCTATAAGAAAACAACTAAAGTTGCATTCTTAAATTAAACAGATACATAAAGGTTTGCAGAAAATAAGATAAATAATTAATTAAAATATTCTAAACTTGCACTAATAATTTTAGAATTTAAAATCCAATTTAATAAATAAATAATTGAATTTCAATAGGCTGAACGTATTTTGAATACTAAAAAGAATCTTTCATTAGCATCTTGAGTAACTATAGCTACACGAATAGAATCATCAGCATTATTACGAATGATTTGCATTACAGGGGAACAGGAAGGAGCCCATTCGTGATATAATCTTTCATCAATCATTAAACCATTATTAATAGGAGAGATTGGGTTAGACAAACGAAGGAGCTCATCACTTGATCCACAACTTAATAACATATAGTTGCTTTTTTTGTTATCGAATGGGTTTTCAAAAAGAATTAATTCTGAGACTATAGTTTAATGTCCAACGATTTCTCTCTCCAAAGTATTGTTAGCTAAGTTCCAGATTTTGATTTTGGAGTCAGAGCCACCAGTGAATATGATGTTAGGATCCATATGAGAAGAGTTTATACTGTAAACATGGCAAGTGTCTTCAATTGACTTTTAGAAGGTGAAAACATCTAATACTTTACGTTGTAAACCTACATTAAATACATGAGTTAATCCCCAAACTTTAATTGTTTTATCACTTGAACCACTCAAAAGCATACTACCATCTTTTGAAATAGTCATGCAGTTAACAGGTCCACCATGTTCTCTCATTTAAGCCAAAGGAACTCCATTAAGAACATCCCAAATAATTATTGTGCCATCCTATGAAGAACTTAATAAAGTTCTACCATCCTTGACACTGATTAAACTGGTAACAGTTCCAGTATGACCCTTCAAAACTCTAATTGGGGAATGTTTTTATATATCCCAAACAATAACTTAATGGTCTCCCATACCACCTCCTGATGCCAAATATAAAAGTTCCTTTTCTTTCTCATTTTGTTAACGATCTATTTATAAAATTATTAATGATAAATAATTAATTATTTTGTTCTTTTTTAATTAATTATTTTATTATAAATTATTATTTTTGCTTGTTATTCATTTTTTAATTTAATCTTTTTTAAAATAATTTATTTAAAGCTATTTATTTGTTAAAAAATTGCTTGCTTGCTTGAATTTAAATTAAAAAAAAATTACTTTGCAAAAATTTGGCTAAATTTGAGCCCTTTTAGCTTTTTCCAATGTTCATTTCTGAAGGGAAAGCTCTAAATCCTCTAAGAGCGTTAACTGATGACTAGTGATAACCTTGGAGACTAGCTAAATGCTTATTTAAAGTAATATTCCAAATCTTAATGGTTGAATCTTTAGAACCTGTAGCTATAGTATCTTCATTAAGAGCAAACAAACACAAAATTGAGTCATTATGTGAAGTTGAAAATTTAGCTTCGATAGAAACTTAAAGACCCTTTTGAGGTCTGTAATCACCAATAACTGATGTTCTATCTTCAGAAATAAGGGATGTGATAGTTGGACTTACCTAAAAATTAAAAAATATCCTTATTCAAAATTCCTTAAATTCAAATTCAAAAATAATTAATTATCATCATGATAAAATTTCTTATTGTTGATTCGAAGTAAGTAATAAAAAATGAAATTTGAATAATAATTTACTGTCATATGTCTAAACTCAGGGAATTAAGTTGCATATGCTAAATGATTTAAGTTTCTAAGATTTTCACTTAAAGAATTGATAATGTTCATCTTGATTTCTGTTAATAGAAGTTAAGAAGTTTCGGAGTGATTGTAAAGAGGTAAGTGGAAAGATTGCTTAGATAATTCATCAGAAAGGAAATTCAAAAGCTTCTTTTCTACTTCCTTTTCGATGTTGTCAATAGTTGCTTGAAGCTTGCACTTTTCATCCCTCAATTTGACTATAGTGTCTGTAGCTACAGGATCTCTTCCATAATAAGTAACCATATTCAAAGTACTAATATTCTAGTTAGGTGCAGAAGTGTTATTCTTATTTGAAACTAAATAGGATTTTTCTTTGAAGTAGGTAACTCTTTCCTTCAAATTAGAATAATTTTCTTTATAACGATTTAGAAAGTCATCAAATTTAGAATGAAGTGTCTGACGTTGTTAATTGAACATTTCAACTACATCACTAATGGTTTAATCGAAATCTATATCAATTTTCTTCTTCTCTTTTGCAATGTGGGCTTCCATTTTTTGAACAGCCTCATCTTCTTCACCAATGGCCTAAGTTACAGAACGAGGAAGAACTAAATGTTACAAATCTTGAGCAAATTATCTATTTTATATTTATATTAAAAGATTGAAATGGGTTTTATATCCAATTATTAAAAGTCTCCATTTAATTATTTGCTAAATAAATGTTTTTCTATTATTTAATTTATTTCCAATTACCTTGAGGAAACGGTGCTTTATCCCAAATTAACATTTTAACTCATGAAGAGTTGATTGCCTGCTTTTCTATCACCCTTTCCTGAATCATCTTATCCAGGATTAAGCTTTTGTTGTATCTAATTATTAGTTGTATTGAGAAGTTGATTTCCTCCAACCAAATGGCTATTGAATTTGCCACCAGCAGCTCCACTTGGAGCAGTGGAATAAAAAAGTGGGTTATTAATTTTTCTTTCTGGTACTCCTTATTGAGTGTTGCTTACTCCTCCTATTTGTTAATTGCTAGATTGAGGAGGTTAAATTAATCTAGGATTAGCTACTATTTAAGATTAGTCAAGAGCTTTGTTTAATATAGTAGAGTTAGTCAATGATGATGCACTTAAATTTGGTTTTGAGGTAGGATTAATCTTATTTTTGTTATTCGACATCATGACTGATTCGCTTAAGCTCTAATCTTCTCCACCAATAGTACTTTGAGTCATGATAGGATTTCCATGCTCATCTTTTTTAACTGCCCTCTTTATTTTAATCTTTTTATTTTGTAAATCTTTAATCTTCGAGCCGAAATCGAACTCTTCGTAGATAGTGTTCATCATTTTTGTAAACCTAAACAAACAAACAATAAATAAATTCTTTCTTTCTTGCTTTACTTTCTATAAATTTTTTGTCAATTTTTATTAAATTTTATTATAAATAAAGAAATAATTCCCTTTTTTGATAATTTAAAATATTTAAAATGATAGAATCGCTCAGCTGCTCTTTCTAATAAAAATATAAAATATCAAAATTTTTATCCTGAAAATGAACACATGAAAGATATTTTATTAAAATAATCAGTAATTTTTCATTTTCTATTTTTCACATTATAAAAATCTGATCTAATAATTAATATAAAATAGAAGATAAAAGTTATCTTTCTTTTTAATCATCAAACAAACTAGTTGATTTATTTTTTGTCTATTATTAATTAATAAATCTCTCTTTAAAATATTTTCTATTTTTTACAAGTTATTTTAATATATTTTGACAATCAAAATATAAATTGAACTTTACTAATAAGATTTAATTCTAAAATAATTAATTTCTTATTTAAAATTTCTGTGAAATAAAAAAGTAAGAAAGAATTTGTTTGTGATTTTGAATTAATAAGTCCTTAAAAACAATTTGACTGACTTAAATATTGAAAATTAAATATTTTTAAATAAAATCAACAAAAATAAATTAAAAATTAAATGAAGATAGAGATCAATTTATTGAGAATTACATATAATTCTGTTAATTATTTAAAAAATAAAATTTATATCAATAAATATTACCAAAATTCTATGTACCAAATTTAAGTAAATTATAAATAGAGTTTGCTGCAATTAATATTTTTAATAATCATTTGGTAGCACTTATTTATAATTAATCAAAATTAAAGAGAATTATATTGTTAAAACCAAGAAGCTCAATAGAAGTAATTTGAATTATGTTTTTTTATTTAAAAAAAAACTTTTCTTTTTAAATAATTTGAACTTTCATAAAGATGATATGAAATAAATTGATAATAACTATAAAATGTTTTTAAATGCAAAATTTCTAATTTAAATTTTTATTCCTTTAATATAGCATAATTTTCATTAATTAACTCCTCCCTAATACCCATTTATAAGAAACAAATAAAAACTTTTCCTCAGGTTTTCGGTTGGGCATATATTTTGAGGAATTATGGTATATTATTATAATTATCAAATGCACTAAAATAAATATATGTATTTTCCATACTTTTTAAGAAATCTTTCTCACACATAAATAGCAATGCTTTTTAATTTTAAGTTAGTATATTAAAAATTAATCAAATTTTATAAATTTATAATTTACACTAATAAAAAAGATTTTTTTTTTAATAAGATATTCAAATTATTTTAGATGAAAATACTTTTTATTAGAATTAAATCTTTTTTAATAAAAAACTACTATTTTGATTTTTAACGACTTTTTATTATCGAAAAAGCTTCATAGTAATAACAATTTTTAATAAAATTAGCAATAATGCCAATAAATTGTAAATGAGATATTAATATGAAACATAATACTTTTGAGAATATTTTACTATATTTGTGATTAAAATAACTCTCTAAACAAACACCTAAATTCTTACATTATATTCGTTTGAAAATTTATAAAAATATAAATTAATTTGATTTGAAAGATAGAAAATAAATTTTTTTTTTTTTTAAATTAGTTAGTTAATTTTTTATATAAAGAAGATTTCTTAAAATAGATATTTATTTATTCTCCTAGTTCAATTTTAGTTATCGTAAACAATAGAATCTTGAGATTCTTCGTCGTCTTATTTAGGTTTAGTTTTAGGTACTGATTTAAATTAAGATTCTGTACTTTAGAATCTGCCTTCCATATAATTATTTTCTTCTAACATTTTATGACTTAAACTTACAAGCTGAGTTCTAGAGTTTACAAATTTCTAATTAAAATAATTTATTTAGACATATTTATTTTTATTTTTTATATTATTTACTTGCATAAAACTTGGCAAAGGAGAATTTGGATCTCTTTCTCTGGGTAATTAACGCTTGAAGTCTGGGCAAGTGGTACTTTTTTTGAAAATGAAATAAAACTTATTTATTTAATGATTATTTTTAAATGAGTTTTTACTTTCTAAATATAACTGATTTAGTTTTATAGTTATCGAAATCGTAGAAATTTTCATTATGAGTTAAAGCAGCCTTATGGAATGGCCTACGAGAAGGTATTTTTTGGAAAAGTGGGCCACTACTTCCTAAACCTCTTTTACCAAACTCGTAGTTGGGGTGATAATCTGGTGCAAATTCTTTATTTTCATATATTTTATTATCTTCTCTTCCAATAGTTTTTCTCATGTTAAAAGAAGGAACTCTCTTCATATTTGACCAAGTTTAAGATAGATGAATAGTTTCAAATCTATTTTCATGGGGATTACCTTTTTAGTTCATTAATGTGTCACCTCTTAATTTATTTTTATATAAATTCACATTATATTTCATCAATATTTATTAACAACTAAATCTAATAATTACCTTCCAAGTGATCTTCCATATTCAATTAAACCTTGAACCTTAAGTGGCAATTTTTCAGGAATTGGTCTTTAAATATAATATAAATATAATTAATTATTTCCTGTATTATTTATAACTCATTTTTACTATGTAAGCTCTTCATATGTCACTTCTGGTTTTTCTGAAATAGGTTTCTAATATTATTTTTTATATACTTCAAGGATGTTCCAAACTAGCTAAGGTGATCTAATTATAATAAAGAAAATCTATTAATTAAGCACTTATTTTTATTTTTCCTGAATAAAAATTATTTTTAAAGAGAAAGCTTTACTTTTCGAGAACTGTATATCTAGGATGATAATACCCAACAGGTTTAGGCGGATTTTTAATACCCTTTATTATATTTTTTTTAAAGAATTTGAATAGATTAAAAAACAGAATTAAAGCAAAATATGTATTTTATTTACCTTTATCTAATTCAAACGCTCACGTGAAAGCTGCTTATCAAATGGTTAATTGCCTTCTTTTTTATTTTTATCTTTATCCTCTTCATCTTTTTTTGCGTCATCTTACTTCTTTTTATCAAACTCATTCACTTTCTTTTAAAAAAAAAATATTATATTATTGATTTAAAAACTTACAGTTTTGAAATGCTATTTTAAGATTCAAAAAACTTAAAAAATAATTTAATTAATTAAAATATTTTATGAGAGTTGAAATTAAATTAATTTTTACATTTTCCAATCCTAATGAAGGATATGACGAAACCTTAAGCACTCTTTTTTTATTGTAAAGTATTTCATCTTTCCTCTAAAATATAATGTATTTTTCAGACGTGAATCTACCGGCCTTAGAAAACATTCCCAATCCTGAGGGATCATGTAAATCAGTAACATACGCCATTTCTCAAATGAATATTATTTCTAAATGCAGCTTTAAATGTTAATTCTACCCTAAAAAGTTTGAAGTAAATTCGATTTTATTTGACAAATTAATAGTTTCTACTATATTATTATATATTAATCAATCTTATCAAATTTTATTCTTACATAAATCAATTAATTTATCGAAGTTACGAAAGAAATATGTAAAACTGCATTCTAAAAAAACCTGATAGTAAATCATTTAATGAATGAATGATTCATCTTGAAAATTCAATTGATTACTAAGATTAATAACTTTTCTTTTTAAGCGTTTTATTTATAAACATTTCTTCTTATTTTATATGACTATTTTACTAAGCGTTCAAAAAAATTAAAATTATTTTTATTGAATTTACATGACAATAATAATTTAAATAAATTTTTATATGCTTAAATAATCATCGAATCACATTTTTAGTCAAATAACATTGAAGAAGAATTAGCTTTTTATAGCATAAAAATAAAGATAAAGGTAAATCATAATTAATCAATATTATTAATCAATATTCAATCATTTGAAAATATGAAAATCATATAAAAATATCTTAACGATTATTTGATAAAAACTTATTGTTTTAGGCAGATTGCATTCCTTAAATATATTTTCATTTTAAAGATTTTTTTAATATTCAAATTATATTTTTGTTAATTATGAAAATAAAAAATTATTTTTTAATTAGCTCTGAATAAAGAATTTAAAGCAAGTATTTTATAAATACTACAACAAATTATTTAATATAATAGATCTAATTATTATAAATCAATTAATATTGTTTATTTGCAAACATTAGTTTAATTATTAAATTTTGTTATTTAATTAATAAGAAAAAGTTTTACTTTTACAAGCAATTAAAATTTGTATTAAAAAATTAGATAAGAATCATAACTCAATAGTTAAGATTGAAAACAGGAATTGCTTTTTGGCATAGAATAAATTAAAATTTTGAATAGTTAGTTAACCATATTTACTTAGGAATAGATTAGAGATATATTAAATGGAAGGCGAGTAGTTATAATAAGAAGGAACTAAAATTTAATCAAAAAGCAAGCCTATAGATCCTGAATTTAATTTAGATGATGAAAAGGAAGCATAATATGTGGAAGCGAGAGCTTTAGAAGATCAACCTTAAATAAATTTAAATGCTTTACCAACTAGACTTTATCTTGAAAAAGCAATTCTTCCTACTGTATACTAAGCATTAGAGGCTTTAGAAAAAGAAAGACCAATTAATCCTATAGAATTCTTTTCATATTATCTAATTACACATAATCCTTATTCTTAATAACATGCTAAAGTACCCTTAAACAGTTAAGAATCAAAACCTGTTATAGCTCCAACTTAGGCTGAAATTAAATGAATAATTGATTAAATATTATTGTTTTTTATGTTTAGTCTTAGATTTCTCTTAAAAAATTCTTAATTATTAAATAATTTTAGTTAAAATGTTAAAAAGTATTTTCAAAAAAAATATAAAAATTTGAAATTTTTGCAAGATATTTTTTGTCATTCATTTAGCTAATGTTTTTATTATCAAAATAAATTATTTACTTAAAAATGAATTTTTTTTATTTAATTTTTAAACACAAAAAAACAACTTTTATCTTTTTTCTATTGATAAATTTTAAAATATTTTTTAAAATAAAAATAATCAATTAAAATTGATTTATTAAAACATACATTTTTCCATTAAATTTAAGCTCTTTTTTAAAGGTTAGTCTGTATTATTTAAATTTATGATTACTTTAATGTTTAGATCTTATTACATTCTTTAAATCTATTCAATATAATTTTTTATATATTTGGTAAATTTTACTATTTAAACAAATGATGAAGGTAGAACTTACAGATAAAAAATCAATTTTAACGAGGTAAGATAATGGAAATCCATTTTAAACTTTAGGCAAAGAATAAATTCCTTCGTTTTATGGGAAAAAATAGAAGAAAGAATTGGACCTATCAAGTGAGATTGATAAAATACTTGGTGGAGTAAAGACGGCTAGAACAGGAATTAATTTTGTTAGGCAAGATAGTAATCAATTAAAAAGAAATAATTCTTTTGAGAATTAAACAAATTTTCCCTAAATTAAAATGTAAAGTACTTCACCAAAAAGAGAAAATTCTCATCATTTAGTGAGCGCAGAAAAAGGAGTCGTTTATAAATTTAAATAAAAAGATTTAAGTCCTAAATCTAAAAAAATAACAATTGAGAAATCATAGTAGAACATGATATAAGATGAATAGTAAGAAGAAAGATTTCAATAACAAACCAAATAGAAAAAGCAGTAAACTGATAATAATCAAAATTCTGAGATGATTAAACGTGTGACAAACTTAAGCAACGTTATTTATATCCTAGGAAACTACTCTAATAATCTATTAGAAATATTAGAACACCATGATGATAAAGAAAAATACACTTTAGAGCTTATAAAAAAAATGAAATCAAAAGAATTTCTTTCTTCTTAAAAAGAGAGAGTTGTAAACATTAAAAGGCTATACGAAAGGTTTTTTATTGAAACCTTAATAAAGGATGGACCTAGTAAAGAAGTTAATAAAGAAATTGCTTAAATTATAGGACAGGAAATTTAAACCATCATAGAGTATTACGATTAGTATATCAACAATTAAGAAGAGTAGTTGAAAAAATTTAATACCTTCCAAGACAAAGAAATTATTTTGATAACTGATTTTTAGGAGGCTCTTAAAGTCTTGATGGATACATACAATTATTATTTCAAAGTAAAATTATTTTCTTTTAAAAAATTATTTCTCCAACACATAATATTTCTAATAAAAGGAATTAGAAGTTTTTGGTAAAAGTAAGCAAGACTATAATGTTTATATAAAATCTTTATACTAATTTAAAAGTATTTTAAAAACTGACCCAAGAAATGATAAAGTAAACTAAATTATTCAAGTATTAATTAAAGCAGTTTTATATAATATTATATGTGATAGGTTTGTAAGCTGTTTGAAGATTTAGAGGATCTCTTAAAAAGTAACTACGAAAAAATTGATAATGCACTCATTAAGATTGGAAAACTAAATAAAGAAAATGAAGAATTGACTAAAATATGTTAAGACTTACAAGAACAAAGGAGCCAATTTTTGCATAAAATGCTCACAATACAGACCGATAAGTAGGGAGCAGGTAATTAATTAAGTTATGATAAAAATAAGTCTTATTTATAACATTTTCTTTTTGGAAACAGAAAGTAATGAGCAGGATCAGAAACGAAACTCAATTAGCTCTTAAAATTCTAATATAAGGATATTAGAAGACTATTACACTTAAACAATTGAGAATTTAAAATAAGAAAATAAAAGATTGAATGAATAAATACAAAAACAAAGCAAGAAGATTCAGTTATACAACAACATGTTTAAAGATAACAATAATAATGCTTCTTAGAATGTAAATAATGGCATGCTTAATTCAGCCAATTTAAACTAAAAAGATAAAATAGAAATGGGAACTAATGCACATAATAATAGTGGGGTTTTAAATAAGAATAATTAATAGGATGATATAAAAAATAAGATTAAGCAGTATTATACAGCAGACAAACAAATTTAATGCACATTCGTTGTTGAAAAGAATCCAGTTTTAAAAAAAGAAAATGACATAACACATATTATTATTTAGCCTATTATATATCTGAAAAGTGCTACTGTGTAGTCTAAAGAGTGGACTTTAATGGTTACAAATGCTGTTTTTTCAGATAAGTTTTTATCTGATATCATGGATGAAAACGACCTACGTCCCTGCATACCAATGAATATTTATGTTTGTGAGTGGTTTCTAAAAAAATTTGGAAACAAAGATGTTGCAGAATCACTCATGAAAGGTAAAGAAATGAATAAATTATATTTAAAAAAAAAAATATTTTTTTTATAATGAAGATTATCTTATTAGCTTAAAAAAGTATGGGAAATAGAATGAAAGATTTAAGATATTTTGTGAAATATGCGGGTTAGATGAGCTATTAGAATAAGACTAAGATAACACTTCTTATCTCTACAACAATACAGCTTATGCAGTTTAAATAGGTTAAATTATTTATTATTGAATTTTAATTTTATAAGTTTTCTATTAAAGGTATAAATAGATAGAGATTTAAAAAGACATACATGAGAACTTAAGAAACTGTTACAATCCTATAGAAGATAGCTTATTTAGTAAGAATGACTAACAAAAATTACTATGGTTAAAATTAGTACTTGCCTTTATATCCTAATATTTTACAGAGGTGCTTGGACTTAGTTTCAAACGACTACAGTCTTAGAATATGGGAAACAATAGCTCAAGAAGAAAATTTATATAAATTAGATCTCTCTGCTTTAGAGAGCAAATTTAAAAGGATAGTAAAATTAGCAAAAAAAAAAAGTGAAACAGACAGTAATATTTTTTAATTATTTTTTTAGGTACAGCAAGATGTGATTCAAAGGACAAACGATCCTTTAGGAGTGTATACAGGAACATAACAAGAGTAAGAAGACTCTTATATTCGGTTCGATACTTTGTGTAGATGCATATTAGAAACTATGGTTGACTAAAGATTCTTTGAGCTAGAAGGAGTATACTCTTCCTTAAAATTGAAATCTAATCCAAGATTTGAATGTCTAATTGGGTTTTAAGATTTTACCAAAATAGTAAGTAAAGTGCTGCCTAAAAAAAGCAGTCGTTGGTTAGAAGTTACATACAGAGAATTTTGTTAAGGTAAAAATATACAAATATAAATTTTTAAAGATTAAATATATCTATTTACAAATTAAAATATAGGAGTAACAACCGAAAAAACACCTCTCAATGTAGCAGTTATGAGATTAATACCTTTTCTGGTTAACGATGACTGCATCAAATAAAATTTTTTAAAGATAAAAGCTCCTAAAGCAATATAAGAGCTAGTAAGTAGAACAGATAAGTTTGAAATGACTGATGATTCTAAAAAAGATGATAGTAAAGGTAAGTAAAAATCAATAACTTCAATGAATACAGTTAAAAATCCAAGTAAAACTGGAAATTCTATTATGGGAAATATTTTAAATAAAAATGGTTAGTAATCGAGCTCAAAAACAGCAAACAGTACTTCTAACAATAATAATAATAATAATAATAACAGTAATTCAACTACAGTATTTGATCCATAAATTGAGTAGTAAAAATTCAAAGAAAGGCTCACTTCTCTTTATGACACTGTTAGTTAATTAGGGTTATTAGAGGAAACATATAAAATGATGTACCCATTAATTAAATAGCTTGAGAAAAAAAATTAGAGTTTATTGGCTTTGCATACCAACATAAAAGAAGACTTCCTTACCCTTCCTGGATCAGTTGTAAAATAAATTAAATATGAATAATTCGAGGAAAAAACTAAAGAAGACATGATATTTGCTATTGAATCTTCTTGGGAAAAATTTAGAAAGATATTAGCCTTTATTACAAAATGAATCAATGAATGATTGATTATTGCTTAAAATAAATTTAATTAGTTTTATATATTTAATTGCAAAATAATAAATTATTAAAATTCTAATTATTTTTATTTATTATAATTACAAAATATCTGAAGCAAATAGTTCTTCATTTAATAACTGATGGCTAGTTAGTTAGTTGATTTTAATTTTAACTTCGAAATCAAAAAATAAAATAATAATATAATGATAATGATCTTTAAAAATTAAGAAATAAATTTAATAAATAATATTTATGAAAGTAAAAAATTTAATACATTTTTATTGAGTTTTTCATTATATTTAACCAAAAGACTTCCTTCGATATATACTTACCATAAATCCTCAATATGAGTGTACAAGTTAGTGTATTAGGGATAGTATATTAAGATTTTTTTACTAAAAACAGGCAAAAATAATAAATTAATTTTAAAATTTAGAAATATTATAAAAATACAATAAATATTTTAAAAAATTTTTTCGAAATTGGTATTTGATAAATTTAAGTTTTTGAGATTATTTTATTTCAATACCTTTAATTTGCAAAAAAAAGCTTTAAATAATTTTTATATAAATAATTAAACAAAATCAAAGAGTAATAATTGAACACTAATTCATTATTGGTAATATACTTAATTAATTAATAAACTTTCTTATTGATTTCAAATCAAAAGTTTATTTATTAATTAAAAAATGAACTTATTTATTTTTTAATTGATTAAAATTAAAAACAAAAAAATTAATATTTTAATTAGATTTTTTAGAATTAGGAAGAATTTAATCAAAAAATTTACAAAGAACAAATTGCAATTTGATTATACTAAAAAAATACAAGTATATATTATCAGCTAAACCTTGATTCTGATCCTAAAAGGGATGAATAGATGTTTAAATCAACTTGCGTTATTTCTTAATTCCTATTAATCTTGTCAATAAATTTCTTTAAATATAACTGCTGTATGTGTTTATTAGTAAGAATTTCTTCCTATTATTGAAGATGATTGCTTGTTTAATTTGAATTTGATAAAGATGGCATCTCGCAATTGGTTGAGTGGTTATCATTCTTTCTTAAGGATAGCTAATACTCTTTGTTTTTTGACATTTGTTATATATAGCTATTGTTTACCTACCTTTATAAAGGTAAATCACTGTCAATAGCAGCAATCTAATTTAAATATGCTTCATCGTTTTTATGAACTATTTTTTTATTTTTACCTTCTTCTAAGTCTTAAAGTTAAGCATTATATATAATAGGTTAAGTAATTTAGTTGTTATTACTTTGTTATTTATCTAAGATTTCTTAATTTTTATAAATTAGATTTTAATTATTGTTAAGACACAAAGGAGAGTTTTTCTCAAAATTTAATTAATCTAAATCCATTTCGCATCCACAATATTACAAAGCTGCGTATTATTCTTTGCTCATAAGCAATTTTATTGCCATATTAACCTTCATCATATTTCTGTATAATTAGTAAATATCGATTGATTTTTTAGTAAATTCGCACATCTTTTGATAGAGTTTATCCCTTTGAGAAGTTTATTTTATTATTTTACCAAAGAAGTATTGCTTGTAGAATTGAAAAAAATTTGATTAAAACTTTGACTTTCCTTCATTTTTAAATTCATTTTCATCGATCTACTTTTAAAAACCAATAATTTATTCCGCTGTTAAAGGATTATTTGAATTTTATTTTGTTTAGATATTTTAATTATTACCATAAAGTACATTTTTATCAATCTTTTTATTTATTTCATTTAGCTGGTTAATCTGATTTTTATTATCACTTTTATTAACTTTTAATTAATATATAAAAAAAAGTGAACCCGAGCTCAGTAAAAAAAAAAAATATATTTCATCTCTCGGTCCCAACAACTGGGACCGAGAGATGAAATATATTTTTTTTTTTTACTGAGCTCGGGTTCACTTTTTTTAATTAATCATCTTTTTATTCAGATGATAGTAATTTAAGAGCAGTGCTCCTATAGTATTCTTTCAAAAATAATGTATTTAAATGTTCCACTATTTTTGATTCTGAAAATAATCTTGTAAAAATACCTAATGTAAATAATATATTTACTACAGGCATAAATTGAGCCAAAGCTTCTGTAATAAGTGGGTATTGAATATGATTTATCTCTTAGTTTTGTTGTAAGAAGAACAAAAATTAAGCGTATCCTGTGAATCCTGCCTTTTAAAGTAAATTATTTGGGGAATAGTATAATGAGGATTTCTAATAACCAGATATAAACTTTGAGACTGATGTATTTTAGAAAAGGAAACCTTGATTAACTGTAGTTACTGACTAAGTTAACTAGTATTAATTCTAAAATGGTAAACTATCATCAAATTAAACTAATTCTATTTAGTATCCTTATTCATATTTTTAAGATTACTCATTATACTGAACAATTCTAATTTTCATATAAAACTAGAAATTGTTGTCTATTATATACTTTTTTATTTCATCAGGACTAGCACATGTTGGTAATCCTGTACAAGGCTAAACTGTTAATGTATATTATGACATAGCTTATGTAGTAGGATCAATAGTCAGAGTTTTTTGGGTATCAGTCATATTATTAATATCAAGGCACAAGTAACCTGAGAAATTTTAATCAGGACAATTAGTAATAGGAAGATCAATATAATTTTAATTTTATAAAGAAATATAAGAGTATTAAGCTTTAAAAGTGAGATATTGCTTGCCTGTAGATTATTCTAATTATTACAAAGTCAATCCTTAGCTGCTAAAGGTAAATCCAAAGACACTCTAACTTAGCTAAATATCCTATAAAGTTGTTTAATTTTTTATTTTAGTAGTAATTTTGGGAAGAAACTTGTTATCATAAAATAAAACAAGAAGATAAATGAGATAACCTAAAGATAAACCAAAAGCCGCAATAGTATACAAGCCTCCTTCTATTGTTTTCTTTTTCTTTTATAGCCCCACAAAAAATGAAAATTGCTATGAAAAGAAATCTAATTTTTATAATTTTTGCATATCTTTCTAGTATTTTTTATTATTTTTTAATTATTTTAATTGCAAAAAGTTCAAAGATGACTCATTATTTAAAAACTTTTTTTCTTAATTTTTCTTATTATAAATCGGGAGACTTTTTAAAATATAACAAAAGATACCAATAAATTCATTGTTTATTATTTTCGAATAGGAATTTTTTTAAATTTCATCAGAATGACTTTCAAGTTCATTTAAAGATAAAGTTCAATTGAGCAAATAAAAGTATAATTTTTTAAAAATTCGTTCTGCATAAAATCAAAATTGAATTTGATTTTTAAGTAAAATAAATTGATTACAAACAGCTTAGTCTCAAATAATATATTTGAAAAATTATAATTGATAAAAAAAAATAAGTATGATTTATTTCATTTTTAATTTTAATCTGAACCAATAAAATATCTGCATAGCTAATAATAGCATATTATTAATAAATTTTTTCTCTCATTTATTTTTATTTTCCGTAATTTGTATTTTTTACAACTCTAAAATAGTTTTTAAGTTAAAAAAAAATTAAAATTTTTAAGCAGTTCATTTTTTAGAAAGTATGATTAAAAATTAGTAATGATAATTAAGAAAATACAGTAATTAATTTAACTTTATTTGACTTCAACTTCGAAATTAAAATATATATATATATATATATATATAAATGGAATATAAAAACTACTTGACACTAAAAAAAATCAATCAAATAGTAAATTAAAATGATTTAATATTCTATATTTAATTACAATATTTGCAATTGATAATACAAAAACTAAAAAATCTAAAAATCAGAAAAAAAATTAATTTTATAATTTATCATTCTCAAATTCTTAATTGTATAAAAATTTTAATTAAAATAAAAAGCATGTTTTTCCAGTAATTGAGATATAAGAAATTAGCTATTTTTTTATTTGATTTACTTTAATATATATATAAATTTTAACAAATATAAATATAAATACTTAACCAAAATAAAAAGTATTAATTGTGTGCTAATTTACCATCAAAAGTTTTTTTATTAAAAAAGAAATTTATATGAATTGATAATAGTTAAAAAAACAAATGGTTTAAATTAATTAAATTTTTTTAATTTTCGAGGAATATCTTAATCAAAAAATAACTTTGAAATAAATTGATATTTTGTTTATTTACTTAAAAAATACACATTAATACTATCAGCCAACTTTTGGTTACGATCCTATAAGGGATGAGTAAATGTTTAAATCAACTTGAGTTAATTCTTAATTCCTATTTATTCTATCAATAAATTTCTTTAGATATAGGTGTAGCATATGTTTATTAGTAAGAATTTCTTCTTATTGCTGGAGATGATTATTTATTTAATTTGAACTTGATGGAGATAGCATCTCGCAATTTGTTGAATAGTTTTCATTATTTTTTAAAGATATTTAACACTCTATATTTTTAGGCATTTATTTAATATAGCTATTGTTTGTCTATCTTTATGAAGTTTAATTACTGTCAATCACAGGAATCTAATTTAAGCTATATGCTTCTTCACTTTTATGAACTATTTTTTTATGTTTACCTTCTTCTAAATCTTAAGCTTTACATATAGTGGTTTACTAAATTTAGTTTTAATTACTTTATTATTTATCTAAAATTTCTTAATTTTTATTACTTATATTTTCTTAATTATTGATAAACTAAGTAGAATTTTTTTCAAAATTTATTTAATCCATTTCACATCCACAAAATTACAAAGCTGCATATTATTCTTTGCTCATAAGCAATTTAATGGCCATATTTACCTTTATCATATTCTTATATAACGAGAAAATATCTATTGATTTTTTAGTGAAGCTACACATCTTTTGATAGATTATTTCTCTTTGGGAAGTTTATTTCATTATCTTACCAAAGAAATATTGTTTATAGAATTGAAAAAAATTAGCATAAAATTTTGATTTTTCTTCATTTTTAAATTCGTTTTCATCGATCTACTTTTAAAAACCAATAATTTGATCTGCTGTTAAAGAAGTATTTTAAATTTATTTGGTATCACTGTTTTAATTAATCCCATAAATTGCATTTTTATCAATATTTTAATTAATTTTCTTTAACTAATTAATCTTATTTTGATTATTGCTTTTATTACTTTCTAATTATTCATCTTCTTATTCAGATGATAATAATTTAAGAGCAGTTCCCCTGTAATATTCTTTCAAAAATAATGTATTTAAATTTTCTACTATTTTTGATTCAGAAAATAATCTTGTAAAAATACCTAATATAAATAATATTTTTACTACAGGCATAAATTGAGCCAAAGCTTCTGTAATAAGTGGATATTGAATATGATTTATCTCTTAGTTCTGTTGTAAAAAAAACAAAAATTAAGCGTATCCTGTGAATCCTGCCTTTTAAAGTAAATTATTTGGGGAATAGTATAATGATGATTTCTAATAACCAGATATAAACTTTGAGACTGATGTATTTTAGAAAAGGAAACCTTGATTAACTGTAGTTATTGACTAAGTTAGCTAATACTAATTTTATAAAGCCAAGTTATCATCAAATTAAACTAAATCTATCTAGTACCCTTATTCATATTTTTGAGATTACTCATTAAACTGTACAATTCTAACTTTTACATAAAACTAAAAATCTTTGTCTATTATTTTATTTTATATTTCTGCAGGACTAGCACACGTTGGCAATCCTGTACAAGGCTAAACCGTTAATGTATATTATGACATAGCTTATGTAGTTGGATCAACTGACAAAGTTTTTTGGATATCAGTCATGTTATTAAAATCAAGGCACAAATAACCTGAGAAGCTTTAATCTGGACAATCAATAATAGGAAGATCAGTATAATTTTATTTTTATAAAGATATATAAGCAAACTATGCTTTAAATATTAAATATTGCTTACCTGTAGATTATTCTAATTATTGTAAAGTCAAACCTTAGCTACTAAAGGTAAACCCAAAGACATTCTAATTTAGTTAAATATCTTATAAAGTAGTTTAATTTTTTATTTTGCTCGTAATTTTTGGAAGAAACTTGTTATCAAAAAATAAAACTAAAAGATAAATAAGATAACCTAAAGATAAACTAAAAGCTGTAATTGTGTACAAGCCTCCTTCTAAGGTTTTCTTTTTCTTTTTTTATCCCACAAAAAAAGAAAATTGTTAAGAAAATATATCTAATTTTTATAGTTTTTACATATCTTTCTAATATTTATTATTTTTTTTAATTATTTTGAAACCAAGAAAGTCTAATAACCATAATTAAAAGCCTTTAACTTAATTTTTTTCTTTTTAATTTTATTATTATTTGAGAGACTTTTTAAAATGTAACATAAGATCCCTAAAAATTCGTCGTTTTTTTCTAGTGGGAATTTTTTTAAAAATTCTCTTCGAGTTTAAAAAAAGACTAAACCCAATTTAGCAAATAAAAGTGACATTTTTTAAATATTCTTATAATATATTAACAAAATTTATCTAATTTTTAAATTAAAGAAATAACCTTGTTTTAAAAAATATATTCAAAAAATTATAGTTGATAACTTATAAAGTATAGTTTACTCCATGTTTACTTTTTATATGAAGCACCATAAAATTATTACTAAATAGATTGAGGGGAAAACATTATAGTTTTAAAGCTTTTTATATCAACATAAAAGAAGATTTCCTTAAATTCTCTTTACAGTCGTAAAATAAATTTTTTACTAGTAATTTGAGGAAAAACAAAAGATGCTATTATGAGATTTACTGTTAATTATTTGTAAAAATTTTAGCTTTTATCAAGAAGGGAATGACTATTGTCTGTGAATAAATTTAAACACAGATTTTAATATGTTGATAATAAGAAGCCATTAAAGTAAAGTAATTTGAATATTGCAAAATTTACTTTTTCAAATAAATTTGAATTTCTTTAAATAATAATTTTAAAAAATAATTAATTAAAAGAAACAATTTATTTAAAAGTAGTACTTAAAGATTATTAATTGAGTAAATTGATTAATATTTTTGTTTTTATAATGGAATTATTGACTGAAAAATATTAAAAATAATAAATCGTTAATTTTATTTAATTTTTTAGTTTTCAAAAGGGATTTCTAAACTAAAAAACTTACAATTAGATAAATTGATTTTATTTTAAAAAAACAAGTAAATATTATCAGCTTATTTTTGACTCAATTCCTATTAGGGATGAATAGATATTTAAATCTAATTGAGTTAATTCTTAATTATTATTGATTTTATCGATAAACTTCTTTAGATATAGATGCTGCATATTTTAATTAGTAAGAATTTCTTCTTATTATTGGAGATGATTATTCATTTGATTTAAAGTTGTTAATGTTGGCATTTCACTATTGATTTATTAATTATCATTATTTTTTAAAGACTGCTAATTTTCTTTATTTTTTTATTTTTATTTAACATATCTATTATTCATTTCAGGTAAATCTTTTTCATAAAGAGCCATTTAGGTTAAACTCTCTTCTTAATTCTAATTTACCTTTTTATTATTTATACCCTCCTCTATGTCTTATACTTAAACAGGATATACAGCTACTTAAGCATTTTAACTTTTTATGTTGTGTTATTTATCTGAAATTTCTTAGTTTTTATTATTTAAATTTTAATTATTGTTAATAGTGGAAGTAGAGCTTTTTTCAAAATTTATTTTGTCTAAGTTCATTTCACATCCACAGAATTACAAAGCGGCATACTATTCTTTAGTCATAAGCATTTTAATTGCCATGTTTACCTTCATCATATTCTTATATAATGAGAAAATATCAATGGATTTTTTTGTGAAGTTACACATCTTTTGATAGAGTTAATCGCTTTGAGAAGTTTATTTTATTATATTTCCAAAGAAATATTACTTATAGAATTGGAAAAAATTTGATTAAAACTTAGACTTTTCTTTATTTTGAAATTCGTTTTCATCAATCTATTTTTACAAACCAATAATTTATTCAGCTGTTAATTGATTTCTGGTATCTTGTTTTGTTTCAATGTTTTAATTAACAATACAAAGTGCGTTTTAATCACACTTTTCGCTAATTTAATTTTGATCATTTATCTTATTTTGATTTTCGTTATTATAAATTTTTAACTCATCATCTTTTTTTTCATACGATAATAATTTAAGGGCAGTACTCCTGTAATATTCTTTCAAATATAGCGTATTTAAATTTTCGACAATTTTTGATTCTGAAAACAATCTAGTACAAATACCAATCGTAAATAATATATTAACTACAGGCATGAATTGAGCTAAAACTTCTGTAATAAGAGGATATTATATGAAATCTATATCTTAGTTTTGTTATAGAAAGAATTAAAATTAAGCATACCCAGTAAATCCTGCCTTTTGAAGTAAATTATTAGCAGAAGAATAGTATGCTGAAGATTTTTAATAACCAGAGATAAACTTAGAAACAGATGTAGTTTAAAAAAGAAAACCTTGATTTAGAGTTGTTATTGATTGGGTTAGTTAGTATTAATTTTGTAAAGCCAAGTTATCATCAAATTAAATTAAATCTATTATATATCCTTCTTCATATTATTAAGATTACTCATTGTACTAAACAATTCTTACTTTCAAATAAAATTAGAAACCACTGTCAATTATATAATTTTAGATATCAGCAGGGCTTGCACATGTAGGTAATCCTGTACAAGGCTAAACTGTTAACTAATATCGTGATATTGCTTATGTTGCCGGATCAACAAATAAAGCTTTCTGGGTATCAGGCATGTTACTATAGTCAAGGCATAAGTAACCTTGGAAGTTTTAATCAATACATTCTGCGATAGGAAGATCAAAAGTGTTTTATGATTACAAACTTAAAGAGGAGTACTAAGCTTTAAAAATGAGAAACTACTTTCCTGTTGATTGTTATAATTACTATAAAGTTTTTCCATCACTGCTATAAGTAAATCCGAAAAGACTTTTGTTTAGCTAAATATCTTAATAACTTGTTTGATTTTTTATTTTGGATGTAATTTTAGGCAGAAATTTGTTATCAAAAAAGAAAACAATGAGATAAATGAGATAGCCTAGAGACAAGCTAAATGCAATAATGGTGTACAAGCCTCCCTCAGTAGTTTTCTTTTTCTTTTGCGGTCCAACGAGAAAAGCAAATTACTATGAAAAGAAATCAAATTTTTATAACTTTTACATACTTTCTAATATTTCTGATGTTTTTTATTATTTTAATTATTATTTTAATTACAAAAAAGAGTAAAATTCCTTCTTATTTAAAGTCTTTTTTTTCACAATTTCGTCTTAATATATAAATAGAGATACTTTTTGTGAGAAATAAATATACCAATAAATTCATCGTTTTTTTAGTGGTTATTTTGATTTTTATTAGATAAAATTTAACATATTATATAATCATTGCTTATTGTATTTCCTACAAACTCATCAATTATTAAATATTAAAAAAATTATATTTTTTAACATTTTCTTTTCTTTATTAAATATAAGTGAGAGTCTAAATCATACTTAAACATTAAAATTTTAAGGTTTATATTTTCATCTGAAATAATGTAATTTTGGAAAACCTTTAACTTTTATTATGAAAGGAATGATTTTTTTTTGAAAATAAATATAAACACAAACCTTATTTTTTAAACATATTAAAATATTTTTCAAAGTAGAAATTTCAATATTTAGTTAATATAAGATAAAGTAATTAAAATATTATTATATTTTTTTTAGATAAAAAAGTTTAAATTGTAGTTATAGATTAAAAAAATATTAAAAATAAAAACAGATATATGTTTTTAGAAGGTATTAATTGAGCATTGATGATTCATATTTTTTAAAATGTATTAAGTATTAATATTAAAAATAATTATTTGTTAATTTTATTTAAATTGAGTGTATTCTAAAGGGATTTCTAAACTAAAAAGGTTACAATTAAATAAAAAGATATTTATTTATTTATCTAAAAAGCACAGGCTTATAATATCAGCTTATTTTTGGCTCAAATCCTATCAGTGATGAGTAGATATTTAAATCTACTTGAGTTAATTCTTAATTTTTATTTATTTTATCTATAAACTTCTTTAGATAGAGATGTAGCATATTTTCATTAGTAAGAATCTCTTCTTATTGCTAGAGATGGTTATTTGTTTGATTAAAAGTGGTTAATGTTGCCAAATCACTATTGATTGATTAATTATCATTATTTTTTAAAGAAAGTTAATACTCATTATTCTTTTATTTTTATTTAATATATATTTTATTCATTTCACTTTTTTAAGTTAGGTCTTTTTCAAATAGAGCAACTTAACTTAAACTCGCTTCTTAAATCTACTTAATCTTTTAATTATATTAGCCTTCTTCTATGTCTTATACTTAAGCAGTTTTAACAGCAGCTTAACTATTTTAATTTTTTATATTATATTGTTTTTCTTAAAGTTCTTAGTTTTTATTTTTTAGATTTTAGTTATTCTTAATTGTGGAATTTGAGTTTTTTTCAAAATTTATTTTGTCTAAGTCCATTTCACATCCACAGAATTACAAAGCGGCATACTATTCTTTAGTCATAAGCATTTTAATTGCCATATTTACCTTCATCATATTCTTATATAATAAGAAAATATCAATTGATTTTTTAGTGAAGTTACACATCTTTTGATATAGTTAATCACTTTGAGAAGTTTCTTTTATTATATTTCCAAAGAAATATTACTTATAGAATTGGAAAAAATTTGATTAAAACTTAGACTTTTCTTTATTTTCAAATTTGTTTTCATTGATATATTTTTATAAACCTATAATTTATTCAGCTGTTAAAGGGTTTCTGGTAATTTATTTTATTTCATTGTTTTAATTACCACTAAAAAGTATGTTTTGATCACGCTTTTCGCTTATTTGATTTTGATTATCGCTATTATAAAATCTTAATTGATCCTCTTTTTTTCCATATGATAAAAATTTAAGGGCAGTATTCCTGTAGTATTCTTTCAAATATAATGTATTTAAATTTTCGACAATTTTTGATTCTGAAAACAATCTAGTCAAAATTCCTATCGTAAATAATATATTTACTACAGGCATGAACTGAGCTAAAATTTCTGTAATAAGAGGATATTGTATGAAATCTATTTCTTAGTTTTGCTATAAGAAGAACTAAAATTAAGCAAATCCAGTAAATCCTGCCTTTTTAAGTAAATTATTAGGAGAATAATATGATGAAGATTTTTAATAGCCAGAGATAAACTTAGAAACAGATGTAGTTTAAAAAAGTAAACCTTGATTTAGAGTTGTTATTGATTAGGTTAGTTAGTATTAATTTTGTAAAACTAAATTATCATCAAATTAGATTAATTCTATTTAGTATCCTTCTTCATATTATAAAGATTACTGGTTGTACTAAACAATTCTTATTTTCAAAAAAAATTAGAAACCATTGTCTATTATATAGCTTTAGATTTCATCAGGGCTTGCGCATGTAGGTAATCCTGTACAAGGTTAAACTGTTAACTAATAAAGTGATATAGTTTATGTTGACGGATCAATAAATAAAGCTTTTTGATTATCAGGCATGTTACTATAGTCAAGGCATAAGTAACCTTGGAAGTGTTAATCAGTGCAATCTGCGATAGGAAGATCAAAAGTAGTATAAGATTATGTACTTAAATAAGAATACTAAGCTTTAAAAATGAGAAATTACTTGCCTGTTGATTGCTACAATTACTACAAAGTTTACCCATCGCTACTATAAGTAAATCCGAAAACACTTTAGTTTAGCTAAATATCTTAATAATTAGTTTGATTTTTTAACTTGGATGTAATTTTAGGCAAAAACTTGTTATCAAAATAGAAAACGATCAGATAAATGAGATAGCCAAGAGACAAGCTAAATGCGACAATTGTGTACAAGCCTCCCTCAGTAGTTTTCTTTTTCTTTTATTCTCCTACAAGAAAAGCAAACTATTATGAAAAGAAATCAAATTTTTATAACTTTTACATACCTTTCTAATTAATAATATTAATTATTATTTTAATAACAAAAAAGAGTAATATACCTTCTTATTTAAAGTCTTTTTTTCTCAATTTAATCTTATTAAATATATAGAGATAGTTTTTGTTACTTAATAAAATTTAACAATTTATTCATGGATTTTTTGTGGTGATTTTTTATAGTTTCTTCTAAAATCATTAGAGGTTTTAGGACAATTTAGCATATTATGAAGTCATTATGTTTTATATTTTCTGGTAACTCTTCAATAATTAAATATTAAAAAAAAAAAATATTTTTTAACATTTTATTTACCTCCTCAATTTTCGAAAAATAATTTTAATATTAATTAATGATGCTTCATTTTTGAAAATTTAATCAATTTAATATTATTTTTATATCATTCATACCCTTTAATACATTTATTCATACAATTTCAATAATTATTTTTGGTAAACGAAATTTATTTTTCAATTTCAAGTATTTTTTACTTTAAAAATTTTACAATAAAAAGAAAAAAAAGTTTTTGCTTTAAAATATTTTTAAAAATGTTATAAAAAGTATGTATTTAAGACAAATTCTATTATTATCAAATAAAAAAAGTATAAAATAATTTTTAAAATGATTGTATAATTACTATTTTTTAAAGCTAAATCACCAAAATATTTATAAATTATTACATTGATTGAATAAATTCAAAAATGCAAATAAAAATATTAAAAAATTGACTAGAAAATTGAGAAATAAATGTAAAAAAGAAAAAATAGATAACTTAAAACATAATAAATAAATAAGCTAAAGAAAGAATATGAGAAAATTATTTGAGTCATTTGATAACAAACTGAAAATTAGATTTTTTAATTCAAGCTTTTATATGTAATAAAAAAGAAATTTAATAAAGACAAAACATGTAATTTTAAAAAAAAAGTGATTGATACATTTAAATATAAAAAATAATCAAAATTTAAAATAAAAATACATAAAAATATAAAGCTAACTAACTAAATATTTCTATGTTTTATAATTATTTCAAAATATGATAGAAGAATTTCAGTTTATGTTATAGACTTACTCTTATTCCTAAGATGGCGCAATTCTTCCTATAAGAGATGAATAAATATTTAAATCTATTTGCGTTAAATTTTAATTCTTATTTATTTTATCTATAAATTTGTTCAGATAAAAATGTAGCATACTTTTGTTTGATAGAATTTCTTCTTACTGCTAAAGGTGGTTATTTATTTAGTTTGAATTTGACAATGATTGTTATATTTCAGAATCAATAGATTAGTTATCATTTTTTTTTTAAGATAGCTATTACTCCTTGTATTTAGATAATTAAGTTTTATAGCTATCATACGCTTATTTTTTAATAGATAAACCATTATCAACACCAGCAGCGCTCATAGTTAAACTATTTTTTTCTTCATTTAGATTGGTCTTTTATTGAATTTTACCCTCTTCTATATCTATCGCATAAGTAGGATATATAGCTGCTTAATTATTTGGATGATTATTATTACTATTTTAGTTATCATTAATTTAACTAATAAGCTTTTGATTATTATTTATAGCTGAAGTAGAGCTCTTTTCAAAATCTATTTAATCTAAATCCATCTCACATCCACAAAATTAAAGAGCAGCATATTATTCTTTGCTCATAAGCATTTTAATGGCCTTATTAACCCTCATCAAATTCCTGTATAATTCGAAAATATCTATAGATTTTTTAGTGAAATTGCACATCTTTTGATACATCGCTTCCTTTTGAGAAGTTTATTTTATCAAATTACCAAAGAAGTATTATTTGTAGAATTAGAAAAAATTGGCCTAAAATTTAGATTTTTCTTCATTTAAAAATACAGTTTCATCAATTTATTTTTGAGTATCAATAATTTAATCAGCTGTTAATAGATTGTTTGAATTTTTTTTGGTTTCGCTATTTAAATTATTACTTTCAAGTGGGGTTTGATCGCTCTTTTAATTTATTTGATTTTATTCAATTATATTATTCTTATTATCACTACTATAACTTTTTAAATTTTTATTTTTTTTTTCATTTGATAATAATTTAAGAGCAGTGCTTCTGTAATATTCTTTTAAGTATAATGTATTAATATTTTCCACTATTTTAGATTCTGAAAACAATCTTGTTAAAATACCTATTGTAAATAAAATATTTACTATAGGCATGAATTGAGCTAAAGCTTCAGTAATAAGTGGATATTGTATTTGATTTATCTCCTAATTTTGCTAAATTTAAAATACAAATTAAGCATATCCAGTAAATCCTGCTTTTTGAAGTAGATTATTGAGGGTGTAATAGGAGGAAGATTTCTAATAACCAGAAATAAACTTAGAAACGGATGTTGTTTAAAAAAGGAAACCTTGATTTACTGTAGTAATAGATTATGTCAATTAGTATTAATTTTATAGAGCTAAGTTATCATCAAATTGAATCAAATCTATTTGAAATCCTTCTTCATATTTTTGAGATTGTTCATTGTACTGAATAATTCTAATTTTCAAATAAAACTAGAAGTTACTGTCAATTATTTTACTTTGGATTTCAGCAGGGCTTGCACAATTAGGTAATCCTGTACAAGGCTAAACTGTTAATACAAATTAAGATATTGATTATGATGTTGGATCAGTAAACAAAGTCTTTTCAACATCAGACATATTATTAAAGTCAAGACACAAATAGCCTTAAAAATTTTAATCAGTGCAATATGTGATTGGGAGATCATAATAATTTTATTATTGCAAAGCTATAGAAGCATACTAAGCTTTGAAAATGAGATATTACTTGCCTGTAGATTACTGCAATTACTATAAAGTCTATCCATTGCTACTAAAAGTAAATCCAAAGACGCTCTCATTAAATGTAATATCTTATAAATTAGTTTGATTTTTTATTTTGGATGTAATTTTAGGAAGGAACTAATTGGTAAAATAGAAAACAAGCAGATAAATGAGATAACCTAAAGATAAACTAAATGCTACAACTGTGTATAAGCCTCCTTCAGATGTTTTCTTTTTTTTTTGTGGTCCTACAAGAAAAGAAAATTGCTACGAAAAGAAATCTAATTTTTGAAGTTTTTACATACCTACCTACCTACTAATTTAGAGTTGTTACTTTTTTGTAATTATTTTTATTTGATAAATTTTTGTTAAATTGTTTATTTTAAAGATTATTTCTCTTCTCAATTTATTATTAATAGAACTTTTAAAAACTTGATAAAAGACCACTAATTCATAGTTTTTTTCTTGTTGAAATTTACCTCATTCGTTTTAAATTTTTCAATTATTTTTTAAAATTTACTGTAACGCATATTTTCTCTCCATAAAGAAAATAAATAAATAAACAAACAATAATTTGGCTTATTTTTAAAAACTAATTATTACAATATAATGCAACAATTTATTTCTTATTTATTACAGATATTCCAAAAATTAAAGAATTGCTTGCTAAAATAATAGAACTTCTAACTTTTTAAAATGGTTTAATTTTAAATATAGTGAATTTATTTATTTCTTTAATATTTTTACAAAAAATAATAATTGCCAATTAGTTATAATACGCACGCATATATAATTATTATGAGAATTTTAAATAGTTTCATTAAAGATAATTGATTTTTATAAACTTAGACATGCATATATTTATTGATTTATAAATGAAATTTATAATTGAAATTAAATAATTTTAGCAGCATATTTCGATTATAAGTTGTGAATGTTTATTAGTAGTGAGTGAGTGTCATGTTATTTATTAGAAGTTTCATGGTACGTATATAAATGTATTTCTAATTTAGAACAATTATTTATTTTATAAAAATATTTTTTTAAATTAACTAAATTTTACCTGTCATTTTCATCTCTTTTGAGATAGTCACGATCAAGCAGAGATTCTATACGTCTTTTTATAAGAGGAATTTCTGGTTTAAAATTATTGATTAATTTTATAACTTCTGGGAATAAATCATTGTGTTTCATGGTTTTTCTACTTTTCATAATTCTAACAATGCAAGCATCAACAATAAATTCTCTTTCTCTATTCATTTCTTCCATAAATTAAGTTCTGCCTTCATCGTCTTCTTTTTATTTCTATTTTAAATTAAAAAAAAAATAATTAAACAAAATTTAAATTGTGTTTTTTAAATAAAAATAAATACTTTTTGTTGGGCTTATTTACCACCAGGAATACATTTTATTTTTTTAAGCTTATTTTAGAATTGGCTATTAATAGAAAGCTCTGAATTGTTATTAAAAGCGTCTCCTTCATCACTTTTGTTCAATATTTTTAATTTAACAAAGGGCATCAGTAAGAATTCAAGTTCATTCTCAGGAATTCCTGAAATTTAAACTAACTTTTAGTAGCTGATTGTATTAGCTTAAGATTAGATTGAAAGCAAAGCAACCATTTAATACGAGTTTACAATTAACAAATATTTCTCTTTAGATCTAAATTACATTTCTGCAGTACCTTAACTATATAACCAATTAATATTTCTACCTTTGTATTTAGACTTATAAAGTTATTCAAACTTTTCTATGCTAGACTTTAAAACTTAAGGTGTACTAACCTTTTCTTAGGTATTTGCTATAGGCCAACTACCTGTAGTGAGTACACTAACATTTAGTTCTATTCCAAGAGGACTAATATGTTTTCTATTATCTTAATTGAATTCTTCACTATTATTAATATCCTTCAGCATTGTTTCAATTTTATTGACACCAGTCTAACCTGCTTCAGTCTATTTTAACAAAAAATTCAATTAAATTTTCATTTATCTAAGATTAATTTCTCTAATAGAATAAAAAAAGCACTCTCAAATAACCAATGTAAATATCTAAAAAAAGTAAAAAATAACTAACTCATCTACAAATTGTGATATATATCTCTCTTAAACTAATTTAATTTTTGAGCAATAAAAAGCACATAAATTAATCAAAATTCTTTGAGAAAGTAAGATATATTTTAATTAATCTGAGAAGAAATTGGTTTAATAATCAAAAAAATGTTTCAAAATTTATTTTAATTTTAAAAAAATATTAAAATAATCATTTCAAATTTATACCTTGAATCTTGCTATTAATGACTTTTCTGCTTCTTTGTTTCTGGAAGTAGCGTTTAGAAGACGGTTTGAAAAGAATTTTTAATAATGTTTAAAGAAAGTATCTCTTGAATAGAAATAGACAAAAATACCAACAATTTCTTAAACACGATCTTCGATTTCTTGTTCATTTTAAAGCCCTTCTTGTTTCAAAATGATATCAGCATGAGTAGCAAGAAAGAAAGTACTTTTATCATTTTTATTTAAGAAATTTTAGAAAGCATTATCTCTTGCTTTTTAGATGGTAATATCTTGGTTGAAAACATCTTAGACCAAATGATCACATTCTTTCTTTAGAGCAAATACTTTTTAGACGAATTCAACTGCAATATCCTCTTTACAAAATAATTATTATTAAAATTAATTTAATTTTCTAAATTCAATTATTTTTTACTTTATGTAACTCCTTCTGATTTACGGCTATCAGATTATTCATTGAAAATATTTCCGTGGTAGTTAATGTATTAACCAAGCTTTTTGGCTACATGGTCAAGAGTTTCAGCTACTCTTTTGAAAAGTTTATATAAATTTTTCATTTCATTCTCTTTCTTTTCTTTAAGCATAGAATATAAACCTGTTTACTCATTATTAGCAAGTGTTTCACTTTATTGCTAGATAACGATTTGTTCAATTCTATTTACAATAATCTTTTATGATTTGCTGTAGAAGTATTAAGCTATTTCTTCTTCCTTTTAAAGGCTTTTTAAAGCTTATTCTACATATTCTGGAGTGCTTAAATTACTCCACTCATTTACCCTTTTTAAATAGTATTGCTCCATCTATTTATTTACAAAATACAATTTAATCCATTTCACATTATTAAAATCTATAAAAGAGTAATTTCAATTTTGCATTAGAAAAAATTAATTTTTATTTAATAATAAAATTTTTATCTTTTCAAAAAAACAATGAAAAACATTTTTTTTTTGTAATTTAACTTTTTCTACTTTTTAAAATTTAAAACTAAACTTTGATCATTAAATTATCCTATTTAATTTTAGAGTAGATGCTTTTAATTTAAAAAAACATCAGATAGAAAAGATATCATCAGAAAGGAGAAAAATAGACAAATAAATGAAGATTGATTGATTGATTAGGATATTTTTAAATCTTAGTAAATAGTCGAATAACTTTAAAATATTTTCCACAGCTTAATCAATTAAATCTTTTGAAGCAAATTAAAATTTTAAACTAGAATTTGAAAATCTAAACTTTTTAACACTGATTCTGTTAAACTTTGCAGACAATTTCATTTAAAATTCCATAATTATTTTAATTACCTCATCCGCAAACTTTGCTTAGAAATTATCTTCGTAATACTTAGAGCCATCGTCAACTTCATAAGCGAACTCAGAAGAGTTTGCAATCTTTTTTAGCTTTACAGTCTTTTTAAAGCCTACTTCTTAGTATATTTGAATAAGTCTTTTTACAGTTTCACGAGGAATTGATTAGTCTTCTCTAGCCATTTTTTAGAAATTTACAATGTGATTGAATAGTTTATTATTAATAATCTAAAAATAATCATCTCTGTATATCTTAAAACCTTCAACGTGGAGAGTAGAATTCTTGTTTTTTAAAAAGAATTAGTCAAGGTAGTAGAACAGACGTGAGAGCCAATGGAGGTAAATTTAAAAATTTTTATATTATTTATACACCTTTTCAATATACTACTCTTAATCCATAATTAAATTTGATTCTTAAACATCACCTAATAAATATTCCTTAATCAATTATTTAAACCAGTTGAATAGCCTTTCTTCATTATTTTATATTTTTTCATCTTTATTTGCGGTTGGTTCTTAGGAAGAATCACAAGCTTTAATAACTGCACTAATTTATTTAAATTTTTATTAGAATTTATATTTTTAAAATTCATTTAACATTTAAAATATTATCAAAAACATTGAAAGTAATATTCTATGAATAAAAATATTTTTATTTTATTGCAATACTCCAAATTCCAGCTAAATCTTACTAAAAAAATATTGTCTAAATGTCATTTCTTGGGAATTTTTAAATAGAGAAATATAAAATTATATCAAGAAAACTCGTAAATGTTTTAAAATTGCTTAAAAAAGCTAGAAATTTAAAGCTTAATGAATAATTATTGCAATTTATGTAAACATTAGCTACCATTTAAAGGTTTTTACAATGCTTCTAATATTAAATAATGCATTTATGCATAATCTATAGAAAAGAGGAATTACTTATAACATGGCATATACTCTCCGTTTGAAACGACAACATTCTCACCTCTCTTTAAAATCTTTAGTACTTTTGCATGTACATCGGTAACTAATTCACGAGCTTTTTGATACAGCTCTTCATTGACTTTAGCTGTGTGTAGCATCTTTAAATCTATCTAATTACTTTATTTCAATTTTCACTATTCTTTTAAATAATGAGTCTAATTTAAATTGAGTTATTCTGTATTTTTTATTTTATTTATTCAATATTGAAAATAATTGAAATATATAAATAAATAAATGAATACATACATACATATATTGATTGATATGTTTGTTTTTCATGTATATGTATATGATATCTATTTATATATTTATATGTAATAGATATCAGACATCTTTTTAATTTCATTAATTCTTTATTAAGCTGTGTTATATTCTATTCTCTTATGATATTTACATTAATATTTTAATTTAAGCGATAAATATTAAATAATCTTTTCTTTTCATTTTATTAAAACAATTCGATAAATTCTGATTTATTTCATTTCTACACCCAAATTTTAATTTTTCTAAAACGCCTCTGAAATTCCATATTGAGAAAAACTAATTAAATAATTTTAAATAAAATTATATAATTTAATTACTTTAAAATCTTTGATCTGTGTCCCAATAGGCAATCAAATTACATAAAACTTAAGAATTTATCTTTAACATAATCAAAATTTGAGAAAAAAGAAAAAATTTTATCTCTAAAAAATGTAAGATTGATATTTTTTTAAAATAGAACTTTCCATAAAGTAATTAAATTTATTTTATTGAGATTAATAATGAAAATCTGTAGAAATTTTTTAAAAAATAAGTAAATTTATAAAAAGCATCATTTATTTAAACTGAATAAAACAAAAAAAATAAATATAACAGCATTAGATTTTTATTTTAAAAATATTACTTATAAACAAAATAAAATTTAATTTATTTAACATGCAGACAGACAATTTGTTTTGCTTATCACAAACGAGGAGATTACTTCTATTGTAAAGGTTTACTATAGAGTTCATCAATTACTTTTTTGAATATTTATTTAGCTATGTGTCTCTAGAGCTTAAAACTACTAGTCAAGCACCCATGAACAGCTAATGATACAGGTTCTAGGTGAATTTTTTGAGCTTATTCAAAAGAAAATAATCCCTCTTTTTTACCAAAATCTTAAATTGTATTTAAGTAGAACTGATTTACTTATTAATTTTGGCATAAAACTTCAATTTTTTATTCTTTTATGTTTAATTCTTAAGCTATTTTAACTATTTCGTCAGGTTTTGGTACAATTACTGCAATGCAATAAGTTTACAAAGAATCACCGTGAACAAAAGCCTCTTAAACACCTCTAGCTCTTATGTAGATGTTTTCTATTTTTTCGGGAGAAACATATTCTCCTTATTGTAGTTTGAAAAGATTTTTCTTTCTATCAATAATTCTCAAAGCTCCACTAGGCAAGATAGCTCCGATATCACCAGAATGCATCCAGCCATCTGAATCAAAAGTTTCATTTGTTTTTTAATCGTCTTTGTAATATCCAGCAAAGACACTGTGTCCTCTAATGCATATCTCACCTCTTGGCATTGGATTTCCAAATTCATCTTTATCAGTGGAGAGATATCCCATGTCAGGAACATCTTCTAATTTGATTTCGATACTTGAAACAATACCACCTACATTATTTTCTTCTATATCGCCCATAACCTAGCTTGTTTCCATTCCTGTACCTTCAGTTTAGCCATAGCCTTATGCGACGTTACATGAAAATATTACTTTGAAAAAGTCTAATACCTTTTAAGAAATAGGAGCTGCACCAGAATTCATACTTCTTAGCTTTCCACCAAACATGTTTTTGAATTTACTAAAAATTTACTCATCATAAATTGGATGATGGAAAGTGTATGTTTCTTTTTTCTGTAGATTTTACATCTTTTCTTAAATAGCTTTTTGTATTATGTTTTACTATGCTTAAGGCATTCTGCTGATGAAAGCATTTATTTCTTCATAAAACTTATTCAATAGTCTTGGAACAAAAATAGCAACAGTTGGTTAAGCAGCAGCAAAGTCTTCTCTTAATTTCAGCATATCTCCTCCATAATAAGCAATTTTAGTTCCAGTAAACCAGCAAGTCACTTAAACAAATCTTTCATAAATATGAGGCAAAGGTAAATAGCTGAGGAAGACATCTTTATTATCGAACTTAGACTCACTTCTTTATTGACTGCATACAATAGAAATCAAATTTCTATGAGTGATCATAGCTCCTTTAGGATTTCCAGTAGTTCCAGATGTGTAGCTAAATGAAAAAATTGTATCAGAAGGAAGATTCTTTGGTAAAGGTACCAGCTATTTGCGACCTTAATCTATCAAGTCTTTGAATTTAAGAATTTTAATTCCTCTATTTTGTAAGGTTTATTAAGTTTCCACGCTAAGATCTTCGTCAATAGAAATGATATATTTTAAATCATGCAGATTAGTAGCCTTTGACAAGATATCTATTTGCTAGGTAGAACAAATGCATGTAAGTATTCCAGAGTGTCCTAATATATAACTTGCAGATTCAGGTCCTAGAGTGTCATAAAGAGGAACCATAGTAAAGCCATAAAGGGCATTAGCAAAATCAGAAATAGTCCATTCACGTCTATTCTTACAATATATTCCTACCATTTTTAAAGTTCCATCAAAATTTTGATTTAGGTTATTATAAAATCTAAAATTTTTGTGATCGTTTGAGACTTTAAGCAAGTTATAATTCTAAAATGAAGAACCTAAAGCAACTGCTTAATCATAAATATCTTGGTATTTTTCATATTCATAGACTCCTGTTTTAGGATTCTTTGTTCCTACAAAATCATATTGGCTATTTACTTTGAGACCTTCTTAGATTAGATCTTAGAGATTTAGCACTCCAGGGAGGGGTTAGTAGAGGAGTCCATTAACTGATTAAGGATTTCTCATTGCGTGAGAAGAATTAGGAAGCTTATTTCCAACTGGAATGTTATAAACTCTTTCTGATATTGACTTTTAAACTTAATTACCTACACTCATTTTTATTAATTTAGAAATTGATTTGTTTATTATTATTTAATTTAATTAATTAATTAATTTGTTGATTCTTTTTATAACCAGATGAGTTTTTATTAGGTAAAAGAATATCAAAAATCAGAAAGAATCAAATTTTTTTTGATACAGAGTTATTTTAATTAAGATTAGAAATTGCATCACTTCTAACTAAACAGATAAGAATAATTTATTTAAGTCTTTTCATTTAATAAAAAGCATATTCAAGTTTCTATCATCCGCTTCTTTTTAAATCAAATAAATGGTTGTAAAAGTTTTGAAATGAGTATTTCGAATCTTCATAAACACAACAAATATGCTCAATTTTATTTTAAAAATATTTAATAAAAACTGAAGAAGTGCAAAATTTGGAAGCTAAGTTATATAATTCTCAACTAAAATGTACAATTATGTTTCATTATAAAAATAAACGTTCACTTAAATATTTTTTTAAAAAGCATGATGCAATTTGTATCTTTTATTTTTCAATTATAATGCGTGTCTAAATAATACGTAAATTCTTTACATCAAATTACTTATCAGTCTTACAACTTTTTCTATTAAAGATAAAGATTTAATTAGCTTTAGGTTATTTATTTTTTTTGTAATTTAAATTATTACAAAATCTTTTCAAAATTTTATGGTATTTGGTATTCTCTCTAAAAATAGAAATATTAGAGAAACCAAATATCAGTAATCTATACATGCTAATTGAATCATACCATTTAATAAATATTTAAATAAGTTTTAGAAATAGTTGATACCTTAAAATATAAAATCAAAAATGTTGCCTTATATTAGCAATATGATTCCAAATTTTCATAATCATGAACTTCTTTAAATATTTTTCTTCTACCTTGTATAATATTTGCATTTTAAATAGAACATTTTTAATTAGATTATTAAAAAACCAATAATAAAACGTAAATCAAAATATTTCTTAATTTTAATAACTAAAATTTTACGTTTTAATGCTTTAGAAATAAATTTACAATTAAAAAACGTAAATATTATTTTAGTATTTATTTTATGAGTACGAATAAGTTATTTTATCGCTTAAGACAATTAAATAAATAATTAATTTACAATGATATACCCAATCAGTTTAAAAAAATACTGATCGAAGCTTATCCAGCTATTATTAAAAGGAAAATAGACTATTCTTATGTATTTTCTTAATCAATCCTTAGAACTAAAAAATTTCGCTAAATTAAGCATTTTTTATAGTTATTATTTTTAATTTTAATAATAAATTTTACAATAAAAATAAAATTATTTACAAAAAACATTTTCTGTTTAAATGGCTCTGAAAACTAAAATATTTCATTCTTTAAATTTTTGTTATCATAACAAATAAATACAATTAATAGTTCTAATAACAATTTTTTATGTTTTTACATTTTATTTGATGCATTAATAACTAATAAGCAATTTAATTAATAAGTTACTATTAAAATTATTTTTTTAATTGCAAATAACATTTTTCAAATTATTTAAAATATAGGTTTAATAAATCGAAACTAGCAATTTAATCACAAACGAGATTATAATTTTGGAGGTAAAGGAGTACTGTACATTTAGTCAAAGATCTACTTAAATACCTATTTTGCTATATGTCTTTAAAGCTTAAAGCTTTAAGTTAGACATCCTTTAAAAGCTAGTGAAACTGGCTCTAAGTAAATTTTATGGGCTTACTCGAAAGACAATAAACCTTCTCTCTTTCCAAATTCTTAGATAATTTTTAGATAAGCATCGTTTATTAATTTATTTTTGCATAAAGCTTCTATTGAGGTTTCAGAAATATTAAGTTCCTTTGCAATTTTAACTATTTCATCAGGGTTAGGTACTATTATTCCAACACAATATGATTACATTGAATCTCCATGAATGTAAGCTTCTGATACTCCTCTTGATCTTATGTAGATGTTTTCTACTTTTTCAGGTGAAATGTATTCTCCTTATTGCAACTTCATAATGTTTTTTTTTCTGTCTATTATTCGCAAAGCTCCATTAGGTAAAATAATACCAATATCACCTGAGTGAAGCCAGCCTTCAGAATCAATAGCCTCTATTGTTTTTTCCTCATCTTTATAATATCCTGCAAATACACTATGACCTCTTACACATATTTCTCCTCTTGGCATATGATTTCCAAACTCATCCTTGTCTGTAGAAAGATACCCCATATCAGGAACATCTTCTAATTTTAGCTCAATACCTGTAACAATACCTCCAACATTATTTTCAACATTATCTCCATGTACTTAGTTTGTTTCTAAACCTGTTCCTTCTGTTTAACCATAGCCTTAGTTAAAGTTAGCACTAAAAATAACTTTAAAAAAGTCAATAACTTTTTAAGAAAGTGGAGCAGAACCACTTCCGATTTGCTTAATTTTTCCTCCAAACATTTCATTAAACTTTTTGAAAATTTTCTCGTCATATATTGGATGAAAAACTGTAGGATTTTATTCTGAGTACAAATTTTTTAACTTTTCATTTATCGCTTTTTGAATGTACTCTTTTTGAGGTTGGGGTTGATTGTTAATAAAATTATTTAAATCTTCATATATTTTGTTTAGCAATCTTGGTACAAATATAGCAGCAGTAGGTTTTGCTGCAGCAAAATCTTCTCTTAATTTAAGAATATTTCCACTATAATAAGCAATTTTGGTTCCACTTAACCAGCAGGTAACATGGACAAATCTCTCGAATATATGAGGTAATGGCAAGTAGCTTAAGTGGGTGTCTGCTTCATTAAATTAATGGTCACCATTTTGCTTACTCTAAACTACAGAAAGCAAATTTCTGTGAGTTAGCATTGCTCCTTTTGGATTTCCAGTAGTACCAGAAGTGTAGCTGAATGTAAATATAGTATCTGTAGGTATATTCTTAGGTAGAGGAACACCATTTTTAATTCCTAATGCAATTATATCACTGAAAGAAATTATTTTAATGCCTCTTTATGTTAAAATTTGATTAGACTCCTTACTGTAATTATCCTCTAAAGATATTATATTCTTCAAATCAAAAAGTTATTTTGTTTTTGATAAAATTTCTATTGATTGAGCTGAGCAAATGCAAGTAGTGATTAAAGAGTGTCCTAATACATAACTAACAGAATCAGGTCCTAAAGTATCATAGATTGGAACCATTGTGTATCCATAGAGCGCATTTGCCATATCTGATATGGTCCACTCAGGTCTATTTTTACAGTAAATACCTACCATTTTAATTGTACCATCAAAATCCTAATTTAAATTGGAGTAAACTCTGAAAGTTTTTTATTCTCGAGATACCTTCAAAAGATTTAAATTCTACAAAGAGGAACCTAAAGCTCTAGCTTTCTTATATATGTTTTCATACGTTTCATATTCATACATGCCTGTCTACAAATTTTTATTTCCAATAAACTCCCTTTATCCAAAGTTTTTAAGTCCTTCATTAATTAAATCTTACAAATTGTGAATATTTGGCATTGGTTGATAAAGTAGCTTATCAAGTGACTTAGGGTTTCTCATCACATGTGTTGCATTAGGCAATTTATTACCAATCTAGATATTATAAACTCTTTTTTAATGTGAATTTGATTGAGGTAGACTACTAACTTAGCTCATATTTTCTTATTCCCTTTTTTTGTTTAATTTATCTTTTAATAATATTAATTTCAAAGTTTCCTTTATTAATCAAAGTAAAGTAAAATTAAATTAATCATTCGTTTTTCAATTAAAAAACTCGTCAAAAAAATATCACAAATATCCCAACAAGCTAATTTACAAATTTTGTTGTTGCCTAAAATCTATGGCTTTTAATCATAAAAAAATACCCATTCCAATCAATTTTACCCAGAATTTACAAATTAAGTAATTAAAATAAGAAAATTCATTAATATTCTGAATTACATTTTTACCATTGAATATTAATGTAAAAAAATGAAATTTATTTTTATTAAATATGGTGATTTGCATAGTTTTATAAAAAATAAATATGTACATAGATGAAAATATTAAACAATCTTTCACTCAATATCATTACACTTAGAAATTGATGACAGTATTCTTTCATCTGTTAAATCAAAATCTTATTTATAATGAAACTTAGCAATAAATTTTTTGATGTATCTTGATTACAATTCTTGTGACTGCAAAATCTACATTTACTGTTCAAAATAATTCAGCTTTCTGCTTTCGCCTGAATTTATCAAATTTATTTTTATTTTTTAAAATTAATTTACTTTAAAAATATTACCAAATTAAGTTTGAGTCTATTCTTATTAACTATTATCCTTTTAGTTTAAATAAATTGTTGAGCATCCTACAAGCTAAAGTGCAGCCAATTATTCTTTAGTCAACAATATAAGCACAGCCTTTTTAAGGAATAAGATATCTTTGTAAACTTAAAAAATATCTATGTTTTTATTAACTTCTTCTGAAATCGTTTTTTTCATTTAATGGCTTAATCCTAATCTGCTTAAATCTTTTTTCCTTTTACAGAACCTTATTAATATATTTATTTATTGAAAGTAATTAAATATTAAATTTTAAAATAATTCTGATAAAAGTTAGAATAACTTATTCAATTAAAATTATTTTTGTTTAATATTATGGTTGGTTCAATTTATTTATTTATTAATTAAATTTAATCTTACCTTGTTTTAAATATTATATTTTGCATTTTTTAAGATATTGAAAAGTTGTAGATCGCTTTTAATTTTTCACTATAGTAATCGAAAACAGATTTATTTTAATCGTTATTATTTTATTTATTTGCTTAATTATATAATGGATTGTCTGTTGTTTGAGAAATATTTTTAATAGAAGATGTTTTTTTAAGTCTTAATTAATTGGTAACTACTCTCTTTATTTATTTGTTCAGCATTTAGTTTGGAGAGCAATCACTACAAATACTTTAATCAATTTTCTATTAATTATCTTTTGTTGATTGCTTATAAAAACTAGATATGTTAGCTTACCTATCTTCTAGCATGTTTTCTTTTTATTCATAAGTAACAGATGACATTTTAGAAAAAAATTTAAGTGATTAGTTTTAATTAATTATCTTATCCGAATCGCCTATTTAAGAAGAATTAATATTTTCATAATTGATAGAAGTCAATCTTTTTATATCTAAGTTTTATTTTGTTTTTAATGTTAAAGATGGAAAATTTATTGACTAAGATTCATCTTTTTCTTCTACAAACTTATTCTTTTTTTGCATTAAGTCTAAATTGAATTCAAATTCTTAATTGGATTAAAAGAAGCTATTTAACTTTAGCAGCTAAGAATAGGAGTCTTAATACATATTCCTTAAAAAAAGCATAAATAAATCTTACATTATAGACCTTTTAGCTAAATATCTTCCAATAACCCCTAAAAACATTAAAAGAGTAAATGTACTATTAACCATAGCTAAGACTTAAGGTATTGTTTAATATTCGATTTTGATCTACTATACTATCTCATCAATTACAATATTAAACTAATTGTAAGGTCCAATACCACATGTTTGGATGCTGTACTATTTATCAAAATTTTAGTTGTTAATCCCATATTAAATTGGTGATGAAAATGTTTATTCAGATTATATAAACAAACCTTACTTTATAGTAGTACTCTACTTTTAAGTTTCGACTGTAGTGTAAACATATTAATTTCCTATAGCATATACAAATATATTTCTGTAGCTTATCAAAAATTTTTTTGAAGTTACATCATAGAGAGAAGAAGATAACATTAATCTTTACCCTGCATAATACCCATTTATTATTTAATCTATTTCGACTTAGGGTGCACAATTATCAGGAATAGTAGTTTTTACATCATCTAAATCTAAGCATCCATAAATATAAATTTAGATTGAAGAGTATTGGCTTTATTATTTATAATTAAAGAGCGTGCTATTCTATAACTTTGAAAAATCAACACAATTAAATCCTTACAATGATTCATTTTAACATTCTATTATATCAAGTTATATAGTTTGCTAGTTAACACCATTACTAATCTAAAATTAAGCAATGTATACAACATAAGTCAAATTTTTTTATTTCTACAAAGATTCAATGCCTTTATTTAAATCGTATTCAAATCTGAATCCTAAAAAATCATTATTTAACTCCACATCAATTAACTAAGAAGATATTACATTTTAAGATCTGTAATTTGGATCAATCAAATTATGAAAATATTATTGAAGAATATATGTCAAATATGTTAAAGCAGTAAAAACTACAAAAATAGTAAGTAAAGTACCTAAAAATGTTCCTTTCTTAGAGTTTAGATTACCTAAATTAAAGGTAAACTCAGTTGAAAACATATCTAGCTTTGCAAAATTCATCTTTACTATTTAAAAATTTTAACTTGACTTTTACTTGATAATATGCTAGCTTTATACAATAATTCTACTTATACAATTTTCTTCTATTTCTTTTTATTTTTCTTGTTCTTATTTTTGATAATTGTAAATTATTTTTTCTACTATTTTTTAATTAAATGAGTAGCTACTTTTTTTGCCTAGAATTTCAATTACACAGCAACTATAAAAAGTATGTAACTATTTTAAATAGCTAAAAAAAGAAATTTATTTTTGTTAATCTTACATCTCGAGTTTATGATAAATTTAATCAGTAATATAAATTTAAGAAATCTTAATAAGAAAATAAATAATATCAGTGTATTTTTGGCAAAATAAAATTAAAAAAAACATTCTACTTTATATACTTAAATTACTACTCATTAAATTATGTCCAGTTATTTGACTATTTTAATTATTAATTTTTCAATAACTATCTCCAAAAACCAAAAGAAAATGCTTTTAAGGGTTTACATACAAAACATTTGATATTAAAAAATAAAACTCAAAAATAACTAAACCAACAAAATAAAATCTATTCATTTTTAGTTATTTGTAAATTATAACTAAATATTTAATTTACGAGCATAAAATAATATATATTCTCAATCAACATTGTTACATTTAGAAATAGAAGATAAAATCCTTTTATCTATCTCTTCAAAACCTTATTTGTAATGAAACTTTGCAATGAATTTTTTGATGTATCTTGATTATAATTCCTGTGATTATAGAATTGACATCTACTACTCAAAATAATTGAGCTTTCTGTTTTCACCTTTAAAACAAACAAACAAATAAATAATTAATAAAATTTTTATTTATTTCATGAATAGAGAACTAATAAATTACCAAATTAAGTTAAAATCTATTCCAATTTACTATCTTTTAAATTCAAATAGATCGAAGAGCATCCAACAAGTTGTAAAGCAGCTAATTAATCTTTAGTCAATAAAATTAGAATTGCTTTTTTCAAAAATAAGATATCTTTGTATACCTAAAAAATATCAATATTTTTATTAACTTCATCCTCTATTGTTTTGTACATTTGATGGCTTAATCCTATTTTATTTAATTCCTTTTTTCTTCTACAAAATCTATTCAATTTAAAAAGCAAAATATTGTTTTTTTGATTTTTAAAAATTTTTTAAAATAAAAAAATAATTTTACCTTGTTTTGAAAATCATTTTTTGAATTTTTAACGAAATTGAAGAATTGTAGATAGTTTTTAGCTTTTAGCTGTAGTACTCAAAAACGGATTTATTTAAATCGATATTACTTAATTTATTTGATTATTCTATTACTGGACTTTCAAATTGACGTACGCTTTTGAAAGAAAATCTTTGTTTCTATTAACTTTTATTAGTAACTGGTGTTTTTATTTATCTTTTAATCATTTAATTTGGAGAGCTTTCACTTGATACACTTTAATCAATTTTCGATGAGCAATCTTTAATTTATTACTTAAAAGAATTAAAAATATTAACTTGTCTATCATCCAATGAATATTCTTTTTAATCATGAGAAACAGTGCATAATTTAGATAAAAATTTAAAAGATGAGTTATAATTCATGGTTTTATCTTAGTCGCCTATTTATGAAGAATAGATATTTTCATAATTTATTAGACTTTATTTTTTTTAATCTAGCTTTTATTTGGTTTTTAACATCAAAGATGGCACAACTATTGATTAAGATTCTTCTTTTTCCTCTATAAACTTACTCTTGGTTTCCATGAAATTTAAATAAAATTCAAAATCTTAGTTGCTTTAAAAGTAACTATTAAATTTTAGAATTTGAGAATAAGAATCTTAGTACATATTCCTTAAAAAAAGCATAAACAAGTCCTACATAATAGATTTTTTTGCTAAATACCTTCCAATAACTCCTAAAAACATTAAGAGTGTAAAAGTGCTATTGACCATAGCTAGAACTTAAGGTATTGTTTAATATTGTATTTTTATCTACTACTATACCTCATCCATTACAATGTTAAATTAATTATAAGGTCCTAAACCACTAGTTTAAATACAATACTACTTATCAAAATTTTAATTGTAAATTCCATACTATATTGGTGAAGAAAATATTTCCTCTGATTATAATAGAAAGCCCTACTTTATTTTTGATATCTGCTTTTATACTTTAACAGTAGTTAAAACATACTAGTTTGCAATAGAGTACACAAATATGCTCCTGTAATTTGCCATAATACTCTTAGAAGATACATCATATTAAGAAGTTAGAAGCATAATTCTTTATCCTGCATAATAGCCATTTATAATTTAGTCAATTTAGTCTTAGCTTGCACAATTATTTGGGATAGTTGTTTTTATATTATCTAGATCTTAACAGCCATACATATAAATTTAAATTGAAGAGTAGGCATTTGATTAATAATTGCTAAATAATACATTATTTTATAATTGAGAAAAATCTACGCAATTAAATTCATTTAACTGTTCATTTTCACATTTTTTTATATCTAGCTAGATAAATTACTATCTATTACCATCATAAATCTCAAACACTGCCATATAGACGATATAGGTCAAATTTTGCTTAACCTGCAAAGGGTCTATGCTTTTATTTAAATCATACTCAAATCTGAATCCTAAAATATCATTAGTTAATCCAATATCAACTAATTAGGAAGATATGACATTTTAAGATCGAAAATTAGGTTCGATCAAATTATTAAAATATTATTGAAGAATGTATATTAAATATGTCAAAGCAGTTATAACAATAAAGAGAGTTAGCAAAGTACCTATAAATGTTCCTTTTCTTGAGTTCAAATTTCCTAAATTAAAGTTAAACTAAGTTGAAAATATATCTAATTTTGAAAAATTCATTTTTCTTTTCTTTTTAAATAAAAATGTATTCTGGTTTAATAACAATAATTCTACTAATTTTCAATTTGTGCTAATTTTCTTTTCTATAATTAATTACAAAGTAAATAACATAAAATTTAGACTAATTCTAAATGCTAAATGTTATTTTCATTTTATAATATTTTAATTAGAAAATAATCAATTATAAAATAAAAATTAAAGCACTACTACCACTAATTTTATACTACTTGCATCCTATTATACTAAAACCATAAAACCACCCTTCTTATTTATAACCTGTTATATTTTTAATATCATATTCAAAATATAAATCTTATCATCAACTAAGTATGATTTCAAAGGTGGTTTTAATCAATCTTTTTCAAATTAAATAAATTAGTGTGAAAAAAAGAAAAATTTAATACAATCAACTCAAAATTAAATTTAATTCTAGTTTAATCAAAAAATAAATAATTATTGAATTTAAAGATAAGATAAATAATGGTTTATTGAGCAGATGTTTGCTTATTACTCTCAATGAATTGAAAAAATCATTAACAACTTTTTTTAAAGACTCATTCAAATATTTTTTATGTTTTTAATAAATAAGCAAAAAAATATCTTTTTAATTTGCCATTTTTTTACTTCTTCCAACATAGAACTGAACTTTTGAATAGTATCGTTATTTTTTTATTAAATGATTAATTTTGACTAAGCATATGAATATGGATGGTATAAATGCTCTAGCATCTACTAGACTTAAAACGTGCACAATTTTAACAAGCCCAGCCATTAAATCTTATTTTTTTAAAATTTAACACAGTCTGTGGTAATTGGTTTTTTCTCGCTTAGATTTAATATATATTTTTATATTTTTGAGATATAAAATACTTTTAGATTTATAAATTAAAACTAATTGAATTAATTATCTAGTATTTAATATGATTCATTAGGCAACCAAAAAAAAATTTCACATAAAACTAAAACATTACTTAAAATATTTTTAAGATTGAAAAGTATAATTAATATGCTTTCTTTAGGAGATTATTTTTTCTCATAAAATTGTCATATTTATTTATATTAAAAAAACTTTAAAAGCTAAATTAATTTTCTGAATATTAATTCAAAATTTGTTGTAAATATTTTTTATTATTTGAAATAATATTTTTTTTTCATATATTGTTAAAAATAAAAAAATAAATTTTACAATTATTTCAAATTATAGAAGAAATTATTCTTTAATCAATAATGTCTTCTTGATGCATTTTAGATGTTATTTTATTAAAAAATATTTCTATATGTTCTTTTTACTTCTCTTATGATTCAAAAATAGTAAACTACTTTTAAATGTGATTGAAATTTGAAACTATATATTTTTTAATTAAAAATGTTTACTAGGAATAAAATAATGTTTAATTAATTTAATTTTTACTGTTAAAATTTGAAGAAAATCCAACTAGTTAGATTGCAGCTAATTGCTCATGACTTAAAAGAATCATGACAGCTTTCTTTAAAAATATGATATCTTTATATATCTGCATAATGTCAAGGCTTTTATTAACTTACGCTTCTATTTCTTACTTTGATTAAGGATCTAATCCTTTAGAAATAAGGTATTTATCTTTTTTGCAGATCCTATTCATAAAACATTTATAATTAAAATTTAAATAAAAATTAATATTATTTACTGAGATTTAAACAGAGTTTATTGCAATTTTTTTAAAAGATATTTATCCTAAAGCCAGTTTAAGATTTAAATATGATTCTAAATTTTATTTTTCATTTCTTACTACTCTTATGTTTTTTAAACCTGATTTGTAATTTTATTTGTAAAATCTAAACTTTTTTTGGGATAATAATGACTACTTGCATCAATATCTAAAAGATTTTATCCTTTTATTGTTTTGCTTTGATTTTAAGAATCAATTTTGAGAGTGTTAGATTATTATGAAGACATATTTAGCTTTAATACAGAATTATTTGTATTTATTTTTTTCTTTTTCTAATTAAATTATGGGATATTAATTGTTCTTTTATGTTTTTGTAAATATTTACTGTCCATGCTAATATGTAAATATTTCTGTTTATTAAATTAATTTAAACTATTTTAATTATCAAAATCAATATTAATACTTTTGTGCTTATCTTCGAGTTGAAAGCTATATTAATTTTGTTTTTCATCAATAGATATTTTTGATTTAGTTTCTAAATTAGGCACCTAAGAGAATTTATTGTTTTAAACTTTTTCGTCATCTTCATGTTCATAATAATTCTCTCGCTCAGTCAAAACAGGTTCTTAATTTTTTTGAATGATATCATTTGCTTATAAAATACTTTCAAAAGTTCGAAGATAAATGTTTGATAAAATTAACATAAAAATATCTCTTTTAATCAACTCTCTTATATAATTTTGCCTATAAAGCCTACACACATTAATAGTGTTAAAGTACTATTACAGAGAGCTAATATTTCTGGAAATGTTGGATATTAAATTTTAATATATTGAACAATTTCATCCAGTTCAAATGTAACTTGTAAAATTTATTTTTATCCAGTTCTTTGAGAAAATTGTTCATCAAAAGTTTAATGGTCTACATTATATTGTATTGGTGAGCTAAAAAAATCTTCTCTCTAAAACAGACTTCCTTACTTAACTTAAGTAACCTATTTTTAGATATTGTATAAATATAGCTAAAATTATGAACCTTACAAAAAAACTACTTAGCTCCTGTAATTTACTTACTACTTTTTAGAAGTCATGTTAAATTATGAAGTGTAAAAGTTGAATCTTAGATTAGCATAAGGATTATTAATTATTTAATCTATTTAAGTTTAGTTAGCACAATTGTTTGGGATAAATTATTTAAATTGATCTGTATCAGAGCATCTATGAACAAATATGTATAAACTAGAAAAAATATTAGCCTGAGTGCTTATTAATAATTATTAATCTTAAATCTAAGAAAAATCGAAGCAGTTAAAACCATAAAGCTAGGGATCAGAACATTTCGTATAATTTAATTCAATCAATTAATTATTGCTTCCGTTTTGAAATAAGAAGTATGTTTAAAAAACAAGATAAGTTTAATTTTACTTTGACTACAAATCATCTAAACTTTGATTGGTGTCATATTCATACCTAAATCCAACTAAATTTTCTTAAAGGCTAATACCAACTTAATCTTAGACAAAACTTTATGAAGCATATTTAGGATCAATTTGATTATCAGAAAATAGTAGAAGTAAATAAATGAAATATCCTAAAACAATACAAAAAACAATAACAGTTAATAATGCTCCTGTTACAGTACCTTTTCGCTAACTTTTATCAAAACTAAACTAAAAGAAGGAAGAAAACTAATCTAAATCCTTGAAACCCATGTTACTTACTTTCTATTTATTCAACTAATATTCTTAAAATGCTTCAAAAATAAATTCAATTTTAATATAAATTGTTAAAAGCAGTAATTATTCTGATACTTAACAATAATTCATTATTTTAAAAAGTTGATATTTTTATCATATTACTAATATCAGATAATTATTTCAATAGTAGAATATATAAATTTAGTAGAATAATAAATATTATTTTTAAAATTTAAAGTAATAAAAAAAGGTATCAAAATAGGTTTCTAACCTCAACAAGCAAACAAAAAATAAAAAATATTTAATAATAGTTTTTTATGAAGAAATCAAAATTATTAATCAGACATTTAATTTTTAGAATTAAACATTATTTTCATTCATTTTATATGTAAAATAACAATAAAAAAAGATTAAATGTTTGATAAAAAAATAAATTGATATTTCTTCATCAAATAATTAAATATTTGAGAAAAGAACAAATATAAAATGAAAAATGTAATAAATATATAGTCAATTGATTTAACCTCATATAAATTTGTAGTTAAAAAATTGGTACTTATGAGGATTTTATTTATTAAGATTTATAATCTTGATATACCACATTCTACAACAAACAATAACAATTAATAACGCTCCTGTTTGTTACACTGCCTTTTGGCTAATTTTTATCAAAACTATACTAAAAGAAGGAAGAAAACTAATATTGTTTATTAAGCTTATTTTCTTAGAATGCTTTAGAATAAATTCAAATTTTAATGTAAATTGTTAAAAGCAATCATTTTTTTATAATTAAAATTAATTGATTATTTTAAAAATGTTGATATTTTTATCTTAGGCAACTTAAATAAAATAAAAGTTAAAAAAAAGTTTTAAATTTATGAAATTCTAAATAAACTAAAAAGAATATGCAATTATTTTTGTTATATTTGGGAACAACAAACATTAATAGTTAATAATGGACCTATTTGTTACAGTGCCTTTTGGCTTATATTTTTAAAGTCCTTCAAAAATAAATTCAAATTTTAATGTAAATTGTTAAAAGTAATCATTTTTTTTTACTTAAAATAAATTGATTTTTTTTTAAAAGTTGATATTTTTATCTTAGGTAACTTAAATAAAATAAAATTTAAAAAAAAGTTTTAAATTTATGAAATTCTAAATAAACTAAAAAGAATATGCAATTATTTTTGTTATATTTGGGAACAACAAACATTAATAGTTAATAATGGACCTATTTGTTACAGTGTCTTTTGGTTAATTTTTATCAAAACTATACTAAAAGAAGGATGAAAACTAATTTTGTTTATTAAGCTTATATTCTTAAAGTCCTTCAAAAATAAATTCAAATTTTAATGTAAATTGTTAAAAGCAATCATATTTTTTTACTTAAAATTAATTGATTATTTTAAAAAGGTTGATATTTTTATCTTAGGTAACTTAAATAAAATAAAAGTTAAAAAAAAGTTTTAAATTTATGAAATTCTAAATAAAATAAAAAGAATATGCAATTATTTTTGTTATATTTGAGAAAAGGAAATATGTATAATAAAAAAATGTAATAAATAAATGGTCAATTGATTTAACCACAAATAAATAATTTATAAATTTTTAGAATGATTGATTTATATTACCAATCATATAATTATATGTGTGATACTTTGTATTTAAAAAATAGGTACTTTTGTGGACTTCAATTATTAAGATTTATAATTTTGATATACCAACTAGATTTTAACGAGTTTTTTCTTGTGATAAATTAATTACCTCCTTTTCAGAAAAATAGAGCAAAATAAACAACAAAATTCAAGACTTTTCAAAGAAAGTGTCAGTAAAATAAAAAAACCAAATAGCTTTCTTAGTATTAAATCAAGTACAATTATAAGTTAAAATCAGACTTCATGCATGAAGCCAAAAAAATAAACTAGGAAAGATAGTTTGTAAAATAAAATAGCTTTTTAATGATTTCCATTAACTCAATATTTTGATTTTAATTCTCAATAGTTAAAGTAGTGATGGAGGCTTTTCTGATGGATCTTCAAAGCAATTTAGTGTTAATAAGAAAAAAGGGGAAGCAGAAAATTCATAGCAATTAAATAAGAGCGAAGAATTGGATCCTTAAGAAGCTTAATTGCGAGATATAAACTTCTTTAATGAAAATCTACCTCCCTCATAACCAATTGTTGTAAAGGATTACTCATTAGAAGCAGATATGATATTTGGGTAAACTGTAATTTTATTTATCTTTAACTAAGATATATGAATAAAAAATGAGTATTTGAGCTTATTTATATTAAAATGATGTAAAAGTAGCAGGACATAAAATTTTTAGAATATTATTTATTGGTTTTAAAAAATGTTTTTAAATTAGCAACAACAAATTTACTTTTATATTACTAATTCTAATTAAAAGAAATAACAGATTTACTTACTAACTATAAAGAGAGCTTATTTATTTTATAATTTGCTTATTTACTTTGAACAAATCAATCAAACATATTTATCTAATTTAATATTAAATAGATGGTAGCCAAAAATATAGTTTTAAGGGCCAGTGCCTATGACTTTTGATAATAACATTGTAGATATTATTATATCTCATCTAAATAGTCCTACCTAAAATAAAACTCCATATAAATTAATTTATTTAGGATTTCGCCCTTTAAATACTTTGAAATTACATTCTGCTTATTGTGATAATAATAGAGAAGATTCATATTATTTTAAATTCAACAGTCTTTATGGTAATTCTCGAATGAATGGCTTCTTTCACTCTTTAGAAAAAAAGAATAAAAATAAATTTGAAATGCCATTTTTGGGAATGAACCCAAATCTTTCAAATAATAATTAAAGTATAATTAAAATAAATGACTAAAATGATGAAACAAACTAAAGTACTTCAGAAATGTTTAGTTTAACATAAGGAATTTAAATAAATTTGAAAACACCCTAAAGTAATTTTAATAAAAATGATAAATAGTTCAGCCTTTTTTTAACTGAAGAAAACAGAGAAAATAATAAAACTTTGATTTTTGATTCATATTTTGAAAGTGGCAATCTTGACTGTGTTGTGCAAGTTGCTTAGAATGAATATGATTTATTTATGAGAGTTGATTCAAATACTAAAGGGCATCTTTAGTGGTATAACTTTAAAGTGAAAGGTGCTTAAGCAAATTAAAGAGTGAAATTTAATATTTGTAATTTCAGTAAAAACAAATCTCTTTATATGAGAGTAATTCAAATTTATATCAATTTTATTTAGTCTATTTTAAATTAAATTAAATTAATTTCATCAGGGAATGAAGCCATATATTTACTCACAAAAAGAAAACCTGCTTTTTAAATCTGATTGGTCACAACAAGGAGAGAAAGTAACTTATTAGCTTAAAGAATTTAGATATCCATTCATAAAAGAATATATAGATGAACTTAAGTAAATCCTTAAACTTAAAGTTTCTATCATTAAATTTCATAAAAAATAGGCCTAAAGTTTATTACCAGCTCTCATTTGAGTATGTCTTTAAATATTCAGATGATGTTGTAAGTATCGCGTACTGTCCCCCATATACATTTTCTTACTTAACTATGTTTTTGAGGGAGTTATCAACAATACATAAGCTTTAAAATGGTAATTTCCTTAAAGAAGAAAAATTAAGCTCTTCAATGAGTGGTTTGGATGTTCCTCTATTAACTATTACAGGTAATGAATTAAAATTTTAAGAAGCTTAATATTATAAATGTAAATTAATATAACTTTTTAATAGATTTTAACTAAAGTGAGGAGGAAATAAATAAAAGAAAAGTCATCATTATATCTGCTAGGATTCATCCAGGAGAGTCAAATGGATCCTACCTGATGCATGGTTTTCTCAAGTACATGTTTACTGAGGAGGCAAATGAATTAAGAAAAAAGTAAAGTATAATTAAGATATTTCATTTAAAAAATATAATAATGAATATAAATAGATGCATATTTAAGATTGTACCGATGCTTAATCCTGATGGTGTTGTTCTTGGTAACTATAGAACTGGTATAGCAGGTAGAGATTTGAATAGAGTATTTGCAAATCCAGTAATATTTTACTAATTCTTCCTTTTAAATATCTTACTTTCTTTCTAAACAAACAAGGACAAAATGCTTTATCCAACTGTCATCGGGCTGAAAGAATTAGTTTCAATTACGAAAAAATAGTATGGATAAAACTTGATCATGTTTTTAGATTTACACGGTCACTCTGTTAAGAAAAATGTATTCACATATGGTCCAGATTATCCAATATTTGATTTAAATTACTACAAATGCAGATTATTCAGTAAAATACTAGCAAAAATGACAGATATGTTTAGATATTTTTCTTGCATTTTTCGTATTTCTCAAATGAAAAAAAACACAGCAAGAGGAATTTTTTTTAATAATTACGATATTGGAAATTGTTTCACTGTTGAAGCTTCTAATGGAAGCTACTACATAGGTATAATTTTAAGTAATAATCATATTTATCTAAATTATTTACTCTTTATTTAGGTAATCAAACTACTATTGATTTTACAATAAATGACTGGCTTAGTATGGGAGAGTAAATAGCTAAAGGAATAGACGAGTATGTTCAAACAATCATTGATTATGACTAAACATAATAAGCAAAGCTCCAATAAAAAAAGTTAGAACGTGAATAAAAAGCATGTAATTAAATTCTTTTAAAAAAGCTATATTTAGTAAATTTGTAAATTAGTGGATGAATAATCATTTTTAACTTCAACTTAAGCTACTACAGCTGGAAGTAGAAGTGATAATTCTGGTTTTATAACTTAAAGAGCTTTAATCTAAAAATCAATTGTAGAAGAAGTCACTCCTGCTAGCTTGATTAAAATAAGGAACGATAGGCTTTCTTAAAAATTTTAAAGCGATTCTGAAAATGAAGGAATTTTATCTTACTTAAGCAAAACAAATGGTAAACCAGATAAAAAAAAGAAGGCCCAGTACTATCATAAAAATAAAATGAATTTTAAAATATAAAAAATAAATTAAAAAAGTATTAACTTTAACAAGCAGTTTCTACTTGAAGAATCTCCTTTCTCTAAATATTTCGTAAATTACTATAAAAATTACTCTTTATGATCAATCAATTTAAACTAAATAATTCTTTATTTAGATTTAAAATGTGTAATTTTTTAAAATCATTTTTATTTTCTAAAATTTAGTCTAAAAATGCAGAGGAATAAGAAAAGCAAAAGTAAAATGATGCAGAATCAGATGGATTTTCAGAAGGTGGTTCTGATAGTGAGTCAGAAGGAGAAGATTATGATGTAAAATAAATATTTATAAAAAATTTAATCATATTTAATTCTTTTTAATAGAAAGCTTTCTTAAAAAATTTTTAAGCCACTGTTCAGAGAGACTTTTAGCTATTTAACAACATCTTTAAAAACTTAGAAAATTTTGATGTCAAAACAGAATAAACATTAATTAAAAGAAATAATCCAGATAAACTTAAAGAAGAATATTTAAATGATAAAATAAGTTCTCAACTCATTTAAAAAAAGAATGAGTTAGGGATAAATAAATTTATTAACGATAACAGTATTAGATAGTCATATAATAACCAATCAGCCTTAACACCAACTCATTTTAAAGCACCTGTTATTAGACCCAAAACGAATGATAAGTCTTTGAAAATAGAATATAAATCAGTCCCATCTTCTTAACGGTATTTATTTCAATGATTTATTTTTTTTTTAAATGTATTATTTTTTTTTTATTATTTGGATTTGTTTTAAAAATTAATTTTCAGATTAAAGTAAATCATTAAAGAATTAACAAATCTTTTCTAACAAAAGAAATACACCTTAGAAAAAATAGTAAATTGTAGGTAACTCATAAATTGGGTTAGATATATTCAAAGATAGAAATAATTCTAAGAAAAAATAATCTAGGATCTAGCTTAAGGATAATAGTAATTTACTCAGTAGCTAAATAGCATTTTTGAATTCAAGCGAATAAAAAAAAATGATAAAAGACCATATTAACTATGATAAATACGATGATTTATACAGCTAAGAATTCACTTAAATTGAATAAGCTTAATATCTTAATCCTATCAGTTCTAGAACTGGAAGATATAATAGTGCAACTCCGTTCAAGGATGATAATTTAAATATAATTAATCTATTTCACAGAGTAAATAATACACCTTTAGTTTAAACTACTGATAACTAAAGTTTAATGAGAATTATTAACAAGTTGAAAGATGTAGAAAAATAAGGAAATGAATTAGAGGAAATTCAAGGAAAGAGAGTACTTGTTTTAACTAATAATAGCTACTTTAATAGCCTAAATGATAATAATAATATTAGCAGTTAAAAATTGCCTTAAAATGTTAATTAATCATTTAATTAGATTAGAACAAACTCTTTAGCCACTAACCGAGCAGTGATAGATTCTAGCTAATTAAATAATAAGAAATAAGCATTTAGTATTTAAAATTAGCAAATTCCTTCATAAGTACATCTTAAGAGCATTTTAAATACCACTTTATTTAGTAATTTAGCATAGATAAAAGAAAAAATTTAAACTTAAATAATTCCTCCAATAAGTTTTTATCAGTAAAATGCTAATATAAACTAAGGATAATCACCTAAACGACATCTTTCATAATCTTATTAGCAATTTATATAGCAATAGCAAGCTAAGTTAGATGAGTGTTCTCCAACTAAACCTCTTTAAAATTAATAAGCTGATTCATATTATATTACAAGTAATGGCTTTGGATTCAAAGAAAATAAAGATGAATAAATCTAACTTATGACAGGTCTAAGCAAAAAAAGAGAAATTTAAAGTCATACTAACAATAATAATAATAATTAAAATGGCCATTTATATAACACATTTCACAATAAATTTAATTCTGCAAATAATTCCCCGATTTAATCTCTTTCTCCAGTTAAAAATTCTTATAATTCTGCTAATTACAGTTTTTCTAGAAGAGTAAGTTATCAACCTCATTAAACTACTAACTCAAACTATTCAAACAACTAACTTAATGTAGCCAATCCTAATTCCACTAATAGTTTTATTAACTTTTCACCAAGAGAAAGTTCTAACAAAAAGATGAACTGTCCCTCTGCTTTCTACAAAATTAAAAAACACTTTACTTCAAAGAAAAAGGTATTTTAATTTTTAACTTATTTAAATAAAATTTATATATTTCAATAAAAAATAGAATGAAGAATACTAAAAGTAAACCAATGGTTACAACCCTAATGTATCTTATTAACAACAGTACTAAGCATAAATTTGATTTTATAATAATTTTTATTAACTCCTTTTATATTATATAATTTTGAGTGTATAAATATGTATATATTAAAATATAAATAAATAATTAAGCAGTAATTCTTTTCGATATAAAAATTCTTAAACTAAATATACCTGATAGTTTTTTAAATCAAATTTTACCTCATAAAATTTATTTTAACAACCATTTAAATTTTAATATTAATTAACTAAAATTTTTAGTTAAAAAAATAAATTGCATTTATTAATTTTTACAATATATAAACTATTATCATTTTCAAATATTTTGCAAGAATTTTTTTAAATTAAAAGTTTTTTTCTATATAAATTTGTGTTAATGTTTTGTAACATAATTTTTGGCAGACTAGTCATATTTTTTTCTCATGTATATAATCCTGAAGGCTAGTTAATGGTCAAATTCAGGGAGATTTTAGTTTGATATTTACATTATTAGATCTGATGTTTCTTTTTAATATAATATAGCTATTTTATACACCTAAGAAAGGTTGAAACCCTTTTTAAAGAAAATTACTTTAATAATATAGAAAATTAATATATTAATTATTACTTCTTAGAAGTAAGATTTGAGATAATCTCGGCAAAAGTCAATTTCATTTTGAAGGAATAAGCCAAACTTCTTTTAATTTTGTATTTTATCTAGCTTATTTATGTCGACAAAGCAAGTAATCATTTACTTTTCAAATTAGTCAACTATAATATTCTAAATATAGCTAAATGAAGATCTTGGAACTCTTCTTAATATCAATGAGAAATACGCCTTATAATTAGGGAGTAGATTGATTATTCCATAAAAAGCTATTATTATAAAAATTTTTATTTTCATATTAAACAATAATTAATTTTCATTTACCACTAACAGAGAATTCTTTAATTGATTATTAATTTAGCTAGTGAGAATCTAAATTTTATAGGTAACAATCAAAGAAATTCTTCAGAAAAATGAATACAAATGATTTTCCAAGAATTTCAGAAACTTTCTATTTTTGAATAAATTAAAATTGAATGAATATTTTTTTAGGATAGAAATAATGCTATTAACAAATGCTTGCTTACTTTCGATGCAAAGTTGATGTTATCATTTATGATTTCTAAAATACTTTATCCCTTCAGATGTGAATTTTAGTTAATTTAATCAGCCAAAAATCTTAAATTTCCTAATCTCAAGCAAATTGATCTCAAAACTTACACTGAATTGTTTTTTTAAAAAGTTTTATTCATAAAAAAATAAAACTAAAATAAATATTTACAATTAGTTTCTTATTGGAATATGTCTTCTTTGATAATCTCTTCGCAGTACTTGTCAATTGGCTAAAATTATATATCTTGAATATTCTTTGATAATTCAGACAAGCTAGAGAGTACAATATCGCAATAATAATCGCAAGCTTTTAAATAAAAGATAAAAATTTAATATGATTTAAAAGCAAAATAATATTTTTACTATCTAAAAGAATAGTTTCGATTAGATAATTTATAATTTTAGTAAAGCTAAAAGACTATGGACAACTTAAAACTAAAAGATTCTCTATGGATTTAAATAAGATTGATACAAAATCTTAGCTATTTTTGCTATTGTAGTAAACTTGATTCCCAACGCTCTCTTGATTTTCCCATCTTTCATTTTGAATACACTTGGTTGTCATATTTGCCAACTCAAATTTGCTTTTACATAAAATAAATTATTTTTATTTGTCAAATTTTATAACCAATTTATTTACTAATTTTCAAGCCATAAATCAAGCAATGGTAATGCTATTTCATAATATGAAAGATCCTTAGTGAAGTTTGTAATTTTGTCAAATTTTTATAATTCTTGACATATCAAAAGTATTAATTCATATGACGATTTAGGAATATCAGTTTTATTTTGTATAAGAATTTTAATTTATTCATTGATATCTGAAAGGAGATTATCAACAAACAAAACAATTAACTCATGCTATTTGAAATCGAATTGCCTTTAGAATTCAGGAATATAGATACTAAATAGAAAAATATGATCTTTTTCTTCATGCAGACAGCTCAAAATTTTATATATTCTTTTCAAATTTGTTTCAGCTATAAGCTGCTTATCATGGCTTTCACCTGGTTATTGCTATTATATGTCATCCAAATCAGAATATTAAATTTGATTTTCGAAATCTGTTAAACTGTTATCTTTTTTATCATGCAAAAAGATATTATTTATATTTTAATCTTAATTTTTTGTAGAAATATTTTGAAAGCTAGCAGACTATTACTTTGTATTGTTGTTGTTGTTTTCTTCTTATACAATTTTATCCTATTAATTATCAGAGGGTATTTATTCTGTTTGGTCTGCTTCTAAACTTATAGATTTTTCAAGAGGAATTTTCACATTAAGTGAAGGCTACTTTAATGTGACAAAACCGCTAATCTTCATCAGCTCAAAAGAAAGATTTTTTCCTGAGTGTACGAAATGCTATTATATGTAATTTTATTTTGTGTCCTTTTCATTCAGTAAGTAAAATGATAGTAAATAATCATATATTTAGCAGAAATATGGAAATGCAGAGTGACTTAACATGACATATTTATGGATATTATCACAAACATCTTTTAAATCAAACACAAGCTCATTCACAAGTTAAGTTTAAATAATTTGTTCACCTTAAAATGTCCCTCTTTCATTATCAAAATGGAAATCTAAAGTTAACTCTTTAAAGCAAAGTAAAAACTAAAACTTTTTTACACTTTTAAACATTTTAATATAATTTGTATAACATTCATAAATGAGGATAATTTTTAAGGTATGGCTACTCAATTTCAAGTAATTATCACTAAAGCTCTTTATTAACTCAAAGCTATCAACCCAATGTTCATGTAGCATCTTATATATTCAAAAAATAAAATTCAATTAAACTTTAACTTTTGTTAAATATAATTTTTTTGAGTGAAGGGAATTGAACAAAAAATTGTTGATTTTTAAAATATAAAGCAAAAATTGAAAAAAAATATTTTTCTATGTATTCAGTTTTATTTAATTTGATTAAATCAATAATTTGAACTCTCATCCATTGGCTTTTTCGCTTAAAATGATAATTCATTTTTATTAGCTAGAAGAAAATTAGAGAAAAGAAAAATATTTTTTGTTTTAATTTATTTTATCTGAATAGCAAAGCGTTAAAATTTTACTTAGATTTAGAAATTTTTAATTTATTGAAAAATGTATTTTAAAATTAAAAAAATTTAAGCCAAAAAATAATGTTGAAAATAATAATTTTGTTAGTTATTTACCTAGAAATCTGATTGTTGCTCAGGATCATAAGGGAAAATAAGTTATTTAATTAATATTTTGATTATTTAGTACGATAATGGGTAAGTGATTGTTTAGATAAGCAAAGTTTGTTATTCTTTTATATTCATTAGAATATCTTCATATTTAATTATATTACAGAAGAAAATTTTAGCAAAAGACTCAAATGATTCAACAGATTAATCAAATTCAGCAGAATTTAATTCGTAATTAATGTTACAGTACCATTGATTATTTAAAGCAACTGTAATTAGAAGATGTTAAAGTAGATTTTTCATAAAATCTTAATTTTTCTATATTAATGAATCTTTTTCTGAAAAATTTATAATTTTATAAAGCAAAATTTATAAAATATTGTTTCCCTTTTCAAAATTTTCAGCCTACTATTTATTAGATAATATATTCATTATATTCAAAATACTTTTGAATTTTGAGCTTATGAAGCTTCCAGAAGTATCAAGATCTTTTTCTTTAATAGCAGAAGAGTTTAAAAGATTTTCATCAATAGGTTAGTTATGAGTTATGCTGTGAATCAAAGCATCTTATTCAGGAGTTATTTTAAATAACTCTCTAAACAATTCTTTTATGCTACTTTTATCATCCTAGTCAAAAATATCATGATTTTATATTTTAAATACAATCAAGCTATATAATAGAATCTCAAATTATTTTTGATTGTATTTAATCTTTAATTAATCAGTAAATGGAGTTATCAAGTCTATTAAATCTTAATGATAATTATAATCTATTTTAACCTTCAAATCGTTAACTTCCTTTTGTTCACCATCTAATTTAATTTAGATTGGTTTAATAATAAATTTTAATGTTTTTAAAGAAATAAAATTGATCATTATATTCAAAAATATTAATGAAAACTATTTTTTTTTAGTATTTATTTGAACTTTAACTTACTACTTTATTAATGAAAAAATTTAAAATTTAAATTAAATTAAAGCCTTATCAAAAAACAAAACTAAGTATTTAATAAAAGCATTTTGACCTCTTAAGTTTTTAAAAATTATTGAAATTTTATTTTACAATCTTTTTGCTTTTTTTTAATTTTTCATATTTTGCTTTATTTGCTTAAAGTTTAAATATTTTAGTATAAATTATTCATTTAACTACTGTGTATTCTCTAATTTATTCTGAATGAATTTAAAAATTATTTACATATTTTATCAACTCTTTGTTTAGAAATTCTATAAGTTTATTAAAAAATGGTCTTGTATTAAATTTAGAGAATAGAGGGTATTCATTTAAAATTAAATTTTTATTATAAAAATGATTTATTTACATTTATTTTTCTTTGATTTAACTTTTTACTTGTTTTCTTCTAAATTTTCTTTGAAAAAAGTCTCTTTTTGGTCGACTATTTTATTCACATTCTAACTTTTAAGAAGCATCTCTTTCAAGAGAGTGTTATTTCTTTCTTTTATGTCTCGAGAAGCTTAAATATTTTAATACATACTCTTTCTGTTTGATGGAAAATAAGATTCTCTATGTTCGTGATAAGGTGCTACTACAGATGATATGCCTTTAGAAATTCCCTAGAAATTCATTTAATTTTATTCTACTTGCTCTTCTTCCAAGTACTAATGCAGCTTTTAAGCTGTTTAAGTTTTGAGAAATCTCTATCCTATATCAATTAGTTTACTGCAAGAAACTTTTGATTAGCTCTTAGAATTATTAATCAAACACTATAGAGCTTTTATTATAGATAAATAATTATTAAATATGTGAATAATAAATAGAAGTATTTATTTTTATCAGACAACTGATCTAACTAAAATTACTATCACTGATCTATTTTTTTTTCTATTACAGCAATAAGATTCAACAAATTTAAATTATTTGGTTTTACAAATTTAAATAAAATATTCAACCTGAATTGGCATCATCTGACCAGTTTTATAATTAAGTTAAAGGTATTTTTTCATTTTCGTAATCTTTTAAAAATGCCTGTCTAGATGTAATTATATCTTCATCTATAATTCTATTAAAAGAGCTTCTCATATCTATCATTTATTCATTTATTTTATTTATTTCGCCTATAATACCTGTTTAAACATAATTGCAAAATTTCTTTTATTGTTCTACTTTATCTAAAAGTTCTTTTCTAAGCTTGATTGAAAACTCCTTGATATTTCTTTTTATATAATAATTTTAATTTTAATGTTATCATCACTCGATCAATAAATGCATACATGTCTCTATCAAATTCTGACTCTTAAAATATGTTGTAAATATTAATTTGCTAATCTACCATTTAACCTTCTAATTTATTAAAAAATAAAATGTAAATGGAAATAAATAAAACATGATATTTTCAGTAAATTCATATGAAATTTTTACATTTTTATCCATCTAACAGCTATTATAAACTATTTAAATATGTATTTTGTACTTCTAAAAAGCTTTGGAAAAAGAAAGCCATTGCTTTTGAGATTTTTTCATAATCATCAATTTTTTTGTTAACCACAAATTTAGATTTCTAATTTTTAATATTCCTAAAATAATCATCTTATTTGAAAAAATGCAATTTTACTAATATGGCAACCTCATCTAATATGTGAAACTCTTATGTTGGCGACTATATCATAAAGCTATATCTAAAATGCTATTTATATTTTACTTTTTAAAGCTTTTTTATAAGATGGTTTTTTAAGTGCTTAATTAAGCAGAGTATATTAGAATTATTAATTAAATAGTGTGCTAAATTTGATTTATGAGGTAAAATTTATTGATGATAAATATCTAATATTGCTTTTACAAAAACATAAAAACTGATGTTGATTAAATGAGAGGAATTAGTTAATCTATTTCAATTGCTATTTTTACTTTTAAAAACTTGATATATAAAAATTGTAGCTATTTACTTAATTAACTTCATAGTTATTCATCATATACATTTAAATAAATATTTATTATTAATATAAAAATAAAATATATTCATGATTTTTTAATATTTTTCGATTATTTCATTTATTTTAAGATAATAAACAATAAAGTTTGCTAAATTGGTTTATTTTAACAATTGAAAAAGTCAAAATACTATTTTTAACTTGCATTTTTCTTTTTAAATAGATTTTATGTTTGTTTTAATATTTATCATTCACTCCTTAGTATAAACAATCGAAAAATAAAATATATATTTAATAGAATAAAAATTATCAATATTTTTAAAATTTTAACAAAATTCCACAAAATTTAATTTATTTATTGATTTGTGCGAAAACCCATGATTTGTAAAAGATGTTTAAAATTTAAAGATAAAAAAAATAAAGACAAAACAATCACAAAGATAAATGATCAAGAAAATTAATTGTTTTAATTTAATTCTTTTATGAAAAAAAAATTATTTAAATTAATATATTTTTAATTTTTAACTTATTTTTTAATACAAAAGACAAGTAATTTATTATTATTTATTATATTTGTTTATCTAACTATTTTGTATGTTGTAATTAACACAACATTTATATTAAACTCATACTTACTTCTCATTTACTAAAGACCATTAAAAATAAAATACAAATTAACTAAATATTTAAAATTATCAATGTTTTAATTTTATTGTCAAATAAAAAATAAATAATTTCATTTATTATCAAACTTTAGTTTCAATTTTAAAAACAAATTTCTAACAATACTCTTATGTAATTTCTCAAATTATAATTTACTTAAGGATATATTCTATTTTATTATAATATTTATCTTTTATCTGATTACAATTTTACAATTTATTTTGAGAATGATAATCATTCCCTCATGAATCATCATACTAAAATGCTTATTTATAATAAAATTTATGTTCGTTCTCTATTTCTATAATATTAAAATCTTAGAATAAATGAACTAAATAACTAATATATGATTCCGATATTAAAGGATATGAAATTTATTGTAGATTAAGTGCTTTAGTTAGTTTATCTTTCAAATATTTGTAATTACAACCTAGAGCTCCTCTATCTTTCACAGTTTTTGTAGCAATATCTAAGATGTTTTGGAAAAAGCCAATAGAAACTTAGTAAGAAATATTGGGGTAAATGTATGAAACCATTTTAAGGGCAGAAATAGAAACAAAATCTTCTAGCGATTATGCAATTTTAGCATAATACTATTCTTTTTAATCTACTTGATATTAAATGCTTAAAGTATCGTAAAGTTGTTAATCTTTTGCAATTTCTTGAATTTTAATTATTACTTCTTTTTTTTCAGCTAATTCATTTGATTCAACATCCATTTCATTAATCTATTTATTATTATTTGCAGGCTATTATTATTAAAGCTTTTAAATCAGCAATTTATGGGTTATTCTCATCAACTCGCCAGCAATTAATTCTTTATATTTTAATGTGTTGATGTTTTCTTAATTGCTTTTTATTTGTGGTATTTATTATTATTTCCACAATAAATGCTCTTTAGATTCTTTATCCTAAACTACTTTATCAATCTTCTACTAATTAATCTACTATTCTTTTTATTTTATTTATTGCTGTTCATTTAAAGTTTTACTAAGCTTATACTTTTGAATGAGCAAATATTGCAGCATTTCTTCATCAGCTGAGTGAATTATTCCTGTTTATTTAAATAATTAACATATTAAGCTGAATCAATAATTTCAATATACGAATTTACTAAATCTCTCAACAATAATTTTGCAAACCTATCCTGCTCCAATATTCTTCTTTTTAAGGACTCCAATTCCTGTAATTGCCTTAAATACACTTATTTCTTCCTAGCAAAATTTATACATATCTAGAAACAATTCAGCTTCGCCTGTGGAGTCTTAAACTAGCAATTAAATTAATTTGAATATATATTTAAAAATATATATTAAGCTATTATACTGATTGCTATTTTATGTGGCACATCTTTTTATTAATTTTATTCAGAAGAAGGAAAATTAGAAAAGCTCAAAATCAGCCCTGTGAAGCATACTTTAGAAAAATCTGGAAGGGAAGGTAATTCTTTTAAAAAAACTAGTTCAAAGTTATCTTCCATTGCAATTATATGATTTATAATATAAAAATTGTTTGAAAAATATTATTTTTTGGCGCTTAATTTTGCAAATTATTAAAAAATTTTGGATATATTAATATCAATATTATTAACTCAAACATATTCGCTTAGAATTTATAATATTTTTTCTTAATATTTATATAATTTGACTTAAAAACACACAATTAATATTATTTTTACTATGTTTAAATAACTAATTTTTAAAATTAATTTAGATAAAAAATAGATTAAATTATATGAAAAAAATGAATATCTCAAGACTGAATAAAAAAATATTACTTTTTTTTCAAATATTAAATCTACATTTTTTGTTTTCAAAAATCTGATTAAAAGAATACATTTTTTTGGAAAAAAATATTAAAAAATAATTTATTAATTATTAATAAAGAATAAATTTTTTGGTATAATAACGATGAACAAATGATATATTTTGATTGAATTAATCTATTAATAATTTGTGTTAAAACTAATACGAATACACAAATACATAAGTTAAAGAAATGAAAATTTGAATGTTTTTTAAAAAAATTAAATTTCAAATGTCCTTTATTGATATTGTGTTATAGGTTTTTTTATTTAAAAGTATCTTTGCTCTCTTTGTTAAAAAGTCTCTCTGTTATTCTTTCTAAATTATTTATTCTTGCAAGTTAGAATATATGTCCTTTATCACACGCTAATTCAAGTACCTTTATCTACCGATTTCTATGATGTTTTCAACTGAACGAATTTACTTATGTTTCCAGAAAAATCTTATTGCAAGCAAAACTGAAAATTGAGCAACAGTGTAGGTAATAGGTTCGATTATATCCCAACCTTTTTTCAAAATAAAATTAATTTTAAAAAGAGTTAAAATAATTTAATTTAGTTATTTATATTAGAAATAACAAAAAATTAGTCATACCTAACCATTCTACATGGAATATCATATAGTAGAAAGTAGCTAAGTGGCCTAATGAGATAAGTAAAATGAGTTTGAGGTAAAAGTAAGATTTTTTGGTTGCAGCTTCAAAGAGATTATCTCTTCTATCATACAATTTAGAAAGCTCCTATTCGATGATGTTTTGTTGATGTTAAATTGCTTCAATTTCTTAGTTAACTGGAGCACTAAAACTTTTAAATGTTTTTATAAATATATTATCAAGTTCAGTCTCAGATAAGTTAATATCTTTCTTTGCTGCTGCTTTGAGGTTTTTAACTTCTTATTAAAATTAACTTATAAGATGAGAAAGTACCCCTGCGTGGGAAGGATGTATTTTATTTTTTTAGCATTATAAAAACCAGTGAAGAGCACCTTAATTCTCTTAAGATTCCTTTTCAACCTAAATTAGGTACTGGTTGAGAACACTGTGACCACTATTTCTCAATACAAATACTTCATCATCGACCTCTATGATTACTTCACCCATTTCGTCACTTCTCAAAAAATTAAATAAATTAGAGTCCTAATCAACGAGATTAGAGCCACTTCTTGTAAAGTCAAATTCAACTGAACAGCTAGGATACTCAAATTCTATCATTTCTTTGAGAATGTTGAAAGTAAAATTCTCATTTATAAAATAAATTTTCCTAGTTCCATCTAATTCGATTTCTAAGCTGACACTATTGTGTCTGAGGATTAAATCAATATCTTTTTTTGTTATAAAATTTAAAAATTCAAATGATTAATAGCAAATTAATTGTTCAATCATTTATCTAAATAATGTATTTGTGAGTAGAAATAGCTAATAAATTACTTTTGGCATTTGGATCTAATTCAGTTATCTACTTTTGTTAAGCTTTAAGGTATAAAAAATGTTATTAAATATGAGAATGAGCTTAGCAAAGATTTTACTTGTAGATTTTTAGTTAGTGTGTTGATGATTATGGTTGTGATCTAATATTTTATAATATATTAAAAACTATCAAAATTGCAACTAGAGTATTTTACTTCTTCTAGCAGTTTAATTGCTTTAGTTTGTGGTAAAGCTTCTTTGTAAAGCGAAGGTTGAGAAAATATTATTTTTTTTAAAGAACATGCTATTAGCAGCAGTTCTAAATAAACTTCTTGTAAACATCGTTTGTTTTGATACTTTATGTGATAGTTAATTTGTTAGTTAATCCTACGATTTTATTTAAATTAAAGCAAATTTATCAAATTGGAATAATTTATTGAATAGTAATAAATCCTATTTTCAAAAAAATATGTTTAATAGATATACAGTGCCCTGCATGAATTTTGAGAAACTTTTGATATATTATATGATTTTCTCAAAATTCATGCGGGGGACTATATTAATAAAAATATAACATAATTTTCATAAAAATACAATATTAAAAACAGAAAATAATTGTCTGAAATAAATTAGTTTCTTCAACTCCTTTTTGTATTCCAACCCTTCAATTTTCATTTCTCTTTACGACTTTAACTGTCTTTTCGCATCTGATGCATTTTAACTCATCATTCTCTTTAATTGATAGGTTATCTGCTTATTCATATTCTCCATTTTTGTATTCTTTCCAATAACATTCATACCACATGTGATCCCATTCATAAAAGTATGCAAAGGCGAAGTGGCATTCTGGACAATAGAACCCTTATCCATACCAAAATTCAGAGGGGATTGAATTTTTATTTTACTCTGAGTTTTCTTATTGCATTGATAGTATGAAGAAATTTATTTTGGATGCTTTTCTTTTTTTCTGTGTTTAAAAATTAAAAAATATATTTTTATTTTATTTTAAAGTATAATCAAGGCATTCATATGTTAAATAGATGTTTAACAAATAAAAAAATATATTGCTTCAACAAAGAGTTTTCATTGACTTTTAAACCACTTTTTTATTTATTGATATATTTTTTTGTAAAATTTATTTAATATTTAAAATTAAAATTAATTTATTCTATTTAATATTTTTTAACTTATGATTTATTTTAAATCATTTACTAAAATGTTTAGATTATATAAAATAATTTAAGAATATTTCTAATTTTTTCAAAGACTTTACTAAATTATTTGCTCAAAAATTTAAAAAACGAACTTATTGCAAACAAATAATTGAGATAATTGTATTTTTATAAAAAACAGCTTAATTTACATTTAAAAAAACTAAAATAGTCTTATAAAAAATTTATTGAAATTTAAATAATTAAAAAAAAAATGAATAAAAATTTTGATTATGATAATTAAGCTATTTTATTATTTTTATCTTACTTTATGCTGATTGATTAATAAATAGATGATTATTTTTTTTACACAGATTATTTATAATAAATATTGATCAATAATATAATTCAATATAAAGAAATGTAATTGTTTTTCTAATTATTGATGAAGAAAAATTAGTTTTAAAATGAGAATTTAATAAAACTTAAAATAAATTTGAATACAGAATTTATTGGTATATATATTATATATAGTAGTATTTTGTATTTTTGACTAAATTTTTTAATTTCATAAATCAGTTAAAGTTATTTGCTTGCTTTTGTAAAAATTACTCAAAAGACTTTTCTTATTATGCTTGAGACTGGCTATCTGAGTAAGTGAATTATGGGCATAATAGTTGAGGCAAAAGCACATATTATAGAAATTACAAATTAAGAAAGCAAAATATCCTTTGGAAATCTAAAGTTAACAGCCATTTAAGTGAATAACTATCTTTGCATACTCATAGAATATCCAATAACCATACCTACAATAGTTCCTATAATGCAGCTCGAAAAAACTAAGACAAAAGATTCGTAGATATATATCAAAGATAATTTTAACTTAGACAGACCTACAGCTCTCATTATTGCTATTTCTTTGCTTTGGTCATAGATATTTGCCGTCATTGAAGATATCAGAGAGAAAAAACAAAGAAGCATTACTAAGCCTCCTAAACCAGAAAATGAAATATTAATCAATTTCATATTTTATTCCAATTCTTCAGAAGAGCCCTTAAATGACCAAATATATCTTACTAATAAAAAAATATTAATAATTGAATATTTAAGTTTAAGTTACATTAATAATTAGAAGCAGCCCTAAGTTTAGATTTAATAATCAGTTCATTTTCTAAATCTGCATCTATAATCATTCTATCATAAATATTAGTTTATTTCTTATTAATTATACTCTCAAGTATTTGCTGAAAAGCAGGAATAGATATAATAACATTTTGCTCTTAATCTAATGAAGATAAACCTCCTCCTTGCATATTTATACCTGGAAATGAAGAAACAATAGAAGAAACTTAAAATTAATAGTTAAAAACTGTTTATTTTCCATCTGTAAACTCTAAGAAAACGTAATTTTCATTGCTTCCTTCATCTAAATTTACATCAGAGCTATAGAAAAGCTATTCTGCTAATTATTTGCTTATTATTATTTTTCCTACTTCTTATGATGAATATAATTCTTAAACAATATCTAAACCACTTGATGATTTTTATTCTATCTTTAGGAATTATTTATATGTTGTTTGCAAGTAATTTGGTTACAAAGCTAAAACTCTAGTTCTCAAATTTAATGTTTAACCTTTATTTTTGATTCTAAATTAACCATGAACACCTATACATTTTTAGTTTTTTAAATATATTTTTAATTATTTTGATTAAAATATACTGTAAATTATTATTATTTTAATCAAATCAATTTTTAAATTAGTGATGGATTTGATATTTTGCTAGATTTAATTTGTTTTATAAAAATATGGAGGGAGATATAAATGAGGTTTGCTTTACTTACAGTATTTAAATTAATTAATTTTTTTAGTTGAAAATTTAGTTTAAATTGAACTTTAATGAATTTACCATTATCTTGTAAAGTTTGTTCTATGTTTTGTGTTACCATGGTATAAGATCTAATATATTCTTTTAGATCAGATGAAAACATGTTTTCATAAGAGTCTATTTTAAAGCCATTAAAATTATCAAGCACACAATAGTTTGCTCCAAAACTTAATAGAACTTGATAGTATTAGGAGTCAATTTAAAGACTCATTGCACTCCATACAAAAACTACAAATGCAATACTAAGTCCATACATAATAGAAGTTCTGGTATTTTTTATTCTATGACAAGTTAAGTTCTTAAGGACAAGTTTTTATGAAGATGCCGATATCCAAAATAGACACACATAGACAACTAGTTTTTCAAAGAGGTAAGAAAAGTTAATACTTACAAGTATCAATCCCACTAAAAGTCCAATTAAAATAAAGAAAAATATTGTTATGAGCATACTCATGTCTAATGTAAAAAGCGATAGAGGCAATAAATAATAGATAGAAAATCCAAAAAGTGAGCAAAGTAGGCCAAAGCTAATCTATCCCCAATTAGTATTTTTACCATCTAAATCAACAGTGATCTTAACTGCAGAACTCTTTGACCTATCTTTATCAAGTGCAAAACTAAGTGAGTTACTAAGCGCACTCTTGATTGGTATTATCGATGAAGCCAATGGTATAAATAGCCCTGTAAAATAATGATTTAAAGATATAAAAAATAAATTTTTTTAATCATTTTATAATTAATAAATTATTTCATGATAAATTTTATTTAAACATTTTTATTTTTACCTAAAAATAAGCATAATCCATATGAATTAATAGATGGCGAGTTACTGATATCTAATCCAACAATTTCTTTAGCTTTTACACTGGCAATAGCTAATATCTAAGTTGCAAGGAGTATACCGATTATAACTCCTGGAATGACAAAAGAAAGACTTTAAGAAAGAATCATGATAACAACACCTACTTTGTTAAGTCCTATTATTCTTAATACACCTAGTTCGTATGTTTTTGTTTCTACAGATACAAGTAGTAGATTATAGAGCATCATTATGCTAAGAGAAGAGAAAAGAAGTATAATCATATTTGTAACAACACTTAAAAACATCTAAGCATATTTGAGATCATGAAATAGCTTAAGTATTGGTAAATTAATTGAAACAGGATAAACACCTAAAATTCTTATTATTTCACTTGCTATGAAGTTTCCTCTTATTTCAATTTAGTCCATATTTTGTTTAGTATAAAAATCTACTCTGTTTGGCAAATTGAGCACCATCTATTAAATTTAATAATAATTTTTTAATTTTTACAATAATAAAATATTTTTTATTAATAACTATTTGTGTGATAAAATAATATATTCCTTTTTGAACATCAATATATTTATTATTAATTTCATCTCAAATTTAAATATTAGTTATTATTAATGGCTTACTTATGCAGTATGCTAGTAAGGATCCAATTCAAACAAATTGTCATAATATTGCAATAAAGGAAAGTAATATTTCAACTATTAATTAGCGTGCTTATTTAAGAGCTTATATAAATATTTAAATTCCATGAAAGCAGCCTTCTTCATCGTGTTAAATGACTCTTTACCAACATTTTTATCAATAATTTTAGCAACCTTAGCTGAAATGTACGTGTCAAACTAATAATGTTCAAAGTTAGTTAGAGAAGTTTAGCAATTTTGTTCATTTCCGTCAAAGTGAAACCAACAAAAAGTTTAAATTCCATAGAAATAATAAATATTAGGCTTGATAGAGAACAAAACAGTGCTGCCTTCTTTGAGTTCTTTTATTAAAAGTAGAAATTTTAATAATATTATTATTATTTAATTTTTCTATATATTTTGAAATTACACATCTCATCTGCAAGTTCTTAATTTATCACAATTTAATCTTCTGGAATCTCTGATAAGTCAAATGATCTCCCTAATCCAATATTTCTTTCCTTTTCAGTATCTATAAATATCAATTCAGAATCTTTTTAATTTGGACAATAGTTGAATATTTCTGGAAATGAAGAAAGTGGAGTTGAACTATCTACAACACAAGCTCCTTACTATGATACAAGAGTAATATTTAAGTCAAATACAATTCTAGGTGAAATTTGATTCTCTAAGCCTAAAAGCTCAAGTCTCTTCTGAACTTATGTGAAGTTGAATGTTGATTTATCCTCATATCTATTTTTGTAGAATGGTACTATATTTTAAAAATGTATTAATTAATTGAGTTTATTTATTCGCAGAATTTGGTTTTAAAAATGACTTCTAAAAGTGCAAGAAAAATAAAATTACTATAAATGTAATCTATATTAGTGGTAAACTTCATATCTATTTATCCATAAGCTAGTTCACCAGATTGCAAATAAATTAATTAAGATTTATCTGTAATTGTTTAGGTAATTTATGCAGCACAAACTACTACTATGATTGAAACTAGTGATAGCAAAAAATAACAAAATCTCCTTTTCATTTCGATTAAAGAGTTCTTCAAGAAGTAGGACATTGAAGAAAAAACACTCTGCTAAACTACTTTTAACTCTATTTCTTTCATTTATTTGCTTTTACTATTAATTTACTTTCCTTTTATATTTCTTTTCAATTATTTATTTAATAAATTTTGAGTCCTTTTTTTAAAATATCAATACTTGTTTAATGCTTATTGCTTTGGTAGATTTATAATTTGCTATCAAACAAAAAGATTTAAATATTTTTTATGTGTTTAAGCAAGACACTGATTTAACAGTAAATTAATTGAGAGTGTATTAACTATCCTTTCAATTCCTTTAAATTAAATTTATATAAGCATGAGCATATACATACATATTGGTAATAGTTATTGTATATTTTACAAATGATAGGAAAAGAAACATTACAGCTTATGAACATTAAATTAGCTATTAAGAAGAAAAGAGAAAATTACTTTATGGCAAACTATTTATTAATTAATTTTTTCTTATTTGTACTTCTTGATTGTGATTTAAACATAAAATATATTTTTTATAAATTAAAAATAGATAATTAAAATTAAATTAAAAAATTAACATAAAATTTAAGAGTTGATTTAAAAAAGCATTAACTTTTTAATCTTTACAATTCACAAAAAAAAAGGAGAGGTTATTAGAAAAAATGGTTAAATCTGAGTATATTGGATTATTTAAAAAGATTGAAGAATAGGATTAAAAGCTCAATATTTTTAATAGGTTATCTTTTAGAATATTTTAAAAATATTACATAAAAGATTTATCTTTAATAGGTAATTTTAAAGATAATTAAAATAAGGTCTTTAAAATCAATCATAAATAACAAAATCATTTATATATTTAATAATTTGCTAAATAAATTAAATAAGCTTAATAAATTATTATAAAATGAGCTATTTTTAATTTTATTAATGTTTGTTTCATTTTAAATAAATCAAATTTTATTATTCTAATAAAATTCTTTTACCCAAAAAAATAAAAGTAATATCTTTCTTTCTTTGCTCGATAAAAAATCTAATCAAAAAATAATCAATAAATACATGGGTTAATATATTATTAAAAAAGATAAAACCTGGCACTGAATTTCTATAGTCATTCCTATATGCCTAGCTATTTAAAATGTTTTTTATTTTTAATTCAGTTACTTTTTTTTAATCTTTCTACATAAAGTTAAAGCGATTTTCATAGTAATTATTAGAAAAGGAGAGATATTATGATAATTTTTAATAAATAATTTTTTTATTCCCTTTAAATAATAAATACTTTTGATATTGAAATATTATTTTACTAAAATATATTCAAGCTTTACTGTAAGATTTAATATTAAAATTAATAGTTTTCGGTTAAGAATAAATATTTGCTATTTTTTATTAAATAATTGAAATCATTAATTTTTTATTACTTAATTATAAAATTATTATTATTTGGTTGATTCTGAAATATTATTTTATTAAAAAATTAAAGTTTAAATAAAAAATTTATTTGTAAAACATATCTTTTAGATTTTGAAATGTTTGTTTTTTTAAATTATCATTTTTCTAATCAAATAAATAAAATATTAAATGCTTACTATAATTCAAATGTAAATGCATATTTATATAAGCATATTAGTTAAAATTGAAAGATTAAAAAAACACTTCTTAAAATAAAGTTCATAATCTTTAAAAAATGAATGAATAAGTAAATAATTTTTTCAAATAAAGTAAAATAATTTATTATTTCATAAACAAGAGAATAAAAATTAATTTTAAAATTTAGATTTTTTTTTTTTGTTTATTAAAAGTATAAATATCAATTTATATATACTGAATATTAAATTTTTTTAATTTATTTTATATTTTATTAATCAATAGACAGATAAAGTAGTAGTGAGACCGCATATTTCAGTAGTGTCAAATTCTTTCATCAAAGGACCTCTCCATGAACCGAATTATTAATCTTACCTTTATAAATTTAAATATATTTTTACTTAAATATTTTATTTAATTAAACTTTTATTTATTTTTTCATTATTTATAATTGAGAAAAAAAAAAAATATTACCAGTCTTAGAAGTTTGGTTTTTGATTATAGTTTATGTAAGAAAGTGGAAGGTTGCCGAAATTAGCACAGTTTGTGGTAGTACCGAAGATATTGGACCAGTCGAGAGATGATGAGCGAATACCAATTTTCTTACCTGTTTAGGCTTGGAGAAGGGAAATGTATTTTGTCAAAATTTCACAATTTAAGTTGGCATCAGTTGACCAAAAGCAATTTCTATCAGCTTTTTAAATGACATTAAACCAGATATTTTAGTAACCTGTAAGAAATTTGTAGTTTTCAGAGAATTTAGTTACTTGATACTCAGGAGTGTAAAAATTCTCTTATCTGACAGTATTAACGCAAGGGTCAAAAAGTAAATCTGTAGAAATCCCTTATTCTTATGCTCTGTCTATCTTACCTTAAACTTAGGGAGAAAATATTGTGGTGTTATCTTTATATCCATCAACAAGCTGAGTTGAGACTTTGTAGAATTTTAAGCATTAATACATATTTGCTTCATAGTCAAGTAAATCATAGAAGGCAATGCTGCTTTATGTATAGACGCTTGCAGAAATTAAGAGTATTAAAAAGCAACAAATTAATCTTTTATTCATTTTAAAAAATTTTTTGAGTTTTAATTTTATTAAATTGAAATTAATTATGAGAAAGTGATGATTAATTATTTTTTCAATAATTCAAAAGAAATTCAGATAGCAGTAAACTACCCAATTAAATTGTATATTTATTAAATTCAATGTAAATATAATTTTTGATGATTTCTTATTATTTAGAAAGGGTAGCTAGTATTATTATAAAATTGTTAACCAAAAAGGAAAATACATTACATCTAAACCTAATCTAAGTAAATAAAGTTTTTCTCATAAAACCTAATCTATTCAGGATTTTATGATATTACTTTATAAAAGATTTCTTTTATTAAATTGAATATCAAAAATCAAAACCCATTCGAAATAGATAAATAAACACTAACCTAAAAAAGTTCTTCTCAACTTCATCAAAATTTCAAAAATAATGTCATTCATTCTAAGTTAAATTTGTTTTATTGATTAGTTTAATTAAATTTATTTACTTTTTGGCTTAAAATATATTTTTTTTCTTCATATTTTGCTATTGATTAATTTTCATCTATTCAATCCACAACAATACTGTGAAATCATAAAAAGTAAAAGCAAATCTTATTTTAAAAAGTTTTGTTTTCATTTTACCAAATTTAAAAAATGAACGCTGAAAATAAAAATATAAAAACAATTTTCATATATATACTTAGTTTTAATTTTATTTAGTTATTTATTTATAAATAATTTTGTTTGAATCAATACACAGTCAAATCAGCATCTATGTAGCATTCGAATTTTCCCTTGGAGTAAGTTTTCATTGAAGGTTTAGTCCAGCCACCAAACTTTTATTCATTCCTTTTTATTAATTGTATATTTAAAATTATTTTAGATAAATAGTAAAATAAAAAAATAATTCAATATAGAAAATCATTGAAAACTTTTAATAATAAATTACCAATCACTGAAATTAGGTTTATTGTCATAGTTTTTATAGTGGAGAGGGAAACTACTGTACTTGTTGCATTTATTTCCAAAAAGGGCTTCCCAATCTTACTTGCTTGCCATTATACCAAATCTATCAACTCCAACAGCTGAGCGTCTAACTTAAGTCATTATTTCATCAAGAACTGAACAATTAACATTAAAGTCATTATGCCACTAGCAATTTTTAGATTAATTTTACTCTATAGAAATCCACAAAAAATCTCCTTTTAAAACATCGTGGTTTTGTTGGAAGTATTTAAGGAATGTGAGGAGTTAGTTTTCTTAACCAAAATAGGGGTAGTCAGTTGTGTTGATATTGATGCAGGGAACATAAATAGAATTAGTGGACAAACCAACATTATCAGCATAATTTTACCCTATTTTGTGGTAACGATCATAACCCCAGATCTATTTTTCAACTAGGTTTTAGTATTTGAATCCGTTTTAAGAGTTTCTCATGCATAAATACTAATCTTAGGAATATCCTGAGTATAATGGAGTAAATCCCAAGATTCCTTTTTAAGCACTTGCAAAAGAAGTAATTAAAAGGATAGTTAAACTTGCAATTAATAGTTTATTCATTTTTTTTTATTTTTTAGATAATTAATTAATTTATTAATTAAATTGAATTTTCTTTACAAGTAATAATTAAAGTTAAATTTTGAGTATTCAAGCAATTATTAGGTTAATCCAAACAATATTAATTGAGATAATTTATCGCCCTTAAGTCTATCTATTGATCAATTTATTGATGAAAAATATAAAATATCAAAGCACCATAAAAAAAAGATTATAAAATAAATATACTTCTCAATATTTTTTAATAATATTCATATTATTAGTGCCATCTCAGAAGTTAATTACAAAAAGCTATCTGTAAGTTTCTAAGTTTATTAGTTTGTAATTTGATACTTAAAAAAATACTGATAAATTCTTATCCTTTCTAAAACAGAAAATGTTCTATTATCTTTTATGGAAATTGATTTACATTTTACAAAAGGATAAATTTTTTAGGTTTTTTAATTAATTTAATCACCAAAATAAAGAAAACAATACAAAATTTGTTTTCTCTTATTTTTCTTATTTGTGTAAACATCATAAAAAACAAATTTTTATTCTAAAAAAAATTGTTTGATATCTGATGTAAAATTTTTTTATTACATTTAAATTATTTAATATGATAGCAATTAAAAAGTTTTTATTAGCTTCTTTTTGACTTTTAATTTTGACAATTCTCAATCAATCTATTAGAAAGTATCAAAAAAAAAAGAAAAACTAAAAAAATATATATTTAAAAACAGTTTTAACTTAAAAGTAATTAGTAAATTATAATATTATAATATATATATCCATATTTTATTAATTATTTATAAAAATAGAAATTATTTTCTTCTGTTAAATCTTAAATTTATTTTAATCACTTTGATAAGTAAAAATTCTTTAAGAATTGTATATAAATTAATGCAAAGGCTTATATAACTTTATAATAAAATATTGATGAGTATTTTCAAATAGTATTTCAGATCTATTTATTTTTATAAAAATTTTGATTAATTAGTATTCATCTCTGTTTAAATAAATGATTTTTACTTTCAAAAGGTCATTTTTTAATTAAATATTTTCTAAACTTAAATTGTTTTATATGTTTACATGAAAAAATGTTACCATATTAAAATTTTTTTAGTTTCGAAATAAAGCTCTTAATTTTTTTATAATATTATAGCTTTTCTCAGTATTTTTTTTAGATTTTTTTATTTTGTGTTGTTTATAGTATTAATTTAAATTAATGAATAATTATTTATTTTTTTAATTAAATTTTAAAAACTTTAAAAAGTTTAATTATTTTAATTTATAATGATGTAATTAAATAAAATTTAAATTTATTATGCATGTTTGATTAAGAATGCAAAGAGCTTTTTATTTTTTATTGTAACACTTATTCTTTAATTAAAGACAAAAGAATAAAAATTAATTTTAAAATTTAGATTTTTTTTTTGTGTATTAAAAATATAAATATGAATTTATAAATCTAAAAATTAAATCTCTTTAATTTATTATATATTTTATTAATCAATAGACAGATAAAGTAGTAGTGAGACCGCATAATTCAGTAGTGTCAAATTCTTTCATCATAGGACCTCTCCAAGAGCCGAATTATTAATCTTACCTTTGTAAAATTAAATATATTTTTACTTAAATATTTAATTTAATTAAACTTTTATTTATTATATCATTTTTTATGATTGCGAAAAAAATAAATTAAATATTACCAGTCTTAGAAGTTTGGTTTTTGATTATAGTTTATGTAAGAAAGTGGAAGGTTGCCGAAATTAGCACAGTTTGTGGTAGTACCGAAGATATTGGACCAGTCAAGAGATGATGAGCGAATACCAATTTTCTTACCTGTTTAGGCTTGGAGAAGGGAAATGTATTTAGTCAAAATTTCACAATTTAAGTTGGCATCAGTTGACCAAAAGCAATTTCTATCAGCTTTTTAAATGACATTAAACCAGATATTTTCGTAGCCTGTAAGAAATTTGTAGTTTTCAGAGAATTTAGTTACTTGATGCTCAGGAGTGTAAAAATTCTCTTATCTGACAGTATTAACGCAAGGGTCAAAAAGTAAATCTGTAGAAATCCCTTATTCTTATGCTCTGTCAATCTTACCTTAAACTTAGGGAGAAAATATTGTGGTGTTATCTTTAAATCCATCAACGAGTTGAGTAGAGACTTTATAGAACTTTAAGCATTAATACATATTTTCTTCATAGTCAAGTAAATCATAGAAGGCAATTCTACTTTATGAGTAGACACTTGAAGCAACTAATAGTATTAAAAAGCAAGAAATTATTCTTTTATTCATTTATTAAATTTTTTTAGTTTTAATTTTATTAAATTGAAATTAATTATGAAAAATGATGATTAATTTATTTTTTCAAAAATTCAATAGAAATTCTCATAGAAATAAAATACCTAATTAAATTGTATATCTATTAAATCCAATATAAATATAATTTTTGATGATTTCTTATTATTTAGAAAATCTCTTTGATATTATAAAAAAATTGTTAATCAAAAAGAAAATTACACTATATCTAAACATAATCCAAATTTAAAAAGTCTTTCTAATAAAACCTAATTTATTCAAAATTTTATGATATTACTATATAAAGGATTTCTTTTATAAAATCGAATAATAGAAATGATTCTATATAAATAAATAAACACCAACCTAGAAAAGTTCTTCTCAACTTCATCAAAATATCAAAAACAATGTTATTTATTCTAAGTTAAATTTGTTTTATTGCTTAGTTTAGTTAAATTTATTTACTTTTTGTCAAAATTATATTTTTTTCTTCATATTTTGTGATTAATTAATTTAATCCTACATCTAGTTAATTGTTAAATAACTTTATATTTAATATCCGCAAAAATACTGTGAAAATATAAAAAAAGTAAAATCTAATCTTATTTTAAAAAGTCTTGTTTTTATTTTACCAAATTTAAAAAATTAATGCTGAAAATAAAAATATAATAAAAATTTCATATATATACTTAGTTTTAATTTATTTATTTAGTTATTTATTTATAAATAATTTCTGTTGAATCAATACACAGTCAACTCGGCCTCCATGTAGCATTCATATTTTCCCTTAGAGTAAGTTTTCATTGATGGTTTAGTCCAGCCACCAAACTTTTATTGAATCCTGTTTGTTTATCGTATATTTAAAATTATTTTAGATAAATAATAAAATAAAGAATTCAATAATAAAAATTATTGAAAACTTTTAATAATAAATTACCAATCACTGAAATTAGGTTTATTGTCGTAGTTTTTATAGTGAAGGGGGTAACTACTGTACTTGTTACATTTATTTCCAAAAAGGGCTTCCCAATCTTACTTGCTTGTCATTATACCAATGTTGCCAACTCCAACAAATGAGCGCCTAACTTAGTTCATTATTTCTTCAAGAACTGAACAATTAATATTAAAGTCATTATGCCACTAGCAATTTTTAGATTAATTTTACTCAATAGAAACCCACAAAAAATCTCCTTTGAAAACATCATGATTTTGTTGGAAGTATTTAAGGAATGTGAAGAGTTAGTTTTCTTAACTAAAATATGGGAACTCGGCTGCGTTGATATTAATGCAGGGAACATAAATAGAATTAGTAGATAAACCAACATTATCAGCATAATTTTACCCTGTTTTATGGTAGCGATCATAACCCCAGATCTATTTTTCAACAAGATTTTAGTATTTGAACTCATTTTAGGAGTTTTTCATGCATAAATACTTATCTTAGGAATATCCTGAGTATTATGGAGTAAATCCCAAGATTCCTTTTTAAGCTCTTGCAAAAGAAGTAATTAAAAGGATAGTTAAACTTGCAACTAATAATTTATTCATTTTTTTTTATTTTTTAGATAATTAATTAATTTATTAATTAAATTGAATTTTCTTTACAAGTAATAATTAAAGTTAAATTTTGAGTATTCAAGCAATTAATAAGGTTAAACCAAACTTAATATTGATTGATATAATTTATCACTCTTAAGTATCTATCTATTAATCAATTTTTCTATGAAAAATATAAAATATCCAAAAAAAAGCACAATAAAAAAGATTAGGAAATATACTTCTAAATATTTTTAATAATATTCATATTATCAGTATCATCTCAAAAGTTAATTACAAAAAGGAATCTGTAAGTTTCTAAGTTTACTTGTTTGCTATTTCTAATTTGAAAAAATACTGACAAATTCTCATACTTTTCAATACTGAAAATTTTCTATTATCTTTTATGTAAATTTGATATATTTTAAAAAAGAATAAATTTGTAAGGTTTTTTAATTAAATCACCAAAATAAAGAAAGCAATACAAAATTTATTTTCTCTTATTTTTCTAATTTGTGTAAATATCATAAAAAACAAATTTTTAATCTAGAAAAATAGATATAAATCTGATCTAAGTTTTTTTCTAAATTTAAATTATTTAATTTGATAAACAAATAAAAGGTTTTTATAATCATATATTTGGTCAGCAAACTTTTAATTTTGACAAATATTAATCTATTAGAAATTATCAAAAAAAGAAAAACTCAAAAAAAAATATATTTAAAAATAGTTTTAACAACAATTAAACACAATTAGTATATAATAATATTAATATCTTTTTGTTTTAAAAAATTATTCTTCACTGAAATCTTAAATTTATTTTAATCATTCAAATATGTAAAAAAGCTTTAAGAATTTGATACAAATTAATTTAAAGACTGATATAATCTAATAATAAAATTTTGAAGAATATTTTTAAATATTATTTCCAATCTGTACTTATTTTTGATATAATTTGCATTACTAGTTTATATCTCTGCGTAATTAAATAATTCATTTTTCCTTTCAAAAGATCATTTTTGAATTAAATATTTTCTAAAATTATTAAATCTATTAATTTTAGAAAATAAATGAAAACTTTTTGCACTATAATATTTAACAATAACAGCTTATCAAATCTGTTAGAATTTTAGTTTAATGAATAGTATTTAAAAAAGTTATTAATTCAAATTAATAACAATAAAACCTCTTAGGCTTTTTTTAATTGATCTTCAAGGTAAGGCCAAAAAACCTAGAAAAAACTCAATCTTTTAATTAAAATTTTGATTATTTTGATAGAAATAAATAGATAGTATATATAAATTTACAGTTTTTTATAAAAATTAAAAAAATTTCTTTCAAAAATAATTTAATTAATAACAAAAATAATTTTTTTTACAAAAAAACAAGTATGTATGAATGTATGTTAGTTATATATATATTTCACTCTTTTTTGTTTTAATTTTTATTTACAATTTTAATGTTAAATTTTAAGCATTTATTTCATTAAGAAGGATAAAAAAAATTTATTTTTTATCAAATTAATATAATTTCAATTGAAGAAAGGCTAAGTTGTACAGTTTCTGGTAGATTTTACAAATGGGGAAGATATCAGATTATGGGAATGCTTGCTGGATATTTTATTTGAAGAGTCTGATAGTAAAAATCTCTAAGGAGTTCCCATAGTTTCATTCTTTAACAAGCCTTTTGTCATTGGCGATTAGTTACGATCTTTTAATATCATCTTGCCATGAGGAGTATTCTATGTCTATAATATTTTACTAATTAAATCTTGCTGCTCTTTTGGTTATTTAGTTAATATTTCATGGGAGATCATTAATGCAGATACATTATTACTAATATTGCTGATAGGGATTCTATTTATTTATCTTTCTCTAGATGTACTGCTATTATTTGCTATAGGATCTTTGCTAATAGAGTGATCTAGACAACCTCTTACATTGTTTGAATCATATAATGCTACTTTCTTGTCTCTTAATTTGTTTGTCGTGGAGTTTTACCCATTATTTAAGGAAGAATTTAAGTTATCGCTACCAGACATATCTTCTCTATTAAAAATATTACTAAAATACAACTTTTTATAGGTTGGATTTGCTGAATTTGTTCGCTAAGAATTAACTTTTTATCTAAATTCATTTGCTAACGTCATCTCCTCTCTTTTATACATAGATTTATCCACAATAGCTAAACCTTGTCTTTTATCTCCTGATACATTTTCCCCAGTTAATATATTCTTGAATTGATAATTCTCAGCAGAATTTTCTCTTGAGGAATTCGCTGCTTTTTTACCAGGTCTATATCCTTATCCTCGCTATTACTAATTAAACAGATGATTAAAGGAGTCTTAAAATGTATCTGATTTTAATAGCTTTTTTGAAGGTGTATCGTTATGAAAGCCTGTTTCGCTTGTCCTGCTAATTAACTAAACTATTGTAGTATCATGGTGATCACGTTCATCGAATCTCTTTTTGCAACTTACTTTATCTGGAACAAAAGCTGGCCTCTTTTGAGGTGAATATTAATACTATTTTACATCATCTTTTGAAGGTAATCTGTAAAAGTCGCCAATTGTTGTATGAGGTAATTTATTTTCATTATTTTAAATATTTTATTGTCTACTGCTAGAAAGAGTCTCTTAATTAGGTATGTTTTACTAATACGCTTGCATATCTCTAGCAGAATTCTATTACTAATAAAAGTAGGAGTTCTAAAGATGATTTTATGATTAGTATGTCTGCTAAATAGGCTTTGAATCGCTAAAGCTATTATTTACCATTTTCTTTCCAGTTCTCCTAAGAGATTCTGTAGATGTATCCAGAGATGATTCTCTATTTTTTTGATATGCCATTTTAGAAAAGTGTAAATTTGAATAAGTATTGCCCTAATTAAATTAATTCTTCATGTTATATGTTGTCTTATAAATCTAATTTATTTTATCAATATCTCCATAGTTTTTTAATTTTGTTTAATGCTTTGCCTATTCTTGGTCCATGCGATTTAATGGTTAGCCAAACATCTTATCAGTATGAAATTTTTCAGGGAACATTCTCATTTATCCATTTTTAGGAGGAGATTATGCTTGAATGTTTTTCATATATGAATCCATGAAATGTGGGTTAATCATAATTCAACAATTCCAAAAAGATTGTAATTTCTGATAACTTAAAAATATAGTATTGTCTGTCTTAATGATATTTTATATCAATAAATATCAAGGAAATGCGTCTTAAATGATTTACTATAAGATTTTAAAGCTAATATTTAGGATTTATTCTACTATACTTGTATAAATTTTTATTAGTTAAATACAATAAAATTAGATAAATATAAATTTGTAATTTTTTAACTAAGATTTATTAATAATTTAACTATCAATCAAAATAGCAATGATATAAATAAGGTCACTTTACTTTTCAAATGCTTTTTTGATATCAAATCGATTGAGAAAAAAATAGTATTTTTAAGTAGTTTGATGCTTTTTTTTTTTTTGTTATATTTATTAAGATTATTTAACTAGCTTTCTTCTATCAAAATTAATTTTTTGTACGCCAAAGTTTTATAATCATTCATTAAATTTTATTTACTTTAAACATTAAAATTTATTTCCACTCATTTATTTCTAATTAATTAAATAATATCATCAAAACTAAATAAATTTCTGTTGATATATAAATTAAGCAATATATTAATTATACTTATTTTATTTATAATATTTAAGAATAATAACTCATCTATCTGCTTTAATTCATTAATTTTAAGAGTTTTAAATAAAATAAAAATATTTTCAATGACTTTTTTTGAATATATTAATTTAATATAAAAATTTATTTTATTTCAAAAACAGTTAAATGAAGGTACACAATATATTTATTTATTTATTTATTTATTTGATTAATTTGTTTATTTCAAAAAAATAGATAATTAATTTACCATTTGATGATTTTAAATTTAAGATATATATATTTATTTATACGCATTATAATACCGTGTAATTTTTTATAAGAATTAGAATAGCTTATTTTTATATAATTTAAGCTTTATGAATTAAATTTCTACTTATCTTTTTGAGTAACAAATATTACTGTGTAATAAGATAAGCAGATTTCATTCATATTTACTCAATAATCCTGTTGAATATGTTTATATAAAAACTGTAGGAAAATATTTTGACTGAAAAAAAAAATCACTAGTTTGCTCTTAATCTTTTAATTTGAACTTTTTATGTTTACGATTGAGCATATTAAGTAAGCTAACATGATAAAAGAAGAGTCTCTAACTTTTATTAGGGGTTTAAAAAAATTGGAGTTTTTGTGTGTGAGTGTGAGTGATAGTTATTATATAGGATTGCGTAGAATTTATTTGCAGTTTATAGCTTTTCATTAGTTATAGTGTAATTATATTTAATTTATTAGGTTTTATTAGAAAAAATTAAATAATTTCGCTAATAATTTGGAATATATTATGTTTTATTTAACATTTCGAAAATTTTTGAGAAAGGATTATTTATTTATGTGTAGAATCTTCTTAGATAGAGTGATTCAATGCATGTAGTTGTTATACATATTTGTGCTTGTTTGAATGGTGTAATATTCTTTAGCTTTCTTGATGCAGTCTAATGCTTGTAGCTCATTTTCCATGTTACACAAGCTCTTAATTTCAAACTTTTCCTTTATTAAAATAAATTATGTTAATTTAAAAATTTAACAATAAATAAATAAATTACAGATTCATCTATGATCTAGTAGATTTCATGGAGAATTTCATTATATTTTTTGGTGATGATGATTTCCTTCAAATGGGACAAATCAAATTTTTCTATGAATTAGAAATATTAGGTATTCTCAAACTTTTGATTCTTAAATATTTAAGGGATTTTAAAGTAAAAAGAAATAATATTGTTATTGAACTTCTTTGAAGTTATTCTGAGCAGATTTCTCATAAAAAAGAATGATTTAATTTAAACGAAATTATTTTTATCTTCTTTCGATGAAGCTACTTCCTATTATTAAAATTTTATTAAGAGTGATCTCATAAAATAAAAATAAATAAAACTTACTTTTTCGATAATATTATTCACTTTTACACCATTTTTGATTTGTTAAAGTTAATGGATTATTTATTAATTTGAACTTATGCTCAATACAAATTCTTTTTTTATATTAAAAAGTATTTAGAATAATATGACGATTGTTTATAATAACATTAAACATTATTTATAATTTTATTAATGATGATTAATTATATTATTAAAATTTATTTTTATTACCTTATGATAAGATGAGAATTCTCGGACTGGACTTATAGCTATTGGGAGTATTTTAAAAGAGTCGAACTTCTTCACTATTTTTGTCTTTCAGATTTTAGCATTCATAAAAGCTAAATGGTTTGTTTTACAAAATTTATATAAAATCATTCCAAGCTTCTTTTGAAACTTTGTAAGTTTGAAAGAGTCCTCTTAGCTAGAAATTCTTTTGGCTGATTTGCTTTTTGGCCATGTCGAAATAATTTTATTTTGTTTATTTTTGGAAGACTTGGCCCATATTTTGTATTTTTTTTAGAGCATTTGAGTTAAGAGGTTGCTAAGATTTTTTCAATAAATCTGAACTGTTTACAGTTTAGCTTTTTAGAAATTCCTCCTTCAAAGAAATAATTGACTATGGAGATCCAATATTATTACTATGAGCGTTACTGTTCAAACTGATACCTGTAACATTTATTATGGGCTCGTTTTACAGTTGTGACTTATTTTGGTTATTTACAATATTGTTACCTATCATTTAGTTAGAAAAAGACTAACTAATATGGGAGTTTTATGAATACAACTTTCTCTCTTTTTTATCTTAGATTGAAGATTCAGCCATAGAGTTTTAAAAATGGGATAAAGATGAATTCTGATGAGATTAATTTGATTAGCTTTGCTAATATTAAGATGAATACTATTGAGAGTTAGATTATTGTTTGCTAAAGTTATCCTTCGAGTTAGATGCTTCTCTACCTTTTTCTATAGTGTTACTGCTAAAAATATTCTTTTAAAGTACCCTAGAACTTTCCATCAATACTTAGGGGTTAGGATTATTATTATTGTTTCCAAGAATATTTTGGTTATTATTCATGTTATTTGTTTTAAGGGGAGCAGCTTGTGGCTATTCAGATAAGATATTTTTGTTAGAATTAACAGGTACAGTTTGGGCATTGTAAATTTAATTTAAGTTAATCTCATCTATATTTTCATCACAAAAGGAGTCTTCATTAGGAATTGTTAAGCTTCTTTCATTTATATCATTCGTTTTAATCTTTTGGTCTCTTGACATCTTAAATTTATTTTCACTCCCACTTTATTTATTTGAACTGTCCTAAGACTAAAAGTTGTTTAAAAACTTAGTTGTTGGAGTTCTTAGCTAATACTAGTACTAATTTAAAATTAAAATAAATTACATTTCATTAAATAAACAAAAAATTTATTTAGAAAAAATTAATTTAATCTAAAATGAGAATTCATTTTGAAAAACTAAGCCGAAATAAATTTGAAAAAATAACAAATTTTATCTGAAAATTCTTTTATAAATTTTACTTATTCTACTTTACTCATGAGTTTAGGTTTGATTGGTGGACTAAGAGAAGCTTGTACTTAATTGATTCTAGAAGATTTGTCTAATTTGTTTCTTGAAGCAGATGAAAACTATTCCTTTTAGAATTCTTCGAATTCACTTTAATCATCTTCATCTTGCTTAGTTTTAATTTTATGACTTGATCTTGGAGCTTATATTTTACTCTTCTCTATTTATTAGCTATTATTGTGTAAGCTGCTTGTTCTATTTTGAAAGCTATCTTTATTATTTACTTGGCTACCCACTTTAATTATTGGTTGGGTAAAGCTACTACTTGCACTAAGTTAATTACTTAAATTTGGATTGTTTTAATTTGAGCTTGCAACTTTGTAGTCAGAGGTAGGTTAGGTAGATTCTCTCTTAGAATTAGCACTCATTATAGATGATTTAGCAGATATTGCATTATTGCTTGTTACTTGATTGTTATTTGAGTAACTAATAGCAAAGCTTGCTGTTGGTATTGTATATTTCTCTATTGAATTGTTTCTTTTCTAATTTATAAATAAATTATTTACGTTACTCTAAACATTGCTTGAATTCATCGAATGGGGATTATTTATTCCTCCTGCTTAAACAGGCAAATTTGCTTAGGAAGCATCTTTGGAGCTGAAAACATTTGTGAAAAAATCAAGAATTGAGTTTGGTTATTTTCTAGGCTGTGCTAGCTAATTAGAGCGTATGCAATATTTACATTGCTCAGCATTGTGATCATTCAATTTTAATCCTTAATAAAGTATTATATCATGGCATGTTTTAAAGCCACCTTCTACTATGCTTATGTATGGAAATCCATATTCTATAAAATCGCTAGAAAACTTTTGAATAGTATAAACTTCTTGCTACTTTGCTATTAAAAAATAAAAATTTTAAATTGACCAATTTTAAAATATTAAATTAAACATTCAAGATAACATCGATTATATATTATCCAAAGTTTTTATTTAAAATGTTTTTTCTTTTAAATTTAATTATCCAATTTTTAAAATTTTAAAAGACTAAGTTAAAAATTTAAGATAATGTCAAGTATTTTTTTAAAGTTAAAAATTTTCTCTTTTAGTTTAAATTTATTTAAGATAAAATTTATTTACGATCTACGTAAAGCAAGGATTAATTGACATGAAAATCTGATTCGAAAGTTGAGTATTCTGAAACTATAAAACTAAAATGAGAGATATTCTTATATTCGATGTAATCACTTATCAATGAATCTAGTGTTTCTTAATCAAATTTATTCATAGAAACTAAAGTAGTTTTGTTTAAATATCCTTGGTTTTTAGACTAAACTCTAAGGTCAAAAGTTTTAAAATCTAATTATTTATCTTTGTACACTTTAATTGAGTTTTGCCTGCTGATTTCAATTATTTCTTTCAAAAAATTATTTTTATTCACATAACTATTTAATTCAATAGGAATAAGAGATTTTATACTGCAATATTTGCACTCTTTTTACTTATTATTTTAAAATATTCTTCCGTTATCCTCTGTAATATTTTTTCCATCTTGATGCCAATCCCCTAATAAATATAAACAAAACAATTTAAATAATTCACTAAAGAAAATATTTTTACCATGAAAAGTTTTAAACATGCTTTGGTGCTATTAATTTTAAAAACTACTTTAATAAGGGTTTTAATCTGTTAGATTTCCGTTAACAATTTTATCTAAGAAACTATTTTTTTCACAGTCAGGGTTAGGACACTGTATAACGCTTGGATAGAGATGATGAAGTAACTCTATAGGACTTATAGGCATAGCAACATACTTTTGAATTTAACCTGCTGCTTATTTCATTTCTAGCATAGTAGACTAATGCTTATGATAATTTTTTTACAATACATTCAGCTAATTAATTCTACTGCTAAAAGAAATTGGTGTCTGCTTACGTATCTCGAGTGCACTATTAAGTAAAAATATTTAATAAAAAACTATTTTAAGCTATATGTATTTTTACATTGCATAAATTTCTTTAAGGTCTGAAAGGTTTTCTATTTTGAGGGATGAAAGAGTCTATGGAATAACGGATGGATCGACTGACATTATCAGTTTTTTAGAACGTATCATAAGAGCAAGAGAGATATATAGAATGAGAAGTTAGTCATTTTCGATTAAAAATAAATCCCAAAGATTAAATGCGATATCTAGTTCTACTTTGCTAAATAAGATATAATATTTTAAACAAAGTTATTCAAAAATGAAAATAAATTATTCAATACCTTGAAAAGAGAGTAATGAACCATGGATAAGCATAAATTTCAGGAGAGATATCATTTTTTTGTAAGAAATTATTTAAATTAGGATCATGGTATTTCATCAACAGTGTGAAAGCAAAGAAAAAGCATTAAAGACTATTAAATTCCTATTAAAAAAATATTAATAAAATAAGTTGAATTTTTATTATAGCAAAAAATATTTTACAGAATCTTAAAAGAAGTTAGGAACAAATTTATCTAGAAAATTAATAAAATAATTATATGATTGTGAAAGAGTGACGTTATAGCTAGAAGTTGTAAGATAGAGAAAAGGAGCAGCAAGCTCATTTAAACCCTGTTTATATTTTATATCTTACTATTTACAATAAAATGTTAAAAAGTGTTCTAGTTTTATATGCATTTCTGAATCAAAAGTTCCACATCTTGTTCTCTTAGTGTCCTATCTAATAACCCTTTATTTTTTTATTTATTTATTTAATAATAATAAATTTATTTAGTCCAACTTGCTAAAGCTTGTGCTTTAATTCAATTATTATCAATAATATATATTGAGTTATTTATTGCTTGCATTTAGAGCTACTATTTTTATTTTTTAATGATAGAATTTAATTCATTTCTTACAACTAATTTGGTAGGTCTAGAGTAGAATTTAATATCATTTAATCATGAACTGCGCCTCTCTGTGTTTCATCAGAGGGATTTAATAGCAAATACTTTTATTTTTATTTAAAAAAATATTTTTAAAATTTAATTCTATGAAATTAGCTTCAAAATATTCTTATTATCGCCATTAAACTTGATTTTTAGAAATTTTTTAGTATCGCAGTTAAATACAATTTTTTACATCCCAAAAATGTGTGCGGTTGTGTATTGTCTAACTCTTACTCATCTATTCTTGATTGCTTACACTACTATACATAGCCTATAGATTTTTGATTTCGTTACCATTAATGCTTTCTGAAATTTTCCTTTCTCTGACTTCCTGCTCTGTTAAAAAATAATATTTTTTCATTTTTAAACTAATTTTAATCCATCGATTTAATAATTCTATTTGTTGCATATTATTGATGAATTGATTGATTTATATCAAAAATTGTGATCTAATTTTCAAAATAAGCAAATATGCAAACAAAATTATTTAATTATGTTAAAATGAATTTGTAAATGCTGCTTATTACTTTTTGATGATACTATAAAAGAGTTATTTCCTACTGTGTGTGATGTTTATTATGTGTTAGTGTGATTTAACCTTAAATTCGCATAAGATTTAGATGGGTTTTAATTCTGATAATATAAATTCTTAGATGAGTTATCTGCGAATGGCTGAGCCTTGCTTACTTTGTGGCTCTGCTATTAAGACAGATTCATAATAGTTGCTAATTTAATCCTAAATAACTGATGATTTGATTGCCTGCTAACTAACTAACTTACTTCTTTTCTACTGCTTTCAATTTATTTTTGTTTAAAAATTATTTATCAATATTTTCTTTCACTTGCTAAATTGCTTTTTACTTTTTTGATTTTTGCTTGCTTGCTTGCTTTTTTGTTAGTAGGTAAGTTGTATATTGGTTGCTTAATTTCTTGTATTAATTTTTATGTTTTTAATTGCTTATTTGCTTTAATTAATTGATTGATTGATTGATTGATTAAGACTATCAAAAATAATAAGTAATTTTCATTTAATTAATTAATAGATAATAATTGATTTTTGTTAAAATTTAATCAAATATGCCTCTTAAAATAATTTAATTCTGATCATCTGTTTAACCTAAAGAACAATAGACTTATTACCTATGATTGATTCTTTTATATTATAAAATGAGCTATACAAAATCTATTCTAAATTTATCCTCAAAATATAAGTTTTCTTTATTTTTTTTTCTTGAAATTTAAAATATTGAATTTGATTCAATAAATAAATAATTTGAGTTATTAATAATAATATTAAAAATGTTATTTTTAATTAATAAATAAATAATGATAAACCTAAATACTTGCTTGCTTAAATGTTATTTCAATCATTAAAATTGATCATTTATACTGTTATATTTTATAATTAAATATTCCTTTTACATCAGAAAGAAAAACTTGTATTTCATTAGATATAAACTTTAAGAAATCTTTTTAATTTTAGATTAATTAACAAAACTCAAATGCTAGATAATTAATTTACATCAAATTGAGGTATAAAAATATTTATAAAATAAGTTTTTCAAAAAATAATCATTTTTAAATATTCAACAAATTTTTTCATGTTAAATACTACCTCAACATTTGAATTATTAAATAGTTAAAACAGAAATTAATTTTTTACTGAAAAATATTTTTTATCAAGATGAAATTGTTAAATTATTTTAAAATTCTGATTCTATTCAAAGTACCTTTTTTACATTATGAATATTAAATTTGAAACTTTCAAAAACTAATTTGAGATACTTTATTGAATGTTTAATATACAATCAAGTTTTTTTCGTGATTAATAAAATTTAATTACATCTATATCTATTTATAATTTCGAAAAAATTAAGTCATAATTTATATGCGATAAAAAAAACTTTAATAATGCTTGAATAGAATTGAAATTTTAATATTTTAAACTAAAGATGTAAGGAGAAATTTCATATTATCAAATATAAAAAAGAATAAATATATTTAATTTTAAGTAATATTTTAAGATATTTATTTATTTATCTTTAAAATTTTGTGTGCTTGTTTATGAGTTTGTGATTAATTAATACGAGATGAGTAAAAAGATATTGAGTGAAAGAATAAATGGATTTTTTAATGTAATAAAATTTATCATATAATATAAAAATATACAATCTACTTTTTAGTATAAGATAAAGAAAGACCTAATTTAAAGGCCTTTGAATCTTTGATTCTAGTTTGATTTTTGGTGAATATATTTATTTATTTATTTACTCTGAATTTTCTGTAAATTAATTTTCATTAATTGTTTACTAATAAAATTATAGTTATATAATAGGCAGATTTATTAATTTAATTGAATAGAAGCTCCTAAATTAATTTTTCATTGGAGTTAAGCTTGGTTTATACGGGTTTGAGATTTGGAAACTATTCTATGTTTTTAATTCTTGTATTTATCAAAGGCAGATGGCATTACATATGCACCTGGTCCAGGAGTTACTTTTGTTACTTTGGTAAAATCATACTTTTGACCATATCCAAAAGAAGGATCAGAGAATCTGCTGCTTTTTACCAATTTTTCATTTGGACTATATTAATTACAAGGAGGAGAACATTTTGGGAACATATCTTGGAATACAATTCCTTTTCCATAAAATGAATATTTAGCTTTATTTAATGCAAATTTCTCAGATACTTCATATTAACCTACTCCAGGAATATCTCTACTAGCTTCAGGTTCTTTTATAGTTACTTTAGGAATATAAGTTTTAGAATAGTATGAGTAAGCAAGTCCAAAGGTCTTAGCAGTTGGGAGTGATCCTAAAGAGCGATGGGTGGAATATTTTGCTGGTGAAGGGTTTTCTTCTGCATTTTTTATCAGATATTGTGGGAGAAGACGCTTCTCGCCATAGCCAAAAGAAGTAGCTTTTTGATCTTTAAGAGTAGGAAGATCGTATTGAACGCCAGAATGAGATAGCTTAGGCATGGTAAAACGTTCTGCCTTAGGGAAGGTGATTGAGGTGGCAGAATAACGAAGGGATGATGCAGACATAAAATTAGATTAGGTTGATATTTAAGAGTTGCCTCCAGCCAAATTAAATTAGTTTTAAGAGAAAATATTGCTACCTTATATTCTTTCACCTTCAGTCAAGTTTTTAAATGTTGAACTACGATTAGGTGAGTCCAATAAATACTTCCTACTTCCATTACCTGCAAAATTTGATGATGAATGAGGGTAAGCTTTCTTAACTCCACTTCCATATTATGGGGTATAAACTTATTTTGCCTTATTATTACTAGTATATGGGCTTTCTGTGCTTTTAATATTAGTTGGAGTGTTCATACTCTCACTTCTGTTTACTTAATTCAAGTTTATGTTATCTACTTTTTCTTTCTATTCATTATTCTGGCCTTATTCCATTTACTCTTTTTCAACATGCTTGCTCTCTGATAAAGGTATTTCTTGAGCAAGCTTGGTTTCTTGTTAAGTTTCTAAATTATTTTCCATTTGTTTTGTTTTTTATTTTTTTGTTTCCAGTGATAATGTATGTATGTGTTGATTTTTGATATTAATGATTTATAAATATTCACAATTAAAGTTGTTTTTTATATTACTTTTTAATGAATAATTAGGTAGAGTACTTTATAGATAAATAGAGAGAGAGAGTGCCAATTAATTATCTTTAATAAAATTACAATTTTTGAGGTATCTTACCGAAATACATATTACGATATAATTAATATCTATTACCTAAAAATCATCCAAACAAAATTAAGTTTTTATTTATCCAAGTAAAAAAAAAAGAATCCTTTATCATCATCTTGATTATCATTATCATTCATTACCTCTAATTTCACTCTATGTTTATTTAAATTTAGAGATATTTATAATTGCAACATAAGGTTATATGTATCTTTTGATTTTTATTAAAATATCGTCACACAAATAGGAAGTATTACTATACAAATTATTATCACTAAAGATAGATGAGACTATCATTACACATATTTCTAGCAGATTTTTGTAATTTCTTTTTTCTGTTTTTTGGGTGAAAATCCAATCAATAATTAAATTTTATCTTCTAATAAATAAAGTAAATCAAAAAGATAAATACCCTAAATTAATTTTGATGATCATTGTTCTTCATTTAAAATTATTAATTAATTATTGTGCAAAAATTTATTTATAACAAATGTAAATTTGGTCAAATATGTACCATTCGTTTGTTAGTGTATTGAATAAAAGCAATTAATTTAAATGTTTCAATATAAATACAAGCGTAAATCAAGCAAATTATTAAGCATTTTTGATTCAAAGAAAAAATAATTAATATTTACATATTTTACACTTTTACTATTAAATACTAATAAAAATATTATCTAATTAATTAAATCAAGTAGATTAATTAATAAATAAATTAATACCAAAAAATTATATAAATAAAATTCTCTTAAAGAAAATAGAATTTTATAAAGATTTTCTAATTTTTTTTATTCAAGCACAATTAATTTTTTTTAAAAAATTTATAAATATAATTTCAAATTATTTTATTTTTTATATTGAAATTTAAATATTGCTTTAAAATATTAAAAATTATTTATTTAAAAAGTAAATTTTCATTTTTATTTTTTTAATAATTATGATTAATAAATAATTTTTCTTTTAGCTTATATAAGAATTAAAAAATTTGATTATGCTTAAAATCAATTTAAATTTAATTTATAATTATTTTTAATTAAAAACAAAACCTAAAAAATTAAATTATAATAAAATCATCAGTGATTCTTTTCCTTTAAATTTTGAAAAAAAATTTTTTAAATTTTATTCAAGTAAATACTTCAATTTTATTTGAAAAAATAAATTAGAATAAAAAATAAGAAATAATTAAAATATTTGAGTAAAATAATATTTTGTTTAAATATTTATTTGTTTGTTTGTTTGTTTGTAATTTTAAGCATTATGATTATTGATAGATGAGATATATTTTTCAGTTAAAAACATGAAAATAAATAAATTTCCTTTTGGATTTTTAAAAATTAGCTTTGAAATTTTGCGCAAATTAAAAGATTCATAATAAATAATTTTTATAATAAAATAAGAAAGAAACATAAAATTTAATAATATCCACAATAAAATATAAGATAAAAAGAAGATTTTAATAATAATATTTATAGAGCAATAAGGCAACAAACATGTTTTCTTTTATTGAAGATAGCTCGATTTATAATACACCTCCTAAATTCTAGGCTAAGGATAAATAAAAAATAAGTAAAGTATCTCCAGATTGTGTTTCATTTTGTGGAGACAGTGATAATAAATTTATTTTTGATGTAGATGATTTTCATAAAGATGATTTGGAATAGTATTAACAAAAAGATTTTGATTTTTAAAGCAAAATACAATAAGATGTCGATGATAAAATTAAAGGAATACGCAATATTTTAGGTAAGTTAGGTACTAGTCTCGATAGGCTCAGAGGTGAAGTAGATAGTATGATACATCCAGATTTTATGGCAAAAAAAATATTTAATTAATAGCTAAGTTCAAATCTATTTAATGGAAATAATAATGAAAACTATGAGAAAGAAAATCAAGAATCTCATATTACTACAGCAGTGTATCATACTGTTCCATTAAATGTTTTATTTGCATAAAAATAAATAGAGAGATCTTGCACAAAAAGTTGTTCTAAGATAAAATCCCAAATTAAAAAATACCAGAATAATTAATAGCTGCAATCATATAAGACTCTTTTAAAAGAAATTACATTTAATGAATCTAATAAAAAGATTTCAGATGAAAATTAGCTATCTACTAAAGAATAATATAATATTAATGCAAGAAGAAAACTTGATTTTGATTTTTTATCTGATGAACAATATAGTGAAGTAGAATCACCAAAATCCTTAGATGAATCAGAAATGGAAAAAATAGAAAATAATTTCGCATAATAAATGAATGAAAAAGAAGAATAAAATAATAATTAAAATCCAAGAAAAATATTTGTAAAAGATATTTCAAAAGAAAATAATTCTGTAAATTACTACTTTATATATAGAACTCATCATTGAAACAAAATCATTCTTTAATAATTTAAATATTTAATTAAAAAAAACTATAAAATTAATAACAATAACATATGTAAAGAATTACACAATATATATTTATTTAGATCTGTAAAAATTATTTATGAGTTAGTAAAAAGCTTAAATTTAATTCAAATTTTTGATTGGATTGTTTATGATTAGTTATTTTGTTATTATTTCCTATTAATTTAAAGTTATTTTTTATTGAAAAATCGTTAAATTTGTTAAATTAAATCAAATGTTTCGTCTGAAAGAATAAATAATATCTTTAATTTATTTTAAAAGAATTATTTTATTAAATGAACAAAATTTTAATTTAATTTAGGTAAATTATTTGTTTCCATTAAATTTTGTTAGTAAAATAGTAAATAATAGTTATTATTAAAAAAAAGTAAAACAAATATATAAAAAAATTAAGTTTGCAATTAATTAATTATTTATTTATTATTGATTAAAAAAGGAAACTATTATAATTTATAATTTCATTATTATACCTAAAGGAAACAAAAGATTAGTTTATTGGCTAACAATATTAGATAAATTAAAAACAATATTATTCAGTTTTTGCTTTAGTAGAAATGAGTATGAGTGATTCGGAAATAGAAGAGGGATTAAAAAAAGTTAGCCTCGCACACGAAGGCTATAGTATCCCTACAAGTGGATTCAAATAAGATATCGAAAAATTTTATGATGACATTCACACTAATATTGAAGAATTAAATCAAAAACTTATTGGGTTATTCAAGAAGAAAGAAGATGATTTATGCAATATGTATAAGAGAGAAATGACTAAAGCATAAAAGCGCTTAAGAGAATTGTAAGAATGCACAAGTGAGTAAGAACTCAACAAGAGAAAAATAGAAAAAAAGGAAAAGCTCCAAAGAGAGCGCTAAAAATTTTTGGAAACAAGCATTTATTTTTCAAATTAATGCAAGGAATTTAAAAATACTCTCACCAAGGTTGTTAACACAACTAAAGACTTGGAAGCAGAAATTAATTTTTTAAATGAGCAAATTGTTTTTGCAGATAGACATAACTAAAAGCTTTAAAATGAGTTGGAATAACTCAAAGATGAAATACATAAGTTTGATCCCAATGCTAAGCTTGATAATTTGGAAGATGTTTTGTCTCTACCTCCTAAGTAAAAATTGTTTGGAGAATAAGATGATTTTAAAAATCAAAGTAGTATTCAATAGAATAATAAATAATCATAAAATATTGCAAACAATAATAGCATTTCTGTCAATCAAAACAATAATAATAATTCAGTTTAGGGAAATAATTAAACAAGTATTATGACAAATGAATAATAACAGTAGCAACTATAAGGTAGTATAATGCTCTAAAATAACACAGGTTTTAATGCTAGCAGAATCTAAGGAGTTGGTAAATATGTTTCACCATACAGTAAAAGATAAATTATGAAACCAGGTGGTAATATTGATTAAACTGATTTGGAAAAAGCAAAATAAGAATTAAAGAGATAAAAAGAAATTAATGAAAAATTAACAGAATTTTTGAATGATCCATGCTTTTAAGAAACAGAATTTGAGAAAATTTTTATGGAGTGTGTACTATCAGTAAAGCAAAAGAAATTGTAACAAACTTAAGCTAATAAGCTGCCTTATGTTAAAAATAAAGATCAACCTAGTAATCAAGACGTCACTAACCCTTCTGGCTTCAAGACTGCTGATTCAACTCTTGACTTTACAACAATTTCAGAGCTTGATTTCAATGAATTTAACAAAAGACAAATCTTGGAGGAGTTCTTATCAAAAGAAGAAATTAAAAAATATCTTTACACTTTAATATTCAGCAATAATAACAATTCAAATCCACCAACATCTAAGAGCAAGCCATAATAAAAAGAAAATTCAAGCAGAAAAGCTCCATAAAATAAGTAGTCAAACTAACCAAACAATTTTGAAGAGGGAAATAATATGCTTTTAGACGAATTAAAGAAATGAAAAATAATTTCACAGAAAAATTAATAATAAAAAGACATTTATTGGCACTATTTATTTTTACATAAAACATTAATATTATTTCACTTTGCATTTAAAGTTAATTTTTTGTGTAAGATTTAATAATTAGATTATGAATTAATTAATTAAAACTATCATTAAATTTAAAAGCACAAATCTTATGTTTTTAAAATATTATTTTACAGCTAAATAAATTCCTAATTCAACATTTAAAATATTTACTTTGAAATATATTTAAATTTAATATAAAAATCTCATAATATCATTTTATTTAACAAAACATAAATTTCCTAAAAAACTCTTGATATTTATCTATCTGCAAAACCATATTTAATATTTAATTAGCATTTATTTTAAGATTTATATTATTTATTTTATTACTAAGATAAAAATATTTAAAGGTAACTGTTTTAATAACTTGTTGTTTTTAACTATTTTAAAATTAGTTAGAAAAATCAATCACCATAATTAATATTTTAATATTTAAATATAATATACTTATTACATGATATTACTTCAAATTTTATTCATAAAAGGATCTCAACATATTTAAATTAGTAAAACTTAAAAATATAATTGATTAATTTTATTATTAAATAAAATTTTTTATTTGTAGTTAATCATTTTTTGCTTAAAATATTGTAAATTAAATTGAAAAATAATATTTCATCTATTTTTAGATTTTATTTGAGTTAGTAAAAATTCTGAATTATGCAAGCAAAATATAATCCACTTTATATTTAAATTCACATGAATAATTTTTTAAACGTTAATAAGCTTAAATTTTTAAATGTTTAATATTTTATTTTATTGCTAAATAATCTTTTCTTTATTTTTCCTTCTTAATTGTTTTAAAATATCTAAAAATAAAAAACAGACAAGCATGCATGCATGCATATCATATCATAGTTAAGATTGTTTTTAAGTTAATAAAAGAAATATAAAAAATAACCAATTGAGTGAAGAGATTGAATTTTCGTATTTTTGATTTTTTAGTTGTCTATTTATCTATTTATTAATTAATTTATTTATTTCCTGTATTAATACACAGAAAAATCTAAGAGCCTACTTATAATAATTATTAAATACATTAAAGATTTTATAAATAGTAAAAGAAAACATGAAACACTAAGCATTAATTATTACTGCTGGCATTTTGCTTGCTACTTTAACTGGTTTTGTTGCCTTTGAAGCTTTCAGATATAAGCAAGAAAAGTACCACGATAAGCTTAAATAAATCATTCAAAAAGTTAACAGCTCCAACTCTACCTGGAAGGCTGGAGAAAATACTAAATGGATTAATTCTGATATCGCAGGAGTTAAAGCTCATATGGGTGTCAAATTAGGTCAAGAATCTGGAATTAAGCTTGAAACTGTTTCTGCTTAAGCAAACGGTTTACCTGAAGAATTCGACGCTAGAGTTTAATGGGGTGACAAGTGCTCTTCTTTATGGGAAGTTAGAGATCAATCTACTTGTGGTTCTTGCTGGGCTTTTGGTGCTGCTGAATCTTTATCTGATAGACACTGCATTCATCTTGGTTAAGATATTAGACTTTCTACCTAAAATCTCCTTACTTGCTGTGCTGCTTGCGGTGATGGTTGCGATGGTGGCTGGCCTGAAGCTGCTATGGACTATTATGTTAACACTGGTTTGGTTACTGGTGATTTATATGGTAACAATTCCTGGTGTTAAGCTTATACTTTTGCTCCTTGCGCTCACCACGTTACTTCTGATATCTATCCTCCTTGCACTGGTGAATTACCCACTCCTCCTTGCATCAATTCTTGCGATTCTAACTCCACTCACACTATCCCCTACTCTAAGGATATCCACAGAGGATCTAAGGCTTATGGTATTGCTAAGGATGAAAAGGCTATCATGGCTGAAATCTATAAGAACGGACCTATTGAAGTCGCTTTGACTGTTTATGAAGATTTCTTAACCTACAAGACCGGTGTTTATCAACATGTTACTGGTGATGAATTGGGAGGTCATGCAGTCAAGATGGTTGGTTGGGGTGTTGAAAACGGTACTCCTTACTGGACTATTGTCAACTCTTGGAACGAAAGTTGGGGTGATAAGGGAACCTTCAAGATCTTGAGAGGTAAAAACGAGTGTGGTATTGAATCCTCTTGTGTTACTGCTCTTCCTGCTTACTGATTAAAAATAAATAATATACTCTAGCATAAAATTAATTAACAAGGATATCTTTCTTGATATATTAATGAAATTTTATAAATATTTATGATAGATTTATATGATATTTTTATACTGTAATTAATTTCAAAGATTTTAATGATAAAACTATCTATCTATATATATTTATTTATCAACTTATTAGATTAATTATTTACTGTAAAATTAATAAACTACTTATGAAATAAAATTATGACCCATATTAATTAAAATAATTTTAAGTTGAGAATAAATTCCTTTAATATATCCTTTTATGGTAAACATGCGTTTATTGAACACCTAATACCAAATATTAATTAATTCTCTCACTATATATACCTCAAATATTTTTATTTTTTTCATATAAATTTTAGTATACACCTTTACTCAAAGTATTTTTTTTAACTATGTAAAATGGATGTAAACTACTGTATTAAATACAAAAATATATTTCTTCTAAAATAAAATTACTATGATTAAATAAATGCTAAATTTTTGTTTGATTACTTTTAATTTATACCAATTTAAATAATTGATGCGAAATTAGCAATTATCTACTTATAGATAGAACAAAATTTAGAAATAAAGAACTGAATAAAAAAGGTATTTAAAATAAAAAATAAAAGATTGAATTCTAGAATGAAAATAAAAAACTAATTAGTTTTAATTTTTAAAATAATACTGTGCTGCCACACTTTATCTATTGAAATAGAAAAATATTGGTTTAAAATTAGCGTAACTTTAAATTTCTAAGTTTTTAAATATTGAATAACTCTACTACTAAATCATATAATAGGAGGATTAAAGTATTATTTATCAAGATTCTAAAACTAAAGTATGGATTTATAGCAGATTCAATTAACAAGCATAAATTACCTTTTCAATACAACTTAAAAATTTTGTTGGCAAACAGGATGAAAAAGATGAATATATGATTGAGGTAAATCATTTTCATTATTTATTTATTTATTCATTTAATTATTTGATTTAATTGATAAATTTAAGATATTTTTTTGAAAATATAATAGGAAGATAACACTAAAGTAAGATATCTCTATGTATTTTAATACAATAAAGGAGAATATCAAAAAATAAATTATGATGAGTTATTATAAGTATAAAATGGTTAAGAATTTGATTGTGAAGATTTAATTATGAGATATGGTGAATAAATGACAGGATACTTTAAAATAGTAATGAACTTTTATTTTTTGGTAAAATATGATAAAATATAAAAAATTTTTATAATCAGGATTAAAGTTATGTGAAATACACGAATACAAAAATTAACTAAATAACTTAACATTTTTCTCCTCTAGATAGATTGATAAGAACTATTGAGAACTTCGAAAAAACATCTTATTGTTTTTAATTTACAGAGAATAATATTAATTATATTTTTTGGAAAGCCAAACTTTATTAAATATAAATCAAGTTATCTGTATCTGAAGTTGTTGATGTAAGTTATTTAAAATAAATTAACCTAAAATTGATTTATTATCTTTAGTATGAAAAAAATGTAGTTTTAACCAAAGATAAAGAATTAATAATTTTTAATTTTGATAAAGAATCTATTACAATAGAAGCTAAGTCCCAATTATAGTGTCAAGATTGTTAAAAATTTATTCAGATTTAAACTTAAAATAAGGTAATTACTGATATTTATCCATTTATATAAATAAAACAAGAATTTATTTCACTTTCTAACTTTTAATAAATTAATTTTTAGCTTTTTTATAAATTTTGTGTTGATATTATTTTTAGATGTACTAAATTAACACTATTTTAATAAAATAATATATATTTGTCTCAACATAATTTTCTTTTGGTAATTAAAATTAGATTAAGTTCTTTGGGTATAGTAAGTATAAAGATTATGGTTCAAGTACTTCTTAAACTAATGATCTAAAAGCATTTAAAGATGATGAGACTAAAATAAATGATTCTACTTTGAATAATTAATTAACTAATGGTCTAAAGGTATTGAGTGAATATGAGACTGAAATATAAAAATCAATTTTTGAAAGTTAATTTATATTAATATCGCATTAAGATCTTTTAATTTGCGATGATAAACTATATCAGATATAATATGATTAAAATATTATTTTAAAACAACTTAAATCCGATTTAAATAAAAATGTGCGGCCTTTTTCTCCAATTTAATAATTACCTTTATATGTAAATTTTTACCAATCAATAAATAATTGTTTATTAAGAAAATATAATTTAGAGTTAAGTATTCATTTCCAAAGGAGATGATAAAATTACAATTAATTCATTTGAAACACTCATTTGTGAAAATGGTTAATATCTGAACTAATAGTAAAATTTTCACAAATCTAATTTATACAAATTATAAAAATAAAATTTTTTAATAGAAGACAAAGTGATGACGATATTTGTTCTCCTACGCCTACAACATGCGAATTGCCTAATCCTAAAAACATTTGCAATTGCGAGAATTTTTATTATTAAAAATCTACGTATTATATAGAACTTTTTTAAAATTTTAATAAGATAATCTGAATTATTTTAAAAATATTAATTAAAAGTTAAAAATGTATCCAGTGTGACTCTCAAATGAAATTTGATGAGTAAATAATTATTTAACTATTTAAAAATTTATTCATTCATTTATTTATATTTTTTCTACATAAGGTCTAAGGATTCTTGTTAGAATATTTGTCCAGAAGGATACTTTTATAAGTAAATCAAATTAATTAAATAATTTAAAATAAAAAATTAAAAAAATATTTATTTAGATATTCAGATTGTTTTAAATGCATTCCAAATTGTTTAGTTTGTAAGGATGATAAGGCTTGCATTTAGTGTGATTAAAATAATGGGTTTTATTTAGACTTTAAGTAATTTTTATTTAAAATAATCAAAACATTTTGTTTAAATTTTAAAATCTTTCTAGCTAAAATTGTTACAGTTGTGATAGTTCTAAATTCCAAATTATAAATGATAAGTAAATATTACTTATTTTATTTATTTTAACTAAAAATTTAAAATTTTTATTATTTATAGGAAAGATGGTTGTACTTGCAAATAGGGCTATTACCGAATGTAAAGAAACCAAAAGTGATATAATTATTAAATTACAAATTTATATTTATAAATTGTTTTTTAATTAAAAATTTTCAATCAAATTAATACAAATATAAAATATTAAAATAAAAAATTAATATTTATTTATTTATTTTTTATTTGATTGAATAATTAACAAAGATAGAACGAATTTTGAATTCTAGATTATTAAAATAGTATTTAATTATTTTTTTATTCAAAAATATTTTGATATTTTAAAGCTTATTGCTTTAATCGTTCTCAATAGAAATAAAAGATTTTTAAATATGTATTGAACTTGAATTATTAATTTATTTAAAAAAAAATAAGAATAATCAACTATACTTTGATACATTTTTTAATTATTTTAAAATTAATGCAATTTTTTCAAATTATCTTTTATTTAGGAATTTTTATTGAATCTGTTATATTTTTTTCTTTAAAAAAAGTTATCATAAATTATTATACTTGAATCGTTTTATGAATTTAATTAATATTCTCAAGTTTATTTTTATTTACCTCCTTATTAAAAAAAATTCTTAAATTAAAGTGATTCTTATCAAACAGAAAGTACGGTACATATAATAATTATTTAAATTTTCATAATTGTAATTATTTAATACTAAATTATTATAAAGTAATAGATAAATAAACTACAAAAATAGCTATATCAAACTTACCCATATTTTAAAATTCGAGTAAAAATAGATAGTTTCTCATTGGTAGAGTTAAAAATAATCTAGATCAATATAAAAAGCACTATTTGATTTCTCCCTAGTTTTGAATTAATCACTATAAATAAAAATAAATAAAAAATTAGGAGTTGCAATTTGTTGACAATCAAATTTCTTAACATAATGGATAATATTTAAGATTAAAAGTTTTGATTGTTTTTTGTGAAAACTGAGGGTTGGTTAGTTTAAGTGAAATTAATTAATTTATTTAAGCAAATTTAATTTATAAATTTTCACTTATTTTATAAAATATTTATTAACTTACCAAAATTTGATATTCATAAAAATATATATATATTAATAAATCTATCTATATTATAGGTTAAATTATCTTATTACAAAATATTATATAATAAAGCATATTATTCCTATTATTCATGGTAAATCAATATTCAATCTGAGACTTATTTTAATGACAACTAATCTTTTTAATTTAAGACATTTGTTTTATATTTTCTATTATTATTATGAATTAAACTAATAGCTTTAACTTTTTAATAAATTAAAATAAACTACAAAAAATATTAAATAGAATAAAGTTTTTAAATTAAAAATTATTTTAAAAATTTATAATAAAAAAAAATTAGCAGAATAAAAATGAAAAAGAAAAAATAAATCAAATAAAAAGTTAGCAAATTAATTAAAAGAGTTTTATTGTTTTAAATTTATTTTTATGTTAAAAAATATCATAATCCAAAACAAATAAACTATTTTTACTCAAGTTCAAGTGTCAAATTCGAGAGATTACTGCAATTTGCTAAAGCAGAACATAAGCCCAATGCACCTTATTCTTCTAAAAAATTATTCCTTTTCAAATATTGAAGAAAAAATATATTTTTAATTAGTTATTTAGAAGGAAAAAATGAATAAAAAATATAAAATAATATGAAATTAATAATAAAAGCAAAAGTTTAAGATAAAAAATGAGTTAAATTAAGAGAAAAAAAAAAAAACACAAGTACAGTAAAAAAAAGAAAAAAAATAAATCAATTAAAAACTAATAAACAAATTTAATGAGTTATGTTGTTTAAATTAATTTTTATAATTAAAAATATCACAATCCAAAACAAGTAAACTATTCTTACCTAAGATAAAGTTTCAATTTTAAGAGATTAATGCAATTTGCTAAAGCAGAGCCTAAGCCTGAGGCTCCTCCATCACCAATTTAATTATTACTTTTTAAATATTTGAGAAAAAATGAAAAATTAATAGTTATTTAGAAGGAAAAATGAAGAAAAAATTAATAAATTAACTCAAAATAAAAACAAAACTTTAAAATGAAAAATTGATTTAAATTAACAAAAAAATAAAAATTAAATTACTGTAAAAAAATTTTTTTACGCTCAAAATTTGAAAAAAGGTTTCTGTATTTTGATTAATTTTTGTAAAATATAAGAAATCAAATTTAAAGAAAATAATTAAGATTTAGAAAAAAAAAATATTCATTAGTAATATTTCAAATGCAGGAACAGCTATATTACCTTTTTTATCTATTTTATATTATTATTTTTAGATATACTAGATTAACAATCATTAATATAAAATAATATTTTTCTCATCAATATTTTCTTTTTATAACTAAAATTAGATTAAGTTTTTAGGATGTTTGCAATAAAAAGATACATCAACTTTTTAAATTTAAATTATTAATCTAAAAACGTTTAAAGGGTAAACGATTTAAGCTTATTTCTAAAGAAGTATTTTAATATACCATTAAGATCTTTTAATTAACCAAAATTAAGTCTTACAGATATAAGGTGATTAATCTATCACTTTTATTGAGATTAAATCTGCTTATAGTAAAAATATGGCTCTACTTCCTTCTTTAACTACTAATGGAATTAAATTATACCCTTTAATTGTAAATTTTTAATAGCAAATAATTGTTTATTAATAAAATATAATAAAGGGTTAAGTATTCATAATTTTAGGACTATTTGATAATACTGGCTTTATGCATTCTTTTGAAACAATCATTTGTCCAATAGGTTAATATCTGAACTAATAGTAAAATTTTCACAAAACTTATTTTGAAAACTAATTTATACAATAATAATAATATTTTTTAATAGAAGACAAAATGATAACGATCTTTGCTCTCCTTATCAAACAATATGTGATATACCCAATCCCAAAAATATTTGCTATTGCGACGATTATTATTATTAAAAATCTACGTAATATATTGAAGTTATTTATTTGAATAAGTTAATCTCTTTTTAACAATATTAATTAAAAGTTAAAAATGTATAAAGTGTGAATCTAATAAGAAATTTAACGAGTAAAAAAAAAAATAAATTTTTAATTGCTTAAAAATTTATGCATTCACTAAAATATATTTTTGCTAAAAAAGGTTTACCGATTCTTGTTAGAAATTTTGTGGCTTAGGATATTTTGATGAGTAAATGGAAATAATTAATTAAATTCAAATATTTTATTTAAAATATTTTTAAAAGCTTTTCAGTAAAACATATTTATTAATTAATTAAGGAATTCAGTTTGTTTAAAATGCATTCCTAATTGTTTAGTTTGTAAAGATGATAAGACTTGCATTTAGTGTGATTAAAATAATGGGTTTTATTTAGACTTCAAGTAATTTTTTATCTAGAATAATCAAAATATTTTGTTTAAATTTTTAAATTGTTAAAGATAAAATTGTTCCAGCTGTGATAACTCTAAATTCTTAATTATAAATGACCAGTAAATATTACTTATTTTATTTATTTTAACTGAACACTTTTTACTTTAAAGGAAAAATGGTTGTACTTGCTAGAAGGGATATTACCGAATGTAAAGTAGCTCTAAATGATCTAATTTTAAAATTATTTATTTATTTATATAATAATTTATTTTTTTAGTTAAAAATTTAAATCAATTAATTTTATGTAAATGTATGTGATATTTTAAAATAAAAATTAATATTTATTTATTTTTTCATTTAATTGAATAACTTTATTCATTCATTAATCCAAGATATTTAAGATAGAACAAACTTCAAATTATAAATTATTAAAATAGAATTTAATTATTTTTTTATTCAAAAATGTTTTAATATTTAAAAGCTTATTGATTTAATCCTTAAATATTTATAAAAGATTTTTAAATATGCATTGAACTTGAAAATAATAAGTTACTTAAAGAAAAATGAGAATAGTCACTCAACTTTGATATATTTTTTAATTAATTTAAAATTAATGCAATTACTTCAAAATATAATTTATTTACAAGTTTTAATTGAATCTGTAATATTTAATACATGAAATTATAGTAACCATAAAATATTATACTTGAATAGATTTATGAATTTAATTGGTTTTCTCAAGTTTATTTTTATGCAATTTTTATATTTAGAGATACTTTTTTGATTAACTAATTATAGATAGAAATAATTATTCTTTTTAATTATTTATAATTTCAAAATAAAAATGTAAAATTTTAGATTTAAGTAATTAAAAATAGAATTCTTCCTGATTTAAATATTAAAAAAATATTTTTCGTTATTTTAAATTATATAATAAATTAGAATATTAAATCTAATATGATCTAATTTATTAAAAATGTATTAAAAGGTAGATAAAAAAAAATTTAGTTTATATTCAATTTATAAAATAAGCATTTACACATATATTTGAATTACTACTCTAAATATATTTTTTATTTAATGTTATACAAAAATATGAACAATAAAAAATAAGAAATTGCATTAAATCAACCTACCTAACTTTTTATGGATCTCTTTATTTATTAATTAAATGTATTTCTATAAAAACAAATACTTATTTTCTAAATAATCGTAATTAGAATATTTTTTTTATCTTGATTTTATTTAATTCTGATCCCTTCATCAATCATTTTTTTAACTTTATCAGTTTTCTCTTTATTTATTCAATATTTGTGGATCTTCTTTTTTACTCATGTCTAAAAAAAATAATTCTTCAAAATTAAATCTATTTTAAATAATTAGTAGCAATAAAACTTTTCTTAATGGTTATAATTTAATTTATATGGATAATTATTAAAATTAAAATATATCTTCAAGTTTTACAACTTTGCAATTTTTAAATTTGCTTTTCTTTCTTTCAGTACTTTTGTGTATAAATTCTAAAAAAATAAGATTGGTGAATCAATAATTATAATAATAATTAATTATAAAAGAAATTATTTAAATAGTTCAAAAAGATGAAACACACTGCTTTAATATTAAGTGCAAGTTTTCTGTTAATTGCTTTAACTGGATTCGCTACATATGAAATCTTTAGATTTAAGCATCAAAAATACCATGATAGATTAAAATAAATAGCTGAAAAAGTTAATAATTCTAACACAACATGGAAAGCTGGCGAGAACATTAAGTGGATTAATTCTGATATTGCTGGAGTTAAGGCTCATATGGGAACCTTGTTGAATTAAAAATCTGGTGTTAAATTAGAAAAGGTTAATAGGTAAGCTAATAATTTACCCAGTGAATTCGACTCCCGTGTTTAATGGGGTGACAAGTGCTCATCTTTATGGGAAGTTAGAGATTAATCTAATTGTGGATCTTGCTGGGCTTTTGGAGCAGCTGAGTCCTTAAGTGATAGACACTGCATTCACCTTGGCTAAGATATCAGACTGTCAACTTAAAACCTAGTTACTTGCTGTGATGAATGTGGTTTTGGCTGCGATGGTGGTTGGCCTGAGGCTGCTATGGACTATTATGTTAACAATGGTCTAGTAACTGGTGACTTATATGGAAATAACTCCTGGTGCTAAGCTTATTCTCTTGCTCCTTGTGCACACCATGTGACTTCTGATGTATATCCTCCTTGCACTGGAGAATTACCTACTCCTCCTTGCGTTAAATCTTGTGATTCTAATTCCACTTACACCATTCCTTACCCTAAAGATCTTCACAAAGGTTCAAAGGCTTATAGTATAGATTAAAACGAATAGGCTATTATGACTGAAATTTAAACTAATGGACCTATTGAAGTTGCTTTCACTGTATATGAAGATTTCTTAACCTACAAGAGTGGAGTTTATCAACATGTCACTGGTTCCGAACTAGGTGGACACGCTGTAAAAATGGTAGGTTGGGGAGTTGAAAATGGTACACCCTACTGGATTATCGTTAATTCATGGAATGAAAGTTGGGGAGATAAGGGAACTTTCAAAATTTTGAGAGGTTAAAATGAATGTGGTATCGAATCTGAATGCGTTACTGCCCTACCAGCTTACTGAATAACAAACAAATAGCGTCTGTTGCAAACTAAAAAAATTACTGCTATTATAAATAAAAATATTAAATTTAAATATCCTAAAACTTTATAAATCCATATCATACATATATACATAACATTTAAAATTCTAATTTTTTATCACTTTAAAGAAATAAAACTTATATCAATAATTCTAACTAACATTTAAATACTTTTTCTATTTGTTATTCAAAATAAATAAATAATAATCAATCATCATCTGAGATTTTTATTTTAAAGTTATTAAGTAAAACAAGATAATTTATAAAATAGAATATGAATTCATTATTAAAAGTATCCTAAATTATTAGTTATTCATTTTTTATTAAATTATATTGCAGGAGGTTTAAATAAATATTGTATAATTATTCTTTAGAGCTATTCTATTTGATAGTCAAAATATGAAACTAAATTAAAAAAAAATATTATTTCAAAAGACTTTATTTTGATTTATAAATAATATTATTTTAATTTTTGGAATATCAAACTTAGGTTTAGTTTTAAGAATAGCATATTTTAATTAAATAATCAGTCAATTTTTGATCCTAATTTGGCTTCGAATAATTAAGGAAAAAGAGAGAAATTTAAAAATATATTAGATATTATTACTAAAATTATTTTTTAGTTATTTTAGTTAATATTTATAGTTGAATCAAGCTTTATAAAAAATAAGTTAGCTTTATCATACTAATAACAGAGCTAATTAGTAATTATTTAGATAAAGCATATTTTCAATTTCGCACATATGATTGGATTATATTTAACTATTAGAAATTATTCAACTAAGAATATTTTTTATCAAATTTCGATATATTTCTTTGTAAACAGATCCAAAAATGTCAATATTTGGAAATTCTAAAAACAAAAGCAAATAACTTTCTATCTTTAAAGATGATAAGTAAAATTTTCTTTCTCAGTAGATTTCCAATCCAATATTAGGAGATAATTAAGAAACTGCTGACAAAACAAGTTCTCAAAATCCAGTTTTTCTATTAGGACAGATTCAATCATTAAATAGTCCTTAAAACAAGTAATGTATCATTATGATTAAAACATAAACTTTCTTTCTTTGAATATTTAGCAATAAAATTAGAAATTATGATTGAAGAAATTTAATATTATTATGTATCTAAAAGAATTTAGCCATAAGGGATGTCAAAAGATGAACTGAAAACAAATGTTATATCAAATTGGCCTTATTTAAAATTACATAAATAAACAAACTAATGGTTGGTAGAAGTAAAATATCAATGAAATTATTTCACAATATGAAAAGCATTTTACTTATTTTTAATATAAGCGATTGTGCTATTAAAAATTAATAACTATGGCATCATAAATAATTTTTAAAATAGAGATAAAATAGAAAAACATGGGAAGTGTTAAATAATTATTATGAGAAAAGAAAATAAGACATGAGCATAACGGACAGAATATTATTTAATAGAAGGGTTTTAAATTGTGCTAATAGATTACTTAAAGAATTGATATTAGAAAGTGAGCAAGAAAACGAAGAAAAGCTAAATAACTATCTAGATAGAGGAATTAGAGCTGTTTTTGAGCTTTACAGATTTCTGAATATTTATATTACTAGAATTTTACCTTTATACAATTAAAATGACAAAAATTCTTAGTCTACAGCTCCAAATATATTAGATTAAGATTAAAGTTTTCTTACTTCAGAAGATGAATATTTAACAGAAGGTATAGAGAGATCAAAACCAAAAACTGTTAATGATGTCAATACTATGTACACCCTATAAAATTTTAATGATCTAAAACTAAAATATCGAAAAGGACATGAAATCATAACCAGGCAAAAGATAGAAAAAATGTTAAGTCTGAAAAATATTGAGTTAAATCGTAATGATATTATTCAATTTATTATAAGTTCAATTAAAATAGGAATAACTTTTATTTGCATGAGAATAAGTCAACTTCAAAAACAAATAAATATGAAATTAAAGCAATTATAAACAAATAAACAAAATTTGAGGAGAAAAATAAATATTTAAGATATTAGCAGAAAGTTTCATTAAATTTAAATAATAACTATTTTTCAATATTCTAGCCAAAAAATCAATGGCTTCTTTAAAATTCTAAAAAATTTTATTATTAATTAGTTCATTTGGAGCTCGATTAGTTTTTTATAAATGTGATATCTCTTTTTAATTGGGGAGCTTTTATGCTTAAGAAACAATCTAAGCATAGAATAGCCTATTGGTTTTTAAAAGAAGCAGAAAGGATAAGTGATTAGGTTTTATAGAGTAATAATGAGGAGCTTTTAAATGTTATAGCTCGAGTTCATATTTCGTTAGCTAATATTTATTTCGAAGCAGATCGGTAAATTTTTATCATTCTAAAAGAATAAGTTCAAACTAATAAAAACTATTTTTTTTTATAGAACTCCTTTGGCAATTGAAAAAATTGAAAAAGCAATACTCGTTTTACAGTGTGAGTTGCGTTTAAGATAAACAAAATGGGAATTTCATAAATCTAAAGATGCAGATGATGCAATTAGCAAATGTGTAAAAACTATGATAACAGGCATGATTAATTTAGCAACATATTAGGAAGAACTCTAACTTTATGAAGAAGCATATTTTAGTATTTAAACTGCAGATTGGTTCTGTACAAAATATGTAAAAGGTAGGCTAATTTATTTATTTAAATAACTTTATTTCAATCAAACTTGAATAATTTTTATTTATAGGATTGGATGAGGTCAGAAAATATTGCTCAAAAATATAAAGTGAGTTTGAAAAAAGGTATTCAGATTATCTTCAGTAGAAAGGAGATTTAGAGGTAGTTGCTAAACATGTATTTTGGGTTGAATTATTAAACCTTTATAAAAATTGGGATGAAGAATGTAATTTTATTTTTGTGTGGTGAAAAAATGAACTTATTTATTTATTTAAATTACTAAAAATAGAAAAGAATCTACCATCAACAATAAATAAGTACATAAACCAATAGCTTTATAATATTTTTAGGGTGAGAGATTTGAACAAGATGTAGTTTATTAAGCATAAATATAACTAGAAGATTTCACTTAAGGATTTAGAGAAGCAGTAATAGGATGAAAAGAAAAAAAAGAAAGAAATTTACAACAAATATTTAGAAGAAATGTAAGAAAAAAAGAATTAGATAAATAATAATCCTAATAGCCTATCTGATTAACAGTAGTTGGAAGTAGAAATCAAAAATGCTTCGTAGGTATCTTAAGAGTAAGCAAGCTAACTGGATGAGTAGATGAAATCTAGATTGTAAGATAAAAGCAATCCTGGGATTTAAGAAAAGAGTATCTCTAATAAAGACATATCTCTACATACTAATACTTAAAAAAAGAATAGTGATTAGATAGGTATGTCTGAATCTAGCAAGTAGAACTCTTTCTAATCAGATTAGATAGATGAAATTTAAGGTGAAAAAGTCAATTCTAAAGATGACGGTCACTCTAAAAACAGCTAGAGTGATAATACTTAAATAGACTTAGATGATTCAGCAAGTAGCGATGACTTCTTTGGAGATATTTTTGAAGGATTTATGTCAGATGATGACGACGATGTACTTAAATATGATAAAAATGCTATTACTTTATCATTATTTTACATTAAAAATAGTCAGGTAAAAAAAAGAGTGATGAGGATGACATCTCAGACAGCAGCTTAGCAGAGGCTAATTAGTAATTCAAGTAGGTTTAAAAGAAAAAATATGTGAAAAAGAAAAAAGAATATGGACCTAACTACAATCCAAAATTACTCACAACAAATATGTGTAATATTTATAATTATTTAATTAGGTATTTTTAAAAATTATTAAATTTTATATAAAATAGTCTTCTAACCTTTAGAAAATATGAAAGTCAACCGTGATTTACACCATAATCAAACAAAACTTAAACATAAAAACAAATAAGCAAAAGATGAACTTAAAAAGTAGAAATATTAAAGTACTGGATTCAAGTCTCCTAATGATTTCAAATAAGAGTTAGAATATAATTGTAAATCTACTTTTTAAAGATAATAAATTCATATTAAATTTGTTAAAAAATATAGTCTTCTAACCAATAAAAGAGGCTATTTAAGAAGGATACACAAAAAAAGAAATTATTTAATAGTTTATTCGCCCTCAAACAGCATACGAATATGACTTCTAGGGCATGGATCTCCATATAGAGAATAAGCTCTAAGAAGATCTTGGCTAAGATGGCTATGAAAGCAAACCCTTTTAATGGGCAAAGGAAGATTTTTATAATGAAGAGGAGATAGAAGGAAAATGTATTTTATTTTTTTAACAATAATAAATTTTTAAAAAAATTATTTCTGAAAAAAAAAAATAATATTTTTTCAACTGGATGTATTTTTTAATTTAAAAAAATGAAATCTAATTATTGTTGGTTTATATAAATATTAAATATTGTTATTAGATAGGAGAGAACAAAGGTATACTAGGAGAATATTGAACATTAAGAGAATATCTGAACTGAAGAACAAATGCAGACCAATCAATTATAGTAACTTTCCTAATAAAGTAAAACTTCTATTTATTCAAATAAAATATTAAATTAACATAAAAAATGTGTAATTAATTTTGAAGATTACTTTTGACAGGATGATAAAAGATGAAGCCTTTGTTGTGGAAGCTAAAGTTGGATTCTCAACAGATATTTAGTAGAAGAAGAAAAAGGTAGAAATGATTATATAAAGCGAAATTAAGCATCAAGGAAAAAAGAATCTAAGGGATTTAATCTTCAAAAACAGAGATAACTACTTATTTTAGGATGCTAATTACTTAAAGCATGTTTATTATGAATATACTTAAAAAAAGAAGCAATAAGATAAATTTAAACACTAATAAAACGAAAGAGATATTGAAAAGTAAACTCGTTAGAGCCAAGCTAAAAATACAGGAGGCTAAGTAAATAAAAGTGATATAGGCTAAATAGTGGAGAAAAATGGTGAATATTTTGATGACTCGAGAGAGTTTGCTAGATAATCTAAAGCACAAATTGAGGAGCATGAAAAATCTCCTATAAGTACAAAGAACTATAATTCTTCTTTAACACAAATAAACAACCACTTTAATAATACACTAACTTCAATCCCATCAGAAATAGGATTCGTTTAGAATAAAAATTAAGTATAGTCTAAAAAAGAAATAAATTATTAGAATGAACCAAAAAGTGTTAAGAACTAAAGACTTAAATGGAATATTTAGGAAGAGCCTGTTTCTAGCTCACAAATAGTCAGCACTACTAATATACCAAATTATACACCAGGAAAGAATTTAAGATTTTTAGATAAATAAACACCTAAATCCTAAAAAAGAGATAAATTACAATTTCACTCCGAAAAGAATTCTCCAAACAGGGCTTAGGGGAAAAGAAAATATTTAGACACATCTGACAATGTAATAAAATTGGCTGGCTAAAAATCGAAAATATTGTCAAAAGCTCAACAAATTCAAAAGAGGTACGAACATGATTAAGAAGATTTTATAAAATTTGATAATTCATAAAAAGCAAGTTACAAGGATAGGCTTAATCAAATGTCTCAAAAATCAAGCAAGGTAATTTAAAAATTTAATTTTATTTAAACAAAAGAACAGATATAGAAAAACTTAATTAATTTCTACTATGTCTATTTTATCTATTAATTTTATATGATTAATTTAGTTTTTGTTATCTAATTATTAAACTAATTAACAATATTTATTGTATTATTTAAAAGTCTCTCAAGATTGTAGTAGAAGAAGTTACTTAAAGCTTATAAAAAGATAAAAAGCAATTATAATAAACTAAATTCAAACTTGGTGTGTCTAAAAACATGGCTGTTGATGATAACTTTGGCTAAAGGTATAAAAAATATTTAATGAATTTATTACCCAATCAATCAATCCTTTTTGAAATTTGATTTCTCTAAAAAAACACTATTATTTATTTATTTATTTATGTTGTTCAAATTTTAGAATAAGAACTAAATATTACAAATAATAAGATAATTAATATTCCCCATCAAAATCAAATAAACTTTAAATACATTAAAAATTAATCGATTAAATACCACCTCAAATTGCCTCCAAATTATAAGCTTAAAATCTTATTGATTATTAAATAGGTTAATACAGCACTAAGAATAATTACTAACTAAATCTATACAAGGAATTTCAAGAAAAGTTATGAAGGATTATATGAGTTTTACAGAAGTAGTTCGTCTTGCAAGACTCAAGAAAAAGATGGAAATTATGCAAAACAAATAGCAGCAACAAGGATCTCTTACTAAATTTTGAAAAATTACATTAATTTCAATTACAGTTAATTATAAATAGAGTTTGTACACGATAAATTATTATTCACAATTAATATTTTTGTTATTAGTTGTTTTCTATTTTAATTCAAATTTATTAAAATTCTTTTCTTATCAATTTGGATATATTCACCATAAAATTTATGGTGTGCCTTTTTTTATTGATTTTCTAATTGAAAATTAATTTTTGCCTTGTGTAATTAAGAAAAAAAAGATTATTTAAATATGCTAGCCAATTAGATTATTATACTCCCTATATAAATTTTTTGAAATTTAACTAAAATTTTTTAGTAGAAAAAATTAATTGTCACTTAATTTAAATTCAAAAGTTGTGGTAAATAGCATAGCAAAGTAACTAATTATGTTTCGATCCACCTTTATATCATTTTTAGTGATCAATCAAAAATCTTATTTATTTATTGATTGATTGTTAAATGTAAAAAAAGAATGCAAATTTTTGTATTAGTTAGATAACCTTTGTTTCTTTCAGTTGTCTCTTTTCTAATAAAATATACGTTTAAATTTAAATTATTATTGGTCGCTTTTTTCAAATAAATACAAAAGATATTATCGAAATTTAATGAGCTAATCTTTTGCAGAATGCATATGAATAATATATTAAGCAAGATTTCTCACAAAACCATTTTCTCTTGCTATTGTGAAGTATATCCATTATTTGTCTTTTAATTTCAATTTGCTTCATAGAAAAATTGTTATTCTTGTCTGCTATTTAGTTGAATTATTAATTAATCTAACAATCGATCAATCGAACAAACATTTTTTTTCTAAATTTTAGAAACTTTCAAATTACAAAATTAATAATTTTAAAAAACAAAAAGCGTGTTTAGAGAGCGATTGTAAAATTTTAAGCTAAGAATCAAGCAAATTAGCAAACAAATTTGTTAACAAACATTAAAAAAGTTAAAAATTAATAGTTGTTTCTCATATATAAATTAATTAATGTGCTTTTTATCTTTCATAGTTTGTTTGAAGATTATTTTCATGATAATTTGCATGGATCTAATCAAATTTTCTTTCTTTTTGTAAAGTGCTTGCTTGCTTAGCTGATGCTTTTATATTAAAAAATTTATATAAAATTTTGATTGAAAAAGCAGCAGATTTGTAATAATTAATAAATAATAATTTGAAAAAAATAAGAAATCAAAAAATAAATATAAAAAATATAGTAAGAAGATGCCTCACTTCCCTGAAGAAATTGAATATAGCGATAAGTACTGCGACGATTATTATGAATATCGTCATGTCATTTTACCAAAGCATTTATTTAAAAAAATGACCCGTAATAAAATTATGAACGAAACTGAGTGGCGTTCTCTTGGAGTTTAATAAAGCAGAGGCTGGTAACATTATGAAATTCATCGTCCTGAACCCCATATTTTACTCTTCAGAAGAGCTATTGGTACCGATCCTCAAACTGGAAAACCTCCAAGCGATTTCAAGCCTCCTTATTGAACACACACATACACATACACACATACTCATACATACATACACACACATAATAAACAACATTAATTAATTTGTAAAATTTTCTTAAATATAAATGCATGCAGCTGCTTTGGAGATTAATTAATCTAAAAGAAAAAGATGTTCAAGAAACAAAAAGATTTTCTTTAAATACAGAAATGCTAACTAAAAATTAAAGACATTCATTTCTAATATTTTCTGTGATGCTTAGCTCGTTCATCTACTCTTGAGCTAATTTATCTCTAAAATCAGCACTCCTTAATAATTAAATTTATATATTAGAATTGTTTGTTTACGCACTTATCATCCTTATTTGTCTAACTATCTTTTATATATCATAAAATCAAATTAAAATTTCACTCAAAAAACATAAATAAATAAATCAAATTTTTTAAAAGTTATTGATAACATTTAAAGAATCTTGTTTTTACATTCATAAAACTAATTCTTTCAAATTAACAAATATATATCATTAATTTTATTTATTATTCTACCTTAGTTTTCTATTAATTTAATACTTCATATTTCATTATGAATTCGGTATTTTCAAATCAGAATATATCATTATTATTATTATTTTAATATTTAACTAAAAACTTTATAATTAATCATACAAATTAAATAAATACTCAAACTTTTATTCATATTTGCAGTCTAAATCAAATATGTTTGATTTAAGCTAGATTTTTAATAGAATAAAAAAATTTATATAAATTATTCTATAATTTTTTCACTTCAAAATTATTTAAAAATAAACTTGAAAAATATTTCTTTATTTTGAATTTTCAAATAATATTTTCTGATAATCCTTTGATTTATGTAAAATAAATTTGATTGATAAATAATCTCTTGAAAATTACTTTAAGTTTTTAGATTTTTACTAAAAGCTTATTTAAATTTATGCACGATTAACATAAATGTATCGTTTGAAGTAAAACTTTTATACCAAATTTTAACTTAATTACAAAAAATTTTAATTAGAATATTTAGCTAAGTAAATTATAATTTAGGAAATTTTAAAATAAATAAAATCCCATTAAACCAAATTATTATTAATATTGAATAGACCATTTCATCATTTAGCAATTATAACAAAGTTTTCAGGGCTTAAAATAAAATCGCAATATTTAACGATTCTTCCTTTTTTACCTTTTTTTACTAAATTTAAAATTCTTCCTATATCAACTGTCCTCTTTACCATTTTCCCAATCAAAGACTTCTTTTCTGAAGAGAGCCACTCCTTGTTATTTGGTTATGATTATTCAATTACTTTTTTAGATTCTTCTTACTTATTGTCTTAAGAATTCTCGTTTTATATCTAATTTAATTGTTCAGACACTTATTTTTATTCACTTTGTTCAATTTTTTTCATTATTTCTTCTTTTATTTACCCACTAACATACCAACTTGAGCAGTAGAAAAGAATTTAGAGATCTTCACTTGTATAGCCTAGCTCGTTCATCAAAAATTCATTATTTGTATAAGTGTCAGGACTGCATCTATGATGACAACAAGTAGCTATCATCATTCCTTCAAATTTCTAAGGGTTTTAACAGTTTAATAAGGTGTTTATTGATAAGTCAGTTGCTCCACCACACATATGTTTACTCACTCCAACAACTCGAAGATCTTGATTAATGTAAGGATACTTCTATTCTAGTAAAATTTAATGCAAAGCATTTACATTAAAATCTAATATGTTTGTTCTATACCTTAAATAAAAAGGATTATCTCTATGCAATCTATCCATTTTATTTCTTCTTGATTCTAATTCTAATAAAACATGGCAAGCATGATAAGGTTTATATGAGGGTTAATCCTCTTAAATATCATCTTTTTAATTTTATTCTTAATCCATTAAATCTTTATTTTCTTCTTTAATTTCTTCCACTGTTTCATCTGTTGAGAGCTTTTTCTTTTTTTATAAATTTACCTTACAATTAACTGAGTTTTCTTTCATGGATTCCATTAAAACTTCGCATGTTAATTCTGAATTTTCTCCTAACTACAAAGATTTGGCAATACCATGTGAGAGAAGTCCTTTTCCAGCACCAAATTCAATGTAAATATATTAATTGTTCCATATACCTTGCTATTTCATAACTTCTACCAATTTACATACCTACCTATGGTCTTTTTAAGTATCTGAAAAAGCCTAATTTTCAGTTTTTAATTTTTTGATAATTTTTTCTTTATCTGCATCATCATTTATATCTAAAAGATAAGTATAAATTTCATCTTCTGTCATTTCATCAACTTCAGCATACTATTTGTACAATTTTACAGCTTTTTGAAAGTTTTATTATATCTTTTCTACAAGCTATTTCAACTAAGGAGCTTATTCATTATATAATTGCTATAAAAATTTTTTATTATCTAAATCATGCAACTTTTATTATTGTTCTTCCCCTAATAATTCTAATTGTTGCTACTCACTTAAATTTGATTTATTATTAATTCCTTTAGAAAACCAAATGTTATTTTCCACATTATTTTTTTACTTAAAAGACTGACATTTTTTTAAGTGTTTCTCCAATTTATTAATATCCACATTATGATTAGGGTCAAGTGGACAAGGTATTCTTCCTGTCTTAGCAGTTATATTACTTTTCAGCTGCTCAACATTTTATTCATTATTGCTTTCTTAAAATTTGCTATTTGTATCTTCTTCTAAAAAACGTGCATTTTCATGTGCATGATGATGACAGTAGTCAAATCCTTCTAAACATTCAAATTTACAAAACCTATTTTTCCTTTTAAGAAACAATTTGCATATCCTCTTTTTTTCTACGATTTTCTAATCAATCTCTTGAGATTTTTCTGTAGATTCCTAATTCATTTTATAATCTTTTTTAAGAATTTATGAAGAACAAATACTAATTAAGTCCTTAGAGATGAAACAAGATATTTAACAAATAATTTATATTAATATTGACTTAGATTATTTAGTCTATTTTTTATTAAGCTTTGCTTTTATTTGACTGACTTATTAATTAATTAACTATTGATTTATTTGTTTGTTTGTTTATTTATTTCGCGGTGAAATTCTACAAATTAGAAAGTTATTAAATTTTTTCAGAAAAAATAAAAATATCAAAGTAGATTAAAAAAAATGCATTTCATTTAAAAATTTAACAAATTCATAGTAAAAATATGATAAAATATCTATGGAATGTTTGTTTGTCTCAACTAATTTTATGCAATTTTTGTTATTTTAATAAACTTTTTTCAAATTAAAAATTCATCTTTGCTAATATTTAAAGAAGGTTTGTTTATTTGCATAAATAAAAGTATTATTTAACTATTGGTTATTTTTATAATTTTATAGTTTAATAAAAAAACTAATACATCATTATTAATTTTTGATTTCAAACCTCATGAGTTAAAGATAGTGTGTTAATGATAGCTTTGATGAAGACGACTATATGGAAATGGCGTTCTTAAAAAAGAAGGAGACCTATCGTCTGAATATACGCAAAGCTAAAGTTTAGTAAGCTCTCTGTGAAATAAGACAAAAAAAGTTTTATGGAAGCACAAACTTCAGTCTAAATGATAACACAAATTTCAATTCATCAATAGAATTAATCGCAAAATTCAGTCCTTAAAATCGTTTGACTTAAAAGCAAATTTCATTCTTAAGCACAGTAGCAAACAAGAAAGATTTAATTCGATCTATTATCTCTTAGCAATCCTGCTCTTAACTCTTTTTAAGCGATGCAAAAGAATGGTTTTTAAAAAACATATAGTGCTTTTAAGATATAGAGCATAATTAGTTTTCAAATAATTAGCTTCAGTAGATTCGTGTTTATATTGACCTCGCTTAAGCAATTGAAGAAATAGGTGGTATATAAATAATTCATCTGAATGATATCCTTTTTTTGACACGTATGATGAATGTGTGCGACATCCAATAAAAATTAGAAATAATAGATATTATGGGCACTTTATATGATTCTTCAAAACTAAAGTAGAATATCATCTAATACTTGATTTAATATATTAATATGGATAAAATAGAAATTTCTGAAAGAATATTAGACATTTTTATTGATAAGCTAGTCAAATTTGACTCATATTTAATTCAGAAGCTAAGTTAGCACTTTTTCTAAAAAATGTTTAAGCGCTTACTGCATTTAAAATGCAAGAGTATATCCATGAAAGTTTTAAACATAGCTTCAATATTAATTGAAAATAGTAATATATATAATTTATTTGCTCAATCTAATTTATAAAGCTAAAACACAATATTCTAATTGCTGATATGGCACTTGGAGCTAAAAGATATTCCTTTGATGAAAGAAATAACTAAATTTCTATATTCAATTATAAATGAAAATAATGAGTGTCTCGAAAATATCTAAAGCATCATACAACAACTAATAGACTCTTAATTAATAAATAAACTATTTGATGTTTTCACTTCTTAAAGTAGGGAATATTAATTTTTTATAAGCCTTATTCTTAAAGTATTTTCTTATGCCAATCACTTTCAAATAGAACATTTCTTCGAAAGCTAATTAAAGTATTTTATAATGAACCATTTGGTTAATTGCTTAACATCTAATTAACCAGAATTTATCTTAAATGTCTTACAATTCATTCATCAGCTTCTATTTGAAGAGAATGAATATAATTAATAAAACTACTATCCTCGTAAAAAGCTAATCTAATCTTTAGATATATTAATCTATATTAATAGTTTGATTGGCTAAAATGACGATAGGATAAGTAACCAAGCTTTAAATATTTCAACTTACTTATGATATATTTCATATTATATAAAAATCCCAAAAAACACAAATAAAAATTCATTCTTTATTTTATCACCAACATTAATTATTTGTATGGCTTTTATTATAATTTATTGTAGACGCAAAATATAAATAATTTATTACTTTTCTTTTCTCATAAAAAGACAAATTTATTATTTTAAGATATTCTTAATAAATATTTAATATTTATAAATACTTGAAGAGTTTATCATTTATATAAAAGTTAATAGAGATAAATAAAATATATTTAAAGAAAAAATATTTAAAATAACAATTATTGTAGACCAAAATCACTTTATGATTTATCTGTTTCTTAAACACCAATTTTTATTCATATAAAATACTTCTATAAATTTGAATAGAATTAATTTTACAATAAATAGTTGCTTTAATATGCAAAAATACTTCATTTTATATAGTACTTTTTTAATAAAGAAAACTAAGAGGGTTGGAAATAAATGACTTTGAAATCTGAAATATCTACTATCTATCAATAGTCAAAAATTGCTGAAATTCTTTACATCCTTGACACTGATTATAACCCTCCAATTTTTGACAATAGTTTTTTTAAAAAGTGTTAATTTATGAGAATTGAATATATTTATTTTTTTACTCAATAAGCTATTTTAAGAATGATCTTAGTTATTTTCTTTCAAACTTAGAAACAGTCTAAATTTAAATCTTAAATTTTAATATGATAGATATTATTAATATATTAATTTTACTGGAAGGAACGAGTAGAGAGAGATTGATTTCCTTTTATTATATTTACAAATTGTTAAATATGCAATAATATTTTTACTAATTTTAATGGTTATTATGGTAATTATATTGCCATTTAATTAAATGGTCTGAGAATAATCAAAAATAGAATCAATACTCACCATGAAATCTAATTTTATATTATATTTGGTGCTGGCTATTCTTAAAATTTTATTGTAAAGTAATTAATTTAAGTATATAAATTAGCAAATATACATACTTTATAATATTTGATCAAACATACTTTGAGAAAGAAAGAATAATTAATTAATATACTTTTTGATTGATCAATGATAATATCTAAGCAATACAAATAAAATAATTAAATATAAAAAAAGAATATTTTAAGTATTCTGGTTTATATTTAAAAAAAGTGAATTTAAAAATAATTTTTAGGATTCACATTTAAATAAAAATTCTTTAAAAAAATAATTTTCTCACATAGATATTGTTCATTTTCTTCATTTTAAGTTTCGATTACATTTAATTATGTAGATTACTTATGTAATTTAGAAAAAGCAAATAAGTAAACAAAAAGAATAAAGTATTAATCACTGTACTTCCTCAATAGAATAAATTGTCAGCTAAGCTCAAATAAAAGAAAATGAATTCTAAGCTAAAAAGCCAACCTCAAATAAGTTGAATTCATCTATCTTTTAGAAGGATTTTCAAACATTTACAGAAAGTAGCAATTAGCTTCTCAATGATTATGAAAAACTTAATCTGAAAAATATTTCTAAATAATAAATCAAATTTAATCGAATCTAGCAAAAAAATAGTATTTAAAGGAATCATGATTCAATCAGCATAAAAACCTATTCTCCTCAAAAAGAAAATATTTTAAATAAATCAATTTAAAATGAAAAAAGGCATAATTTATCTGAAATAATTACTCGATATAGAAGCTCAACAACATAAGAGGATTCAAGGAAGAAAAACTCTGAATTTTTTTCAACTCCATAAAAGAAGATTTTATAATTTAAAAGTCCTGAAAATAATTTAAAGCACTCTTTTTCAACATCTTCTTTTATCACATAACCACCTAAAGAGGAAAATCATCAAATTAAGAAAATATTACACAGATCTCAAACTTATTAAAATCTTAACTCTACTTAATTATAAGATAAATAGCCTACAGTGGGGATTAAGAAAGAATAATAATGTTTGCTGATTAAGAGCGCGTTTACATTACTTCCAAATAATAGATATTTACCTCTTGATGATGATAAAATTATAACCATTAGGACTCCTGTATCATCATCTGATTCTTCTGACAGCGGTGATATCAATGAAGATTTAACTTAATCTCATAAGAAGGTTGAACCAATAAATGAATCTTCCAAGTAGTTTTTAAAAAATTTTCTTAAAGAGAGGAGATAGCAAGAGAAATAAAATACTTGCATAAAAATGAGCAATTAAGTTAGAAAAATATAATAAACGATCTTAAATAAAGTTTTGAATGAAATGAATAAAGAAAAAGAAAGAAAATTAATAATTAAAAACCTAGAAATAGTTAAATTTCTAATGAAAAACAAAAAGAAGTTAACAAGTGAAGACTATGATCCTCTTGTTCACTACCGCCCTAAAGATAACTTTTGCAAGAATAAAAAGACCATTCTAAAATTGAATAGTGGGTTTCATCCTCCTAAAGATAGTGCAGCAATAGCACGAGATTAGCAAGAAGAATAAAAAAATTTTATTATTCCATGCTAGAAGTAAAACTTCTTTGGGAGTGAATATCGTAGAATGCTTAATAGAGGAGTCCCCTAAATAGTTAAAGACCTTTAAAGCTTTCGATAGTGATTTGTGTTGAATTTATATTATAATAATTAATAACATTAATTGATATATTTTATAAAAAATGTTAATATTTTAAATTAAACAATGACATAAGCTTATCTAAAAATGAATTAATTTTTAAATATATTATTTATTATTGAAATTAAGGTATTTTTTAATTTAATTTAACCTGAAAAAAAGTTAAATCACTAGTAAAACTAAGCATATTTGTTTTTTTACTTACCTTTTATAAAGAATATTTGTATTGATATTATAGCTTTAAATTCTTAAAATCATAATTTTTCTAAAAATCACTATTAAGAATTATACCCTTTCCTAATTAATTCCCTCAAAAAATCACTAAAATGAATTTATAGAGCCAGAGGAAAGTCAAAGAAAATTAGAGTTTTATTTAAATAAAAAAATAATTAAATCTATGTAGACTTACTTTTAAATCTACACCATTTTATTTTTCTCAAATTTTTTCATAGAGGTTCACTTTATTTACAAATTAATATTTTTCATTTTAATTTTACATTAAATTTCTTTTATTTTTTTTATTAAAGAAGTAATGAAAGAAATCTGTTTTTTAGAATAAACATTTAGTCTAATTTTTTAATTTAAATCTGTTAGGAGAGTTAATTGATTGATTTTAGTTAATTGCAATATTTATATTTAATATAAAAAGAGATAAAAGAGCAAATAAAATTATTAAAAGTAAATTATTAAACTATATTTAAAAGAAAAAATTTAAATTGGCATCTACATTAAAATTTTAAAAAGATTGCTGTTGCTATTAAATCAATTGCTAAATAAAAAACACAAATAAAAATTAAAAGTAATTAAAAATATTTAATTCAATTTAAATATTCAATTTTATCTAAATTAATAATTAATTTGATTATAAAATTTTTAAAATTGATATTTTAAATATTTTCTTAATGAGAGAAAAAAACAAATAAAAAATAAATACATTAACACCAAACAAACATAACAAAAAAATATTATCAAATAATTTCCTATGTTTTGACTAAGTTTAGATTCTTCATAGAAAAGTTACACTTTTCTGGTTTATCTGTCTATGGCTTCATTTTACTTTAAATTTAAGGCTAAAACGTTAGTTTTTTGTTATTATTTCTAGTTTGAGGAACACTAATTTGATTTTAAGAAAACTCCTTAGGAAATTGTATATTGTTTTTAGATATACCAATTTTTTTAGGGTTTTTTTTTAGTATTTATAACTTAAAAAATTGCCTTGAAACTAATTTATCTATGTTTTTCTATATAATTGCACTATATTTAGGTATAACTTCTGTTGAGTTATTATGAGGATAGTATATTTTAAAATTGTAAAGCTTATCAAACTTCTTATTTAAGTCTTCAATGGTCAAGTAATGAAAAGATTTTTCTTAACCGTTTGTAGTTTGTGTAGTAAATTATTTGTGAAAGTTATTTTAAATCAGATTTGAACCTAGGGTGTAACTGTTTGCTAAATTGCTTGCTTAATAAGGATTTGCATTTGCATGGTTTACAATTGGATTTAACGAGCTAGGAATTTGCAATAAACCATTTTGTGCATTTGCAGACATTGATTTTCTTGGATCATTTCTTCTTTGCAATGCCTTCCTATGTTTAATTTGAGTCTCTTTTTCTTTTTTTTCTTTCGAATGTATTTTTTAAGAATGATTTCGTTTTTCTTTTCTACCCATGGAAATTAATTATTATAGCTGTTTATCATTTAAGCTTATCGATTGAGCTAATACACTTCCTCTCTTTATATTTATATCCTTTTGATCAGCGCTTAAATGGTGATCATCCGTATTTTGTGTGACAAATTAAACCTAATGTTAGAATTATTATAAGTCATCTTTATTGACTTAGTTTTTTCTTGTATGTTTTGGAGGGAGGGGATTTGAAGACTCAAGTACAAGTATGTTTGGTTCTAAAGCAATCAAATTATACGTGCTTAGAGGCTGTAAATTTTATTGTGTCTTTTTTTAGTGTTCTTGATCATGCTCAGGGATAGGATTAAGATTTTGCTATTTTGTGTTAATTTGTTAACCTTTGTTATCATAAATAACACTACCTCTAGAGTTTGAACCAACAAATATAGAACTCTTTCTTCTATTTATTTTATTTACTGAGAGTTGCTGCTACTACTATCCTCCAAACGAATCTAAGTCGCTGTTTTCTTTTGCCGTTGAAATAATTGATAATTAGGATTTAGATGTTTTTTGAGTTTCTGTTTCTGATGAAGAACTTTCAGAGCTTGAAATCTCATCATTTATGAGCTCATCTTCTACTCTAAAAAATTCTTATTCTAGCTTCAGCAAGTCTTATTGGTGGTCTGGATTATTCATAAAATTATACATTATTTCTTATATCATATTTAGTTTTAATAGAGTTCTGTATTGAATATCTTTTTTCCTTCGCTTATGTTCTGATCTTGTTAGAGAAGATACTGAATAATTGTGCTTTAAGAAGATAATTTATTTGGTTAAAGTTAACTGCGTTTTAGGGCATTTGTTAGATAGATGATCTCCCTAATTGCATTGATAGCATCTAATCGAGGCGAACTTAAGATTGTTTTTCAATGTTACCGCTTCTTTCACCATTTAGAAATTCTCATAGTCATTATTATTATGTCTTATCATCTCCAAAAAGTGCTGTCTTTTTATTTTATAAAGTCTGCAAAAATCGCAAGCTTTTGCTGTAGCGCCTCTAACTTATCCCGTTATGAAAGAAATCTCTCCGAAATACTATTTCTTATGCAATTCTTAAAAAACATATTCCTTCTCATCTCCCGTCCTACTCTCATAAAGTAGTTAAACTGAGCCTTTAACTATGTAGTAAACTGCTCCATCGTCTAGCTCCTACTATTTAAAGATAATTTCATTAGGAGAAAATAATATTTCTTCCATGTATTAAATTAGCTTAAGTTGTGTAGCTTCAGAAACAAAATCTCTTATAACTGGAATATCCTTCAAGAATTTACCCTACACCTCTCTCGCAAGATCTTCTTACAATTATTTTGAAAGTTTCTAAATTATCAGTTTTTCATTTTGCTTTTTCGTTTGGTTTGATTCCTTTTATTTAAAAAAAGAAATCAAAAAAATTATTTAATTAATTAAAAAGCAAATAAATAAATAAATCAAAAAACAATCAAACAAAGAATTAGTAAATCAAAAAATAAATAAATAAATAATTAATTAATTAATATGCAAATAACAGTCAGTTATTTTTTAAAATTAAGTGTTTATTTAATTTGTTGGATGAAAGAAAGTTAATCAAAATAATTAAATTTTCTAAAAAAAGAAATCAAAAAAGAGTTAAATAATTACTTTGTGTAAATATTCGATATAATTGCTAACTTTAACTCTAACTTTAGAATCAACTTATTCTTCAATCATATAGCAATGTATCATCTGCATGTCATTTTTATATTCTAGATTTGTTTTATTTATATTATCGATGATGCAACCAATAGAATTAAGAGAATAAGCCCATATCATTCCAGTGCAAAACATTGTTATAATTGTAAACATAATTTCGATAGGATTTTTAGGAGTGATATCACCATATCCAACTGTTTGCATTGTGACAGCTAGAAAGTAAAATGAATAAATATACCTAATATGAATTTCAGCATCGTTCAAATTTTCATTATCAATCCATGTATCGTTTCTCTTTAATATTTTGATTTCATAAAGAGCTAGTCCGTGCCACAAAATCGAAAAAAAATGACAAACACTAACAATCAAAAAGATAACTTTAAACAAATCAACAAGGTTTTTCTTATTTTTCTAAAAGCTCAAGAAAAAGCTAAGAGCATCCAAAATATTTGTAAGTTAAAATATTTTAAAAGCCATAAAACCAAACGCTATCTTGTATGTTATAGGATTAGTTATATCAATTTTAAAATAATTAATCATAAAAGGAATTAACCCAAGAATATCCCACACTAAATTTCCTTTGATATATTTAATGGCAACAGATACCCTATTTTGATTTACATTGCCTTTCTCTATAATCGCAGTATTAAATGTGAAAATAATATCAAAGATAAATTAAATATAACCGATAGTGAATGTCGTCCTATAGTCATTTGTGTCTAACTCAAAGAAAACTACCAAACTGATAACATATATGAAGTAAATAATAGAGACGGCAATTATTGTATCCCAAACTCTCTTAAACAAATGATTAGGCTAAAATAACTATATTTTTCTAATTACCCATTTAAAGAAAGATAAAAATTTTTAAAACCAGATTTAGAACTCACCAAATGCAATTGTGAACTTGCTTGTTTATTTTGATTTGGCATGATATTTCTTAAATCGGGCAGTAACGTCTCCTATTAATTAGTGTTGTCTTTATGTGATTTTCTCAAATATTCTTAAATTCTTTGTTAATTACCTATAAAAATGCTTAACATTTACTAATAAGTTTATTGCTTTCATCAATTTAACAGGAACTTTCTCTTTTTGAACAACAATTTCAGATTTTATTTCTATAGTGTTTTCTGGTCCCTCATCGAAAAGCCTTGTTCCAAAGGCTGGTCTATTACATGGGCTTTAAACTTGTTAATTATTCATACCTTAAATAGCTATCTTAAATTAATCTAGATTTATTTTCTTAGAGGATTAAACCTTATTTTGTAAAGGTTTTAATTAGCTAACGATTAAACTAGTATTTTAACTATTTGATGAGTCTTGTATCATCATGCTTAACTATTCATTTTTTACAATAGATGTGTTTTAATTGATTTCGATAGGAGTATTATCTCCTTCCTAAGTAGGAGTATTAACGTTAGCATTTGCTATTAAATCAGCTGAAACGCTATCATTAATGATTTTAAATTATTAATTATTATCTGCTTCCTACTCAAAATCAATAGATTAACCTTTTTTATGGTTTAACTATTTGAATTCCTCTTCAATCTATTTTTATAAACATGTTGAGTTAGTTAGTAGAAGTATTTTATATTTCTGATGATCAAACAAATAAAAAAATGTTTTAACCTTATCGTATATGTGTATTTAATTCATATGAAAATGGGTATTATCTAGCGAACTTGCATCAATGCTTATATCATCTAATTACTAACTTGCCATTTTGCTTTTTCAATATTCTCTCTCTAAAAAAGAGACAATCTTTTTTTAATTGATTATGTTATTGTGTATGACTTTTTGGAAAAAAATTAGCTAAGCTTTTTGACTAAATAATCAAATCAATTATTTAATTAATTATTTTAAGGAAATCAATAAAGAAACAAATACAAACTATTCAATAAAGTTTATTAAAAAGAAATTTATTATTTGTGATTTTATTTTTCACTTTATTAATTTCTGTAATCAAACTATTATGTTTTTTCTAATTAATTATTTATATAAACATTATGCATCAATAAATGGACGACTGATTGGTTTTGTTAGCTAAAAATTTGTTTCAAAATAATGATTTCATTAAACAAATGAATTTCCTATTAACTAATCAATAAAATATGAACCCATTATTTTAATTAATTTTGTAATATTCAAATACTAAAAAATAATAAAAACAAAATTAATTTTTCTTCTCATTTTTTAATTTCACATAAAATTATTTTTTTTTTTCAAATAAAATTTTCTAAAATTATGATTTTAATTTTAAAATTAACTTGTTTAAAGCTTTATAATTAAAATTAATTAAAACATGTTTTTCCTAACTTTATCAATAAATTTGAACTAAATACGACTTGTTTTAATTCATTTTAAATCTAATAAAAATTTCCCAAATTAAGTAAATAATTGCAGAAAACATAAATTTAATTTTAAAATTATTTTAAATTAATCTTGAATTTTTATAAATGTTGACTGCTCAAATTTGTTTTAAAACAAAATAAAAACATAAAGACTAACACAGAATTTATTATCAAAAAATATTTTTATAAGACATATCTTTAGTTTTCTTTAAATTGTAAATCTTTTCATTGAATTTATTCATTTTTTTACTTAGAAGTGTGTTTCGTGATGATTGTTTCTGCCTTATAGATTGTTTTAATTTACTTTATTATTCCCAACTCTATTTAAAGGATTATATAACTACACCTATATTGCAGTTAGGATAGTAATATTTATAAATTTTAAATTTCTCAAATAGTTGCAGCATATAATAGCTTGAATCTCCAGATTGCTATGAATAATCTTGATCTTATTCAAGTATTTCTGCTTAATAAAGTAAATTGTTATCTATTGGCAATTATAATTCTGAAGCTAATAATGTTTTCTTTGTATTTTCTCTCATATTAATATCTGTTAAAGTCTCTACTAATTTATTATTAAGATCTAAGTTACCAAAAAGTTAAGTGTTTGATAATCTGCTTTTATTAAAATCTTAATGTGGAGATTTATTTAGATTTTTATTCATAATATGTGAATTCCTCTGATTGTTCAAAGGCTGAAAATGAGGCTGTAAAAAAGCTTAGGAAAGATAATTTTGTATTGTATTGATGCTACCTCTATTTTAATTAACCTACTGAACTATACCAGAATTCCTTGATGGATAATTTTAGGTATTTTCATTATTAAATTTGTTTGAAAATTATAAATTCGAATCTGCTTAATTTATATCAAAAGTTTAATTTTTAATTTATTAATTTTGAATCTGATTTATTATTTGCAGCTACACTGCTGGCGATGATATCAAGGATTATCTCTTTTATTGCATCATCTACCTCAATATAGTTAATCTTTTACTTTTTCTTCTATTTGAAATACTGTTTTACTAGTTCTAAGGTATTTCGAAATTTATTTCATTAGAGTTTAATGAAGCTAAGGAACCTAAATAACTGTTAACACTTCCCTATTTAGAACGATTTTTAGTATATAAAGATAGAGTATTTGTCTTTTAATATTGATTTTATTTAAAGCTATTTAACTTCTCTAATTTTTAAAGTAATTTAATTTAGTTTGAATCTCTATCATTAATTTGATTATATTATTTTGGAATTTTATCTAATTCTAATTAATCTTTAATTTACTAATAAAAGCTTTCATCAAATGATTTAGATTTTCTTATTCTATTGGGAATATTTTATTTCTCATTTTATTAAATATCTTTGCTATGATAAGGTTTATTAATTAAATTTTATTCATTTTAAGGTTATTCAGTTGAATCAACTTAATAGCCTTCCTTTTACTTTTAATTCATTTAAGGTTTGAATTAGCTTTGATTTATCTATTTTTGTTACTATGTTTCATTTTCTTCCAAAATAGATAAACTGAAGGATTTTCTATGTAAAAATGTTTTTATATTTGGCTATTTTTCAAGCTCATGATTCTCGTTATTTGAATAATTAATTTATTATGAAGCTGTGGATAAAAAACTATGTTTATTATCTGAAGATTTTTACTATTGATTGCTATTTTCATTATTTATTTATCTGACTCTTTAATCAAAAGAACTATTTTTTAACCCACCTTCGTTTGGCTATTATAAAATGATATTTGCTTTTGGACTAGAGCTCGTTTAAATTTTACTTCTTGTTTAGTTTATTTATTCGTTCAAACTTTAGGATAAACTGCTAGTCTTTTGTAGAGTGCAAGATTTCTTAGAATTACAAAGTGAACTTGATCTTTAATCCCCATATATAATTTAATATTAACTTATTGAATTTTTTGAACTAGTTACTGAAAACTGTTAATTAAGATACTATTAATCCGGAATAGCTTCATTTTTTTTACTCATTTTAATAGATTGATTTCTTTAAAATTATTAAATAGGAATTTCTTATTGATTTTTTATTTCACCAAAAGATGAGTTCCGGTTCTAATATGTTTAACTTAAATTTAAAGAGTTACTTTAACAAGTTTACACCTACATTTTAACTTTATTTTAATCTTGTATAGAAACATTTTAATTTTTATTATTGTCATTATCTTAGCTATCATTATCTTCTTCCTCTTATTACTCTTCTTTAATTCTTTATGGATTACTATCAAATTTGTCTTATTTTACCAAACTATTTTCTAAATTTTGTAGTTCTTATGCTTTTTCTAGATCTTTAAGCTCTTAAAGGCACTCTTCTATAAAAGCCTCATCTTAACTTAGATGTAGTTCTTCTTCCAATTACTACAATTATGTAAGGTTTTCTTCTTTTTATAAGAATTGAAAGATTGCATCCGTTGTTTCAAAATTTTTTTCCAGAGAGTGAAACCTTTCTCTTTTTCTTTCTTTCTTGGTTCTCTCAATATGAGGTACAGAATTGTTTGTTTTTTGAATCATTGTCTACTTAGATAATGTTAAATGAATTTTGGGACACTTTATTGAAAAATGATCTGTCTTATTACAAATGTAGCATTTTATTTTAAATAATTTTTGATTTTCTTTAAATGTGAAAGCTTCTTTTAACATTTGGAAATTTTCATAATCTTAATCACTCTCTTTTAAACTTTAAAAAAAGGAATCTTTTGGAATTTTGTATGTCCTGCAGAAATCACTTGCTTAAGCTGTCATAATTCTTTAATTTCCTTGAATAAATTACATTTCTCCAAAATATTGAGATTTCTTCAATTCAGCTAAAATTAAACTTCTTGTTTAGTTTCCATCTTAATACTCATAAGTGATATGAACACTGCCTTTCACGATGTAATATAAAGCACAGTCATCTATTTCTCCCTGTCTGAATATGTACTCACCAGGTGAGAACAAGCATTCTTCCATACTTTCAACAATTTTAAATTTAGTTTGTAATTTATCAATAAATTCTATATCTTTTAAGTATTTTCCTTGAACCTCTTACACAAGATCAGACTTCAGCTTTTTTGAAAGCTTGTTTATAATATCGCTTTCTTATTATTTAGCTATTTCATCTGATTCCTTTTAAAATATTTATAAAATAAAAGCTTATACTTCATTCATATATTCAAAAAGTTTTTCTTAATTTTAAATTAAAAATAATTTGTTTTTTTATTTAAAAATTTTATTATGAATTACCTTGTAAAGATATTATAAATAGTTAGATATTTGAACTCTTAGAGCCTACGATACCTTTTCTTATCTCATGAGTCTATGTATTATCTGCATACTTTACTTATAAGATTTATCCTTCATTTCTAAATTATCTATTATAATACCTATTTTATTCAAACTGAATGCATAGAAAAAACCCGTTACAAACATCGTTACAGTTGAAAATATTATTTCGTAAGTTGTTTATGGAGTTATATCACCATACCCCACTGTTATCATAGTAACAGCAAGATAGTAGAAAGATTAGACGTACCTAGTAAATACATCTTCATCTTAAATTCCTCTTACTTAAAGCCAAGTGTTTTTACATCCCTGTTTTATTTCATATATAGCGAGTCCATGCCAAAAAAGACAAAAAACATGACAAACACAGCCAATAATAAAGATGAGCTTAACTATGTCAACAATGTTTTTCATATTCTTTTAATAATTTAAATAATAAGTTAACCTGTCAAATATATCTGAAAGAACATATAATTTCATAAGGATTTAAAAATAAATAGCCCAAGAATACAACCCCTATAATTATATGTTGAAGAAAAACATGAATAAAGGCAAGAGTGCAATTTAGTCCATGATAAAATTTCTTTTTAAATAAGTTATAGCAGCCTTTTTTCTGTCAAAAATAACCTCACCTTTCTCCAAAATTGCTGTATTGAATGTTAATAGCATGTCTAAGACAAAAAGAATAAAAACCACTTAAAAAAATGTAATAAATTAAATTGTGCTCATCTAAAAAAACGTCACTAAGCTGAATAAAAACATAACACTCAAAATTAGAATGGCTTATAAAATATCCCATATAAACTTAGAGAGATTGTAAGGCTAGAACATAGGAATGCAAAAATTTAAGTTTCTGACTACTATTTTTATTTTTTACAATACTTGCTTAAGTTTTGGAAAGTGATATAACAAGCTTTAGTTGTTAGATTCCATTAGAATGTAATAAACAGAAGTAGCATCATTAATCAAGTAATGCTATTTGTTAGTCAATTTTCCTAAAATCCTTGTATTTTTTGTTAAAAGGCGGTAAAAGCTCTTCACGTTTACTAGTAAATTAATTGCTTTAATTAGCCTAGTAGGATAATTTTTCTAAATATTATCTAAATTTGGGCTTGAATCCATTTTTTATTTACCTTCATTATCATAATATTATGAATTCTCTTTTGAGAAGTACTTCCCTTTTGATTTACTTTTATCTGTTATCAAGTATTTTAGCTTCTTTTCTTAATCATCATAATCTTCTTCTTTTCTACTTTGCTCTTTATTATCAACAGTAGTAAACTATACTTTAAATAATGAATTCTAATAACTACTTTCTTCTTTATTAGGATTTAACAAAAAATCATCATTTTAAGTATCACTTTAATTTTTTTAGATTTTATATTTTGTTTGAGTTAATTCTTCAGTTTTTAAGTCTTCGCTTGTGCAGTAACTTAATGTTTCAGATTATCTTTTATTCATTTTTTGCAAATCTTAATGATCCTTTATTTAAAATAAAATAAAATAAAATAATATCAATTAAGCTCTCAATTTTTTAACATACTTTGATATTGAACTAAATACTATTCATGTGTACGCTTAAAGATGCATCATCATTTGTTATATTAAAATCCATTTATTCTCTAAGGTATTTCAAGATTATGAATAATTTAATAAAAACTATTATTTCTACTTAATTATCTATCTATTCAAAAATATTGATTATTTATTTCTCAGTATTTGTTTAACTAAGAAAAATAATAAAGGAAATGAATAAACCTTGGAAATATATTATAAATTTTAACTATATTATAAAATAAACAACTAAATTTTAATAAAAAGTCAATTATTTAATAAAAGTTAATATAATCCATTAAATAATGTACTTTATTCATTTGTTGATTACTACTTATTTGCTCAGACAAATAATAAATAAATAATTAAGACATTATATTTATTTTTAGTTATTAATACTTAATATAAAAAGTAATTATATCGTCTTCCTCTCTTTATCAATTACATTTTTATAGTATAATTATAAATGACAACAATATTTTTATTACTTTATTTAGATCACATATAATTGTTTGAATATTAAAAAACCTATATTACTAATTCTCAGGTTTTTTTGAAGATAATTTTTTTGTGATTTTCAAAATACTTGTTCATGATCCCAAAATATAATAAAAATTCATATATCAATAAGTCAAATTTAAAAAATTTATTTTTAAAAGTTTATTCAAACAAAAATTAAATATAAAAAATTTGAATAGATAAATTTATTTAGGAATAATATGAGAAATTGCAGCAAATATAAGAACTTAAATAGTTTTATTAATTCTCTTTACAAATTAATTTAATTAAATAATTATCTTAAATTTAATTTGATGAGAAAAATTAGAATGAATTGATTAAATTTTAAACAAATACTTTTAAAAGACTTCATTAAAGATTTAGATTAAATTATTTTATAATTTATTAACAAAATAAAGTATTTAATTAAGGGATTAAAATTATTATCAAATTTACTTATTTATTATTTTTTTGCTCATAATTTTTCTGACTAAATTTCCAATTCAAATTTTGACATCTTTTTTTAACGTTTTTTGGCAAATAGGTTTTATTAATTATACTTGAGATTTTTAATGACTTCAGTGTAATTCTAATTTGGATAGTAGAAATTAAATAATTTAGCAATTTCGAAATTTTATAACATATAATAATTAATGTCTTATTCATAGCATCCATCTTACATTCCTGATAGAATTTACTGAAATTAATTTGATTGTTCATTTATCTAACTCATTTTTTTTTAACTCAACTGTCCAAACAGTTAATTTAAATTTTATTTTAACTGACTATTTCTTTGCTTAGTTTAGTTTTTATCATTCATTTAAAATTATTTAGACATTTAATTTTAGTATTTTTAATCATTTAATAATATAGGTTACCTGATTGATTACCTCTTATTATTTTAAATAAAGCTTAAAAGATTTTATTAAAAAGCTCCCAGCTAGCCTTAATATTATTGCTAAAATTAATTTAATAGCAACTATTAGTTAAGCGATTATCTTATTTACCTTTTGTTAATTGTAATGCTTTGTTGGTTTTAATAATTAAGTTTTGTATTTGTGGGAAAACTGCTCAAAGAAGATGTAGAACCTGCTATTTTTTTTGATTCTGTTATTGATTTTCGCTTTACTTAATCTCGATTATTATTATTATTATGAGTTTATGATCTCTGCACATTTTTTGAATGATGAATGTCTGAAGTATTTTGGATTTAAAAATTATTTTATTAAGAAGCTAGTTTCCCTATTGATTATTTTAATGGTTCTTCATACTAAATGTTTTTGTTACTCAATATTTTGTTTTGGATATTCTAATTACTAGCAACAGTTTTTATTGTATGATCTTTTTAAGTATCTTCTTCTTAGATTATAAGGCTACCCTCATTTTAACTTACTTTTTCTTTTTTATACTTAGGTAATTTAGGAGATAAGTTCTCATTTTCTGCAAGATATTGGGTAATTTTTTTGGAGTTAGTTTCTGTGCAATTATTTGTTTTAATTTATTTTTAATTTTATGATTTATTATTTGATTTTTGAGTTCGTTTTTTTTTTGGAAATTATGAACTCTAAGATACTTGCTCTGAAGAGATTTAAGAATTAGTACTACTAGAGTCTGATTCAGAGCTGCTGAATTAAGAGGATTGATTCTACTCTGATACACTTTACAATAAATTTGATTCATTTTTAGGTATATTATTTTAAATTTAGTCAACTATTGAGGATCTATATTTACCAATAGTTTAAGGAGGGCAATTATTATTGTTATTCAAATTAAATATTGATAATCTACTTCTATTGTTCTAATCTTTCTGTTCTAAACACATTATTTAGCTAGAGATGTCTGAAGGCTATTAATAAAATTTATCATTATGTTAATCAGTTTCTTTATGATAAATTTCATTCAGGAAATTTAATTTGCTATTCGAAACATTTTATTCGTCTTTTAATTTCATATTCTAATTATACACTTTATCTTGAGAAAAAGTGTCTTCTTCTGACTCAGATTCATCATACCACTCATCTAATTTCAAACCTTATTCTAACTCATCTAATATTTCAAAATAATTTTAATTATTATTTATCTCATAAACCCCATTTACGCATCTTTATATTAATTAGAGAGCTTTTGTTTTATCCATTGTTCTTCTATCAGTTTAAGATCTTTCCATGTGAGGTTCTGATTTGTTATTTTGACTTACTATAACTTGCTTTGAAAAAGTAAGATGAGTCTTAGGACAATTGATAGAATAGTGATCTCCTTGACCACATAAATAACATTTTATATTTGCAAACTTAAAATTATTTTTTTATATCAATGTTTCAACAGTCATCTAAAAATTCTCAAAATCTTGCTCATCTTTTTTGATGACCTCAAGAAATTTTTGTCTTTTAATTCTATAAACTCTGCAAAAATCTGCAGCTACTGCCGAAGCAGTTCTACAAAATCCAGTAAAAAAAGATATTTCTCCAAAATATTATTATTTTTCTATAGTTCTTAATATAGTATTTGGGTTTTCTTTATTCTAAGTTTCTATTACAATATTAACATGACCTTTAACTAACAAATAAAGAGCAGAGTCATCTAAATCTTTTTATTTGAAAATAAATTCCCCTGGAGAGTACAAGCATTCCTCCATAATGTAAATAATTTCTTGCAATGAGTTTAATTTGCTTAAAATGGGCAGATTGCATACATATTTACCTTAAACATCTTTAATCAAATCACTTTTTAGTTAGTTAGATAAAATTTCTATTATACTTTTTTCTTATTGCTTTTACACTTCATTTGACTCCTTTTATTTTATAAAATTTTATTTTCAAATTTTCTTAAATTTTTTCAAACAAAAATAATGTTTTTATTAATTTAAAAAAAAAATTTATTTAATTTATTTTAAAATGTCACTTTTGTTATCTTATATTTGATAGTTTTTAATATATAAAATAATACCTTATAGAGATACTCTAAGTAATTAGAAATTTTAGCTCTTAGGATAGTGGAAACATTTTCTTCTCTCATAAATCCATGAAGGATTTGCATACTTTCTTTGTATTATTTATCCTTTTTTTCAATATTTTCTAGAATACTACCTATCTTATTTAAACAAAAAGCATAGATAAATCCAGTGGTAAACATTGTCAATATTGTAAAACACATCTCATACTAGTTTTTAGGAGTAATGTCTCCATATCCTACAGTTATCATTGTTACAGCTAAAAAATAAAAAGAGTAAACATATCTTTTTAATACATTTTATTCATTGACTAAATTTTATGCAGATAACCAATTATCTTCGATTCCTATTTTAACTTCATAAACTCCTAAACCATGCCATAAAATACAAAAAAAATGGCATACACATCCAATCATAAATAATAATTTTGCCAAATCAACAGAGTTTTTGGAATTTTTCTCATAATTAAGATAAAAGGCAATATTTTCAATAATTTTTGACAATAAAAAAAACTTGAAAATAATCAATAAATCAAGAATCCAATATAGAGCATCAGCTTCCGATTAATTATCATAAGATTATAAAAATATAGGAATAATTCCAATACAATCTAGAGCAAAATTTCCTTTTAAGTAATGAAGAGAAATCTATTTTCTATCTATGTTTAGATTACCTTTTTGTATTAAAGCTGTATTGAAGCTGAAAATAACGTCAATCACAAAAACAAATGACGTTAACTTAAAATAGGTCTAATATGGACTTATATCTAGAAAAAAAAAATTCCTTAGACTGAGCAAAAAAGATATGGTAATTATTAAAAAGGCTTAAAATAAATCCCATGTCCTCTTCCATAATGATTATGGTGAAAATAATGGTATTTGTATTAAAACAGAGTTTTTTTGCAATCTAAAAAGATTAACAATTTTTTGTGTTATTCGAATTATCTAAAAGGCAAAAAATGTATAATCTTATTCCAATTTTCTGAAAGATGTTATATCTCCTATTACGCTGTGCTATTAATCAGTTAGTTTACCCCAAATCCTTTAATTTTTAGAAAGCTGCCTATAAAAAGATTTTACATTGACAAGTAGATTTATAGCTTTCATTAGCTTAACTGGTACAACTTCTACATTCTACTATTCAGAAACTTCTACATTTAAATTTTATTCTTAATTTGAATTCTAATCTTGAATTTTTCTACGTTAAAATCCTAATATAGCTTTACTAACACTACTAAATCTTTGATCTCTTTCTGTAGTCATTCTTTTTTACTATTGCTCTAATTTTGATTACACTGACCCTAGTCTAGTTCTTTACTATTCTATCACATTTATTTAATCTTGAGTTGAATCTACTTTCGTTACATTTAAATATTTTGCTTCAGTAACTAATGAAGCTGATATCATTATTGTATCCTGCTTACGCATGTTTAAGCTATAAAAATCTTCCTCTTCATTCTATTTAAAAATTATAATTAAGTTGTAAGGTAAATATCATTTTTTAAGCTAAATTATGTTAATTATTAATAATCATTTTTTACTTTGTTTCCAATTTAAACCTCAAGCATATGGCTAGAGTTAAAGTTAGGATAATACTAATCTTATTCACTACTATTTGCATTTTCAGTATTCATGTATATCTTAAATTAAAATATTTTAAATTTATTTGAGTTATTTTATAAAAATTTTAAAGCTTCTATTTTTATATTTAATAGGATTCTACCAATTTTAGCTAAAAAAAATAGAAGTAACAAAATATTAATAAATTATTATTAAAAAAGTATCAAAAACTCAACCCAAAATTAAATTTTCTATGTTAATTAACTAAATTTGAATGAAATAAAATATTTGTGCAATCATTAAAATTTCTTAATAAAACTAAGCATTAAGAAAATATTTTTAGAATTTTAAATCTAATATATTTATTTTAATTAAGAATAATAGTTTATATTACTGTAGATACTCATTAATTAAGGCCGATAGATTTTAATTTTAAAAACTGAAAATTTGGCCAAAAGTTTTTTTTTCCAAAAAATCGGCCTTAATTAAGGTAGGCCTTAATTATTGAGTATCTACAGTATTTAAAAAATCTTTAAAAAAATTAATATATTATTCTGTTAACAAAATTAGTAATATCTTGCTTTTTTGTTATAGAAATTAGTAATTTTTTTGTAAAAAGGTTTCATGTATTTATCTGAAAAAAATTTAATTTTTTTTGGCATATTTCAAAAAATGATATAATAAATTATATAAATTGAAGTTATTTTAACAATTATATAAATTGTGGTTCAAATAAAATTTGGTTTTTATTTATTATATTTAGTTAGGCATACTTTTAAATAAAAAATAAAATAATCACAAAAAAAAGCAAATAAAAAGTTAATTAAAATCCTTCAAAATCTAAAAATAAAATACAATAAGAAAGTAACAATTTAATAATTTTTAAAGTAAATAGAAATCGAAATTTAATAATAAACAATTTTTAAAAACAATTCACTAAAGATAAAATATGAAATTTCTTTTTATTAATTTTTTGGGTCTTTATGTAAGCAAACGATTTTGATACTATTAGTTTAATCAAGCAGTAATTAATTATAAAATAATTTAATATTGATTGATACAAAATGGAAATTTAATAATATAAAATTAAATAAATATTAATATAAAAATTTATATGTCAAATAGATAGAATTAGAATATCAATAAATTTATATGATCAGTATAAAATGCATTCTAATTCATTCCCTCTTCATTAATTATTTCATTTTTTATCATACAAAATATTAAAATTTATTCTAAATAAAAAAAATATGATTTTTAGGTTTTAATTAAATGTAGTCTTAATAGAAAATTCATGTATGTAAATATATGTAGGTATAAATAAGTAAAAGATTTTAAAAATTTTCTTTAAACATAATTATTCAAGAATTATTGCCTATATATTACGAAAAGAAGAACTTTTACTTTTATGTGACAGATTTTTTTTATGAACTTTATTTTCTATCTCTCTTCTTCTTTTCTTATCTTTTAATGAAAAATTTGTGTCTTTTTTCTAAGATGATTGGAAAGTTATATTATGGAAAGTAATGTTAAAATATGTGAGGCTTATCAAGCATAATAAGAATCTAGCTAGTTTCGTCTTGAATAGTATCTACATTTTCTTCGAACTTAGTAGAATATAGAAATTTATCTCTATTCATTTGTAAACTTGATTTTGAGAAACCAACAGTCATTAAATCTTAAGCTTGTTTAATATTTGATTGTTTAAGATTATTTAAAAACTAATTAATGGTTGATTGAAGAGTTTCTTAACTATTTATACATCTTTTTATACCTTTAAAGCTTTTTCTAGATCTATTTTAATGTTAATCTAAGTTAATTGACAGATTTGATTTATTTTATCCTGCTAAATTATGTTCGTTTTATCTCATCATATTTTCGCTTGCATCATTCTTATTTTAAATTTTAAAACAAAACTTAGTTTGATAATTCTCATTTAAATATTAATTTTCATTTTTTTAAAAGAAACCTTCAGTATTTCCTTAATAATTAAATAAATTTTCTTAAGGTAAATTAATTTTCTTTCTTTTACTTGAATTTATATCGTTTTCATTATTATCTTAGTCAATTGTTTATAATTTTTAGACTTTTTCAATATCTGTAATACTTTATGAATAACTTTGAGAAATTTATGGACCAAATAAATTGGTTTAGATAACATATTCTTACTTTTAATTTAAATTCTCCTATTAATTTGATGAATTTATGCTTGATTTTTGTAGAGTGTTTGAATTTTTGCTATAAGATTGATCGAGATCTGTTGTAACTATTTTACGCAAATCATCTTATTTTATGCCATTTTAAGAAGTTTTTTATCTTAAATAACTAGGAATTTTGTTGATTTAACTCTCTTCGTTTAAACTTTTAGATTTTTCTTATATAATTTTAGGGGAATAGATTATTGATTTATTACCAGAGTTAGAACACGACATTTATGAAGATTAAAAAGAATTTGAAGATGAAGAGTTTACTTTATTGTTATAACCATTTTCATTTACATCAAATTCTTGCAATGAACATCTAAAATGTAATTAGTATTGCTAGTTCTGCTTTTATGTCGTATCCTAATTGAATAAATTTGGAGTCATTTAGATTCTCTTTTAAGATCCTATAGAATAATTTGTTTTAAAATATTTTTATTGTAGTAGAGGTTCACTATTCATATTTTCATCTTCTTCATTTATACATTCAAGATACTAATCATTTATTTCATCAATATTCATTTCTTCAAATATATTTAATCCTCTCTCAATTTCATCCAATGCATTGAAGCAATCTTAATTTTCATTTATTTTGAAATAAGCTTCATCAAGCTATTTAAGTAATAATAAACATTTTTACTTGCTTATATTTCTTCTATGAAAATCCATTCTTTTAGCATGAGGCTCTGAGTAAAATAATTTAGCAGCTAAAATTTATTTATTTAATGTATAATGTGTTTTAGGGCAATATGTTTTGTAATGGCCATTTTGATTACAAGTTTTGCATAATTATGTACACTATTGATATTCTTTTTAATAAATTATTGTATCTTTAAGCATTTAAAATAGTTCATAATCATGATCATCCTATTTTATGGCATTAAGAAATTATTATCTATTAATTTTATACACTCTACAGAAATCAACAGCCTTTGCTGTATGCTATCTTATGCATCCTGTAATAAAAGAAATTTCACCAAAATACTCTTGCCTAGATTTCGTTGTTAGAACAATTTCTTTTTCTTTAAAATGAGTCTGAGTTAACTCCACTTTTCCTTTTACTATATAATATAGGCAATAATCGTCTCTTTTTTCCTACTTATAAATGTAATCTCCTGGGGAATAAACTACTTCTTCCATCAAAAGAATAACTTAATTTTTTTCAGTCAAGGATTTAAAAATAGGAATGTCCTTAATATATTTTCCTTTTACTTCAATCATGAAATCTCTTTACAACTATTAAGAAAATTTCTCAATTATAGTTTTCTGCTTATTTTATAAAATCTCATTTTATCCCTAAACAATTATTTTAAAATTTTAAAACATCAAATTAATTAGCTTTAAAAAAAAGTAAATTTTTTTTTTGGTATTTTTGAATAATAAATTAAAAAATATTCTTGAGGAAATATTTTATAAAGAAATAGCAAATACTTTATGCAAATACTCTAAGTAATTAGACACTTTAGTTCTAATATCATTATTCACATTTTCTTCTCTCATAAGTTAGTGTATAGCTTACATATTTTCTTTATAATTTTTATTCTTTTTTTCAATATCGTCAATGATAAATCCAATTGTGTTCAGACAAAATGCATACACGATTCCTGTAACAAACATAGTTGCTATTGTAAAGGCTATTTCAATAGGATTTTGAGGAGTAATATCTCCATAACCAACAGTTATCATAGTTACTGAGAGAAAATAAAAGGAGTAAGTATATCTTACCATGATTGAAGTATTGACTATATTTAGATGATGCATCCATGTATTTTAATTTCCTATGCTGATTTCGTACATAGCTAATCCATGCCAAAAACAACAAAAAATATGGCAAATTCCTATCAATAAAAAGAATAGTCTAATAATATCAAGTATATTCTTCTAATTTGTCTCATAGCACAAATAAAAACTCAATCTCTAAAAAATGTCTCTGAGCTTAACCCATTTTGCAAAGATTAAAATTTAAATAAATTTATACTTTTCATTATCCGATTCATTCAATGGAATGAAAATCATTAATGATAAATTTCCAAGTATATCACTCAGTAAGTATTTTTATATATAAGCTATCGCTATGCTTATCCTACTATAATTTACAGAACCTTTTTATAAAACTCCAGTATTAAAGGTTGCGAGCATATCGATTATAAACATGCTCAAACAAATTTTGTAAAAGTCGAGTATCATAAATTTAATACTTAAATCAAAAAATATGCTCAAGCTAATTAAATAAAATAATACTAAGATTATGAGAACTTAGAGGTAATCCCATATTCTTTTTTAGATACTATATGGACTAAATACAGGAATATTTGGGAGAAATTTAAATATTTTTGATTATAATACATCAATTTTATATTTATTAAAAAATTATTTTTTCTGATTTGAATTTCCAAAAGTAGAACTAACATCGTTAATAGCATCATGCTATTCCTATGTTAGCTTGCTTAAAACTCTTAAATTAATTTGCAGGGTATCAACAAATAACTTTACATTTAAAAACAAGTTAACAAAATTTAGCATTCTACTTCTCCTAGTAAAGTTACTTAATTTCCCATCTCTTGAATTTGGAGTTTAGGCAGAAGATGTGCTTCCTTCGTCAATAGAATACTTAATTTATTAACTTCTTTTTCTTATCTAAAAAGGCGTAAGCATTTGTCTACTTTAGCTTCTAATTGACTAACGTTTCTAATCAGAAAAATTTAAAATGTCTAAGTTTAGTTTCAACGAATCAACAGAATTTTTGAGATTCTATTTTTAATTCAGTTCAGATTCATCAACTATTTCTAAATAATTAGTGGTTATACTATCATCTCTCTTCAATGGAAATTTCGATAATTCTAAGTGACTCTAAAATAAAAATACTTTCAAATTATTTGTTTCAAAAATTATATTGATTACTTCGACATCAAAGTGAATCTGATTTTGATGCTTATCTTCAATTTGTTTATTTTCATCAGTATCTTAACTCATTTTGATTATGACTTTAATATATTTATGTGTTTTTTTGTTTTCTAATAGTTTATTGAAATATAATGCAAAACTGTATTATTAATCCCAAAAATTTCTTTAATAAATCTAGAAATTTATAAGTATGTATGTATGTAAAAAGACTTAGTTTTGTGGTCAATCTAAACTCTTATCTATCATCTAGTTTAAAATATATATCAAATTAAAAAATAAATTCTTGAAATCAGCTTAAGTTGTTTTTAATAGCATACTAACTAATAAGCAAATATTAATGACATTTTTGTTTAATTCTCTATAGGAAAAAAACAATTATTGGTCTTGCTAAAAAAACAATCAAACAAATTAATTTACTAAAAAATATATTTTGATAAAATAAGAACTAAAACTGTATTGATTAAAACTTAATAGAAATAAACTTTACAAAAAAATTAGAATACAGTTAATATGATATAAGTAAAATCATAGTTTAATTTGTAAAAACACAAAAAAAAAATTTATGTATTTAAATAGAGACTAATTATTTATTTTTTTTTTGTTGTATTTTTGTTTATTAAGGTAATTTTATAGAATTCATTAAATCTCTAAATAATAAAATATTATAAATAAAAGATAAGAAGTTGATTTCATTCTGTACTCCCCATTCTAAAAATTATTTTAAAAACTACACTGTAAAAACTTGACTCCTCCAAGTGGCTCTAAATCCAAAGCCAAGAGATGGAAGGAGGGTATTTTTGTTTCGTTTGTAAAGATTTATTTATATTTTGAATTGCTTAAATTTAAATTTAATGAGGTAGTATTTATAATTCAAATTTCCAAAATTATATTTTGTTTAATAATTTTTTAGAAGTTCTTTTTTTATCTTAGGATTCATGAATTAATTCCTCAATCCCTATATGTATTTGAATAATTTAATTCTGTGAATTATGATGTAAAATAAGTTTCAACTAAATTCATGTATGGATATATATAATAAAAATACGGTTTAAGCAATACTATTATATTTAATAAATGGTCTTGTCTATAAGCAAGAATTTGAGTTTTATAAAGAAAGGTACATAATTATTTAATTTTCATTTCAATTTTTTTATAAGAAAATAAATTTTGATTTTTTTCTCTCTTTATTTTGAAAGTGTTGTCTTTGTTTTAAATTATTTAGCATAACTTTTTAATGCTTAAAAATAACATGATCATAATTACTTTGTGGATTGTAGTATTTAAAAATATGAGCTTTTTCAAAAAACTACAAAACGAAATAATTATTCTCAGATTCAGTGATGTTGCTTTCATACTTTTATTTTGAAATAAACATTAATTATTCATCATTTAATTATCCTATTAGAATCTACTCTTTATCTTGACATTTAGTTTTTATTTTTTATTGACCATAGAGTGGTGATTCAGAAATTTCAGAACCTAAAGAAGATTACCTTTGTTTTATGAGAACTTGAATTTAGTGAGGTAAGTTACTGATACTCTAAGGAGCTATCTTAGAACTGTTTAAAATATCAGTTTAAGATATATTTTACAAATGGCTCGATGATATGTGTTTGTTTTAAATTTTATGTAGACTTAAAGGATTTTGATGGATATTTTATTTTAATTTGCTTTTATTAGTATATTGATGCAATTGTTAATAATTGCTATTTTTATAGATTTGTTATTCCCTTTCTGGCTGAGGACTCATCTATAGTTAACTAAAATCATTTGTAATTTAGGATTAAGATTTAAAAGATTCTTGCATTGACTATCTTTTTTAAGCTAAATTATTACTTGGATGTTCCTTGAATGATGTAAATGAAGTTTATTTTTTTTCTGTATTATTCTATAATAGTCTTGAAGGAAATTTACTCTTTAAAGAATTTTGAGACTCAAAATTAGATTAAAAATACTAACTTTTATTATCATTATCGTTTAAGATATAGTCTGAAACAACTTAATTTCCTTATTCGGATTGTGGACTAAATTATCCTTCTAAAACTTAAATATTACTACTGTCTTGCATGTTTAATGTATTCATTATAAATGAAGCTTTTTTCTAATTTTATTAAGCCTTTTGATTATTGATTTATGATAAAGCTTCGCTATTTAGCTTCTACTGCAGATTAATTTAATTATTTAGATTTATTGATTTATTTAACAAATTGTAAGACTAATCGTCATCTTCCTATTCTTTTTGTTGTTCATCTTAATATTGAATGCTACTTAGTTATGATTCTAAATTAGATTATTATTATTAGTATGTTTATTGAGCTTAAAAGTTTTCTAGTGTTTCTTACTGAGTCATTTTTGTGAAAAGACTTTGTTTAGAAGAGGAATATTTTTTTTATCTTTTTTTACCCTCATTAATTTCTTCCTTATCTTCTTTCTCATAAATTTAAGCGAATTCCTATTCTTATTCACTTACTGAGAAATTATCGAAAGATTAAATAAGATTCTCTAAATAATCAAGATATTCAAAAAAATTTTCATTGTCATTTATAGAAAATATAGCTTAATAGCAATTTTTTATTTAATTTAAAGATTAGAATTTAAAGCTTTTTCTACTAAATTGTTTGCGGTCTAAATGAACTTGAGATTGATTATGTCTACATATAAGAGCTTATTTTGATAAGACAAAATGAGTTTTTGGACAATTTTGCGGTAGGTGTTGGTAGGATTAACAAATTTAGCATCTAATGTTGCAAAACTTGTAGTTTTATTTAAGAAAAAGAGCATCTTATAGCATTTGAAAGCTCTCCTTATCAAAGTCATAGAGTTTTATTGTTTCAAGAAATTTATTTCTAGGTATTTTATATACTCTACAAAAAGTAGCAGCTTTAGCTGAAAGTTCTCTCTAAAACCCAGAAATAAAGCTTTGTTCCCCAAAATATTTTAATTTATCTAATGTTTAAATAATAGATTCTCCTCTTTTCTCAGAAGTAAAAACTATGTCAACCTATCCTTTGACAATCAAATATAAAGAACAATCATCAACATCATCCTTTTAATAAATATATTCTCCAGGTGAGAAAATAACTTCCTCCATAATAATAGCTATTTCTTTTTTTGAGTACAATTTTTCAAAAAACGGTATTTGTTTTAAATATTTTCCTTAAATATTTAAAATTAATTAATCTTGAAGCTGCTTAGATAGTTTACTAATTATAATCTTCTCTTAGCTCTTCTATGTCTCATTAAATTCCTAATATTCAAAAAATCTTATTTAAATGATTTCAAACTAAATTTGCAAAAAAATATTCATTTTAATTAATATCTTTGAAAAAATTATTTTTTAAATTAAATTATTCATCTATTTATATTTATTTTATTAAGTTTAATCCATTTTTTCAAACTTTATTTTGAATTTTACATTTAAAACTTTGACTCAGTATGAAAAAATGAATTATATTTTATTTTTTAAATGTTAAAAAATGTTACTATCCTAAATTTGTTTTTGAAGAATTTTAGAAATAATTAATGAAAATTTTACTTTATAAAAATAGCTTAAGTAATTAGATATTTTAATTCTCAAACTAACATCTACTCTTTCTTCTCTCATCATTTAGTGAAGGATTCCCATATTTTTGTTATAGAGTTTATCTTGTTTTGCGATAGTATCAATGATCTTCCCTACTTTTCCTAAAAAGAAAGCCCAAAAAATGGCAGTTGTGAACATAATCAAAACTGTGAATAACGCTTCGATGTAATTCTATGGGGTGATATCACCATAGCCAACTGTAATCATAGTGACTGATAAAAAATAAAATGAGTAAACATATTTAACCCAGGTACTTTCTTCAACAAGGTGCTTAGAATTAAGCCATGTGTCAGTTCTACCATAATCTATTTGTGTGATAGCAAGCCCATACCAAAAAAGACTAAATATGTGGCAAACAAAAGCTATTAAAAATACCAATTTCATTAAATCTATCACAGATTTCATGTTTTTTTTAAACCCTAAAAATACATTAATAGTCTCACCGATTTCTTTTAAGACTCTTAATTTAAAGAAAAACAATAGCAAGAAATATTTATAATTCATATTTCCTCCTTTTGTCAAGAAATAAATTAGGGGTATTATTCCTAACAAATCATAAAAAAAGATACCTTTTAAATACTTAGAAACTATAATTTTTTATTCAAATATAATACTTCCTTTTTTAACTATTCCAGTATTAAATTTTATAAAAATATCTATTAAAAACATCAAAGAGCAATATTTGATATAAATTTGGTACTCAGTTAAATTCAATCCAAAAAAAAAGTAGATACTCAATATAAAAGACAAAAAGATAATCATAAAAGCTTAAAGCAAATCCCAAATACTCTTCTTGAAGCTGAATGGAGACAATTTTGGAATTGTTTGAAAAACATTCATCTGCGCTTTGATTAATCTACAAAAAAAAGTAATAAAACTTTTTTTTTAAAATAGCTGGCCTTTATTATTAAAATTAGATGAAAAATCACCTATTGATCTAAACTAACTTAGAGAAAGCTTACTAAACAGCCTTGTATTTCTTGATAACTTTCTATATAATCCTATTACATTTACTAAAAGATTAATAGCTTTCATTAATTTCCTTGGTTCCTTTGAGCTAAGCTATTAATTATATTCATCTAGTATAACTTCAGATTTAAACTTCCTTTGCGTAGCCTTTGAAAGATGAGTTTACATTTTAGATTATTTTCTTTTAGTAAAGCTCAAATTCAATTGTAAACTTTAGACATTTAAGCTATTCACATTTGAAATAACTTTAGAGTTACTTTCATTTGAATTATCTTATTTAATATCAGGTCTTGGAAGACTCTCTTTAGCAGAAATATCGCATAATGATTTTTGGATAAATGAATCATTCATTGTAACAAATGTTTCTTTTTTTAAGCTTATATTTTGTAATCCATGATGGTCCTTTTTATAATAGAGAAGTTATTCTATAATAAATATAATTAGTATAATAATGGGATACTTCTTAATTAAAAACAAAGGCTCTTTTTTTATTTTATAAGCTCTCTTCATTGCCAAAAACAGTATCATCTTAAAATGTAAGCATTTATTTATATAATTAAATCTCTCTATCTATGATACTTAGTTCTACTTTTAATTATTTTTTAGAAATATAAATAGTTTTGAATGTTTAATTAATAATAACTAAATCAAGTATAAAAGCATTTATTTTAAAATTAATAATAAAAACGAGTGATAAATAAAGTAGGTATGTACTAACTAACCTTGAAAATCAATCAATCATCTATTACTTTAAAATTACTTTGATAAATTATTGGATATGTTTCTTTTTTTAGCAAAGAAAACACTTTTTATTTATTATTAACCTGTTTATTATAATAGTAATTTTTACTTTTAGAAAAAATTTTTAATTTATTTATTACGAAAAAATATAAAAAATGTTTGTATTTTTAAGATTTCTGTAATTTATTTTTTTTATTTAAAAAATAACTTTAAACTTTTAATTTTTCTGCAAGTGATTTCTCATCAATAATTAATTTTATTTTATTTTATATATTGTTTATTATTGAAAAAAAAAGACAATTAGGTTTATAGATACTAGATAAATTATAAATATATATGTATATCTCAAATGTAACAAAACCTATTTTCAAAATTCTTTAAAAGAAAAATAAAAGCATATCAAATATAAAAAGTTTTGAACTGATAACGATCTAAAAAATTTTATTAGTCATAAATTAATTTATTCGTTAAGCACTAGAACGTAAGGTGTAATGTAAAAAAAGATTAGATAAATTAAAATTAGTTATTGAAAATGAAATTAAAAAAGCAAAACAAACAAATAAATAAATAAGAATAATATTTTTTATTTATTTAATTCACGTAAATAAATTTTAATATAATATCTTTTATTTTTCCTACTAATTAAATTATCAAATCTAAATTAAATATCTTCTTTTCTAATTTATTCAAAATGAAAATTCTTAAAAAATTAATGATAATTATTCATACGAACATAAAATTAGTTTTAAAGATGCTAAAAAATAACAAAGAAAAATTTATTTACAGAAATTTCTCCAATTCTCAATTTTTAATCAGTAGTTTGGATAATGTTTAATAAATTCAATTATACGCATCAAATATAATTTAGATAGAAATATGGATAGACAGACCACCATATAAAAAGATAATTTATAAAAAAAATCTACTTCTGTTAGATAGCTTTATATTAAGATTTATATTTAAAAAATACATCAAAAAATAAAAATTTTTATAGAACATTTCTATTTCTTATAAAAAAGTAATAAATAATTCAGTCTTTTTTCCTTTTAAATGAATTTATAAATTTTGAAATTTATTGCTATTCATATTCATCACAATATTATCTTTATGATACATCAAATTTTAATGTTGAATAACTTATTTTTTGTGAAATATTTGATTTGTTTACATTCAAAGTTAGGGACTTACTAATTTTTATTTATGTAATTTAAATTGTGGTTATTTTGTTATATTTTATCTTATTTTTATTAAAAAATCTTTAATTTTAGTTACTGACAAATTTTATCTTATCATTGATATTTTTATATTTTTTGATTTAAATTATCTTAAAGAAGAAAATAAATAAAGTTTGAAAAATTATGACCATTATAACAGAATAAATTTTCAAAAATTAGATTCATTTATTTACAATCAAGCAAAAAAAGCTTTGTGACTTTTATTGATATTTAAAATTATAAAAATAGAATTTTGATTAAAGAAATAAATAAATTAATAAATTTATTGATACGTTAAGTTGCAAAGTCTATAGAAAATTAATTGATTCATTATTTTTAGAATGTAATGTGATATTATTTAATTGTAAACTAAATTAATAAAAAATTAACAGAATCAAAAAAGTTTTAATATCTGTAATACCTTGATTTCACGTACTAAAAATAGAGATAAATTTGATTAAAATATCAAATTAACCATAATATTTTTAATTATTCCCTATTTTAATCAATCTTACAATCATTCAGGTTTTACAGTGCTTCAGTATTTTTACTTAAATTAATAAATTTGTTATTTTCTATTCAATAAAGTATTTATTTTTTATTTTAAAAATACAATTTATTAAATGTGATTATTAGTAAGGAAAGTCTTTTTCTAAAATTGAGCAAATAATTTAACTGTTTCAATAGTTTTACTATTTAGTGCTATAAAAAATGCTTTGTGCAAATTTTATCATTTTTTATTTGATTTACTGTAAATTTATTTCAAAAATAAATAGATAAAATATTTATTAAAACATGTAAAATAAAAGAAATTAATGAAATGCTTAGTTTTATTAAAAATAAATTAACGATGACATTGAAATTGTGCATAATTAATTACTAACTTGTCAATAAATTAGTCATAATTTAGTCAAAAAATATTTTAAATGATTTAATGTAAAATATTTATGAAAAAATTTAAAGAAAGAGGGTAAAAACAATAAGAAGTATAATATTTTTGATAAAAAATAAATTAATAATTACAGTCAAGGTGCATGAATGTAGTAAGTAATATATTAATTAATCAAAATGTATTATTTGAAGTGTATTTTTATTTGGCTAGTTGATAATGATGTATTTAAATATAAATTTATTCAGAAAACTTACTTTCCGCCTAATTTAGATTTCAAACGTTTTTTTGTTTTTTTTTTGTTTTTTTTGGCAATTTTGTCTAATAAATTGTTCATTTTCTTCCAATATTCTTGATATCTTTCAACAACAAGAAGATAATTATCATTTCTATAATAAAATTTAAATGTAAATGCTCTATCGAATTCTTAAATATTTAAATAATTTGTTTGGTCTCTTATTTCTTCCTCCATTCCTATTTATATTTATTATAAATCTATCTAGTCCTTTAGGACATACATTATTTGTTCTTCTATATTGTTAGAATTAGTTGGAGTATTTTACTTTTAAAGATTATTTTTATCATTGTTAGATTTTAAAGTTTGATTCGTGGTGTATCCTTTTAGGTTTTACAGCATTTTTATTTAATTTGCTAATTTATCTACTGAAACTGAAGCACGTGTTTTTTATTTAGCCATATTTTATATATCCGTTTTACTCAGTTTTTTATTATTTCCTCTTGTAGGATTCCTTATCAGCATTTCCTAAAGCTATTGCTATAATTAATTGTTAAATTATAGGTCTCTTCCTATGCTTCTTCGTTCACTCAACCTGCTTCTCCTACTCTAAACTATTTCATTTATGCTATTATTTTTCATAGGTTTTTTATCATTTGCATTCTATTGTTGTTAATTTTAATTCACGTTAGAATTTTAAATAGGGGACTTTTCTCTGGCTGAGTGGGTAGAAATTTTTGTCAAAGAACGGATCTATTCATTATTATTCGCATTCAGCTAATTTTAGTCTTAGAATGAATTTGTTGTTGGGTTTCTTTTGTTATCTTTTTCATTCAGTACTAACCTCGATGGGACTCTGGATCTGCTTGTAATTGAAGTTAGAGAACCTACATGTGAATCATTATCTTTAAAAGGCTGTAATTCAGAAACAATTCTTTTATTGTTAGGTTGATTTTGATGATATTCTTGATTAAATACTTATGAATCAGTCGGAGGTAAAATAGTTGTGATGGGGAGCAATTATGAACCTTTGAGTTAGTTAGCTAATGAGGAATGCTCTCCAGTGACGTTGTGACTCAACTTTTTAGAATCCCCTCTAACAAATGTTTAATTAGATTTTTACTTTCTAACAATCTGAGGTATATTCTGTTCTTAGTTCTACCTTTAACCTGTTTTAGATGTTAATGTATCGTTATTAGTGACTGTGTGTGTGTATTATGACTAATCTTTATCTGATAATTAATCTGAAGAAGATATTGAGCTTTTTGATGAAGGTTATGATTCTTCCTCTCTATGGTAAGCTTCATCAATAATTGATTACTATTGATTTTAGAAAGACATCACATTTTATTCCATGATACTCTGCCTACCTGGTTGCAAAGGAACAGATGAATTAGCTGTACCTTTTTTTACCAATGATCTTGATTTTGTAACAGGAGTTCTTGAAAATTCTTAATCAGCAGAACCCATTTCATCAAACTTTTAAAAATGATTTTGATTTAAATCATGATCAGAGTAGTTTTCGTTATCTGTGTTGTATGCTTCGCTGTAATCGAAATCTTAATCTTGATCTTAGTCAGATAAATTTAAACCTTCTTCTATTTTATCAAGATATTCAAAAAAGTCAACATTATCGTTTATCTAAAATACTGCATTATGAGCTATCACCATGGTAATTAAACTATTGATCTTAATTCTACATCTAGTGAAATTACTTCTCTCTTTGTGTGGTTATGAGTAGTTGTGGCGATTAATATGCACCTATTTAGAAATAGTCAAATGGGTTTTAGGACAATTATGAGACAAGTGATTTCCTTGATTGCAAGTATAGCATCTGATCTTTTAAAATTTATAATTATCTTTCATAAGGATTGATTCTTTGGTCATTTAAAAATTTTCAAAATCATGTTCGGATTGCTTAATTATCTATTCAAAAATAACCCTTTGTAATTTAAAAAGCCTGCAAAAGTTATTAGCTTTAGCAGAATAAGCACGCTTAGATTAAAAAAGAAAACCAATTTCTCCAAAGTATTGCTATTTACCTAAAGTTTAGATCACGTTTATTTAGCTTCTAAAGTTAATTTCTGACTCAAAAACAATACTTACAGATCCTTTTGCTATGTAATACAAAGAAGAATCATCCAGTTAATCTTATTTAAAAATATATTCTCCAGGAGAAAATAAACACTCTTCCATGGATTAAGCTATTTTATTCTTTGATTCTAGTTTCTCTAAAATTGGTATATTTCTTATAAATTTACCATTCATGTCCAATATAAGATCGTCTTTCAACTGCTTGGAGAGTTTATCCATAATTTCTTTCTCCTTCGATTTTTGTACTTAATTTGATTCCTATTTAAATATAATAAGTATATAAAATTATAAATACTTTTTCAAGTTTATATTAAGAATTTTATTTAAGATTATTCAATAAACGATATTATTGTAGAAATACCTGATACAAATACTTCAAGTAATTTGAGATCTTTACCCTTAACTCCTTGTCAACTTCCTCTTCTCTCATTAATCTATGTATTACAAGCATATTTTCTGTATATTGCTTTTCTTTCTCCTCCATATTATCAATAATTTAACCTATTTTATTTAAGAAGAAAGCCCAGAAAATAGCTGTTATAAAAATGATTCCTATTGCAAACATCACTTCAATATAATTTTTTGGAGTGATATCACCATATCCGGTGGTTGTCATAGTGACTGTTAAATAGTAAAAAGAATAGCAGTATCTTACCCAAACATTAAAATCAAGTATCTGATATTACTAAAGCCACGAGTCATCTCTTTACAGATATGATATTTCGTATATAGCTAACCCATGCCACACAAGACTAAATGAGTGGCAAACGCAAAGCATAAGAAAAATTAGCTTTATCAAATCAAGTGAATTTTTCATCCCTTTTTAATAGCTTAGAAAAAAAGTAAGCTTTCCAAGATTTGCTCCAAGAGAAAACCACTTCATGGATATTAGCGAGCTCATTAGCACGGTGTTCACTTCTCTTCTAGAATATGCAACTCCACCTATCCAGAAAAAATTCATGAAGGGTATAAGACCAATTATATCAAAAAAAAAATTCCCTTTTATATATTCCTAAGCTATTAGCTTTCTTTTGTAGATAACTGTACCTTCTTAAAGAATTCCGGTGTTGAAATTAACAAGAACATCGCAGAAAAAAAGAATAAAACAAATTAAGAAGAGATTGTTGTATTCTTAAACATCAAGTTGAAAGAATATATACAAACTAAAGAGAAAAGAAACTATCATTTCTAGGATTGTCTAAATTAGATCCCATATTTGCTTAAATATGCTGTACGGAGCCAAAATCGGAATATACTTTGTATTATTGTTTAATTAAGCTACCATGTTTTTAAATGCTGTCTAGAATTTAAAAAGTCTTTTGACTTTTTTTGAAAATTAATTTTTTGTAAAAAATGAAGATAAATCTCCAATTTAGTTATGCTACTCTCTTGATAATTTTTCAATTAGTCTTGAATTTTAAGTTACTTTACGATAAAACCCTTTAACATTCACAAGCAAATTAATTGCAAGCATGAGTCTTCGAGGTTCTTTCATTTCTTAAATTTATTTAATAGATTTGCTTTCTAATTATTTCTGTATTGCTTCATCATGATTAGTTAAGTTTGAAATCACTGTTTCTCCTTTTTTTCTGTTATGGATAATCATTTAGCTGGGATTTATATCCTGACTTGCTTCGATAAATCTTTAGCTAGCTTCTATTGATGTTTTTATATGATGGATTGGCGAATTTTTAATTGACTACAAAATAGATTTAGCTTCATTTTTTATATGAGGAATTATTTCTATATTTTTTTGTATACTACGATCAGAGATAACGCTATCATCTTTTTTTCTTGAAATATCATTCAATTCTTGGTGCTCCTAAAATAATATCACAATAATTTCTATATAAAATTATCATATTAATGAATTAAATATTATACTTAAGCATTAAAAGAATGGAATGGATTTTATGGGCTAAATGAGCTTTCTTCATATTTCAAGGATTACATAGCTAAAACCTTCTCTATTCAAAACTTTAAATAGCTTTTTAATTTAAAAATGAGTATTTCAAAGCTAAAACTCAGTGAATTTCTTTTATTCTACTTATTATTAATATTCTGGAGTTATTTAGTTAATTAATTTATTTAAAAGTAGAAATAATAAATAATTTTTAACAAACTAAAAAAAGTAGCCGTAATCTATATGAATAAATTTATTTATTGTTTAGACATCAAAATAATTAACATAATTCCTTAATAAATATAAATACAAGCCACATATATATATACTTGCAAAATTTTTCTCAAAGCCATTTAATAAGCATACATATATTTATGTGCTAATTTCACAAAATAATTTATATTTATTAATTTATAGTCTCTCTACAACTTAAGTTAGACTTAATTATATGTTTCCCTTAATATGCATTAGGTTAAAAAAATCAAAAAAGTTTATGATTTAAACTGTTGGCATATTAAAAAATATATAAAGAAAAAAAAGTATACATATTGTTATGGAAATTAAATAATAGCTAAATAATTTCTAAATTTGTCAAACTGTTTTTTTAAACATAAAAAAAATATCTCAATTTTTAAAGATTTATAAAAGTGATTTTTTATTTTTATTTATATGTTTTTTATTGTTTGTTTATTATTTATTTCTTCATATTTCATTTAAAACAATACTAAATACATGCTAAAAAATAAGATTTTTTAAAAATTAGCTTACAATTATAAAAACAATCCTTTACTCAAAGATTATTTTATTTGTTATATTAATAAATGGTGCTTCAAAGGAGTTCTACAGAATCTCCTGGATACCAAAATACTACACATGGGTAAAGTTTATTCCAGCAGATGGATTCAAAACTCAAATTATAGGGATTTTAGAAATCATTATTTTTGTAGAAAATTATGAAATTTTTAAAAGGATCAAATCTACAAGTTATAATATCATTTTTGCTAAAACGAAGATTAGTTCTCTAAGGTTAGTTTTTATGGCCAAATGCCCATCCGTGTGTTGTAATTAAATAGCATCCATGATCATTTGTTTTTTTTTGGCCTTCATGATGAGTAAATGAGAATTCATTGTTTGTTAGTTTGAATTATTGCTTTTTGATATCATTTACATGACAAACTCCAAATCCAATCCAGTGAGGTAACTATCTAGCAATTTTAAAGCTCCATTATTTAATACTTGGCGTAGCTGTTTCTAGCTCTGGTAAAACTAGTTAGACACGATAATGTAATCTTTCATTATTCCCTTCGTAATTACCGTTAATAATTACTCTCCTTTGCAAAACTATGTTAGGATCACGCATTGTCTTGCTGAATTCGAAACGCTAAGTCAAGATATTGCTAGATTTAGAAGTATGAGACATAAAAGATGTTTATAATAAACTCTAAGGTTCGTCTACTGGAATGTTATTAAAAGAGTCTCCACTCCCTTGCAACCCTCCTTTTTTGTTTACATAATCTGGATCATAAATAGTATTTTTGTGATGTACGATATTTTCCTAAAGAGCAGAATGATTATTTAAGGCAGCCACTGCTGAGTTATTTAAGGTTGGGTGTACACTAAAGCTTTCATTGCAATTAATTGTGAAGTTTGCTACTAATTTTTCTTTATCTTAAAGTAAATCTTCACAGCTTTTTTAAAGATTAACTAGTAATTTTGTCAAGTTTTCATGTTTAATTCCAATATCTTATAAGGTGTTTTCTGCTATTGCTTCATTTAAAATGTCTACTCCGAAATTATTTGCATTACCACTATCAATGTGCGTATTATTCATAATGTTTCTTATTTCCGCTTACAGATGCTCCTTTGTCTTACAACTCATTAGATTATCAATTCCCTCAAGAACATCTTTTTATGAAAATCTAATAACTTATTTTATTTAATGCTCCTAAAGAGTTTCATAGAGAAAAATAATCTCTTATTCAATTTCATCTAATCTCTAGGATATCTTTTATCTTATTTCTTTTACACGCTACAAGGACTCTGCTCTTAAATTTGCCAGTTTGCTGCTTAATTTTTTCGGTGAGTCTTTTTTATCGTTCAAGCATGCTATTATATCGTGTATCAGAAGTTTTAGTGGGACTTATTCGTGAAACTAGTGATCAGTTTAGCTACAAATAGAACATAACAAAAATTAGTTATTATCAAGACAATTTCTATCAACACATACCATAGTTAGAGGCTAATCATGTTGAGCGTGTATTGAGTTGCCTTTTCCTTTAGTGCACATGATTGCAGGAAGCTAAAAAGCTACATACTTAGGTCCGTTATTTTCATATTCATTTTCTTAAATAAGATTATTCATGCTATTTCTTTAAACATTTAATTCTTAAAGAGGTGATCTTGATTAATTTTAAAAGCTTTAATTCATTTAAGGAGTAATCCTTGATGATTAACTTTAGTTTTAAGCTACTAAATAATTTGGATAATTCACTTGGACGGTTCCATTTGCCCCTGAATATTCCATTTAAAAACTATTATCACCTGTCCATTAATTTTATGAATGCTATTGGCTTGGAAGATCTTGAAGACTTATTGGCTAATTTCTAAAATAAGGGTACTAGCTATCTACAGTTAGCTATTGATTCATGGTTAAAAATAAAATCTAATACCTTTATGTGTTGTATTGAAAATTTTAAAGCTTACTTTGTTTAAAATTATAATTTCTCTAATAACTGACTAACTAACTAACTATAAATGTAGTAATTTAAAAAATCTACTGATTTAAAATTAATTATCAATCTATTTATAACTATCCATACAATAAATAATGTTGATTTAAGATATTTTAAATAAGATTTATTAATACTGAATTTTTTATAACCTTTTATTTATTAAAATTTATTTATTTATTTATTAAAACTTTTCATTTAAAAACTCTTGTGAATTATTTATTTATTTATTTACAAATTTTTCATCATCCAATTTTCTAAAGTTTTAATATTTATTTATTTATCTCATACAATATTTATTGTTTTTGATTAGCTGCATATATTATTTTTAATCTTTCATTATTAATTATAACATTTATTTCAAATTATATTTATTAATTTTTTTGTTAAATTAATTTTAAAATCAAAGAAAATATAATAATTTTAATTGATAAATTTATTACAATAAAATATTACTTTGATTATTTTTAATTATTTTGCTAAATTAACTAATACAATCTAGAATTAATTCAACAAAATTGTTGGTTATACATGAAAAAAGAAATAGATATAATATTTAATTATAAATAAATATTAAAATTCCTTTTGGTAAATTATTATTTTAATAATTCTTAGATAAATATTTAAAAATTGGATGATCAATTTTAGTTAAATGATAAATTGGAAAAAGCTAATTTATTAAAGTAAAAAGAATATAATTTGCAAGAATCTTTGAAATAGGCTATCATCTGACTGTTTTTTACATCTATATTTAATTACTTTATATAAAATTGCATTTCAGAATCAAACATTTTATCCATTTTAAGATTACAGATATTGTGCTGAAGTGAATCATAGTCTATTGGATTTTGTCCATTAATATCTTGATTAAATACTATATACCTTACTGATGAATTTGAATTAGCCATGAGGCTGTATTTGTTATATGGACAAGGAATTATGCAACTTGCAGCTACGTATGACATATACACAGTATATTTTTTAACTAATTCATATTTTTCTTCTCCTTCTATTATTTATTATTATATCTCCCATATATTGAGATAATAATCTTCGCTAGTAGAAACTATACTATTTTAATTAATAAATTTTACACATAGAACATTCATACTATGAGCTCTTATTTAATTTGCTTTTTACTATAAGTTATGATTATACACATAGATATCCCAGTATGACCCAATAACAAATAGGTCTTTTTAAACATCTATAGTGAACACAGGAGAAGAGAAAGAGGTCTTGGCTTAATGGATAACTTTAAAAGTTCTTTTGCAAATAGTTCTGACTTAATTTGTACCAAAGAGAAGTAGACAATTTGTGTTCAATTTTTCTATTTAATTAACATTACTAACTATTTTTAAAACATGTCCTCTCTTGTAATCTAATAAAATCAACTTTAAATCAATTAATATTATTGCCACCAAATCAGTGCCGCTTATGTGTTTCCCATAAAGAATTTATTTCTAGAAAATGTTAGGATTTTAAAGAAAAACTACAGATTTTGGCTATTTGATATCTTTAGGATAAAAAATTTCTACTTATTTATTATTAATATGAATGGTTTATCCACTATCTTTCACAAATAACTTAACGCAAATTTCGCATTAACTTATTTGCTACCTTTCTTTTTTATCAAATTATAACAAGTCTTTGAACTTGGTCCATATCTTATCCATTTTATTTACAAAACTCTTAAAAAAACTAGTGCAAGTCACTTTTGATTGATTAAGTTTCTAATTTAATTACTTTAAAAAATAATTTATTATAAAAAGTTGATTGAGTTCTAAAACATTCTTTTTTATAGTAAAATCTAATCTGTAAACTTCAAGAGTAAAATTTTTTTGTAACCATTAACTGTAAAAGAACCAAGTTAGAATTTATAATTTTGTATGTTTGTTTTATTCATAATTATTTTAATTATTAAAAAATTGATCTTATGATATTATTTTAGTTGGTATATTAAATGGAAAAATGAATACTTTTTAACTTATAAATATATAATTGATTAATTATTTATTATGGCTGGATTAAAATATTAATTTAATAAATTTATATTCAAAATATTAAAATTCTTAATTTATTAATCATTCTCTAAAATTAATAGACTTAAAATTCTTTTTAATATGTATCCTCAATCAATTAGAAGAATAGATAATAATTATTATTAAATATAGATAACTAAAATTTCAAAATGCAATAACATATATTTATTTATATAAATATTTCTATTAAACACAAAATTTTACATTTTTATCTCTTTTGTATACATTAATAATAAAGAGCATTAATTAATTATACATGTCCTTTTTATTCAAAGAAATTGTTTTTATAAAAAAATTATATTCAAGTTATTTAGATGATATTAATTATTTTTTTAAAATATTTTTAATATTTGTTACAAAATCAATTAATTAAAATAATAAATCCTAGTTATAATTAAAAATATTAACAATCAAATGGAGTTTAATTTTTATTGAAAAATATTTATAAAAATTTTTTATTCAGCACAAAAATTTATTATTTTTATTTATTTTTGTTAATTAATTTATACAAAAATAAAAAGAGCATTCATTAATTTATTAATATTACATGTACTTTTTATGTGAATAAATTGTTTTTATAAAAAATTTAAATTCAAAGTATTTTAGATGATATTAATTATTATTGTTAAATAAATAGACTAAAAATCAAATAATTATTTTTAATATTTATTACTAAATCAATTAATTAAAAGAATAAATCCTAGATAAAATTAAAAATATTAATAATCGAAAGGAGTTCAATTTTTATTGTAAAATATTTTTTTTGAGCACAAAAATTTACTATTTTTATCTATTTTTGTATTACATTAACAAATATAAATATAGCATTAGTTAATTAAATTTACATGTACTCTTTATGTAGAGCTTTATTTTTTATAAAAAATTTATTTAAAAATGTATCTTTCCTTCATACTCTTGGGAAGATCAAGAAGTTGTACTAACTCTTCCTAAAAACTCTTCATCTATTTCACTCTGGAAATGTTGATTGCGGTGAGTTACAATTTTTATTATTTAATAAATAGAAACAACGAACCCATATACAACAAAGGTTAAAGTTATAAAAAATGATGAACAGTTAGAGTAATCTGTTAGTTCTTCTTAGTATTTTTGTAAATAGTAAGCAGTCACACTGCTCCAAACTAAAATAGGAATAACAAAAGAGTAACCTATCCATGTCAAAGCTTTGTTTCTTAAGGACTTTCCTAAATAACTGACTATCCTTCTCAGTAGATGTATTATATAAATGCAAATTAGAAAAACATTAAAATTGCTACCGCAGTTATAATTATCCCAATGCGATACTAAATGGACCATAAGCTAATACAAAATAACAAACCACAGAAAATCTCTCGTTTTTAAAGGACTCTTGCTTTTAATTTCAGTCTCAATCATTAGCTATTTAACTAGAATTATTAGATGATAATTTAATAATATTATATTATATTTATCTTTTATTAGTACTAAAAATAAAGATAGTGCTTTTTTCTTATTTTTACAATTAAAATTTGTAAAGTCTTTTTTTGATTTGTTTTCTCCTTTAGCTTTTTTGGATTTTATTAGTTTACATTTTTCAGTTAATAAACAAGTAGTTTATAATCTTTTTTGCTTATCAGGAAATTACCATTCCTAAACAGTGAATAGAGAAGACTTAATTTATTTTTAACAAATTATAAAAATGAGGATTGATTCACCCATTTTATTTTATTTTCTCGTTTAAATTTAAAAATTAAGGAAGTAACAAAAAAAGGTCTCTTGGATCAGGCAAATTATCAAAATTAATTCCAGTTATTATATTCTAATTAAAAGATATGTGGTGCGGAATAATTTTTTATGGTAGGCTAATAACATGATATTCAATAATCAATTAATCTGTAAAGAAGTATAAAATTTTTATAAATTAAATTCAAAAGATAAAAATACTTGAAAAGAAAGTAAAGTAAAAGGTTATTTGTGAAAGATTTATTTATGAGTTTGAATAAGGAACATTAGGAAATTTGTTTTAAGCTATTAATTATAGGTAACTCAACAGTTGGAAAGACATGTCTATTGCTGAGATATTGCAATAATAAATTTTCATATAGCCACATACTCACAGTAGGTATTGTATTTATTGATTATTTTAAATTAAAAAAATAATGATCTAATTCAAAAATATATCAACATGTAAGTAAATACTTTGTTAATAAATAGGGGTAGATTTTTAAATAAAAAGACTTGAAATGAATGGAAAGAAGCTTAAACTGTCTATTTGGGATACAGCTGGTTAGGAAAAATGGAGAACTATTACTACAAATTATTACAAAGGATCTGATGGTATTGTTGTAGCATATTCAGTAGAAGATTAAGAATCTTTTGACAAAGTAGGAAGCTGGATTGAAAGTATAAAAGAAAATTGCGATAATGTTAATATATCTATTTTATTAGTTGGAAATAAATCAGATTCAAAACAAAGAGTAGTTACATATGAATAGGGTAAAAAGCTTGCTGAGTAATATAATATTCCTTTTTAGGAAACTAGTGCTCTTGATAATATTAATGTGACCGAATCTTTTAATTAACTTGCTAAAATGTGCTTAGATTAGCATGAAATAATAAGCTCTAAAAAAAAGAACCAGAAATCTTCATCAAACGATATTGATGAGCAAATAACTGGCCCTTCTTAATCTAAAAAGTTAACTTCAAAGAAAAAAGATGAAAACGGAGAAAGTAAAAAAAATTGTTGTTGAAAAGTCTAGCTTTTTAAACTGAAACTTTCACACCTATTCAACTATTTACCCATCAATCTATCTTCTATATTTTAACAAAGCATATAAACAAATAAATAAATCTAAAAATCAATTTAATATAAAAAATTGTTAATTACCACAAATTTATATAAATAATTAATTTCATTTATTATTTTATTAATATTCTAATATTATATGATCATTAAAAAACTATAAAATTAACTATTAATCTATCAGATAGTTAGAATAAATTCATTTATTAATGTTTATATTCATTTTAAAATACTTCATTATCAATAAATCCAATAAAAAAAATATTAAGTTACATCAAAATTTTATATCATATTTTATTTTATACAGTTTTATAAAATTCAATAATGTCCAAAAAAGACCAAATTTTATTGTTCAAAAAACTGAATTTTCTCATTTATTTTAAATTTTCTTTAAATTTTAAAAATAAAATATTATTCAAAAAAATATTTATTTCCCATTAGAGAAATAATTATCAGAGAATAGTATAACTAAATGAGCCATAAGCTAATACAAAATAAGTCACATTCATTAGCAATTTAACTATAATTATAAGATAATAGTTTAATAATATTAATTGATATTTATCTTTTATTAATATTAAAAATAAGGATAGTAATTTTTACTTATTTTTACAATTAATATTTGTAAGTCTTTTTTGTTTTATTTTCTCCATATGTTTTTTTTGGATTTTATTAGTCTAAATTATTCAGTTAATAACAAATAGTTTGTAATCTTTTTGCTTATCATGAAATTAGCATTAATAAATAGTGAATAGAGAAGACTTAATTTATTTTTAACAAATAATAAAAAATAAGGATTCATTCATCCATTTTATTTTAAGATTTATTTTTATTTTCTCATATAAATTTAAAAATTAAGAAATTAATAAAAAAAGGTCTGTTGATCTTTTTGCTTATCATGAAATTAACATTAATAAATAGTGAATAGAGAAGACTTAATTTATTTTTAACAAATTGTAAAAAATAAGGATTCATTCATCCATTTTATTTTAAGATTTATTTTACTGGAATTAATTTTGTAATTTATATTATCGAATAGACCTTTTTTTATTAATTTCTTAATGTTTAAATTATATGAGAAAATATTCTAATTTCAAGATATGTGGTGCTGAATAAATTTTTATGGTATGATACTAACATGATATTCAATAATCAATTAACCTGTAAAGAAGTATTAAATTTTTATAAATTAAAACTCAAAAGATAAAAATACTTGAAAAAAAAGTAGAGTAAAAGGTTATTTGTGAAAAGTTTATTAATGAGTTTGAATAAGGAACATTAGGAAATTTGTTTTAAGCTATTAATTATAGGCAACTAAGCAGTTGGAAAGACATGTCTATTGCTGAGATATTGGAAAAGTAAATTTCCAAATAGTAACATAACCACATAGGGTATTGTATTTATTGATTATTTTAAAATTAAAAAAATAATGATCTAATTGAAAAAAATATAAACATGTAAGTAAATTTTGTTAATAAAAAGGTATAGATTATTATATAAAAAAACTTGAAATTAATAAAAAAAAGCTTAAATTGTATATTTGGGATACAGCTGGTTCGGAAAGATTTAGAACCATTACTTCAAATTATTTCAAAGCAGCTCATGGTATTTTAGTAGCCTATTCAGTAGAAGACTAAGAATCGTTTGAGAAAGTAGGAAGCTGGATTTAATGCATAAAAGAAAAATGCGATAATGCTAATATATCTATATTATTAGTTGGAAATAAATCTGATTCAAAACAAAGAGTAGTTTCATTAGAATAGGGTGAAAAGCTTGCTGAGTAATATAATATTCCTTTTTAGGAAACTAGTGCTCTTGATAATATTAATGTGAGCGAATCTTTTGATTAACTTGCTATAATGTGCTTAGATTAGTATGAGATAAAAAGTTCTACTATTTCTCCTTAGTCTAATATTCCAAAGAAAAAATAAGAAAATGGAGAAACTAAAAAAAATTGTTGTTGAAAAGTTTAGCTTTTTAAACTAAAATTTTCACACCTATCCAACTACTCATCCATCAATCTATCTTCTATATTTAACAAAGCAGATAAATAAGTCTAAAAAACAATTTTATATAAAATATTGCTAATTACAACAAATTTAAAAAAATAATTTTCATTTATTATTTTATTAATATTATAATGTTATATTATCATTAAAAAACAGTGTAATTAACTATTAATCAATTTTATTGTAATTTGAATTCATTTATTAATGTTTATATTCATTTTAAAATACTTGATTATCAATAAACCCAATAAATAAATTAAGAAGTTACATCAAATTTTAAATCATATACTGTTTATACAGTTTTATAAAATTTAATTAGGTCAAAAAAAAAACAAACCAAAATTTGAAGTTCAAAAAACCTAATCTTTGATTAAAACCTTTTTATTTTTTTGTTTGTTCAGGTTCGAAACCTATTTATATACCTTTTTTTATGATTATAAATTTTCTTTAAATTTTTAAAATAAAATATTATTCAAAAAAATATTTATTTCCTACTAGAGAAATAATTATCAGAGAATAGTATAACTAAATGAGCAATAAGCTAATACAAAATAACAAACCACAGAAAATCTCTTGTTTTTAATTTCAGTCTCAATCATTAGCCATTTAACTATAATTATAAGATAATAATTTAGTAATATTAATTGATATTTATCTTTTATTAATATTAAAAATAAGGATAGTACTTTTTACTTATTTTTATAATTAATATTTGTAAGTCTTTTTTGTTTTATTTTCTCCTATAGTTTTTTTGGATTTTATTAGTCTAAATTATTCAGTTAATAACAAATAGTTTGTAATCTTTTTGCTTATCATGAAATTAGTATTAATAAATAGTGAATAGAGAAGACTTAATTTATTTTTAACAAATTTTAAAAAATAAGTATACATTCATCCATTTTATTTTAAGATTTATTTTACTGGAATTAATTTTGTAATTTGCATTATCAAACAGACCTTTTTTTATTAATTTCTTAATGTTTAAATTATATGAGAAAATATTCTAATTTCAAGATATGTGGTGCGGAATAAATTTTTATGGTATGATACTAACATGATATTCAATAATCAATTAACCTGTAAAGAAGTATTAAATTTTTATAAATTAAAATTCAAAAAATAAATATACTTGAAAAGAAAGTAAAGTAAAAGGTTATTTGTGAAAAATTGATTTATGAGTTAGAATAAGGATGATTAGCAAATTTATTTTAAAATATTAATGATAGGCAACTCAGCAGTTGGAAATACATGTCTATTGGTGAGATATTGCAATAGTGAATTTCCAAATAGTAGCATAATCACATTGGGTATTGTATTTATTGATTATTTTAAAATTAAAAAAATAATGATCTAATTCAAAAAAATATAAACATGTAAAAGTAAATTTCTTTGTTAATAAAAAGGTATAGATTTAAAAATAAAAAAACTTGAAATTAATAAAAAAAAGCTTAATTTGCATATTTTGGATACAGCTAGTTAGGATAAATTTAGAACCATTACTCCAAATTATTTCAAAGCAGCTCATGGTATTTTAGTAGCCTATTCAGTAGAAGACTAAGAATCGTTTGAGAAAGTAGGAAGCTGGATTTAATGCATAAAAGAAAATTTCGATAATGCTAATATATCTATATTATTAGTTGGAAATAAATCTGATTCAAAACAAAGAGTAGTTTCATTAGAATAGGGTGAAAAGCTTGCTGAGTAATATAATATTCCTTTTTAGGAAACTAGTGCTCTTAATAATATTAATGTGAGCGAATCTTTTTATTAACTTGCTAAAATGTGCTTAGATTAGTATGAGATAAAAAGTTCTACTAGGTCTCCTTAATCTATTGTACCAAAGAAAAAATAAGAAAATGGAGAAACTAAAAAAAATTGTTGTTGAAAAGTTTAGCTTTTTTAAACTAAAATTTTCACGCCTATCCAACTATTCATCCATCAATCTATCTTCTATATTTAACAAAGCAGATAAATAAGTCTAAAAAACAATTTAATATAAAATATTGCTAATTACTACAAATTTAAATGAATAATTAATTTCATTTATTCTAAATAATATTATATTATCATTAAAAAACAGTGTAATTAACTATTAATCAATTTTATTGTTATTTAAATTCATTTTTTAATGTTTATATTCATTTTAAAATACTTCATTATCAATAAACCCAATAAACAAATTATGAAGTTACATCAAATTTTATATCATATACAGTTTATACAGTTTTATTAAATTCAATTAGGTTCAAAAAAAAAAAACCAAAATTTGATTAAAATTTAGTATTGTTAAGTTATCTTTCTGAATTTTATAAGGACATATAATCATAGTTATGCGTTATTTATTAATTAAATGCACAATATTTTAGGAAGTATATAATAATTAAATGAAAAAATATTATATGTAATCTGATTCAATAAAATATATACAAAATAATATTTAGTACAAGAATATACTATCTTTATTTAAGTGATTAAAAGAGTTTAGATAAATAATACAATTTTTCCATTTAATTGTTAATATTCATTGATATAAATTAAGTATGTCTGGAGTTATTTATTGTAGCTTAAGAATTCAACATTAAATAATTTATTTGTTTGTGATTTCAATTTTATGTTTCATTTCTTTCTTTATTAGTATTGCTTTGTTGCCAAATTTATAGATATTTGATTGAATTTTGTAATTCATTTTGTAGTTATAAGTTATTGTTTTCAAATTCAAGCTGCTGTTTTAACCTTTTTGGCTTTCTTTATGACAGGGGCTTTAGAGATTGCTGTGACTTCTTCATTCAAATCAAACTCTTTAAAAATATTATTTAAATATAAGATCGTAATATCAAAAAAAAAATTTACCTTTGATCAAGTTGTTGTTTGTATTGATAATTACAGATTTTTTATGAGAGCAGCCATTTGTTTTTTCTTTTAAAAGATTTTATTTAAATTTGCTTGTTAAGTTATTAAAGTATTTAATTTTTTAAGGATCTGAAAGAAAATGATATTCAGGTAAGCTGTTATAGACATTTTATAATCCATTAATTCTGAGAGGATTATTAGTAACTTCCTAAATGTCATATCCCTCAAAATCATCTTCACAGTAAAAATCATCATCCATATCATCGACCTCAATGTCTTCAGCAGTACCTTTAATTAACATCTGCAATTCTTCTTCATCTAATTCATCTTCATCATCTTCCAAATCACCGTTTTTGCCTAATATAGCTTTTAATTATTCCTCAGTAAGTTCCATTTCTTCTTCATCGCAATCTTCTTCTTCATCCTCTTCTTCGTCATCTTCTTCATCTTCTTCTCCTTAGAAATCTTCATCGTCTTCGTCTTCATCATCTTCCTCTCCTTCTTCATCTTAAAAATCTTCTTCTTCATCGTCTTCTTCATCATCCCAATCTTCTTCATTTTATTCAGGTTCCTATACTTGTTTCTTAGCATTTTTAGAAAGCTTTTCACCATTTTTTTCCTATTTTAATAGCTTTTGTTCCATTTAATTGAGTTTTTTTTCTTCTTATAAAAGTTTCTTTTCTTCCTCATCTATCATTTGCTATAATTTTTCTTACTTTTTAAGCTCTTTCTTTTGCTATTTAGTTAACTTTTCTTCATTTTTAGTATTTGCTGAACTTTTGTTTTCTTTTTATTCTTCATTTTTTTTATTTGACTCAGTCACCTTTTACTATTTATTATCAACTGATTTTGCAGATGTATCATTGAGTTTTTACTTTTTTTATTTGTTTTACTCTTCATTTTCTAAATCAGCCTTCTTGTTAACTTTTTCTTCTTTTTTATTTGATTGTTTTTCATCTTTATTTTTCTTTTATGAAGGTTCTTTGGCTTTCTTTTTAAGTTCTTTTTCTGCATTAACCTTTTATCTATTTTCTTCCTTTTCTTTAATGTACTTGTTATATCTTTCATCTTCTTCATCTAATTAAACATTAGCATCTATAAGCTCGACTATTTCATAAATTTCCTTTCTTGAGACATCATCAGTTTTCCTAATTATATATAAGAAGCATTTAATATTTATATTTAAGTTAGTCTAATTATCTATTACTTCTTTTTTGCTATGTCAAATAACTTTTCACGATAAGCTTTCAAGTTAAAATTTTAATATAGCTAAGATGAATTCTTCAATTCTATTATTTTTTCGAAAATGCATTCCTTTATTTTTTATCTAAGTCCCTTGCAAGAATTAGGATTGAGCTATTTCAAGAAGATATCAAGAAACAAACAAACTTAATCATGTTTTGCACTAGTAAAATGACTCAAAACTTCTGGGAATATTTGCATAATATGTAGAGCTAATCCACTTACTGATTAAAAATTAATTAGAATTTTAAATATTGACAAATTAATCAAAAATTTATCTATTTATTTTTATATCTATCTATCAATGTAACTAATAAACAATCAATTAATTTAACTCACAAGCACTTTGTGAATAAACTGTTTGATACTTTAAATAAATTTAATTCCTAAATAGTAAGCCTTCTACTAATTTGCTTTTTAATTTGGCTTTTTATGAGAAATAGTTTATTTTAATACATTTTTAAGCTATTTAGGAGAATAATCTAAGGAGTAAATTTACTTTAAAAAGATAGACAGATTTATTAATAGATAAATTTTTAAGTCAAAATGATCAAAATATGAAAATTCTTACCTGTTTGAGTTTGTTCAACGTAGAATTCATCATGAACAGATTTGCTGAATTATCTGACATACTAATTATTATTTTTTAAATAAGGATTAAAATCTATGTGCTTTTTATTTGAGAATTAAATTGAGTAGAATTAGTAATTAATCAATAATTACATCAGTATTATAGCCTTTCTTCCTTAAATATCTGATAAAGGCAGTTATAACTTTTCTCATTAAGGAGGAGAACTTATTTACTCTCCAGTAATCAATTTTAGCCCATTCCTTATTCATTATATTGAAACAAGCTTAAAACCACATGTTAATGGCTTCAAATTTTTGTTTATTGACACTAAAAATAAGATTAGCCAATTCATCAGCTAGAGCTTATTAAACAGGAACTTTATCACTTGCCCACATAGCTATTTTATTATAAAGTAAAGAATTTTTACTTAAATTTCTAATGTAAACTATTTTTAAGATATAAACATACCAAAGAAGATTCCTTTCCAGATTTAACGATATCCATCTTTATCAAGCTTTTATGAATCTAAATATGATTTAACTTCTTCAATCACTTCTTTTGTGTTAGCAGGAACTATTTTGTTTAAAAAAAAAGAGTTTAGTGTTTTCCAAATTCATTTATTTATCTATTTTCGTACCAATAGCTGATAGCTTTTTAGCAATAATTGCAGGAGTGATTGCATTAGTGTTAGAAGCGCTATTGTTATTGGAATTGTTTTCTGTGGATATACTCATCTATAATGTTGTTTATTTATAAGTTCCTAAAGATTTATTAATTTTGTTATTTGCAAAACTATTTCTTTTTTGACTATTAATTTATTTTCTTTTCTTCAAAAAATTATAATTTCTTAATTTTGCTTGTTTATTTATTTATTTTGTTAATTGCTTTGTTTGTCTTTGCTTTGTTTTGCTTTTTCAAATCATCATTAGTTATTTCTATCTATCTATGAATATTCTTCTCTTATACTGTTTTTAGGTAGGCTTTTCCCAAATAATAAAATAAAATTTCATTATTCAATTAAATCTTTTTGGCTTTTAAATTTTTTAACTCTCTTTCTGCCTATATCAAAATACTATTAAATTATAGAACTATTTGAGCAAATAATTAAATCTAATTTTTTGTATTGCTAGCAACTAAACTAAACTGATATTTGCATATCATGATTTATAAAAAGTACTGAACATTATTTTTTTACAAAAGATGATTTGAAATTGAAAAATTCTTCAATTAACGATTTTATGATAAAAAAATAATTTACTTTTACTTTCAAAATAGTTAAGTAGGGTTTTTTAAAATATTCATTCATATTAATATACAGTTTTTAAAGCATTTGATTAAAAAATAACAGAAATATCTTTTAATAATATTAAATATCAATTAAATTAAGTCAAAAAAACTTTGAAATAAATTAAATAAAACTGGATTTAGATTATAAAATATTTAATTACACAAAAAAGGTAAAAAAGATTTAAAATTATTTTTAAAAATAAAACAAACTTTAGTAAATTTTTTACTTTGAAAAAGCACTAAATTATAATAAATCAAAGAATTTTATTTATTATTTTACAATTTTTTTAAAAATAAAGTAAATATCTCAAATAAATAAAACTTTTTAGTAATAAATTTCAATTAAATCTATAAATCATAATAAAGAAATAGTAAAAAATACCTTTTCAATATCTAGATATATTTTAAAGAAGACCAATTCCAAAGATCTTTTAAAAAGATCATATGTGATACTCATTGAATAAGATAAAATATAGAGTAATAATTATTATAAAGCTAACATGAATAAAAAGTAGACATTTTTCATAAAAATTTAAAAACTAATAATGTGTAATTAATTAATTGGCTCTCAAACTACAAAGAGTCTTTTGAAAAATGATAAAAAAATTATTTTAACAAAAATGATAAATTCAAATTTACAAATTATACAAATTAATAAGAAAATGCTTTTTAATGAGACCGCCTAGAAATTTCATTTCTGCATTTAAAGAAACGCCCTAAATAGAAGACCTCCTTAAATTAAGCAAATTCTTATTATGAGTAAATGCAATACAAGCAAAATATTATTATAAATTATGTAGGGTTAAGCTATATAGTGCCTAACTCACTTTAAAGGTGGTTGAATTTTGAGAGCTCACAAATTATTTGCTAAAATGCTTCTAACATTTATTTAGGAGTCTATTGTCGTTCTTGGAGTTTCTAAGTATTTTATTTTTCTTTTCAACGATGTGAATTTATTAATTTGCACAGATTTAAATGAAATATTTAATCTCATACAATTTTTCAGAAGCATTACTTTTATTTTTAAAAGCATATTTTAGAAATTTAATTTGAAAACTCTTTAAATTTTTGGGGGTTTTGTTTAAATATGCAATTAGTTTTCTGATTGCATACTTCTTATTTAGAGATTAAAGGTTTAGGAAATCACATTATTGAGAATTCCTCTTCAATCTCATTTGAGTTGAAGCTGTTATCTTAGGTAGATACATCTTAACTATTTTTTCGCCTCTGTTTTAAAAAAATTTTATATTTTAATTAAACAATTCAGTTTTAAATAAATCATACACTGTCTACAACTAGTTTTGCCTTCGGATTTGGTAGTAGCTAATCTATTTCATCAAAGAAGTGGTTACTCGAATCTTATGTACTTGGACTTTATTCATTGAACATCTTGAGTTATTAAGCATCAAGATAATCAGAACTCCCCTTAATATTCAAGTCACCGAGAAGTAAACAAGAATCTTAGTAATTTCATATATTAATAAATAAATAATTATTTATTTATTGAATAAGCTAAAAAATATTTACCTCCAGAAAGCGAAAGATTATTTGAATATTGCATCCGTTGATCGATTTAGAAGTTTTGTTAAAATCCTTATGGTACTTTTTAAAGATAAGTCAAAGATAAAATAAATGAAAATAAAATAACTTACGAGATAGTTAAAATTCATCGTAAGGAATAGGAGAGCTCTTAAATTAATAGTGCAGGCTTTCGCCTAATGTAGCCACTTCATAGGTTTACTCTAGTAGTATAAAAATGGTTAAAAAGAATGAAAATAAAGTATAAAAAATACTTACCTTATATATCAATATTTAAACCAAAATTAAAGTCGTATTATTGATCTCGTACCTAAGTGTTTCTAATTATAAAACTTATTATTATTTTATTCTATTTGAAAGTAAAATATACTCAAAAGATTATAAGTTGTAAGATTCATCTTCACTGTTAGTATTGTAGTTGCAATCAAATAAAAATTCTTCTTAGCTGCTAAAAGGTCGGTTGAATATATTGATTTGATCAAAAAGCCTTTTTTTAAATAAATTTTAAATTGTAATTTCTTTAAAGAAGTTAAATTGATTTAAATTAAATATTTGAATTCACTGCATAGCAAGCAAGTAAGCAAAGCAATCCTAAATTAAAAAAAATATTTAAAGAAAAATAAAAGTATAGCTAGCTAGCTTCATTCTGATTAACTAAGTGCAACAATAATTTAAGAACTCTCTTATCAATAAGGGAAGGTTTGTAAATTACTGTTCTTCTATCATCAATCATACATAACTATCTACCTACCTACTTTCTAAAATGTTAAAAGAGATAAGTAAATATTTTGATTGAATTTAAAATATAAAAATGATTTAATCTCACCTATCATAATCAACTTTTATATAAGGAATTCATAACTCAATCACTTTAAATAATTTATTATATTTTCTATATACTCTATAAAGCCTATCTACAAATCATCACCTGAAGTTCAAAAATGATATATTTCAAATTATTTATGAAATTATTAAATTTTATAGCGTAAAATTAGCAATTTATTCCAAAAGCAAAATATTATTTTTATTTTTAAAATTTCAATTATATGTTTTGGATTGGATTGGATTAAAAAAGCCATCCCTTTTAAAAATGAATTTTTTAATAAAATATTTTCAAACTAACTCACTGATTGATCTTAATTTGATATTAAAAAAATAAAAATATATTTGAATAATGTTTTTAGATTTCTTTTAATCTTTTCAAATTTGAAATTATTCATCATAAAAACATCTTGTATCATCTTCATCATAATTATCATCATCATTACATCTTCTTCTTGAATGTGTTTGCATATTAATAAAATATTTGCCTAAATAAAGGCTCTCATTCATTCATTTAATAATAGTTAATAATTAATTTTGGTACAAAACTAGGCAGCATATATAAAGAAAAAGAGAGACAGGAGTACAAAACAAAGATGAAAGGGTAAAAATGAACAAACATAAATAAATAAAAATGATAGAAAAATAGAGAGCTGTAAATGTAAACAAAAGAAAAAATTTTTTTTTTAAAAAGATGATGAAGAAGAAGATAGGAGTAAAATTAGAATGTTCGTGATTTCCTATTTAATCCTATCCCAACCCTTAGCCTAAGTCTTGGAGTGTGGAATAGAAAATAAATAGACGAACACTACAAACATATAAGCTTCTCAGTTTGGGGGATCTGAGGTGCCAGAGTTATATGAAGGTGGATAGAATGATCATATATGAATGATTTTCTATACAATAAACATAACTTTGTTTAAGTTTAATACAATTATGCATAATTTAGATATTTTACACACTAAAAGACTTTGGCTTGAAAAAGGTGTTATATAAGTAGTGATAGTTTAACTAGGAAAATTTAAAAAAGGATTGAAAATTATCATACTTCTAATTTAATATAGTAGTAGTGTTTTCTATTGCGATGGTATATTTATAGTTTAATTGATGTGTTTGGTTATATTATTTTTAATCTTTGTTTACTTATAAGTTAGAGTTTGTTTGTTTGTATATTTATTAGAGTAGTGGATAGTGGTGGGTGTAAATAGAAGTTAGAAGTAAGTGTTTTCACATTCTAATTTTTTATACTTTTGATTTTTTTTTTTTTTCGCTTATCATCTCTTTCTTCTTCATCATCATCTTATTTCTCTCTATTTTATTACATCATTTTTATTGTAATTTGTTCATATCTTATCCTGGGATCGATCATCATTTTTGTACAAAACTTCTGTCTCATGTTTTTTGAGTTTTGTTTTGCTATGTGTTTGCTTGCTTGCCTAATTATTTTGCCTAAATATATTTATTTTTAAGTTGTACTTAAAAGAAAGGTCATATTAATTATTTATTCTGTTTACAATTTTTTTCTCAATTAGGAAGGAATCATTTCTATGCTTCAATCAAATGGCATAATAAAAACAATTTAAATCGTATTGATAATTTTTACTTCCATATTAATTTGCTTTTCTTCTTTCTTGCTAAATGTCTATGCAATTGATTTTCTTTTGTTAGTTGATCAAATTCTTTATCTTGTTAGAGTAGCTTTTGAGTAGGTCCAAATTGATTTAAAAGAATAATTTTGATAAGTATTTGCTATTTAGACATTAATGAATGATTTAGAGATTAAGATTTTTTTTTGTAGCTAAGTTCTACTAATAAACTAATTCAAATAATTTTTTATTTGATATGACCAAATTTTTTTTTTTTTTCAATTTTGTCAATTAAATATTTCTACATTAGGTATCCTTGATCATTCATTATATTTACTGGGTCAAGACAAGCTAGCAAAAAGAGCAAGAAGGATTACAAAATGAATATCTGTATACATTTTGACTTCTTCATTAAAGATTTTGATTGAATGAAATAGATGATGATGATATTGATGTCTTTGATGAAAGAATACTTTTAGTTGCTAAATGTCTAACAAAAAGTAAATCTTTTGAGAATATTTAGAATATGATTAAAAGAATAAAAAATTAAAAAATCAAAGCATCCTAATTTTTTGAGCATTAGGATGATGGAGTGAGTATCAAACTTATTCAAAAAAAGTAAAAAGTTAATTAGGATTCAATCAGTTGTTAGGAAAAGTGCTCAGATTATTGCCATTATTTGGATTGCTAACGCTGTTCCTGCTGCTGCTACCATTATTTAAAGTTTAATTTTATTAAATGACAAAGAGTCCATCAATTTAATGGGTAGATTAATTTTAAATCTATGTATTTTATTGCTGTTGGTTATGATGGTGCAGCTGGCTAGCATTATTGTTATTATGATGATTATTATTAAAGTAATTACTGATATTATGGCTAGAATTTTATAAAGCTAAGAAATGACTTCCATTATAATGAGTAGGGTAAGTTGATAAGTGATGGTGATGATTGTGATGGCTATTATTATAGTGATGGTTATTTCCATGATTATGACTGCTATTATTAAATTGTGATTACTATTAAAGTTATTGAATATTGATTCCATGTTAGGCATTATTTTAAGCCAAAGGATTGCTGTTGCTACTGCTATTGCTAAGAATTGCACTATTTTATTTTTATAAATTTGATTAATTTTCATTTTATTTTTACAATTTTTGTCTGATTAAATTCTTTGTCTTTTCAATGAGGTTGGCATCAACGTTTCCGATGAGATCATAAAAAGCAAAAGAATCTTCATCTAATTTCTATTTGATTTGTCTATATCTGTTTATGTCTTCAATATCCTCATCTCTGACGGACTTGCAGTTAAAATCTTCTTCTTCTTCCTTCATCTCCTTGAATGATTCTAAAACTTTTCTAAGCTTGGGTTCACTTAAAATATAATTAGAAGCTTATAGTGTTAAACCTTTGAGAAGAAGCTTTTATCGTAATATTGACTCTTCTGTCGTGCCATACTGCTGCTACTATTATTAAATTTGAATTGGCTAGGCATTTGCTGCTCTAGTCTCAATGTCCTTGACAAATGCTTTAAAAAATTTTTCTAAAACAAGCTTATTAGTTAATTTAAATGTTGATTCTTTAACTATCTTGCGACAGTATTTGAGTTCTCCCATAAGGAATTGTTTCCATTCGCTATGTAATTATTTTAAAATAAAAATATTTAATGTGTCTTTAATAACATTCAAATTATTCATTTATAATTATTATTTTCTGATTTTTTTATTAGTGGTTAAATAAAGAATATTCTCTTTATCTTTCTCATTTACTCATCTAAAAACTAGCAACTACACTAACAATTGTAGTATTTTTAATAAAACAAAGGAATTTAGATAAAACTTCATCTATCTATTTATTTATTGGTAGGTATTTTAAAAGCGTCGGCAGAAAGAAAGATAGATAGATTAATTGATTGATTGATTGATAATAAATTATATTTTATCTGTAGATGAGTAAACCTGATTAATTCTTCTACAACTTGATAGTAATTTCAGTCTAGAGTTTATAAGGCTCTCATTAAGCATTTTTTTTTATGATTGATCAATTTATTGTTAGTATTTTTATTTAAAATAATTTTATAAAAAACAACAAAACAAATTATTGATTGATTTTGTTGATTTTAAAAATAATTAATTGATTTTTATTTTTTGGAGTTGTTTTGTGAATAAAATCTTTATAAGATAAGAAAGGAAGAATAGAAATTGGATTCATATTAAAATACTTTTAATAAAAGAGAAAGAAAAATTTTGAAAAATAAATAATAAAAAAATTACTTGACGTATCCAAAGAATACTTGGTTGTAGAGTTCTTCAAAGTAAAGAGCAGTTTTTTCAAGGAAATTATGATGTAAATTGGAATAGATTTCGCCAACTTGCATGTCAGTGTGACCTAACCAGTGAACTGATGCCTCATTAACAGAAAGATCCATCATGTTCTCGGTGAAAGTATAAAGCATGTTATCTACATAATAACTGTTTTTTGAAAAAAATTCTTGATACATTTTATCGTTGCATGAAATTGCATTTGAGTTGGAGGTGAAGCATTATGTGGCCTTGCCACAATACAACACATTTTAAGGAGCTAAACGTTAAAATCTTTGAATAAGTTCTCCTGAAGTTATCTCTAATTTATCTGGCATATAATAAATAGATGCTAGCTTAGGATCGATCTTCTATGGATCAGCAGTGACAACATAACTTAAATTTTCAAATCTACGATTTTGGAGTAAACAGAAAAAGGCTTCAAACAACTTTTCTTAAAGTGGCTTGAGCACTATTCTTGTCCAATGTTAAGCTGCAACACGAAGTACAGAGTACTGTGGATACATTTTAACACCTATTTCACATTAATACAAATCATTAAAAGATTTATATACCTCTTCTAAATTCTCTTGAGTCTCTATGACGGCTGCTTAATAAGCATTCCATTTAAGATTGTATTCTGAAATAAGATCAAAATAAGTTGCATGATTGCTATTGAGTTCTAGATATTAATGTAGGAATTCACACTATTTCTTAAAAATGGTAGACACTAGTAAAACTGTAAGCACAACTGTGTTTTCTTAGATATATCTTTAGATTTCAGGATTTGATGAGTCAGTAATCAACTAAATCTCATCAAAATCGCGATACCATCTGATCAAGTCTAAAAGCTTTTCAATATTCTATTATGAGAACTAGTGTTAGTCGCTCATCTAGAAATCGTTATTGTTGGTACCGTTATTAGAATTTGTATTATTTTGTAGAGACTAAAATATCCCTAAAAGTTATTGTTACTACTAAAGTGGCATCTACTTTTATCTTATTAATTTTTATTAAATTTCTGAAATAGTTTAACTAAAGAACTTAAGCTTCTTGTGAGAAGCCCCAAAGTGATTATTAAAGAATCCGAGAGATTTTGAATTTGAAGATGATAAAATGTTGGCTCCTGATGAGCCAAAAGCACTTGATGATTATGCGGGAAAGGTCTAAGATAAAGATCCATTTCCGAATGATGATCCGATTGATCCTTAGTTAATTTTTCTAAATGCTTAGCTAGCGAAATTAAATGAGTTTAACTATTTAGATGACTTAGTCTAATTGTCGTAATAGACATCAACTAATTTATTTTAAAACCAAGAATGAGCATGCATGCCCACGTTTTCTCGTCTAATCTTCATAATAGGCATAGGTGGGTTCAAAATATCAGCAAAAATATGGTCTAAATCAGCCACTTGAGGAGTATGTTGAATTTAAGATCGTAATTAAGAGTATCTTTGAAGATGGTTAATAGTGGCTCCTTTCATGTATTCTGCTATAAGATTGTTTCTCTAAACTTTGCAAGCCAGATATTTTTCTTCTTCGCCGTATTCTACATACGCATCTATTTCGTTGCTAAAGAACAATTTAAGAGCGATATTTGAAATAGCGTATTAAGCCTAAGTGAGTACTTTCTCTCTCATAGCTCTACTCACTCTCATTAAGTTGACTATTTCCTTTGCTTTTAAAAACATGCAAATAAAGTTGAATAAATTGCATGGCAAATATAACAGGCCTTAATCTCCTATTTGCTAAACACATCGTTATTTTAATTCTTTATCTATTTCTTCTTTTTCAACATCCATCTTAGATGTCAGCTAAGATTCTTTCCCTTCGTTTTAAATTATCCTTTCTTAGATAATTTTTGGTATTTCTTTCATTAGTAAAGACTTATTAAATTTTTTCCCTTTTGCTTTCAAAAATTCAGAAGCAAACACAATTGATAATTTTTCTTTTTTATTATAATAAAATGCATATACTTTTTCCTCTTTTTTTAATTAACTCATCAATAATTAGACACATTATAAATAACAAAGGAATTTTGTTAATATTTTAACTCAGCCTTCATTCTTTCTCATTCATACAGATTCTATTTTACTTTTATATGCTTCATTATTGAATGTTAGCTAGCTTGCTTGCTTGACTGATACCTTGATATTTGTTAGTATTTTATATATCCGTAATTAGAGTTGCCTTTATATTAAAATATAGTGTCTTCTTAAATCTTCATTTTTTTTTTTGACAATTTATTTGTCCACTCATTTTACTAAATTATTATTTTTATTTTACTTGACTCCATAATATATAAAGATAGACTATATACTTCAAAAAAAAAAATAGTGATGCTAATTTCTTCACTCTTTTTTAATATGCTTTTTATCAGGAAGAATTTTAATATAAGTATTTCTATCATATTGATTGGAGTTAATCATAAATTCTAATAAATTTAATAAATATTCTCCCTATATTATTTAAAATTAATTGCTTCAAAGACCTAGATTTTGCTTCAAATGACTATAAATGGCAATTGTTTGTTTGTTTCATAGAATAAATTTTTTCGCTGATCCAAAATTTCTGAAAAAAATTGGTTTTTTTTTTGTGCAATATAAATAAAAGAAGTAAGTAAGGAAAGCAAACTTTTCATCAAAAATATATAGTTTTTCTATTTTAAAATAGTGTAAAAATAGCTATTTAAATCACACATTAAAATATTAAATAAATACTTTGCTAGACATTAAATTTATTTAAAAATTTAAACTTTTTTTGTGAATTCATTAATCATAAACAAATAAAAAAATAACAGCATATTTGATTTTACAAAATATAGACAAACTGAAAAAATTTTACTATAAATTTAATGAATTTGTTTTAGACTAGTAAGTTAAGAGACACATCATTCATTCCTTTTATTTTAATATTATTTTTTATAATATTTATATTAAATTGAGTGTCTAGAATCATATTTAAGTTTACCACATTCATTTCATAATCATCTCTATTTTGATAGCTTCAAATTACATTTTCGAATTTCAATTTTTTAAAACAAGAGTTAAGATCAAATAAAATATAATTGATTAAATTTAATGTCAATAATCTAAATAAATATTCTAATAATTTATTTATAATTTTTGTGATTTATATATTCTTAACTATTTTATATCTTCATAAATAATTATCCCCTCTTCAATAAAAATTTACTAAATTTCAAAAATTAGTAAATAATAAATTTTTTTATTTAGCAAAGAAATTTGATATATAAATAAATAAAAAATGACAGTATATTTTGAATAAAGTTTTAATTAAATATTTAAATTATAAAAACATTTCAGGAAATTAATTTATATGACACTATATTATTCAATAGGTTAATATAAATAAGCTAAATTAGATTAAGAAACCAAATATTTTAATTAATTAAATTTAAAATAGATTTTGTGATGTAGATTAATTTTAACTTAAATTAAAATTTGAAAATAGAAAAAGAGTAATTCTGAAATAAAATTAATTAAAATATAAAATTAAATTTGTATTTTTTAATATTTATAAGAAAATTATTTTTATTTTTGATGGCCAAATAACAGTTCTGATGTGAAAAGAAAGAATTTTTGACATTTAATTAAAATAGAAAACTGATTAGGCACAGACGCATCATAGATATTAAACCAAAAATTAATTTGGACTTGCATACTTGGTGAAATAATTTAAAGGTAGTATTTTAGTTAGATTGAGCTTGCATTTATTTATTCTTCTGAAAATTCTTCAAGAAATTATAGTTTATTAATATTATTAACAAGTATAAAACCAAATTGAAATAATATTTATTAAAATTAATTATTTAACTTATAAAATTTAAAACAAATTTCTTAGTTTAAAAGTTAAGCAAGTACCGAAATAAAATGGATACTCACCACCAAGAAAGTGATCTTTTCAATCATTAGGGCTGTGTTCAATGGTTAGATACAATCATTGAAAGCTTTGAAAAAACTTAGGATTTCCCAGTTGAAGAATTGTGCAAATTCCTTCATGAATTTTGCGGAGTTTTTAGAAAAATGGGTAAATTACTTAGCATGGCATTTAGTGATGTTGACGACAAAGTCAGAATCTTGAGAACCCATACTTAAAATTACAAGGATGAATGTCATGGACAATTATTCGCTGTTGTTAAGAAAGAAATGGGCTTAAATATTGCTGCTCTTAACGGAGAAAATAACAAAAAGCTAACTAAAGATCCTAAATATTCAAATTATGATTCTTTTTCAAGAAATTTATTAAGAATGATGTGGTTCTAAAATTATCTCAAAGTTATGTTTGAAGAACTTGTTATAGATAGATAATAAAAATCAAGCAAAGCTTTCTAAAAGGCTTATGACTTTGCTTTCTCTAAGCATCATTCCTTTATGGTTAAAGCTGGTGCTAGTTTAGCTATGTCTGCAGCTCCTAGTAGAGAAAAAGTTAAGGAGTTATGTCTTGGCAAAAATGGTACAGATGAGCAATTCTACAAAATTATGACCGACATTTATACTAGAATAGATAAAGTAAAAAGTTTTTAATGGGGCTTTTATGAAGCTAATAATCTAACCGCTCTCCCATGATTATCTATAATAAATATTTGAATAATAAGTTAAATAGCGTTTTGTTAGTTTTTTAACATGTTTATTTTTTAATTTGTTTCAAAATGAATTCATTTAAAAATAAAATGGTAAATATCATACTAATGATTTTTTTAATTGACAATTCATAGCAAATTTTATTTCAATTCAAAAATTATTTTTTTTTAAATAGTATTTTTAATTATAACTAAAATCCACATAAATTAATGTTGTTTAATATAAAACTGATTTCCAAAAAAAAAAATTTGAAATAAGAATAAAAAGTAAATTAGTAATCTTTAAAGTTAAATTCTTTAAATATTAATAACCATTTATATTTTTCTAATTTAAAAAAAATAATTGTTATGAGTTTTATTTCGACTTTAAAGAGTTAAAAAAAAGTTTGAGAAAATTAAATTTACAATGATGAAAATTAAACACCTTTTTTTGAATTCAGATATTTATTTATTTACTCAAAATAATTTTTTAAATATTCATAATATATCTGTTGTATTTCCTTTTACGTAAGCACTTGGCTTCTCTCAAAAATGGTCAAAAGATTTGAAAATTCAACATCATAAAGTTTTTAAAAAATACAATATTTTAATTATAATAAAGAAATTAAAATTACATTAAATGATTTATTTATAAAAAGATTTTTGTTTAATTAATTTTGGAATTAAAAAACATTTTTTTTTTTCTTTTGAAAATAATATTAAATATTTAATTTTCTAAATAATTTCTTTATTATAAATGAATGTAAGTTTGTTTATAAGAAATAAAAGTAAACTAAATCCAAAGACTAAATTTTGAATTAATTTTAAAATAAAAGATTTTAATAATTTGATAAATTCATTAAAACTAAACTACAAAATATCATAAAATATTATTAATTTAATTGAAATATTAGTGCTATTTTATTATTATTATTATATTTAAATATTTATTTTTATTTATAAATTTATTATATTTGTTTGAAATTTATTTTTATATAAAATTTATTATCATTAGTCAAATCTGAAAAACATTTTTAATTGAATTTTGGTTATTAAGAATTTATTAAATCAAGGTTAATAAAGCACAAGATGAGATAGATTTTATACAATTTACTTCTTCAAGTAAATACTAAGATCATTAATTTGCTGTGTTTTTCTGCGCATGTTGGGAGTGTTTTTAAATTTTATTAAATGAAACTCAAAAATTTTGATTTTATTAAGATTGCTGAGTGCTTTTAAGTTAGAATGAATACTTTTTTCAGATGAATTTTTTTGCTTTAAGTAGTCTTAAAAGAAGAACTGGATAGGAAGGTGAAGAGATACTTTTTATAGATTCTTACACATTGAAATAGCACTTGTTAATTGCATAACTTCTTAGTTAAAAGAATTAGGATTGTGGTTTTCTTAAGTTTGGATAGGCTGAATTAAGTCTAAGCTAGGGATGATGAGCTTGATATTTTTTAAGCTCTAACATTTAGATATTTGTCTTGTTAAGTTGAGAAAAAGAAGTCTATTGTTTGAGATTTAATTATTATCATTAATATTTTCTTACATATAATTTTAGCAATAGTATTTAATTTCTAACGATTTTAAATTTGAGATCATGCTGATAGAATCTATAAAATGCTTTGTGTTTTAATCCTGACTTATACACATAACTAGGTGCAAGTTAATTTTGTTATTTAAATAGGGGTTACTTTATTGAATAGCAGATAGCATTGAAAGAATATTAGTGTAGCTTGTATCGATTTTATTATCGCTAAGCATTAAAGAGCTATTTATCATTGGACAACCTTAAATTTTAATATCCTCTAGATTTATTTTTCTAAATTCCTAGTTAGGATTAGAACTGTAAATATCCAATTTAATAAATAAGTCTGTTAAATTATCAAAACATGGCAAATGTGCAAATAACTAAGCCATTTGATCTTAAAAATCACACCATTCATCAATCTTCTAGTAGAAAAAGTCTTAACAAACAATTAAAGTGTTAATGTGAGTATAGCTATGAATTTCATTCAGAAACTAGCTGATATTATCATCTTATATGTAGGCGTGGCTCTCTAATTTGCTAGTTGTTAAGTTTTCTTTAAAAAATTGACCTTCATTAGAGTTTGCCATATAAGGCTTGCTTTAAATAAAAAATTAGCTGTTAAATTCCATTAGTTTTTTTATCAATTGTTAATTTCAATATTCTTTTTTTAGTTTTTTTGCAAAATTATTAATTTGATTAATTGGTATTTTTTCATCCAAAGGAAAGCTAAAAAACTAAAATATAATAATATCATCATCATCATCACTATTATTATTCTATGAATTATCTTTTCTTTCAATTTCAAGGAAGAAAAAAATTAATTTGTTATTAAATTACTCTAGTTTATTATTAATTATTTTTAATTTATTTTTCTCTTCTAATTACTATAATAGCTGCATAATTATGGATTGATGATCTGGAATAGTGAATAGAAAATAAATATAGATCTAATATTCATGAGAAACATGAAATTAATAAATTGAGCTGATTGATAGTTTTTCTTCTTAAAACATACTTAAATATTTTAGCAAATATGTAAAATTTGGCATATTAAATAATCCTTTTGTTTATTAAAATTATAATAACAATTTTTTCATTTTAAGTTTGAAATTATATCCATTTTAACTTATTGCTCATTAATTCTTACTTCTATAAAATTAAATACTTATTATATGCATAGAATAATTATTTTTACTTCTCTTTTTAGAAAATTAAAATAGAAAAAATAAAAAACAAAATCCTTTACTTTAAATTAAATGTAAAATTTTTTATTCTTCAATGATAATAAAAGTTTTAAATTAATAACTAATTTGATATGATATTAATAGATTTTCTATTATAAATTAAAGATATAAATTATCTAAAAATTTATTTCAATTATTAAATCAATATTTCAAACAGTGTAATCTAGATATACTAATTTAGTAAAATTAATTATAATATTTTCTAAATATTTTAGAGATTGGTTGATCCTAAAATTTATATTTAAATCTTCTCACTATTTATTGAAAGATTTTAGTTTAATTAATAGACTTCTAACGAATTATTTTTATCCATTTCTTTATTAATCTTTGATAGAATTTATCTGATTTGGTTGATTGAAAATCACACTTTTCCTCCCCTTAAATATTGAATAATAATCAAAGAGAATGAATAAATCAATTTGAGTAAAAGGAGAAAAGAGTATCATAGATATATATAGCATAAAGATTCATTTTAAGAGCTTTATAAAAGTTTTGTATTTGAGATTTATTTTGCCTAACTTAATTACACTAACTAAACAAATAATTAAAGTGGATAGTAAAACCAAAATTTTGAGCATGAAGAAAATCTAATTATTTTTTGTATTTGTTAAGAATGCTTTGAAATTAGATTAAATATGAAAGTTAAATAATTCAATTTTTTAAATTAGAATGAATATTCAGATGAGTTTTTAGTTATAAATGAAGCTTATTAGTAAATTTAATTTAAATAAATATTTTTAATTTGAAATCATTCTAACCTGACCTATAGATACCATAATGTGCAAATTAAGTTATCATTTAATTTTTGTTGCCTCTTTGAATAACATATAAAATTTAAATTATTAAAGATCTAGATTTACATTTGTAAATTCTTTAGCTGGGTAAGGACTGTAAATATCCAATTTAACATGGAAGTCAGCAATATCATTATTAAAAAATTAGCAAGCTATATAACTAATTAACTACTCTATTTTATCTTGAAAACACATCATTCATTTATAAAAATTTGATAACAAATAATAAAGTGCATATATTATTTTTAGTAAAGATAAGAATTTCATTCAAAATTAAATTGAATATTTAAGCTTAGATATGAGAAAGCTTATAAAACTGATTTCTCCAATCATAAACTTAAACAGTTAAATTTAAAAGGGAAGATGCACTAAATATTGAAATTTTATAATTATAGTTTAATGTATAAATCGGTATTTTTTCATTCTAATCATAACCTATCATTAAACGAAATAAATTAATTTTGATTCTTTTAATCCATTTTTAATATCTTAAAAATAATAATAAAAATATTTTTTAATGAAAATTTTTGCTAGAATAAAGGCATTATCTTCTCAAAGATTTGTTTGATTAAATGAAACAAAATATTCATAAAGGAATTATGGATTCTAATAACCGTTTACTTAAAACATTTATTAGAGATTAATGCCATAATGAACAGAAACTTCAATAAAATTTGAAGTGTATGCCATCTTATACTTTTGATTTATATTGTCAGGATATCAATTAATTAGTCTAAATAAAATAAAAAGCTTATTTTAGCTTCTTATCATTAAGTTATATTGCAAATTAATCCCAAGTTTTTCATCAGAAAAAATTTAATCTACTATAAATGTATCTAACTCATAATTAAGCCTCAAAATTACACTAGATAAGTTTTGATGAATTAGTTATTAGTTAATTGTAATATTCTTAGTATCTGTCATTTATTAAAAAATGCTATTTTGGATATATCTTTTAAAAAGAAAATGTATTAAAAAAGCATATATTATTAAGAGAGCTAGCAATTAGAGTTTCATTTCTATGCTAATTTTTTTTAATTGGTTTTTTTTTTCTCCTTTTTTTATTTTATAAATTTATATGTTTTTCACAGTTATAATTTTTTGATAATAGCAATCTTTATCATTTTTGATCCCTAAGTACTTTAGTATGCTTAATTTGCTAGAAAATAAATATAAAAACCAGAAAAATTATTTTTTATTTAGAATTTTTAAATAATTTCAATTATTTGTTTTAATAAATACAAACACTTTCATTTTTTAGATTAATAATGAAAATAATCTTTTGAGAGCAATAATTTTTAAGTAAATTTTCTAAATCAATTTTAGCAATTTTAATCTATCTATTTTTACTATTCGATACTGAAGTAAGATTTTTAAATTAAAGATATGAAAATTAATTTATATACCTAATAAAATAATAAATTTATTTTGAGGTTTTTGATTCTTGTCTTTTTTAAAAATAATTCATTAATTTCTTATTTTTTTATTTGATTAATTGGTATTTTTCTCGCAAATTAAAAATAAATTTCTAAATTTTAATATTATTGTTACTTACTTTTCTATCAATTCATGTTTCTTTTCAAGATAGAGAAAAATTTACTCTAATTAATTATTAATTTATTTTTTTCCTCTTATCTATCTTAGCTATGTAATAGCTTCTATATTTTTCTATGAGCATAAATTGCAATATCTTAAAAATATTAATATGCAAATTATCTTCTTTCTATCTTTTAATTTGTAAAATATATTTTTGGTATGAAAATTTTACAAATAATTTTTATTTTTCTTTCGTTTAACTACCACTTTGAAAATATTTTGAATTCAAATTATTGAAATTTACTCAGTTTTAAAAATAATTTAAGAAACTCAGTTAAAGCATTTAATTGATGATTAAAAATTTTTCATTGTTTGAAAATAATATCTATATTAATTAGATGATCAATTCTTACTTCTATTAAATTAAATATTAAAATTATATGCTCAAAAGCAGTTTTTAGTCACAAAATTATAAAAAATAAAAAGGTAAAATAGAAAAATTAAAAAGAAGAAAAATAATTTATTTTTATTTAAATTACAAATTTATATTTTTACTTAATTATAAGAATTATAAAATAAATATCACATGTTATAAATAAATCTTCTATTACAAATTAAAGATATCAACAATAAAAAAAGAAGATTGTATTGTAAACTCATTAGTTATCAAAGTAAAAAACAGATATATTTAGAAAGAAAAATTAGTTAGTAAATGTTTAAAAAATGTTTTAGAAATTGGCTGATATTAAGATTTATGGTAAATTTTTCTAGCTATTTATTGAAAGAATTTATTGCAATTAATATATTTCTTAGGAATTAATTAAAGCCATTTCTTTACAACTTTTTAATAGAATCTATCTGCTAGTTTTGATTGAAAATCACGCTTATATTTTATAAGATTTTTTTTTACTTAAGGATTGCATAAAAATCAAATAAAATAAATAGATAAATCTGGATAAAAGGAGAAGAAAAAAGATTAAAGATATGGCTCATAAAGATTCATATTACAATCTTGATAAAAGTTTAGAATTTGAGATTAACTTAGCCAAATTTAGTGACACTAGTAAACAAAAAAATTAAAATGAGCAAAATTAGTAAAAGTTTTAGCTTGAAGAGAGCTTTCCAATCAGCTTTAATTCTAATTAATATCAATAGGGTTCTGACTCAGACTTGAAGTAATCAATTCATTTTAAGCTAAGCAATAATGGATATAAATTAATAAATATATTTATAACAGTAGCACTGCAATGCCGTCTTCAGATAAGCAAACACCAGGATATCTTTCATGCAATGTGTTATTAGAAAGTATTCCAATACATACATATTCTGATACTCTTAAAAATACCAGCAATTAGGGCAAGCTTGCATAATAATTAGATTTAAATTTTAATGCATAAAAGTTTAATGATTCTTCTTAACAATAATCAACTGCATCTTAGTGCGAGAAAGAAGAAAAATAAGGAAATTAATTCTATAATTAGGATATTTTAGAAAGTTTTCCAATTCAAGTAAATTTTTAAAAGGTGGAAGAACAATAGCTGAATGAAAAATCTGTACTGACTAATGATTGTTCCTCAAGTGTTTCAACTTAATCTAATTTTTCAGAGAATTATTTTAAAAACAACAATAGTAATCTTCTTAGTTATTAACCTCAAAGTTAATAATAGCTCAGATAGCAGTCTTAGCAATCAGATTAGACTGAACCTAAGGGAAAGCAAAATAAATAGCTATGCAATAGTACTGGAGGAATTTAAAACATCTAGAGAGGCTAAGGACTTGCTGGCACTTAGATCATTAATGAAATTCAAAAAAGCGAATCTTCTGAGGATGAAAGTATTCCTGCACAATCTTTTGATCCTGATATCATCTCAAATACGAACCATAAGAAAAACAAGCAATACATATAGAATTTTGATCTAAAACTCTTAGACTAAAATAACAAACCAGCGAAAGTTCTTTAAAGTGAAGGAAAGCAGAAAGTAATAATAGGAAGATAGGCTACAGGTAAGCCAAATCCTCCTGATATATAAATCGATTGCAATACTGTGAGCGGGAAACATGCTTAGATTGTTTGGAAACCATAAAAAATAACTTGGTGCTTATCAGATGAAGGATCAACTAATGGTACCTATTTAATAATAAACAATTCTCCAATTAAAGTTGATGATGAAATTATGATTGGCTTGCATTTAGTCAAGGTTGTTAAAATAACTAAAGATTTCCCAATCCAAGTTGAACTACTCTTTGAAAACTCTGTTGAAGATACTCCACAGTTCACAGTAATAGGAAAAGTAGATTTAGGGATGAAATTTATGATTGGTAAAAATCATTAAAAGTAGCTTGAATCAGATTTCCTAGTTCAAAATGATCATTGCTTCATATTCTTTGAAAATAAAAAGCTAAAGATATAAAACTGTGAAAATGTTCAATACAAAACAGCTAAGAAATTAGATAAAACAAAATAAGTTGATTTATCAGCCAATAGCGTTATAAGGTTTGGCTTTTTTAATCAATACTAATTTACTCCATACACAAAAGTCTTAGAAGTTACCATCGAAGTTCCAGGCATTTAAAAATAAAGCAGTAAAAAGGAAAAAAAATGCAGAATATGTGGAAAAGAAACTTAAACATTATATACACTAGTCCCTTGTAGTCACGATTAATTCTGCTAATTTTGTGCTCTCTCATTAGCCACTTGCCCCATATGCAAAAAAAATGTTACTGATTTTAATTGATTTTAAACTTTATTTGTTGATTTAGACACAAAAATATAAAATACTATGTAACTTACAACTAATAAAAATATAAATAAATAAATAAAAAATAATATTTAATTCCTATAATTTTTTAATTTAAAAAATATATAAAATAATTATATTCTGTCCAATATATGTATAAAAGTCTTATATTTATTCAATTATTATAATAATTTAATAATTTAGCTTTAACTCACTTAAATTTAGATCTAAATACATACTGTATAAGATTATTTTCTCTTCTTTTAATGCAAAATTTATCCTTAGAATCTAAAGTATCTATCTACTAAGTTAAATAGGATAATTAATTTAAAATTAGAATACTAATTAAAATTATTCATTTTTAAAGTTTTAGCAAATAGGCGCATTTATTATTAAAGTAAATGAATTATGGAAAATTATAAATTTAGTCTTGTTTTAATAAAAATTTGCGTTATTATTAATTTAATTTGCGTTTGAATGAAAATGAAAATATAAATTGTAAAAGATATAGATTGATAGATAAATATATACATTTATTTATGCTCCTAGACTTAAAAAATTATTAATTTAATTTATTTTAAATTAAATAATGTTTTTGCTATTACATATATAAAAAAATACAATTTGATAAATCGATTTATATTTTATTTATTATAATAATAAATTAATTTTAGTATGTTTTAATAGAAAATATGTAGTTAGTTAGTTATTTTTTAGTAGCTATGAATTATTGATAATTTCAATTTTAATTAAGTTATTTTAAATATGTCTTAAATTTGAGTTTGTTTTGAGTATAATGTGTGAATTAATTTAGCTAATATTTTTGGTTTAATTTGAATTATTTTTAAAATAAAATTAAAATCATTAACTGCTTATGCTTTTAAGTGTGAAATTTTCGCTTGAGAGAACTTGTTTGTTAAAAGATGCTTATTCTTTTATATGGATAGCATATTTAGCTAGAGGACTAAATATTAAGTTTAGCGAAATTAAAAATGGGTAGTATACAAACATAATTAGCAAAGCTAAATCATTTTAAGGATAGTAATTTGGATTTGAGAAAGTTATAGCTGGAAAATTGCTTGAAGAACGCAAAATTTCTCTGTTTATTCCACTCTTTAAAGCCGTGTTTTCTTCTTTATATAAATTCATATAGCAACTCTATGGTTCCATATATTTTTCCAAATCAAAATTTTTTTCTAGACAATACCAACTAGGTAATTTGACAGAACTAAATGAAAAAGGGATCGAGCAATCTATTACATTTAAATAAAAATATTAATTCTTTTGAGATTAAATAGGATTTTATTAATTTAATACCTCCATTTTTATAGATTCGGGAGTACACTTTCTAAAGTTAGGTTTATTAAGTTGGAATACTAACTTAACTTTAAACGTCTTGACCTAAAAAGCTATAAACATACTCTGTCTAATTCTTTTTTTTATTGCATCTATTTTAGAAAAATAATTTTAAGAATTTAATTGAATTTTAGTTCATTTAATTCTTACGGTATTGCATCACCTTGGTTATAAAATATCCCAGGCCTTATCTTTTCGTAAATTTTTCCTTAGTTTTAATTAGATGAGCAAGCATATCCTAATAACTTTTATCCTTGATATTCAAAGTCTACATATAAAATAGAATAATTTTCATTTGACTCTAAGTTAGAAGATATTTTTCCAACTACCTAGCAGTTCTCTACTTTCTAAAACTGATATGAGGTGGATTCATAATAAAAAATATAATACATTGCTAAGAAAATAGGAAGCGTTATAAGTAAAAGCAAAAAATTAAAGCATTTAAATTTTCTAGTGAACTCCCATTTTTTTTTCCAAACTAAGTAGTATTCAATCAGCATATATAGGAATAAAATAGGTAAACAAGCTAAAAACAGAGCATATAATCTATTTTAATATGTTATACCCAATGTAATTAAACCACCTACTATTATTATTAAAGCATTTGTTAACCCGAAGTGCTTGACTTACATCGATTAAACTGAGTCTTACATCTTATTTTATTACTATTATTAGAGCTTTTTTATCAAAAATTTTATTAAAATTAATTAATTAATTAATTTTTTCTAAAATACTTTTGATTCTGAGCACATGGTATGAAATAATATATCAAAATAAATCTTAATCCGGTTTATATTAATTAAATTTACTGATATCAAAAATTTTATTTTACTGATTTAGAATTTTGTACTTTTTAGTGATAATTACTAACGCGTAAATCAAATAAATTTAATGCTAAATAACTAGAATAATTAGTTCAGGCTTAATTTTTTAAAAGATTTTTGAATTCTTTATGAAATATTTTCAAATATAATTAATTAATACTTTGAGTCGGCCTTAATTTACTAATTTTACATTTATCTTATAATAAAAAGATCAATATTAGAAAAGAAATCATCATTAAATTATATGTATAATTTGTAAATTTTTACATAAATTTTTCTATTCGATCAGTATTTTTTGTTTATTTATTTTATTTTCTATTCTATTTCTAAAATAAAAATTATTTACTCTTTTTACTTACTAAAAAAAAATTTAATCTGTGTAACAAATCTTTGTTTGTTTTCTTATATAATTAATGATACGATTTTAATTAGTTTTATGTTTAACTTATCCCTTTTTTAAAAATTTAATCAATAATAATATTCAATAATAAAATAAAATAGAATAAAATAATATTATTTTTTTAAGCAAAATTTTAATTATTTTATTTTTCATTAAATGATATTTTTGTTTAAAAGTAATTTAAAAATGATATTTTAATTTTTTTTCATCAAAGAATAAATGTTTTTTAAATAGCAATATTTGAACATTTAATTTTTGCATATTTATTCAATCTTATAATATTAAAAATATTTTATACTTTTAATTCAAAATAAAATATTATTTATAAAATTAGCTAAAATAAATTCAATGATATTTTCCAAAATCATTACTACTTATACTAGCCTAAAAAATAAATCTATTTTTCATTTATATAATTATATTGATTTCAGGATTATTAATATACCTTTAATGAACTAATTAATTTATTTATATTAAAATTACAGTGCTATTAAAAAATTATAAATTTAATAATAAATAATAAAATCTTTAATTATATATCTAATTAACATTAATTAAGACCCCCTTTTTAAAAAATAAAACCTAATTTTGCTCTTTTTTCTTAAGAATATTTAAGAAAAGAGGGGTAAAAATAAAAATTTGATATATTCTTTTAAAATAGTTAAGCATACAAATACTTATATTCACTTTAAATGGAAGTCTTATTAATCCCGTTTTCCTACCTACCCCTGACAAAAATATTTTTTATATTAAAAATTCTTATTTTATAAATTCATTTATTTAGAATTTGTTTAAGAATTATATTTCAAGGAACTTAAAAAATTGAAAACATAGTAAGCAAACAGTAATATAATAATTTATAAGAATTATATAGATTTAAATATTAGTAAATGCATTTTTTTTATGTTAGAAATAAAATTTTTTTGAAGATTAATCAAATCTTTTGAATAGTATATTAAATATTTATAATTAAATGTTATTAACATTTATTCAACAAATAATTCAAGATTAATCTTGATTATTTGTATTTTATTATAACTTGAAAAAGTGGTTTTTAAGTTTCATTAGTTAATTGTAATCACCCTGCTCTACTATTTATCCATTATCTAGAACAAATATAATGTCAGAATTTTTTATTGTTGATATTCTATGGGCCACACTTATTGAGGTTTTGTTTTACATTACTTTATTTAATGAATTTTAGACTTAATTTTCATTTTACGAATCTAGAGCACTTGTTGCTTCATCAAGTAGCATTATTTGAGGTTACTTAAGAATAACTCTTCCAATTGCAATTCTTTGTTTTTAGCCACCACTAATTTGGATGCCTCTTTAACCAACTTACTTTTGGAAACCCTCTTTTTTTACAAAAAATAAAATTAATCTTAATTAAAAAAATCTTAATTATTACCTTCAAAAGTTTTAACAAATTCTTAAGTATTAGATAATGTAGAAGCATTGTTTAAATCTTGTTCACTAACATTTTAAGTATTGTAAATCATATTCTATTAGATTGTTCCATTAAAAAGAACAGGCTCTTATTGAACTACACCTAAGTAAGATCTATACTTTTTTAAATGGTATTATTTGATATCTACTCCATCTAAAAAAATTTTTCCTTAATAATTTGAGTAAAAACGTTATATTAGTTAAATTATTGAAGTTTTTCCTGACCCTGAAGGTCCTACAAATGCAACTTTTGACTTTGCTGGTATTTTAAAGCTGACATTTTTTAAAACATAAGCATCTCTTTCTGGATACTTAAATGATACATTTTCAAATGATAACTCTCCATTGATCAAATCTGTTTCGAATACGCCTTTATTTTACTAAATTTCATCCTATAAATCTAAGGTCTAAAATATTTTATTCGCAGAAACCAAAGATGCACCTGCATCTCCCATAAATTCAGTATTTTTTCCTATACCTAAGGCAGCAAACATTAAGCACAATATTGATATTAGGATATCTCTGATTTCTACATCATAACTCCTATGAAAGGCAGCTCCACATATAAATATGATCCCATAAACACCTTTTAAATGAAAAAATTTTCAAATAATTATCATTTAAAATTTAAAAAATTTACCAAAAAGAGCAAGATTGGTAAATCCAATTGCCATTCCTGCTTAAAAAGCAGACTCATTAATATCACTTATATTTTTGCTCAAAATAGCTTTAAAATTTTCACAGAAGCATAGAGGATTTCCTAAACTTGCTACAGTTCTAATATGGCATGAAGACTCGTTTATTAATTATGCTGTGTCTTCAGATGATTGATTCATTTTAGAACTAAAAATATTCATTCTTACAGCAAAGAGAATATTTGCCAAAACTATTAAGGGCATCAAAAATAATCCTACTAAAGTAGTTCTCCAATCAGCAGATAACCCCAACAAAATTGCACATATAAGTGAACTTACATTAGCAATCTAATTATTTAAAATTGAATATAAGCGTTTATATAAAAAATTGAAATTTACATTAAAAGTTAATGTGGTGCCAACTAAAACATTAACTTATTTGCAGTCTATTTGAAGTGAAGATGATAAAGCTCCAGAATTATTAGAGGGTTTATCAAACCAACTAATTGGCATCGTCAAGAATTTTTTAAAAAGATTTTATCTTAGAGTTAAAGTTAAAGTTTCAGATATTCTTGATTAAAAGAAATATTAAAGAGTCAAAGAAACCAAATCCACTAAACCTATAACAGCAAAATAAATACTATAAAGATCAGCTTTTTCTCTAAAATGATCAACGTTGGGGTTCAATAAAATGCTTGCTATATTCCCGAATACCCAACCACAAAAAGGATAAGCGATTCCATTCCCAATTGAAAAAAACATACCCAAAAAAGCATTTAATGTTTATTTTTTATCGTATGTCAATAACTTTTTAACCATCTAAAAAAATGAATATTATTTTGGTACTTCGATATTCAATTAAGGAATTCTATCTAATTTATTTTCATTTTAGCTAGTTTAATAATTTAATTATTAAGTGTCTGTCTCTGTGTACAGATTTGTTATTAAGTTTTAAGATATTAAGTTTGCATCTTGATTACTTGACATCTATCTTTAAGTTGTTGGAAGATCTTTATAACTAGTGCCATTTAAATTTTAAACTAAGATATTGTTTGTAAAAAGTAATGAAGTTTATTTATTTAAATCAATATTTATGAATTCTTCAGCTTGATTTAATTTTCTATCAGTTTCTAATAAAGTATTATTATTTTCATTGTTTTGTTCAGTCTTCTATTATTTTTTTACAAATTCAAAATAAAATCCATTTTTTTCCATTAGTTCTTAGTGAGAACCTCTCTCCATAATTTGACCGTCATCAATAACAATAATTTCATCAGCACTTTAAATTGTTGATAATCTATGCGCTATGATTACAGTAGTAATACCTTAAGTTACCTCATCCAATGTTAATTATATTAAGGCTTCGTTTTTAGTGTCTAATGCACTTGTTGCTTCATCCAATAAAAGTATTTTTGGCTTTTTTAGAATTGCTCTTGCTATGCAAATTCTTTACTTTTAGCCACCAGATAGTTAAGTTCCATTTTATCCAACAAATGTATCCAATTTATGTTCTTAATTTTCTATAAAAGACCATACATTTGCCTTTTTTAGAGCCTCAATCATTTCTTCTTCAGTAGCATCAGGTTTCGAATATCTTAAATTTTCTCTTATAGTTGTTGCAAACAAAATAGGTTCCTAAGAGACATAACCAATTGCAAGTCTAAGAGAGTTTAATTGCATATCTTTGATGTTTACTCCATCAATATAAATACTTCCTTCAGTTGGATCATAAAATCTCTCTATTAGCTATATGATCGTAGATTTTCCGCTATTATGTAATTAAAGAAAATAAAATTTTAATTTAAACTATTTATTTAATAAATACCATCCAGATTTTCCAACAAAAGCCGTCTTCTTTTTAGCTTAAAGCTAAAAATTTAAACCTTTGAAAACCTCAATTCCATTTCTGCTTGGGTAAGCAAACCTAACATTTTCAAACTAAATTTTCCCATCTTAAACTTAATCAGTAAATTTGATTGCGCTTTCATTCTATTAAATTACTGGTTTCTTTTCTATGATCTAATTTTAAAAAAAAATAAAAATTAGAACTATTCAGATAAAAGCTTATCAAATTAATACAGAAAAAACTTCGAATCCAGATACTTAAGCTTCTTAGAAATAATTAACAGAATCAGTAGCTCCTCCTAATCTAAAACTAGTAAGGACAATAGATAAAAAGACAACTATTATATCTGAAAACAAATAATCTCTCTACATGTTTTAGTTGGTAATACCCTTTTCAATAAAAATTGATCCCACCCAGAAAGTCAAAGAAAAGTCAAAAAAAAGCATCATATTTTAAATACCTTTAAAAAAAAAAATCATTTATTTTTATAAAATCCTGTTTAATTTATTTACCATAAGCAATACCAGTGAATATACTATATTTGATAGATACTTTATAAGCTTTAGTGATTAAAGATGAAAATTTATCTGCTTCAAATTATTCTCCGTTCAAACTTTTTATCGTTCTAATAGAACTGAGTGCTTACTCCGCAACACCTCCTGCCTATTAGTACTCTTAACTAGTCTTTTTTACTACACCGCTTGAAACCCAAGTTAAGAATTTGCAAGTATACCATACAATAGGAATAATAATGCAAGAAACAAGGGCAATCTACCAGCCTCTGATAAAAGAAATAATTAAGCTCCCAGCTAGCATACTGAGAGTATAAATATACATGCAAAGTTTTTCACCAATTGCTTGTTAAATTTTAAAGCAATCCAAAGCAACTTTTGAAGATAACTCATTTGAATTGATGCTATCAAAATAGCTTATATCTTGCTATATCATGCTCTTAAAATAGCTATATCTTATATTAATAGCTTATTTTTCTCCTACATTTATCCAACAGTAAAGCATGCTGCACGACAGAAAAAACGATACTTTTTAAATTTTTAAATTAAAATTAAAACATTTTAAAATTATTTTAATTTACAAACTCCAACAAGAATGAAATATCCAGCTAATACAGCACTTCCTTCAAAAACTTAGTCAGGAGTATTTTCAGGTGTAAATTTCTGAGCCATTTCTCCAAATAGTTATCCAAAAAGAGGTTGCATAACTCCATTTCCAACTGCTGAGATTGTACCAATAAAGATAAATATAATATCTTATTTAGATGCTAATCTGTAAAGTGAAAAAAAAGGAACTTTATTATTTTTATTTTATGACATTTTATTTAAGCAAAATATTTTTACATAATAAATTAAATTATCAAAATATTTGTGCTGGTTTTTAAAGAACATAAAATCACAGAGAATATTACAAACAGGCTGGTCTACTAATAAATTATATATAAAGACAGTTTAGCTGACTGAAAAAAAAGAAATATTTAATTAAAATATGTGATTGTGATTGTATTGGTATTTATGATATTTTATCATAAAAACTTAAGAAATTTACAATCTCAATCTTTTAATTAATTTTGTAATCAATATTCAAGTTATGATTTATTGAAATTTATTATTTTTTTATGTTTAATTTATATGGTGATAATTATAAAGAAAAGACTTATTAATCCAAATTATTTTTTACAGATTATAGTTTTTTTCCCATGAGTTTTTTTATGTAATCTAAAAATTCTGAGCTCTTTTAATATTGAAATAAGTAAAACAAAAAAATAAAATCAATATAAGGTTAGAATTAAATTTGAACATATTTTAAGGAGCAAAAAAAATTTATGTTTTTCTTTTAAATATTTTAAACCATACTTTTATCTATTTATTTTAGGAAAGAGATTTTTTTATAAAGTTGTTTATTATTTCTACGATAAATAAATCTGTTTTAATAAATTACAAATTAATATGATAAAAATCTATATAAATCCATCAAAAAGTAGTTGAACAAATTGAATGATAACTTTATCAATAAATATAATTTATGTTGAGAAATATTTTTAAATTTAAAAAATATAAACATTAGAATATTATTTCATAATGTAGGATCACTTGATTTTGTTGGAAATTTATATTAAAGTATTATTATTTTTACTAAATTAATCAATTTTCTTCCTTTTCACTTCGTTTAGTAATTAATAGTAAGCTTAAATTGCCAACTTCAATAAATAGTTGCGAGTGCAATGTTTTGTTTCTAAGACCAAACATGAAAAAAACTATTATATTCCTTAAATATTTTTGATATAAATATTATATTATATTAAATTTTTTTAGATTCTTTATAAAATAATATTGAAAATACAGCTATCTAACTATTAAGAAACTCAAATATTTAAACATTTTGAAATAAATATTACTACTGAAAACTTTTTAACTTAAGTGTTATATTTTTTAAATTTATTTATTATGAATATTGAAAATAGAGCTAGCTTAGAGAGCTAACTATTAAAAAAAAAAGGTTTAAACAATATTTAAAATCAGTAATGTTTAAATGATTTTGTGTATATTATTATTTAATGCTTATAAATTTTATTTTTATCAAATTTTAAAAAGAATAGAATCCATCCTTAATAATCTTACACTTTACACAAGAACACTTCCTTTAAAAAGTTTTTTTTGATTATAATTTCTAAAAAATAGCTTTTTAAAATAAAATACCAGTAACTTAACAAATTTCAAAAATACATTTTTTTTGTTGTGAAAAGCAAATTCATTAAATAACACATTTTAAAAAATATTTAATACAATTATGATTCTACATCTTATAACATTTATATATATTCTTGTATTAATATACTTAATATTTTATATTATTAAATATGTTAAAATCAATTTCTTTTAAAAATAGATGATTATAATTATTTATTATTTTTAATTTCAGTAAACAGACTTGATATCATTATCTTACTTTTTTTAGTTTCTTGTATATGTATGTGTACAGCCCTATCAAAAAGCTATTAGTGAATCTAAATATATATTTATTTGTTCGAACTAACAAAAATAAAATTTCATCAAAAAATGAGTATATATTTTTCATTTTTTTTAGCCAAAGCTATTATTTTATTCTTTTAATGATTAGGATTTTAGAAAAATAATATTTCAAAAATAAGCAAACAAAAATAAATATTTTAAAATATTAATATTTGATTAAAATGATTTCCTTTTTTTTTCTGCTCAAAAATTTAAAGCTTTTACCATTTTAGTTAAATTATGAGAAAAAGAAAGTTTTACTATTTTTAAGATAGTTCTAAATTAATTTTAAATCTTTAGCAAGTAAATAAATAAAAATGTTACTTAAGCATAATAAAAATATTTATCATTTTAAATTGAGTAAATAAGTAAAATTGATAAGTATATTTTTGATTAAATTAATAATGAATGCTTATTTTTGGATTAATTTTATAAAAAGACTTAATAAATTTTCATCTTTTCTTAAAAATATGATTTTTGATGATAATTTAATAATTTGAATAAATAAATAAAATTAATTGTTACTATAAAATACTATATGTTCTCCTTAATTACCATCTATTTATATTAACACTCACAATTTTAAAAGAGAAATAGTGTTTTATAAAATGTGTAAAAAAAAAATATTTTTTTTCATCCAAAATTAAAAAAAAATGATTAATTGATATCAAAAATTTGTTAAAATTTGATAAAAAGAGAATAATAAAAACAATTAAAATTTGTAACAAGCAAAATTAGCTTAAAATAATAAATTTAATATTTTAATTTCAGTATTAGCAATCTTAATTTAGATTTTTTAATAATTTAAATCTAAAAAATTTTAAATATCGATTAAAATATAAGCTTAAATTTTAAAAGCTATGAATATAATAGTCAAAATGTAGATTTTTAAATTGAATTATCTATAAAATCAAATTTAATAATATTATCTTCATTTTCCAGATTTAGTTTATATCCTACTCCAGATATTGTCTGAGCTGGTATTTCATTTACTTTCTTCGGATTTTAAATTTCAGTTTGTTTTATATGAATATTGTCTTCATTTTATATATTATCTTACTAAATTGCTCTACTTATTGTATAATTTTTATCTTAATTTATTTATGGTGAAGAATTTATTTCTTTTTAATCTCGATTTCGAGACAATATTGGATATTCTATTTATTAAATCTAAGGTATTATATTAATCTAGTTATTCATAACAGAATTTATTTATAGTTAATCTATTTAATTTATTTTTAGCTTTAATTTTAGTAAATCTTAATTAGCTTACTCCTTTAATATTCGGTTTTTATTATACCTTGGTATTAGTTATAGAGCAGCCATTTACTTTTTAAGCTTTTTCATTTGTTAGAGAATATAATTTGTGGTGTACAAAAATATTGAATTAAACGATAATGTCTAATTATAATAGCTAAATAATATCAAGCATACTAATTCAATTTCAGGAAAGTAGGCGTTAGGCTAATACTCTACCAAAGAAAAGTTATATATGTCTTTCGTTGGAGATCTTAATAAACCGTTCACAAATGCTTCATTCCAACTAAAAAAGTAAACATAGCAATCCTGAGGATACATATAATCTTCTACGTAGAAGTCACTATCCTGGCACAGCCAGCTAGCTATTTTAACATTACTCTATATGTAACTTCTGAAACAAGAACCTTTTAAATAATTTTAGAATGTAAGTTTTAAACACAAAAATCTATATTATACCAGATGAACTAGAGCTACTTATTATATTAGCCTTTCATAGCAGATCTTAATCTACAATTCAAAGCTGGTTTGGTTCCAATAAAAAAATTAACATAGCATGATCAAGGTTTCTTATAGTTTTCTACATCAAAGTTATAGCCAGCTTGCTATTTTTACTTAACTCCACTTATAAGGCCTATGGCAAGTATTTTAATAATATTTTTTATTCTTATTTTTAAATAAAAAAATATTGCCAACTTAATGAGCTAGAGCTACTACGGCTATTACTGTGACTATTAATACTACCACCAATGCCACTACCCCTGCTTCCTTCAGTTTCTAGAATTCTTTAAAATTTATGTGCTTTAGTTTGATTATAAATGCTTTATGATAATAATCTATAATATTAAGTATTAGTATTATTACATGACCACATCTTATTTTTGATAAAATAATTAAAAAAAGTTTTTTTATATTATCTTACTTAACATCATCATATTTATAATATAATTTAAAAGGAAGAATCAGACTAACTGTCTTAGCTTTATAAAAATTAGAAGCGCAAGCTGATCATAAGTATTGTTTACCTTCATATTAAAAATTTATATATAGAATCAAGTATTTTTCAGTCTGCTCAATACTATCGCTAAGCTATCCAATAACTTAGCAATTTTACACTTATATAATAGAAACTGTTGGGTGAAAAATCACAAAAAATACACTAAAAAATATGGGTACACATACAAAAAATATTATCCTGTTAAATATACTTAAGCAAATAGTTAGATCAGCTTTAGGTTTCCAAAAAATAAACTACTTAGTTTATGGAAATTATGAAAAAATAAATAGGACAACAATTTATTAAATATATCGCTAGATGATTAGAAAGTTACATAAAACCTCTAATAAGTATTGCAAAAGTCACATTCTAGATTTAAGTAAAAAGAATTAACCTTTAACATCAAGATCAGGGTCTTTATTCTAGTTGAAAAAAAATATAAGTGATTATTTTTGTACTGTATCCATCACGATTTTCTTTAAATTTTGCCTTTAATCAAAAAATTAAAAAAATGAAAGACTCTTAAAAATGCAAAATCATTTATTTTGAAACTTAAAATTGTAAATTTACAAAATAATACAGTGAAATCGCCAAATGCTTAATTCTTATATGAGCAAAATATAATTCTATTAAAGTAAAAAAGTTGCTCTAAATTTAATTTATGTAAATAAGCTCGAATTTACCAATTAATAATTTGGTTAATTCACTAAATTAATTATCTCAAAGATTATATTTTTCTATTTAAAATTTGTATTATAAAAATATGAAACAGTTCATTTATGAATTGTTTTGTAATTTACAAAATTAAGGGAACCTATCTCTATATTTTTAGATGAGTATCTGTTAATTAAATAATAGCAAATTGCTATTTTAAAAATGCTTGATCACTGATAATGAGTGATCAAGTAGATAATTTTAGTAACAAAAGAAAATAAATTTTCTTTTTAATTTAATAGAATTATGAATAGTAATAATTATAATTAATGATTATTTATTTAAATTTTTTATAGTGCGTGGATTAAAAAAAATTAATAAAAATACAAAAATTCTGCTCAAAATTAACAAAGATTTTTTGATAACAATTAAAAAAATTATTTATTTAAGTACCCTAATTTATAGATAATTCTTACTTTGCATGTCCACAAGAATTTAATAGATGGAAGTGCTATAAAAAATGGTTAGTTAAAAAATATATTTCAAAAAGTAAAAGTTACTATTTGAGTTGAAATACCAAGAAATATTTGATAGATATAAATTAATTTTAAATCAAATATAAGAATTGAAAAAATAATTTTTATAAAAAATCTATCATTTTATGTAAAGTATACGCAAAAGTAAACATGAAAATACCCAATTTTAATTTAATTTCTAAAAATACATTGGAATTTAAGAAATATATCTTTCTTAAGATTTTTCTTCTTAATAATTGAGAGTAAAATAGAACTTAAGTTTTAGCAAATAATTATATTATGAAAACATTTTAAGTAGAGGATTTTAAATTTTAATATCAGTCATTACAAGATTTAGCAGAATTATAATCTTTTTATAGATTATATTAATGTGTTAACCCATCCTTTGTATGAATTGGAACCTAGTTAGGATCTGGTTATTACTAAAACAATTATGAAAGCTCACTTTGTGGCATTAAAGACTAAACAGCATAATCATTATTATTATCGAGATTATTATTCTTTAATTGTTAATTTATTTGGACTAGGTATGGAAAATATTCCAAATTAAATTTATTTTACTACTCCTGTTAAATAGGTTGTAGCTAATTTTGCTAGAGTTCCTGTTAAATAGATTGCTATTATTATGGCTAAATTTCTAGTGGGATGACTTTTTAGTTGTTTTTGTTTGAAATCTTTTTGAGAAGATAATAAGCTGGGTACTAAAATAAAGAATTAAAAGATAATATCCAATTATAATATGAAAATATTATTAAGCAAACTAAATCTATTTCAGGGAAGTAAGCATGAGACTTAAATGCTATCAGTGGAAAGCTATTTTAGTCTTTCATAGCTTATCTTTATTCTCCGTTTTATGCTGCCATATCTCCATTAAAAAAATTAACATAGCAAGATTGAGGTTACATGTAATCTTCTTCATCGAAATCACTATCCATGCATAGCCAGCTAGCTATTTTTACTTTACTCCATAAATAACTTCTGTAACATGAACCTTTTAAATTACATAAAAATACAATCAATTAAAAACAATATTAAATAATTTATTTTTTACTTGATCTTGAACTACCTCTGCTGCCCCCGCCTCTACTACCGCCACCTCTTTTAAGTATTCTTTGGTTATTATATGAATTAGGTAAATGAATATCATTTTAGGATAGCATTCTATTAGGATATTATGGATCTGTAAAATTTTTATCTATTGGACCACATCTAATTAATAAAAGGAGGTATTATTCAATTTTTATAAAGAAGAGAAAATGAACTTACTAAACTTTATCATATTTGTAGTAAAATTAATATGGAAAAATTGGGTCAGTTGTATCAGCTTAATAGAAATTAGAAGCGCAAGCTTATCCTAAGTATTGCTTTCCTTCATATTCAAAATTGATATAAAGGATGGAGTATTTCTCAGTAAATTCTATCCATTTACTTTACTTACCGATCAATTGGCAATTCTAAGCTTATTTAAATTCTAAAGAAGCAGTAGGATGAAAAACGGCAAAAAATACTCCAAAAAATATAGGCAAACAAATTATGAACATAACCAAATTATATATGTTAAACCCAAATGAGAGGTCACGTTTTGGTTTCCAAAAAACCAACCATTAAAGTAATACTATAAAGAAATACATAGGGCAGCAATAAATTAGATATATAGCAAGATGATTAGAAAGTTGCATCATGCCTGTGATAAATATTGCCAAAACTAAAGTCTAGATTTGCGTAGCAAAGAAATGATCTTTTGTATCAGGAGTGTCATAATTTTTATTGTAAATAAACACAGGTGGTTATTTTGTTTGCTGTTCCATGATTTCCTTAAGATTACACTTTTTTCTTCTACTTTTAATCAAATGATAATTTCTTAAATATTATAAATTATTTAATTTATCAACCTTGTATTTATAAATTTCATCCAAACGATTTAATCAAATATATATCTAAATTCTTCTATAACCCTAATCTAATTTTTTTTTAAGTTTATTTAATAATTTTGTGGTAATTTCTACATTCAATAAGCATATTTATGATATTTATTAATAATAAAAATAATAAATATCTATTTATATTTTTGTAACAACTTATTCTGAAGCATCATTAAAATTCACAAATTAAAAAGCTAATTAGTTGTGTGATTAATTTCCCAATATCTAATATTTTTATCTATTAAACATCTTTGTTCGTCATTCAATAATTAATTTTCATTGTAGCTATTATAATCTTTACTAAGAGTAAAAGCCATTTTCAAAGAGTTTATTTGATATCAGCATTAAAATAGTTGTAATAATAGAATTTATACAATTAATATTTAGATTTATGTTAATATTAATTTAATTCATTTCAAGCATAAAATGAATGCATATAAATACTATAATTTATTATTTGTTTACAAAATAATTTTTAAGAATGATAAAGGTTTATCTATACATATGTCTCATTAAAATATTTCTTTCAAAGTTAACTTTAATTTTGCTATAAAATAGAGCTCAATAGCAGAATTTAATTTCCTGGAAGTGCTATTTTTTAAACTGCATAATAATAAACCAGCAAAAAATTTAACATCAACCCCAATACTAATCCCAAGCTATAGCTTTCTCGCGAAATAAATTAAATTTTATAATCAAATATATAATAAACATATAATTTATTAAATATATATTAAGTTTCACCTCATAACTGTAAGCACAACACTAATTGATAAAATTTATATTTATAATAAATAAATAAAAATCTTGGTCAATATAGAATAATTAAACATAAAGCTCTAAAGTCATTTTTTCTACTATAGGTTTGAATTGCATTAAATCTCTTTTTTAAATTTTCAATGTTTTAGCTAAAAATTTGACATCAATTTTTAAAAGCAATAAATCTATTGTTCTTAAAAAAATTAAAAGAAATTAATTGTTAGAATAAATATGACAATAAATAAATAACCAATTTATTTTATTATCTCTTTAAATTTTCAATGCTAAATCTTATACCAAATTTATATAAATCAAAATTTATTTAATAATTTTCAATAAAAAAATAGAGATGAAATTTAAGAATTGAAAAAATAATATTTTAAAAAACTCTATTATCTAAAATAAAAAATACACAAACATGAAAATAAAAATCCAAATAAAATTTAATTTCTAAAAATAAAATGAAATTCTTGAAATTTACTTCAAAACTTTTATTTCTTAATAATTGAGATTAAAATATAACATAGATTTTAACAAATAAAAATATTATGAAAACATTAAAAGAAGAGGATTTCAAATTTTAGTATCAGAGTTTGCAAGATTTAACAGAGTTATCATCTTTTTATAGATCATCTTAAAATGTTTACCCATGTTTTATATGAATTGGAATTTAACTAGAGTCTGGCTATTAATAAAACGATTATTAAAACTGATCATGTGGCATTAAAGATTAAACAACATAATCACTTTAATTACTCATGCTGATATTCATTTATTGTTAATTTATTTGAACTAAGTTTGGATAAAAATTCAATTTATGTTTATTTTACTACTCCTGTTAAATAGGTTGCTACTAATTTTGCTAGAGTTCTTGTTAAATAGATTATTGTTAAATTTCTAGTGGGATGACTTTTTAGTTGTTTTTATTTGAAATCTTTTTGAGAAGATAAAAAGCTGTGTACTAAAATAAAGAATTAAAAGATAATATCCAATTATAATAGGAAAATATTATTAAGCAAACTAAATCTATTTCAGGGAAGTAAGCATGAGACTTAAATGCTACCAACGGAAAGCTATTCTAATCTTTCATAGCTAATCTTTACATTCCGTTTAAGGTTGCTATATCTCCATTAAAAAAATTAACATAACATGATTTAGGTTCCATGTAATCTTCTTCATCGAATTCATTACCAATGCATAGCCAGCTAGCTATTTTTACTTTACTCCATAAATAACTTCTGTAGCATGCACCTTTTAAGATGATATATAAATACATACAATTAAAACTAAAATTAAAAAATTTATTTTTTACTTGATCTTGAATTACCTCTACTGAGGCTACTTCTGCCATTACGGTTTCTTAAAAGAATTCTTTGGTTATAATATGGATTCGTTTAATTTAAATAATTTTAGGATAACATTCTATTAGGATATTATGGATTTGTAGAATTTCCATCTATTGGACCACATCTAATTAATAAAAAGAGGTATTATTCAATTTTTATAAAGAAAAGAAATTAAAGTTACTAAACTTTATCATATTTATAGTAAAATTAATATGGAAAAATTGGGTTAGATGTCTCAGCTTAATAGAAATTAGAAGCGCAAGCTTATCCTAAGTATTGCTTTCCTTCATATTCAAAATTGATATAAAGGATGGAGTATTTCTCAGTAAATTCAATCCATTTACTTTACTTACCAATCAGTTAGCAATTCTAAGCTTATTTAAACTCTAAAGAAGCTGTTGGATGAAAAACAGCAAAAAATACTCCAAAAAATATAGGTAAGCAAATTATGAACATAATAAAATTATATATGTTAAACCCAAATGAAAGGTCACATTTTGGTTTCCAAAAAACGAACCACTAAATTAAGACTATAAAGAAGTACATAGGGCAACAATAAATTAGATATTAAGCTAGGTGATTAGAATGTTGCATCATGGCTGTGATAAATATTGCCAAAACTAAAGTCTAGATTTATGTGGTGAAGAAATGAACTTTTGTATCAAGAATGTCATATTTTTAGTTGTAAATAAATACTGATGGTTATTTATTCTGTTGTTCCATGCTCTTCTTAAAACTATACTTTTTTATCTACTTTTAATCAAATGATAATATCTTAAATATCAGAAATTAATTACTTTATTAACCTTTTAGTTAGAAATTTCATTCAAACCAATTAATCAAATCTATATCTAAATGCTACTATAACCATGATCTAATTTTTGATAAAGTTTATTTCAAAATCTTGTGGTAATTTTTGCATTTAATAAGCATGGTCATTACATTTATTACTAATAAAAATAATGAATATCAATTTATATTTTTGTAACTACTTATTCAGGAGCATCATTAAAAATTCACAAAAAATAAAAAAAGCGAATTAATTGTGTGATTAATTTCACAATATTTAGAAAATTTCTAATATTTTTATCTATATCTTTTAATTCGTCATTCAATTATTAATTTTGATTTTAATTACGATAATCAATACCAATTGTAAAAAGACATTTTTTAAGAGTTTTTTTGATTTAAGTATTAAAATAGTTGTAAAAATAGAATTTAGATAATTATTATTTTGATTTATAGTAATATAAATTTAATTTACTTCGAGGATAAAATGACTGCATATAAATACTATAATTTATTAGTTGCTTACAAAATTATTTTAAAAGTTAGTTGATCGGTTTTTGCGTGCTTTAAAAAAAATAATTTATATTTATATCTAAATTGATTGTGATTAAATACGATAATCTTATAATATCCCATCTAAAACAATTTGTTTGATTTATGAGTTAAAATTGTAATTAAAGGTAGAATTCAGATAAGTAAATTATTATTTTGATAAACTGTAATGTTGTTTTTATAAAAAACCAATTAAAATTTGTTAGATATTTTTTTAAATAAAAAAAATTAATACATTTCTATTAATATAGAGATCTAAAACAAAAATGTGAATTTTGAAGACAGACCACAAATTTATAAATTTAAAAGTTAAATTAAAATAAAATAAAAATATTAAATTCGTTAAAAATATTTAACACAAAAATATATTTACACAAAATCAGAGCATAGGATTTTATAAAGAATTATCTATTTTTACAGGTTATTTTACAATTTAATCTTCATTTTAATGGTTTAGTTATTGTTGGGGTCCAATCAATGCAAAAAGAGGATTTAATAATTATTCAATCTAATTTTAATGTATTAGTTGTTATTGCCCATATTTTGGTTAAGGCATATAATCAACGTGATCATTATGATTTACTTATTATTATTAATTAATTTAATTTATGGTTGGTGTTTCTTTATTGATTTATTCGATTTATATTGGGTTTGGATTTGGTTTAAATTCTAGTGCTTAGATAGCTGTCTACCCATTTTAACTGGTTCTTCTAATTTTTTTGAGAATGTAATTAGCTGTGTACTAAAATATAGAATTAAATGATAATATCCAATTGTAATAGCTAAATAATATTAAGCAAACTAAATCTGCTTGAGGATAGTAAGCACGTTCCTTATAGGCTATCAAAGGAAAATTATATGAATCTCTCATAAAAGCTCTTTATTGTCCATTTTAATATGCTTTATCACCACTAAAAAAATTGACATAGCATGACTTTGGAGTCGTGTATTCTTCTATATCAAAATCTCTGTCCTCACACAACCAGCTAGCTATTTTTACATAACTCCATTTATAGTCTCTGTAACAAGAACCTTTTTTTAAAAAAATATGTGAAATTTATAAATAAAAAATATTTCATACTAGTTGAACTACGGCTACTACTGTGGCTACCACTGCTGCTGGAGCTTCCTCCACCACTACTATGGCCACCTCCACCTCCTGTTCTAAGAATTCTTTCATTTCTATTAACTTAAGTAGAATTTAAATTTTTATAGCTTAGTAACCTATGGTATTATGGCGCTGTATTATTTCCATCGAGAGGACCACATCTATTTAAGTAAGTAATAATTATTATTGTTATATAAGATAAAAATAACGCAATATAACTTACGCTATTTAATCGTATTTATAATAGAATTTATAAGGAAAAACTGGAGCAATTGTCTTTGCATCGTTATAATTAGAAGCACAAGCTTATCCTAAGTATTGCTTACCCTCATATTCAAAATTAATGTAAAGAATAGAATATTTCTCATTAAATTCAATCCATTTGCTTAACTATCCTACCAATTGGCAATTTTGAGCTTGTTTAAATTCTAAAGAAGCAGTTGGGTGAAAAACAGCAAAAAAGACACCAAAAAATACAGGTAAACAAATAACGAACATTATTATATTATATATGTTGTAAGGCAATGTAAGGTCAGCTTCAGGTCTCCAGAAAGCGAACCATTAAATAAACACAATAAAGAAATACATTGGGCAGCAATAAATCAAATATGCAGCTAAGTGATTTGAAAATTGCATCATTGCTGTGATAAATATAGCCACAAGCAAAGTTTATATTTATGTAATAAAGAAGTGGCCTTTCACATCAGGATCAGGATCTTTATTTTCATTGTAAAAAAATGTAGGAGCATCTTTTTTCTCTTCTTCCATTTCTAACTTTTCAATATTAGTAATTATGTTTTTGCCTAAATAATAATCTTGTATACCAAATATTATTTATTTTGATAACTTTCTATTTAGCGTTTATCTACCAAGCAAAATTCAATGAAATACATAAAAATCTAAATCTTTTAACAAGATCAACTTTTAACTAACTAAAATAATAAGCTTCTCTATCAATATAAAGTAAATTTGCTCTAATAAAATTTGCAATCGTATCCTTTGATTTTATGGTTTTATTAAAGGCTATAGAAAAATTTAACTTAGCATTTTGTATAGGCTTAGTAATTTCTTAGCTCCTTTTGTACTTAAAATTTTACAGAATTAAATTTACTATTAAGGAAATAAATAGAGGAAATTATTGCAAAATAAATTACTAAATTTCTATATCTCCCACCATCTATTTACGAACCATTCTACTTATTTTTGATTTTCTTTACCATTGCTTATTTTTAATAAATAGAAGATATTCAAATTCAAGCGTTAATCTAAAGTACTTATAGATAAAATTTAATCAATAAATTATCTTGATTAAGTTAGACAAATAAGTTAATTATTTTTTTTTTAATTAAATAAACTCTATATTGAGATAAGAAATCTAAACTGATCATTAAATAATGAAAAAAAAAACATAAAACTATTAACTTATTATTACAAATTTTATGAAAGTTATCAATTGAATGTGGTAGAGGTAAATATCTTATCAAAATGCATAAATTGAAGGTAATTAATTATATAGTTATTTTTTTTCAATTTTATTAATAATAATATTTTTCTCAATTATTTTAAAACTCTAAATAATTTGCTAATTTTTTAAAATTTACTATTAACAAAAATAATCAGCGATTGCTTTTCAGAACAATTTAAAAATAATAAAAATAAAAAAAATTAACTGTAGAATTAAGTTATTGACTAAGAAGATTTAAATTTATAGGAAAGAATTAATGTTATTAAATTTCAGTATTTTAGAATAAATACCAATTTTTTCATAATAAATTCCTTCAAATACAAGCAAAGTATTTTTTAATTTTAAATATTTAATCCATTACCTTGAAATTAAATTACTTATTTAAAGTATATAAAATTTAGTTAATAAAAGTTATAATTTTTTTCAAAGAATGTTTGTTTATTCATATCAATTTTAAATATTGAGCTAACATTTTTTTGCTTAAAGTTAAATTAATTTTATTTAATAATTAAAATAAAAGGTTTTTTCAAAAAAATTTAATTTCGTAAGCAATAAACAAAAAATTAAATTTTAACATTGTTAATTAGGTGAAATGAATTATGCATTTAATGTAATTAGAATCATAATATTTTTTTTTAAGTTTAAACAAAATTTAATAAATATTATAATTTAAATTAAATTCAAACAGTTTTTCTAATTAATTTATTGAAAAAATAATAAAAATATATTGAATAAAATAAAAAATAGACCTAAAAGAAAATAAATGATAATATGGCTACCATTGATGCTGCGTCATCCTCTTATTCTAAGAATTCTATAAGTAATATTTGTTTCAGTTCTATTATAATAATTTTAGGTTAATGATCTATGATATGAAGAGTCAATAGTATTACCATCTATCTATAGGAGCACATCCATTAAAATTTTTGTAAAAAATAAAACTTAGACAAATAAATTATTATTTTGGTTTATTGTAATATTAATTTAATTTATTTGGAGGATAGAATGAATACATGTGAAAACTTTAATTTATAAGTTATTTATCAAATATTTTTTATGGTGATTAAGAATTTTGTGTATTTTTAAAAAAATCAAATAATTTATTTATATTATCAAAAAAATAATTGTGATTTTAAATATGATACATCTATATTATCCTGAATTAATAATTTATTTTATTTAGTCATTACAGTTTTAATTAAAGGTAGAATTTAGACAAATAAATTGATATTTTGATAAACTACAATATTAATTTGACTAGTTCTGAGGATATAAATTAATCGATATGAATATTTTTGTTATGAATGCTTTTAAAATATTTTTTAAAGAACCTTGATAATTTTTTTTCAAAATAATAGTTTTTTATTGATATTGAAATCTAATACAAAAGTTTGAATATTTAATTTATAGTTAAAAAGTTTTAAATTTATAAGTTAAATTAAATTAAACTAAAATATATTATGTTAAAAACATTTACTTCAAAATTACATTTTCACAAAATCAGAGCATAGGATTTTATAAAGAAATATCTATTTTTACATGTTATCTGACAATATTATCTTCATTTTAATGATCTATTATTGTTGGGACCCAACCACTGAAAAAGCAGGATTAAAAAATTATACTTATGGGTTATTTAAATGTTTTTCAAACTAGGCTTAAGGTAAATGGGTAAACAAATAATGAACATTAATCCATTATATATGTTGTAGAGTAATGTAAGATCAGCTTTAGGTTTCCTTCAAAGCGAACCATTAAATAAATAAAATAAAGAAATAAATTAGGTAACAATAAATAAATCAAGTATACAGCTAAATAATTTGAAAATTGCATCGTTGCTGTGATAAATATAGCTACAAATAAACTCTATAATTATGTAACCAAGAAGTGGCCTTTCACATCAGGATCAGAATCTTTATTTTCATTGTAAAAAAAAGTAGGAACTTCATTTTTCTGTTCTTCCATTTCTAACCTTTCAATATTAATTTTGTTCTTGCCTAATTAATAATCTTGTGAATTAACTATTATATTAATTTGGTAATCTTCTATAAAGAATTTTTAATAAATTAATACCAAAAACTTAAAAAGTTAAATCATTCTACTAGCATAACTTTTTAATTAAATAACAAAATAAGTTTTTCAAATTTTTCAATCATTTTTTATTTTTTGATATTATTTTTTAATTATAATTTATTATATTATTTTAATAATTTTTATAATATTTAATGTAAATTTTTATTTTTATTTTTCTAATTAAGCCTTATTTAAAATCAAATTTTCTAAATTTAAATGAAAACTCTAATTTAAGTCGATTTTCTAAATAAAAATAACAAAAAAATTTTATTTTCAGAAAATAGTGAGGCTTATTTTAGCAAAAAATGTAAAATTGATGATCTAACTTGAAAAGTAAAATTGATGAGTTTTTCAAAAGATTTTAAGTCAGAGTTTTCTATATTAGTTTAAATGAGCTCTATTTTTTCAATTCCTCTAATTTTATTCTCCTTTGATTCAATTAAATTAAAATCATTATTTTAAATTATTTACAACAAATATTCATCAATTAAATAGTATTTTTCACTAAATTTTTGTTGTATCTATCCTATTGATCTCTTCATATTTTAGGAATATATATATATTTATTAAAAACATTTAATTCTTTATAGCAAAAAAATTTTAATAATTGATTAAAATCTAAATTAATATTTTATAAACACTGAACAAAGAAAGCATAGTCAAAATATAGATTTTTAAATTTAATGATTAACAAAACCAGGTTTAATAATATTATCTTCATTATCCATTTTTAGTTAATCTTCTACTCCAGCTATTGTCTGAGCTGGTATTTCATTTAATGTCTTAGGATTTTAAATTTCAATATCTCTTTTAAGAACATTATCTTCACTATACATATTATTTTACTTATCTTCATTATCTATTTTTAGCTAATCTTCTACTCCAGCTAATGTCTGAGCTGGTATTTCATTTAATGTCTTAGGATTTAAAATTTCAATATCTCTTTTAAGAACATTATCTTCACTATACATGTTATTTTACTCTGTTACTCTTTCTATTTAATATCTTTGAACTTAATTGATTTATGGTGAAGAATTTAATTATTGTTAATCTTGATTTGGTGACAATATTGGATTTTCAATTTATTATAGTTAAGGTATATCATGAATCTAGTTATTGATAACTGCATTTATTTATGGTTAATCTAATTAATTTATTTTTGGCTTCAATTTAAGTAACTCTTAACTAGTTTACTCCTATTTTGTTGGGTTTGGTATTATTTTTAGAAAAAGCATATGCTTTTAAAGGTTTTTCATATTTTAGAGAATACAATTCGTGGTGTACAAAAATATTGAATTAAATGATAATATCCAATTATAATAGCTAAATAATATCAAGCATATTAATTCAATTTTAGGAAAGTAGGCATAAGGCTTATATGAAACCAAAGGAAAGCTATATACGTCTTTCATTGGATATCTTAATAAGCCGTTCATAAATGCTTTGTTCCCATTAAAAAAGTTAACATAACAATCCCTAGGATCCATATAATCTTCTACATTAAAATATTTTTCCTGACATAGCCAACTAGCTATTTTAACATCACTCCATAGGTATTCTCCCAAACAAGATTCTTTTAAATAATTTAAAAATTTAAGTTTTAAACACAAAAATCTATATTATACCAGATGAACTAGAATTAGAGCTAGAACTAGGATTACTACTACTACTATGGCTACTACTCGATTTTAGAAGTCTTTGATGATTATCTACTTATATTTGATTCTAATTATTTTAGGGTAATATTCTATGATATTGTGGAGATGTCCTATTTCCATCTGTAGGACCACATCTGATAAATAAAAAGATATATAATTTATTTAATATTCATAAATAAAATAATATCTTACTAAATATAATCATTTTTATAATAAAATATATATGGATAGATAGGGCTAATTGTTTTAGCTTAGAAGAAACTAGATGCACAAGCTTATCCTAGGTATTTTTTCCCTTCGTATTCGAAGTTGATATAAAGAATTGAATATTTCTCTGTAGACTCTATCCAATTGCTTAGCTTACCAGTCATCTAACAATTTTAAGCTTATTTGAAATATAAAGATGCTGTTGGATGAAAGACAGCAAAGAATATGCCAAAAAATATGGGTAGGCAAATTATAAACATAATTGTGTTAAATATATGAAAGCGTTTAGTAAGATCAGACTCAGGTTTCCAAAAAACGAACCATTAAAAGCAGATTAAGAAGAAATACATAGGGGAGCAATAAATCAAATATACAGCTAAATGATTTGAAAATTGCATCAAGGCTGTAATAAGAATAAACATAAATAAACTCTATATTTATGTGATGAAGAAATGGCACTTCGCTTGATAATGACTGTCTTTTTTATAATTTTTAAATATAATAAATGATACTTCTTTCATTGTTTATATTAATTTTCTTTAATTTAGTTATATAGAATAAGAAATCAGAAATTATTTACTTTTATAGCCCTTTAACTTTTTTAATCAACTAATTGATGAGTCTTTCTAAATTAATTTAAATCTTTCTATAAACTTATTAGCTCAAAAAAATTAAAGAAGAAAGTTAATTTAATCCGAGCTAGAGCAAATTTCTTCTTTTTTTGAGTTGATTATAAATAAAATAGATTGATTGATAAATGATAAAACTCATTTTCTATAACTAGTGTAAAAAATAATAATTCTTAAATATTCATTTATTTTAAAAACTAATTTTTTATGTAAATTTTAAAAAATTAATAATCAAAAATGTGAAAATATATTTGAGGGTTATAAAAATAAAATAAAATAAATTTTTTTCTGAAACTATTTAATAATAATAAAAAAATTATAAATATTTTTGTTTCTCATATTTTAACACGCCCCTTGGAAAATAAGTATTTTGAAATTTATAATTTATTATTGGCAAAAATTTTAAATTGATGATCAAACTTGAAAATTCATCTGAAAAGATGATGAATTTTTCAAAATATTTTGTTTATTTCTGTTGAAATGATCTCTATTTATTAAATTTCATTCTTTTTTCATTTAATTAAATTAAAATAATTACTTTATAATATTCTTTGTTATTTACAGCAAATATTCATTAATTAAAATTATTTTTCATTTAATTTTTAAAAAATACAAACCACTTTATGGAAATTATGAAAAAATAAATTGGACAGCAATAGATTTAATGTAAGACTAGATGATTAGAAAGGTGGATAAGACCTGTAATAAGTGTTATAAAAAGCATATTATAATAAAGAAGTGACCTTTAACATCAGGATTAGGGTCTTTATTTTAGTTGTAAAAAAATTTAGGTGATTGTTTTTGCGGTGTTTCCATTTCCATTTTCTTTAAATTTTACTTTTAATCAATAAATTATAAAAACGAAGGAATCTCAAAAATTTAAAATCATTTATTTTGAAAATCTTAAAATTAATATTAATTTACATAATAATATACTCTAATCACCAAAAGTTTAATCATTCTATGAGCAAATAAAAATTAAAGCAGAAAAGTTGCTCTTAATTGAATTTATGTAAATGAGCTCGATTTTATCAATTAAATTAGATAATTAAGTAAATGTATTATTTCAAAATTATATTTCTATATCAAATTATAAAAATTTTTAACGATTCATTTATAAATCAACAGTTTTGTTAATTAAAATAAAAGGAATAATTAATTTAAAACATATTGTTTAATCTTTTATGTTAGCATAAGTTATTTATAGATTTCCTTCTATTTTCTTAATAATAAATATTTTCAAAAGATTGATCATAAATTTATTCTTAAGAATTCAAATGTTTAAGTTTAAATTAAATTTTTTTAATTAAATATCTATTTTAAAAAACTTAAATTTACAAATCTAAATATATAAATAGCAGAGTAAGTAAGATTTTTCTTTTAATTTAGGTAGGATTAATATGCTAAAAATAATTTACTTTAAAGATTAAACCCTTCATAAATTTTAATTTATAGAAAAACAGACTTATATTTAGCCTATTAAAAACAATTAATTTTCTAAAGTGAAGTATTTATATATTTTATAAAACAATAAACTGACCAGCTAAATTGTGAAACATTACAAAAAATCTATTTTTTATTTTCATGTTAGTCTATTATTTTTTTAATTTAATTTCCATTTTCAATAAAAAAAATAGAGAGATAAAATTTAAGAATTGAAAAACAAATTTTATAATAAACTCTGGCATTTTTAAAAAAGCATACACAAACATAAAAATATTATGAAAACATTTAAAGAAGAAGATTTCAAATTTTAGTATCAGAGTTTACAAGATTTAACAGAGCTATCTTCCTATTATACATCATATTAATATGTTTACCCATGTTTTATATGAATTGGAACTTAACTCGAGTCTGGCTATTAATAAAACGATTATTAAAACTGATCTTATGGCCTTAAAGACTAAACAACATAATCACTTTAATTATCCAAGCTGACATCCATTTATTGTTAATTTATTTGAACTAAGTTTGGATAAAAATTCAATTTATGTTTATTTTACTACTCCTGTTAAATAGGTTGCTACTAATTTTGCTAGAGTTCCTGTTAAATAGATTATGACTAAATTTCTAGTGGCATGACTTTTTAGTTGTTTTTATTTGAAATCTTTTTGAGAAGATAATAAGCAGGGTACTAAAATAAAGAATTAAAGCATAATATCCAATTATAATAGGAAAATATTATTAAGCAAACTAAATCTATTTCAGGGAAGTAAGCATGGGACTTAAATGCTACCAACGGAAAGCTATTTTAATCTTTCATAGCTAATCTTAATATTCCGTTTTACTCTGCTTTTTCTCCATTAAAAAAGTTAACATAGCACGATTGAGGTTTCATGTAATCTTCTTCGTCAAATTCATTATTCATGCATAACCAGCTGGCTATTTTTACTTTACTCCATAAATAACTTCTGTAACATGCAGCTTTTAAATTGATATAAAAATACTTACAATTAAAACAAAAACTATAAAATTTATTTTTTACTAGATCCTGAACTACCTAAATCATTGTAGCTGGTTCTAACACCACCGCTACTTTTAAGAATTCTTTGTTTATTATATGGATTTGTTTAATTAGAATAATTTTAGGATAACATTCTATTGCGATATTATGGATTTGTAGAATTTCCATCTGTTAGACCACATCTAATTAATAAAAGAGTTATTATTAAATTTTTATAAAGAAAAGATAATAAAGTTACTCAATTTTATCATATTTGTAGTAAAATTAATATGGATAAATTGGGTTAGATGTCCCAGCTTAATTGAAATTAGAAGCACAAGCTTATCCTAAGTATTGCTTTCCTTCATATTCAAAATTTATATAAAGAATGGAGTATTTCTCAGTAAATTCTATCCATTTACTTTACTTACCAATCAATTGGCAATTCTAAGCTTATTTAAACTCTAAAGAAGCTGTTGGATGAAAAACAGCAAAAAATACTCCAAAAAATATAGGCAAGCAAATTATGAACATAATAAAATTATATATGTTAAACCAAAATGAGAGGTCGCATTTTGGTTTCCAAAAAACTAACCATTAAAGTAAAGCTATAAAGAAATACATAGGGCAGCAGTAAATTAGATATATAGCTAGACGATTAGAAAGTTACATCATGGCTGTGATAAATATTGCCAAAACTAAAGTCTAGATTTGTGTGGCAAAGAAATGATCTTTTGTATCAGGCATATCTATATTTTTGTCCTAAATAAACACAGGTGATTATTTATTTTGCTCTTCCATGCTTTTCTTAAAATTACACCTTTTTTTCTTCAACTTTTAATCAAATGATAATATCTTACATATTAGAAATTAATTACTTTATTAGCCTATTATTTATAAATTTCATCCAAACAATTTAATCAAAAATATATCTAAATGATTCTATAACCATAATCTATTTTTTTTTTAGGTTTATTTAATAATTTTATGGCAATTTCTGCATTCAATAAGGATAGCTATGATTTTTATTAATAAAAAAATAATAAATATTAATTCATATTTTTATAACAACTTATTCTGAAGCATCATTAAAAATAAATTCACAAATTAAAAAGCTAACTAATTGTGTGATTAATTTCCAAAAATATAGAAAATTTCTAATATTTTTATCTATTAAACATCTTTTAGTTCGTCATTCAATAATTAATTTTTATTTTAATAATAATATATACAAACTATAAAGCCCTTTTCTAAGAGCTTATTTGATTTAAGCATCAAAATAGTTGGAAAAATAAAATTTAGGCAGTTATTATTTTGATTTTTTACAATATTAATCTAATTCATTTGACTGCAAAAAAATACTAACTATAATTTAAGAGCTTTTTACAAAATAATTTTAAAGAATGATAAAGGTTTTTGTGTATTTTACTAAATAAATAATTTATTTATATTTATATCCTGAATTATATGCAATTTTAAATATAATAATCTTATAATTACCCATTTCAAACAATTTATTTGATTTAGGTTAAGCAGTTATAGTAAAAAGTAGAATTTAGACAAATAAATTATTATTTTAATAAACTATCATGTTGATTTAATTAGCTTTGATAATAAAATGATACCATATGAATATTTTTATTTATGAGAGTTTTTAAAATATATTTTAAACAAATTTTGTAATTTTTCTAAAAAATTATAACTTATATTTTTACTATTCATATTGATCTAAAACAAAATTAAGAATTTTTAGAAATATAAATTTATAAATTGTAAATTAAAATTAAAATATAAAATATTTTTTTTAACTTTTCATACAAAAATATATTTACACAAAATCAAAGCATAGGATTTTATAAAGTATGATCTATTTTTACAGGTTATTTTACAATATAATCCTCATTTTAATGATCTAGTTATTGTTGGGGTCCAACCATTGCAATAACAGGATTAAAATATTATACTTATGGGTTATTTAAATGCTATTCAAACTAGGCTTAAGGTAATATGTATTATTGCATATATTATGGTTAAGGCATACAATCAACATTATCAATAGGATTTACTTATTGTTAGTTTATTTAAAATACTATTGGTGTTTCTTTGTTAATTTATTCAATTTATATTGGGTTTTGGTTTTGGTTTGGATTTGGTTTAAATTCTAGTGCCTAGACAGCTATCTATCTCTTTTCACTGGTTCTTCTAATTTTTTTGAGAAAGTAATTAGCTGTGTACTAAAATATAGAATTAAATGAAAGTATCCAATTATAATAGCTAAATAATATTAAGCAAACTAAATCTGCTTGAGGATAGTATGCATGTTCCTTATAAGCTATCAAAGGAAAATTATATGAATCTCTCATAAAAGCTCTTTATTGTCCATTTTAATATGCTTTATTACCACTAAAAAAATTCACATAGCATGACTTTGGAGACATGTATTCTTCTATATCAAAATCTCTGTCCTAACACAACCAGCTAGCTATTTTTACATCACTCCATTTATAGTCTCTGTAACAAGAACCTTTTAAAAATTAAATAAAATAATTTATGTTAAGTTTAAACAGGAAAAATATTTCATACTAGATGAACTTCGACTGCCACTACTAAAGCTACTACTGCTGCTATGGCTACTTCCACCGCCACCGCCACCGCTATGGCCACCACCACCTCCAGTTCTAAGAATTCTTTCATTTCTATTAAATTCAGTTGAATTCTAATCTTTATAGGTTAATAATCTATGATATTATGGTGCAGTATTATTTCCATCAAGAGGACCACATCTATTTAAGTAATAATTGTGTGCGTTATATAAGATATAAATAATAAAAAATAACTTACGCCATTGAATCGTATTTATAATAGAATTTATAAGGAAGAACTGGAGCAATTGTCTTTGCATCGTTATAATTAGAAGCACAGGCTTATCCTAAGTATTGCTAACCTTCATATTCAAAATTAATGTAAAGAATTGAGTATTTCTCATTAAATTCGATCCATTTGCTTAATTATCCTACCAATTGACAATTCTAAACTTATTTAAATTCTAAAGAAGCAGTTGGGTGAAAAACAGCAAAAAAGACACCAAAAAATATAGGTAAACAAACAATGAACATTACTCCATTATATATGTTATAGAGTATTGTAAGATCAGCTTCAGGTTTCCAGAAAGCGAACCATTAAATAAAAACTATAAAGAAATACATTGGGCAGCAATAAATCAAGTATGCAGCTAAGTGATTTGAAAATTGCATCATTGCTGTGATAAATATAGCCACAAGCAAAGTTTATAGTTATGTAATAAAGAAATGTCCTTTCTCATCAGGATCAGGATCTTTATTTTCATTGTAAAAAAATGTAGGAGCTTCTTTTTTCTCTTCTTCCATTTCTAACTTTTCAATATTAATTTTATTATTACCTAAAAAATAATCTTGTATATTAAGTATTACTTATTTTGGTAATCTACTATTAAGCGTTTTTCTATGAATCAAATTTCAAAGAGAAAGTTAAAATTTAAATCCTTCTACAAGCATAACCTATTAATTAATTAATATAAAATAATAAATTTCTCAAATCAGTATAAAGTAAATTTGCTCTAATTTAATTTACAATCGTTATCCTATGATTTTATGGCTTATATTAAAAGCTATAGAAACATTTAGATTAGAATTTTGTAAAGACTTAATAAATTCTAGCTTCTTTTGCTCTTAAAATTTGATAGAATTAAATTTATTTTTATGTAAATGAAAATAAATAATTATTGTGAAATCCATACATAATTTTTGTATCATTCAACCAATATTTATTTACTGACCACTCATTCAACATATAGAGTTAATTTAAGTGCCCAAAGATAAAAATTTAATTTAATAAATTGTATCTAGTGAATTAGAAAAATAATTTGATTATTTTTTTAAAACAAACTAAATAAACACTAAATCAAGCTGAACATTAAATAATATAAAAAAACCTAAAATTATTAATTTATTATTATAAATTTTAAGTAAGTTTACAAATTAGTAGGATTGATAGTAAATATTTTATCAAAATGCATAAATTAAAGGTAATAACTATTGAGCTATTTGCTTTAAATTCAATTTTATTGATTTTAATATTTTTCTTATTATAAATTTTATAAAAACATTGTCTATATATCAATTATTTTAAAGTGCTAATTATTAGCTAATTTTTTTAAATTTTCTATTAAAAAAAAATAATCAGTGCTCATTATTGAAAACTTTATTAAATTTGTCTTTAAAGCAAATTTTAGTTAAATGTATGTATGTACAGTATATATGTATAGTTAAAACACATAATATATAGCTATGCAAATATATATACTACTAAAATTATGTTAAAGCTCTATTTATTAAATTTTAAGAAGAGTAATTGTAATTCTAAATGTCTTTGCTCTCATAAATTCTAATTTTAGTAGTTAAATAATATTTAACTAATAATGGTAAAAAAAAATGAAATAATCAAAATGAATAAAATTACCTTCGTATTCAAAATTTGCTTAAATTCATATGTTAATTTAGCTAGTTAGATCAGTTTCATGTTTCCAAAAAACAAATTACAATCTGGAAATTATGAAAAATAAATAAGACAGCAATATATTAAACATATGACCAGATGATTCAAAAGTTACATAAAACCTGTAATAAAACCTTAAAATTATTTTTAATTCTAAAATAATTTACTGAAATATTCAAATATTTAATCTTTCTTTAAGTAAAACAGAAATTTGCTCATTTTTTTCTTATTATAAATTTTACAAAAACATCGTTAACCCATCAATTATTTTAAAACATTAAATAATTTGTTATTATTTTTAATTTTTCTATAAGTAATCTATGCTTGCTAATTACAATAAAATATTTAATTTATATTAATTAGAAAATTTTTTGAAAATAGTTATAACCAATACGATAATTAAGATTTTTTTTTAATTTGGATTTATTATTTACAGTAAAATTTATTAAGTTCCAACCTTAATAAGATTATCCAATCAAAAAACAATAAATTTAATCATTCTTACAAATTTATCTAATAAGTTGGTTGAATTAATTTTTAATTCATTTTCAATTAAATTTTTATTAATATATTTTTTAATTTTTAGTTATTTAAGATGAATGAAATTAAATTTTGATCCATTCCTCAAGGAATTTTTTTTAAATATAGGTCATTCCTTGTCAAAACTATCGTCGCGATTTTGGAGGTATTATGGTATTTTTTTAATCAAATATTTTGTTGTGCGAGAAAATAAAAAGTTAATTTTAATACCCAACAAGTGTAATGAGAAAAAACAATTAAGCAAGATAAATCTACTTTAGAAAAATAACTTTTTTATTTGATATTAAGGGAGAACAAAATAAATCTTTAATTGGAGTTTTAAATTTCCATTTCCAACTTCATTATTTCTTTTAAAAAAATAACTTATATGATTATTTCATTATAGTTGTCAAATAACAAAAAATAACAGAGGAAAATTTATTTTTCTAAATATACATTAATCAAATAATTTAAAGAATAAACTTTTATTTAATTAAATTCATAAAATTTATGGTGATTTTTAAATATAAATTATCAAAAAAATTGAATTTTTTATAAATTGATTGATTAATAGTTTATGAGAACTAAAAACAAAAAAATAAAAATAGGTAAACGTAGACAGTTTCTTCTTATTTACTTATCAAAATCTAAAATATTCTAATTTAGTATTCAATATTAAAAAATTAATAAATATTATGTCAAGCGAGAGTTTCAGTTTTTTTATTTTACCCAAAATCAATTCTACTAGGCAACTAAATATCTTTAAAGTTATTAAAATATGGTTATTAAACATAATTTACTTTTGTTTATAATTAATCTGTGGCTTTAGATTAAGCAATTTCATTTTAATTTTGATTATTATCAGATTTATTTGGTAAATTATTCAACTAAACTATTTAATCTTAATTATTTTATTCAATTTTACTAATTTGGTCTTATAAATTATTATTAATTTTCACTTTAAAAATTCTAAACTTCTTTAGTATTGCATTAGAAGTATATTAAAATATTAAATTAAATGATAAAATCCAATTGTAATAAGTAAATATTATCAAACAAATTAGATCTGCTTTTGGGTAATAAGCGCGCTCTTTATATGATATTAATGGAAAATTTTTTTAATCTTTCATAGGAGCTCTCCCAATACCATTTTCAATGGCTTTTTCACCTCTAAAAAAATTGACATAACAAGACTGTGGTTCTGTGTAGTAAGAAATATTAAATTTGTTAGGTAAACATAACCAACTAGCTATTTTAACTTAGCTCCATAAATAATCTCTACTGCAACTACCTCCTTAAAATAATTTAATTAATATATGTTAATTCAATTTTTACAAAATTTAGACTAAATTACCTCCATGGGATCCACCTCCGAATCCTCCTCCTCCACCACCACCGCCACCACCTCCTCCTCCGCCTCCACCTACAGCTAAAAATCTATGAGTTTGATTTATGCTTATATTATTTGATTCATCTTGAAGTAATAGTCTAGTATCATTTGTGTCTGTATTATTTTTAATATCAGACCCACATCTATTGATTAAGTATTAATTAAAAGTTAATTTAATAAACATAAAATAATTTAATTACTGTAGTGAGTCGTATTTGTTATAAAATTTGTAAGGAAATATGGAACTGATAGTACTTCCTTCAAATTAATCAGAAGCACATGCTTAGCCTAGGTATTATTAACCTTTGTATTCAAAGTTAATATAAAGAATAGAATATTTCTCATTCCATTCTATCCAGTCTTTTAGCTAACCAACCATTTAACAGTTATCTACTTTTTAGAATTCAATAGAAGCTGTAGGATGAAAGAATGAAAAAAAAACAGTAAAAAAAATAGGACAGCAGATAAAAAACATTAAGAAATTATAAAAATTAAAAGCATCAGTCAAATCTTCTTTCGGTTTCCAGAATACATAGTATTAAATTACTACCAAAAAAAAGTAGATAGGACAGCAAGTAATCAGATAACTAGCTAAATAATTTGACAGTTGCATCAGTCCAGTCACAAGTATAGCAACTAATAGGGTCTATGCTTAAGTTACAAAGAAATGAGTTCTTTGATCTGGGTCTGGATCTTTATTTTGATTATAAAAAAATATAGGAGCACTATTATTTTCCATTTGTTATTTAAATCAATGATATATTTTATTTAAAAAATTGATTATCATATTAATCAAATTTGTCTTTTTCAATATTGCAAATACTATTTTTAGTAAGGTAAATTAGTAATAGATAGCCTTAATTTGTAAAAATAAAAGAAATTTAATTACTTTTTTCTCTAAAAATACTATCTATCTCTTTTATTATTAAATTAGATAAATTATTAATAATAAAATCTAATAGCATGTATTTATTAAAATCATTCTTTGTTTAGGAGTATAAAATTAAATGAATTTATTTTATATTTTTATGTTCTAAAGATATTATAATTATAATTTAAAGACTAAATAATTTAAGGTAGAATTAATATTTCTTGTTTTAGATATTTCGATTTCGATCATTTAGAAATTTTAAGTTTTGTGAGTTTTCTATTTTTAATATATTCAAAAGAAAAATCAGTAAAATAACTAACACATTTTTATAAGTCAATTTCAAACAATCAAAATAGAATTTTTTTAAAAATATTCCAAATTCCTTGCCTATAAAAATATCATTTTAAAATTCATGTTGATAGTAGTTTTATAATAATATTAAGTTAAATAGTGTTGTACAATAAAATAAATATTAACCATGTTGTTTTTTTTTATTGATCAGAAAAGTCAAACAATTTTTGAAATTGATTTTCTGAATATATTTTAAATGTAATCATCAAATATTTAAAAATTTGTTAAAACAATTCTCAAACATTAAATATATATATAAGTATTTTTATTTATATTTATGACTCTTATTTAAGCTTTGATTTTATTATTTCACAAAAAAAAGTAAGTAAAAATATATTTTAAAAGTATTAATTTTCGCAATCTCTATGTTAACAAGATTTTATTAATGTCTAGATTATTAAGATAAAATAAAAAGATTTAATAAAATCTTTCTCAATGATTATTAAAAAATATCACAAATCTTAGTATAATTATATTTTATTTTTTTGAAATATTTTTCTCATAGTAATTTAAAAAGATTAAATAAAGTTTTCTCAATCATAATTAAAGCAATCAAATATCGCAAATCTTACTTTATCTATTTTTTTTCAATTACGAGCAAATTTTATTTGAATGCTTTTAAATTTTAACTTTATTTAAAAAATGAAGTACAAATAATTTTTTATCACTAGACTAAATTTTTTTATGAGCAAAATAATAACAAAAATTTTAGATTTTAGAAAATTTGTAAGAAAAGAATTTTTTATATTCAAAATTTGAGAAAAAGCATTAAATACTATCTAAAATTTGTTAAAATATTATATTATAAAAAAAATTAAAATATATAATGAATAAAATTAGCTTAAAATAATAAATTTAATGTTTTAATTTAAGGATTAACAATATTAACAAAGATTATTTTATTATTTAAATATTTAAATTAAAAAATTTAAATTATTGATTTAAATCTAAATCTATATTTTAAAAACAAAGAATGTAATAGACAGTATTGTCAAAATGTAGATTTTTAAATTTAATTATCAGCAAAATCATGTTTAATAATATTATATTCAATTTCCAGATTTAGTTAAAATTATACTCCAGCTATTGTATGAGCTGGTATTTCATTGTTTGCCTTCAAATTTTAAATTTCAATTTGTTTTATATAAATATTATCTTCACTTTATATATTATTTTACTAAGTTGCTCTACTCTTTATATAATCTTGAACTTAATTCAATTATTATGGTGAAGAATTTATTTATTTTTAATCTTGGTTTGGAGGTAGTATTTGAAATTCTACTTATTAAAGCTAATGTATAGTATTAATCTAGTTATTGATAACAGCATTTATTTATGGTTAATCTATTTAATTTATATTTTGCTTTAATTTTAGTAAATCTTAGTTAGATTACTCCTTTAATATTCGGTTTTTATTAAACCTTGGTATTAGTTCTAGAGCAACCATTTACTTTCTAAGCTTTTTCATCTTTTAGAGAATATAATTTGTGGTGTACAAAAATATTGAATTAAATGATAATACCCAATTATAATAGCTAAATAATATCAAGCATACTAATTCGATTTCAGGAAAGTATGCGTTAGGCTAATACGCTACCAAAGGAAAGTTATATATGTCTTTCATTGGAGATCTTAATAAACCGTTCACAAATGCTTCATTCCCACTAAAAAAGTTAACATAGCAATCCTGAGGATACATATAATCTTCTACGTAGAAGTCACTATCCTGGCACAGCCAGCTAGCTATTTTAACATTACTCCATATGTAACTTCTGAAACAAGAACCTTTTAAATAATTTTAGAATGTAAGTTTTAAACACAAAAATCCATATTATACCAGATGAACTAGAACTAGAGCTAGAGCTACTACTGCTACTGCTACTGCTACTACGACTACGGCTATTACTGCGACTACGACTACTGCTACGACTACCTGATTTTAGAAGTCTTTGATAACTATTTATTTGAATTTGACTCTTATCATTTTAGGGTAATAATCTATGAATATTTTGTGGAGATGTTTAATTTCCATCTGTAGGACCACATCTAGTTAATAAAAAGATATATAATTTAATATTGATAAATAAAGTAATATTTTACGCAACTAAATCATTTTTATAATAAAATTTATAAGGAAGGATAGGACTAGTTGTTTTAGCTTAGAAGAAATTAGAAGCACAAGCTTATCCTAGGTATTTTTCCCCTTCGTATTCAAAGTTGATATAAAGAATTGAGTATTTCTCAGTAGACTCTATCCAATTACTAAGCTATCCAGTCATCTAACAATTTTAAGCTTATTTGAAATTTAAAGACGCTGTTGGATGAAAAACTGCAAAGAATACACCAAAAAAAATGGGTAGGCAAATTACAAACATAATTCCGTTAAATATATGAAAGAATTTAGTTCGATCAGATTTAGGTTTCCAAAAAGCGATCCATTAAATGTAGATTATGAAGAAATACATAGGGCAGCAATAAACCAAATATACAGCTAAATGATTCGAAAATTGCATCATAACTGTAATAAGTATATACATAAATAAATTCTATATTTATGTGATAAAGAAATGGCGCTTCACTTGAAAATGACTGTCATTATTTTATTTGTTAGAAATTGTAGATGGTAATTATTTCACTGTATACATTAGGTTTTCTTTAAATTAAATTTTATATTAATAAAATAAGATTATTGAAAATCAAAATTTGTGTATTATTATAATGTAATCAATCTACTGATTAGCCTTTTGAAATTAACTTAAATCCTTCTATAAACTTAGCTCAAATAGTTAAAGGAGAAAAGTTATTTTAATTTGAAAAAGTTAATTTTTAATAAAATCGATTGGCTCATGAATGGAAGTTCTAATAAATGACAAAAATCATCCACTATAACTTTGTAAAAAATATTCATTTTTATGAATTATCAGCCGTATATTTAATACCCAAATTTATTTTGAAAATTTGTTAAAATTAATATGATTGAAAAATAGTATTTTGAATGTAGGTTTTAATCTAAAAGAATTAAATAATAAATAAAAATGTTATAAAAATGAAATAAAATAAATAATGATTTAAAATTTTTATCATAAAAATTAACAATAATGAAAATAATATTTTGTGACTTATAATTTATTATTGGCAAAAAATTTAAAATTGATGATCAAACTTGAAAAGTAAATATGATGGATGAGTCTTTCAAAAGATTTTACATCATTAAACCTATATAAGTTTAAAAGAGATCTATTTTTTAATTCCTCTAATTTTATCTTTTCATTTAATTAAATTAAAATCATTATTTTAAATTATTCAAAACAAAAATTCATTAAAGAAAGTATTTCTTGCTGTAAATTATAATTTTTTCCAAAATATTTTTTGTAACTACTTGATCTCTACACATTTTAGGAATATATATGTATATTGATTAAAATATTTTATTCATAATAGCAAAAAAAATTGTATAATTTCTTTAAAATCTAAATTAATATTTTATAAACACTGAACAAATAAAGCATAGTCAAAATATAAATTTTTAAATTTAATGATCTACAAAATCAAGTTGAATAATATTATCTTCATTTTCCATATTTAGTTAATCTTCTACTCCAACTATTGTCTGAGCTGGTATTTCATTTAGTGTAACAAGCCTTTATTTACTTAAATTTTCTTAAGAAATTATCAGTTTACTTCTACATTACAAAGTAAAATAATATTATTATTTTGTTTGTACTTAATTTAGGATAAAATAAATATAATAGAAAAAAAAATAATTTATTGACTTTTAAATTTTTAATAATATAAATTAAAGATATTATTTATACCTTTGTACCTTGATATAATAAAGGGTTTAAAATATAATTAATATTTTATATATATTTAAACCCAAAATAGAAAAAATCATTATTTTCAACAAAAATTAATTAATTAAAATATTTCGCCCGCCCTTTAATTTTTTCAAAAATATTTGCTGTAACTAATTGATCTCTAAATATTTTAAGAATAAATATAAATATTTTTTTAAAAAATAACTTATCCTTTAAAGCAAAAAAATTCAATAATTCATTAAAATCTAAATTAATGTTTTAAAAACAATGAATAAAGAAAGCATAGTAAAAATATAGATTTTTAAATTTAATGATCTACAAAATCAGGTTGAATAATATTATCTTCATCTTCTATGTTTAGTTAATGTTCCACTCCATCTAATACCTGAGCTGGTATTTTAGTATCTTAGGAATTTAAATTTCAATATCTCATTTAAGAACTTTATTTTCACTTTAAATTTTACGCTGTTACTCTACGTATTGAATAATTTTGAACTTAATTGATTTATGGTTTAGAATTTAATTATTGTTAATCTTGATCTTGAGACAATATTGAATATTCAATATATTATAGTTAATGTATATTTTAAATCTAGTTATTCAAAACAACATTTATTTACGGTTAATCTATTTAATTTATTTTTTACTACAATTTTAGTAAGTGTATACTATTTCAATCCTATTATGTTGGGTTTGTTTTATAACTTGGTATTATTTTAAAAAAAACCATAGGCTTTTAAAGGGTTTATATATATTAGAGAAAACAATTTGTAGTGTACAAAAATATTGAATTAAATGATAATATCCAATTATAATAGCTAAATAATATCAAACATATTAAATCAATTTTAGGAAAGTAAGCATAAGGCTAATACGATACTAAAGGAAAGCTATATACGTCTTTCATTGGATATCTTAATAAGCCGTTTATAAATGCTTCATTCCCATTAAAAAAGTTAACATAGCAATCCTTAGGTTTTATATAATCTTCTACATTAAATTCTTTATCCTGACATAGCCAGCTAGCTATTTTAACATCACTCCATATATAATCTGCAAAACAAGAATCTTTTAAATAATTTAAAAATTTAAGTTTTAAACAAAAAATCTAATTATACCTTTAGAAGTAGAATTAGAACTACTGGTATTTTTGCCACTACTAATATTCGAATTTAGAAGTCTTTGATGACTATTTATTTCAATTTGGTTCTAATTATTTTAAGGTAATAATCTATGATATTGTGGAGCTGTCCGATTTCCATCTGTAAGACCACATCTGATATATAAAAATATATATAATTTAATTTTGATAAATAAATAAAGTAATATTTTTACGTCATATAATCATTTTTATAATAAAATTTATATGGAAGAATAGAGCTAGTTATTTTAGCTTAAAAGAAGCTAGACGCACAAGCTTATCCTAGGTATTTTTCCCCTTGGTATTCAAAATTGATATAAAGAATTGAGTATTTCTCAGTAAACTTTATCCAATTACTTAGCTTACCAATCATCTAACAATTTTAAGCTTATTGGAAATTTAAAGACGATGTTGGATGAAAGACACCAAAGAATATACCAAAAAATATGGGCATGCAAATTATAAACATAATTACGTTAAATATATGAAAGCGTTTAGTAAGATCAGATTCAGTCTTCCAAAAAACGCACCATTAAATGCAGATTAAGAAGAAATACATAGGAGAGCAATAAATCAAATATACAGCTAAATGATTTGAAAATTGCATCAAGGCTGTAATAAATATAAATATAAATAAATTCTATATTTATGTCATAAAGAAATGGCATTTCACTTGATAATCACTGTCTTTCTTTTAATTATTAAATATTGTAAATGATACTTCTTTCATTTTCTTTAAATTTATTTAGTTATATATTAATAGAATAAGACTTCTGAAATCGGAGATTATTTATTTTTTTAACTTTCTAACTTTTATAATCAACTGATTGGTCAATCTTTCAAAATTAATTTAAATCGTTCAATAAACATAGTTTAACATAATTAAAGAAGAAAAGACAAGAGTAAAATAGTTTAAGTTGTTTTTTAATAGAATAAATTGATTGGTTCATTAATAGAAGTTCTAATAAGTGATAAAACTCATCTTCTATCACTAATGTAAAATAAATTCTTAAACAGTCATATATTTTAACACCTAATTTTTATGAAAATTAATTTCAAATAATTAATACATACCCAAAAATGTGGGAATATAAAAATTAAATCAAGTAAAATAAATACCAAATTTTCTATAAATAGTACAGCAAATATTAAATGTATGGCTAAATAATTAGAAATTTACATAAAATCTGTAATAAGTGTTGTAAAAAGCAAATTCTAGATTAAAGAAGTGGCATTTAACATCAGGAATAGGGGTTTTTATTTTAATTGTAAAAGATTTAGGTGATTCTTTTTGTAGTGTTTCTATTTCCATTTTCGTTCAATTTTACTTTTAAACAAAAAATTAACAAAACAAAAGATTCTCAAAAATGCAAAATCATATATTTTGAATATCTTAAAATTAATGTTAATTTACATAATAAAAAATTGAAATCATCGAATACTTAATCCTTCAAAAATCAAAATTAAAATTAAAGCAGAAAAGTTGTCTAAATTGAATTTATCTAAATAAACTCTCTTTTATCAATGCTAATTAATTAAATGAATTATTTCAAAGAATAATTCTTCTATATAAAATTATTAAAATTTGAAATAATTCATTTATAAATTAAGTATTGTCAATTAAAATAAAATCAATAATAAACACATTGCTAAATAATATTTTTTTAACATAAGTTATTTATAGATTTCTTTCTATTTTCTAAATTATAAATTTTATCTAAAGATTGATCCTAAATACTCTTAAGGATTCAAATTTTAAAATTTAAATTTAAATATCTTTTTAAAAACTTAAATTTACAAGTATTAACACAATTATTGATATTGGCAGAGTTAGTGAGATTTTTCTTTTAATTTAAGTAGGAATTATACTTTAAAAATATTTTACTTTAAAGATTAAGCCAATAATTAAAAAAAACAGACTTTTATATTTAGCATATTAAAAAATTAAATTTTCTAAAGTGAAGATTTTACTTATTTTTAAAACCATAAATTTACCAATTAAATTGTGAAATACAAACAATTTCTATTTTATATTGTCATTTTTGTCTCCTATTTTTTTAATTTAATAATAATTTTGATAAAAAAATAGAGAGATCAAATTTAAGAATTGAAAAAATAATATTATAAAAATCTCTGACATTTTATAAAAATATACACAAACATGAAAATAAATATACAATTTTAATTTAATTTCTAAAAATAAATTGAAATTCTTGAAATTTCTTTCTAAAATTTTTATAAATATGACATTTGTTTTAACAATTAAAAATATTATTAAAATATTTAAAGATGAGGATTTCAAATTTTAGTATCAGAGTTTACAAGATTTAACAGAGTTATCATCTTTTTATAGATCATCTTATTAAAATGTTTACCCATGTTTTATATGAATTGGAACTTAACTCGAGTCTGGCTATTAATAAAACGATTATTAAAGCTGATCATGTGGTATTAAAGACTAAATGACATAATCACTTTAATTACTCAGGCTGATATCCATTTATTGTTAGTTTATTTGAACTAAGTTTGGATAAAAATTCAATTTATGTTTGTTTTACTACTCCTGTTAAATAGGTTGCAACTAATTTTGCTAGAGTTCTTGTTAAATTTAATGTGGCTAAATATCTAGTGGGATGACTTTTTAGTTGTTTTTGTTTGAAATCTTTTTGAGAAGGAAATAAGCTGGGTACTAAAATAAAGAATTAAAGGATAATATCCAATTATAATAGGAAAATATTATTAAGCAAACTAAATCTATTTCAGGGAAGTAAGCATGAGACTTAAATGCTAATAACGGAAAGCTATTTTAGTCTTTCATAGCTAATCTTTACATTCCGCTTTATGCTGCTATATCTCCATTAAAAAAATTAACATAACATGATTTAGGTTCCATGTAATCTTCTTCATCGAATTAATTATCCATGCATAGCCAGCTAGCTATTTTTACTTTACTCCATAAATAACTTCTGTAACATGAACCTTTTAAATTACATAAAAATACAATTAAAACTAAAATTAAAAAATTTATTTTTTACTTGGTCTTGAATTACCTCTACTGAGGCTGCTTCAGCCATTACGATTTCTTAAAAGAATTCTTTGGTTTTTATAAGGATTCGTTTAGTTAAAATAATTTTAGGATAATATTCTATTAGGATATTATGGATCTGTAGAATTTTTATCTGTTGGACCACATCTAATTAATAAATAGAGGTATTATTCAATTTTTATAAATAAAAGAAAATGAACTTACTAAATTTTATCATATTTGTAGTAAAATTAATATGGAAAAATTGGGTTAGATGTCTCAGCTTAATTGAAATTAGAAGCGCAAGCTTATCCTAAGTATTGCTTTCCTTCATATTCAAAATTGATATAAAGGATGGAGTATTTCTCAGTAAATTCTATCCATTTACTTTACTTACCAATCAATCGGCAATTCTTAGCTTATTTAAACTCTAAAGAAGCTGTTGGATGAAAAACGGCAAAAAATACTCCAAAAAATATAGGTAAGCAAACTATGAACATAATAAAATTATATATGTTAAACCCAAATGAGAGGTCACGTTTTGGTTTCCAAAAAACGAACCATTAAAGTAACACTATAAAGAAATACATAGGGCAGCAATAAATTAGATATAGAGCAAGATGATTAGAAAGTTGCATCATGGCTGTGATAAATATTGCCAAAACTAAAGTCTAGATTTATGTAGCAAAGAAATGATATTTTGTATCAGGAGTGTCATCATTTTAGTTGTAAATAAATATAGGTGGCTATTTATTTTGCTGTTCCATGCTTTTATTAAAACTACACTTTTTTTTTCTTCAACTTTTAATCAAATAATAATATCTTAAATATCATAAATTAATTACTTTATTAACCTTTTTTTTATAAATTTCATCCAAACCATTTAATCAAATCTATTTCTAAATTCTTCTTTAACCATAATCTAATTTTTTTAAGTTTAATTCAAAATCTTGTGGTAATTCCTATATTCAATAAGCATATTCATTACATTTATTACTTATAAAAATAATGAATATCAATTGATATATTTGTAACTACTTATTCTGAAGCATCATTAAAAATTCATAAACTAAAAAGCTAATTATTTGTGTTATTAATTTTCCAATATTTAGAAAATAAATTTCTAATTTTTTATCTACAAAACATCTTTTAGTATATAAAGGGAAAAGTGAGGTCTAGAGATATATTTTTTAGGCAAGCTCTTTTTCAAAAAATTATAATAATATAAATGTTGCATCAACCCCACAAATCCCCAACAAATTACAAGTAGAAAATTAGATAAATAAATAATTAATTAATTAATAAACAAATTTTTCTTTTAGTAAAATAAGTAACAAAAATTAATAAAAATCTTAACTTGTTAATTTTAGACGAAGTCGAAATTGACTTCAAGAAAATTGAGCTCTTAAAAATAAGAATTATTTTCTGATGATTAATTAAGGCTCTACAATTTTTACCTATATTAACAGATAGATTGATTTAAAAATTCTCAAACTCCTCTATGGTGGATAATCGCCCAATAAGCTTTAACATCAAGCATCATAATTAAAGTTGGGCTATTAATAATAATAAATATTTTAGCCTTAATATTCGATTTTTTTAAACAACAGACAAACAAATGCCTATTAATAATAATAAATATCTCATTCTACCCTTTCGCTTCTTTGGTCTAATACATGGATGATCAAAATTATTAACTTTTCAAAATTTTAACCGAAGACTTAATATAAAATAAAAATTAACAAAAATTAAAATTAAGCGATTAATTAAAACTTAAAATTTCTTCCAATAAAATAAATTAAAATTAAATTAGCGGGCTTTTTTTAAATTAAATATAGCTTTATGCTGGAACTATGAACGTAACATACCACCAAGGAAAAGTAAATGTATTAGTTCTTGGTGAAGAGATTGAATTATTTGGAAAGAAGAAAGAATAATTAAGATTATTAGACATAATCTAAAACACAATCTGTATTTCAAATAAAGATTCTATTTTTAAATTAAGTTGTTTGGACCAGATAGCCTCCAAATTTGATAACTAAATTTAAGCAAATGGAGAAGATTATTTTTTGGCTGAAGATCCAAACTATAACTTTGGATAACCAATTTTTCTTCTTTTTAAATCTGGGCGAAATAGAAGAAAATAGGGGATTATTTACCTATAAATTCGGTTAAAAAATGGTATCGTGAAATGATCACCCTTCTCTCGTATTTTCTCTAAAAAAAATAGGGTAAATTGACTTTGAATTCTTTTAATATTTTAATATGAAGAAATAATAAAAATAAAATTTGATTTGAAAGAAGAGTAGATAAAATATCTTGAAACTCTCGGTTAATTGTTGCATATAGATATCAATTAACTCAAAGAAAAAAACAATAAATTCAAATTTTATTTATTATTTACCCTTTCCTCCTTACTAAAAATATCCAGCAATTCCAGAGTTTCTTTTTTATTAAAAAAATAGAAAATTTGAAAGGATAAAAAGAATTCTGGAATAAATTTCAGCTCTTAATTCTAGATGAATTGAGTGAAATTTTAGTGTTTGAAGATACGCTTGGATTTGATGAAGATTTTAATAGGGACAATTTCGAATTCATATTATAATAAATGCAAGAATTATATGGTATAAACTATCAATTCCCATAAGAACAAGTTGATCTTGATTTATATGATAGTTTATTGAACTATACAATGTAGTTTATTAAATAAATTTAATAAGGAGAAGAGGGAAAATGAGAGAAATGAAAAAAAAAGACAAATTGATGTGCGCCTCAAGAGAGGTTTGTAGCGAATATGAAAGTTTTTGATATGTTAAATATCAAATTATGAAGATACGCGTGGATTTGATGAAGATTTTAATAGGGACAATTTCGAATTCATATTATAATAAATGCAAGAATTATATGGTATAAACTATCAATTCCCATAAGAATAAGTTGATCTTAATTTATATGATAGTTTATTGAACTATATAATGTAGCTTATTAAATAAATTTAATAAGGAGAAGAGGGAAAATGAGAGAAATGAAAAAAAAAAAGACAAATTGATGTACGCCTCAAGAGAGGTTTGTAGCGAATATGAAAGTTTTTGATATGTTAAATATCAAATTATGAAGATACGCGTGGATTTGATGAAGATTTTAATACGGACAATTTCGAATTCATATTATAATAAATGCAAGAAAAGAATTTGATAGAACAATCAAATATCATATAGAAAGAATTAAAAACAAATGAATTATCAGAGGAAATAGATATTTTCCTAAATTCTTACCCTATTCAGAACTATTAACTTGTTCTTGATTTGATTCCCTATGAGAAGTTTTCATAGTTTTACAACATGGTAAAATAATCAAGTGTGGTTTATACATATTTGAAAAATTACTTCATTTTTTTGGGAGTAATAAACTAATAGAATAATATCAAAGGTTAATTTGAATCTTAAATTAAGTTGTATAAACTATTTTTCCCATTCTCAAATATGTTATAATATATGGATTCTTCACATCCATATTTATTATCAGAATTCGTTGAGAAATTATATCAATACTCTTGGTAAATTTGTGGCCAGTAAAAATCTGTATAAATCTGTGGCGGTGATTAAAGTTAAATTTAACTTAATAACATGCTTAAACGTGTTTTTAACAACTATTTAAACTAATAAATGTTTTTAGTAGAATCAGAAAAAATGAAATTTTATACTTCTGAAAAATAATAATTTTAACATCATAAAAAAGTTGTTTTAAATGGTAAAGTAGAAGTTCTCTTCGGAATTAAGAAAGAACCATTGGAATTTATAGATGAAATTGATTGTATTCTATTAAACTAGAAAAAGTTCGATCTGTAAAGCTAATTACAGCTATATGTTTAAAAAATTCAAAATAGATAAAGAGATAATTAACGCGTTAGTAAAATTATCTTCCATAAAGGCATACAGAATTATAATAAGATAAATTAATAGAAAATATCAGAAAGTCCATTTGATATTATTATAAGTCTATGTAATTATTCAGGCATAGTTTTCGGGTCATAAAATTAAGACTAATAGTTTGTAAACGATTGTGAAATTCAATTAAATCTTATAATAAACAGATTAATTCAATAAATTATCAACTCTATAACTGCTGATAAAACTCCATATAATTTTGAATAATTGAACTGTTAATCTTTGTTCAATTGCTTCGTCTAAGATTTGATGAAGATATAAAACTTGAAGATACAAAAGCAAAATATCTTCTTATTGGAGAACACCAAAAATTATCTTGCTCTTTTATATGAAATTGCAGGAAATCACGGAGTTGATATGGTGGTTAAATTGTTCGAAGCCTTATTCTCATAATTTAATTCTTCAAATTTTCATAGAATAAGATAGTAAAATTAAGGTTTTGGATTTTAATAACTAATAGAAATAATTTCAGATTCACTATGCTATTTTGATGGAGATCAACTTTGGACAGAGACAAATAAATTAATATAGTACATTATCTAGGTTCTATATATAAATAATAAAAGAGAATCCTCATATTTGGAAGTGATACAAGTAGCTCAATCTGTTGTAATCTTAATTCACAAGATTTATAAAATAAAATAATAATAGTTTTAAATTTTATAATGTGATTACTAATAGTTATTTTAAGATTGCTTAGACTTTTTCAAAGCTACATAATTTAGAGATGATTTATAAGATAAAATGTTTACAAAAGTTATGGAAGAAATGATTGATTCAATAAAATAAAATGAAAATGTAAAACATTTAGAGGAGTAAGCATATATAATATTATCTCCTTCGTTAATAATTGCTCATTATTCTAAATTGTTAATGTATGTGTTACCAGAACAATACATAAAGGAATCATATAAAAACGTATATTAACAATATAATAAAGGATATTAGTATATACCTTTATTTTAAAGTATACATATCTCTTTGAAACAAAAATTCCATTAGAAAATTATTTCAGCAAAGATTATATTGAATAACTTTTGGATCAAAATTATAGCATTAATAATATGAGAATATCTTATAAATTAAAGTTCTTTGATTAGACATATAAAGAATTTGCATAAAGATATAATATTAATAACATAGATAATGAAATCATCCCATAATTAAGATCATAAGCAATGAACTTATTAAATAATATCTGGATAGATTAACATATTAGTTTTTGTGATTTAAAATCTTATGACCATTTTATAATTAAATTATATTTCTATTTACTAATTAAAGAAGCTTCAAATAATAAGAGTGCACGAGTGTTCTGGGAATCTGGGATTATGGGAATATTAGAAAATTTTCATTCCTATTTTAATCTTTTAGATTTTCAAAATTTAAATAAAAAAGTCATCACCTCTCCCCAACTATTTTAATCTTTTAGATTTTCAAAATTTAAATAAAAAATGAAATATTATTTTGATAACGTTTAAAAGAATAAATATAATATAAACATATCATAACTATAAAATAATGTAAAAATAAACATAATAATATTTTGATCAATTTAAAAATGAATCATTAAATATAATAAAAAATTATTATATTTAAATATTTTTAAATAAAATATTAAATAAAATCTGGGTTGTTTAATATTAAAATTTAGAATTATACATTAAAATTTAATTCTAAGAATAATAAGATTCTCAAATTAATAACTCTTTAAAAAACTCTACCTTAAAGTGCAACTTTATAGATAAAATAAATTATCAGAAATAATTTGGGAAAGTAAATATTTAATCTTGTAAAAAAAAAAAAAAAAATTATCTGACTTTTGATAATAATATTTAAATCAATTAGATTTAGAATATGATCAAATTTAAAATTAAAATAAAAAATAAAAAAAACAAATCATTAATCATTGTAAGATAAGAGGAAATTCAATGAACATATATTCTGAATTATAGATTTAAAGATATTAAATAATAGATATTAAAAATAAATAATAAAAATAATTCAACAAAGATAAGATAAAATAAGAACTTTAAAAATAATTTGATCATAATAATATTTTGATCAATTTAAAAATGAATCATTAAATATAATAAAAAATTATTATATTTAAATATTTTTAAATAAAATATTAAATAAAATATGGGTTGTTTAATATTAAAATTTAGAATTATACATTAAAATTTAATTCTAAGAATAATAAGATTCTCAAATTAATAACTCTTTAAAAAACTCTACCTTAAAGTGCAACTTTATAGATAAAATAAATTATCAGAAATAATTTGGGAAAGTAAATATTTAATCTTGTAAAAAAAAAAAAAAAATTATCTGACTTTTGATAATAATATTTAAATCAATTAGATTTAGAATATGATCAAATTTAAAATTAAAATAAAAAAAAAAAAAAAACAAATAAAGAAATATATTGGGAAGCAATAAATCAAGTATAAAGCTAAATAATTAGAAAATTACATCATTGAAGTGATAAATATAGCCACAAATAAAGTCTATAGTTAGGTAATAATGAAGTGGCCTTTCACGTTAGGATCTGGATCTTTATTTTCATTGTAATTCAGCGTGGGAGCTTCTTTTTTCTCAAGTTCCATTTTTAACTTCTCAATATTTATTTTTTTTTGCACAAATAATAATCTTGTGTTAATATTAAGTATTACTTATTTTTATTACCATTTAAAAAGTGTTTTCTCAAAAAATTAATACCAAAAACTTTAAAAATTGAATCCTTCACCATAGCCTTTTAATTAAATAACATAAAAACTTTCTCTAATCAGGATAAAGTAAATTTGATCATTTTACATTTACAATCTTGTCATTTTTTTTATTTTAAATTTTTCAAAAACATCATTCATTCGCTCATGAATTATTTTAAAACATTTAATAATTTACTAATTTTTTTAATTTTTCTATAAGTAATCTGTGCTTGCTAATCAGAAGTTTTTTAATTGATCTACTATACAAATTATTGTAGGTATTTCTTATTAAATTAGAAAATTATTAAATAAATAAAATTAAAATAAACCAGTTGGTTCTAATATTTATTTTAAGTTTTAAAATTCTTACAAAAACAAGTGAATAGATATTTAGCCTTTTGGGAAATGGGTTACATTTCTGCAAAAATATAATTTAACCCTTGATCTAAAGTAGAATCAATATTTTTATTTTTATATAAAAAGAAAATTAGATCACCTTAAAGATTCATAAAAGGAATATAATCAAACTTTAACTTTATATATATTAAATTATCTTGAGTGAATATTCTAAATATTTGATAATAAAATACAAAAGTTAATTTTTAATACCCAACTATAATAAGAAAAATCAAGTAAGTAAGCAAACTAAATCTACTTTAGAAAAATAATGTCCATATTTAAGGGAGAGCTATTTAATTAAATCTTTAGTTGGAGTTATTAATTTTCCATTTACAATTGCATTATTTTCTTTAAAAATTAACTAAGTATGATTATTTCATATTAGATGTCAAATAGCAGAGGAAAATTTATTTTTCTAAATATACATTTATCAGATAATTAATTTAAAGAATAAACTTTTTTTTTATTAAATTAATAAAATTTATGGTGATTTTTAAATATAAATTATCTAAAAATTTGAATTTTGTATAAATTGATCATTCATTAACAGTTTATTAGAACTAAAAACATAAAGATAATAATAAGTAAATTAATTTTACAGTTTCTTTTTATTTGCTTATCAAAATTAAAATTGAGAATATTCTTATTTAGTAAAATTCAATAATAAAAAATTAATAAATATTCTATCAAGCTGGAGTTTTAGTTTTTTTATTTTACACAAAATCAATTCCACCAGACATCTAAATATCATCTTAATTATTAAAATATTTCAGTTAAATATCAATTATTTTTGTTTATAATTCTTATGTCTCTTTTATTAGTTCCATCATCTTTACTTATCTTTTGTTCTATTAAGCAATTTTATTTTAATTTTGGTTATTATCAAATTTATTAGGTAAATTATTCAACTAATCTATTTAATCTTAATTATTTGACTCAACTTTACTAATTGAGTTTTATAGGTTATTATTAATTTTCACTTTAAAAATTCTAAACTTCTTTAGTATTGCATTAGAAGTATATTAAAATATTAAATTAAATGATAAAATCCAATTGTAGTAAGTAAATATTATAAAACAAATTATATCTGTTGTAGGGTAATAAGCATGCTCTTTATAAGATATTAATGGAAAATTTTTTTAATCTTTCATAGGAGCTCTCCCAATACCATTTTCAATGGCTTTTTCACCTCTAAAAAAATTGACATAACAAGATTGTGGTTCCGTGTAATCAGAAATATCAAATTTGTTAGGTAAACATAACCAACTAGCTATCTTAACTTAGCTCCATAAATAATCTGTTCTGCAATTATTTCCTTAAAATAATTTAATTAATATATGTTAATTAATTTTTTAAAAATTTAGACTAAATTACCTCCACTGGATCCACCTCCGAATCTTCCTCCATGGCCACCACCACCACCACCGCCACCACCACCACCTCCTCCTCCGCCTCCACCTACAGCTAAAAATCTATGAGTTTGATTTATGCTTATATTATTTGATTCATCTTGAAGCAATAGTCTAGTATCATTATCTTTAATATCCTCTCCACATCTGTTTAATTAAGAATTTATTAGAATTTAGTTTCTAATGGATAAAATAATTTAATTACCTTATTGAATCGTATTTGCCATAAAATCTGTAAGGGTATATGGGCTTAAAAGTATGTCCTTAAAATTAATCTGAAGCACATGCTTAGCCTAGATATTATTGACCTTAGTATTCAAAGTTAATATATAGAATAGAATATTTCTCATTCCTTTCTATCCAGTTTTTTAGCTAACCAACCATTTAACAGTTATCTACTTTTTAGAATTCAATAGAAGCTGCAGGGTGAAAGACTAAAAAAAAAACAGTAAAAAAGATAGGACAGCAGATAAAAAACATGAAGCAATTATAACAATTAAAAGCATTAGTCAAATCTGTTTTAGGTTTCCAGAATACATAGTATTAAATTACTACCAATAAAAAGTATATAGGACAGCAAATAATCAGATAAATAGCTAAATAATTTGACAGTTGCATCAGTCCAGTCACTAGTATAGCGACTAATAGGGTCTAGGCTTATGTCACAAAGAAATGAGTTCTTTGATCTGGGTCTGGATCTTTATTTTGATTATAAAAAAATATAGGATCACTATTATTTTCCATTTGTTATTTAAATTTATGATATATTTTTATATAAAAAATTGATTATGTTATTAATTAGATTTGTCTTTTTCAATATTGCAATTACTATTTTTAGTTAGGTATATAAGTAATAGAACCTTGATTTCTAAAAATATAATTACTTTGTTTCTATAATAGTACTATCTACCTAACTATTTTATTATTGAATTTGATAAATTAGTAATAATAAAATCGAATAGAATGTATTTATTAAAATCATTCTTTGTTTAGAGGTTTAAAATTAAATGAATTTATTTAATATTTTTGTGTTTTAAAAATTTTATAATTATAAAATAAAGACTAAATAATTTAAGGTAGAATTAATATTTCTTGTTTTAGATATTTTTATTAAATAATTTTAGTAATAGCTAATAAAAAAGTAATTTAATAAGAAAAGTTTCTCAATATTTCTCAAATTGTAAAGTATGATTATTGATAAATTTTAAGCTTTGTGAGTTTTCTATTTTTAGTATATTGTAAAAGAAAAATCAATCAGTAATATTACTAAGTAATTTTTTTAACTCAACTTCAAGCAAAAAAAAGTAGAGCTTTTTTAAAATATTCCAAATTCCTTGCAAATAAAAATATCATTTTAAAATTCATATTGATAGTAGTTTTATAATAATATTAAGTTAAATAATGTTTTTTGTACAATAAAATAAATATTAACCATGTCGTTTTTGTATTGATCAGAAAAATCAAACAATTTTTGAAATTTTTTTCTGATTATAATTTAAATCTAATAATCAAATATTTAAAATTTTTTAAAACAATTCTCAAATATTAAATATATATAAGTATTTTTATTTATAGTTATGATGCTTGCATATTTAAGTAAGTTTTGATTTTATTTGACAAAAAAAAAGTAAATAAAAATATAATTTAAGAATACTAATATTCGCATTTACAATGTTAACAAGATTTTATTAATGTCTAGATTATTAAGATAAATTGAAAAATTTTTCTCAAACTAATTTAAAATGATTTAATAAAATCTTTCTCAATAATAATTAAAAGATATCACAAATCTTAGTGTAATTATATATTATTTTTTTGAAATATTTTTTTTATAATAATTAAGAAAAATTAAATAAAGCTTTCTCAATCATAATTATGTATTTTTTTTCAATTACGAGCAAATTTTATTTGAATGCTTTTAAATTTTAATTTTATTTTAAAAATGAATTAAAAATTTTAATTTTCGCATTCACAATGTTAACAAGATTTTATTAATGTCTAGATTATTAAGATAAATTGAAAAATTTTTCTCAAACTAATTTAAAATAATTTAATAAAATCTTTCTCAATGACAATTAAAAGATATCACAAATCTTAGTGTAATTATATATTATTTTTTTGAAATATTTTTTTCATACTAAATTAAATAAATTTTTTCTCAATCATAATTAATTATGTATTTTTTTTCAATTACGAGCAAATTTTATTTGAATGCTTTTAAATTTTAACTTCATTTTAAAAATGAAGTATAAATAATTTTTTATCACTAAACTAAGTTTTTTATGATCAGAGTAATAACAAAAACAATTTTTAATTTAATCCTCATAAAAAGATTTTTTAATACAAAGATTTTATTTTTTGTTTGAAACAAATTCTTTTGTGTAATTAAAATTAGATAAAAATCCAAAAAAAAAGGACTGTTTAAAAAATATTATTTTTTTGATCTTAATAAATTAATGTTTTACTGTTGTAAAAAAAATAATGTTTTGTTTAAATCTCTACTTTAAAACATATTTTAATAAGTATCATAAGTTCCTTATTTTTAGAATTAATAGTCATAAAGAACTTTAAACTTTTTTGCTCATTTTATTATAAATATACCATCAATTCTTTAAATTAAGGTGATAATATCAAATAATAATGATAAGGAATATAATATTACTACTTATACTAAAAAATTAATAGTAAGCTTTAAACTTATAGATAATATAAATTGTTCAACTGTTATTTTAGAAAGTGCATAAATTTTATTTTAAATTTAGATACACTATTTATAGAGTTATATATTTAATTTTAGCATACTTTATATACTAGGACTGACTGTGTATCAATACATGTTAACAGATAAAAAAACATATTAGATTGAAAATTTGCCAAAATCATTAAAAAATGTAAGAACACTATAATTTTCCATTTGCTTTTAAAATGAATTATATATTTTATATAAAAAATTGATTATTATTCTAATCAAATTTACCTATTTTAATATTACAAATACTATTTTTAGTTAGGTAAATCAGTAATAGATAACCTTAATTTGTAAAAATAAAAGATATTTAATTACTTTTTCTAACAAAAATACCTTCTATTTTATTATTAAATTTAATAAATTAGTAATAGTAAAATCTAATAGCATTTTTCTCAATCATAATTAAAACAATGAGATATCACAAATTTTACTATATCTACTTTTTTATTGAACAAAATAATAACATTTGAATTTAATCTTCTCTTTTCATACAAATATTTTATTTTTTATTTTAAAAAAAATTTATTTTGGTAATTATAATTAGATAAAAATTCAATAAAAAACGAATGTTTAAAAAATTATATTTAAACCAAATAAAAAAAAGATAAATTAAAAAAACTTTTCTGTTAAATTTTTTGAATTCTTTGTGTTAAAAAAATTATAAATTATTTCATCTCAAAACTATATAAATACAATTAGTTTTTTTATTATTAATTTCAAAGCAAAGGATATTTAATAGAATTATCTATTTTTTCATTATTTTTAACTATATTATTTGAATTCTCAATTGGAAAATATTGATTAGAAACTTCTTATTTCAGATGCTAATCAATTTATTTAATAAATTAGTTTTAATATGAGAGACTTTCAATCTGATTTTTTACTTACACTTATTCTATATGTATTTAGTTAGTATTTAGATATGTGTTCAGTGTATCTTTATTTTATTGATCAATTTATATTTACTATATTGGTTATTTGTGAGACTGTTATTATTATGTTAGTATAGTTATCTAATTTCTTAAATTAATTTTTTTAATAAAATATTTAGTTGTACTAGAAAATAAAAAGTTAAGTGCTAATATCCAGGTATAATAAGAAAAAATAATTAAACAAACTAAATCTGCTTTAGGATAATAAGCCTGTGGTTTATATGATATTAGGGAAAATAATTTGGGTCTTTCATTGAGTTCTTAATTTTTTTTCCATTTTCAACTACGTTATTTCCTTTTAAAAAATTAACATATTAACATAAAATCCTCTCTTCTAACATAACCAACTAGCTATTTTACTTTACTCCATAAGTAATCTCTTTTACAAACACCTAATTAAAATTAAAAATAATTTTAAATTTTTAGTTTGAAAAATAAATTTCATATTTTATAGGATGAAATTCCTCTAATTAATCTTTTTTTACTATCTCCATCAGTTTAATTTTAAGTAGTTTGGGTTAATAATATATTATCATTTGGATCTGTATTATCTCCATCAGTAGGACTGCATCTAATTAGTATTACAAATATAATTTAATATTTTTAAAAAAATGAGCAAACTAACTAAATGTATTCCATCATTTTTATAAAAATATTAATATATATTGATAAAAATTAGAAGAATACGCTTATCCTAAATATTGTTAGCCTTCATACTCAAAGTTTACTTAAAGTATTCAGTACTTTTCAGTGTGTTCAATCCAATCACTTATTTACCCTATCATTTAGCAATTTTCTACTTTTGTAAATTCAAAAGAAGCAGTTGGATGAAAAATACCAAAGAATACTTTTTAAAAAAACTGGACAGCAAACTAAGAATACAATGGAACTGCATACATCAAAAAAGAATGAATTTTTATGATCAGGTTTCCAACAAACAAAGTACTAAACAGAGACTATGAAGAAATAGATTGGACAACAATAGACTAGATATAAGGCTAGATGGTTTGATAATTGCATCAAGCCAGTAGTTATAAAAAACAGGATGAAACTTTAAATTTAGGTTAAAAGAAAGCTATATTTTTATAAGGTTTCTTCGTTTTGCTTTTACAATTAAAAGATTAAGGTTATTTTTGCTCAAGTTCGTTTATCTTTATTTTCCATTTTATTGTTTATTGTTTAAATATTAATTAAATGATGATAATTTTTTTTCATTTAAAATAACTTTTTTTTTTTGTCTCTAATTGGTTGATATGTTTATCTATCTATTTACTAAAAATTTTTATCCTCTTCACATTAAACTCTTCTTACATTTATTTTTAATTAAACTAAAAAAGTTTCTCTAAATTGAAAAAAAGTATATTAATAATGTATATTAAAAAAAAAACTAAATTTATTTAATATTAATCTTTAATCATTCAAAATCAAAAACTGATAAGACAAAAAATTATAGCCACTTTTGGCCTTTATACAAATTAAATTTTTCAATCATCTTAAATAAATTTAACTTTTTAATATTGAATAAGTTTAAATTATAATTTTTGATAAGTCTGACTTAACTCAGAAATTTAGGAAAATGAGAAAACAGATTCAAGCATTTAGTAAATGCAAAATAGAAATATTACTAATATCAAGTAAATAGCGTAATTTTTCTATTCTTATATAACGATTTGAGTGATATTATTTTTTATAATTATTATTTAAAAATTAAGATGATAATATAAATTGACATATTTTTTTGGGTGTCAATAAAAAAAGTATATGGTTTATTACTGACATTTTTCATTTAATTAAAAATAAATAATTTGAACAATTATGATATAAATTATATTGTGTTGATGAATTATTTTTTTTGAACTATTACTAAATAATTAGTTACAAATATTTTCTTCTAAATTATACAAGATTACTGTTCAACTATTTTAATATAATGAATTAGTAATAGTTAATATTACTAATTTAACAAACGCAATACAAACATTTATTGGTTATTTATCTCTCCTAAAATATATTTCAATTTGCAACTAAAAATTTCTTAATTTGAAGCTAATCACATCAGTATTCTAGCATTCATGTATTGATTTGAACGTAAAAATTTATTTTAAAGATTGACTTTCGCTAAATATAGATTTATATAAATAAACAATTAATTTTGACATTATTAAATTATTTGTTTATATTATCGATGATGATATATCATTAATTTTTAAATCGCAACTCACACAAACAGTTCATATGCTTAATTTTTTACAAAAGTAAATAAATGTACTGCGTATGCTACAAATAGAAGTCAATTGTTTATTATAATTATTTAATAATACTATCCCTTTTAAAAAATTGATTTTAAAAATTGGGTGTAAAAAATTAATCGCCAGATCACACTTTTCCTCTTATATACAAAATTAGCTTAAATCATAAAAATTAAATGAAATTTATGGATTAGCAATATAATAAAAATTTAATACTGAGATAGCATCTAAATTGGAGATTTTATATGTAACTCTCTTTGTCTACTAAATGGTATACATTTTACAAAATCTCTTCAATTTTGAAGTAAAAAATTATATATTTTTAAATATTCACCAGCATTACTGTAAGCTTAATGAATTTAAAGATTTATAAAATGAAATTTTAATGAAGAATAATAGAAATGTAATATATTTTTGTATATTATTAATATAAAATGTAAAAAAAAAATACACACACATTTATATATATACTCAAAGGAAAGGATATTTCTATTAACTATCCTTTTTTTATGTATTTTTTACAACATCATCTTTACTTTCATCTGAACCTAGAGGTAAAACGGGAACTTAATTTAAATCAGATAAGAAATGGCATCTTTTTTCATATTAATTCATAGGGTTTGATATTTATTATTATTCTTGGATATCTTCAACATTTTTTGTTATTTTGAAGTTAATATTTTCTTAATGTATTTAATTAACATTTGGCATTGTATTTAACATTTCTTTATTTTATTATTCAAGTTAAATTTATTAAACTGATTATGGATCAAGTTTTTGTTCTAAAACTGGAATTGCTAACTCATTTCTTTTTTTAATTTTTCTGCGAATACATTTATTTGTGCGATTAAATATACAACTAAGGGATAGTATCCAACTATAATAAGTAAATACTATTAAGCAAACTAAATCTGACACAGGGTAGTATGCGTGTGGTTAATATGTTATAAGAGGGAAATTACTTGAGTCTCTCATTGGAGATCTTTATATACCATTTTCAACTGCTTTTCTTCCTTTATAAAAATTAACATAACATGATTGAGGTTCCATTAATTTTTCTACATCATATCCTCTAGATTAACATAACCAGCTGGCTATTTTTACTTAGCTCCATGTGTAATCTCTCAAGCATCCAGCTTTTTAAAATTTAAATATTATTTATTTTATTATTAAAATTAGAAAAATAAATAAGTTTTGTACGTGTAGATGAAACTCTAGCAAGAAATCTTTTTTTGCTTTCTAACTCTGTTTAATTAAAATTGTTTTAAGATAATAATCTAGAATATGGATATTATGGATCTGTTCTATTTCCATCTGATGACCCACATCTAATTAATAAAAAGAAATATTACTTATTTTATGCTTAAACAAGTTTTAACTTACTTAATTCCCTCATATTTAGAATAAAAATAATAAGCAGGAGCTTCATTAAATATATGAGAATCATGGAAATTAGAAGCACAAGCTTGTCCTAAGTATTTTTAGCCTTCGAATTCAAAGTTGATATAGAGTATTGAGTATTTCTCCGTATTTTCAATAAAGTTACTTAATTAGCCAATCATTTAGCAATTTTAAGCTTATACTAGTTCTACAGAAGCGGTTGGATGAAAACAGCCGAAAAATACTCCAAAGAATACTGGTAAACAAACTACAAACACAATCAAACTACATAGTTCAAAAAAGAATGTAAATCTGTAAACTTAATACCAACAACAAGTGTATTAGACTAAAACTATAAAGAAATACATTGGACAGCAGTAAATCAAGTAGATAGCTAGATGGTTTGATAATTACATTAATCCAGTAGTGATAATTGCGACAAGCAAGCATTATAACTATACTATATAAAAGCGATACTTCTAATAGGTATTAGGTTCTTTTGTTGTGACTTCAACAGGAGATGGGTCTTTTTGCTCAATTTCTTCTTTATTTTCTATTTAATTTTTCTTATCGAGCTCCTCTTTCGTCTCAATTTCCTCTTTATTCATTCTTTGATTATTATTATTTTTTTGCAATTTTTTAATTAAATTAATCAATTATTTTAGTTTAATTACTTATTTTAATTAAGTACTGCTCTAATTAATGTATACATATTAAACTAAAAATTTAAAACCCACCACACATTTAACACTTCTGATACAATCAGTTAATTAGTAATAGCTCCTAATTGAATAAAAGTGCATTTACCTTAAGCAAAAATAGTATTGAATGATTATAAAAAATTTATTTACTAGAGATGATGATTTTAAAGAAAGAGGGGGTTAAATCAAAAAATTTAATAACTACTTAGAATATATATTTTTATTCTTAGTAAATTCAACTCACTCACTCGCTCACTCACTGAAGAAGTTCAAATTATTAATTTTACTAATCATTATAAAATAAATTAAATTCTTAAAATAATTTCAATGAATATCATATACTGTACGTTTTCCTTAATTAATGGCGATTTATATTTTAGTTATTCTCGAATAATTATTTCACTAAAAATGTACTTGTGTTTTAATATTCGGGTTAATATTTCTGCTTTATTTATTCAAATAACAGTATGCTTTTTTATATTTTGAGGGTAAACATTTTTTATAGTTTATAAATTTGTTTTAAATATTTTAGAAAATAAACATTCTTATTTAACAAGAAAGTTCATTCAAAATCTTATTAATAAAAATAAAAATAAAACATATTTATCATCTATTATAAAGAACTATTTTGATTAAACATTTTTTTAAATTTTAAATAAAAGTTAACAAAAATAAATAAAATGCATATTATGGAAATCGATTAATTTACAATTTATTAGAGCTACAAACAAAGGAATAAAAATAAGTAATTGCAAACAGTTTCTTCTTATTTACTTTTCTAATTTTAAAAATATTCTAATTTAGTAATAATCAATAATATAAAATTAATAAATCTTCTTTCAAGCGAGTACTTGAGTTTTTTATTTTGACCCAAAATCTATTCCAGTAAGTGGGTGGTTATATCTCTTAATTTATTAAAACATTGTTATTCAACATAATTTACTTTATTAAATTCTTATTAATTACTAATAGGAACAATCTTTTAAAATTATTTATAGGCTTTGGATTAAATTATTTCATTTTAATTTTGCTTATTTTTATTTGGTAAATTATTCTAACTAAACTGCTTAATCTTAATTACTTTAATCAGCTTTACTAATTGTATTTTTTTTATTCTTATTGATTTTTTTTAAAAAAATTCTAAGCTTTTTTAGTATTGCATTCGAAGATTATTAAAAAAAACAGCTAAAAAGATAGGACAGCAGATAAATAACATTAAGTAATTATAAAGATTAAAATATTTTTTTTTAAATAATTCTCAAATATTAAATATATATAAGTATTTTTATTTCTATTTCTATTACTTATTTAAGTTTTGATTTTATTTTAACAAAAAAAAGTAAATAAAAATATAATTTAAAAATATTAATTTGGCAATCTAAACTTTAACAAGATTTTATTAATGTCTAGATTATTAAGATAAATTGAAACATTTTTCTCAAACTAATTTAGAATGATTTAATTTAATCTTTCTCAATCATAATTAAAAGATATCATAAATCTTAGTGTAATCAAATTTTATTTTTTTGAAAGAATTTTTTCTTACTAATTTAGAAAGATTAAATAAAGTTTTCTCAATCAATCTACTTTTTTTCAATTACGAGCAAAATTTATTTGAATGCTTATAAATTTTAATTTCATTTTAAAAATGAAGTATAAATAATTTTTATCACTAAAATATGTTTTTTTATGAGCAAAATAGTAACAAAAAATAAATTTTAATTTAATCTTCAGAAAAAGATTTATTAATTCAAAGATTTTTATTTTTTGTTTAAACAAATTCATGGTATTTTTTTAGAAAAAAGTAATTAAATATCTTTTATTTTTACAATAAAGCTGCAGATATCAAAAGATAATGAAAATTTATGATCAGGATTCCAACAAATAAAGTATTAAACTAAGACTATGAATAAATACATAGGACAACAATAGACTAGGTATATAGCTAGATGGTTTGATAATTGAATCAAACCAGTAGTTATTATAAACAGAATGAAACTCTAAATTTAGGTTATAAGAAAGCGATATTTTTTATAAGGTTTTTGTTTAAAATTAAAAGATTAAGGTTATTTTTGCTTAAGTTCGTTCATCTTTATTTTCTATTTTATTGTTTATTTTTTTAATATTAATTAAATGAAAGTTTTTTTTGAATTAAAATAACATTTTTTTTATATATTTCTAATTAATTGATATATTCTATTTACTAAAATTTTTAATCATCCTCACATTAAACTCTTCTTACATTTCTTTTTAATTAAACTAAAAAAGTTTCTCTAAATTGAAAAAAAGTTAATTAATAATGTATATCAAAAAAAAAAAACTAAATTTATTTAATATTAATCTTTAATCATTCAAAATCAAAAACTGATAAGATAAAAAATTATAGTCATTTAACCTTTAAACAAATTAATTTTTTCAATCATCTTAAATAAATTTAACTTTTTTATATTGAATAAGTTTAAATTATAATTTTTGATAAGTGTGACTTAACTCTGAAATTTAGGAAAATGAGAAAACAAATTCAAGCAGTTAGTAAAAGCAAAATAGAAAGATTACTAATCTCTAGCAAATAGCGTAGTTTTTCTATTCTTATTTAACTATTTGAGTTTTATTATTAATAATAATTTTTTTTCTTTTTACAAAATCTCTTTAATTTTTAAGGATACAAATAATAATTTAAATATTCACCAATATTACAGTAAGCTTAATTAATTTTGATTTATAAAATGAAGTATTAAAGAATAGTAATAAAAATGTAATAAATTTTTGTAATAAAACATAAAATAAAAAAAAAATATACATATTTATACTCAAAGTAAAGGGTATTTCTATTAATTATCTTTTTTTTATGCAATTTTTACAATATCATCTTTATTTCCATCTGAACCTATTGGTAAAACTGGAACTTAATTTAAATCAGATAAGAAATGATATCTTTTTTAATATTAAGTCATAGGGTTTGATAATTATTATTATCCTTGGATATCTTCAACATTGTTTGTCATTTTGAAGCTAATTTATTCCTAATGTATTGTATTTAATATTTCTTTATTTTATTATTCAAGTTAAATTTATTAAACTGATTATGGATCAGATTTTTGTTGTAAATCTGGTATTGCTTGCTTATTTCTTTATTTAATTTTTCTGAGAATACATTTAGTTGTGCGATGAAATATACAACTAAGAGATAGTATCCAACTATAATAAGTAAATACTATTAAGCAAACTAAATCTGATACAGGGAAGTATGCGCTTGGCTAATATGTTATAAGAGGGAAATTACTTGAGTCTCTCATTGGAGATCTTTATATACCACTTTCAACTGCTTTTATTCCTTTATAAAAATTAACATAACATGATTGAGGTTCCATTAATTTTTCTACATCATATCCTCTAGACTAACATAACCAGCTAGCTATTTTTACTTAGCTCCATTTGTAATCTCTAGAGCATCCAGCTTTTTAAAATTTAAATAATATTTATTTTATTATTAATATTAGAAGAATAAATTTAATACCTGCTGTTGAAATTCTAGCAAGAAATCTTTATTTGTCCTCTACATCTATTTAATTAATATTATCTTAAGATAAAAATCTAGAATATGGATATTATGGATCTGTTCTATTTCCATCTGTTGGCCCACAACTAATTAATAAAAAGAAATATTACTTATTGTATGCTTAAACAAGATCTAACTTACTTAATTCCCTCATATTTAGAATAAAATAAATAAGCAGGAATTTTATTAAATATATGAGATTCATGGAAATTAGAAGCGCAAGCTTATCCTAAGTATTTTTAGCCTTCGTATTCAAAGTTGATATAGAGTATTGAGTATTTCTCTGTGTTCTCAATAAAGTTACTTAATTAGCCAATCATTTAGCAATTTTAAGCTTGTACTAATTCTACAGAAGCGGTAGGATGAAAACAGCCAAAAAATATTCCAAAGAACACTGGTAAAGAAACTATAAACACAACAAAGCTACATAAGTCAAAAAAGAATGAAAATTTGTATTCTCCATACCAACAACAAGCGTATTAAATGAAAACTATTAAGAAATACATCGGACAGCAGTAAATCAAGTAGATAGCTAGATGATTTGATAATTACATTAATCCAGTAGTGATAATTGCTACAAGCAAGCATTATAATTATATTACCAAAAAGGAGCTAAAATTCTTATTAGGTTTTTTTGTTTTCACTTCAACAGGAGAAACATCTTTTTGCTCAATTTCATCTCTAAATTCTATTTCATTTTTCTTATCTAGCTCCTCATTAGTCTCAATTTCCTCCTTATTCATTATTAAATTATTATTTTTTGCAATTTTATTTAAATTAACCAATTATTTTAGTTTAATTACTTATTTAATTAAGTACTGCTTTAATTAATGTATACCTATCAATCTAAAATTTTAAAACCAACCACACATTAAACACTTTTGATACAACCAGTTAATATGTAATAGGTTGAAATTGAATAAAAGTACATTTACCAACAGTAAAAATAATATTGGATAATTATAAAAATTTATATTTATTAGAGATGATAAATATAAAGAAAGAGGGATTAAATAAAAGAATTTAATCACTTTTAACTGATTAGATTATCTAAATTTTTAGCTACTCTAAGCAAATTCAACTCACTCACTCACTAAAGAAGTTCAAATTATAAATTTTTCTAATAATGAAAAAACATTCTTGAATAATAAAAAATAAATTAAATTCTTCAAATAATTTCAATAAATGAATAAATACTACATATTTACCTTAGGTAATTCGTTTATTCTTTTCAAATATTTTAAATGTGTTCTTGTAAATAAATCATAATAAAAAATTAAAAAGTATTAAAAAGTTTATTTATTTTATTCTTACTAAACATTTAATTATCGATTCATAATATTACAGAATTATTTAGTAAGGTTATTTAAAATCTAATATAAATTTTTTTAAAAAAAAAACAATGGTTAAAATAAATTATAATTTAATTGAAAAAACAACAGTGTACCTGTTTTAAGATATGGGTTATCATTTCTGCTTTATTAATTAAAATAACAGTAAGATTTTTTATATTTTGAGGATAAACATTAAATTTTTTTTCAACATTTTAGAAAATAATCATTCTTTTTTAAAAAGAATGTTCTTTAAACATTTTATTCATAAAAATAAAACATATTTTTAATATATTATGAAGTATTTTATTGATTAAAGATTTTTAAATATTTACAATAAAAATTAACTAAAATAAAATTTACACTATTGAAAACAATTAATTTATAATTTATTAGAACTTCAAACAAAAAGATAAAAAAAAGTAATTAAAAACAGATTCTTCTTATTTACTTTTCTAATTTTAAAAATTTTCTAAATTAGTAATAGTCAATAATATAAAATTAATAAATCTTCATTCAAGCGAGTAAATGAGTTTTTTATTTTGACCCAAAATCTATTCCAGCGGATCGTTAAATATCTCTTAAGTTATTAAAACATTGTTATTCAACATAATTTATTCAATTAAATTCTTATTAATTACTGATAGGAACAATCTTTTACAATTATTTATTGGCTTTGGATTAAATTATTTCATTTTAATTTGGTAAATTATTCAACTAAACTGCTTAATCTTAATTATTTTAATCAGCTCTACTAATTGTATTTTATATATTCTTATTGATTTTCATTTTAAAAATTCTAAGCTTTTTTAGTATTGCATTAGAAGTATATTAAAATATTAAATTAAACGATAAAATCCAATTATAGTAAGTAAATATTATCAAACAAATTAGATCTGCTTTCGGGTAATAAGCATGCTCATTATATGAAATTAATGGAAAATTTTTTTAATCTTTCATAGGAGCTCTCCCAATTCCATTTTAAATGGCTTCTTCACCTTTAAAAAAATTGACATAACAAGGTCGTGGTTCCATGTAATAAGAAATGTTAAATTTATTAGGTAAGCACAACCAACTAGCAATTTTAACTTAGCTCCACAAATAATCTCTAGTGCAACTATTTTCTTAAAATAATTTAGTCAATATATGTTAATTGAATTTAAACTAAATTACTTCTATGAAGCAAACCTATAGCTGCTGCAGTTAAAAATCTATGAGTTTGATTTATGCTTATATTATTTGATTAATCTTGAAGTAATAGTCTAGTATCATTTGCGTCTGTATTATTTGTATTATCAGCTCCACATCTGTTTGTTTAATTAAGAATTAATTAAAAATTAATTTCATAAGCATAAAATAATTTAATTACGATAATGAGTCATATTTGTTATAAAATTTGTAAGGACATATGGAACTGTAAGTATTTCCTTAAAATTAATCTGAAGCACATGCTTAACCTAGATATTATTGACCTTTGTATTCAAAGTTAATATATAGAATAGAATATTTCTCATTCCATTCTATCCAGTCTTTTAGCTAACCAACCATTTAACAGCTATTTACTTTTTAGAATTCAATAGAAGCTGTAGGGTGAAAGAATAAAAAAAATAAACAAAAAAAGATAGGACAGCAGATAAAAAACATTAAGCAATTATAACTAATAAAAACAATAGTCAAATCTGTTTTAGGTTTCCAGAATACATAGTATTAAATTACTACCAAAAAAAAGTAGAAAGGACAGCAAATAATCAGATAAGTAGCTAAATAATTTGACAGTTGCATCAGTCCAGTCACTAGTATAGCGACCAATAGGGTCTATGCTTATGTCGCGAAGAAATGAGTTTTTTGATCTGGGTCTGGATCTTTATTTTGATTATAAAAAAATATAGGAACACTATTATTTTCCATTTGCTATTAAAATAAATTATATATTTTATATAAAAAATTGATTATCATATTAATCAAATTTGCCTTTTTCAATATTGCAAATACTATTTTTAGTTAGGTAAATCAGTAATTGATAAACTTAATTTGCAAAAATAAAAGAAATTTAATTAGTTTTTTCTATAAAAATACTATCTATCTATTATTTATTAAATTAGGCAAATGAGTAATAATAGAATCTAAAAGTATGTATCTATTAAAATCATCCTTAGTTTAGGAGATTAGAATTTGGTGAATTTATTTTATATTTTTAGGTTCCAAAGAAGATTTCATAATAATGATTTAAATACTACATAATTTAATGTAGTATTAATATCTCTTCTTTTTTCAATGTTGATCATAAATTTGAGATTTAGGAATTTTCTATTTTTAATATTTTGAATAAGAAAAACTAGTAAAATAAAATAACTAACACATTTTTAAAACTCAACTTCAACAATAAATGTAGAACCTTTTTTAAAATATTCCAAATTACTTGCTTATAAAAATATAATCTTAAAATTCATTTTAATAGTATTTTTATAATAATATTAAGTTAAATAGTGTTGTACAATAAAATATTAGCGATGTTATTTTTTTTAAATCAAAAAAGTCAAATATTCTTTTAAATTTTTTATCTGATCATAATTTAAAATATAATAATCAAATATTTAAAAATTGTTAAAATAATTCTCAAACATTAAATATATACTTATTTTTATTTATATTTATGAAGGAAGCTTATTTAAGCTTTGATTTTATTTCACAAAAAAAGGAAGTAAGAATAGATTTTAACAAAATTTATCTTCGCAATCACAATTTTAACAAGATTTCATTAATATATAGATTATTAAGATATTTTGAATGATTTTCTAACCAATTTAGAAAGATTAAATAAGGTTTTTCTCAATATAATTAAAACAATTAAGATATCACAAACATTAATGAAATTCTTTTTTATTTTTTTGAAAGATTTTTCTCAAACTAATTTAGAAAGATTAAATAAGGTTTTTCTCAATCATAATTAAAACAATTAAGATATCACAAACATTAATGAAATTCTTTTTTATTTTTTTGAAAGATTTTTCTCAAACTAATTTAGAAAGATTAAATAAAAGTTTTCTTAATCGTAATTAAAACAACGATATATCGCAAATCTTAATTTATCTATTTTTTATTTTTTTTTCAATTTCGAGAAAATTTTGTTTGAATCTTTTTGAATTTTAACTTGATTTTAAAAGTGAAATATAAATAATTTTTATTAATAGTCTTAACTTTTTTATGAACAAAATAATAACAAAAGAACAAAAAACTATTTTAATTTAATCTTCAGAAAAATATTTTATGATACAAAGACTTTATTTTTGTTTTAAACAAATTTTATAGTGTAATTAAAATTAGATAAAATTGAATTAAAAAAATGCTTAAAAAATAAAAATTAAACTAAATACCTTTCTTTAAATGTATCATTTTTATTATACTTATATTAATAAAAATAAATTTAAAGTAAATTCATAAAAAAATAAATAGTAACTTCTTCTAATTTGTTGTACTTTTTAATCTATTATGTCATTTATTTATTTCTTCAAAAATATTGAATAGCAATTAATGGAAATTTCAGTAATTTTTTGTATATAAAAAGAACAAATAAATTATTTCAATTTATAAATTTGCTTTTATTAAGAGATATCACAAAAAAGTTAGAGTAATATTAACATTGCATTTTAAAATATCACTTAAAAATATAATAGTAACTAGAGATGGGTAGTTAGTAAGTAATATGTAAAAATAATTCGAATTGTTACTTTTCTTAAATTTTATTATAATAATTTTTATTTTAGATTTTTTTTCTATTAAGGGAAATTTTTATAATATCTCTAATTATTATCTAATCAAATTAGTTTTTATTGCAAGCATGTTTTATTTAGATATAAAGCTTGCATGAATCAAATAATTGAATTTATTTATGCCTATTTAATTAAATTTTAAATAAATAGATTAAATATTTTTATATCTTCAACAATTAATATAAATTTTTTAAAAAATTAATAAACTATGCAATATAAAGGATATTGGTTGGGACTGCAAACTTATTACAATGAATAAATTTTTTTGAAGTATTTACAAATATCCTAAAAAAGTAAATTATTTTATTTTTAAATATTTCTTCTTTTAGAAAAAATACAATATAATAGTAGAATAATAGATAGATAAATGATTTAAAATATTTAATTAATCAATAAATTCTTTTTATAGTGAAAGCATAAATATTTTGAGAATTAAAATTTATCGAAAAATATAATTAAAACTACTTGATAGAAAAATAAATAACTTTTATTTAGAATAAAATATTAAACTTTAATATGATCTAAAAATTATCTAAAAAAACTTAAAAAATAATTTTTACATAGTTTGTTTTTTTTAGATAATTTCTATTTATAATTATTTATTATTTTGCTTTATTGATAGAAAGAAGAGATTTAGCCCTTAAGGAAGGATAGTAACCAAAGCGGTTCTAAATCCAATTCCTATTGAGACTGAGTAGTTTTTAATAATAAATTTTAATCATTTTAAATATACGTTAAAATTTTGAAAGAAAATTAATTTATTTATTCATTATTTTTATTATTTTTAATTAAAATAAATATAAAACATAACTTGACTATCATAAATAATTATTTACTTACTTAAGTATAAAATTTATTTTATTTTTCATAGTAATATAAAAAATATATTTATAATTTTAAGATTATTATATTAAATCATAAATATATAGAAAAATTTTAATATTGATGCAATTGCATTTGGCTATTATAATTAAGTTATAATAGCCATTTTATTAAATAAAAGAATAAATCAAAAAATTATACCACCTAAATATCATTTGTAATAATAATTTTAGTATAAATCTAACTAGTTTAGATCTATTTTTAAATTCTTTTGTTTTAAAAATAGATAGGATTTTTATAATTTCAGATGATTTTTCTTACATAAAATAAGGTTAAATATCTTCAAAATATAATATTTTTATACAAACCCTTATCTTTACTTGATATTATAAATTATTTTAAAATTGATAAATTTGATTTTTTTAATTAGTTTATTTTTTTTTATTATTAAATCGTTACTAAAATTATTTTTATTTTTTAGCCAAAATTTTAGTAGAAAATAAAAATAAAGATCTTAATTTACTTAAATCTAAACACATTTAAAGAAATGCATGCCAATTTTTATCAACTTTGTAACAAAAAACTGATTAGTTTATTTAATAAAAAAGTTAGCTTTAAAATCATTGTTAAATAAGTTTAGTTAGTATTTATTGTTTTTGTTTTTAAGAAATAAATATTTAGAATTTGTATGAAAATTAAAGTGTTTTATTTAGTTTATAAACAAACATTCATAGAAAGATATTTACTATTACTGATATAATAAATGCATTTTCTTTCGTTCTAATATTTCAAAGTAATAAAAATAAAGATTTATTAATTTGTTGTAATAAATGGATTAGAATTAATTGCTGCAATTAATAATATTAAAGAGTATGTTTGTATGGATATAAGATGCTTAGTATTTATTAAATTAGAATTATAATCATTAAATCAGTTATTGAATTAAATATTTAATCAATTATGATGGAAATATATTTACTATGACTGATATAATAAATACATTTTCTTTGGTTCTAATATTTCAAAGTAATAAAAATAAAGATTTATTAATTTGTTGTAATAAATAGATTAGAATTAAATGCTGCAATTAATAATATTAACAATATTGTTTGTATGGATAAAAGATGGTTAGTGTTTATTAAATTACAATTATAATGATTAAATCTGTTATAGAATGAAATATTTAATGAATTATGTTACAGTGCTGTAAATTTAGAAGTAGAAATTAAATTTTTATTAAAATTAAAAAAGTAGAAGTGATTTTTAATACAAAATAAAAACTAAAATTGTGGATACAGATAAGTGAAGTAATAATAAAATAGATAGATTGAATGCTTGCTATGAATAAAAGGTATATATATACCTTTTTTATTAGAAGAACAAATACAGTTAGCTAAAAAATAATATTCAATTGGAATAGAAAGAAAGAAAAAAAGCAAAAGTTTGTTTAATTGGATTTCTACCCAAAATCAATTTTTGTAAATCGAACATCAAGAATAAGATTTCTGATTGTTTTTATTAAAAATTACTTAATACATTTCTAAATTTAAATTAATCAAAAATAGACAACATTTTAAAGAAAACTTAAGGATTATAGATAAAATAAAATGAGCCAACCCTTTTAAATGGAGAATTCATTCAGCTTTTAGGGTTCCAATTAATAGAATATAATGGAAAGCATGATTATATCCTAAAATTGTAGCTCTAATGTTTTTATAAATACAGATAAATAAGAGAAAAAGGATTATAACAACGTGTTCGATTTTAAAGATAACTCTGAAGCAAACATTGAGTTTGTTACTGAAAATTAGGTATTGAATGTAACAAAAAATCAGACTTAAGTCGTAGAAGAAGAAGATTATCATAGGCCAATTACTGTTTTATAGTCAAATATAGCAGATAAACTAGATTAAAAATAATATAATGATCTAGGAGATCCTGAAATTATTGATAATAGCACTTATGTAACAAAGATACTAAAATGCATACAACTAAAATTGAAATAGGATTAATAATAATAAGAAAAAATGAATCTTCCAGATTAAATTTATGAGAGCGATGGAGCTGAAGAAGTAAAGGTAGGTAGATCAAAGTTATCAAACAAAATAGTAATTAGCGATGAACTAAGCTCGATAAGTACAAATCATGCTTCATTTTACTGGAATAAAGAAAAGCAATCGTGGTATTTAAACGATAATAATTCTAAAAATGGGTCATTTCTAGTGATTGATAATTCCCCTATTAAGCCAAATGACAGAATAGCAATAGGACTTTTTTAGTGTACAATAGATTATAGTATAAACTTTATGATAACTGATTTTGTACTCACGTTTAAATGCATGGTTGATGATTCAATAGAGCCTTTTTAAATAACAAAAAGCGTTCCTTTTGATGAAAAGCTCATAATAGGAAAATTACATTAACCCTAGCTGAAAGATGATCCAATGATTGCCAACAACTAATGCTACATATAATTTTAAAAGAATAAAATAAAAATTTGGAATTGTCAAGAGGCAGATTATAAAATAGCAAAAATAATATAGCCTGATAAATCAGTTAAGATAAAAGATTAAGATATTATAAGATTTGGATTGGTAAACTATTATATATTTTCATAATTTGTTAAAAAGATTGAATCTAAACAATCAAGAATGCTAAAGTGTCTAAACAATGAGAAAAACTTGGATACAATTACATCTATTTCATCTTCTATTGAAGGAGAAGATTGTTGTATTTGTTTCATGACTTCTAAAAAGATATGTATTCTAAATCCTTGCAATCACTCAAGGATTTGTATTCACTGTGTAATTAAATTGATGGAGTCTAAAAAGAATTGTCCAATTTGCTAATGTTAATTTAAAGATTTTAAGTATAAAGAGTGAAAAAACGAAATCAAAAGTAAAATCTTATTTAGTTTAATAGAATCTTAGATTCCTACCAAGTAAAAAATAGATATAAAAGAAATAGATATATCTATTCACTTAATTTATCGAATAAAAGAAAAAATAATTAAAACTTGAGATGAATCATTCATTCATTCTAAGTTTTAATAATAATAATATATGAAATTTATCTATTTAAATTTTGAAAACCATATAAAAAGAAAGAAAAATAATTTATTTGTCGTTAACTTAATAAAATAAATATAATTTAAATTGTAGTTTATTCCTATATTTAGATAGATATCTTTTCTTAAATAAAGTATAAAAAAACAATCAATCTTCTATTTATTTTGTTTTTTATTATTACAAAAAATAAAAAATAGTTTTAGCTAATTTTTTAAAATCATTCTAAAACAAATTTATTTCAATTTTTTATTTTGTTGAAAAAATAAAAAAAATATATTATTAAATATTAAAGATCTTTTGAAAGTATATATAAATATAATCTTTTTGAGTAAATTTTTAATACCCCTGAAAATTTTAACTAAAACAATAAAACTCAAAGCTAATTTTTTATCTTTATTTAAAGGGGAGATAAATTATAATTTTAAAAAATAAAATTTAAAACGATTATGTGTGATTGCAATTTAACTGGAAATTTGAATTTCATGTTGAATTAAAATTGTGCAAAAAATAATATTTTTAAATTTACTTAAATTATTAAATACAGAATTTATCATCTAAATTAATGCTTGCCAAGTTCTATCCATGAGATATTAACCTTTTTACAATTTTTTTTGTGCTTAGAAGCATTTATAAAAAATTTTGATCATAATTAATTTGATTAATTTTATAAGATCTCATTATTTATATGAATAATAAAAAAAAAATAGAATTCAGGGCAGACTTTTTGCAAGATTTGCCAGTTAGTATGAGTAAAAGTGTCGATATGAAAATAAATTCAGTTGGTAGTTAGAAGGACGAAAAATAATCTGAATTAGTTGATACACCATACTTTGAAAAGTTAGATTCGTTATGTGATCCTGATTTGTTTAAAAACTAAATAGAATTTCAAAATTCAATATCAGTCAAAGCTTCTACATTGACTTACGAATTTAGTTTACAACCAAAATGTGAGGATTAGTCTTCTACTGATAAAGAGGAAATATAGGAGACCAAATAAGAAGAAAATTAATTTGATTAATTTGAAAATTAAACTGATAAAGACGATTTAAATCTGTCTATACTGAAACCAGAGATTTTTCATCCAACTGTTTAGAGGCCAATAATTAAAAGAAACTTTGAAGCTATAAATGAATACAGAATTTAATTTAAAGAAATAAAAAGAATTTTAAATCCAAAAAAGAGACCTCATGAAGATATAGAAAGATACTTTTTAGTAAGAGAAAACAAGGATGTTTTGATAGGAGCTAGCACAGAATGCGATTATGTTATAAGTGATCCTTTAAAATCAATAAGCAAAAAGCATGCTACTTTAAGATATGAAGAAGAATATCGCTAATGGTTTTTAATTGATAATAATTCTATAAATGGAACTTATATTGTATAGGATGAAATAGTTTTAAAGGCAGATATGTAGTTGCTTATCGGTACATTTATTTGCGAGGTAAAAAGTATTTTCTCTCTGGATAAAGAGACTAATAGAGTTTGCTTATTCTTTTCTAACCTTGTAGATGAATCAATCCATTCTTTTCTTCTAGAATTCGATATTAAACAGGAAGGAGATGCATACTAAATAGGCAAAAATTTCTAAAAGTAGCTCAAAGAAGATGAACTTATTGAAAACTTACATTGCAGTATTAAAATGAATTGTATCAAATAAATACTGATATTAAATTAGCCAGAAATCTACGATAAAGTTAGTATTAAGATATAGTAGAATACTCCTTTTAAACTAAATAACGAATGCATAATAAAATTTGGATTATTGAATAAGTACAAAGTATCAATTGGCAATAACAATTAAGTAGAAACTACTTTTTCTAAAATTTCTAATTAAATAACTAATTAAGTGTCTAATTTGTGTCTTTTTTGCTCTTAGAATGAATCAAAATTATATTATCTAAAGCCTTGCAATCACAAAGACCTCTGCTTATAATGTACATTAACAAAGAGCAATAACATATGTCCCTCATGTAAACAACCGTTTATTGATTTCAGCGAAAGTATAGATGACTGAAAATAAAAAATAAAGGAACAGTTTATTAAAATTAATTAATAATATTTGCAGTATTTCAATTTTAAAATTTTTATTTATTTTATAAAAGGTTTTGTATTTATAAATTTATATTATCATGCAAACAACTATTTATTGACTTTAGTGACAGTATAAATGATTGAAGATAAAGGAACAATTTATTAAAATTAATTAATAAAAATAAATAATATTTGCAGTATTTTAATTTTAATATTTTTATTTATTTTATTAAAGGTTTTGTATTTATAAATTTATATAACTAAAATCAGTATTAATTGCTACTAAAATATTATACATCTGTCTTAGAATTTAATTTTAAAACGATTGCAACTAGTTGATTTCTGTTAAGTGAATATCTTGTTTTGATTTAAACATAAATTATTTTTATTAATATGTTCTTATTAAATTTTTAGAAAGTTATTGTTTTATTGAAAAATGAATGCACTTAGAACGAGGTTGAGAAAAGATATATAATTTTAGATTTAAAACCAATATTTTTAGTAAGATATTTTTTAAAATTTAATTAATTATTTAAAGATATATCAGAAGCTTTTAGGCATACTAAGAAAAGGAGAAAAAAACTTTATTAAATAGAGTGAATCCAAAAGACAATAGTTAATTTACAGAAAAGGACATAGAAAATAAACATAATTTAAGTTAAAAATGGCTACATATGAAGATAAGAAAAAAGAATTTATAAATTCTGTTATTGGAAAGATAGTTTGTATAGAATTGAATGACGATAGAAAAATATATGGCCAATTGATTTGCGTAGATAAGTAAAGAAATATGGTGATCAATGATTCAATCACTGAGGTTGATGTAAAATATAATACACCAATCAATAAAGATCTTAAAATATATTTAAGAAATGATATCCTTGCTAAAAAATATATTGAGTTACCACAAGATGTGCTTAATAACTCTGAAAAATTAGAGAAATTTAATGAAATATTTAGATAAAATAAATTTTGGTCTGGAAATGTCATAATAGCTGATAAGCACATGAGAAAAATTTATGTTACTAAAACAAGTGTTGAATAGGAATAGCAATGATTGAATTTCTTTATCTGATTATATTCTTCAACAAAAAGCCATATAATGCATATTGGTATTATTTAATGTAAAAAAGAATAAAATTCCTAAATAAACAAGATAGTTAGTTAATTATTAAGCGTATTTATTTATTTTGTTAGATATCTAAAGAGATTTCTTACTTTAAAGCCAAGATAATAAAATTTTGAATAAATTAAAGAATAAATAAATAAATCTTAAAAAATGACATCTACAGCTATGACTACTTATATATAGCTTCTATATTATTATAATTTATTTTTTATAAAATAGTATTTTCTTAATTTATTTTAACATCATAATTAATTCATTTAAATACTCTTTTATTTAAATTTAATTATAATTATTATATATAAATAATATTTCCTTTTCAAAATATTTCATTCATTTAAAAAGTTTTTTAATAATTAATTAAGAAAGTTGTTAAATGTAATAGTATAATATTAGGTTTGTAATTATTTTAGATGTGAAACTACAAAATTAATAATTATCATTAAAATCCACGATATTATTTTCATAAGATAAATCAATATATGTATGTATTTGTGATTGTTAATAAAATTTTTTTTTTATTTTGTTGAATTTAATATTAGATATTTATATATTTATTTATAAAAATTTATTTTTTATAAAATAGTATTTTTTTAATTTATTTTAACATTTTAATTAACTCATTTAAATATTCTTTTATTTAAATAGATATAATTAATATTTCCTTTTCAAAGCATATCATTCATTAAAAAATATTGATAAATATTTGAATAATTAATTTAGAAAGTTATTAAATGTAATAGTATAATATAAGGTTTGTAATAATTTTAGATGTAAAATTACATAAATAAAATAATTATAATTAATTGAAAATTCAACTTTAAAAAAAAAAAAATTTTATTAACAATCACACATACATAATATGCTGATTGTATGAAAATGATATCACTAATCTTAGATATTTATATATATATTTTTATTTATTTTTATCAAATAGTATTTTCTTAATTTATTTTATAACTTTAATTAATTCATTTAAAAACTATTTTATTAAATATATCAATAATCTTTCCTTTTCAAGACATATCATTCATTAAAAAGTACAGATAATTATTGAAAATAAATAATTAAGAAAGCTTTTAAATGTAATAGTATAATATTAGATTTGTAGTTATTTTAGATGCAAAATTACATAAATAATTACCATTAAGATTAGTGATATGATTTTTATACGATCAGTGTGCTTGATTATTAATAAATTTATAGTTGTTTTAAAAAAAGTTGAATATTATAAATTTATATATTTTTGAAATGAAGATATTTATTTATTTATCTATCTATTTTTTAAAAATAAATAAACAAAAGAATAAATAAATAAACAAATATTTTGATAATATATTTTAATAATTAATTTTTATATAATAGTATTTTGTTTGTAGAATCCAACACCTTATTTTATTTTATAATTTACTTATGCATTTATATAATCTTTCTGAATTAAGCAATCATTTATTTTTGTTGATTATTTCGATAATCTAAGCTTCCTATTCCAAATATTCCAACTATTCTTCACTAAATATTAAAGCTTATCCATTCTTATCATAAATGAATTTTCCGTAATCATCTTTTAATTTTCTATTTTCTTCTATTTTAACCTTAAGCTTTTATTCTTTTTACTCTTTAAGTGTGTTGTTGTAAAGTAATCCTGATATATTTATTTTAAAATATTTATTATCTTTAATTCAATAAAAATAATTTTTAATTTACTTCTTTTTATAAGATGAACTAAGTCATTTACCGCGCAGCTTGAGTTTAAGCTTTGGGAGTTACTTTGTGTTTCTGTTTATTTGATATAAATATTTAATTTATCATATTAAAAATAAATTATTTTACAGAATTGTTATGAAGTGTGATTTGAAGATTCTAGCTTAGGTATTTGATTATATGATGTAGTGTTTATATTTTTAAGTGGTTAAGAGAAACAATTTTAAGAGTTTTATTATATTATAGTTTGAGAAGTTAACTACTTATTTGAAGTTTAATGAGTTGATTGACTTCCCTCTGTCTTTAAATTATATATAGAACTATTAGAATAAGTAGGATCTTTGCAGTTGTTATTAATTGAGATGACTGTATTTGAAGTTGGAGATTTTATGAAAGCTTGTGGTAGTTAATTTTCTATATTAGATTCGGTATTACATCTTTTTTGAACAGTTCTTCTTGGTCTTAGTTATTTTCTAAATCCTGCTAATGGCTTTTTAGCAAATAAGTTAGCTTATTGAGTTTATAATAAAGACTATTTATTTTATCTATATGATTCTTATCCTGAAAGAGTTTTTAAATCTCTTAAGTTAACTTCACAGGTTTAAATCATCAAATCATTATTTTAATTCTCATGAGGATAAAAGAAAATGTCTTATTCATATTTATGTAATGTTTTTTGTTAGTTTGGGTGAGACGATTGTTCAGTTCTTAGTTTCTTAAAGTAGCTTTGAATTTCTCTCTAATTTTGATACTCTTCTGTCTGACATTTACCATTAAGAGATAGCTCTTGATCATAAACTTCATCATCATCATCAATATTATCACAGTCATCATCGAATTCTTCTTAATAATCCTCTAACTAATTAAAATCAAAAGGAGTTTATTAGCTCGTTTAATGTTTAGGATTAAGGACCTAGATATTAGACATAATATCTTGTTAAAGTGAATCAGCTATTGAGTGATTATTTCCATTATTTGACTAAATAGATGAAAACATTGAATTATTAGCTTCTTGTATTACATTTTATCTCTACTTTGATTCTTATTTAATTTACTTGAGCTCTTTTATAAGTGCGACAAGTTATTACGATTGCGTCTAAGTTTTCTTTTCAAAATTATCAATAAGCATTTTCTATTCTTAGATCATTTACTCTTTAAATCTCAAAGATTCCAACAGCTGTTTATTTTAATTTGTTAACTGAATTAACTAAGAATTAAAACTAGCTATTGATTAACTGGATAAATTGTTAGCTATTGTCGAGTTCACTTTAGAATCATTAAGTGTTGAGTTATTATTAATTTATTTTTTCCATTCAGCTGACTCTTTTTCATATTTTTCCTTTAATAATTTAAAATTTTCTTATATTTTTGATAAAGCTTCTACTAATTTATCGACCTTGTTTTACATTTGTGCTTCACTGGAGTATTAATTGTTTTTGCTAGTCATTACTAAATTTCTTACAATGCTCTCAAGCATATCTAATTTATTTTTATATTATTGCAAGCAAGAGGTGGCATTTTAAAATGAGACTGCTGCCTAATCTGTTCTCCTTTATGTATCTTAAAGTTTTTCAACTCCATTGGCTAACGAAGATAGATACCCACTTAGCTATTATTCAAGCTATTCAATCTTTTTAGTTTGTTCTTCTTCCATTGCCTTTATGCTTCCACTAATTGCATCTGTTCTAACTTTTAAAGAATCTAGATTTGGCAATATTTGATCATAAAATCCTTAATTCATTTCAATAAAAACACTTTTAACATCAGCAGTGTTTATTTTTTCTGATAAATTTAGTCCAAATGCATCTAAATTTGCTTTGAAATAAGCCTATCCTTCAAAAAAAACTTTCTCAATATCTGTTTTAAGCTTTGTTAAAAACTGTCCAACTTCTATAAAAGCTTTATCTTATTTTCCATCTAAAATTTAAAAAGAATTTTGGCATTCTTCTATTTATTTTTAAACTTAAGAGAAACTTTCATTCCATTTGGTTTCAATCAGCTTTGAAATATTTTCATTCATTTATTTCCCCATCTGATTTAAATATTGTTCTTCCACTTTGACTTTTAGGGTTTGCTGAAATTCTTAAATCTACTTCTAAATAATTGTTTACTCATAAGTAATTGCTTCTAATTTTTCTTAACAGAATTTATTTATTTTGTTGAAAACATCCTAATTTAAATTACATTTTAAAAATCAAAATAAAAATTTAGTATTAAATATATCTAACTAACTAAATAAATAAATAAATAAATTACTGTCTTAGAATTTGCAATCAACTCTTATATCTCATTTAACTTTCTATTTTTTATAAAAAATCAAATTTTTTCATCATATTAAATACTAATAAAATATTTATTCAATTATACCTTTAATTTTCTGTTTAATCGCCTATTATAACTTCAGCATTTTCATCTATAAATTTTTAAAGCTCTAATTTGTACTCAGTTATCACCTTCTTTGCTAATGCTGCATACTAATCTTCTTACAAAGCTTATTATTATGTGTTTTAAGATTTTTCATCAGCATATAAATTACCTTTGTTTTAACTTCCACCAACTTCAATAATGCTTTCGTAGTTTGGTTTAAACGGATAAATTTGCTAAAATTCATTTTGATTCTCATTTGTAATTTGATTATTTTATAAATTCTCTGCTTTTTAAGAAGGCTAAAATACTATACTCTAGATTAACGGTTTAGGATTTTTGTCTTCTTACGTATTTAGTGTCTACTGTTAATCTAAAAATATATTCTATTATAAATGAAGAGGAGGTGATAATGGCTGATAGAGCTAAATATCTGGAGTCGTAAATATTCTATTATTATTATTGCTTTTTTTAATCACATTTTATGAATTCCTAGCAGGTTCTTAGCTATGTATTCTCTTTTCAGAAGGTTAAGGACTCATAAAAAAGACATGGTTTACTTAAGATAGTTAATTTTGCTAAATAGAAGAAGTTGCTGCTAAATTAATCTATGTTGCAGAATATCTTTACCCATTATGTAGTGAGCCGCTTTAATAAGGAGTTTGAATATTTGTGAATATTTTTGGAGCTTCTTTGGTCAAAGTATTTTTATTAGTAGACATTATAGGAGTAATTTTATTTTATTATGGAATTTAAGTATGCTACACCTAAGATTAAAAATTTATTCCTGCCTAATTCTAAATGGAGGTTGAAATTTAGTTAGAAGGTGATCTTGGAATATTAGAAAATATCATAATACCTAAAATAATCAAAAATTTTATGAATTGTCAGTATTTTAAGTAATCTAAATTGATTATTTTTAAAATTAATTAATTAATTTATTAAATAGTTAATTAGAAAGTAGTTTAATTTCTTTGAACATATCTTATCAAAAGATTATTCTTTTAAGTGATTTATTTATTGATTGATTAATTAATTGACTTTATTTGAGTTATAATAGATAATTAATTGGAATATCAGTTTTTGCTTTATAAATAAAAACATTTTTAAGATTTAAGTTTAAAATTGTAATTTTTCTAATCAAAAAACTAGAATTAATTTCATATTATTTAAATAAATTAAAAAGTCATTGTTGTTTTGATAAATAACATTTAATTTGTTAAAAAAAATATGTAATGTAGTTTGCTTTGAACAAAAACAATCTCATTATAATTTTTAATATTAAACCTTTCTCATAAAACAAAATTTAAATACAAAGGCTTTTATTAATAAAATATTAAATTTAAATGAAGATTACAGTATTTATATATTATTTTTAGTTATTTTCATTTAATTTTTTACTAAACTTTATAATTTAAAAATAAGAAATAATGTAATATTAAGAATGAACAATTATTTGATTTTGTAAAAAAAAGAAATATTTTATTAAATTAATTTATTATATAAGAGTTAACAAATTAAATAAACAAATATTATTTATTTATTTATATAGATTTATTTAATAAATAGTAAGCTTTACATTACAAAATTTAAAATAAGAGTGGTTGATTTATCAAGAAAATTAAGAAAAATGTATTTATTTTATTAGATTGTTGTTAGTATATTGATTTTATTTTTAATCAATTTTAAATCAGTATACCTTACATATTGTAGTTGTTATTGTTGTTGTATATTTTATGATTATTATTGTTGTTATTTATTGTATTTTATTCGTTATTTACGAGCAGATCTTGTTCCTCTCCATTTAATCCATTTTATTCTTCTGATTAATCATCGTTTATAAAATTATTTTTATGAGAGCTCTACTGAAGATCATCGAAGTTATTATCATTCATTAGCATAAATGAATCTTCTTCGCTGCTTGTTTCATTTCTTGGAGTTTACATATGCAATTTATATATTTTGTCTACATCAATTCCTTCTTTACGAATAAAATATAACAGTTTCATCACTTTTTCATCTTTTTTTCTTAGTTCATGCATTTTGTGCTTTTACTTAGCAAGGAGCTTGCTAAGTTTTTAATTTTCTGTAAATAATTTTTCCAAAAGAGGTGAATGAAATTGATGATCTTATATTTATTTAAGTATATCGGTTTGTTAATCATTTTTATGTTAAAGCATCTCAACTTAGTAAAGCAGTTAGCGTGCTTCGTTTCTTCTTTCTTCATTGTCTTTTAACAGCTTAGATTTATCTTCGTTTAACTTCTCTAACTCAATTATCATTTTTTATATTGGATTCATAAATACTTTGAATAAAATATCTACAAGCTTCATATCTAATTAATTTTTATACTCCTCAAATATGCTAAATAAGCTATCGAAGTAGCTCTTCATATTTGTTTCATCAGTTTAATAGCTGTACATGTTACTACTCCAAAAAGTATCAATTCTTTTATAAAGTTAATCATATTTAAACAGAGTGGAAATACCCTGTATTTAATTTATATTCAATGAACTAGATGAGTCTGTGGAGCTTTAAATTTAATATTATAATTATGCAAGTTGCTATTGAGAGAGTTGTTGATTCCCAAACTAATTAACTTATAAATTTTTATTAGAAGTTGTCTTTCGCTGTGAAGAGCTAGGTATTGAATGCGAAGTCATCTAAGCTAATTGCTAAATTTACTGCTATTAATTTTAATGATGATTCTATTAGTTATGCTTGCCATATATTTATGCTATAGAATTGTTTTAAAGCTGCTACTTCTTTTCTTTTTTAAATCGTTAAATTTTTTAAATATCTATTTAATTTAAATGTAACTCAATAAATTTTGTTACTCCGTAATATTCCAATTTAAAAAAAAAAAGTATTTACTTTAACTTTTGTTGTCGTTTTAGTTATTCATATTTGAAGTCGAAAGTGAATTTTTTAAAGGATATTTTGAGTCTTAACTGCTTTATGTATTTTTATTTGCATTACTGGTTGCACTTAACAGGTTTTCAATGCTTTCTATGCCAGAAGAACTTGTATGCTTTTAATTACTTTGAAGATAAGGAGAGGTAGTTTGAAACTACTACTGCATATTTTATCTATTTATTTATTAACATTACTACTAAATAATGCTATTGATGCTTGGTTGCTAAGGAAAGTATTAATTTCCTAAACTTTAATTTATGTTGCTATTGCTATTGTATTGAATTGATGATTAGTTATGCTATTTTTTTTATGCAATTTAATTTAATCCATTCTGGCTATTTTAGTTTTTTAGTTTCTATTTCAAAGTAGACATCAAAGCAGCTGAAGTCTTTTTTTAAGTTGATGGAGATATTGATTTATTTTTCAACCCATGCTTCTAACTCCCACTATTTGCCCTCTCTTTACTAGCTAAATTATTAAAATACAAATTTATAATTTGAAAATCAACTCAAATATTTGTTGTTGATTAAATTCTATTGCATTACTAAAATACAAAATTATAAATTGATTTTACCTGAATTATTAGCTGATTTATCTCTTCTCGTACCCATTTGGTTACTGTGAGAAGTATTAATTTAGCTATTCTTTGATATAGTTTCTTTAGCAGTCTTTGCCTTTATGAAATTATAGAGTGTATACTTAATAAGATTTTTATAAGTAAAAATTATAAGTTAAATGAATTTGCTCGTAAACATTATTATTTTTTACAAAAGGAATTAAATCTACTGAATTTATTACTGCAGAATCACTAGGAATTAAACAGGTCGCCCCAGATTGTTATGATTTCACTTAACCTACAATTAGAGATGAGTCTTTTTTGGCTTGCATTCTCTATGGAGATTAGCTAGTCCTATTTTTATATATTTTTGATATTCATAAATGCATTAAATAATTTTAAGTTTTAGAATCAGTCAAAACAAACTTGAGTGAATTTGCTCTAAAGCAAACAAAATTTATTGTTCTAAATTATATTGTAAAATGAAGCGCTTACTTTTAAAATCCCTGCATCGAATACAATTTCTAATAATAAATGAGTAAATCTAAATATTGCAGTTAATTAGTTAGCAATTAGTGGTTATCGTTGCTGCTCTTACTTATTAGCTACCTAAAAACTATATATTTGTTTTTAATTTACAGTTTATTCTTAAATGAAAATAAGGTATTTTTGAAAATAAATCTTTTTACAAATTTTTCCTCAAAGTATAAATATTAACTTATTATCAATGTAAGAAAATAGAAACAAAGAATATATTAAAATAAGCATAATTCATATTTTCGCTCTTTTAAAAACAAGTATTACTAAATTTTCGTTTTAACATAATGATTTGCTTTCAAAAAATAGAATGAATTGCTATTTTTTCAAAATTTAGTAGATATCTTTTATTTTTAACTGATAAGTAATGTTTATTGTATTTCTTTTACCTATTCACCAATCAATCAAATAAACAAACAAACATCTACTTATTTAAATATTTTTTTATTTTAATTCTATTTTTATAAAAAGATATTTGCTAAAAATTATTTATTTTCACTCCTTTCAATAGCTTTTACAAAAATTATTTTAATAATTAATATATTCTTGAAAAATACTTTATCAAAAAAAATTAAAATCAACTAAAAAATCATATTTATTCAAATAATTTAATTTGCTCTTTTTCAAATTTTAACCAAAAAATTAATAAAAAAAATAAAAAATTATTTTCATAATTAAATTAATAATTAAATAAAATAAAATAATCTCTTAAAAATTTAAAAAGCAGAAAAGAACAAGATTTATTTTTATGATCTCACACCAAAATTGCTAAATAATTCATAATTAGTACATCCATTTCCAAGTGTTTTTAAGATAAACAAATACAAAATTAAAATGTTTTTTTTGAGATAGAAATAACTTTTAAAATTAACAAAATGAATAAAATAAATATTAATTAAGCAAAAATAAGAAACAAAACTATAATATGCTTTACTAAATAAGTAAGTATTGAATAATTCTTATAACATTTAGAAGAAAAGCAGTTCAAAAAAATAAAATTTGATAATTACAAAAACATATGTATAACAAATATTATTATAATTTATTGCTATAAAATGTTAATCTATCTAACTTAGAATATTTAATAAAACATAAAATTATTTCAAGTAAAATCAAAATCATTTTGCTTATGACTCAACTTGCAATACCATAATATGTTTGTGAGTTTCAGATAAAATTAAGATTAATGGAGAATTTTAGAAGGATTATTAAAATGAAGGTATGATTTAGATTTTGTATTAACCTGGCAAACTTGAGGTGAATTCTTAAATATTTAATAGAATTTGCTCTTAGATTATTACATTATCGTTGCTATTTTCAGCGAAGTGATAAGCCTTCAAACATTTATCACTTTGACCCAAATAAACTAAAGAAAAAGCACATTTTTTACTCTCTCTTAAAATAATATGATCTAATAACTCACCTTGATTACAATTAAAAGTTGCCATTACTTTTTTTTATATGATATCAAATAATTTTAAAGATCCATCTTTGCATCCTAAAATGTAGAAGTTTTTTCTGTCCCATGTCTTTGGGATTAGTCCTAAGCTAGTTACACCTTAAACTCCTGTCTAAAACTATAATATCTCTTCAAATGAAGACGAAGAATTGTAAGAAATATTCAACTTTAGCACACTTATCTATCCGTCTTCTAAAGCTACAACTACTTATTAATTCTAAGTTAGCTTTATGTCTGTAACCTTTGATTGAGAGACTAATAATCATTTAATTTTTTAAATAAACAATAAAATTTAAATATTTTTTCCAAAATAAATTATTCTTGAGATAAATCTAAAAAATTTCTATAACTTTTATTAAATTAAAACTATATTTTTTAATTTTATTGAGTTTGAGATATTTTTAATTAATTCACATGTTAAAAATTAATTCTTCAATTCAATTAGAATTAATTGAATATTTTAGTAATTTATTTTTAGAGATTTTTATTTTAGGTTGTTAAAAAGTAAATTTAAAATAATTCTAAATAAATTTCTAGTATTGAAATATTTAAAAAATGAGTTACGTTTCTTTGAAAATAACCATCTGTAATTATGGTATTCAAGTAGTTAGATTTCATTACTACCATCTACAGCTAGAATTCTAGCACCATCTTAGAGGTCTACTATAAAATTGACAGGCATCAAAAAGCCAAGTAGCTTTTAAAAGGAATTAATAACATGGTTTTTGTCTATAGTCCAAAATACAATAGAGGAATCAAGAGAAGAAGTAGCAAAAATAATTTTATCTTTGAAATGCAGTGGTTAAAACAAAGGCGAAATGGGTTCTATTGAAATAAGATCTTGATAATGCTTATTAATCACGAATGGATCAGGAGTATATATCTTCTTGGATATCATATCATATACATGTGGTTCTTTTCCTGCTAAAGCAATAAGATTGTATCCTAAATAACTCATAGATGTGTATTAAAATTGAATTTCTTCATTCTCATATAGATTAAACTTCCCAATTTCTCTAATATTTAGCTTTAAAGGTGTGTAAAGTGGGTAGTTTATTTCATGAAAAGCATCACTGCTGATTTCTTGATATAAGTTCAAATCATTAAATTAATTGAGCTTGTTTGGTTGCTTTTCGTCTTAATTCACTCCTATCTAATTTACCAAACCAATGTTTGGGTCAAAGAAATTTAAAACACTTTTGTTTATAATACTTTGTATGTCAATATTCTGCGAATTATTCTAGCTGTACTTCTATGAGAGACTAATTTCATTTGTTTTAATTGTTTTGTTTAGACGATTTTCTTTGTAATTAGCTAGACTCAGAGTTATTGGTGCATTTTTATGAATATGTAAATTATCCATATAAAATTCTTCAATTTTTTTTTACAGAGGTTCAGTTAACTCTTCTTAGAACAAACCTGCTCCTCGATAAGAAGGGAGATCATCAATTAAACTATTTAACTCTTTAAGACTAAGATGTAGATTATCAACAAAATCCTTGCTTTTTGAATTTGTTTCCTAAGCAATTAGAATAGCTCTTTTTATTTCATTTATAGTCTTGCTGGCCTTTTAATTGTTCTAATTTATCAATTTAGAAGCCAATATGTTTGGATTACTGAAATATTTAAACTTTTAATTCAATTAAAACACATCATCTTTAAATAGCTAAAATATTTCTAAACTTTATTTGTAGTTATCTAAAAACTCATCGAATTTTTGAAAGGATTTTTCTTTGATGTTCTTGAGCGTCTTGTTAATTATTATAATAAATTCTTCAATATCTTGTTCAACCTAAAATTTCTAGGCTTTAATATAGTCTTATAACTTTATGATATGATTTTAGCTATCTTCCATCCATCTTAATAAGCTCAAATTCTCCTTTTTCCCAATAGTTTCATCATAAATTTGTTGCTAAATCTTTACATTTTTTTCTATTTCACGGCTAAATAAAAGAAGGAATCTATCTCTTTCTTCTATTTTATGATCACTGGGATGGGAATTGCATTCTTAGCAAATAAAAGGGCTATGCTTTTCGCAGTCAAGTTAGCAACATACGCTCTTGATCTCATTGTTTGGGTGATCTATACATTTAATATGAATAGCTGGTAGTATACACAAATTACTTGAGTTTTATTGATTATTCATTTTATTCTTAATAACTTTTCTGATTTAAATCACAAACAACTTTTATAATTTATAAAATGTAATATATCTGATAATGAATTAAGCTGAGCTTAAATTTTTAATAATTCCGTTTTTAATAATATAAACAATAAAAAAAATAAAAACCTGATATTTAATTCTATTTGGTTAAAATAAAAAATGTTTTATATATTTAATATTTAATGATAATCTAATATTAAGTTTTATTAAAATTCTCTTAGATTTTAAATAGCAATTAAAATTTTTATATTAATCATACACTAGTTTTTCTAATTTTAAAACTTGAAAAGCATTTACCAAGTTTAAAATATATTTTATCACCTTAAAAAATAAATTAACCAAGAAAAAATAGATAAATCAATTAATCAATCATAGAAAAAATAATTATTGTATTATATTTGATTATTGATAGTGTTAATTAAGCATTTCAATTTTATTTTTTTAAATTAAACAAGCAATAAATTTATTTTAAAATATATATAATTTCAGAATATTTACAAAGAAATTACTATTTAAAATATAATTTATTTTTAAACTTAATCTTTATTTGAGATAAGCTTTTAATTTAAGTTTATTTTTTTTAATTTAAATAAAATTTTAAATTAAAAAAATTAATTTCTATTTCAATATTTCTTCAATTTTATTTCAAATTTAATAATTATTAAGTATTTTTATGGTTTAATTTCTTTTTATTTTTGTGAATATAATTAAATATTTTAAAAAATTACCAAGAAATAACTGTAATTCTTCATGCAAAATGGCAAATAGAGTAGTGAAGAATTGTGAATTTTTAGCTTTTTAAGAATTTGATTTTCTTAATAATTTTATATAATAAATTTTTAGATTTTTTAAAAATTACATTAAATATTTTTATTTTTTTAATTTTAATAAATATTTTATCATAAAATTAATTATCAAAGTTTATTAAAATTCTAAAATAAATATAACCTAAATAAATATTTTATAAAAAATAAAAATTTAAAACTTTTAAATAATTAAGCATAAATTAAAGCTGTGATATCTATCTATATATCTAAATCCTAAAGATACTAAAAATAAATTTCATGTATTAACAAATATTATTTTTTAAGTTATTAAAATAAATATAATTAATATAAAGTCTACCTACCATTCATCACTTGGTTAGAAAATTTTATTGATGTTAATTATATTAAATTTCATTTTAGTTTTTTAAGTGCTAAGGATTTTTAGTAGTTATTGGTATAAAATTAATGCAACTCAACTGCTTTTATCCAAATCATAGCTAGACGCTAAATTTTCCAGTTTTAGCCTTATATGACTATACTATTGTTGAGTTTAAAAGTAAGACTAACATCAGTCAAAATTGAGTACTAACTAAAAACAATAACTGGGAAGAAAAAGAAGCTGACACTTTTAATTGTTTCGGGAATAGGTAAATTTAAGAATCTACCTTCGAATGCTAGTAAAATGACAGCGAATAAACCAGCTTACTTAATCATTGAAATTGCAAATTAAGGAAATTCAGGTTATTTTTCTTAGTAATTCTTATAAGAAAAGTATGCAGTAAGAATTAGATGGTAAGCTAGAATAAAGAAATAAGTTTCAATGTTGTTTAAAAAATTAATAAGTTAAATTCTCAAGTTCACAATTAATATCCATTCTATTATTTTTAGAAATTCTTCAGAGCTAATTATCTTAAACCAATTTGTTTTTTTTTCAACTTTTATTTCTTCTAAACTAGTCCATCTTTGTTTTAAGTGTAATTTCTCTAAAAACTCATTGAATTTTTGCAACGCTTCATCCGCAGTTTAGAAATCAGAACTTATAACTGTGCTATTTTCACTCATAATAATTACCTCTTTTTTTGAAAAATTACAAAATACAAACAAATATGCTTTATATATTTTACTTTCTATTTTAATTTAATTTTAAGAGTTATTTATAAATCTTTAAATTTTTGATTTATTTTTACAATCCAAATGTTTGGAAAATGTTAATGTTAACAAACAAATATCTTTTACTAATTATTTGACTTCCTTTTTATTAAATAAAAGAAAAAAACATTAATTGTTCAAGCTAATTATCTTTTAATACAAAATTAACAGATATATTTTTTAGTTGAAAAAAGCTTCTTATGAAATATCTAAAAATAATAAAATATATTTATTTTTATTTAAAATTGAATGAGTTTTTTAATTTTCCTTACTTTTTTAAAATCAAATTTAAATGTTTTAAATTAGAGATTTAAATTTTTTTCTTGAGAAGTTATTTCAGCTCATTTAATTTTTTTTCTATCAAATTACAATTATATTCCTGTTTTCTAACCAATCAAACACTGAATAAATATGTAAACGCGTCATATCCGTAAGATAATTAGTGTGTCGGTAAATATAAATACTAATAAGATTCATCAGAAAATTATGAAAAAAAAAAACAATAATTATATTTTATCAATAGTTTATTTGTTTTGGAGAGGTCTAAAAATAATATTTACAGTAAAATTAATGGATAAAAAGGTATGAGATAAATACTTTTTTTAATTTACCTTTTACTTACTATTAAATGAATAAGCCTAATAATATTATATATACTTTTAATTACTTTTTAAAACACTCGTGTTTAAAAATAGAAATTTGCAATCAAACCAAATAAGAGTTAACAAAAAAGATTACAGGGAAGCTGATGTATAATTTTTTAATCAGCATTATCAAAAGTTTTAAAAATTGAAAAAACAACCCCATCACATCTAAATAATTAATAAAATTCAATTAAATATTATTTTTAAAAGATATAAATAAATAATTAAATAGATAGATAGATAGATCGATGAGTAGTTAAGAAAATTAGCAAGCATATTATAAAAAAATGTCTAAAACTAATTTATATTTAAGAGAGCAAGGTAATTTGTTAGCTGGTGCTTTTATTTTGATTGTCTCTTTGCCTGTCGTTTTGATGGCTGCTATAGCTACCTTATGGGAGTGCATAGACAGAAAGTTTAAAGGCTAACCAGGTACAGGTTTCCTATTTAGAATGGCAGCAGCTTTTAATAAAAAAACTCAATCATTCAATGAGCGCTTTGTCACTTACAAGGAAGATGCATACATGATGAATGTGATTATCCTTTTGGCTGTCTTAGTACCTATCTTATTTACATTGTGTCTTAAGTACACCTTAACATATGGCTTCAGTCTCAGTCTTTGTCTTGCCTACAATGTCTTAAGACTTGGTCCTTTCATGATTAATTTTGCATATGCTTATGCTCTTTCCCACAAGGAAGGTCACATGGGCAAGTCTCTTTACAAAGAACCTTATGGAATCCTCTTCCAAAATGTTTTCAACTGGTTCATAGGACTTTTCTACGGTATTCTTCCTTCTACTTTTGCAATTGGACACTCTAAGAACCATCATAAGTACAACAATTCATACTTGGATATTATCTCTACTGCAGATAGACCACGTGATAATTTTGCTAATTGGGTAAGATATCTTCCTAGATTTACATTATACGCAACTAATGTCTCCACAGTTATTTAATTCTACAGAGAGAAAAATTATAAGTGCTGTATTAATATGATTGTTGGAACAATTTATTTTATTGGATTTGTTGTTTTCTGCTATAATATACATCCTCTCTTCGCCTTCGGGTATGTCGTCTATCCTTTCTTTGAGAATGTCATTCTCTTAGCAGCTATCAACTGGTCATGGCACGCCTTCATTGATCCTGTAAATCCAGAAAACGAATATGCATACAATATCACAATTCGTTTTGGAACTTTTAACATTCTTGAAGAAGATTATCATGTAGTTCATCACCAATACCCTGGTGCTCATTGGACAAAGCACAGCGAATTATATGAAAAGCACAAAGAAGAATATGAAAAGCAAAAGGCTTCAATGTTCTAGGATACCCATGCCTTCGAAGTATTTGGCTTTGTTGCATTCAAGCAATACGATATATTAGCTAACAAATTGATGACAAAAGAAAATTTAACTCATGAACAAAAGGTAGAATTTGTTAAAGCAAGAGTTAGAGCATGCACATGGGGCCCATTCCAAAATGTATAATCTTCATCAAAAACTGATTGATATAATTCAAAGCAGATGTATACGTGTGTTTTTATGTAGTATTTCATAAAATTTATACTGAATTATCTTTAAATTGCTTTCGTTTATTTTAATTATATGTTAGTTTCAATCTTTAAAAAGAAAATTTTTGCATCTGATTTATCAAAATAAAATTATTTTGCATAATTATGTTAGGATTATATTTTTTAAAAATATTTTTTTATACAAATAAGAGCATTAATCTAAATATTTAATAAAATTCTTAAACATTTTTTAATTTTGGCAAAATTAAGTTGCTCAAAGATCAAGGAAGGAGTAAAGTTTTATAGAAAAAATATATGTTTAAAAAGTAGTAATTTAAATATTGATATGTAAAAAGAAATTTTATGTCTACTCAAATCCATTTAAAATAAATGATATTTGCTTATATTTATAATACTTAATTATTAAATAAAAGAAGAAAAACATAAAATATTTTTATAAATAATAAGAAAAAAAATTATTTTATTTACTTATTTTTTTTAACAAAGTTAGTTACCTTTAATTAATTTTGAAATTTTTCAATTAGTGTTTTTTTAGAAGGTAAGTAATGCACATCTCAAAATTATATTCTTTAATGGAATGAAAATTTTGAGCTATTTTTAATTTAGTCTCAAAATTATATTTGGAGCCATTCAAAATGGTGTAAAATAATTAGTAAGAATTATGATTTTTAATTTTTACATTAATTTGATTATTATAGTTACTTTATTATGGTTGGCTTAAAATGAAGAGATCACACTTTATCTCTGATGAAAACTGATGTATCTTTAATAATATTATCAATGTGTTTAATATTATTATTATTGAACATATTTTGTATTAAAAAGTACAAAAAAAAGATTAATAATATTCTTTTCAAGCTTAAAATGACAAAAAAATTGATTTGTTTTTTGTTAATTGTAATAAATAGCACAAATATTTCTCTAAAATCTTCAGATTTTAATGAGCACTATATAATTTTTATGTGAAGATGCTTTTTTCTCATTAAAAAAACGTATGTTTCGTTAAACAAAGGCAAATTAATAACACTAGTGCTTTTTAAAAAAATGAAATATTAAAGAGAGAATTTTATTTAATTCTGAATTTAATTATAAATATTAATAAATATAAAATGTTTATCATTTCATTGCGTTATTTTTTTAAATAAAACTATCTAAGATCTGAAAATATTAACAGGTTTTAACAAGTTTAGAATTATTTTTACAAATTTTTATAAGTAGAAATAAATCAAATTAAAATCTAATTTTTTTTGAATTAAAAAATATAAAGAAATTCTTTCAATATTTTATTAAAAAATGAATATAACTTCAAAAATGTGTACATTAATTTTTATAAATTATTTTATTGTTTCGAAAAATTCTAATTATAAAAAAATTTCAACTATTTTATAGTCATATCATTTTATTGAAATTACTTTTAGTAACTTTAAATATCAAAAAAAAATCTAAAATATTAGTTTTAAGCTGGTTTTCAGAAATTTAAGCTTTTAAATTTGATATTATTGACACGTAGAAAGAAAGCTCATAATATTTTATTCTAAACTAAAATAAACATTTTTTTATCGAAATTCATACAAAAAATATATTAAATATTATTTTATTTTGGTTTTTTAGATAATTAATTATTTTATTCAGAAAATCAATCACTAATAATTATTTACTCTTAGAAACAATTCTTTTTTAATGATTTTTTTGAACAAGCATGTAAAAAGTAAATTTAAATCTTAAATGAAATAAACTATAAACTTTTATAAAAATATTTAAATTAATATGAATGAATGTATACAATTAAAAATAATTTCAGTAATTAAATACTTTAGAAACTTGTGATTACTATAATTAAAAATCTGATTCATGGAAGAGAACTTTTAATAGGTTTTCGTCTACATCACCTAGTTAAAAGCGACATGATTTTGGTAGCTTAAGCTTTTAGAAAACATTGTCTTCTTCATCACTATCTGCTTTTAAAATTTTACCCTCCTTTATATTATTTTGTCTTTTCTCTAATTTTTTTTGAAGCTTTTCTATTGTTTCTTGATTAGCAGTTTTAAGGCTAACAGGTTTATTAGAACTATGTCCTGAATGTAATTCCTACAAGTGCTTATAAATATCTTTTTACTATAGTTCATACCAATTGCAGATAGCACAGAAATGGCATTTACACTCTTTGCAAGTAAGATGATTGCATCCTTCTTCATGAGAAAATTTCGCTTTGCAGTTAGGACATACCTTTATCACTCCTAATTCTTCTAAATCATTTATACCTACATCTTTAATCTATGCTTCACAAGAAATCAAATTTTCATGCACATCATGTAGAGGTAAATGATATTATTAATTTAATATGTGTTTTATGCAATAATCGTACTAACACATAGGACATTACCAATGATCACTAGTATCTTTAGTTACAATGTAGGGAATTCTCATAATACCTAGTTTTAAAAATAAAATCAACTCAATATTGAATTAAAAAAATAAAATCTGTTAGTTAATTAATTACCTTTGCAATCAGGGAAATCACATCCTTTAAAGATTCTTTATCCATTTTCGTTTTTAAGATGGTCGATGCCTGATTTGAATCTCATCTTGAATAAATCTTAAAGAGCAAATTTATCAAAAATTTTATTTATATCTCTGATTGATATCGGTTATTTATTACAAGAAGGGCAAATAATTTATGCTTTAAAGTGAGTCAGAGAAGTTATAACTTCATCTTTTATATGCGCTTTCAAACATGACTTGCAAACAGTTTTACATTAACAATTAGAAAGTTTAAACAACTCCTAAGTATCATAACAAATTTAGCAATCTTCAACATTTTAGTGAAGAGGCTTCATAAAATTTTCATTTATATAGTTTAGTTATTCTTTAAATTAAGTGTAAACAATTTTTGTTTAAATTTTATTATGTTCGTATTAGTAAGGGAAGCCTTTGATTTTAAGATATTCAACTAAGCCCTTAGAATTACTTTATTAGATATTGAAAGATACGCTAACCTTGTATTTATTAATGTATTCTTCAATTTCTTAAATGACTTTTTTAACTAAATTTTTAGACTGTTTTGCTGTTTAATAAGTATAAAACTCTAACCTATTTAATTAGTGATTATGGTGAATGTAAATTGAATTATTTATGCTTAATTCTTTGAGCTTATTCTTAGCATCCTCATTAGTAAAAATATGATATTGGTATGTGTCTTTTAATTAGTAAATATCTTTAGGCTTAATAACCATTTGAATTTCATATAAACCTTTGAAAACCAACTTGTCAGTATCCGATTAAATTAAAATGTTGACTTTAGAATTGTCTTTTGGATCGTCAAAAAATCTAATTATTTATTTTTTAACAAGTTGTGTCTTTTTTTGAAGTAATTATTGGACAGTTTCCTTCTCTTCGTACTCTTATTCATTTGGTAGGAGTATTTTATATTCATTCGGATATATTTTCTTTAGCAATTCTTCATAATAAATATAGACTTTATGATCGATAGTTATTTTACCTTATTTAATTTCTTACATATCCATGCTAACAAATCTGATACCATAAGCTAATTGTTAATTTAATCTAAATTTTATAAAAAAATAAAATTTTAAAAAAATTCATTTTTAAAGTAATTTAATAAATTTATTTTGAGTATTTATTATGGAAACAATTGTTTAATGCTTAATCAAACTAAACTTTAACTCTTTATTTGTTTTTTATATAAAAATAAATATAAATAAATGATTTTAATTTCAAAAATTTTTTATTTAAAATAACGTAGATTCTTATCAATTAATACTCGCCATTTTCTCAAATTTTAAAAAATAATTTCAAACTCATATTATTCTATTTTTCGGTATCTTGATAACCAAGGAATGAGGTATTGAGAAATTACATTAATATAAATTGGTGATAATTGATAAGAATATCTTGTTTATGAATTCAAAATGTTTTTAAACCTTTAAAGATCTTTAAATAAATATATAAATAAATAAATATGTAACTTACGTTTCTTTAATGATGTCACCAGTTTCTTTCTTATCAAATAGCAAATAGCAGATTTTTTAGTTTTGATTTTATACGTTATTTTTATTTTCGACTATTTTGTAACTATTTTTTATAAATAAATCAAATACCTATTCAATAGTTTATTGCCCTTGCAGATTATGTATAACCTCATATTAGACCTTCATAACATACATAGCTTTATTTGTATAGAGATTTTCTGTTATTAGAGGTTTAGATATCAGTCTGTTTTGTTTATCTTTAACTAAATGGTTGTTTATAAAGTAATTATAAAACTCTTTAGCCAAGGCATAATTAAGGCATTTAACATATAATTATTAATTTTTCTTTTTTATGCTTAAAATCAGTTGATAATTTAATTTAAATTCTTAGAAGAAGGAAACCTCGTTTTCGTTTTCAGGATAATTCTCTATGAGAACCGAGTCATACTCATTAGGAAGAAGGTAATTTGTAATTTCTAGCCCATCGCCGTAAATAAATTTGCATTTATGTTCTGGATCTATATATTCAACTTCAAAAGGATCAATTTGTCTTTGTTAAATCAAATTATCTTCATAGTCAAAAATTCTTATAATTTTTTACTCTTTTTCTAAGATATTTGATTTTTATATTATTTCTTTTTAAATTTTTCTTGCTTCTATCCAAAGGGTAATATTATATTGATCTTCTCTAAGTTTTCCTCTTAGCAAATCACAATTAATAAAATTACCTAGTTCTTTTTCTAGCCTAACTTACAAGCTTCTATATATATCTTATGAAAGAGTTTTTGGGTATGAGATTGAGCCAGATATTTGCATCATATAATCTTAAAGATCCTCTTTAAATAAAATAAAATTATTTCAGTCAAGTTTGATAAAATAAAATGAACTTTCCAAAAAAAAATAACCAAATTATTCTAAAAATAAAAATTATTATACTTGTTTTTTTAAAATTTGCTAAGTTAATTGTTAGAATTTTAATAAAGTGAAGTAAGTGTTGGGAGAGAAAAAAAATAGGCTGAATTATTTATTTTTTTGATTTATTAAACTAAAACCTTACCATACCAATCTATAAGATACAAAGAGGGTTGATTTATTTCTTCATCAGTAAAATCTACAACAACAGGCATATCTGAGAAAGCATATTTTTTTGTATTATTTTTATTAGAAACCACAAAAAATCTTCCTGATTTTAGTGTCTCCTGCAAATAAGTATCTTCTAGCTTATCAAAATTACAATAAGCTTGTTAAAAAATGAAAAATGGTTCATTCTCACTGTCTTTTTTTGTGCATAAATTTTAAGCATAAGTTGCTAAAAAGCATAAACGAATTTTAAGGGTATTATTTCCAGGATTCTCTTTGTATTTTTCAAATGGATACGCCTTAGGAGTTTAGTTGTATTTATATATGACATATTCAAACACCTAAGGTAATTAATCTCTAAATTTTTAGTAGTTATTATTAATTTTTTAGAATAGGTTATAACAAAGATTGCATTTTATAAAACTGTACTAATTTCCTATTCTTAAATACTTATTCATTAAATCTAGATAATATGTAGGATCTGATTAATTTTTTAATTATTAAACATCATAACCCTCTCCATATAGACATTAGATGTGTGTTTTGCTGTTTTATTTTTTAAAAAAACTAAAGAAAGACTTTTCATCTCTAAATAGAAGCATTATTATGACTTTTATCATTTCATGAAAACAGTCTCTTCTGTAAGATTCTAGCAATAAATATATATAATCATCTTCTAGCTTATATTAAAATTCTTCTTGAATTTTTTCTTTCAAATCTTTATTCAACTCTAATTGTATAAAAAAGATTTAATAAACATGGTAGGATTATTCTTAGTGCAGATGTTAAAAATTAAAACCGAAAGGTAAATGCTTACTTGTATAAAAGAAAATAGGGTCCTTTCCTTAATCCCTATTCTTCGTTTTAAAAGGAGGCGTATATGTCTTAGTATCTGTGCTATTAGATTAAAAACTCATTTTTGATACCTAACTATATATTTTTTAATCTATCTATCTATTTATCAAATCTTTTTTTTTTTGATAAAATTTTTTATAAAAATGCAAATGATGACTTGTTCGTTCTTATAAATCAAATCAAATATTAAAAAAAACTAACACAACAAATAAAATACTATAAAAACCCTTTTATTAAATACCACTAAAAATATATTTTTACTAAGCTTCTTTTAAGATATTTAATATTTTTTTTATTCAAAAAACAAGCAATTAATTATTTTGCAAAAAAAATTTACAAAATTTGAATAAATTGGAGCGAATATTGTGGTATTAATTTATAAAAGTATTTTATCTCAGATATCACTAATAAAATCTAGATATTTTTTTCAAATCTTTATATATTTTATTTTTTCTTTGGAGTTTATTTTTAACCTTTCTATTAATGTTGTAACAAAAATGATTTATTTACAAATTATTTTATATTAATAATAATTCTATATTTATGTATGGTATTGCAAATAATTCGAATGAAGGAAAAATACATTTATGAATAATTTATACAAGTATTTTGCAAGTGTTAAGAGTTAATTTTTTTTATAATTTATATTAGAAGAAATTAACAAATAATTTGAATTTAAAATGTTCAATTTTTATAACATATTTTAGTTGAGTTTTTTCAATGTAGGGAAGGTAGAGGCAATTTAGAAGTTTATTTTTCCATATTTTTGAGACAGTTTTTAGTTAGAGATGCTAATATCTACTGCTAGTTGTTTTGTTAGTCTATATGAGGACTGTTATTTATATTAACATACTTACCATGCATTAAGTATTGATAGTTAGTTTTAAAGTCTTGAATAGTTTAGACTAGCATATAGTAATAACCCAGTAGAATCCATTTTAATAATCTTTTTCCTTTGGAATAACCTTCTTCCTTGTTAGTTTCATTCAAAATTCTGTAGAATTTAACGATGTAGAATATTGGGGAAAATACTATTATCATCAAAGCACAAAAAATTGTGAAAATAACATATATAGGGAAATATCCTAATCGAACTAAGAATTTATTAACTTTTTTAAGTGTGTCAATATTTTATTCCTATTAATTTTATAAGTTATAGTAGTAAATTTAAGCTAAAATTAACCAAATATTTAAATAAATTTGCTAATTAATTAATTACTTTAGCGGAAGGGTCTGGATCTGAGAGCATATGAGTCAATATAAAGGTGATATTTATAAAGTTTCCAACAATAGGAATAGCAACGAGACAACCATTGACAGGGTCGTACTCTAAATTTTTGAGATTATCGATAGTGCCTAAGAAATAATGAATTCTACCACTTCTAGATGCTGCCTCAAATGTAAATGTCAGAACGGCAACCAATAATTACATGAAAATGATAGGCATAAAGAAGAGATAAACATTTAGGAATATAGGTGCATATATAGGTGAAGGTTAATTGAAATCAGAAAAAGCAAATTGCCCAAAAAGAGCTTCAATGAGAAATAGCAAAGCTTAGTCTAAACTAGTAAACCTACCATTGATATTTTCAAAAAATGAAAAGTAGGCTAAAAATCCAAATAGCAAAATGACCAATACAAATATAAAAGAGAATTTAGAGCATTCGAGGACTACAAGCCAAAGCGCTTTAACCATAGGACCAAATACTTTGAAGTTTTTGATAGCAAATACACATTAAACAATAACTATAGACATATAAACAGCTCTAAATATTATCAAAATATCAAACCTAATTGGTTCTTCTACATCTTCTATGTTTGAAATAAAGCCCCATTAAATAAAACTTAAAATTCCGAGTAAAAAGCAAAAGAAATCTTAGACTGAGAATTTAGTTTAGGCTTTTTAAGTCCAATCAAAGTAAAGAATAAAGATAGGTTTAAAGGTAAAATTGAAACCTATAATGATGTCTAAAATAATTTGATAAGTTAAGTAAACATCCTTTAAGTTTCGAATAATTTCTAATTCTTGATCATAAACATCATCATAATTATAATTATTAGCTGAAAGAAGCGCTTACAGATCATATTAAGGTTAAAATAAACTACTAAAATTAATGAATATCAAAGCCATTAGAACTAAAATTAAACACTGATCTATTTAATTTCTAATACGGCAATTATAAGTCCAAACGACTCTTTATAAAGAAAAGTGATGGTTTTGATAATTCTTGTTAATCATCATAAAAATTTGGTTCTTTTTTGGATCCTTTTCAATTATATAATCACTCATTTCTGAAAAGAAAAGATTTTAGGTTACTGTAAACATCTTGAGCAGATTTGCCTATGGCACAACATTACCATTCCACATAGACTTTATTTAAAATAAAAATTGATGTTATTAAACTCATTAAATTATATTTCTTTAAATTAGTTTAAAAAATATTTTTTAATAAAAGCCTTTTATATTTTCTTTCTTAAATTAATAAATAAATATAATTCCTCAATAAATAAGATCATGCTAATTTTTTAATTTTTGGGTTTTTTAAAATTTTTGAATGTAAAATTTGCTGATTTATAAAAAATTATGATCAGCTTATTAGTGAAGAATTAGATTGATGTTGAATAGAATTTGTCTAATAACTTACTTCAATTGCATCTTCAACTATTTGATTTGATTGGAGAATGCCACTGTTGTTGTTGTTAATTAAATAAATAACCTTTCTTTTTTCAAGGTCAATATCTTTAAAGATATCAATCATAAGTGAGTCATCAGTTATTAAAGAGCAATAAGTTTATACAAATTTGTAATATAATTCAATTGCCTTATTCAATCTACTAGTATGATGCACAACTTTTTCTTTTGTCTGATGGAGTAATTCCATGACAATTAAAGAGACTTTCAATGGATTGTTAAATGTGTATAAAAATTATCCCTTTCTACAAGTCTGCATTCTAAAAATTAATGTCTCACACATTCTTTTTATGGTTTGCTTCACTTTAAATCTCTTTACTCTCTTTAAATAGTAAATCAAATACTCAAAGTAAACTCCATCTACAGAATATAGTTAATCTACTAATATTTTTTATGTGGTTTCTTCATTTAACCAACTAGTTAGAATTACATTTTGCTACTTCCCCAAAAACCACAGAAACTCTAAATTCTAATTCTAATTAATTAATTACAAGTAAATTAAATAAAAAATTACTTTTTGTTTTTATTTACCATCAAAGAAAAGTTTAGAATTTTATAATCAAAATTATGATTGCAATCTATTAGGGCTTTGTAAATATCTTTAGCTAGAGAATTATGTTTATATTTGACAAAAACCTTTAGCAATTCTTTATACTCTTAAGAGCTCTACCTAATTTCCAAAAGGAATTTCCTAATTATTTATAAAATAAATTAAAGAATTAAATTTATATATAATTTTTGAGCTTTACTTAATTATACTGTTGTCCTTCACCTTGTCTGTGTAAAATAAGGCATATAATTTTAAATTAACTTTAAGTAAGGGTTTGTTTAAATATCCTTCATAAGTGAGCTCATGTTTTGATGTAAAAGATATCATGGATGTATGCATGATTCTGATATTATTTTTAACTAGGAATCTATTTTTAAAATCATAAATAAATTACCAAAAATCCTCATTCATTCATTTATTTATATTTATTTCTTACAATAATTAATCAAATTTTTTTTCATTAAGCAAAATGTATAATGTTGATGTTGGTATGTAGAGTTTAGGGATCAAAAGATTCATATTAATATCTCCTGATTGAAGAATATCCTAAAATAGCTCGTAATAAATTTATTTATCTTCTAAAACTCTCTACATAAAGTAAGTTGAGTGCTCAATAAAAATACTTCCGATTTTAACTTTATCGTTTTTCACTTAATCATCAACTAAGCTATAAATTATCTATGCTAATTTTTCATTATCGTTTTTGTCACTTAATTCAAAGAATTTTAGCTTAATTTTTTCTAACAAAATTCTTTTGATAATTTAAAATATGTTAAAACAAACTATTAAAAGGAAAAATTTATTTAAGAATTTACTGTTGATCATATTCTCTGTCTTTAAAGCAGGCTGCTATGTAAAGTAAGACCATATCAAATTTGGGTATATTTAATTTTTTAATCATCTTAGAAATATTCCTAAATAAATCAAGCATTAAATATTAATTTCAATATTTTAAAATCAAATATAATTAATCGTTTGTTTTGTTTGTAAGTAATGCATCAAAACAGTTTATCAATGTTTTTTTCTTTCAAATATTTCATTTTAAAATTACATATTTATTTCAGGAAAGTTGCTTTCTTTGTGTAGATAATATGACAGCACAAATGTAATATTTTATTTTGACTTCTCAATTGAGCTAAGTTTATATAGAAGTGCTTAATAGTTTTATAATAGTTAAAATCTAATTTATACTGCAATGTTGGGAGCTTTTAGGATATTTATTTATCTTATGCAACATCTTCATGCGAATGTTTTGAATTTGAATTCGAACTTGAGCTTGAAGAATCAGAACTCTCATAAGGATTTATTTCAGAAGACATGTCGAAGCTTTCACTCGATGAGGAGTCCTTAACAAAATACCAAATAAAATCATTAACTTCAAATCAATCTTATTAAAATTTAATAAGAAATTTTAAATCAAATTTTTTTAAGATAAAATGAACATATTTATTTCTACTGATTTGAATGTATATTTAAAAGCTAAACAAACACAATTACTTTTGATGAAGAAGATTTATCCATTGAAGCCTTCTTTGATTATTAAATGTTAAAATTATTTGGTAGAAGGCTTTATTTTTTTTTATGATTTTAGTGATGATGTTCTTGATGTTCAGACATCTAAATCATTGGCTTGGTTGGAGTTTATTATTTCTAAAAATGAATGAATATAGTCTACTTATTTATTTATTTTTTAATTGAAAAGAAATTAAGCAATTTAGATAGTAGATTGATAAATTAAATTATATCCACATTCAAAATAAAGAAAAGTATTTATTAATGTCTTATATTTAATATTAGATAATTTCTTTATCATTTAACACATTTTGCATACATTTTTCTAAAAATAAAAAAGTAAACACATTAAAATTAATTAAAAAAGCTGTCTATGCTATTTTAGTTTAATATCTTAGTAATATCATTTAGGTTGAAAACTAGGACCAATTCTCTCTAGTTCTTCTAATTTATATCTGTCTGGTTGCATTTAGTAAACCCATGCAGTCACTTTTTTCTATGGATCTTCATCTAACTCAACTTATACTTAAAATCTTGTATAATAAGCAGGATATTCTTCTATTTCGTCACATATCTTAACAAGTTCATCCCATTTTTCAGATGTAATTATATATCCTTCAACATACTTTCCAGCTTCTTAGATAATAGTAGGATATTTACATTAATACAGCTCATAATCCCTCAAATAAGCTTTATGGCAAGCTAATTTAAAATGGTCATTATGAATTTATAAATTCCAAGAGAATTAAGTAAATCCTGGCTTCAAAGTTCCAAATACAAAAAACCACTTATCGCTGTCGAAGCTCATAATTAGATATCTAATTTATTAATTCAAATTTACTAAAAAATATATTTATTTATTCCTTTGATATATTTATTTACAAGTACAAAACTCACCAATAAAGATTCTCGATTCATTCTATTTTATAAATATTTCGATTTAAAAGTAAGTCAATTTAATAAATTTTTTATTTTTTGTGATCCTTTTATTTAACAAAGACGCACCAAATATTATGGAGGCTTTTTTTCATATTTAAGTAGTGAAAACATTTTATTTATAATTAATATGTCTTCTTCAATAATAATTTTAAGAGTATTTTGTTCAAAATCTAATTCTGTGCATTAAATTAAAATCAGTTAAAAAATTTAAATTAGTGATGGAATTTTATCTTAATTTTATTAAAAATATTCAAAAAATTCTAATAAATAAAATTAAATTTAATATTAAGTAAAACAAACTTAAAAAATATTTTCTAATTATTTGAAAATTTTTATAAAAAAATATTTTTAAATAAATTAATTGGACTAAGATAGATAGATAGATTCATTCTAGCCTGATTAAAATAGGAACTTATATATAAATAAATACTGACTAAACATATACTTTATTTTAATATAAATACTTGAAATAATTACTGAATTTTTAATGAAATTTCACTCATCTTTTCCTTCAAAAATATTTTTAGAGTGTTTCTTTTTATATTCCTCAAATTCTTTATCAAAAGCAGATTATTTATTATTATTTTGGTCATTATTTCCAAAGAAGCCACTTATACTATCCTATTCGTTTTTTATTTATGGATTTTATTACTGAATTTGCTGATTCTATCTTTGTTATTCTAGGATTTGATTTTAAACTTTTTTATACTCTTAATACTGAGAGTACTATTCTTTAGCCAAATTTAAATCTTTATGAGTCATAATTACTCTAGCTCCTGGTTTATCGATATTTTATGAGGAATAATCTTTTAAATTAGAACCAATTACATAGCATATACCAGTGATACCAAGTATACTTAATGCAAAAACCTCATATCCCCACTACTTTTACTGAGCATTAGGCTTTTAGCCGTAACTCTAATTTAGTAAAAACTACTTAAACCATCCTCTCTTTTATTATTAATCATTATTCTATTAATACTATTCTTATTAAAACTATTCACTAGAAAATTTACTTTGCTCCCTTTGGCTATCGCTTTACTTAGAGTTTTAATAGTCTTCATTATTATTTTTAAAAATATCTTAGTCTTCGTTGCCTTTCTTTGAATTTAAATTTCTCATAGCTTCTTCAAATGCATTTCTTAAATCCTATATTTATCTTTCTTAAGCAGAGCTTCTTGACGACTATTAAATAGTTCTTAATTAAGCCTAATATGCAGATTTAATTTCATCTTTAGATGCATTTTTATTTATTCCTAATTTGCTATAGCAATCATTCGAGACAAAAAAGAAATGATTTTTTGGAGTATATACCAGGAATGTTTTTTACAATTAGTTTTTGGTAAAAGAAGAAGTTGCCTTTTACAAAAATTTAGAAAACATTTTATGTATTTATTTATTTAACTATGTTTGAGTAAAATAAAACTATCGCAGTAACAGCTACTTTCAATTAATAAATATTTATTGTTAACAAATAATTATGCTAAACAGTAATTTATCTTTTTAACTAGATTGTGAATCATCAAAAATTAAAATCAGAGATTTTTATGTTTTGCTAGAAAAATCTATTTAAAAAATAGATAAATTTCTATAGTTTTCTTAAGAAATATATTTTTAATTAATAATAAACTCAACACATTAATGAACTAAAAATAATGCTAATATATATTAATAATAATTGAAATGTATTAAATTATTTTACAAATTAATTTCTAAAATATTTGGCAATAAACTTATATTATTTATTTCTTTTTAAATTAATTCAAAATTTTTGAATAATAAATTTACTGAATTTAAATGATTTTTTTTAAATTAGAATTTTTCTATATTAATTATATATTTTTAAACATTTAAAACAACTATCACCAAAGAAAATTTTCTTGGTTAAATTAAAATAAAAACTTTTAAAAAATATTTTAACATTATTTAATACATTTAGAAAGGTAATATGATAAGTGATCATGTGATAAAAGGATTAATAATTACAAAAATAATTTTAAAAAAGGAACATAAATATGAATATAAGAATGAATTTAAGCATTTATTTATCATTTTTATAAATAAAGAAAAAATAATTATTTAATTTATATTATTTATTCCTTATTAAATAAATAAATAATGATAAGCTGTAAACTAAAAAAAAAATATTTATAAGCTTTTATAAAAAGAAGCTAATTGGCAACAATATATATTAATAATTGTGTATTGTATTTCTATTATCAAATAGAAAATATTTGTATTTTGAATTTTCTTTTTAATTTAATAATAATTTAAATTTTTTACTTGAATTTCATTTAATAAATGTTGATAATCTCAAAAATAATTTAAAAATGGCAAATATGAATGAAAACAAACACTAAGTAATTGTTTATATAGAATTAAAATTATTTAGTTTATTATTTTCATTATTTTTTTGGTTCTTTATTTAATACTAAATATATTTTTGTTATAGCTTTGTATATTCTTTCTACTTCTGTGTAGTTAGCCTTTTTAGCTGTAAGGCAAAGAGATCTAATCTTATGTTATACTTTCATGAGTGGTTCATTATCTCTGATTAGAATTTGCTTATTGAGACCTGGAGCTTGTAAAAAGACTACATCTGTTTTATCTATTTCATCAATATGCTCATTCAAAATATTGTGTACTTTTTCTTAATGTTTCTTTTCTTGGTCTCTTCTGATTTAACTACCAATAGATTTTACTTTCTTTCCTGTTTAGGTATCGCAATTGAGCTAACGTTGACCAGCTTTTTTACGGACAACGTATTTATGATCACTTTTGTGGAAAATACAATTGCCTTTATCATTAAATATTCCAATTGAGAAGTAACCTCCGTGACAAAGAATGATAGTAATTTTTTTGATTGTTTATAATTAGTTTAAGTAGCTTGACTCTTCAATTTGTTATTACTATTTAACTTATTCTTTTTTATTCATTTTTTAAATAATCTATTTTTATCTACTTAGAAGACTTTGCATATTAGAAAAATCATAATTATCAGAAGAAAATTCTTAGCCTTGATAAAGTTCTTAATATTTAGTTTATTCAAATTCATCTTCATCGAAGTCGCTTTCTTGATAATTGAGACTTGGATCAATGATAGATCTGTTAATAAATAGAATGTCGTTGTATTATTTGTTCTTAAAAAATAGGTTGTTGTATTCTTTAATAAATTTATCAGATTTGATTTTTTTAACATATTATTCATCGCTTTCATTGATAAAATTCCAATTCTTTTAAACTAAATATTTAAGAGGAATATCAAAAATTCTCATTTTTATTATATAATTAGTATCTGTTTCAATAAATTTAATGTTTTAATTGCCCTTCTTTGTACCATTGTTTATTTTCAGCCTATTAATTTTGTTTTATCTCCAATCATTGTATTCTTCATTATACTAATCTTTTTAAAATTCGATAACTTATGTGTGAATATATTTGCAGCATTATCCGAACCTAGCTAGCTCTCTCTTATTAAGATAGCTCAAAATTAAATTAGCACAGTTAGCATCACTCTCAAATAAAAAATTTAAATTAATTGCTTAGAAATTCATTTATGCTATTTAATATAAATTAGATTTTGTATTTATTATATTTTTTTGCGCTTAAAATAAACCACTATAAATTGTGTTTGTTTTGATATATATAATTATTATATGCTTTTATATTTACTTTTAATCAAATTTTATACACACATAAACACATAATCTTTCTTTTAAAGTGGATTCTAACTAAACAATCTATTCCTGATATTATTTATAATTATTCTTTCAAAAGTCTTTTAAAGTGTCTATAATTTTAACTTATAATTTTGCAAGAAATTTTCCATTTTCAATAAAAAAAACATCTTTTCTTTTTCAATCTATTTATTAGCATTAATTCATTTATTAATATAGTTTAGAATTGTTTTATTCCTATCATAACATGCACTATTTTATTACATTAGGTTTTATTATTAATAGAATTCACATTATTTATTACCAAAATAAATGGAGATTATGTTCTGAAATTTTTATTTATTGTTTAATTTGGTAATCGGAATTTAATATCTAACATTATAAAATTAAATCTTAAATAAGATTAATAGAAAAAGAAGAAAATAAATCAAGATAGAAAATTGTAATTTAGTGAACTTGAAAAAAAAAAATGTTTTTCTTTCACAAGAATATATATTAAATCTAAGATGTAACTCAATTTAAAATATTTAAAATCAACAACACTTATTCAATTATTTTATACAAAAGTTTTTAAATTGTTAGTTTCCTTTTTGCATTCATCTTAATTTAAACTTTAGGTAAAATTATTGATTTATTTATTTATTGAATGAAATGATTTCTAATATGAATTTTTTATTCATATTATAATCTATTAATTTTTTTAATATCTCTATTTTAGTTGTCGAAAAATTAATGACGAATTGGCAATTCAGATAGGCTAAGGTTTATCCTTTTGCACAAATCTATAAAATTTGGCTTTAGATATTTCAGGAGAGTATCTTTATTACAATTTTTTTTTTTTAATTAAAATTAAATTTCAATTATGAATAAAAACTTTTAAAAATTTTATTTAATTAAATTTATTTTGTCTTTTTATTTATTTTAAAATTATTAAAATTAATTAGTATTTATTTAAAAAATTTTAATTTTTAATGAAAAGCCAACATTAAATAAGCAGTGAAGGGATAAAAGGATTAACTGAAGGATTAAAAAATTGTTAGAATCTAAGATCTCTTTTAATAAATCTAGAGTAAAATTTAATAAATAAACTGTTATATTATTAAATAAAATGTTATTTAATCAAGTATTTTATTAAATTTTATCATTTAAAAAATATAAATTAGTTACAATAAATTAACAAACGAATGCATTATTAATTTAACAAACCCTTTTCCTACAATCTAAAACCTTAATACATTAATTCTATCGTTCAAGTAATTTTTAAAAATAAAAATTTTATCTAAATTATATGAATTTGTATATTAGATCGTGTTCTCTAGGTAATAGTATGAGTAGCTTATGCCTTTCAATATCTAAGTGCTTTAATCTAACTACTTTAGGTCTAGTTTTAAAGTAATTTTAATAAAACTTTTTTATTGCTAAGTATATTAAAATATAAATTTATCCAAATAAAGCAGTAATGGTATTATCAAAGAAGGATTCTATCATTTAGGAATTTCAATTTAGAACTGTAAACTTTTAAGATGTTTCATACTCAGTTTTGAGTAATTTATAAATATTATAAATTTTTAAAATAAACTCTTTTACAAATTATTTTTATTTTCAAAAAATAAATTTAAATTTAATTAATCTACTTATTTTTTTATTTACCACTAATGAAAACAGAAGTAATGGCCTAGTAAGTTAAGATTTAAATGAATTGTCTTAACATTTTAAAAATTGTAAAAGTCTTCGATCATTAAAAATGGATTTAAAGTAATTTTAATTTGATCAAAAAGTATTTATCAGCCAAAATAAATTATTGATAAATTATTTAATAATTCTAAAGTTTTAACAGAATTTAAGATTAAGGAGCCCAAGATTTATGCTAATAACTAATATAAAACAGTTATCTATATTGCTTAAAAATAATGATGATGTAAAACATCTTCAATTTAATTTTTTCATATTTTATCATTAAATTTATTTATTTATATTTAGCGATAACTAAATCAAGAATTAAGTTAAATTTTAGACAATCAGAAAATTAAAGAAAATGAGTAGATTAGTAGATTTTTATTTTAAAGCCTGAGAAGTCTAATTTCAAAAATAACTAAAACTAACTATATAGCTCATAATTCTTTTCGCCAACTATCAAATCACAATTATCACAATTAACAATATTTATAATGATTATTATCCTATAAAATAAATTTTGTATTATCTACAACTTAATTATTTTATTGATATTAAAATGCATAAAACTTTTGTCAAATTTTTAGAGGAAAAATTTTTTACATAATTTCATGAAAAATTAATAAATATAAAATAAATTTGATAAATTTGATTATTATTTAAAGCTATATTTTATACTATTTTACATGCTTCACAATATAAAATTTATTATTTCAAAATTATATTTAATATTTAATTAACCTTTTTGATTTTCTAAAAGGTTTTTTGATTTAATTTAAATATTCTTTATATGATTCCATATTGCAGAATTATCTTTTTTTATTTTATAAAAATATTAATTGTAATTTAATTATAATTAAAATCATTATTTACTTAAATACCTCAGATCCTATGACTAATTTGAGAAATGTTAGATTTGGATAATGCTAAAAAAGTTTGCAGATTTATTTTATATCTTATACAAATAGCTAGTTAAAACTTTTTTAAATTTTAATTTAAAAATATTTAGTTATTTATAAAAAATATATTTTAAATAAATAGATAAATATTATTTTTCAAGCATGAGTCATTCATAAGAATTTTTAAACAAGTAATTAAGAGAAATTTGAAGGAAATATTCAAAGAATAAAATAAAAATAATATGAATGGGTATTAGTTAAAGGCTAATAAAATATAAAATATTCCCATTAATAAATATTTAAATACTTGATGAAATTTTAAAAATAAATTGAACAAATATTTACTTTAAAACGATAATTAAACTTTTTAGAGTTTTGCAATACCCTAATCCTTCAACCAATTCAAAAAACCCTTAGTTTTCTATTTTATTAGATCTTTTTGATAGAAATACATTTAAATATTGTAAAAATATATCAAAAATATTTACTATAATGCTAACTTTAAATATTCAATGTTCTTAAATTGACCTAAGTATGTACCTAAATAAGCTGCTCCAATGTTAGTAATATTATTTTACCTTATTTTTAAAGTTTAATACAGATTTTAAATACCAAAATTAAATAAAAAGCTCTTAGTATAAAATAGTTTAAGATTTAAAAGTATTTTACGATAAATTTAAATAAAAATTAGTTATGTTAATATTTTCCTTTAATTCTGTCACTATTATGCGAGCTCCCTCATCTTCGATTTTATTACATCTAAAAATATTCAAATTAACCATGATATATTTTTTGATTTTTCAAAGATTAATTTGTTTGTATTACTATAACCCTAAAAATAATATTTTTAGATTAGAAATCTTATATAATCCTTCGCCAATAATTGAAGCTCCTTATTTATCAAGCCTCAAGTTTCTGTATAACATAAAAAAACTTTTGATTTTTACAAATTTTACTTTAAATAGAAAGTAAATTATACCCTAAATTTAAATCCAAATTACAGATATTCTTATTCTTTTGTAAACATTAAATTAACTCTTCTACTCCTTTGTTGTTTAAGTGATTTTATCTATTTAATTTTTTTAAAATTTCGATAAATTAATTTTAAAAATTTTTAATTTTTGTTTATATTATTTTATTAGGGTTTAAACCATTCAATAAAATATTTATCGAAATAGAAAAATTTATACGATAACTCAAGTTTAAGGGTTTAAAGGTTTTTTATTTAAGATATTTGTTTACCAATTTGTGCTAAGCCTGTATTATCAACTAAATTTTACCTTTAATCAGAAAAATAAATAAAGAAATTTATAAACAATTTAAATCAATAAAAACCTTGAAATTATTTACGAAAGATCTATTTACAATTCTGATAAAACTTCCAATTAACATACACGAGATATTATTTCTAAAGCATCTTAATTTTTTAGCTAATTTTTTCTGTTTATTAGTAAATTGTATTTTTAACAAATATAATTTGATTTAAAAAATAATTAATTAAAAATAAATTTAATAATTTGATGATTTTACTTGATTTCAAGAATGAGAGATTTTAAGTTTTTGAAAAACTACAATTTATATGATAAGTCTGAAATATCTTGACTATTTATATCGCTTTTAATTTATTCAATTCAAGTAAATGATTATATTAATTTTTTAATTTTATTTAATTAAATAAATAAATACTTAAATTTTAGTTTTAAGTTTTATTAATCGTTGCTTTGTGTGATTAAAAACTTTTATTTAAAAGAATAAATTAAATTTTAAATAAATATATTATTTTTTACTTATTATTTATCTTTATATATCATTCTATTTTTCTTTTAATTTTATTTTTTTAATTTTTACCTTTAAGATATTTATTATTAACATTAATTATCTTTCTTTTACTAATTAAAATACTCTCTACTTAATTTAAAACAATATTAGAAAATATGAATATAAAATAGTAATTCATGTTAAATATCACATAGACAGTCAAGAAAATTTAAAAATTTTTTAAAAAATTTATTAAACTTCTTATTAGATTTAATTTTTAAAAAAACATGCAAATATCTATATACATATATATATATATATAATTTTTATAATATATATTAATGAAATAAAATGCATTTATATTATTATTTATTTAATTTTCTGTTATAAACTTGCACTGATTATTGGTTTCAAGCATCTTCTGAAGTTTTTTAGTAATTTTCTATCCAAATTATTCCATTTACTAAGAAGCTTAATTATTTTTTAAATTAAAAATAAAATAAATTATTTATTACAGTATCAACAGAAATAGACATTTATTTTGTTTATTTTTGATTTATTTAATTAAATAATTAAATTTTCAAAGCTTACCTTAGAGAGAGATTAATTGATTTAATATTTTGGCATTTTTCTAAGGCAATTCTTATATTTTTTGCTTCTTTTTCACCTAAATTATTTTCACTTTTAAATAAAGATTTGTTTAAAAATATTTTAAAAATTAATTGATAAAAAATAAATATCTTTTATAAATTAAAAATAGTCTGTCTTAACTATTAGTTTATAAAAAATAATTCTTTTTGTTTTTATAGTTTTTTACTTTTATTTATATGTATTTTTAATAAGTATGAAAATTACGTTAAATCGAGATCCAAAGAATTAATGTTTTGACAATTTTCCAAACTTTAACTAATATTTTTTGCTCCTTCTGAATGAATATTATTTTTGCTTCAAATTAATTTATTTAAAATTATTCTTAAAAAAGAGTTAAACTTAAATAAAATAGATAAATAATCAATTCTTATTCTAACTAAAAAAAGACATTTCATATTTTAATACAAGATTATAAATAAATTTACCCTAATGAAAGATTCAAAAAAGTAATATTTTAACACTTTTCTATGCTTGATACAATATACTATGTCCCTTCTGTACCAATATTATTGTTACTAACAAGAAAATAATATATTTTTTTAAAATAAGAATTAGGAAATAAAAATTAATTTTTAACTATTCATTCGAATTTATTTTTTATGTTGAAGAAAAAGCAAACTCTTCTTTTATACATTTGTAAGTAACTCAATGTAAATATTAATTTTAAAAAATTACTAAATATTAAGATTTAAAGAAGTTATATTTTGGCATTATTCTAAGCTTGTTGCAATATACTTTGCTCCTTCTGTACCAACGTTATTTCCTCTATTAAGAAATTAACATATAGTTAATTTATTTTGATAATAAATAATTAAAATTATATTAAAAAAAAATTTACGATATATTGAGGTTTAAAGAAGTAATACTTTCACAATTTGGTAAGCTTGCTGCAATATATTTTGCTCCAAACGCTCCAAAATTATTTCCGCTTCAGTAAAAAAATAAATTTTAATATGATTAGAAAATAAAACAAATTATAATTTAAAATAATAATCTATTTAATTAATGGCTGATAGATAGATAGATAGATAGATAGATAGATAGATAGATAGATAGATAGATAGATAGATAGATAGATAGATAGATAGATAGATAGATAGATAGATAAATTAATTTTATTAATTGATGAAAATTACGTTAAAAAAAGATTTAGAGAAGTAACATTTGAAAACAATTCTAAGCTCATTCCAATATATTTTGCCCCTTCAGCTCTGATTTCATTTACACTATAAATAATAAATTAGTATTTTATTGCTACAAAATTATTAATAAAAATTATTATTTAAAGAAAAACTATTTTTTTATATTTAACTTAAAATTTGATTAACAATTAAATTAATTAAATTACTCTATATTAAGATTTAAATAAGTGATATTCTTACACATTTTTAAGCTCATTCCAATATACTTTGCTCCTACAGCACCTATATTATTTCCACTATTAAAAATATATTTGATATGTTTTGTAAAGAAGTAAATAATATGTGAATTTAAAATGAAAAATTAAATTAAATATTAAAATTTTAAATAAATATTTCTTAATTAATTGTTAGTTATATTTATTTTTTTTTAAAGTTTAATTCAATTTTAATAAAGGTACCTTAAAGAGAGAGTCAAAGAGCATAAATTTTGGCACTTTTCTAAGCTCATCCCTATAATTTTTGCACCAGCCTCACCAAGGTTATTATTACTATTAAAAAAGTAAATAATTAGTTATTATTAATTTTTATTAATTCAAAATTAATTAATTAAATAAATAAATCCTTAACTAGATTACCTTAGATTAAGACTCAAAGAAGTAATATTTTGACTTTTTTCTAAGCTTATTCCAATATTTTTTGCTCCTTCTGGACCCAGGCGATTACCTCTAAAGTAAAATGCTTAATTAAATTTTTTATAGATTTACTTTTAACAAATTACTAAAGATCAAGTTCAAACAAAATAATATTCTGACATTTTTATAAAAGATTTGCTATATGCATAACTCCTTCAGTTCCAAGATTAGTTTAACTATAAAGTTTATAACGTTTTTATTCATTTCATTATAATTTATAATTTATTTTTTTTAAGTTTGGGTGAAAGGGGAGGCGAAGGATTATTTATTTTAGGATTTTTCTAAAAAAAAAAAGATTAATTAAAAAATAATAATTTATCATATATTTTTTTTGTAATTTCTCTCTCCCTTTTACCTTAAAAATAGCTAAATAAATTAGTTATAAATAATATAACCTTAATTATATTTTCAAAGAAGTTATGTTTTGGCAATTTTCTAGACTCCTTTCAATATATTTTGCACCATTCTCAAAAAGCTTATTATAGTTTCTTAATTAAAAAAATATTGTTGATGTATTTATTTATGTTTTATAAATTATCTAAATCTATATTTAATAATATATATAGTACTGCTAACTGAGATATAGTGAACTTACATTTTGGCTTTTTTCTAAGCTTACTTCTAATTAAGCATATTCTGTTACAAGATTGTTTCCACTATGAATAAAATAAATTAATTTTTCAAATCAAAAATTGAATTTAGAATAAAATAAACATAAATTTTTAATTAATAGCATTAAAAATCATTAAAAAATGCAATTATTAAATCTTAAAAAATATAAATAATAACAATTACTTGAAGTTAAGATTCAGTGAAGTTATGTTTTGACACTTTTATAAACTTGTCCCTATATTTTCTACTCCTTCCACTCCAAGATCATTTTCACTATTTGAAAAATTAAATATTTTTAGAAATAAGTTGGTTTAAAATTTCAATTATGAGGAAATCATATTTGCTTAATAATAAATTTATTGTGCATCTAATAAAAAAACACTCATTTTTAAGAAATACTTTATTAAAATTTTTTGACTTAATGTAATAATTGGCAAATTTATTTTAAAAGTTTGGATAAATGTGCAATTATCAAAAGTACAAAAAGAAATAATTTAAAAATAATAATTTTGAAAAATTTGATAGCGAAAAATACAAAAAGAATAATGTGATTGATTGGCAGTAATATGAGATGATTAATTGTAAAAATATTCCATGAATTAATATTTAATAATATAACCTTATTAAAAGGTCCAACGAAGTAATCATTTTACATTTTTCTAAGCTTCTTCCAATAATTTTTGCTCCTTTTGCACCAATCCTATTTTTACTTTAAAATTACATTTTCTAAGTAAATAAGAAAATTATTTTGAAAATAAATAAATTTACCTTAAATTAAGAACCAAAGAATATATATTTTAGCATTTTTCTAAGAACATCCCAATGTATTTTGTTCCTTCTGCTCCAAGATTATTATAGCTAATAAAAGAAATAAAAAATAAATTTATGTTTTATCAAAAAGAAAGCTCTTTAATTTAGATCAATTTTGAATGGACATTTCTATTAATCCAAAGTTGAAATAAAAAAGCAAACATTGATTTGATTTATTTGTTTGTTTTAACGTTTATTAATTTTTAAAATTTTTGAAAAAAATTACTAAAGATTTAGATTTAAATAAGTTATGCTTTAACATTTTTCAAGGTTCATACAAATGTTTTTCGCTCCTTCAGCTCCTATTTAATTGAAACTAAATAAATAATATAAAATATTTTAGTATTTATTTGTTTATTCAAATTCAAAGAAAGTTGATTTAAAAATTAAAAATAATTAACTAAATTTTTAACAAATTCATAATTTTTAAACTTTAATTATTTTAATTTAACAAATAATTAAAATACTTACCTTAAATTAAGGTTTAAAGTGTTAATTTTTAAGCATTTTCCTAAACTCATACAAATATAATTAGCTCCTTTTGCACCAAGATTAGTTAGACTAGGAATTTAATAAATTTTATTAATTTCACACTTTATAAGAAAAAATAATAAAAATTGCTTATTGTTTGTATTTGTTAAATGTGCAGCAATCAATAATCTTAAACTTATTTATCTAACTAATAATTGTGTTAAAAATCTAATAAAATAAATATATTACTAAAGATTAAGATTTAAGGAAACAATATTTTAACAGGATTCTAATTTTTAACCTAAATTGCTAGCTCCTTCTGCCCCAAAAAGACTATTTTGCCTAAAAAGAAAATAAATTTAAGAAACAAAAATATCAATTAAAGTATTTATGAAATCAAATGAACAATTTATTTATTAAATATGTTGATAGGTAGGTATAATATTCAAATTATTTATTTCTTAAAATAACATTGTTACTCTTACTTTTTTTAATTTATAAAAGCTAAATAAAAATATAAAAAATAAATCCCCCTTTTAAAAATTAAGATTCTTGTAAAGCTTAAAAATTTTAAAATATAACTAAAAAAATAAATGCTTAAAATGTAATATTTGATTAAATTATTTACCCAAGATTTATTTCAAGCACATCATATTCATTTGCTTTAACTATGTCATCAATATTTTATTTGCTTATGAAAAGCCTTCTTACTTTCTTGAATTTTAGTGATTTTAGAGAATTCTCATTAATATTGAATGAATCTAAACTCTGAAGCAGAATTGGTATTAGCTAAAGTCTTTTATCTTTGTTAGGGTCTGTCATCTTTGAAATAATTTAGTTGATAAAATCTACGTCCTTTGATCTTTCTTGATAAGGAAATACTTCTAAAAACTTTTTTTGCTTCAAATTCAAAATCTCTTTTTGTGTGAGTCTTCTTTATATAAAAGTTTCAGCCACAATTAAGCCAAGCGAGAATATATCAATCTATTCATTTATGTAAAAAAATTAGTTATAAGTTAGTTAAATTTAAATAAAATACATTTTATATCTCTGCACTTGATTCTTGCCTTTTAATCTCTTTCAGAGATTATTAGCTTTTTAAATGTTAATCAGACTTTTATTTAAAAAATATAATAAATTATTCAAAAAATAAATACATTTTATTTACTTCATGTGTTTTCATAGGTAGAGAGTTTGCCATTGTGTTTTATAATCCATAATAGGCTATATATATAATAAAGTTAGTTCTCTTATAAATTGTATTGTATTGAATTAATAATTAATACCAATTAAAAACTTATTTTTAGATTAGCTATAGAGAATATTTTCAGATAAGATATAATTTTGAAAAGAAATACCATTTTTTTTCAATACATCTAAACCTTTTAGCAACTAATAAGCGATTGCAACAATTTATTCAATATTAAGCTTGTTTAATTCTAGAATTTTATTAAGATTACCTATTGTATATTTAATGTTAACTGATATTAATATTATAATTATTACAATCATAAGGTTCAGTCACAATAGCAATTAATCCTTATTGTTTATCGTAAATCTTTTCAATTGTCTTTAAGAAATATATTTCATTAGTGATATTTTATAGAACTTCTATCTTTTTGTCTAATTCTTTTTCATTTTCCTAATTGAACTTTTCGAACTGTTTAAAAACCTTAATTGCAACTTAACATTTTAGTTTCTAAGAATATGCAATCATTGCTAATGAAAAATCTCCTTTTTCCAGTACCTTTTAAAAGTCATATTTATGTTACATTAAGAATTATATTACAGTTTCTTCATCTATCTTTTCAATTTAACTTTAACTATAAAGCTAAATGGCTTATGTGCAACCCATAATTGCTTGCCTTTTTTAATACTTTAACAAATAAAAACTGAATAGCTTAATTAAGAAAAAGTATCTATTTATGATAAATATTAATCATTCAATACAATTTTTTTATAATTCTAAAAAGTTTCTAAATAAATTGTGGTAGTAAAAATTGATAAATGTATTCAAAAAGTAATAAAAACATTAAATGTTACTTTCGTATAGTAATTATAAATTTTAAAGTAAGTAATAAACTAAATTTTATCAAATTCAACTTAAAAAATAGGTTTGCTTAATTTAAATATTCACAATAAATAATTTTAAAAGGCATTTTTAGTCTAGTAGATTATTAATTGGTAATATTTAAATTATAATCTTATATCGCAAATAAAGTAGACGTAATCTCTAATAAAGACATACTGCTATTATCATAACAAAAATTTCTAATATGCAATCAAATTTACAGAATATTTATCATTTAATGCAAATCTTCTTATATTTTACCCATCCCTACTCCAAGTTCTACCTGCTATTAGAAATTAGCTATATATATAATTAAGTGGGTAAGAAAGAATGTAGGAGGGTTTATAGTAAAATACAATATATTCTTTTTCCTTATTGAAACAAAAAAATTTCAATTTAGTTTATTTAAAATTTAAATTTATTGTAAACTTTTTATCGTTCAGCTAGCTAACTAGATAGCAAGCGAGGTGATGACTTAGCATAATTAATTACAAAGCAAATTTTATTTTTTAAAAAGAAATGCATAAATATTATAGAATAGACATAAAAGAAGAATCATATGTAATACTTAAACAATTTATTTATCTATTTAGATAGTTTCATATGTTTTTAAATAAATCTATTAAGATATAGTTTAATTATTTATATTTTTTTTAAAGAGGGAAATAGTCGATTCAAACTTACCACCATGAGAGCTTTTTGATAAGATATCTATGTAGTAAGTGACATCTTGCTGATGTCTTTGAAGCAGCTTTGATTAAAGAGAGTAGAGTTAGATAGAAAAGATCAAAAAAGCAAAAATAAAATAAGAATACTAAGGCATCAATCGCTAGCCATCTCTTAACAAACTCAAATTTAATTAATTGAATAACTGAAATATATTATAAGAAAGTCAAAGAACCAAGAGCGAAGGAAACGATAAGTCCCACAAAAAGTTTGTATGATTATATACCTTAAATAACTTTTATGTTGTTTAGTAATTACTAATTGTTGTAATTAATATATATGATGTCTTTTTCTGCTTTCGCTGCTTGGCATAATATGCAGATTAATAATGTAAGTAGAATAGTTATTCCTGCATTAACAATTATTTCAAAAGTTATTGATGCTATATCATCTTTTGGGAGTATTTTCTCAAGATTCATTATATGGTCTGATCTGTACATGTATTTATACTACAGTCTTTCAACTTCCTTGTTGAAGAAATATATTTAAATTAAGCTTCCAGTGAAGAATTTCAAGTTGACAAAGAGGCAAATTAAAAGAACTTTTAGTTATCTAGGAAAGACAATCATATCTTCTTTAAAAGTGTTAAATATGATGCAATGATTTTAAAATAGTCTAATCCAGTTTTTTGTTAGTCTCTGACAAAAATTTGTTTCTTTATGAATTACAATTTTGTCAAAAGATAATTCGAGAGCATTTTTTTCTTACTTTTACATTTATTTCTCAAGGTCAGCCATAAAATCTTAATTTTTCTTAGCTACTGCTTTTTCTTTTTAGATTGTTTGAGATTTTATTTTTTAATTAGATAATAAGTGGTTTTCATTGCTTTTTTGGAGTTAGTCTGTTAAAGATTTAAGTTAATTGTTCTCAATTTCTTTGAAATTAGAATACTATTTTACAGTACTAGGATTACTTTTTTCCTAAACAACAACTATGTTTGTAAAAGAATCGATTAACTTTTGATTAATAGATTGGGGTTGAGATTAGGAGCAATTCACAGACTAGGGAGTTATCGAAGCTGTATCAGCAGTAGATTAAAATCTGTGAGAGCGTGGTGCAGAACTAAAACTATTTGCAACTGAAGATGATCTCGATCTAAAATTACCTTCTGCCTAATTATTCAATTCAGCATTATTTTATTATCCAAAGAGCATTTGCTGTTTTTCGCTATTATTTTTCGAAGGGCTGGCTAAAGCAGTGACTATATTACTTTATTGATCATTTAGAAAAGGACCGCTTTTAGACATCTAATACTCCTAATTACAAATTTAAGATACAACATTTATATTTTAGACATTATCTTAATTTGAAGACTAAACCAAATTTTTGGCACGCTGTTCACAAATAGTTACTTCATTCTTAGAGCAAATAAAGTTCATTTCATTTTAAAAACTTAAAGGCTTTTTTAATGCTACCATTTAACTCTTGTGATTTATCTTAGAATTTGATAGTTATTTATTTCTAATATTTTTAGATTTCATTTTATTCTGCTAAAAATGCTCATCTTTTTCATCTTCACCTTCATCTGTCATTAAAGAGAGTAGTCTCCTATTGTGCTATCCTCCCTTGCTATTAGATTTAGAATTTCTAAATAGATATTTTAGTTAGTTTTTCTCCACCTTTAAATAACCTTTCTTTTTGTAAAGATAAGCCTTATAAATATAACACAGAAGAACTAAAACTAAGAAACTAAAGCTAACTGATAATGCAAAATAAAATGATCCATCAGATAAGGATTTCTAGATTGTACTGCTAAATTCTCCAAAAGGAAAAAAATCTATTTGGTCTTATGGAAAATTACTTTTCATGTATCTAATTTAATTATTTTTTTTTAAATTTTACTTTTTTGTTTGTAAATTTCTTATTTGTTTGTATTAACAGTCAATTTTTTATGAAATTAAAAAGATAAAAAGATAGAGCTTGCCTCTATTTAAAAAAAATCTTCTACTAACCAAAAGAAAGAATATAGTGAAATTCAAAATAATTTGCAGAATTCATTCACTATTTTAAAGTAGTGTTGTAAGCTATAATAAAGACAAACCGGATGACTAAATTTTTAATCTATCCTATATAGCTTCAAGCAAGAGATGATTAAATTCTTTAGTTACTTTGAAAGCAAAATAACTAGGTAGGTAGGTGTATTTGTTTTTGAATGGGATTTAAACTGATTTAGCTTCCAATAATAAATTCTATAAATTTGCATACATACATACAAACAAACATTGATATGATACAATTTAATTTAATAAATTTATTTAATGGATTAAAACCTATTTTTAGATGAAATTGTTCTAATTATGGAATTTAGTTTTTGAAATTCTGTATTTTATTGAAATATTTGTTCATTAAGTAGTATCAATATTTTTAATATTATAAAATCACGAGTCAAAATCGTTAACAGAGGGCTAGTTTATTATATCGCACTGACTCTAGCTTTTATATGACAAACTGTAATCTCCTTCAATTATTTAAACTGATTTTCGATCTTAAAAATCACTAAAATCATATTGAGAACTATGACAATTTATGATATCTTAACTTGATATTTGATTTTTTTATTGTGTTATGTAATTTTAAGTGCTGACATCTGTGACTTCTACTGCTTAATTATTAGAATCATCATATTTACTTTATTTTTAGTATTTGAAATATAAATCATCAAGGTCTTTTATACAGTCAAGTATTATATCTTACTTTCTCTCTAATTTATTAATAAAAAAAGTAAATTATTTTAAATAAACAAACAAACAAACAAATAAACAGTCATTTAAATTCAAATTTCAAATAAAGACAAATTTTTACATCCTAAATATTAAAGGTTTTTTAAATTTGTCTGCACTTCTTGTTCGAAAGCTTTATTTTCATCAAAAAATTTATTTAATTCTTTCATCTTTTCTTTATATTCTTGAACACAAGCGTCTGTTTCTTTAGAAATTACTGTCCTGCTTTCATTAAGAATTGAATCTTGAGGAAGGACATAATTACCGCCATTAGAAGAAAAATTGCAGGAATACTCAAGAGAGTAATCAGGGAAATATTATTTATTCTAAATGTTTTCGTAAGAAGGAGATGAGTAAATTTATCCACTTAAGCTCCTCTTTGTCCTTTGAGGCTAGTAGGCATAGTTATATAAATTATTTTAAGTTCCATTTACAATATCTTTTACACTGTAATTTGACCTAGAAGAAGGTGCTTATGGAAGATTTTAAGGCTTAGGAATAGGTATTTGTTTTTTTGTATAATCTCTGGATATAGTTGAACCCTATGTATTTAAATGCTATTATAGTGAATTAGTATAATGGAGCATTGAATTGTTTGCCTCATTCTCAGTTTAAGTTCTAAAGCTGCTATTTGGGCTTGATTATCTAGAAAAGCTCCTGGTACGTGATATTTCTAATCTTGGAACCTTTCCTTGTTCCTATCTTGAACTACCATTCAATGACATATTCACTACTTCAAAAACATTTTCTTTATCCTCAAAACAAACTGGAATGTATGTATTAGAGGAACTTTGAATTTTAGGATTCCTGTTGAAATTTTATTAATTATAAACACTCATTAATTTGATTTTCTTAATTATTTTTAATCATTTAAATTAAAAGTAAATGCTCGCTTTAAGTAAAATCTTGTGATTAATATTCAAAGCTTTATTTTGAATTTTCAATTTCACCTAATTAATTCATTTATCAAAATATAAAATTTCAAAGCTAATAAATATCCTTGATTTAAACAAAATAAATATCATTTTTTTTTTTCTAAATTAAAATAAATTATTTTTATTTAAAAAAATAGTTTAAATTAAATAAATTTCTTAGAAAGCCTAAATTATATAACTAATTAAACTATTTTTTAAAATGAATTATTAATTCTTATGTTATTATTTGGAGAAAACAAAAACTTGAATTGAATAGATATAATTCAAAAATAAATAGAATAAATAATGTTTATTAAAATTCTAAATGTTTTATATAAAAATGAGTGTTCTTATTAGAAGAAGAAAAAGAGCAAATAAATTTTATCTTTCATGCTAATAAAAAAAAAATAATTCTATCATTTGATAAAAATTATAAGGTATTATGATATTAAATTAATTTAGATTTTAAAACAAAAAAAATGTTATTCATAAATATTAATGATTTGGAGAAAAAATTTATTAGAAGGCGAAGAAGTACATAAAAATATTTAATGTATCCTCTCTAAATTAAAAAATATTTTTATTTTGAAAATAATTATTTAATCTTTTAATACAATTTTAAACATTTTTTATTTTTTTAGTTTGTTTAGGTTCGAAACCAACCTATTTCGATACCTTATTTATTATTTTTAATTTTCTTTAAATTTTAAAAATATGATTTATTATTCTACTAAATATTTATTTCCTACTACAGAAATAATTATCTGAGAATATCAACATCAATTTTGATAGTAATTCAATCAAATATATTTATTAATAAGGATAATAATTAATTTTAGTTTCCTAAATATATTTATTCAATTTATACATTTAAAATATACAAATACATTAATTATTTCTCATAAAAAAACAAATTTTTATTTTAATATATTCAGAAATTTATTAGGCAAATTTACTGAATGTTTGTTTCCAAAAAAAATTGCCAAATGTAGAATGTTACAAATTTTTTATTTTAAAAAATACCAAACATCGAATAAGATAAATAGACTTTAGACCGAGTATTCGGTTTATCCCTAAATGAATTAATTAAAAATATGATTTCAATATTAATTTAGATTAAATTTTAAAAATAAAACGCCATTCATAAATTGAGTGAAAATAGTAAATTAATTAATTAAATGAGATTATTATTTTAAAATAATAAATAATAATATACAGTAAATAAATACACTTATTATAAATTTAATTTTTATTTATTTCAATGAGGTTGGGACCATTAAATTTCTTTAATGTCAATACCTTCCTAAATCATTTCCCAAAGAGGAGACATTTCTCTTAATTTAGAAACTTTTTCAGACAAGAGGTTAATTAAATAATCGACTTCCTCATCAGTAGTAAAGCGACTTTTTAAGGGAAATAATATTAAGTATTAAAAGTTTTTAGTTAAAATAAGTTAATTTTACCCAAATCCAATACGTAATGAAGTGTGAGCTAATTCTTCGTTGACACCGAGAGCTCTTAAGACATAAGATGGTTCAAGAGAAGCAGAAGTACATGCAGAGCCACTTGACACAGCACATTACTTGATACCCATCATTAAACTTTCTCCTTCAACGAATTCAAAGGAAATATTTATGTTACCGACATATCTTTGATCCTTTAATTTATACATTAATTAAATTAATTCTTAGTATTTAGAAATTCATTTAGAAAAATTAGCAGTAAATCAACATTTTTTATCAGATTTGCTTCTTTTTCTTATTTTCTGGTAAAAATCTTAATTTTTCAAGAAATTTCTTAATCAGAAAATCAGGCAAATTTATAATAAAAAATCATAAAATTTATGTAATTAGAAATTGCTTTAACTGAGCTGAATTTAAGACATAAAATAAATAGCTACTTTAATTTTTTTCTAATGCTTTTACTTTTAAGTTTTATTCATTATTTATGCAAATGGAATTCATATTTTTCTAAAATTATTTATTTACCTTATCACCATTTATATATATATTTGGAATACGTTGGTAGACTTCTTTCAAGAATTTTTCTGAAAGCCTTTAAATATGTTTTTTATCGTTATCCATTTCTCTCTTGGCAATTTCACAAGCCTCACCAAAACCAACACACAACTTTTTTTATTGATAAAACAAAAAATTGAATTCAATTCTAAAGTCTTTTTAAATTTAAAGAATTAATTACATGAGGAGCAAGAGTTCCACTTCTTAAACCTCTTTCTTATCCACCACCATTAATAATTGCTAAATAATTACAAAATATTTTTTTATTGCATTCATTTTTTCATCTCCTTTATAAATAAATAAATATCAATCATTACGTAAAATTCTAACTTTGGGTTTTCTTCTAACATATAAACCTCCGATACCCTTAGGTCCATAAACCTTTATTTTTGATAAAAATTTTAGATGAATTCTAAATAAGAATTTATTTATATTATATTTTATTTTATCTATCTACTATTGCATAAATATTAAAAATAATTCTATACTTTATGACTAGACATAGACATTAAATCAATATTCATTTCATCTACATTAATAGGGATTTTTCCAAGTGCTTATGCAGCATCTGTATGGAAGAAAACTTTATTGTCTCTACATATTTTTCCTATTGTTTTGATATCTTAAATTACACCTATTTCGTTGTGAACTAATATAATAGAAGCTACAAGAGTATCTGGACGAATAGCGTTTTTAAAAACTTCTAAATCAACTAAACCATTTTTTTAAACGGGAAGATAAGTAATTTCATATCCTTATTCTTCTAAATTTCTACAGGTATCTAAAATACATTTATGCTCAATTTAAGTAGTAATAATATGTTTCTTCTTCTTTCCATAGAAAGCGGCTAATCCCTTTAATGCTTAGTTATTTGATTCAGTTGCACCTGAAGTAAAAGTAATTTCCTTTGGATCTGCGCCAATAAGATCAGCTACTTAAGCTCTTGCATCTTCAGTAGCTTTTTCTGTGGCCCACCCATATTCATGAGATCTAGAATGAGGGTTTCCATACATATTTGTTTGATAAGGCATCATTTTATCAAGAACTCTGAAATCCAATGGAGTTGTTGCTTGAAAATCTAAATAAATTGAGCGCTTATCTGCTGTGTTGTAATTACCTGAACTTAGCACTATTAATATCAATCAAAATTAAAATATTAAATAATTTATTTAAAACTTTTATTTATGATGAAATTTAAAATCTTAATCAGTCTCATTTTATAAACTATTAAACAAATAAATGTCTATTTATATTTTGATGCTATTTTATGATCAAATTCCTAAAAAATAAAATCTTAAAAGCTGTTTTTTATGCTATTTGATAAATTGATTTTAATTAAATAGATATTAGAGATTAATTACAAGGTTCTTAAGAAAATGGAGCTTTCAACAAATTGTATAGTCCTCTTGTTTGTATAATTTTTTTGATCATTTTAAAATGGCAAATGTAAGTAAGTAAGTTAGTATCTTTATTATTGATTGAATCTATTATTTGCAAAGAAATTAAAAATCTTTCTCTTTTTTTCTTTTTAATTAATTAACAATGTTTTACAAATAAAATAAGTGCGAATATATTTTTAGAAAGAAAAAACTTTATTTGATCACTTTCTAATTAATTAATAATTAACTTTTGTTTATTTTTATCATCATAGAATTTTTGAAGAAATATTTCTTCTCTTCTAGAGTTTTTTTTGTAGCAAATTAAGTTTATATGCTCTACAATTATTCGAAAATTGTTAAGAATTTTCACATTTTTTTAATCTAAAAGACAGAATATTCCCAAAGCAAAATAGCTAAATAAATAAATAAATAATTAAATCAATTCTATATAATTTTAAATTTTAATCAAAGCTGAGTAATTAATTCATATTCAAAATTTGCTTTTTATATTAAATATAATTAAATCATCTATTTTAAATATAATTTATATAATAGTTTAAATTAATTAATTAATAACCTTTTTTCCTTTAAGATTTTACTTTCATTAATAAAAATATTTTTCTGGCTTCTTTAAATTAATTTTTTATTTAAGAAATTTTACAAATTTTAAGATTATTTATAAATAAATAGTAAAATAATACAATTATTTTTAAAAATGATTATTTCTAACTTTCTAACCCTTCATATTTACTACAAATCTTCTCACTTAGATTTTCTACAAATATTCATAAAAAAATACTTTTATTAAATTATTATTTTATTATAAAATATAAATTAAAAGTTTTTATTATTTTTAAAATTTTTAACAAACTTATAAATAAAATTACTTCGTTGATTTTATAAAAATACTATTTTTATCATTTCTCAAAAAATATCCTTCAACTTAAATATTGAAAAATGTTTATTGCTATATGTTAAAAGTTTATTTTCTCTTTATTTTGCAATATTTAAATAAGATATATTCATTAATTCATAATAAATTTATTAAAAAATATTTTATTGAAAATCAAATAAGAACTTTAATTCTTATTTTAATCAATAAAGATTTATGATTCAAACAAAAATATCCATAATTAAATTTAAAAGTAGAAATAAGAGAAAATTATATGGCTGGCTTTTATTAAAAACATCAAAATATTGTAATTTCTTTAATTAATAAAATTAAAAAATTTTTTAATATGGATCAATTCATCTAATAATTATCTTAATTTATTATTTTGTATCTTTCAATCTTATTAAAAAAAATTGTTAATTTATGTTTAATTTTACTATTTTTTTGCTAAGAAAATTACAACATTTAGATAAATTATAATCGTTAAATGAAATTACTTGAGCAATTTATAATTTTTATTAATTAAATTTTTTCAAAAATATTCGTGATAATATAAATTTGCTTCAAGTCAAGAAAATAAATTAAGCTAATCTGTTAATTTATGAAGAAATAACTCTTAATTTTATTTGTTTTAATCTATATTTCTACATGTAAATTTAATAAGGAATGTTAGTAACTTAGAGTTTAGTTATTTGTTAATTTATTTCTTTTAAATAAAAGAACAAATTTCTTGAATTTTTAGTTAAATATGAATTCAAAAAAATATAAACATGAAATGAATGAGTTGAGTTATCTTTTATAATTTGTTATGGATAAGACGAAGTTTTTCCAAATGAAATTGGTCTTTTTCTTTATTTATTTATTTTTATTTAATATTTGCTTTTTTCTTTAAACCAACAAAAATTCCATCATAAATTTAATTAAGAATCAATTTTTTGCACAGTAACTTATTATTAATCATTGTTAAGATTATAGCAAAAAAGGAATAATTTATATGGAAGACAATTAAAAGGTTTAGCAGAAATAAGCAGAATAAGCTTCAAATAATTAAAGGCCATCCTTAAACCAAGCAGCCAGGAAATAGCAAAGTTTTAGATAAAGTTTAATTGGTAAAGATGGTAGGGCTACTACAGGCAAAGGAAATTTAGATAGTATTATTGTTAATGAAGCAGTTAATGCTTTGGTTTATGGAGATGTAATTAATAGATACACAAAAAGTGGAAAGAAAAAACATGAATGCTTTTTCTATTTGCTTGAAACAGATTGTAACATCTTATAATGGCTATCTGCCCACAAAAAATTTAGTGAATCAAGGATTAAATTAAGCGAAATTAAAAACATACAATCCAAACCTTCTTTAACAGAAATTAATAACTATGATTCATCAGTCTCGCTTTGCTTGACAATGGATGGAGGATTTGAGTTAATTTTAGAATTTAATGATAAAAAGACACGAGATAAGTGGTGGAAAGGACTTCTATTTGTAAAAGAGTATGGTCCAGACTATGACATTTAGAAGTAGCAATTTTATATTTTATAGTTTTTTTAAATTAGTATGAATCTAACCAGCGTTTTATGGTTGTAAATTCCCTTAAGCATTCAAGCAAAATATAATAAACTTATGAATGAATTTTATTTAAGTTATGAAAAAAAATAGAAATTTAATCATGAAAATTATAAGTTCATTATTATAAATTTGTTTTCTAAAAAAAATATTGAAAGTAAGAAAGCCAATTAAATAGTTACTTTGAATTTGAAATATGTTAATAACTTACAATCAAAAAGCAACCAAAAAATATATAAATATTTATTTATTTAGCATTGAAAATGATTGAAAATGTAAAATTAATTTTGTTTTTTAAAAGTTATTAGACAAAAGAGCAATTTATTGCTTAGCTGCTTCTTGGAGCTGAAATCGATAAAAAAAAGAAGATTACTGATAAAGAGGTAAAAAAGCTATTAAGAAAGCTTTTAATACAAATTAATAATGAAGAGCTAGAAGACAAAATTAAAAAGTACTACAAAAACAATGAAAAATCATTAACTTATAACGAATTCATAGAATTAACAATAACTTTACTTGAAAAGCCAGAAATATAACCTATTTACTAATCATATTGCACAAACAATAATATGATATTGCAAAAGGATATATTGAAGTTCTACCAGAACGAATAAGGAGAAAATTATGACGAAAAGCAAGTGTTATCGAAAATGAACAAACTTACAAAAGGCAGAGAAAAGAAAATGATTAATTATTTGTCATTTTGTCAGCTAATATTCACAGGGGATAATTCTATTTTTGATCCTGCAAAATAAGTCATATCGGTATCTAAATATTTCATTTAAAATCAAATTAATTCTTCTTTATATTAATAATCTTTGATGTTTTTTTAAAAGCATTAATATCTTAAATAGGGTTTATTCGAAAAAGATTTTAATTTACAATTTGTTCAAATAAATTTTAATCAAGTTTTCAATACTTTTTAACTTATTTCTAGCTAATTGTTCTTTTAATATACGCCCCAAGTAGACAATAATTAAATATATAAATTAATTAATTTATTTAATTTAAATTTATAAAATCATCATTATTATCATTAAAATTTTTGATAAAAATAAATAATTTTTATTAAAATAGAATATGGACAAACCTCTTTCTGATTACTTTATTAATAGCTCTTTCAGATCTTACTTGGTTTATGATTTAGTCACTTAAACAAAGGATTTAACAAAAGCATACATTTATTTATTGTAAAAGGGAGTTAGGCACCTTGATATTTATTGTTAGGTAAATATTAACTAATTTATTAAAAATAATAATTTAGCAAAATTAGTTAAAAATTTATTCATAAAAACAATAAATAATGGATTGAATTTTAAATCACAAACTTATTACTTTAATTAGAGATGTTCGGTATTAATTTATTTTTTTGTATATCGATACTGATACTATAGAAAATAGAATATCTATCGAGGCTTGATAAATCTAATATTTCGATATTATTTACCCAAAATTAATGAGAAAAAATCAAAATTACATATTTATTGATACTTTAAAAATCTAATATCGAAGTTCAATATATGGGCACAACTCTAATTTTAGTGCTTAAATCAAGTTTTTATTTTTCTTTAATAAATAAAGCTATTTTTTATCCAATAAAAAAAGCAATTTTATATCCAATAAATATAGCTATTTAATTTCTTATAAATATTGCAATTTTGAATGTATTAAATAAAGCTATTTTATAAATAAATTTTAGGATGGAGAATCAGGAGTTCCTGAAGCCTTATAAGGAGTTTTTTAGGTAACTCCAGTTAGTGTTGAAGATATTTTCAAGGCGATTAAACAATATGGATTTGAAAGAAGTGTTTATCCAATAATTATAAATTTGGAGCATGAATGCTCTGTGAATTAATAAAATTTAATAGCTTAATTTTTGGTAAATGTGTTCTAGGATATGCTTTATAGGCTTCCTGAGGATTTTATTTCGTTAGATTATCTTCCCTCACCTAATTAACTTAAAAAGAAAATCATCATAAGAGCTAAAGGAAAGCTGGCAAACATAATATCATTGTATGAAAAAAAAGTATACAAAAAAGTAAAGGAAAGAGAAGAGAGAGAGTAGTATGAGAGGGAGATGAAGTTAAAAGAAGAAGAGTAAAGAAAAAAGAGATAAAAAAAAGAGGAAGAAGAAAGAATGAGAAAATAATAATAAGAGGAAGAGGAAGAGAATGAAGAAGAAGATGATGATGAATATGAATATGATGACAGTTACAGTGGGAAAAAAAGTAATTAGAAGAGTAAGAATAACAGCAACAAAAAAAATAACAGTAACTAAAAGAAACCTATTGTTTAGTAAAAGACCATCCAAAAAAAACCATAAAATGGCCCTAATATAACTCGAGATAATAGCAAATAACCATCTATAGCTTTATTAGGATAGCTAAATAAAAAGTAGCCAAATGAAATTGAGCAACTGATAGATTTAGAATTGAATTTAGATAAAGAATTTTTAAACGAAGATAATTATGCAACAATAAAAACTAATTAAATCAATCAGTTTTAAATTTTATAAAATAAGGCTCTTATAACTGCTAACAGAGAGATTAAATCCATGGTCATTCAATAGTAAAATTCATAGTATAGTCTTGTAGAAAATCCTAAAGAAGCAATGCAAAGGAAAATGAGAACTGATTAAATTTAATTTTAAGAAGCAAGATCACCTTCCTTGAAGTCATAGCAATCCAACAAACAAAGGAGACACACCGCAAGGTAAAAATAAATTTATTTTTATTATTATTAGTACAGACTTAAATCAAAATATAGTTTTTAAGTATAGAAGAATATTCTTTGTTGTTTTATAAGAAAAAATGAAGAAATTTTATAATCTTTTTAGATTTTATCACTTTTAAATAATAATAATTTTCATAATTATTATTTACAATAAAGCACATGTTCAAAATATTTTTTTAATTTAAATTTATTTCTTAAGTTAAAAAATTCAGTTTTTAAACAGAATCTAAAATAAAATAGCAACGAAACTCCACAAATCAAAAATAAAAATCACTTTTCATATTAATTTAGAAATATTAAAATATGCAAATAATAACAAATAATTATCAAAATTTCATATAAACTTTAAGTATCATAAAAAACGATACAAATTATCAACAAAGGTAATGTCTCAATAATTTTGTATCATTTTTAATTGAAATTTGATATTTAAAATCAACTATTTATTTATTTTAACAAAAAAAAAATTTATTATTTTAAAAAATAAATAATAAAAAAGTTATAATCTTGTTTTTTTAAATTTATTTTTTTTTGATTATTTACAATTTTAATTTTCTTTATTTTAATTAAATTCCTTACTTTATTATTTATTCATTTTTTAGTTGAAATTATATTTGTAATATATTTGAAATATGTTTAATATTAATTTTTCTAGAAAATCTTCTTTTTTTGATTTTTTACACATTTCAGAATAAGGTTTGTGGCTTTTGTAATTAAATTTTAATCACTTCTAAATAGAAAAATACTCTTTAATCTTCTTTTCTAAATTTTTATTTAAGAATTTACTAATATCATATTTAGATCTTCCTCTTTTAAGCAAATCCCTCATTTAGAAATACCTTTTAAGTCAGATGTTCCACTATATGAGTATCATGGAAGTTAGCCAAATGTAAACTTAGTTGCTAACAAAGATGAAAATTTTGCAATGGATTCTCCCGTCTTTATTAAACACTAAAATGTAAACGAAAAAAAGAGACACTCTTTGCTTTACATGGCTAGGAAAAGAGCTTCGTTTGAGAACTTGCCTATAGGCAGCATACTAAATAATGCTTAAACATAGCAGAATGAATCTTAAAAAGATTTACTGTAGAATAATTCTTTTTATGGAGATAAAAAATTATTAAATGGAGAACAAGATAATGACGATGATGATGAAAGCAGCGATTTTGTTTCTTAAAATAGGGACATCACTAGTTAGATTCTAATCTTTGATAATAACAAATCAACAAATGTAAAAGAAAATCTTCAAAATATTTTTAAAATATTATTTTTATTTTATAAAATTCCAAGCAAAAATAAAATAAAAATTAAATATCAATCTTATCTAAAATAAATAAAGAATATTAAATTTTATTTAAAAACAAATAAAGATCTTTAGTTTAAAAATAAAACTACCTTATACCTAAAATACCATTTATGACAAAACTAATTTTTTTATAAAAAAATCATAAATGCAATAAATTTTTTTAATAATCTGTCACATAAAAATATTTTACATTTTTTATTATCCAAATTTAAATATTACTTTGTTTGTTTTTTTTAATAAAATTTAAATGCTTTTTTCTATTAATTTTAAAGAAATAAGGAGTTGATGATATTAATGCTATATTAAGTAATGCGATAAACAATGGTGGAAATAATGGAGGAGATAATGTTTCTATAAGAGGAGATATGATGCAGAACTCAACATACTCACCTGATTTCAAAATTGTAAATATGAAATCACAAAAAAATATCAAAAAAAAGAATAGTGTTCCTATTTCTAATAATATAGAATAATGCACTGCTTTATTTGCATGTAAGTATAGCATTTAATAAGAGCTTTCTATTTGGAGCTTTTCCTAATTGAGCGAATAGAAAATCTCTTAAATAACTGTTGCTCTAATTATGAATCCCTAAGAAGAAATGAACTAGCAAATAGTTAACCATACAAGATAGTATTTGTTAAGGACCTACCCAAAATAAGCAAAAAGCGATCATTCAAATTATAACTTTTTGCAGACTATGGTGAGTGGGTGTTAATTTTCTGCTATGAACTATTATACATAGGATCTTTATCTTCTTGCTTATTTACAATATTTCAAGTAAAATGCTTCATGTGGATATGTGCTCAAACCACCCTGGCTCCTCTCATCGACTGCAAAAACTTCAAACCAATATTTTGAAAAAGAAGCATCAAAGCCTAAAATTTGGCTCAAAGTAGAAATCATAAGCGCTTAAAGCCTTAGAATACCTGGCGATGAAGAAAAAATATTTTCACCTTATATCAGCATAAGATTAATAGGAACAGCCTTAGATATTTAGGCAAACGAAAATCTTTTTGTATCAAATTAGGTAAAAAATAATAGCTGCTATAACCCACAGTTTGAAAACTGTATTGCTGATTTTACTGTTTACATCCCAGAATTAGCCTTTGTCATTTTTCAAGTATACGATAACCCTGAATGCTAAGATCGCTTCGCTTAATACGCAATCCCAGTTAGCTGTATCCGTAAAGGTTTCCGTACAATTCCTCTTTTAGATTCACAACTAAACCCAATTCCAAACTCTTTTCTATTTGCTCATATAAGTATAGAAATACTAACATAATAGTAGCAACAACAAAATCAACAAACACTAAAAACTTAAAACAACTAAATAAACACTTCAACATAAGGTCTTAGCAAAAAAAGTAAAAACGCTCAAAATAACTAACCTAGTTTACATAATATCACCTCTATTTGATTTGTAAGAAGTAAATTAACACTTGATATTCAATATATCAAATCAGTTGAGTGTTACAGTTTACAGTATAGAGAATAAGAAAAAGTAAATAAATAAATAATTAAATCAATCAATCAATATAAAACTTCCTTCATATCTTAAATTATCTAATTAAATAAAAAAAATAATTAAATTGAATTTTATAGTTATAAAGTTATCTCAAATAAAGCAATATAAAATAAAATAAATGAATGAATGAATGAATGAATGAATGAATGAATAATAAATAATGTATAATAACTTCAACTTATTAAATAAAAATATAAATTAATTATTTTCTTTATATGCTAACAACTAATTTACTTAAATTAATTATACCTAAAAATATATTTGTATAGTTCAACAAAGTTAAAAATTTATTTATTGATAACAATAATATGTTAAATATTGATTTAACTTAGCAAATTCTTATTTTATTAACTTTTTAAGGAAATAGTATTATTTCATTTTAAGCTTTGATAAACTAATTCATCTTCAAAAAATAAATAATAAAATCAAATTATATTTCAATTTTTACTTTTTAAGCTATTTTTTCAAATCGTTTTCATCACACGTTTTATGAGACACAATTTTTTGTCAATTTATTTGTGATTTTTGTTAAATCTTGTTTTTAACTAAAGTTGAAAATATATTTTAATGATAATTATTTATTTCATTTTTTGTATGAAGATTATTATTCTTGATTAGATATCAAAAGCTATCTTTCTTAATATCTTTGTATTTTTTTTAGTAAGCTACTTTAGATCTTAAGTTGCTTGCAGCTTTTATATGATATTTAATGTTAATAATTTATAATTTGATTTCGTAGATAGATCGAATTTTAATTAATAATTTAAACAATTTCATTTATGAGATTACTTACGTATTTTCCAAATATATATATATTAATTAAGATTGAACAATCGCTTATCTAACTAAGTAGCAGATTCTATAAATTATACTTAATTTTATATTTGATAAACATTAAGACTATAGATAATTTATATACTGCATCAAAGTGGAAGAAAAATTGAATCTTTTCACATAATTTAAAAAAAGTTTCTAAAATAATACGTAATTAACTAAATTATTCTTTAAGCTCATTTAAACATTTTCAAGCATTGAAATTGAATATTAGTTTACATCTAGGCAATAATATTGATCTATTAATTTAATACGAAATATATTTACAAGAGAATTTTTTCTTTTAAAAGATAACTTTAACTAAATAATTTTGGTTATATTAGGAAATAAGTTAACTTGTTATTAATCTTTATTGTGTTTTATTTAAAAATACAATTTAAATGTTTCAATTTATGGTTTTTTAACTAGCTAAAATATAGTAAAAATAAATAATACAAGAGTGTTATGAAAATTGTGATTTATTAATTAATTACCTTTCATTTGCAATTATGAGATGTGATGTAATCGATATATTTTAAATCAATCATAACTCACTAAATAAAAAGTATTTAATTAACTTATTTTTATAATTGAATTATAAAAATGCATGGATTGAAAGGATTAAAAAAGTTTATTTTAATTAATTGGGCATTGCAAATTATTTAGTTAATAAAAATTAGGTGAAAGTACTCACTGATTGATAAAGTGATTAATTTATTTTCTAATTTTTAAACTTTATTAATATTCTTAAGCTTGATATTTATTTTTTGATAAATAATTTAACATTTTTCTCTATATATCAAACAAAACTTCTTTTATATACCAACAACGAGAGCGAAGAATAATAATTATAAAAATAATTAAAACAAAAATAAATACAAATTTCTATTTTCAACAAATTGCTGATAAACCAAATAAATAAAAAAAAAGCAATCTATCTGTCTGTTTAAGAATACTGTTGAGCTTAAAAAATTATTAGACTGGATCTCATATTATGCAAGGCGGTTAGTATGGAATGCCTGTGAGCAAAAAAATACAATTTAAACTCAATTTTGTGAAATCAGAAGCATTTGATTTTTCTGAAGACACTCTTATCAGGTTTAAAGGAAAATACAAAAGAGAATCGATATAAAAGCTAAAGCTTTCATTCAAAAAAACTACTAAAAACATTGATTGCTGGATTTAAAATTTGCAAAATAGCTAAAATTACTAAACTGATAGTAATAGTACTGCGGCTCCTAGTGATACTTCTCAAGAAAACATTTAGATTCCTTCTTGAAAGAGGTATTTTTATTAATTAAATATAAACATCATCAAATTTTTTCAGGTTAATTATTCAAATATTAATTTTAATTTCCCTAAAATTTTTTAATTTTGTGAAATAGCCAACAAAAATAATTAATTAATTAAAAACAAATATTAGAAGTTTTTTTTATAGAAAGAATTAATTATTTGTTTCGATAACAAATTTATTTTTTGTTCCTTCATAAAAAGTCTATCTTATTGAAATAGTGAAATCAATACAATTTCTAAAATAAAATTTATATATTTATTCAAAAAATATTCATCACTCTTATTTATTTATTTATTTATTTATTTATTTTATGACAAATTGTAGGTAATTAAAAATACTCCCCACCATAAATAAATTGAAGAATCTTATTGATTTAGCAACTAAAATAAGACAAGTTGATTGATTTATAAACATTATAGTAATTAAAAAGTCTTGGCTCATCCTATTTGCTATTTGTATCTCTGAATAATTTTTTCCCCTCCACACTTCTAAAATTTACTTATTAATAAATTATAAAATACTATTAAAAATATAAATACAAAACTCCTTAAAGGTGTTCTTACAAAATTTTGATTGAAAAAATTCACTTTAATAAATAACATACAAAATAACTCTCAAAACTCTTATCATAAATAAATAAGCTAAAAGCTGAAAGAATATTTTTTCATAAATATTAAATATATAAATTAAATCTTAAAATTGTTTGTTTAATTATATATATAATTATTCTTAAAGCTGTAATCATTTATAACCATATTCATATTTTATTAAAAAAAAAATTTAAAATTCCATAATTACTTATAACCCTTAAAATAATATTTGTATTTAAAGAGGAGTTCTAGGATTTAAAATATAAAATACAAATAATAGGGTTAACCATATTTATCTATTCAAACGATCATTTATAATTAAAGAGTAAAAAATTTTATTAATTAATAAAAAATGAAAATCATTTATGGACTATTTGATTAAAATTAGAAAATATATAAAAAATCTTAGTTTAAATATTCAAATTCAAATTTGAAATTTAGTAACTAAATAAAATAAAAATATTATGAAATGTATATGTATTTATCTATCTATCTATCTTATTTTTGGTTGAGATTTATATGTTTTATATTGCTTGAGTTATTTTTTATTTTTGTTTCTTGTGTTTTTAATTGTTTTTTATCTATTTTATCTTATATTTTATTTATTTATTTTTTTAATTTATTTTTAATTTTTATTTATTTTTATCTTTTTCTTTCTTTTTTATAGTCTCTGATGTTGCTCTTTTGCTCTTTAGGTTCCTAGTTTAAAAAATATTTTTATATACGGAATAAGACATAGGAGAAAGCGTTCTAGTCCTTTTTATTTTTCTTTTTTTCTGTTGTAAATTAGATTCTTTTTTTGGCAAGGCGGAGGATTTTGGGATTGCAATAATTATCTGGCGGGCTAGATAATTAGCTTTTGAGGGGGAATTCGTTTGCCATTTTTAAGATTGAATTTAATCAATCCATCGGAATGAAATATCTCTATTCTATTAATTAATAAATAATTAACACATCTCTCTAATTTGTATAACCATTCAATATGAATTTGGTTATTAGAGATATTTCATTCATTCTCTGGAGTAAAATGTGATTATTTTTTAAAAACTTCGAATCTATCTACAACAGTTTACAATCAGAAAAATAAAAATTATCCAGATCTAGCTATTCTCAGGGTGAAGTGCTCTAGTACTCTATGGTTCTCTACTGCCTAAATCGCTTTTCTAACTCTAGCAATGGTTTCCGTTGAAGTAGCATTCCAATTTTGTTGGTTTGTAGGTAAAAACTAAGTGACATCGCAGAAAAATTTGTAGAATCGTATCATTCTGGAACATTTTATTTTTTTCTGGATGAGAGGAGTTTTAAAAACTTTCGCGATGATTATTAATCTCCATTCGGATTAACAAGTCGCTAGGAATGAACTTCAATTCTCACTGCATGGCGGTCATTTCGATTTAAGCAAGTAAAAGAGGACATTCTCGAGCATCTTCATAAAAAAAGGAACCATTTCTGATTTTACGAATTGGCGCTGTCATTAGTGGCCTATTTTCTTTTATTGATTCTGTTACGATTAATTTTAATTCATAAATTTCCTTTAAAATTAATTTCAAAGATATGAAAAATAAAGAGAAAAGAAATAGTTGTAAATTCAATTTTGAAAATCATGATCAGAGACAAGTGAAGTGAAATTTTAATTAGATTGATTGATAACAATCAATTATATTTTTTTCTTAGATTTACAATATAAGAAATTTATTATTAATCAAAAAAGCCTTCTTTATTTTTTTAATAAAAAATCATTTTAATTATTTGTTTGAAATTTTAAATCAGCATTTAACGAATCACTCAACAATAAATTAATTATGTGAATAAATTTAAAAAATATAATTTTGTATAAACTTTATGTGTTTAAATTCATATTTTAAAAATGAAATAGTAAATAATAAACAGATTATTAAATATTTAGAATTAATTGTGCTTTCTTTTTAAAAATAAGCTATTTCAATTTAATTTGCAATAAAATTAAAATTTAATAATAATCTACGCTTTAAAAGTTTTAGATAGAATAAGAAGAGTATTCAATGATTATTTTTATTGAAAATCTTCTTTGATTTTATATACTTATCTTATTTTATTAATATACAAACCTACTACATTAAAATATTTAAAAGATTACTTTAATAGCAAAAATTTCGATATTAAAAACTATTGTGTTTATTTCAAAAAATGTAAAACGATAATTCAAAATTTGAAAAAATAATCAATGATTAAATTGATGAAATAATATTTTTTTTATTTTTATAATAGAATATTTATTTATTTTAACAATTTTAGTAATTTAATTTTTATTCATTTTTTAATTTTTAAAATAATAAGAATGGCGATTGAGAAATGTAATAAATGCCAAATTTCTTAATAATAAATTTGTTTAAATTTTTGGTTTTTAAATAAAATCATTATTTTTTTTGTTGGTTTTTAATTTAAAAACTAATATAATAATGAATATTTTATAATATTTTTAAATTTTAATTTATTTTTTATTTTTTTAAAAGGACTCTTTATCAATAATACAAATTTGAATAATGAAGACCTTTTAATTAATTATGAAAAAAATTGAGAAAAATAGTGTTTCTATTTTGTTTGTTTGTATGATTGTTATTGATTGTTTTTTTCATAAATTTTTGTAAAAAGTGGGAAAAATATTTGAATATTTTTCATAATAATTAAATATAAAAGAAGATATCTTTAAACTAAAATAAAAAAGAAAATTGATTGCATATGATTAATAAAATGACGATTCGTTCTTTCTTTTAAAATTCAAAATAGAAGGTCCGTATCTCTCTAGTTTTTTAAGCCCGGTTGCAATAAACCTATCATATTCTCTAAATTAAAGTTTTTAAATCTCCGAAATCTGAATGACATATCTTTTGATTAGAAATAATCATAAATATGCATAGCAAAGTATCAATCCTAGATAGCGTGATCTAAAAAGATCAATTGGAATTGGTAGTTAATTATTTAGCTCCAATAGATATTTTAATTCAGATTTCATTTATCCTCACCCCGAGCATACAGCCAAACCAATAGAGAATATAATAGCGCACAATTTAACAATGAATTTTACATGCTTTGTAGAGAAACCGGATTCTATAAAAAATAAATTAATCATATGAAAAAAAAGAGAATCGTCTGACTTTCACTATTAAATAAAATTTAAAAAATATTCAATTAAAAGAAAAAAAAATAAATATTTAAATTAAAAAATTAAAAAGATAAATAAAATTAAATAAATTAATAAAAATAAATAAATTAATAAATAGCTAACAAACTAATTAAAAGCACTCAAGCAAATAAAAAACAAACAAGACATAAAACAAAATAAACACAAATGAAGCAAACTAAATATTAAAAAATATAAAATAAAAGATATTAAATTAATTTATAAGCATCACCTTTAAAATTTTTTATTTTAACTTACTGCTTCACTTTATCCTTCATTTTTTATTTAAATTCCTTATTTTTAAATTTTAAAAATTTGATTTGAAAATATTTTTTATAAATAAATATGAGATAATTTTGAAATAAATAGTTTAAATCTACTTTATTATTTTTTAAAATATATCATTTTATTTCATTTTCTTGGAAGCCATATAAACGAAAGGTTAATTAATTATAAAATCTTATAATCTCAAAACTATGAATAACTATAAACTTGCATTTCAACTTAGACCATTTTGATCCAATATCTTATTGAAATTAAGAATGAATGAAAGGTCATTTTATGATTATTATAATTTAGTTTATTAAATCTTTTTTTTGAAAAACTTATTTAAGAAAAAAATAAATTATTTAATTTTTAAAATTTTATTTCGTTGATTTTATATAAAAAAATGAAATTTATAATAGAATATTTTTAATTTAAAAAAATTAGTCTAAATATTGAATTCTTGCAGAAATAAAATTATATTGTAATTTTTTTTTTTTTTTTTGAGTAAAGTGATTGTGTTTGAGTAATTATTATTAAAATTTATATGAGTAAAATGATTGTATTTGAGTTATTGAAATTGAATTTATAAAAAATAAAAAATTAGTGATCAGAAATAATGAATGAATGATAGATAGTTCTAAAAATTTTGAATAAATTATGTTATGCGAAAATTTAATTGAATTAAATATTTAGTATATCCATCCAGTTTATTTATTTATTTATATGGGAAAGATATAAATTTAAATTTGATTTGATATCAAAATAATTATTGAATGAAATTTTTAGTTAAGGATTTATAAAATTTCTTTTTTGATTTTGGAATTCTACTTTAATGTAAAAACCTGAAATGTAAATCTCAAAAAGTTTATTTGTTTATTTAAATAATTTTTGTTGAAAATTAAGATGAGATTGATAGAATTTGTGAAACAACATTTATGTGTAAATTAAAGAGATGAATTATGACTGTTTAAAAAATTAGGAAAGTTGATTTAGTCATTTTTGCAGGGTTAGTTAGTTATTTAGTAAGGAGTTATGATTTTTAAAAGATATTAAATGTGCAGGTTTTAATGCTATTTAGTATATGTGTTTGTTAGCTTGAAAAATAAAATTAACTAACTTGAGCAGCAAGCAACATATTGAATCAATCTACTTATAATTTTGCATGAAATAACTAGCTAGTTTCTTTATTTTGATTAAAAATATTTATATAAAGAAAAAGATTTGCTTAGTGAGATCAATGCAATTAATTTAAAGTGATTTGAAGCAAGCTAGAAAATCCATAAAAAGCGGAGATAATAGCGTAGTTACAAATATGCTGACTTTATACAAAATGCAAGGATGCAATTTAAAATAATTTAAAATATTCGAAGAGTATTTGATTAATTTGAGTGAGTTTAGCGATAGATTTATTTGTAGTTGACAGTATGATTATAAATTTAAATGGTTTAAATAACTATGCTATAAAAAATAGGGCATACGAAAAATATTAGTTACTTACATACTATGTTAATAGTTATTATCTTAATTTGAATATAAGCTAATGTGCAATATTTTATCCCTTTATTTTTATAATATATTTATGATTTTATTATATTTATTGTAATCAAGCGGATTCTTGGACCTTGACCTTAGCGTTAGCATTGGTGAGTCTAACACCGAGTTCAGCAGCTCTCTTAACTAAGGCAGCCTTAACTTAAGCAGAAATATTGTGAGCAATTTCACCGCAGTAAGTTCTGTTGTTCATTAAGAGAATTTCGAGATCAGCGGGGTTTCTAATCAAGAACTTCTTGAAGCCGTTGGGGAGTAAGTGCTTGGTGGCAGCATCAGAGGCGAAACCGATCTTAGCCATTCTTCTTTGGCCTCTGAATCTTCTTCTAACTCTGTTATCAATACCTCTGGGTCTTCTCCAAGAAGAATCTAATTTAGCGAAATCTTCACTTTCGAATCTAACGAACTTCTTTGTTCTCTTCTTGATGATCTTCTTGTGGGCAACGGGTTTAATAGCCATTTTTATTATTACTTTTATCCTTTTTTCTTTTAATTAATTAAATTGTTTTTTCTTTTCTTTGTTAAATTTTATATATTCAATACCTTCTTTTTTAATTTAATATATCCCTTATTTTGCTTTCTGTAATATTTGTGTTTCTTTTATGCTTTCCCTTCATTTATTTATCTATACAAACTTTCTTGTTGCTCACTATGTATTTCTTCTCTCTTATTCTTCTTTCTTTCATCCCTTTTATCTTTTTTAATTTCCCCCCTTCTAATACAATTTTGTCTTCTTTCATTTCTTTCTTTTCTTTATCTCCAACACAGACCAACCTCCACTAATCTCTACTCCTAAAAACAAACATGCCAAACCTCTTCCTGCAATAAATCTGCAATGCCCTCTCATCTTCTTCTTTTTTTTCTATTTTGCAAAATTATTCTCATTTTTTTGCTTTAATACTATCACTCAAATTTCAAAAATCTACCATTTTTTTTCTGTTAAATCTGCTGAATTTGATTAATAAATATTTTTTTATTTCTAATAAATTAATTAGAAAATTATTTATGATAAAATTAACTCATTTTAAATCTCCTAAATGCAATATTTGAATATTATATATTATTATTCATATAATCAATTCAATTTTATGTTTAAAACAATAACATTAAAAAATATTAAAAATCTATCACAAAATTAATAAATTATGTAAATATTAATTGCTATTTAGCTTTTGTGATTGAAAGAATAGCTAATGCATTTAAAAACGGCATTATTAATGACCCTAGATAATTAATTTATTAATTATAATTTAATAAAATCAACATTTTGATTTTTTTTATTAGTTTAATGTTTTTTTATAACATACAATTAATTTTTTGTAAAATCTTTAAAATATTTTATAAATTATTTTGTTATTAATTCGAAATTCAAAAGATAGTTTTTAATTATTTTTTTCAATTTAAGATATTAAAATAGGATTTAAAGAGGGAAGAATTTAAATCATAAAATTAAAACAAGAATTATAATTTAAGAGTCAACTAATAAAATATTTTTTTATTTTAATTTTATCTACAAAAATTGAATCCACCTTATTTATTTATTTATTAATTAATATATTTAATATGCTTGATACAAAAATTTGCAAGAGGATCAAAAAATTTAAAAACACTGTGAAGATATATTCCATTTTAATGACCGATACAACATGGAAATAAAATAATATTTATACACTTAAAAATAATTATATTTACTAAATATTTAAATATTTTAATCAATTCATTAGTAAATGGTCTGTCTATAGACACTCTTTCAATTTAATAGATTTTAATAATTAAATATCTTGTTTAACTAAATTTAAAAACTAAATATTCTAATTTATTTAAGATCTATTTATCACTCTAAAGAAAATTATGGAATTATCTTACTAGATAAAATTTAAATTTGCGTATCTTAATTATTAATTTAAATAGTGAAATAGTAATCAGTGTTTGGTTTAAATTAATATTAAGTTTCATTCATAGAGTTAATAGAAGTTCTATTAGGAAAATCTGATATGTAAAACTTGTTTTCACAAAGCTTAACTTCAATAATTAATTGTTTTACAAATTATTCTGTCACTAAGTCCTACAAATTTTTGCTTCCTTTCAATAATTAAGAGCAAAAAGAACTATTAACTTATCCAACAATGAAAGAATTTCTCCCTTAATTTCCTAAGTGCCTATTTTTATGAGCTTCTTCCTCGAATCCTATGCAGATATAATTTTAAGGCTTTTTATCGAATTCAACGATAAATTAGTAAATTTTATCTTGTTTGATTGGTTTCATGGAATACACTTATCCACAAAGTAACTTATTAGGAATTATTGATATCTTATTTGCACTGGTCTTAATTTTTATGTTAGCAGACTCCTTAAAAGTACTTGAAACCATATTACCAATTTAATTTACTTAACTACTCTTTTATATAATTTAAAGAGATCTGACCTTTTACATGATATCATCTTAAATTAATTTCAATTCTTATTCTTGCATTACAGCAATATTTTAAAAAATATCATCAATAACCTACTAGTTTTTATCAATATCCTAATACTTTTGTTTGATCAATTCATTTAATTATTACTCTAATATTGAGGGAGAGTTATTATTTTACGAGATGATATTCTAAATTTAACTGAAACCAGAAATCTGATTGTATTTATTTATAATGCCTTCGTAATCAAGCATCTAGCTAATCGCCATCATATCTTATTTTTTTTGTTATTCTAGTGATTCACATATTTCTTTTTTTAAATTTTCATAATAATCTTCTATATAGCTTATTTTTATTTTTGTTAAGAAATCTGGCAGAAGAATATTCTATGAGATATCTTAATATGTAGGTGGCCACTACGAAACAATTCGATTATTATTATATAGCCTATCGATAGAAACTAAAATTAATTTGTGTTTGTTCGCGTCTTCAAGGCAATAATTGCAGAGAAGTCTGCTTTTTATCTCTTCAGGCATTTCTTCATTTAAACAAAAGAATTTTATCTAATTATTCTGCTCTTCGTGTATGCTACAAAAATGATCTAATATATTCATTTTTTACTTTTTTTCTTCTTTTCTCTAACTTTTGATAACTATTTTCAATAATATCTTATCAAAAATAAATATTGAATAAAAATTTAAAAAAATATTTGATAAGGTTTAAACATACATGAAAAGATATAAAAACAATTCTTTTTCTTGATATATTCAATTATTGAAATTAATAAATAATTATTTTTATTTTTCTTAAATACTAACAAATATTTTCAAATACAAATAAACAAATTTAACACACTTTTTCATACTATAGTGCTTTTTAAAATAAATTTAAAAAAAATAATTTTCTATTGAATTATCAAAATTTGTTTAAATTAAATATTAATTACCTATCCAAAATTAAAAAAGCATTCATTATATTCTAGTATTTTATATAAAATTAATACTTAGCTTGATATTTTTGTTAATTAATGAGTTATTAATTAGAATAATTTACTAATTTTTATAAAAATTTTAAGCTTAATAAGCTCAAATTCAAAAAATAAATAACTTTAAGGATAGGATAATCAATTCAAATTTGTTTAAAAAAAATAAATAGATTTTAATATTTAATATTTTATTTAAAAGCAATTTATGATAAAATGAAAACAAATTTTATTTTTGATGGTCATAAAAGTGTAAAATTTGATATTATTCTGCTTGATAATATTTCAATTTATGTACTTTAATCGTAAATTAATATTGTTAAATAATATTATTCTTCTCTTTTAAATTTGTATTGATTTTAATTCATGCAATTAACTGCTCTTTTTTAAGGATAATCTGCAATGTAAAATTTATTTTCTTTAAGCAATACTTGAATGATCACATTTTCAACAAACTCATTTTAACAGATATCCTACAAATTTGTATTTCCTTTTACAAGCTCATTACAAAATAGGTCGTTTGTTTATCCGAAAATAAAAGAGTTACGGCCATAGCTACCAAGGTATCTGTTTTTAAGACTCTCTTCCTCAAAACCTATGCAAATGTAATTGGTTGGCTTTTATTTGAAATTGATAATAAATTCATAAATTAGGTCTTAATTTATTGGCTGCTCTGAATATACTTGACCAATTAGAGTTCTACTTGGTATTAACTAGATTCTTCCATTATTTTTCTCAATTTTTATTTGCTAAGAATCAGCATAGTTGCATTAAATCATGTTTTAAACAATATCACTTTATTAAAATTTTTAAAAATATGAGAATTATTATAATTTGTTTAAGATTTCTTCTTTAAGTCTAACTAGCTCGCTTTAATCTACTACATTATACAGATTCTTTTCACACAAAGAGTTTACAAAGGATTAATTTTAGTCTTTTTGTTAGTACTTCAGCTTTATTAAGTCTTCCAACTGCTATTCGATTTATTACAAAGATAAATTAGTGTGCTCGATTATCTTTGAGAATTAGTTGAAATCAGAAATTTCATAGTACTTTTAAATAAAATCTTGATTGTTTGATATCTCATAATGCAGCTTTATGTCTAGCTTTTTTTATTTTTCTATCATTTCGCATATTTAGTTTTTCAAATTATCATAGAAATCTACTATTTACTCTTAATCCAAATTTAAATGCTTTTGTTGAATCCCTTTTAAATTTATTTATTGGTGAAGAGGAGGCCATTGATTGAGAATTTTTGTGTTAATCTTTAGTCCATCTATGGACGCTAATATTAAATTCTACGAATTCGAATCTTCAAGACAATACTAGCAAAGCAGTCTACTTAATCCCTCAGGTAGATCTTTATTCATACAAATAAATTGCAAATTATTTTTTTAAAACTAGTGTCTCTAGCAGACAAGCTGATTTTGTCTCTCCATGGACTAAGAAGTAATTAGCTTTTTGATGAATAAAAATATATATATTGTATTTACTTAAAAAATAAATCAGCAATCAAATTAATTAATTGTTTTTGATAGAATTATATTTATTAAAATATGAAAATAAAATAAATACACTGGAATTAGTAATTAAAAGTATTATAAATAATATTATAAATATAAATAAGCAGATGTTCTTTGTGCATTTATTTTATTCTTACACTTTTCTATTACTCAAATTATAAAATATCTCACTGTAAAAAAACTTATTTGTTGATAACAGCTATTAATTTTAAGCTAAATAATGATTTGCTAAATTAAATTTAAAGAATTAAATAAACAAATTGCGTTTCAACATAAGATAAACTTTACTATTGTTTTTAAAATGCATTTTTTTTTTAAATAAATTTAAAAATAATAAATTAAATCTTAAATTTATGTAAATATAAAAAATAAATAAATGCTTATAATTAAAATAAAATTATTATTGAACTAACTGTTTAGAAATACTAAATTAAAAAATCATATTAATTGTTAATAGATTTATTTCAAAAATTAATAAAGGCCCATTTAATTAATCACAATTTCAAACTTGTAATGACTTTGACCAATCTCTATCCTTTTGTTAGTATTCCTTTTGATTAAATATAATTTAATTAATAATTTATATACAGTTAAACCTATTAAGTTGGCTAAGAGATAAATTGGTCATTATTTCTCTAAGATAAAAATTTTTTTGTTTTTCTTTAAATATATTTCTTACCCACAAAAATAATATTAGAGAATAATAACTAATATTTATATAAATAATAAAGTAAATTTAATGACTTTATCTTCTTAGCTGATTATTATTTTATTCTTCTTTAATATATTTCTTACTCAAGAAAAAATATTAGAGGATAACCTTATTTATTTATGAATTAATATAAATAAAATTCAACTTTAGAATAAAGCAAATTTTATGACTTTGTCTTATTAGCTCGTTATTATTATTCTGGCATCTTATAAATTTTTTTCTTTTAAATTTTTATTTGCCTATTCTACATTACTACAAAAAATCATGATTTCTGTGTTGTATTTTAATTGTTTAAAGAAAAGTTCTGCTAGTTCTAATCCTGCGTTTTAATTGGTCTTGCCATCTTCTTCAATTCTAACCATATCTGAGATAATCCTAATTGCAGATTGTTCCAAATGTGCTATCCACTTGAATTGATTTAAAATCCTGTCTGCTTCTAAAGTAGTTTTACAAAATACAATACTTACATTTGGATTTTATATTTCTATTTAGCTTGCGATTTTATAGTTGTTAATAGGATTGTCATCTACCCAAATAACTACTTAAATAGATCTAGGGACACAAATTTCTTACATCTTAATTACCATCGGACCGTTTTCTTATTAGCTTATCGATTTAACTAAAAAGCATGAGAAAGGTAAAAGCAATACTTCCTGCTCATCTTTAAAAATAGAAACTGGATAAATCTATTTAGCACTTATAACGTCAACTTCAAATAAAGCACCTTCTTAACTGCTAAATTTTCTGGCTTGCTCCTCAGATATGGATAAAGATATGATGTTTTTCCAAGTAACATATTTTCCAATTTAATAATTAAATTTTTAGTAAGTAAATTTTTTAATTCCTCTATAAGCTTTACCTTAATAGTAAGGGAAGTACTTGATACTATTTGTAAATTCTCTTAAATATGGAAGCCAATTAGAATACGTATTGTTCGAAAGAGCTTAATTGAGTTGTTAGTATAAAAGGTTAGATGTCCAAACTGTTATAGGAAAAGTAATTTTTTTAATTTTTTCATTAACTTTTAGTTACTGTATGTAGTTTCTTACAAATTAAAATGTTTCATTAACTACTTGTTTACTATAAGTTTGAAGAATAGCATCAGTCCAGTCATATTAATTTTGGCTTAGATTTTATATTTTATCAAATAAATTAATTTACTCTCCACCATTAGAGTTTGAAATAACTATCATTTCATAGCTTTGATTTATTTCAAATTCTTAAAGTGAAGCATGTTTATCTCTTATGATTTTTCCACCATAAATCATTAAAAAATCTTCTTCAATTAATAGCTTAATTTTTTCCTCTAGCTATTAGAATTTTTTATCTTTTTTGGAATTAAAAAAGTAATTACAATTTGGAGTAATAATTCTAAGTTATGCATACTATGCCATCTCTTGTTTATAAGCAGTACTAGGAGCATATATTTCTTTGCAAATTTAAGAAGCCATTAAATCTAGTTTTGTTTCAAGATGGAGAGTGAATTCCTCTGTACTATCAATAATTGAATAATCAGATAACGTTTTTTAATTTATCATTTCATTTCCAGCAAATTTTAAACTTTAATCTTTTACGTTTATGTTAGTCTTTTTAAAGATCATTTCTTTAATATCTAAAATTTTATGAGAAGGTTGGACATTAAATTTTAGCTTTTCACCATTCTAGAACTCAATACTAACTTGCATATTATGGGCTAAAACACCATTTGCAAAAAAATTGTGGTTATTTTCTACTTGTATGTGATATATAAACACAGGTTATTTAGTTGTAAATGTTTTAATTTCTGTAATTTATAATTTTTCACCTTCTTCAGAAAGCAAGTAGTCGTATTTTTTTAAGAAGCTGATACCGGAGCCAGGATGAGGGCAAACTGATTTCCATAATTTGCTCTCTGGATCATAAAACCTATGGTTAACTGTACATACCACATGTTACTTTCCAAAATTTATTTAACACAATTAATCGGCCTCGTGCTTGACAATGCTTGTAACAGCATTTTGTTGAAAAGTTTCATCTGTGATACTATAGCTTCTTACTAAATCTCCTTCTTGTATTTCATTTATAAATTTTTTTTACTTGTCTGCCATAGTTATTTATGTGTTAGAGACAAAACAGCCACCTCTTAAATTTAAAATTAAATTTATTGTTGATCCTGTTTTCATATTATAGTCACCTACAGTACGTTCATCTTCTAAAATTTTACCAGCAAATAGAAACCTCTACTAATTAGGTGGAAAACCTATTTAATCTTATATTTGAGTCTTTAGGTTTAAAATTGTGTCATCAGATTCAGCATCTAAAATAACAATATGCCCAGTTAATGCTTTGGCATATAATTACTTGTTGTGAGCAAGAACTCCATTTACAAAAAAATTATGATTTTTTTAAATGGTTAAATGATAAACAGTGATAAATTTTTCTTCAGTAGTAAAAAAATCAATATTTTTTATATAAGATATTGATTTATCCTATAACAATAGCGAATCATTAACACTTAAGCAATTTTTTTAAGTAGAATTTCCACCAGGATAAACACATTTCCATGTTTTTTGTTCAGGGTTATAAAAAGGATGATTTAATGTACAAATAATATTTGAATTTTCTAATTAAATGTTGCAAAATATATTAGCCTTGAATTTCATAACCTCTTGCACAACATCTACCTCAATTATTTAATCTTCCTAATTATAGCTAATTACTTAATCTCCAACAGAAATATCTTTTATTTTTTTCTTCTCACCATTTGCTAGAGTAACTAAAGTGTTTTGAACAAAACATGCAGAGTTGCCTTCATTTTAGTCAACTATGACAAATATATTTGAATATTATTTAATGTTAAGTTCGCTTAAAGTAGATGTATCATAAGAATCACTTAAAATTTTATCATTAATTTTAAGTTGTTAGATTAGTATAGGAATTTTTTCTAAGAGAAATATTTCTTCTTTTATCTAATATATGAAATCACTCAAATACATTTATAATTATATTTTTTTACCTTAAGCTTGAGTAATAATAACATTGATTGTAATTATTTCTTTAGGATCTTTTTCTACCAAATAAAGTGTTATATTTTATTATTAAGTACCGCAAACTTAAAAAATAAATTCTTTATTTATTAAAGCTTTGTTATTATATTTTAAATGGTACTTTTTTGACTAAAGACCAGTGATTTTAATTGCTTGCTATTTTATTTAATCTATTTTAGTGATTAAATCTGCATTTATGCTAAAAGTGTTCATTTTTTAGTCTTTAATATCAATTTTGATTTTTATTTGTGATTTAATAAAAACAAAAACTTATATGCTGTAATCTATTAATTACTTCAAAAATGTCTAATCATGATTTAAAATTTGATCTTTGTAAACTAAAATTTATTCTTCCTATTGAATTCCTGTTGTTTTTTATATAGCAATCTATACATTATTCAATGTATCTTTTTTTTTTACTTCAATAAAATAAGTTTCTCCATTTTGTAATTTAAATTTAATTTCTTTAGCCTAATTCTAAGTTTGCTCATCATATTCATTTTAAGCTTAGCTTTGTGAAAATTTAACTTGTTAAATATCTGGCTAGTAGTTCTATTATTAACTTTTTAAACTTTAAAGGAATTACTGAAGTTCCATCTTTTTGCTTAAAATTTTTATTCCTTCTTTTATTTATTATTTATTACTTTCTAAATTTAAAAGGTTAAAAAAAAAAAATATCTTTTTATCTTAAATTGTTGTAGATATTTCACTTGATTTTGTTAATTTATTAATCAACTAATTTTTCTGTCAAATTTACTAAAAAAATGCATATGTATTAATTCTAATATCTTAAAATTTCTCAACATAGATAAAATTAATGACCTAATTAGAAAGAAAATCTTAAAATCATTGATGCATTTATAAAGTAATAGGATTTTATAAAATTCATACAAATTTATTTAATTTTTATTGATTTATTTTAATCTAAGATAATTCTTCTTATTTCTCAAGTAAAATAGTAATGCAATGATAATTAGAAAAAAAAATCAAAGAAATTAAAATAAAATCAAATTATTTTTTAATTAATCATTAAAAACTCCTCCTTCATTTAAACAATTCAGAAACAGAAAATTTAAAAATTATTTTAAATTGTTTTTTTGATCAATACATATTTTTTTTTTAATAATTTTAGATAAAAATTAAAAAATAAACTCTCTAAAAGTATATTTTGGTAAAAGTCTGATATAGATCACAAAAAATAAAACCATAAAATGATTAAGATACATAAATACATACACAAACTTCAAATAAAATTATTTTTAAATTTAGAATTATTAAATAATCTAATAGATAAATATTTATTTGTTTATTTTTTTTAAAAAAAAGATTTTATGTTTTTATTTTAAATAAATTTGAAAATAATAAATTAAATCTTAAATTATGGTAAATATAAAAAATAAATAAATAAATGTTTACAATAATATAAAATTTTTGTAAAACTAATAGCTTAAAAAAAGATATTAAATTAAAAAATAATTAATAGATTGTTTTTAAAATAATGGCTCATTTATTTAATCACAATCCCAAATTTGTAATGAAGTTGACCAATCTCTTCATCTTTTTTGTCTTAGAAGCAGCAAGTTATATTAAATAAAAGCGCAGATAATAACTATTATTATTTAAAGTTAATTCTTTAGCAAAAACTTTATTGATTTTGATAAATAATTTCAAAAAATAAATAAATGTATCTTATTAAATTTTTATTTGTTGAACTGAAAGATTTTGCTAATTTAAATTTGTTTCACATAAAAATGTTAATTTTGTAAAATAAACTAATTTAATTTACTCTGGAATAGTTATCTGAAAATACTGAATACATTTTGAATTTTTAATCCATTAAAAAAATGAAATATAACTTTCTGTACTTAAACTAGAGCATCTTTTTATAACAATAAAAATTAAAAATATTATATTTAATTTAATCTAAACTACCTCTTATTAATATGAATTTCAAGGATACAAAGGTTTTGTAAATATCCAAGGAAATTACCTAAACCAGACAAATTTAAATTATAGGTATTTCTATTTAATTAAAGAAAAGATTCAATCAAAAAGAGTTAAATTAAATACTGTGTGTGAATTCTCATTTATTAATAACCCCTTATTTGATACCCATTTTTGACATATAGATCCAGATTAAAACCCAATTTATAGATAAAAGTATTTTTATGAGTAGGTATTAATTAATTAATGAGAAATTATTTTTATTATCAAATTAAAATAAAATATTTACTCAATATTCAAATTAATGGATAAAATGCATTTGAAATTCATAGATTCGTGCACATTAACTGTATTTTTTAAATTAAGAGATTCATCTTACCTTTTTATTAGATTTTTATTTCAAAAGTTAAATATGCTTTTTTATTTACATTATTTACATTATAGGTGATAAGAACTTATTTTTTATATTCTTAAGAATTTGTAAAATATTTTAAGAATTTTCTCTGTTATCTCCTTTATTACTTATAATAATGGAATCATCTTATAAAGATTAATGTTAAAGATTTGCACAATTCTTTATTTGATTGAATGCTTCAAAGTAATATTTAGTATTTAAGGGCACTCCGCTTTTAAATAAGGTTAAATTTATTTATTTATTATAAATTTAGTATAAATTAATTTAGTAAATAAATTAAATGATATTACTTTAAACCAAGATGCAAACTCCTAAGCTTAAAGCATTCACTTAATTAGTAAAGTAAATTGTTAAAGTCTTTTGAGCTAATGAAATTATTGCTAATAATTTTATATAAAATAGGAAAATAAATTATTTATTTATTTATTTTAAAGCTAATTCACTTAATAAAAAATAAATTTTGGCATTTTTTAATATTAAAAGAAGACCTTATTTTTTAATAAATAAAAAGTTTTTGGTTAATAATTATTACTTTAATTAAAGGCTTAGATCTTTTAGATGCTAAAGTCGTTTTAAAACCAAACCTAATTCCATTAAAGCATCACTGCTTAAACAGTTTGTTTAAGAGTTTATGCTATTTGAAAAAAATAATTATGATATTCTGTTATATATGAATCACAAATGAACGAAAAAAAAAATAGAGAATAAAATATTCAACCTTAAATTTAGATTCAAATTTTCTAGGTTTTGCATATTTTCTAATACTTTAAAGAAATTCTCAATTTTTCCTCTATGGTTGTTATCTCTTTTTTAATTAATTTTAATATTTAATTGAATAAATTTATAAAATGAGATACTTACTAAAGATTAAGGTTTAGTGTTTTTAGTTTTGAGAAGCTTATTAATTAAGAATCAATTGTCATATCTCCAATTATACTTTCCCTTTATTAAAATTTATTTTAATAAATAAATTAATTTAAATCAAAAAATAATTAATATATGTATTACTAAAAATTGAGATCCAATTGCTAAAGCTCCAGACAATTTAACAAATAAGCGAACAAATTAAAAGCTCCTTAAGTATTTATTTTCCTATCACATCTCCTAAAATATTAAATGATTTAAATATATAAGATAGAATTATGCTATTAATTTAGATATTTACGATAAGTTTAAATTTAGGCAAGTAAGATTTTGTAAATTTCTAAATTCCTTCACTAAGTCTTCTAAATTTTCTTAACTTATTATGCAATTACTGTATTTTATAAATAAAAAAATTTTATATTCAAGTAATACTAAACAAATAAAATACCTAAAATTAATTTTTAAATTTTTTAATTTAGACAATTAGCCCGAATTTACAGCTAAAAGTTTACAGCTTTATTCACTTTCAATGCTTTCTCTAATTTTTATTTTAATTAATATTTTTATATTAAATAATATTAAGAAAATTAATTTAAATAAAAAATTATTAATATATTACTAAAAATTGAGATCCAATTGCTAAAGCTCCAGACAATCTAACAAATAAGAGAACAAATTAAAAACTCCTTATGCATCTATTGTCCTACGACATCTCCTAATGTTTTAAATTATTTAAATATATAAGATAGAATTAGATATTTACAATAAGTTCAAATTTAGGTAAGTAAGGTTTTGCAAATTTCTAAATTCTCTTGCTAAGTCTTCTAAATTTTCTTAACTTATTAGGCAATAACTGTATTTTATAAATAAAAAATGTAGTATTGAAGTAAGATTAAAAAAATAAAATACCCAAAGTTAATTTTTAAATTTTTTAATTTAGACAATTAGCCCAAATTTACAGCTAAAAGTTTACAACTTTATTCACTTTAAATGTTATTTCTAATATATTTTTTATTAAAAAATATTATATATTTTTAATTAATATTTTTTATATTAAATATTACTCTGAACCAATTTCTAAGCTTTCTAATAGCAAACATTATTGTAAAAAAAATGTTAATTTCTCTAAGCCAGCAAAAGTTATTTGAGTTGAACTGTAATTGTAATTAGTAAAAAATTTAGCCAAAATATTAAACTGAGTTGCACATAAAAAAAATACTTTAATTGTATATTAAAGGACTAGAGATTTTTACATTTTTAGATTCCTTAGCTGAATTCCTCCAATAAATTATCATTAAATAATCTATTATTCCTATTCATAAAAATATTATTTATTACTTTTGAAAATCTAAATTTGATATTATCATCATATATTACTTGAATTAAAGATATAGTCTAGTTAGATTTGTACACTTAGCAAGACCTTATGATAGATTTTACAACGCTTTCTTATCTAATCTAGAATTTTAACTATTTATTTATTTATTTTTATTTTAAATAAAAATAATTTTTAATTGGAAATATCATATCTTAAAACAAAAATTATTTCATATTTAAAATAAAAAAAAACAAAACTAATAAAATATTTTGTTTTTACCTCAATTTTAATGTAATATCTGAAAGGTTTTTACAATTTTAAAATGCTTCTACTAAAAATTTTATACACTATGCATCTATCTTATTTCTCCTAATTTATTAATGAATTTACTTATTATTTAATTATTAATTATTTTAAATTAATTTATTTTTGTATTTAATTTTTATGAAGTTTGATAAATAACTTAAATAACAAAAAAAATTAAAATTTACTTCAAGCTTAGACCAATTTTTTATAGATTAGTAAATCTTTTAAGTAAATTACTTAAACTCTAAATATCTGGTGCATTTATTTAGTTATCCCTATAATTAATTCAATAAAATTTTCTATAAATTTTATGATTTTTAAATTATTTTAAATTTATAAATCTAATTATATATTTAAAAATATATTGAACAAAATTTTATTTAATTTACTTAAGATTAAGTTCTAAGAAGATCAATTATTAACAAAAAGTCAATTTATTACAGAAACTAGCCATATTAGGTATGCAATTTACTTTTCTATAGAATTTAAAATAAATTTGAAAATTTGATTATTTTAGAAACAATTTACTTGATTAAGTGTATTTCTACTAATTTAGTTTTTTAAAGATAGCTTAAATTTTCAAGCTTTTTTAAAAAATTTTTATTATTTTCTAAAATATTTTAAATGTATGTATTTTTTTATTTACTAATCGATACTCATCTTTTTTTGAAAACCACATTTCTAATTAATTATCAATTTCTTTATTTTATAATTTGAAAATAATTAATATAAATATAAATTAATTAACTATTTGTTTTGAATATAATTAAATGATCAAATAGGTAAAATCTAAATTAATAGATTCTGACTTAATTTGCAATAATTTACTTTGCAAATAATCAATTTTATATAATCTCAAAAATAATTGTTATACACTCTAATCCTTTCAAGTCTATCTATCATTCTATCTATCTTAATTTAATTTTTATTTATTTATTCATCAAAAATTTTGTTTTTATTTATTAAAAACTCTATTAATTTAGTAGATGCTACATTAAATAGTAATTTAATTAACTCATTCAGTTATGGTTAATTTTATATCAAAAAATTATTTGATAAGAAATTTTTTTATAATTTATAATCTTCGCATTCAAATTAATAGTAAACTAAGTAATTGAAGAAATAGATAGACGCTTTAATTTTTAATCTAAATTTAGCTAAAAAATATATAATTAAAAGTAATTTAATACATATTTTAATTTATCTTTAGATATTTAAAATAGAATAATTTGCAAACAATTTACTAAAATATCTTTAAATAATCACTTTTAAATATATCAATCAATCGGTTATCAGTCTATTTTAATATAATTGATTAAATTACTTATTATTAAAAGTGAAACAAAAAGTTGATTAATGATAAAAAATTAGTCTAATAGATCATGCTAATATAAATGATATTTTTGTACATATATTAATAAATACGCTTACTAAAGATGAGTATTAATAGCAAAAAAATTCTTTTATTTTATTAAAAACATTTTCAATCTTTTTGAAAGGTTGAATTTAAGAAAAAAATAGATTAAATAATAAAATAACATTTTAGATATATCTTTAAAAATATATTTACATAAGATTATACTTACTAATAATACATACATTATTTTTTGATAATAGTAAATATATTTTTATTTGTCTAAAATATCTAATCTGATAAAAAATTCTATCTCTTCAAAACTCTCTACTTTATTATTGCTCATTTTCTATGGTAATTATTAATATAAAAAACAATTAAATCCAAAAAAGAAAATAAATTGTAAAAATTTAGCATTATTTATGAGTAGCATGCCATTAATAGATAGATCATTAAATTGATAATTAGAAAAATTAATCCTTTAGAAAAGAATTAATTTAATCAAGAAAGAGTTCGATTTTAAGGAAGAAAAAAATTAAAAATATTTTTTTTATAAATAAATGTAATTCTTAAAAGATTTAAAAAAATTAATTTTTATAACTTATATAAAAATATTTAAAGAAAAAAATAAATATCTTCAACACTCATTACAAAAATAAAATAAAATTTTACTCTTCCTTTTGGTTAAATATAAAATTAATATCTGATTCAATTAATGTATTTGATAAAAAAATTCTACTGTTTCCAAGTTTTTGCAAGTCACAATATATATTAATAAAATTATAATTCAAATTTAGAATAAAGCAAATTTTATGACTTTGTCTTCTTTGTTTGTTATTATTATTCTTGCATCTTATAAATTTTTTTCTTTTAAATTTTTATTTGCTTATTCAACATTTTGACAAAAAATCATAATTTCTATGCTCTTTTTTAGCTATTTAAATAAAAGTTCTGCTAGTTCTAATCCTGCCTATTAATTGGTCTTGCCATCTTCTTCTATTCTAACCATATCTGTGATAACCCTAATTGCTGATTGTTCTAGATGTACTATCCAATTGAATTAACTTAAAATCCTATTTGCTTCATAAGTAGTTTTACAAAATACAATGCTTACATTTGGATTTTATGTTTCTATATAGTTTGCATATTTATAGTTATTGATAGGATTGTCATCTACCCAAATAACTACTTAAATAGATCTAGGGACACTTATTTCTTTCATCTTAATTACCATAGGGCTGCCTTCTTATATTTATATTGATTAAACTAAAAAGCATGAGAAAGGTAAAAGCAATACTTCCTGCTCATCTTAAAAAACAGAAACTGGAAAAATCTACTTAGCACTTATAACGTCAATTTCAAATAAAGCACCTTCTAAACTGCTAAATTTTCTGGCTTGTTTCTCAGATAAGGATAAAGATATGATGTTTTTCCAAGTAACATAATTTCCAATTTTATAGTCAAAATCTTAGTAAGAAAAGTTTTTTATCCCTCTGTAAGCTTTACCTTAATAGTAAGGGAAGTATTTGATGCTATTCATAAATTCTTTTAAATATGGAAGCCAATCAGAATATGTATTGTTCGAAAGACTTTGATTGATTTATCTGTATAAAAGGTTAGTTGTCCAAATTGTAATTGGTAAAGCAATTTTTTTAATTTTTTCTTAAACTTTTAGATTCTGTATGTAGTTTGTTACAAATTAAAATGTCTCTTAAATTTAATGTTTACTATAAATTTGAAGAATAGCATCAGTCCATTGTTATTATTATTGGTTTAGATTTTATATTTTATCAAATAAATTAATTTACTCTCCACCATTAGAGCTTGAAATTACTATCATTTCAAAGCTTTGATTTTTTGTAAATTCTTAAAGTGAATCTAGCTTATTTTTTATGATTTTACCACCATAAATCATTAAAAACTCTTCTTTAATTAAAGGTTTAATTTTTTCCTCAAGCTATTAGAATTTCTTATCTTTTTTCGAAGTAAAAAAGTAATTACAATCAGGAGTAATAATTCTAAATTATGCATATTAATTCTTGTCTTATTTCTTATCAAGCATTTACTAGGTAGGTGCATATTTATCATCGCAAATAATAGAAGCCATTAAATCTTGTTTTAATTCAAGATGGAGAGTCTATTCCTCTGTACCTTCACAAATTTAGTAATCAGATAGCGTCATTTAATCTATTAATTCATTTCCAGCAAATTTTAAAATTTAATCTATTAATTGTATGCCAGTCTCTTTAAAAATCATTACTTTAATATCCATAATTTTATAAGAAGGTTCGACATTTAATTTAATTAATGAACCTTACTAACGCTGAATATTAATTTGCATATTATGAGCTAAAACACCATTCGCAAAAAAGTTATGGTTATTTTCTACTTGTATGTGGTATATAAATACAGGATTTTTAGTGGTGAATATTTTAATTTCTGTAATTTATAATTTTTCACCTTCCTCAGAAAGTAAATAATCGTATTTTTTTAAGAAGCTGATATCTGAGCCAGGACTAGGGCAAACTGATTTCCATAATTTGCTCTCTGGATCATAAAACCTATGGTTAACTGTACACACCACATGTTAATTTCCAAAAGTTATTTTACACAATTAATCAATGTCATGCTTAACGAATCTTGTAACAACATTTTGTTGAAAAGTTTAATCTGTGATTCTATAGCTTTTTACTAAATCTCCTTCTTGTATTTCATTTATAAATTTTTTTTAATTGTTTGCCATAGTTATTTATGTATTAGAGACAAAGCAACCACCTCTTAATCTTAAAACTAAATGTAATGTTGATTCTCTTTGAATTTTATAAAATTTTAAATCTCTTCCATCACTTAATTACTTATCAACAAATATTAATCTCTACTAATCAGGTGGTATACCTTCTTTGTCTTATATTTTGGCTTTTAAATTTTAAATTGTGTCTATAGATTCAACATCCAAAGTAATAGTTTTTCCAGTTAATGTTTTTACAAATAAATATTTGTTATGAGCAAGAACTCCATTTACAAAAAAATTATGATTTTTTTAAATGGTTAAATGATAAACAGTGATGAATCGTTCTTCAGTAGTAAAAAAATCAATATTTTTTATATAAGATATTGATTTATCCTATAATAATAACGAATCATTAGCACTTAAGTAATTTTTTAAAGTAGAATTTCCACCAGGATAAACGCATTTCCATGCTTTTTCTTCAGGGTTATAAAAAGGATGATTCAATGTACAAATGATGTTTGAATTTTCAAATTATATATTACAAAATATATTAGCCTTGAATTGCATAACCTCTTGCACAACATCTACCTCAATTATTTAATCTTCCTAATTGTAGCTAATTACTTAATCACCAACAGAAATATCTTTTATTTTTTTCTTTTCACCATTTGCTAGAGTAACTAAAGTGTTTTAAACAAAGCATGCATTATTTTACTCAACTATGACAAATATATTTGAATATTATTTTATTTTGCATTCGCTTAAAGTTAATGTGTCACACTTACTTAAAATTTTGTCATCTATTTTAAGCTATTAGATTAATATAGGAATTCTTTCCAAAAGAAATATTTATTCTTTTATCTAATATATCAAATCACTCAAATACATTTATAATTACATTTTTTTACCTTAAGGTAGGATAATATTTATTGTAATTATTTCTTTAGGATCTTTTTCTACCAAAAAAAGTGTTATATTTTATTATTAAGTACCGCAAATTTCAAAAATAAATTCTTTATCTAATAAAACTTTGTTATTATATTTTAAATGGTACTTATTTGACTAAAGACCAGTGAATTAGTGTACTTGTTATTTTATTTAATCTATTTTAGAGATTAAATGGGCTTATATGGTAAAAGTGTTCATTTTTTAATCTTTAATCTAAATATTGGTATTTATTTGCGATTTAACAAAAACATATGCTTTACAACAATCGTATGTTAAATCTGTTAATTACTCCTATAACATCTAATCATCTTTCAAAACTTTATCTCTGAAAACTAAAATTTATTCTTCATATTGAATTCCTGTTGTTTTTTATATAGAAATCTTTAAGTTGCTTAATGTATTTCCTTCAGTTACTGCAATTTATATATTTTGTCCATTTTGTAATTAAAATTTAATATTATAAGTATTATAGTAAGTTTTCTCATCATATTCATTTTAAGCTAAGATTTCTGAAAATTTAAGTAGTTAAATATCTGGCTTGTAGTTCTCCTAATCATTTTTTAAATTTAAAAGGAATTACTGAAGTTCCATCTTTTATGCTTAAAATTGTTATTGTATCTTTTATTTATTATTGAATAGATATTAAATTTGCTTTTGATATTTAATTAAATTTTTATATGTAAATCCTAAAAGCTTGAATTTATTTGATAGAACTAAAATGGGATATGAATTAGAATATTCACATCAAAACACAATTTATTTTGAGTATTTTATGTATTTGTTTTTTAGTTTGTATTTCGTTTAATACTTTTTTAAATTTAAAAGACTATTGAAAATTTATCTTTTTATCTTAAATTATTGTAGACATTTCATTTGATTTTGTTGATTTATTGCCATTTTAAGTATTCTTTCTAATATGTTAAATTTCTCCATATTGATATAGTTGATGTCCTAATTAGAAAGGTAATCTAAAAATAATTTAAGCATTGATAAAGTAATAAGATTAAAAGGAATTCAAACAAATTTAATTAATTTAAATTGATTTATTTTAATCTTTAATCTAATATAATTCTTCTTGTTTTCAAAGCAAAATATCAATGCAACGATAATTATCAAAAAAAAAATTCAAATTATAATCGAATTAATCATTAAAATGTCCTACTCCATTTAAACAAAATATTTAGAAATATTTAATACATTTAAAAATTAGATTAAATTGAGTTTTTAGATAATATTTTATAATTTAAGATAAAAATTAAAAAATAAGCTCACTAAAAGTATATTTATTTTGGTAAAATTCTTATAAAAGATCACAAAAGATAAAACCATAAAATAATCAAAATACATACATACACACATACACACATACATATGCTTCAAATAAAATTTTTAAAAAATTAGAATTATTAAATAAACTTACAAATCAAATATTTATTTATTTTTACTTTTGAATTTTATTAAATAAATAAATAAATATAGATTGAATTTTATTAAAATTCAATAAATATTTAGATAGCATTTGACCAGTCTTTTAATTTTAAGAATTTATCCTATGTTTATTTATTTTTTAAGATAAACATTGTAATTTGTCCTAACCATTTTTTAAAGTATTTAATATATTTTAGGCACCATAAAAATAATAAAAATACCATATTTTTAAAATTAAATAGGAAAGCGATTTTAGCTTTTTCATAGCCATTCCTAAAGAAGCAGGATCTTAGATATGCTAAAAGCTAGATAAAAATAAATTTATTTCATTTTAACATATTAACTAACTAAACAATAAAAATAAGAAAAAAGCAAAGTAAAATATATTAACTTTAAATTAAAAAAATAGATAATAAAAAAGTTATCTAAATTTACTCTATGTTTAAATTCAAAGATTATAAATTTTTGAAATTTAGTAGTTCACTTGGATCTAATTCAATTTAGCTGCAGCTTTTTAAAATTAAAATCAGTTGAATTACAATTGAAACATTAATTTGTTAATTGATATGTATTTACTTCAAAGTTAATTATAGATTTTAAAGATTAGTACATAATTTTAATTTACACAGTATTTCTTGAGCTTCTTCATCTTCATCATCAAATTATCCTCTTTTATTTTACAATAAATATATGATGGACTTTTATTCTTTTTAATAATTTAGTCTCTGATTTTGTAAGAATTGAAAATATAAAGTAAATAAACTTACTCTAGATTTAAGCATAAGCTTTTGAGTTGTGTGCATTCTGATATCTAGTTAAAAAGAATTTTGGCACATACAAATTTAAGTCGACACTTACTAGTAATTTATAAACAAAAAATGTTTATTATTTCAAGAAAATTAATGAATTGTTTGAAAAGGAATTTTTTATAATATTTAAATAAAAAAATACGCTATAATTAGATCCAATTTCTAGATATTCTAATTTGTTTTTAAATTCAAGCCTAGTGAAAGGATATTTTTGATACTTAACCTATTACAGCTAAAAAAAATAAATTCAATAATTAATTGTTCACTTTACATAAAAATTTTAAATTAATTTTAAACCTTAGATTCAATTTTAGGTCTTATAAACTATGCATATTACCAAATAAGTCAAAATAATTAAAACACTCAGACCAATTCCAATTTTAACTTTGTAAAAATAAAAATAATTAAATAGATATAACATAACAAATATAAAATATCTCCTCTAAGATTTTTCTCTTTTTATTTTGATCTTAAATTTTAGTTTCTAAAAAAGAACTTAAATTTTTGAAATATAGAGAAAAGTCTTAACTAAGAGAATTTATAATATATATTCAATAATTAATAAATAATTAATTTACCTAATGTTGAGATCTAAAGTTTTTAGATATTTGAAATTTAACGATTCAAAAAATAGATAGTCATCTCCAATATCATTTTTTCTTTTGATTCATAGAATTCAAAATAAGTATAATTAAATAAAAATTAAATCTAAAATTACGACAAATTGAGATTCAGCTTTTAAAGTTATTGGCAATCATTCAAATTAGTTAAAATACCCAAAAAGGTTGAATTGCTCATTCTTTTAAACATTTTTTTATTAGAATCATAAGATTAATCGCTGTAACTGTATTAAAATTAATATTCTATGTTTAAAGAACTAAGATTTTCCATATTTTTTAACTCTTAGCTTAACTCTTCAATATCTTACGAACTAAAAAATGATTCACTTGATTTTATTAAAATAATAATTTAATTAATGAATTAATTTTTTTATCAATTAAATATTAAATTATTTAATATTAATATTACTTAAAATTAAATTCTAAATTTTTTAAATTTTGATGCTAACAAAGATAATATCCAAAATCACTGCAGCTAGAGTATTTTTCATTTAGGCATTAACTGTTTATTAAACATTTTTATTTTGTTAAATGATAAAAAAATATTGCTTCTAAATTGAAATTATTTGTTGAGACATAATAGAAAAATAAAATAAAATTTTACGCTAAATTAATTGATAGATTTTCTAGAGCTTTGCAATTTAATAAGGACTAAGCTAGGATTATTATTCCAACTGGTGTAATTTAACTTTTTCTAAATAATTTTTTTAATTAATTAATAGATAGATGAAAAACCAAATTTAATTTATTATAATTATTTTTGAAGATTTTTGGAATTTTGTTATTTAAAATTTACCTTAAATTGATAGCAAATTACTAAAGATTTTAGCATTCTGAAATACCAGAGCTTAATTCATATAAAGAATCGTCATCTATTTTGTTTTCTCTTTGAAATAAATTTATAGTTATTGTGAAATAATTTAAATTTATATGATTCTAATAAAATACTGAAAACTTAGGCATAAATGAGTTATATTTTTGCATTATGACACTCCATAAGATAAGTTTTATAATGCCTTTTTATCCAATCTGCGATTAAAACTTTAATGATAAAATATTTAAATTAATTTTTAATTTCATAAAATAAAAGAATTTAATAAGTAAAAAATAAATAAATACCTTAAATTTAAATCTACATTTTAAAGCTTAGAGCATTTTTAAAACCCTTCAACTATTATTTTTATGCATTAAGCATCAATTCTATTTTTTCTTATTTAAATATTCAATTAAGAGACAGTAGATAATATTTGGATTATTATAAAATCAAATTTTAATAACTACTTACTCTAATTTTAGGTTTATTTTTTCTAAGTTTTTTAATTTTTGAATCACTTTCATCAAATTAAATATGCATGGCACACTGATATCATTTTCTCTAATGAATTTATTTTAATAAAATAATGAAACTTTTTTTCATTTAAGAAACTTGGTAAAATTGAATGAAGAATTAATGTCTTAAAAATCGAATTAATAATAAAAGCTAAAGATATTTTATGGTTGAGTTAAAAATAAAAGCTTTTAAAGATTGAATTTTTTAATTATTTTAAAAAAATATAAATAAAAGAAAATTTACTCAAGGTTAACTGATAAGGAAATGAGTTTCGAACAACATTTCAATTTATAAAAAAAAACACTCTAGTTGATTATTTTTTACTTCCTAAATTAAAGCAAAAGTTTAATTTTTAGATTAAGGAATATGTTAAAAAAGTAAATAAATATTTACTTAAGTAAATGCAATTGTTTCAATTCAGCGTTTTAGTAATCAGATTAATTAATTAGCTATTAATCATAAATAATTTTGTAAATTTTTTAAAATATATAAAAATATTTACAAAATGATAACTTTTTTCTTTTTCCATGAGTTTTTTATTATTTTATTTTTTGTTAATTTATTTTTAGATCTTTCTATTTTTTAATAGCAATTTTATTTTTTTAATTAATTTATAAAAAAAAAAGATAGTTTCCAATCTTTATAAATATTTAAATATATCATTGAAAGAAATCTTAATAAATGCAAAAAATAAATTTAATAATATTTTTAAGTAAAAAATTAATAATTCAAAAATTAATCATCACAAAAAAATGATAATAAATGTTCTAACCTAACCATATTTACTACAATATTTATCTCTAATTTCTATCTTTAACAGTTGACATGTATAAATTTAAGAAAATTATAGCATCTACAAGCAAATTAAAGTGAATTAATTAAAGCATCTACTTGCTAATTAAATTAGGAAAATCTGATTAGCTCATGTATTTAAATAAACCACCTTATTTTAATAAATTTATATTGAATGGAGATGTTTTAATATCTTATAAAATCTAACAAGTCATAATATTTTATATAAAATAATTAAGGTATCTAAAAATTAGCTTTTTAGTTCATGGTACAATTTTTAAGGCTTTCTTTGAGTCACTATTTAATTAATTCTCTTAATTTTTTCAGTCAAAATAAATTTATAATATTTTTAGGTAAAAAATTAATAATAATAAAATTTATCATTACAATAAAATGATAATAAATATACTAATCTAACCTTATTTACTACAATGTTTATCTCTAATTTCAATCTTTGGCATGTTAATGTGTATAAATTTAAGAAAATTATAGCATCTACTTCTAATTAAATTAAAAAATCTGATTGGCTAATGTGTTTAAAGCAAACTACCTGATAAATTCATACTGAATGTAGATACTTTAATATCTTATAAAATCTAAAAAGTATTAATAAATTATTAAATTTATTTTCTATATAAAATGATTAAGATATCTAAAAATAACATTTTTTTAGTTAATGTTACAGTTTTGAAGGTTTCAGTCATTATTTAATTAATTCTCTTTATTTTTTATAAAATAACTTTTAATAAATATTAGTAAAAAAAATTACAGCATTCATTTTGAAGTAATTTTTTGATAGTTTAATGTTAGTTAAGAATTAATTGAATTTATTTATTTATTTGTTTATATATTCTTTGAAAAGATTAATTCAAAGTATTTATTTGATGAGGAAAGTTAATTTAATTTATAAGAAATAAAAAGATGATAAACTGACTGACTGACATGTTTGTTTAGTTAGAGTAAATAAAACAAAAAATATATTTAGTAATAGATATATTGATTTAATGAATAAATGTGTGGTTTTGGAGAAGTAAGATTGTTATTTATGTGAAGGATTTTTTAAAGGAGATCTATATTGTTTTTCTTGAGCACGCAGGCTACTTACTGCCTATATGTTATATCTGAGCAAGTCATATAAATAGATGGTATTTAGATAATATTTGTGATTTATTAATAAAGTTATCAAAATTAGTAGTTATTGCTTGCTTCAGATATCTACAAATCCAATATAGATGCATAAAAGTTTTTCTCTCACTTAGTGTGATAACGCTTGATTTCTTCGATGAAGAGTTCACGGAGTCTAGGTATAGCCATGTCTCCTTCTTTTTCAAAGGGAAGAACAACGGAGCCATCAGCAAATACTTCTTTCTTGATATCTCTGACAGGGGTAAAGAGAGGATGGTTGAGGGCAGCATCAATAGTAATTCTTTTACGAGGGTTGAAGACAAGGGTTTTGTTCAAGAAATCAATACATTCAGGGGTGGCAGCTGGGAATAAATCCTTGAAGTCGACTCTCTTCTTTTGCTTGAAGCTCTTTAAATATTCGATAGCCTTAGCATCAGTGACGAAGTCCATATCTTCTTCATTAGGGGTACCCAAGACTGAGAAGATGACATTCAATTAATCACTGTGGCTGTGGGGGAATCCACCCTACTTAACTGTGTTGTTTCTATCAGGTGAGAGGGGGAAGCAGCTGCTACCAGGGAAAAGAGGAGATCTATCTAAGAAGGTGGGGGAGTTTTCCTTGATCATATTCATCAATTCAGCGAAGATACAACCAATACTCCAGATATCAATGGCAGCAGTGTAATCTTTTTCCAAAAGAATCAATTCGGGAGCTCTGTACCAACGAGTAACTACGTGGCCAGTCAATTCTCTCTTAGTGGTTTTAGAGTTAATTCCCTTTTCTTTAGAAAGTTTAGGTCTTCCACTGCTGGTAGCTGCAGGCTTTTCAGGGCTTTGGCTACTGGTTTATTACTTTTGAGGGCTGTTGCTATTTCTATCATCATAAATATGTGCACCTTCAATACCTTTATTTTATTAATTTAATTAATTATTTATTTAATAAAAATAAAAAAGACAATTTTTTAATTAAAAAAATTATTGTTGGCTAAAATTTATTCTTAGATTAACATAAGAATTTTTAATCTATCTATCTATCTGCTTTTTACAATAATTAATTTGATGCTTGCTGATAATTATTTAAATTTCTTTATGTTTTTTTTTCATAGAATTTTATTTTGCTATTTTGTTTGCTGAAATATCTATTTTTATTTTTTCTTTCTTTCTTTGTTTCTATCGCCTTGACTATCTATTATTAATCTTGAATTATATTTTCCTAATTTACTAAGATTGCTAGGTTATCATCTATTTATTAGCTAAATTCATCATGAAATGAGCTATGTTAAGTAGACTTTTATTGTTTATTTTATTTTTTTAGAAACAAACTCGATTATTCATTTAACAATTTGATCTATTTATATTTCTTTTATTTATTTATTACTCGAGTTTTTAGGATAAACTCTTGCAGATCATCTTCAATGTGGAGATTTTTTTTTAATTTTAATAATATTTTGGAGTAGTGTTTGTTTAAACAACGACTTCTTGAAGTCATTGCCTGTGGATATTAATTCTGTTTAAGAATTTCTTTAGATTAGTTTTAGAAATTCGGTTTTTTTAAAACCAATTAGATTATATTTGATAGAAAAATGTATAAAAATGAGTTTTAAATGAATCAAAAAGTAGAAGTTGTATAGCAATTTAACATGATATTGTTATTTAACATTTATTATTACTATTTGACTTTATGGTATTTGAGAAATAGAAGAAGGAGGATCATTTTCATCCTTAAAAGTGTTAAATAAATGATAAAGCCAATCAAAAGTGAGAAAGTGAAAAATGAAAATCTGAGATTTTAATTACCTTCTACAGATCTGGCGAGACCAAAGTCACAAATCTTGACAGAGCAATCTTCATTGATAAGGACGTTAGCAGGCTTGAGATCTCTATGAAGTACTTCAGCAGAGTGGAGATATTTAATACCAGTGAGAATGTTGTAGGTTAATGTTTAAACTTGGATCATGCACAAGTGAATAGGTGACTTGAAGAGCTTTTTAAGGTCGGATTAGCAATATTCAGTAACGACATAAAGAGTGTCGAAGTTCTATAAGTCCTTAGGTTCAATAATTTCATTGATTCTAATAAGGTTAGGGTGATTTAAAATACGTAACAAGTGAATTTCTCTAAGAATACGTTTGCAGTCAACATTGTCTTCGAAGATACCATTCAATCTCTTAATGGCAACTTTCTTGCCTGATTTCTTGTCAGTAGCTTCAGCTACAGAACCATAAGAACCACTACCTACAACCTTAATAAGATCATATCTATCACCAACCTCCCAGTCGGAAAAATTCTTGGAAGATAACTTTTTGTCCATTTATTTTGTTTATTTATTTATTTATTTTTTAAAGTTTTTTTACTTAGGTTTTTCTTTGAAAATGAATGTTTTGTTTTTATAAAAATTATTTATTTTTTATTTGTCTGCGATAATTTTAAAATTAAGGTGATCAATCATTAATAAATAATCATAAAAAATACAATACTTTATAAACGACTTAATTCAATTCATCAATTCAATTCACTATATATTATATATATATATGTGTGTATGTTCAATTCTCAATAATTAAATTAATCAAAATCAAAGCTAGTTAGATAGCTAACTCAATCGTCATTTTCCATTAATAAATGCTTGAATTTCGCTCCAGTAGTATTAATTTATGACAAATACACCCAATCTTTCTTTATTTATGTCTTTTCGCTAATTAACTTTTTTATGCAATTATTATCGATTACTGAATTTAATTTTTTTCCAAATAAGCTCCACTAAGAAAATTTTACTTTATATGAAGATATCTTTTTATTTTTATATTTCCAAGTATTATTTATTACTAAATAGGTACTTTTCATAAAATAAAACCATTTAAATCTTTTTGTTAACATTTTCTAGTATTTGAATAGTCAAGAAAAAGTGAATTAGTTTTATAGAAAATTTTAAGAAAAAAAAATTGTACTATAAGCGTTAAGTAAAATATTGAAATAATTCTTGCATTGATTTGAGATCTATTTAGATCAATCTTTTTTAAATAAAACAGAAGAAGATATTAAAAAAATCTGAAAGCTACATGCTAAAAAAACAAAGAAAACTCCTTAAAAATTAATATAATAATTGATGTATAATTCGATTTTAAATTTATAAAATATTAGTTTAAATTAGTTGAATGTTAATTTTTCTTCTTTTTACATATTTCGTTTGGTTGAATTTTAAAATATTTTTCATAATTTTACAATTGCTCATTTCCAACAAATGTAGAAACGAAACATATCTTTGATAATATTTTCAGTATAAGTTATTGTTTTTAAACAGAAATAACTCACTTTAGAAGGAAATTTTTAGCCAGTCAATTTAAAAAGCATGTTTCAGTAACAAATTTATAAAATTAGATACAATATACTTTTTTTAAGAAAGTGCCAACAAACATAACTGAAAATAAAGTTTTGTTTAAATTTAACAATATTTTAATTCTAAAATTTAGATTAGCTAAAATATTTTTTATAATTTTACTAGTATTTTTCTTTTTCTTTGAACATTCCCAAAAGATAAAAAATAGTAGGAATTTTATCTAAAAATTTAGCTGAACAAAAGTTAGATTTTGAGAGAAGGTTATTTATTAAATTTTTTAAATAAATTACAATGAAATAGATGATTTTTTATTTCTTGTCATCAACTTAAAAACACCTTAAATATATTTAATATTTTCTAATCTCAACAATTTATAACGAAGTACTCTATAATTAGCATTAATCCTTCGAATACAAAAAGAAAAGAGCAAGATTTATTTTAAGTTTTTATTTATTCTTAATTTAATAAATAGATTCTGATGAATTAAGTTAATGAAAATTAAATTAGTTCATTGCGCTTGATGCAAAAAAGTAAAATTATAATTAGTAAATCTTGATAGCGCTTATAAATTGTATTTAAAAAGTATCTTTTTTTATTAAATCATGAAATATTAAATCCAGTAGATTTGTAAATAAAATACATTATTCATTCATTCATAAATAAATAAATTAATCCAACTAGATACACAGTTTACAAAAGAATATTATGATTTGACAAATAGGTAATAACCCTTTAATTATTAATGCTTTTATATACTTAATGAATTGTTTATTTGTAATCTTATTGTGCTTGTAGTAATCTTTCTATTACATCTTTAATCAATCTAAGTAATGTCTTGATTTAAAATTATAAATAAATAAATCTTACTTCTTATTATAATTACTTTTTAAATTTTTAAATAATTCTAATTTATTCTTAATTTTAGCCAATCACTCTTGAAGCTTTAGCGAGTCTTTGTACTTATCCCAAAATTCATTTTAGATTATGTCGTCAGATAATGTAATTATTTTTGAGCGATATTTACTTTTTTCAATCTTTTCTAGCTACTTGCTATTTAATTTCTTCTACTTTTTCTATCCAGCGATATATTTTTTTTCTCCTTTTGTCATTACAGAATCAGATTCCTCCTTTAGAAGTTCTTCTGCATTCTCTTTTTGTTCTTCTCCCTCTTCATTTTACTACTATAAAGCACCTTCTTTGTTTAATCCTTAATTTTCTTCACATTTTTCTCTTTTTTGTTAAGATTCCGCTTATTCTGCTTCTTTGTTAGCATGCTTATCTTTGAGAACTAAAACTCTTATTAAAGTGGATCCTTTTCTGAATTGAGGTTCTAACTTTGCATAGTTAATTCCATAATCATTAAATAATATTTCATTTTTTCTATCGCTTAAGGTATCTTTCAGGATTTCTTATGCTTTCTAAGGAGTCATGTTTCCCTTCTGGACCATAGTCCAAAAACAAGTATTGTAAAGATTGTTAATGTGACAATCAACTTGTCTCCAGTTGAGGTAATCCCTTAAATTTTTAAAATCAGGGTAGCAAACTGCTCTAGCATCAAACATAGGTAAAAAAGAAGGTTTAATATTGAAGTAGTCGCTAAAATGCATAGCATAAGCAGCAGTAAAGCAAGAAACTACACATGAAACTATTTTTTCAGTTCTTCTTTAGTATAATTCAGCATCTTTTTTGAAAACAAAAGAGAACTCATCAGATTAGCCATAAGCCAACATAATTTCATTAAATGTTTCCATAACACTCTCAGCTGCTTTGTTCATTAAATCTAAACCTCTTTTGTCGTTTGGTTTTTCAAAATTGTGATTTGCAGTAAATTTAGTAAATCCTTTTCCGTCAATTCTAACTACTATGTAAGTATTAGGCAAAAGGGTTTAGTATGTTTCGAATTTTTTAACATATTCATATTGGGAGCAAGCCATTTTTGAGTTTTAAATGAGTAAAATTCTATTTAATGTTAAATTATTGATTGAAAATAATTTGTAAAATAATATGAAAATCTCTTTGTTTTAGATTGGAAATATTATGAACTACTACTTTAGAGAATTGCAATTAAATATAGCGCTAAAAGTAAAGAGTCTATTTATACTTTATACAAAACATAAATATTATTTATTAAAAGATATAATTAAATCAATTTCAATTAAGAAGACCCACAAATAATAATAACTCAGAAAATTTAAATTTATAAGCATTTATGTTCTAATTAAGAATGACACTATTTTATGTTTCAAACCACAAATAAAAACAAGTTAAAAAAAAAGATTAAATATAAGCAAGGTGTATATATTAGTATATTCATCAAATTGAATACATATCACCACTTTGCTAAAATTAATCCTCTGAATATCGTCTTATGCTTATCTATAAGTGTGGAGATATAAACACATTGGTACATTTTTTTTTATAAACTCTTTAATTCAGAATTGCAAAAATTAATACATTTTTAGATAATTTATTTTTTAAACAGTAATTTTCATTCATTTTTTAGATAGAAATAAACTACTTAGCAAGATTTTGAATAATATTATAAATTATCGTAATGAAAGGGTTATTATAAAACTATAAAATTCATTTAATTAATGATAATACTAATTACTCTCATTAATAATGACCAACTTATATCATAAATTTTACAGTAATTTTTAAATAGTAAATTAATATAAAATTAAAAACTTTTAAAAACATATATGTAAAATTTAATAGAAAATAGAGTATATTTTAAGATAAATAATAAAATTAACTTAAAAATGTATTTATAAAATCGCCATTATTGTGTTTAATTACTCAAAGAAGATTTTTATGATAGATAGATATATAAAACAAAAGTAAATAAATGATCAATCATCCAAATACACAGAATTAACTCAGAGGAATATTTTTTTAGTAAATTGATTTATTTAATATTTATTTGGGAAAAATTATTATAAAGCTTAAAATTTATATTTTAAACTGATTAAATTAAAGTAAATTTTGGCAAATTTCACACATTTAAATATAATTTGTTGTAAATCTTTGTAGATTTTTAAATCTGATTTTATTTGATTATTATCATTTAATTGATTCTTTATCAATAGTTATCAATTCTAGTTAAAGAGTTGAACTATGAAGGAGGCTTAATTTCAAATGGCTCATCTTCGAAATTTATTGCTTATATATCTTAAAGTTTCTTTAAGTTTGCTGATTTGCTATCTCTTTCACCAGCTTCTAGTGATATGTATTTATTGAAATCATAACCTTAAGTTTTCGTTGGTTTAAAAGGTTTAAAATGAGGATTGTTTCCTTATAGTTTTATGTCTAAATTGTTATAAAGAGGGCGACTAAATATCTCTTTTTAATGATAAGCATTTATCCATTACTTATTTTTCTACTAGCTTCCAGCTTCTGTGCTAAGATTTGACATCGAATATTGATTTCTTCTTAAAGATGAAATACTGTTCATACTCTTTGCATTTTTATATTGTGATATTTCTTCATTTTACTAATGCAGTTGTTATTAGAATAGTGCTAAATTATTAGCTGATGTTGGCTTTAAATGATACATTTCTATTTGAGATTGCTACATTAGAGAACCTTTGTTAACTGATTTTTCAGGGCTTCTTTAATTATCGTTTGAAATGTGAATATTTTATAAACTTTTAATATTATTGCTAGATACTAATAAGCCAAGCTTCTTTTATGCAGTAGGATATTAGCTGCTTACTTATTAACCTTCTTCAGCACTTTTCATTAAATGGATGTTATCAAAGAATTTAGGGATTTAAGTTGTAGGGAAAAATGGAATTTCTATTTAAGAAACTGCCTTTGCTTTGAGATACGTTTATCTAAACTTCTCTTTTTGTTTTTCTAGCTGTTATTCTTATCTAGCCTATCATCATATCATATAAAGCAAAAAATAATTAATATAAAATCAAATTTATAATTTGAATAGAAATTAAAATAAAACATATTAAAACTATTTATTGAAAAAATTTTAAAAAGTAAATGAATAAATAATAATCAAAATAGTAAAACAAACATATTTATAGTTAATAAATAAAAATATCATCTATCTCTGACTGATTATTTAGATAGATTATTAATAAAATATCAGCCAATAGAATATTATAGGATAAAAAGTTTATATTCAACTAAAATTTTAATGAAGTTTTTACCTCTTCGATTGTTGGCAGCAAAAATCCTCTTTCCTTGAAAACTTCTAATTCTTTGTTAGCCTTCTTAAAATCGTGTGGATGCTTAGGTTGTCCATCGCTCTAAAATATTTAAAAATAACTTAATTAACTCAATAAAATTAGGATATTTATTTCAATATTTTAAAAAATGTATGAATTAACATACATTAGTAACTTATATAAATTAGTTTAATGAATGATAAAGTAAATATTTACCATAGATTTTAACAATTGATAATTTTCTTATTTTTTTTATTTGATAAGTGTTTTGTGCAGTTTGATTTGCTCAAGTTGGAAATTTCTTTTATTTTATTCTAGCTGTTCAAGCAACTTTTTGCTTTGCTCATTTATGCGATTCTCTTCATTTTTTAATTTGTTTTAAAGCTTTTCTTGTAATGTAGGAACCTTAACTTTAATACTATCACTTTTAATATTTGACGAACTGTCTCTACCTTTTGGAGAATCTTCAACAGTAATGACCTATGGAATTTCACTAAAACTTATTGACATTTTTTGCAAAAATTGGATTTTATAATATTCTTTATGTGTTTTATTACTTTAGATTTATTTTCAAGAATCTTTTTTTTTATAACTAAATTCAGTAATAAATAAATAGATGTATAAACAGAACCAATTAATTAATTATTAATTGATAATTTTCTCGCATGACGCCAATCATTTTTTCATAGAACTACAATGAAAATCTATAATAGTATATATTGATCCAGCAAATTTAGTGGAACAAATAAGAAATTGTTATTTTTGTATATAGTAAAGTTATATATAATCTTATAAGTTATTTGGAAAGCTAAGATAAAAATTTAATTTTATTATTGGCCTCTCTCACCATAATTCTATCAAAATTATAAAAATTTATTATTATTTTTGATTTACAAGAAGGATAAAATAAAAAAAATATATTTATAAATATAATTTCAAAGCACAAGTTAATTTAATTTAAAAATATTTTTTTTAAAAGGAATATCTAAAAAAAAATAAATACTGCAAAAAGCAAAAAAAGTATTTAGAATTATGGTTTAAATTTAAATAAATAATTATAATTATTTTTTTTGAAATTTATAAATTGGAATATTTTAAATGTAATTAAAACTTACTACATACACTAAATATAATATTTATTTAAGATATTATTTAATTCATCTTTTTTTATAAATGCAAGGCTTGAGGAGAGATTATGAGATGTATAAAACGTCTGATTGATCTTTAGTTTTAGGGAATTTAGCGATATATTTTGTCTTAAAGTTTTTATTTTAATTTAGTATTTAGGAATTTAACTTTAATTTATTATCAGCAAGTTTCTTAAATGTCAAGAAGCAGAAATAAGTGTTTGGTAAAATCTTTTATTAGATGAAAATAATAAAATAAATTATTTATTTATTTATTTAGATTTAAGATTAATTTAAATTGTTTACTTTCTTCTAAAGTTTAAATCCTAAGCATTCTATCATACCGATAAATAGATCCATGTCAGTTATTCTTGAGTTTACTTCAGAAATGATAAGGTGGCCATTTAATTTAAGTAAGCGATTAGCCTCAGTTAAAAATTCTATGTAATTGGTTCCCATTAATGCAAGACAAAATACAACAACATCACATTCAGAATTTTTGAGAGGTATATTTTTACTATCTGCTACTTTAATAAAATCTTTATGTGCACACAAATCAAAGCTATGAACTTCTTTCATTCCTTACTTTACACTACTGTCTAAGCTCTTTAACTTATTATTATCTCTAAAATATTCAAATATTTTTCCATCTCCGCACCCTAAATCTGCAATAACTCTATTTTATTATTTTAAACATTGTAATATCATTCAATAATTTTTGTCAACTATATATTAAATTACGCATTTTAAAATATCTAATTGCTATTAAGCTCATTTATTATCATATCAACTGGTTTCTCAGGCCACTTAACGATTTAACTTTAGAATCCTTAGTGATACTAAAAATAATAAATTAGAAATACAAATCAATTTAACAATTTTTACTAATAAGAAATCTTCTTTGTTTTTTGCAAAATGGTCTGCTGAAGTTTTGCTATCAGTTGTGTACAAGTATTCGTTGATCATTCTGAATTTGGAGCCTATTGGCAAATATTTTTGTAAAATAGTAAATTTAATTGATGAAATATTATTTTATTATTACCTACTAATCCTTATTCGATTCTATTTGTTAAATCTTAGTTCTTTTAGTTCTACTTTTCTTCGTGCTTTTAAAACTTTTTATTTTTATTTTGATCATTTTACTTTGATTAGTTATTTTAAGGTTTCTAACTGTTGTTCTTATTGCTACTTTAATTATTATTTTAGGCCTACTTATAAGGTTTACCACTTGAATTATCTTAACTCTTCTCAGGGTTTGAGCGCTTTTGTAATAGACTACTCAAAGTATTTTTGTTTTCTCCCTTTTTTTATGAATTGAATTGATTCTTTTAATTAAAATTGCTATTTTTAGAAGCCTCTTTGTTTGCATCCTTCTTTGGATTGCCTCCTATGCTGATTCTATTAAACATTACTATAGCTATTAGAAAAATATAAAGTAATTAATTAATTTGTGATCGGAAATAATAATAAATAAAGATTGATTAAAAAATATCTTTGAAATTAATCAAAAGTAGTTAATAACATATCTCTGTTAGGTATAATTTTATATTAAAAAAATGCTAATTATGTTTCAATACAATGCATTAATCAAAAAGCAATCTCTACTAGGAATACTCAAATATTTTAACTAAAACCTGTACAAAACATAAAAATGAGTAATTTTAATTAATTAATTTACATGATAGGAAATAAAATATTTATATTAATTTATATAATATATTCAAGAAGTATTTAAAATATGTTAATTATTATTTATTTATTGATTTATTTATTTCAAGATATGATAATTTATCTATTTTAATTTAAATTTTTTAAAATCATTAATTAGAATGATGCTCACATTTACTTTCAGTATGATATTATTGCTTAATTTATTCAAGTTAACCAATTATATTTAGAGTATCTTAGCATGTTTTACATCTTTTGCAAACATATTCTCCTCTCTTGTTGTGATTTATTTTAGGAATCTATTAAAAAAATTAGTAAAAAGTTAAAAAGAAAATACAAAAATGTCAAAAAAATTGATCTTGTCAAGCTGGATTTATTCTAAAATTATAAAAATCACCAAGAATATCAAAAATAAACACCAAAAAAAATTAAAAAAAATTTAAATCAAATTGAACATTTTTTTGAAGCTTAATTAAATTAAAATTACTATCTTTAAATATTATTTGAAGGAATAATAAAAAAGCATAATTGATTAATGAATAGTTTTGAAAGAGTTTTCTGAGTAAAAATATCTTTTTTATTTATTTATTTATTTATTTATTTATTACTTACTACATATGGTTTGGAAGACTTTATGATCTTTTTTATAATATTCTAGAAATAACTAATTTATCATTAAAGTCGATAGAGTTATATAGAGATTTCACTGCTTTATTGAATTGAGAGTAGTCTAACATTGTATTATTCAAACGTATTGCTTCATATAGAGGATTAAGTATTTTATTCAAATTATTTGATAGGAATTAGCTGCACAAATTATCTGGGCTTATATATCCTTTTTCTTTTCCATCCAATACTTAGAATATGCACTCAATTATTTAATCTCGCTATTAATTTATAATTTCCTTGCTTTTTAATGAGAGTTTTTACTTGTTTATTTCTTTTTATATTTATTGTTTTATCTTAAATTCTATTTATTTCTAGCTTTCTTTTTGTTGCTGCGCTTATTTATACAGATCCTCCCAAACATTCAAAGAGTTTGACCTTTTTATTTTCTTTTAAATTTACTTTTATTCTGGTTTTACAAACTTTTTAACTGGACTACTCATTTATTCTTTACTATTTCTCATTTGCTAAAATTTATTCTCCAAGTTAAAGAAACTCTTTTGAAATTAAACCTTCGGTTATGTTTGAATTTATGGCTATGCTTTCATTAATTCTTACTAAGGTTCCTAATTAAAAAAACCAAGAGAAATTTTTATTTCATATAATATTTAATTAAAAAAATCTTACTTAAATTGGATAACTGCAAATAGGTGTTTAAATTTTCGGACGAAGAGCTAGCAAACCTTCTCTTTCAGTTAACTAGCTAAGCTATGATATAGCATCTGAGTTTTTAGAGAAATCGAAACTTTCATTATTTTCTTAGTTTTTCAAATCATAGTTTTCATAAAAGTCTTGACGCTAACTGAAATCTTAATCTTATTATTATGGATTCTAAAGCATCCTTCTCTCTGAAGAGAGTTTGTTAAAGCTTTAGATTTTGCTTGAACTTATTTCTGGAGTAAAAGGGCATTGTTCTTTATTCCTCTGTTCTTCTCTATTAAATCAATAAAATCATTCTTAAATAAAAAGCTAAAAGCAATCCTTAAATAATAAATAAATAAATATACAGTTCTATTATTTCTTGCTATCTTTTATCTTTTTCTTGTTATCTCCTATATGAATCTAAATAAAGATGCTAAAAAACTTCTTTAACTTCTCTGTGCTCTTTTGCAAACTGACCAATTCTAGAGCTTCTATTTTTTTAATTCTCTTTTCAAAAATAAGTAAGAATGAAAAATTAGTAATTCATACACAACACCAATTTAAGGCTAAAATGTGCACTTTAATTATTCCTATAATTGAGTATTTTATTTAATGATATTCATTTTATCCTCCATCTTTCTCTTTATTTTTTCATATCTTTACTGTTAATCTTGCTTGCCCTTTAATTTATATAAATTATTTTAAATAAATAAATAAATAATTCTTTATAAATTATTTACATATAACAAAATAGAGTTGTAATTTATTTGTGGCTGAAATGTAGCTTCTTTTAATTCATCTTTCTCTTACTGCATCTGCATTTGTTTCATTTTTTTTCTTTATTTAAGCATAATCCAATTTAAAGCACTATATTTATATAAATTATAAATTACTCTTTTACTATTTGATGAACCATCCCCTTTTAGTAAAGATTTATGCCTGGATTTTATATTCTAAACGAATTATTTTAATACATTCTATGACTGTTTTCAGAATCTGTTCCATTATAAATCTTTTTTTAATGCATACATTTGATTTATTAAATTATTCAATTTAGTGATTTATTTACTTTGTTATCACTTCCAAAATGAATTTATGTTTTGGTTTTTTGGCGAATAGGACTTTTTGAGTATTGCTTATTATAAATGTTAGATTTTTTCATACTTCTTTAATTTTAATATTCTGATTCATCTGAAGATCTTGGATCATATTCGTCATTTGAATTTCCTTCAATAATTTATGATTGTTGTTCGTTTTCATTTTCAAACGAATCAACATTTTAAATAACTTGCTCTATTGCTTATTAAATATAGTAAACAGCAGACGGTTTTAAATTATTCTGCTCACAAAATAAACTAGCTGCCAATACAGGATCTTATCCTTGTATGTAAGTAAGAGTTTTCTTAAAATCATTGCCTATTGTAATATTAATTTCTAGTGTCACATTAGAGTTTTCGTTCTAATATTTCTACATTTTCATAAGGTAATTAATTAATTAATTGCTAATAAGATTTTACATAAATTATTATTAAATTTACTATATTAACTAATTAAAAGCTAATTATGGCCAATAATTAATTTCGCACAATCTTAATTATTTATTTATTATCTTTTTTCATTTAAATTAATAAATTTTATTTTCATTTTTACTTAATTCGGTAAAATGCTTACTCTTTGCTATTTAATCAAAAAAAAAAAATTCTATTTGTAGTTTTTTATATTAATTTTTATCATTTTACTCAAAAAAGCTTTTTAAAAATACTTTTTAATAAAATTTTTACAAAAATATTTAATACAAAAAACAAACATATAAATAAAAAGATTTTTTATTCTTCATAAATAATTTAATATTCTAAAAGACTTATAAAAATATAATCGAATAAAAAACATCAACCAATCCTTTTAGTTTGTTGAGATCTATTTTTAATTTCGATTGATTTTTTAATTTAATTCATATTACTTTTTTTATATTTTAAAAATAAGATTTTTATGAATTCAAAAATTCTATTTAAATTAGTTTTTTATATGATTTTTTATCATTTTAATCACAAAAGCTTTTAAAAAAATATTTATTATTAAATTTAGTTAAAATTATTACAAAAATATATTTAATGCAAAAAACATACATAATAAATAATTTAAATAAATACAATTTTTATTCTTCATAAATAATTTAATATTATAAAAGACTTAGAAAAAATATAATAAATTAAAAAAATCTTATCAACCAATCTTTTTAGTTTGTTGAGATCTATTTTTAATTTCGATTGATTTTTTAATTTATTTCATACTACTTTTATTATATTTTAAAAATAAGTTTTTTATGAGTTCAAAAATTCTATTTGTAATTAATTAGTTTTTTTTATGAATTTTTATCATTTTAATCATAAAAGCTTTTTAAAAAAATATTTATTATTAAATTTAGTTAAAATTATTACAAAAATATTTAAAACATGCAAAAAAAAATTTAAATAAAAATAAATATTTTTTATTGTTCATAAATAATTTAATATTATCAAAAGCTTAGAATAAATCTTATCAAATAAAATCTATCTTTTTAGCTAGTTGAGATCTATTTTTAATTTTTATTTTTTAATTTAATTAATAATTTTTTATATTTTAAAAATAAGTTTTTTATTAATTCAAAAATTCTATTTGTAATTAGTTTTTTAAATGAATTTTTATCATTTTACTCTTAACAGCTTTTTAAAAGTAGATCAGATAAAATTTATTTAAAATTATTACAAAAATATATTTAATGCAAAAAACATATATACTAGTACATACATAGTAACTAATTTAAATAAAAACAATTTTTATTTTTCATACAATTTAATATTATCAAAGAAAGTATTAGAATAAATCTAATCAAATAAAAAACATTTTATCAACCAATCTTTTTAGTTTTTAGAGATCTAATTTTAATTTTGACTTTTGAACTTCATGTATTTAATTCATACTTTTTTATATTTTAAAAATAAGTTAGTTTTTTATTAATTCAAATAACAAATAAAAGAATTAAAGATAAGTATTTTATATCATTAAAGCTAATCAAAGAAAAGAAAAATAAAAATAAATAAATAAGTTATTCTGTTAATTTAAAATTTTTACTATTGTTAAGGTGAATTAATTAATGATTTAATATTATTATTTAGAAAAAAGACAAATTTTTAATATTTATTTTTTACCTAACAGCAAGCTTCAAAACTGAGAGTTTCATACATTTCTAAAAATAATTTCCTAAAGCTAATGCACCTTAGTTCCCAATTTTACACCTCCTTTGAATTTAAGATTTATTATCAAAATATAGATAAAAAAATTAGATAAACTTAAAGAAACTTGATTTATGAATTTATTTGCTTATATTATTAAATATATAGTAAGAAAGAAATTTTTGAAGTTGAAAACTCTTTATTTTTTTATTATAAATTAAATAGTTTATACAATAAATTTAGATTTAAAGCTGTGAGATTAGGGATGTTTTCTAAGCCAGAGAGGATATATTATACTCCCATAGAACCAATTGGATTATATCTATAATACATATATTTATTAATTTGTAAAAAAAAATAAAGATAGAAAAAAATTTTCTATTTGTTTTTTTAAAAGATAAAATGAAATTATGTTAAGATAAATTTAATTCGAAAATGAACTAACTAACTAACTATTTTCTTTATTATCTTCCTAAAAATTTTTATTAATTAGTCTACTAATAAATAAATAAATAATTTAGAAAGGTAAATAATTGCAATTAAATATTTTAACCTCATTTTGAGTCTTAAGTTTTAGAGATTTTTACAATAACCTAGAGCAGCACCTAAATATTTAACACTATTTTGACTAACTTAATTTTAACTTAAATAATTTTAAATAAAAAATGGATCTATTTAATTAATTAATACTTTAAATCAAGATCTAATTTCTAGAGATTTGAACAACTTTATAAAGCAGACCTTATATATAAAAATCCTTTTCTAAATATGTTTTTGCTAATTTAAAATAATATTAAAAAAATTCAAGATAGATAATTATTTAAAAGAAGCATTATGAAATAATATTAAACAATTTAACAAAAATTAATTGAATAAAGATAATATTTTCTGGTTTGGTAGTATTTATTTATTTATAAATATTCAAATAGATAATTCAAAAAGATAAATATAAATAAATTAATAAATAAAATTAATTAATTAATTAAAAATTGTTTACTCCAGATTGACAGTTAAATTTTAAAGATTTTTACAGTTTGCTAGAGCAGTCCATAAATATTGAGCACTTTATTCACTAAATGTATTTGAACTTAGATAATTTAAAAAAAATAAGAAATAATCCAAGTTTAATATTTTTTAAAAACCTAAGATCCAATTCTAAACTAATAAGATTTGTTAAATTTGACAACACATTACTTAAATTTAAGATATGTTACTCGCAAATTTTACTTGTTTATGTAATATCCGAAAATAATTATTAGAAAGCGATAAACTAATGTTTCATATATATTTTCAAATTCTTGAGATTTTTATAGCCTGACAAGGTTAAAATAAAAGACTTCCAATGAATATATTTCTAGCTGAAAAATATTATATTTTAAGTAATTAAAAATAAATAAATAAATTATAATTTAAAAGAGTAGTTAATATTAAGGTTTTTCTTCATAAACTATAAACTATAATTAGGAGATAAAGCTAAATAAGAATTTAATTAGTTTTTACAAGCTAAAAATTAGTTCAGTCTCAGATTAATTAGAAGAAGATATAAACTTTTTTTAATAAAAATATTTAATTTAAGTTTATTTATTAAGTTTTATTACATCTTTGAAATTATCATCATTGAATAATATCTATTTTTACATTTTTTTTTTTCTCCAAAAAGTTATTAAATGAAATTTCTTTTAATATGTTAAAAAAAAAATTATGAATTAAAAATAACTCTTTTGAGAACAAATAAAAAATTAAATTTAGTTTGACAAAAAAAATTAAAAAACTCATATGTTTATTTTATTAATAATATTTACATCGATCTTATATGTATGTTAAAGATAAAGCATATTTGTTAGCTTGTTTTTTAAAATAAATAAAATTTCAGAAAATTTTTTGTTTAGATGATTAATTTGAAAGGATACGATTTATTTTATTGTTGATATCATTAAAGATTAATCGTATTATCTTGATTACCTCTTTCTACCTACTTACCTTGGAGCCTAGGGAAGCTAAATTTTTAAGAATTTTTTAAAAAACTTATTCGGATTTAAGGAACTAATTTGAAGAAAATAATGCTAGTTTTACTTAATGAGATAATAAAAATATTAAAAGTATTTAATATAAATAAACGGTGCATTATTTTATTATAAATAATTAATTAAACTGTATGATATATTTTTTTCTTGATCGTATTTTATATATTATAAATATTTAATAGTTTTGCTTAACTTAACGTTTTATTGAAATTTATTTATTGTTTTTTATACTTTTCAAAAAGTTATTTTTGTTTAATTTTGGTCAAAAATGAATATTAAATGAAAGTAAAATATTAAAATGAAAATAAGATATTAATATATAGATATTTTTTTTGAGAATAAAAGCAAATTTAAGGAACTAATTTGAAGAAAAAGATGCTAGTTTTACTTAATGAGATAATAAAAATATTAAAAGTATTTAATATAAATAAATGATGCATTATTTTATTATAAATAACTAAACTGTGTGATATATTTTTCACTTGATCGTATTTTTATATTTTATTATAAATATTTAATAGTTTTTTTTGCTTAATTTAATGTTTTATTGAAATTTATTTATTGTTTTTTATACTATAGAAAAACTAATTTTTGTTTGTTTGTTTGGTTTGCTCAAAAATGAAAAAGAGCTAGCTACATTTCAATTATCTCAGAAGACTTGAGTAGATTTGAGATTACTTTGTAAGAAAGGATTCTAATTTTGATGATTCAATATATTTTCTTATTCAATATTTTAGTTTGGTTGCTCTTTTGAGTCCATACTTAGACAATTATAAAACTTTGAAAGCTCAAATATTTTGTGTGATTCAAAAGGAATATTTTATGGATTGAGTCCTGTGTAAAGAGTTTTTTCAGATTCAGATAGAACACTTTCATATATATTACTGATATAGCCAATGTTTTCACTGAAATAAACTTATTTTAGGATAGAGCAGGTTTTAGGGTAGAGGTAAGAGTATTAGATTAAAAATTAATTATAGTTTTCTTTTCTAAACAATTCTTTATCTTGTTCAGGTACGAGCAAGAATTAAATTGATCTACAAGCTGCATATACTTCTGCGTATCTGATTTCTTCCCAGGAAAGGCATTAACCAGATTAAGATCTTTTAATTAGTTTTTCCCACACCGCGGCAGAAACAAAAGCAGGAGTGTAAAATGCCCAGTAATCTTCTAAAGCGAATGAAGAACCTCCATAGTCAATTAAAAGTAATTTTATAGAGCAAGTAGATTAGTTTTTATATTTCTTTACAGTAAGCATTACATTCGATGGTTTAATGTCACTATGAAAAAGTGGCTGCTTTTGTTAAGTCTCTTAATTATAGTTACTTAATAGAGACTCAACTGCTTTTATCAGATTAACAAGAATTTAGTGAGTAAATTCATCACTAAATTTATACCCATTTTCTTCACTATCATTTTTCAAATCTTCCAAGCTACACAAGCCAAGCTCCATAAATAAAAGTTATTTATCCAAATCCTAGTAAAAAAGTTTAGGCATATACTCACACTTAACTGTCTGCATAATGAAAAGTTCACGCTAATATTCTTCTAAATTTTCTATTTTTTTGCAAGCCACAGGCAGATATTACATTTCTTAAAATTTTTATGCAGTAACTTCTTCCTATGTATTTTTGGAATCTTCTGAATCTATTTTTTCAATATAAACAGATTACTGTTTTTCTATGTAGTTTGCCATATCTTGATTTTAATATTAATAGTCTCTTTGATTTTTTTATGAATTTTTGCTACTAAAAATATTTGACTGTTCTTGCTGCATTTCACTACTGAATATCATTGGATTTTCATTTTATTAGGCTGATAAATTACTAAATTGTAACACATTTGGTTAATTAGATTAACTAGAAGAAAATAATTAGCTTTGAGGAAGACTATTTTTAATAGTAGAATTTGAAGTGTGCCATGTTTACTTTAAGAAATTTGAGTCTTTTGTTTAACTTTCTTATAATTTATTTTATTTAAAAAAGTAAAGATCGACAGTGCCAAAGCTTCCTTCACCGATACTGCTAAAGTAAACAAATGAATCAAGAGTGAGTATGTGGGAAAAAAGCTTTTAGCTTTCAATAAACAAAGTCATAGCCTCTCCAAAAGCTTCAACAGAAGAAACTATGTCAGCATGATTACTAACTTAAAGCATTTTATAAAAACTTTAAAGAGCTTTTAGTCCTTCAATCTAATCAGTTTCTGATAAATCTTATTTTTTTTTTTCATCTTAATAGTTTTATAAAATTTTTTGCTTGTGCTTAAAGCCTTTTTGCTCTGTAATTTCATCACTACTACTAAAAGCGTAGTACTTACTAATTTCTTTTTTATTTTTTACTTCTAATTCATTAACAAATTCCTCGATTTCCATACTATCCTCTGAAGAATCTGTTTATCCTAATTTATTTGCTAATTTAGAAACATATTCTATCTATCCCTTAGATATTTATCCACTTTTTAGACTTGATTTACCTATCAAATTCAATGAAAAAATATTTAAAACTGCAAATATTATTTAACTAATTATTTACCACTAGAAAATATACTTTTACTCCATTTGAATGATCTTTTTGTTAATGCGTATGATGTTCTTTGAGAACCAGACTCAATGTCTTTCATGGATCTGATAAACTGCTTATCAGGAAGTTTATTTGAATCTAAATTTTTTCTGGATTGTTATTCCTTTTATTTCTTTTTCTTTTTTTATTTTTCTGTTCTCTTTCTGCTTCTTTCAATCACACTTTCAAATCCATCACTAAATGGATCTAAAATTCTATTTTATTTTGTATCTTCTTTCCCTTTTTAATTTTATAAATTATCTATGATTTAAGAGCTTGCTGGTAAAGGATATATATTAGAATGGTTAACTGCTCCAGATTATTAAGGAATATATTCACTATCAAAATTAGAAAAAAATAAGTCATTATTATTCCTTTAAATTTATGGCTCTTAGTTTTATTAATTTGGGTTAGCAATTTGTTAAAATCTAGGGAAATTATTGGCTTCATCTTCTTCTTCTAAGTCAAGTAAATTTATTTAGTTTTTTTAATTATTAATTTCTTATTAAGTATTCTAAATATTAAAAAAATCTTCATAACGATACTATTTTTCTCCCTTAACATTTTATTATTAATTATTTTATTTCTTCACAGTAGGTCTTTGATCTTAAATTGTCTATTGAGAAGAGCCAAATATGTTAACTTGTTCACTAAATTTTATTGACTTTCTACTTTTATATTGATCATCTATCTATTTTCTAGGTGTAGCAGCAGATTCAATATTTAATGGTTTTTTGTTTGTTGTTCTGGAAACTGAAAAATAAGCAGACTGCTATTGACTTAACTGAGTAGTTTTTTATTGAGTTTTTGGTAAATTCTTTTTTAAATGAGTTTGAAATAAAGAAAGTTGTCCCTTAATTTTGTTTTCAGGCAAATTTTTGGCATTTGATGAACTTGAAATAGAACTGTAGTCCTATGTTCCAATAGTTCGTTTTTAAGAAGTTTGTATGCTTCCTTCTAATTTTTTAAGTGAGCTTTTAACATTATCATTATTTATTTGTTATGATTAATTATTTAATTCTTTTTGAATGTTATAATCTTCTGTTTCAATTTCTTAAAATATTTGTTATTATTGCTAAGAGGACTATTGTTGTTGTAAAAGTTTTCTTTAAAGAATCTTTTCTTGCTCATGCAATGATATTTTTGCAACTATTTTAGGTTTTTCTGGTTTTTTTATGCCTAATTTTTCATCTATTGTATCTATCTTATCTTTAGCTTTTTTCAGACTACTCCTCAAATTTTCTTGTATTTTTTTAGCATTTCTTTAAATTGAAGTTTATATAGTGTTCGTATTTTCATAACTATCTAAATTATTTTTCATATAATCGTCTTGATCATCTATATTTAATTTATTTTCTTGCTAAACATCATAATTATATTTCGCCTGCTCTTGCCACTTGAATTTTTCATTTTAAGCTACATTTTTATGTATTTAAAAATCCTACTCTTACAGCCTTGTCTTTTTGGGAAAATATTTAGACTTTGCGTTAGTCTAAAGAACCTACTCATCTATTTAGCTAGTTTTTTTCATAGTTTACTACTTATTAGTATAAGCAGGTCTTTATTCTTCTTTATAGTGAATTAAAATTTTGTGTACAAGTTTTTCTAACACTTATCTCTAAATAAGTTTTTAAAAATTATAAAAAAAGCTTATCAGTATTTATATAAAAATAATTCTTATGATTTCAAACTTTGATTGATTATGTGATAATAGTCTTTACGCAATATGATTCTATTTTTTTCTAATTTTCAATATTTCATTTGTAATTTTTGGTGAAATCTAATTCTAAAATATTTGATTTCATAAAAATGTATAAAAAATAAATATCTTTTTAACTTAACTATTATAACTTGTCTATTCTAAATGCTTTTTTATATATGAAATTCTCAAAAGACATATTAAAAAAGGAAACGAATTTGTATGCAAGCTATTTCACTAATTCAAAAATAAATTGGTAGTAAAGTTATTAAAGACATATTAATTGAATTTTATTAATTTCAGTGTAACTTTTCTTGAAAATTCAAATTTAAGACACATATGATCTAAAATATTTAATAAATTTAATATTTCTAAATTAAAAATATAGGTTTTACTTTTATAGCTACGAAACATACATACATAATATAATTCAAAAAATAAAAAATTTATTATGAATTGAATTAATTTTTAAATATTTTAATTAAAAAATATAAAATATTAATTAATCCATTTTTTTAATTTACTTTATAGAGAATAAGAGTAAAATAAGTAAATTTTAATTGCTACATATTTGTGTTAATGTATTCAAAATGAACTTAATAGATAAATTTATTTATATTTATGATTGTATAATTTATTCATTATAAAGGTTTAAATACTTATATTTATTTATCTCTTATTAATTCTTCTATCTATTAATTTGAATTCTAACTCTCATGCAAATAACTATTTATTTTATATAAAACACCTTAATTCTTATTTAAATTGAATATTTTAACATAGTAATAAAATGAAATTCATCTCAATTAAACATCCATTAAGTAATTAATTAATAATTCATCATTTTATTTATAACCAAAATTTATGAACTGAAAAAATATCCAATCAAATAAAATATTTGGTTTTTTTTGATAAAAGAAACTACAATCAATCAATCAGTACAATATATTTATTTTATTTATAGAAAGGATGACGCAAAATTTGATGCATTATTTTTAATTTATTCAAAGTGAAGGAGTTGCAAACGAGCTATCTAAGAAAAAGTGATTTCCATTCATAAAAGTAGATTCAAGAATTCCTTGAAAAGCGTTGCTAAACTCAGAAGGATGGCCATGTCTTCCAAGGCAAGTTCCTTTAGCTGTAGCTTTATATAACCTTTCAGGAGCACTTTTACCCATTGGCGTATCAAAAACACCTGGGCACATACAAACAACTCTAATTCCATATCTTCCTAAGTCTCTAGACATAGGAAGAGTCATAGCAGCTACAGCTCCTTTAGATGCTCCATAAATGCTCATCCCGTTATTAGAATTAAATGAAGCAACACTACCAACATTAACTATGACATAATCTTTTTTCTATTATGCTTGATTCTATTATTTTACCATCTAAAGAGCTGCATATTTACTCACATTAAAAGTACCAACAACATTTATATTAAAGCATTTATTAACATGTGTGGGACTGAATTTTTCATCAATTATTGATAAATAAGCAGGAATATTAACACCAGCACTATTTAAAACAGCATCTATATGTCCAAATTATATTGCACAATCTTCAATAGCTTTTTTTATTCCTTCTTCGTCTGTAACATCTAAATTTCTGAATACAACTCTATCTTTTGGATAGCTAGCAAGGAACTTTGGATCTATATTGTCTCTGTCTGTTAAATAGCATTTACATCCTTTTTCTAAAAGGTCTTTTGCCACCTCTAATCCAAATCCACTTGAAGCACCAGTAATAAATGCAACTAAATTTTAGTCTATTTTCATTATATCCTCTATTAAATTTATGATTTTTTGTTATTATCCTAAGAAATTATTTATGAAATTACACAATTAGATTTACCAATATTATTTATTACTTGTGTGGATATAAATTTTAAATTTTTGATAGATATTTTGTTCTAAAATCAATCAATAAAGAATAATTGCAGATTAGAAGCTTTTAATATTTAATAAATTGAAGCTATTTAATTGATTAGAGAAACCCAATATTAACATTCATTCATTCATTCATTATAAAATGTCTCTATAAAAAATTATATAAAAAATTAAAAGAAAACATCCTTAAAATAAGCAAATATTATAAATTCATTTAATGTTGTACCCCACAAAATTCAAAAATATTATTAAAATTAATGAATATCCATGTTATTAAAAATAAAATTTTATAAAGAGGGGTGTAGAAATATTAGAATTTACAATACAAAAATATTTTAAGTTATTGAAAAGTATAAATTAATTCTATCAATATGTATGTTTGAATATAAACTTCAATATAAAAAATGAAAAAATTAATTTAAAACTAAAACTGACTATGATTAACTAAAAGAAAGTTTTGTTAGCATATAATTATTAATAAAATCAATATGTATGTATCTATTGATAATATTATTAAATAATCAATAATTAATTACTTTATTAATAATAAGATATGTAAAAAATTAAGAATAAGTAAATCTTACATTCAAAAAAATATCAAATTTGATTTACAAGTCTAAATAGATAAATAAATACTATTAATTAATTTTGACATGTATAATTATTACATTTAAATTAATTATCTTTCATAAATTGGGTATACCCATCTAACTATCTAATTAGAAATGAGTACCATTTATGAATGTATTTTCAATTATTGCTTAAAAGGCGCTACTGAATTCTGAAGGCTCACCATGCCTTCCAAGGCAATTTAATTTAGCTAAGTTTTTTAAATTTTCTTCTGGAATTTATTTTACCATATTTGTATTAAAAAAACCAGGACATATACAGACTACTCTTATACCATATTTTCCTAAATCTCTTGCCATTGGTATAGTCATAGAAAGAACAGCACCTTTTGAAGCACCATATATAGTACCCCTTTCTAATGCATTTACAGAGGCAATGCTCCCAACATTTATAATAGCATAATCTTTTCTCTCTTTATTTTGCTTTTGCTATTGAGCCATTTGAAGTGCTGCATATTTGCTAACATTAAACGTGCCAATAACATTTATGTTTAAGCACCTTTCAAGTGCTTTATTATTACAATCTCCGCTTGTGATACATCCTAAAGAACCAATACCTGCACTATTTAATACAGCATCTATATGCCCAAAAGTCATAACACAATCTTCAATAGCTTTCTTGATTCCTTCTTCATTGGTAACATCTAAGTTTCTGAAAACAACTTGACTACTAGAATACTGGCTAATAAGCTAAAGTTCAATATCATCTTTATCAGTAAGATAGCATTTACAACCCTTTTTTAATAAGTCTAAACCAACTTAAATTCCAAATCCGCTTGAAGCGCCAGTGATGAAAACTACTAAGTTTGAATCTATTTTCATCAAAATGCTTAATTATTTTGTGAGAATCTTATAATAAACTTGAAATAAATCCTAATTAATTATATTAGAAAATTTAATTAAATGCCAAATACATTATAAAAAACTATAAGTTTAATATCTCAAGAATACTAAATTAAAATAAATCCTCTTAATAATAAATAACAAATCTTATCAAATCAAGATAATTTCTTTTTATAAAATATATAATAAACAAACAAATATTTGCTTTCAAATGTCTTTTAAAGTTTATTTTTTTGAATTTTTTAAAGTTAAATTTGTTTGAATTTTTTAAAATTAATTTTGCAAGAAATGTTTTTTAAAAAGTGAAATTATTTAATTTACTTTTTAAAGTAAAAATAATAAAAAAATAAATTATATCTATTTAAGTATTTATTTAGGACTAAACCTCAATAAAATAATTAAATAATTATATAAATTACAAAATACTTTCAAGCAATGAGCATTTAAATTAAAAGTAATTAATTATTTTTAGAGTAAAAATTAACATTATTGTAATGATCTAAAGTAAGAAATTAATTTATGGACATTTGACTTTCATTTACAAATACTTAATTAATTTATTACACGATAAATTAGGTATGTAATACGTCATATGACGTAAGAACTGTATTTTAATAATTTATTTTCACAATAAAGGAACAGCAAATGAACTATCCATATAAAAATGGCTTCCATTTATGAATGTGCTTTCAACTATTCCTTAGAAGGCGTGGCTAAATTCGCATGGTTCACCATGTCTTCCTAATGCTGTCACCCTAGCCATAGCCTTGTAAAGCCTTTCAGGGACACTATATCCCATTCTTGTATTAAAGAAACCAGGACACATACATACAACTCTAATACCATATTTTCCTAAATCTCTAGCCATTGGAAGAGTCATACCCAGAACAGCACCCTTAGATGCTCCATATATACTCATACCTTGAGTGGCATTAGCCGAGGCAACGCTACCTACATTAACAATTACATAATCTTTTTTCTGATTGTTTTAATTTTGCTATTTAACCATCTACAGAGCTGCATATTTACATACATTAAAAGTTCCAACAACGTTAATATTTAAACAGAGATTTAGCATAGAAAAACTAAATTTTTCATCAATTATACTTTAATAAGGTGTTCCAATACCTGCACTATTTAGAACTGCATCTAAATGACCAAACTTCTAGACACAATCATCAATACAACTTTTGATACCTTACTCATCAGTAACATCTAAATTTCTAAAAGTAACTTGATCTTTAGGGTATTTTGCTAAAAACTCAGTATCGATATCATCTCTATCAGTTAAGTAGCATTTAGTTCCCTTTTCTAAAAGATCTTTGGCAACTTCGAAGCCAAAGCCGCTTGAGGCACCAGTTATAAAAACAACTAAATTTTAATCGATTTTCATATCAAAATTTCTTGTAAATTATTTTTAATGTATTTTTTAATTAGTATTAAGAATATGATTGAGAAATTGCTCCAACAAAAGTTTTAAAAAGATAGATATCTAATTAAGTTGAAATCTTGATCAAATTCTTTTTCAACGTCATTTATTTTTTAATTATCACAAACATTTGTTATTTATTTTTATTTTTTAAAATAATTATTCAAAACGTTTTTTTTGCAATATAAAAATAAATAAACAAAACTAAATATTTATCCATAATTAATTCTCAACAATTAATATAAAAATGGAGAGTGGTTTTATAAAATTATTACGAATTTAATTTTATGAAAAAATGTCAAAATTGAAAAAAACTTTCTATATTTTAATTAATTTTCGTAAGTCTTTTAAAAATAAATATAAAGAAAATAATTAAGATGTAGAATAAAAAGCGAGTTAAATTAATGTTAGAGATACATAAGTCATTATACTTCTGTAGACTTAAGATTATACAAAAATGAATATTTATCCTATAAATAACCTAATAATAGAGTATTTTGATATTTCAAATTCTTAAAATATTGGATTTATCATAAAAACTAATTAATCTATAATTTTTAATTCATTCTCAGTTTAAAAAATTGAATTAAACAATACTCATTTTAAATATTATTAATCATATGATAATGTTAATTTTTTAATGCAGGATAGATAGATAGATAGATAATATGAAGTAAGATTTAAATTAGAATATTAAAGAGAAAATGAATTTATATTTAATTAGGAAATTTATAAACTTTAACTTTATGAGAAAATTAACAAAAATAAATGGCTGATTTTTATATATTTCAAAAAAAAAATGAATTTATAGATAATAAATTATTGTAATTAACAAATAGTTAACAAAATAAAATTTTAAATAGATTTATTGGATAATACTCTCTCTCTAAAAATATTAGTTATCATGAATTAAACATATCTGAAAATTTCGATATTAATAGCATTTAAAGGTTCTTATTAAATTAATTTTAATATTTGATTAAAAAAGAAAAAATATTTTTCAAATAAAATCAATTAGTAAATAGCCAAAAAAATTAAATATTTAAGATTTGTAAAAAAAAAATATGTTTTTTACATCTATTAAGCTAGCTAATTTATAGTTTTTAATATCAAAAATAATTAGGTTTTATTTATTTATTAATTTAACTAACAAACAAATGAATTCTGTTAAAAATCTACTTTGACTGATAAATAAATATCTTTAACATAAAAATTTAATTAGTTCATCAAAAATGTGGTGAGGCATAACAACTATCTAAATAAAAATGAGTTCCAGTTAAAAATTAGCATTCCATAACTCCTTAAACAGCTTAACTAAATTCTTATGGTTCTCCATTTCTACCTAAACAATTCATTCTAGCCATAAAATCATAAAGCTACTTTGGAGTTGATTTCCCCATCTTTGTATTAAAGTATCCAGGGCTAATGCATACTACTCTAATTCCATATTTACCAAGATCTCTAGCCATAGGAAGAGTCATTGCTAAAATTGCTCCTTTTGTGGCTCCATATATACTTAGTCCACTTGGAGCTCCATTTGCTGCAGCACTGCTCACGTTAATTATTAAATAATCTTTGCTTTTTTAGTTTTCCTTCTACTATTTTACCATTTAGAGAGCTACATACTTACTTGTATTTAAACCTCCCACAACATTTATGTTAAAGATATTAGTAATTGTTTTAGTATTAAAGCTATCATCAGTGACAAATTGCATAGTAGCAATACCTGCACTATTCAATAAGGCATCAATATGACCAAAATATTTTACACATTCTTAAACAGCTTTCTTAATATCTTCTTCATTTGTAATATCTAAATTTCTAAATACTACCTTATCTGCTGAATATCTTTAAAGAAATTCATGATCAATTGAATCTCTGTCTGTTAAAAAACACTTAGCACCTCTATCTAACAAATCTTTAGCAGTTTAAAAGCCTAATCCACTGGCTGCCCCAGTTATAAAAACCACTAAATCCTAATCTATCTTCATTTATTTAATATCTTATATAAATATATATATATATATCTTTCTATCTTTTTACTATCAATATTAATTTTACTTATTAATTATTTATTTTGTGGTAAATTTTAATTAAATAACAAAGATATTAAATATCCTCAAAGTAAAGTTTTCTTTTATAAATAAATAAGTATAGATATCTATCATTTTTAAGCTTACATTAATCTTGATTTAATATTTCTTTTTTAGTCTTTAGAAATATTATCATGATAGAATTAATATGAAATTATAAATTTTGGATAATAGAAATCTGTTTTAATCATTTATTTAATATATTTAAATTAAGTTTATATTTTAAAATAAATAAATAAATAAATGCTTGTTATATAAACTTAAAGAATTCGCCAAAAATACTCTTTAAATAATACGATTACACAATATTAAGATTAAATTTTAGGAGTTATGTAGATTAAATAGTTATTCTAAAATTCTTAATTGAATAATCCAATAATTTATAAAGTAGATCATCCACGAATAAGCTTTCTGATATTTGAACTATATTTTGAAATTAAGTTTCTGAAATATATTATTGGTTGTAAATAATTAAGATTAATCAATAAATAGCTCATTATATGTGCTAATATATTTTTGAAAACTATAAACAAAAATTAAACTAAATAAAAATTTTAGTTAAATATAGTAATTAGATGAACCTTAAAATTATTAAATAGGATTTAATCCAAAACATTTTTGAAAAGCATTTATATAGATATAATTTAATAATTCTAAGAAAACATATGCTATATAAAATGTTTTATCATTCTTAAAATGCTTAAATCAGTAACGCAGATCCCAGAATATTTATGTAAATTTGATTTTTTATTTTCTGAATGTACTTTTTATTGAGATAAAACATAATATAGCATATGATCATGCCATAAATATAATCTGATAAAAATAAAGTAGAAAAATAAGAAATAATCCAGATATTTGCATCGTAGGGTTATTGATCAGATATGACTACTAGAATACTATAATAGCAGAACAACAAAAATAAACTTGTTGTGATTATTCCAAGTATTTAGAGTTTTTTGTATTTATACAAAATAGTAAGAACAATGGTAACTATTTATATTATTATTGTTGAAACAAGACTCAACACAAAAATTTAGAAAACTCTCAATTTCACTCCAAAAACTGAATTTATTGCTAAAAGCCATATTAATCTGTTATAATAAATAGTTGTTCTTAGCATTCTAGGTATTTTTTAATTGTAAATAATAAATATTTAGAAAAATAAATGGTATGCAAGTATTGCCTTTATTTTTTACTCCTTTTCTAGATATATTTCCAATTTTTCTTTTGCTATCTAAAATATGCGCTATTTAATTTCTGCTTATCTTTGCTTGTCTGACTTTTTCTATCCTTCTTTATTTGTGTTTGAAAGCTCTTATTTGGAATTTTGATTTTCTTAATAAGTTTAAATTTACATCTCTTAGTTTACTTAATTAATTTCAATATCAACTATATGAATTCCTTATTCTTGATCGCATTTTGCATTTTAATTTTGTTATATTTTCAAGTCTTAGCTTAAGTTTTCCTATTCGTTTTGACTTTCAAATTTACTATTATTTTTATCTTATGCTACAATCTATAAATTATTACATTCCCTTTAAATGTTATTTTCATTTTAAATTTAATTAAATATTTATGAAAAAACATGCTCAGTTTTATCACTTCGTTATGATGAGGATGATGATTAAAATCTATTTTAGCATTTGAATTATTTGAGCTATGGATGCTAAAAAACAAATAGATCTATTTTATTCATTTTCTTTTCAGGATTGGAAGCATCATTTTATTTATCCTTTTCATACTCATCTATTTCCTCAAAATCGCAAGAATTTTTAGATTTATTTAAGGATTCACAATCTAAATTGAAATTATCTCTGTTTTTATTGTTGAGAATTTATTCATTTATTTTAAATTTACTGCTTTGTTTATTTGGTTATTAAAATATATTTGAAGTTATCATTTCACTAGCTCTTAATTATTCATTTTATAAATTTTAAGAATTGGCGCTTTTTTAAATAATGTTTTTTTTTTTTTCTGAATTTTTATTTGTTTGATTCTCAAAAATTTAAATTGAGTTAATTTTTTTGCTTAAATCATTTGATCTAATACTCATATTTTTTATCTACATAAAAGTATTTTCCTTATTTTATTTTTTACTATCTGAGTTACTATTAATAGTGAGTTATTTTTTTAGATTTTAGCTTTGATCTTACTTGTCTTATTTATATGTGATTATTAATAGAATAACAAACAGAATGTTAAGTCCAATTATTGTCCAAATAGGTGCATACAAATACCAATTAGTTAAATGAAGTATTCTTTTCAATCCTGCACCATTGAATATGTCTTGAATATTTTTATTGTTAAAAAGCTCGGAAACATCTGCTATTAGGGATGTTATATCAGGAGTTTTACAGGAGCAAGCAACATATCTTTTTTAATTAGAGAATTTGATACTTGTTTAACAGCTATTTTATACCCATTTTCCACTTGAAGTTCTTTGTACACACTCTAATTTTTCATCTACTGTAGGAATTAACACTTAGAAAGGGCTTGGGAGATTTGCATCAGATAAAGATAATAATCTTCTCCTACTATCACTGCTTACTAATATTTGAGGTAAAATTACAGGATAGGTTTTTCTTATAGCAAAAATCATTTATGGTGATATTTAACTATAATACTTTTCATTAACATTGCTTAACTCATTTCTATATAAAGGGTGAGAAGCAGGCCATTCCTAAATTATGACATAATAGATTTAATCCAACTCTAAAGGACTAGGTTAAATTGTATAATCGTTGTAATACTTTGACATAAAAGTGATGTAGTCTAATTTATCGATAAAAAGAAAAGCTCCCTCTGTATTTATTTGAAGCGGCTATTAATTTGTTATCATAGTTTAAGCAATAACTTCCATAATATTGCTTGTTTATGAAATATAATTTTAACAATCGACTGCTTCCCACCTATTGATATTGTTAATATTAATCATGTAATCTTAAGCGATAGAAGATATAATTTCTTAATAATACTACCTCTATTAACTATCTAATCGAGTAGAGTTTATGCTCTTAAGAATATTTTAAATAGATTACACATTATTACTAGCTAATGCTTGTGAAGTATTAGAATCTATTTAAATTCTTGTTTATTAAATCCTAAGTCTAATTTATATTGAAAGCAAATATATTTCCTTATCTTAATTTTACCATGATAAGTCTGATAATTTCTCGATGATTTGATCTTTTATTTAATTTATTAGATATGATGAAATGTAGTCTGGATTTTTAGACTCATAATACTCTACAGCATTAGTGATGTTTTGATAATGAAAAATTTTATCAGAATTTGATTTTAATTATTAAGCAATGCCAAATTAATTTTTCAAATACTATTCATATAATATTTAGTCAAAATTATTATCTTAAATAGTAGTTTACAGTGTAAAATTAGCCCTTACATTATTTGGCCCAATTGTTACAACCATTAATATAATATTACCAGGAGGTAGATTTGTCTTAATCACCCTATTTTTAATAATTGGGCTTAACATTTTTCTGTTAACTATTTATCCAGAAGTTATTATCTCTTCAGTCTATTTTTCCAAGCTAGAGTAATAGAAAAACTAGTACTAAGTTCTTTATCCATTTAGGTTACAGCTATCAACTGATAAATATATCTCAGAAAATGAAAATTAAGAACCTATTAAAAATTACGAAAAAAAAACGGATGAAGAATAAAATAAAGAATTAGGTAAAAATAAAATTAATTAAAAAGAAATTAAGCATTTACTTAAGCTTAGCTAACATCCACTTGGAGGTTATCTTAACTCTATAAAATAAATAGCTGAAGATATATTAAAGCCTGTAGAATTATCTTGAACAGAAAAGCTAATACTAAATTGATTTAAAACATTCAAATCTAATTCAGGAAACATATCTTAAAAAATAAATGATAATTGGTTGGAATTAGATTGATATTACTTAATTATTTATGATTTTTAATGCTTAATATTTGCTAAATAAATGTATTAAGTATTCTATATCTTAGATTAAGATTTGTATTATAATGAGATTTGAATTATATCTTAGTAATTAACCTGTTAAATAAGACTCATATCCGTTTATACAACCAGCTAGTCAGTTATAGTAATAACTTTGACTTAAGCAATTTATTAAGTATTGGGCTTATTTAATCTATTTACAATCAAGTAGAAATTATATTGTTAGTTTTTATCAAGAATTTAAGGATCTATTTCTAGAGTTAAAGATTATTTATATTTAAATTTATTTTAATTGCGATCCGTGCATTCAGTTTACCCATCTTCTAATATACAAATCCACTTAACCTCAAATTTACTAATATCAGTAATATTACTATCATTATCAGTTACAATTCCTGTTATTTTCAAAGCCTGGTCTATATTGAAGTTCTAAATAATTTATTAATCAACGCTTAAGGTAAATGAACTTAAGAGCTAAACTATAAAATATTTAGAAGTAACCAATTTAAGATCTTTATAGGATGGCACATTATACATATATGATATCTATTTTAAATAAAAAGTAGGTAAATTTTTTATTTTTTTTTTAAAAAAAGGAAATAATAAAAGAATAAGGGTTAGTTTTTTTGTTATAAAAAAAAAATAAATTTAAATGAACACCATACCATGTACATTAGTTCAATCTCTTAATTAAATTATGAACCTTCTAACTCAATAGAACAATCAATATCTTAGTTTTGTTTGTTAGTACAATTTACATTCAAATTGTAATCGTTTTTGGATGAATTTTGTACTGCTTCAGATGAATATAGAGGGTATCGAAGTATAATTTAATTTAAATTTTATTAGTGTATACTAATTTAGTTTTAAAAAGAGAATAAAATATTTTATTTAAAATTATCTTTGAAATTAGATTAATAAAACCATTCATTTTATTAAATTAGTATTTTTTCTTCTTTCTAACTAGTAAATGTTATAGAAACTGAATCTTGTGTTTCAAAAGATAAATATTAGCAATTCACATAAAATGTTAGCTTAATGTTTTCTGACGGCTATTTTACTGAAAAGACCAATCCTTCTGCATCTGAACAGCTTAAAACGTCTACATAATATTTAGAATAGTTTTCTTAAGGTTAGCATTTTATTCCTTATTATTTATCTTTGTAAATGCTGAAAGGAAAGATGGTGTTAATAGGTATTTTTACTGTAGTTTAGGATGTTGAAACTGAAAAAGATCTACTTTAAAACTAACAAATTGGTGGTATGGCCCTTATTTACATATCTAAAGATTCTTAAGATGTTATAGCACTAACTCCTATTTTAAGAGGGGAGTAAAGAGGTATTCCAGTAAAAACTAAAATTTAACTTGAATCAATTTATGGAGGTTTTGCTAAATTATTTAAAACCATTTCTTCACCTATTAATAAATAAAATAGTAAAGCTAATCTAAATAATTAAAAAACTTACCCAGCTGTATGACGAATTAATATTACTAAGATTATCTAATATAACACCCAGAATGACTAGATCTAGTACCATATAATCCATAATTAATTTAGGTCTACTAAGCTAAAATAGAACAGTTGTCATAAGACAAGGCAAATCCATCATTTATTTAATTTAATGTAGTTTTTTTAACTCCAATAATTTAATTAAAAGTAATGACAATGCTTTTTAAGTCTTTTCCTAGCTGAGAAGAATAATAAAGCTCAGAATTATCGCAAGCTATAAAAAATTATTTAAAAAAAATTATATTTTTTACTTGAAAATTAATTGTTAAATTACTCCCATTGCATTCACACTCGCCTTATACAAATGAGTAGTTTTCATTACAATCTAAACAGTTATTAGAATTTAAACATTTTTTGCAGTTTATTGGACACTTTTATAAGTTATTACTTTTATCAAAATAATGGCCGTCAATACTCTTGCAATCTGGAAGTACTCTATTTAATTAGCATTAAACACAATACAAGCCAGAACTATTTTAAGCAATGCATTTTTCATTATCTTAAGATGTATTTGGATTATTTTATAGCTCTCTAATTGTTAGATTAGTTTAGTTATTTTCATCAATAATCTTATTATATTTAATATAATTTTAAGCATTAATTGTAACTAATAAGATTAAGAGAAATGTTATTTTATTTGAGCTCATTGAATTTTTTTTTTTTAATTATTTTTCAATTTTTATTTTTTATGAAATTAGTTTCTCTCTTTTTTTTGTATTTAATTTTGCTGATAATTTTATTATTTTTTTTAATAAAACATGATATTAGCTTAAAATACAGTAGATAAATATATAGATTAATAATTATTCTCTCAAATAACTATTACTAACTAATATAATTAAGACCCCTACAAGTAATATTAAAATGCTCTAAATTTAATTTATTTGATTATTAAAGGTTTTACCTGAAATTGGTTTCTTTATAATTTTAGTTCAGGAAAATGTATTAAACAGTTTTTAATTAAATGAATTTTAATAATTAACCAGTACTTACGTATTAAAGTTTTATTCAATACAAATAAATAAAGTCTAGCATTTAATTTGTTAAAAAAAATATGAATAAACAAATTACCACAAATTAAAATTTTAAATAAAAATAAAATAGAATTGTCTTCTAATTTGTTTTGATTGATTATGACAAAATTTACGTTATAATTTAACATTTTACTAAAATGTTATAAAGATAAATTGATGAATTTTGCTTTTAACTAATAATTAATTTACTGTATATTCCATCGAAATTATTTCCTTTTTAACAAAAAATGAATAGGTAATTGCTTTGACCATAAATAATTTTTAAAAGAAACAAAGCTAAATTAAATATATAACAAACAAACAAAAAATTACACTATATAATGAAAATTTATACTGTTCAATATTAAAAAGATTAAATTAGTAAAGCAGAACCAAGAATATTCAAGTATAGAGGGTCTTATATTTAATCTATATATTTTTTAGTTAAATAAAGCATTGCAAAACTTATAGCCAATCCAAATACATAATCAGATAAAAATAAAGTTGAAAAATAAGATAGAATCCAAATATTTGCATCATAAGACTACTATCCTGATATTACTACCAATATACTATAGTAGCAAAATATCAAAAATAGACTGGTTATTATTACTCCAAATATTTTTAATTTTTATCTGAAGTATAATAGCATAAGTATAGTGGTAACTATTTATATAATTACAGTTGAAACTATACTTAAAACTAGAACTTAAACTACGCTTAACTTGACTCCAAAAACAGAATTTATAGCTAAAAGCCAAATCAGTCTATTGTAGTATATTGTGAATCTTAGAACTCTAGATACTTTATTATTGTAAATTATGAATGTCTAAAAAAATATATGATAGGCAAGTGCTGCCCTAATTATTGTCTCTTTTTACAAATAGAGTTATAATTTCTCTTTTGCTTTTAAAAATAAGGTCAGTTCAATTTCTTTTTACCTTTTTTAGTCAATTTTTTTTTAATCATTTTAATTTAAATCACAAGCTTTTTAATCTTAAATTTCATTTTTATGCTATATTTTCATAGCTTCTTCATCGGTTTAATTATTATTTATAATCGGAATTTCTTATTTTAGTTACCAATTATTGAAATTTTAAGTTTAAGTTTTTAAAATATTTTCTTCTTAATTTGTAAATTAATCTAATTAAATCTAATCTGTTTTTAGTAAAAAATTATGATCTACTATATAGTTTGACTAAGGTGTTTACTAGAAATTATCGTAATCTTCTTGAGTAAATAATTTATTAACGTCTATTTACTAAGAAGTTTTTCCTTCAATTTAAGGAGTATTATTATTATTATTATTTTCATGATTTGAACTATTATTATTTTAATTAATTGATAGTGTTTTGTTATTTTCTATAGTAGGAGTTATGTTTTCCATATTAACTTAATTTTCAGGAGTAATTTGAAGTTATTATTAACTAATTTACTAATGATTTTGATATTTTTTATCAAGATTTGAAGATTATATTGAATAGTCTTACTTGAATTACTTTTTAGTATTGAACACAAAGTTTTAGATATCATTTTTCTAATAATTTTCTTTTTCATCAATCTTTTAAAAATCTGTAGAAATTTGAGATGAATTAATTTCCTGAAGATCTCTAAGTGACTTTTTTTCTTCTAATTATCCATTACTTTCATTTAAGTCAATTCTTATCATTTCTTATTATGTTTTTAACTTTGTTCCTTACTTAATTGTATTTTGAGTAACTATTTTATTATCTTATTGTGATTTTTCACCAAATTTTTTTTCTTTATCATTTTAATTTTATTCCTAGATTTATTATGATATATTTTTGTTACTTTCCTAATTTTAGGATACATTTTATTGAATTATTTAATCATTTAGATTTAATTTTTCACTCAAAACTTTAGTCTAATAATCGATATGGTATTCTGAATTACCATTTTAAACTTCCTCTCTTATATTTTATTAAATAATATTTAAACTTGTCAAATGCTCACTATTATAATTGATAATAGGTGTATTTTAAACTATTTAATTGTTAAAGTATACCTTGTCTCCTTTAGCAAATATGCTTTTTTTATTAAATTCCAAACTAACCTTATTAATATTATTGTTGTTATTATTATTATTATTATTATTAACCTCTTAATCTTCAAAATGTTCTTATGTTTTTTATGAATTGATTAGGCTGAGAACATTATTACTTAATTTATTTTATTGAGTTCGTAAATTTTTAATTTACATAAATAAGCTTTCTTAACCAATAGTTTAGGATTCTCCTTTTTTATAATCATAAAATAAGAATGCCTTTTTTAAATCTTTACGTTCGTCAAGCTTATCATATTTATATCCAATAATTAGGAGTGCAATAAAAAATATATTAAGCCCTATTATCGTCCAGATTGGTGCATATTCATACCAATTACTTAAATGGAATATTCTCCAAAAACCTTCTCCATTAAAGATGTCTTAAACATTTTGGTTATTAAAGAGGTCTGTAATATCTGTTATAATAGATGTAGGGTCAGGAGTTTTACAAGAGCAATTAACTATTCTTTACTAATTAATTATCTTGATTGAAGTTTTACAACTATTAGATACCCATTACCCATTTAAATTTCTCTAAATGCATTACAGTTTTTCATCTTAAGTTGGGAATTATAACTAAAAAGGCCCTGGTAAATTTGCATCTGCAGTAGAAAGTTATCTTCTTCTTTTATCGTCTTCTAGTATTTTAGGTATAATTATTGGATATGTTTTTTGAAGAAGACTTAATTATTATGGGGTAGATTTTGAATAATATTGCTCATTTATTTATTATAATTCATCCCTATATAAAGGATGAGTAGTTGGCCATGTCTAAATTAAAACATAATAACTTTAGCTATACTAAGATTGGTCAGGCTCAATTTTGCTATCGTCATAATACTTAGACAATAAAGTGATATAGTTTACCCTATCTACTAAAAGGGAATCTCCTTCAGTAATTACTTGAATTGGCTACTAATTCACAATCATTGTTTCTGCTATACCCTACATGATGTTGTTTGATTATTCGATAGCATTCTGGCAGTTATCAGGTGTCCAATTATTCAAGTTATTCATATCCTTCATATAATTCTAAATAATAGAAGATAATATTTCTTAATAATACTATCTTTGTTGATTATCTAATTGAGATTAATTAATTTTTTGTAAAATATTTTAAACTTGTTTTTCAATAGCATTTACAGACGCTAAAGAAGAACTCAAAGTTATTTTTATTTTTGATTATTTTATCCTAATATTAATTTAAGTTGAAAGCAAGTAAACTTAGTCATCTTCATTTTGCCAAGATGAGTCTATTAGCTATTGAATTATCTAATTTTTTAACTAGTTAATGCTATCTGAGGGAATATAGTTTAGATTTTAAGATTCATAGTATTCCACTGCATTAGTGATATATTAATATCCAAAAACTTAAATAGACTTTGTAGATTATTATTAAGTTTAAATGTATTGGTTTTATAGGTATTTCTCATATTCAGCTTAGCTCCAATTATTATCTTGAATTGTAGCTGTCTGTGTAAAATTAGATCTAAGGTTATTAGGTCCAATTGTAATAACCATAACTATAATATTTCCTGGAGGTAAATATGCAGTGATTTATGTATTTTACGAAATTAGGCTTAGCATTCTTCTGTTCACAATTATCCCTGAGGTTTATATTTCTTAGTCTTACTATTCCTTGCTAGAGTAATAGAAAAATTAATACTAAGTATCTTACCCATTCAAATTACAGCTATTTACAGATATAGTAATTATTTGAAAAGCAGCTTAAGGACCTTGATTAGAATAAAAAAATTAAATTAAAGTAAATCAATTCAATAAAAAATTTTGAAAATTACTTAAAGCTAGCTTACATCCTTAAGGAGGTTATCTTATTTGCATAACATATGTATTTGAAGAAAAAATTTAATCTAAAGTTTAATCATAAACTTAAAATTAAATTTAAAAATTGTTTTGAACAGTCATATCTAAATTTGGAAAGAGATCTTAAATAATGAATGATAATTTATTAGAAATCGATTCAATTGTTTTCTTTTTTTAAGTAAGAGAATTTAAAATAATTGCTTTGTAGGTTTATGACTGATTTGTTATGTATAAATTAGTTTCATATTTTAGTTCAATGAAAATAATATCTTAATAGTTAATTTATTATAAGGAATTCATATCAGTAACTATAGTGAGCTAAGTTTATCCAGTATCTAGCTTTGTTACAGCAATTTGCTATGCATTTGGATTAGTATTTCTTTTGGCTAGTATGAATATAGTAAATTTTCCATTCAAATTAAATGTTTTAGGATTTACTTGTAGAGTTAAAGAGGATCCCAAAACGATAATATTTTAATTGCGATCTTTGCATTCTGTTTGAGTGTCTTCCGAAATACAATACCATTATAATTAAAACTAACTAATATCTAGGATTGTGACATCGTTATCAACCAAGTTAGCTTTAATCGTTAAGCCTTTATTTGGAAAGAAATTCGAGATAACTTTCTAATCCACATCTAAACTAAACGAGCTCAAATATTAAACTGCAAGTTATAATGTAGATACTGTATTTTATGCAGATGCTATAAGCTATTTTTTAAATATTAAAATCATTTTAGTTTAGCATTTTATCTTCTTAAATTTGAATAAAGAATAAAGTTTTAACTGAATAAAAAATAAATACCTAAATAAAGATAATTTATTCTGTCATGACACTAGAACCTATAATTTAAAGTTTAGAATTATAACGGTCTTATAATAGCTAAGAAGACACAGAAAAAGTTGTAGCAGGATATATAATATAGCTAAATTAAATTTATTTTAAGACAGTATCTGATAAAAATGAGACATTAGTTTCAAAGCTATCTTTAAAGTTAGATGTAAAAAATAAATCATTATACTCGATTCTGATATTTTATGAATTTTAACTTGTAAAAACTATTTCGACTATGTCTTTAGTATTATATCCTAAAAAGGAGCACTCAACACTTACCTAAAGTACAGATTTATCTATAAATTATTAAGTTGTCATTTGTAATCCATTTTATGATGAGCAAGGATCAAAAGTTATCTAAGGTACAGAGGAATTTACTATTTCGCACTTTATATTTCCGCTGCTAGCTTAAAAAATGCTAGAAAGATTATTTATTGTGTTAATCTATATCTTTAAATTACTTTCAGATAGTGAAGCAAAAACTTTTGATTATTCAAAATAGCATATTTTAGATATATAACCTAGTTATGATCCTATAAATGTTTCTGTGGTTGTTGCAACACTTCCTTATTATAAAGATTTATAAAGCGGAATTCCATTAAATACTAAAATCTAAGTAGAATCTATAATAGGAGCTTTTAAAATATTAGTTTAATCTAATTTCTAGGCTATATTTAAAAAGGGATGTTATACAAAAATAAATGAAATAGTGAATTAAAAGATTGCTATGAAAAGAAAATTAATTTACTAAGCATTATAATAAACTGATTTTGCTAGGATTACCGAATGTAGCAGCCACCATATTTTAAATCACTTGCATCAAAAACTCCATAAATTTATTAAGTATCTTTAATAAGAATAGAGCAGTTGTCATAAGATAAACTAAATGCACTGTTAATATCTTGAGAAGTTGTTTTTTAAATACCAATTATTTGATTAAAGGTTATGACTATGCTCTATAAACCTGATCCAACGCGAGTTGTATAATAGAGGACAGTATTATCACAATCTTATTAAATATATTTGCATTAGTATTAATAAATGAATTCATAATTTACTTCCATTGCAAACGCATAAACCATTATCTACCTAATAGTGTTCATTACAAATTTGGCATTGTTATTGATAACAGTTCTTACAGTTTTAACCACATTTTTTACAGCTTTAAAAGGAATCTTGATAAAAACCATCTGCACAATAACAGAATGGTAGAACTGTATTATCCATACATTATAAACAAAAGTTATTACTGCACTATAAACACGAAGGAGAGCATGATTATAGTAGTCTCTCTTTCTTTATAAATACTTGATCCTGTTCTTCAATTCTCTCTTTGATTAAATTTTATTCTTATTTGGCAAAAGAACAAAGAATAACTCCTAGAAGTATGAAAAAAACTATGTTTTTAATTTTGTTCATAAATTTAAGTAAAGCTTATACTTTTTTGATATTTTAATTAATTTAATTTTTGTAATATAGCTATTCGCAAATATTATTTAATCTAAGGTGCAAAAAATTTGATTTTTCAATTAATTTCAATCTAATAGGCTTGTATCTTAGTTAATTACATTATTAAGTTAAAAAAGTATATTAGCTACTAAAGTAGTGTAATCTCAGTTTAAAATAAGTATCTATAACAGCACTCAGAAGGAACAACTATTTTGTTGTTAAAAGAAAATAAAAAACTAATTTAAATAGTTATAAAAGTAGCAAATTTAAATAAATATACATTTAAAAGCTTTTAGAGCTTTGGATCAGCCATAAATTTTAAAAGTTCTTGTATATTTGACTTTTTATAATCTTCTTGTTAAAGGATTTTGAGTTAACTATAATATCCTATTTACTAGCTGGGATTTACCATTAAAACATTCAAATATTTCGCAAATATTCAATAAAAACAAATATAATTGGTTTTATTAAATAAGAAAAAAACATAAATTTTTACAAAAAAATAAGAAAAATATTTATTTTTCAATTCAATTAATTTATTTCCATAAACTGATTCAAAAATATATTAGCGACTCTCACCTAATTTTAATTTTTTCTTTACGCTGCTCGCGATTTGATTTTTAATTTAAAGTAAACAAAATTTAGTATTTTTAGTTTATAAATAATCTTAGTTAATAGACCCCAAAAGTGTATCTATAATTGATATTATAATAAATAATATTTACTTGATTATTATATTTTAAGTTTAGATTAGAGAATACTATTTACAAATTAAATTAAAAAGTTATTATTAATATTTACAATATAACTCATTATAAATGCTCTAATTTATAGCTTTTATTAATTTAAAATACAAACAAATAACTTGATTTGAAAATTATTATTCCCAAAAGAAAATAAGCTAAATTAAGTATAAAACAAACAAATAATTACAGTAAATAATGAATATTTTTTATAAAATTCACTATTAAAAAGCTTAGATTAGTAAAGCAGAACCTAGAATATTCAAGTATAGAGGGTCTTATATTTTTTCTATATATTTTCTACTTAAATAAAAAAAGGCAAAACTTATAGCCAATCCGAAGATATAATCAGATAAAATCAAAGTTGAAAAATAAGAGAGAATCCACATATTTGCATCATAAGGCTACTATCCTGAAATTACTACCAGTATACTATAGTAGCAAAATAGCAAAAATATGCTGGTTATTATTACTCCAAATACTTTTAATTTTTATCTGAAGTATAATAGCATAAGTAAAGTGGTAACTACTTATATAATTACTGTTGAAACTATACTTAAAACTAGAACTTAAACTACACTTAACTTAACTCCAAAAACCGAATTTATTGTTAAAAGCCAAATCAGTCTATTATAATATATAGTGAATCTTAGAACTCTAGATACTTTATTATCATATATTATGAATGTCTAAAAAAACATATGATAGGCAAGTGTTGCCCTAGTTATTGTCTCTTTTTATAAATAGAGTTATAATTTCTCTTTTGCATTTAAAAATAAACTCCGTTCAATTTCTTTTTACCTTTTTTTGTCAAGCTTTTTTTATTCATTTATATCCAAATCACAAGCTTTTTAATCTGAACTTTCATTTTTATGATCTATTTTCATAGCTTCTTCATCGTTTTAATTATTATTAATTATTGGAGTCTCTTATTTTAATTACTAAATATTTGAATTTTAAATTTATAAAATATTTTCTTCTTATTTCGTAAATTATTCTAATTGAATCTAATCAGTATTAAGTAAAAAATTTTTCTCAGCTTTACTGTTTGGTTAAGGTGTTTGCTAGAAATTATCGCAATCGTCTTCTTCTTAAATAAATAATTTTTTAATGTCTATGTGTTATATTTACTAGACTTGTGATTCCAACTATGGAGTTTTTCCATCAATTTAAGGAGTATTATTATTTTCAATATCTGAGCTATCATTACTTTACTTGATATTAATACTTGGTCTTTTATTATTTTCAATATCTGGAGTGACATTTTCCAAATTAATTTAATTTTAAGGTGTGATTTGAATTTATTATAAACCAGATTACTGTTGATCTTGAGATTTTTAATCAAGATTTGAAGAATATATTGAATAATCTTGCTCTTCGTAAATAAGGAATTCATCTTTTTTGAATTATTTTTTGATATCGAATTAAAAGTTTTCAATAGCATTTTACTAATAATTTTCTCTTTCATCGATTTTTTAAAAATCAGAAGAAATGTGAGATAAATTTTTAATTTCCTTAAGATCATTATGTGAATGTTTTTATTATTCCTATTCTTTGTTTTCATTCAAATCTATATTTATAATTTAATATTAGTTACTTGATTTGATTTCTTAATTAATTCTATTTTGATTATTATTTTCAATATCCTAAAGAGATTTTTCACCAAATGCTTTTTATTTATCATTTTAATTTTATTCTTAGCCTTACTATGATAAGCTTTTGTTAAATTTCAAAGTTTAGGATTCATTTTCTATAATTATTTAATTATTCTAAGTTGATTTTTCATTCGAAACTTTGTTTTAATTATCAATAAGTTATTCTTAATAATCATTTTAACCTTCTTGTCTTATATTTTATTAAATCAAATTTACGCTTGTCAAATTTTCACTATTATAACTGTTAATAGGTGTTTTTTGGGCTATTTAATTGTTAGAGTGTACCTTTTCTCCTTCAGCAATTATGCTTTTTTTATTAAATTCCAAACTAATTTTATTAATATTGTTTTTGTTATTGTTAATATTATTAATAGCATCTTAATCTTCAAATTATTCTTGTGTTTTTTATGTATTTAGTCGGCTGATAGGATTGTTACTTAATTTATTTTATGTAGTTCGTTAATTCTTAATTTACATAAATAGGTTTTCTTAACCTACAGTTTATGATTATCCTATTTTAGAATCATAAAATAAGAATGCTTTTTTTAAATATTTGGCTTTGTCAAGTTTATCATATTTGTATCCAATAACTAGGAGTGCAATAAAAAATATATTAAGTGCAATTATTGTCCAGATTGGTGCATATTCATACCAATTATTTAAATGGAATATTCTCCAAAAACCTTCTCCATTAAAGATGTCTTAAATATTTTGGTTTTCAAAAAGCTCAGAAATATCTGTTAGTATAGATGTTGGGTCAGGAGTTTAACATGAGCAATTAACAACTCTTTTCTGCTTAATAAACTTGATGGTAGTTTTACAACTACTAGATACCCATTTCCCATTTAAATTTCTCTAAATACATTATAGCTTTTCATCTTAAGTTGGGAATTATAACTAAAAAGGCCCAGGCAAATTCGCATTTGCAGTAGAGAGTTACCTTCTTCTTTTATCATCTTCTAGAATTTTAGGTATCATAATTGGGTATGTTTTTTGAAGAAGACTTAATTATTATGGGGTAGATTTTGAATAATATTGCTCATTTATTTATTTTAATTCATCCCTATATAAAGGATGAGTAGTTGGCCATGTCTAAATTAAAACAAAGTAACTTTAGCTATACTAAGACTGGCCAGGCTCAATTTTTATATCGTCGTAATACTTAGACAATAAAGTTATATAGTCTACCTTGTCAACTAAAAGGGAGACATCTTCAGCAATTACTTGAATTGGCTACTAATTAACAATCATTGTTTAAGCTATACCTTACATTATATTGTTTGATTACTAAATAGCATTCTGGCAGTTACCTGTTGTCCAATTATTCAAGTTATTCATGTTCTTCATATAATTCTAAGTAACTGAAGATAATATTTCTTAATAATACTATCTTTGTTGATTATTTAACTGAGATTAATTAATTTTTTGTAAAATATTTTAAACTTCTTTCTCATTAGCATTTACAAATGCTTATGAAGAACTTGAAGATATTTTTATTTTTGATTATTTTATCCTAATATTAATTTAAGTTGAAAGCAAGTAAACTTAGTCATCTTCATTTTGCCAAGATGAATCTATTAGTTATTGAGTTATCTAGTTTTTTAACTAATTAGTGCTATCTGAAGGAATGTAGTTTGAATTTTTAGACTCATAATACTCCACTGCATTTGCGATATATTAATATCCAAAAACTTAAATAGATTTTGTTGATTATTATTAAATTGAATCATATTGGTTTTATATGTATTTCTCATACTCAACTTAGCTCCAATTATTGTCTTGAATTGTAGCTGCTTGTGTAAAATTAGATCTAAGGTTATTAGGTCCTACTGTGACTACCATAACTATGATATTTCCAGGTGGTAAATGTGCCGTGACTTATGTGTTTTATGAAATTATGCTTAGCATTCTTCTGTTAACAATTATTCCTGAGGTTTTTATTTCTTAGTCTTATTATTCCTAGCTAGAGTAAAAGAAAAATTAATATTGAGTATCTTGCCCATTTAAATTGCAGCTGTTTACAGATATAGTAATTGTTTGAAATACAGCTAAGGAACCTTTATTAAAAAAATTAAATTAAAAAAATGAGTTTTATTTCGTATTTTTAAAATTTACTTAAAGCTAGCTTACATCCTTAAGGAGGTTATCTAATTTGCATAGCATATGTATTTGAAGAAAGAGTATCATCTATGGTTAAGTCATAAACTTAAAACTAAATTGAAAAATTATTTTGAGCTATCACATCTAAATTTGGAAAGAGATCTTAAATAATGAAAGATAGCTTATTAGAAATTGACTCATACGTTTTCTATGCTTAAGTTAGAGAATTTAAAATATTAGCTTTGTAGGTGCATGTCTGATTTGTTGTGTATAAATTGGTTTCATATTTTAGTTCAATGAAAACAATATCTTAATAGTTAATCAATTATAAGGAATTCATATCAGTTACTGTATTGAACTAAGTTTATCCTGTGTCTAGCTTTGTGACTGCAATTTGCTATGTATTCGGATTATTATTTCTTCTCGCTAGTATGAAAAGAGTAAATTTTCCATTTAAATTAAATGTTTTAGGACTTATTTGTGCAGTTAAAGATGATTATATTGAGATAACATTTTAATTACGATCCTTGCATTATGTTTGAGTATCTTCAGAAATACAATACCATTATAATTAAAACTAACTAATATCTTGGGTTGTGACATCGTTATCAATCAAGCTAGCTTTAATCGTTAAGCTTTTACTTGGAAAGAAATTAGAGATAACTTTTTAATCCACATCTAAACTAAACGAGCTCAAATATGAAACAGCAAGTTATAATGTAGATACTGTATTTTATGTAGATGCAATAATCTATTTTTTAAATATTAAAATTATTTTAGTTTAACACTTTATTTGTTTAAAAAATAAAATATCAAACTGTAGAAAAAATACCGAAATAAATATGTATTATTCTGTGATGATATTAGAACCTGGAATTTAAAAAGTACAATTATAACTGTCTTATAATAACTAATAGGATGCAGCAAAATTTGAAGGTGGATATATATTTTAGCTAATTTAAATTTAGTCTAAGACAGTATCTGAAAAAAATGAGACTTTAGTTTCAAAATTGTCTTTAAAAGAAGATGTATAAAATAAATCTTGATACTCAATTCTAACATTTTATGAATTTTAACTTGTAAAAACTATATCGACTATGTCTTTAGCTTTTTATCCTAAAAAAGAGCACTCAACACTTACCTAAAGCGTAGATTAATCTACAAATTTTTAAGTTGAAATTAGTAATCCATTTTATGCTGAGCAAGGATCAAAGGTTATGGAAGGTACTGAGGAATTTACTATTTCGCACTTTATATTTCCGCTGCCAGCCTAAAAAATGTCATACATATTTTATATCGCAGTAATTTATATAGATAAATTTTATTCTGTTAGTGAAGCAAAAATTTTTGATTATTAAAAATAACATATTTTAGGTATATAAGCTAGTTATGATCCTATCTAAGTTTCTGTGGTTGTTGCAGTAACTCCTTATTATAGAGGTTTATAAATCGGAATTCCATTAAATATCAAAATCTAAGTAGAATCTATTTTCGGGGCTTTTAATAAATTACTTTAATCTAGTTTGGAAGCTTTATTTAAAAAGGAATATAATTATTAAATAAGTTAAATAGTGAATTAAAAGATTTCTATGAAAATAAAATTAATTTACTAAGCATTATGATAAACTAATTTTGCTAGGATTATCGAATGTAGCAGCCACCATATTGTAAATCACCTGCATCAAAAACACCATAGATTTATTAGGTGTCTTTAGTAAGAATAGAGCAATTGTCATAAGATAAAGTAAATGCACTATTAATATCTTTAGAAGTTGTTTTTTAAATTCCAATTATCTGATTAAAGGTAATAACTATGCTTTATAAATCTTGTCCAACTTGAGTTGTATAATACAGTACAGTATTATCGCAATCTTATTAAATATTTTTATATTAGTATTAATAAATAAATAAATAATTTACTTCCATCACAAACGCATAAACCACCAACTACCTTATAGTGCTCATTACAGATTTAGCATTGTTATTAATGGAGACAAGTCTTACAGTTTTCACCACATTTTTGACAATTTAAAGAGGTATCTAGAAAGAAGCCTTCTCTACAATTACAATCAGGAAGAACTCTATCAACTGCACACTATAAACAATAACTATTGTTGCATAAAATACAATTACTAAAGCATTGTTATAGTTGTCTATCTTTCTTCATTATCATAAATTGGTCTTGTTCTTTGGCTCTCTCTTTGATTAAACTTTATTCTTATTTGGCAAAGGAATAAACAACCACTCCTAGAAATATGAAGAAAACTTTTTTTTTAATTTCGTTCATCAATTTAAGTAAAGCTTATAATTTTTTGATATTTTAGTTAATTTAATTATTATAATATAGCTAATTCCAAATCTTTTTTAATCTGAGATCTTTAGAAATTAGATTTATAAATTAGCTTTCATTCTAATAAGTTTATTTCTTTGTTAACTGTATTATCAAATTTAAAAAACCAAATTAGCTACTAAAATAGTGTAATCTCAAAAAAAAAAATTTATTTTTTAATTGCAAGAGAAGTAAATTAAATTATATAAATATCTATTCAGTTTGCAATAGGAATTTATAATAGCTCTTAACAGTAGCAACTATCTTGTAATAAAAAAAAACATATAAAAATAGATTTAAATATTATGAAAATAGCCAATTTAAAATTACAAAATGTTTTAAAAGCTTTTAGAGCTAGGGATAAGTCATAAATTTGATGAATTCTTGTATGTTTTACTTTTTATAATCTTATTGGTAAAATATTTGGAATTAATTATAATACTTGATTTACTAGCTGGGATTTACCATAAAAAATTTCAAATATTTCGCATTGATTCATTAAAAAGAAATTTAATTGGTTTTATTAAAAAAGAAAGCAAAATAACAAAAAAATAAGAAAAATATCTGTTTTTCAATTTAATTAATTTGTTTCTATAAACTAATTCAAAGATATAATAGCTACTCTCCCCTAATTTAAATCTATCCGCTGCTCGCGAATTGTTTTTTAATTTATAATTAACAGAATTTTACATTTAGAGTTTACAAATAATCTTAATTAATATGCTTTTAAGGCATATGTATTAGTGAATTGATTAAATTGAATTTTTATATACACAAGGGAAAATATTTTATAAAACTAAAAGTTAAAATAAATAAGTAAGTAATAGTTGATTATTAAAATAAATAAGTATTTACTTCGTTATTATATTTTAAGATTAGGTAAGAGAATACTATATACAAATTAAATTAAAAATTAATTACAAATATTTAGCTAATAACGCATTATTAATGCAATAAATTAGAACTTTTATTAATTTAAAATACCAAGCAAATAGCGTGATTTTTCGGTTAAAGAACTTAATTAAATTTTTAGAAAATTCAAATAAGTAAATAAATATTATAAAATTCAAATATTTTCTAATAAATTCAAATTGAAATGGTTGTTAAGCTTTGAAAGCTCAAATATTTTTTAGGCTTCAAAAACTATTTTTTAGGGATTAATAAATTTAATTGAAGAAATTTCGTCTTGATTAAAAATTCCTTTGTACTTACTATCAATTCTCCCTTTTTATTCTAGTTGATATATTGTATTTATAAGTCTTGTTGTTCTCGGATATAATTGCCAATATTCTTTCATAAATAATTAAGTAGAGTCTTTTTTAAAAAGACGTTGTTTATCCTTTTCTACAATAACATATTAGATTGATCTACAAGCAGCATATACTTCAGCATATCGAATTTCTTCCCAATTTAGCTTTTCTTGGTAGTTTTAGTCATTTACAAATTTACTCCACAGTTTGTTACTCACAAAAGCTGGAGTGTAATAAGTCCAATAATCTTCAATTTCTATGGAAGCGCCACCATAATCTATTAAAAGAAGTTAGATTTAAGCATTTTAAAGATCATTTTCCTTTTTAACAGTCAGGATTATATTTTATGGCTTAATATCGCTATGGAATATAGGTTTATGTTCTCCGCTATTTGGATCTTTAAAGCTAAGAAAGGATTCTATAGCATTTATGATATTTAAAAGTACTTGATAAGTAAATTCATCACTAAGTCTGTAATTATTTTTTATACTATCTTATTTTAAATTGAATAAATTGCACAAGCCATACTCCATAAATAAAATCTATTAATCTATATCTTAACCGAATAGCGAAGGCATGTATTAGCTCTGAAATGTTTACATAATGAAAAGCTCACGAACAAACTCATCTTATTTTTTAATTTTTTTACCAGCAGCTGGCAAAATATTTATTGCTTCTCTTTTTTAAGAGCTAATCATAAAATTAATTTTTTCTCTATGATTTGAAGAAAGAAAAATTCCTTGACTGTTTAGCTGCGATGCACTTTCTAAAGTTGAAAAATTATTACTGCTACTTCTGATTGATTAATCAGATAATTACTTTTGGCTTAAGAAAATATCAGTTTTTTGTTATGAGGAACTTAGTGGCAAAATATCATCAAATTCCATTTCATTGCTTATTTAAATTCCTTATTACTATGTATCGTTAGATGTTTCAGATGTAATTTAATACTTTGGTGAATTAAATGGTTATTCAATAGGTGTTATTTCCTATAAATTTAAATTACTTTAATTAAAAAAGTATAAATCTACTTTTCCAAAACTCCCATTATCAATGTTGCTATGAAAGTAAAATTAAATGTTTGGAGTTTACCCATTTTGATATAAATTAGCTATTTTTTTTTTAAATAGGGTCATTTATAATGCAAAGTTATCAACTGATGGAAAAATATTTCCAAATTGATTTATTTTTGTTTTTAATTCCATACCTGAGTCATTAATAGTATAATTCTCATCTTGATATATTGGATTACTAGTAATATCAGTATTTTATAAATGTTTACTCACTAATCTTTATTGAGGAATTTCAGACTCTTCGAATTCAGGGATTAAACTTAAAGGACCATTTAATTTCATTTTAGTGTTTTGCTTATTTTATATTTAAATTTATTTCTATCTCTGTATTATATCATTCATTTAATTTCCCTTTTTAACTTTAAAAAATTAATTAAAATAAATAAATAAATAAAATATAAATCAACTGTCGCTAATCAACAAATTAATTAAATACTTGTTTTTGAAAAGCTTTTTATTTTTGAGGTCCATTTAAATGATTAAGCTTAAAAGCAATGAGAAGTTCTCAAAGACTCTCCTTAAATATCCATCATAGTTCTCAAGACTTTTTAACCCGTTAACGTGTCTCTTATTTTAAATTCTATTTACGAAGGCATTTATATTTCTTTAGCAGTTATTTCAAATGGATTAGCATTTATTTATGGAGGACTTTGTATTTATAATATTTGGCCTTCTTATGCAGGATGAGTTTCAGATTTTTTAGTTTTTTCTTTTTTCTTCTTTTTTTCACCTAAGCGAGATCTCTCTCTTACCCTACTTTTATCTCTTTAATCTACCAATAAGTTTCTATCAAAATTTAAGCTATTATTAACATCAATAAATTAATTTTAATTTTTACTAGGTAAATTAATATTGAGATCGAAGTTTAAATTATCATCAGATTGTATTTCATTTGTCTCTAAGCCTCTGTATTAAATTGGTGGTTAAATATCAAGATCTAATTTTGATTTAGTTTGTTTATTTAATAGTGGGCTTTAAATTATTATTTAACTCTTCGATTGATTTTACAGTAGCTTCTCCTTTAATGAATATTATTACAAAGTACCAAATTTTTGATCATCTTATTCTGATAAATCTTGTTCTTCTTCATCAAAGCTTTATGCTGAAGAAACATTTTTATTTTTTTTAAATATTGGATGTTAAGATAAATAGCCTTCTCTTGTTAATTACTAAAAGCCACCTTCTTTCACTTTATCTTGGTTAAAGACTCCTTACTAATATCTTCTTTAAACACCACCTATAGCAGGAAGTTTATTTTCATTTTATTGATCTAAAGAAGAAACCTTAGGCTTATCATAAAATTAAACGTTCTAAGATTATAAATTATTAAATATATTTTATGATTGGTTTTAATTATTAAATCCAAAACCTAACAAATTATTATTATTATTACTATTATTATTTCCAAAACCAAACAAATTATTGTTATTATTAATATTATTATTGGTATTAATAATTGGAAGTTAAGGTGGTGAAGGAATGTTTTACTATTACTATTAAAATTAAGGAGGAGCATATATTTGATATTAATTCTAATTTTAATTTTAAGAATTGTTGAGAAAATTAGAATTATTTTATGGAATATTTTATTAAAGGTTAAGACTAGGAGGAGTAGGAATTTAATTCATATTAAAATTAGGCATAAGAAATGCACTAGGAGGAGCAGGTACTTAGTTAGCATTAAAAAAATATGGGGCAGTAATTAAATTTGTTTATTCTTATTTATTTTTCTATTAATTTTATTTAAATTACTATTAAGGCTATTATTATGGTTGTTAAAATTATTATTATTACTATTGCTAATTCTGCAAATATTAATTCTAACCTTATTATTAAACATATTATGGTTGGATATAGTTGAAATTGTTAGATTATATTGGAGGCATTTTTTGCATCTAGCTTTTTTGATTACTTGGTGCGTGGCTTGACGAGTAATAATCTTGAGCAAGTTTCTGCATTTAGAAACCCCTCTTTTACTGCATTTATTACTATTTTTACTTATCAAATAATATTGAGTCATCTTCATTAAAAATCTCTTCATATCCTTGCTGTTGTTCATTTTAATTTCTAAAATTTCTTCCAATCACTTGCAATCCTTCTTATTAACCATTATTTTAACTCAGTGTGTCAATATTCTATTGCTGTCTACTATTTTAAGATTAATTTTGCTACATTTTTACTGCTTGTAAAATTCTATCTGAAATGATATGCTTTTTTTATTTGATAGATAACCTAATTATTAATCTTAAATTATCGATTAATAGTTTTTATTAAAAAAATTATTAGAATTTCGTAATTAATTAAATTAATTATAAAAGTTGGTGATGCAAATCAATTTTATAAGATTGAGATACATATATTTTAAGTAGAGACAAAAGCTCGATCATAATTTAGCTTTATTTAGTGAATTTCTGATTATTACCAAACTTTAATATGTCATTTCTCAATTTAAAATTTGTTTTTATTTAAAAATATTTTAATTTTCTAAAAATAAAAAAATTCATTTTTAATTAACATTAAAATTTTTTTAATTAAATTTACTTAATAAATTTATCATTTATTTATACATAAATATTTTACTAGACATAAAAATTATATTTTAGTTAAGAAAAACTATATTTTTTGGTATTTGAAAGTTTTCCAAAATGAAATAAAACTTTTGATGAAAAAATCTATCTCTTAGACACTCACTAAAAATTATAAAGCACAAACTACTTTATTAGATATTTAAAAAAATAATTTATTATTTTAAATTTAATTGGTTCAAATAATATTGGAGCAAACATAAAATTCTAAAAACTATTTTGAAATTTATTTGGTGTTTAATGCATATGTTTTAATATAATTTTCTATAACAACCTTTGTAATATGATAGGATTTATTTACATCGATAATAAATAATAAAATAATACAATAATATAAATTTAATAAATATTTATTTACAAATCAGTATTAACAAAATTGGTTAGTTATTATTTTTTTTAAGAATATTTATTTTAGATTTTTAAATATTTAAAATTGGTTGAATATATATGTGATTTTTTGAGATCAAATATTTTAAATTACTTAGTAAAATTTTGAAATTTCAAATATTTTTTCTTGGTTAAAATCTATTCTTTAGTTAATAGAATAAAAATCTTAGTTATTAAATACATTTTTATAGTCGCTGAATATTTTGTAGTCTTAAATGCTTTAGTAAACTTTTTCAAGTATTTTGCAAGTTTTTGGATAGCTTACTTCATACTATCTGATAAATATTTAGCAATTTTCTTTTTTAAATAAATCTTTATGTCTTTCCTCTAACATAAGATATTAGACAGTCCTGCACGCTGCATAAACTTCTGCATATCTAACTTCTGGCCAAGTTAGGAAGTCTTATTTGAACTTGGAATTTACTAATCTCTCCCATAAGTATGGACTAACAAAAGCTGGAGTGTAATAAGACCAGTAGTCTTCCAATTCAAAGGATGCTCCACCAAAATCAATCAGCATTAATTTAATTTCTGATTAGTTTGTTTACTTATTTTTTTTTATAGTTAAAACTATGTTTTAAGGTTTTATGTCGCTGTGAAAGAGTGGCTGTGATTTCTATTTACTATCATTGTAGTTTGAAAGCATGGATTCTATAGCTTAAATTATATTAACTAAAATGGAAAATGTGAAGTGATCATCAAGCTTGTACCCTCTTTTTAATGAATCCTATTTGAGATCATATAAACTGCATAATCCTAGTTCTATGTACAGTATTCTTTGATCTATGTCTTAGCCAATTAATTTAGGCATCATATCAAATTAAACAGTTTGCATTATATACAGTTCACGTACAAACTCATTAAAATTCTTTATCATTTTTCCAGCAACAGGTAAAATTAGTTATTCTTATTAATAATTATATTATTTATTTATTGAAAGTTGTTTAGCTTTCGCTCTTATTTTATTCATTATTGGAGTATTTTAAATATCACTATTAATTGAAGTATCAACTAGCTTTGAATTTTGCAATCTATTTCCATTTGAGTCTTCCTTTGTTGATTCGTGCGATCTTTATTATTTTAGTTAAATTGTATTCTAATTTAATTCTAATTACTTCACTTGTCTTTCAAAATCTCCAATTTCGTTTTCTGTTGACTAAAAATAAGTAGAAGATTTCTTATAATATGCATCTTTTTGTTCTATGTTCCTATGAGAACCTCCATTTTACTTTTCATTCTTCTGAATTTCTTATTTAGACGGGATTTTATTTTCAAATTCTAGTAGGTATAAGTCTACCTAACCAAAACTCCCTGAATCTAACTTGCAATAATACTAAAAATTTTAATCACTGCTATTACTATCTATTATGCTTTTTTATTATACAGAGTAGATATTACTCAAGTCACTGAAGGTTTCAGCTGATTGTAGCAGCTATAAATTTTAAGAAATATTTTGCTATTCTATGTTTATTTCCAAGCTTGTTGATTTGGTGTAATTTTGTGCTTTGCTGTTAGTATTATTTTGAATTTAATTATTGCTATCTTGTTGAATTTTGTTTTTAGAATTTTGATAAAAATTTTAAAGTGCTCCCTTTCTCACTATTTGTATTATAGTAATAATAAGCTTATTTATAGAAATGTAAATGTAAGTAATTATTTACAAGTTGAAGTAAATTATTAAAGCTTCTAGCTCCATTTAAAAGAGTTCTGTGTTATGTAAAGAGATGTTTTCATAGATTCATTTTAAATGTCTTGCATAGATCTTTGCTAAGAGTTTATCTTATTAGATAGCAGCAGGTCTCTTTAGTAAGAAAAATAATCAGAATTTTATTAACTGCTCTTTTCATTTTCGCTTTCATCATATGATCTCTTCCTTGACCTTTTCATTGTAATTTATCCTATTTTAAATTCTGGAATTATTTTTTAAGATATTGAAGCATAATTTTCTTGCTCAACGTCCATTTCATCTATATTTTCTTCATCACTCTTCGCAGGTATTTTTTTTAATGTTTACGAATTTGGAATTTCTTAAAATGACCTTCTAATAGGCTAAATATCAGTAAGAGTTTTAGACTCTTTTGATATAAGATAATGCTAACCTTATGATTAGGGCTTAATAAGAGAAAAAGATCTTTATCTTTACTAAACTACTTTATTACTTTTAATTGGCTCTTTACTCTTCTCAGATCGCTTTGATTTAATTAAACTTATACTTGCTGTCTATGGAGAAGTGCTTCTAGAAGATTTGGATTTTATTTGTTCCCATTCCTTCATTTATTTTTTTGAAAAGCACTTATCCCAATATGCATGATCTACCTACTTCATAATATTAGATAAAGCGGCAAGCTACACATTAAACTAACGATTTTGCTAAATCTAAGAAAATTCTTTCTTTAATGAATTGATTCGCTCATTAGATTTTGATTCCTAATTGTTTTACTAAATCCTTTCCCTAGATCGTTATTTACTCATTTCAAATAACCAAATAATCTCTCACTTTAGAATTAATTATTAAAAAATATATTTTTTGTTCTTTTTTGATTTACATTTGATGCAATTTCAACCAACACTAATTACATAAATTTTTGAGTAAAGACTTTAATACAAAAATTAATATATTAAATAATTCTTTGGATTAACTTTATTTATTGCAATCTATCAGATATATCAAGTGGATAATCTATATATAAAACATTTGTTACTTCATCATTGAAAAGTTTTATAAACTCAGTTAATATTTTAAGATCAAAACATAATAAATATTTTTTACAGTAAAACTTGATAAAATTTACCTAGAATAAACTTAATCTTATTTTTATGCTTGAAATTTATACAACTAAAAAATAGATCGAACATAAAAGTCTAATGCATTTATTTATTTATGAATTATTTGTCTTTCAGATATTGACCACTTCATAAATTTTAGAAATTTGGTAGAGCTTTACTACATCGAACTAAATTTTTAAATTAGTTAATTACTGAAGATTTAATTTTGAATCGCTTAATATTTCTTTATAATTATTGTCTAATTTTGATATATTACTGAATTCAAACAATTTATCAATAATATAACAGGTCTTTGGATAATCATTTTAATATTTATTTATAAAACTTTTATAGTTTTCTTTTTTAAAACTTTCTTCATCATTTTTGTCTATGATAATGTATTAAATAGTTCTACATGCTGCATAGAATTCAGCATATCTTATTTCTTACCAGCTTAATTTTTCTTTTTTATGTGTTCCTTCTATTGCTTTATTCCATAGCTCCTAACAAACAAAAGCAGGTGTATAGTAAGACCAGTAATCCTGTATATCGCTTGATGATCCTCCAAAATCTATAAGAAGAAGTTTAATTTCAGGAGACTTATCCTCTAAATGCTAAGTCGCTGTCAAAATGATATTTTAAGGTTTAATATCACTATGAAAAATAGGAAAAGGAGTTTGTGTTTTAGGATTAATATTTCCTAAAAGCGATTCTATGGCATTAAATATATTAATCAATACCTAAAAGGTAAATTCATCAGTAAGCTTATAATTATTGATTTAGCTGTCTATTTTAAGATTATACAAATTACAGAGTCCTAATTCAAGAAAAATAATTTATTCTTCAATATCTTATTCTATGATTTTTGGCTTGTAAGTGCTACTTATCTAATTCATAATAAAGAGTTCACGGATAAATTCTTCTTTATTACTAAATTTCTTACCTGCAACAGGAAAATATTGCTATTTATTATTACTAGCAATAGTTGAAGATATTAATATACTTTCATTATTATCTCTACTTGATATAGTATTAGATATTTTATTTTCATCAACAATTAATGTAGATGCCAAGGTATTATTCTTAGAATTCTTAGACCCTAGAGACTAACTTGATAAATTGAATTCACTCATTTTATTTTTAAAGCTCCTCAGATTGTAAGAGTATTCCTTTTATTTAAATGGATATAAAGTTTATTACATATTTATAGATTATTCAATTTCCATATCTTCTATTTTTATATCTTGTTATATTGAATTGTTAAGAAATTATTATTCAATCTCACAAAAATAAAGATCAACTTATCCAAAACTACCTTTATCTAGTTAACAGTATAAATGAAATACATTCTAATTTTTATCTTTGTTATTAATATATGTGTCAATTAATCTAAGTATGTTAGATGTAAAGTCTTAAATTGTTTTAAAATCTTTAAAAGATCTTTATAGGTTTTATATATTAAAATTTGAAAATGATTTCACCTTTTGATTTGCCTTTTTCAGGTTTCTTATAAACATAGCCTTTTCCTTATTCTGTTTTTTAACTCCCTTCTTAACTAATTAATACAAAATTATTTTATATTAACAATCTAGAAATTAAGCATAAACATACTTGTTTTTATCATTGACTGGGCTTTGGATAGCCACTTAAATGATCTCTAGCTTAAAAAATAAGATGTTTTGATTGATTCATCTAAAACTTAGGGAAATTAATTTATTGTTTTAGGTCTTTCTCTCTTTCTCTTTTTTGAATCAGCAACACTACTTTTATTTTTCTAGCTATCAAGTTATCTTGACTTCACTTTTTTAGTAGATTGTGTTATTGATTTTTTAGCAGTTTATATTTGCTTTGTGGTTTTAAATAAGTTTAGCTCAATTTATCTATCTTTAATCTATGCAGATTCCTTTAAATTATCATTTTTAATTATAGTTTTTTACTTTTTTAATGATTAAATACTTAAATCATCTAATTGTTATTTCAATTAACTAGATTACATTTGTTAGTTGCTAAATGATTAACTAAATTACATTGGTGAGTTGCTAAATGGTTAACTATATTACATTTGTGATGGTAAACCAGATAACTTATTAATTTATTAAATCTATTTTTATTCTATTTCCATTTAACCTTCTTCATCTTCGTCTTCATAATTATATTAATCAGAATTGGGATAATCTTATTCATTTTAATCTTCAATTTAATATTCAACTTTTGATTATTTTTTTTTATTTATTTTTTTTAAAATTCTTTTTTAACCTTATGGCTTCTAATTGCCACTCGGATATTTCTACTTGGCCTATTCTTAAATCTTAAAATTATCATTGAACTACCTTGATTTCAAAAACTCTGGCAGTTATTATATTTATTCTTTCAAAGGATTTAAGAATTATTTTATCTTACCCATATCTATCAAATATATTATTTATTTTTGATGAAATTATTACTATTGGTTAATTAATTAATTATCTAATTAATTTATAGACACTAAATATTATCAAAAATCTTCTACAAGCAGTATATATTTAAAAGAAGAGTAAAATTATCAAAGTATTTGATTATAAGTCTTAAATTATAAAAATATTTAAGGAACAAATGAATTTTATCAATAAATTATCAGGTTTTAAATTACAACTAATAAAAATTATCTCCTTTAAACCAGAAAAAATTTAATGCAATTTAGATTTTCTTTAGAATTTTTGACATAAAATAAATTATACTGAGTAATAAATAAAATATACAAAATATTAGGGGTGGACTCAAATTGAAATTTTCCAAAAATTAAAATTTGGTTGAAAATTCTGCTTTACTGTATAAATTAATATCTAATTTTGGCTGTATATTTAATATTCTCTATTTTATAATGCAAAACAGAATATTAAGTCCATCCCTTGCAATTAGCCAAGTTTTACTTCTAATTCTTTCTTTCAAAAAGTGCATATAATTATTTTAATTTTAAAATTTATTTTAATACTTTATAATTTAATTTTATTTCTTTGATTAGTTTGTTACGAATTGTTAATTAAAATTTTATTTATTTGTTAAAATGTAAATTTTTCATTTTTAATTAATTATTTTATAAAATTTAGAAATTTAAAACAACTTAGATTAGTCAAAGTAAATGGGATAATGATTTAATTTACTACATTCAGATATTTCATCCTCATATAAAATATCTCTGTAATCGCTGAAAATCAAAAAACTTTTATTTTTTATAAGCACATTTTCTAATATCCTACAAGTTTTTGGATAGCTTTGACTGTATTTTTCTATAAATTTTCCTGTATTTTCTTTCTTAAACAAATTGGATTCTAAACTTTCTATAAGCAAAAACTAAACAGATCTGCAAGCAGCATATATTTCAGCATATCTTACTTAAGGCCAAGTTAAATACTCCCAGTTATTCTTAGAGTTTACAAGCTTTTGCCAAAGTTGGTTGCAAACGAAGGCTGGTGTATAATAAGACCAATAATCATCAAGCTAAAAGGAAGCACCTCCATAATCTATTAAAATTAGCTAAGTATTCAATAATTAATCTTCAGATTTTTTTACAGTAAGCATAATATTTTAAGGCTTGATATCACTATGAAATAATGGTTGTTATTTTTTTTCTTTCTAATTATAATTTTTTAATAAGCTTTCTACAGCTTGAATAAGATTTATGAGAATTGAATAAGTGAATTCATCAGTAAAATCATATTCATTTTAAATGCTGTCAATTTTTAAATCATACAAATTGCATAATCCTAACTCCATAAACAATATTTAGTTATCTACATCATAATTCAGTAATTTAGGCATATACTCACAATTAACTGTTTCCATTATATATAGTTCACGAATAAACTCACTTTAAACATTAATCTATTTACCCGCTACAGGTAATAATTGTTTTTTCATATTTGAAGTGCTTTATTACAAACTTAAATGACTATTTTACCAAGTTTAGTTTTCTTTAGAAGTCTTTTACTGAAGTCCGCCTTCAGAAAACATGCTATTTTAGTAATCAGCTGATGAGTTTGTAAAAATATAATCACTTTTCTGTTTTAGCATTTAGATTGAGTTTTAAATTGTTTCATTACTTGCTTGAGTTGAATAAGATTAGTTAGAATTTTACGAAGAAAGGAGCAAATTTTATTATTAAATTTATAAATTTTCTTTTAAAATGTAATCTATTTCAATGAAGTATAAATCAACTTTGCCAAAACTTCCTTTATCTAATTACTTAAAATGCTTCATAATCTGATGGGTTAAAACATTATCTTTTTTTTCTTACTATCTTTTCTATGTATCTTAAATATAATATTAAATATTGGCAAAATTTTCAAAAGATTCAAACATCTATGAAATGCTTTATTAATCACAACCATTCTGTGTAATACTTTCATAAATATTTTGCTATTATTTAAAGTCTTATTAGATCTAAAAATTATTTTTTTGTTTCAAATTTTATTAATTCAAAGCCTGTTTATCTTATGCATTGATCATCCCTTTTTTAACTATTTCATATATAAGTAGTTTAATTTAATATTTATTATAAGTAATAAACAATACAAGTATTTGATGGGTATTTTAAATTCGTACTCCATTTAAAAGATTAGTTTTTTATATGATGTGATGTTTGTAAAGAATTATCCACAATATCTTTCATGTTTCTTTTCTTCTGAATCACATTTTACTACAGAGGATTTTTTCCAGTAATAGAAAAATAAAGTTCTTTTGATTATTGATCCTCTTCATCTTCATTGTAAGATCTCTATCTTGTTCTCCTTTTGCTTTCTTCATTTTCTTCTTATCTCGTTCCAAATCTTATAATTTTCTTATTATCTATCTTACTTTTCTCTTTATCATATTATTCTATTTTCTTACTTTCTTAATCCTTTGTATCTAAAAAGCTTAGTTTTTATGAAGTTTCTAAACTAATATCTGACGAAGAGCTATCGCTATAATTAGACCATTAATTCTCAATATTATGCTAATAATATTTATCAGCTTCAATCTAAACTTAAAGATCATCGTTTCTTATAATAGATGCAAACTGCTACAAAACAGGTAAATCTTAAACTTTTTTTGGTTTATTTGAACAAGTTTTCTTAATCATTTAATGGATAAACTCTCGAAAGAATAATTGATTTCCAAAATATAAAAAAGAGAGCTTTCTTTTGTTTTAATTAAATTTCCAAAAATTAATATTAATAATAGCCAGGAATCTAATACAAATAGAAATTCAATTAATCAGGAATCTAATACAAATAATCATTATGTCTACATCAAGTAGCAAAAAAAAAATGGTATGATACTTTTATTAAATTATTTATTTTAAAGAGAATCTTTTATTAATTTTTAAAAACATGTTTTATATAAAAAAATAAAAAATAAAGTCATAAAATAAATCAATTATGATACATTAATTTTCATTCAAATAAGAATTTAATTAAAATTTTAATTTTAAATTATTTTATTTGAATTAAAATAATATTTCTTATTAATAAATAATATAAATAAATATAAAATAATTCATTTTATCTTAAATTAAAAAAATTAATTCATATTTTAATTTTATAACTTTATTCTTGTTTTGCTGATTGATTTTTAATTAATTTTTAATAATTATTTAAAGAAATACCAAATATTCTAATTAAATTGAGTATTTTTGACAAGAATTTATAGATTTTTAAGATATAAAAAAGCCATAAAATAACTTTATAAGCACTTTTTTTTACATTTGACTAAATAAAATCTTTCGGTTTGGTATTTTTATTAGACATTTTAAGTTTAGTGGTTAAAATGTTTTAAAAATTGAAATTGTTTTGTAATGTTAATTTGTTTTGTTTAAACTTTTTAGAAAATAAGATATCATTGTTTGGAGCTATTATTGTTTATTATATTGTAAAATTTAGATATCTCGAATAACTTTTGGGTTTCGAAATAAATAGGTTAAGGATATATCTAATTTTAAGAAGAAATTTCATCTTCATTTAAAATATTAGAATATCCTTTCATAACTTAGCAGTTTGTATTTTTAAGATACACCTCCTCTAAAATTTTGCAGGTTTTTGGGTAAAGCTTTTAGTAAGATTAAATAAAATCTTAACTATTTTCTTTTTTAAATAAATTCTAATCATTCTGATTTAAGATTAAAAATTAAACAGACCTACATGCGGCATATAATTCAGCATATCTTATTTCTGGCCATGTTAAAAACTCTTTCTGAGATTTACTATTGACCAACTTTTCCCAAAGTTTTGGACATACAAAAGCTGGAGTAAAGTAGGACCAATAATCTTCAGCTTAGAAAGAGGCTCCTCCGAAATCGATTAATAAGAGTTGAATTTATGGGATATTTTCTTTAGAGTTTTTAACTGTCAAGATTATATTTTAAGGTTTTATATCACTATGGAAAAGGGGAAGAATTTTATTTTCCTATTGATCAAAGTTTTATAAAAGACTCTCGATTGCCTAAAACAGATTTATAAGTATCGAATATGCAAGATTGTCACTTATTTTATAGTTTTGTTTTTCGCTGTACATTTTTAAATCATATAAACTGCAAAGCCCAAGCTCTATAAACAAAATCTGTTACTCAATATCCTAACCCAAAAGAGAAGGCATATATTCACTTTATACTTTCTACATAATAAAGAGCTCACGAATGAATTCATATTTAATTTTGATTTTTTTTCCAGCAGCTGGCAGATAATTTTTTGAATTAAGCTAAATATTTACCTAGTAATTTAAGTTTTAATTTTTTTGATCCACTAAATGAGAAGAAATATTATTATTTCCAATTATTTGCTTCTTACTTGTACTATATAGTTAAGTAGAGCCCTAATAAGTAGATCCTTAGGATGTTTAACTATTATTAATATTATTTTACTAAAGAGTATCTTGATTAGTAGATTATGATTGATTCGATTGACTAGAATTTTATGAAGAGAAGATATAAGAATTTTAATTATATTAGTTATTATTTTCTCTATTTATAAAATAATTGCTTTGTTAGTTTTCATATTTACTCTAGAAATTGCATAAATCATATTGATCTATCTCAAAAAAATACAAATCTACTTATCCGAAACTACCCTTATCAAGCTTTTCATAATGATAGAATTCAATTTTATTCATATTTTCTTTTTTTTGAATCATAAATTTCTGCAAAAACATTGTTAGGGCATTTGAGTATTTAGAAATATTTTTAAAAATATTTTAATTTTCATTTAAGCTTTATTAAATGCTTCTATGAAATAGAATATTTGAGTCTGTCTCTTTTGCTTTATTGAAGAACATTTTCTCTGTTTTTTCTTTATTTTGTAATTTATTAACATCCATTTTATAATTCTTTGAGACATTTCCTTTTCTTTCTATTAAAAATAATGTGTATTTTAAATTATTTATTTATAATTTTACATGTCACTGTAGGATGGTTAATTTATGTGCTCCATTTAAAGGATTTTTCATTTATATGAAAAGAAGTCTTTAAAGAATCATTTTTTATATCATTCATATCTCTTGTTTTTAAGAAATTCTTACTTTTATATTATGCTTCTCTTGAAATCGAAAAGTAGGATTCATCTTAAGAGTTATCATCATCCATATCATATGACCTTTTTCGAGTTCTAGTTTTTTTTTTATACATTTTAATTTTTTGTTCTATAAATGGTTCATCATCGCTTTCTTCAACATTCTCATCACCATCATCTTCTTCTTAATCGTACTCTAATCTAGGGGATTCTATTTTTTTGTTTAAATTAAAAGCATCTTCATTCAAATAAGAATTTCTTCTCTATATTTCTGGAGATCTCTTATCATTTTACTCTTCTTATTCATCTTGAATTTTAATCTATGTATAACTCTGATTATTTATATTTATATTAAGATTTGGTGCATAGTTTTCCTAATAAAAATCATTAGCCATATCCTACATCATATATGACAAATTTCTTTATTAAGATGCAAACTATTCCTCAAGCATTTATTTTTAACTTAAATCTTCCATTTTTGATTAGTGTTTTGTAAATGATTTTTAAATATTTAAAGTTTTTCAAACAACTTCACTTTTGATTCTTATCAGTATCATAAAAATTAATAATTAAATCAATAATCTGATAATTGCCTTAAGTCTCTTAAAAGAAATTTAAAACAAAATTCAATATATTATCAATAAATTTACAATAATAATTTTTAAAAACTAAATATAAAATAATTTTTAATTAAAATAAAATATTACTCTTAAAATTATTTATAGATTTATCTCGCTTTGTAATGAAGCTTCATTAAAATTTTATTGTTAATTATTTACCAATCAAATTAAATAATACATATATTCAAAGATGTAAAGATATGATGATATACTGTTTTATTTAGTGAAACTCAAATAGAACAATTTTTAGAAATCATAATTTTAAAATAAATAAAAATTAAGCATAATACCTTTCTTATTTTTAAATGCTGCTTTTTGCATTTAAGGTTCAAGAAAAAAAGTAATTAATAATAAAAATTGAACCTTTTAGTTAAATAATTTTACACTTATTTATTTGAAATAAAAAAATAAAAATTCTAAAATTAAATATTTTCAATTTTAAAAATTAAATCCAAGAATATTAAAATCAAATAAATGAAATACTTACATTGTATTCTAACAATTATTTAGAATTATATTTTTTTATTTTATTATATTCGTCTAATTCAAAGTTGTTCTTATTTAAAGGACTACGTCGTCAGAGCTCAATTCTTTAATTCTATTTGTCTGTGAATATAATTTATAACTTAAATAAAATTTATTTTTTGTGATATTTAAAATCCAAAAATACTAATAAATAAATTTTAAATCTTCAACAAAAATGAAATATAAAAATAATTTTTATTGTTATTATTCAAGAAATAAAAAATGGATTTTTATCAAAGATAAGCAATTAATTAATGTAAACAAGGTGAGTAATGATAAAATTTCTAGTCATATCATCTATTGTAATAATGTAAATGTTAATATTTAATAACAATTATCTTTCGGAATTATAAAAATCAGTTTTACACATAAACTACTTGAGAAAATAAAAATAAATTTGTATTTAAGAAGGGAATTTCCCAATAGCTAAAAAAAATCAAAATTATCTCAAAGATTTTGTTATAAAATAAGTAAGTATTGAATAATATTTTTGCTAAATTAATTGATTTTCATACTATTTATATATTTAATAAAACATAAATTTTACTTTTAGAATAACCCCAATTATTTTAATTGCTCATTAGAATTGAGTAAAGCCATTTTATAAAATTAAAGGCTACTTATGAGTAGTGTATGAAGCATTCAAAACATCAGCAGTGATAGGTTAGGCGAATTACTATTGCTTTAAATCTATATTATTTTGTTAAGGAATTTGTTATTGTAATTAAGGGTAGTGAATAACGTAAGGTTGACTAAACTATGCTTAAGGTTATTAGGGTTGGGCAACTTAATGGATAGGAGGTTGAGCGAATTAAGCAGGTTGAGAGTAACCAAGGAAATATTAGCTGCTAGAAGAAGCAATTAATTGATTAATGTACTTGTAATTAGAATAATCAATGATGACTTCAATTACAGTGCAAATAAGAATTGCTAAGTAAAGTAAAAAGAGCAAAGAGTCTGCAACGCTTCCATAAGATGGCTTTGTGCCCAAGTAAATTACACAACCAAGGCAAATTAAAGCAATAATAGAGTGAGCAACACTAATGATAATGCATGAAATCTTATAAAATTTGTGTAATGATTAATTTTAATCAATTGCAGAAACAACACCCAAAGTATAGTAAGTAACAAGGTAGCCAAGCAAGACATATAAGACCCAAATTTTAGCTCCAATATTATGATAAACTTCATAAAGGACCAAGGTATGTACTAAAACATTAATCAAGTTAGTGGCCAAGAAGCAAGCACGACCTGCAACTTTATTATCAAGTTATAAGTATTATTGTTAGTTTGGTTAAATCATTAATTAGCTTTATTTTATATTTGATTAATCGAAATCTTTTAAATTAAATATTTTTTATCTTTTTGTGATTTTTCTGTATTTGAATATGATCATATGATAATTAATATATTTAATTATCATATCATTCATTGCTGCAAAAAGCTTCTTATATTTAGTAAATCGAAATTTTGATAATCAAATTTTCGATTGAACCCATCAAATTTCTTATCAAATAGAAACCTATCATCGGCTATTACTGATTTTCTCTACACAAATAATTTTATGATATTATAAAAGATTTTTGCAATAAATTCTTCATTAGTTTATCTATCTTTCTATCAAATATATTTAAGCAATTATTTCTGTCTAGTTTTGTTTCAAATTAATTTTAATTTTGTTGATGTTTTTTTTCAACATTTTTTCTTAAAATATTTTCACTTATTAAATTAAAATATTTAAATATAAAATAGTTCATCTAGAAATAAAAAAATAAATTTTATTTTAAACTAGGATTAAAATATTGTTAAAACTGAGTAAAATATATTGAAATTATTTTTTTTTGAATTAATTAAATTTCAATAATAAAAAAAACAAAAAAATAATAAGGGAAAAAGAAAAAAAATCACTAACACATTTTTTATATAATAAGCAAAAAATAGGAATAAATAATATTAATCATAGGGACTTAAATTTATTCTATCGTTTTTAGTAAAATCGACCTCAAAGTTTTAAAATAATGAATTAACTAACAATAAAGTCATTTAAAAATTTGTGTAATTTTATAAATGATAGAAGTAATTAATATATTTTTATTCATTTTAGTGATACTAATTTTTAAAATTCAAAATAAATAAATTAAATTGCAATTAAACTTTTAAATAGTTTTATAATTGATTATTTTTTTACATATATTTAAATATTTATGAATACATTAAAATTTTTACTCAAGTAAAAATTTAATCTTAATAATTTTATTGAAGGAAAATTGAGAATTATTTTGCAAAAGTTATTGTTTTTATATTTAGATATTTTCAAACATTTTTTTAATTTTAATTTTCTATATCCTATAACTCAAATTACCTTAAACTATCTGTTTAATGAGGAGAAACCAGCCTTTAATCTAATTAAGTGGGTTTATTTTCATAAGAAAATTTTTATTCATATTTACTTTCTATACATTTTTAAAGCTAACTTAAGTGCAAAAAGTTATTTATATCTATTATTAATATTAAGCATAACAAAAATGTAAAGACAAAGAGCGTTTAAAAAGCAGAAGATTAACTATTAACAGAAGGTTGATCAAGATTAACAAAAATAGAAATTATCACTTGGATAAACAATATCAAAAAAGTTATTGAATGTACTAAGCCAGAGCAAAATGAAAAAATCTTTTAAATTTTGATCCAAAAAAGATTCAAATTATAAACAGCTAATAAATTCAAAGTATGATACGCCAATCCAAGTAAGCTAAAGAAACCAATTTACTGAGAATTATCTTTATAAAAAAATTAAGATAAATTTAAAATTATACACAATAGGTTTAGAGTAAAGAATCGATATCTTCCTTATACTTCTTACTTGATTTAATGTAATAATTCAATGTCTAAGTTTTTTCTGAGCATTTTTTAGAAAACGAGTTTGTTAAATGTTTTGATTAATTAACTTTTATATATTTATTAGAAAGTTTTAAATATATTACTTAATCAAAGTAACCAACAATAATATATACTACATAATTACTTACTATTAATAGATAAATTCTTTAATTAAATTTAATAAAATATTACATCTTTAAACTTACATTCAAAAATTAATTATTTTCTACTTTTAATATAAATTGAAAACAAATCTATGGGAATGAAGAAATGTATAAACTGTAGATATTAATTGGAAGAGAAGAAAACATCTATTTAAATTTTAAAAAGCATTATTATTCAAAGCATTACACTAAAAAAATTCAAATCATAAAATATTTTTATGATTGATTGCTGTTATATATTTTATATTTTCAATTTAATATAAAAATAGTTAATAACATACTAATAAGCTAATAAAAAGTATTTATATAAATTTTATTGATTACTTTTTAATAAAGACAATATTTTATCAAAAATTAAAAAGTTTTTTAAAACTTCTTAAGCTAAATAAAGTTAAGAAAATTGTTTAAATGTTTACATATTGCAAATAAGGAATATTTCCCTCTTGGAATATGATTTTCTTTTAGGTAAATAGATTTTTATATTTAACTAAAAATTTTTAAAAGTAAAAGTTAAGACTTCCTTGAAAAATTACTAATTTGCTGCTTGATTTTACTAGAACCAAAATAAGTTTAAAATCATATTTCAATAATTTAATAAATTTTAATTCATAATTCTTCGAATAGAAAAAAATTAAACCATTAGTAAGAGTTAAGCTCATACTATTGATAAATGAATATAATTTTATTACATTAATTCCTTGAGCTGACTAACCAACAGAATTGAAGAGGATACCCCTTTTTTCTAAAAAAATTATATAAAATATGAAAATCTTCATTCATATTGGCATGATAAATCAATATTATTTTTATTTGCATAGAATTTATTAAATAACTCTTCAACATTATTGACTAAATAATTTTTTTAAATTATGTTTAATAGTAAAAAATATTAAAAAATATAAAATCTAGCTCAATTTAAAAATTTTGATGTAAAAAAATTATTTATCTTTGAAATTATATATATAAATTAGATTTTTTAATAAATAAATAAAAAATATATTTCATAATAAGTGTCAAACAAACCATGAAATTTTTGTTTGTATGGCATAAGGCTATAATTAGAAATATTATAAATATTCCTAAAATTACATAGCTAAAACAGAAAAATCTACTTTTAAACATTATTTTTATAATACTTAATAACATTAACTACCAGGTTTTTTTCAAATATTACTAAATAAATAACTGGCCGTCTTTAATTCCTACTATATTTTTAAGTATATGTTTTCAATAAAAATATTAAGTTTAAATAGTGAATGTGATATCTCTTCATAAAGCCAAATATATAAATTAATATTTGATAATTAATTAATTATTGTATTTATTTGTTCTTTTTATCCATTTATAATTAATTAATTAAATTTCATAAACTGCTATTCAATATTTTTGAAAAAAAAAATAAATGATATAATAGATTAAAAGATATAATAGATTAGAAGAAGTAATTATTTATTTTTTTATTAATATCCTTTTAATTTATATAAATTAATAAAAAAAGTTTAAAAGCTCTTCACTTTTATCTCATTAGGTTCTCCATATTAATCTGAAGTATATTTAATTAAAAAATATTTTTTTATTATTATTAATATTTTTTGTTTATTTTATTTTAAATTTATTTAAATAAATAATTTATATAAAAGAAATTATCATCATTATTTATTGATTTTTATTAAAACTTAAATTTTTTAGCAATTTTAACTTAATTTTCATTTCAATTTTTAATTATTTATTGATTATTCATTTTTATTATTTGATATTTTTTCTTAATTTTTGCTATTAAAACTTACACTTAATAAAAGCTATTTATTTGTTTTACATTATAATATTTTTAATTATAAAAGTTAATTTAAAACATTAAAGTTCTTTTAATTTATTTGATTTGTTTTCGTTTTTCTTTTTATTATGAATTCTTATTTTTTAATTCTTTGTTAATTTTATTAATTATTAATTAATCTTATTATTTCATATTTTTTCTTCATTTTTTCCTCATAATTAACAATAGTGAAATACCTATTTAATTTATATCTAAATTACATTATAAATAAAGCTAATTTTTATTAAGCATAAAATATCATTTTTTTTGAAAAAAAATAAATTTTGAAAATCTAGGATAGAAAAAATTTCATAAAAAATATTAAAAATTTTTATTTTATAAAATGAAAAACTGGTATATAAAACTCTATTTTTGTAAATTTTTATAGTAATTTTCTCTATTTAATGATATATTTTTTCTTCATTTTTTCCTTCTAATTAACTATTTTATGATATATTTTTTATTCAATATTTAAAAAGTGGAAATTAAATTGGTGCAATGGGTGCATCAGGCTTAGGTTCTGCTTTAGCAAATAGCATTAATCTCTCGAATTTGACACTTTACCTCAGGTAAAAAATGTTTATTTGATTTGGATTGTGATATTTTTAATTATAAAAACTAATTAAAAACAATAAAGGCTCTTTTTTTCTTTTTCTTTTTATTGTGCTTGCTTTTTTTTTGTTCTTTCTTTATTAATTTATCTCATCATTTTATTTTTTAAATTTTGCTTTTATTATTAATTAATTAATCTTATTATTTCATATTTTTTCTTCATTTTTTCCTTCTAATTAACAATTTAATGATATATTTTTTCTTCAAAATTTAAAAAGTTACAATTAAATTGGTGATAATGGTGGATCAGGCTTAGGTTCTGCTTTAGCAAATTGCATTAATCTCTCGAATTTGACACTTGAACTTCGGTAAAAAAAGTTTATTTGTTTTAGATTGTGATATTTTTTATTATAAAAACTAATTAAAAACAATAAAGTTCTTTTTTCTTTTTCTTTTTATTGTGCTTGCTTTTTTTTTGTTCTTTCTTTGTTAATTTTGCTCATCATTTTATTTTCTAATTTTGCTTTTATTATTAATTAACTAATCTTATTATTTCATATTTTTTTTTTCATTTTTTCCTTCTAATTAACTATTTAATGATATACTTTTACTTCAATATTTAAAAAGTGGAAATTAAATTGGTGCAATGGGTGCATCAGGCTTAGGTTCTGCTTTAGCAAATTGCATTAATCTCTCGAATTTGACACTTGACCTTGGGTAAAAACAGTTTATTTGATTTGGATTGTGATATTTTTAATTATAAAAACTAATTAAAAACAATAAAGCTCTTTTTTCTTTTTCTTTTTATTGTGCTTGCTTTTTTTTTTGTCCTTTCTTTGTTAATTTAGCTCATCATTTTATTTTCAAATTTTGCTTTTATTATTAATTTAATTATTTTATTATTTCATATTTTCTCTTCATTTTTTCCTTCAAATAAACTTTTTAATGATATATTTTTTCTTCTATATTTAAAAAGTGGAAATTAAATTGGTGATGAAGGTGCATCAGGCTTAGGTTCTGCTTTAGCAAATTGCATTAATCTCTCGAATTTGACACTTAACCTTGGGTAAAAACAGTTTATTTGATTTGGATTGTGATATTTTTAATTATAAAAACTAATTAAAAACAATAAAGCTCTTTTTTCTTTTTCTTTTTATTGTGCTTGCTTTTTTTTTTGTCCTTTCTTTGTTAATTTAGCTCATCATTTTATTTTCAAATTTTGCTTTTATTATTAATTTAATTATTTTATTATTTCATATTTTCTCTTCATTTTTTCCTTCTAATAAACTTTTTAATGATATATTTTTTCTTCTATATTTAAAAAGTGGAAATTAAATTGGTGATGAAGGTGCATCAGGCTTAGGTTCTGCTTTAGCAAATTGCATTAATCTCTCAAATTTGACACTTGACCTTCGGTAAAAAAAGTTTATTTGTTTTAGATTGTGATATTTTTTATTATAAAAACTAATTAAAAACAATAAAGCTCTTTTTTCTTTTTCTTTTTATTGTGCTTGCTTTTTTTTGTTCTTTCTTTGTTAATTTTGCTCATCATTTTATTTTCTAATTTTGCTTTTATTATTAATTAACTAATCTTATTATTTCATATTTTTTTTTTTCATTTTTTCCTTCTAATTAACTATTTAATGATATACTTTTACTTCAATATTTAAAAAGTGGAAATTAAATTGGTGCAATGGGTGCATCAGGCTTAGGTTCTGCTTTAGCAAATTGCATTAATCTCTCGAATTTGACACTTAACCTTGGGTAAAAATAGTTTATTTGATTTGGATTGTGATATTTTTAATTAATTAATTAATCTTATTATTTCATATTTTTTTTTTATTTTTTCTTTCTAATTAATTATTTAATGATATATTTTTTATTCAATATTAAAAAAGTGAAAATTAAATTGGTGATGAAGGTGCATCAGGCTTAGGTTCTGCTTTAGCAAATTGCATTAATCTCTCGAATTTGACACTTTACCTTAGGTAAAAAATGTTTATTTGATTTGGATTGTGATATTTTTAATTATAAAAACTAATTAAAAACAATAAAGCTCTTTTTTCTTTTTCTTTTTATTGTGCTTGCTTTTTTTTTGTTCTTTCTTAGTTAATTTAGCTCATTATTTTATTTTTAAATTTTGCTTCTATTATTAATTAATTAATCTCATTATTTCATATTTTTTCTTCATTTTTTCCTTCTAATTAACTATATAATGATATATTTTTTCTTCAATATTTAAAAAGTTACAATTAAATTGGTGATAAAGGTGGATCAGGCTTAGGTTCTGCTTTAGCAAATTGCATTAATCTCTCGAATTTGAGACTTGGCCTTAGGTAAAAACAGTTTATTTGTTTTAGATTGTGATATTTTTAATTATAAAAACTAATTAAAAAATTAAAGCTCTTTTTACTTTTTCTTTTTATTGTGCTTACTTTTTTTTTGTTCTTTCTTTATTAATTTATTTTATCATTTTATTTTCAAATTTTGCTTTTATTATTAATTAATCTTATTATTTCATATTTTTTCTTCATTTTTTCCTTCTAATTAACTATTTAATGATATATTTTTTATTCAATATTTAAAAAGTGGAAATTAAATTGGTGCAATGGGTGCATCAGGCTTAGGTTCTGCTTTAGCAAATTGCATTAATCTCTTGAATATGACACTTGACCTTCGGTAAAAACAGTTTATTTGATTTGGATTATGATATTTTTAATTATAAAAACTAATTAAAAACAATAAAGCTCTTTTTTCTTTTTTTTTTATTGTGCTTGCTTTTTTTTGTTCTTTCTTTGTTAATTTAGCTCATTATTTTATTTTTAAATTTTGCTTTTATTATTAATTTTTTAATCTTATAATTTCATATTTTTACTTCTTTATTTCCTTCTAATTAACTATTTAATGATATATTTTTTCTTCAATATTTAAAAGTTACAATTAAATTAGTGATAAAGGTGCATCAGGCTTAGGTTTTAGTTTAGCAAAGTGCATTAATTTCTCGAATTTGATACTTGACCTTAGGTAAAAACAATTTATTTGATTTGGATTGTGATAATTTTAATTATAAAAACTAATTAAAAACAATAAAGCTCTTTTTTCTTTTTCTTTTTATTGTGCTTGCTTTTTTTTTGTTCTTTCTTTGTTAATTTAACTCATCATTTTATTTTCAAATTTTGCTTTTATTATTAATTAATTAATCTTATTAATTCATATTTTTCTTCATTTTTTCCTTCTAATTAACTATTTAATGATATATTTTTTCTTCAATATTTAAAAAGTGGAAATTAAATTGGTAATGAAGGTGCATCAAGCTTAGGTTCTAGTTTAGCAAAGTGCATTAATTTCTCGAATTTGACACTTAACCTTAGGTAAAAACAGTTTATTTGATTTGGATTGTGATATTTTTAATTATAAAAACTAATTAAAAACAATAAAGCTCTTTTTTCTTTTTCTTTTTATTGTGCTTGCTTTTTTTTTGTTCTTTCTTTTTTAATTTAGCTCATCATTTTATTTTCAAATTTTGCTTTTATCATTAATTAATTAATTAATCTTATTATTTCATATTTTTTCTTCATTTTTTCCTTCTAATTAACTATTTAATGATATTTTTTTTCTTGAATATTTAAAAAGTTATAATTAAATTGGTTCAATGGGTGCATCAGGATTAGGTTCTGCTTTAGCAAATTTCATTAATCTCTCGAATTTGACACTTGACCTTAGGTAAAAACAGTTTATTTGTTTTAGATTGTGATATTTTTTATTATAAAAACTAATTAAAAACAATAAAGCTCTTTTTTCTTTTTCTTTTTATTGTGCTAGCTTTTTTTTTGTTCTTTCTTTGTTAATTTAGCTCATCATTTTATTTTCAAATTTTGCTTTTATTATTAATTAATTAATCTTATTATTTCATATTTTTTCTTCATATTTTCATTCTAATTAACTATTTAATGATACATTTTTTATTCAATATTTAAAAAGTGAAAATTAAATTGGTGATGAAGGTGCATCAAGCTTAGGTTCTGCTTTAGCAAATTGCATTAATCTCTCGAATTTGACATTTGACTTTCGGTAAAAACAGTTTATTTGTTTTAGATTGTGATATTTTTAATTATAAAAACAAATTAAAAACAATAAAGCTCTTTTTTCTTTTATTTTTTATTGTGCTTGCTTTTTTTTTGTCCTTTCTTTGTTAATTTAGCTCATCAATATATTTTCAAATTTTGATTTTATTATTAATTAATTAATCTGATTATTTCATATTTTTTCTTCATTTTTTCCTTCTAATTAACAATTTAATGATATATTTTTTATTCAATATTTAAAAAGTGGAAATTAAATTGGTGCAATTGGTGCATCAGGTTTAGCTTCTGCTTTAGCAAATTGCATTAATCTCTCGAATTTGACACTTGACCTTCGGTAAAAACAGTTTATTTGTTTTAGATTGTTTATTTTTTTATTATAAAAACTAATTAAAAACAATAAAGCTCTTTTTTATTTTTCTTTTTATTGTGCTTGCTTTTTTTTTGTTGTTTCTTTGTTAATTTAGCTCATCATTTTATTTTCAAATTTTGCTTTTATTATTAATTAATTAATCTTATTATTTCATATTATTTCTTCATTTTTTCCTTCTAATTAACTATTTAATGATATATTTTTTCTTCAATATTTAAAAAGTAGGAATAAAATTGGTTTAATGGGTGCATCAGGCTTAGGTTCTGCTTTAGCAAATTGCATTAATCTCTCAAATTTGACATTTTATCTTCAGTAAAAACAGTTTAGTTGATTTGGATTGTGATATTTTTAATTATAAAACTAATTAAAAACAATAAAGCTCTTTTTTCTTTTTCTTTTTATTGTGCTTGCTTTTATTTTATTCTTTCTTTGTTAAATTAGCTCATCATTTTATTTTTAACTTTTGCTTTTATTATTAATTAATTAATCTTATTATTTCATATTTTATCTGCATTTTTTCCTTCTAATTAACTATTTAATGATATTTTTTTCTTGAATATTTAAAAAGTGAAAATTAAATTGGTGATGAAGGTGCATCAGGCTTAGGTTCTGCTTTAGCAAATTGCATTAATCTCTCAAATTTGACACTTTACCTTAAGTAAAAAATGTTTATTTGATTTGGATTGTGATATGTTTAATTATAAAAACTAATTAAAAACAATAAAGCTCTTTTTTCTTTTTCTTTTTATTGTGCTTGCTTTTTTTTTGTTCTTTCTTTGTTTTTATTTTTAAATTTTGCTTTTATTATTAATTAATTAATCTTATTATTTCATATTTTTTCTTCTTTTTTTCCTTCTAATTAACTATTTAATGATATATTTTTTCTTCAATATTTAAAAAGTGGAAATTAAATTGGTAATGAAGGTGCATCAGGCTTAGGTTCTAGTTTAGCAAATTGCATTAATCTCTCAAATTTGACACTTGACCTTAGGTAAAAACAGTTTATTTGATTTGGATTGTGATATTTTTAATTATAAAAACTAATTAAAAACAATAAAGTTCTTTTTTCTTTTTCTTTTTATTGTGCTTGCTTTTTTTTTGTTCTTTCTTTGTTAATTTAGCCCATCATTTTATTTTCAAATTTTGCTTTTATTATTAATTAATTAATCTTATTATTTCATATTTTTTCTTCATTTTTTCCTTCTAATTAACTATTTAATGATATATTTTTTTAATTCAATATTTAAAAAGTGAAAATTAAATTGGTGATGAAGGTGCATCAGGCTTATGTTCTAGTTTAGCAAAGTGCATTAATTTCTATTTGACACTTAACCTTAGGTAAAAACAGTTTATTTGATTTGGATTGTGATATTTTTAATTATAAAAACTAATTAAAAACAATAAAGCTCTTTTTTCTTTTTCTTTTTATTGTGCTTGCTTTTTTTTTGTTGTTTCTTTGTTAATTTAGCTCATCATTTTATTTTCAAATTTTGCTTTTATTATTAATTAATTAATCTTATTATTTCATATTTTTTCTTCATTTTTTCCTTCTAATTAACTATTTAATGATAAATTTTTTATTCAATATTTAAAAAGTGAAAATTAAATTGGTAATGAAGGTGCATCAGGCTTAGGTTCTGCTTTAGCAAATTGCATTAATCTCTCGAATTTGACACTTGACCTTAGGTAAAAACAGTTTATTTGTTTTAGATTGTGATATTTTTAATTATAAAAACTAATTAAAAACAATAAAGCTCTTTTTTCTTTTTCTTTTTATTGTGCTTGCTTTTTTTTGTTCTTTCTTTGTTAATTTAGCTCATCATTTTATTTTTAAATTTTGCTTCTATTATTAATTAATCTTATTATTTCATATTTTCTTCATTTTTTCCTTCTAATTAACTATTTAATGATATTTTTTTCTTGAATATTTAAAAAGTTACAATTAAATTGGTGATGAAGGTACATCAGGCTTAGGTTCTGCTTTAGCAAATTGCATTAATCTCTCGAATTTGACACTTTACCTTAGGTAAAAACAGTTTATTTGTTTTGGATTGTGATTTTTAAACAAAAAAAATGAATATAAAACAAAAAAGCTCTTTGAATTTATTTGATAACTTTTATTTATTTTATTTTTTGATCTTTTTTATTCAACTAATATTATTTTATTTATTAATTTAAAGAATCATTTTTAATTTAAAAGTTTATTCTATTTTGATATTTATTAATAATTTACACAAATTTATTATAAAAGTTATAACTCAATGAATATATTATAAATATTCAAAGTAATAAGCAAGTGTCGTAAATCAAAAAGATTAGTTATCTTTAATTTCTAATGATAAATAAGTATTGAAAAAAGGATGAATAAATATAAAATGTTTGAATAATATTATATATTTTATTAAATAATATTTTGAAAAAAATTGAAATCTAAAATACAAATATAAATAGATTTTATTATTGATTTTATATTTATAAATATGATTCATATTTTTGTAAGTAAATAAATTATTTATAAAAAATAAAAAATTAAATACTCTTAAGCAAACTCTCTTGTTTCTCCAAAAACAATCAAACAATTTGAAACTTTTAGTGTTATATTACATCTTATTAAATTATATAAATGCCAAACTTTATATGCCAGTTATATTTTAATCTTAAATATTATCCATCAATCATATTTTTATCCTTTTTTTTTATTTATCTTGATTAATTAGATGCCATGATTTAAATAAAACCTCAGGGAGAAATCAAGTTTTACTTTTTATTTTAACATTTTTGTTTAATATGTTTATTTTTGTTTTTTTTTTCTCAAATTTTTAATTTATCTTATTTTTATTTTTTTCATTTTATATTTTTTAAAATCATAAAATAATTGTTTTTTAAATTATCATTTATTCATTCAATAATACAAATTTGATTTTTATTCAATAATATTTAGAGTAAATTAATAAATTTAAAAGTCGTTAATGTTGAATTTGGCTTTTATAAGCTTATTTCATATCAAGAATTTATGTAATTTTTTATTAATGTGGTATTATAAATTTTAAAATGCTTATCTTATTTAATTTAAAAAAATGTTCTTATGGCTATTAAAAAAAATTGTTAAAAAATATTTAAAATAAAACCTCATTTATTTTACTCTTATTATAGTTTTATTTATTTCTTTTAAAACCTATTCAATTAAAAAAGTTGTATAATTTAGAAAAAACATAACACAAATAATTAAAAACAGAAAATAATTTAAATAATTAAATTTTATTGTTTGTAATCAATTTTAAATTTTATAAATCTATATCATTTTTATTATTTTTTCTCAGCTAATAACCATTTGATTAAGATAAATTAACTTTTAACTTAATTTAGATAGACTGTTTGAAATGTTTTAAGTGTAATCTTGATTTTTGGTTTATTATTTACAAGTATTTAACTAAAGTAATAATAGTTAAGAACATGTACTAAGAATACATATAAATAATATACTAGATAAGATGAAAAATAAATAACTGTCACTATTCCAGAAGATAAATTATTAAAAAACACATCAAAAATATATTTAGAGCAATAGATACCAAAGCAAATAGTTAAAAGAATTCAAAACATTCCAAAGATTTGATTGTTGATAATAGATTTAAATTATAGTAAGCTACATACACTAATGCCTAACTAAGGTATAAAAGTAAAGATAATTTATATTATTTTTTTACAATATATAAAAGGATTTTTATTATATTTTATATTTTTAATTTATAAATTTATAATCAAGGTTATCTAAAGTTTTAATTTTCAATATCTTTTAATTCAATATTGTTTATTTATAAATTTTAATTAGGAATGATTAACTATTGTAAGAGTTATTATGAGTTATTAGTTATATGTTCATCCTAATTTTCAAGAGTAATAATAAGTTAATTTAAGTACTTATAATTTAGTATATCTATGAGTAATATTAAACATGAGATCAGAGTTATAATAAAAACTACAATAAAAGCATATAATTTCTTATCTTCAGAATTATTATCAAATTTTACAAATATAATATCTATCAGAATAAAAGCCATTACAATAGCTATTTTGAAGTGTAAAACACCAAAGTATATTGATAGCTCCTTAGAAATCTGCATCCAAAGCTTATTTAATTTATAAACTGTAAATATATTCAAGAAATGGTATGCTAAAGTAAGAAGGATAAGTAAACCAATTTATTCCAAAGAAAAAAGCAAGTACATATTAAAAAATATGCTAATTATATTTATTGCAAAGAAGCAGTTTCTTCCTTTTTCCTACATCGTTTGTTTATTTTTATTGTTTAAATTCAAATTTTGTATTTTCCAATTTTATTGTATTCTTTTGAATTTAGTTTTTTTAATTAAATAAATATTTTAACTTTAAAACAAACCTCATTTTTATAAACAATCAAACATCCAAAAAATATAATTCCAAATTAATTAAAATATTGAAAATATCTTTTTTCTCAATCACAAACAAAATAGACAAAATTTATAAGCTTATTATAATGTTTTTGCAAAGAAGAAATAGATTAATTTTTAAGATTTATTTAAGTACTTTTTATGATATCATTTTATTTTTCTCAATTATATTATTTTTTTCGACATAATTTGTCTATTTAAATTAAAATTAATGTCCTAATCAATTCGGTATAACAAATATTACTATACCATTAAATTGATCATATCTACACATATTTTTTTAATTAATAAGATAGAAAGATTTACTAAGCTTTGAAAAAGGATTACATGAGTCAATTAAATTTAGCTTAGTTACAAATACTTAGTTATAAGTTATTTTTAAAGCAATTTAATGTAGCAACTAATATATTTTATGAAAAAATAAAAAAAATCTTAAATTTAACATAAATTTAATAAACGGGATACAAAAATAATTATTTTATCATTTAAAACAATTTTTTTAAAAAGTTACTGTAAAAAAAATTTTTTTACTCTCAAAATTTGAAAAAAGGTTTCTGTGTTTTGATTAATTTTTGTAAATATTTTGAAATCAAATATAAAGAAAGTAATTAATTAAGATTTAGAAAATAAAAATATTCATTAGTAATATAAAAATTATTTGAAATATCACAAATCATGATATCATGGTTAGTGATATTTCAAATGCTGGAACAGATATATAAAATATAAACAAATTTAATGTAATAAACTTTTAACAAATTAATTGTTTAAGTTAACAAAATTTAAATGTATTATTTTATTCATTTAATCATAAATATTTCTTATTATTAAAACAAAAAATAAACTATCATCGAAATTTATAAAACGAAATATTTTGATTATTTTTATCTTAATCAATCAATTTATAGATTTAAAATAATTTCGAAATACCTCAACAAAGATAGATAATTAAATAGTAAATAATATTATTTTATCATAAATAGATTATTAGACATTTTTTATATTATTTATAAAAATAATAATTTATTTTCAAGGCTATCTTTAATTCTAGTTTTCAAAATCTTTTAATTCAACATGGTTTTATTGTTAATTTTAATAAGGATTAATAAACTACTATTATAGCTATTAAGAGTTATTAGCAAAATGCAAATTTGTCGATTCATCTTAATTTTCAAGAGAAATAATAAGTTAACTTAAGTATTTATAATTTAGTATATCTATTAATAATATCAAACATAAGATAAGAGTAAAAAAAAGCATAACAAAAAAAGCAGCTGCTTTATTTTCTTCACCATTATTATCAGATTTTCCAAATATAATAGCTATCAGAATAAAAACCATGACAACAACAACTATTGAGTGAATTATACCATAGCATATTGATACAATCTTAGAAATCTTTACCAAAAACAGATTTAATTTATAACCTGCAAAAATATTCAAGCCATGGTATGCTAATGTAAAAATGATAGAAAAACTATTCTATTCATCTTTATTCTTAGAAAAAAGCTAGGATATAGTTAACAATATGCTAATTGCATTGATTGCAAAGAAGCAGTTTCTTCCTTTTTCCTACAATATTTGTTTATTTTAGTTGTTTTAATTGAAATGTTGCATTCTTTAATTTTATTGAATACTTTTGTTGATTTTTTTTATTGAATTCTTTTGAATTTGATTTTTTTAATTAAATTATATCATAACTATCAATCAAATTTAATCTTTATAAATAATCAAACCACCCAAAAATTATAATTTCAATTTAATTAAAATAATTGAAAATATCCTTTTCTTGAATTATAAATAAAAATAGACAAAATTTATTAGTTTGCTTTATTATGTTTTTTGTTAGAAAAGTATATAAATTTTTAGGAATTATAATAAGTAAATATCTTCTCTAATTTATAAAAAAGTTAAAAATTAACAAAAATATTATTGATTAACATATCATTTATTTTTATTTTAAATAATATAAAATATATTTTTAAAAATAATATGATTTTTCTTTACTAATTTATGATGAACTAAAGTTTTTAGATTTCTTATTTATTTGCTTATCTACCTTTTCATGAAAGTAGACAAAAGATATTTTAAATATGGGAAAATATGATTAAATTGGGATAATTAGTGTAGTACTATTTAATAAGAAAAAGTAATATTTATCTTGCAATTATCTAATATTTTTCTATATAGTTTATCTATCTAAATTAAAATTAATGTTTTGAAAGGATCCATCCATTTGAATAAATACTTCTATTTCAATAAATTGATTAAATCTGTTAATAATTTTTTCAGTATATAAAATAGATAGATTTACTGAATTCGGAAAAAGGACTACAAAAGTCAATAAAAATTTTGCTTTTTACTCATATTTAGTTATAAATCCACTTTTCAAATAAGTTAATGCACCAACTAATATATTTTATGAAAAATTGAAATAAAATCTTATACTTAAAATAAATGAAATAGATTGTATAAAAAATAAATATTTTTTTATATCAAAATTATATGTCGAGATCTTTCTAAAACAAATTGTTAAAAAAATTAAAACCACTACAAAAATTTGATTTAATTTATATGTTGAAAGTAGATTTATATTAAAATAAGCTAAAAACACTAATACCTAACAA